TGTGGAATGTTCGCGCCTCGCCATTGTTTCGAGAATGTTCCTCGCATTTGGATTCACAGATGAAATGAGTGGCCGGAGCAGATAATCAAATCTTTGAATCTGGCGGTCATTGAACGTCTCAACGCACTTCGCCCCACGAAACTGCGTCATTTCCAGATTCTCAGGATTTATCCTGCTGAGTTGCGAATTTTCGCAGCCGTTTTTGTCTTTCCAATGACGAAGTCGTTCTTGAGAAATCCGCTTGTTGTCTTATTTTTTTCCCGTTTTCACTCAAAGTTTCAATTTAAGAGAAGATTAAGTACATCAGTTTGCTTTTTTTGAAAACTAGAATTGAGGCTTTTTAGTCCATCGTTTCAAAATGTTTCTCTTTCTCTCGCATTCTCTAAATTAATGAGAGCCGACGACTTTTTTGTTTTAATAACTTGATGAGCTTCGCTGGAAGAGATGTTTTTCTGCCAGTGAACTTCATTTTGAGATATTTTTATTAGCTGTTTTTCACTTTAAATTGTAGAATTTCTCGAAAAAAAAATTTTTTCAGGTACATTAAAATATTTTAAGCTTTCTAGGGTCAACACTGATTTTTCAATAAATGAGGCGACGACCTCCAAAGACCGTTTAGAAGTTTTTTTTGCAAAGATGAAATAAATTGAAATGTGAAGGCTGAGAAATGAGAGTTGTATGATCGTTTTGAAAAAAGTCCAATCAGGACCAATGATCGTCTGAAAAAGATGCCCTGAACGGATATGTTTATATGAAATCTTCTCGGCCTTCGAGTGTCTTTATTTGGTTGTTTGGGTGTTTGTTTTCGCCAAGAGGGTTCCTTCAGCATATCATAAGGGAGCAGGCATCGCCCTATTTCTTCCATTCCAGTTGATCTCCGGATCAAGTTACTTCTTAAATCTAAAATAAGACACCTTTTGCGTTGCTCGAAATGGGCGAGATCCATGAAAAAATCTGTTTCTGTTAGAAGACATGGTTTCAGAAACCTCTGAGTAATAGCCACTGAGAAGTATTCTAGATCCACCACTTTTCTCAAACGTGTTACTCCCTAGCTCTATTTTATGTTGATAACCATAGTTTTATCCTTTTTCATGGAGAAAAGCTTTCTTTTGGCGTCATTGCGCACGTGCCGAAAAACAAATTTATTAAAATTGAAACAAAATGGCGACGCGTGACTATTTGGGCAGACGAAATCGCCAAAAAAGCGACCCTGAGGCGTCTTTGCCCAAATCTCATTCTCTTTGCCTCATTTTGGCTCTGCACACTTTTTTTGCCTTGCACCTTTTGTTTTATTGGGCTATCCAATGATTTGGGAAACACTTTCACTCGAATGCAGCTTTTTTTCTGACTCCGTCTAACAATAAATCTCTCTCTGTATTTGGACGCCGATTCTTAAGCTCACTAGGGAACTGTCTTTTTGCAAAGGCGGAAGGACCCTCCAAGGGTCCATAAAGGATCATAGAAATGTTCCTTTTAGGGTGACGAAGGCTCTCTTTTTGCTGCCTTTTTGCTCCATTTTCTCAGCCCTTATGCACCATTTTTGCTGCCTCTCCCTTTCTCCACCATTTCTCGAGCCTTTAAAATTCCAGAAAAATGGAAGGCTCGATAAAGGGAGTCTCTTTGCTCCCTTTCGCTGTCTTTTTGCTGCCTTTTGCTGCCTTTTTGCTGCCTTTCTGCGGCCTTTTTTGAGCCTCTCCCTTTTAGCGGTCATTATCCACCATTCCGACGTTGCCCGAGTGGTGAATACGCCTTTTGAAAGAAAAATACGTATCTAATTTTTTTGGTTGAACTGCAAAAAAATATTTTTTTAATAAAAAAATAATAAGTTAGTATTAACAGATCAAATGATCTGTAGATTTTTTAAGCTCTTCTTTTTTTTCCCGTAAAAACGAATTTTGATTTTTCCCGTTTCTGTGTGTTTTTGTAGCAAGCTCCAGACAGACTCTGGGGGAAGGAGAGATTGTAGTCGCCGAATTTCTCAAGATTTTTCTCCCAGCTTTTTCTTTCCAATCAGTACAAAAATTTGTCTTTTTCATAGGAGCCGTTATATACATATATATCAACTTTATATATATATATATATTAGGTTGTCAAGAAACGGATTTCGTTTTTTGATGCTTCAACTTTGACGAGTAGTTTAGGACAAAAAATCTTTTTTGATACCAAAATGTTATATATCATTTTGAAGCTCGATGTCTGTTTTTCAAATTGTACATAAAAGATTTTCTCAAAAAAAATCCGTTGTTTTTTGTTTCGCCGTTTAAAATTCGCATGAAAAGTTGCAATTTTGCATTATTTCTTTGTTCGAGCTTAGACAAAACGGCAAAGCTATTGGGACGGCTTTTTATGCTCAAAATGTGTGCAACAGAATTTGAACTGAAAAAAATTAATCAATTAGTGGTCGTAAAAATTCCGATCAGGAGATATAAGACCGTGAAAGAGCCCGACTGTTTTTCAACATGTCTTACTTTTGTTAACTATTTCAAAGTTTTGGTGATTGCACCTCTGAGAATACCTATTTATTAAACATCTACAAGACTTGTAGAAATCGAAAAAACTCATCTCATATATTGATAGCGGATTATCAGACAAAAAATGTCAAGGGAACATCCAGCGCATAAAACGACAATTTTGAAACCTTGACGCCTGCATGAACATTTTTTCATCAGTTACTCAACGAATACCACATACTTTTCAGCAAATCAAAAACGAAAATGAAAAGTAGAAGTTCTTCAACAAGCCGCAGCGGTAGATCAGTTATTTGACTTCCCATAGACTTCAAAAAAGCTCCCCGAAACAATTCACCATAATAATTATTTTGTCGACCTTTTGGTCGTTTGAGGCTAGTTCATATAACTTTAGCCAGCTGAATTTTATCTAATAATGAACAGAAGCCATCACATTGTCATTTGACAGGAGGAAGCCGGAAAATCTAGCATAAAATATAGGAAATGAAACGAAAATAACCAAAAGGAAAAATTCAAACTGTTGCTTTGAGAGCACCTTAGGAAAAAACCTTCTGAAAAGTTGGAAAAAAAAAATAATTTTGATTAGTTTTTTTATTGATCATCTGATTGCACCTTCTATTGTTAATTCACTCACTTTTTAGAAAACCTTGAAACTTTATAAGTGAGAAACGCCCTTAAATTCAACATGATGTCAAAAAAACCTTGATGAATTCATGAGCTTAGGAAATTTAGGCACGTCGGTCATTTATTTTTATTATATAAATTTTCTCATAGTCAAGGTTTTGAAGTAATTTATAAATTTTAGGTTAGTTAAAAAAACTCCTTCTGAAACGAGTTATGACTGTTTGAAGTCAACCATTGAACAACGAAATCCGTTTCTTGACAACCTAATATATATATATATGTATATATAAATTCGGCTTCTAAAATCGAATCCAATCTACATTATCTCATGTACGAAGTTAGCACTATCCTTCGTGACAAAAAGGCTCGAATTTCCTCCATTCTCATATATCCATCTTTTTGGTTATTTCAAATAACACATTTATTCATAAGCGAAAGTGTCTCGGATTTCTTCTTTCATTTTTTGTCTATCAATTGGCTCTCAACCACGGATATCGTTTCATTTTCAGCCACTGTTCTGAGCCGGATATACTTTACATCAAATCTTTTTGATGGGCACTTATCAAAAGCTCTTGAGAGCTCTGCCTTCCTCATTTGCTTGTGTCAGTGTTTTCTGGGCTCGTGGCTATTCTCGCACAACACAGAGAAGTCACAAATTTGTTTTTGGGCGGCCATAATTTCGCCCCGAGGCACAGTTTGAGCTTCGGACCCGTCTTCGGACTCCCACGCTGAAAGCGCCTTTCAGTACGTGTTCTACCGGAATCCCTATAAAAGTCTCTTCACACCCACGCTCCGAAGAGCGGCGTTTCTAACAACAAAAACGCATGACCTCTGAAGGCTTCCTCCAGTTTCGAATTTCATGAAATCAGCCCAACTTTCTCTTTTCACACCTCCGATGAATCTCATGTGTCTTCTGGGAAAAACTGCTGAATAGTATCAACTTTCTTTTCTTCAAATTCAAATTGCTCCTTTTAAATTTCGTTGAGCTCTACTATTTCTTGTTTTTATGTTTTCTATTTATTGTCGAATTTTCAATCAAAAAAATATTTCAAAGTTTAACTAAAAGGTTTTCGGATTTGTCTCCATTTTCTGTCCATTCGCAGAGAATTCGTCGGACATTGATCATCCAAAAAAAAAATTTTTTCTTCGTTCAGACTTACCTATCGATTATCTATGAGAATAATTTCAAAATAAGCAAAAGCAAAGTATTTTATGAAAAAAGTTGGCAACGCGCTGTGATTTCGTCTGTGAGGGTTTTGATTACTCTGACCTCTTCTCATAGACGGCGATTCTCGATTCGGACGCTTTCAGAGATTCGCATGACGTCATCTTTTAGAAGGCGGCTGGCACGTGGCCAAGAAAAGCCCATCACTCATTTCGAACACCGTTTTCTGATGGATTCTTCCCCTTTCGCTTCAAAGAAACTTTTCCACTCACAAAATATCTCCCCATTTTAGTTTCATTCCTTCGCCCACTTTTTTTTCTTATTATTAAAAAGTTGAGGGTATTCTCTTCAAAGTTGATTTGAGGAATCATCACATGCCTTTTTTTTCTGCAAATGAGCTTTTCGAGCAAACAAAGGAAAGCTTCCTCCTTGGGAATATTGTGGCAACACTCCCTTGATGAAATGAATAAAATGAGCTCCGATATCCGTTTTTCGCACGGGGTTTTCTTCATTCTTGTGATAAATATCGCAATTTTTTATGAAAAAAGTTCATCACAACTGAGCGTTTATAACTTGAGGCAATAGAAAAGTTAGACATCGTGAAATATTATATCATTCTTCGAAGAAAATTATGACGCTAGATTGTTTTGAGAAAAAAAAACGAGTTTTTCGACGCTAATTTATCGTCTAATTCGTCTGTTTTCTTTTTTTGGTCTTCGCAGCTCAATTCCGCAACATTTCAGATGTTTCAAAAGCTTGTCAAGTGGACGATGGGCAACGAAAGTTCTTTGATCAACTTCCGAAGAGGATCCAAAGATCGCGACGCTCAGATCGTCATCGATTGCGTGGAGGACTACATGTTAGTTTTCAGAGAAGCTTTTCCTTGTCCCGTCCCTAATTTTTTTCTGAGCTGACTTTTCCTTTCCTTTGGTTAGTCTCACTGGAATATATGAGAAGTTTCGGAAAACTTGAACTGAATAATTGCTTTGGTGGATGCCTGATCGTTATTCCCTTAGAGAACTAATTAAGATTCGCTGAGCCTCGAATCCAAAAAAAAACCTTGAAAAAGGGAAATTTAATGTCCGAGCTTTTTTTTTTGAAGAGGTTTTCTGAAATTTTTTCACAGTTATATTGTATGAACGTACATCCGAAGATTGTCAAACAACAAAATATGCAGCTTTCCGAAGTTTTTTTTCAAAGATTCCATAGTAAAAAAATGAGAAACTCATGAAAAAGAAATATAGAAATGAAAAACCTGTGTACAGACTTTTCCGGTCTTGAAAACTTTTTATCTTTCGAAAATCCAGCTTTGGGTAAGGATTTTGGTCATTTTGAAGTCTAAAGAGTCCTACTTACATGAATCAGTTGGTGTGGAAATTTCTCGAAAGGCTTAACTTTTTTTAAATTCAAAAAAACTAATCAGATTCTTTTATGAGAGCTTTTTTCAAGTCCTTCTAATCCACAAAATCTGCGAATTTCAATTCGAGATGTCCGGGATTCACTGCAAAGGGAAACCCTTACATGATTGGAATAATTATTGGTTAATTAAAAACCTATTGGAATTTAGAATAAATTGAGGACTCGTAATTCAGGAGTTAGGCGGTGAGAAATGTGGAACAGATCAGCAACTAGCAGCATTCCGTTCTGAAACCTCATATAGTTATTATATTTTTTTCTAAAAAAAACTTTGGGGGGCGAATTCTTCATTTCATTCAAAAATCTCTCGGTGTTTCTCTTTTTGTAAAGCTTCGAGCGATGCAATTTGAGGTCTTTTCAAAACATAAATTCTTAGAGTAAATCAAGTTTTTTGAACACTGAAAGGAGAATCGAAAGTCAAGCTTTTTTCGAAATACTTCAAACAACAAGTCGTGACCCGAGGCTCTTGCCGCAGTTCTCCCTTTTCAGCTCTTGGCTCATCTTTCGGCCAAACGAGCCGTCTGAGGTGTTATCTCAACAGATTTCCGACTTGCTTCCATTTAACCGAGATGTCCGTGTTCAGAGAGGTGCCCATCTACCGCAAAAAGTCCAACCGAAGCGTCAGCCGTCAACGTCTTGACCACGGCTCATCGCCTCTCAAGAAGGCGAGTCTCGACTCCGGAAGCCTCAGTTCCAGAAAATCCTCCGGTTCGTTCTTTTCTGGATCGTTTCTCTTCTCGGCTCCGTGTAAGAAGCGATCGTTGAAAAATCGTCTCAAAAACTTTGTAGAGTAACGCTTGATTGTAAATAGAATGTCGTGCAAGTAGCGACTACGAGGGAGCATTTCCCATGTTTAACAAAGTTTTAGTCTTTTTTTTTTTGATATTTCCGAACTTCTATTTCCGAACATGCAATTTTTATTTTTTGCCCTCAAAACCTCATGAGGAAATGAACAAAAAAAAGATGGGAGAAGCGGGAAAAGGGCAGACGCCGAATCATTGGACCAATTTCCTGCATCCTTTCATTGAGTCGCCCCCTCACGAGAGATGTTCCTTTTGTTTTACCTCACTCGTTACAAACTCTTCGAAGCGCGTCGCTTTTGCAGTTTCAAGTCCGCGCGGTTTGTCGAGCGACGGATCCGGCGATTCGCTGCTCAGTCCACTCACGTTGGTCTACGACCGCCGTCGGAGTCGCAGTTTGTGCTCCGCGCAAATGAAGGATGATGTGCAGGTTGGTCTAACAATCCTTTCCTTTGGAAGTTGATTTCGAACTTGTCGGCCCACAGAAAGTGGGAAATTAGCCTTCTGTGTGATCGCTACGGCTATATTCAGGCCGTTACATCGCCCTCCAAGGACAAAGAGGAGAAGCTGAGCAGCCGGAAGTCGAGCAGCGGACTCGTTCCTTCCCTCAACCGCCTTCGGATTCAACAATGCTACCGTGGAGCCAAGTCATTTTTTGCTTGACTTGTGTAATCTGAGAAGAAGAATAAGAAAACAGTTAACTCCGACACAAAGATCCAATTTTAAACGGCGATTTTCTATTTAAAGAAGTGAGGAGGAAATTCCGTGGGAACTTGTTGCAATTCGAGAGTTTCAAGAAGGAGATTGAAGATTTTCTAAATTTAGAAATTCTTTTATACTTTCCCAAAAAAATACTCTGGTCTTACGAAGATTAGGAGAATCGCACAAAAATTCATGTGGTTCTTATAGCTTTCAGAAAAAGTTATTCATGCTTAAAATGGGGAGGATTCCGATGTTCAGAATCGATATTAAAAGTGCCATCTTCAGACTTTAGGTTTGGAAGATGTTTCTGTGCCAAAAAATAATACTCTAAAAGGGTTCTAGAATTGAAAATTTCCTTTAATAGCGTTAAAATCCGAAACTATTATCAAAAATTTCAAGATATCTTCAAAAAGTTAGTAACGCACTGGGGAGGATTCCGGTGTTCAGAATCGATATCTTGAGAAACGAACGCAAATAAAAATCTTATTTTCAGGCCATCGATTGGCGAAAGCATAATGAAGCGAGCAGCGGCATCTCGGCCAGAAATGCGAGCGTTTCTGAGCAAAATGAACGATCAGCAGATGGAGTTCATGCAGAGGGACATGTACGAACTAATAACTGACGCCGTCGAAAACGCGGACAAGTCGGACAAAGTGAGTTCTGAGCTGAGAGCTTTGAAAAGAAAAGTGTTCAACTCAGGTTCTTGCCCACGCACGACAGTTTGGCGACACCTACGCTTCGCTTTGTCCTCTCGGCTTCCGTCCCGACCTCTTCTCGACTATCGCAGATGCCGCCATCGCAGAATGCGTCAAGCTCGACAGCGGAGTCCACAAGAGGTGAGAGGATCGCGAGGAATGCCTCGAAGGATGACGTCACAGATGCGAGACTCTCTCGGCGTGGAGCCAACTCTTCTCGGCCCTTTTTTCGGCTGTCCGCGACGGCTACTATCAGCGCATCCGACAGCAGCGTCGCACCTCTGTACCGCACAATCCAATTAGTAAACAGGTACTGTCTCTAAAGGCAAGAGCGATTCGATTTTTGAGTGAGAAAACCGCAAAAAACCAAGTCATTATCAATATGATTTCGTTATTGTCGTTACGTCACAAAAATTTTCAGTGACATAGAACACTTAAATTTCCGTGAACCTGTCCTACATGAAAACTTAACTAGGTCAAAAAAAGAAAACTTTCTCTAATCATCACACCGGAAAGCTGACTCAATTCATTTCCACTTAAATCGTTGGAAAACTTTCTGTCACGACCATAACGAAAAAAGACATTTTCAGCTATCGGTTGATTTTTCTCCCAAGGGAATCGAGAGACGAGACGCTGTAGTCCGTTGAAAGCGCTTGAGAAACCCACCAATTATGTTTTTGAACTACTCCATTTATGGTTTCCATCTTTCATTCAATTTTTGTCCGTCCTGTTCTGTATGTTAGCATTGAGGCGTTTTGTGCCTTGACGTGACAGGTATTTGATAGATTCCATATTGTTCTAAATTTTCCAAGAAGTGAAGACGCACAGTCGTTTCGCCAAGAGCCAACGCGCTCCTAAAGCGCTATAACTATATTCGGTAAACTACTTCTGAAGGCCGTCACGATTCTACGTATCTACGAGTTCATGACCTTTGCTTATTATATTAGCTAGTGATGAATTTTATATCCCTGCTTCCAATTTCCGATGATCCTCAGACGTGAGGTGTAATCCCCTTTTAGGGTCCTTTTATTCTTGGAACGAATGCTTGTTTTGCTTGTGTTCTCTCCACCATATAGCAATTTTTTCGTTTGGTGAAGCTCGAGAATAATTACACGCTGTTATTTGTAATTTTTTCGCTTTATCTGCAATTTTTTGTTTTTTTTTTTCTCCAAAAACTTCAGAATAAATTTATTTGCAATTTATCATTCAGTTTTGCTATCAACATGTATTAATTTGAAGGAATAAATTATGATCAGAAACTACTAAACGAAGGATCAGTGCAAAAGTGAAGCAAGGTCCGCACGTTATTCAGCACTTGTTCCCTGAAAGACTCGCGGAGGTGCGGCTCCTTCTTTTGAAGTTGGACATCGACGAGAGCGGCCTTCTGACAGGCGCTCAGATATGCGAGCAGCGGCAGGAACCGACGACACGATTCCCGAAGCTGAAAACCGACTGATTGTCTTCCGCCAAACGACAAACCTGCTCCAATGAGAACGGCATTTCTCCTTGCACTTCGTCCTCCAAAAAACCGTAATAAATCTGAAGGTACTTCTCGCGGACTTCAGTCATGTGCCCTTTATCCAGAAGCGAACAGAAGGCTTTGGCCAACTCGGCGCCCGCATTTCCGTAATGAAGCGTCTGGAATTCGTCTTTCTTTCACCTTTGCTCTACTTCATTTTAAGGATCTTAAAAGATCATCCGAAGCAAGTCTCTTTGAAAGAAAACAGTTTTTTTCGTGAATTTTTTTGAGACCTTTTTAAATTTTCAAGATTTACCAGGAAACGGTCTCAACTCGCTGTGAAACTGCTTAATAATCACTGAGGCTATTTTTTTTTGGTTTCTCATAATTTTGAGCAAGGAATTATTTCACTTAAACGCTTCTTATTAACTAATCTTTGATGTTCTTCTGTAGCTGACGAAAAAAAATTGAATTTCTTTCTTTTGTGCATGAGTTTTAGTTAGGAAAAATTTTGATAAAGTTCTTTTTCTTTCCGTAAGAAAACATCAACAGCCTCTACATACCTGGAAGTCAATCAGGGCGTCGAGTTGGACGATTTCCTCGGAATTTTGGCGGAAAAGCATGTTGCACTGCCATCCATCTCCATGAACCGGAACACGTTTCATTCCTGCAGCCTCATATTCTTCAGTCTTCGAAGAAGCTACTTCGATCTCACCTAGCTTTTCAGAAGTCGAGTCGAGCGCCGCAATCTCCTCCTCAGTTGTCATCCTCTCAACCTCTTTCCTCACCTTCTCCACGAGCTCTTCGTCTTTTGTGAAGTTTTTCAAGATTTCCATTAGTTTCAGTGTCATCTGAAAACAATTTATCACGGATTACCTGAAAGACAACTACATCAGAAACGAGCATCGGTTTGTAAATTTCCGAAAGATAACCGCGGCTTTTGATCTTCTGTTCTTCTTCAGAGTAAAACTTTTGTATAGAATGGAGGGCGGCGAAGTTCCGAAGAATCTGAAGAAAATGGTATATCTGAATGATGTCTCGATTGACCTGACCTGTAGGAAAGTTGGTTCGTCAATGAAATCGCAGCAGCTCAGCTGGATGAGATTTTCTCTGTACTCCAACAGAAGAAAGCCTTTGGAACTGTTCTCCTCGTCGAACAAGCGCCCACCGTAAAACTCAAATCTTTTTTGCAATCGTTTCTTTATCCTGATACCTTTAAAAGGCTCAAATCTCTTTTTTCCATGTTCTGAATTCTTGTGTAGAAGTCCATTTCAACATTGTGAACCTGCAACGTATTTTTATATATCTGCTGTGAAATTTCCGAACCAACCTTTTTATAGAGAGACTCGGTATCTTGAAGAGCATTAAGATCGACGGCTTCCCCTTCGATTTTCCCTTCTTTTTTCATTTGCTCTAACCCTTCGATATGGCTGATCATAGTAGGGACCTGCCACAACTTTGAGAAAGCTTTCAAAGCTGATTACCTTGAGCACGACCCTCGATGGCAAATCGAGTCTCTCCGTCGGCCACTTCAGGTTGATAAGCGCTATTTTTGAAGCGAAACCCTAAAATATCCTTCGCGATAAGAGTGTTTCTAGGAACTGACGGCCATTTCTCCAAGAAGCAGGGGCTCTCCAACGAGCTGCGGTCGGTGGCCATCAGAAAGAGCGGCAAGTTTTTCTATGACGTCATCGATGGAGACGTGCGTGGACAGGACACCGCTCCCTCGCTCGTAAAGCCTCATCCCTTCTTGAAGATTTTATCTTTTGAGAAAACTAAAAGGGATTTTTATGGTTTTCCAAACTAAATTTTTTAGAAGAAGTTTTTTGAACTTTTTACGTTCTTCTGGCACATGTAGTCCAGTGACTGATGATGGAAAAAAAATATTTTTTTTCCATCGTAAGTTAGAGTACAACCATTTTTTACAACCACTTTTTCCAATGTGAGATCCTACAGCTCGGAAAGTTAAATAAAGATAATATACCAATGAAAAAATCAAGAAAATTGTTATCATGGTCTCCCGAGGCCTATATATATGTTTAGTGCCAGACATCGCAACGTTGTGCAATCCATCGCGGATGAACTTTGGTCGGAATGATTCTCGTTACTGACAAAGACTACTCGAAAAAATATACTATTTCTCATCTTTAACATAAGAAGATTGCATTAGCATTTTCTTTCTGGTAATCTGACCGAATATGTAAAAAAACCTTGTGAATATTGTTTTTTTAGATAGAAACATTTATTTCGGTTCAAATAGCTAAAAAAATCTGGTAAAAACGAATTTTCTATGCTTTCCAACGTGTTCTCTTCCCCATACAACCATTTGATACCCTGTAAGACCCATTAAGAAAAAAATATAGATTTTCCAAAAGAAATGAATCTTTATCATTTATCACAAGCGTTTATTGAAACTTTTCAGTAAGACTGACTTTTCTGTTAAAATTTTTTCATAACAAAAATTTTGAAATTTCAATCACTTTGGAAACGGGAATAGTATATAGCCAGTCTGTATAAACGCTTTTCCACTGTGGTCTTTTTATTTCTTCTGCTTGATGCAAGTAACTATGTAGTTTTGAGATTTTCCCCGCAAACGTATCCTACTAGCCACCAACGACTTTCCGAAGACTGCAGAAGCAATTGAAATGATTGCTTATATTCTTAACTTCTGAGCAAACAATTCTGTGGCGGTCAACGCTTTGTCTCTGAGCGAGTACCAAAAGAGCTGCCGAATCTACAGTGCCATGCGCGTCAGAAATAATCAAATTTCTAAAGAAGACATAGCATAAGGCGATCAAAACTGCTACATAAGAGCCTTTCATTTGGTTTTATCTTCTTCTCCATTTTTTGATTAACAGTTCGCCGTTAAAGTTTTTCAGAAAAAAAAAACGAGTTTTCAAGGTGTTGGAGCAAAAAACTGATTTTTCGAAAAATTGCTAATTTTTTACTCTTAATAAGCTCCCACAGTTTTTTTGGGTTTCATCTCGTTCCCTGTCGTGAAATGAATATTTCCACGTACGATATTATCAGAAAGGAACAGTTTTGCAGAATTTAACAGTCCCACGGCGTTATAGTCTGTTCAGATTTTAAATGTCAAGCAGCTAACTCCACCCCCAAGGCTACAATATCCTTCGCGTCAATGTTTTATATCCAGATGACGATGAGCCTTTAATAAGGCTGCATTTTTGACTTCTTTTTTTATCTTTTAAATCAAAAAAGATCAAAGTTATGCCGTGTTCAAAGTAATTTCCGCGAAATGCAAAATGGTCTCTGACCCTCCAAAATTTAGTTATCTTTCTTTTTCTCGGACAGCTATTTTGAATTTCGCGGAATCACTTTGAACACGGCATTAGTCCCGCGCGATAAAACATCGACGCGAAAAGGTACCGTCTCAGCAGGTGCGGAGTTAGCGGGTTGACATTCAAAATCTGAACAGACTATACCACACAGTGGAAGCGGAGCGTAAGTTTTTCCTCTAACAAAAAGGGGGGTTAACCCCGCAGTGAACCCCGAAAAAAAGTGAACTTTTGGTTGATGTTTGCGCTGCACCCCGCGTTGGACCTGAATGGGGTGCACCCCTGGGGCAACCGGTCAGAAATAAAAAGTTTTTTTTGAGCTACCGTAACGACCTAGGATGAAACGGTACAAAATTGTGATATTGGAAAACAAACCACTTCGAAATTCTGTATGGAAAAAGTACCTTAATAGGCATTTGAAGCTAAACGGGGTGCACCCCTGGTTACACTGCGGGGTGCAACGAGAGTCCGACGCGGGGTGCACCACAACTTTTGTTAGAGTCCACCACGCGTTGCCGTCGAAAATCTCGCATTAGAGCGAACTTTCCTTCACGCGCCAATTTTTTATTATTATTAGGCCTTAAAGCAGCCTATTTTATATTTTTACAAATGTATTGGCTCAAATTTCAAAAATCTAATTTGACTAAGTCCTTAAGATATTTTCGCTCTATCTTTTGGTACGTGGAACGTATTTTTCCGTTGCTTGTGAAAAATCTGATGTTCAACTCAAAATTTTCGAGGTTTTGCGAAATGGAAAAAAAAGACTGGATTTGTAGTCTGGAGTTTTTGCTGAACTTCTATCGTTGAAAAATCCAATCTGCGTATGTTTCCAAGCGTTTTCGACGCGTTTTCCGTTTCTTTTTCGATTTATTCTGGCTTACAGTCGTTAATGCAGAAGCTTGCTAAAAAAAACCATGTGTTTTGCGAAATGGAATGTGAACGATAAGCAATACAAGTTTAACAACTAACAAGTGTACATAATAAATTTTTTAGTTGATGTTGATTTCTTCATCGGAAAATTGGCAAAGTTTGCTTCCTAGCAAAAAATAAACCTACTAGTAAGAAATTTGAACAATCCGTTTTCACCTGCTAATCACCTAACGATCACGTAAAAGCTGTGAAATGCTCCTCATCATCGATATTCATGAGAAGATCGTTAGAGAACAATGTAAAAAGTGTGATCAAAGACTGTTGGCAACTGGCCAAATTATGAATTGATCGTTCGTATTTGCGTCGCGGTCTATTGCGGCCAACACAGCTGACCGCACAGAACGGTGGCAGAAATTTTTATTCTTGGTTACCCCGTGAGTCAATAAACATTTACACGTCAGCGTAAATCTACGCGGAGAATTGTCTCCTAAAACTGCGCGACAGTTGCACTAAGCCGCGCCCACTAGCCACCCTATAGGGTCCTATAGGAGAGCACGGCGTTCTTTTGACGACGCCCCTCCCACAATTTCCGTAATATTTGACGTCTTTTGTGCATACACAGAACGACGCTAACTCGCATACTCATTAAATTCAAAAATAATTTTTTTCCTCGAAAAATAGCGTTTTTTCAAAACTATTGCCGTGTTCAAAGTAATTTCCGCGAAATGCAAAATGGTCTCTGACCCTCCAAAATTTAGTTATCTTTCTCTTTCTCTGACAGCTATTTTTGAATTTCGCGGAATTACTTTGAACACGGCATGTAGACGTGGAAAAAAATCGATCCTTTCACAATTCCTTTTCTAGTTGACAAAAAAACATTTGGGTGAAAGTTTTTTTCTTATTCTCTGAACACTTTCATACCTTTCATCCTCAAAATTGGTTAAAGTCCTTTTTTTGAGTGAAAAAAACGTGGAGTTTTGTGCCAAAAAAATGACTTATTGTGGTTCTATGTGTCTTTCCCGACTTATTGAAAAATTTAAAAAAAGTTTTTCTTTACAGATTTAGTTTAGTTCATCCACCTAGTGGTATTTTTTTCTCCTCTGCAACATCGCCATACCATTCTGATGTTGCGAAAATGAAGAGATTGATTGATTCGAATAAAAAAATTTAATTTGACACTGAAAATGTTGCTGAAAGGCTTTTTTTGCTTTAAAGGGAAAATTTGGTCAAAACACAGCAGTTAATATTGAAAATTGAAAAAAAAAGTTCCTTCGCATTTTGCTGTCGCAATAAAAAATAATTACCGTAAATCAGTACGAAACAGATAAAGATACAACTGAAATAAACATGAAAAATCACGTTAAGCACTTGAGCAACAAGAAATTCAAATGTTCGCGCGCAAGCTGTCTACCGTAAATCTAGGTGGAGCAACCCTTCCAAGCCGCTCCACATTTTCAAAAATTTTACATTTTCTTCCACTACGCAGAACGCCGTGAGAGCTCTCCAGCCTTTTTAATGCCGTGTTCAATTTGATTCCGCGAAATGCAAAATACCCGTTGAAGAAAGGAAAAGATCACTAAATTTTGGAGAGTCTGAGGTCATTTTGAATTTCGCGGAATCAAATTGAACACGACGTAAAGCGCCGTATATATAGTCTGTTCAGATTTTGAATGTCAACCATGCTGGTAGCTGGTACCAGCTAACTCCGCCCCTGCTGAGACGGTACCTTTTCGCGTCGATGTTTTATCACGCGTGACTAATTTTGATCTTTTTTGGTCTAAAAGACAGAAAAAGAAGTCAAAAATGCAGCCTTATTGAAGGGCCATCGTCATCTGTAGACAAAACATTGACGCGAAAGATATTGTAGCTTTGGGGGTGGAGTTAGCTGCTTCACATTCAAATTCTGAACAGACTATAATCAGCACGGATGGCGCACGGTGCATTCTGCTTTTTTGCACTCTGGTGCGAAACTGGAGTCTACACCGTGCAGTTTTGGTACTTTTTTGGTGTCGCACTGGTGCAGCACGCTAAAAGCACTGATTTGATACCTTTGCGCCAAAAAATCACCGAAATCGCTCGGGGTAGACCTCAATTACGCACCAGAGTGCATAAAAGCAGAATGCACCGTGCGCCATCCGTGCCGAGTAGGTATCTTTTCCCTTTTTTTTAATCTTTCCTTCAGAAAGTCGGCGATTCTGATGAAAAACTAGTTCGAAAAGCTGAAAAACGTCTTGAGCCTTTTCGAACAGTATTATGTTTTGGATAGACTGAATGATAATCGATATTTCAACCTTGTTTAAAAAAATCTGAAAAGAGCTTAAGATCTTGTAGAGCTCAAAAACTAAGCTTTTTTTTTTACAATTTCAACTGGTATTCTCACTCAAGATCTGAGTTCAATGTTTTGAAAAGTGAGAAAAATTGAATATGCTCTCGCAAATAATTCGGTTCCAAAATAGGTCAGACCTCCGCATATGCAAATTCACTCGACTAACTTTCAACTGTTCAGAGAGTTTACCAAGGCGAGAGAAACGTCTATGAAGGGCAACTGGTGCAGAGACGCAGGTTGCAAAAACGCGAATTTGCCGTTACTCGTCGATTCGCGGTTCCAGGCGATGTTCGGTATATATAAATCGCTAAATTTTTTTTCTCCTAGTTGTAAATAACTTAGATACCTTTATTTATTTCAGCGGCGCGAAGTCACTTTTTGTTTTTTCTGCCTGGGTGCGAGATGAGACTAACTAAAATATTGAAGCACTTGTTGCAAGAGGAGCCTCTTTTATCAAAAGTTTTCAATAAAGAACCGGTTTCTTTCTTCCCGATTTCACGGAATTCAGTTAGGCACTCCATTTAACTGCGTTTACAGCATGTGTCTCGTCCTCTTGTACTTATTCCTCAAAAGTTTCCCAAACGCAGTGTGATTCTGTTACTTTTTCTTCTTCCTGCTAGCCAAATTCTTTTAACTTGATTTCATTGATTGGAATTTTTTTATATTAGCTATCTCAAAAAAACTCGGTAAATATGGAGAGATTCAAAAAGAATGGTTTTCTTCTTAATATTTTAAAAATATACTATTTCAAAAAAAAAGGCATCAACTTTTCACAAGTCATTGAAAAGACGATTCTAGTTTCGGTCCGGAATCCCTTGTCCATTTCTGCCAGATGGTTTCGAGGAGAAATAGCGGCGTCGCTGCGGAGAGCCGATAAAATCTGGACGAAATCGATTCTTTTCTTCTTCTTCTTCTTTGGGGGGTTGGTCGTCGTTCAGTCCTCAATTAGTCATTCTCTTGCAACAATAAGCAGGAAGAATTCCCCTTTAAATTAATCTAATTAGAATCTTTTAGTGAGGATGAGCCTATGCAATCTTTCCTTTCCACAAAAGTGTTGGGTTGCAATAAAAATATAATAGTTTCTCCTTTCGTGTTAGGCGACCAACTTCCAAAAACAAAATTTTAGCCTTGCTGAACTGAGGAATTCTCAAATTCAAGAAATAACCGGTTTTTTTTTTTCGAAAAACGTCAATCAGAAAGCAGTTATGTCGTTTGCGTATAACAGTTTCTTAAACTAACTTTGATTTTTTTAAAAAAAGTTGTTAAGGGGATCTCAATGACGGGACTGTGAAACATGATCTGAAAATTTTCCTGTTTAATTGAAAAAGTCCGTAGAAAGTCCTCTATTTAAAATAGGCCAACTAATAATTATCAATATTTTTGTTTCATTTATTTTTTTCGAGATCAATTCACCTTTATTTCCATTCGAGGCTCAATAACAAACTTGAACTAAACTTAAAAATTCCAACTTGTGAAACAGGAAACTTGGTTGTATCTCCAAGAACTTTTTGTAACGCTCTTCGTTACAAAATAAAAATTTCTTCTACTATTTTGAATCAAAAACGAAATTTAAAAAAAATTAACATGGAAATAAAAAATTCAATTTACTTTTTATGAAAAAAAACCTTATCTATGTTTTAATAATGCTTTTTTTCCGCAAATTGGTAGACGAGAAAAGCCAAAAGTTGAGATTGGAAATTTCATTCTAGTGAAGCGGCTATAGGAGTTGTCGACAGGAACAGCAGTTATCACCAGCGGACGCATTACTCAGTGCCAGAGAGCAGGCGGAACCGGAGGGCGCAGACGCTTTTTGTGGAGGCGGAGAACTTTTCTCCGTCGCCGGTGCCGCCGACCGCGTCCTTCGCCTGTTCACACTGCACTTGTTATTCCGATAACTCCGTGTCAAATTTATCTCATCAGATCATCAATCTTCTCAACTCTTTTCGAAGTATTTTATCTGCGTAACAATTTTTATTTTTATTATCAAAAAATCAAGTAGTTTTTAGTGCAATTCTGGGCAATAGCCAATTGTTGTAGTTATGTTTTACTGAATTGTTTTCCCATTGCGGTTTCTATTATGTCAAACTTCATTCCGTTAATAATTGGTTTCGGAAAAATATTGATGACTGAAATTTTTTGGCGATGCTATTGAGAAAAATTCAAAAAATTTCAACCTGTTTAATATATTATGTTTATGCAAAAAATTTTTTAACTCTTCAGTTATTTTTTTTTTTGCTTTCCATATTTTGATTGGATTAGAATCTTTGAAAATTTTCCCGGCCTAATTCACTCTGGAAAATCGCTTATGAATTCGGAATTTAAACGGAAAAAAAAAATTAAAATATGCAAAAGTTGTGTCCAACCTATCCCACGTATGCCTTTCCAGGATGAACTCCCGGATGTCGAAGTTGCGGAGGTCGCTCAGTCGCAGCGTCTATCAACTCAACAACACGCTGAGCCGACAGAGCAGTCTGAACGGCCTCATCGAGCTGCCCACCATCAGCCACACGACTCTCGTCGACAAATTCGCCGTCAGTTTTTTTTTTTCCGATGTTTTCTCTCATTTTTCCGTTATATTTTAAGCTGTAGAATTTTTTCATTGAACTGAAAGGGGCTTTTCTTTATTTGTTTTTTTTTTTTCATTCTGTTCTTTCTTCCTCATGATATTTTGCTTCTGCTTTTTCAATTTTTTTCTCAATGTATTTTTAAATATTACTTGTGAAAAACATGTACACGAAAGACACGTGATGAAGAATTCAAACGCAGCTGTGCAGATTTTATTCTTAGGCTCTATTTCATTTCGTATGTGAAACGTGCGTCATAGCTTTCTCTCAAGTTTTGGGGGGAAAAAATTTAGAGGCCTGAAAAAAATAAACCTACTCTTTAAAAAAAAAGAAAAATAGTTATGTAATTGTTTCGAGATTTTTGTTGGATTTGGGCAAAGTGGAAAAGGCGCGAAGCGCTGCCGAGGGCTTCAGTGACACCGTTGTTTGTTCTTGTCGCACCGATAAATCACCTGTCGGTGGTTTTCCCATCCGTTTGATTGTTGACAGGTCGCCGGTCCGATTCGGCCTTTCCATTTCTCATTCTACTTTCAAACGTCCTAGCGAAGACGCACAGTCGAAAAAAAGCTTTTGTTTAAATTTAAAAAAATACATCAATTTATTTCGTAAAAAAATAAGCAAAAAAATAAATGACAATCTTCGAAAAAAATGATCTTTGATCAATGTGCAAAAAAGTGTCAGAAAAATATCTCTGAAATTTTCCCCTTCTTCTTTGGATCACTCAGTTTTTTCTCTAATAAATCCAGTAGGCCCAAAAACCGCGAGAACAAGAGAAGGTCCGACGGCAAATGGAACAACGGAAGAAGCGTCGCCACACGCGCTCTAGCGAACCCGTGCGGACCGGAAACGACCTAAACAAATACGGCCGTCAAATCTCACCGCCATACTTCTTACGTATGGTATCGTTACGTGGAACTCGGAAGCTGAGTCTGAGGCGCCAACAACTCAATTTTTTGTGACGAAGTGTAGTATATTATCATGACCTTCCCTGAAAGCTCCTATTCAATCACGAAATTTTAAATTTACTTATTATCCAATTTTAAAAAGAATTGAATGAGTATGGCGGGAGCAAATTAAAAGATATATTGAAACATGCAATTAAGCGGTAAGACACAATTTGGCGGCCAATCTTGGATTAAATCGAAATACAGAGAAATGTTCGATGAAAAAAAAAAAAGACATATTGGATTTTATTCATCATTCACTCTGCCCTCGAAAAACTTTTTGGAACGAAATTTTTGTCAATCTCACAGCTGCTGCATAATCAGCTAGATTTCTCTTTACTTATCGTATCAAGCAAAACAAATTTCACGTTGAAATCCTGTCAAACATTAAAGTTGTCAAACAAAACTCTTGTGGAATCTTTGAGAGTCAAGAGTTCAAATATTTTAGCGTGGATATTTGTTTTATTGAAAGTGCTAGAAAACGAATATAATGAATCAAGGCGTTTTTAGACCCCTGGAAACTTTCGCCAACTTCGAGATGTTGTACGGTCAAACAACGAGCTCCTTGCCGAAATAGTCAACGCTTTTGAAGAAAAGTAAGTTGATCTTTTTCAGCCGATGATTAATACTACTTTCATGATAAGAGATTTTGGAAAGTATTTTCCAGAGCGGCTCTTGACTTTCACTATTCGAAGACATTGAAGAAAATTTCGGCCAAATTACACAAAGTAACGCAGCAGACTGAGTGGTGAGCATTTTGCAAGGACAGTTAGTAGAGCTGGAGAAAAAGCAAAAGATCTGAATTTGACTGTCAACCGTTTCAAGAAGTTTGTTTACTCTCTTCATACGGTTTTATTATAAGGATTATTTTCTCCGAGCGATTATTTTTATTGGAATGAAAGTACTTTTATGGAGAGATCCTAATCCCAGGTGATCTGAAAAGTTGCAGCGACATCGACAGAGGATGGACCTCCGTCGCAGAACAATTCGACGTCCACGCCACTCTTCACAGGTCTCCCTCAATCACATTAAGAAAGAATCTTTAGAAACCTAATATTTGTATAGTGAAACAGTTTTTGTCTAAGACGCGTCAGTTACAGTAATCTCGGGTCAGCCCTCACTGATGACGTCGTTCAGCCGTTGCGTGCCATACAGACGACCCAGTTAAAGGCTCTGAGGGCGGTAGGCTAATTTTTTGCTAAAAGTTTTTGGATTATGAATGTGTCAGGCTGACTCTCTTGTCGACAGGGAGACGCGCAGATTAAAGGAAAAGAAGGAAGAAACGTTGAAACTGAAGAGAAATGCGTATTTGGTGGGGAAAGAACTGGAGAAGGTGGAGCAAGCAGCCGATTTGGATAAGACTAATCCTTCCAAGGTAAGAACAGACGTGAGAACATGTTATAGTTATATCAAATAAAAATATTTTTTTAAAAATATTATTAAAATATTTATTAAAAATACAAAGTAAATTATAGTTTGCCATGCGCAAAAAAAGCTGCAAGATCAAATCGTCCGGAGTGAAGACGACTATCTTTGGCAAACAATCGACTTGGAGAAACAGAGAAGGTTTTTAATAAGCTTCAGTTGATCATCACACTACTCGAAAATGCCGGAAAAAGAGACTACTTTCAGAACACAATTGTTATCCTCCTTTTCATTTCTGCACAATATGAATATTCAAAAAAAGCTATCAATAAATTCCTAAAAGTTGTGAATTCTGTGATTCTCGAGCTTATTGCGCTGTTTCTAAAGTTTCACCAAACTTGTGATTTTTCACAATTCAGAGTGACGGAAAATGTTCTTCGAAAAGGCGTTGAAAGCCTGGAAGCAGTAGAAGGACAACGGCTGGCACACTGTCAAACGGCTCTTGGACGGTACCAACGGAAAATCGAGCATCTGGGACCCAACCTGCAGCAGGTCGGTCACCGTTTCCGCCGAAATCGGTCCCAACAGGCTCTCAGATGTTCGAGCGACACAACAACAACCTCGACGTCGCCGTTGACTCTGACGTCGGCGCCTTCATTTCTTCGCTCCTCCCCTCCACGTCTGCCGTAAACCACGTCACGCTTGTCGACTTTTACGTGAGATTTGGTTTTGTTGCAAGAAAGTATTTTCAAATTAAAATGTTTGGGAGGGAATAGTTGTTAATAAGAATAGTAGGAAATCGAAAGATTTGTTTTTCCAACTTTTAACGATCGTATTAATTTCCAAATCCGTTGTGGCGTTTTCAAAGAAAAGGTCAAAAGTTATCCAAGAAAAAGTGCGTTTAATGATTCGAGATGTTTCAAAAAAATTGCGCAAAGACGACAATTTTTATCTCATGAATAGTCATAAATTAAGTAACCGTTGGATTTTCCAAACCCGTTGAGAAAGTTTTTGCTCGAAGGGATCAAGACTATGGTCGACAACAGTGTCGCTCTGCAACGCGGCACATTCGCTCTGCAGCTCGACCGGGCACGTCGTCTTGTAGTGCAGTTTGATCGCGACATTCTCATCCAAATATAGCGCCTTGGCGACGTCGAAGTCGAGTTTGTGCAGCGCAAAGTGGTTGAAAACAGTCGCGACTGTGTCGGTGCTGAACTTTGCAATTGGCGGAGCATCGAAAGGCGATCACCTGCAGAAGCTTTTTCCATAGTTCCTCGGTCCACTGGATTTACGCGTCCTCTGTCTGTTACTCAGCATGTAGGCGTTGGCCGGGTATAGGGATGTATTTGAAGGAAATTTAAAGACGTTGCTCGTCATGATCGAGGAGAGCCGACGTTTATCCCGCGACTCTACTGCACCTAGCATAGCTTCGTAGTTTTTGTGCTTCAGTGGGACCACAACTTCGTCGGTGTCAATTATCAGGACGTATCGATGTGTGAAAATATGTCTGAATTTCTCTATCCATAGTTAAAAACTATATTGGGGGCCATATGAAAGACGAAAATTGAAACCTGTAGAAGCAGTCGTTATATGGAATAAGTTCATTCCGGCGTTTTTGGCCGAGGTTCTCAGAGATAAATTTACTTCTTTTGCGTGGTTCGTTAGGTGCATTGCCAGGCAGTTGCAAAGAAGTCTAAAAGGTTTTTTTTTCTAACGAAAACAGGTTTATCTTTTGCAACGAAAAATTAGTTTGACTTTAGTTTTTTATTATCTATCCCTTAATTTCACTATATATTAGCAGAGTGGGGAACAATATTTTCAAGGTGACTCTGAAATTACGTATACCCCAATCGCCACGCCTTCACTTACCTATTTTTGTCTTCTTTTCTAGCAAACGGTCGTAAAATGATGGAAATAACACTACATCGTGTGAAGAGAAAGCGCGAACACGTCATGGTGTTTTGAGCCATGTAAAATGCGTTATATAGTTTATGTACACTATTGAAGAAAAAAATTTGGTTACTACAATTGAGAAAACTTTTATAAGGTCTCACAATAAAGTAGAAGGTTTGTTGAGGAAAAACGACTAACCACAGAGATTTTCCCTTCGCGTTCATAGTGCTCCAATACTTTGCGAGTGGATGGCCCGAGAAAGTAAGTGTAAACTCCGATTGTGTCTGCGCCGAATAGAAACTGCGCCTCGAACCACTCCAGAAGCCGCAGTGCAAAGTCCGTCTAGATCGCTGCTGTCCGGGGAAAAATATTTTTTAGAAAAACGGAACTGATCATCGAAATAGAAAGACTTTCAAAAAAACTGACCTGATAGTCCAGGCCTTTGAGACAGACAGCCACGGCTTTCTTGTGGGAGACTTGTGGTTTTGACACCACTGTCATAGCTGTGAGCTCATTTCGACACCGTCTTCTCGAAAGGGAAATAACGAGATTGGTGTACTCAGAAATCCTCTTTGGCACAGGACATGTTACCAGGTTTGGAACATAAAACGTATCTCTGAATGGAAATTGGAAATTGGCTAAAAACAAGACTTGCCTGGGATCCCATCCTCTCTGCCAAATTTCACGGACGTAACCTTTTGTAACGGCATATCGGCCACTTTCCGTGAAAATGTTGCAATATATTATTCTCTTTCCTTCGATTTTGTGAGCACTCATCACCAAAACCTGTGATCGGAATTTCATTAAAAATATGAGTTTTGATAATACAAGAAGAGCCTTTTCACGACTCACTTGAACTGAAGGATTTGAGGTAAAAAGAGAATTTTCGCGATCGTCGAAATAAGCTGAATAGACTTCTAAGTTCGCCATACGGCTCCAGTTTCTCGGTTGAATAATTTCCGAAGGATATTTCAAAAAACATAAAAAATTTTCTTCAACTGGCTGCTCCTGCAAGCTCTTGTTTTGTCAACTGTTTCTGATGATCCATGGAAAATTAGCTCGGTCCAACCTTCTCGACAACAGGGCGAACATAGTTGGCGCCGCGTTGCTGTTCTTTTAAATAATTTACCACATCCAACGCGTCTTGAGTAGCATTGAAAAAATCATTTTCTTCTTCTTCGATACTCTACAAACAAAAACAAAAAATCGATAGCTGGCGCTCAGAACAATAGTTATATCCTACTTCATCCAAGTAGATGTAGTTTTGGAGAAAAAGAATAAAGAAGATAATTGACGAGAAAATGAGCCACAGTCGACGTCTTCTGCGCATTGAAGGGAATTCGGGTGTCGAAGGTCGCTGAAGATGTTCCGCAATAACCTTGAACCCTCTCCCTTTTCTTCGCTCTCTCGGCACTCTTTTTGAATGGGCACCGTTCCAAGAGACTTTTTCACTTTCTTCCTCATTTAGCAGCTTTTTTAAATATTTGGGTGTTCCATAAGTCTTTGTGCACTTTTGATTTTTGAAAATTTCTTTTTTTTTTTCATTTTAACGGAAACTCATGTGTCAGTGAGCTTCTGTTCCTTGATGGCCACAGTAGTGATCTAGCGATTGGAAACATTATTTATTCATCTCTCCCTATTACCCGCCAGTTTCGCTTTGAACAATGTGTCCAACTCGTGTTCAATATGGTTCTGCAAGATGAATTTTTCCATTAAAGAAGAGTTCAACTACTCTGGGGTAGTTATAGTTATATATAGAGGTGCCACCATTACACGTTGAAAAATTAAACTTGGCTGAATACGCGCAGCCCAAGGGCAGGAAAAAATTTAGAAATTTTTCATGAGTGACTTTTTCCTCACATGATACCGAAGATTGAGCTCCAGAAAGTTAGCAGTTGAGCTTCGATTTTGAGAACCTGCAGTTGTGTAGTTCTAAGGCCTGTAATTCAAACGGGAACTACTCGCAATGAACTAGACCAGCTGACTAGGGAACTACTCGGACTCGGGTACGGGTTTCGAGTTGAAACTTTGGTGGCTTATAGACCTGGGTAAGAGTACTTGGAAACAAGAGAGATTATCTGCTAAACCCCATAGGCTTCTGAGAAAAAGCTTTTTGAAAATGAACAGTTTAGGCTTGAAAATTATTAAATTTCTGTTTTTCTTCTTATTTTGGCTGGAAAAAAAGTTTTTTAGAATGTATCATAGCCGGATCATTCAAGGCGACTGTATTGAAATAGAAAAAAAAGGTAAAAAAAAAGCAGTACTCTGAAAAATTTCAGGCTAAATTTTTCAGGCTAATTTTCACATTTTCTACTAATTTTTTCTCAGTTCTCTATCGGGTTTCGCAGATATTCTCTATTGTTATGAAGTATTCTGACTTGGATCTATAAGCCACTAAAGTTTCAACTCGGAACCCGTACCCGAGTCCGAGTAGCTCCCTAGTGAGACAGACCAAAAGGATATTTTTTCCAAATTTTCTTCTCTCAGTGTGTAGGGGCGTCAGGCAATTTATTGAGAGGTCATGTTTTCTGTCTTGATGTAGTTGAGGGTCTCATGTCTTATTTTGTAAAACAATTTAATTTCAAAAATTTGCTTGGGTGCAAGAGGTCGAGGTTCAAGTTCATTTATTCGGTCTTGGAGGTTCCAAGAGATAATCTAATGATCCGAATTGCCTAGCGTTGCGAATGTTCTCACAATTAAGTATATACAATAGGCCTGTCCAATGATCTTTGAATAGGAAAATATCGAATTTTGAACGAAGTGCACAAAGACTCATGGAACACCCTTAATATTTTGAATGTAGAGAAATTTCAGGCTGAAAACTTTGGAGAGGTAATGTCGGCTGCAAGACGCAGAGCCTCTCTTGACCGTATCTCGTGTCTTTTGGACGTCGAGCTGAAGAGGATTTACGCCAGAGGCACTGCTGACGTCATGGTTGCCAATTGTCGCCAACTGGTGTGTTCTGTTTTTTTAACTTCATACCGTCAGGACGTAAGGGGTGAAAATTGTGAAAACTTCAGAATTCATTGGAGTTTATCGAGTATCTCTATTACAAGATAAACGATGCAATCAACAGTGTGGACGGCGGTCAACACCGCGGCTTCCACCGATTGGCGCGCTTTCAGCACAAGCTCAAAGATAAATCTGTTGGTTTTCCACATTTTCCATTGACGGAAAGAGAATCTCAGGGCCTTCCGATGACGATCCTGACGTTGCCGCTCACAGGAGAGGACAATTCCTTGCCTCCACCTTCCGCCTCGCAGTCCAGCCACTACGCAGCTTCCTCCCGCGGCAGCGACGAGTACGAAGATTACGACAAGGTCAAATTTTATCAAATCGCTTCATTTCAAACAAAATGAATGGTAAGAATCATAAAAAAAGTTTTATTTGGTCACCAGATTATAAATGGAAAGTTTTTCCTTACAAGGGGTGTCATATTACTCTGTACTTCAGAAATTCTTGAAACGAATTCGATCATTTGTTTAAAAACTTCATCAAGTAAATAAGAAAGCCAATTTCACAGAAATATCTGCAATCCCTAGTGAAATAGGGTCAAGGATTCTTGTTCCAGATATCTGACGAAGGCTTCTACAGCTCGCCGTCACGTCAGACTACAGTAATCGACGATTCTGCTAGCCAGACTTTGTGCCGCGTGTTGTACGACTTTGATCCTAAGCACGAAGATGAGATTCCAGTGAGTTCTTGAGAGACTTCCAGCTGGAAACACTCCGAGAATCGCAGATCCGAGCAGGACAGTGCGTCTTGGTCGAAGACCGTATTGGGGACGATTGGCTTGTCGGCCACGTCATCTCCGATCCGAACTTTTCTGAATCGCAAGTCGTTCCCGGTTCCACGCCGGCCACCGGCCGGTTCCCCACTACCTACGTTGCGTTTTTGACGTTTTTGCGACTGAAAAACATTTGGGACGACTAAGGAAACCAAATTTTTAAAAAAAAGCAGCATCAGCGCGCATGATGCACTTTGTAAAAAAAAACCGTACGAGTAAACTCTTTCTAAATGGAGTTGAGAATCAAAAAAAGTTTATTTTGAACTTCATCACATTCCGATGATTTTTAAATGCCTTCTGTTTTTTTTTTTATTGAAACCTGCTTCGATCATTTTTTTTTCAATATAAGTAATGTTAAGAAGATTTTTTTTTCTGCCGGTGTGGTTTTCAAATAATTCGTTTTTTTTTTCAATTTTAATCATAATATTTTTCAACATGCCGTGACTTTTTTTCATAGTCCCCATAAAACTGTCATTCGAATCATATCATGCCGTGTCAATAAATCTTGATATTTCTCTAAGATGACGTGAAAGAGAGCGAGCTTTGGTATAAACCTCGCATATCATTATCACGACGAGGATTCCGCCGCGCAGTGACCGCGTTTCAGGTCGTTCATCACCCTTTAGTGTTGCCTTCCGCTCTTTTTTCCCTTCCGACAGCGCCGGGTGGAGAGCGAGCCAGATGGAATAGTAAGCATTAGATTCAAAGATGTTCGATCAACTCACCTAAAACGCTTTTTATGACTTTTTTAAAGAGGAACTTAACTTTGAGTAGAGCTTTTGAATTGATATGTATTTTCTCGGGTAAAGTCGGAATGATGGCCAATGGCCGTTAAAAGGGAAAGGCTCAAAAAAGGCCCCAGAAAGACAGCAAAAAAAAACCCCCCTCTTTATCGAGCCTTCCATTCTTCCAGGGATTGTAAAAGCTCGAGAAATAGTGGAAAAAAGGAGAGGTAGCATAAATGGTGCATCAGAGCCGATGAAATGGCGCGTTTGTTTTTTTTGCTATGCCTGAAGGTAGTAGCTTAAAATCAGGTTTAAATCGAGCCGACAAAATTTTAACGCGGTTTTTGAGACTGTTCAGGAAGAGTAAAGTTTTTTGCAGTTTTTGTCCGAACAAAAAAAATTGAATTGAAATTGAGGTACATGTATTTCCTGTCAGAATTTCTGAACTTCAAAAAAGCGAATCTTTTTCGCAGTTTCAATTGGCAACAATCTCAGTGTGAATTGGCCCCAAAGAAAGGATTTGAAAAGGAATATATAGCCCGTAGGGTCATTAGTTCCTTTTCGCGCGGTTCCGAACTCTCCGACATCAAACAAAAAAAAGATGCAGGACGGATGTTTTTCGAAAGGTCATCTTGCTGTTTCATTTCAACTCAACTTGGTCAATCAATTTTTCGTTTTATTTCGAAAATACCTCGATTCAAGCAAAGCTGTTTCGAAGTTTTTTTTTGAATGAAGAATATTAATGACATTCTACGGTAATATTTATGAAGAAAAAAATCGTTCCGCTACTATATTTGTTCAAAAACTTCACTATGGCGTTTCTTTATATGCTTCAGGAAAGTAACTAGGCGAGCTGTTAAGAGTTTTATTTTTTGGTAATGAACCCATTTTCACTTCTGAACACAGGCCAACCTCCGTTAATATTCAAAGAAGTCATTTTATGTTTTTTCTCATTTTTGGAAAAAAAAAGTGAACTTTTTGGTTAAGTGACAGCTTAATCTGTAATGAATAGCCGCAGACAGAAGAGCCGGAAAAAGTTGAGTCCAGTGGAAGTGGTGTGTCCCACGGATCATCCAACAATGAAATTTTAAACTTTCGGACTTCTGTACTCGGAATTTTCTGATCGTTTTCAGTTCAACACTTCCATGGTCAGTTCTTTTAAATGATCTCTAGAACTTCTCAGAAGCTTCCGCGATGCGTCCAGTTTGCGTTACCTAAGTCTGACTAGGGAACTACTCGGACTCGGGTACGAGTTTCGAGTTGAAACTTTGATGGCTTATAGACCCGGGTAAGAGTACTTGGAAACAAGAGAGATTATCTGCTAAACCCCATAGGCTTCTGAGAAAAAGCTTTTTGAAAATGAACAGTTTAGACTTGAAAATTATTAAATTTCTGTTTTTCTTCTTATTTTGGCTGGAAAAAAAGTTTTTTAGAATGTATCATAGCCGGATCATTCAAGGCGACTGTATTGAAATAGAAAAAAAGGTAAAAAAAAAAAGCAGTACTCTGAAAAATTTCAGGCCTAATTTTCACATTTTCTACTAATTTTTTCTCAGTTCTCTATCGGGTTTCGCAGATATTCTCTATTGTTTTGAAGTATTCTGATTTGGATCTATAAGCCACTAAAGTTTCAACTCGGAACCCGTACCCGAGTCCGAGTAGCTCCGAAAGGGGTTCAATTTTTGAAAGAATATTCCTCTTTTTGATTCATGGTGCTTTATTCCTCTTTAGTTATATCTAAGGAGATCATCAAATTTGAGATTCGAGCGGGATAACCAGTATTTTCAGTAAAACTGCACATAATAAAAAAATAAAAAAATTATAGCTTCGAATTCTAAATAAAACATTTTTTTGGACTTTTTTTAAGATTTCACCGATAAGATAAGATGAGATGACATTCTTTATTTGCCTTACTGAATTTTGAAAAAGGAAAAATAGAGAAAAAAAAATTTGGAATATCCATGGAGCACAATTTGACCTTACTCGTGCGCCTGATGGAGCTCTCCTGTCCAGTCTTATCCAGTCTGATTTATTCCGAGATATTCTGCCGCTTACCTTATTTCTTTCTTCAAGAAAACATCTGCAGAGCGTGTGAGGGCTGAAGATTGGATACGATTTCGCTAATTTGAATTCGAATGGCAGCACTGTGAAGCCTCTATCGTCTTGGTTTACGGGAACCATTAGGCCATGAATTCTTTTTTTTTTTCTTTGGCGATTTGCTTAATGCGATAAAGCTGAATGGCAAACGACGCGAAACACCTCGGTGGAGTGCGAGAAAAGAAGACGTCGCCGAAGAGATGGAGGCGGGGCCACAGCGTCGTCATTGTGTCGCCGTGAAGACCACACATGCACTGGAGTTTGGGTCCGTCGGCCCGAGCTCTTTCTTTTTTCTTTTTTGTTCCAATCGTCACACTTGCCCTAAGGCATCATCCGTTCGCAGGTTTGTCTGCTTATTATTTTTTCCATCTTTTTCTTGCGATTTTCTGTCTGCCGTGCCAGTTTTTCACAAAGTACAGAGAATTCGAGACTTAAAAAATGACTTTTGAAGAGTTTACTAAATAATATTTATAAAAAATAACTTTTTGAACAGAAAAAATTCGTTGCCTTTATGAGCGAACCGCGGATTAGGAGATATTCACTCGAATCTTAAAATTTGAATAAGTATTTTTGATGAAAGTTTTTAAAGAATGTTCACGATTATACAATAATAATTAAATTTTTAATTTTTCTGGGTTTGAAAGAAACACTTCAAAAAAAAATTGGGATTCGAAGGATAACAGGGGTAACCAAAATAATTCACATGTGCATTGACGGGTTCGGATGAATGTTTGCCTATATTTCAAAGTATAGTTGTGTGAACGGCTTTTATATCAGACCCTTTTGTACGAGAACTTTTTCTTAAGTCTTGTCTAAGTTTAAATTTTCAATTATTTTACGTTTTTATCTGACTTTATCTGGTGAGAGAGAGAGAGACGTTTCAGTTGTTTTTTTTTATTCTAATTATTCGGCTTTTCCGTTCCATGTGCTCTTCTCAAAAATTCTTGCTAGTATTTCTGAAGGACCACAGGTCGGATACAGGAAATTATCGAAGAGAATTGCCGTCTTCAGCCTTCCTTTTTTAGGACATGTGAGATACAAAAGACAGCTGGTAGAGGAGCCGGCGCAGCAGATCGACCTCAACATCACGGTGCCGTACATTTTCTCGGCTCGTCTTTATCCTTATGGACCGACGCGCGGCGACATTTCCATTCGGGGCGATGCCGAAGTCTACAAACTCGAAAATCCTTTTCACTTCATGGCAGGTGTCTACGACACTATTTACGTGAGTTCATGAAACTGTCTTTCAAAGAAAAATTTTTTGGCTCGAAAGAGTTTTATTCGAACTTTTTTAAATTTTTCTACATAATTTCGGGTTTTTTCGATTCAAAAAAAGCTGGAAAAGAATTAGAATAGCTAAACTTTTAAGAGTTTGTCAATTGATCTCCGTAATACGGGATTTCGCAGCTTTTGTCGTCATAAATTATAAGTGCAAGCTCTATCCCACTAAACCTCCTAATCTGCAGGATCTATGAACGGTGCAGACGCTTTCAGGCGATCTGCACCGTGTATTTTGTAACAATGTTTAGACACAAAGGCTTTTTTTTCAAAAATAGTGTGGCTCGCTTTCGATACTCTTTACATCGAAAAATGTGAGCTCACAGATCCTGCAGAGTACTCTAGAAAATATCTCTAGAACACATAATTCCAGTTTTTCGTTCTGATTTGATTCTTCTTTATTTTAATATTTTTCCCCTTTTTCAACTCTTATTCGCGCCAATTCTTTTTAATTTTAGAATCTAAAGTGTAATAAAGGCCCCTGGCAAACAGTTTTTTGTTTCTGATTGGTTAGTCACTTGCTAGTAAAACCTCGAATTTTAATATTTTCTATAATAGAATCGCGATTTTTGTCATCTGCCAGGCTTCTTCTTGTTTCTAGGAAAATTTAAAGGTTTCTTCTCGTAGAACCATTAGGCTGGACCGAGTCTGCCAAAAGTTGGTTCCTGGAATCCTGCTGGCGTTTTCTCTCTGAAGCGTTGCTGTTGTCTGGTGGTTTCCGAATTCCCGAAAACAAGCTTGCGTTATCACTTATCTCGGGCCGTCGGGCGCGTGTCAGGTCACCGCGGCTTTCACTCTATCACCTATCATCCCAGGGCGATCGATGCCGCCGTTCCGTTCTGTATCATGCGTCTGCGACAGGTTCGATCCCTATATAGGCCTCGGTAAACAATACATTTCCCATACATTTCAACAAGAAGCAACGCTGTAGCAGTGGCTCCATTAATGAATTTAACCGACCTTTCGGAGAGAGAATCACGTTCAATGTTTGAAAAATTTTTGAAAGCACGATTTTTTGGTGTTTTCGTTGTTTTCCTCCGTGTAGCCTGTTCAGTAAGAGCTAACTTTGAAGATAATTGAGAGAGGGACCTAGGAGGCTGCGAATTTTTCAATGTGGAGAGGATTTGTTAGTTGGTCTGAAGATTTCACGGGGCGTGGTCTTTAGAATCAGTAGTTTTTAAGTGAGTAATAATTGAGGATATAGGTGGAAACCCCCGGAAAATGATTAGAAATAGTTTTGATTTTTGAACAGATTACCTTTTTCACAAAAATTTTGAAATTTTTTTTATCATTTTTGTTTGAATTTTTTTTTTTGGAACTTTATTGGCTGTTATTCAATAAGGTATCGCTTCAACGCAAAAAAATTCGATTTTGAATTCATAATTCAGAGTTCAAAAAGCGTGTTTCGATAATTCAAAAGCGCATAGCAAATAAATTAACGAAGATGCCAGGTGAGAACATATTGCGACTTATGTCAAAACAATGGAGTGAAACTGTTTGTCGAGCGACTCAAGGAAGGTCATGGTGATCTTCAAACATCCGCTAGCGAGCCGAAACCGAAAGTGGTCCGCTCGTGGGCAAATAAACGTCTTCCTTCACGCAAATCCCGCATTTATTGTTTCCATGAGCCGATTCAGGACTTTTCCTCCTAAAAAAGAAGGAGTGCAGCGCTTCGGTTCAATTAGTTATTCACTCGTCGGAACGTGATATGGGGTCTGAAGTCTGTCGTTGGAATCATGAGAATACCTCTGAGGGCTTGGAGCAAAATGATATAGACTTGAGGGAGACTCTCAAGTACCTCCGAGATGGCTTAGATAGAGCTAAAAGGTATGCTGGAGGTCTCACGATGGACATATTATGAAGTCTCTACGATCCATTTTGAGAGGTATCTTTGTGGACACATCATGGTATACTCTCGATCCGCCTGTGAGAGTATTGCTGCGGAAAAGAATGGAAAAATCCGAAAAGTTATATACTTCGATGATTTTTTGAAGCGTTTCGAAGCGAACGCGCAAAGAAAAAATTTTTTTACAATAGTTTTTATTCTACTGTGTTCAGTGTAAAAATGTGACGCGAAATAAAATAATTTGATGAAAACATGCGAACAGACTCCGGACTTTTCTTAAATTCCGTCTCTACGCAGGTGTAGGCTGCTTGGAGGTCTCAGTAAATTTCTAACCGACTTCATTGCTTTATTGATTTTATCAGAATTTATTTTTTGAATGAAAATGAGAAAATGATCACCTACTTTCAATGTTTATTGAGGGAGTTCATTATTGTCTCAGCGAAAAATCTCAGATCCGAAGAGATGGCTCAATCGGAATGTCCTCGAAGGCCTCTCGGCCGGCGGCCCTGCCTGTCGACGAACCAACTATCGCAGTTTTCTGGATGCCGTCGCATGGCGGCAACGTCCACTACCGCGAAACAGATGGTGTCTTTATTCGAGTTTTGAGTAGAGACCAACTCGTTCAGACGTGAGCATCGTCAACTTGGCCCACAACGAGGTCAACATCCAGTATCGCTACGGATCACAGTTCCGCGTCAAGAGCGTAGTCCTCGTCACTTGGGAAAACGTGCACGATCAGCAGAAACTCGTGAGTCCAAAGTTTTTCGCAAGGCTGTTTCAAGATTTGTGGGGTGTCTTAGTCTCGTTGGATTGAAATGAATGAGGCATTTCTCATGAGCGATTCGAAATTATTCGGATGACCAGTTTTTGTCCTCATATGTGCGGAACGCGCTCAATTATCCTTGTACGATTTTCTGAACCTGCGTGCCTTTTGATAGCAAAAGGCTTGTACCGCATCTGAGCGTTTTCAAATTAGTTTCAGAAAGAAAAAAGAAAAACAATTTCTAAAACCATCCCGATGTTGCGAAAATTTTTTCTTCACAGGTGGGGTTAGTTAATCCACCTAGTGGTCTTTTTCCCTCCCTGCAACATCACCATACCATCCCGATGTTGCGAAAATAAATTGAATCCTTTTCAAAATAGGAAACCGAAGGCAACACTTTCCAACTGGCGTTGATTGTCGGAGATTCGATGACTTTCGCCCACCTCGTCTACAGCAAACTTGCTGCCAACAGAAACGCCGTGGTTCGTCATTTCAATTATAACTAGTGCAGAACGGAAAAGTTTTATGGACCAAAGCACATCAAAACTAAAAAATGCAGTCAATTTCAAGAGAAGAAGAAATTTCATAATATAATCATATGAGATTAGACTTTAAAAACCTTATGATTCAGGCCGGATTCTCTTCCGGGACGTTGTCCTACTCTTTGCCTGATTCGGCCACGGCCGAGGCCATGATGTTGTCGGAAAAGTCTGACATCGGAATCCCCGGCGAATGGCTTTTCCGAATTGACAGCGAACAGGTTAGATTCGTGATTTTTCTTGTGGTGTTTTCAAACTGCGTCAATAGAATTTGCGATTTCTCATTACATATACGAATGTTGACCAGTAGGAACCTGATCACCCACGTTCCCTATTTGGGACAACCATCCAATTCCTTTTTTTTCAAGCGCTTAATTTGTTCGTCAAGTCGGTTAGCAGTTTTATGAGCGTTATCTTTATCGAAAATGTTGTTCCACTCAAACACTATCGTTTAACCAGTGTTTCAATAACGAGAAGGAAGATCGAGACTTGCAGGTCTACCTGTGTGGCGCCGGTTTCAAAGGATTGGAATGCATTGAAAGCTGCGCCCCATCGCAATGGTTCAACGACTGCTCTCGAAGGTTTCCTACATCCTATTGCGAATCAGATAAGGAATCAGGATTACTCAAGTTCTAATCATTATTTGGAAAGCTTCGACACTCACGTGTGGCTGTCGGTTTCGAAGGAGATTTGAGTAGTCTCATTGAAGAAATCGAAAATTATTTCATGCCGTGTTCAAAGTAATTTCCGCGAAATGCAAAATACCCGTTAGAGAAAGGAAAAGATCACTAAATTTTGGAGAGTCAGAGATCATTTTGCATTTCGCGGAAATTACTTTGAACACGGCATCAAAAAACAGGAGTATTTTATGGGAAAAAAAGTAATGGTATACCTATTTTTCTTAGAGGAAAATGCAAAGTTTTTTTCGTCCTCTTCATTCCAAAAAAGTCTATAATAACATTAAATTTTGATGTTCAGCTGTCACTGCGACGGCGCGGACTCTTGCGACCAGGAAAACGGCCGCTGCCCCAACGGAAAGTGCTCACCCGGCTGGCAGAACGAACCTGTCTGCGACGAAGGTAGTCTTTGAGAGAATAAGCAGAACATTGAAACTTTCTGACAGACATCGACGAGTGCGTCGAGGGGACGTCGACGTGTCCTAGGGAGCAGCCGGACTGTCTCAATACTCCCGGCGCCTTCCTCTGTCTTTGTTTCGAGTACGACGAAGTTCGTAAGGCCTGCAAGAGCTCCGTCGACAGAGGTTCCTGCCCATTTCTTGCTTATCACAGAGTTCCTTCAGAAGAGATTGCTTCGCCCCCATCTCAGCCGATTCCTGTCGACATTGTTCCTCTGAAACCTTCATTTTCCAGAGCCGCTCCTACTATCAAGGCTCGTTTTAACTTAAAACGTTTTCTCTACAATTTAATTACTTTTGGTAATTTCATGAATGAGATTCTCATAAGGAGAATTATCTTCGTTTTGTAAGAATTACTTCGCCAGTTCGTTTTGTGAAGTTTTATTTGATAAGCAAACTCAAGAAGTTAAAAAAGAATTCAAAAAATATTTTTTGCGATTTAAATTACAGTAATTATGGTTTTTTAGGTTTGTTCAACAGGTAGTTCAATTTCTAGTGAGCTATTAGGGTGGCAGGAAAGAAATGCGTGTTTTTGATGTCATTTAATTTTATCATAAGAACAAGGTTATCACAAATTAATTAGAAATGTAATTTCTATCTGTATTAGCACCTTGTCAACAATGCTCACGCAGAGAATGGATACTCTCTCTGACAAACTAGGCCGCCTACGAGTCAAAGAAGTTGCGCCCCAAATTTTGACTTCATCAGAGTTATTCAATTTTTTTTGGCTGTTAAGCGATCCAATGATTCGGACAAATGATAAATGCGAAGAGCCATGTCTGAGCATTGTAGCGGAAAAAGCAGAAATTTGAAGAACAATTTTTCTGATTTTGGGCTAACACATTTTCGCAAAAAAAAAAACGAAAAAGCGATATTGTGAAGCCATTTTTCATTTCTCATTTTTTGCACTCCGTTGCGTAAAAAAACTGTTTTCTTTTGCAGATATGGGTGTGTAATAACTAATAAGCCAGTTTCACAGGTGTCTGTTGTGGATCCAGTCTAATGGCATTTTAAAATCGCCTTTATCGTCGATTTTTTCGTGTTTTTTGATTTCAAAGGTCTTTTCGCCTAGTGAACAGCGCTGAAGCAATTCGTAATGTTAACTATCAGAAAAAGCATCAATGGTGATCATAATATTGAAAGGTGCCAAGCTTCTTAAATTGATTTGTACTTCTTGAAATAACGCGAAAACTAGGAACGTCAGCAAATTATATATCCAGTGACGCACAAGGACAAGCCTTTTTCGAAAAAAACACCGTTCCAAATAATATTGCTTCTTGGATGAATTAGATGCCGACAAAAACGAGCCGCATTTCTTTCATGCCAACCTAATAGAATATATAATGCATCTATCGAAGGAGTTTTTCTTTTGCATTGTGCTATTTTATATTTTTTTCTCCTATTTGTTAACGTGATGATAATTAATGTACCAATGGTTTTGTGAAAAGGAAATTAGTGAAATGGAAGAAATGATGAAAATGTGAATCGAACCTCCCAGTTCAATCAGACGACTGCAATATCATAAGGATATGTTCAGCCGCCAGTCCAACACACTCGGTTCATTTCGACGACAAGAACAACCCGGTTGCCGCCGACTCGAAAGCCCTCCACTTCCATTTCGCAACACTTCACTAATACGGTAAATGGATTATCTAAAATGAAAAATTTTTTGGAATTTTTTCTTTTTTTTTGCGTGAGCAGCCTCAATTTGAAGTTGCAGCCCCTCTCCACCACCGATCCGACAACGAAACATATGACGACTACGACCGCTTCTACCACGGTTAGTCTTATTCTTTGAGCTCGCTGGTCAAAAACTCGAAAGTAGTTTTTTTGAAAGCATCCTGCTTTTTATTATTGTTTTCTATAAATCAATCACTTGTTTTGTTGTTTAAGTCATACACTAGACTGCGCGGTGCGCAGGAACTTTTTGAGCTATATCGAACAACCGCCTTTGGCGAGCTCAAAGTCCAAACGTGTAGTTGATCAAGTTGAAAGTCTTACGTTCTCTCGCGTCGGTCTACTCCGTGTAGTCCGTTCATTTTTGTCTCGACGAGCTCAGAATGTAGCGGCTGTTCTAACTCGGGCTCGGTGGTCTAGATGGAAAAATTAAAATGAGAGCGACCATTTCGAGAGAACTTAACACAGGATTTATTCTAGTTTAAAAAAAAACGTTTCCGAAAAAAGGTTGTGTGAAAATAAACGGATAGCTCAAAAATTGTCTGTTCTTCTATATAATTTTCGTTTTGAAGGTTTCGGTGTGCCAACTCTGCGACTCCCGAGCCGAGTGTGTCCAAGGCACGTGCAAGTGCTCCCAAGGGTGGCGCGGAGATGGATTCAGGTGAAGGAAAATTTTTCTTTTTCGAATCAGACGCTTTCCGCAGGTGCTACGACGTGGACGAGTGTGCAGTGACGGCCTCTGTCTGCGGCAACCACTCGACCTGCAGCAACACCGATGGCGGCTTCGAGTGCACCTGCGTCGGCGGCTTTCGTTCCGAAGACGGCGACTGCGTCGGTGAGTGCAACCGACCCCTGACGGTTTTATGTTCTTTGCAGACGTCGACGAGTGCCGCGAAACTCCGCAGATCTGCGGGGGCGGTCGTGGCGTCGAGTGCGTCAACAGCGAAGGATCTTTCCTTTGTCGCTGTCGCGACGGCTATCTGGGCGATCCTTCCGAAACCTGCACGGGTCAGATTTTACAACAGTTTCAGTTTGGAACGGAAAAGTTTACATCAAAGTTTCATTATTCTATTATTAGGTAGGAAAAAGAAGATAATTAAAAAGATAAACTGCGTAAAAATATGAAAAAAATGTTCATGTTTTTAAATTCTTAACAAGCTTTTTTTGAAGCATTATTTCTAGCTGGAAAATTGAGAGGCTCGAATCAATGTTATTTTCAAAGGTAAAAAAATATGATTAAAAAAACCTGAAAAATATGAAATTTCGTTCTCGGGTATTATCAAAACTTAAAGTACATATAATGAAAGGGGTTTTTTTTCCGTCTGAAGATCTCTAATCTGTTAAATGAATCGTTTTAATTTAATAAAAATCTAGTAAAAACTTATCAATGAATGAAATGAGAACTACAAGAAAAGACAACATTTTTTCTGAAGATGTGAACGAATGTGAGAGCGGTGATGCATGCGGTCCCAACGCGAACTGCACCAACACGGTGAGTCGGCCTCGAAGTCGCCACAAGCGGACGAGTTGTAGGACGGAGGATTCGAGTGCGAGTGTCAGTCGGGCTTCGAGAGGCTTGCCGAGGGAGCCCACTGCACGGACCGCGACGAATGCGCCGTCGAGCCCTGCCATCCGGCCGCCATCTGTTCCAACACTCGGTCCGTCCCTCAGGATTCTCTCCAATCGTCCTTTTCCAGAGGCGGCTACTCCTGCGCTTGCATCGAAGGCTTTGTCGGCGACGGAACGACTTGTCACGGTCAGTCCCCAGATTCTTTCTCGCGTTTTCAAACTAACTTTTCTTCTATAGCAAATAACAATTTTATTTTAAAAAATAAAATTGAACTCTTTACACCGAATCAGAAAATAAAAAATAGCTTCTGAAAACAAGGAAAAATACGACTAGTTCAATTTTTAGCGGATGCCTTCTAAACGATGCGAAAAAGGAAAAAAATAATAGAAAAAGAAGAAAGAATAGAGAAAGAGAAAAAAGAACTTAAGCGGGCCAATACTTTTCCGAACCGTGCTTTATCCGAACCAAATTCCGAACCAATGATTTATCCGAACCTACTTTATCCGAACCACCCTATGCTTTATGCGAACCACTTTTTTTGAATGCATGCTTTATCCGAACCACTTTTTTTGTAAAAAAAGTTTATTACTTTTTTTACTATTTAAATGCCGTTTTCTTAGCTTTTTTTGCGATGACTAGTTGCCCCATAAGACTCAATGACCTGGAACTAGAATTTTCTGTCAATTTCTTTTTTTCGAATTTCTTGTTATATGAGTTTGATTTTTTTTCGCTCATATTTTTCTAAAAACATCCAAAAAAACTGATCTTCCAAACTCCATCTTATTATTCAAGACTCTGAAGGTATAGAAAAAAATTGAACTCGAGCTGAAAAAGAATATGGACATGCCCCGGTTAAACCTTGTTTCCCAACAAAGATCGCTTCTGGACGTTTTTCCTTGAACATTTCGATGCCTGTTGGTTCATCGTAGGAGAATCTGCGAACGGCTCATTAGAAGAAGTTCTCTCGAGTTCAGTTATTCGAATGAGATTTTTCTTTATGAAAGTTTCTAGACAGCTTTATGTATGGTTTTTTGACAGATATTATTTCTTAATATCGCCGCCTTTTGTGATCTTTCACTTCTTCCATGCATGTTGGTTCTTCGTAGGGGAATCTGCGAACAGCTCATTAGGACGAATCCCCTCGAATTTAGATATTCAAATAAGATATTTTCTTTAGAAAATTCTAGGAAGGTTGAAGAAAGGCTTTTCAAAGCTGAATTAATATTAATCAGCGTTCTAAAAAGTGAATGATAAATAATAAAAAGATCGAAATGAGTTCGAACTTTTGCTGGCTCCAGCCCAACCCATTCCATTCAATGTTTTACCCTGTTCCGACCGTTCCCTTTTTGAAAGCTGATCGTTTGTTCAGGAACATTCAATGATTTTTTTGTCATCGAACATCTGTTGTTTTTTTCAACAATAAATTAGTCCAAATCTAGCAAAAAAATTTTTGTTTCAGCAGGTTTTTCAGGATGTTTGAAGGAGGCTCGGAAGGTTGACGAGAGGGGCCTCGGAGATTCGCTGCCACGGAAATCAAAAAAATTCAGAACTTTCAAACGGCTGAAAGTAATTTGAATCTGAGCTTCGGATATTCAGAATTGCAAATTTTTTTCTGACAACATACACTCAAATCATTTCAGTCTTTAAAAAAATATTTCGTTCCAAGCGCGCGAAACCTTTGCGCCTTCGTAAATTATCGTTTTTTTTTTCGAAATAATCGTTCCTTTTTACGGTTTTTCTGCCAATGTTCCGAGCTTTTTTTCTCTCTTATAAGTTTAATTCCTTCTTTTTTTAAGTCATAGAAGTCAATTTGTATTTCGAGTGCCTTTTCTAAAGTTATGAAGGAAAAGTTTTAGGATATCAAAATAATTTCTTTCAAAGTCTAATTTAATTTCCATCTCATTTTAATTTTCATTAATCTTTTTTTCCTGAACTATCTGGAACGAAATATTTTTTTAAAGACTGAAATGATTTGAGTGTGTGTGTCAGAAAAATTTGCAATTCTGATTATCCGAAGCTCAGATTCAAATCACTTTCAGCCGTTTGAAAGTTCTGAATTTTTGATTTCCGAGGCAGCCAATCTCCGAGGCCCCTCTCGTCAACCTTCCGAGCCTCCTTCAAACATCCTGAAAACCTGCTGAAACAAAATTTTTGCTAGATTTGGACTAATTTATTGTTGAAAAAAACAACAGAAAAAAAAATGTTCGATGACAAAAAAATCATTGAATGTTCCTGAACAAACGATCAGCTTTCAAAAAGGGAACGGTCGGAACGGGTAAAACATTGAATGGAATGGGTTGGGCTGGAGCCAGCAAAAGTTCGAACTCATTTCGATCTTTTATTATTTATCATTCACTTTTAGAACGCTGATTAATATTAATTCAGCTTTGAAAAGCCTTTCTTCAACCTTCCTAGAATTTTCTAAAAGAAAAATATCTTATTTGAATATCTAAATTCGAGGGGATTCGTCCTAATGAGCTGTTCGCAGATTCCCCTACGAAGAACCAACATGCATGGAAGAAGTGAAAGATCACAAAAGGCGGCGATATTAAGAAATAATATCTGTCAAAAAACCATACATAAAGCTGTCTAGAAACTTTCATAAAGAAAAATCTCATTCGAATAACTGAACTCGAGAGAACTTCTTCTAATGAGCCGTTCGCAGATTCTCCTACGATGAACCAACAGGCATCGAAATGTTCAAGGAAAAAAACGTCCAGAAGCGATCTTTGTTGGGAAACAAGGTTTAACCGGGGGCATGTCCATATTCTTTTTCAGCTCGAGTTCAATTTTTTTCTATACCTTCAGAGTCTTGAATAATAAGATGGAGTTTGGAAGATCAGTTTTTTTGGATGTTTTAGAAAAATATGAGCGAAAAAAATCAAACTCATATAACAAGAAATTCGAAAAAAAGAAATTGACAGAAAAATTCTAGTTCCAGGTCATTGAGTCTTATGGGGCAACTAGTCATCGCAAAAAAAGCTAAGAAAAACGGCATTTAAATAGTAAAAAAAGTAATAAACTTTTTTTACAAAAAAAGTGGTTCGGATAAAGCATGCATTCAAAAAAAGTGGTTCGCATAAAGCATAGGGTGGTTCGGATAAAGTAGGTTCGGATAAATCATTGGTTCGGATAAAGCACGGTTCGGAAAAGTATTGGCCCTTAAGCGAGGCTATCGGCAAAACGTCTTGGCTCTATATATATATATATATATTCTTCTTTCAGAAACGATTTTGTACCCTATTTCCAACGATTCGATAGTGATCCCGCGCTCCTGGAACTCGATAGCCACGCTGCCGTTGATCAGCCCTCTGCGACTCTTTGGCCGGCAATACGACACAGCTTTTGTAAGGACTTCATTCTCTGAAATGACTATTCCTCGCAGTTGTCGACGAATGGTGTTCTGTCCTTCGACCAGCCCCTGCCGGGCCTCGTTGAAAACGCCGACGCCATCCACGCCAGTGCCGTCTTCGCTCTTCACGCCCAGTACGACTACGTACGAGAGGGACTCGTCGCCTACACCTACATAAATGGTTCCTACTTTCTTTCTTTTGTTTTAAGTCAATTGGAAGGGGTCCGCTACAAGACTTCATTTTTCTTTGTACCTACAACCTGTCTACTTCCGCCGACAAGATCATAGAAATATAGAAAATTCTTGAAAACTACTGCTACTCCGAAGGAAAAGAGAGCACAGGCCATCTAAACTTTTTTCAAGTTGAAACAAAAGGACATGAACGAAAGCTATGCTTCTAAAAAAAAAAAATAAAAGTTCAGCCTTGCAATCGAGAAATCATATGGGAGCACTAACTAAAATCACAGGGTCAAGCTTTCAAAAATAACATTATCATACTATTTTGAGGACCTCTTCGGACGGACTTGGATATATTTTCTTGATTGTGCAAGATTTTATAGAAACTGACGCAGTGGCATTTCCACTCTTGACGCGAGCCTCTCTCAGCGTGCAACAGGCCTTCGGTATTTCTTCTTTTCGCACCCGAAGTTTGCACATTTTCACCTTCGATCGAGTCCGCCAAGCAGGCAGTGAAAACGTATTGTTTCCTATCGATAGGGTACAAAAGTTTCTTGTCTCATTCAGTTAAACTCTTTCCAAATAGTCCTGTCGGAGTCTTCGGACGCCACCATCCTCACTTTGATATACGAACTGACGCAGGCGAAAGGACCAATGACAGGTGAGTCAACTCTATGAGCCGGACGGAGGTTTTCTCGTCCAGGCATATCCACGCCTTCTACATTCTACATGCTTCCTAATGACCGTCTCCACACCAAGTCGAATGTTGGACAGCCGGGTAAATGGATGTTCCGCGTGGACGCCGTCGACCTGCAGACGTGTCCAGTTGGCCGCAAGACAGAACCTTTCTGTGACTCAGGTTCCCCTTTTTTTTTTACTGTCCGAAAATTAAGGATTAGAAACCTGAAGATTTAGAATGCGAACCTGGAAGATTTGGTGTTGGCTGTCGGTCCGAATGTCGCTGTTTGAACGGCGAAGCATGTGACTCCGTCAGTGGAGGCTGTCCAAAAGGTGTCTGCGCGGCTGGCTGGACTGGCGTTTCCTGCGACGAAGGTCTGAGCTCCTTCGATAAACTTCTTCAAAGCGTCGTTGCAGACGTCGACGAGTGTTCGACGAACGTCGTCAGCTGTGGTGACGGCGCCTTCTGCAAGAACACCAGAGGCGGCTACACGTGTGATTGCAAGAAAGGATACGCCCTCGTCAATAAAGTTTGCAAACGTGAGCATTGAGCCCAGTTTGTGCAAATTCTGAAGTAAAAAACAAAAAATTGGATTTTCTGCTAGCTTCAACTTTCTTCCATATGTTTCCTTAGTTCCAAGCTTCAAATTTCAAACGGTGTAATCGACGATTTCAAGCTCTGGAGCGTTGCCTCAGTCGATTTGGAGTGCCGTGTGCTCGTAACGCTCGTTGTATTGAATCTGAAAACGGACCTTCTTGCGAGTGTCGCACCGGCTTCAAAGGAGACGGGTTCAGGTGAGAACTTTTTAAACATTCTCATATTATCTTCATTTTGCATAGTGCCAGAATGATTTATTTTCAATCGAACCGTTTAAGATTTTTACTTCTATGGAAATTTAAAAAATCCGGCTGTGCTCATAAAGTTTGAAAATTGCAGTGTTCAAGCTCTCTTGCAGTTCTTGTAAAATGTATGTGAGGACGTTGCTAAGTAGTAATTGTAGTCTGTTCAGATTTTAAATGTCAAGCAACTAACTCCGCCCCTGCTGAGAAGGTACCTTTTCGCGTCGATGTTTTATCGCGCGGGACTAATTTTGATCTTTTTTGATCTAAAAGATAGAAAAAGAAGTCAAAAATGCAGCCTTATTAAAGGGCCATCGTCATCTGTAGACAAAACATTGACGAGAAAGATATTGTGGCCTGGGGGTGGAGTTAGCTGCTTGACATTCAAAATTTGAACAGACTATAATAAAGAGTCTGCCTCGAAGTAAACTGTTCTATTAGCCGTCCTTACCTTCTTTTGGGATTTATCATTTTCCTTTCTTTCCTTTCCGACTTAAAAAAAACTGATACTCGTGTGAATAGAATGGATTTTCTCAGGTGCATCGCCGAAAATCGTGAGGCGTCGCTCGAAGACATCTCAAAGCATATGCTCGATGGCTCTCCAGACGGTGAGTCAAGGACTTACGCCGCTGTAGACGACGTCTTCTAGGGACGGCTCACGATGCAGAAGTCGAAGCACCGGTCAACAGCGATCGGCCGTTCGTCATGAAAAACTGGGAAAGCTTCAAGACGTCGACGTCTGCGAGTTCCTCGGTCGCTGTTCCCAAGCTCTACACCGTGCGGACTCCGCCTCTTCTCTACACAGGTTTATTCCGAAATTTACTTATTTTTTGCCATTTTTGGTTTTAGCTCCACCGCTGAAGCCAACAGATGAAAATACATCGAACGATCGGCGTTCTTCTGAAAAAGTCGAAGAAGCAGAAGCTCTGCGAAGTTGGTTTGAACTCGAACTTCAAATTCAATAAAACTTTTCAGTGCTTTTTTGGATAGTGCCATCATCACTAATTGGTATCTGGATCCTGATAATTCTAGTCGTATGTCTTCTTTGTTGGCGAAGTCAAAGGTAATCTTAACCAAGGATCAAACTAATTATAAACCTCCATACAGGAAGCGCCGAGAACGGCAGCAATACAACCGCGGGTGGAAGTCGGGAGTGCCGACGTCTCGAGCCATCACGGCCCCAGTCGTCGCCAACCCCAACGTCATCTACAGCACGAGGCCGCGCATCACCTACGAAGGCTATTAACTTTTCGAAAAACGTTTAACTGGGCAACCAAATTGCGGGAAAACTCTTTTCTGCCCACTTTTTCCTTTCTCACTTCTCATGGCTCAAGGTTTTTCATTGTAGTCATATCTTTTCTTTCTTTCTACTTTCGTGCGGGTCGCGTTCCAACTTTTTTTTTCAAAAAAAGTTTCTACACGTAATAAATGCGAAAACCTGTGAAATATCAGAGCACATAATCTTTGTGAAAACATGACTGAATTAAATTTAAAAACATGAAAAGATTGGTTAACATTAACTCGTGTAACTCAGCAGGTGCTGGAAATAATAGTCGTACATAAAGTAGAGAAAGATAGAAAGAACAGAAGGGCAAGTGAAAAGTACTCGTGCAAAACAAAAATCTGAAAAGACGGAATAATCATTCCAAACTTCTATAAAGGTGAAAACCGGATGATCGTATTAATATATGAAGATTACTCGCCTGAAGGAATTTCACTCTCCAAAGATCTATGACAAGATATCAAAGTTTGAAAGAAAACGCAATGGCAAAGGAAGTAATCACATGAGTAAGGGAAAATGTACAGACAGTTTAGGTTAAAGTAAACAAGAAATGAGCTAAATGTTAGTGGGATCGGTTTCGTCGACTTGCTGGGGACAGTGATAATGAGTGGTGGCGAATTCGCGCATCCTCCGCACGTGTTCGGTGAAGTAGGTTACCATTCCGGACTGAACAAGGCGTCTGGGCAGACCACCTTAAAACCGTCTCCCTTCCGTTGGATACCAAATTCAATGTAATCTGGTCGAAACATACATGGTCATTTCAAAATTTTCAGGATAATTTCCATAAAATGAGCAATTTGCAAAATCAAGTTTTTTTTGGTGGAAAACGAGTTTTTTTTTAAAAGTCATATGACGTAGTTCGGTTAGCAGAAAAATCATCAAGTTTTCAAATTACAATTTCATAGTTTCTTATTTTTATATTTCAACACATTTAAAGCTTGACACATTCTGACTTATCTGCGTTTCTCTTCCCTGATAAAACCATGCAAGCATCAATCATACAAAAAAAGCAAAAAAGACAGACTGTTTCAGATTTGACGAATGAACGGTTCTCATTTTCATGAAATCTACTTCGAAAAAAAAACGAGCCTTTCAGATCTGTTTTCATCAGCCATTCGAAGTGCGCAGTCCCTAGAGGATCTTTGGAATGAGTTCGGATCAAGGAAGGATAGTTGTGCCCTCTGCAACGTAACATGTATCTTATCAGTGGCTGTGAGTGTCTCCGAACAAACCTCACAATTTTGGGATTTGCGTTTTTTGGACACAAACTCGACTCGACTGAAACGAAATACCCGCTGTAAACATTCTTGGCGGCATCTAAATGAATACGGCGGACATCCAGAAAGTCTCTGGAAATTTTTTTCCAATAAACTAAATGCCTTTAAGGAAAGAAAAACCTTGAAGAAATATAGCCACGCATAGCTGGCGCACTGACCGAATAATACAAGTCAGTGGAGTGGTCGAGATGAGCGACCGCCTTGAAAAAAAGTGTACAAAGTTTTTCAGAAAGAAAAGAACTGACTTTTCCCTCCAGCACCTGAGTGTTCCACTTGAGCATATCCTTCCAGGCTATGTTGAACAGGACGAGAGCCGGGAACGAGGGAAATTCCGCGCGGACCAAGAAGTAGCCGTCCGGACCTTGCATCACCTGAACTACTCAATAAACTCACAAAATACTCAATAATTCAATTTATTTTTCAGTCTCGTAGCATTATATGTATAACTTCACATAGACCATTCAAAGCAAATGAAAAGAGCATCAAACAAACCAAAGGATCCTCGGAACGCAAAGATTTCCATCCACCAAGCATCGAGTCTCTCAAAAGCTCTTCCGTGTGTTTCTCACCCTCCGACAGCGCCTGAACCAGCGTAACAGAGATTCTGGGCAACACCAACCGTTTCGAGCTGTCGTCTCATCTCCGGCGGCACCATCAGCCGTGACAGCCGATTTTCGTCGTCTTAAACAAAAAAATTCCCCAGTTTCAATTGGCAATAATAGAGACGGTTTGAAAAAATAGATATATTACGGCTCAAAGTCTGTTTTTTGTTACAATCGAATCAATAGGAAAGGCCTCACTTATAAAAAAGCTCTCCGCTCAATTATTTGGGGAAAAGTTAACTCTGCCGAAATTAAAAGATGAACATAATGGGCAAAAATTACTTTCTTTATATTTTCCAGTTTTTGAAATCTCATACTTCAAAAATTGATGAGTTTTTCAACAATGTTACCAAAATAGATCAAAACGATCTGCAGGACCATCATTAAATACGTTTTTCTTTTTTCAAGATTTTTTGGAAATTCTGATGTCCATTTTTCTTCTGTTAAGGTTGCTTTGGGACACAAATTATTTATACTATAAATAGCGTGAACTTTTTTGTCTCGAAAAGCGTATACTACAACTACTGCAGAAAGTTTGTTGATTTCATACCAATCTAGAGAGCGTCAATGTAGAAATAGCGTGTTTCTTATCAGAAAAACCTCAGAAAAAGAATAAATTAATAAGTAGAAAAGCTCTGCGCCAAGGATTATTCCGTTTAGAAACGAATGTAGAGCAAATCAATCTTCATATATGAAATAAAAACCACCTGCTCCAGGAGGAAAAAAAACTTATGAACCTGAGGAAAACTCGACGGCGCTGCGGAATTCGTCATTGTCTGAGAAAGTGAGGTTGCGGCGCGATATCGCGGCGGCAGCATTGGACGCAGACGACGCGACATTTCGACGCGGTACACGACTGCGAGCCGAAGTCCTCGATCTGCGAATCCAAAAAAAGTAATGTTGTGAAAATGTAGGGTTCATATGCCGTTAGTTTAGAAACAAAGTTTGAAGATTTGTGAACTATCTCGGATAATTTTTGAGATGAGGCAAAAATATGGAAAGACAAGAGTTTTTCATACTTTTTCAATTTCTTCGGTTTATTTTGTGCAACAATGAAACGGAGTTGTTCAAAATCTACCTGGGATGTTCTTCATCTGATGAATAATATTCGTTGTCAAGAATTGCCCGCGCATCTGAAATTTATGGATAATCTTCTCGAAAATTGAAGGTTTCTATGAAAATCATTACCTCAAACATAAAAAGTTTCTCAAACTTCAATATTTCCATATTATTTAACCGATTTAACCTTTATTAGAATACAAAAAAAAAACAAACGTCGGCGTTCACGTGGAAGAATTTTGAATGGCATGAGGTACAACTCGAACCAGCAAAGAGAAAAAGAAGTTATGACCAAGAGAAACTGCGGCACGGAGTTTTGCAAACGATTGAAGAAAAACAAGACCTGTAGACAAAGATCATGTTGGGAAGATCCAGGAGCTTGCCTTGACGACGATGTAAGAACTTGAGGCGAGGGTTGTGAAGGCGACGACGACCGAAGTGCTCGAGACACAGCAGCCATAGACCGTCGTCAGCAGCAACATCCGCAAGGAGGAGAGCAGCACCAGGTCGAAGAGAGATTCCTGGGCAGCAGGCTAAGTTGGAGAGCGAGAAGAAACTACCTTGAAAAACTCCTCGTTGAAAATGTTCACTTCATTGAAAAACACTTTCCGCCAGTCGTCGCCTCGAGTAACCTGCAAAAGACGATTTCTCCTTCTGAACTGATATTTCACCTTTTTTCGATAACATAAGTCTGAAAGTATCAAAAAGCTCACCGTACATATCAGCCACAACAGCACAGTGATGGCCATATCGAAAAAAACGACCACAAGAAATCTGATAATGGAAAAAAAAACCATTTCACTACAAATAAATATCTGAAACCTGCGACGATCTTTACTAAGACGTCTGGTAGAAGGCGTAGGTATCAACGGCTGGCGGCCGCTCATTTTCTGCAACAAAGTTAAAATTCTTCGACGCGAAGTCTTTTCATGCTTCGATTCTCTGAAAAAATTTTTTCTTTTAAATTACGCGTGGCTCCTCAAGCATACTCAGAAAAAGTCAAATACGAAGAAGAGAGTGATGACAGAATTTTGAAAGTACAGCGGACGTCGAGCACTCGAATCAAATAAACAACGGGCCAGGGGAGAGACAGGCGATGATAACACAATATGGTTTTGATAGGTGTTTATGCCTCGCGAACAAATGAAAATATGATTCCTAAATTTTCAATGGAGAAAAAAATAAAAAAACTTTTCAAAATTGAAATCGATTCGTTTTAATGTACTTTAACAAAAAGTTCGGCTAATACAGTGTATACACTAAGCCATGTCCAAAATTAGGCTGAGAGCTATAATGAGCCAATTTCTGATTTATCAGGCTTTATCCTTTGAAAAAAATTTAAGTTTAATTTATATATAGCTGTCATTGAAGGTTTTTGAATCAACACTTTGAAATTATATTTCAGATGTGGATTAACTGAAAGCTTTCGAATGAAAAAAATGTTCCGCTAGTACACTCTTATAGGGAAACTTTTTCAACTGTCTCATTATTTTTTAGGAAGTTTGGAAGAAAAAATGAGCCATGAAAAAAGAAACTCATAAACAGTGAATCACTCTTTGAAGGCCTAGGCCATATGCGTGAACATTAAATTAAGGCCGTGAGAATAAGAGGGCGTCATAAATTTGAAACGGAAAACTTTCTTTGCGAATATGAAAACTTTGACAAATTTTAAAGTTACATTAAAGTAGAAATGAAAAGATCCCCGTTATTAAAATCATTGAAGCCCATGAATAGATACGGCCTCAAACATTATGAAAATTATTTCAGCAAACTAAAAAATAGATACAGGGCCGGTTTTATTGGAAAATTATGAAAAGTTGAGAAAGCAAGGAAAAAAATTAAATATGGAATTTTAAAAAGCTGCTCTCGAAAAAAATGAAAGAATAAATAAGGACTGCGTAAATCGCAACCATGACGTGCCGCAGCTGGACACGCCTCGAAAAGCATGCCTCCCTAGATCATGTGCGCTGACTTTTGCGACCAATGCTGTCCTGCAGAATTTTTTGTTTGTTGGTACATCGTTTTATTTTCCGAACTTAATCGGTATGAGTATATAGCACATTGAAGTAGCTTGCAAGCGAAAACAAAGAGGCTTGAACGTTTATCGATAACTAAATTCCTTTAACTGAAAATAATTTTTTTTTTCGCTTTTTAACGTCTTTTAGTACAGTTAGATCCCCTTCTTAGAAAATTTACAGAATCAGCTCTGAACTCTTCCAAAGCTCTGCTCTTCGAAGATTTTTCCGAAAACAATTTTTTTTTGTTTCTTGGGCCGTGTCTTTCGATCGCGATCGAAGGAGTATTTGAGCTGAGTGGAAAACAGCACTTTGTCCATTTGATCTTTTCTGCGAGTTTTCTACTTTATTATTCTTGTTAAACTCTGGCGCTAGTTCGTTTTTTTTTTCACATTTCAATTCTCATCGCAACGCACTGAACAACATTCCAAGCGCGAGGTAATGTATTCCAGGGATTTCTATCGATTTTCTTTCTGCTGTGTCTCACCGTTTTTTCCTTATTCACCGGAACGTATTTATAAGTTTGGTCGTTTTTCATAACTTTGAATTCTTAGTATGGGAAACACGCAGCCAGGACCTGGAGGAATCAGAAACGATGCTGTAGGACAAAGACCTGGAAGCAGTCGTAGGAACCGCATGATGAGTGATACTGCGCGATTTGCTGCTGAAGTACTACCTTTACCCGATGGACCTCCCATGTTGACTGAAGTTTGTTATCTCAAGTGCAGGAGATCTCAAAATTTTTTGCTTTTAGGATCCACCAGAATCTGGAAATTCTTCAAGAGCTGGTGAATGTCCAGTCGTCTTCCGGTGGAGTTTCGGCACGACAAATCAGCCACGTCAGGTGTCGATAATCGGCTCCTGGGACGGTTGGGGCAAAAAGATTCCTATGGTCAAGTCGACAACTGACTTCACGACGATCGTCGATTTGGAGCCCGGAGAGTATGAGTACAAGTTCATGGTAGATGGTCAATGGGTCGTTGACGACAACCAGAAAAAGAAGAGTAACGCGATGGGAAGCGAGAACAACGTGATTCATATCCAAGAAGCTGATTTTGCTGTTTTCGAAGCTCTCGAGCAGGATTTCCACTCTTCCAACGCCGGAGAAGTTCTTCGTGGCGGGGCCGACAGCAAACCTTCTCATGACACTCCCAACGACCGAGAGCTGGAGAAGCTGCGATCTTTTTCGCAGGAGATTCCGAGTCTCGAAAGTCTTCGTAAGGCCCCTGGACCGCCCTGGATTCCACCCCAATTGCTTCAGGTTTTTTTTTAAACTTTTCATTAAATATATTTTTTTCATTGAAGGTGCTCCTGAACAAAGAAATTCCCGAAGCTTGCGACCCGAATGTTCTTCCTGAACCAAACCACGTCATGCTCAACCACATGTACGCTCTCTCAATCAAGGATAGTGTTATGGTTCTTTCGTCGACCCAGCGTTATAGAAAGAAGTTCGTGACCACCCTCCTGTACAAACCCGTATAATTCGCTAATCGATACCAATGCTCACTTTTTTGTTTAATCGTTTGAAAAGTCTTCTAATCTGATTATGAAAACAAACCAGTTTGCTTAAAAAAAAATAAAGCTGCTGTGAAAATTTAGCATGGTTGAAAACTTATTTACCGGTTCCCACTTACGAAAAAAAAAATGAAGAAAATTTTACGGAGGAGGGAAGCAATTTTAGTATGAAGTTTGGAATTTTCCATGAAGCTGTTCAAACAAGCTCCGCCCCCTAATGATGCGATAAACCAATCAAAGAGTGAGCCATTCACAGAGCGTTTTCGAATGACGTCATTCTACTTGACATTCAAAATTTGAATGGACTACATCATAAAGCATCTTCAGTTGAATCTTGAAAGAGTGTTTGGGAAGTTTTATAGAAATTCCAAATTTCAATTAGACCTTTCTGTTAGGCGTGGTAGCTTTTAGTTTGACCTGATGTCCTTTGCTGGTTTAATTTTTAATTCAGTCTGAGCAGCAATGTGTTTTTGGGAATAAATTAGTTAGGTACTTTTTGAAGCTTTTTCGTGTTTTTTATATCTTTATCGTTATTATTATAATTATGTACATAGAATTATCCGTTCTTTGTAATTGTCAACAAAGGTTTCAGGAAATCTCGGTTCTAATATCGGGGTTAGTACCGTTTTTGCACTGACAGGTATCCTCTTATCTCTTAAAAGCCATTATATCCCTTTTCATGGATAGCGAATGTTTGATCATTGTTTTTAGTTCGAATTGTCCTGTTTCATTACTCTCATTTATTGCACTTGAAATGTAATAAGCTTTATTGTCACTTGCTATTAACCTTCCACCCATTACATTTGGAAGTTCTTGTCTTAAATGTGTAATCGATTGATCGGTTTCTATAACTTATTTTTCGTTTTTTTTTCTGCTTTTTTTCTGTATGATGTCATCTGCGGTATAGTGCTTAATTTTTTTGAAGCCATTATTAAATAAAAAAACTTTTCATCTTGAATAAATTTTTTTAAATGGAATTTCATGATTTTTTTCAGATAGAATGTCGTTATAACGACTTTTTTTATTTTCAGTCGCAGAGAAGAGATCATTATTCATAACTCAAAAGCTAATATAACATTTTATATATTTGTACTTTTTTTGTTTTTCTCTAATTTTAAGCTTCTAAGACGCTCGGTTTGCTCACAAGCCCCGTAGAGAGGTATTTACTAGATTTTTAATGAACCAAAAAAAGTTCTACAGTGACAAGCATATTTTTTTAGACGCCATTATAGATAGCACTCCCAAAAGTCTCCTCTTAGCGCATTCCGCGTGCGTGCGCGCCAATTCAAATTTTGTCTCTTGAACTAGATTTACAGGCTTCCAGTATATGGTTCTTTTTGTATAATTTTTTTCTTGCATTAAAAAAATACTTCCAATTAATTTTACCCGGGTATCATATCTATGATAACTGGATATACGGGCAGAGTACCTGAAATTTTTTTGATTGTTACCGAGTAGCCTGGAAATGCTTCCCAGGTTTTTATTATTATTATTTTTTTAGTCACTTCGGTTTTCTAATTTTTTTATTCATTCTGTTTTCAGACTTCCTTTGAAATTTGTATAAGCTGTACACGTTGTTCTCCATTCGCTCATGAGAAACGAAAAATGAATTTTCAGCAGCACATTTCCTTATCATGCGAGGAGCTTTGAAAAATCGTATCTCCGCTCAAAAACGTTTCCAAAAAAAAACTTTTTTCACGGACCTGCGCGGCATTTTTTGAGAACAGATTTGGAAACAGCATGAAAAACTTCATCTAGTGAACTGTGTCTCATTCTGAAATCCAACTACGACCAGAGACCATTCCCTGGGCAGCTAGAGCTAAAATTTATGCTCGACGTCTCATGATGGACACGTTATGGAATATTCAAGATTCATTTTAAGAGGTATATTTGTGGGCACATTATGGTACCTTCCCCATTTGCCTGTGCAAGTGAGTGAAGGCGAAAAATTTGAATTTGCGCTAAAAACAAGAAAAAAACTTTCTTAAATAAAGTTAGATTCCCTAAATGAGTCAATATTAAATAAAAAGAAAAACTGGAAATGAATAAGTAAGAAAAAAATTATACAAAAAAAGAACCATATACTGGAAGCCTGTAAATCTAGTCCAAGAGACGAAATTTGAATTGGCGCGCACGCACGCGGAATGCGCCAAGAGGAGACTTTTGGGAGTGCTATCTATAATGGCGTCTTTTTTTTTTCTCGCAATCAAGTTTTTTGATCGCTACATTAAATATTTCATCAATCCATGGATGAATGGCCAATATATGAATTTTCCTGTTTCTTTTTTTGTCGTTCCTCTCGAAAAATAGAACATAAAATCATTTAAGTTAAAATCCGTTTATGCGTTTTTTTAGCCTCTTAACAATATATATATTGTAAAATGACAAAGAGAAAACTTTTTTAAACTATAGTCTGTTCAGATTTTGAATGTCAAGTAGAATGACCTCATTCAAAAACGCACTGTGGATGGCTCGCTCTCTGATTGGTTTATCGCACCATTATGGGCAGAGCTTGAGCGACGACTTGACATTCAAAATCTGAACAGACTATAAGCATCATCTTAGTCCTCAAGACGAAAAAAGTTGTTGGCTAATTTTCCAAACGAGGCGCGATATGAGATAATTAAGAGAATGAGTGACATAAAATTTTCACCAATTTTTATGTGTTTCTCTGCGATAATTATGAGTAGACTTTGAGGAAAAAGAGTGTATCACGACCGGAGGATAGTGCGATTATGCCGTCGGTTGACAGGTCGCACCTCGTTTGGTTCTACAATGCGCCATTGGGAACTTCCCATAAGCATATTTCTTGTTATTCCCCCTTGTTTTGTAACAGTGTGTGCTCCTAGTTGTACCGAGTACATCTTCTGTTTTTATGTAGGTATCGATGTAATTTAAAAATTTTCCCTTATTTTTAACTTTAATCGAAAATAATTAAAACCTCTAGTTAGTGGAAAATTCTTGCTCACATTTTCTCATCACACAGCATGTTTTACATCGATAGCTTAAAAGCTATTTGAATAGAAAAAAGTGAGGTGAAGGAAAAAGAAATAAGTTCAGCTTTTTTTTAGAGCTACCTTCTAACTTTCTCAAACTTTTTAAATATCGAAAATACGCTTGGCCGACTTCTGAGGCCGTATGCAATCACTAAGAATAACTGATGAGATAAACGCGAGCTCGGTGGCGGTACATTGACTAACTCGTAAAAATGTCGCTTTTTTCTAGGCGCGATCCCGCATTTTTCTCTGCGCCATCTCGCATTCATCTTGCATTTCAGAAATTTTAAAATTGCGAGAGAAATGCGAGCTCGCGCCTAGAAAAGTGCGATCTGGCGCCCAGAAAAATGCGAGACCGGCGCGAGAAAAAAAGCGAGATGTTTGCGAGCTCGTCAATGTACCGCCAGTGTCTCGCGTTTATCTCGGCAGTTATTCTTAGTGATGCATGAAAGAGGAAAACAGTTTTGTTAGTTTTTCCAAACATGAAAATTCCTTAAACTCGCACTAAACTCTTTAAACTGGAAGTAATTTGATTTAGCTGAGCTTCATGAAGCGAATAAGGCAGAATAATTTTCAAGTACAAACAACAGTTTTTAAGGGCCATATCTCTGGTAAACAGAGGAGAACGTTTTTCCTTTTTTTTTGCATACGGTCTCTGTGCTCACTATCATGTATTCTTAATAAAGGAAATATAATTGGATGTCAAAAAAAGTCTCTTTTTGACCGCAGGCACAGCGAATATTACATAATGGTTTTTCTGAATAACTAAAAAAATTCCAGAGATTTTGAAAGGTTCCAAAAGTTTTTTTAAAGCGGATGAATTGGTTTTTTTCTGTTTCAGATTTTCAACTCTTTTTTTATTATAACTTCTAAGATAAATTTTTTTACATACGCTTTTCGCTTCCAATACATTTTACCGAAAACGTTTAATTTTTAATGTCCTTAACGTTTATTTTATTTCATAGAACCACGTTAGATCCCTTGAACTCCTTTTCAGAAAAATTTATTTTTGTAGAGAAAGACTGTAGATGGGACGTGCTCGTTTGTTGCATTTTTGCTTTCCTCTTTTTCTCTGTCCGCTCGCGATCAGTGTCTCCTCCCCCTCGACGCGATTCTTCGTGCCCATCTTCTCGACTGCTGCTGTTGCTAGCTGTCCAATGCTTTTGTGTTGCACCTCTCGTCCTCACCTTTCCTTTCATAGCTTTGTTTCTCGCGATAGCCCCGTGGTTTTTCAATTCAATCTTCTCTTTACGATTGTATCCTTCCCCACTATTCTTTTTCCTGTCATAATCTTTTCAACTGTCCTATACGCCTGAAAGCGTTTCAGTTTCCGAAAATGTTCATTTATGTACACTTATTTTTTGAGACCTCCACCAATAGGGTTTCTAATTTTTTTTTCTAATGAGGATTATTTACATAGTCGATTTATCAATATTATCAGCCGCTGTGGTTTCGAAATCCGTAATCTTCAGAATTTTTTAAAAGCGTGCCAGTCGAAACGCGCCAGTTTTGCGAAATATTGGTTCAAAGAACGTTTCGGTTCATTTTCACTGAAAAAAATTTTCTTTCAAAAATTATTGAGCTTTCTTCCAATTTACTCAAATACGGCAGTAAAAATGAAATATGTTCTTGTTTTTTGCGCGATTTTTCTTTGTTGATTCTAAGGAATTTGATAAAAATTTATATTTTAGGGATGATTGTCACTTGTTTGTGTATTTCAAAACTCGTTTCTTTTCACTCTTAATCTCTCTCAAATCGTTTGGTAAATAAACGTCACCATCACCGTCTCTTTTGAAATTTTCGGCTGATGTTGGTCAGTGTAAAACGCGCGCCAGTAGAAACATCGATCGTTGCTGCTGCTTTGATTTGTCCCGTTCTGCTTTTCCGACTGCCATTGTTATCATATGCAAATGATAAGATGCTATCAGTTCTTTCTTCACCCCTAACGAAACATTTCCATCCTTTTCTCTCAAGAATTTCGCATTTCATCGTGATAATAGCGGAAAAAAAAAAAAACCGTTGACTTCTGAATCAAACAAAAAGTTGAAATGCTTCTCGCACTATTATATTGTCCGATCATCTCGATTCACTTTGATAAAAGGACCTCTAAAATTTTTTTCAGGTTTTGGACCATTGTATATTTCCTGTTATATGGGTTGACAATTTCAACCTTAAAAAATAAAAGTGAAAAAGCGACAAAAAGATAGCGAAAATGGCTGACGTCTTTGATATTGAACTCGATGGAAATGACCACTACCAGCCGCATTCTGCGTCAGTTTTCTTTTGTCAATCATGCTTTTCAAGGGTTGATTTTAGGTACAATGAAGATCAAGAAGTGATGGAAGAAGACAACTTGTACAGCGATGTTGCCGATGTTGGTTTTCTCATAAAAATTATTAACTTTTGTTCGTTTTACAGGGCCAAATCACGGCTCCTCCTCCAAGTTCTTCTTATATGTATGTTAATTTTTTTTTTCTTACTTTCGGCTTTGCTTTTAAAACTAATGTTATTTGTTTTGCAGGGAGGATCCAATGGTCGAGGCAATCGACTTGTCCGAGTACACGGTAAATCCGCCGAACGTGCGGGTTGGCCGACAAGATTTCCAACTTCTCAAAGTCCTTGGAAAGGGAGGATACGGAAAAGTTAGTTTTTTTTTTTCGATTTTTTATATCTGCAAAAAGTGAACATTTTTTTTTATATTTTCGCCACTTATTCCCTTATAAGTGACCATTTTTACTAACTTCATAAGTTATTTGCCTTGGGATCTTTCTCCGATCACAGGAACGAAACAATATTTCATGTTTCAAGCTATTTTTGTTCAGCTCCTGGAAACTACCAAGAGTTTCAGAAAAATGTTTTTCAATGAGAAATCAGCATTCTCGATTACTTTTGCTCACGTTCAAAATTAATGAAGTTGTGTTTTCAAAAAAAAAAAATGTTTTTTAGGTTTTTCAAGTACGTAAAACAACGGGTTCTGATGCGGGAAAAATTTTCGCGATGAAGGTTCTCCAAAAGGCAACTATTGTTCGTAACCAAAAAGATACTGCTCACACTAAGGTACGTTCCAATGTGAGAGACGAATTTCAGCGAAAAACAAAAAATGTTTTTTTCTTCTACGCAACTGTTATGAAGAAATTTGAACGATTTGCTGTGACTGGTGTAACTTTCAGGCAGAAAGGAACATTTTGGAAGCCGTTAAATGCCCTTTCATTTGCGATTTGCTGTACGCGTTCCAGACGGGTGGAAAACTGTATTTGATTTTGGAGTACTTGTCGGGTGGCGAATTGTTCATGCACTTGGAGCGAGAAGGTTTCCTTCCATTTCCCTTGTTTTTGGAAGTTTGTGATCAAAATAATATTCGGAAAGCCTTTGTGAAATATAAGAAGTTTGAATAGAAGTTAAATCAATAAAAAAAATAAATAAAACCACTCTTTCCTAATTTCTAATTTCTATTTCATATCTCGTTCTTTTTTTTGGTTATGATCGAGATTCTCATAGATTTGGAAAGTTATTTATTTATTTTTTTGAAGTTTCTGGATTTTTTTTTTGGGACAGCTGTGATAATTTCAATAGAAGAAGAAGAAGAAGAAGAAGAAGAGAGAGTTCGAAATTGAAGCAAAAAAACTTTTCAGGAATGTTCATGGAAGACACGGCTAGGTTTTATCTTTCGGAAATTGTCGTCAGTCTCGAACATTTGCATCGCCAAGGTAAGAAATGCTGATTTTCTTTAATATTTTTTTAGGGATTATTTATCGCGATTTGAAGCCTGAGAACATTTTGCTCGACGGACAAGGTCACGTGAAAACTCACTGATTTTGGCCTTTGCAAGGAAGCCATTGAGGGCGATCAGAAAACACACACTTTCTGTGGAACCATCGGTGGGTTCTTTTGGGTATGGAACCAAATTATCAGATGAACCTTATTTTTGGAAACAGCATCTTTGGTAAAGCATCGTACATGTGGGTTTAATTTGTATTAGGTTTGAATATAACGGAAGAATTTTATCATTGGTTTTTTTGAAGTGAACTTCCATGACGGAAATTTTCGTGAAATATTAGAACAAGAAAGATTGAATTGATTTTTTTCTGTCGCCAGTTTGACAATAATTGTGAATCACAAAAAAAAACTTGGGCCTTAAATTCCATGCATAAATTTTATTCTTATCAATTTTTTTGGAAAAATGCTTTCAATTCTAGAAGCGTTGTTTGCAGAGTACATGGCGCCCGAGATTCTGATGCGGTGTGGACACGGCAAAGCGGTTGATTGGTGGAGTCTCGGAGCTCTGATGTTCGACATGTTGACTGGAGGACCTCCATTCACCGCCGAGAACCGCAAAAAGACGATCGACAAGATATTGAAAGGCCGTCTCACGTTGCCCGCCTACCTGAGCCACGAAGCTCGCGACCTCATCAAGCGGCTCCTCAAGAGACACGTTGAGACGAGACTCGGTGCGGGTATGTTCCGTTTCCCTCCTTTCTTTTCCAACATACGTTCTCAGGACCAACTGACGCCGAGGAAATCAAGCGCCATCCGTTCTTCCAAAATCAACACTGGGAAGAAGTTTATGCGAGACAGGTTATCATCAGAGCTTCATCAAATTTATTTTTCATTTCTCTTATTCGCCTAAATTTTTGCGGTTTTTTTTCTTCTACATTCCTACTTGCCTGTAAGTTTAATCAATTAAATTTTTTTCTGACAAAGCACTCTGAAAAGCAAATATACTGAAAAATTTTTCAATGTACTCTTTTTTTTGTAAGCTAGTATTTTGCAGTTGAATCCTCCTTTCAAGCCGGAGATAGAGAACGAAGAGGACGTTTCTCTTTTTGACACAAGATTCACAAAAATGACCCCTGTTGACTCGCCTTGTGACACCAACTTCAGGTTTTTTTGAAACCCTTTTTTTATTTTTTCCTGCCTTGTGCAAAGTAATTACACGCGAAATTAAAATTAGCTGTCAGATAGTGCAAAAAGATAAATTAATTTTGGAGAGCCAGAGATGATTTTTAATTTCGCGGAAAATATTTTGAACACGGCTTGTGTTTCATCTTTTGCGACAAAAATTGGAATTCCAGCTTAACGGGAGACAATCCGTTTGTCGGTTTCACCTACGTGGCCCCGTCGGTGCTTGAAATGATGAGCAAGGAATCTTCAAACAAAAACATCCCTGCAGGTCACATGGCCACGTCTTCTCGTTTCGGGCGTAGTCCTCGTCGTTCCAATTTCCAGTTGTAAGTTTTTCAATTCGATAAAACTGCGTTGAAATAACTTTTTTGATCACTCATGTTAGAATGGTAGTTTTATTGATGAAAAAACAATCCATCGAGATGTTTTGTCATGAAACCAAGAGTTATTAAAAATGGACTTCTCAAATTAAATTTTTTGTTATGAAAGTGTTAGTTGAAGGTTATCTTCAGCAATTTCTTTGTAGTGTCTGTAGAAATTAGATGAAAATGATGAAATTGAAAGAATACATCAATTTGAGTGGCAATGAGACGAGCCCCGGAGGAATGCCGCAGCAGCCAAACCAGCAGCTGTTCGGCGGACCAGCCGCTTTCGGAAGTTCGACGAGCGGCCAAGGAGCCAGTGTGATGGGACTTCCCAATCGGCACATGGCGTTCGGCGGACCGCTTTTTGAAGATCCCATGGACACGGCGACGCCACGCGCCAGCGAAAGCCAGCAGTCCCAGCAGTCCCAGCAGCAGCAACAGCAGCAGCAGCAGAAGCCGCGAGGAGCTGTCATCTGAGCTTCTCCCTACTTTGAAGGATAATCTTCTCCTTCCAAATTTTCTCTTTCTGGCGTATTTTACTCTCAAAACACGCCCAAAATCAATTTTCTCTTTCTTGGTAATTTTAGGTTTTCATGATTCGTTCGAAAAAAAAAAGCTTGCTGAGTTATTCAGAGGAGCGTTTTTGAATGAGCGTTAAATTATAATCATGTCATGAATTTTTTATTTGGATATTTTATGCGCCTCTCAACACCCCAGCAAGCCGTCGTGAAAAGATCATACGACCAATCGTAAATTTACCTTCCATATGCTCGATGCCGCGGTATTAAGTGAATTCGTGTGTTTGGAACCTCACTTTTGATGCGTTTCGACTATTTTCTTTTGCTTTCTCCCACTAGTCATTCCGATTCGTGTTCTCCCGCTTAAATATTTTTATCTTTCCAAGCGCTCAAGTATAATTTTACCGGGAGAACTAACTTTGCGGAGGTAATTGAATGACTGGCGTTTTCTCATTCTTGAGAATGTGCTATGACCGCCACTCTGCTACATTTCGGGCGGTCGTCAAACTGATACGGTACATATTAATCATGTTTCCCTTCCCGTTCTTTTCGTTCTAATTCATCAAAACTTGTTTTTTTCGTTGCGCCTGTCTGAAACCTGTTACAGAATCGTGCCTTTTAATACTCGTGCAGTCCTTTGTTGTTGTGCCCTTACATAGTTTACTCCTTTATACCTAGGTCTTTTCAATTTTTGGATTCACTTTAGCAGCTGATCGCTCGAAAGTGGAACATTTGCTCTCTATTAATTGAATGTGCACCCTTTTTGGATTTGAAATGGAATTTTTTTCAAACATTTGTATGTCTTTTCGATTAAAAAAAAAGGTAAACTTCTATTAATGAACTAAATAATTGGACACAACTCGAATCGGAAGTTAGAGGTGAGCCAATGAGGATGAGATCAACAAATAGGTAAATCATTCGAATACACGTAATTTTGAAAAATAGAAGGTAATTTTTTGAATGCTCGAGATCAATCCAGTTTCGATACAAACGCTTTCTCTCCAGCCATTTTCCGCATGTCATTTATGATGATGCGACTCATTGCTTGCGCGGTCCTGGAAAATAAAACTTTAATTTAAAATAGAACGTCTGTACGAACGAAGACAGCCATTCTATCAAACAAAATTATTGGTAAAAAAATATGGAAATCGAATAGTCAAAGATTAGGCAAAATTATCTATGACTCTCCAAAATCGAGTTGTCTTTATTTTTTTTCCCTGTACAAAACCTGCTATTATATTATTTTTGCAGCTTCAAGGAAGTCTTTCAAACTAATTTGGGACATTCGGCTATTTATCATTTCTTTTCGCAGTAAATTTGTTTAGTACTTTCTCGCACATGTCTTCAGAACAAAAAGCTTTATCAAGACAGTAACGTAAACATTTAGCAGAATTTTAGCTTTTTTTTTTGCCTTTTTTGCTATTTGTTTTTATAAACATCCGCTAACTGAAAAAAAATGAGAGAAAAATCCAAAAAAAAGAAAAAGGAAAACAAATGCCCTTCGTTAGAATAAAACCTTTCAGTATTGTTCCGGTATTGTTCCGGTTTAAGTCGTGCGGATTCCTAAAAACCAACTTGTACAAGTCGTCTTCAGAAGAGACGTCGGAATTCTTGGCATCGCCCAGTTCTTTCGTCCCTTGCCAATCGTGTCTCTCAAGCATTTTCCTTGCGCGAGAGTACACCGTTTCGCTTTTATCTGGCTTTTCAAGCGACAAAATCTTCATCTTGTCGATTGAAACATCTAACGGCTCCTTTAAGACAGATATCAATATTTCAATCAATCAATCAATATTTATTGGTTGTTTTAGTCAGATGGAATCGACTAAAACAACCAAATATATTCGTTTGAGTTTCATATCACCTCGTTCAAATCGGAAAGCGAGAAACAATAACCAACCTTTTCTTTTTTTCCATTAGTGTTATCGATAGAGACGGCCATTTTTCTGTTCAGTCGCATGCCAGCAGACTTGCTCCGAGTCGTGGGAAATTTGGAGGCCGCGATTGCGAGACGCGATCTCGCCTATAAAGAGTCTATACTGAAGCTGTCGAATTGGTCTCTGTTTAAAGAACTTATTACATTCTTCATGTCAGAGGAGGAAGGGGGTCAAAAGGAAAAAAAAGTTATAAAAAATGATAACTCATCGGAAGCGACTTTCACAAGAAAACGCCCTGAAAATCAAAATTATCCTACTAAAAAACTATAGTTAAACTGCTCTAAATGGATTCGAATCATATCATTTTTTGTTATTATAAGGAAAAGATTTTTGATTTGAATCGAAGAATCGGAAAAAATGCCTTCGCACACGTTTCTATTCGAGCATTCTCTGACTTGGATTTACATTTCACAATTAAAAAAAGTTCGGATGTTGAAAGACCATGCAATGGAAAGAAAGAAATAATGAAAAGCTGAGTTTTTATGCTTTGAAGCGACATTAAGGTTTCAAAGTGGGGCGCGCCGTAGCGCAACAGGATGTAAGCTTTTCTACGGTCCACAGGGTCACAAGTTCGATCCCCGCCTCGACCCAACCAAGGAGTTCAAGAAATGTTGGTAGTGGGAAACCATGACTTCAAAATCCTCAGCCATCACATGTAAGGATGGATATGTCACTCGAGCCAGTCCACTGATATCAGGATAGGACCTAGACTAATCGAATTGGGGCGCTGACGCCGCTCAAGCGGTACGAAAGCGTATTAAGAAGAAGAATAAGGCTTCAAAGTGGAGAGTGAAAAAAAGGCGGATGAATGAATTATTTTCTTAAAGCAAACCTTGCTGAGCGCAGGGTCAAGCAGAAACCCTCGGTTTGAAGCGACGAAGATATTGACAGGCCGTGATGGCACTGCTACTCGATTGATGGAACTTCGCGGAACTGGAGGCGGACACACCGCTGCCACAGCGTTTGCGATGCGAATCGCTCGCGACGACGGAGAGCCGAATCGGTCCGTCGGCGAGAACTTCTGCACTGGACTCTTCGAATGCCGACGACCGTATTTGAGCGTCATCTGAGCTTGCGACATTATTGGATTGGTTAATCCCGAAACTAACATCATGTAGCTTTTCAACGACGATAACGTTGAAAGCATCGATCGATTCAAGAAACACACGTAGTAACTGAAAGAAAAGGTTTTTCTTCTCAGTTTTTACAGTTTTTCCAACAGAAAAGGTTCATAATGTAATATGAGAGCTTGATAAGCAGATTGAAAAAAAGATCATCTTTAAAAACCTTTCCTAGCATGACTTTTTGTTAGAAAGGACTTCTTAGTACAAATGATCAAAAACACAACAAGACACTTTTTGATAACTTTTCCCTTCTATTATGGAAGTATTCCGACATGAACAAGAATGAAACGTTTTGCATTTGCGACGAGTTTGGCATGGCCATTTTGATATAGCGTTCGAGTTGCTTGGCCACCGTGTAGGAGAGATCGCAAACGCGAGTCGCCGTCGCGTAGGCGCCGTCAAGTTGGAAACGCTGCGATCTGAAGAAGCTGGTTTTCAGAGCAAGAAAGTTTCGAACGAACTGATGATTTTCGCTCCAGTGACTTTTTTCCTGTCGTATATTTGCCTTTTTTCGATAAGTTTTTCATTTCTAGAATCAAAGCTTGGATAATACGGAATTCTACCGTAAGCACTAATTATTCAAAAAAAAAATAATCAAATGAAATTCTCTCTCAATTTGGTAAGATATAAAATTTAATATTGAATTGCAAACATCTTCACGACTTCGGAAAAAAAAAATTGAGCGCCAGAAATCTGTTGCTTCAACGAAACTATAGTATGAAATATTCGTCTCAAAATTAAAAAGTGGCCCAGCTTACATTCGAGTAGAGAAGAGACGGAAGACGTTGGAAAGCCTGCGAGAGGCGATGCCGACTCTGAAACTTCGGATCTCGCCGAAAATAATGGGGGCGATAAAACTGAGCCGCGAGAACTGGAGCTTCGTACTCGGTGACGGCTCTCTCGACGCGGAGTCCAGCTTCGAAAAGAATTCCTGAGTCGCGGTTCGCCTCAGGCTCATTGTGACAGAAAGCGTAGTCCACTGCAAAATTCGAACATCTTCTAACAGCGCTGGAGATGGAAATACCGGACCTTGGGACATGAAAGCCTTCGTTGTCGTTTCGACGCTGTGAAGAAGCTCGCGGACTGCGTTGTAGGTTATCGGATTCGAGACTTCCACTTTTTCGCATTTCGGAGATCCTTTCTGAAACTATTTTGAAAAAAGTTTTTGTCGTTTCTTGAAAATGAAAACGAAAGCGAAATAGAATCATGAACTTTCTGCACAAACGAACTCAGTTTCCCCGGTAAAAAAAGGATCAAAATGGCGCTAAAGATCTCTATATAATAGCTTGAAATACCTAAAAGTAATCAAAAATCTGGTTATTGATTCTTTTATCTCGATTGAAGAATTGCATTAAATTTTAAAAAAACTTTTTATCCAGATCCACGCATTTGAAAGCAGTCGAGAGATTTTCTCTTTTACACTGAAACTCTTTTATGAGTAAAAAACATGATTTGAAAGAAATTAAAAAATTTGATTGAAATTTGCTCATATTTCCAGAAAATTCATCTTGCCTATCACAGATTTTGCCTTTTGCTCTATCCTGATTAATAGCTTTTGAACCACGTGGAAACCCGAGCATCTTCAGTTAAACAACATCGGTTGGAAAGGAGGATCCTCACCGCTTTGATTCACAAATTCGATGAATAAAAAGGAGCTCATGCAAGAAAAAAAAATTCTACATAATTACAATTAGGTTTGTGAGAAGACAGCGTGAACCAGTCTAGAAAAACCGCTAGAAAGAACGTACAAGTCGCCGCCTGTCGTGAAGTCGGTCTCGTTCTTCGAGCCGCGAGTAGATCCGTTCCTCCCAGTCCTCCAGGAACGGCCGCTCCGAAAAAAGCAGCCGAAGTGCGGCGTCTGCGGCAGTCTCCAGCGTCGCGTCGTCCGGCTCCATCAGCCTTGCCTCCGTCTGCGAAAACCAAGCAATTAAACGGCAGCGATCCTCTGTCGCAAAACACACAAAATTGAAAAAAAAAAATCTTTCTCTTAAGAGTTTGATTGAAAGTAGATGCTAAGGATTCCTAAAAAGCAGATGCACTTTTGCACAAAAAAACAGAATAAAGATGTGAACTACACGCAATTTCCTAGAGGGTTTACCGAAAAAGGTCAAAATGATGTTATCATTATTACGTTGAGTCGAATTTATTGGTTGTACCACCTTTATCATTATTCTTCGACATCTTAGCCTGAAATTCAAAATAAACATTTGTTCAGTATGATAAACTATAACTTTTCGAACTTTCCAAAGAACTTTCCAAAAATTCATTAAACATAACAAAAAAATTAACTTTCACAAAAAAACAACTTATTACACGTGAAATTTATAGTTGGTTAACGTTTATGGTTTTTTTCACAGGTGTGACAAAAAAACAATCTCGTAAAAAAACCGATGAAGTTCGAATAACTACTCTTAAAATAATATATATGCTCTCGCGTTTTTCATGACGTGAGCAAAGGAATTTCGCGAAATTCAAAAGAGCCGGTATAGACGATTCACGGATAGCTTGGGACGTAAAAAGGCGTGTCCTGTCTGCACTCTCCACCAACCAAGGCACTGTCTCGTCTCTTTTCGTGGCAGGACCCTTTTCTCGATGGCTCAAGCCAGCCGTGAATCATCTATAGAGTGAGAAAAGAAAGCTAAATTTTGAAAAGTCAGAAATAATTTTGAAATTCGCGGAACTTACTTTAAACACGGCATCAAAAATTCGTCATTCCTATGGTTAATGGGATATATCATCAACGAAAAATAATAAAAATAAACTGAAATCAGGACTCGAAGAAAAGTTTCGAAAGATATGAAGGAGTCTAGTGAAGAGCGAAGGTGTTTCTATTGAGGAGCACTGATAGTGAGAGGCAGAGGCTGTCTTTCGACGAAGCCGACGCGCATTCCGACGCCTTCGGGGATGTTTCGTTGTATGTACTCCAGAAAAGTCGACGCCGTGCTTCCCGTCAAGTTGAGAACCTAAGAGAGTCCGCGTTTGAATGGAGTTATATAACTTGTGCATATGAAATCCTGGTCAACGAAATATCCCAGAGACTTTGATAGAAATCTGCCGAAAACTTATCTGTTCCCTGCTGATCAACTGTTAGTTTTCCTGAGTTCAAAAACCGTCTTACCTGCTGATGTACCTAGGTATGTTTTAAGAATATTTTTTAATGCATGGATGAATTATTCTCACATACTTCTGAAATTACCTTCATAAGGTTTCATAGTCCCAATTTTTTCATTAGGTTTTTTCAGTTCGACATATAAAAAACATTTTTTCGCCTGAAGCCTGATTTTTCTTGCTACTGAAGTCGCTGCTTTCTGCGAAATTTTCTCCAAATTTTTCCTAAAAACTTTTTATATGAAAACGGAACCTCGAACTTGGTTATATGCGTTCGCGTTTCATAGTGCAGCTTGTACTTCTTGTGAACGAACTTTGATCGTAGAGCTGGCTGGACCCATCTTCAAAAAGATAGGTACAAAAGCATTTCACCTAGCGTTATCAAAAAAGCGAACTCAAGATCACCTGATATAGGGTAGAACTTCGAGTCTTCCTTTAGTGATGCCGAAACCTCTGCACACTTCCTAAACTCAAGAGTCATCAAGAAATCTCTTCTGATATACAAGAGACTACAGCAACAAAATCAAATAAACATTTAAAAAAAGAACCTCAAGAAAAATGGAATACGATTTCAAGACTTCCCTGTCGTGACCTCGGTACTCGACTTCAATTGAGCTGAAACTTTTCTTACAGAAAGAAAAGAAGAAAAGGGCAAACCTGAAAAGTTTGTCAGGCAAATCTACTTGAACGAGCGGATTCTGTGATGAAGTGGCGGACCGCAGAAAACGTTCTTGGAGGACAGGACATCGAAAGACGCTGGCTCTTGCTCGAAATAAATTGGAAATCTCAGAGATCATAGCCCTGAATTTTTTTCTTGCGATCGTTTAATTTATTTAAATTTAAATTAAAAATTTACTAAAGTCAAAAAGAAGTAGTTCAAGAGACGAACATTTTTTCAATAATTTTTGACAAGACAAAAACATTTTGGAAATCATCACGATGCTGCGAGGTCTATGAGAATATTACCGCGCCGAAAAAATGCAACATAGTGCAATAGTGTGCGCCTTAATCTAGAATCACCCAAACCCCATTTTTGTTCAATATTTTTGGGTTTTGATTCAATTGAAAACTTCCTTTTGCGGTAATGAAAAGCAGGTTTCAAAAACTTCCATTTCTTACGAAGTTAGTTTTGAAACAGCGAAAGACAGTTCATAGGCAAATTCGGAAGAACCCTCCATGGAACCATAAAGGCTGCTGGAACTCCATAGAAATTTTCCTTTTAGGGTGATGAAGGCTCCTTTTTTGCGCCATTTCATCGGCTCTGATGCACCATTTTTGCTGCCTCTCCTTTTTCCCACTATTTCTCGAGCCTTAAAATTCCATAAAAATGGAAGGTTCGATGAAGGGACTTTCTTTGCTGCCTTTCTGCCGCCTTTTTTGAGCCTCTCCCTTATAGCGGCCATTACCCACCATTCCGACTTTTCAGGAGTTTATGCTTCAAAAACCTCTTGATTGAGTTGATATTAGATGATTACCCTGATAAAATAATTAGAAAGTGAGAAAAAAAGATAATTAGACATTTTGAAGTTTTTGTCAAAAGGTGAAAGGACATATCTTCGCTCTACAATAATTTGGCACCGAATTTTTTTTCATATTCTTATCATTTCCCTATATTGGATATAACCTTTCTAAACTGAATACGTTTATGTGAATAAAAAGGAACTTATTCTTCCTTTTTTTCTCCAGAATCGTAACCGACTTACGATTTTCAGATTGAATCATTATGCTTGTTTTCGTATATGGAACTCTGAAGAGCGGAGAACCCAATCATCACGTAATGTCAGCGACGGCGGGAACCCATCGGTACGTTCCCATGTTTATCGGAACCTTTTCTTAATAATTATCATACTTTTTGAAGATTCATCTCGAACGGGACAACTGTGGATAAATTCCCACTTATTATCAGTACACAGTTCAACATTCCTTTTCTGTTACATAAACCCGGTGAAGGAAACGTGAGTTCTTGATAATATTGCGATTGCCTTCAAGAGTAAACCTTCAAATGAAGTTTAGAAAATCGAAGGAGAGGTTTACGAAGTAGATGGTGTGAAACTAGCCGTTCTCGACGAACTAGAAGCATATCCGACACTTTATGACCGCAAGGAGATAAAGGTTGTTCAGTCGCGAGCGAAGAAGATAGCCCCAATCATTCAGATAAAGTTGTCGGCTGATGGAAACACTGTCGCGGCGTCTTTGTATCTTCTGAAACGATGGCGCGAGGAACTTGTCACTTCGGGAACACCTTATCTCACAAATTACTCGAGCAACGGGCCTCACGGAAGGCAATACGTCGACAGGTAAAAACGCTCTTTTTCTTTGTCATCTTACAATTTGAGGTACGTTCGAGCGAAAGAAATTATTGATGACCATACCTCAAAGACCAATCTTTACTACGAAATCTTAGGTGGTCCTCCCGCTGATCCCATTCTTAGAAAACTTAATGAACAAAAGGCTAAAGTTGATTTAGAACTTCCTCAATAAATTATTTCAGTGAGAACGTTCAAACTGAAGCAGAATTATATGAATAACGAAATCAAGAATTTCACTGTGGAAAATGCCGCTTATTCAAAAATAAATATTATTTCAAACAAGTTTATCGCAAGAAATAAAAAACAACCATTTAAACCTCAACAGCAGAAATGTAATCTCTGAAAACTCCAATCAGTTTTGATTTGACTTTGGAAAAAAGTACCAGGCTTCGGCCACATGAAGATGTTATACGTGAGCTTTAAGCTTTCGCCTTAAAAAAGAACAAATCAAAAAAAGGACAGCGAAAAAAGTTATGAATACCGAGTATAGGAACGAGCAAGGCGCAGAAATGATCCCGATATGAAAAGAACACAAAAGCCAGAGAAGAAAAAAATTTTTTCAGTAAAACAATATAACTACTATGAATCAAAACCAAAGAAAACAATTGTTATCAGAACAAAAAAAAACAAATTTACAACGGAAGGTGCAATAAATGAACTAATTTTTTGCTCTTAGATGAGGGGGGATGTATTTACTTGGGCCTTTTTCTGCCGCGGGAGCCGCAGTAAGCACTGGTTCTGGCTGGCGCACAGGAGCTGGTGTCGAATTGAGCGCGGCCATTGCCTGAAGAAAGTAATAGTCCGAATCAAAATTATGAAGCTCACTTTGACTGCGGCCAAGGCGCTGTCTCGGCCGGTACCCGTCGTGGTGTTTATCGTAGTGTTTCCAAAGACACGTGGGCCTGATGAAGCACGAATCTCTGCCGGAGTTGCGCCCGCTTTCGTCCTGGAAGATCAGCTGTGGGAATAATTAAAGATAGGCGAATCTCATGAATTGAAGAGCGGAAAAAAAGCTTTAACTTTTTAACACCTCTACTCATATCTATGAAAGGACTAAATTCGGCCGCATAAAGAGCTCTACAAAGCTTTTTTTCGATCGAGTTTGCAAATTTTTGAAAACTTCACAGTGAAATTACAATAATTTAAATAAGCTGAAACTAATGAACGAAAATGAAAATGAACGAACCATCCTCCACCGGCTTTTGACTCTTCTTTTTTCGTTTTCTCGATTTTACTAGCATCGGCAAGTGAAGGAAAAAGAGCATCGCTCATGACATCAATGGGAGCAACCTGAATGCAAACGACTTTTGTGAAAGCCATCAAGTGAGTACTTTTTGCGTTGGTGGAACATATTTGCGTTGAGCTGGAGGCTTGTAAGCAGCAGCCATCTGTTTATCTGACATCGAAACCGCGTGCTCCGGCTCTTCTTTCTCTTTCTTCTTCTGCTAAACAGAACCATTGTTTTCAAAATATTTAATCTACGGAAAAACCTCGTCAGGTTGGCCCCAGGTGCGTGTTTCATGAGCCTCGCGGCCTTCATCACTGTCATTGTTCTCCACTTCAACAGACTCAGCTTCAACTCCCATGTCTTTGATACGCAATCCTTCGAGTCTACAAAACTTTCAAAATTTTAAAATCATATCAATTTTACATTAATGCCGAGTTCAAAGCTAATTTGACGCGCGCAGCGAAAAAAGTTTTTTTCTGGTTCAAAAGAACGAGCGAAAAAGCAGCAGATTCCCTCGACGTGATTGGTTGGCACCGCACAGCTGGCAAGAAAAAAATATTTTGAAAATAAATTTGAATTGGACTTTTTGCCAAAAAGGCGGAGCCAACTAATCACGTCGAGGGAATCTGCTGCTTTTCGCTGCGTTTCGGCTCGTTCTTTTGAACCAGAAAAACTTTTTCGCTGCGCGCGTCAAATTAGCTTTGAACGCGGCATAATGTTTAAAAAATTTTCAAACACTTTATGAGTATTTATTACATGATTCTGGGTAGCCACTCAAACATGTTGATATTCTAACTGATTGGCGAATGATTCTTGTAAATAAGAAGGTTCAAAAAGCAAATAAAATGAACTTTTGGTTCAAAATCCGGTGGTATGAAAAAAACACCAGCGAAAATTCAAACGGCGACTTTTCCGATTTTTTCATTTCGCTAGGGAACTTTCCGACGGCCACCTTTCCGACTTTTTTTTCCCTTATGCTTTTCGGTTTATAAAACATCTATGAACATTTTTTTCCTATTTCTTTGTGTTTTAATTATGAACAAACTACCTACTTTATATAGGAAGATGTAAAACGAAGAGTTTATCGAGAAAAAAAAGTCGGAAAAAGTTTCGTCGGAAAGGTGGCCGTCGGAAAGTTCCCTAGCGATATGAAAAAATCGGAAAAGTCGCCGTTTGAATTTTCACCGGTGTTTTTTTCATACCACCTAAAATCCTACCTGGATACGAAACAAATATCTGAAATCCCTACTGTATTTCCTCAATTTCTGATAATTTTCGAGCCACTAAAAAGATGGAAATTATTAATTCTCTTATCTTATTCCGTTCTAAGAACGTAAAAAAAAACTAACCTTCCTTGATTACTGTCACCATATTCAATCCACTCGCTTTCTTCGGTGTTATTATTCACGCGTTTACCGTCTTCTTCACCCCCTCGTTTGTCTCCTCCATCAATACTCTGTTGATCGTATTCCTCCTGCAACAATATATAGTATCAATAAAAAAAATCTGATCTGCCAAAAAATTCCGTTTTTCGGATTCTCGCTCAAAAAATTTCTCGCAATGTATGAAAAATTAGTTCTCAACATCAAAAAAAAGAAAACACCCCCTTCTATGAGTTGGAAATAAGTGAGTAAGGCTATGTCAATTTCTTCACGTATAAAAATGACCTGACGACGCGCTTTCCGCTCCAACACTTGTCCGACGTCTTCTATTTTAACGGCTCCCTTCTTCTTCTTATCTTTCTTTTTGGCAAAGAACGCACTCAAATCGTCACTCATGTTTTTTGAGCAATCGAGACGGACAGTTAATCAATCAAACGACGCGAACCACGAAAATTCTGAAAGAGAAAATGAAATAATGATATTAATAAGAAAATCAGTAAGTATTTCGCAACCATATTTCGCAAAGTCAAATACATCACCTTTATCAAAAATTCCACCGCGAGAATGAACCGTTAAGAAAAAGGGAAGGGAAATGGCAGAGAAACAAAAAGTTTTCCTTCCCGTAGCTTGTTTGCATGCCCTGTTCAACCAACGCAACCGGTCTTTGCCTGTGGGCACATTGACCGCTCGCGTGCCGCGCCGCGTTTAGCGATACTTAAAAACTCTTTTCAACACCTGCAACGCTGCTGGTGCTAAAACGACTAACTCACAAATTTGAAGTAACTCATTCAATTTCTCGATGTAATTATTTTTATATCAAAAGTTATCTAACAAATATTGAGTGAAGCGATTATACTCAAGCGCGATTTGAATAATTTGCAACAAAAATAATAATCGCACTAAAGATAATCAGAACACGTTTCATTTTTGCACCTTTCAATTTATGCGAACGTTCGAATCATCCGATTGATAAAATTTACTTGAAAATGACATTTTTTGGAAGTAGGCGTGAATTAGATGCCGTGTTCAAAGTGATCCGGCGAAACTTAAAATAGCTGTCAGACAGTGAAAAAGATTACAAAATTTTGGTTTTGGAGTCAGAGATGATTTTGAACTTCGCGAAAATCACTTCGAACACGGCATAAATAAATCTTAATGGAAGTTTGCCCTCTCGAGTATTATGGAAATACTATCCGATATCTAGATTTAAATAAATTAAATCTTATTAGAAGAAGTCTTAAGAAGTTAATGGACCACAGCTCGAACAGTCCGATCTGAACAAGCGCCCCTGGCGATGGCGGCTATAGGCCATTCCGCGCCAGCTTGTCACTTTTTTCTTTTCGCCAAAAGGCCAGGTCAAATTTAACCAACTTTCGCTTCGCGACCTGTGTTTCTTGCCGTTATAAAAGCAGAAATTTGATCTAATTTGGTATACGGTCTTCACCCAACATAATTGCCGATATCGCAGCGGGCCGCAGGCGATATAGCCAAGGCTTCTCGCTGCGACCTCGTCAAATTCTCGCTGCCATATCGCGCCCTCTCAAAATTTTGAAATTAAAAAAAAATTTTTTTTGCTTTATTTTTGTCTTTTATGTTGAAATCACTCAAATTCAAGAAAAAAACATCTTTGAAGAAAAATTTTTCAAAGAGCGATATAGCGCAAGACGTTTGCGAGGTCGCAGCGAGAGGCGAGCGATATCGCTCGCGGCTCCCCCGCGGTATAGCATTACTCTCGCTGCGATATAGTCCACTATACTGGGTGTTTTTGGCGGAAAGAAAAACGTGACACGATGGCGCGGAATAGGCTATAGCTGGCGTGACTTAACGCCACCGTCGCGCAATAAGCTAAGATGATTCTACGTTTAAATTTACGCTCTTATTTACAGAGAACGTTGAAATTTCAATCTCATGACGGAGGACGAGATCATCGATGACAACCCAAAAAATTATGGGAACTTAAGAGAAAAAAACCAGAGATTGAAAAAATTATCCGTTTGCTTAAAACTTGAATACGCGTTTTTTTTCTGAAAAATTTTCACGAATTTTTGCACGAAACTAATCACTTTAAACACGGCTTACTCGAATGCTGAGCAGGGTATAGTCTGCTTAGATTTTGAATGTCAAGCAGCTAACTCCACCCCCAAGGCTACAATATCTTTCGCGTCAATGTTTCATCTACATATGAAAGTGGCCCTATAATAAGACTGCATTTTTGACTTCTTTTTCTCTTTTAGATCAAAAAAGATCAAAATTAGTCCCGCGCGATAAAACATCGACGCGAAAAGGTACCGTCTCAGCAGGGGCGGAGTTAGCTGGTTGACATTCAAAATCTGAATAGACTATAACTCGCATGCTGAGCAGGTGTCTCAGCGGGTGTACCCGTATCAAACCCGTGTTTCTGAGGTTATTTTAGCCCAACTGAGATTAAAATAACCTCAGAAACACGGGTTTGATACGGGTACACCCGTTGAGACACCTGCTCAGCATGCGAGTTACATAGGTAAAACGGAAAAGTTCCTTTGAAGACATAGAGGCAGTAAAAAACGGCGTTTCAGGTGAAAGCAGTATCTTATATAGTTTTTCTTTGCGAATCGAACGGTGTTCTCAAAAAATTACACAAGTCAGAAATAACCGGGTATCTGCTTCAACTTAAGGGTTTCTTTTCTGAAAAAAAAAACATTTAGTCGAACAAAAACACACACCAATAAAAAAGGAAACTCAAAATATCGCAATCCCAATCGAAAACTGTATAAAATCATCATTTTTCACCAGAGAAGCACTTTGCGAACAAAGTTTGCAAATTTCTTATAAATAGAAAGTTTCAATGAAAAAATCACCCAATATTGTGAACTATATCGCAGCGAGAGTAATGCTATACTGCGGGGGAGCCGCGAGCAATATCGTTCGCCTCTCGCTGCGACCTCGCAAACGTCTTGCGCTATATCGCTCTCTGAAAAAAATGTTTCTTCAAAAAAATTTTTTTTTGTTTAATTTGATCCATTTCATCATAAAAAGTCAAAAAAATAAAGCAAAAAAAGTTTTTTTAATTTTAAAAATTTTTGAGAGGGAGCGATATGGCAGCGAGACTTCGACGAGGTCCAGCGACATTTTGACGATATCGCAGCAAGAAGCCTTGGCTATATCGCCTGCGGCCCGCTGCGATATCGGCAATTATGTTGGGTGAAATTACTTTGGTGACAACAGAAAAAATTGAAATACGAAAGAAATGAAGAAAAAAGCGAAATCCGAAAAACGGAGAAGCGTGTTTTCCATAGAGCAACTTTACTACAAAGCGCTCTTTTGGCGGGAACTCTAGCATTTCTTTCTCTGACTTTGAAATATTTTTTCTTTAAAACTAGGAACTTCTGCACGTTTCCAAGTTCACCGTTCGAATTGCAATGAAAAGCTCTACAAAGTAATGCTTTAAACTGAAACACCGTCTTTCACTGCCTCTATGCCTTTGAGGATCCTGAGAGAAAGATGAAAAAATTCCTCTAAAAGCTCCTAAAATGATGTAAACTAGCTTTTGAAGTCCTTTTTCATACTCGGGCAAAACTGAAAAGCTCCCCAAAAGCTTTTCTCGAAAAAAGACCTTGAAAGGGTCCCCAGCAGATCTTTTTTACATCATTTCAATTCTTTTTTGCATCTTTTCAACATCCTCTGACAAAAAGGATGCTGGAAAGCAACTAAAAAAAATTCGAGCGGATTCAAAAAGGATCCTCTGAGGCTATGAAAAAGGTGCTCAGAAGCTTTTTTACATCATTTTAGGAGCTTTTAGAGGAAGCTTTTTATCTTCCTCTTAAGTTCCTTTGAGGATCCTCAAAGGAACTTTTCCGTTTTACCTATGTAGCACCAGAGGATCCTTTTCGAATGCTCTCAAATCTTTTTAGTTGCTTTCCAGCATCCTTTTTGTTAGAGGATGTGAAAAAGATGCAAACAAGAAATGAAATGATAAAAAAAAGATCTGCTGGGGACGCTTTCAAGGTCTTTTTTTGAGAAAAGCTTTTGAGGAGCCTTTCAGTTTTGCCCGAGTAAGCATAGGCAAAGTCGGAAAGAATGGAAAAAGGCTAGCTCACAATTTAATCTGACTAAATTTTTCCCAATAGAAGTTCAGTAAGCTGAAAGTTTGATGAAACTTGGCCCTCTTCGTCACGTCATAACTCTACTCAAGTGCGAAAGCAGTTTTTTTTTTTGACTTGTTTCATCTAACTTTCAATAAAAACCCTATTTTATAATTTATCAACCAATTCGAAATTGAGAAGAATTGATGTGGTTTTTCATAGACGGATCAAAAAAAAGCAATGTATGGCGATACCCTCTGAGGGCTTTGCAAAAGGAGATAAACATGGGATATACTCTCAAGTACCTCCGATATGGCTCAGATATAGCTAGGGACCGCAAAGCCACGCCCCTTTTCGCGATAGAAAAAGTGGCTTTTTTTTGGTTTTCAACTTTCATTTTGTTGTAGTTGTAAAATATGTGGAACTGGCGAATAAAATTTGACACACATGTACAGAAAAAGCTTCCTCTTTCGTTTAAAAAAATATTTCACGCTTTTTTTGATGCGTTCTCGCGGAATGTCGTACAAAAAAACGTGAATGGAACTAAAAAAATTTTTGTCATTTTTTTGCTTTTTTTCATGTGTTTTTCAGGTCGAACGCACTCTTTCTTTTTTTATATAATGATTTTTGATTCAAGTAACGGTAATTTTAAAACAATAAAATAAAAAAATTCGTCTTTGCCAAAAATTTTTAGGGAGTGCCGAAAGTCATAATTCAAAAATATCGTTAATAAGCGAATATAATCGAGTTTTTTTGTTTTTTTCAAAAGTTAGACCATAGGCTTACTTAAATTTTTTTCTCCACAGCATATGTGCTGGAAAAAAAGTTGTTTAATACGCAAAAAAATGCACTTGAAAAATAGAGAATAAAATTAGCGGCGTTTATCACACAGAAAGCGGTCGAACGCAGGTTTTTTTCAAACGATTATATACATTTATTAGTAAAAAAATCTTTCAATTAAAAAGAATAAAAATAAAAAAATTCGTCTTTGCCAAAAAAATTTACGGGGCCGTTTTAATGCAGTGATCGTTAAACGAGGCAAAAAAAGCACTGAAAAAAACTGTTTTTCGAAGTGAATTTCCACGGAAAAATTTGAGTAAAGATTTGCGAACATATTCTGATAAAAAAATAGCTGAATTACTTCAAATTTTTTTATTTTTTTGAAATAGGCAATCTGTGCTATTCAAACGGCTCAAGGCTATGGCGGATGGAAGTTCCCCTCGCCAGACCTAACAACTTGGCGCAGCGCGTGCGCTGCGATTTTTTTCATTTTGAGGTCGCGAGTTCGATACCCGCAAGCGTCAGTTTTTTTGTTTTTCTGGAAAAATACCGACTTTTTTTCGGCAAACTAGCTAATTTTTCATCATTATAGAGCTCTATTATGATTTCTTACATCATAATAGACCAGTATCAAAACTTGTTCTAAAAGAAAAAAATCGAGAAAAAAATGTCTAAAAATGGATAACACCAAAAATTTCAGTACTAAAAAAATGGTGCGCGGCGCGCACACATTTTTCGTCATAACTTTTTCATCCTCATTCTTTTTCCGAAAAAAACTAAACGGTTCTGAGTTTCGAATCGAAACAGCTATCAAACCATGCAAAGCTCAATGCTGAAAAAAAATTTTCGAAAATTGGTCTGCGGTCCCTAGATATAGCTAAAAGGTATGCTGGAGGTCTCGGCACATTATGGGGTCTTCACGATCCATTTGAGAGGTATCTCTGTTGACACATTATGGTACCATCTTGATTCGCCTGTGTGGCAACTTTGAAACTGTCCAGAAATATCTTCATTTGAAAAAAAAAACCTCACGGAAAAACCCTAGTTCAAGGTAGAACTCGAGCTAATTGTTTGTTGATATTTCAAATTAGCAAAAACAATTTCTGTTCACTTATTTGAAATCAGTTTTCATTAGATGGGGCGAGATAAACGGAAGTCCTACGAAGATTCGACCATTTCCATTGGAATTGGCTTGAAAAGGCGTTGAAAATCTTTTGAATTTACAGAAAAGGGCTCAGTTCTTTCATTTCTGTTACAAACACAGATTATAAAAAAAATATGAGTGAGCGTGATACACCCGAGCACTGGTGAATCGAGAGGTAGATACAAGTAGGTACCGGGTAGCAACTCCAGTCAATCGGCGAATGGTAATCGGTGGTCATTTGTATGCGACCGGGTACTATCTCTATGGTACCTGGATAGTACCTGGTCAGTATCTGGATGCTACCGGGTATGTACCTGAAATTCGCGATTGCCACTGACTGGCACATCGGTCGTTTATATAGCATCAGTGTTTTTTTACACCTTCCCAAGCCTTCCAGGGTCCTATTGGATAAAGCTGAAACGAAAAATAACGGTCCGGGAAGCGATTCCAGACTTTCCGGTAGCAATCGCAAGTGTCAGGTAGCTACCCGGTAGCTACTTGCATTGACCTCCGACCCAGGTACCATAGAGATAGTACCCGGTCGCATACAAACGACCACCGATTACCATACGCGGATTGACTTTTTCAAAAGTTGCTACCTGGTATCTATTTGTATCGACTTCTCGATTCACCTTTGGAGTATACACTGGTATCAATCGCAAGATCTCTTACGAACTACTGAGTCGGGATCTTTTTTTTTTTGATGATAAGAAGTCGGCTCGTCAGATGTTTTTCCCGAATGTGTATTTTCCAATTACAATCATTTTGAATAGAGTCGGGGTTTTCCTGAAAACAAAGGTGAATCGAGAAGTCGATACAAATAGCTACCGGGTAGCAACTTTTGAAAAAGTCAATCGGCGTATGGTAATCGGTGGTCGTTTGTATGCGACCGGGTACTATCTCTATAGTACCTGGGTCGGAGGTCGATGCAAGTAGCTACTGGGTAGCTACCTGACATTCACGATTTCTAACGGAAAGTCCGAAAATGATTCCCGTGTCGTTATTTGTTAATTCAGCTCTATCCAATAAGATCTACCTCCCGACTCACCAGTGAAGGCGAAAAACTACCAAAAATCACTAAAATTAAAAAAAAAATACTAGTTTTCATTTTTCAATATCGAACTTTTTATGAAAAACGCGAAAAAAACTATCAAAAAAATCACTAAAATTAAAAATACTAGTTTTCATTTTTCCAATATCGAAATTTTTTTAAAGAGTAATTTCTTGAAGATAAAATTACAAATTTCTTCGAGCGAACGCTGCTATAGACTTTTAGTTAGTATATTATTTTCAGTAAGATTATATCCTTTACAATATCCGCAAGCAAGCAAGTTATGGTCAGAAAACGGTAAAGCTGATGAATTTGATGAGGAAGAGCCATCGAAAACTGCAAAATATCTGTTCATTTTGCTTTTGTAAGTTGACATCTTTGCGTTAGCAAAGTAGTATACAAATGGTTGACGCTGGACGGTCATTTTGCCCAAATGACGTTTTTTGCACTTTTTGACTACTTTAACGCTCTTATTTTCATCAAAAAAGTGTCTAAGCTCATCGAAAATCAGTCATTTTTCGAAAAACGTCACTTTTTGGGCGGGACGTAGAAGTGACCATTTTGCCTACTTTCATTTTTTCCCTTTTCCACTTGTATTTATTGTTTTTATGGCTATTAAATGACGAATTCGAGATTCAACTCCGATCTGAAGCCGCTAACAAACTTCCATCTCTTAGAACTCGTTAAATTACTAAAAATCAAAAATTTCCGGGGAGTCCTTATGAGAGGCACTTTGCCTTCACAAGGAATTAGAGAAAAAGAAACTGGTATTATAAATTTAGACTCTTCAGAAGGTGGTAAGGGTACTCACTGGGTTTGCTATTCTAAAATTAAAGATAAAATAAATTTCTTTGATTCCTTTGGGTTAGATCCACCATTAGAACTTCAAGAATATTTAAAAGACGGATCTTCAGAAAGGAAGCTAGCTGACGCTAAAGATAAAATAAAGAATTCTCCTACGGATTCACCGATGAATTCAATAGAACTTTCAACATTCCCTTCTTTACACAAGTGTCTTTATTTAGATATCGATTGGTCTTTCTTTATCATGGATTAACAAGAAATATTTACACAAAGTTTTGGTTTTCCGCAAAGTCAGGCAGATTGCGCGCGCCTTTTCGGCAAATGCCGCATGGCTACTTCACAGCCCTTAAGGGATTTTTTTTCACTTATGAAAATATTTTGGCTGCCAGACGCCGGAGTGCTTGCGGCTGAGTTGTCTACTGTATACTTAAAAATACCTAAAATGCACGATTCGAATCAAATTTTTCATAACGTTAAGCATAATAAAATTGAAAAGTTTTTTTGCCGAAAATCAAAGAAAATTCAATTTACTTCAGATACAATGAATGAAGTTTGTGCGGTCGATCGATTTACAGGAGAACAAAGTCTCCGAATTCGGTGCGAAAACTTCAACGATAAATTTGAAACACTTAGAAATATTTTCGATTAAAGTCTTCAAATAATAATTTTTAAGTTGGAATATTCGCGTCTCTACGAATAACCAGAAATAGGAGTAATGTAAAAAGAAGGATGGTAGGAAGGAATTTTGGGTCCACGAATATTCGTGAGCGTTAATTGTGCATACACCAATCTTGGATGCTCGAATCTTGCAAATTTGAATCTTTGCATACGATTCTTGGGAATATTCACCTCTTTTCTGATTTTTTATAGTTTTTCCAATTTTTTTTGAAAACTGAGTTTGATGTAGAATGTATACAGAGTGAATGAAAATGTGGTGGCCGTTCTGCAGTGAATCTTTGACAATGTTTATGCGAGAAAGACGCATTATTTGATAAAAAGTTAGTTGAAAACAATCACACAGTGTTCATTCGTGGTCTAAACACGACATCCTCACAATAGAACGACAAATGAAAAAAAAATGAAGGAAAGAAAAGAAGAAAATTCAAAAAAGAGGTGAATATTCCCAAGAATCGTTAGCAAAGATTCAAATTTGCGAAGATTCGAGCATCCAAAATTGGTGTATGCACAATTAATGCTCACGAATATTCGGGGACCCAAAATTCCTTCCTACCATCCTCCTTTTTACATTACTCCTATTTCTGGTTATTCGTAGAGACCGTTTTCAACTTGCCACTCTGTAATTTTTCACGATTTATGGTAGTTAGAAGACTTTTAAACAAATATTACTTCATTCGGCGCAGGTACTTCTAGTATTTCTGATTCATCTGGAATATCAGAATCCAGAACGACCTCCTGTGCGTTTTCGATTGGATCGTTCAGATCAGTCCGGTGACTTTGCTCAGGAACCGTAAGTAAGGCAGAGGATTGAAACTTCGACGGACACTGCGGACAAGTATAATCCCCTGAGAGAACTTATTAAAAACTCGAAAGTGACTTCTTATTATTTGATGTTTAATTTTACCTTGTAAATGTTCGCATTTCAATTTTCTGATCATTCTTTTCGATTCAGAGGCGGTCCTATCGTTCGTGTCTTAGCTCCAGGTGCCTCTTCAGATTGTCTTCCCGCTGTTCAACGTCGCAGTCTTTTCGGGACATTTCAGAAACACCCTCATTTTAGAGGGTTAACACAAGGTCTCTAAAAAGAGTGAAAACAAATGAATACATTTTTTTTCGATAACTATAATTTTTTTCAATGTGAATAAAATGATTATGTTAATGAAAAAAATTGTTTGGGTGAATCTTGAGAACTGGAAATTTATCATTCGAAGTTTATTTCAAAATTTTAAGTTGAATAACAAAAATTGAAAACAAAACAGTTCTTGTAAAATGAATGGGCAGAAATTTCATAAATAAATTGTTTTATTGATTGAAAAGGTTTTCACAGTATCGAAAGCAGGCAAACAAAAATCGAACAACTTAGTGGACATACGTTTTAGAAACTCGGGCAAAACTGGAAAGCTCACCAGCATAGGTAAAACGGAAAAGTTCCTTTGAGGATCCTCAAAGGAACTTAAGAGGAAGATAAAAAGCTTCCTCTAAAAGCTCCTAAAATGATGTAAAAAAGCTTCTGAGCACCTTTTTCATAGCCAAAAGCTCCCCAAAAGCTTTTCTCAAAAAAAGACCTTGAAAGGGTCCCCAGCAGATCTTTTTTACATCATTTCAATTCTTTTTTGCGTCTTTTTCACATCCTCTGACAAAAAGGATGCTGGAAAGCAACTAAAAAAAATTCGAGCGGATTCAAAAAGGATCCTCTGACACGGGAAGTGCGAAAGGTCGAGGTATTGGAATTTAATGAAACTTGGTATATAGGTACTTCCGAACACCCTGAATCCAAAACAGTTGAAAAAAAGTGCGCCTTTTTGGTTTTAGTCGAGTTAGGCCGCCTCAAAGTTTGCTCGCAAAAATTGCATTGGAAGGGAGGAGGGAATGTGTTGCGGCGGCTAACTCTAGCTGCCAGCAGGCGGCGTGGTGTAGTGGCTAGAGGCCTTACGCTGTGAAACCTATGATGCAGGTTCGGTCCCTTTTTGGTGGAACTTTTTTTTGCTATGAAGTTTTTCGAAAAAATCGATGAATTTTTGAAGATAGAACGAAAAATACCGTTCAAAGTGTTAAAATTCACTATTTTATGTCGTTTTGAGAAAGACTTTCAACAAAAAAATTTTTTAGTCTTTTTTTGTCCTGCTCTATGCAGAAAATTTGGGCGTCGAGATTATTCTTGCGAGAGTTCATAGGTTTGTGATATAAATAACAACTTGTTGTAGTTCTATGCTTCTATTCTTATTCATCAAACGATTTTTTTCTTCAAAGGTGGCGGTTAGTTAACCCTTTTCCTTGTCTTTTTTTCATTCCCTGCAGCATCGCCATATCATCTCGATTGTGAAAATAAAGTGAAGCTGGACTTTGATACACAATTTTACACACATAACGTCATAAAGGAAGGAAGGAAAAAAGAATAAATCTCATAAAACTTTAATTTTATTGGTTCATCAGAAAATTTTTTGAAGGAATGGGTCGACCATAAGCCTTATGGTTAGGCAAGGAAAAATGGAGCAAAAAATTTTTTTGTCGAAATTCTTTCTTAGATGGGCATAAAATGGTGAATTTCAAAAATTTTGAGTTTTCTTTCACTCCATCATCAAAACTTCCTCATTTTTCAAATAAAAAAAATTGGCAAAAAAAATTTGACAAAAAAAAGACCGAACCTGCATCAGAGGTTTCACAGCGTAAGGCCTCTAGCCACTACACCAGGCCGCCTGCTGGCAGATAGAGTTAGCCGCCGCAACACATTCCCTCCTCCCTTCCAATGCAATTTTTGCGTGCAAACTTTGAGGCGGCCTAACTCGACTAAAACCAAAAAGGCGCACTTTTTTTCAACTGTTTTGGATTCAGGGTGTTCGGAAGTACCTATATACCAAGTTTCATTAAATTCCAATACCTCGACCTTTCGCACTTCCCGTGTCAGAGGATCCTTTTTGAATCCGCTCGAATTTTTTTTAGTTGCTTTCCAGCATCCTTTTTGTCAGAGGATGTGAAAAAGACGCAAAAAAGAATTGAAATGATGTAAAAAAGATCTGCTGGGGACCCTTTCAAGGTCTTTTTTTGAGAAAAGCTTTTGGGGAGCTTTTCAGTTTTGCCCGAGTAGAAGCTTTTCTCAAAAAAAGACCTTGAAAGGGTCCCCAGCAGATCTTTTTTACATCATTTCAATTCTTTTTTACATCTTTTTCACATCCTCTAACAAAAAGGATGCTGGAAAGCAACTAAAAAGATTTGAGAGCATTCAAAAAGGATCCTCTGAGGCTATGAAAAAGGTACTCAAAAGCTTTTTCACATCATTTTAGGAGCTCTTAGAGGAAGCTTTTTATCTCCCTCTCAGGATCCTTTAAGGATCCTCGAAGGAACTTTTCCGTTTTACCTATGTGTATACTACTAGCAAGTACCCTACTCGTATTCCTTTGCGCAACAGCGTCTCCAATATCTTCAGGTCCAAGTAGGTGGACCTGGAGCCCAATGGCTCGTGTATGGCGGCAGGGGCGGTCTCGGCCGACCACGCCCTTCGAACTGCCGCAGCTCACATTCTCGTGCTCCTTCGACGCGAATGGCCGGTCCCAGCAAGAAGTCGAAGCCGTCTTGGCTCCTCTACGGCCTGCTGGCTATCGTCCTCGCCGTCGGAATCTGTACTGCAGTCGTCATTTATCTGACTCTCATTCGACCTCCGAACTATGGACCAGACCCTCAGATCAACAGCAGCAGTCTCTTTCGTCCTATACCTACTACTGTTACCGCTAATCAAAGTTCTGCCGGTGGGTTTTTAATGATATATATATATATACATATATATATATAACTTTCAAATTATATCTCAACAGGATTGTCGAAAGTTTCCCCCACAAAACCTCAATATGGTTCGCAAAAACACAGTGCGAAATAATTCGTATTGAAATTAATAAAAAAATGATGTTTTCCTCTTTTTTTCAAACATCTTTGTCAACTTTTTATGAAAAAAAGTCTTTCGAGAATAGTTTAAAAAAATCTCTCATAAAGCATTTTTTTTCATTGTTGCTTTTTGAAAAAAATTTGACGGTTTTTTTAAATGATTTATATAAAAAAATAAAAATAAAGCTTATTGTCATTTTTTTCTAGAATAAGTTTTAACAATCTGAAATGATCCCACACTTGCTCCATACTTGCTTTATAAAATATGATGATCAGAAACATCGACGACATCTGAGACCACGTCATCGGTCCCTCTGACGACGTTGCTGACGACGACGACTTCTGCAACGACGGAGACGAGCTCGGCGGCTCCGTCGACGTCGACAAGTCCAGTCGAGATAACCCTCCCGGTCAACATCGACTCTCTTCTCAAAGAGTACTCCAAGAACAATGAGGTTTCTACCTCGCTTGGCGGCGGCTGATTCAGTTCTGCATTACACTGTTTCCGCACTTGTTTTTCATTTTTTTTTTCTCTGCTCTTTCACTTATTTCATTAAAGCTATGGACATGTAGAAAAAAATATGAGTTTTTTTTTTTAGATAATCGAGAAGTGCTCCAAGATCGCGACGAAGCCTGTGCTGTGCCGTCCCTCGAATGAGCCGATAAGGTAAGAGTCACTTGTGAAGTCTCTTTTTTGCTCAAGGCACACAGTTCCCACTTGAGTGATACCACTTTTACGATGCCGCTCAGGCGTCTGACCTACAAAAACCCACTCAAAAACGGAGTATTTCAGAAAGTTTTTGAATCTGGAAAAAAAAAGTAAATCTTTTAAATAAAACAAATACTAAAAGCTCATTCCAGAAAGAACAGCTAGAAAAGGTGTGTATTCCGAAACAAAACGATTCCAACTTGAATATTGAGCATTTTCTTGTTTCAAAGTAGTTTTCATAACTTGAACCGTCTTTATAGAGACTTGAACGCGTCATCTTTCTCGCCGCTCCACTATACTCTGAACCTGACGGTCCGTTCAGTGCAGCCAACTTTCCTCGAAGGCGATGCCTCGATATTCGCCAAGACCAATTTTCAAGGCAACCTGGTAAACTCACTTCACTCTGTTCTGTGAGCAGGCGGAAAGTTTTGCAGATCACTCTCAATGCAGGACGGCTCCGCAACGTCGAGAACGTGAAGATCATCAACTGCGGCAACGGTGAGAGCCTTTGTTTGTCTGATGGGATCTCGGAAAGAAAACTGGGACAGGTGGAAGACAAATTAGCATGGCGCTTGTCATTTTGCATGATGCGCCCGAGTGCTGCCAATTTGTTGCTTCTTTTTTTCGTTGTAATCCTCGCCCGAGAGTGCACCTGTGGCTTTTCCAATGACTAGCATTTGTGCAGTCGTCCACGAAAACACGCAGAAGAGCTTATTTCTTCCTGTTTACTAAGGAAAAACAATTTCTGCAGTTTTGATATGATATGTTCAATGCTAGTTTGAAACATCAGAAAGAGTTCAGACTTAGGAAAAGTTTTTTGGGTTAATATCTGCAAGTTCTAGTCGAAAAGGAAAAAAATAATAATATCGAATCAGTTAAGGTGAGCAGTGGAGTTCTAAGAAAAACCTAGAGTTTTTATCAGGCTGTCGAAAAGTTCAACTCAAGTGCAAAAGATATTGCGGCGAAAATCTATTGGAACTACCGTGTGCAGAGTGCTGACAAAATAAGAATAAAAACGATTTTTGAGCTCAACTGTCTCAAAAAGTGTGAATTCGTTGTGTTTTGGCACGTGGAAGCCATCGGCGGAGGTCGTTATGTCGAAGGCATAATGGATGCCTGACGGTGGATGAGTCAGACTCCTGCCGAAGTCGGCGGCCTCAGACAGCTGTTCGCAACGCGATACCTCTGGACTCTTTCCTCTGCCGCCATTAACAGTTTACGGACGAAGACTCGCTTTCACGTATAAAAAAGCGACGAGACCCGATAACAAATCGTCGGTTGAGTCCTCCGTCCAGGCTTCACGCAGTAATCGGACCTGCATGACAATGAGATTAGCATCGGCGAGTCCGATCCGCTACAAAAAGACCTAATCCACTTGTTGCTCTTAACCCCGGTCAAGCGCAATACTCGGCTGTTTTTGACAAGTGATCCAGGCGATTAGGTACTCGTAGAAAAGTTTTGATGTTCAAATCTATCTTTACAAAGTTTTTTCTCTTAGTTTTCCCGGAATATCATTTTCAAAAAGTCGCGAAAATGCTTTAAATTCGTTTTCTGCTCTTCGCTGTGCAACTTCATCACAATTACTGATACGAGTGATTAACTTTAGCGGGTTTCAATGAGAAGAAACTTGACTGAAGAACGAGGTCAATCTTTTTTCTGACTCCAATGCTTCTTCTCAAAATGACAAAGGCACGGAGGGTGTGAGAAGTTGCGGCCGGCTGAGTGCTAACAACACGAGTAACCATTAATCAAAGCCGGATGGCCATACGTCACTTGCCGTTCGCCTTACAAAAACTCTCATCCTGGGACCAAGCTAGCCTGGACCGCACAAACAAGTGGGAGTCTTGCAGGAGAAACGGTTTGTGTGACTCGAGTAGAGCATGACTCGGCGCAGGGGACGCTGTCGTTGCTCATGGAGCAGACGATCGAATCCGACGCCATCCTTCGTCTCGACTTCAACAACTTCATCTCTGCCGACAACACCGCTCATTTCTATAAGCAGGTAAAATGAAAAAGTTGCTATACAAATGAAAATAATCAAGTTGTTCAGGATATTTTTTGAAAATCGCTAGGAGAATTCATATAAGGGAGCTTCTCACTACATAAAGGCTTTAAAAATAGAAAACTGAGACCACGGGATGAATATATCTAAACGGACTAAAAACAATTTTCGATCTACGAAAAAATAAAAAATTCAGGAAAAAAAACGTTTTAAAGCAAGTTTCCAATAACTTTTTTAAAACCACTTCCAAGAAAATGCAATCAAACTTGTGAACCGTATCGTAAACGCGTCAACTGTGACCTGAATCAATATAAAATTTCTTGTTTCTATATTTTTTACCAGCGTTGGTTTTATCGATTTGTATTTTATCCTAAAGCAAGGATTCGAGGAGTGCAGTCAATTTCATTTGTGACCAGTAGTATATGCTTTTTGTATCAATCAGTTATTATAATATTTTGGTGAAATTAACTACCAACAACATTATTTCTAACTAATATACCATTTAAAATAATTACGTTATTGAGATTCTTAATAGGCTTCTGTAGACCATTGACTTCCGTGAACTCACTGCAAATTGAAAATAAAACTTGAATTTTTAGGTAGCAAAATGGGACCGTGGAATGCCGACCTTTTTGGGAACTCTGTTCGAAGAGACGTCAGCACATCAGATTTTCCCCTGCTTCGACCACCCTTCTCAGAAGGTCGAAATCTCTTCAACAGCGATTCTAAACGAACTGCTTGCAGGCCACGATGTCGCTCTGCATCAACCACAATCCGTCGTTCACGGTTCGGTCCAATGCCGACGGGCTAGCCGAGCCTTCGCCTGGAAGTACTTGCTTCGCCAAAACCGTTCCCATCACTGCCCAGCAGTTCGCCTTTGTCGCTTTTGACCGCGTCAGTTTGTCAAATCTTTTCGAATCGAAATGACGCTATAAACAGAAACACATGGAGATACTTTACTTTCCTCTTTTTATGCGCATTTAATTGGGACTCACGGTTCTGCAGTTTTTTGTTTTTGATTGGCAAACTCTTCTAGTTTAAATAGATCAAAAAAGAAAAGGTCCTGATAAAAACGTTTTGCCTTTCGCGAAGTGTTAAAACACCGATATGATCTTTAAAAAACGATCACGCCCCGTTTTCAAAAACGATTAGTGAAAGTACGGTGTACAAAAGAAGGAGGAGTTCTCTCACGATAAACCTTAGGGAGGTGAACCGCAGAAGTTCCTTTTTTTTTTAACTTTTTGCGCAATATACAAAGAAGAAGTTGCAGGCAGAAACGATGTTCTACAATCGGACGACCATCGATGGAGCTTACATTCCGGACATCGAGATTGTGTTCAGCGTCAATAAAAACTTCAAACGCGAGAAAAACGAGTGGATCCACGCAGAAGCCTCCAAAGTCTGACTTTTGTTTCTCTGAAGAAATGTCGAAGAGCCACGACTTCAGGTGATCGCCCTACTGACCAAGTGGACGGGCTTCTCTTTCCCTCTCAACAGACTCGTTCTGGTCAGCGCCAACATTCCGCCCCCAGGTCACTCGTCTCTCGGTGTCATCACTCTTCCAGTGAGTCGACTTTTTCGATTGCTTCATTTTCGGTTGTCATTTCTACTCATTTGTGGCCTTCTCCTTCTCTTAAAAAATAGTTGAATCGAAATTTTAAAATCAGATGGACGAAGTTTTTTTTCGAAAAAAAAGCCCAGCATTGTACAATGAGATCTACTGACTTTTCGCACACTTTTTTGGTCCCCAAATTTTTTCAATAACTCAAAAAATTCACAAAAAGGAGTTTTTATTTTACTTCTTCTCAGGGAGCTCTCGTCGAACACCCGAGCTACACGACGACGCACGTCTCACTCGTCAAAGAGATCATCGGCCAATGGCTCGAAGGCGTCGTCACGACGGTCGGCGGAGACGACAACTGCTTCGAGGTGCGTCCTGAACAGTTCTTCGGACAGCCTCAAAAACTGAAAACTTGTTGCACCAACATATGGCAACACTCGGCAAAGGCAGAAGCCGAAAGTTGAGAAGGAGATGTCACGTCGACATGTGTTATGATAGGCCGATGGCCCACACATGTTTACGGCTGGTTGAAACGCCGATTGTAATGCGGTTTGGCCATCAAAATCCCAATTCTCATCAATTCTCATATGTCCGCTGCCTATTAATCATCTGCTGAGCACCCAATGGTTCTGAATTTTACAAAATCTTTGCCCGTGCTGCCCATTCTTTCTTCGAATTATTGCTTCTTGACATCGACTGTAGCTAAAACGCAGATTTTTCTGACGTTCCGCCAAAGAACATTACAACGTGCAAAAACGTGCTAAACTTCGCGAAATACGATACGGAGTTGCTTTAAAAAAACGTGTTGGAAAACACATTTTTCTCTGACCTCAAATCTCTTAGCAGCGACAATATATCTACTCCGAACGATCACCTAAGAAAAGTTGGGAAGGATTTGGGCGAATGGTCTCAATAACAGACACTCGACCCATGAGCCATGAAGTAGAAACTCAAGTAGCCCAACTTCGCCTCGACAAACAACGTCTGGCGAAGACGTCTGGCGACGCGTTGCGCAACGACTCTCATGTCGAGCAGAGCGCCAGACGGAATGAGCTCTCGGAGCTTTGCCGAAGAGCAGTTTACGACTGCCGGCTGCACCTTGGCGCTCTTGAGGTCGCCGACCTCTTTTTTCATTTGGACGGCAAATCTTTTTCATCTCAGAAAAAACGACTGTAGACTCACTCAGAAATGAATGTTCTCCGTAATTACAGTATTTCTAGTATGCTCTCAGATATTTTTCGATGGTTTTTCCATTGTTTCCAAACATTTTTTGGGAGGTTAAGCATACCAAAGTTTTCAAAAACTCATCGTTATCCGTGCTGATTCACGTTGAAAGTTCTCATCTTCTTAAGTTAATAAAACTTCCAAAAATGTTCCATATAATCCCTGGTTACTGTCGATTTTCTTATTTCATTTTTCTCTAATTTAATATATAATTTTCATGTAATTTCTTAAAAAGAAATTGCGTGAGACTATTAGGATCGCTAAAAAAAGTTACCTTGAATGATTAGTTTTGTCAGAAGAAATAAATTGAAAAAGTTTGGCATCAACCCTGTCGTTGACAATATTTTTTTAACTTGAGTGATTCTTTTAAATTGAATATTTTTTTACTTTACATACCTTTCCGTAGTTCGGTTAATAAATTAATATAATAAATCGAAAAAGAAAATCTCGAAAAAAAAACTCACGAAATGATCAAGAAGTGGAAACCGGTTTCAGTCAAAAAGTAAATAGGTTCTGTTTTCAATTTTTTTTTCTCAGAAAGCCCTGACGACGTACCTTGAGTGGAAAGTGAACGAAAAGCTGCAACTAGTGAAGAAGTCGCGCAAGCAGGAAATTCTAAACATCAGGCCCCTCGACCTCAAGGCCGAAACCAAGTCGCCGAGAATTCTTCGCACCCCTTCTATCCCCGTAAGTCAATTAACAGTTGCCTCCGCTGGAAACTTGAAAAAAAGTCTCCAGTAGAACATTCTGTCGATATTCTTGACTTTGTGTCCTGTGCTAATCAAGTGAAACAAAGTGTAGTTTTTGTGATGAAGGAATTTTGCAGGGAGGAAAATGTGAGGTTCGCTATGTCGAAGTGTTCTACGCTCTCGACTCAATTTTCGGAGACGCCACAGTCATCGGAACCCTCCGCGAGGTCAGAACTCCACTCCAAACCGCAAAATTTCGTGGTTCTTCAGATTCTGAACAAACACGCGTTCTCCGTGGCGACTATTGCTGATTGGGAGGCTGCCGCCGTCGCCGCTTCTGGTCGTCCCGAAGCAGGTGAACGAAGATCGGAGGCATCTCAATCAACCATTTTTCGCTTCAGGAACTCTCCTTGCGGAATGGTTCTCTAGAAAGACGCGACCAGTCCTCCGAGCGACGGTCACGGGACAAGCCATAGAGTTCGAGGTTTGATCTGAGATTCTCGGAACGAGTTCATTGGAGTTTCCAGCAACTGACGTCGTCCCTTTGGACGGTTCCACTGGAAGTGGCAAGCTCGTCAGGCACTCAGCTGGCGGTGATCACGGAGAGGAAGCAAGTTTTGCCCTTCCAGTCGCTCGACTATGTCGTCGTCGATCCGCAGAGAAAGTCTCCAGCTTTCGTCGTCTATGATGTCAGCTTTCCGAGAGATCTGGCCGAGAAAAGGATGGATTCAGGCTGACACCTACGAGCGTCTGATGCACTGCTTCGACGACAAGGGCCGGTGTCCTTCGACAGAAGTCGGAGGGGTCCTGACGGACCTCGGCGCGGCATTGTTGGCCAATCACTTGCCGGCTCCCGAGCCGCGCGATGTTCCAAAGTGGAAAGCTTTGTTCACGGTAGGTCTTAGCTTTTATCAGACAACTTTGACGGTCGTCTCGATTTTTAACTTTTTTTTTATTAATAAAAAATGGATACGTCTGAAAAGGACATTGCTCATAGAGAAAAAAATACTAAGAGAAGATCCGACAAATAAGGCGTTTTGAACAAAATCATCGAACTCGGAAAGAAATGTTTGTTAATGATAAGTTTCACTTGAATATTTGCTCAAGAATCTGGAGCAAGAAACGGTGTTGGGAATTTCAGTTCATGACGCGGAAAAAGCTGGTCTCTGGAGACGCGGCGTGTTGTGTGCAGCACGCGATCCGGCAAATGTCCGACGCTCAGTGCACGTGGGTCATCAACGACACCTGCATGCTCCTCGACATGAACAAGGCGCTCGTCAGCGCTGCTTGAGCTTCTTCGCTTGTAAATTCTTTTTCCTTCTAATACGGTTTTTCATCAAGCTCATTAATCTCTTTCGTGCCTTCCTTCGATGCTGTTACATGTCTCAAAAGTACCTTTTTCGATACTCAGCAAAAAATAGAATTCAATCTCAGTCCCTCCTAACGAAAATGTTCTATCTGAATGAAGTTTGCAGGGCTCCAGAGAGATCGGGCTCAAAATTTCTTACCTGTCTTTTGATGCTCACATTGGTCTTTTCCGGTCTAACTGCCGCATACCCTAACTTATTTTTTGACAAAATTTGTTTTCCCTTTTTGCTTCGAGCTTTACCTGATCTTGCCTCTTCGATTCAGGAAATCTTCTCATGTACTCTACGACCACTTAAATGTACATTATGTGAAAGAAATCATGATAAATAATAAAATTCATTATACTCTGAATTGAAAACAGGAAAATAGTTTGATATGAACAAAATCGAACATAGCTGGAATAAAGAGAAAAATGAGCAAATGAGCTATCACCATTAGAATCGCTAAAGCACTTTTGAACTACCCTATTCCCTTGAGATTCGTGTACTGTACATGGCAAGTAAAAACGTTGATACTGTTAGAGAAAGAGGTGCGAATGGGGAATAAAATAATATGTGATTTTGATTGGCAGTGAAACGCGTAATAAACTATACAAGTTCCGAAAAAAAAGTAAAAACCTAAAAAAGAAACACGAACATTGAGGTTTCAGTCATCATCTGTTATTTTGCAGCTATTAGCCGTTGGCGAACAATTGGAATATGTCTGGAAGAAAGAATCTAACTAAAAATCTCAAAACAAGGTAGACGGAATCTACGTCGTAGTCTAACGTTGCCTCGCGCCTTCTAAGAGGTTCAAAAAAATTCAAAAAAGAAACCTTCAAATGTGGATGGTCCAAATCGCCCCGATTGGTCGATTTCTTGACGCTTTCTGCCCCCGAAAGTCCCACTCCAAAGTTTTTCACACACGCGCATCGTTTCTGCTTCGTTGCTGGGTCAAGTAGAAGTCTGAAAATAATACTCCATAAACAATTGCTGGACTGAACTTCTAGCTTTGGCGAGTTTTCCAAAATTCGACGAACAATTGAGAGCAATTGAGAAAAGAAGTAATAACAACTTATTACGAATTTCAATACAATAGAAAAAAAAAAATCTCAACAAAGTTTTTTCAGGAAATCGTCTATCTAGAGGTTTCGAATGTCCGCAAGAAGTCAGAGAAGTTGATAAGGAGAACTATAATCATGGATGGCATGTGAGCGAAACCTAGGGACGCCGGCCCAATCTCTGTTGATTCCGCCGCTTTTCGTCGAACACCACACTCGTCCGCCTGTCTTCTGATGCCATTCGCTATTGCACGGTGGGAAGACCTCAAGAAGAAACTATACGACCGGTTCAAATAAACTAAAGTAAATCGTGCTAACAGAAAAATTACGTGCTGGAAAGCTTCTAATAACAAGTCTACCTTTGCAAAAAAAAAATTAGAGCTTGATAGAGTAAACATCAAGTTTCAAAAAGCAATTCATGTGGATATCGTGATATAACTCGTTGAAGAAGCATATATTTACCGAGGAAGTCCCTAATGGAATGAAACTTTGAAGTTTTGTTTTGATGACGGAATAAAAAATTTAAACGAGCCGTTGCCTTTAATAAACTTTGGAGTTAGTATAACGTATTACGTTTCTTGCTTCTGAATTATAAATTTTTTGAAGTTGCGAAAACTGTAAAAATAAGAAATTTTAGTGCACTGAACTCTTCTTTTCGCAGGGAGAATCGAACTGGAAAGCGGTATAAAGAGTAAACCAACTCCTAACTCCAAAAAAAAGGTTATCGAGATGATAAATGTCAAAAATAACCTCAGCCTCAGCTGACTTCATTTTGCGGAAGTCATTGGCGGTCTCAATTCGGGCCAATACCTAAAATTTACTGATGCTTCAATCTTATCGAAACTATTTTTTTTTCGATAAAATAATACATAGAAGGAGAAGTTATCAAAAAGTTACTTCTTCGAGTTCAGAGGTAGGATTTCCCTCAGAGTCGTAATAACGTCCAGAAACAACTCCAACGATTGAATAGTCTTTCTCATAAAACGACAGCCAATCGCGAATTCCTGAAACTCGTATGAATGATTGAAAGGCAGAAAAAAATACCGAGCAAATCTTCGTGGGAAAGGCCTTCCGTCGAGTCTGTCAGACCTTCCTCGCTGAAGTCGCCAGTGACGAAGGCCCGCGTCGCGTCTCGGCCTGTTCAGGAGCTTTTTTTAAGATATTCAAAAAAATTAATGAAACGAAAACGTCAAAAAGGTTCTTCTTGAGGGCGAAATAAACACTCACCAGAAAAGAAGTGGTATCCGCCACCAACTCCATAATGTTTTTTGCCTTTGTTCACATCATAAACCCGTCCAAGGATCGCCAGGTAAATAGGTCTGAAAGAGAAAATTTTTTTTTTGAAATTTTGAAAAAGGCTTTGAAATCAATAAACTGAAAACTTCCACCACAAGAGGGCCATTTCAGTAATTTAAGTTTTTTGAAATTTTTTCGAAAAGTTCCCTGAGGCCTCCATTAAAATCTCTCGAAGTCGCAAGCTGCACAAAATTCTAGTTTCAGAGATATGCTTTTTTTTCAGAGCCAGTGATGGTGTCCTCAACTATTTGAGATCAGTTTTTAAAATTGTTAAGATGTCTTTACTTTGATATCCAAAAATTGTTGAGTTCATATATGAATTATGTGAAGCTTCTTACTGAAATAGCGTCTACTATCAGATTAGTCTTCGGTTGACTTCGAAAAAAATAAACCGTAAAAATGACTCGATAAACAAACTTAGAGTCTCTGGTTCCATCGAAGAACTTTAATTGTTCTGGTGTCAGTATTTTCTTGCTTCCCGTTGTGTGAACTTCAGCATCCACAGCCTGAAAATGCTCTCTGAGGACTTTAAACCAACATTCAACCTTATAGTACCTTTGAAAAATCATTTTCATTTTCCTTTCATATAAAACTTATCCGGAAACCAAAAAAAAGGACCTTCAGATCTTCTGCTTTCCGGGGTTGAATTTTCAAGTTTTCTTTGGTTTCTTCCCAGGAATCACGAATCCAATCCAATGTATCTCGAGTGTATTGAAACTTAATAAACTATGAATATGAAAAAAAATCAGAAAAAAACCTCTTCCAAATATCCTAAGGCTACGTCGGTCGCATTCCGGAAGCCAAAGTTGTAATATGAGGAAAAGAAGGAAAGAACAGCTATCTGAAATAAATTTTCGATTGGCGGTAAATTCGAAAACGAGTTACCTGTACAGACACGTAAATCAGTGTGGTTGTGTAGAGCCCCGAAGAAATCTTGAAGCGGCTCGTTGGCTTTTTCGGCGGTTCGCCGTCAGGCATATTTACCTAAAAAATTTATTCTTCACTTATAAATTAAAAAAAAAGACACGATAAAAACACGAAATGAACGAAACTGCATCACGGTGAAATAAAAGATGAAAAAGAGAGATAGGAGAGATAAGTAAAATATACAAAATGACAAGTTCTTCACGTCACCGTTCCATTTTTTTAAGAACTTGAAAAAAAGAAGATTCCGAATCAGATAAATTTTTTTCTTTTTGAAAAGCGTTTCTTGCAGCACGAACCCGTTATTTTTACTTTTCAAAACATTTTAATTGGGCCTGGGAAAATGTCTACGATAGAAGCTGAATTGAAACATTTATAAAAAAAAATTTTGATAGCTGAGCAGAAATCATGGTCGTAAATGAAAAAAAAAAATTAGAGAAATGACGTTCTTGAGCGCAAAAACTGCAGATAATGAAAGCACTTTGCCTATTACTGGCTCGACGGTTTCGTTCAACTATCAAACAAATTGACATGTACAAAATGAGAAAAAAAAACCTATCAAGAGACTATGAAAGATTTTCAATACATATTAGGACAATTAGCGTCTTCAGCTGGTTTTTCGCGAGTGTACTCGACGAACTGGTCCAGAAGAACAGGCCAGGCACCGTCGTCATCGTAGTTGCTCATGTCAGGTTCAACAACGAGCAAGAAATCGAGAAGCAAGTTCCAGGTGTCGCGTGAAATGGCTGCCTTGTGCTCCTTCCGCAAGAAATCCTCCCATTTACTCAGCACAGGATAGCGGTCGCCGAAAAGAATATTCCAGTAAGCCAACGCATTTTCGAGTTCCAGACTACGTTGGCTCGCCTGCTTGCCGTATGAGAAAGTGAAGATGTAGAGTTCGCGGAACTTGGAGCCGTCGTCGTCGAGCTCTGAGTCGAGCTGGTCGAGTCGGGAGCGAAGAGAATTGGCGCTGCTCACCCGTAGAGCTGTCATCCCTGCCAGCCATTCTTCCCAGGTGAACTCGCACTGCGTAGCAGCCTTGAGCTTGAGCGCCAGTAGAAGAACGCGTCGGTCCATCGGTCCCAACTGCAAGTCGTTGAGAAGCCGCAGAACTCCGTTGGGCCCGATTTTGCGCACTCCGCAGTTGTCCCGTGAGTCGTTTGCATATGTCGTGAAGAACTTCTCGATTTTATTCTTGTCGTTAGCTTGCGTCTCGAACATGTTTGGGTTTTGGAAATACAGTTCGGTCGCAACATCGACGTTCCAGCTTGACTTGGTCAGGTAGTTTATCGCGACATCTTCCGTTTTTTGGGTCCACTGGCAGAACTTCTTCACTTTATTGCGCTGGTCAGTCTTTAACCGGTTCATTCGGGCAAACGAAAATTTTTCGTAAGGTTGTGGCAGGACGACCACTTGAACCCTGGAATGAAAAAACTTGATGAAAAATAAATGTGCAATTGAAAAGTTCTAACGATAAAATTGAGTTTCTTCTCAAAGATTTTAAAGGATAAATCAGTTTTCTTAATTTATTCAATTTTTTCGCCTGTCAAACTGGTTGAAAAAAAAACTTTCCCGTCTCTCGAGAATGAATAAACAAATGTAGAAAAAAAGAATTGAAAACTTCTTAGAGGACTCTTAAAATTCATATTTCCTTTTTTTATACAATCTGAGGGTTTCAAAGCACAAGGTCGACAATCTTCGAGATCTCGAGAAAAAACCCTTACCTAACTTCCTTTGAAGAGAAAAAAATCGCGAGATGGAGGAAGAAAAAAATCGCGAGATGGAGGGAACTTCAAATCGGAGTGGCATATTATGAACAAAAAAAAAAGATGGGGTTGAAGGAACTTCAGATATGTTTAAATACACGGATATGTTAACAAATTATTTAGCAATTAAGTAAATATAGTAGATGAACTTGATCCCTAGGAGGGCTTGTAAAAATATTGGATGGAGCGCGGTTGTCACTTGCCTGCTGGTTTCGCGGAGCTTCGTAAAAGGAACATTTCAAGGTTTTCACGGCTAATTTTTGAGCTTCATCTGCGTTTTCTCAATTCATGCCGTGTTCAAAGTAATTTCCGCGAAATGCAAAACACCCGTTAGAGAAAGGAAAAGATCACTAAATTTTGGAGAGTCAGAGATCATTTTGCATTTCGCGGAAATTACTTTGAACACGGCATCAAATTCAATTTTAAGCATGCTTATTGATCGAGTCAAGAGTTTTTTAAATAGAGAAACTGAGTCTTTTACTGAAATCCCAACTCGACAACTTTGCATGAATGAAATTCAGCAGTAATAAACATTCAACAGGATTTACTCTTCAAACCGAAACTTTTTTCAAAGATATTCGAAAAAATTTTTGTTTTTTTTCAATAAGTTAAATTAAGATATGGCACGTGAAGATGTAGACTATCCACCAAATTGTCAGCCGATCTCATCAACAGCTTCTTCGCATGAAATCGTAAAAAAATTGAAGGTTTTTTCTTTCATCAAAAAATGGACTTTTTTTTTTCAAAAGATTTTATTGGAAAATCTTCATGAAATTCCTCCAAACCATGAGTGTGGGTCACCTACGCGTTATCTGAAGCTTTTCCACCATATGTCACAAAACTCGTTTTTGAGTATAGCGAACAAGGACGTACAGGTTTTCCAGTATTCTTTGAGCATATAAATAACAGTATGATTATTTTGCACAGATATATCTGGCATGTTGCCTGGCAAATATTCTCCGCATTTTCAGTCCTGAACTGCCTAGCTCGGACCCGAGAAACTTGAAGGTCTAGCAAAAAAAGATTTGCATAAGTTTTATATATAATTTTTTTTTTTCACAGGAGCAATATCATTTCATACTTCGTGTGTTGAAAGATCTTGGCGAAACTCGGCCCGATAGTCCGATGTTCAAACGTTTTCATTATCTTCTCGAGGTGAGATTTTCTATCAGAAGAACTTTTTTGAAATGTTCTACAGCTCATTCACGCGGCCAAGTTGATGCATGCGGTTAACGAAATGGGAGACGAATCATCTGTGGTATATCGCAGTCTTTTGAAGTCTGTGTTGCAAATTCCAACCGGAAAAGGATGGAAAAAGCCCCAGAACGCTGCCAAGAAAGACATAGCTAAGGAGGAAACCGATCAAGTGTTGAATGAGGGGGATAATGAAACAGAAGACGACGAAAGGGATGTGTATGACAAAGTGAGCTGCTTATTTTTTCGATTTGAAGTCATGAAGATTTTTTAGATAAAAGAAATGCTAGTGGATCTCAGCTGTCGAACGATTCATGAGATGGACCAAGTGTCCAATTCTGTGCTGGACGTAATTTTTTTCTACTTGATTAAACCTCAAAAGGTTTTTAAAAACTTTGCTACACTTTGTTAATTTTTTTTTAGTTGCAATGCGTCGAATCAAGCGAACTGGCGCTCATTATTCTCAAGAAATCGAAAATCCACTTAGAGCCGAGCATCCACGCGGTTTTAGACTTCGATTCGATTGAAAACCCGGTTGATTTGAGGTGCTGGAGCAAGCAGTGATGGCCGGCGAGCTCCCGAGTGAGTTCGAGATGACAGGCTCAGGCTGCCGCTCGAAACTTTTCGAAGTGATCCGGGAGTTGCACGACATCTCTGCTGACTTCGTTTCTACTGTCGTTCCTTTCCTGCCCAAACTTTTGCAAGTGAGCTTCCCGAAAATAGCCGCGTTCAAAGACGTTTAGGCGGAGGATGAGAACCATCGTGAACACGCGACTCGTCTCATCGGAATGATGGCTCGGTCTCCCAGAAGCAAGTTTGGCGAAAATCCCTGAAGACGAGACTTGGAACGCCTTCCTCCAAAGGTATATTGCGAAGCTCTTGCTTCACCTCTCAAATCGCAGGTTTCGCGACACGTCCGTCAAAATAAGAGAGGAGTGTACTCGGCGGTCAACCGATATTCTCATGAACCACGCCCAACTTCGTGGCCAAATTTCCGGTTTTTTTTTTTCATTTTTTTTAAAACATCAAATGCGTTACCAAAATCTTTCTTTTCACTTGCGTCAGTTTTTCCGCAATGATTTGAAAAAAATGAAGATTTTTTTCTATTAGTTAATAAGTAGTGAGGCTTTCAAAAAAAAAAAAAGGTCATTTCCGTTAGGGCGTGGGAGACTTTCCTAAGCTTTAACAGAAAAATTTCGATGTTTAGATAAGCACATCAAAAAGTTAATTTTTCTGGACTCTTCCTAGTTAAGTAAAACTTTTAGAATACTTCAAACGAAAGTAAATAGTTTTGCGAGTTTCAACTTGCAATTCTTATTAATTTTGGTCTAATGAAGATCTAATTAGACAGATCCAGACTCTGGATTCCAGAGAAACATCACTTCAAAGTAAAAATAATTCCTTCTTTTAGATTCCAACAGTAACTAAGATTTTGTTTGAAAAAAAATGAAATGCTTTCAAATTTAAAAGTTTTCTTAATATTTTTTTTTAGTATTTTCTTTGGACATCTTTTTTGTGCAATCTGAAGGTTGAAAAGCGGCGCTCTTTAATTTTCAGTATATGAATGATGTTTTTAGGGTACCTGGAGAGACTGATCCATGACTCTGAAGAATCGGTGCGCGGGCTCGCGATTCAAGTGATCACAGACACTGCGAAAGTGCGGCTGGAAGCCATAAGTGAACAGCTGATAACAGCCTGCTGCGAAAGGATGCTCGACAAGAAGGTTTTCGTCGTCTTTTGCTCGACTCAAGTTTTGGTTCCAGCCAAAAGTTCGCGCTGAAGCCATCAAACGGCTTTTGTCTTTGTTTTACCACGTCGTTTCCAACTGCGGACTGAACGGCAAGTACACTTCCTCCGACCGCGAGGCCGTCTTTCTGATCCCTCAGAAGACTTTGAACGTCTACAAAATGGCCAGTCGAAGTTCTACCATGGAAGACACCAAGTAGATTCTCATATCATCTGTCCATACTTTTCCTTTTCAAAGGGTGATGATCGAGAGATACTTCCAACTTTATATGATTCCTTACAAAATGGACGTTAATGAGCGTATCAAACTGATGAGCGACTTGTACACGCGCCTTGACCCCACCAGTGTGCAGTAAGTTTTCTCCTTCCTGAGAATTTCTATAAAAGGCTTTCATTAATGAAAATCACAAAAAAAATATTTGGATTAGTTACATTTTTCTAGTAGAAAAAAACATACGAAGTCTTCGAGAATGATCTGTTTTTTCGAGAGCCGACTTGCGAAATGAATGATAAAAAATGATTTTCTTTCACTGGCTGCTGCAGAACTTACGTGTATTCGGCTAGAAAAATTTTCGATTTAATGACTCTCATAACTCAATTCTCATCGAAATTTTCCAAGGAGCTTCTCTGACATTGTCTCGAAGTCTTCGGCTATAAGGAGATCCTTGCGAGAGCTCCTGGAGACAATAGCTAAAACGGATTTGGACCGTGAAAAGAAGACGGCGATTGTCCAGCAACGAATTCGACGACTCTCTTCCTTTTTTGCCGAGCCTCAGACGGTTTGTCCTCTCATCTTCTTCTCGCGATCCGAACCTATTTCAGCTTGTCACTGCTCTGAAAGGGTTCGTCAACCAGCTTTCGAGTGATCAGAAGAGCTTCGAACTTTTGGAGTACGTTGTTACTAACAACTACACGACGGAGAAAATGGAAACCGTTGCGGTGGGTATCAGCAATTTAGTTTTGGAAATTCTCATTGAACTTTTGAAGAATCTTTTGAAAAGTCGTCTTTCGAGTTTGAAAATTTCGGAAAATAGTAGTTTTATTTTTTGTTTGAAAGTAAGTCGTTCATTTCTAATTTGAGAAGAAAGACTTTTCCTGCGCCATTTGGGTTTAAAAGCGCCATTTGAGTTTTTTCAAAGAAAATCCTCGCAACTTTTCGTTCCTCTGCATTTTTCTTATAAAGAAGTCTACACAGAGTGAGCTATTGACCCGCATCGTGCAGCTGAAGACAGTGGCGACCTTGTCTTCGGGTCCGGGCCAGGCCCTCCGAAGATTCATCGACAGGTGCACGCCTCTCAGCATGGACAACCAAGCGGCTTTGGTTCGTTTCTTGGCCTTTTTCACTGGACGTTGGACAGCTGATCAATGCCTGGCAAAGCTAAACAAGTCTTTGATTGGCTGGTTGCGCCAATTTTCGGGTTGGAGCACCGACTCCGAAGAACTCATTTTTGAATATTTGAAACCTGTTATGAGGTGATGAAAAAATATCTCGCTTTCATTTTTCCCGCATTTTTACTTCCATTTCAATCAATTTTAAAAAGCTCCATCTTTCTTATTGTGTTTTTTTTTAAATTCGCTTGAAAAAATGACCGGAGATCTGATTTTCGCTCCGTAATTGACTGGAACCCGGTCTATTTAGGAGAATTTCAGTGTGCTTGAGAATTAATCGAAATTCAGTTCCGGAGTTATATTCATTCTGATTGAGAGGCTGAGAAGATTGTGAACAAACTTTTAAAAAAATGATTAGTAAAACCTGCAATAAGAACGCAGAAAAAAATTACAAAGAAATTTACAACTGTGCTTGATTTTAAGCTTCTTAATACGGCAAACCAAATTGATTTTCATTGAATCGATTTGAGGTGCTTATGAACAAAGTGCTAGACGTAGTCAAAGACGCGGAATGCCTCCATAAGGAATCTCTCGAAATGCTGCCGTCGCATCTGAAGCTTTTGAAGGTTGTTTCTGTGCTTTGATGTGAAATCTACCAAGAATTTTCAGCAATGGACCGAAAATTTCCCTCACTTGTTCAGCGACGAGGACGTCATCGGCAAGTTTCGACACATGCTCAAGTCCGACGAGCCGATCATCGGTTTCTTTTTCCCCTTTTCAGTGCCTTCAAACACAAGAGCAATAGTTTTGGAACAGAGATATGTAAAAGTAGAAAACTTCGCAGTTTTTTTTTACGGAAGAAGGGAATGAGTTCAAAAATAAGAGGGGGAAAAATAGTGCTGTTTTCAAAAAATTGCAATTTCAAATTATCCTCGAAACTTATTTAATCGGGCGCCAGTTGTCTTTTCCATGAAATCCCATCCCGCCTTTGCTAATATAATCACTCTTTCCTTCAATAAAGTAGGTATTTTAGTGGAGGCAGCGATGGACTCCTTGATCGCCACAATGAACCATTCGGCTTTCCGTCAGAAATTCCTCGATGTTCCTTGGTCGAAAGAGCTGTGTGATGTGAGCCGCGGTTTTCTTCTTATCTCGACAAACTCTTCCTCAGGAGATAGTGGCCTTGGTGGAAACTGATTCCAAAGGCTTCGGACGCTCCTGCAAACTCGGCGTCCGTCTCATATGTTTGCTGGCTGGCCGTGACAACTCTGCCAATGTCTTGAACAACATAATCGAGGTTTCCTTTTTCATTTTTCCGAATCGAATGTTTATTTTGAAATCTGTATTTCCTCGCCTTTAAACGGTAGGGCGTTTATAGTGTATGTGCAAAAAGTTCTCGAAATCAATTCTTCACTAATTTTGCTCGCGTCATATGTTGACAAAATCGATTAATTGACATCAAATGATTGGGAAATTAGGTTCTTCAGCATTTTTATTCGAAAATGAATGTATAGTCTACAAAGATTCAATTAAATGATGATTTTTAAAATGGCGCCGAAAGAGCTTCGCACTCATTGAATCCCACAATCTGCTGTTTCAAAGCGAGAAAAACTGGTTATTTCATTCGTTTTGAATCCTCACGATTCAGAAGCTGTTGGAAAGGATTGACATCGAAGATGAAGCCTCCCCAAACTCTTTCCAGGTTATTAGAGTTGAACGTTTGACAGTCTGTCTAATCGTTTTTAGGCGCTCACTGAAATTTTTCGCGCGTATCCGGACAAATATTTCTACAAGGTGATAGGTATCCTGAATGACAAGCGCAAATTGGGACTAGTATGCATTTTCGCCGGTTGATTAGAAATTTCGCTGTCCTCTCAGGGTTTCATGCTCTCCACAAAACGTGATGAGGGAGATCCTTTGGAGTTCGACCCTTCTCTACCCCTCGTAAAACAGCCTTGGCCGAAATATACCCCATCCAAGGTTTCGCAATACAAACTTAGCTTTTTTGAGGAACATTCAGGTCACCGCAATGAAATTCGTAACACGCGTGCTGTTCTACTCGATGGCGAGCCCTTTAGTGGCCAAGTCGCCGGAGACGGTGCAGCAACTCCAAAAGGTAGTCAAGAGCCATTTCTGCATCTTGGCCAGCATCATCAGCTCCGCCGGCGACCCCTCCGAGAGCGCCAACTTGTGGTCTGCCTTCTATTCTCTTGGCTTCAAAGACCCATCTCTTTGCAGTGCTGTGGAGAAAGCACGACTGCGCGCCGTAGCTGGCGCTTGTATTTTGAAACTTTGTTATTACTGGAACTATCGCAAGCTGCTCGACATGGAGTCGTTCATTTACGTCTCCAAATTGGTCGAAGTAAAATAATTATTTTCACGCTAAAACAGTAGATAAAAATCAGGATGAAGCTGATTGCGTTCGAAACTATTTTGTTGTTCGACTTCGCAAAGGGATCAGCAGGATGTGAAAAGCGTCTCTCATTTTTAAATTTTACTATTTTGTTCAGCCTTCCCATCGAGTTCGGGGCCTTTTTCTGTCAGGTTAATTTCGCTGTCTCAGCCAACTCGGATGACGGAGCTAACTTACGCGAAATGAAAAGGTTTATTTCAACTAAAAATTGATATGATACATATCAATCTTATTTTTCTTCTCTATAGTTTTCGAGACGGGTGTCGGCGCCTCGCACATGACGCCTTCACAACTCGGAAGAAGACGACCAATTCTGGAGCTGTAGACGACGGTTTTTTCTCTGACTTTTCATGACAATTTTTGTTTATCTCGAGCTTCGGAAAAATTCCCAATAAAGGTATTTTCGATTAAGTATTGGGGAAATTTTTTAGAATGGGCTCTGCAATTACGTACAGTTTCGAATAGTTTCCACTTGATGAGGAAAATTACATTCCCTGTTGGAAAAATAAGATAATAAAGACTTTTTCAAAGAATTATTCGATGAGACAGGCTTCGAAACTCATCTGCATGCGACTATTCGTTTTTTTTTTAGCTCATCGGCCGATTTTTGACGCGGAAAACGTTGTGGCGTACACGGTGTTCTTGTTGGCTCATCATGAAGGCTGCACTTCGAACGAAGACGTCCGTGGCCTGGCAGAACTCCAGGAATGTCTCTGGTTCGTCCTGGAAGCCTTGATCGGCGCCAAGTGCGACATGGAAACTGTCGTCCAAGTGAGTGAAAGCGAAATACGAATAGAACCAAAGTTAGAAAAAGTCCAAACGCAACTTCACGTGTCGCTTCCAATATAACTTTTTAAGAGATAAGAGTCGTTTGACAATCGAGTCATGTTTTCCAGTACTGACTAGGGCATGGTCTCCGCTCGACAACGAGTTGAGAATTGGGACTTTGTGGGTGGATAGGCCTAGGTGAGAGTACTCGGAATCAAAAATAAAATTCTGCTAAACCAAACAGGCAACCGAGGAAAAGCTCGTCGAGAGTTTTCCAGCGCGTATGTCCTCGCGCTCGGAGCCTTTGGCTAGCAACTGGCGGCGTGGTGTAGTGGGTTGTGGTCTTGTGCATTATCAATATTGTGATCAGGGTTCGAATCCTTTTGGCGGAAATCGTTTTTGCCGGCTCATTTCTTTATTCCTTCCTCATTTTTTTGGGATATCAAAAAAATTTACATCAAAACTTGTAGAAAAATTATTATTTATATTCTTTTTTTCTCATGCCAAGTTTTTCTTCTCGTGTTGAGGAACTGTTGAGAAGGTTATTCTCAAATATTTTTGTTGAAAGACAGGCAATCGGCAGCATAGTTATTAAAGTTTAGCTTCTTTCGCCCAAATTTCTGCTGGAGTCTTCGAAAATCACCATATCTTCTGACACTTGGAACGCGAAGTCGAACGGAAAAGTTTCAGTTGTTTTTTTAGTTGTTTTATCGTGTTACTGTGTTTCCGTTTAGTACACACGTATCCAAAAGACAGATAATCGCTTTTTGAAAAAGGTCAAAGTTTTATAACATATCTACTCGACGTGAATTTTCATAAACAGATCGTTTTCTTCATAAAGTAGAGAAAAAAACGAAAAAAAAAATTTCAAATCAGTATTTTGTTTTTTATTGTGATTTTTGTGAATTTTTATTGTAGATTTTTGAAAAAAATATCCCAAAAATGAGGAAGGAATAAAGTTATGAGCCGGCAAACACGATTTCCGCCAAAAGGATTCGAACCATGGTCACAATATTGATAGGGCATAAGACCACAACCCCTTACACCACGCAGTCAGTTGCTAGCCGAAGACTCTGAGCGCGGGGATATACGCGCTGGGAAAAATTCGACGAGCTTTTCCTCGGTTGCCTGTTTGGTTTAGCAGAATTTTATTTTTGATTCCGAGACGTCTTACCCAGGCCTATCCACCCACAAAGTCTCAATTCTCAACTCGTTGTCGAGCGGAGACCATGCCCTAGTGAGGACAAGGTATATTATTTTCCTAGTGACTCTCATGCTCTATTTTTGAAATTTTGCAATGTATTTCAGCTGAGCTACGCTAAATAGATAGCGCCGAAAATAACAAACAAAGAACAAATAATTAAAAATTTCATAACTTTTGTTTGTTTTAAGAATTTTTGTTTTAGTCGAATGAGAAACTTTATAATACTGAATAGCTTCAAATTAAACAATTTATCGTAAAGTTCTTTACGGAGGTGGATAAATGACGCCCCTCAGCGTTTTTAAATGTTTAAATTTCAAAACCGACGTAGGCCGCCATTGCCATTTCTTAATAAGTCACTGCCTAACATGGGGGGTCATTTTAGCGTAGGGTTCAGAATTTTTTATAAATTTGCTCAAACAATCTTTGATAGACTGGGAATCGATCCCCCATAGTCGCTACCTGCACAAACTTTTTGTTTTGGAGATATGATTTTTCAAAGTTTTTATCCTTAACCATGTGACGCCGTTTGGAAGGAATGTGGCCGCGCCACCAACCACTGCATGGCAGCTAGGAGCGTGGTGCAGTGGGTAGCGTGTTAGTCTGCGGAGCCTATGATGAAGGTTCGAATCCTTTTGCCGCTATCTTTTTTTGCCATTATTTTTTTTTTAGAATTCTGATGAGAATATTAAAATTTCATGAGTAAAACCTTTCTAAATAAGTTTGATAGCTACTTTCTTTCTAAAATCGCCTTTTTTATGGACAAAGATTATGAAAAATTTTTTGAAGTTGTGGCCGACTTCACATCATCAGAGACTAGTTTTTGAAAATCAGCAGAAAATTTTTCAGTAAAGCGCTGAACCTTCATCAAAAATCTTCGTATGTCTTGGTTGTGATAAATAACAGTGGCCTTTCAATAGGTCAATAGCCAGTTTTTAGCCTTATTTCTGCAGAAACATCTTTACAGAATATGAAAACCTACCCGTCATTCGAGTTTTATTGAAAAAAAGATTTCCAAACCCCATTTCCATCCTAATCCGTATGTTTTTTTTTTCAATTTTTCAGGAATCCAAAAATCTTTTGAGCAAAAAAATTTTGGGGAAAATTCTCTGATGATGTCTGCCACAACTTCAGAAAAATTTTCATAACTTTTGTTTATAAAAAAAGCGATTTTTAGAAAGAAAAATAGCTATCGAACTTATTTGGAAAGGTTTTACTCATGAAATTTTAATATTCTCATCAGAATTCTATAATGGCAAAAAAAGATAGCGGCAAAAAGGATTCGAACCTTCATCATAGGCTCCGCAGACTAACACGCTACCCACTGCACCACGCTCCTAGCTGCCATGCAGTGGTTGGTGGCGCGGCCACATTCCTTCCAAACGGCGTCACATGGTTAAGGATAAAAACTTTGAAAAATCATATCTCCAAAACAAAAAGTTTGTGCAGGTAGCGACTATGGGGGATCGATTCCCAGTCTATCAAAGATTGTTTGAGCAAATTTATAAAAAATTCTGAACCCTACGCTAAAATGACCTCCCATGTAAGGCACCAAGGGCCAAAACCGCGATGGAAAAAAACGCCATTGAAACAAAAAAAACGCGAAAAAATTGGAATCTTTTAAAATAACAAAAAAAACCATTGTTTTCGCGGCTTCCAATTCAAGGTTATTTGAAATATATGTTTTTGTGGAGGCGTAAATTTATTCTCTCAGCAGATCCCTAACCTTAAATCTGCAACTCTTCGCCTAAAGGAAGAAAAATACATCCGTTATCCACATAAAAAATTTAAATGGACATCATAACCACTGAAAATTTAAATAAATTAATGAAAAAATTGCGAAAACGAAGATTGAATGAAAAATGGACAAGAATGATAATATTCGCCTGACTTCTGCAACGTGGTATTACACGCCATCGCCACATAATGACTCGGCTCATGTCATCTCAGAGGCCTGATGGCTAAGGCGGGCGTGTTGCGCCCAGGAGTGGTCCTCATTTCTTCCACCTCTGCTATACGGCAGGAACAAAGTAAATACTAGAGGCAGAAATTTTAGAAAACCTCCGAAGTATTTCGCGAAAACGCCTTTTTACATAGAAAATGTCCCTAGTTAGCATGGATGGCGCACGGTGCATTCTGCTCTTTTGTACTTTGGGGCGTAACTGGGGTCTGCACTGTGCGGTTTCGGTGATTTTTCGGTGTAGAGGTGTCAAATCAGTGCTTTTAACGTGCGGCACCAGTGCAGCACCAAAAAACACCGAAATCGCAAAATAAAAAAAACAAAGCACTGTGCGCCATCCTTGCTGAGTACTTTTCTTCTTTTTTTTTGTGCTGGTTTTTCAAATATTCAAGAAATGGTGATTTCAGATATTCGAAGAGTTGAAAAAAGACGGTGACACCTACATGAGAGACTGCGTGAGTTCATCATCGAACGTGTTACGAGTGACTCCGGAGCAGCTGGAAACTCACAACAAGGTCATTCGAATCTCCGCCAACCAAGTCCCCCTCAACAAAGTCTTCCAGAAAATGTGGGCTCTTTGTGATTTGGGAATCGCCATGATGCTCTACCGTGCGAAAGTAGTCGTCAAGGACGATCGCAAAAAACTCCAGCTTTCTAAGAACTTTTTCTACCGCGTCAAGGATTCGAATCCTGCAGAGGTATACTGTTTCAGAGAGAAAGGGGCGACTTTTTTTTAAAATTAATTCCTTCATGATCATTTCATAAATGGATAATCATTTTTTCACTCATTTATTTGGGGACGCATTCAAAAGTTACACGCATAACTTAAACTCTTGGAATTTCCATCAAAATTTGTTTATTATTTATAAAGATCTTATTTTGCTCACCTAGAGTGCCAATAAATCATGTAAGACTTTCTCCACAATATCGCCCCCATATAGGCCATTCCTCGCTAGCTTGTCACGTTTTTCTTTCCGCCAAAAGGCCAGGTCAAATTTTACCTTCTTTTAACTTCGCTTCAAGACCTTTGTTTCTTGCCGTTATAAAAGCAGAAATTTGATCTAATTTGGTATACGGTCTTTTTGGCGGAAAGAAAAACGTGACAAGCTGGCGCGGAATAAGCTATAACAGGTTTTAAGCGACTAAAGAAATACTTGTTGAGGTTTACGCTCCCGACGAGCTTTTGACTGATGAGAAAAGAAGAAACGGACGGTTGCCAGCAGCGATCAGAGACTTTTCGAGTACCAAGCGGAAGAACAACTCTAGTCTTTCGTCGGGAGAAGCGACGCGCGCCGCCCCTCGTCGTGGCCTTCGAAAGCAGAAGACGTCGCAAAACATCAGCATTCGGTCCCACAGCGAGCCCGAAAACAGCGATGACGTCAGCTTTTTTTTCCCCAAACATTGTCTAAGAACGAAATTTTTATGTAATTTCGAATATAGTTCTTGATGGAATGAAAAAAATAATCATACGGTTAAAAAGGTTTTTTTAATCAAGAAATGAAAAAATTAGTTTTAAAGTTATTAGATTATCAAAATTTTAAAAATTATTAGATGAAACTCATTTAAAAAAATTTAGGAAGTTGCTCTCGTTGTGAAAAAACGTGTCACAGCTGCTAAACCAAATCGCAAAAAAGAATCGCTGGTATCAGACTCTGAAGACGAAGAAAAGGTACCAAAACAAGTGAAAAAAGCTTCACGAGCCGAAAGTTCAAAAAGTGGCTCAAAAAGAATGAACTCCATAGAGACAACCAGGCGACAAGAGGAAGATGAGGAACAGGAGGTTAGAGAAATAATAACAAAATAATAAATGGTTTTTTTACAGCTTGGAGAGCCTTCGACTTCTACGAATGGTAAAAATGCGGAAGACGATTCAGAAACAGAACCTGATGAGGAAAAAATTGTTGTTTCGCCTATCAGAGGGCGAAGAGAGATCAAATCCAAAGAAACGGTAAATTATTTTGTTACAGCATACAAGAGGAAATATTAGGTCATCGAAAACGCAAATGAACAGCCAAACGGGAGTGAGAAAAACTCGACGAACCTCAAAAAATTTGTAACTTAATCTATTTTTAAATTTTTAACCACGGTTTCCAGTTTGGTTCACAGGCACAAATTGGATCGCTTGAGAATTTAGCAATATCTCCGATTGTTAAAGAAGGAAAAATGGTGAAAACAATTTAGTCCATTCAAAAAAATGTGAAAATTTTTAGCCTCGCCGAGGTGCGAAACCAGCGGCGCTCGCAACTTCTACGCCCTTTAGAGCAGAAGCGAAAAAATCCCGTTTGAGCAAAAGAAAATCTGCGATTCCTTTGGACGAAGAAGATGAAGAGGAGAAGATTTCCCTCGGTGAACCTTCGCCCAAAAGGAGGACGTCTGATAGGTTTCTACACCCATAGTTTGTTGAATAAATCCGAGAAAACTATTTCAGAAAGAAGATAATCAAGGTTTCATCCCCTGAAAAACAACCGTCTTCAAAAAAAGGTCCAACAAAAGAGGTTACTGAATTTTTTTTCTTTCGCCTCAAAATCAGTTCTTTCCAGTTTATTTTTGAAAAAATTTAAGGTTTTCAAGAGAAGAAATGCCAAGATGACAGTTCTCGAAGCGAAAACTGCCCGCTCTCCGTCTAAAACTAAGGGAAAGTCGCGTAGAAAATAGTCCAGTTATTCCCGGTTTCTTTTTTTTTGCGAAACTTTTATTGAATTTGCTCTTTTTTTTTATGAAACCCTCTCATCTTCGAGATGAGTACTACGATTCTCACACATTCCCATTTTTCTTCACTGAAGATGAACTTTCTCCGCATTTCCCATTGTATTTTTGAGTAAAAATTGTTCTAAACTTTTATTGTTTTCAACAAACTGCAAAGACCTATTGGAATAACCCGTTTGTCTGCAATCGTAACCAGGAAAGGTTTTTTTTTAATAAGAAGATAGAAATCTGAAAAGAGAAGAAGGACCTACAAAATATATGTAAAATTGCAATCATGCACTCTTCACAGCTACCGGTTGCTTTTCTCGCGCGAGACGCATTTTCTCGGCCACGGGGTCTTCGACGATATGCAGGTAGTTGTGGTTGACGAACCGACTCAGCTGAAATTTTTTACTATTCAACAAAATCGTTTTAGTGAACTTATACAGGGTGGAGCAAAACTATTTTGGCCGTTGGAAAGAAGCATACGGCTGCTTATATCGAAATGAGGAACGATTAGTTTTAGAAAGTAGTTGGAATTGAGAATGTAAAATTTTTAAAATAAGTTCATTTTTCGAACTTCAACGAATGACCTGAAACTTGGTGAAATTAAAAAAGCCAATCATCAAAGATATTTGAGCCTGAATTCAAATCGAAAAATCGCGCTATGACACTGATTAAATATCTTCGGGGATGCTAGAAACGATAAACGACAAAAAATTTGCACTTGGGCTTTTTAGCAAAGATGAATGAAAAAGTTTATGAAATTTTCGAAAAATTATTGAATATTTGTTTGCGAAAGTTGAAAAATGCGCTCCTATAAGATACATGGACTGGAAGCACAGTACAATAGTTTGATAAGAGCAGGAGACCATAAGTTCTTTTGAAAAACGATGCGGAGCCTTTCTGCTTCCTTTAGGTCTTCAGATACACGCATGATTCAAGATAAAACTCTTTTTTTCGAAGTTCAAAATTTGACTCTTTTTTTGTGACCTGAGAAGGTCATTCAAGACCTACTTGATCGCTCTAAAATATGAGCTATAAATTTCAGCTGATTGGGATAAATTTAATGTGAAAAAAGGAAGGTTTCGAAATGAATCTATAATTAGATTCATTTCGAAACAGATAAACATATAATCTTATAGAAATCATATTATTGTTTTTGAGACTATAACTTTAATTTAAGGGTGCTGTATATGAATACGAAAAAACAATAAGGTATTCTCTCTTGGTCCCACTATCTGAACACAACCTGAGTCATTAAAAACTTTGAGAAAAACTAGCGGATTATATTGAATGAAATTTCGCTCAACAGGCGAATCTTTGCCTTCTTTTTACTCTAGACTAGTTTTGGCAAAATATAAACGAACGTCCGAATGAAAAATATAATGAAAAATTTGGTGAGTCAGAGATATCTTCAAATTTTGCCGAAACAACTTTGAACACCGTGACTTTCGAAACTTCCAACGTTATCTTTTGAACTATTTTTGAAAAACTATTGAGGAAGAATTCTTTCAATAATAGTAATAATAATTTATTCAGAAGTAAGTGTGAACTCTAACGAGTTTACGGTGGCTTAACCTTCTTAAAATTGTAAATAATTTGTATTGTCGGCTCGATGTGCCCACCTGAACTGACTGCGCTGTGAAGTTACACAAATGACAGGCGAACAAAAGCAAATTTCGCGGCTGCACGTGCCAGGCGAAGCGCATGAACACAGACGAGTAGATGCACAACGCAGTCGTCATGTTGCCCGAGATCATGTCGGGGTTTTTCTGAAACAAAATCTTGATGATGATCAAACTGAACATAATTTTTTTGTTCCAATGACTTTAAATAAAAAGAGAAATATACTCTGAAAAGCGGCAGCGTGATCCTAATGTAGTTTTTATGAAATTGCTCTCGAAGACATAAATCGCATAATCATCGATGAAATGAGTAAGAAATACCTTCAAATCACCAATCGCTGCCAAAGGAAGTCCCCAATTCGCAACCGGCCCCCAAAAATGAGTTGAAAGAAAATAGTTACGCCATTCCTTTGCTGAATATTGGCGAAAATACGTTGTAATGGCTGACGAAACTTTTGACATCCTTAAAATATTATATTTAGTCACGTTTTCCATTGAAATAAAAGAACTTCCGTCTATGAAACTAGATATTGAATTCGAAAAAGATGAAACTAAGACCCCTTTAAAAGGAAATGAAAATTCAAAAACTAAAATTTAGAAAAGAAAACATAAACAGACATGAAACGGCCGGACAGTTCAGAAGTCAACTGATTCGCGTCAAGCTAAATGCTGAGTACGCAAACAGCGAACCATACGATAGATCTCACATATGAGACGGCAGAAATTTTTTTTATTGAAATATTTCAAATTTAAATTTCTCGAAAAAAAAATGAAAAGAGGATCGTCACACAGTTATCAAAGTTGGAGAGGAAGCACTGGAGAAGGCTACAGCAGAGGCAGAGGCTTTCGTGGACGATGGCGAGGCGATAATAATTCCGATAGAGGTTTGATTCGATTTAAAAAAATGTATGCATAACTGAACGAAAAAAAGACAAATTGCTTTCCTTTTCATTCTTTTCTTTCAATTTTCTAAGGACATCCTCCTGTATGCAATTTGCACTAGAATAGAATAACCATCGAACGAAATCAGAAAAAAATTATTAAATCGCATCAAAGTCCGCAGTTCGAGCATCAAATTCGAATCGGTAACTTCTTGCTATCTCTCAAAAGCTTACAGGCCGAGGACAAAGAGGAGGCTTCGGATCAACGGCGCCTGACTACAGCAGTCCTTACCAGCCTTCCAGTGAACCTTCTGCAGAACGGAGAGGTTGGCATCCTCGAGGACAGCAACGAGTCTTTCGCGCACCTTTCGACCAGAATCACGGCCGACGATTCAACGCCAGGAGTCGCGGTCGAGGCGGCGGCTTCCACGGCAACAGGGTTTGCGTTTTTAAAGTTCATCTCTCAAATACATATAGTGAAAAAGAGAGTGAAAAGTTCAAAAGAAGAAAAATTACAGGAAAACTCGAAGTCGTACAATGTAAGCGACTACGTGATGCCGTCGATGTGGGCGAATCCTTGGGAAGCGCTCGACGCCGAGTACGCCAAGGACCTTCAAGATGCAAGGGAGGCTTTCAAAGCACAGGAAAACAATTTATTATGATAAATTGCAAAATTGAACTTCAAGGTCTCACAGCTTTTTATTAATGATTTTATTAAATTAAATAAATTTTTCTTCAAGGTAATGTACATTCAACAAGAAATCTTTTTGGAAGAAAGCCCGTCCGTATCACTTTTTTTAAAAAGAGGTAATTGACAAGTTGACAATCATAATTAGTGAGAAAAACGAATAAGATATCATATCTAATGATGTTATAGTCTGTTCAGATTTTGAATGTCAATCAGCTAACTCCACCCCCAAGGCTACAATATCTTTCGCGTCAATGTTTTATCTACAGATGACGATGGCCCTTTAATAAGGCTGCATTTTTGACTTCTTTTTCTATCTTTTAGATCAAAAAAGATCAAAATTAGTCCCGCGCGTTAAAACATCGACGCGAAAAGGTACCCTCTCAGCAGGGGCGGAGTTAGCTGCTTGACATTTAAAATCTGAACAGACTATAAAAACTTTCAAAGGGACGAAAAAATTTTTCACAACGGCGCGTATTTTTACATGAGAAATGGCATGATAGGTTAATAAAAAAACCAACAGAAATTTGCAAGATGTCATCTGAACCGGACGAATATATCGAAAGGAGAATTCAAGCGGCTTCATCAATTTCATCTTTTAGTTAAACATGAAGAAAGCATTCATTAAAAATTGTACAGCCAATAAAGTTTTGAAAATTTTTTTCAAATAATTAAAACGCATCATACTTTTTCGTGAAAATCGGTCAATTCTGAAAAACTGCTCCAGCGTAATTTTTATAATTGTCTCGATCTGAATAGATTGATAATAAACATGACCAGTAAATTAAATACCTAGGTTAGACTCTCTGAGCTACCTTAAATGAAGTACTTTTCATGAAAATTTTCAGGTTACTGAAAGTTTTTCCCAAAAAAAAAGAGGAGAAATAGGGTTTTCCTGCATGGAAACCTTGTTTTTGCCGTCTCAAAAACGAAAGAATTATCGCATTACGTGAAATTTTCATTCTCTCGATCTCGGGAAAACTAATACTTATAGCCTATTCCGCGCCAACTTGTCACGTTTTTCTTCCCGCCAAAAAGACCGTAAACCAAATTAGATCAAATTTCTGCTTTTATAACGGCAAGAAACAAAGGTCTTGAAGCGAAAGTTGGTTAAATTTGACCTGGCCTTTTGGCGGAAAGAAAAACGTGACAAGCTAGCGAGGAATAGCCTATATGAGGCATTATGCAATAATTAGCAGCTTCTTCTCATGATGATCGAACCGTAAACACAGATTTTTTTTAAATAAATACGACCTTTTGCTCTACAAAAATGCTCAAAAAGGAGGCAGACAACAAATGTCTTGAAGCGAAAATGCTCCATTTTGATCATTTTCGGTATAGTCTGTTCAGATTTTGAATGTCAAGCAGCTAACTCCACCCCCAAGGCTACAATATCTTTCGCGTCAATGTTTCATCTACAAATGACGATGGCCCTTTAAAAAGGCTGCATTTTTTTTACTTCTTTTTCTATCTTTTAGATCAAAAAAGAACGAAATTCGTCTCGCGCGGTAAAACATCGACGCGAAAAGGTACCGTCTCAGCAGGGGTGGAGTTAGCTGGTTGTCATTCAAAATCTGAACAGACTATGTAGGGTATTTTTGGCGGATAAAAACCTGACAAGCTAGCGCGGAATAGGCTATACACTCGCGTACAGTCTCTGGAATAAGAAAAAATTGTTAACAGGCACTAATATATCAGAAAAAAAAGTAGCTGGGAGCCTCTGCGGCTAAACTGTTACTACACGGGCAAAGAACATAAAAAGAACTTTTGGAAAAAGGCTTCACAAAATCCTTTTTTCTTGAAAATTTTTGACACGTTTTCGGGAACTTAAAATCTATTCTTCTTTTTGATAACTTTTTGAGGCCGTTTAGATTTTGCCCGTGTAGAGACAAATCAGAGTTCGGTACGAAATAAAATTTTTTTTTCAAGGCTCATGTGAGATCTTTTTTTTCATTTTCTCAATAATAGAAACTTTTTAAAGAAAATGTAGATTTATAAATATTTTTCCAGGTAAGGATATAAAAAAACCAATTAAAAATCAGGTGAGTAGTGAAGAAGAGAGTTCCAATTCCTTAAATGAAATGTATCGCACATCAAAGTCCTTCTAGGAAAAATGATTAAAAATCTTAAAGAAAAAGCAGCTTCTAAAAATGCCTTTCTTCATATATGAGTTTTTAAATTCGCGAACGAAACATCTTATGAAAATTATATGAAACTATGTTCGGAGTTTCTGACTCATGCCTTGGTGTTGCCAAAAAACCAGAATAAAAACAAAAATTGTGTAGTAAAACCTATTTTACATTAAAAGGATTTTCGTCTCGTTTCTATCTCTTGAAAATTAAAAAAAAAATCAAAAATAAAAGGCAACTTGCCTTCGGAAATAAACTGGGAAGAAGTAGAGAATTATCGCAGGAGTCACAGTACCAATCCAAAGCAGCTACCCGTTTCTCCTGTGCAGTTGGAGTCAGAAACCGATCACATTGGGGTAACGCAGCTGCGTACTTCTCCGTTTTCATATTTGAATTTATATCTTACAATTCAACAAATGATACAAAAGGATCAAAGCGAGAAACAAACTATGAAATGAAATATAGCAATGAGAAGAAAAATAAACTAAGGAAACATTGATATCACATCGGAAAGTATAACAACGGAATAATTTGCTTTAGCATCTAACAACGGAGAAAAATGAAGAAGTCAAGAAAAAAAAAGAAGGGAAACAGTGGATGCCGAGGTTAATGAGGCAGAGCAAAAAGACGCCAAACGATTCCCACAACCCCAAAAAAGAGAAGTCACAAACTTTATCAACAAAAATGTTCACCGTAATGTGAAATCGTCCACTCAAGCCTCACATATCATATGAAGGAGCGCTTCACAAAACCGCAGCAATGCAATACGAAGCTAAGTGCGCGCTAGGAGGGAACGCAGACAGATAAATATATGAAATAAATAGATAAATATTAGAAAGGTCAAAACGAGCCCGGAGGTGGGGGGAAGCCGAAAGGACGCGAATGCTGGCCGTCGCCGTTGAACGGCCGCTGTGGAGGTTGCTGGTGGAAGTAAGCATCGTTGGCTGCGGCCGACGGCTGCCTCGGTTTTTCCGCTGAAATTCCTTCACTTCTCAGTGTGAATAAAAAGAAATTTTCTTGCTTTTCCTTTTCAAACATTGACTTTTTTTCTATGCGCAAGTGATTTTCAAAAAAAGGATGAATAACTTTTTTTGACAAGTTAAACTTTTGAATTTCAAAAATTTGAGAAACAAGAGAAAAAAATAAAAAGCAAGTTTCATTTTGAAGATTGAAAATGTAGGGTTTGCTTTGAAATGTTTTTCCTCCAAATTGCCTGAATTCTAGTTTTTCAAATTGATTCGACTTGTTTTTTCAGAGAACATAGGGTCCAGCCTACAACGAACGTTTGGACCCCATCTGGGATTTTTAGAAACTTTCCTAGTGAAAGAAGTCAAACACACATTTTAAATAGAACTTGACGAATTCAGCTATCCGCTCTTTACAAGATAGGTTGGGCGGAATCGACGGCATTGCTAATCGACAAAGGGGAATGAACTCCTGGAAATTATCGAGATACATGAGAGAGACTAGGATCAAGTCACCATCAAAGCTTCCACATAAACGGAAGCGATATCTTCGCTTAAACTTTCAAAGTTCTTGGTGAGTTCATCGGCCTTCTTTGAAGAGTACGGATTCTCCAGATATTCACGAACTTTCCTCACGACCTCTAAAATAAATTTACTTTCTCATCCAAAATCATGCTTTCAAAAAAAACGTACCCTGGCGAACTTCGTGTTTCTGAGATTCAGGTACATAACGACCGACGGATTGAACACTCGAGGAAGGCCTCGAAACGGTGGAACTAATCGAAGGCAGAGAGCTTTGTTGCAATTTTTTCTTCTGCTTCTTGCTCCACATCTCGTGACAATCCTTGAAATTCGTCTTTTGATGAAATCTTATCCGTCTCTCAAAAACCTGATGTTGTGGCAGCTGAATCGGAGGGACAAACTTGTTGTCGAGCTCGCGAATCCAAGGATGAGCTAGAGCAGCCTGGGCGGAGATTCGCTTTTTGGGATCTAAGGTGAGCATCCGATCAAGGAGGTTCAGCGCCTGCTCCGGCATGATGCTGAAAAACTCTTGCTACCGTGGGAAACGCACAAAATCCGACGGACCAGCGGAATTCGTCGTATAGCCGCCGCGAATAAATCTTCTTCGGCTTTAAAGTGCCATACAACGGCAAAACGACGACTTCCGGCCACAAATCCGGCGTCGGAGAACCGCACATCTGAATTATAACATGTATTACTGAAGAGCGAAACAAATTTATGAGAGCATGATAAAAATCAAACCTTTGAAATAAGCTCCAGCTGAGCACTTTCGTTGTTCCCACAAAACAAAGGCTTCCGGGTGAACAACTCGCCAAGCATACAACTGAAAACAACCTTTTTCTCCAAATTCTATCGTCAGAGTTGTTTAGCGGGAGAAAATCAGAGGAATCCGAGATTATGTTTGGCGGATGGTTTCATTACTGGAAAAAAGTAGAAGGACCATAAATTTTTGGGAGGTGAGAACCAAAAAAATGGCCGTCTTTCTAAACTTTGCTAGACGTTCAGCCCAGGTAAAAATATGCAGGCGAGTATCCCCTAGTTCTAATTTTTTCCAGAAAGAAAACGCGATTTCAAATGTTATCTGAAATAAAATTTTTGGTTTCACTGTCAACTCTTAGAGGCTCTCCACTTTCTCGATGTTCTCGTTCAAGAATGTATTTCTGTCGAAGAAATAAATTTTTAAGGCTGACCCGACGCTCCAAACGTCGATGGCTGGGCCGTAGTGTTCTTCGCCGAGAAGCAGCTCCGGAGGTCGATACCAGAGAGTTATGACTCGATTTGTGTAAGGCCTTTCCATATCTTCGTGCCAAAAACGAGCCAATCCGAGGTCCGCCACTTTCAGCTCGCCTCTGCACAAATGCAAGTTTAGTATTGAAAGTAAATTCAAGCAGTCCCTCACTTATTATTTACAAGTATATTACTGCACTTGATATCTCGATGGAGGAACCCGGCCTTGTGGCAGTAGGCAAGACCCTTGAAAAAGTTATTTTCGTGAGCGAAGTACGCTTCGGCAACTAACCTCCAAAAGCTGCTTGAACAGACTGCAAATCTGCACTTCGTCGACGTTGAAAAGGTTCTTCGACTCGAGTAAGCCCATAAGATCGTGATCAACGTACTCAAAAACCAAGTAGAAGTTGACTGAATAATTTAAAATTAGATGTCGAAAAATCAGTTACTCGCCTCGAGAATTTCTCAAATCATGCATAGAAACATCATCCGTAACAATGTCAATTAGCCGAACTATGTTCTTGTGGTTGAGTTGCCGCAAAATCTTTATTTCGCGAACAGCCGTTATGGGAAACCCTTCTTTTTCGTTCTCCAGCCTCACTCGCTTCAACGCAACTTGTTCGCCTAAACCGCTAGTATGGAGAACACTCGAGAAAGCAAAAAATGACCAGTTCTGCGGTTTGTCGCCTTGTAAACTTGTCCATAGGTGCCTTCGCCAATTTGATCCAAGAGTTCATAATCGCCTAGAACCGTCATTCCCCATTCGGCGCCAGCCAATTGATTCCTTCGGGATCCTTTCCGGTTTATGATGCTGCAAAAACAGAGTGAAACAACCACTGAAACGATCGAAGCAAATTTTTCGTATAACAAGTACCTATCAACAAAAACCTTATCAGTTTAAGAAAGAAAAAAAATAATTTAACGCGCAATGGCAAAGATTTTCTAATAATAATTTTTTTTTTCTCGCTTTTGATCATTCAAAAAAAATATTGGTTGTTTGATTTATTATTGAAATTAAATCGACAAGTACGTACAAATGGACGCAGCTTGATTCATTTTGATGGAATTTCTGAGATTTCCTCTAGAACCTCTTAATCACAGCAAAATAAATATTGTTTTTTTCTCGGCTCGAAGAGAAAAGTCGATACTTGTTTTTCCTGATTTAATAAGGTTGTTCTAGAGAGCATCTCAGCAACATTTCATTAAAGTTTGAAGCTGCGTCAAGTTCTACTTCTTTTATGAAAAAAAAAAAAAATGAAACTGGCATGATCGCGGAAAAGATACGAGTAAGCACAACAAAAAAAAATTGATAGGTGTGGATAAAAAAGTAATTGATTTTTTCATCTCAAAACTTTTGCAAAAAAAACCCCCCTAAAACCCAAGACGACGCCAAAGAAAAAAAAATGTTTATTTAACGCCTACATTATAAAAAATAGATTTTTATAGAATGCTACCCGATATTTTGAATAATTGAGAAAGAAGAAAAAAACAAACACTGGAGCAGGTGGTTTCCTTCTCTTGATCTGATCCATAGAATGCACATTAGGCAGAGGGAGGCCGTCGACGATGCCAACTCGCGTCCGCGACGTCGACGCAGAAATGTCCGCATGAACCATCTGCGAAAGACTTTTTCTCGTTGCGGAGGACCTGTGCGAACCTCTGGAGCGATAGAAGGCAGTCTTTCCGGCGGGGTGATCGTCGACAATTGCACGCCGCAAACGATGCGAGGCGGTGGAACTGACGGCGGCGCCGAGACGATTCCGAAAGTCGGTGTAGCCGAAAACTGCTGTGCGACTCGCTGTAGTTGTTTTCGATGAGCTCAGTCAAGAGGCAAGGGACAAACTAATGCTTCTGGATTGGCGTTGGGCGGTGGAGGGACCGGAGGAATGAAACAGTTCCCAAAGTAAGGCGCCGCTGGAGGCGGGGGAACTGGTTGTATCTGAAAGCTGCCAGCTAGAGAAAAAAGTTCCAGCTTTTGAAGCATATCCATTCAACGGACTATGGAATGGTGGAAGAACGAGTAGGACGACGGGTCGAAGGAAGGCGGCATGCATGGCGCAGGGATGTTCAGCGAAGTAGAAGAGCCATTCATCGCGCCATCTCCCCGCTTTTGAGACTGAAAACGCACTTAAATAAAGAATTAAAACGCAATTTGTCTTCTCTAATAGCAAAAAGTCTCACAGTGCGGATTCTGAATGAAACTAAGTTCTCTACATAATTGTTTCACTCAGACATGAAATATTTTAGGAAGGTGTAACAATCTTTAACCGTTCAAGTTTGAGAGTTATGTATCTACCATCTGAAAACTAGCTCCTTCGAAAAATTTGAATCAAACAAGCTGTTTCATTAACAGCTTGAAAATATTTTTGACAGCCGAAAAAATGATTCCTTACGAACTGAAAAAATTTAAATCTTGTTTAGAAAACTCACTGAGATGTCAGGGCTAGACGAAGATGAGGACGAACTGTCGCGAACGTGTTTTTTCCTATGTTTCTTTTTTTTCGCCGATGAGTTTTTCATAACATCTCCATGCTGTTTGGCTATTTCACTTATAAGAGAGCTCGACATTCTAAAAAAAAGAAGATGAAAGAAAAAAATATGGAATGGAAATCACAATTCGGCATCGGACTCGGTAGAATAACGTCGCTTGTCGCGTCTTTTGTTCCTCTTAGGAGTTCGAGAGCGGTGTCTACTGAACAAAAAACTAGAGTTAGAGCAAGTTCAAACCGCAAACAACCTCCGCGAGCGCGATCTCTTTTTTTCTTTTCGCAGCTTCCCGTCGCGACGTCGGTCTCCTCTGGCAGTTCTATCGCGTTCCTGATGTCGCCGATCTCGAACGCGCGAGTCTCTGAAATCATCAAATCAATTAAAACTATGAACGATGTTATTTTAAAAATAAACTAAGCAAAAAACTAATTTTTGCGTGATACATAAAAAATAGAAAACGATTTTGCGTGATACATAAAAAATAGAAACTTCTGTCATAGAATGGTGATCGGTCTTCAAACCGAGTGAAATTTTAAAATGGAAACTTCGACCGATTACTAGTGATTTAATCGGCAGTCGTTGTGAATTTCATTGAAAAATGTTGTTCTAATGAAGTAGTACCGCGAACGTGGCGGAGTGGCTGAAGGCGAGCGATCGTCGCGAGAATTTCGATCTGCTCTTCTACCGCTGGACATTCGCGAAGTTGACTTTCTATGACGGGGTGAACTGCTTCGTTCTCTCTCACGATGTGTTTTGCGATCGTGAGAAGAGGCAGGAGAGGTTTCCATCAAATCTTAAAAAAAGGCACAATCAAATGAGAAATAGAGAACTTAGATTGAAAACCTAGAAAAAAATTACGAACCTCTTGAAACACAGGTGCTTCCTTTATTTTGAACTGTCCCTCGTTCTGATCGACAGTTATTCTTGGTTTGTACGTGTCTTCCAAGAGATCCACAAGAGGATCACGGCTCATAAAACGCTGAAAATCGTAAACTAATCAGGATCAAAACAACTGAATGAGACTATATGATCATATTAAACTAAATCGAACGAACAAACAAATGTAACTGAAATAGAAACAGGAAAGAAACTCATCAAACTAGAAAACTGGAATTTGAATTTGAACTTCCAAAAAGCCGGATTAGAAATGCCATTTTCAAAGTTATTCCGCGAAAAGCAGAATACCCGTTAGAGAAATAAAAATATAGTTAAATTTTGGAGAGTCAGAGACCATTTTGCATTTCGCGGAAATTACTCTGAACAAGGCATAGAAAAAAAATTTGCACGGAATAGAAAAAAATTAACGAAAGTTGATTTGCTCAATAAAAAGTTACAGAAAAATTGAAAATATTTTAGAAAACGCAAATTGATTGTGTGTGGCGCGTAACATTGTGCGGCAATTGCAAATGTTTGAATTTTGCTGCAACCTTTTTGTATTTTTATTTGTAAGAAAATATTTATTCTCAAATAGTTAAATTCATACTTTTGTATTCATTCTCCTCCCCTTCTCAAACGGCTTGGCAACATTAAGCATTTTCTCAAGAAGTTTAACTTCTACCCAAAGTTCTCGAAGCTTAGATGGGTCGTTATTATGTAACTTTACTTGTACAAGTTTTGTTTCAAGCCTATTCCTCTATTATTTCATGAAAATCACTTTTCATATTTGGAATGAGGTTGACTCTACGAGTTCCCATTCTTCATAATTTTTTCTTTGAATCCTGCTATCACACCCCTTCTAATAACGAAAACCAAATAAGATGAATAGACGATATCTTTAAAGTTTCATTACTCAAACCAACTTGGTTTAGTGTATAATTTTAGGTTGCAAATTTTTTTTATCCCTTCGAAAAGTGCCAGCTGTGCGGCTCGCAGTCCGTTGTTTTTTCATTCGCTTCAAGCCGCACTTTTCAAATTTTTCTTCTGCGAGAAGTCCTTTTCAAAAAAATTAACCGTAGAACGTTTGAGTTTTCTTTTTGTAACAAGCTGTTTATTCAATTTCAATTCAGTTCAATTTATTCAGTCTTCAGAGTAAGATGAAGAAAATCTCTGCTGAATCATGGTATAATCGAAGAGTTAGTCGTCGGCGCGGGTTACGGTCCACAATCGTTGTCCAATACGTCCCGTAGCTTTTTATGTCGAAGTTATTTAATCGGAACGGAATATGTAGCTGCTAGTTTTTTTGTTTCAGTTCTCAAAAACGACTGTAAAGGGAAACTCCAATTACTTTATATACTATCACAATGCTGTTTTCTTTTTATCATATGATTACAAAATCAGTCAAGATTTATTTTAATCGAGAAAACCCTATTTCATGTACGTCTGATGTACTATCCTTTACAATCGAGAATATGAGCCGGCCAAAATTTAAAAGGGCAATCTTTTTTCACTAAAGTACAAACTGTCTTTTTTCGTTGAGCATTTTGACTAATAGGAGGCATTCTTACTAAATACGAAGATTAGCAGCTATTTAAATAAATCAAAAGCGAATAATATGAGGCTTCTTTTGAAAATGTAAGAGAATTAGCTGATCAATTAAAATATTCACGACGTTCCTATCGGCCATTGTTAAATTAAAATAATTTCCCCACTGTGTAGGTTTGAACAACGTTCTCGTAGCCAGTCAGTTTCCTGAGCGAAATGCTCTCAGTCGGCTCTCTGTACCTTTACATCGCTCGACGCTTACACCGGCGTTCGGCTGGGATCTCTGACCGCCGTAATCTCCAACAACTCTCTTGTCTCGCTCTTCCCATCTGAGAAATGGTCGTTGCCCGATTGCGTTTGCCGCCCTTCATCCTTTCTTTCCCATCTGTACTTCTGTCTTCAGAGGCATTTTTTGTTCAGTATGACTTGCTTAGCATTCCATTTTATTATTCTCCTACTTGTAGCTCTTTAAATAGTAATTATTTCGAATGTTTCGATTCCTAGAGTGTTTTAAAGCATTTCGGGATGTTCTCACCAATTATATATTGTTGATGTTGATCGCACCTGACACCTTATAATCCGGTATTACCTATTGTCCTCTTTTTTGTTCGCTCAAAATTTTCATCGTTTTTCAATATTTGATATTAATTTAATTCTGGCGAACGATCCGGAAAGTTTCAATGCATTTACAAATAACCTGTTCAAGGCGGCCGGTGTATTAGGGTAGTTTCAAGTTTTCCGGTAAAAATGAAATGAAATTTTTGTACTTTTTGAGAAGTGAATTATCTCGTTATTTCGAGAGATAGGTTCTAAACAGATTGCAAATTGAAAGAAACATTAACAATTAGCTGGCTCCGGAGCAAACGCCGACTGGCCGCCCTAACACTGTCTCAAATATGCGTGTATTTCAAAAAAAAATTCACTGAGAAAGTAGTTTTGACGATTTCAATACTTACTGCACTGCTGGGGAGATTGTCCACATGAAGTATTTCCGCAACAGCTTCCTTCAGTTCGGAAGCCCCGTGTCGCATTACAACATCTAAGGGTACTCTCGTCTCTGAATTTCAGTGAATCACTATATATCCGCTGTTAGGAAGTAGACTGCACAGCCATGCAGTGCTTTTCACCGACTTCCTGAAACAAATTACTTTTCTTGAATTATCATTTATAATTTGTAAAGCCGTGGGAGATATCTTTCCTTGTCTTCTGGAAGCTGTTCTTCAGAGAAAAATGATGGTCAATTTTTTATGTTTCGAAAACTCAGCGACTTCTCGTAAAAAAATTTAAATTTTGAGGTGACAGCAACAAGTGGTAAACTCACACAGAAAACTTAACTCCGCCTATTGTTTGCCTAACCGATTGTAGGAGTGTAGGCGAGAGAGCCGTGAGCAGTTAGCGAAAAATGACATTGCAGGCGGTGCACTTTCAGCATTTTTGACACCAATATTTCTTTTCTCCGTGCTCAGAAGATTCCTTTTCTTTTTCTCAACAAGTACTCGTTTACTAAGCTCATTTTTTTTTTTCTTTTCTCTTTTTTTTTCAACTCCTTTCCTTAAAAACTTCCTGTCTGAGAAAAAAAAACCAATCATGTTTCAGAATGAGCGCAAAGAAATGTGCCAGAGAAGAATGTGGTAAATCCGTCTACCCGGTAGAGGAACTGAAATGTCTTGACAAGGTTCATTTTCCAGAGGATGAAGTATTTTGATTGAAAATTTTCAGGTCTGGCACAAACAGTGCTTCAAATGTTCTGTGTGCGGCATGACACTCAACATGAAGAACTACAAAGGCTACGATAAAAAACCTTATTGCGAACCGTGTGTTTTCATACATTACACATGTCCCTTATAATGTCCAAAAACTTCATTTTTTCAAACCTAGAACTTCTGACAGTTTTTTTTCTTGTTTTAGTTTTCCGCTTTGAAAAAACTCACATACCGATGTTTAACATTATTCCAAAAAGTGCTGAGTTTCTTCAAGAAGGCTTGAATTTTCTCAATCGCTCATATTTTTTTCTAGAAAAAAGAAAATCAAGAGAAACTATTTCGGGAAAGGAAAATAACGGATATAATCTGAGAATCGGAGCGAATCGACAGTGTGTCCAAGCATCAATATTTTTGTCCTTTTTTCAGTCACTACCCGAAAACGGTCGCGTCGGTGGTAACGGACACTCCTGAAATGCGGCGGATCGTGGAAAAATACAAAAAAATCAGAGCAATGTGAGTTTTTTTTTCCCCCTTTTCTCAGATATCTATTATTAAGTGTTTTATTAAAACCAGATTGGTATTGCGATATATTAGGTTATTGATCCTTCATGGCCGGATAATTTTAGTTAAGTGTCTTTTAAAAAAATCATAACTCTTGTAATTTTTTTAAAAATTGGAAAAAGTTCAAGTACCTGAAAAAAATTTTTTTTTACATTATTTTGAAACCAAATTTCACCTAGACTTCTCATTTTCAAAGAAAAAAACTGTTTTTTTCCTCTTTAAAGTTTCATGCAGTTTTTTTTAAACTTATTGCTATAATTTTCTTTTATCCTGTCGGTTATAAATTGTAACGCATCGGTACTCTAATAATCGAATTTTTTAATCGAAACTCTGGTGAAGCAGTTTGATTTCACGATCTCGGTTCTGATCGATTGATTTTTTTGCTTCACTCGAACTCCCATAAAAAATCGTGCTGGCCTTAGGGGCGGACATTACAGCGAGCAGATTCGGAGTGGATTCCTGGTTCTTTCTCCCCCGCCGGCTATTTCTGCTCAGCTAACTCGTTGTAAAGATCGCCTCGCGTGGAAAATTCGGGATAAAAAGCAGCTTTAAACTTCTCTCAATCTTTCAATGACTCACTTTTTTGTATTGAAAAACAGAAACAGAGAATTTAATACGATTGATGATGGGCCATCGTCAGGCTTTATCGAAAAACACAATGATTGAATGAATGCATCGTCGACAGACTGTAGTCACCCTGCTTTGTGTCGTTCAAATAGTTGAAATCGGAAATATTCAGATCAAATACCATGCTGAATACGAGAAGATGAGAGGAACGAAGATTGAAATTGCGGACGACCCAGAACTCGAGAGACACAAGAAAAACACACAGGTTGGGTCTAGGATATGAAGATCAAGTTCAAAGAAAGAAACCAGTTATGCGTGAAGTTTTAGATAAGAAAGGTTAAATAATTTTCGATTTCTTCTTACAACAAAAAATACGTCTAAATATTCTTTTTTCTTTCTTTTTACCAGTTGATAAAACAAAGTTTGACCTCCATTACTTTATTCTTTTCATCTCCCCTTTTCCGTTTCATTTAAAAAGCTGAGCTTTCAGACAGCTTCGAATGTTCAGTACACGGGTGAGTTGGACAAGAAAAAGCGTCAAGAACAATTCCGACCGAAGGAAGTTTCCGGCGATGCTAACGGTACGTTTTCGTTTATCTCGCAGTTTCTTGTAAAATTAACAAGGAAAAAGCCGCAATAAAAAGTTCAAAAGGAGACGTTACGTTCCGGATCGAGCGTGTTGTGGAACTCACACTTGCTGTGCATGGGGCGACAGAACTAGTTTCATACGTTAATGCCGACGTACCAGATGAAAAGACTTTTTCGATTCCAGTCATCGTTTTATCTAAGGCTTAAATCTTTCCTTCTTTTCCCTCACTTTGCAATTCTGTGCTCACATGGGATAGGCAGAACATGCGTCAACCAAACATTTTTGATACAAAAATTATATTTGAAATCCTTCTTTCAAACTTTCGATTTTTTTTAAAAGTTCATATTTTCTCTCAGTCATATCAGTAACTCAAATTTAGAGTTAAAAGCTCTAGATGCTGATTCGAAACTACAGACAAATTCGTAGAAAACTTTATGGTAAACTAGAAAAGACTATTGGATGAACTCGTCAAGTGTGATAATAATTACCTCTCTCTCAGAGATTTCAGTGATGTGAGTCTTTTTTTGACCCTGGCAATACTATCTCATGTAGGGCCTTGTCTTGTTCCAATATTTCTTGTCGATTGTTGCGTCCCGTCGTTCTATTTTGTTTTTCAGTTTTGATAGATTTCTCAGACTTTTTTGATTTTTTCAAGTGTTTTTCTAATCCAGCCTTCTATCGGACCTCATCTCACTATTCGCCCTTCCCTTCTAACTTCTCTCGAGTACTTTTCTGCAAGAAACTAACTTATTTTCACACGTGTGTGTGTTTTGTAGGAACTTCTGTAATCGTCTCTCTTCTTTTCTTCTTCTTTTTGTCCGTCGTCTTCGGCTAACTCAACTCGAACTGAAGGCTCCTGTCAAAGACCTACTGGTTCAGGCAAAGTGGCCGCGGTCGCCACGGCGGCTCCTCTCCAAGAACAGCCAGCAACGGCTCCGCCTGTGTCCGAAGAAGTCAAAAAGACCAAGAAAGTTGTCAAGAAGAAGCCTGCACAGTAATTCTCGGAGATGCACCGTGTAATCTCAACTAAAAGGTCGTGTGCTCCGAATTTCTTGTCTAAAACCCTTGACTTTTCATTAAGAAATTGTCTATTTTTCTAACCTTTCTAAAATTATGTTAAAGTTTTGGTGAAAAAGTTCTTCAACATTTATTTTCACTTGTTTGATGTCTAGCGAATCGGTGTGTTCTTTTTCATCATCTTTCCCTTCATCCTGCTGAAGTTGGAGATATGTCCTCTCTTTATTATAATTTTCTCTTCCTTGAAAAGGTGTTTTCTGCCATTCATGAAATGAATGTTCCTGGTAGATGACGCGTTGGAGAAAAAAGAAAAGCGAAAAAGAAGTGTTTTTCCTTCTTTTTTTTTTTTTTGATTTTTTGGCTTCTAAAAGTTCTCTCGCCTCATTCAATTTTTTTTGAGTGTTTTGATACTAAACAAAACCTGAGTTTTTTCAATGCACTGTTTCTATTAACAAATTAGTTCTCAAACGATACGAGTTCCCCATCCATCTTTCATACTAAAAGAGTTATTTTCTACTTCATTGGAAGTGCATGGAATGTTCTTCAGGATTGGTCGTCGGCTCAATAGTGGTGCCATCGGGGCCGCTGTCTCCAGTCGACAACGTCGCGTCTTCACGACCTCCTGATCACTCTTCAATCGTCTACTCGACGGATCGTTCAGGCATGCCTTCTTTTTAGACATTAGACGTTGGCTTGATCTATCGTGGCTTTTTTTGGTTGCGAACTAGCCTTGCGCTTTCTATTTGGGCAGTTAGAAGGATTTCAGTATCGCCAGCACAGGCTCAGCGGACCGTCGGAAGCATCGCAGACTACGACCCTCTCAACGGTAATTGGGGCACCGCCGGTCATGCTCGTAATATCGAAAAGATAGGACAACTGAGTTAGTTTGTATCTTTTTCCGTTCCTTTTGCATGCTACTTATTTATTAAGAAAAAAAGTATTTAAAAAAATCATTGGAAAAAAATAACATGTCGAAACTGAGGAAACAACATTATCAAAAACTTTTTGAGCCCTACTGTTCTCGATGTTCAAGTTTCATCCCCGTTATGAATATCATCTCTTTTTTTGGGGAAATGTCGAAAAAAATAATGTCTCTTTCTGACCAGTTAAAAAAATTAAAAGATAAAAAAAAAAAAAGTTTCTGACCAGGGGTGAAAGAAAAAACTATTTTATTAAATAAGTTTCATCTAGTTTAAAGTTTTAGTCGGCAAACCTTTTTTCCGCCTAGAGTGGTGAGACTTGCCGGCTCGGTTTTTGTCAATTATTTTTCTTTCGAATTACGCCTGTTTAAGGCGGCTGGTTTTGAGGTACCTTATCTTATAACCTCGAGAAATAGGCCCTCAAAGAGTTGGGGAAAAAAAAAACATCAAAAAATTTTCCTGGCTTCGAAACTGACGGCACAATATTGAACGGCCGCCGTATCACTGTCTTAAACATGCGTGTAATGGAAAGAAAAAAGCACCCTGAATGCCTCTAAGTAATTGCATTTCACCTCGCCGATCCCCGTTGTTTTGTGGCTGTACGACAATGTTTCTGTTCGGAAATGCATGAAATCGTGCTTTCTTCCCCTTTGAGAGACTTTTAGACAGGTAACAGTGGGCGGAGATTGTCGTTTTAGAGAGTCACGTGGACAAGCAACCGGCGAGGTTCTGTGTCGATTTTGCAGACGAAGGCAGCCGTCTCAATTCGACAGGCGTCTCGTTGTCGTCGGCGTCGCCACATTCGACGCTCTCCTCTCCGCAGAACGGCGGAGCCGCTGGTGCGATGTCGTCGGGTCGGAACTCTGCAATGAGTCCTTTTGGAGGTGCAGGGTTCGCCGTCAAGGCTATCTACGATTATGCTGCTGCCGACAAGGATGAGGTTCTTTCTCTTTCCCTTGTGCTTCTGCTTCTTCAAGAAAAAAAGTCCCAAAGTTGTTCTTTTCGGAAAGTTGAACACAGTTGCGTTTTTCTGGACATGTAATAATTCTGCAGGTCTCGTTCCTTGAGGGCGACATCATAGTCAACTGCGAAAAAATCGACGAAGGGTGGATGACTGGGACTGTTCAACGAACACTTCAGGTTTCCTTTCTATCTTATCCAGTTTTTACCGTTGACAAGTAATTACCGAAAACAGCGCTAAGTAGAACTGAGAGTTACTTGGAGAGCTCTTAATTAACTTTTAGTGGATACTTCAATCGACAGAGTATATCGAAGGCGGTTTTTTTCTTTGAAAATTTTGAGCTGAGAATATAAAACCCGAAAAGACTAGCATCCCTTGATTCTGATTCGAAAAAAAAAATTGAATCGGTTGTTTTCCATTAATGGAACATAGTATTGACGGAGAGTTTACTGTATTGGAAAACTCAATTGCAGTGGGGCATGTTGCCAGCGAATTATGTACAACCACACAAGCTACCCACAGGTCTCCATCGACTCAGCTAGCTCATATGCTTTCTTTTTACTTGATTTAAATTTTTTTGTTTTTGATATAATATTGGTTGATTCTTACAGAGTTTACTGTATTTTGTTCTTGTCTAATTTAATAAGGCTTTTTTAGCATGACGTTTTGCGAGCGATCGCTTTTTGAAGCGTTTTTGATCTACATTTCTTTCTTTTCATGTTTCATCTGGCGGGTTCGAATATTGAAAATTGCTTGTTTGCTCACTCCTTTCACATTATTTTCCCAATTGAAGACTTCTACTTAAAAAGTAGTGTAGCAAAGAAATTCTTTAAAATCATTACATAGAAGAGTACGTTTTTGTATAAATACTTGAATAATAATTAACTCCTACTTGATTTGAAATCGCACCTAAAAATCTATGCTCTACTGAAATTGCGCGTAAACACTTGAGTGACCTTGAGTCTTCTGAGATGTTTTGAAGCTTAACTCAGTAGCTTAGAATTATTTTCGTCGAAGAAAAAGTTATAGCCTGTCCGTCGCGACTTGACGATTTTCGAGTGTCTGGGTCTCTCTGTTCCCTCACCAGCGAGGCCAGAGAAACATGAAAATAGCGCGTCAACAAGAGAGGGTCGTCGAGAGACGAGGAGGGCGCAGAGAAGTCCCGTCCTTTCAAGTCGCGAAAAAAGGGGTATATGATAACCGCCTTTTGTACGGGGCGAGACGAACAGAGAAAAAGAAATAGTGTAGAAATGGAGACTCGATTTTCGCGGCCCGATTATCATATACCCAAAAAAGGACTATATCTTATGGAATTCTATCAAAAAAATTTTTTTTTAAGTATCAGCTTATAAGAAGTTTTATAAATTTTCAGTTCCAGTTTTTTTGTTTCACTTTTTTCGTGCCTTTTTTGTCGTCTTTATTTGGTCAATAAAATTCAAGCCCCAGCTTTCTTGTAACAAAATTATTTGTATGAACTTTTTCCTGTACACTTGCCTTTTTAGAAAGCTTCTCAGTAAACTCAATTCTATTTTTCACCTTTCACACAAATGTTAATCACCTTTTCATCCTTTGTTTTATCGTTGCAAATAAATGTTTATCAAGACGAACGTGTACCGCGGGGTCATTTTTATTCCATTAGTCAAGGTGAGTGGATGTTTTTACAAATAAAGAGAATGGAGAATCGAGCGAATACTTCGGCCTTTGTCGTTTAGAAAGGAAGAAAGACAGTTGAAAGACAGTTTCTCGACCAGTATGAAAATGACTTGGTTTCTCAGATTTTGGTTGAAGATGTGCGTGGGGAAAAGAAAAATTTCGTACCAGGCCGCAGAAACGACGAACGACGCGACTCCTGCGGCTCTTCACCCGTCAGCGACGCCTACAGAGGTTCGCAGAGTATCCGCGAATGGAGCCTTCTTTTCGCAGGCTGCGACTCCGATGGCTGCGACGCCGCGACAGCCGTCGCTGCCCCCGCAACCAGTGCCTGAAAACAAGCCCAGTGTCAGTGAAAACTGAGCGAAACTCTTTGAGAATATTAGAATATCTTTTTGACGACATTTGGTGTCTCCAGGAAACGCGCGAAGTGGATAACGAAAAGAAATTCGACAACGAGACGAGAAACAAAAAAAGTAAAAAACAGAAACTACCGAGTAGTGAGTTCTTTTTTCATTCAAATTTCACTTCCTCTGTAAAGAAATTTGTTTTATATCAGGATGACGAGAGACAACACGAAAAAAAAGCATAATAATTACAATCCATTTGCGACCACCCCGGAAAATATTTCAGTGCCTCGATAGGAAAACAGAAACAGAATGAGAGTTTCAGACTTGTCCCAAAATAGCCGTGAATGGGCTATTATGTGATTTTTTTTGGATAGTTCATCAATTAGTAACTGAAAACTATGACTTCAAAAAAAAATATAATTTAGAATAGAGGAACCTATTCAGACAAAAGTATCGGCTCGTCCATTCCGCCCCCGAAAATAAGGTGTGTCTCTTCTTTTCCACTTTTCTTTTTGTCCTTGAAATACAAGAAAGCTCATTTTAAAGCTCGAAAATACAAGAAAGCTCATTTTAAAGCTCGAAAATACAAGAAAGCTCATTTTGAAAAAACCTGGCCTTCCTGAAAATTTCAAAGTTTCAACCTTTGAAACTTGGGCGCACCGGAGGCCGTATGCAATAAAGTGGAAAATGCGTTCGCCTTCCATTTTCTTTGGCGAAACCATTTTCCTACTCGAGGGTAGGTAAATGGCAAGGAAAATGGTTCGCCAAATGAAGTTTTTATCTATTTTTTTCGAATTTTTTGTGTTATGGGCCTAGTTTTGGTTAGTTTTTGTTGTATATGTGAGCAGTAGACATATTAACTCAAAAAGTCATAGAAATTTTTTTTTTTGTAGCTTCCAATGAATATTTGAGCCGACTTTTTAGAATAAATAGGTTGTGTAATTTTGGTGGTACGAAAAAAAGACCAGAAAAAATTCGAACGGTAATTTTTCTGATTTTTTCATATCGCTAGGGAACTTTCCGACAAATCCTTCTCCTATTTTTTTTTCTTGGTAAACTCTTCGTTTTGAATCTTTCCATATAAATTAGATAGTTGATTCAAGATTAAACATAAATAAGTTGAAAAAAATGTTAGTAGATATTTTAAAAAAACAAAAAAACAAATAATGGAAAAAAATTCGAAAAGGGATTTATCCGAAACTTCTCCGTCGGAAAGTTCCCTAGCGATATGAAAAAATCGGAACAACCGACGTTGGAAAATTCGCTGGTTTTTCTAAAAAATTATATTTCCTTACATAGGCAAAGTCGGAAGAACCCTCCGAGGGTCCGTAAAGGTCCATAGAAATGTTTCTTTAGGGTGATGAATGCTCCCTTTTGCTGCCTTTTTGCGCCATTTTATCAGCCCATATGCACCCTTTTTGCTGCCTCTTCCTTTCTCCACCATTTCTCGAGCCTTTAAAATCCCAGAAAAATGGAAGGCTCGATATAGTCTGTTCAGATTTTGAATGTCAAGCAGCTAACTCCACCCCCAAGGCTACATATCTTTCGCGTCAATGTTTTATCTACATATGCCAATGGCCCTTTAATAAGGCTGCTTTTTTGACCTCTTTTTCTATCTTTTAGAAAAAGATCAAAATTAGTCCCGCGCGATGAAACATCGACGCGAAAAGGAACCGTCTCAGCAGGGGCGTAGTTAGCTTCTTGACATTCAAAATCTGAACAGACTATAAAGGGACTCTCTTTGCTGCGTTTCGCTGTCTTTTTGCTGCCATTTTGTTGCCTTTTTTTTGAGCCTCTCCCTTTTAGCTGCCATTATCCACCATTCCGACTTTGCCCGAGTAGATACGCAGGTGCCTACCCGCCCACCGTAACCCGGCTACAGTAAGAGGGAATGGTTCAAAAAGTTGCGGCGGCATTTTTGATGACGAACTATCACACTGAGTGAAGTTACATCATAATCAGCAACAATCAAGACGGAATAAGAAAATAAAATCAAAGAACACCGAAAAAAAAAAACAAAAAAACTATAGTTGTATACACACTGCACCGAAAAGACGCCATCATTTTCTTGGTAAAAGAGAGCATTTTCCAAGGCAAACGATCGCTTTACCATTTACCGCTTATTGCATACGAAAATGACATTCGCCGGCGAATGCTTTTTCCTCGGCGAACGTTCGCCGGCGAATGTTTATTGCATACGGCCTCGGGACTGGAAAAGAGCGTCTTTCTAACTCGAGAAAAAGCTAAGATCAGTATATTCATTTAATAAATCAAGAATCAGATTTCCTACAAAAATTAAAGAATTTTTAGTATATTTGTTTTCCTTTAGCTCGACATTGCAGGAAAGCGCGACGGTCGCCGGAGGGCCTTAAAGATGCAAAAGATCCACAGTACGCGACGCTCGACGGCGACTACCCCTCTTTCGCCCTCGCTGCCATCGATAGGACACCGGTGCTTTTTGAACTTCGTAGTGTATGGAAGACTGAAGAAAATAGTGAGGGAAAATAAGAATTTGAACACGCATGTGCATGGAAAAGAAGCACACGGGCAAAGTCCAAAAGGTCTCAAAAACCACTTTTTTAAAAGGCCTCAACGGCACTTTTTTTTTCTAGACGTTTTCTGAGAAGGACCTTTAAAGGAGATGTAAAAAAAAGAAGGCGGGAGAAGGTGGAAAAAAGAGATTTCGAGAAACTTTTGACACCTTTTTAGGAACTCGAAAAGGAGCTTTAGGCTCTTATTTTCAACGCCTTTTTGAGGTCGTTCGGACTTTGCCTGTGCAGCGATGACGTAAACTAGTTAAAAGTAGGTAAATTTGAAATTTTTTTTCTCACTTACGAAATTTACGAATACGAAAATGTTAATTTGCAAAGAAAGTCGAAAAACTTTTTCATTCTGTAAACATTGAAAGTTCGTATACATGACCTCTAACTTTAAAAAAAGCTTCACCATATGATTTACGAAGGACAATCGAAAGCACAATAAGGGATGTTTTTTCTGGAAGGTAAATTGAGAAAAGACGGAAATTTTTCAGAAATCAGTGAAAAATAAAGCAGCGGTTACTCCTAAAGAGAATGAGACACAACTGTCGGCGGTCAAATCCAAGAACGAGGGAGGAAATTTAGAACGGTCAGTGTCCCTAATGAATTTTGAAACAGAAGAAAAAATGAGAGTCATTTTTTTAAAACTGGTTTGAGACCAACGATCTGGGGAAAAAGAAGGTTCAGACGTCTTCGTAGTTCTTTTCATCTCTAATCAAAAATCTATGTATTTCATGAACAATCTCACAAGATAAATGTGTATCATTTGGAAGTTCCGAAAAAGTTAAACAATACATTTTTTAATTTTCTTTTTTTGTGGTAGCCATAAGAATCAATAAATTTTAACTGGTAAATTCACATCCAAAACTGAAAGGTTGAACAGACAGGGACTATTAAGAAAATTTGTTTATACCTGAAAAAAAAATCAAATGTTTTAATCGTGATATTTTGTTTGCAGGCGCTAGATTCTATCGCACCTCTTCACATCATTCTGCACAAATTTTTAAGAGTTCTCTTGCCAGCTCAAGGCTAAAAAAATAAACTAGAATTTTTTTATTTATTTTTTTCGATCAAAAATATCAAGTAGCATCTGAAACTAGAAAAAATCGCCAGCTCGAGCACGGCTTTTAGTTTCTTCTTTGCGTTCTGGCGATGGCTCAATGTGGAGCAGATTGTCGGTCAGTGACGTCGTCGACGTCGTTGAAGGCGTTGGGGTTTCGCGTCGGCGGATCATCGATGTGACGGGAGTGCGGTGCAATGGCTTCCGGGTTGACCCAGGCGTCCGCTCACTCAAATGGAATGTTTATCGAGTTCTGTATTGCTATGTAGAAAAAGTGAAATCGAAGTTCGATTTTTCGCTTAAAAATCGTCTTTTCTGATTACTTCATTTCACTGTTTTGATGATGTAGGCTCAATTTTCTTATGCTGATTTCAAAATTCCATTTTCCGCACGTATCTAGATTTCGATAAATCCAACCTTATCATTCCGAAAATTTCAGAAAAAAAAGGGGAACTGGAAAAAAATACCTTGGAGTGACTGGTGTTTTGGAGAAAGAGGAGGAAGAGCCGGTCCGCATTTGGATTCCCAGCTTGTTGGTAGCCAATCGTTGTGCCGCTGGGGACAGAAGAGCCAACTTTTCCGAAGTTCTTTTCGACGCTCCTCCGAAACGTGGCGTCGAACTGAATGAGAAAAAAAAACATTGGAATTACGTCAACTATATTTTTGAAATATTTGATCCCTTCTTTTTGCTATTCAAAGAAAAAAAATTAGCTAGAATAATAAGAAATCCCTTTTTTCGCTCTGTCCGCCTCCTAATTTAAGAAAATTCTCGATATTCGATCATTTTTTGAAATTTCTCATTTTAAAATATGAGAAGTTGAAAACACCTGGGAAATCAGGAAGAAATAAGAAAAGGAATTTTCGAGAATGAAAAAGGAAATTTTCATCGGTCACATTGTACGTAAATTTTTCAAAAACAAGTCTTAAAAAGCTTCAAAAAAAACTAACTGAGCTCCTTCAGCCGCCTTCATGGCGACCTTCCGTTTGTCGCGATAACGCATCGCGATCGTGTCGTTTATTCCTTGTGCGATTTGCTCGCGATACGGAACTTCGGGCATCTAAAACTCCTTTGAAAACGTCAAGCCTTGTTTTAAACAATGTACGACAGCTTTCATACGTTCCAAAAAGTTTTTTTAAATCGAATTCAACTTTCCAAACAAGTTTAAAAGAATATTCCACTCGTGTTAAACGCGACTGAGGAACTTACCTCAGACTCGTTAATTACAATGGAAAGCCCTAAATCCGTGAAAAAATAAAAGAACAAAAAATGTCATTCTCAGAACTTTCTCGGTAATGGAAACTGAAAAAGCGGCTCTCAGTTCCTGAGGAAGAAGCTGAGACAGACCTTGAAAGTTGGCGCGTTGGCGGTAGGAGCGGAGACGTCAGGAGCGTCCAGACGGAAAGGTGTGCCGTCGATCTCTCCCCACGTCATCAGAGGCGAATCCTCGACGCCAGGGGCGGGACTCGGCGTCGCCAGAATGCCCATTGTTTTCGTTGCTCCGATTTCGTGTCCCAAAACGTCGACCTTTCCTGCCTTATTCGCCGCCTGGATCATTGCCGCCCTTGACATCGACTCCTACAATTTCATATCACCGACCAAAACGATCTCAAAAAAATTAAACTAGAGACCATAACACGAAAAAAAAACATAACACAACCTAACATTTTTTTTTGCTATCAAGGATTAAAAAAGTCAATCATCAAAAAAAGACTCTTTTTCTCTATTTCTGATTAGATCGCACTTTGCTATTTTCATTTACCTTCGAAATAGAAGAAAAAAACAAACCCCTCCTTTTTAAAAATTCACGTTAAATGATTACTTCTTTCAATTACTGTTACCTTAACCAAATAGAAAAAAACCTGTCGAATTTTCTCAGAGTTTGTAAAAGGATGCTAACAACTCATTCGACATTTTTTTCGTTCCTCCCGAGCTTTAGTTATGAAAGAATTATAATCGTGAAATAAAAAGGAATTTTCTTCGGCGTGAATAAATCCCGCTCTGGGCGTAAACTGGATCTTTGCGCAGAAACTTTTTTCGAACTGGATATTTAACCTTTTCATTTATTTAACTATCTCTTCACAGAAAACCCTTTTTTTCTTCACACAAACTGAAAAATCTTACTTCTGAAGGCTTGTTCTTAACGTCGTCAGGGAAACGCGTCGCAGATTTGTTAATCACAATTTGCTGTTTCAAAGCCGCTGCAGCTGATTCTTCGGCGCTCATGGGAACGCCCTCGGGGTTGAACAGGATAGTGTTCCAAGCGGTATACTTCCAATTGTCGACGGCGATCGGCCGTTCTAAAAAGCAGTGAAAACGTTGAAAAAGGCTATTTGAAACCTTCTTCGGCGTTGGCTGTATACTTGATCGCCAGCTGGACATCGGCTTCGGCAGGCATCAAAGAGTGGATAATCTAGAAATAGAAGGATGAACGATTCAATAGCCCAAGTAAACGAAGGTGTAACCGAATTCTTGTTGTGCCGCTCCTCGGCCTCGTAGACCCAATGGCGCTTGGCACGTTCGCGCTCCCTCATGACCTCGGTGAGCTCCTCGAAGGAAGCGTTGTCCTCCGACGTGAAGCTGTTCAAGTAGCCTGTCACCGACATTTCCACTTCTTTCTTCTTCTTTTTCTTCAGATCAGCCTGAAGCCGAACATTTATCAAAAATGTGTACGTATATTACTTGGCTACTAATTCTAAGAAGATTCTCACGACTAAATAACTATGAATATGAGAGAATCAAGTTATAATCTGATTCTGAAAGAAGAATACGGAAATCGAAACAAACTTCGTTGTCGCCTTCAGCGTTGGAGTAAGGCAAAGGTGTGGAGTAAGGGTCGTCAAGTGGAGCTTCGGATGCTTTAGATGTGGAAGGACCAGGTGTCGCCGGATCGAAATTGAGCGGCGACGTCGGTCGATCCGGCTTCCCCACCAGCGGAGTTCCAGAAATCGCGTGAGCAGAGGGCGAAGTCCTCAAAACTCGTTTTTTTTTCTACATTCAATAGAGGAAAACTCACCTTCGATCTGTTCTCCTAGTTGTTCTGAACCTCACTTGAAGTTCTCTTATTTTGGCGACGTCATTTGAAGCAACAGCATCCATATATTCTCTTTGTGCCTGAATTAGAATAAAAGCACACCCCCGTTCGAGGCGGCCGGTCGTGGTACGGTTAATATTGACCGGCCGCCTTAGAACTGTTTAAAAGATGCGTCGGATTTCCGGAAATAGAATGCAAAATATTCCGATTTATAAAAACGCCTTACTTGAAGTTTTGGAAGTTCTGGAAAGTAGTCTTTCACTATGATCCTTTCTAATTTTGAAATGTACTGCTCTTCAGGAAGAACTTTTCGCACTTGTTTTGTAGATTGCACAGTTTTCTGCGAAAGTTCAACTACCTGGAAATTATAACTCATTAAAGTGTTGCAAATTTATCAAACCTTGCCATCATTGACTGATTTGGGAACGACTGCATATTTAGCTCTGCGATCTTCTGCGTCAAACGAAGACATCAAATTTTTTCCGACCTGGAAATATGCTTAACAAAGAAGCCATCATACCCTAATAGCGTATTCAACAGACGAGAATAATTCTCGAGAATAACAAACAAAAAAATTCTCGAGAATAAAAAAACAATAAATAATATGAGAAAAAAATCATTGAGTGGCTGATGGAAATTTAAAAAAAGCTTCAGAACTATGCGTAAAATTTTCAAAACAGGAAAAAACCATCGAAAAACTTAATTAAATAGGCATGTGGCTTTTCGCAAAAAAGATCGCTACAGGAGAAGACACGTGGGCAAAGAAAATCGTGGAATGGCGTAGATGGGCGAAAACGCGTGAAGTTGGACGACCCAAACCCCGCGCGCGGCGTTCTGCGTAATGGAAGAAAATGTAAAAATTTTGAAAATGCGGAGCGGCTTTGAAACGTTGCTCCACCTAGATTTACGGTAGACAGCTCGCGCGCGAACATTTGAATTCCTTGTTGCTCAAGTGCTTCAGGTGATTTTTCATGTTTATTTCAGTTGTATCTTTATCTGTTTTGTTCTGATTTACGGTAATTATTTTTTTTATTACGACAGCAAATTGCGAAAGAACTTTTTTTCAATTTTCAATATTAACTGCTCCGTTTTGACAAAATTTCCCCTTTAAAGCAAAAAAAAAGCCTTTCAGCAACATTTTCAGTGTCAAATTAAATTTTTTATTCGAATCAGTCAATCTTTTCATCTTCGCAACATCAGAATGGTATGGCGATGTTGCAGAGGAGAAAAAATACCACTAGGTGGATGAACTAAACCAAATCTGTAAAGAAAATTTTTTTAAAATTTTTAATAAGTGGGGAAAGACACATAGAACCACAATAAGTCATTTTCAGCACAAGATTCCATGGTTTTCACTGAAAAAAAGGACTTTAACTAATTTTGAGGGTGAAAGGTATAAAAGTGTTCAGAAAATAAGAAAACTTCCACCCAAATGTTTTTTTTTGTCAACTGGAAAAGGAATTGTGACAGGATCGATTTTTTTCACGTCTATAGTTTTGAAAAAACACTATTTTTCAAAGAAAAAAATTATTTTCGAATTTAATGAGTATGCGAGTTAGCGTCGTTCTGTGTATGCACTAAAGACGTCAAATATTACGGAAATTGAGAGAGGGGCGTCGTCAAAAGAACGCCGACAGTTGCGCGAACCGACAAACATCTCTTCGAATATTCCATGATTCAACAGATACAAGATTACTTTGAGGACTGAATAAATGTCAAATCTTAAATCTTAAATAGGCATGATGCGGGCCTTTACAAAATGCTACCGCTTTTTTGTGCTCCATTTCAAATTAATACAATGCGGACGTTTCTTAATCTTATCACTTTCACTCTTGTTGGCACTTTTTTTTTTACAATTTTATTTTTTTTTTTCCTGTCTTTCCTTCGAAAAATAAAACTATTCAAAAAAAGTACTACGACGGAATTAATGAATTTCTTACGATAAAGGTTTTCTAATTGGGTAAAAAACGTAGGCTTCTTATTAGAATTTTTAAAACGATTTTCTACAGTTCATGAATCCGTATTAAACCGGAAATCAGGTGAAAAAAATTGAATAAGGGACAGAATAAATCTTGAAAATGGTTTCAACAACGATACTGTCAAGAGTACAAAAGAGGCACCACTATACTGATCGGAAATCTATCGAAAAAATTAAAATTTCGTTGTCTTTTAAAAGAATAATGACAATTCAAAAAACGCCCGTATTTTATCCATTTGCAATGGAGCACAAAAAAAGCGGTCGCGTTATGTGAACGCCCACAGTTTATAGCATTCCACTTAAGCTTTAATAATATATTTAAACTTTAAAAAAATTTCGAAGTTTGAAAAGGCTGAGGCAGGCTTGTGTGTCAGGCCGGGCGGCCCTAGGGCCGGCCTGGCCCGGGCTTTGGGCCTCATTTTTCAGAAAAAAAGCCCGCGTAGGATCGGGCCGGGCCGGACTTTAAAAAAATTAAAATTTCATTTAAAAAAATTCTCACCGAAATGTTACTTTTACTTTTGAAATCATAGTTTTTTTGTTAAACTTTAAGTGAAAAATTGAGCAAAAACGTAATTTTTGTCGGAAAAAAACTTGATATCCGACTAGAAAAAAATTGCGCGTTTTGTGCCGGGCGGGCCATTTTTTCTTGAGAACCCGCTAAGTACGGAATGAAAAAAAAAATTTGTCGGCGGAGCCACTTTGCTGCTTTTTCAAACGGGAGTTCGAAAAAGTTAAGGAAGAAAGATTTATAGCTGATTCACGGCCAGCTTGGGACTTTAAGGGGGCGTGTACTGTCTGCGCTCTCCACGAGCCAGGCGCTATCCCGTGCAATTATCGTGTCAGGACCATTTTTTCGATGGCTCAAGCCAGCCGTGAATCAGTTATAATAGTAGTTTTAGTTTGCTTCCCTGAAAAACGTTTTTCAGGGAAAAACTCCCTAGGTACGGAGTAGAGTTCTCAAAATGACCAATTGAAAAAAATGACATTTCTCAAAAACGAAAAATTTTCTTTTTGACATTTCAAACGAATGTCGTTTTTGAAAGATCAACCAAAATTGATCACTTTCATTCTTTTCATTTTGTGACTTTTCAAATAATGACTGAAAAAAATGAATGGTCATTTTCTAAACAATCATATTCTGACTAGTAAATAAATGTTCGTCCTAATGACCAAATTTTTGAAAGTGAAAAGTAAATGGTCACTTTTTTGACCAAAATTTTCGAAACGAATTTTAAATGTTTACTTTTTTTTGACCAAAAATTTTCAAAAAGTGAAATTTAATTGTTCATTTTTTTGACCAAAAATTTTTCAAAAATGAATTTTAAATGTTTACTTTTTTTGACCAAAAATTTTCAAAAGTGAAATTTAATTGTTCATTTTTTTGACCAAAAATTTTCAAAACGAATTTTAAATGTTTACTTTTTTTCGTAGAAAAAAATTTTTTTCAACTGTGAAAAATTAACACGCTGTCTCCGTTATTCTCAAAAAAATTTCTAAAAAGCAACGGGTACAATAAAAAAATATTTTTTTGATTTGGATGAAACTTCACCCAGTGTGATACCCCCATCATCAGAAATGCGGACCCAACTTTTTTTGAGCCATTCCCTCTTACTGTAGCCGGGTTACGGTAGGCAGGTGGGCACCTGCGTATCTCAGTATTGAAGAGTTTTTTTACTAGGCGAGTGATATATCAATCGATAGGTAATCCAATTTCAAGAACTTTTACAGTACATACCATCTTGGGTTACGGTCGAAAAAAATTTTTGAGTTACGGTACTTTTTTTGTGTCTGCCGAGTCAGTTTTTTTCGACCACCATGAGCTTGAGCCAGGAGATCCATTCTTCCTAACTTCTCAAAAAGATACCTTATGAGAAGCTGTACAAGCTGGTACTAGTTTGGAAAAAAATCCTAGGTGGACCATCATTTCGTAAAATCGCCCCCGAAGGCGCGCAATCGTGGTCTTGCGGCGGCCAAGTGGGTGAAGTCCATGATGCCGGACGGCTCATTTTTTTCACAGATCCATTCCAATCTTTTGTTTCCATTTCACTCATAGATGTCTATTATTGATTTTTTTATTTCAATTTGAGATGTTTTCGGGTTGACCATCATTTCGAAATTTCATTTTTGAACCCAAATTTGGCCTGAAATGGCCGACTCGGCCTTTTTCACGGGATCCCTGACCCCGTATGTGACCGTTCTCAACTTTTTTCTTTCTTAAACATGAACAAGAGTGCCTGAACAACAGTTTTATAACAATCGGAAACCCTTTTGAGAGGACCATCATCTCGAAATTTCATTTTGAACCCAAATTTGGCCTGAAATGGCCGACTCGGCCTTTTTGACGGGATCCCTGACCCCGTATGTGACCGTTCTCAACTTTTTTCTTTCTTAAACATGAACAAGAGTGCCTGAACAACAGTTTTATAACAATCGGAAACCCTTTTGAGAGGACCATCATCTCGAAATTCCATTTTGAACCCAAATATCGGCTTAGTTTCCCCATTTGAAGTTTTTATCATTTACAGCAAAATCTAGTCTGCCAATTTATTTTCAAAACAGGTAATCAAAAATGAGAAATGTGAAATACCAAGTAATTTTTTTCATGAAAGAGAAAACCCGACACCCTGACCACCGGTGAGGTTGAAACTTAACTTTCAAGGTGATTTTTTATAAATGTTTTTATTCATATAATTTTTCTCGTCCTTAACCGACTTTTAGCTTTGCCCTTGACCATCCAGATCACTGTTTTCCAACAGATTTTTAATTTTAACCAGAAATTAGTTTGAATTTCGAAGTAATCGATTCATGATTTCATTTGGAGAAGACTGAGATAGAATTGACTCTGGCACAGATACTGCCAAGAGCCGTAATAGTAATGAATAAAGTAATGAATAAATGTTTACCTTTTTGAAAAAAACATTTTCAAAGTGAAATTTGAATGTTCATTTTTTTGACCAAAAATTTCTAAAAATGAACTTTAAATGTTCATTTTTTTGACCAAAATTTTCAAAGTGAACTTTAAATGTTTACTTTTCTGACCAAAATTTTCAAAAGTAAAATTTAAATGTTCACTTTTTCGACCAAAATTTCCGAAATGAATTTTAAATGTTTACTTTTTTAACCAAAATTTTTTTCGAAAAATAAGTAATTGTTCATTTTTTTAAATGCTCAGTTATGAAATTTAACCAAAATGAAGTTTTTAACAAACGGTTCATGTGAAATTTAACTAATTGGTCGAATTCATCAAACGTTCGGAAAATGTTTGGTTGAACGTTCGTTCAAACATTTACTTTTGAGAACTCTAGTACGGAGGTATACTGAAGGACCCATATGGGACGAAGGTACACCTCCGTGCGAAATTTCGCCTTGCACCGTGCGATTTGGGTGTTTTTTCGGTGCTGCACTGGTTCCTCAAGTTAAAAGCACTGATTTGACACCTCTGCCCCAAAAAATCACCGAAATCGCACGGTGCAGACCCCAATTAAGCACCAGAGTGGAAAAAAGCAGAATGCACCGTGCGCCATTCTTGCTGAGCATTTGTGCGCCCCCGTGAGAAGTTTGCGGGAAGTGGTTAGTAGGAATTCGAGAAAAGAGAATTTTCGTTTTTCTCAGGATTTTAAATTTGTCCATCGCACCATGTTGACTTTTGAAAAAGTCATTTCTGCCTTTTGGGCATTTATGGCAAGGCAGCCATCCTCCACCTCTGAGGTTACTCATAAGCAGGAGGGCGTTTCTCTCTAAAATAAACTTTAAAGAAAAAAAACGCACAAGAACAGCGTTAAAACTTTATTTTTTTACACGCGGAATAATGGAAGATTTCAAGTTACTTTCTTTGAAAGGTTTTGTGAAAAAAATACAAGAAAAGATAAATCGGCTGACTGATTTAGTTATAATTTATTTATATTCGAAGTCGATATTTAGACGAATATGCCCATTCAAAACGCCGATTTTCGTTGTATCTGAATCAGAATGCCTTCGCAAACAGAAGTAAGGCTTGCCTGCAACAGTGACGTTGTCTAAAGAAGGAATGGGAAAGCCAAGACGTAGGATTGTACGCACGAGCTCCTTAGAAGTCTCGCGGAGAAGGCTATCGAAGGCGCGCAGGAATCTGTAAACTCACCGTAAAAAGAAGAAGTTTGTGATTACCTCGGAGAGATCTCCCCGATGCTGGAGAAGACGCCGTAGAGGTCGAGGTTGGAGTAGCCTAGGTCTCCGCCTATCTTCCCTCCAGGCAGGAGCTTTGGAAAGACGCTTGTAGATGTGTTCAGGCCTGCACTATTTTCATAAGCACAAAAAAAACTTTCCGAACCGATTCTAGCCAAAACATCATGGGGATGCGTTTTCATTGGGTTTATGTAGAGGTCGACAGCAATAGTCATGTTGAGAAGAAGACCTTTCTTCGGGTCAGAGACCAGCAAGGGCTCCTGAATTCACCAAACACTTTTAGGGCGCTTTCTCGCTAAGAATACTGTGTTTTATCTTTTTGCGGTTACGGTAAACCTTCCAATTTTTGTTCTTTATACCTTGTAAGTATGGAAAAGGACGTCGACGAATTGGTTCGGAAATTGTTTGAGGCCTGGGAAAAATCGTCCGACACACAGCGACAGGAGTCCACAAGATGTGCGAAGATATCCGGCGAAGTTAGGAGAATTTTTTGTGAGAAGGAGCTGGACGAGCTGACCTCTGTGGATGGAAGCTAGAAAACAGTTGGGAACCGCGTCTGCGATCCACATCGTCACCATTCCGGGATTAACTCCAGCTTCTGCAGTTATTTAAGTCAAAATTTTTCTTATAATATTTTATCGATATCATTAATAAATTTGTTCAATTTTCTATAAAGTCTTCGCTCCAAGTGGCTGCTCTCATTTCAAGACTTCCACCTAGATCACGGTCTCTCCGGGCTCCGGCACAACATCCGCTCTAACCAAGCTCGATAAGCTCTTCAACGGATGAAGATAGGGCAGAAAGAGGTGGCGAAGGAGACCAAGATTCATACTTGATCAACTACGCGTTCGGATTTATATTTCGTCAGAGACGGTTGTTCGTTATTACTTCAAAAGTTCTTTTTCACATCCTAGTTGATTACATCTATGACTAAAACAACAAAATGAATGATTGATTGAAAATGAAGATGTTGAAAAAAAAAAAAAAAAAAAAATTAGCCTTGTTGACTCCCTAGAATTGTCCAGAGCCTGAGACCCATAAATGCATGAGAAGAAGATGGAATGTCAGTTGATCTGAGGACCGAGCTTACCTGACCAGGAGACGTTGCTTGATGACTTGCAGGTCGTATTGCCGTAAACGACGTCAGCCGAAAGAATAACTTCGACGAACTCACTTAAGTCGAGAAACGTTCATTTGATCAAATGGGGAAGGATCAAACTCTGTTGAGCGAGGGTTGGCGACGAGGTAATAGTCGGCGTAGAAGTGTTTTCCCAAGTCAACGTGCGACGGGAGAGAATGCAGAAACTTGTTGCTTTCTTCTAGGAGAATCCCTTGCGCAGCAACACAAGCCTATCAGTGACAACATTTCAAAGAAGCTCTCATTGAAACTTTTTTAAAAAGAGAGTAAAACACGAAGCTTTCGCCGTAAAGCATAGATTTTGAGAGGAGCTCTCAGAAACTGACCTGATTATGGATGACAGTTTTGAGAAGAGCCGAGAAGGGAGTTCGAAAAAGGTTGACCAGCCAAGAAATAACGCTGCCTCCAATCCTTCAACTTTTAATTTTAAAAGTTTCGAATAACCATTCGCCCAGTTGTTGGTCGTTTTGAGGTTTTCAAAATGAAATATGACGAGATTTAGATTTTTTTTTTGATTATATCGATAAAAAAATGAATCTCACTGGACATCGAGATGAACGATGTCTACAGTGCACTCGCCGATGTCGATCTGAGGCTTGCCATCCAAGGCGAACACCTTTGCCGAGAGGTTCAGTCGGATGTCTGTCGCTATGGCTTGCACCCAGCCTGAGTCACGAACCTACGGGAAATCGTGACGTTTCTTACTCAAAGACAATGTTACCGTTACGACTTGTGTGAACTCGGCACCCCACAAACCTCGGAGTTTGACTCCGCCGCCCCGACTCCCCCACGAGATGCCTGACGACGTCAGTAGGAAATCGATACTGAAATGTTTTTTCTTTTCTCTTTCACAGTTTTCATTTCGTTCAAAAGCTTCACTCTTTCATGGACGCTGTCATCTCGAGGCTTTCATCTAAACCACGGTATCCGGGCCCTAGCCACAACATCCGCTACATTCTGAGCTCGTTAAGACGCAACGGAATGAACTACACGCAGAAGACCGACGCGAAAGACCGTACGACTATGCTTTCAACTTAATCAAGTACTCGTTTGAACTTCTAGTTTGCGTTTTTTCTGGCTTTTCTTCGTTGTAGCTTCAAAAATTCTCGTTCACCGCCTAGCCGATCACATCTTCCACTAAAACAGCAAAAGAAATTATTGGTAAAGTGTTATTCTACCAAAAATCTTTTACTTTCTCTCAAAGTTTTTTTTTACAGGCAAGACTGCGCTCTCAAAAACTAGATATCAGTTTCAGACTTTCTGGACCTTCAATTAGCCTATTGCGGATTTTATCAGCCAAAAAATCCTATCTTCAGGTCCTACAAACGTTTATTGGCCGATATAGCTTTAAAAAAAGTCCTTTTGACATACAATATTCCTAGACTCTATTGCTATTCAGGACTCTCACGGAATTGGTATTTTCGAAATCAACGACTTATTTGTCGGAGAATGACTCACTGCGGAGTCGAAAACTTGTCGATTTTGAGCTCGTCCGTGGAGACAGATCCTGCTCCCAGAGGCGTCGTTATGGGGAATGAGATGTTTGGAATAGTAATTTTGGGGATCTCCTGGTCCACCTGAATTCTTTCATTATTTATTTCAAAACATAGAACGTCTACTCACAACATGATGTCCACTCTTGCTGAAAAACTTGAAAAACTCGAAATTGAGACGTGTCTTCACCGTTTCGTTCGATGTCTCCAAACCTCGAAGACTCGATAAAACCACGACTGCGAGCCAGTTCAAATATCTCATGACTCTGCAACCAGAAGTTTGTGTTTGATTTTCAAAATGTTTTTCAAAAGTTCAAAGTGATAAATTTTCGATGTGTGTCTTTGAAAATCCGCACTGTAAACTGCTTATATTCGAAAAAAAAGAGAAAAACTGAGAAGGAGCCTGTTAGTTGAGGAAGAACAGTTTACAGAAAAATCAGCAGGACGCCGTTAATAAGCAGTCCTTTTGGTCTATAAACACGCCACTTCGGCCAATTGACACCTCGTCCATCCTATCGAACATCTCTTTCTGTATTTTTCACAGCTCGTGAACGAAAAGTTTTCAAAAAAGTTTTCATTCACATGGAAATTTTCGGAAAAAAGACTAAGTCTAGTTTTTGGTTAGGATTCGATTGTATTTGAAGCTGTGGGAGCTCGGCAACTGCTGAATCGCCTTTCGCGAAGCGTCTTCATCGTGATTCCTTCGGTTGTATTGCCAATGTCGCGTATCTGAAGTGGTTCAATGAAGAATCAAAAATAAAAGCTCGAATTTAAAGCTTTTTTGAATTCTCGATTCAAAATTTCGTTTTGAATTTATTTGAGGGCGTATGCATGCAATAAAGTGGAAAACGATTTTCCGCCATTTTCAAAATAGAAAAGGCCTGAAACCTGCTAGGATATCATTTATTTCGACTTTATCTGCTGGAAAAAGCTTATAAGAAGATTCGCAAAACGAAGAAACGATTTCAGTTTGAAAAAAGACTAGTTCTGGTCATTTTTTAGTTTCAGGAAAACGGCGGAAATTCATTTCCCACTTTATTGCACCTTTGGTCTGCAGAGAATAATGCAGTTGATACGCAATGAGATAATTTCCCGTAATTTTGTGATAAACAGACTGAAGAAGCCTAAAATTTTGGAAATAATTTTCGTTACCGGTTTTAGAGATGGGGACCGCGTTGCCATGGGGGTGCGTCGAGGCGTAAAGGTTGATCTCGTTGAAAATGTACTCGTCGCTCAGTTCTTCGCTTTTTGGAGCTACGTCGTCCGTCTTCGTGGGTCTCGTCATCGGCCTTTGGACTGCCGGCTCAGGGACGTTGTCTCTCAGTTTTTACGGTTTCGACTCTCCGAGAAAAACTAACCTGGGTTGATGACTTCTCCACGCTGGAGAGCTTCGATGAGAGCTTCTAGGTCAAGATCTCCGTCGCCGGCACTTTCTCGAAGAGCTCTCTCTTTCCTCAGACGTTCTTTGAGACGTTTGATCTGTGCAAGGTTGCTTGGCAAATCGGTGTGGAACACACCTGTTCAGCCCGACGTCTTCGGCTTTCCTTGTCGATCTCTTCTTCGCGTTTCCCGTCGGCCCATTTATTGAAGCTGAACGTGTTGAACACATTCGCTCCATCGCCCATCTATAAAAAAACAATCCGCAGCAGAAATATAAAAAAGAGAGAAGCTTTCCATCGAGGCTCAATCACACTTGAAATGACGAAAAATGAAAAGAAAAAAATATATCTGTAGACTAAAGCAATTATTTCATGAAGGAAGGTGGGGTGTAGTTTAACTATGGAAAGAACGTTATTCAACTGTTTGAAAGGTTTCAATTTGTTCAAATTGTCGCTCAAATGATAATTGGTTTGGCTGCACTTCAGTTTTTCCTTAACTTTTGACTGAAAAACTTCGACATAGAGCTAAAGATTTTCAAAAATGTTTCCCAACGCCTTCGTTTTCAAAGGGCTCTTTGAATATTCTGCTTGAAGAGTTGGTTTCCATTGTTGCGCTTCTCAGCTATTCAGTCCGCAATTCGAGATAATTCTCTTTTAATACCATCGGAAAGACCTCGCCAACCAACTTAATTAGAAGAAGGAAGAGCTAAAGTTGAAGGCTTTTTATTATACCTAGAATCCTGCATTTGACTGGAAATTTCTCTCCTCCACGTCATTAAAATTACTTCAGTCTTTGATAAAGTTGTTAATAAAAAAAGAATAATTATTTTTCTTCGAACCGCAAAAAAAAATAGCAACACTTGCTTTTGAAAATCTCATTTGTTAAATTTCACATCAAATTTTTTCCGAGAAAGAATAATTTTATTGTAAGCTTCAAAGAAAGATGATGTCTATGATGGCTTCTATTTTTAAGTTCCAACAATTGAGGGAGTTTATTTAGACGTCACATGGACTATTTCCATCCGCTCATTGGTATTTCAACCGAAAACTTCGCATTTAATCGCGTGAATGCGTGGCGCGTAGACCTCATAACACGAGTTTTGTTTTGAGTTTAGTTCCGAGCCGAATTTTGCGAGGAAAAAGCTTTTTTGCACAAAGTTTCAATGAGTATGCTTCAAAAAATGAACGATGGCGTTTCGGATGAGCTGCTTTCTTTTTTCATAATTTCTTTGCAAAGAAACCTGCTTTTCCAGTAGGGTCGCTAGTAGAATACTTTTTTCAAATATTGGAAACCGATTGCGGTCAACCTGTTTTTAGCCAATTTTTTCATATATTCTCGTATAGTTCTTGCATGGCTATTACGAATTCAAGGGCACTTTTGTCCCTCTGACACTTCAATTGATTCGTGCCTTTTTTCAATCAACTCGAAAGATTCTCCAAACTCATCTTTTTGTAAAATTTCTCAAATTCTCTCCGAGTCCGGTACTTTTGTACTCTCTTCCATATAGCTTCTGGAATTATCAATGTGAAAAGTTAATGCAAAACTAGGGATTTTAGGACTGTGAAACGTTTTGCTCTGAAATTTTAATAATTTAATCTATTTCACTGGTTTCTCTTGTTTTAACTAAATCTTTCTTCAAGAGTAAGTTTTTTTTGTTTTAAAAATGTTTTTCTCGGACTTTCTCACTTTCAACCAAGGAAACTTGTCCGGAACAAATAAGAATTCAGTCGAAATGAGGCTCCTAGTGATGTCGATGATGGCGTTGGCTTTGGCCTCAGGCTACACAATCCGGATGCGCAGACCGGTCACTCCCATCGACAAGTTCTTGATGATGGTCCGTCTGGGTTCTGACCACATCTGGCAGTCCGAATTGCAGGAGACGCTCCGGACTCCGTCGAAGCGGTTCTTCGCGTCGGACCTCATCCTTAACGACATGATCCCGCTCTCTTACGACGAGTCCGCCCCCTTCTGACACGACTAAACAACAACATACCTATTGTATGTATAAAAGATTTGATCTGTTACTCGTACCGCAAGTTCTCCATTTCTAATGTTTGATCGAGAAAAAAGATGTTTGAGAACTCAATAAAGTTTCACGTGTCCTTTCGGCACACTCGTTCCTTGCTTATCAAGTTCTGTGTTCATAATAAAACCTGAGCGGCTCTGAAAGTCGGTCTTTGGTGCAAATTCAAAGAAAAAAGTGGCTTGAGCAGCATGGTAAAGTTGAAAACCATTTTTCCAGGTCAAGTTCTCATTTCACAAAATATATATGAAGTTATTTCGAAAGTGAGCTCAACGAGTTGTAGTGTACTCAGTACTACAGGCGTGTGACGGCGACGATCTTTTGGCAGCGCCTGGAAAGGCGATAAAGTTTCAAATTGATGTGCGATAGGAGCTGTGTATATAACAGAGACTGTTTTACGTGCAAAGGATTCTGACTTCTTTTTTTTTCCTGAACTCAGAAAAAGCCTCACAGGATGGCTTTTCTCGACATCCGACGTCATCATCTTCTGTGCTTTTCCCTATGGCAGTTTGCTCTTTTTTTCTGTTGTCAACAGATTTTTCCGGTAGAATTTATTTTTTAAATCGGCAAAAAAAAATTCAGGTCTTTTACAACTTCTCGCCAGAGTTGGACTGTGCAGATGCCAATTTCACTTTCTCAAAGCCTCGCTGTAAGCTTTCCAAGTAAGTTATATTGACGTCGTCAGAAACGAGACTTTTCGAGATTCAAAAAGTTTTGAAGAGTCGAGCAGTGCGATGAACTTACAAGAAACTGCTCGAAAATCGTAGCAGGAACGGCGCCTTTCCACTCGATGGTCCAAGACTTTGAAATGTTCTGCGGCGAGAAGGCGTACGACGCTACTTGGGTTCGTTTCGAAACGTATTTCTCTTTGCAGTCGTTCTCAAACCTTTTCAGGTAGCAACCATCCAATTCTTGGGGGTTCTGGTAGGAACTGTGGTCTACGGTCACTTGGGGGACCACTTCGGACGTCGGCCTGTTGCTCTTTTTGGCTTGGCTATTGGCATCATCTTTGGCGTTTCTTCAGGTATCTCTGAGCTCTGTTTTCTCTCTCGAACTAGTTTTCCACAAAATGTTCATCTATAGGACTGGCGCCGTCGTGGCCAATATTTGCTTCTTTTCGGTTTATTGTTGGATCTTCCATCGCCTGCGTTCTCGTCGTCTTTTACACTTACATTTCGGAGATGATCCTTTCCGAACAGCGCGTTTTTCTCCGATCTTTTTTTAACTGGGTATTTTCTCATCTTATTGAAAAAAAAAATTAAGAATGTTATCTTACTATTTATGGATATATTGTTAATACAGCTCGATTATTTTTTTGTTTTCTATCCGAGAAAAAAAATATTATGATAGGGTCTTTTATAGTCCCCTGTTTTCCTTTAGAACTTTGTTTCTTTATAGGGTTACGCCCGACTAGTGTTCACACTCGTTTGTTTCTTGTGTGGTTATTGGAGGTTGGGAGAGTTCTTATTTCTCTTCAATTTGATTCTCTCAGGTCAGCTTCGATAGCGACCGCTCTTTTAGCAGCCCCAGTTCTCCCTGTCCTGTACTTTCTGCCAGAGTCTCCAACTTGGTTGGAGAAAAACTGAAGTGCTTTAAAAAATTCTAATTTTAGGTACCGGAACAGAGGGAAAATTCAGGAAGCGCAGAAGGCTGAGGAGTGGATCCGGAAGTTGAGTGGCTTGGAAGTACAACTCGAGGAAGACAAAAGATCAACTCCGATCACAACTGAAAAAGTATTGATTCTGAATTTCGCTTTGGTGTTTTATAAAGAAGTGTTGCAGACTCAGGTTTACACAGTCAGAGACTTGTTCACGTCTTGGCCCATTACTTACAAGACCCTCGTTGTCGGTTGTCTCTGGTTTTCCACCAGGTACATCTTCTCCCGTGGGCTAGATAAACGCATTCAAACTCTTTCTAGTTTTGGAATTTGCAACAAATTTATTTTCATCCAAGTTTCAAGCGAAAAGAAACGAAATTTTTTTTTCCTTCTGGTCAAACGCAAGTCACGAAAGTTCTATTGTCCAAGAAGAGCGAAAAAGGGAAAATACTAGGAAAAGCTCAGGAAATTGAGGCCTTCTCTGCACATTTTCGACTTGTTTTTTTCTCCATTTAGTCTAGCATATATTTTTGTTTTCAAGTACTCCTATGCAGCGGCGGGGGTTTTCAAGAAACCGTGTGTTCCCCGAGTTTGAATACTTTCATTATGTTTCCGTCCTCAAAAAACTTTTGCGAGCCTTCTTCCATTTGCAATTTACACATTTTTAATTTTTCGTCTCTGCAGCTTGTCGGCGTTTGGAAGCGACTTGAATTCTGGCAACTTGGCCGGCGACTTTTATCTCACACAGTTCGTATCGGGAGCTGTTACGGCACTTGCAAAAATCGTGAGTCTTCTGTATCAAAAAAAAAACCTGCGGAGTTCAATGTTGAAAAAAAAATCAGTCTTTCCGATTGAGTTCTTTTTGAAGTTACTGCGACAGAGTTATTTTAAATTTTTTTTTCTCGGGGTGCAAAAAAGGCTTCGATATCATAATTTCAAAGTTCAACTGTATTTTGAAAAGGATATTGCAGTTTGTTTTCGTGCTGGATGAGAAGTGGCCTTCTTTCGACAGACGGAGACTGCACCAGCTGCCTCAGGCGCTGGTCGTCCTCTGCTACGCAAGCATCATGGTGCTAATGATGCTCCCCGAGTCGGACTGCTCCAACGAGAGCTCCCGCGACCTCGCAAGTCTTGCTGCCACTCTAGTTCGAAGAAATTCGCTGCCTTTTTCAGTCGTCATAGTCAACATTGTCGGCGTCTCTCTAATCGAAGTCACCTGGGACGCATGCTATCTCGTCGCCGTCGAGTGCTTTCCCACGCGAATCCGCACTATCGGTCTACCTATTCATGTCTTTTCTCTAAAAATTGCTTTTAGGAATCGGAACTTGCTCTTTGCTGGCTCGCATCGGAGCGCTGGTCGCTCCACAGGTGAGTAAAAAGTTGGAACTTGATGGCAGCTTCTCAGATGGCTTATCTTTCCTCAGTCTATCGTCCGGCGCCGTACGCCGTCGTGTGTGGAATCGGCCTCGTTTCGTTGGTAGTCTCTCTCTTCTTCCTGCCTGACACCAAGGGCGTCGATCTCAACGACGTCGACAAGCCGGCAGTTTACAGAAGCTCGACCTCTTCGCAAAGCGTCTGCAAAGATAGGAAGCTCAGACTAGAAACCGTCTCGGACATCGAACGGAACGCGTAGAGTTCTAATTTTTTTCAATTGTATATTTGTACAGTACCGTAAAAGCTACTTTCACTTATTTTTCTGTCTTGTCTGTCATGAGCTCAGTAAGTAGCAAACATGTTGTGTGGAATTGTAAGAAAAAGCGATATCTGAAGTGAGAGGTGAAAAAAACTTTTTTCTTCTCACCTTTTGCTGATTACTCTGACATAATAGGTTTCAAGAAACTATGCCTTGTGAAAAAGAGAATAATGAAAAAGACGAAGGAAATAAATTGGATGATTTATTGGTAAGGAAAAAGTCTAGGCTTTGAGCCAGCCGTCCAAAGTGCTGGCGATGAGCTTCCGAGCGTCGGTCAGGGACTGCAAGTCATGAGGAGACGTGCCGTACATGTCGGCGCAGTGGGCGGTGCCGTTGATAACTACCGGAACGATATCAGAACTGTTGCTCGTGAGTTTGCCGAGGGCGTGCCACGGATCGATGTCGCCGTTCGGCAGCACGATGCGACTGGTCTGAACCATTATCATAACATAGACAATAATAAATTCTCGTCTTTCTAACCAGGTAAGAAGGCAATGCAGATTTAGCACACATTTTTCATACCCTTAACTATTTTATATAGAACTTGTCTCTAAAAAATCACTATTATCATTGCAAACTAGACTTATCGCTCTTTTCTCTTTAGGATCAATAATGAACTGATTGAAAGAAATTCGTGAAATCTTTCATTAGACCCAACAACTAACCGTCAAGTTGTCACGACCGCCGTAGTATTTGTTGGTCTGGTCGACAGCTGCTTTAACAGAGTCCGAGTTGTAGGCCGATCCATATATGGCGGTGCACTCGTCGATATAGTATCTGGAAGTAAGAGATCTGCTGAGCCGAGAGGTGCAGACTGACTGGACGGGCAAGTTGTTGACGCCTCCGTACCACGGACCCGACTTGGTGGAGTCCGTCGACTGGTAGTAGCCGAACTCTGTGCACGTCTGCCACACCCAAGCGCGGTCTGCAAAACTTCCGAGATAAGAACTCGACTCGAGAAATACCGGATTGAGCATCGCCGTAGGACGTGTCTTTCATGAACTCGATAAATCCGTTGTAGTCGATGTCGTTGCAGCCGAAATAGCCACTGGCCATGTTGAAGTAGTCGTTCACCTAGTTTCCTCGGTGAAAAGGAAGCTCTTGTTACAGACCTGCTTCATCTTCTGAAGAGTGTTGGAGTTGTCGTTCAAGTGATAACGGCAGATCGCGTGAGAAATTGTCAACTGCGTTGCAAACTCTCCCTGTAACTCTGATTACAACAAGGTCACGAACAATTAGTTGAAATCTTTTTGTTTTTAAACGAATCATTATTCTTCTGAAATTGGAAATAGCTTATTAAACCTTTAGGTTTTTTCTTCTTTAGAGCTTCAAACTTGATTTATTTATTTTTTAAATTTTTTTATGATATTCAAAACATACAGCGGAGTCTCCGGAGTACTGAACAATCTCCATATAAGGACTGTAGACGGTTTCCCAGAAGTACTTGATGTTGTTGGCGTCGTTGATGTTCAAACTCTGACAAAGGCTGAAAAGCGCGATTTTTCGTATCGAGGATTTGAACGAACTTGAAGGTGGTTTTGAGAGTCTGACGGCCTGCTGGCGTCTGAAGGAGCTGGGCGACCTGGTTGAAGCCGCTGGTGACACTAGCAGCGCAAGCCGAAGAGTTGCGCGTAATCGAGTTCTGCACCACTTCGAGGTATTCTGAAGGCCATGTTGCTGGGCTCCTTCCAGTGAATCTCACCGACAAAGTCGACCTCGGCCTGGACAGGGCCGCTGCTACCGACGGCTGCGAACACGAGCTCTGGGTGCTTGACACGCGTCCAGGCGGCGAGAGCTCCTCAAACACTTTGATCATAAAATGGCTAACCTCTCTTCGATGAACAAAATATCGAGTAGATTTATTCTCAAGAGTAATTAAATAATGAAAACAAGATTATGCATTTTTACCGCTATTTTCCCACAAATCGAGAGCAACGGAAAGCTGAACCTAGAAACCGCCAACCATATTTTCAAAAATATTTAAAAATATTTTTCATAGCGATAGAGGAAGCTATCAATGTTTATAATCCGGTTAGTTTTAAAAAAAATTGCTACTCAAAAAGTTATGGCCAAAAGAGGGCGTGGCATCCAGCTGTCGGCTCGACCTCCCGATTTACCCCCCTAGCCCATAGTTGTTTATGTTTTTACATTACTATTTTGTACAACCTCTGAAAGACCTATGGAGAAAACATTTTTGGCTCTTCTATTCGAAAAATTATGATCTTACAATCGAAGAAAATAAAAATGATAAGTACTCCTTTTTAACCTGTTTTATGCGTTATTATGAAAAAGACATAGCAAGTTGCTGAAGTTTTATTGCATTTGAACCCCATAATTAAGTAAGACTTCATATCTTCATCACTATGCTCAAAGTTTTTCGTTAGATTTTTTTCTTTTTCACACCTAAATTCAAAAAAATATCTCAATTAATAGAATGAAAAATATAAAAGAAGTTTTTTTGAAACGCAATGATATTGTAAGTTTTGTCAAAAAAATTTCTCGATTGTTCCTTTTTAGGTGATTTAAAAAAAGAAAAAAATTATGGAAAGTTATTTAGTTTTGTAGAAATACGTCGATTACATAAGTCAAGTCAAAAAGTTATCTTTAAATTTTTGGGTCGAGCTGGGTTCATTCCCTTCAACGGCATTTTTGCGAAACTTTCATTGAGTCTATTCACCTCGTAGAAGTGCGACCAAGTGAAACCAAATTTTATCAAATGTTGATGTCTGATAAGAAAAATCCCTCAAACGGTGAAAATTTCAAGTTTCTGCAGCCTTATTTGCTATAGTTGACGAGGCGCAAAAGTTCGGCATGAAACCAGAATACTTTTAAATAAAATTCAAAATCGTTTAGTGAAGTTATGCAGAATATAACATTGGTTAATGATGAAATACAGCGAAATCTCATAAAGTAGATGAACTTCGAAGCAAAAAATGTGATGACCTCTATTCATCACCAGATTATATGGTCAACTCAGTCCAACCTGAGTAAGATCCTCCAAAAGTGACCCATTTAGCGTTGGCGAGCTGGGGGAACTTCGTCGTCATAGCCTAAAATTGATTTCTTGGTGAATATCCATTCGAGTCGTCCTCCACTTTGATGAAGTCAGCGGCGTCTTCGATGGCCTGTGCAGAACTGAGGAACTTCAAGTTGTCCGTCGACATGTCGCTGTAACAACCTTTTTTTTCGTTGTTCTGCTTCACAACTCCAATTTAGCTTCTCATTATATGAATCGACATACCTATTTTTTTCTATTTCCGACTCGAATAGAAATCATGAAACAGAAGGGCTCCAAAGATAACTACATGACACTATTTCAGGTTTCGGAGCTCCATTTCCTAACTATATATGAACAGAAAAACAGTGTACCGAGTAGGATGGGTCTGTCCGTAGAAACGGTGCTCGATGTCGAACACCCAGGCGCCCTGTTGCTGGGCGATCGTGGTCCATTCAAGACTGCCTAAACCCCGACATTGGCGAGCTTTCTTAGGTTGTCGTTACTTGTCGACACCCAATACGGATCCTCGGGCCCTTCGCCGCCCAGCATCAAGAAAGCTGGACCTCCGTCTTTATACCACTGGTTGTTGTACCAATAACGCTGCAATGTATATATGCAAACGAAATAATTGCTGAAAATGATCAAAGGCTACAGTATATGCTCTATTCCGCAAAAAAAAAAACTTCACATAGCATTGCCTTATTGCAATTTTCATTCATTCTGTAAATCTGTACTGTACAGTACTATATATTAGACTATACTGAAACTTTCTGAGATTTTTTGCACCTGCGATAAACCGTGCAGAATCCCATCAAAGGAGATACTACCTGCACGTTTTTCAGCAGAGAGCCCAATTTGTGTATGCTTTGGGTTTTTTTCTAATTGAGTTCCTTCGCCAGTTAACGAAAGATTTTTATGAACACCTGGTCGAAAGTTCCGATGTTGGAAGCGTCGAAATGATCGAGCTTCTGTTGGAAAGTGCCGGCAACAGCGGCGTCAATCTGGACGGAAGGATCACGCTGGAATTTTTCTGTCGACGAAAATCAGAGAGGCTCTCCTCACAATCGGCATCTTCTTCATGCCTCCGCGAGGTCTTCCGCGGACCATGTTGCGGCGAACGCGTTGTTGCTCCGCCGGTGCACATAGCGCCACAACGACTAGTGCTGGAAATAATTTTTTCGTGAAGTTCCCAATGAACGCTCCTCTCCACTTTCAATTCGAAATGAAGGAAAAAAGAAAACCTGCAAGGGACAGAAGCAGAATCCGCGAACCCATCTCGACGTCGCGATCAATGTAGTTCCGTTATCAGCTCTCGCTTCCATATCGGGAAGCATTAGCGTCGTTTACTGATTACATTGTCAGCGTTTTCGAAGCCTAAAGTCCTGTTAGCAGTTTCTTAGATAACGCGAGTAACGTTGAAACTTTTTTGAGAAAACCAAGAATTGCGATTTTAAAAAAACGAATATCAGTTAGGGACCTATCAAACTCAAATTTCCAACCATTGTTTGAGATATAGCTGAGACACTGCTCGCTTGAGCCATCGAAAAAATGGAGCGCTTGGCTCGTGGAGAGCGCAGACATGACACGCTCCCCTTAGCGTCCCAAGCTTGCCGTGAATCAGCTATAATTTTATTTTTTTATCCCAAAAAAATTATCTTTTTATGAAAAATTTTATTAAAAAAATTTAAAAAAATGGTTTCGTACGGCGCATCTTCTCTGAACGTGCAATGGGACCGCAGCGCATTTTTTGAAGAACGGATCAAAAAATTTTTATACCGTTCGATAGAATCACGGCGATTCCAGAACTCCGCCCACAAAAAGTCGTCAGATATAATGTTTTTTGTGCATGCACCTGGGGACAGAAGTCAAAATATTGCCAAACTTTAGTTTGTCTTTGTTTATACATAATTTGAGTCTTGGAGGAATAGATTAGAAGATAATTTAATGGTAGATTGACCAGTGAATTTTCGCACTCCTCTTCTCTCGGCGAACCTCTCATGTTACCGTGCTATTTTCATGCTTCTCTGAATTTGCCGGTAAAGGAATAGAGAGACGCAGACACTCGAAAAATCGCAAGTTGCGGCGAATGCTATAAGCGATCGGGAAGCAATTTTTGAAAAAGAATTTTCTCAAAGGTAGAAGAAAAGAAAAATAAGACGAAACAAAAAGAAAAAAAGGATTTTCAAGTTGTCGGAAGGCGATGTCCAATAAAAAGTTGAACTCTCGAACTATTAATTTTTTTAAAGGAATTTCTTGATATTCCCCCCTCCGCCCTCCTCCTTTCTCCAGTACCTTTTTCCCCGCAAACACATACTAAGTTTCTTGGGGAGAAATTTGAACCACAGAAAGAGTACAGAAGAGAAAACAACACTCGAGCAAACATTCCCAGGGTGAAGCCGTTCCCGCATTAATTATGGCCTTGACGTGACCGGAGGAAGTAGACGTTGTCTTCTGGGTTCGGATGAATCAGAAGATGTTGACGCTCTTGCTGCTTTTTTTCAAGGGACGCCATCGACGACGTCTGAGTCTCTTCTGGAAAAAGTATGGGCTTTTTACGCTTTGTTTCCATAACTCAGTGGTATTCGTGATAGTGATAACTGATTTGTTTCTGATCCAAAAAGGATTCTCAATCTAACTCTTGAAGCCTCCTTCATCAAAAAGGTCTCTGATCTCCTCGCCTTCATTAAAAAAATATGTATTCAGAAAAACCAGAGATCCATTTTTCTGTGATATATTTTTAAAAAAACAAGACAAGCAACTTTTTCAAAGACTAGAAAAAAATGAATCTTACAAAGAGGGATTGCCAGCACGTCGCCTTCGAAGATTATGACGGAAGTGACGTCAACGACGGAGAGACTGAAGGCAAGAGTGCTCGACGGCTACGACACGACGATCCGGCCCGTGCACGATGAGGGACGACGCCATCAACGTCACGATCGCTCTGAACAGCTTCGCCCTTCTGCTCGTCGATCCGGCCCAGGAGACAGTCACCTTTTTCTGCCGAGTTCACTCTCACCTGGCGGGACGCTTTTTCTCCACTGGGACCCTCTTCTCGAGAACATCTCTTGGATAAAAACTGAAGGAGGACCTGGTTTGGACCCCCGACACAACAGTATCCACAAGGTGAGACGTTTTTCTTGGTCGAACTTCGAGTCTTTCAGCATCTCCATGACGGCCCTCCTCGAGTCTTCCAAACGCTACGTCGACCTGAGATATGACGGAACGATTCGACAAAGCCTTTACGCAGCTTTCGTCAACTTATGCAACATGGACGTGTGTTTTTCAACACTAACTGACTTCATGGTTTTTGAATAGAAAACTGTTTTTAGCGCAGTGGTTTCACATGACTTGACGATCTCCCGCGGAACGAAATATGTTGTTCACTATTTGAATTATTTGAATATTTATTTCACTCTGATACATAAAACAAAATGAACTACAAATAAAGATACATAGCTTGAGCAAGAATTATATTAGAGTGAAATTAGGACCGGTTCTAATACGCCCTCACGAGCGAATTTACCGGTATAGAGAATAGGACACGTAGTAGGATTTTTCATCACAGTAGACGTAAGGGAATGTTGGAAAAGAGTTCTTCGTTGCTTAGCGAGTCGAGAAACTTTTTGAAACGGGTGGTAGACGTGTTAGGGTTGAATCTTGAGCAGAGTCTATTCCAAAGAGGAATGACAGTGCTAAAAAAACTATTAAATCTGGGACCAGTCTGAATCAAACGAAAAGGATACCGAGGTGAACGACTTCTACTGAAAAACTTTTCTGCGCTAGGAAAGTGGTAAATGCCCAGGACGATTTTTTGAAGAGTTACTAGAGCAATAGAAGTTCTCCTACGGAAAACGTGAGTAGAACCGAGTACATCAAGGCGATGGGAGTATGTGTCAAAGGATTTATTACGTCTCATGAAAGCTTGCCTAGTATAATGACGGTAAGGTTTTTCAAGTAGCACGGACAATTCTGAATTTATAGGCGGTGAGAAGATTTCAGAGCAATAGTCAAGATAGGGTCTAGCGTACATGTTGAATAGTAAATTATACTGCTGGATGTTCAAGTGAGCAAAAGCTTTGAGCAGCTGTTTAGATTTGAGAGTGGCAATGTTGACTACATGATTAATATGAGGGTTGAAACACAAATTTTTATCGATAAGGAGACCGAGGTCTCTGACAACAGTTTCAGATCGAATAGGCGAGCCATTAACATTGTAAACATGTTCAGGATTGTTCCTGCCTAGATGAAGAACAACAGTTTTATTGGCCGCAACTGGGAGGCCCCAAGTTATAGACCAATCGAGCAATCTATTTATACTGTCTTGGATAGCATCAGGGTTATCGGAAGAAATTTTCAAGTCATCGGCGAACAAATATGAAGTAACGGAAGAGTCGAAGATATCTGGTAGGTCGTTGACAAAAATCAGGAAAAGAAGAGGGCCAGTGACAGTGCCTTGCAAGACTCCTGAGACCACGTTGAAGCTATCATCAGAAGCTAGGCCATCAATTAAAAACTCTAGATGTGCGGCCAGAGAGGAAAGTTTTTAAAACCATTTGACCATGGTAGTATGGAATCCGAAAGTTTCTAGTTTGGCAATAAGAAGGTTGTGTGGGACATAATCAAAAGCTTTCATGAAATCAAAATAAACGACATCGATTGGTAATCCCCTACTAATAGAAAGTTTCCAGTTTGTAACAGAGTCGAGGAGAGCAAGAGTACAACTTCGATTATTGAGGAAGCCAAACTGACGAGGAGAAAATTTGAGTTTGAAGCTAGATTTAATGTGGGTGGCAATTATTCGCTCCATGAGTCTTGCGAGAGGATGAGTGAGACTTATGGGTCTATAATTTTCGGGATCAGACTTTTTGCCTTTTTTATGAATTGGAACAATGTGAGAAAGTTTCCAGGATTGAGGAACAACACAAGAGAAGTATGAATCTGTGAAGAGAATTGACAGCGGAACAGAAAGGGCATCTCTACACTGCTTTAAAACATAGAAATTCATGAGATCAGATGAGAAGCCAGTTTTGGGAGCCAATTTAGAAATGAATTTATGAATGTTGAGAGGAGAAAAGTCGGGATGAACAGAAAATGGTTTGCCGGTGGGAAAAATACAAGGAATTTCAAAATTTTTTGAGTTGCGGTTAGTAGAAAAAACGTCAAGAAAGGCAGATGACTTATCAATGTTGGATATACAATAAGCGCCTTTGTGCTCTAAATGAGGTATGGTTGGTTTTCAATTTAAGTTTTTTTAGAAACATATTTAATTACAGATGAAGGATTTCCAGAACGAACAACATCAAGTTCTTTGCGTTTGAGCAGGAGCTTAACCCTATTTTTGAGACGAGAAAGCGAGGAGTTGAACCTAGATCTCTGGGTGAAAGTAAGAAGCCCTTGTCTTCTCAGGCCAGCTTTGTTTCTAATGAGACTTCTTATACTACAACGAGAGCGATTAGGTCTGAAAGGAGGATTGGAAGGACAAAATTGATCAATTAGTTCATTGAAAATATTACAGAAATGTTGGTATTTGTTTTCAAAGGAAGAAAAGAAAGAAAATTGTCTGGGCCAATTGTAGGAGAATAAAGCATTATTGATAGCAATATAATTACCTTTGCGGTAATTTTTTCTAGGTCTGACTGTGTTAATAGAACGATGAGGGACACTTTTCAAAAGAAAGGAAACTCCTATGTGATCGGTAGCAATTGGAGGGTTAACAGGTAAGATTGAGGACAAAAAGGGATTGCAATCTGTGAGTAAGACATCAAGGATGGTGTTAGTACCACTCGAAGAAAATCTAGTTGGGAAATCGATTAATTGCTCTAGGTTGAAGCTTGAAGCAAACTGAAACATTTGGTTAGTATGACTAGCATTATCTCCATTCCAGGAGATGTTAGGAAGATTAAGGTCGCCAAGAACAATGTTTTTTGAAGATCCAAGAAGAAGAGACAAATTTTCTATAAGAAATTTTGTGTACTCGCTGCTACTGTCCGGTGCTCTATAGATTAGATTGAAACGAAATTTATATCCTGGGCAAATTAGGTCAAAAGAAATTATTTCGCAGAAATGTTTCGAGTAAAAATCGTCCAACCTGGCATCCAGCTCGATGATTTTCAAACTTTTCCTGTAGAGAACCAACACGCCTCCTCCCGATTTCTTGTAGTGCTCAGGACGTCGATCACATCGAATATGGAAGTAAAAATCATTGGTTAGCAAAGAATCGACGAACGAGTTGTTCAAAAACGATTCAGAGACGAAACAAAGGTCAAAATTCTCAAGATCCAAGTAAGTTATCAAAATTTTAAACTTAGAAAGAGAGCTAATTGATCGAGCATTAATAAGAAGACATTTGAGGTTGTTGAAGTTATTCTGATCAGATGTTAGTGAATCAAATGGTTTAGACGTTTTTACAAAAGAGTTAGTCAATTTGACATAAGTATTAGGGATATTTACATTAGGAATAACATTGAAATTAGAATCATTAGTATTTACAGGAATTTGAGGCAAAGTAGCAAGAGGAAAACGTTCGGGCCGCGAAATCGACGGAGTCACCATGAAGGACTCAGACTCACCGTAACCAACCGTGTGTGGGGTAGAAAATAAAGAAAAATGAGGAGGATCACAAACGGGTCCACGGCTGGTGGGTAGGTGAGTGTGGGGGGAGGACTGGTAGGGCAAAACGGCATCGGAAAGCGCGGTAGTGACGAGATCCTATTGTTCCATGTCATTTGCCTCAGGCACGGAAGAAGGCGCCGCGGGCTGGGTATCGACAATGGTCGGATCTTTGATCTTCGTTGAAACTACAAACTTTCTAGGTTTGTCAGTTTCGACGATTTCCAGGTCTCTCACAAAATACTTGAAGATTCCGGCCTTGACGTTATCTTCATAAGCCTTTTTTCTCAGAGAGCGAAGAAGCGATAACTCGGTTAAAGTCATGTCGCGTCTGCAACGTGGATTCAATGGACACGAGAGACTGACGACAGGAATCGAATGACGGAAGCGACGAATGAACAGATCCCTCGAGTAGGTGGAGGCAAAACGAATCTTCAGTGGCCTGCGTTTGGCGTCACATTGGTGGCGGAAAACTTCTTCAGGGCAGGGTATACCGGCTTCAGCACAGATAGCATCGACAAAGTCCTTGTCGTTCTTGTCTTGGTCAGGAGTCTTGGAGTCGTCGAGTCGTTCAATGACCGCTTGAAAACTTTTTTCGCGAATCGAGGCAAGTTCATTGGTCATTTTAACTTGGGAAGAGAGCTGGGCGAGTTTGGTAGGCAGTGACGGCGCGGTTTTGACGGGAGAAGTGAGGGCAGGTCTTTGTTGAAGTGCGCGGTTTTGGTTTCGAAGGGCTTCGTTTTCGGAAACGAGACGAGCGTTCTCAACAACGAGGCTGGAGTTGATCTCGAGAAACTGAGAAACGCGTGCGTTGAGGTCCGCATAGGCTTGTTTGAGCGTTTTATTATCGGCGACAACTTGAGCCAGCAGCGTACGAACATCTTGATCATCATCAAGGTTAGGGTCGGAATTCAATGAGTCATCCGCAGAAGGAGCAGGACGCTTTTCACGAGGTTGCCCCATAGTCCCAGAAACAAGGGGGAAAAATCGGGCCACGAAAATTTAAGAGAGAAAAAAGAGTGATATTCCCCCCTCCGCCCTCCTCCTTTCTCCAGTACCTTTTTCCCCGCAAACACATACTAAGTTTCTTGGGGAGAAATTTGAACCACAGAAAGAGTACAGAAGAGAAAACAACACTCGAGCAAACATTCCCAGGGTGAAGCCGTTCCCGCATTAATTATGGCCTTGACGTGACCGGAGGAAGTAGACGTTGTCTTCTGGGTTCGGATGAATCAGAAGATGTTGACGCTCTTGCTGCTTTTTCAAGGGACGCCATCGACGACGTCTGAGTCTCTTCTGGAAAAGTATGGGCTTTTACGCTTTGTTTCCATAACTCAGTGGTATTCGTGATAGTGATAACTGATTTGTTTCTGATCCAAAAAGGATTCTCAATCTAACTCTTGAAGCCTCCTTCATCAAAAAGGTCTCTGATCTCCTCGCCTTCATTAAAAATATGTATTCAGAAAACCAGAGATCCATTTTCTGTGATATATTTTAAAAACAAGACAAGCAACTTTTCAAAGACTAGAAAAATGAATCTTACAAAGAGGGATTGCCAGCACGTCGCCTTCGAAGATTATGACGGAAGTGACGTCAACGACGGAGAGACTGAAGGCAAGAGTGCTCGACGGCTACGACACGACGATCCGGCCCGTGCACGATGAGGACGACGCCATCAACGTCACGATCGCTCTGAACAGCTTCGCCCTTCTGCTCGTCGATCCGGCCCAGGAGACAGTCACCTTTTCTGCCGAGTTCACTCTCACCTGGCGGGACGCTTTTCTCCACTGGGACCCTCTTCTCGAGAACATCTCTTGGATAAAACTGAAGGAGGACCTGGTTTGGACCCCCGACACAACAGTATCCACAAGGTGAGACGTTTTTCTTGGTCGAACTTCGAGTCTTTCAGCATCTCCATGACGGCCCTCCTCGAGTCTTCCAAACGCTACGTCGACCTGAGATATGACGGAACGATTCGACAAAGCCTTTACGCAGCTTTCGTCAACTTATGCAACATGGACGTGTGTTTTTCAACACTAACTGACTTCATGGTTTTTGAATAGAAAACTGTTTTTAGCGCAGTGGTTTCACATGACTTGACGATCTCCCGCGGAACGAAATATGTTGTTCACTATTTGAATTATTTCTCAGTTATTTTTCAACATTTTTCGAGATTTTGACAATTTCAAAGGCTTTTCAAGACATCGAATATCAATAAAAATAATTGGATTTCACGAATGCTCTGCGGTCCCTATACCAAATTAGCAAAAAAGTGAATTTCTATTAGTTGTCTGAAAGACCTGTGGTTTGAGATTTTTAACACTCTCCCTTCTTACTGTTATAACGCATTGAATTGAAACCGACGTTCGACGTAAAAAAAAAATTAATGATAACAATTTTAGATACAGAAAAAAAGCTGTTTAGTTGTTTCCTGTTGTTCGGATTTCTTTTTTCTTTCGTTTACGCTGAGTTCAGGTGCAAGAGTTCCCCTACGACCAGCAGGTATGTGACGTCATCATCGGCCCCTGGTCCTACACTGACCGAGAAGTCCACTGTTTGGCCGGGCCGAACGTTTCAGCGAGTCCCCCCACATTTACAGTAGCTTTGGGGAGACTTTTTCAAACCTTCATCATTTAAGGGAAACAGCGAGTGGGCACTTGAGGGAATTAATTTGTCCGTGAAGCAGACGGAAGACATCGACGTCAACTTTACCTACTCTGTCGTCAACTTTAGGGTTATAACCAATTCTTCAAATCTTCAAGTCGAAGTTTTAGATGAAAAAAAAAAATTAACAAGGCTTTCTGAAATTTGCAACCTTTTCTTGAATATTTTACTCTGCTTTCTCGAAAAATACTTTCTTGCGGTTGAACTTCTTTCTATCGTTTAATGTGATTGATGGTAAAATAGAACTTAAACCAAAAAAAATGAAGAAAAAAAAATTTCATTTGAAGAAAAAAATCCTCAATTTCAAGCTGACGACACAGAGAAAACCCCAGTTTTACGTCTGGGTTCTGTTGATTCCAACCTACATCATCACTATGGTCTGCATTTTCGGCCTTTTCATACCGACTGCAAACCTCGGTTATCGCGAAGAGCGGGTTCGTTCATCGACATGGGAAACCCAGGAAGTTGGAGACGTTTCAGGTGAACCTAGGAGTGACAACTCTTCTCTCTTCTGCCGTGATTCTGCAGATAGTGGCCGACGCGATGCCCAAAACGACGTCCCTTCCATTACTAGGTACTCAAAAATGAGCCGAAGTCCACTTTTCTCAGGTAACTTCATCCTCGCCGAAATTTTCGTCGTCGCGATCGGCGTCCTCTGCACGGTCGTCGTTCTGACGCTGCACAACCGAGCTCACACCCGCGGCTGGCGTCCACCCGAGTGCATTCTTTCTTTTCTGAGAATGACGGCGAGTTGCTTCGTTGTTGCTGCATTTGAACTGAATCTTGACCTCGTCTCAAAAATCTTTCAGAATATTTCGCTCCCTAAAAACGAAGAAAGATTAACTTTTTGTTTTTCTTAAAGTTGGCACAGAGCTTTGACACAGAAAAACGATAATAATCTGATGATGTAGTGAATCACGACATAAACGATGAATCAGAAGACAAGAGACGAACGATATCCGACTGTCCAGTTTAGAATACCGTAGGTCGAAATCGTGCATACACGATACACCGGACGCGGTCTTTGTGCGATATCTTCATATCAAAAAGTGTTTTGTCTATACAAAAAGTAGGCGAAATTGATGAAAAACATGATTGAAACCGCCAGAAATGGAAATTTAAATTTACATATTATGATCGTTTTCGCAAACGTCAGCTAGTCCAAAAAATTGACCAAATTCGATAAATCTATCTTCACATCACAGGCGTATCAGGAGGGCACCGGGGGCAGTAAAAAACGGTGTTTCAGTTCAAAGCAGTACTTTGTAGAGCTTTTCATTGCGAATCGAACGATGAACTTGGAAACGTACAGAAGTTCCTAGTTTTGGAGAAATAATAATTCAAAGTCGGAAGGAGGAAATTTTGAGTTCCCGCAAAAAGAGCGCTTTGCAGTAAGGTTGCTCTATGGACAACAGGCTTCGCCATCTTCCGGATTTTCGCTTTTTTCTTCGTTTCTTTTAATTTTCAATTTTTTCTGTTGTCACCAAAGTTCTTTTCGTCACAAAAGCTTTCTATTCGTGTATAATTTGCAAACTTTGATCGCAAAAAAGCGTTTTTCGTGAAAAAATGATGATTTTACACAGGTTTCGATTGGGATAGCGATTATTTGTGTTTTCTTTATTATCAATGTGTGTTTTCTGTTTTCTTAATCGATTTTTCAGAGAAGAAACCCTTAATTTGAAGCAGAAATCCGGTTATTTCTCCCAAAATGCGAGTCTAATGAGACGTCCGCAACATCGCGACTACTGTAAACATTTGTCTGCATACCGATCCAAAGCTTTTTTCAAAATTAAAGGCGGGAAAGTAAAATTGCGTTTTTCTTCTAAAGTTGTCACATCTGTAATTTTTTTGAGTACACCATTCGATTCGCAAAGAAAAACTGTATAAGATACTGCTTTCACCTGAATCACCATTTTTTACTGCCCCTATGCCTTTAATGTGTCCATCGTGAGACCTCCAGAATACCTTATAGCTCTATCTGAGCCATATCGGAGGTACTTGAGAGTATATCCCATATCTATCTCATTTTCCTAACACCCCTCCGAGGTATATATACTCGTGGTACCATCGATAAACTTCAGAACTTGCGATATATCTCAGAGGCTACCTTTTCTCGATTTGCCTAAGCAAAAAATAACTCGTACTTTTTGAGGTTGTTTCCCTACCTGGCTTTTTCATTTCATTGATGGAAAAGTTATCTATGAACCCTTTGAAGTGACCGGCGGAGATGCCTTAAGGAAGCCGGACAGATCCTCGCAGATCTGAGGTCGTGTGGAGAAGAAAAGTTCGAAGCGAAATCTCTCGGTACAATCGGGTTGAGCACCCAGTTCGTGAATATCGCGCTGACGCCCAGATTCTTTTCAAAAAAATAATTTTTTTTCCAAATTATTTACCAAAAATTCTCTTTTTTTTCTATTAGTTTCGCTTCAGTTAGCTTTCCTGGTTGTCTTATTCCTATGAGTTCTGTCAACGAAATCTTGCCGCCTAGTTTTTTTCTCTTCAAATATTTGAATAAAAAGAAAGAAAAAAACCAAAAAAAGTTTTTTTTATTTTTTTTATAGCTGCTTAATATATCAATATTCCAATAAGACGAGTTGATCGACCTTAGGTTATACCGAAACTATAGATTTTTGTTGAGTTGGAACCCATTTTTCATTTCGAAAAAAAAATGAATGCTCTAATTTACAGGGATCCTCAAAGTTCTTAGAGAAGAACATATCGAGGATCAAGCGGAAACGAACTCAGCCAGGACTCGGATACGAGTACACTGGAGAGTGGTGAGAACTTTTCTTGTTAAGTCTTGAGAAGGGTTTGAGCGCGAGCCTCGTGCGGGAGCTCGACGTTTCGCTGACGTCGATGAGGGAGTACTTGGAAGAGGAGGAGCGAGACAAACAGCGGGAGCTTGCCTGGATGAAAGTCTTCGACCGCGTCGACTTCGTTCTCCTCGTCGTGTTCCAGATCGGCAACGTCCTCGTTACCTACTTCGTCTGTCGTCATTGAAAAAGAGGACTTTCCCATCTTTAATGTACTATTTCGGTTTTGTTGATCGATGGGCATCATTATTTTTCTGTTGAAAATAGTTTCTTCTGAGTTGAAGAATAAATATTCTACACTTCACAGTGTGAAGTTCGCACAAATGACTCCAGGGACAGATTGGTAGTGTTTTAGTGTTGAAGATGTATTTTCAGAATCTGAATTTTCTCGTATTAAATCATGCTGCCGTGCGACTGCAGAAAACAGACCTGAAATCCGAGTACGAAGAAGTTTCTTGGGTTCCACCAAACATCTTCATTTCGAATGAGACTCAGAAGACGGGGTGTCTTCAGTTTCGTCGTTGTCGAAACTGGAGCCGCCTTTCTTCCACCACATGAGTCCGACTCCCGTGGGAACACCTGGCGCTATGGTCGTACTTTCTGCCGTTTTTCTGGTCGTCACTTTTGCAGGTAAATCGGAAAAAAATTGAGCTGTCGGTAGGAACCTAAACTTCCAAGTTCAATTCATGAAAGAGTCGAAAAATGAATGGTAGCTGAGAAGTATTTTGACATTTGTGAACAAAGATGATTTTGCCGAGTTTGCTGAACTTCCTTGAATGGGGCTTATCTCTTTCGTCACCTCTTCTTATGCGCTATGGCTAGCAGGCTATGGGTACAGCTTTTTCCTGGTTTTTAATCATTTTTCTTGTGATTGGTCGGTTTTTGGAACAGAAAAATAGATTAAAACTGGATGATAACTAAACGAAAAGTTGATATTGGAAAAGCTGAGTCAAAAACTTTTCTTTTCTAAATTTGGCTCTACATAGAAAATATATAGCAAAAATCTGGTCAAAAACGCTTCTCTACAAACCGAAAATATTTCAGTGATGAAAAGTCTTGTGTCCAATGGTGGTCTCTGTGATAAAGATTTACCTAATAGTAATCCATAACACAAAGAACTATGAAAAAGCCGGATACTTCGCATTTTTCCTATGGATTGTTCCCTCTACCGCCTTGCATTCGAAAACCTCTGCGATTTGTTGCTGATACCTTGCCAGAAAAAAAACTTCTTGGAGAGGTGACGCCAATGTCGCGGCTCGTGAACCAACTGATGAACATCCCGTACGACGTGAATGTGAAGCCGTCGGACGCCGTCGCCACAATCACCATCACGCCAAACTTGTTCATTTTGCTATCGATGGCGAGTGCTGCTCTCATTGTATGAATACAAAACTCATTTATTTCTATCGGGTTTTCCGGGAGTATTATCATTCAAACTTTCCAGTATATCTATCAAAAGTGATTTTTAAACTTAACGGATGAAAAATTAACTTGAAAAAGTATCTCGTTAAGTGTTTGGGTTGAATAAATAAGTTTTGAAAATGAGGACACTTTGGAAGGGTGATCTAAACTTATATCGATTTTGTGAGATTTTTTCTTTCGTTTCGCTTCTTTTAATTTTCCATTTGTGTAAGCCCATTATGCTGCAAATATGACAATTTATTGAGTTTCGCAAAATGAAAACTCTTCAAAATTTGGTGAGCGAAGTAAAAATAATTCGATCTAATCGGCTAGATAATTCATGAAAAATTATTGGTTATTCGTTCAAAAAAAAAAAAACGGAACAAAAGGAAGAAGCCAAACTACTTAACATTCTTCTTTTATTTTTATTCAGGACCAGCAACAAGAGACCATCAAATTTACACAGGAGTTTTTACTGGTGAGCAATTTTTTTGGATTTCTTTCTGACCATATCCATGGTGAGATATCCATTCACATTGGAAGAAGTTGAACAAAAGTTAACGAATACATCTGGTGACTTGCTTTTTCGAAAAAATGACAAAGCCACATACATCAGCAGAAAAAAATATCTATTAAATGTGTGACATAACTGCGTTGCCAATCCTTGCACACTCGGAACGGAGCCGATTTCAGTCGTGGAAAGATCCGTTGCTGGGATGGAATCGCTCGTCGGTCGAGTACCAAGGCACCTGGGTGAAGATCCAGGCGTCCAAGCTCTGGGTGCCTGACATCATCTTCACGACGGCGTTCTCAGAGCGAGTGCGACCTTCCTCACTGAAGGCTTCTTGCAGAATCGACACCACGGATCTGCTGGATTCTAGCCAGCAGATGGTCGACTTGCGGTATGATGGCCTCGTGAGAACTTCACTTCCCGCTGTGGTTTCCAATTCCCTCTTTTTCTTTATATGGGCATTTCAGGTCAACTCTCCATGCCCACTTCGAATAGAGGACTTTCCCTACGATGTCCAGGACTGCAACGTCACTCTAGGCATCTTAAGAAGTGAATCATGCGGGGAGTTTTTCAGGATCCTGGAACTTTGACATCTCTCAGCTGGAAGTGCGAGCGTCCTTTCCCTCTGTAGGACCGATAGCTGGCAAATACGAAGTGAGCATTATTTTCAAACTTTTTTTTCGAAACAATACTATCTCCTGAAAAACCATTCAGGGTAACAGCGAATGGGAGCTGATCACTATCTCGAGTTTGCAATCAGACAACCTCGATCTCAGTTCAGTGAGTTTCGTGGACAATCAAGGAAAAGAGAAAAGCTCCTTTCGGATATTTCGATCGTGACCCAAAATGACTATCAATATTGTAACAAAATTATCAATAATTGTACTGCTAAAACGTTAGGTTGGCCGGCTAGAAATAAGCGTCGTTGTTGGTAGTTTAGTACACTATAAATAGGGACCGCAAACTTTTTCAAAAATCAAAATTACTCAAAAAATGTTTTTTTATACTATTCGATAGAGGAGACTGTCAATTTTCATGATCCGTTTAGTTTTTGAAAAAAGGTCCACTAAGATAAAAGTTATGGCCGAAAAACGAGCGCGCGCGGCTTTCAACTGGACGCTCAATCTAACGGTATACCCGCTTTCTGAACCAAATCGGTTTTCTGGTTTCAGAAGTCGTCCAAACTGAGCTTAATCTTTTGACATGAATTTTTTATGCAATTGTCATAAGAATTTTTGATAAAAAAAGTAAAGAAAAAACTATTCAGAAAAAAAGGTTCGGAAAAATTTTTTTTCTAATTTGTCTCTTTTCTGATCGAAAAAAATTATAATTTCACTTTAAGGAAAGAAAAAGATGGAAAAATGCTCTAAATTTGAAATGAAACAGTAATAAGTGAAATTTAATAACGAAAAAAACGGCTCCTGCAACATTTAAATGCCGGCGCTAGCGTGTTCGATGCATACACCGACGCACACTCGCACGATTTCTTTAAAAAAAGTTTCGCTTTTTTTGCTAAGTTTTTTTCAAGCCATTTCTTTTTTTATGGACCGTTCTAATTTTTCAATATTCAATAGTTTTCTGAACGCTTGAAAAACATATCAAAAAAATTTAAGATTGCCCTACATGTATCGTGGTTCTACGAATGAAGTGAAAAAAATGACGGTTTTCGTAATTTTTTTAAATTATAATTTTGGAAATTCATTTTTTTCTTTTTTTAAAAAAACGGAAGTGCCGCGCATGTACTTTTTCTGAAACGCGATAATATTGCAAATGTAGTCTAAAAATTTCTCGATCGCTTCGATTTTTTTAATTGAATTTATGAGAAAAAAACTAAAAATTATAAGTTGTTCAGTTTTGTAGAGCGACGTCGATTTCTTAGGTTTAGGGTGATAATTATTTTCCTAGTTCTGGTTTGAGCTAGTAAAAACGTCTCAAAACCGATTTGGTGGTATGAAGAGGCGGGGCCTTGCGCTCCCTACCTATAAAATATTATAAAAGTAGATAAATCAACCGAAAAAAATTTTTTTTTGCATTTATAACGTGCCAATCATTTACGGAAAATGAAGATAATCAGTCAATTTTAAAAAAAGAGTCGTGGGTTCGCGCTTCCTAGGACCTTTCTCACCTCAAAAATAATATCAAAAACTACTCTATTTACGCATTTTTAAGAACGTTCAATACTCGGAAGTGACTTATCGTATAAAATTGAAAAGGAAACCCGTCTACTACGTTCTGGTAATTCAGGTTTGAAGACTTTTATTTTTTTGAAGTTTCAACTTTGAGAAAAATCTCTGAAATAATTATATATATATTTTTTTAAATTTCTTAACCCTTAAATATCTCAGAAGGAATTATAAGTACAGTTGCGCTATAAAGTCAATGTTTCCCGACTTGAAAGGCGAGGGGAGCGGGGCAGGGGGCGTAGCGTGTGCGTACGCGGTTCTTGGCACGAGTTCAATTCCACCGCCATCGACTATTCAAAAATCTTGGTCGCCGCTCTTTTTCCATATGTTTTACTATTTTTTGATGCAAACATGAAGAAAAAATCAATAAACAATTAAAAATTAATGAAAAGAGCGATAAACGAGCGCTCCAAATAGTCGCTGGCGGTTGAATTAAACTCGTGCCGAGAACCGCGTACGCGCACGCAACGCGTCCCGCCCCCTGCCACGCCTCCCTCACCTTTCAAGTCGGGAAAAATTGAATAGACTTTAACAGTGAGAAAAAAAAAGTCCCTGAACTTATAATATGTTGTTCCCGTGGGCAAGAGATTTGAGCAGCTATGAGGCTCGAAATGAACTGATCAAATGACGGATCTGTAAAACTAGCAAACATAGTCTACATTCAAATCCAATGCTGAAGTTCAATCAAAAATGGCATACAAGTTATGCCCTTTCTGGTATCTAAATACTATTTTCGTGCATTCGGTAACTATCCCAACTTTCCTTTGCGAGGACTGGGGGATTTTTATAATTCTTCTCCCGAATAACATAAAGATAGCTATCCCACCGTCATATATTCATTGATTGAAATTTCCGATTAGAATAATCCACAAGCTCAATCATTGAACCCTTGTTATAAGATTAATAGTTTGCAAGCAAGTTGCATCGTTTCAAAGCGAGCATCACAGACATCTTTTGACGATTATTTATCTGTCCACGGGAGAAAAAAATTGAGAAAAAAGTCGATGAATTCGTTTCTTTTGAAAACCGTTCTGTATAAATTTAAAAAAAAATACAATCAAAAAATAAGGATCTTAAAAAATATGCGCAAAAATTTTCTAACGTAAGTAATCACAAAAAACGTCACTTGCGAGCGGAAGAAAACTTTTTTCAATTTTCCTTCTGTGTGGCCGAAAATTTTCTTTCTGTCTGGCCGCTGCTTACAGTAAATTTTCATGCTGCCTGAATATTACAACTACTGAAAGATAACTGTCCAGTCAATCACAGGCACCAACGTTTATCATCTGCACGCTCAGCATATTCGGAGTCTTCACTCCGAACCATAATGAAAACGAGAGACGAGAAAAGGCGAGGCTTTATTATTCAGAGGAGATTAGATCATTCGATTATTTACAAGCAAAACCTTAACTTTGCAGGTGACCCTCGGTGTGAACATGTTCTGTGCCATCTCGATGATGCTTAATCTTGTCTCAGATATGATGCCTAAAGCGTCTCGGCTTCCGCTTTTGGGTCTATTAACTTAATAATCACACAATCATAAAAGAAGAATCCCGTCTAGAAAAAGTGGATAAATCTAGGTTTTAGGTAACTACATCCTAGCGGAAATTTTCGTGATGGCAGCGGCAGTAATGGTTTCGTTGGTTACTCATACTGTCCACCAGAAGACCCACACCTCGCCGACACCTCCTCCACAGTGGCTGGTTCAAATCATCCTTTTCGACTGTTTCAGCTGCTTGAGACGCAAGAGGAAGTCGGTGACGCCAGCAACCCAAGAAAACAGGAAAATCAAGGCGCCGGTAGTGGACCTTTTGCCGTTCAAAGACCTACAGAATTCCTTAATCGAAGTACGGATCTCACTCCAATGAAGGGAAAAGACAGTTTAGACGACGAGAACAGTGCATGAAGCTTTGAAGAGGACGCAAGCCGAAGAAGATGCGCGAAACACTTGGGTTTGCATTCTCGACCGCGTAGATATTGCTTGTCTGCTGATTTTTCAAGCACTTAACATTATCGTGTCAGCACTTTACATGCGCTAGTTATTGACAAATGAAGATTTTATCCATCTCTTAGTCCATCCACACTTTAAGAACAGAATGCAATAGATTATGGGGTTAAACGTTAACACATGAGTCAAGGACGAAAAAAAGGACAAAACAATAGGTTGACGTGAGCGGATTTCATAGTCAACGAGCGCGCAATGAGAAAAATAAAAAAGGGCACAACGCATTAATATGATATATCAGGTTGGAAAATAAAATCCCGTGGCAACGGTTTCAATAGTATTTCTCCAAAATAAATTACTTATGTCGAGTTTGAACATCAATATTCATACTAATGTCAAACTGCACACTTTAACAACTGGAACCGTCGAGTTCCAAAATAGCGACCCAGATAATTACCATTAGGAAAACAACGGAAGAATAGTACTGCGGAATCCAATCATGAACTACGATCACTGCATTATTAAACGCAGCGATAAAAATGTTTCTTGAACTCCCAATAGCTACAAAAACAAAATAGCGATTAGAGCGCAACGTGAAAAGTTGAAGCACGCCGGTTTCATCCTATGAATGTGGTATAGCTTGCGTACAAGGAAAGACAACAGTCCTAAAACGAATAAAAAAGATGTGGAAAACAAGTTTTTAAAAGTGCGATTTAGAAGTAAAGAAGTGTAAAAATTTTCGTATTTTCATGGCAAACTTCAGGAAATTACGTTCTGTTCTTGAGCTGGTTGCTCAGCCAGTCGAGACCTTCATACAAACCATCACCAGACGTCGCACATGTGGCCTTTAATGAGGATGGTAATTTTGAATCAAATAAGGCTCATAGCGGAAATATTCGGTAATTCAGAAAATAAAAATGAACCTGAATATACCAAGACCGATTTCTCAGCGTGTGCAAACCCAGTTTGTCCGTTACTTCCGCGGCGTTCATGGCGTTAGGCAAATCCTATAAAAAAGTTTGATAATTAAAAAAAAAATTTTTTTTAATTGACATAAAACTAGTTTTCAAAACCATCAACGGTTGAATCTCAATAACTCACCAAACAAGATCCATGAAAGAATTGAAACTTTAATATTTCATCCTACACCTAAAAATGCTCTGTTTCAATTCAGGATTTCTCAAAGCGTTGTCGTCGCATAGATTCAAGATTAAAAAACGTTTGCTTGACAGTATAAGAGAAAAAAATAGATCAAGCTAAATAAAATATTTAAACTATTAGCCTTTTAGCGAGTTTTTATTTCAATTTTCAAAATATTAAAATAAACATTTTCCCGGCAAGTTTTTGATAGGCGAAAATCTACAACAACAAAAAATTTAGTACCTGCTTGTTTGCAAAAACGAGAAGAACCGCGTCACGAAGTTCATCTTCTGCCAGCATTCTCATGAGCTCTTCGCGAGCCTCACCCACGCGCTCGCGGTCATTGGAATCGACAACAAAGATCAAGCCTGAGAAACGAATTTAGTTCCACGACCGCAAAACTTTCTACCTTGTGTGTTCTGGAAGTAATGCCTCCACAGGGGACGAATTTTGTCTTGGCCGCCAACATCCCAAACAGTGAAGGAAATGTTCTTGTATTCAACCGTTTCAACATTGAAACCTGAATTTCGGTAACATTCGAACTGAACGGAAACTGGAAACACAAACCTATGGTTGGGATAGTGGTGACGATTTCTCCGAGCTTGAGCTTGTAAAGTATGGTCGTCTTACCAGCCGCATCGAGTCCAACCATCAGAATACGCATTTCCTTTTTGCCGAAAAGGCCTTTGAACAAATTTCCGAAAACGTTTCCCATGCTGAAACCGAATAACTTTTGATATATCCTAGTAATATATATGACAGGATCATCGAGAGCGGAAAATAGCTTCAATGAGCAAAACCAAGAGAAACGTTAGAAGCTGAAAACAAGTTACAATATGCACCCTTTTCAAGAAGGGATACAGCGGATTCCAATGTGTCATCGTGACGTCGCCCACGTCGACCGAGAAACCGCGACGCGCACGCGTTGCAACCCTTTTTGCGAGAAAAGAGAATACATGCACATCTAAGAGGGATCTTCGTTCATTCTTTTTACTTTCAACCAAACTTTCATTTTCTCTTTTTTTGGAAATAAAAAAAATTCTATTATTTAGATTGTTGAAAGCTTGGTGTCGTGCTTGTGCGGCAGGTATATGTCAATAACATTTGCCTTTTCAGATCCATATATTTTTTTTGTGAATCGAACGTACAAAAAAACAATTTTTATTGCATCGCATATAATATTTCAAATATTTCAAACACCCGCTCTAAAAAGACGAAGTCTGGAAATGGAATACCTGTAATGAAAATACCGCATAAGGTTTGAGGGCTCTTTTACGAATTGCTTTTTTTTTGTGGCCCCGTTTTTTTATTATGATAATTCTTCTCGAGTCGATATATTTTATTCTTCAATTATTTGGGGCTTGTCGCTCTCTTTTTTCAAACATTTTTTCAAAAGACAAAGAACAAAAACAGAAAATAAAGATTATAAAACAGAAAGGATAGATCAATTTATCCAGATTACGTATACAAGGTCCGCTAATAAATAATGGGAAAACATAAATGAAAACAAAAATACAATCTAAACTAAAAAAAAATCTAAAAGAAAAACATTAAATTCGAAAGATCGATTCCTTCAAATAAAAAGTTCCCGGGCACAATTCTTCGAAAAATTTTTAAAGATGGTTGAACGAAAAGAAATTCAACAAAGATGTCGGAATTGCTCCGGAGAAGGGATCATCTCTTATGATTCAACTATAGATAGATCGAAACCGGTCGAATTCACAGTCACAAACGTGTAGAATCACATCACGAATCGTCTTCATCCGACTGAAATGAGCTTTTGATAACTTTCAGACTCTATTTTTACAAATTGAACTACGAAAGTCGGAGAGAGCTAAAAATCATTTACTTCGATTTCCAAAGGAATGTTGGCAAGAAGTTCATTCGCTGTCATGTGGGCATCAGTGGTCAATACATCCGACTCTATTTTTGTCATCAGGTCCATGTCCAAAAAACTTCCTTTGAACAATTTACCTTCTTTCACCGCCTGAAAAATATTAATTCTGAAAGAAAGAACTTTGAGCCAAAACCTTAATTGCATCCACAGCTCTTCTATATGGAATAGTCGCAATTGCGATTTCGTCCTCCGCAGAAACATTCATGTCGAGAGTTTCACCGAACTGCTCCATATGAGTCATCAACTCATCGATATCTTCACTCTGTAAAAAATAAGGCATACAATTTTATGTTATTTTTATAAAATAACCTTGATTCCTTTGACAATGACAACGCCATTAAACTTAGAAATTGTATCAGAAATTTCGTTGGACGCTGAATTTCATTTTTAATTTGAACTATATGAACCCAACTACCTTTTCTCTTTCTCGATTCGACAGCTTTGTTTTCCTGCAGCTCTGGGGAAGGTTCCTTTTTACTATTCTTCAAACTATCCAGGTACGACAGCGCATCGTCGACGGTCTTCGTTTTTTCTGATATGCTTAACAATAACTGATCGGCCTGAAAGACTTCGTTCAAAAAGTAGTTATGCGCAAAATCAAACCTCTTCTTTACAAGCCTTGATCTTCTGATGGATATGCTTCACTAACTTCGTTGCCTGTTTTTTATCTTTATCCTCTGGCGACGTTCTTGCCTGACAAAAAAACTGTTAAAAAGAAGTTTGAGGTTTTGAACCTTCACAAGAAGCTGCTTCTGTTTTTCCATGAGCTTTTCTAGCAGCTCTGTCTTTCTTCTTTGTAAGTCAACCAGAACAGTCAGCTGAGACTTTTCGTTCTTATATTTTTCGCTGGCCTCAGATCTCTTGGCTCGCATTTCCTGAGTTTCCGCACTCACAAACTTCGATTCTTTGAGAGTAGCAATCTGAAAAAAAGTTACTTTCAAGAATTAGAAAAGAGAAAAACCTTTGGCTTTTCAACGACCGTTTTTGATACACCTGTCACGTTTGCGACTGCCCCCTAAATCCAAAATTATGTGCAAATCAAAAAAAAAAAAATTACCGCGCGAGAAAATTCGCCTTCAGGGTTCGAGTTCTCAGGATTATGCCAGAAAACTTTGATGAACCGATTGTTGAGGACCGGTGTAGGCGAGGTGTAGGCATTCATAGCTTCTGCTCTTGATGAATAAGTTATCAAAGCTGTATCGGGCTCCGAGTTGAAGCGAACCTTCAAAGTTATTGCATTAGTTTGTATTGAATATCGGCAAAGTTTGTCGAAAACGCTAATCGTAACTCTTGGTCATCAGGGTTGCACGCAATAGAATCGCGGAAGAGAAATTGCATTGAAATTTCTGAAAGGGACAATTTTTCACCGTAGAAAAAGTTGAAAATAGCGATTTAGGATGAAAAATAGAAATCAAGAAATTCCGCTTGCCATACTTCGTTTGGGAAAAAAACCCCGATACCTCAGTTCCTTCTATCTTCCGTAAAGGTATTTTTGTACATTTTACCAGTAATGGTTGACTCTATAGAAATAATGTTTCGATCCGTTTTTTGTTCCAATTACATATAGCTTCAAAATTATGAATTTTTCTTCGATGAAAAAAATTTTGATCCAAGCGCAGGTCCGCAAATCTCTTCCGTGTAACCTTGTTTACCATGCCCGATTTCTGCGTTTTCAACCACGCATCACGGATTTTTGAACAGATATAAAGAAAGTTGCTACTCCCGAAGTTTCGAACTAGTTTCTACCGATTAGAAATGAACAAAACAACTTACCACATTTAAATTCAAAATTTTCAACTCTATCTCTCTCGCATTCAGGAGCTGACAAACTCCCGAACAAGAAAAAAAAATTTCGTAGAAGTGAACAAACCTGAATGTTGTCCACTGTGCCAAATGTTGAAAAATGCTCATTCAGTTTAGCAATATTATTGAATTCTGGCGGAATTTTTTTGACCTCAATCAAAAAATTGAAATTTTATTTTTCCACTTTTCAAAAACCTGTAAAGTAGCTAACTCTGGGTTCCGGTTTCCGAAATTCTGATAAACGCGACCTCCACGGCCACGACCGCGGCCTCTGATCGTACCTCTGTTCGTCTGCTGGGACACTGGTATAACTCCTTGGGGCGCGAAGGACACCTGTTGAAAATATTGATTACAAGTAAAAAAAAAAAAAATTATTTTTACATTTTGAACCGAGAACGGAGGGCGCCAAGCTGTAGTGCCCGCCGTGACAGGAAGAGGAGGCGGAGGAATAGTAAAATTTGAAGCTATGGCGGGTGCCTCGGGGTTATAACCTAACAAAAAAAAAGATTTCAAAAGTAAGCGGAAAGAAAAAAAAAACCTTCGACGGAGCCATGAATATACATGTTCTCCACAGGAACACCGGGAGGAGGGGGGTTCACAGGATTATAGCCAGGAGGAGGAACGCTGAAATTTCCTCCATAGTGGTTGATAAACATTTGCGATTTGAGTGCTCCGCTTATTTAATTTTTATAATGTACATGGGTAGGCGGAATTATAGAGAGGAATTTCTGAGCGCTGCAATTTATTTTGTTGAAAATGAAATTCCTATTCATTTTCGTGTATTTCATCTAACAAAATGTCTATGAAACATGTTTAAAAAAAAGTTTCTAATATTGTGTTCTCGAGTGGTGAACGTCCAACCAAGTAGTGCTTCGGAAAAATTGCCTTTCTGCTTTGCTGTAACAGCGTCATAGTCATTGCGCGAATGACCAAAAAATAGTCAGTAAGGCACAATTTTTTTTTAATAGCTTGGAACATCTCAGCGTCGCTTAACAAAAACAATTACGTTTTTCACCACACCTACTTCTTAAAAGGGCGTCTACTAAATTCGCACTGGGGCAACGTTTTCATGGAATTTAAGATCAGTCTGGAAAAAGCCAATATTATAGATTATCAAAAGCAACTTCAGACTTCAGAGCTACTGTACAAAAATTTCGGCAATCCTAACTTGAGCGAAAATCAAGCAGCGAACCATTTGGAGTAAAGCAAAATTAGCTCGGACGCATGACTTCAATGGGACAAGGTGTTCTTTGTTGACGAGCTATTTAACATCAAAGAGGTATGCAATCTCCAAAATGCGTGTTAACTTGCTCGAAACTCGCAGAAAATCAGAAAATTAGCTCGACCGAAAGCTGCTGATGGGGGGCCCCGCCCTGCTGAGTAGATGAGTTGAAATGAAGTATAATCGGCTCGGAAAAAAGAGCCACGAGAATTCAGCCACGCGTTGACCGAATAGTCAGGCACATTTTTTTTGCATGTATAAAAACCTCTGTTTTGATTTTTTTTTTTTTAAACTCTAATATTCCTTTACCTGAAATTCGTCTTAGCCACGTCGAACTTCACCATACCCTCCAGGGCAGTTTCATCCATAACAACAGGGTCAGGTCCATGATCATAAGGACATTGATCTCCGCGGAAACAAAGACCCTTAACTAAAAAAAAGGGAAAATAAGAATGGGAAAAAATTCAAACGTTCAAAGTTTTTGCATCGTCGTTTTCGGGTTTCGCCGTTTCTGTCACGTTCTCTGCGATCGCGATCCATGCTTCTGGAGCGCGTTCGAGACCTTTAAGAATTTAATATTTTCATCGATTTTTTGTTTCAAACTGGAAATTAATGTATTGCCATTCACGTGTAGAATTCAAACTTTTATAAATTTAGCTTTGTGACCGAACAGTCAGTTTTTCCCCGATTTGCAAGGCGAGATGGGTAGAACAGCAAGTTTGAAGCCTTGCGTACGCGACGCTGCTTTTTGGCTGGGAACTTGAGGTCAAACGCAATCATGAGAAAATGTATAAATAGAAAATGTATCCCCCTTTCAAACATAACGCTTCACCCTCGCCAGCCTAGCCATTTTCAGAGAAGAGAAAAAAATATATTTTTTTATATAGTTTCTTATTGATTTTTTTCAATAAAAAAATATTTAAAAATGCACTATGAAATCAAGAAAGTCTAACTTCAAGATTTTTTCGTTTGATAATAATTGAGATTATTAATTAACGGATTCGTGTGGCAAAAAAAAAGAGAGACAAAAAGAGATTTAAACTAAGAATAACTGCGCGAAGAAACGCGAGGTCGGTGCCGGTACATTTCAAATCATTTTTCTCGGCGCGACACCGCTTTCATTTCGCACTTAATTAAAATTTTAAAAAAATCGTTCGCAGTTGCGCGCCAAAACAAAAAAATCTAGAACTGGTACACCGAAAAAAAGCGCATTATAGTCAATTTTTCCCGGCTTGAAAGACGAGGGAGGCAGACAAAGGGGCAAAACGCGTAGCGTGCGCGTACGCGGTTCTTGGCACGAGCTCAACAACAACTTTTTTTCTTTTCGGAATGAACTGACTATATTCTCGAAGCTGTCAGTTCACCGCTGTTGTATTATTCACAGAAATTTTGAAATTCTACTCCCTTGTAAAGCTGTTTTTTCCAGTTAATGAGAATTGCGATACCTTCTTCGCTCAGTCCGATGACGTTCTGCAGGAGATGTACGCCGGACATTTGTGGAGCCTCCAGAACGACCTGAACGGCGGTCGCGGTCCCTGGAAGATCCGCGAGCTGGAGGTGACCGAGAGCGTCTTGTGCGGTGTTCTCGGACATCTCTGTTACCAGCCTGAAGAAACATAACCCTTACTCCTCCTACAAAACCCGTTTGAAAAGCAAAGGCTGTAACTACGGTCAAAGAAAACCATCCCTGTAGATATTATCAAAGAAAACACGCGAATATAAAAAAAAAACGGAGATAACTCCTTCATTTAAAAACCTTCGTGAAATATTTCGAAGAAAATCGTGAAAAACAGATATTGATCGATTAGAATCTGTCCAGAGGCGTTTCACGAAGCGCCTTTTCCCAAGAATGGAATATAATGAACGGTTAAACCTGTTAGGTCTTCAACCTCTTTGGTTTAGGCGTTTAGTTAAGGATCTGGTATTATCACATCAGTTTTTGCATAATAAGTGCTGGTCAGACTCTCCCATCCAGGTACATAACATCTTTGACCGTCCCAGTCAGCTCAGAGGAAATGGTTTTAAATTATTAAAAACGAAACCTTCACTGGATTTTTTTTTCAATTTCTCATCACATCGCATTACTAATGTTTGGAATGACATTTAACATGAATTATTGGCAGAGGAAGACAAGAAAAAAAAATTTAAGGACATCTTTTTAGTGTATGCAGAAAATGTTGGCGTCGAGCATATTCTTTCAAGTGTTCACAGATTTGTGCCATGATCAACTTGGTTTTATATATCTACTTATTATGGTTTTATGTTTCTTTTTCTCACACACAAACTTTTTCTTCACAGGTGGGGTTGGTTAATCCACCTAGTGGTCTTTTTCCCTCCCTGCAACATCACCATACCATCCCGATGTTGCGAAAAATAAATAAATTGATTGAAATCGAAGTAAAAACAAGGTCATAAAATTATACAGAAGGGAGAAAAGAAAAATGCAATAACCAACCTTTTCCTTGTTTTCAGCTGGAGGAGGGCTTATTCGTTTCCGAATAGACCTTGAGATGAGAGGGTTCTCGTTCCTTTTCTCGCCTGTGCTTGGAAAGTCCTCTTTCGAATGCCCTTTTCTCTCAGTGACGGGAGCTGAAAGCTGGTTCGTCACAGGGCGACGTCGTTGCTCCTCTCGAGTAGAAGAAGAAATCGATGATGATGATGTGGGCAAATTTACCTTAACTTAGCTTTTTAGAACAATTTTTGAGGCTTTAATGAAATTTTTTTTAACTTTTGAGGCTTTAATTAAAAGTCATACTTTAGTCTTACACAAAAATTATACACTTGCCCAATACTAATTTTTGGGGATAACACGCCGTGTTTCAAACCAATTTGACACGCGCGTGAAATCAGTTCTCTCTAGGGTCGTTAAGTATTTTGAATTGCTTCTGCAACCTTAATAACCGCGTTTTTTTTCAGATACTTCCTCAACGTAGGTCTGAGACAAGTACCTAAAAGAAAATTGTGAATCCCTACGTTCAACTATTGAAAAAAAATTTTAATCAGAGAAACGCGGATATTACATTACGAAAAAAAAAACCGCTCACCTTTTCGTTCTCTTCTTTAATAGAAACTTCTGCCGGATTATTTGAGGAAGATACACTAGCAACCACTTGGCTTGGCTCTTTTTTTTCTTTCGACAGGTCTGCAACAGGGCCTGACACCGGAGCCTCGAAATATGACTTAGATTTCAAAGCATTGAACATCTTTTCAACAAAACGAACAGTGTCTTAAATTCATGATTAATTGAAGAAAAGAAAAAAGACGAACTTGACCCAAGAAAAACATCGAGCTGTTCGAGACTAAACTTTCTCACTTCGTCAACAGACATGTGGGGCTTTCTCAACAAAGCAAGGACATACTTTGCTAGTGCAGATGGATCGGCGTCACAACTTCAATCAAATGAAAAAGTGAAACTTTGATCTTCAAACTTACATAGGTGTCAGTTCTTCTATAAGCCATTTGTGAAAATCTTCTATTTCTTCAATAATCATTCCGGAAAGTTCTATCGGGAACAACTGAAAATTCACGTTTTTAATTATTACACGATGACTATAAAGGGTTCGCAAACAAATGAGAGAAAAACGCAGCGAAAGAAAGCATGAAAAACCCCCCGCAGCAGTTAACAATGGGCAAGAAAAACTGGTCCTGAGTGTTTCTCTGTCCCGTCAGAAAATCTCTTTTTTTTTTTTGAAGATCATCAAAGAAACTGATAAAAACAAAAGCATGAGAAGCTGTCGAACTGATAATTGTGATAAGTAGAGCAGTCCGGGAGAAAATGTTTTCTCTAAACCATGGTTTTGTTCGTTCCCTAGATGTGGAAAAAATAATAATAAGAAAGCGTAAAAACGAGAAAAAAATAACGGCTACATACATGCCTTTTCAGACAAGAAAACGATATGCTAAAGAAAACACTGTCATCTATCAGCGCGTTGAAAGACTCTTCTAGATTGCCTTTAATATCGCCAAAAAAAACCAATGAAACAAGAAATTATATTAAATACGGTGTTTTCCTGGAGAAAAAGAATTTACATAAAAATATACGAATTGTAAAGAAAAATATATAAGAATGAACTTCAAAGAGCCCGTTATAAAATACACCACCAAACATAAGCACACAAAAAACGCTCACAGGAGCGCTCTCAACAGATCAGAGAAAAGCTCAGAACAGCCAGCGACTCGGCGCTCTGCGCTTGATCCTTCTTTCTTATCTATATCTATCGTGAACATTTCCTAACTTCGACTTTTTTTTTTCGTATAAATTTTGAAATACAAGAGGATCTTCCATCCCTAACTTTTCTGCTATAATTATCATTATATATTCGTTAGAAAATGCAACTTTTTTTTTATTCTTCGGTTTCATATCTTTATTTTTGCCTTTCAATAAGTTCGCTTCAAACAAAAAAAAGAGCGGTTGCGAAAAATGAACTTCCCATGTATTTCCTGAATGAAGATCTTAAAGGCGCGATATGAGCGATAGATGTCTACGGCGTTGCAGCTCGACTTCATTGAAACCTTCGAACATTTTGGCTGTGCATGAACTTCGGTCGCGAGTTTTACAAGTACTTTTCGTTGATTTATTTTACAACGGCGACAGTTTGAGGACCAAAACATATCAAGATATACACAAGACGACATTTCAAGGATCAAAAATGAAGATTGGTGGTTGAACGCTTTTCTACATTCTGTCAACCATGACGTAGACATAGCATACGCGGTCCTTCTTGAATGCCTCAAGTGGCGCAACAACTTTGATGTTGAACGTAAGAAAAAAAAATTTAAACTTCGAGATACATCACGTTTGTCGTGATAGATATTAGTCTTTTGTCCATGAAACCGCTACTCGATCGAAAATTGATCTATCTTCATGGAAAAGACTTGAAAAGTAGACCTATATGTGAGTGATGGCGATGATTTTTCTTTTTAACTTTTTTTGTCAGTATGGATAAAATTCAACGAGTATCGTAATGGAGATATTGGATTCGAAAAACTATTCGTTTTCTGGATGGAGCGGCATTACTTTGAATCAAAAGGCGCTCCTCTTACTATATTTATGGACATGACATCGACAGGTCTAAAGAATATGGTGGGTTTTGTTTTCTGAATAAACGTTGATCGAAAAGCATGAATAAGTCTGCTTTTAATAAGAGAGCGCAACCGTATAAACATGAACATGAACTTCAACCTGAAAATATCAGGATATGAAGTTTCCCATTTATAAAGAAGAATCTTCAAGAGAAACTCCGTTTTCGGTTGTGAACAAGAACATAAACTTCAACCTGAAAATATCAGGATATGAAGTTCCACATTTATAAAGAAGAATCTTCAAAGGGAACTCCGTTTTCGGTTTCCCACCAACAGGTTTACGTCTACTAGCTGTGGACTTTCGAGGCTATTGCTTCGAAAAAACTGGATTAACAATAAACTTTTTCAGAGTTTCGACGTCATGAAGTTTCTGATTCACACAACTAGGTATTACTACCCCAATTCCACGGATTGTATTCTGATATTCGAAAATCCATCGATATTGAATGCCTCATGGAAGGTGAAAACTGCCGACTATAAAAAAAAACTATTAAAATTTAGGTTATCAACTCTTGGTTAGAGCATAATCGCGAGCTTACATTCGTCAGTAAAGATAGTGTATCTCATTACGTTGGAAAAGACAATTTGATGCTGCAACATGGAGGCCTGGTGAGCCGTTTTCATTCTGGATGGTTAATCGTTCGTGTGTGTCGAAGAACTTTTCGCGTGAGAAGGATATGTCAAAGTGTAACAATCTCTCCTAGCATACTAAGTTCCTCTCAGAACGAACTACGACAGCTGCCATTTTGTCATTTCTTCAAGTTTGGCCTAAAGAAACCTTTGAAAAAATTTCAACCGGTTTCGCTCAATAAGATAATAAGCGAGTGCCACTTTTAATCAATATAATTACATTATCTCCTTCTTTTTTCATATATTGTAGCGAAAAAACATATTCGTTTTTTAACTTCAATTGTTGAGGAATTATACTGCCTAAATTAATATTTAAAAAAATATTTCAAAGAAGCTTTTACTTGCTTCGACTTCAACTTCAACTCATCGATTAATAATACTACCAAATGGTGAAAAGCGTTTAGATTATAAAAAAAATCTTCACAGGATAGCTTCGTTTTCACGATGGAAGAATTAGCTAATTGTCTCCCTCCATTACCCCCGCAAAAATTTAAACTCCAAACCATGCATTCAATCGACGACAACGCAAATGAGAACTTCTCAAACGGGATGACCGATTTCCCTTCAAAAAGAGTAAGTTTATTTCAATTCAATTCTAGATGACTAATGAATAATTAACTTTGCAGAACGTGAAGTTCGAAGACGACGATGCCTCGCGAAAAATGCCACTTCTTGTTACAAGGAAGTCTAGTCGTGGCCCAGGAAAGAGATCATCTATGCCTAATGTTCTCAAGCCGTTAATTGAACGAAGGGTCAATGCGAAAGAGGATGAATTCATGAGAAATAGTTTCATGTGCATCACGTGAGTTTTGTAAAAAAATTATAACAGAAATATGGAGAAACAAATAAAAAAAGATCATATGAGACGCGTAAATTCAAGTCTAAAATTAATCAGTAAAATAATAATAATTATAACAAGAGCTGTCTCTAGATCAAATTTTTCTCACTCGTTTCTTATCGTGATCAACTTTTTAAGTCATAAAGTAATCATAAGCCAAGTATTTGTATACTGAGACAACTTATCGAGAAAAAAAAATGTTAAACACATTTAAGAAAATGCACAAAATTAGCTTCTCTTTTTCGATATAGCTTCTTCAAAACTGAGTTCTTCAGAGTCGGTACTGAGGAATTTCGAAAAGTTCCCCTATATTGAAATGAAAAAGTGAACGAATACTAAGGAAATGCAGTGAAAACTTGGCGGTAGAAAGATTGAGATTCAACTGAGAATTCCAAAATGAGCTCACTTTAGTCGAGCAAAAAAACTTTTTTTAAAAAAATTTACAAACTTTTAGTAAAGAATTAAGAGCGTTCTACCTAAAGTTCCGTAAATATCTTGTCTTAAAAGCTGCATCAAAAATAAATAATTGAAGATTTTTGCAGACCTCTCGAACACCTCTCTTTAGATAAAGTGGACGGGGAAAGCGACTTCGTGGATATCATTTTCATTAAAAACACATCGATGAAAAATGTTCTTTTCAAGTTCAAAACTACATCGCCTGAAAAATTCAGAGTACGGCCAAGTACAGGTGTCATACCGACTGGATCCACAGAAACAATAAGAGTGTATCTTCAACATGGTAAGAATACTTAGAAGAAAAAAAAACTTGAAAAGTTTTAGAATATCGCCACTCGTGGATCAAAGAGAAATTTTTGTTACTAGCCGCAGAAACTTCTTCCTCCGATATTGAAAACTTCTCAGAAATATATAAAAAATCTTCGAGCAACAACAAATACGAACACAAGCTAAAATGCAAAATGTCGGAGAATGTCCTTATTGATCTACCCGAAGAAAGAAAAAGCAGCTTTCTAACAGGAGAGGTAAGTAGTATACAAACAAAATCTCAGGAAAAACTTTGAACATTTGCAAACTCACATTTCAACGCTTATTATACATAAACGCAAGACAAATCAAAAAAAAAAATTTAGGACACTACGACAACTAAACTGAAAATCGCGGAGCTCGGAAGTTACCAACGACTAATCACGATTATGATCATAATATTGTTTTTAATTCAAATACTAACGATTCTCTACGCGAATAGAAACCACCGTGAGCTTACTGAGGCTCTACGAGAAATGTATCCACATAAAAGTTGTGAAAACGTGCCTGAAAAGCTCTCTGTTCATGAGCAAGTTTTGAAAGAGCTCTGAAAAAACTTTGATATTCTGTTGTTGGTGTTTTCCATGAACGATAAATAAAAACTTCGAAAAGTTGAAAAAGAAAACAACTATAAACTTAATGATGTACAAAAACAGCAACCGTATACGACAAAGGTATAACACTGGAAGAGAAAAATAATTCTTTCGAAAGTTGGCTGCAGGCGACCTCAAAACATTTGAAACTTTTTTGAATCCAGCTTGAAAAAAAAAATAACACAAAAAAGCCTTATCCGTTATCCTAACAATTCTAAGCATTTTTTTCAAGAACAAAAAAATAAATTATATGAACGGAAATTGTTCTAAAATTTGAAAAATACAATCTTTGTTTGATGTTGCAGTTAAAAAAAGTAAGGTCACCTTTAAAAATAGTACTTGATACTGCAATAACCGTTACGCAGACTAACAAGAAATGATAAAACTTCGCGATTAAAGATGCTATGGGTGAAATTTCCATTTCTGTTTTCATACTGTTTGCCGAACTTTAAATTTCACGTTGAAAAAAAAGAATAACTGAAGAGACAGAAATTTTTGAGCGAACAGAAAAGAAAAACGTTAACTTCTGAAAGTAAGATTTTTCCTTCTCCACTATAAGATTATTTATGTAATCTTTTCAAATCAATCAATAAAATTAGTGACAAAAGCAAACTTCTCACATTTAGAGCGTGAAAGAAAATTGGACGAAAAGTGAATCCTTGTTAAAAAAGTAACTTCCCAAAATTCGCATTTTTCGGCAGAGATATGTAAAAACAAAAAAAACTTTCGGATGGTCATAGATGAATCCGAATGGAGCGTTTAGAAAACGGCATTAAAATATTTGAAATTGAAACAAATAAAATAATGTGAAAAGACATTGCGTCGTGTATTGATCGCAGTGAGAAAAGAGGTCTCTAAGCGAGAGCGCTCGAGCACACTTGACCAGTGCTGAGTATTCGACGCTTGTACGTGGTGCAGTTCTGAAGTTGTATTTTTTTTTTTTTTAATTTAATGTTTTTTAAATTTTTTGTCTATATCGATTATGAACCTGCTGGATTAAGGGCAGACGTAATAAAACATCAAGAACGATTTTTACCGAAAATTTTTCTGCAATTTTTCATCGAATGTTTAAAATGTCTGCTCTATTTTTAAAACGTGTTTCGTTTTTCCGATGATCACGCCGTTAGTATTTTCGCTGATCTTTCTCACTCAAGTCAACCGAAAATCGTCAGTATCTCGTTTTCCTCCTTTTTTTTTTGAATCGAAACGAGGCGTGTTATATCGTATCCATTTTCTGGTTTTTCTTACAATATATTTTTTTATTGAAAGCTTAGTGAAATGTTTATTGTTTTTTTCCTATTGCCTCAGTGCAAGTCGGAAAAAAATTTCTTCTATTGCAGACTGAAAAATAGAACCAAACTTTTTAAAGTTAGTGATCGCGAGAATATTTGAAATCAGCGGGATGATTTTCACATTTTAAAAAAATGTTTGAATAAAAAATTGATTGGTTTTTTTTCTGACTAGTTGGTAGAATATTAGACTCCTAAGATTCATAGGCTAAAAATCGAACAGAGGCCGCCAACCATTTTTCATTATCTTGTTTGTATGAGACTAACATTACCCTCTCTCTCTCTCTCTCTGGCACTGTCGAGAGATGCGACCAGATTCATGCTCTTATTGTTTTTCTTTTGAGCTAAAAAAAAAACCTCACATAAACGTTTTTTTCCTTTTTAAAAATACTACCAGTATCTATTCTCACTTTTAAAACCTGTACAAAGCACTTTTGTGCAAGTTTTTTAAGAATGTATTCAACTGAAAATAAATATGAGGTGTTTTATGCGTTCAATTTCCTACACTGAGCAATAATCCTTATAGGTGAGAAAAGTATATTAAAGTGAAAAAGGCGGTATATCAGCTTACTGAACAAAAAAGGAGAATAGACACCCAGCGCGTTCGCATCACCAGTTTCTGAGTATATACGAAAATGCTGTTGACACCCGCTTTTCTTCTGCTAATCTTTAAAAAAAAATTACAACTTCGTTAAGAACCAATTTTTCAGGTAAAATGTCTAAGAGAGGACGTGGAGGAGCCTCAGGAGCCAAGTTCCGCATTTCGCTCGGTCTTCCAGTCGGAGCCGTGATGAACTGTGCCGATAATACTGGAGCAAAGAATTTGTTCGTGATTTCCGTTTATGGAATTCGCGGTCGCCTCAATCGACTCCCCAGTGCTGGTGTTGGAGACATGTTTGTCTGCTCCGTCAAAAAGGGAAAGCCCGAACTCCGAAAAAAAGGTTTGTTTACTTCTTATATTTTTTTAATCGATGGGTAAATTCAATTCCGCGTTAAAAAGTAATTTTTGGCGTCTATGTAACTCGGGCTAAACTGAAAAGCTCCCCAAAAGCTTTTCTCAAAAAAAGACCTTGAAAGGGTCCCCAGCAGATCTTTTTTTTTATCATTTCATTTCTTGTTTGCATCTTTTTCACATCCTCTAACAAAAAGGATGCTGGAAAGCAACTAAAAAGATTCGAGAGGATTCAAAAAGGATCCTCTGAGGCTATGAAAAAGGTGCTCAAGCTTTTTTACATCATTTTAGGAGCTTTTAGAGGAAGCTTTTTATCTCCCTCAGGATCCTTTAAGGATCCCCAAAGGAACTTTTCCGTTTTACCTATGTAAGTGACGCGTTACTCGTTTAAAATTATTTTGCGAACTGAAGAGATTCGGGCAGAATTCGCTTCTTCTTTTTTTCAAATCACCTCGAACACGGTATAATATACCTTTTCTACTCTTTCAGAGTAATTGGTGTGTTCGGTTCAATTTTTCAATTTAGGTTCAGTGACTTTTGTGAATTCTCACAAAAAAAAACCGACCGTAGTTTACTATCAGTTTATGTATGTAGTAAGTAGCTTATTGAAAAGTTTTGAAAATTCTTTTTGCGTGCCCAAAGTGATTTCAATTACCCCGGTAATCATAAGATTTTTTCGCCGAACTTTTTCAAGCTACTATAGACGCGCAAAATAGACGTGTCCACAAAAAAAAACTTAAACAGAAATTTGTATAAAAGGTAAATGCCGCGTAGCAAAAAAAATTTTCCTGGTTCATAAGCACGAGCCGAATCGCAGCGAAACACGGCAACTTTCCACGAAGTGATTGGTTGGCCCCGCCCATCTGGCAAGAAAAATATTTTGAAAATATGTTTGTATTGAAAATTTGCCAAAAAAGCGGCACCGTCCAATCACGCTGTGGGAACCTGCCGATGGTACGACAAAATCTCAAGTCCGCAAATCTCGAGGACCGTAATCTTGTGTACGCAGATCTAAAGTCCCATAATCTTGGAGACCAAAATCTTGTGCCGTGTTCAAAGTAATTTCCGCGAAATGCAAAATGGTCTCTGACCCTCCAAAATTTAGTTATCTTTCTCTTTCTCTGACGGCTATTTTGAATTTCGCGGAATCACTTTGAACACGGCATAGAAACCATAATCTTGGAAAGCAAAAATCTTCCTTTTTAGTCTTCTTTATTGCAATTTATCTACTCATATTCTCTTTTTTGGATCACCGAATACAATTTCTGATAAAATCTATTCGCAAAAGCGTTGATTTTTGCTTTCCAAGATTATGGTTTCCAAGATTTTGGTCTCCAAGATTTTGGTTTCTAAGATTATGGGACTTTAGATCTGCGTACACAAGATTACGGTCCTCGAGATTTGCGGACTTGAGATTTTGTCGTACCATCAACCTGCCGCGTTTCGTCCTGTGCCGTTGAACCAGAAAAATGTTTTCTCAGCGCGCCTCAAGTTAGCTTTGAATGCGGCATTAAGGTCTGAACGGTTTCAAAGTTCATATGTTCATAATATTACTAGCTTCGAAGTCAGTTCAAAAATTTTGGGTCATTACAAAGATTCCCTTTTTTATTTTTGCTAAAAATGCTCTCAAATCTTTGTTTCGCACTCAACATACTTCGTTTTCGGATCAATTCATAAAGGTTGACATAAAATTCATTGAAATTTTTTGTGTTGTGCCGCAATATTTGTTTCTTTTGTAACTTACAAACTGATCATAATCGTGAATTCCACGCCGAACTACGTATAATTCACCAATGCGCGCTATGGACGCCTAGGCAATGCTGAACAGAAATTAAACTTAAAAGTTTAAAAGAAATGCCATTTAAAAAAAAACGACCGAACCGACCGACTTTTTCATCATGCAGCCGAGTCCGTCGCGAGAGAAATGCGAGGTTTGTGGCGGTACATTGACGAATTTACAAACATATCGCTATGTCTTTGCGCGGGTCTTGCTTTTTTTTTCTAGGCGCTACCTCGCACTTCTCTCGCAATTCGAAAATTTCCGAAACGTGAGGTCTCGCCTAAAAAATTCGAAGCCAGAGAGAGATGCTTGCGAGTTTGTCGATATTACACCAGCAACCTCGCGTTTATCTCGGCAGTTAATCTTGGTGATAATGTGTTTCATTTTCAAAGAGAAATTTGAACCATGTAGATTTTTAGAATTCTAGAGTGCACTTAGGGGCTACTGTTCTTCAGTATTGTTTTTCAGTTTTGCAAGGAGTGGTCATTCGACAACGTAAGCAGTTCCGACGAAAAGATGGTACCTTCATTTATTTCGAGGATAATGCCGGAGTCATCGTCAACAACAAGGGAGAAATGAAAGGATCGGCAATCACTGGACCAGTTGCAAAGGAATGCGCCGACCTGTGGCCAAGAATCGCAGCCAATGCTGGTTCTATCGCTTGAATTTTGCTTGTTGACGTTATCGAATGAAATATTTCAGTATAAATTGTTACTCTTCGCTGCGTTTAAATCTCTCACGCACACACATCATCGAAGAAAGCTGAAAAAAAAAACATACAAATCGTTTCATAGAGTTTTGCTGATTTCTGTTAAAAGATTTTATTTTTCTTCCATTTTTTCACCGTACTTTTTCAAAAATAGTACCTACTGGAGAGGTTTTCGGCTACTATTGCTATCCTACCACAAACGTCTGGTATATCAGGCGAATCGGGAGCAGGGCTGTGCGGCAATCGATTGCCGGTTTGCCGAAATTGCCGGTTTTGCCGGCTTTTCTAGAGTTTTTGAATTGCCGGCTGACCGGCAATTTCCGCAGGGAATTGCCGAAAATTTTTGAAACAGATTTTCGATTTTTGGACTCTTCGAAGCTCCATATTTCTAAGAATTTTTTGAAAAAATGTGTAGGATTGGTGTAGGATTGCGTCATTCTGCTATTTGGCGCGTTTTAACTTCAAAATTTTCGAAAATTTTCATTTTTGAATTTATTTCATGTGAAACTTATGAAATGTGTTAGCAATTATGTTAAGAACAATCTATTTTACGTTTAACAGCAAACAACCGATTGAAAAACGGTTCAGAAACGCGCAAAACGAATTTAAAAGAAAGCGTGCGGCAGTGGCACGCCAGTTCAGACATACAGGGACCTGTCCGGTTCGCACTGCGCCTTCTCCGCTGGCCTTACTAGACCATTTTTCACTTTTCTTTCTATTTAATATAACGAACAAGGCTATTTTTGACATTCATAGATAGAAAACTACAGAAAAAAAAAACGACTTTTTACTTACTAAAACGGATAACCGCTGTTGGTGTATGCACAATTTAAACCTACAGTGTGCCAAATCGGACGGGCTGAAAAGATGTGGCGGGTAAACCATAAGATTGAGCCTCCTGTTCTAGAAAGTGTAAAAAAACACTGGTGCTAAATAAACGACCGATGTGCTAGCCAGTGGCAATCGCGAATTACAGGTAGCTACCCGGTAGCATCCAGTTACCGGTCAGGTACTATCCAGGTACCATAGAGATAGTACCCGGTCGCATACAAATGACCACCGATTACCATTCGCCGATTGACTGGAGTTGCTACCCGGTACCTACTTGTATCTACCTCCCGATTCACCAGTGAAGTAAATCCGCGAAATTCAAAGTTATCTTTGACTCTACATAACTTACTAGGGAACTACTCGGACTCGGATACGCGTTTCGAGTTGAAACTTTGGTGGCTTATAGACCCGGGTAAGAGTACTTAGAAACAAGAGATTATCTGCTAAACCCCATAGGCTTCTGAGAAAAAGCATTTTGAAAATGAACAGTTTAGGCTTGAAAAATATCAAATTTTTGCTTTCATCCTTCTTTTGGCTGGAAAAAAGTTTTTTAGAGTTTGTCATAGCCGGATCATTCAAGACGATTGTATTGAAATATAAAAATAATGTAAAAAGATTTCACATTTTCTACGAATTTTTTTTCAGTTCTCTATTGGGTTTAGCAGATATTCTCACTTGTTTTCAAGTATTCTGACTTGGGTCTATGAACCGCTAAAGTTTGAACTCGATCCGCGTACCCGAGTCCGAGTAGTTCCCTAGTTAGCTATCTTTTTTCCTTTCGGGAGGCTATTTCGAGTTTGGGGGAATCATGATTAATCATTTTGAACACGGCATCCCATTATATATACAATATATATTCAATGAAATTGCGGAAATTTTTGTTTCTAATCCTTCAGCGTCAAGCTCGCTGTTTGCGTACCCAGCACAATAGCTGACGACAATTTTTGATTCATGTAAAAAAGTTAAGCAAGATGCACGCCTGTTTAAGTTGGCTTGTCGTATTACGGTAGTTTGGATAGGTTTTTCAGTAATAAAACGAAAACTTGTGTACTTTTTGTATTGTAACTTACCTTGTAACCTCGAGAAATAGGTCCTTAACAAATTGCAAAAAAAAGAAAAAAAATTTGCTGGCTCCGAAACTGACAGCGCAATGTTTCAAACATGCGTGGATGCTTGAAAAAAAATTTTCTTTGTCTTTTACTTTTTTCCCATCAAATCAAGTAATAATAAATTGTTTTTCCCTATTCAGTTTTACTTTTTCCATTTTCAGTAGAGCGTTCCTATGAATTACACATGTAATTGATTATTTTCATTGTTTTGAAGCAATTTTTTTGCGTTTCGAAGAAATTTTCGTTTTGTCCGATGAACATGCCATTAATTTTTTTTCTTGAGCGGCGTTTTGCGTTATTTGACGGTAAAACTTCATTTGTTTCTTTTTTTCAAATAATATTCCCAAAAAAACGCCCGAAACTCTTGAATTCCGGCTGAAAAAAATGATTGCCTGTAGAAACTAATACGATCTCTAGTTCAAAAATATTGCTATTCATAATTTTTTTGAATCTTTTTTTCTATCCATTTACAAATTCATTTTCACGTCTGAGCACGATCCGCTCCTGTGGCCTGTTGAAGAGGAAAAAGTGCCTTTCTCTTCCAACATAATTTTATTATTTTTTTCGTTCACAGTGCTCACGCAGCGCGTCGCGAGTAAGAAAAAGACAAGGTACTAAAGAATAAGTTGAACTAGTTATTCAAGTTCGAACTCCGAATCGCATAGTCTGATTTTTTCAACCGCAAAGAAATAATGTATAACCATGGTGAAAGCTGTTTTTTCATCAAATTAGAGAAACAGAGGAATGGTTTCCCTCGGCGGAGAAAGTGGCGCATTCCCACCAGGATCGGTAGTTCAGTTCAAAACCGTCGAGGAATTGAACGTGCAAGGGCAGGTCGTTTGTTTTGACCCGACGCTCAAAGTGAGAAAAATCGAACAATTATTTGTTTAAATCAATATTTTTTGTAGGTACTCGTGATTCGCGATGCTTCTGCGACTCCTGGAAAGCCGATGATGCGTATTTTCAACCTTTCTCTTATAAGCGACGTCAGTTTTTTAGTTTTTAGGCAGTTTCTTTATATATTTATTCAGTATTTAAAGTTGTTATAAGGGGACTTGAGAAAAGAAACTTTGATTTGAAATGGATAACTGGAAACAGGACTAGCTAGCCAGTCACTGGTCAATCGGCGTATCCACAAAATTAGCTAACGTAGTGCACTTTCAAATTTTATAATAACTTGATTAAAATTCGGAATTTGCTGGCTAAATTTCTGATTTTTCAATACTCTTCGTGTGCACTCCAATACTATCCCAATGATCTCTGGATTTACGAAGGCTGAGGAAAATTTGAAAGTGTGCTGCCGGATAGCACTCTAGCTATTTCACCGCGTATACTATTTATTGACTACGCTGTAGATACCTTCATTAAGCTTTGATGAATAAAATGAAAAAAAGTATGCGTATGCGAAGAAAAAAAGTAGTAGATACATTTTTTTACGATTCTTTTTTTCTTAAAAAAATTTTTCCAGAGGTTTTTTTCAGATTTTTTTCGTTTTTGTTTTTGGAATCCTTGAAAAATGCTTCTGAAAGAACATTTCAAAAAAACATTTTTTTTCTTCTTTAGAACTTTTCAGAAGCAGTTTGTCTATACTTGTTCAACCACCAAAGAGCAAATTATACAGATTCATATGTTTATTGATCCATTGAAGGCTTTCTCGATAATCCATTATAGAACGATTAAGAAGAAACTCAAAAAAAAACGAGGATTTTTTTGGGCTAAAAGAACTTGTTCAGATAAAAGAAGTTTCGGGACCAACTTCCAGCGACGCGATACAAAACTTCTTATCCTCTTGTTCGACCAATCCCAAGAAGGTATAGGGTTTTCTGCACTATGAAAAAGCTGATTGAAATGTTGGATGCAGGCGGCAGAGCGGATGGTTTCGGCCGAGAATGGGCGAAGAGCCGAGTTGATGCCGATGAACGAGGTTTCACTGGCGGGGCAGCGTGCCTTCTTACAGCTTCGTCGCACGATTGCCGACGTCCGCTGGCAGGGCGCCAACATATGCGTCGTCGGCCTGGTCATCGTCTCGGAGCCGTTCAACGAAGACAGCGCTAGAGTCATTCACAAGGTTCTGCGTATTTAAAATTTTTTTTGTGAATCTCTGAAGAAAATTTGATGCTAGATTTTGTATTCTTCGAGAAAATCAACACGTTCCTTCCCTTCCGCATAGGTAATTTTTGAAAATAGAGAGATTCGTAATTGAAAATCGGTTCCAAACCAGAGAACAAAAAAAAAAATTTCACCCCAAAAGAGTTTATAAAGCTCATCGGAAGGGATTTTAATCGAAATTTCAGGTTGATAACAGCGAGTTAGAGCAGTCGCGAGCACAGAAAGCTTTGCTGCAAGTGAAGAAAATACTTTCGAAACCCTTCAACCTCGAGTGTCATTTGCCTGAACGTTTATCATGATCAGGCTTCACAATCTCAAACAGAGTGTTCTCTTTGTGCTTTTTTTCGATGTAATGTTCAAAGTTTATTTCGAAATAGATGCAAATTGGAATAGACATTTAAATCTTGAAAAGTTAACCGTCCTACAGGGTACAATCGTGACCATAGGTCATTAATCGCTCGCTAGGGATAATTTTTCGAAAGTTTCACACGGCAACCAGAACGGAGTGTAGAAAGGTTCAGACTTTTTTTTGGTTTTGTTTCATGTTGAAAGCTAGTGATTATGGAAATGAGAATCGCTAGTCGAAAAAACTTTGAACACGCCATAAAACTTCTTTCGTATCTAATTGTGTGTTGTTCCATCATTTCCCTTATGTTTTTCACTTTTTTGCTATGATTTTTTTAAACTTTAAAACTAGACTATCGTGTAGTTTTTTTTTTCAAATTTCTGTTTTTGTTTCTTATCTATCATTTTCGAAAAACGTTAAAGTTATTCTATTATTTCCATGTAAGATATTCATGCTCGAATGGCGTTTCTAAGTCCGTTCTTTTCCTAGTTCACTTGATACCTCATCTTTTATGATGTCTCGAAAGCTACATATTCAATGTAGTGGACGATGTGGATCAGAATCAAAATAGTCTTAAGAAATTTCTGTAGGGACGTTTGTGTCGGTTCCTCTCTTTGATGGTTTTCACGTTTTTGAAAAAACCCAGAGTGAGTTTCGTTTGCCTTTGTAAGCGTTCTCGTCGAATCTACATGTTTGGTAGATACTTTGTTTCAACATTATTCAATTGATAGAAATCGCACTCGATCATTCAATTTTTCTCATCATGATCTGCGAATTCGTGTGACTCGGGAAAAAACTTCATTAGTTATTGGAAGTTTGACGCTTACATTTTCATCTTAATTTTTTTAATACGTCAAACTGCAGCTGTGAAGTTCTTTCTCGGACTGGTATTTTTTATCTTATGTCTTTTTTTGTTTCCGATTCAGTCATTCTGCCAATTAAAATATTTATTGCCTTCTGCAGTTTTTTTTCTCGGATTAAATAAATTTAAGTTAACTTATTGAGTTGACGAATAAGGGTTCGCTCCATGGATATTTCTGGTTTAATGTTATTTTATTCTGGAATATTCACATATAGTTATGTCCTCAAATGATGAAATACCACAATTATCCCCGGAGACGCTGACGGCTTTGCAGCAATGGCAAGAGGATCAAAGGCGCAAAAAAGAACTGAATCTTTCGAAAGGATTACAAATTATCGACGAGGATTGGCAGGTGATTTAACGAGTTTAATTGTTTATAGGTATTTGTAGAAGCAGAGTTCAGATTAGGCGCAGACTTGTTCTGCGCCATTTGGGTTTAGGATGAGTTGGAAAAAAAAAATTAACGTTAGTTTTCAGCTGAGCCAGTTCTGGTACGACGATAAAACGGCCAGAAGCTTAGTGGAAGAAGCTGTGGCGGCGGTCAGAGGCCATCTCCCAGCGCGAATAGCCTGTGTTTCTTCGCCCACGCTTGTAAATTTCTTCCACGAATCAGAGGTGGTCTCTCGACCTCGCAATAAACAACCAACTTTTAAGGAATACCGACAAGGCGCTATTTCTGTCAACGTTTTCGAGTATGACACACGGTTCGCCGCCAAGTTTCCGTCAGAATTCGTTTTTTATGATTACAAGCAACCTTCTTCCTTAGCTCTAGAGCTACACGGTATTTTTTATGTTTTTAAAAGGATGAACTTCTTTCTAACCGACGAAATCAAACATGAGTTCTCAGTTTTACTATCATTCTGAAACAATTATGCAGTCGTGTTAACAAGGGGGGTCTCGGCGCCTGTCCCCGTATAAGAACAGCTGATAGGACTTTCGGCATTTTGAAGTTGGGTTTTGAATTTTTGGAAGAAACATGGCTGGGTCACTTATTTTTTCGTGGTCCCGCTCTTTCCCCGTTTTAGCATAACTGAGACTCAAATAGCCTCAAAAAACACGGGTTCACCCCTTGAGATGACTGGAGGGCTAATAACAACACTAATATACTGCGTTTAATTTCGCGAAGTTTAAAATTATTTCCAGCTATTTTCCGTTGTGTCTTCCACTCTTGAACGGTTCTCTCGCATTCTTTCAATTTTTACCGCTGCAATTATTTTGAAAGTGGCGTAATGAAAAGTCTAGAAATTTCACTATTGAAAGAATGCGAGAAAGAAAAGATAAGTTTGAAAAATTGATTTTAGGTCATAAATTTTTATTTCAATAATGATGATAATAATATTAATTCTCTGGGCCAAGAAGGGAATGAATCGAGAGAAAATTCGTCAAGACAGAAAATATATATGAGAAATTATGTTGAAGTGTCTACTTCAAAAAAACTAGAAGATCTGAAAAAAAATTGAATAGAAGACAATAAAAAAAGATTGAAGAAGAACTGGTGAATGGTATTTGACTATGTGGAGAAGCTGTGAGTATTTTGTAGCGAATAATTCTTTTCCTGTTAGTTCCCTGGCGCATTTAAAAGTGTCATCGTAGGGCAGAAACGTTCAAAGTATCGAGATTTGACTTGGGAGCTCTGTGCAAATTTGACCGTCTTATTTATCGTGAAAATAGATGTTGTTTTTTACAGGAAAGTTTGATTTTATTGTGGCTGATCCGCCTTTCTTAGCGCCAGAGTGTTTGATTAAAGTCTCACACACGATACGATTATTAGGAAAGGAAGACGTCAAAATTTTGCTTTGCACCGGCGCCGTAATGGAAGAGATGGTCAGTTGCAAAGTTTTTTCAAGAAAAAGCAATCTGTGGCTTAAGGCTGACAGACTTCTTGGCCTCCATCGCACTTCGTTCCAGCCTCGTCATGCCAAAAACTTGGCCAACGATTTTGCTTGTTTTTCTAATTACAAAACGCAAAAATTATAACTTTAGAAGCGATTTTCGGTTCAATTTTTGTTGTTGTTGTTGTTTGGTTCAGCGATTAATATCTACCGGTTAGACTGTAGTCTTGTTTTTTTAAAATTTGTTTTTAATAAACTTTTACTGCTATATTCTACCTCCTTTTCGTTTTGGCGTTTCAAACGCCTACTATCTGGGAAATCTATCTGCATGTTCAAACGTGTTTGGCCGTTCAGCAACGCCGCTTTTTCTGTTCGATTCTTGTCAGTGGCACGCCACATGTAACTCTCTTTCTTCGCTCTTCACGCTAATTTTTTTTTCTTTCAAGGTCTGTTTTCTCTTCAGATTTTTCCGGCAGGTGTGTTATTTTTTCTTTCATTTATCTAAAAAATGTCCAATTTCCTGAGATATAACGAAAGAGTATGGACGAGAGTATGAGTGATTTTTTTTAAAGATTTCGTGCAAAAAACGCGTACATTGAATTCATTTTTGATGTGCATATTTGTTGACTGACCGTGTGGTTACCACGGTCAGTCAACAAATATGATACGAAAACAGGAGCCAGGTTTCATTTTTTGATTGACCTTCGGAGAAAATTATTATCAACCTGTGAGAAAGTAATTCTTATGAACATATCTTAAAAAAATATATATAGTTTTTTTGCTTTTTCTATCAGACTTCTAAAAAAATAATCGAAAGATTGGCAAAAGCAAAAATAGTCTTTTTGTTTCAATTATGGGGATGAGATCTATTCAAAACTAAATTATTGCAGTGTATACCGTGTATACAAAAATTACGGCGGATCGCGTCTATGGCGCCGACGGGTCAGGGGAGCCAGTGGTCGGACGTCTTGTGTTGCATCGTGTGCAACCTTGTACGTTTGCCTTGAATATCAGCAAGACAGTTTCGATCGGATCCTTGCAGGTGTTCGACCTAACTCGGCTACCGGTGAATTTGGCATGTGGTCATGTTGTTTGTAAAAAGTGTACGAAAAGCTTGAAAAATGGGATTTGTCCGATTGATGAGGTGAGATATTAATGTGCTTTTCATAACATTTGTCGTTTGAGACCAAGGCGTCGGTTAATATCGAGAGTTATCCATCAAACATGCCACTGCTCTCAATATTAGATAGGGTGAAAGGGTCCTTCAATCAGCACAATGGCGGTGAAAAGGTTCGCTTTGTTTTTTTCTGGAAAATTTTCAGCCTCAGGGTCACCAAAAAACGGTCGAGGCCTGTTTGGTGGAGATGGCGAAGAACTTCAAACGAGCAGAGTCCGAGCGCGGCGCTTCTGTCTACAGCCCTGTGATTTTCCCTTCATATCATTGAGTTTTTCCCGCATGGAGGCGACGTTATATAACTCATTACACTTCGGAATTTGCAGTAGTTTCCATTGATAAATCGGATAAACAAGTAGCAGAGGTTATGGAAAACTTGTAAAATAAGGTGGTCCAGTAATTTTCAATTTCAATTTTTGAGAAACTAAAAAACAAATTTTTGGTATGACCTTTGCCCGGAATGTTTGAATTCATCTATTGTTCGCTACGCATTCATTGCCTTGTTTCTTGCAGAAGTTGTCACGGACAATGCAAAGGAAGTTGGTCTCTTTGCTGTGCTTCCAGTTAGCAGAAGAAGAAGGAAGGTCCAGGGCAGTAAAGGCTTGTCGAGCTATGGGAGAGCGTATAATGTCTGAAGTAAGCTTCTCAGATTCCGCTGGAAGTACTTTCACAACCAGTCCAGCTCTTTTAAACGAAGTTTTACTCTAGATTTTATTGCACACTTTCTGCGAAAACAGTCCAAACTTTTTTTTTATCGAATTGCAGATCTTGCTGGGTAATCAGAGCAGCTCGCATGTGAGTAGCAACTTGTGGACAGCGGTCCGAGCGAGGGGATGTCAGTTCTTGGGACCAGGCAATTTTTATCCGAACTTCCTTGTCTGAGCCTTTTCTTCAGCCATGCAAGAAGACGTTCTCCGCTTGATTCTGATAACTCTTGAGAATGGTGCCTTGATAGCCAGGAAGACACTGGTAATGTACGTCGTCACGACGTTGTCTGCCGATTATCCACAAGTACTGTTCTATTCACTTTCATTCGATCCGCTTTCTTCCTTTTCGGTATCGAAGACCTGTGTCGGTCATGTTGTACAGCTTCTCTATCGTGCTTCCTGTTTCAATGTCCTCAAACGAGACGGCGAATCCTCGTTGATGCAGCTCAAGGAGGAGTTTCGCACGTATTCGTCCTTGCGAAGGGAACACGACGCGCAAATCGTACAGGTTCAGAGTCTTCTCAGTATATAGTTTTGCCAGTACCACATCTGTTCAAGACGGGCGGCCGTATTACGATAGTTTAAAAACTTTTTTTTTTGTTATAAAACATAAATTCCTGTACTTACCGAAAAGCGACTACTCTTGTCACCTGGAGAAAGGTTCTTAAATATTTGCAAAAAAAGTAGAAATTTAAAAAATTCTGAATCCGAAACAGACGCCTTAATATCGCCTAGCCGCTTTAGCGCGGTTAGTTAATTAGAACATGCATTTGAAATGTAAAAATTTAAAATATGAGAATTGTTTTCCAAACAAGTTTTAAATCTCTTGACAAGTTCATTAGCAGCAAGAAAAAATAAAAGAGAACTTTAATTTTAATCATTCCAAACTAATGTTCGTTCCATCGAACTTTGCAACGATGCTTCTCGAAAGCTCACTTCCATTACCGTACTTGCAGATGGCGCTGGAGGCCGGTCTTCGTATCAGTCCAGACCAATGGTCGGCCTTGCTTTATGCAGATCAATCACATAGATCTCACATGCAGTCCATAATCGGTAGAAAAAGAATAAATGTGCGATTATATGTGCTGTTTCCAGACAAGTTACAGTCTCCAAACTCTTATTCTCAAGCTTTAGAGGAATTGAGCGCTTTGGGCACCTCACGATCTCAAATAGTAGAAATGGTACCACACTTGAAAAAGTTTCAGGACATCCACCCCACTCACCATGGTTCTTTTAATTTTTTTTTTCTGAAAAAAAATAAAAGATCATTTAGAAAAGGTAACTTGGCAACGACTAGCTGAATTGTTAAGTTCCATGAAAACTTTGATCAATCTTCACATTTCACTGGATGACAAAAAGTTTTTTTTGCGGATCTCTAATTTTATCGACTTGCTTTCCATTCAGAAAAGATGATCGCCAACGAGACCAAACGCAACGTCGAGTGGTCACAGAAAAGACTCCATCTCGATTCAAAACCAAGATGTGCAGGTTTCTGAAGTGCCGAGTGGGTTTTCCAGAATGCAGTTACAGTAACATCGAACTGGATGGTCGTTGCTCTCGCGGCACTCGATGTACATACGCACACACGCCGGATGAGATTCGCGACTACAGAGTGATACAGTATTCCCAAGTGCCGCGTCCCACCGAAATCCTTGGCTTCCCTTTTCCGCCACCTATGCATATGCAAATGATACGGGTTTGTAATGACCTTTTCTATTAATTTTCTTTGCTATTAATTCAATGGAGAATGGGCGGCGCGTCGCAGCGCAACATGTTGTGTGCCTGTCTACGGCCCACAGGGTCACAAGCTTGATCCGCGCTTCGACCCAACCAATGTGTTCAAGAAATGTTGGTAGTGGGAACCCACGACTTCAAAATCCCTAGCCGTCACACACAAGGACGGATATGTCACTCGAGCCACACTGATATCAGGATAGGACCTCGGCTAATCTACTTGGGGCTCCGACGCAAACGGTACAAAGGCGTAGGAAGAAGAAGAAGAAGAAGAAGATTAATTCAATGGAGAGCTTTTTCGAAACAAAATAAGAGTATCCCATCTCCTACCCTTATAGAACGTTAGGACTTTTCACATTGTTATTTACCTTTTCGAGTAATTTCCCATCATAGATGATTTTTCAGATATCGCTTTAATAGCCACACTCAAGTTGACATTTGGCTCGATACTTCCGATAGGCTCAAAAGAACTCTTTGTGTTGAAGCTGCAACTAAACTAGTTCAAAAAGAAAAAAAGCTTTTCTGCAATGATCTTAAAATCTAATGATTGTTGAAGTATCATCCAGCTGACAATGGTTACGTGCCGTAGAAGCTTGTGAGGTCCAAAAAGGGTTAAAAAAGAATAATTTTGTGTCGAAAATATTTGGTTTGGAAAGTTGAAGTAGAAATCCTGATTCTAAGTAACAAACTGTTTACAGCGAGGAAGAGGACTTCCGCCTAATATGGGCTCAGGTCTGGTCTACAACCACGGGAATCCTTCGTCTCCTCCAATGAACATGAGCCGAATAATACCTAGGTCGATGGGTCGGACGCCAGTTGCCGGCCGAGGCGTCCCACCGCCTCCACCGCCCATGCTCATATCTTTTCCGACAGGTTTGGTTTCTGGTTTTAAAAAAAAACGTGGAACCCTCCCTAGTTTAGATGGAAGCATGGTGGTGCCTCCGAACCAGCCGCCGCCAGGACCTCCGCCGCAGATGCAGATGATGCCGGTTATCATGCAGTCGCCGACGCATATGTCCTCTGCCCCAGTCGTTATGGTGTGAACTTCTTTATGTCCTACAAAGAGATCCTCAGCTGCAGATGCCAGGAATGCCGAACCAACCGCCACCCCCAGTTATGATCACCAGTGTCCCTCCTCCGCAGCCGCAAGGTCCGCCGCCTCAAGTTCTGCCTCAGTCACACGGTCAAGCCGTTTGGCCCTCTCCAACGGCTGGAGTTCCTCCTCCAATGCTCATTCCGGCCGCGTCTCCGCCACATCATCCACAACAACAATTCTGGATACAAAAGTTAGAAATCTTCCAAAGGATTTCTGCAAAGTAGTCGCCGTAGAAGCACTGAAAATGTTTTTGAAAAAAAAATAGCCGTAGAGTCAGAGAAGAAAGAAAGTTAGATTGTATTGTATTCAGAAATATACTATCAGTTTTTGAAAAAAGCATTCCAAGTTTTTTTTTTTCCCGAGTATCCGGCAAGTCGATGAGACTGCGGCTATGCTCAATGTGTACTTTTTCAGCTCGCAAGGCTCTTTGTTTCCGATTGATTCTTTCGAAGGCAACGGCCTCATCTGGGGGCCTAGCCTCAACGGAATGCGCGACAGTGGTCAAGATGCAGAGCAGCTGTTGCTCAAGAGAAACGAAATTTTGAAGTGAGTTTTGAAAAGCGATGAATTTTATTCCGCTCAGCCTTCCTTTGAGAAAGATTTTTCAGCCGTTTGACGATAGATGAGGACGACAACTGTGAAGACGGAATCGGCCATGTCTCGTACACAGTCGCTTCTTCAGTGTTGGATGATTCTCGGTAGAATCGCTAGAAATGTAGAGGGAGCTTGAATGGGAGTTTAGAGTGGATATTCACCACCCGATAGCACTGGTCAGTCTCAAGACCGGACAGACGATCGAATTGCCGGCCATTCCCGTCACCTTTTCTACAGTTCCCACCGAGGAAACCATGTATGTTATATTTTAAAAGATCAAAGTTTTCATTTTAAAAAATGTGGAATCATTCTTCTTATTTCTGGTAGGATATTTTCGTTAGGCTTGCAGAAGTACCATACGTTGGCTGGATCCCACCCCGGGGTGCGGCCTATCCCCCTCTAACTGCGGCCAGTATATTTGGCTTAGTATATTTTCAAATTTTTTTTCGTGCGCAAAAAGATGGGCTGGGATTCAGCCGATGTATGAGAAGTAGTAATGATAATTATGCGAAGCTGTTTAGCAAAAAAGTTCTCACTTAAAAAGAAAAAAGAAAATTTTTTTCTTTAGTAGAAGCCAATTTCTCGCCGATCAAAAAGTTACAACACACAATAGTCACTTGACAATCTAAAAACAATTCATTTACGTGAGTCGTAATTCGTATTGCAAATCGCACAAAATAAAAGATGAGAAAAGTTTCTCTGAAATCAGGAATTTTCCGTTATAAAACTTTAACGTTTTCGATCGCTTGTGAAGATGAAGCTTTCTTTGAATTTCTTAATTTGAAATTCCTTTTATCATTTTTAAAAATTATCTTCGATTTTCGCTATTTACTTGGTGACTGAAAAAACTTTTTCCTCGTTTGTACTGCTCCGAGAAACTATGTGGTATCCTAGTCGAAAAAAGTGATGGACAAGTTTTTGAGGAATATCATCGGAGACCTGGTGCAGAACCGGCCTCGCGCGCCGAGTCTGCCGCACGTACAGACTTCGGCGGTGCTCACCGGCTGCCCCAAAGCTCTTCTTGTTGATGCGAACACTTCGGCGACGGTGCAGGCCGACTGCTCCACGATGAGTGTGATGGAAAGTATCAGCCAGCCGATCGCGGCGCCTTCCATCCAGAAGTCGATGGGTAGTCGCGGTGGTTGATGGAGACGAGATATATGGGTTTGAGGGGCTCCATCTTCTGCGGCCGGCCCAACCGCCGTTCTCGTCGACGGGAGTACGGGTCTTCTGACGCCCGTCATGCGGCCTGTCCTTGTCGCTCATCCGCAGGACCTCGTTTCCAACAGTCTCGACAAGATTATCGATGTCAAGGAGCGCATTAGCGAAGCACAGGGTAAGTTTTTTTTTATATACCACCATCCAATCACTCTGTTAGTTGATCACGATATACAAAAAAAAAGTTGAGAAAGACAAATATTTTTGTATTTCCGCGTAAAAAATACACTTTTCGGTGGTCTCTCTCATTTTGATTCTTCCAACTAAAACATAGTCTCGGGGCTCCCGCTACAAGATCCGCTATATTTTGAACTCATCAAGGCGCAATTTGATGGAATACGCACAGAATAACAAGGCGAAGAACTGTGAAACCATGCTTTCAACTTGATCAACTAAACGTAGGACTAAAACGATTAAAAGATTGCTCATGTGCATGAGATTCTAATATCATGAAAATGGAAATTAAAAAAAGTGTATAGCTGGTGAACGACTGCCTTGAGTCATCGAAGAAAATGGGTCTTGACATGATTTTAAAAAAATGATAATTTCGTTAGTTTCCGAGCCTCGAATCGGCTATAACTTTCCCAAAACAAAAAATCTCTTGCACAAGTACGTTACAACGAACGCAACTGCGCGGTTGAAGGCCACGATCAGATCTGCCGACGAAGGATTTGAAGCAGTTGGCCCGGGGCGTTCTGTAACGCGCAAGGTTGGAAATGATTGACAAATTAGCTGGTGAAAAAAATCGGGAAAATTGGTTCTTTTGACAAAGTGATCGCTTCGGGGGTCGGGTAGCCCCGTCTGATCTGCGGCTTTGGCCACGCCTCTTCGGCGCTTGTTCAGTCCCAGGAAAAGCGTGATTATTAATCATTTTGGCAACCAGCAAAGTATAGCCGATAAATATCCGACAAACTCACTTTCGTAAACTTCTTTTTTCTCTTCTCAAAAATGATGGCATCATGTCCATCTCAACTTTACAGGGTGGCTCAAAATTACCCGCACAAGCTATAAATTCTGTATAAGAAAAAGTAAAAGTCAGAAATCCATGGTAATCAACAAAAAGTTTATTCATGATCATAACAACAATTATAAGCTAATCCTGTTCCATTTGACTTCCTCTCTTTGCGATGACAGCACGAAGACGCCGAGGGTACGCGACGATGGTTGCACGCAGGTAATCTGGCGACAAAGTGTCTCATTCCTAGACCAGGGTCTTGTTCAGGGCCTCGATACTTAAGGGGGGTTTGCCGTTGACCTTGTTCTGCAAAACCCCAGAAGGAGTAGTCCAAAGGTTTGAGGTCTGGTGAAAACGGTGGCCGTTAGTCCTTCGGGATGAACGCAGGCAAATGGGTCTCGGACCACTGTTGCGAAAACTTGGCTGTGTGTGCTGGAGCACCGTCTTCTTGGAGCATCCATTGACGTCTATTGTAGTGCTTCTGAGTCCAGGGAAGAAGTTTATTTCCCAAAATCTCCGAAATGTAGACTTTTTTGCTGGTTTTGACTCCTTGATCGACAAATACCAATGGTGTTTTGCCATCAGCAGACACTGCTCCGAAAACCATCACAATAGCGGGGTGAGAGGCTTGATGAATGGTCCATCCGTTGCCAAAAGCTTCATCAGACGTCTTAGCAAGTACTCGATGATTTTGAGGGTTGAATTCGGCCTGTACCGTGAACAGCTTCTCGTCAGAGAACAATGTAACCAAGTGTTCACCAGTGCGCGTGCGCTGAAGGAGCTCTCTTGATATTTCGAGCCGTTTCTTGGTTGTAGCTTTCGAGAGAATGGCTGCTTTTCTTACCTAATACACTGCGTTCAATAAGGATAGGACCCCCCTCGATTTTGGACTTTCTGGCAAAATACGGAAAGATATCAAAAATCTGGAAGTGCCATTCGATTCAGAGTACAAAATAACCCCCAGAGCCAAACTTTCATTAAGCACTTTTCCTACGAAAATGCAATCGAAAAAACGGTTTTTCGACCGTTCAATAAGGATAGGACCACCTGGAAATTTTGACTTTCATTGGTAGTTTTTGGTCAAATTCTCTTTTTGATAAGTAGTTTTTTTGTTCTCATATTATTTGTTTTCAATTTTTCTTCGGTTTTCCTTTTATATCTTCCAGGTTTAAAAAAATGTTTTATATCGAAAAATAGGGAAAAAAATGACGTTTTTTTGAGTTTGCATCAAAAATATTTGAGCGAGTGATTTTTTTCCAGTACTTTGAATGAACTTATCTTATTAATAGAGACATTTTAACAATCAAAAAAACAAAAAGAAGTTTGAAAAACATTAGTTTAAAAGTTAGAAAACCAGCTACAAGATGGTGTATCATGACCGAATTTCAGACTGTCGTCGTTTTCGACCGTTTTTCTTTCTGTATGTAGTCGGAATGGCTGTGTACTTTTTTTCCGAAAATTCGCGAAAGTGCTATGAACATAATTCATCAACAAGATAATCTAAAAAAATTTCATTTACTACGTACAATGCCGAGAAAAATGTGGAGAAAAAAATTGGTACCCGCGCTCATCGAAGGTATTGTTTCAAATAGAGCGTTTGGCGGATTTTCAGTTTGTCAACTAAATAAAACAAAAATGAAAACGTGCAATAAAAACAATTTTTCATTAGAATTAAAACTTTTTATATAATTTATTTACATGTACCGCAAAAAAGTTCGAGTAGCAGTCGGAATGGTATTTTTTCCTTTGATTCCCGAGGATCGCCAATTTTTATCCAATCCAACTAAATGTCTTTTTGTGATGGGAGCACCTTCACAAATCCTTTAGAGTACACAGCCATTCCGACTACATACAGAAAGAAAAAAACGGTCGAAAAACGACGACAGTCTGAAATTCGGTCATGATACACCATCTTGTAGCTGGTTTTTCTAACTTTTAAAAATAATGTTTTTTTCAAACTTCTTTTTGTTTTTTTGAATGTGAAAATGTCTCTATTAATAAGATAAGTTCATTCAAAGTACTGGAAAAAAATCACTCGCTCAAATATTTTTGATGCAAACTCAAAAAAACGTCATTTTTTTCCCTATTTTCGATATAAAATATTTTTTAAACCTGGAAGATATGAAAGGAAAACCATAGAAAAATTGAAAACAAATAATATGAGAACAAAAAAACTACTTATCAAAAAGAGAATTTGACCAAAAACTACCAATGAAAGTCAAAATTTCCAGGTGGTCCTATCCTTATTGAACGGTCGAAAAACCGTTTTTTCGATGGCATTTTCGTAGGAAAAGTGCTAGGATAATGAAAGTTTGGCTCTGGGGGTTATTTTGTACTCTGAATCGAATGGCACTTCCAGATTTTTGATATCTTTCCGTATTTTGCCAGAAAGTCCAAAATCGAGGGGGGTCCTATCCTTATTGAACGCAGTGTAACAGGTGAGCTTCAGCTTGTCTTTGAGGATCCTTTCCATCGAACTTCGACTAATTTTCATATCTTTCGCAATCTTTCTGATGCTCCGAAGTGGATTTCTTCTGGTTCTCTCTTTCTCAGCTTTGATCCGATCTGGAGTGACGACTGTTGCTTTTCTTCCTCTCCCACATCTATCCAAGAACGTGCTGAGCTTTTTGAAAGGAAATTCAAGTCATAGACAGTTCTACTTGGGACTGCGAGCCGTTTAATGATGTCAACCGGAGCGACTCCTTCTTTGAAAAGGTGCAGAATGTAAGAGCGATGTGGATTCGGTGGTGCCATATACCAAAAACAAAACCGATCGATCTGAATTTTGGCAAAATGGTGAAAAACATACAATTAATCAAAATTTTATGTATTACGAGCACCAGAATTGCGTTTTCGCCTTGCTGTATGGCGTCAAACTTTTGTGCGGGTAATTTTGAGCCACCCTGTGTATGAAGAGCTGAAAATCACAAAACCATTTCATCATGACTTTGTCACTCAGAGAAAATAGTTCAATGGGTTTTCTTTTCTTTTCAAGTTTTAATGCGTTTCATCAAATTGAGTTTAGTATTGAGGTTGCTTTTTTTTAATTGAAAGCTGATTAAAAACTTTATTCTTTTTTCGAAACGTTTTTAAAAGAAATTTGCATACATTCATTTTTTCCTCGAATGAAATAATTTTTGAATTCATATTACTCACAGTTTTTTTCAAGTCTTGAAGGAAGAACACACAATTATCAGAACTGTAAAAACAAAAAGACAGTGAAAAATATTTAAAAATAGGTGATTGAAATTTTAGGGCCTTTTTTTCTTAAATAGAATAAACGATAGTTATTTTTATTCGGTCTCGTTGTTTGGTACAATAATTCGTATAAGAAAAAGAAACCCAAATGGCGCAGAACAAGTCTGCGCCTAATGAATGAAAATTTAACCATTTTTCGACCGGTTGGGTTAAACATCGGTTTAGAAATATAGCTGATTCACGGCTGGCTTGAGCCATTGAAAAATGGGTCCTGAGACGATTATGCACGAGACAGTGCCTGGCTCGTGGAGAGCGCAGACAAGACACGCCCTCTTAGCGTCCCAAGCTGGCCGTGAATCAGCTATACATTGGAAAAATGTTAATGTAATATATGTTTGACGTAATGCCAAAAACGTCGTGAAATTCAGCGGGTTCGGCGCCAGAAGCTGTGAGCGAGCACTTACGGATGGAGCTGCGGATGGCGGAGAGCGAGATGGCATTCCTCGACCCGTTCACCAAGAACAATTGCCTGCTCCGCGAGCTGCAGCAGGTGGACCGCGAGCTCCAGCAACTTCAGATTGAGCCCACACGAGCTCAATAGCTTTTGTTACTTGTTCTGATTATGTAAAGCAGGCTATTGAATTCTTGTACATTTTTCTTATTAAAATAATTTCTCACGGTTAATAATTTTCGCTATAACTTTTGAGATGAAGTTACTGCATTTTTAAGCTCATGAAAATCCATTGTGTCGCATCATTGGTGGTTTACTTTTTGTTATTCTGAGTATTTAGAGGGGGTTTCGCATTGAAGAGTTATATTTTCGATTTTTTCAAGTGGCGGTATGTGTTGTTTTCGAAATTTGATTGATTTCCGGTTTGTTGCTCGTTCAAAGATAATGTTTTGTTTTCCATTTCAAATAAAATGTAAAAACAACGATGGCGGCTTCTTGTATAATTCGTTTTCGCTCCGAATCATTCGATTTTTTTTGAAGAAATTCAATTCTTAAACATCGGCTTCATTTTCAACTTCACGACGTGTCGAATAATCGGAGGAAAAAAAAATTTTAGTGGCATTCTTCACGAAAATTGAACCAAACGTGTTCATTTGGAGCAGTTTTTGCTTGACCACTAAACAAAATCTATATTTTGAAGCATTTTTCGTTTCTGCGTGTTTAATTTGAAAAAAAATATTTTTTGTACTTCAGTCTCAAGCTAGTGGGGAATTTTTTTGTTCCAAATGTCGAAAAAGTCATTTTTCCTGAACCGGGTTTTCGTGAACTGAACATTTTTGCACCTACATCTTAGTTTTTTTTTGTTACTAACTTACGATATTCTTGGGTTTATCTTGTCGAATTTTGTCAATTTCTTTTTTTTTCAGAGATGGATGAAAGTCAGTTAACTGAGGGGCCAACCACTGATTCAGAAGGCAACAATCGCCCAGCTGATAATGAGTGTGAGGTGAAAGATGAAGATGAAGCTGAATATGAATCCGAACTCGAAGAGGAAGAAGATGTCACGGAGAATGAGTTCGATGATCCTCAGCAAAGCTATGGAAACGATTTCGAAGAAGAAATACTAGAAGAGAGCCCCGAGTTCGTCAACAACTTTGAATCTGAAGGGTTTGAAGGAGGCTACGAAGAAGAAGACTACGAAGAAGAAGACTACGAAGAAGAAGGCTACGAAGAAAAAGACTACGAAGAAGAAGGCTACGAAGAAAAAGACTACGAAGAAGAAGACTACGAAGAAGAAGACTACAAAGAAGAAGACTACAAAGAAGAAGACTACAAAGAAGAAGACTACAAAGAAGAAGAAGAAGGAGCAGGGGAAATTGAAGAATTTGGAGACAACGCGGTCGAAGAAGAGATGCAAGAAAATGGTTATGATGCAGAGATGGCTTACGAGGAGCATTACGACTACGATGATCCTTATGGCTTTGATGGCGACGATGAATCGCAAGACGGATATGAAACGGAAGTCGAAACCGATTCGCAAAATTATCCGACGCAGGAAAGCGGTTCTGAAGAAGATGATGAAGAAGAGGAAGACGAAATTGACGAGGAGGATGTTTCTTCCGAGAGCTGTGAGGACATTTTCGGTGGCGATGACATTGATTACAACATTGAAGATGGAGAAACTACCAGTGAAGATTCGGAAGCCGAAGAATCAAATGTGGACATGAACTATTTTTCTGACGACAGCATTGACACTGAAGTGTCCAATTCGAAATTGGAAATTCATCCGGATGATTTTGCGGAGAATTCTGTAACTCGAGAGACGAATGACACCGGCGACAAAGAGCTTAAGCCTCAAGAAGACTTAGTCGATGGTTTTTTCGATGGAAGCGATTTCGATTGGGACGGCGATGAAGACGAGGAAGACGAATTCGACATCCCGAATGAAGAGCTCGAACGAGCCATTTTCATTCAAAATGCTCAGGAGGCAGTAGAACAGAGCAAAGAAAAAAGTGGCGCAGAAGATAGTGGAGCGGAAGAGGACGGAGAAACTGGATCTGAAGATTCTGAAGGCATGACCGAAGACGACGAAGAATCTGAAGAAACAGAGTCTGACGAACAAATTCAACCGGAGGAAGTCTTGGAGTTAAACCCAGACAACGAGAATATCGCCCAAGGTGATGAAGAGAATGGAGATGCAGAGGCTGACTCCGACGCGAACCAAGCTCTTATTTCTGAGGACCTGCCAGAAAATAACATGCACTACTTCGTGGACGCTGAGGACGAGGAAGACCTCTTTGGTATATTTTATTTTTGACTTTCATGGCAATTTTCATTATTTTAGGTTTATATTTGGACGACCGGCCTCTGTCTCCGGAGTCAGAATTGTATCGATCTAAGATGGTCTTTCTTCAAGAAAAATATGAGACGGTGCAACTCTACACACTGCAACTCAAAAATCGCCTTTACTCAATAAAAAAAGTTTACTGAGCTTTCTTGAAAAAATATGATTTGAATTACAGGAAGTTTCCCATTTCAAGCGTTTGAAACGCGTACTGGTCAATCGTCTTAGCTTTTATGGCGACCGTTTGTCGAATATTTCTCTCGAGATTCCCCCAGAAGCAGATGACAGCGTCCTCAAGCCATCCTCAAACGAACAACAGAATTCTCCACTTATGGTTCGCTCACATCTGATGCTCAAACCGAAAACATTTGTTCAGGAAGAGCCAGAAGAGGTCGAGAGAAGGTCGGAATCACCGGAGATTGATTTGAATTTCCAGGACGAGGAATTCACCGAGCCTTACTATGAAAAAGAGACGCCCGCAGTCACGGGTAACACATTTTTTTGTGTAGATTTGAAGCTTTCGGAGATTTATATGCTCGCTTTCTGGTTTTTGTAAGAATGAATAGACTTTAAAAAAAAATTCTCACCAGTAAAATTAACCGAGATATCGTTTTATATTTACAGGAAAACGTAAACGAAGGCGAAAAATATCCAAATCTGCCCTCTCAAAAAAACGCCACGTTTCTTTGGACTCTAGCGATGAAGAAATTGATTTATAAACCGTTTTTTTTTTCCTTTGCGCTTTGGATATTGATCTTTATCGCTTATTCATCATCGGGTTCATCTCCAAAGTCTTTTTTTCTCGGAGTTTATAAACTTTGAAGAAGTTGAAATTGGTTTCATATCTTTTTTGCTTCAAATTTTTTGAATATTTTTTGTCTTTTTTCTGTTTGAGTTTGGACGTGCTTTTTTTTTGTTGTTTTGCAAGATGGCTTGCTTAAAAAGTATTTTTATTCAATTAAAATTTTTTTCCGAGCTGCATTCAATGAAGTGTTTTTGCTTTTTCATTTTCACCTCCTATATAATTCATTGGATTTCCCAAAGAGTTTTACATCACAAGAAATTTTTCCGTTTTTTTAATGGAATAAGTCGCTCAGAAATGGACAATGTCGAGAAGAAAGCTCTCGAACTTTCTATGCAGGACTGGGACGGCTCCCACGGGTTCGTCGTTGAGAAGGTGCTCGGTGCGTTTATAAATAATTGGAACGTTGAAACTATATTTTTTTAAAATTTTACTGGCTTTAAACATATTTTCAGACGTTTGTCAAAGAAACGCAACGGAAGTATTTCTTGCGCGTCGAACTGGGAGCAATGACCAATGGTTCGCGTTGAAGGTTTACAACATTGACCAGAATCTTGAGGCGCTTGAGGTTTTCTCGTCAAAAAAAAAACAACTCATGGGAAATTTGCAGAAGGAAGTGAAGATGTTGAGACACGTCCGCCATCGCAATATAGTGGAGTTGCTTGACACGACGATTTACGACAACGAAATTGCTCTTTCAATGAAATGCGCACTTTTAGGCAAGTTTTTTTTAATGATAATGTTCATAAATTTCATAGTATACTTCTTCAGGTACTTTGCGAGACATTCAGGCGGAAAATTTTCCGCTTGGCATTTCTGAAAAATTAGCTGGAGGCATTTTGTGTCAACTTCTTGACGCGCTCATCTATCTGCAAGAGCAAAACGTCGTTCACAGGTTAGAATGATTGTTGGCGTTCTACTGAAAGTCGGTTCAGGTCGGTGCAGCCGAAACACGTGCTGATGGAGCGCGGCGGACGAGTCAGACTCTCGGGCCTTCGACATGCCATCGCTTTGCAACCAAACACTCGCGCCACGGACTTTGACGATCACCTCGTCGAGTCAATCTACTATTTAGCCCCTGAAGTTTTAGCTCAGGTCAAACGGGAGCCACCATTTTTTTTTTCTCCTTTTAAAAAGAATTTTCAAGGATTTTTTTTTTGGTTTTTAAATTGTTTAGCTGAACAAATAAAAGCATAAAAACAATAAACAATCTTATTTTTCCTTCATTCTTCCTTGATTGCGTTTGACCTCAAGTTTCTCGCCAAAAGGCCGCGTCTTGTACGCAACGCATAACGCTTGCCAAATTACCCACCTCGCCTTTCAAGTCGGGAAAAATTGACTGTAGCTCCGTGCGAATTCTAATAAGTCTCGTTTGAAACTTTGGTATCTAATGAAACTTTGACTTTTGAGGACATCCGAGGCTACTCCACACAGTCTGACGTCTACTCTCTGGGGATGACGCTCTGCGATGTCTCCAACGGCATTTCGCCTTTCTCCGAGATGATTCCACTCCAGATGCTGCGAAACAAAATGTTTGGAAGCACAGCGAAACTAATTGATAGAACGTTACTTGAGGGCAGTTCTCCGGAAGAGTTAGGTTCGTCCTCCATTTATCGTCGTGCGTTAGGTCGCAGTTCAGAGATGATCCCTCAGCAACATCGCGAACGACTCTTCAATCCGCAGCTTCATGAAATCGTTGCTGCCTGCTTCACTTATCAGCCCGAATACAGGCGAGCAGATCTTTCTATGTTGAAGGTTCCGAAGAAAAATTGAAAAACTCCTAGGAAGATCCGGGGAATGTGCCTTTTCTTTGAGTTTAGACTTCGGTCTGTGGAAAAAACAAGTTGATTCTTTAGAAATTCACATCAAAGACTGTCTGAGTAGATTTACCTAATGTCTATCGCAAAAATTGAAATGATTTCCCGTTTCAGATGAAAATCTAGTTCAAATATAGCTTCATATTAACTGTTATTGAACACCGAAGACACAAAACAAAAGGCAAACATTTTAGACCTACACCGAGAAAGCTGCGTTCCAACACATGGCTGATGTCTTTCAGAGATCCAGAAGGAACTGTGGCTCGAGAACTGACCGACGTCGACGAACTGCCGACAAGAACTCCTCTTCGCGGTTTGTCACAAATTTGCTTCCAGCAGCAACATTTTTACTTTCCGCTCATTAGATTTTTTCTCCGTTCTAATGCATTTATTTGTTAGTGTTTCTCTTTCAATTCAAGTTTCACAGAAGCCGTCGCGCAGAAGCCACAATCAGGAACATCGGAAAACAGTTGGAGTTGGTGACAGCAATTTTTTCCTCAAAAATTGTTCCCATATCTAAATATGTATAGTACCCCTCAAAGTTTTCTTTTCGTTTTTGTGTCGAAGAGTTTTCCTGTCTGTTTTATTTCAACAAATCGGTTTATGGGATTTTGATGGAAAACATTTCGCATTTTGTGTCCGAAAAGTATAAATAAGAAATTTCGCACCGTTGTCATTCTTCTAACTAGTAAGAGGGAGTGTCTGAGGTGAACATCGAAAATACGGTCCAAACTTTTATGGTAGGCGGTAGGAAAATAATTCTCTGTTTTTGATTGTTTCTTTCACAAAGGTGAATGGGAGCTCGATGCAAGTAGGTATCGGGTAGCTACTTATTAGCTACTTTCATGGTACCGGAATACGCTGGTCAGGAATCATACTCGGTAGCATCGCGATACCTCTCTGGTAGTATCCAGGTAGCATAGAGATAGTACCCGGTCGCATACAAACGACCGCTAATTAGAATACGCTGGTTGACTTTGAAGTTGCTCCCCGCTACCTACTTGTATCGACCTCCCGAATGACCAGTGTATTCCATGAGTTTAGATTATCTTGGCTCTCATTCCAGTCACTCCTCGTTAGTTTTGCCCATCTAATTTTGAATCGGATGCGCGAGAGTGCGCCAGATCTCAGAGAAAGGAAATTATTTAGAAAATATTTATTAATTACTAACCGAAAGTTTTTTGTTGAGACAATCAATGGATTAATAAGTAAAATTTCATGCCGAAGTTCGTAATAACATTTTATTTGGCTATATAAGTAAGACTGTTTTGTGAATCCGCATGTAATAAAGGAAAATTTGGCTCTTTGCGATGTTGCTGAAACTTGAAAATGACCCAAGTCATTCTTTTTCTAACATTGAACATTTTCTCTTCCCTATCTGAATCTTCTTAATACCTATGACACCATAAAAAGTCAAAAGTTATTTTCCACTTTATTGCATACGATTTCGGATCAAAAGTTTTTTTTTTCGCAATCGCTGCTTTTCAATGTTTTTTTCTAATGGCCACGACGAGCGAAACATATTGATAAATTACTATTAGATTTTATTATTAACATATTCAATAGCTAAGGACCACCGAAATATTTGTCTGACTGACAAAGTGGGCGCCCAAGTCGTTCTCATAGCTCTTGATAGTTGTGAAACTATTCCTGATTTATTTATTTTTTATATTGGTTGTTTATCTTTTTTTTTTCTCACGCGCCTGTGACGTTTTTGGAGTTTAATCATGAAAGTCTATCTGTTTACTCTCGTTTTCAAAGAAAACTATTGTGACGTGTACCTTAGCGTTAGTTCAATTTAAGAGCTTTTTGGTTGACCTTCTCCCCTTCCGTGCGAATGTCCTCCTTGATTCTCCACTTAGAACAAACAACAAATAATTCATTCAAGCTTGCTGTATTAGACAAAGAAGCAAAGATGATACATTTAACGTATCTGAGATCAAGTCTGAGTGTTGAAGCATCCATTTGTTAGCGCGTTATTTGCGAACTGACTTCTCAATCAAGCAGTGAAATGAAGAGATCTATGAGGAAGTGAGGTTTTCGAGAGTAGTATTTTCTCAATCAGTAATGAACTCAGAATGGTGCTCAGAAAAAGTATTCGACAGAAAACTATAACAGTCGTAGAAACTCAGAGATACGGACAGAAACTGAACTTGCAGTCTACACCGTTCAGCGATCAGATTCACAAGAGGAGAATCTAAAAAACCACAAAGAATAGTTTAAATAAGGAGCCGGTCGAAGTTGTGCAACCTCGCGGCGAATAAGCAGTGTACTCAACGGTCCATGTAGATGATGGTGCTGTTGGCGTAGGCGACGCCTCGGCTGTTCGACGCCGTGCATCTGAACGACTCGGTTACCACGTCACCGTTGTCCACCACGATCAGATCTCCGTTGTATATAACCTTAAACAAAATGTCTTGTTTTTTTTTCAAGCTGGTGAATAGGAATATTAATTTTAGGACTTTTAGATGTTAAAAAAAGGTTTATTGAATCAAGTTTTTCTTCTTTTGAAATGAAAGCCGGAATCTTCTAATGAATAAAATCATGTTATTTTTATAAGAGAGGATGATAATCTTTTTTTCGAGATTTTCTTCAAGGAAATGGATTACCGTGTAATTAGGGCTGCCCTCGATCGACTCGAGAGTCTCGTCCTCGGCGATCCGATGCCATTCAATAGTTGGTTGAGGAGTTCCGCGAGCTCGACACTCGAGCTGGACGACGTTGTGCGGCAGCTCAATACGGCTCACTGTAGACAACGAAATCCACGGCTCTATTGGATCGTTGGAAGCTTTTTTGCACTGCTTGGCTGGAGTCGAGCGATTATACAATGCGAACTGTGGTGGCTTACTCGACGGCTCCTTGCTGATCGTGACGAGCGCTGAAGACGTGACAGGAGGCGAACAAGGCGTCGTCGCTTCGCAGAAGTATTCACCAGCCGTGCGGTGATCCGCGCAAGGAATTCTCAATCCTGAAGGCCCACATTTTTTTTACTGACATGATGATGGAGCTTAAATAATTCTTGAACCATCAGCACAGCGAAATAACAACATAATGAAGTACGAATCTGGAGACGTGAGACTATCTATCGTTTCAAAAATGAAGAGATCAAGAAAAAATTTCAAAAAAAAGTTTAGTTCGCAATTTTTTTTTAAATTTCAGAAACCTTTTTCTACTTTTTCTAGAAGTTTTAAGTTTTCCGAATTCTCTGATAATTTTTGGAATTTGTTATGGTCCACACTTGGGGTTACATGCTTTTTTTGAGTGAAATTAAGTACGATAAACCCAAATGGCACAGACAAGTCCGAGACTAATTGAACCGTTTTTTTCTGTGAGTCAAGGTTAATTTATTTTTTATAAATTTGTTCTAGTTCTCACTGGATTCTAGAAGAGAAGTGCCGAGGCGCTTCATGCCGAGTAACGTCTCCACTTGGGCGCCAGGGTGTGTGTCGAGACGCCGACCGCGGTGGTGCCACGTGATTTTCGGCTGCAAAAGGAACCTCTTTTTGGATTGGGGCTTTTCAAGTTCTTTGACATATAACAATAGGGTTTAGGACAGTACCTGAGGCGCCCCGAAGAAGGAACAACTCAGCTCGAAGGACTCTCCACGATGGACGGAGACGTCTTCGAGACCGACGTCGACGTTGAGCTGCGCCTCTTCGACCAGAGTCTGACACAGTGCCGCTTCGCTCTCCAGCTTCAAATTGCTCAAAGTGAGGTTGGATTCTAGTGTTCGTTTCAATTTTTGAAGTTATTAACTACGAAATAGCTGTGAGTTGAAAAACTGGGAAAAGGTGGAAAATAACGGTAATTGATTTTGTGTTCTGCTGACGTCATTTTAATTTTTTTTTTAACTTTTATATTGATAAATTCCATTTTTCCTTTTTTATTTTGGTAAAGGGGTGAGAAATAAAGTAAGTTCGATTTCGCTAGAATTATTCACGAAAACTTCTGACTTACTTCGACTTTGGTTTCAATTTAGCCCACAGAAATCACAAAGCCTAATGATTTATTATTTTTTTTTTGAGGTTGAAACATTTTCTGCTAAGAAGTTACTTTCTCAGAAAACAGTGGGCGGCCGTGTATGTTATTCTCGACGGCACAAGTTTTCCGACCGAAAATAATGCGTTGTTACCCAAAACGAGGAAGCTCAGTTCGCATGAATGGATTTAAAAAGGTAACGAAAACTGCAAAAAAGCAGACAGAGTCATCGTTATTCAAATTTTTGAAAAAACATTTTGACGCGCTGTTTACTGTGATTGTCATGATGATCTTAATCGTTTAATTTTTCTCCAATAAAAAACTCATTTCTCAAACGAGAATTGAAAAAAAAAAAATGTAGAAACGAACGATAGTCGAGGCGGCGCTGGACCCAAGGAGTGTAATGTAAACGAGCCAACACTTCATCTGAAACTGCGAAGCATTAATATTCAAGAAAAATTGGAGATTCTGTTCAAACAGAGCCTACGTTGAAACGAGAAAAGAGAACGCGGAAAATAAAAAAAGAACAGAGAAAATACGCCTCGAAGAAGCCAATCGTTCAACATTTTGTGTGGATGATCTTTTTCCAGGGCAGACTTGTTCATGGAAAAAGAGCGATTGGACAAACACGCGATACCCGGATGCCTTCTAAATGAGACGCAATTATCGTTGCAGAAAATGAAGGACAACGTTTCATTATACGATCAGCCTGGGAGGCCTTTAAATCTGCATGAAACGGTCGATATGCTCGAGAGAGCTTTGGGAGAAAAAATGTCGACAGGTGATTATGCGAACACTCGCCTACGTACTTTTCGTCTCATAAGGGCATAGTAAACTTATACATCCTTAATGTTCAGCAAAAAAGCTGAAGTTTAGTTCTTGACAACTAGGATTAACAACCTTTGGCAACAGAACGAAAAATTTGAAAAATTTCACAAATCAGGTCGCTTCAGCATTTGGAACTTTCAGAAGAACGCTTCAGATCTTGCGTCTTTCTATAAGTTCGCTCAAACCCTCTGCAGAGACTGTGTTACGAATCTGACAAAAGCAATTTGCAGAAATCACTGTTTTGGATAGCGATCATTTCTTGCCAACGAGATAAACTGTTTACAACAGAGAATCGCGCAGCTTCACGACTCTTAAAATATCCACCCAAGTCTCAGGAAAACGATATTAACGATTGGCAAAGATAAGGTTGGGAATGCACCGACTTCGTAATGGGGCCTTCGAGATAACGGTCATCTGAATTCTCGAGTGGAATGGAAGAGAGAGGACGAGCTCTTCGAAAATTGAATGAACTTTGGGACGGCGCATCTCCAAGAAAAAATAGTTTGCAAACTTCACTCATTTTCTACACGAATTTGGTCGCGAGTGCACGACACGGCGCAATTATTCTCCAGAAATTCGAAAATCCTCCACAATGCGCCTGAGGCTATTTTTCGCAGTTTTAAGAACGAGGCGGGTTTTTCTAGGTAGGCTTTTCTCTATGACTATCAGATCTTATCTCTTCAAGTCGCACTGAAAAGTTTCAAACAGGTTTATAGCTTTCCAGATGAGGAACGAGCCCCATCGACTCCGCCTCTATTTGCTGGAACCACGCCTCCTATTATTTTTTCATTCGTGACGTCATCTCTTGTTTTTGGGATTACCTCCAAACCTAAAATGCGAAGCAAATGTTATTAATAAGGAAAGGACAGCTCTGATGATCGTTCTGCAAATTTATTCTCATTTTCAATTTTAGAGAATCTCGCGATCTTGATAAAAACAAAAGAAAAGTGAGTTAACTTTTTGAAATGATGTTCTGTGAGTAGAAAAAAAAGCATCAAATAAAAGAAAAATCGCGGACGCCCTCATTCTAATCTTCCTCATCCTAAATCGTTCCCGCCCTAATGACGAATTCAAACTTTGACTCAGCTCTCTTACGAAGTTTTAAAGGAAATAAAGCAGCCAAAATCTGTCTCATCCGATATCAGAGAAAGTGAAAAAGCAATGAACTGAGATTGAAGGCGATGGCTGTTTCGCACTGCGAGAGAACTTCCCTTTGCACTTTCTGGGTCCGAAGACAAATTCTTTGCACCTGGGGTCCATTCAAGCCGGAGACATACTTTCCAACAGAAGGCAAAACTCTCAAAACTTTCAAAAGCAATTCTTAAATAGTCTTTATTTTTCAAAACCTTTCTTTTGCGGTCACTGATCACCTGACTAGGGCTCAGTAAACTGGTTGGAGGTCCACTTTGAACCTGAGAAACGAAGAGCCCAAAAAAAGATAGCAGAAGCTCCTTTCATTCAAACGTCACCAAATTGGCGGATTAAGCGGCAGCTCATAATTAATTGCTCTTTCTATTTTTTCCTCCGTTTGTTTGCCTTCGGCGCTCAGTTTGAAAGTTTATTTCGTGCGAAAACACTCTGGAAAATTTCAAGTGCAGTTGGCGCGGCAAAAAGAGGAATTGAATCTACCTTTGACACGAGATGGCCGATGTCTTGCGTAGTCGAGTTGGGAGGTCAATTGAGAGCAGTCAGAGGAGTTTGAAGCTTAGAAAACTTCAAGTGTGGATCCTCGCATGACAACTGTCCACTTCTCCAACCAGTAAACAAAGAAGATCGCTTTCCGATCTTTTGTTCTGTGGGAAAAAAAAACACGTGGACTCACAAGAAGTTTCTACGAACGTCTACTTCTGAAAAATTCCTCAAGGTGAAGATACACCGAACGGTATTTGGTTTGAAAGAAGTCTGACCTGCAGACAAAACGGCGGTTTCGGCTTCGTTTACCCCGGAGAGGCTCGAAGTAGTCACTCAGTTACTTTGGTACAGTTAAAACAGATGCGGTGAAAAAGGAAATGTGTCCTCAAGACCTCTTTAGGATTCTACCCCGATTAAAGAATTGAATCGGCCGTTGTTCTGGCAACGTGCATATTTGGAGACTCCACCAATGCTTTTTGCAATTCAAATGTTTCAAGAAATAATCGCTGTTTTCGACGTTTCAGTTTTGCTTTCCAGGGAAAGGAATGTTTTGAACGTTCAAACTGTGCAAGGGACAATAACAATGACGTTTCAGACGCGCAGAACGCCGAAGAGACCGAAAAGAGCCGCTGAATCACTGTTGACTTTTTCGCGGTCCCATTTAAAAGCCGTTTTTTTCGCATTGCCTGATATTTATTGCTCTCTTCTCTTCCTATTTGACGCTCAAACAAACTCAAGCAAAGCTTTTTTCTCAGTTTCTTTTTCCTGTGCGACAACTTTCGTTTTTCGAAGCAAAGTTCTTTTTCATCGTCAGTTTCAGAAAAATAAATGTCCGATCACGTCTTAAACTATCGCGAAGGATTCACTTCCGACGTCAGTTTCTTGTCAATTTCATTTTCCCTGGGATGTTCTAGAAATCTTAAAATAACTGTCTGAAAAAATGAGCTTGTGATAGTGTTTTTTGGCCTAAATCTTGAAATCCGTTAAAAAGTCTAGAAGAGAAACAAGGTTTTTTTTTTCAAACCTTTGATAAATAATTTAGTAAAAATAGCTCTAATCCTTTTTCCGACAGTTATATTTATTCATTTGATAAATTTTTACCATCAAAATAAATCAAACATTTTTTTAAGGAATTACTTCTAAAAAAATGTTGATTAATTTTGCACAGAATGATCAAAATGTTTCCCAGAACCCGATGCCTGGCTCTGCTGGAGAAGTTCGGCCCAACATCGGCAGCGGGGCTCATGTACGATTTTAAAGATTTCTTTCTAGTTGTGTCAAGTAAAATTTCCACTCCCAACCAAGCAAAATCAAAATTTTCCACTTTCATTAAATTAGAAAGAGTTTGGAATGCGTACTATTCGAAGATTAATTTCTTCCAAATCTGTAGGCCAAATTCAGGCTGCCCCACATTACAACATGGGACACGGAGCAGCGGTCGGAGGATACAGTTCCTACACAAAGGAGGTTTTTTCGTTTCAGATTTCCGAGAGTATGAAATCAAAAAAAGGTTGGTAAATATTAACTTTGTCTGTCGCTGTTTACACTATTTAACCTTTGCGACTAAATTTTGTAGAATTGACAAGAAGATGTTTGAAAAATAGTTAAGCATAGTTAAACTGGACTCACTCGAACCGAAGATATTTCGTACATTAAAGAGTAATCCACACAACTTTCGAAAGTTCTGAAGTTCTAATCCGTTTTGTCGAAATTCCAGGCTGAAAGCTCAAAAACAGAATATTTGCGGAAATCAGCCTAAACGTTTCTTACAGAATCCGATGCCAGGATCGGCGGGCGAAGTCAATCCTCCCGTCGGCGGCGGCTACAACTCTTATTCGAAAGAAGTAGGTAGAACTTTGCGAAGGCTCATCTTATTTTCTACTCTTTTCAGCATCCAGTACCTGGATCAGCTGGAGAAGTGCGTCCGCATAGTGGAGTCTACGTCAGAACTAAAGCTTTTGTTGAAAAGAAATTGACTTTTTTTTCAGGGATCCGGAGGGATCATGGGCGGAACGCCAGCATACAGACCGGTTGGAATTAATTGAAAAAGAAAAAAAAATTCAGCATAACAGGGTGAACCACAGATTGGATATGGAGTTGGAGGAGCTCATTTTGAGCAGGTTTTTTTCTCTCGTATAATTACTTTCAGTCGTAGTTATTATGATAAAAGTCTTTTTTTTTCGACTCAATAAGTTTCATAAGAACCAAAGATAATCCGTCTACTCTTGGGCTTTCAGCGTCCTCGGCCTGGAGCCGGCGGCGAGGTCGACTTCGGAAATGTTGCCTACGTAAGCAATGTCTCCTTTTCAATGCATTCCTCGATTTATTTTTTTCTTTTTTAACTTCAAAAAAACTTTTCGAGGCATTCAATTCGAAACTTCTCATCAAAAAAAAAGTCTAGCTAGAAGTCCAGTTACAAAAAACTTTTTCTGATCTACATTAATTTGCCTCGACTTTTGACTTAAAACAGAGAAGAAAAGATTATAAAAGTTTAGAGCGGCGGAGGACAGTTTGGCGGCTACTCTGCTCAGGTATGAAGCAGGATAAGCGTTGAAGAAGTCAGATTTACAGCATCCTGAGCCGGGGTCTGCTGGAGAAGTTGGAAGCGGCGTCTATGTGAGTTCCGTTTCCGACTCCCATCAGAAAGATTCTTTTCAGGGATCGAGCCCGGCTGGAAGGCCACCAGGCTGCGAATATGGGAACGTGAGTGGGCCAGAGTCGGCAGTAAACGCGACAATTGCAGGCCGGAATGGCCGGACCACATCATCATCGCAGAAACAACTACTGACCGCTCCTTCCAAGCAATTTGCTTCTTAATCAATCAAATAAAACGACTTTTTTCGAATTGCCTTCAAACGAAAAGCACTTCACACTTTCTATGCTGAAGTCGAGTCTTCTTTCCTCGTCTTCTGAAATGTTTGTACATTTGCTCAAAGGTTCTTTGCTTGGTTATAATCGAACCCTCGTAGTCGCTATTTGCTTAAACATCTAGTTTTAGAGATATGACTTCTTAATGTTGCGGAATATGGGTTTCAGATCTAATTCTGTCTCGAACACGAAACTCGAAAATGCAGTTTTAAGAGACATGACTCCAAAAAATTATTTCATGACAGATTATTTGTGAGGTCGTCGCTTCTGAAATTTCGAATCTCACTCTTTCTGCATGGGTTTTGAAAATACTGGCGACTCAGACACCGGTGGTTTCTCTTCGCGGGTGCTTCGAAACGGTAAAACGGGAGGAAAACCAAAAAATTAGTACGTCCGCAGAGACCATGGAAAAAAACTTAATTGAAATGAAAAGATCAATGAGGATAATAATGAGCGCGGATGAAAGTGTGCCCATTTCCTCTGCTACAATAGATCACAGATGCCTTCCTCATTTCAAGTTTCATAAAACTTTCTGCTAATCATTGATTGGGGAAAACAACAGCGAAAATGTTTATAATAAATTTCGAAAAACGACAGTTATTCGGATGTTTTCCAATGAGCTTAGTAAGCGACTTGTAGCTATCACAAATGAAAATAAACGTTCTGTGTCCTGCCATTCTCGAGAAAGGAAAGAAAAAGAAGTTTGAATGAAAGAAGAAGTTGATTCAAAAAGTTCACGCTTGAGAAATTAAAACCCGTTGAAACACACGTGATGGTGAAGTAAAAAAAACGAAAAAGAAAAATTGAAATTGAAAAAAGGAACGGAGACAAATATTTTATGACCATGAGGTAGGCTAGGCACCAAAAGTGAGTGAAACTGAAGCCTCCTTAGTAGTATAAAATAACCATATAAATAAGGCTTTGGGGGAAAAACTTGAATTAATTGTAATAAAGAGCCGTAACTAAATTTAAAAGGAAAAATCGAATAAAGAGAGTTTTTAATAGTCAAATGAGGATTAGTCATCATCAGACATTTCCTCGGCAAAATTCGGGTTGAGGACTTGAATGGGATTGTTAATGGAGGGAACGTGAGAAGAAGTGAACGAGACAACGTCGAAACCGTTCAAGCGCGACGAAGAGGTGACCGCTTTCAGGGCTTGAGTCTTCGGTATCCACAACTCGTCAGGAAAATCGAGAAGTGAGAAGTTCCCGACAGGAAGGTCTGAAGTCATCAAATGAAGCGAACTTCGCTATTTTCAGGGCAAATTCCTCCGTATTACTCGGACCTCAGTAACGAAAACCGAACGTTTCTGAGCGATTTTAGGGATCGCTTAAGAGTTTTGACGTTACTAAATTGGTCTCTAAAATGCCCCGACACGTTCTATTTTTTTTTTTGCGTTACTGATGTCCGTGAACAAAGAAGAGTAGACTCACTCATAATTGCGATAACTCATGAGTAAGTATAAATATGAACGGAAAGTAAAAAATAGGAGGAAGAATCTCGCGCTTCTTGTGCAACTTTTCACCTTACATACAAAAAAAAGCCTTGAATATTTTTCGCCGCCGGCTAATAAACTCTACTCCCAGAGTCTTTCTTTCTGAAAAATTTCCCTTGTTCAACTTCTAGCAAATTAAAAAAAGAAATAGATTGACGGTTTTTTTTAATAGATCTGACTAACAAAGTCGGCTTTCCGCCCTTTTTTGCATTTTTCAATTTATTTTTCTGAATCTTTCATTACACGGAGTTTAAATAAATAACGCAAACACCAACTTCGAAGCTTTGCGGCATAAGCTTCAGCCTGCGTCTCGTCGTTCTCGCCGTCGTCCGACAGATCCGAGTACGAGTCGTTGGAATTCGGCGTCTGTTGGTCAGCGATGCCCGGGACATGTGAACTGACGACCATTCTGATCGTTTCGGTAGTGGCGGGGAGAGTAGAGAGGGCTTGCTGAAATCAAAAAACTCTGATAGATCTTTAACGTGGTCCTTACCGTTTGGCGAACAGCTTGTGTTTGTCCCATCAAAAAAGAATTATTGAGTCCTATGACAGATGCGGCTGTATTCGACGTTGTAGCTGCCTGTAATGAGAATGAATTCCTGCAACACGAAAATGTGTGAAAACATGTTAAAAAAGGTTGCGAAAGCGTCTCTACCCGTTTAAAAAAAAGTAAACTTTCGCGTGAGCGGAGAATTTTTCATCGTATTCCAATTAAATAGAAACAGTGTAGCTGATTTATATAATTAAAAAAACATTTAAAAAAATATATATAGTTTTTTTCACGCATATGAATTGAAATAGAAACTTTTTTTCATTGGTTTTTATCTATCTATAGTGCATGTTAGTCTGACTCAAAAAAGTTTCAGCAAAATCCATCGTGTTTGCACAAATTTACGTTCATTTTTATATGCGACAATACTTTTGGACCACCCTGTATATATAAATAAAAGAATTATATGTCTAAAGATACAATTTTTCATGAAATCGAGTTTTCTTTTGTCACCTATATTTTTTGTAACGAGTTGAACTACAGGGTGAGTACTAAATATTGAAACAACGGTTTCAGGACTGGCGTACCCATCATACTTGATAAATAAAACTCACTCATAATTATTTAGAGTCTATACGCCTTCGTGAACTTGAAGTCTTAACATTTTTCTAATATCTTGTTTTTTGATCAAATCATGATAAATTGGAACCTACCAATCGGTTGCCCAAAATCAGGTTTTGGCACGCTGCTAACCATCATCTCTAACAACGGCAATTTTTCTTAGAAGGGAGCCAACTCTAGGGACCCAAATTATTTTTGTCTTATACTACTAGCGTTACTCTTTATTCTGAATGTGTTTCAGGCTACTCTAGATTTACTTTCTTTTTAGAACTGCAAAATATGCGAATAAATCTAAGATCAACGATTAATCGCATATTACACCTTGAATTAGGAAAAATCAAGTTCGAGCAGAGATAAAATTCCGTTTTGCATGATTTTAAAAATGAAAAAAACGGTTTTGTTAGCTCTTTTCGGGGAGTGCTCCTATCATTTGTGTTAACGCTCATTGATGGAAATTTCTAAGAAATATTGCGAAAAACCCAAAGTTTAGTTTTTGTGTATTTATTTGAACATTAACGTTCAGATAACTTTCTACCAGTTATAAACATCGAAAAATGACCGCGTGCCGTTGGGGCTTGGGTCCTACACACTTTTCGAGCCAGAGCAGAGCTGAATGAAGATAGGAATTGGAATAGTTTCATGAATTTTGGAATGTATTTGCCAGAATTGCCAATGAAAAATTTTGGTACGGATCATTCACTTTTCCTCGGAGTTGCGCTTGTTCAAACGTGTTTCAATAATTAGTACTCACCCTGTATAATATTTGTCTCTAAACTTTTCAAAATGAATTCAAACATAACATCAAGTTGGTCGAGAAGCCTTCACGATTTCTCCAAAAAAATGGTCGCTTAAATTTTCAAAATGACATGAAACCACCTCGTTTCGTCTAACGTGTACCATTTCAAAGTAGATTCGAAAGAAATCATACCAAAGGATACTGGATAGCGATGGGCGGGGCGCGCGGAGACGCGGTGTTGAGTTGGTTGTCGGAAGATGGAGCGCGAGGATAGGAGGTGGACTGCTGAAACTGCTGCAGGAGATGCTGCTGCACGTTCATGCCGATCGGAGTGGCAGAAGCGGCGTGGCCGAAAGGCGAGAAGCTTGTGGCCGAGGAGGAGAGAGCGTGGCGTTGAGTCGTCGTCGAGTTGACGGCGCTAGTCGACGGTAGCAACAGGGAACGTCCGACTCCCGCAGTTCCAGTCACGATGCTTCTTCCGGCAGCCTGAAGTTCGCGTTCAGTTTCGCCGGCATGAATTCGTTACCAGAGGTATCCGGGGAAAGTTGGCTGCGGTTTGGGCCAGCTGCTGATGGATGGTGGCAGGACTTGCCCCTCGTCGTTGCTGCGGAACAAGTTGTGGTCGACTTGGCGTCGCTTGAGCAAGGCCGGAGATGGTTTCGATTCCTGATTTTCGCTTCGTTCTGCTTTCTCCTGTCAAATCCGGCGTTTCTTGCATTCTCTGTAACAAAATAGATCATTAAAACAAATAATGTTCGCCGAACGCGATGAGCCATCTGTTTTTGAGCCAACGACATCAATGGATTGCTTATCGATACGTTCACGCCGCCGTTGGAGATTTGCTAAAAAAAAAATATGTCATTTTCGAAAGAGCAAACTATCACTATCAACCTGGGGTGCTGGCAAAACTATTGATTAGAAAAAACACCCAGATATGGCAAAAACTTTCTTGAAATATGTGGGAAATTTTTTCTACCTCCATTGATAAATTCTTCCCGGCTTTCCTCTCTTTGCTTTATTGCGATTCTTTTCGTGAATGAATTTCCTCGACAAAAGAAATCTTCAAGTTAGAGTTTGGAAGTTTCGTAAAAATGAGTTATCGTGAAAATTATATTCGAAAAAAAGCGAAAAAAAAAAACCGAAGAACGAGGATCAGGTTGCCGAATCCCGATCAGGTTCTTCTGCTGCAACATGGACGGCCGCTGCTGGACGACAGCCACCTGCGGAATCGGCCTCTGGAGAAGCAGCGACGGCGCCGTCGACGACGTTGACGACGTCATATGCGGGGCAAACGCGGGCGGCGTTGCCGACTTGGACACTGGAGGCGTAGGCGGCTTGGACGAAGGCGGCGTTGACGGCGTCAGAAGCTGAACGACGTTCGAAGTGGCTTGATGCTCATAAAGGGGAAGTGCTGCTGGAGGAACTTCAGTCCGCGACGTCGTCACTTCTGACTGTCTCAACGAAGCATCCAGCGTTGTTTGCTTCTGGAAGAAGGAAGGGGACTGGGCATCGCATGACATGGAAAAGAAAACAAAATAAAACTCACGTTGATAGACAAACCAGAGACGGTGGGGATGAGCTTCGCTTCTTGCGAAAAGACGAGAAGTTCGTCCAAAGGAGTCTCCATTCCTCTTTCAATTTCCGCGATGTTCAATTCACATTTTAACTTCCTGGAACGCTTGAAATTAAAAGATAGTGAAGGTCATAATTTGAGAAAATGGAACAAAAAAAAAATGAAACTTCGAAAAAATTCACGAGCCGATTTGCTAGAATATAAATTTTGCGTAGACTTGAAAACTACTACATTTCATTTTGAAGAGTATCGCATCAACGACGTGAAGATATTTTCACGTCTGCGGCCTCGACTCACCCGGTCAAAAAATCGTCTTTCTTATTTTGCAGCTCTTTTATCACCTTCTCCACAGAGTTTAGCTCGCTCTCAATCTGTAAACCACCATTTATATAAATTTTGAAAAATAAAAAAATAAAAAAACGACATGAAAAAAATTTTTTTCAGCTTTCAATTTTGTTTTTTTCTATTTTACGTTAACTGCAAGTTTCATATTTTTTTAAAAAAAGTGAATAATGCGGGAAAAGTAAGACACAAAAAAACCTGATGGTAGTCGTGCTTGACGACCTTGTCTTTGTTAGAACCAACAAGATTCGAACGGAAAGTATTTGTGAACGCCTTCTCGACCTCCTAAATAAAGTTAAAAAAAAAAGTTTTGACATTTCTCTCACCTTTTTCCGTTTATTGAGGACCTCGGCTTCGGAAATTTTGATGTTTATCTGACCTTGGAGGGTTAGAATTTCCTGTTCAACCTGAAAAAAAAGCTCTGTTAAGGAAAAAACAAGTGGAAAGAGGACCTTTGCGAGTTCATTTCTGTATTTCATCCAGAAATAAGAAATCGTCAAATTGCTCTCAAGGTAACTCAGATCAACAGAACTTACTAGCAGATTCGCTTGCTGCTTTATTTGTTCCATCTGTAAAACTTATTTTTATTCAAAAGATGGCATTTTCATGATCTTTTATGCGTGCGTTTTTTGGGTTTAGGATGAGTTGGAAAAAAAAAAATGAGCGTTAGGGTGAAATTTTCTCTAAATCAAATATGTTGTAGAACACGATTTTCAGGATTTTTTGAAAAAAAAACTGAATATCATCACTCGAGCCGTTTTCGAGATACGGTGGCTCAAAGGGATACGGTAGAACCCTTCGAAAGTCTATATCTCGACAAAAAAATCCAACGAAACTCAACCAAAGTTTGTAATAAGGTGCAAAATAATTTTATTCAATTTTTTTAAAAAAATATAATTACTCATTCTTGCTCATTATTGCTCATATTAGAGGATTTTTCTCAAAAAAAAATCGGAACCAGTGTATGACGTTGCGGTCCGGCGTTTTATCTTGTTTCTATTGGAACCACAAAAAAATACTCCATCTATTGAGCCAAACATGGATTAGGCGAATTTTCCATCTAAGACCCGAAAATTCTAAAAAAACATGTAATTTTGCGTAAGTTTCCCGAATAACTTTTTTATCTCTTGTTCTTTTGGCTCGAAACTAGCAAAATCGTGATCAGCGCGCATTTTTACATCTACTAGGTCATTTCCAGATCAAAACAAAAGAAAAAATTTTTTCACCCAAAAAAAATTCTATGCCCGGAAACCGAAAAATTTTGTATGCCCTGGGATGAAAATTATCGAGGTTTTTCGCTCATAACTTTTTTCGAAATCAAAGTATCAGGTCGAAACAAAGTTTTTTGTTTCCGTTACGGTTACCATAACAAGGGGCATACACCATTCTAGGTTAACTAAAAAAATTTAAAAAGGCCATTTTCAAAAAAACCCCAGGGAGGAAAAAGACTTCGTTTTAGGTTCGCAGTTAGAAAACGTTTGAAATCGTTCAAACTGTATTTGAAAACTATATTCAGACCCTAATGAAGAAAGGATTTCTTAAAAATAATTTATATAAGAAAGTGTAAAAATGAGAAGTTTCGAGCTGTGAAAAAAAATTGAAGGTAGTAAATCACTAGGACATGTTTTTTTCGGACAGTAAAAATGTTCAAAATTTGAGATTTCATTTTTATATCCATGGACATGTTTCTTCAGAAATTTTTTCCGCTTTCACCACAAGAAAATATTTGAAGACATCCTTCGGATGCCAACAAAACTCGGGACACCCAGTCGCCATCGTGGGGGAGCCACAAAACAAAAGGATTTGGGTTTCCCCCGCAATTTTTCAAAATTTAATCAACCTGAACTCAAAAAAAATTTGAAAATTCAAATCAGCGAAATTTTTTTCACTGAAAAACATATTCCAAAAATTGTGTGCCTTACTAAAAAAATTAATTAATCATCATCATGAAAAGAAGCTTCATAAATCATATTTTGATTAAGTCGAATGTTTAACTTTTTGAGGGGCTCAATAACTCTAGTGAAGCTTTTACTGACAGGAAAACTCAAATTTTATAGCACACAATTTAGGAATTTTTTTCAGTGAAAAAACTTTTGATGATTTGAATTTTCAAACTTTTGTTGAGTTCAGGTTGATTAAATTTTGAAAAACTGCGGGGGAAACCCAAATCCTTTTGTTTCGTGGCTCCCCCACGATGGCGACTGGGTTTAATTTTCCGGCCAATACTTTTCCGAACCGTGCTTTATCCGAACCAAATTCCGAACCAATGATTTATCCGAACCTACTTTATCCGAACCACCCTATGCTTTATGCGAACCACTTTTTTTTAGAATGCATGCTTTATCCGAACCACTTTTTGTAAAAAGTTTATTACTTTTTTACTATTTAAATGCCGTTTTCTTAGCTTTTTGCGATGACTAGTTGCCCCATAAGACTCAATGACCTGGAACTAGAATTTTCTGTCAATTTCTTTTTTCGAATTTCTTGTTATATGAGTTTGATTTTTCGCTCATATTTTCTAAAACATCCAAAAACTGATCTTCCAAACTCCATCTTATTATTCAAGACTCTGAAGGTATAGAAAAATTGAACTCGAGCTGAAAAGAATATGGACATGCCCCGGTTAAACCTTGTTTCCCAACAAAGATCGCTTCTGGACGTTTTTCCTTGAACATTTCGATGCCTGTTGGTTCATCGTAGGAGAATCTGCGAACGGCTCATTAGAAGAAGTTCTCTCGAGTTCAGTTATTCGAATGAGATTTTTCTTTATGAAAGTTTCTAGACAGCTTTATGTATGGTTTTTTGACAGATATTATTTCTTAATATCGCCGCCTTTTGTGATCTTTCACTTCTTCCATGCATGTTGGTTCTTCGTAGGGGAATCTGCGAACAGCTCATTAGGACGAATCCCCTCGAATTTAGATATTCAAATAAGATATTTTCTTTAGAAAATTCTAGGAAGGTTGAAGAAAGGCTTTTTCAAAGCTGAATTAATATTAATCAGCGTTCTAAAAGTGAATGATAAATAATAAAAAGATCGAAATGAGTTCGAACTTTTGCTGGCTCCAGCCCAACCCATTCCATTCAATGTTTTTACCCGTTCCGACCGTTCCCTTTTTGAAAGCTGATCGTTTGTTCAGGAACATTCAATGATTTTTTTTGTCATCGAACATTTTTTTTTCTGTTGTTTTTTTCAACAATAAATTAGTCCAAATCTAGCAAAAATTTTGTTTCAGCAGGTTTTCAGGATGTTTGAAGGAGGCTCGGAAGGTTGACGAGAGGGGCCTCGGAGATTGGCTGCCTCGGAAATCAAAAAAATTCAGAACTTTCAAACGGCTGAAAGTGATTTGAATCTGAGCTTCGGATAATCAGAATTGCAAATTTTTTTCTGACACACACACTCAAATCATTTCAGTCTTTAAAAAAATATTTCGTTCCAGATAGTTCAGGAAAAAAAGATTAATGAAAAATTAAAATGAGATGGAAATTAAATTAGACTTTGAAAGAAATTATTTTGATATCCTAAAAACTTTTCCTTCATAACTTTAGAAAAAGGCACTCGAAATACAAATTGACTTCTATGACTTAAAAAGAAGGGAATTAAACTTATAAGAGAAAAAAAGCTCGGAACATTGGCAGAAAAACCGTAAAAAGGAACGATTATTTCGAAAAACGATAATTTACGAAGGCGCAAAGGTTTCGCGCGCTTTCTCATCGTTTCGATACCTGCACTTTCTTCCCTTGGAGATTTGCCAGCGCAAATAATTTTTTCCTCTTTTTAGCAATTCCTTCTGTTTATTTCATTGTATTTTTTATATATACGTCATGATTTTTCAAATTTAATTATTTGCATGATTACAATATTTGATTTACCACTGAAATTTCTATTTTTTCCTGCAAATATTGCCCTTTTTTGTATGTTAAGACAAGTTTGGCCTAAAAAGTTTTTCCTTAAACTTTTTAATTTATTTACCATTTATATTTTTCTATCCAAAACAATTGAATGCGAGCAGATCTTTGACCTGCATTTTCAGCCAGGTTCTAGAACCTGTGGGAATCAAGAAAACTGCTCAATGGAAATAATTTTTGACAAAAAAATTCTTTCTGCCGTTCCGAATACATCTAAAAAAAGGTTTCAGTGTAGATGACAATGATAAAAATCCGATTCAAGCATGCCAAAAATTCACGTTCGATTGGTTTCAGCTGTCTCCACGTTCAGTTTTACGTCTTTGAAAGTGATTCCTGTCGGCATCTTCTTGTTTTTTTGACTGAACGCCCCTGTCGTTAACCTTCCCAGCATCCTACAAACCTCCTGAAAACCTGCTGTATCCGGAACGAAATATTTTTTAAAGACCGAAATGATTTGAGTGTATGTTGTCAGAAAAATTTGCAATTCTGATTATCCGAAGCTCAGATTCAAATCACTTTCAGCCGTTTGAAAGTTCTGAATTTTTGATTTCCGAGGCCCCTCTCGTCCGTTTTATTTCCATTGAGCAGTTTTCTTGATTCCCACAGGTTCTAGAACCTGGCTGAAAATGCAGGTCAAAGATCTGCTCGCATTCAATTGTTTTGGATAGAAAAATATAAATGGTAAATAAATTAAAAAGTTTAAGGAAAAACTTTTTAGGCCAAACTTGTCTTAACATACAAAAAAGGGCAATATTTGCAGGAAAAAATAGAAATTTCAGTGGTAAATCAAATATTGTAATCATGCAAATAATTAAATTTGAAAAATCATGACGTATATATAAAAAATACAATGAAATAAACAGAAGGAATTGCTAAAAAGAGGAAAAAATTATTTGCGCTGGCAAATCTCCAAGGGAAGAAAGTGCAGGTATCGAAACGATGAGAAAGCGCGCGAAACCTTTGCGCCTTCGTAAATTATCGTTTTTTCGAAATAATCGTTCCTTTTTACGGTTTTCTGCCAATGTTCCGAGCTTTTTTTCTCTTATAAGTTTAATTCCTTCTTTTTTTAAGTCATAGAAGTCAATTTGTATTTCGAGTGCCTTTTCTAAAGTTATGAAGGAAAAAGTTTTAGGATATCAAAAATAATTTCTTTCAAAGTCTAATTTAATTTCCATCTCATTTTAATTTTTCATTAATCTTTTTTTCCTGAACTATCTGGAACGAAATATTTTTTTAAAGACTGAAATGATTTGAGTGTGTGTGTCAGAAAAAAATTTTGCAATTCTGATTATCCGAAGCTCAGATTCAAATCACTTTCAGCCGTTTGAAAGTTCTGAATTTTTTTGATTTCCGAGGCAGCCAATCTCCGAGGCCCCTCTCGTCAACCTTCCGAGCCTCCTTCAAACATCCTGAAAACCTGCTGAAACAAAATTTTTGCTAGATTTGGACTAATTTATTGTTGAAAAAAACAACAGAAAAAAAAATGTTCGATGACAAAAAAAATCATTGAATGTTCCTGAACAAACGATCAGCTTTCAAAAAGGGAACGGTCGGAACGGGTAAAACATTGAATGGAATGGGTTGGGCTGGAGCCAGCAAAAGTTCGAACTCATTTCGATCTTTTATTATTTATCATTCACTTTTAGAACGCTGATTAATATTAATTCAGCTTTGAAAAGCCTTTCTTCAACCTTCCTAGAATTTTCTAAAGAAAATATCTTATTTGAATATCTAAATTCGAGGGGATTCGTCCTAATGAGCTGTTCGCAGATTCCCCTACGAAGAACCAACATGCATGGAAGAAGTGAAAGATCACAAAAGGCGGCGATATTAAGAAATAATATCTGTCAAAAAACCATACATAAAGCTGTCTAGAAACTTTCATAAAGAAAAATCTCATTCGAATAACTGAACTCGAGAGAACTTCTTCTAATGAGCCGTTCGCAGATTCTCCTACGATGAACCAACAGGCATCGAAATGTTCAAGGAAAAACGTCCAGAAGCGATCTTTGTTGGGAAACAAGGTTTAACCGGGGCATGTCCATATTCTTTTCAGCTCGAGTTCAATTTTTCTATACCTTCAGAGTCTTGAATAATAAGATGGAGTTTGGAAGATCAGTTTTTGGATGTTTTAGAAAATATGAGCGAAAAATCAAACTCATATAACAAGAAATTCGAAAAAAAGAAATTGACAGAAAAATTCTAGTTCCAGGTCATTGAGTCTTATGGGGCAACTAGTCATCGCAAAAAAAGCTAAGAAAAACGGCATTTAAATAGTAAAAAAAGTAATAAACTTTTTACAAAAAGTGGTTCGGATAAAGCATGCATTCTAAAAAAAAGTGGTTCGCATAAAGCATAGGGTGGTTCGGATAAAGTAGGTTCGGATAAATCATTGGTTCGGAATTTGGTTCGGATAAAGCACGGTTCGGAAAAGTATTGGCCAATTTTCCTTCGGGGGGAATTTTTATTTTATTTAAATGGAGGGACTACCTAAGGGTTTGTCTCGATCGCCAAATATTTGGTTTTTGTGTGAGATAAGGCATTGAATCCTAGAAAAAGTATCGTAAATCTTTCTCAAAAAAAAATATGCGGTTCTCAAATTAATTCGAAGAGAAAAAACCCAGAGTTGATAAGGCGGAAACTAAAAATACTTACTTGGATTTCATCCTTATTGGAGCTCACTAAATCCTTGTAAAACCGAGCCAACGAAATTAGATGGTTTTGCTGAACGTCGAAAATGATAAACGTCTGAGAAAAAAAAAAATCAAAACGAACCATGCTTGGAAGCCTGAAAAGTCGATCGAGCACTTCTGCAAATATCATATAAAAACGGAAAAAATTGAAGGTGCTCTCTGAAAGAATAAAATTCCAAGATACTTACCTTCGTAGGTGGCGGGAGGCACTTGATACGTCCTGATCAATGTATCCTTAGTTTTCCGCAACGGCTCCGACAAAGAATGAAAGTACTGAAAAAGGGAACTCAAAGCTCCTTTTAGTTTTTGAAAAAGCCGAATTTTGAATTTGGACGAACTCTTGTAATAATGTTAAGGAAAACTGGGTGTGAAAGTTAACATTAGTTATGTACTAGTATTGTAACTAATTTATCGAAAACACAGGGACGCGTTTGAGTTTTTTTTTAAATTACATTTTTGAAACCATTCGAGAAAATGATTCTGTAGAGCTCCTCCCTTTCACGAGAAGCGTTTAAAACTCCTGTCAGAGGCTCAGCGACGGAGTTCGATGGAGGCGAGGCGACGGGATAAGAGCAAGGCCGAGAGTGACCGCTTGAGGGCGCGTTGTCCAGAGAGTTTGACGCTTCTCCAGGAGAACTCAAATGTTCTGAAAGTTTTTCTGCTCAAAACTAGCTCATAAGGAATCAAAAAGGGTACAAAAAACATAAAGATGCGTAAAGTAGCAACTTTAAGGAGAAAAACACATAAATTCTGAATCATATTTCTGACACAATATTCTCCTTTTTTTTCAAATATAATTGGGACTTGTTTTTTTATTTTATTCACATCAAAAACTCATGAAAAAAATTATTTGCTTTTTTTATTAAAAAAAGCTTTTTTTGATGGGAATCATAAGAAAGTTTTTTTATGATCAAAAAGTACCGTGGTGCAATGACCCATATAAAAAAATTGTACTAATGCGGACTTGAAAGAAGGAATCTTGAAAGAACATCAAAATCTTAGTAAGTTACCGTCGTCCTGGTCGTCTACTGACATCACTGAGGGCTCGGGACTGTTTTCGACCGTGCGGTTAGAAACTGTGAAGGGCCCAGAACAGAGCTCCGGCGGAAGACGAGTTGATATGGACGAGGTCCGATGCGGCGACTTCATCGACTCAAGCAACGAAGACGGTTTTCGATTCGACTGTAACGGACGATTAATTTTAGTCGCAGAACCTTCATAAGCCAAATCGTTTCCGATGTAAAAGTTTCGCTTTGCAATAAGATAATCGAAATAAAGACACGACTGTGCAGATTGGGCCTTGCACAGTTCAACCGATAGTGACTGGCTCTAGCTGATGCTATATAGAAAATGAAAGAAACTTCTCTCAGAAACGACATCTTGAAATTATCTTTTGTGGAAACGGCTCATTTTGAACTGATTTCATTTTGAACTAATTTTGAACTAATTTTGAACTAAAAAAACGAGACCAAGTCCTTATTTTTGAGACGACTTCGTGGAGAAAATGTCGGTTTTCGGCGGTTTTTATTAAATACCACACGACTTCACAAGATCTCGACCTCAGGTCGAGATTTCGCCTCGTCTTTTCTCGAAGTTTTTTTTTTTTAATTCTGCTCGTCTCGAAAATAAAATCGAAAAGATTTGCCTTATCTCGATTACAAAAAGTTTATTCCGAACAACCCTGCTTCCAATGGCCGATCATCAAACGTGAACTTTGTACATGGCGACCACCAAACCAGAAGAAATTTTGAGGCGATTCTCACCATTGGCACATCGATCTCCATGATATCATCGTCCATGGCTCCATTTCCATCATCGACGTCCATTTCGTCCTCCCTAAAGAACACTTCTAAACTCTTTCTCGGAGTTCTTTCCACTTCTCGAATGCTTTCGATGAAGACGGGCCGACGACGGAAGAACTTGTCTCTTTCGCTATTATCATGTCAAATTGTTGTCGACATTCTTCCAACGTTTTCCCAGGACCCATTTTCTCCAAAATCAAATCCCAATTTTCTGCTCCATGTTCCTCCACCAACTGCTTTAGCTTCATATTCTGAAAAATATCGAGAACATGAATTTAAAAAAAAAATAAGGAAACCTCAGCTTCAGGCCACAAAGCATGTCCTAGGAACTTTTCGAACTCTTCGTCAAGTTCCCCAGAAAGAAGCTGAAACGAAAAATCGAACGATACGAAACAATAGACAAAACCTGTTCGATCTTCTTGAGGAAACGCTTGTGACAAGGTCCACAGAACTTGAGAGTCGCTCGCGGCACCTCCATTTGGTCGAATATGAAGGCGCGCTGCTGCAACGACAATTCGCGAAGCTTCGTCGGCAAAGACTTGGTCGGTCTCATTTTGCGTTTGGCCGCTACGCAGTTTGGCACGTGGCATTTACTAAATTTGGTTCTTTTTGACTTTATCTTGACGAAAAAAAACCTTGAGTTGCGCAGACGCCATGCCTCCGATTTGCATTTCAAGCAGTATTCTCGCTGTCTTGAAGATGATATTGCTGGAAATCATATCATTAAACTATTTAGAATATGAAATAATGATTATTGTCATAAGAAGTTTTTCAATTTTTCTCTAAATAGCCCTTCTCCACGACATGGTTGATTTTCTACTTTAAAAGGGCAGCGAAGTGTCTGGAAATCCGCAATCTAGCGTCCTTTCAGTAATTTTGTAAATTTTTTGTGCTTTTATTCTTGTGAGCTGAAATTTATTCAGCTAAGAAGTCCTCTATAGCCTCTTCAAAACATCCGGTCGCCGTACGGTTTTTCGATGAAATGCGCTGTATTGATGAAAGAAACTTCCGTTGAAAGTTTGAAAAGGCCTGTGAGTTTCATCAGAGATGAGTCGGATTTTTTCAAAGTCCGAATTTTTTCAATTTTTGCTGTCAATTGACGGCGAGTGAAATCAAACGATTCGCCTGGACAGATTCCAACAGTTTTGAACAGGGGCAGCTAAAAAGCTGGATGAAATTTTGAGAAAACAAAATTGAACTACAATAAATTCTGGAGATAACTTAAAAAAAGAAAGGCTAACCGTTTCGGTCAATAAAAAGGAATCTAAATTGAAGAAAAAATTTAAACCGAAGGTTTCATAGCTGTTATTCGGCAATAGACAGCCAGGATTACTGGTCGGATGAAGTTGTTCGCAGCAGACAAAACACATGGAGCCAAATTGCTTCTCGGAAGTCGAAAGATAGCTTTTCGACTTCATGAAATTCTTGAATTTGGCCACTTCTTCCTCGGTCGGCATCTGCGGAGCCTGCAACTGAGCACAAAAAAAAACTCCAAATCGATAAAAACATACGTTTTCAGTCCCAAAACCACTCTGATAATTTTATAAGCTCTTGTCTTACAGATAACCATACGAACTTTTTTCCACTAAAAAAAGTGAACCGTACCTTGTACGTCATACGGTAGACGCGTGGTTTTTTCCGTTTGTTGAAGCATAGTTTGTATTTTCGCTCCTTTTTCGTCATGTAATAGTGCAAAACGCAGTCTTTGCAGTTTTTGTTGTCGAAGTACAAGGTGAGTGCGGCGAAATTCTTACCAAACTCCTGAATTTTCCATCAAACAGAATTTCAACGAAAACGATGATCACCTGTAAGCGACTGGTGAACAACTCTTCCTCTCCTTCCGTCCAGGACTCTTCGTTTTCTTGCAACCTGCACAAAAGATACGATGAATTTGAAGAAATAAATTATAAAAAAGAGCGAAACATACATTTTCCGCTGAACTGCGGCCATGTCTTCGATAGTGGAGCCGGGTCGTTCCTCAAAAACGTCGGCGAGCCGTTCTTCCGGTGTCAGCATGTCCGGCGGCAAAACAACCCCTCGTCTCCATTTTTCTCTTTGTTCCGCCTTAAAAGATTGGGGCATTTTTAAAACGATCAGTAGCGCATTGGTAGAGGATTTGAGCAGAGGTGGAGGATTGGGAAGGCAGCCTTTGGCTTGGCGGCCAAGCCAAGCCATTTAGCCAAGCGATAGAAAGGAGTCATTGAATTACTATTGAAAAAGTCATTTCTTCTTTCGGGCGTTTATGGCTTGGCAGGCAGGGCGGCCAGTAGGCAGCCATCCTCCACCTCTGGATTTGAGTATTGTCACTTTTTGAGGTGTCCACTGTGAAAAAGTTATACGAACAATATGAGGAAGTTCAAGAAAGAAAAAGGCCAAAAAAACCTTCGAATTAACATTTTGTAAGTCTTCGCCGCGTAGACGCTCTCCGCGTGCTATCCGTTCCTTGAAAAAAAATGTTGAAAAAAAAAGACAAAAAAAGAGCTCACTTCGTCTTCTCGATCCTTCTTGACCTCGGGAAAGAGCTTCTCTACTAAATCTCTTAACTCAGGTGCACGTGTTCTGAAACAAAAAAAAACTATTGCACGAGGGCTTCATACTCCGAAAAAACAGATTAAGAATAAGCGGCAGACATTCATTTGTTTTGAAATTCAAAACATAAGAGGAAATTTATTTAAGAAAAATTTCAAAAAAACTTTATTTGGACGTTTTCAGTGATAAAAACAGAAATTGGCGTGTGCTGCCATGCATGCAGGTTGATAATGAGCGAATCTGTCAACCGCGGATCAAGAAGGGATTAACTCGAAATCTTATTAAAATTTTTTGAAAACTGTTTACGACTATACTACTTCATATTCCAACCCGGCTATTCACATTTTTCACTTTTTTTTCGGGATCAGAATGAGCACTTAGGAAATTTGGGTTCGAATGATAACAGGGTAACCAAGAGGGTTCGTATGAGCAGGGTTTGGATGAATGTTTGACATAAAACACATAGCCTGCAAGGAAATACGTTGCGGGATAAAATTTTAGAATAGAAAAAAAAACTTACGATTTCTTAGTGTTAACTTCAAATCGTTCAATCTTCTTCAGCCATTCGCGATGAGCTTTCATATAATTCAGCGCGTTTTTCCTGGAAATATAATAATCAAGAACGCAACAGAGCGGAAAAAAACCGTTTGAAGAGATTTTCGCGCGTTGCACTACGATCTTTGACGATGTCGTCTTCTCCCTCAGGTGAGTCGATTAAGCAAGACATTTTCTTACTTTTGCGATGGTTATGGAGGAATTATCGCTCTACAAAACGGGAGCGTCCCATAACGTTGACTTTCGCTGTAATCCACGTTTTCTTGATTAACAACCTGGCAATGTTTTTGTTTCAAGAAAGAGAAAAAAACAAAGAACAAAATTAGATTAGGAAAAGTAATTAAAAGACGAAATTTAAAAAATGTAGAATGCCTGATGTAAAAAATCATTTCTTACGCTTCCTATATCAAAATTTTTAATTCGGTAGGCCAGCAGAGGTTACAACGACGCCGTCAGTGTGCCGACTCGCTCGGTCTCCACTCCACAACACTCTCTAACTGCACGTCGTCTGCGTCTATCTGCGCATTAGCTTTCTCAAAGGGAAACGATGGACACACGCGTTCTTCCACCGCTCACAAGTTTAGCTCACAGCAACGCGCTCACGCCGGTACCTCTGGTGTTTGGTTTCGAGCTTATATAGTCAATGTTTCCTGACTTGAAAGGCGAGGGAGGCGAAGCAAGGGGCGGGACGCGTAGTGTGTGCGTACGCGGTTCTTGGCGCCAGTTAATTCAGTCGCCGCCGACTATTTAAAAAGCTCGGCCACCGCTCTTTTTCTGTATTTTCTTCTATTTTTTGATGCACACATGAACATAATCAATAAATAATTAAAAAACAAATGAAAACTGGACAGCAGTATATATAGAGAGCCGGTTTGGTGAGTGGGCGTGCAAATTTTTTTGTGGATTCACTTCACCCAATAAGGCAATATTATTGACTATATCGCAGCTACAATTTAGGACGTTTTTTTATATCGGGTTCCACTTCACGCAAATACTTCCTTTTTTTCTGTAATTTGTATGTTTTTGAGTGAATAAATAAATAAAGTAGTCTGAAAGATCCCTGGTACCAGCTGGTGATATCGATATGAAAAAAAAAACGGAAAAGGCGCCGTTCAAAAGTGGCTTTTTTTTTTACATATAGCTGACTCACGGCTGGCTTGAGCCATCGAAAAAAGACACGATAATAAAAGATGAAATGACTGGTTTGTGGAGAGCACAGACAGGCCACGCCCCCTTAGCGTCCCAAGTTAACCGTGAATCGACTATAATACCTTCTTTTCGGTGGATTTCTCAAGGTCGAGTGTATTCAGAGAGTCCGGAATCTTGTCAGATCGCAACTGAAGGAAACATTAACGCGAAAGATATTGTAGCCTTGGGGGCGAAGTAGTAAGCTGCTTGACATTCAATATCTTCACGTAACACAGCAGTTCAGACTTACAGGGACCCGTCTGGTTTGCACTGCGCCGTCTCCGCTGACCATACTAGACCATTTTCAATCATTTTTTCTGTTTATTAAAATGAACAAGGCTATTTCCGACAATAATGCCGTGGATGGTAGGAAGGAATTTTGGGTTCCCGAATATTCGTGAGCGTTAATTGTGCATACACCAATCTTGGAGGCTCGAATCTTTGAAAACGACTTGGGAATATTCCCCTCTTTTTTGAATTTCCTTCTTTTTTTTCCTACATTTTTTTCCTTTGTCGTTCTATTGTGAGGATGTCGTGTTCAGACCACAAATGAACACTGTGTGATTGTTTTCAACTAACTTTTTATCAAATAATGCGTCTTTCTCGCATTCACGTAGTCAAATATTCGCTGCAGAACGGCTACCACATTTTCATTTACTCTGTATATATTCTCCATCAACTTCTGTTAACAAAAACATTGGAAAAACCATTAAAAATCAGGAAAGAGGCGAGTATTCCCAAGAATCGTTTGCAAAGATTCATGCCGTGTTCAAAGTAATTTCCGCGAAATGCAAAATACCCGTTAGAGAAAGGAAAAGATCACTAAATTTTGGAGAGTCAGAGATCATTTTGCATTTTGCGGAAATTACTTTGAACACGACATCAAATTTTGAAAGATTCGAGCCTCCAAGATTGGTGTATGCACAATTAACGCTCACGAATATTCGGAAACCCAAAATTCCTTCCTACCATCATGTCGTGTTCAAAGTAATTTCGGCGATTTCAAAATTAACGCGTTATTCGTTTAAAATGATTTCGGGAAATAGGCAGAATTGGTATTCCGGGAAGGCGAACAAAAAGTGAGTCCTACAACGATATAACGCATTTCTACGGTGAGTTTTACGCGCGAATTCGAAAATTCAGTAGAAAATGCCCAAATAACTCCAAAATTTTGAGTTCCCGCGCAGAAGTTACAGTAAAAAGGCATTGAAAACGATATATCGTTGTAGGACTCACTTTTTTCGCACCTTCCCAGAATACCAATTCTGCCTATTTCCCGAAATCATTTTAAACGAATAACGCGTTAATTTTGAAATCGCCGAAATTACTTTGAACACGGCATAATAGATAAAAAAATACAGAAAAAAAGAACTTTTTACTTACTAAATACGCATTCCCCAAATTAGGCCATTTTTTTAAAAAACTTGCTAGCGTTTGGAAAAAAACTTAATTTTTTTAAAAACTTAGATTGTATCATTGAATGTTTTAATTGCGTTTTCCTTCAACTCTGTTCATTTTTTCGTACAAATAGGCGTTGATAACGAAGATATCGCCCAAAAACCGCCATGGGTGTATGCACAATTTAAACATACAGGATTCTTGCTGCGACCTCGTCAAAGCCTCGCTGCCATAAAGCTCCCTCTCAAAAATTTTTTTTTTGCATTGCACTGCGGTTTTTCTTTTTTCCATAGCGCGCGTATGGAAACAATATTATACTCGAAATACATGTTCTGGGGCATAGTTTAAGGCCTAGATTAATATTTCAACGTCAAAACTAGAAAAAAACCAGTGCAAGAGCAAAAAAATTCTGGAATATCAGTTTTTTCAGCGACGACCCTATGTTTTTTCTGCGGAACTCGATGAGGAGCATTTACTAATAATTTTTTTAAAAACAAAAAAATTTCTGAAAAAAAGCCTGCAGAAATAAAAAAATCACGGCATCTTGTTTTATAAAGCGTTAAAACGACGATTTCTTAATTTTTCCACACAAAAAACGTTCTTTCTCTGAAAAAAGGAGTTGATTGGAACACATTAAGAAAAAAATGGGTTGTAGAAAACAAGAAATATTTTGAGCAAATGGTTTCAAAAGCAAACATCCACACGCGCAAATTTTCGAAATTTACATGTGGAAAGGAGAGTGGTACGCCCGACGGCGGCCACTCAATTTTTAATATCTTAACTGTTTCTCTACATCTAACAACAATAAAATCAAAAAACGAGTCACGCACCGACGCGCATAAAATTAAAACGGTGACATTTTTTTTTTCTCGATGAAAAAGTGTGCAATGTTACGCGCGCGTGAGGCGTTTTGCGTGTTCCAACAAAAAATAATTTTTAATTTCCAATACAAAATTCATTATTATTTCGAATTTAAAACGTTTATCGTTGAATATTCTTTTTCAAAAAATTTAGAAAATATTTTCACAGCAGTCACGAAGGAGAGTTTATCAAGGGAACGCTTGAATAATATTCATCATGCCCTGTTATTGTTGACTAAAAATAAAAAAATATTGAAAAAAAGAATAATTTCGTTTCATTTTTTTCATGATTTGCGCTATTCTGGAATTTTTTTCGAACTTCAGGGATGTTGTCGACCTGTTCAAACTAGCAAAAGTATAAAATTTACACTTTGCTTCTTTTCCGAAGATTTTTTTCTTGTTGCATTGCTCGGATTAGGAAGAACTTGAAGTTTTGAGCTTCATTTCAAGAAGTTAACCATTTTATATGTTAAAAAAACAGAGTAAAAAAATTGCAAATTTTTTTCATATCAAATAACTTTTTGTTTGAATTTTTTTACTGGTTCGATTGAATAACCTTATTATTTCTATCGAATAAACTTTGAATTTTTTTCATGGCTTCATTGTTTTTATATGGTTCTTCATATGGCGATTCCATCGCAACATATTAAAATCACCAAAAAGGCTTATTTCATTTACAGAATCGTATTTCAAAAATTTTTTCAACAGAATTTGTAAGCGCGCCCGAAAATTGCATAGACTCCCATTTTCCCTCTTGCCTGCAGAGACACACGGTTCAGTGCTAAAAGCGTTCCCGAGATACCCTCACTTTTGTCGAATTTTCTCGGCGTTCATTCAACTTAGTGCCGAGATTTTTGGGAATGTCTGTTTGAGGATATTAGCTAACAGAAAACATAAAATTAAAATTTTTATGACCATTTTGAAGAAATGGGTTGCGGTCCCTAGGCATAGGGGCAGTAAAAAATGGGGTTTCAGATGAAAGCAGTATCTTGTATAGTTTTCCATTGCGAATCGAACGGCGTACTCTAAAAAATAACAGATGTGACAACTTTAGAAGAAAAACGCGATTTTACTTTCCCGCCTTTAATTTTGAAAAAAGCTTTGGATCGGCATACGGACAAATATTTACAGTAGCCATGCACGCGATGTTGCGGACGTCTCATTAGACTCGCATGTTGTGAGAAATAACCGGAAATCTGCTTCAAATTAAGGGGTTTCTTCTCTGGAAAATTGATTAAGAAAACAGAAAATACACATTGATAATAAAGAAAAGACAATCAATCGCTATCCCAATCGAAACCTGTGTTAAATCATCAATGTTCACCAGAAAAGCATTTTTGCAATCAAAGTTTGCAAATTATACATGAATCGAAAGCTTTTGTGACGAAAAGAACTTTGGGTGACAACAGAAAAAATTGAAAAAAAAAAACGAAGAAAAAAGCGAAAATCCAGAAGATGGCGAAGTCTGTTGTCCATAGAGCAACTTTACTACAAAGCGCCCTTTTTGCGATGGTACGATTTTATCTCAAGTCCGCAAATCTCCGGAGGCGTTATCTCAGAGTACCGTAATCTCAAGGCCCATAATCTCCGAAACCACTTATCTCCTAAAATAAAAAACTTCTATTTTCTTTCTCTGATTTGCATTTTATTTTTATTTTTTTCTTGCGTTGTGCTCAGAAAAACCATCTCCGATCGAAATTGCGTACGAAAGCCAAATATTTCCGTTTTTCAAACTTTTTTATTTTTTCCACTGAGTGAAAATAGTTTTCAATTTTTCAAATCGACATTTCTTTCTATTTTTTCTTGTCCTTCAGTATCTCTGATTATTTTTTCATGTTGACAGCAAAGAAAAAAAAGAGTGAAACTCGAACTACCAATTAACTCAACTTGAAATTGTTCAGCTTCTCATTAAAAGTAGAAACTTTATGAATAAATTAGGGTTCGGCGGAAAATTTCGATCGGATATTGTATTCTGAGCACAACACAAGAAAAAAGTGAAAATAAAATGCGAAAAAGAGAAAGAAAATAGAAGTTTTTTGTTTTCGGAGATAAGTGGTTTCGGAGATTATGGGCCTTGAGATTACGGTACTCTGAGATAACGGCTCCGGAGATTTGCGGACTTGAGATAAAATCGTACCATCCTTTTTGCGGGAACTCAAACTTTCCTCTCTCCGACTTTGAATTATTTTTTCTCCAAAACTAGGAAGTTTGGTACCTTTTCAAATTCACCGTTCGATTCGCAATGAAAAGCTCTACAAAGTACTGCTTTGAACTGAAACACCGTTTTTTTTACTGCCCCTATGCCCTTAAATTCAAGAAAAAAAAAACAATATTGAAGAAAAATTTTTCAGAGAGCGATATGGCGCAACACGTTTGCGAGGTCGCAGCGGGAGGCGAGCGATATTGCTCGCGGCTCCCCTGCGGCATAGCATTACTCTCGCTGCGATTTAGTCCACAATATTGGGTGTTAACAGACTAGTGCAGAACATTGAAACCATCTAACCGTATTTCGTCGATTTCTAAATTTTAATCCAGTATTTTTAATGTTTTTTGTTGCTTCCAATCAATCAACGCTTTTTCCGTTCTGAAAAGTCGTTAATTCAAACGGCTTGATCATCTGAAAGCTGATGAAACGCTGGAGAAAAAACCGTGTTAAACGGCGGAGGAACTTACGTACCTCTTTTTTTACAAACTACTTCGAAAACGTTCGAATAATTATAATATAGCCTTTTCAAATCACTTCAAGGCGATAAAACTATTTGATAATAAACGAAAAATTCTATAAATAATATTAAAAAAATCTGCAAGTTTTGATGGAAGAGATTCTCTTCCCTACCGAACCCATAGTTCAAAAAAATTTCTCAAATCACTTTGTGAAATCAAAAAAATTTTAAAAAAATGATAACGAAAAATTTATAAACAACAACAATTAAGCCACAATTTCAAATCGAAGAGGAGCGAGAACTTCTATTTCGTTATCTTTCGTACTGACAACATGAGCTGCTCGAGGAGGAACAGGCAACCTTTTCAGTTGTGGAACAGGCTGACCCGCTGCCTTAGCGTCCTTTCTCTTCTCGTCGTTGATCTTCACGCGGTTCAGAAAATCGATCCTGCACGTGGAAGGCTTGATGTGATCGACGCGAATGCAGATGCGCTTAGGAAGAATTTTGCCTCTGAAAAGTTTTATTCAACAGCATGTAAAAAAATAGTATACATGTTCTGATAACTTTTATTTTGAAAATAGTAACATGTACACAACAGTCACAACACCTGTGTTGTGACTGTCGTATACATGTTCTGATAAATTTTATTTTTTTCCTAAAGATTTTTAATATTCCGCGTTTTCAAATATTATTCGAAGCGCGCATCTGAACAATTTTTCTGGCTCGAGCCGAGACGCAGCAGCGGATTCTCAAACCATGATTGGACGATTAGGACGGCCTTTTTTGCAAATTCCCAATATAAATTTACTCTCAAATTTTATTTTTCTTGCCAAATGGAGAGATCCAACCATTAACACTTTGTGAATTATCGCGTTTCCGTGCGATTCGGCTCGTGCTTTTGAATGAGAAAAAAAATGTTTCGCCAAGAGCTTAAATTAACTTTAAAAGCGGCATAAACTTGAAACAATAAGCCCGTTCGACAAATCCTAGGTTATATAATATTCAAAAATGTATACCGTGTCGCAAAAACGTTAAACTCAAGGCAACAAGAATTACATTTTATTCAGAAAAATCGTTCCAAGCTGCCGTAAAACGACCAGCCGTCTTGAACAACTTGTGTTTGGTAATAAAAAACCTAATAGAAATTTATTCTCAAATAGCGAATTTCCGTTTTCCTATTTTACTGGAAATCGATTATGTAAAAAAGAAACCAGTCTCGATTTTTAATTTTTTTTATTGAGAAGCAAACCTGACTTGTTTGTTGACAACAACGCCCACTCCGCGTTTGGTAACGTTGAAAACGCGGCCGGTTTTACCGTGGTACGCCTTGAAAGGCATACCCTTTTGACAAGCACCATTAGCCTTAATATCAACGATATCTCCGCGTTTGTAGCTGCGGTAGTATGTAGACAAATGTTCAACACCGTGTTTACGGAATTCGCGAGCGAACATGTAGCGCGTTCCGCGCCTCAGACCCTTCGAGTTGGTCATCCTAATGGACTAGGTTCCCCTGGAAACCTTGGTTCATTATAGTGGAATAAACAGACAATAAAAAAATTTACACACTGAAATTTTCCATGATAAAAAAAGGCAGAAAATGAAAGCTTCATAAAGGTTAACGTCATTTCAGTCACACCTCAAGCACTGGTCACTGCTAGCGGCGACTTTTGCTGGGTCTCCCGGGATGACTAAGCTCTTTTCCCTTATTTTTTCAACGAAAGCCATTCAACAGAGTTTTCTTTTTGAAGTTTTTTTTTATCAATTCATGATTTCTTATGACTTATAAGTTGTGAATATTTGAGCACGTTCAAAGTAATATCGGGAAATTCGAAATTGCGTATGTTCAAGACAATGCTACGGCGGCCGGTTATAGCCCGTTCACGGCTGGCTTGGGACAGCGAACGGGCGGTTCAATTTTCGCGGCGGTAGATCATACGAGACTATCATATCAATGCGCCTTCCACAAAATGCTGATTTTATGACTTATTTCATTTTACTTTGTATTTCGTTTGAATGAAAGAAAATCTGAAAACTAATGAAATTAATGTAAACGAAAAAGTAACTTCAATTGAAACAAAAATAATTCATCAAAGGAGGCTCTTATTGAAGGCGCATGTATGGCCGCCACGATCTACCATCGCCGCGCAAGTTAAACCGCCCGTTCGCTGTCCCAAGCCAGCCGTGAACGGGCTATAATATTGGGCCACCAGTTTTTCAGGAAATTATTTTTATTTTCATTCATTTTTTCGAACTTCGTTGTTCTTTCAAGGATCCTGAGAGGAGGCTAAAAAGGTTCCATTAAAAGCTTCTAATATTATTTTTTTAAAAAAAGCCTCAACGGATCATTTTTTTAAAATCCGCTCGAATCTTTTTTTAGTTGCTTTCCAGCATCCTTTAGTCGAGAGATCTGAAAATGATGAAAAAGTGCAATAAAAAAAGATTTAAAAAAATGTCTGCTGGGGACCCTTTCAAGGTTTTTTTTTTTCGAGTTTTTGTACGAAAAAATAGACATATTCGAAGTAAAACACAATTAGAACAGTCACGCTGCGTTCAAAGATAATTTGATGCACGCAGCAGGTTCCTACGACGTGATTGGTTGGCTCCGCTTTTCGGCAAACGCCCGCTATCAGTGTTGCTGACGAGGCGCCCTGCTGTTCTGAGCAGTCGCCCCGCCGCGCTGAGTAGACAAGTTAAAATAAAGTTTAGATGAAAAAATCCGTTACGACTAATAATGAATTCTATCCGTTGAAAAAATGAAAATTCATTTATATCATTGAGTAAGTTTTAACAGCGTGACCGCTTCGCGGTCGCCTCGGTCTGGTCAGCAGCTCTGTCCACTATAATATTATTTTCAAAATATTTTTCTTGCCAGCTGAGCGGAGCCAACCAATCACGTCGTAGGAATTTGCTGCGATTCGGCTCGTGCTTTTGAACTAAAAAATTTTTTTTCGCTGCGCGCGTCAAATCAGCTTTCAACGCGGCATCAAAGATACAATTTTAGTTTTAATAATGAAAAACGACAGCAAGTCTTAAAAAAATGGCCTAATTTGAAAAATCCGTTTTTAGTATGCGAAAAGTAGTTTTTTCTGTAATGTTTTATCTATTAATGTCGAAAAAAGCGGTCTTAATTTTCTTAAATGGAAAATGTGGTCTCGTATGACCAGCGGAGACGGCGTGTGCCTGGGGTTCTATAGTCTATTCCGCGCCAGCTTGTCATGTTTTTCTTCCCGCCAAAAAGACCGTATACCAAATTAGATCAAATTTCTGCTTTTATAACGGCAAGAAACAAAGGTCTTGAAGCGAAAGTTGGTTAAATTTGACCTGGCTTTTTGACGGAAAGAAAAATGGGACAAGCTTGCGCGGAATGGCCTATACCGCATAGTCGCCGCAGCATGCGAGACTAATGTATGAGACGTTGATGCCGTGTACAAAGTAGCTTCGGCGAATTTAATATTGACGCGTTATTCGTTCAAAATAATTTCGGAAAATAAGTATTCCGAGACAGCGAAAAAATAATTCCTACAACGATATATCGCAAGACATGCAGTTTTACGGTAGATTTTATGCGTGGAATCGAAATTTTCGTAGAAAAGGCCCAAATAATTCAAATTTTGCGTTCGCTTGCAAAAAGTAGAATCAAAATGCATATCTTGCGATATATCGTTATAGGACTAATTTTTTCTACGCCCTTTCGTAATACCAATTCTTCCTATTTCTCAAATGTCAAGATCATATAAATTATCCCTGACTCGCTTAAATTTTTTTTTGTACAGTCGAAAATTCCCGAGACGATTTTTGATGTTTTTTGTTCTGAAAGATGGAAAAAGAAGTCAGAAAATGCAGCCATATCAAAGGCTTATCGTCATCTGGAGATGAAAAATTGACGCGAAAGGTATTTTACCCTTGGGGAAGAGTTAGCTACTTGACATTCAAAACCTGAACAGACTATAACGCCCTGTTCAGAGTGTTTTCCGAAAAATTAAATATCATCTTTGACTCTCCAAAATTTAGTTATCTTATTCACTCTCTGACGGCTATTTCGAGTTTCGCAGAGACACTTTGAACATTACATTTATAATGGATAGAAAAAAAGTTTTTAATGAAAAAAACTTCTACTATTACACACTTGCGGGTTTAAAAATGAGCTATAGATGAAAAATACCAAAAATCATATAAACGAGAATAAATTGAACGACTGTGCCGAAAAATAAAGTCTTATGGCGTGTTAATCGGAGGAACGGAACATGCTTCAAAAGGCAAAATCGTGTTCATCGGCGCGCCAAAATTTCTCCAAAACAGTACTAGTTTTAGTTTTGAAGCAATTTTCGTTTTTTCCGGTGAACACGCCGTTATATATAAAAATATTTTTCAAAAAATCGACCTCAAAATCTTTTTACGAACATAGCTTTCTAACTCGATGAAGCGTCATTATTAAGAATTCATGCGTTAAATTTTAACAGATCAATGAAAATTACATGACTTTAATTTAAAAAAATTACAAAATAATGTTAAATTCTTTTAAATTTTCGTTTAGGCCGAGTCTTAAAGGCGCAAAGGGCGGAAAGGTTACGGTAGGTTTTGCATTATTGTGTCGGCCTCCCGTCTATAGCGCTTTATTTTTCAACTTTTTTAAAAATCGCTTTCTGTTCTTAAATATTCGTGAGATACTCATTATTTTTGCCAATCTGGTAGAAAATTACTAGGGTTTTGAAAACACTATAATAGTTTGTTTTTTTTTGTTGCTATTTTCCCTTTTACATCCTTCGGAAGTGGTCAAGTGTTTTTTCTAACTATATAATCTGTTCGAAAAAAGAAACATCTAAATTCTAATAGGTTGAATGGCTCAAAAAATATGACAACCCTAATTTTCAACATAGACAATTTTTTAGAAGTCTGCGAGTTATAGAAATTTTTAAACTTTTTGCGCGATCAATTGCTACCGTTTCAGATTTCGAAATTTGTTGCGATTTTTCGTAGAATTCCTCCAACTCATATAATTTTTTTCAACAGTTCAAATCAAAATCAAAATGTTTTATTTCTCACACACAAGTACTAAATTTCACGAAATAGATGTAGGGAGAGTTTGGGAACATATGTGTCGGAACTTGTGGTGATGGAGGGAAGAGGACTCGCGGTCGTGTTAACCCCCCACTTGAGTAAATTGGAATAACCATGAAGTTATTCTTTTTAGATGTCGATTATGTAGCTTTCATATTTTTTTGTTGGATCAAGAGTGTTTAGTTCTGTAATGTTGTTTTTCAAACCATTTCTCAAGTTTAGATCTGAACTTATTTTTTTCATACTCAAATACTATGTTTCTATCCATGTGATTCCAATGATTGTAAACTCTTTGATTGATGAACCGGTAGTGTATGTCAGAAAGTAGAGGCCGCTCTATTTTGAGGCCATTTCCTCGCAGTTGATTCGATCTACTTGTTGTATTTTGTAAAGGGATTGGAGATGGGCACCAATAGTATCCGTAAATGAAATTGTGAGCAGCAGTTATGTCTTTCTTTAAACGTCTTTGCCAAAGGGTGTTTAGTCCGAGACGTTGAAGTCTTTCTTTGTAATTCATTTGGTGGTATGAAAAAAACACCAGCGAAAATTCAAACGGCGACGTTTCCGATTTTTTCATATCGCTAGGGAACTTTCCGACGGCCACCTTTCCGACGAAACTTTTTCCGACTTTTTTTTCTCGATAAACTCTTCGTTTTACATCTTCCTATATAAAGTAGGTAGTTTGTTCATGATTAAAACACAAAGAAATAGGTAAAAAAATGTTCATAGATGCTTTATAAACCGAAAAGCATAAGGGAAAAAAGTCGGAAAAAGTTTCGTCGGAAAGGTGGCCGTCGGAAAGTTCCCTAGCGAAATGAAAAAATCGGAAAAGTCGCCGTTTGAATTTTCGCTGGTGTTTTTTTCATACCACCATTCATTTTAGGGAAAAGTCTTTTAGTAAACTTCCTTTGAACTGATTCCAATCTATCGATATCTGTTCTTGTTAGAGGACAGAAAAGTTCTGACCCATATTCAAGAACAGGTAAAATCTTCAACTTGTAGCAATTCATGAAGTTAGTGTGCGAGAAGGTAAAACATCTAAAAAGATTATTCACGATTTTCATGCATTTTTTCACAATTACATTCACGTGACCATTCATTTTTAAATTAGAACTAAAATGTACTCCCAGATCTCTGATGAATACATCTGTTGGAATTTTTGAGCCATTTATTGTGTAAGAAGGGTTCTCAGTATTGGATTTACCATATCTGACATGTATACTCTTTGAGCTCGAAAGGACAAGCTGTCTATCTGCTAGCCAGTTATGAATAGAGTTTAGATCTTCCTGAAGCTTATTTTTCGAAATTTTTCTATTTTCGAGCTTATCATTAATTTACAATCGTCGGCATATGTTAATAGTTCGCTGTGTTTGACTACTTTATCAATATCATTGATGTAAAGTAGAAAAAACAAAGGACCCAAACAACTACCCTGTGGTACACCCGAAAGTACGGGAATTTCATCGGATAGAGCTTCATTTATGCGTACCATTTGAGTACGTCCAATGAGATAGCTCTGAAACCAGGAGAGTAGCCGACCATTGCAACCATAAGATCCCAGTAAGTTCAACATTCTTCGATGTGTTACGGAATCAAAGGCTTTACTTATATCCAGATAAATTACGTCAACTATGGCTTTTTTTCATATACGTTTTTGAATCAAATATTTTTTTGCTTTTTGAAGCAATTGCGAAACGGTATTTCTGTTGTTCAAAAAAATCCGTATTGGGCTTTGGATATTATGTTTTTTTGTTCCAAAGATGATTTCTTAAACTTCTAACGATAATGGATTCGAGTACTCTGCATGGGACACATGTTAAACTGACAGGTCTGTAGTTTTGAGGCTCACTAAGGCTTCCTTTCTTATATATAGGTCGAACTATTGATTTTTTCCATAAACTGGGCAAGCATGAGGGTGTCCAATGATTTTTTTGGAAAAATTATTGATAAAGGTAGTGCCAAAGGGGCCGCTAGTTTTTTTGTATTATGATATTAGACAATTTATCCGGACCGGCAGAATGTAAAGGTCTAAGCTTCTTCAAACATTCGTATACGATATATGGCTCAACATTTATTTCTTCCATACTTCTAACCGAGCTCGTATTATTTATGAATGGTCTCTCATCGTCTTTAGTAAAAAAACTGAACAGAAGAAATCATTAAAAAGCCTGAGCTTTCTCATTATCATCGTTGGTGCATCCATTTTTAGTCTGCATGAAAGGCGGATCAACGAATATGGTGGTCTTATTTCTAATATAATTCCAGAACTTCTTGCTGTTTGGTCCTTTATCAATAGCTTTCTCTTCTTCTTTAATTCTAAAATCTTTGATAGCTTTCCGGTATTTCCACCAATTTGTTTTATAGGTCGATAAGTCTTCGGATTTATTCGTTTTTTTATATTTTATGTAGGAATTTTCAGAGTATCTCTTCAGTTTCATTATCTCGGATGGAAGATTAGACTTTTTGATAGTTTTCTTGGGTATAAATTGATCAATTAGTGGCAAAGTTATATTCAAAAAAGTGCTGTACATTTTGTCAGCTGTGTCACATGTACTAAAACGATAATTCCAATCAATCCAAGCCAATCTTTGTCCTAAAGATTGAAAAATTTGCCTCTGAATAATCATTTACAGTAAAAATGCTTCTCGATGTTAATTTTTTTGGATTATTTATGTTCACTTTGCAAGTTACTGTTGAGTGATCAGATAAAGGCTTTTTCAATTTTTTTATATTTTCCACCATATTTTTTTCTTAGACGTGAAAAATTAGATCCAAAAATATTGTTTCCACGAGTACTCTGCTTTACCTTCTGCGAGAAACCCTTATCACCCATTATATCAACAAAACTGCTACTCACAGAATCAGTCGACTTCAGTGTATTCCAATTTATTTGTGGGAAATTGAAATCACCCAGTTGAATCAGTTTTTCTTCAATTCAAGCTTTTTGACTGAAATAAATACATATCCCTTTTTCATTTATGGCGTGTTCATCGGACAAAACGAAAATTGTTCCGAAACCCACAAAAATTGCTTCAAAACAAAAATTGGTACTATTTCGGAGCAAATTTGGCGCGCCGATGAACACGATTTTTTGTTTTGAAGCATGTTCCGTTTCTCCAATGAACACGCCATTATAAAAATCTTTTTTGCAGAATGTCGCTTGGTGCCGTTCTCTATAACACTATCGGTAGGCGTTTTTCAACGATCCTGCTTGCATCCGCTTTTGGAGCTTACGCGATCAACTACACTTTAAATGGCTTGACGGATTGTTATTGGGACAAGGTTCGGCTTAATTGTTGTTTTCTTCTTTACATTCACACCACACTGGCCGTTTCTCACCGATACTCTATTTTTTCAAAATAAAAAAATTGAACAAATTGGCAATAAAGCCTCAGCTTTTCATGCGAATCCTTTCAAGATAATGGATAATATCATAGTATGAAAAGAATTTATGACCAAAGTTTTTTTCGAAACATATTCTATGATCTTAAAAGATCTAACGTAGGGCTCTGTTTTAAATCTTTAAAAAAATTGTCCTTGCTTACTATAAACTAGTACGTTTTTTACGTTTTGAATCGAAAAGAAATGTTAATAACGTCGAAACTGACGAGGGAAGTTTTTGAGGTGAGCTTCGCAGATATGGTTCAAACTTCTGTGGTCTGTAGTTCCAGGTATAGTCTGTTCAGATTCTGAATGTCAATTAGCTAACTCCGCCCTCAAGGCTACAATATCTTCCGCGTCGATGGCAGGAAAAAAAAAGCCATCGAATTTTCGAACGGTGACTTTTCCGATTTTTTAATATTGCCAAGGATTTTTGCGACGGCCACCTTTCAGACGAATCCCTTTTCGACTTTTTTTTTCCTCTTATATTTTTCGGTTTAAAAACAAATATTAACATTTTTTTTTTCTATTTTTTTTGTGTTTCAATCATGAATAAATTGCCTAAATTATATAGGAAGCATACGTGGGCGGCGGTTGAATTAAATAGTGACGTCATGCCGCACCCTCCCCAGCTGGCAGCGCACGGTACCAAAAGCGTTTTTGACGTCACATAACGTCCTATCAACCACCTATTTTATACAAGAAGATTCAAAACGAAGAGTTTCTCGAGAAAAAAAAAGTGGGAAAGAGATTCGTCAGAAACTGCTCCTTCGGAAAGTTCCCTAGCGATATGAAAAAATCGGAAAAGTCGCCGTTTGAATATTCGCTGGTCTTTTTTCCATACTACCTTCACGTCAATGTTTTATCTCTAGATGACTATGAACCTTTAATGTGGCTGCTTTTTCTGACTTATTTTTCTATCTATTAAAACAAAACAAAAAAGATCAAAAACCATCTCGCGCGATAAACATCGAAGGGAAAAGAAATTGTGCCAGCAGGGGCGGAGTTAGCGAGTTGACATTTAAAATCTGAACAGACTATATGACTGTTCGAAAAAAAAAGAATTATCTGCTAAGCGCCATAGGGTACTGAGAAAGAGCCTTTCGAATAAGTGCAAGTAAATCTCAAAAACGAATTCTCTTTGGGGGTTTTTTTTTAAAGTCTTTTTTTCGTGTTTCTTATGGTATAGTGAATAACAGTAGACGTTTTAGAAATCGAGAATCCGAAGAAAATCAGTTTTTGAGTTTTTTTCCCTTCTTTTTCGAAAGGCTATTTCTCAGTACTCTATGGCGCTTAGCGGATAACTTTTTTGTTTTCGAATCCTCATACCTAGGACTACATACCGCAGAATTTTGGACCACATCTTCGATGTTCACCACACACACTTTCCTTGTATGTGCGGTTTTGGAATGTGTCATTTTCAGTTTATAGTTTTCGATTGATTTTTTTAAAATACAAAACGAAATCTGCCAATCGGATATTTGAATTCTCAGTTAGATTACAACGTCGAGCTGCTTCGATTTTCAGTATATAACCACATACAGAAAAAAAAGAACGTCTGCTTCTTTTGAATCAAACATTCTGATATTTCGTAAAGAATTTTGTGGTTTTTTTTTGGTACTGTGAAAGAGAAGTTTACTTTTTGATTGTAGCGTTAGGAACTATCATTTTCTGAAACAGTTGAAGATTGTTTTACCAATCCTTTAGAAAGATTCATTTTTTAAAACTTCTCACAAAGGAAGTGCAAAAAGACACAGTTTGAGAATTTGATGAAACTTTGCTGAGATGTACTTCCAGGTCCTCTGAATCGAGAACAAAAAAAATTTCACGCTTTTGCTTTTTTAGCGGAGTTATGGCCTCTCAAAGTTTGCACTCAAGAAAAGGCTTCGCACGCTAGAGCTATAATGAGCATTATTCATCCCTTATAGGAGCAAAATTCATCCCTTATTACCAGAGCTGCTGGAGGGGCGCCCCGCTGTATCGAGCAGTTGCCGGGGCGCCCCGCTCCGCTGAGTAGATGAGTTGAAATGAAGAATAAAGGAAAGAATTGGCATAGAACCGGCTAATAAAGAAATCTATTGGTGAAAGAGAATGAAAATTAATTTATATCATTGAGTAACTGTGGAGAAATATTTTAACAGTGTGACCGTTTTGCGGGGCGGGGCGCTCCGATCTGGTCAGCAGCTCTGCTTATTACGTTGGTTATCATTTGTTTTATCATAAACTTTTCATTTCAAAGTCGGTTCATATATTACTTTTTCGACTGAAAGTCGTATGGGCTTGATATTCATCAATTTTTTGTTTGGTTGAATCATTGATTAATTGGATAACTGTCCCTTTTTGATAATTTTTGTTACCAAAAACTAGCTATTATTCATTTTAAAGTCCTTTTTATTGGTATTCTACACTTGAATTTTTGATTTTAACGACTTATTGTTCTTTCTGAACAGAACAACTTTTTTTTTTCTTATTTTTCCAGATTAAAAACATTTCCAGACTAGGTTAACTGATCATATTATGATATGGAAAGGAAAAAAATTTGTTTGACGCTCACCACTACACCACGCTGACAGGTGCAGCAATGGTAACGTCACGAGTGATATCAGCTCTTGCGTGCGAAGCCATTTCTTGCGTGCAGACTTTGAGCGACCGTAACTCCGCTAAAAGGCAAGAGGCGTAAAATTTTTTTCTTGTTCCCGAATTAGTAGATCTGGAAGTACATCTCAGCAAAGTTTCATCAAATTCAAATTGCGTTTTTTTACACCTCCCTTGTCAGAAATTTCATTGAAGTTGAATATCGAAAAATATCAGAGCCCTGTTAGAGCTGATCTGTTACGAAACTTTTGCCAGGATATCCAAGATATTTAAAATTAAATGGAGAAACTTGCTCAAAAACTTTGATAGTTTGTTTAGAAGGTACAAGATTTAGATCTCTAGAAACATGAAAGCTTAGATAGAAACATTTTTTCTCCGCCTCAAATACATCCTATCAAATAGTTGATCGAAGTGTACACTGCGACGCATAATTATAGACCCACCCTAATTTCTGCGATTTTAAGAAAGATTGAAAAACTTTCAGCCACCAAACTTTTTTTGTGATAAACCTTGTTAATAAGGAACATAATCATATCATAATTATCAATCATCCAGTTGAAAAAGTTTTTTTCAAGATACGAGAAAATCTGATTTTTTTGACCGACGCAGAATTATAGACCCACTATAAGTAATCAACAAAAATTCATTTCACAAAGTCAACAAAGTATAAAAAAATTTAATTAATAATGTGTGATGCCTCCTTGTTTCTGAGCGACTTCGAAAATCCTGTTCGGCATGCTGCCATACGAGTGATTGCAGCAGTGACTTGTCCAAACCATCCCACTCGACACGAATCGCTCTTTTCAGATCGTTGACCGTTGTATACTGCTTGGCATTCGCGTAGACCCTTCGTACCAGGACTGACCATAAATTCTCTACAGGGTTGAGGTCAGGACTGCACGCGGCCTAGTCCAGAAGAACCACGTTATTGGCCGCAAACCAAGCCAATGTGGAGTTGCTCGCGTGAACAGATGCATTGTCTTGTTGGTAAATCATAATAGCACGTCGTCGGCGACGGAGATAGGGCAGGAGATGCTGGGCAAGCAGTTGCTGGTAGTCTTGCGAATTCGTTCTGGTCTCAATAAAAGAAAGAGCTACCGTCCCGTTGCCGCAGAAAGCCGCCCAGACCATGAGACTGCCGCCGCCGAAGTTTTTCTTGGAGAAGTACATCGGATCTTTCCTCAAATCTCTCCAGTAGTGAGCGTACCCATCTGGCCCATCAAAGTTGAATTTCTTCTCGTCGCTGAAGATGATCTGAACAGAAAAACTGGGAATCATAAGGTGATAGAAAAAATTGATACCTCATTCCATTCCGTGGCCATGTTGGAGCGTGCAAACTGGAGCCGTTCATTCTTATGGCGTTGCTGTAGACGTGGTGCTGCCTTTATTGGAGTATTCACAAGTCGACCGGACCGATGAATTGTTCGTAAGATGGTGTCCTTCGAGACGTTTTCAGGAATTTCGGATCTGATTTGGTTGGCGGACTTCGTAGAGTTTGATGCTTTTCGACAGACGTCTCGTTCAGCTTGAACCGATAGCAGCCTGTGCCGTCCAGAATGTATTGATGTGCCGTATTCTTGCGGATTCCTTGCATAACGGTCAATAGTTCGTCTTGAGCGACCCGTTTGACAAGCGATTTCCCGATGGGACAAGCCGTTGTTGAGTAGAGCATCGATTACCGCTTTTTCGGTATTATCAAGTTGAGTAGATTTAGGCATTATGGCTAATAGTGATACACGAGGACTTTTTCTCTCATATACCACTGAAAAAAAACAGGAGAAACGTGTTACCATAAACGGAAACTCGGAAAACGCTGGGGTGGGTCTATAATTCTGCGTCGGTCAAAAAAATCAGATTTTTCTCGTATCTTGAAAAAATTTTCAACTCGGTGATTGATAATTATGATATGATTATGTTCCTTATCAACAAGGTTTATCACAAAAAAAGTTTGGTGGCTGAAAGTTTTTCAATCTCTCTTAAAAATCGCAGAAATTAGGGTGGGTCTATAATTATGCGTCGCAGTGTATACTAGATGCACCAGTTATACAGAAAGATCTTTAATCAGGGTATAAAAAATTTGGCCATTCGAAATCCCGAAACCAAATCAACGATACATCGATATTCAAGGTTTTTCGATTTTCATTTTTTCACGATGGTGTGGAAAACTTCGCACAAACATAGTCCGATAGTTATAGAAACGACAGCGAAAGAAAGGTTTAAAAATCTTTCAAAAATTTTCAGTAATGATTAAACTCTCAGAAAAAAAGAGGTAAACGAAATTTCGGGAAATCAAAAAAATGGATAAATAAAAAAATAACGATTTTTTTTGTTTAATTTGAGGACTCGAAATCCAGAATCTTTGAATTTCGAAAGCCGTGACGCTCTCGCTTTGCACTTGACTACGTACACTCTTACACCAAATAGATGTCGTCGCGTAGAAAAACAGAATTTCGGATACATTCATAAAACCATTTTTTTCTATCCTTTCGTTGTTTTTTTGAATACATTTCAAACTATTTTTTTCGCTCCTTTGGGAGACTCTTCACTTTTCGACATCATCGAAAAAATCAAATGTCAAATTGAAGGCTTACAATTTTCGGACAAGTAATTAAAAAAACTGATTAAAAACGAGAAGAAAGTAGAAAAAAATTGTTGAATGGAACCAAAAAAATTTCATCGGCATCACGGCCCTTGAAACTTTAACTTTTTTTGGATTTTGCGTTTAAACATGAACAAGAAATTCGTTATTAGTTTTAATTAATTTGTGATTTTGCGAAACTACCTTGAACACAACAAATTTTCATAGATTCATAATTGAGAAATAATTTTCGTTCATTTGAAGTTGATCCTAAAATGAATTTTTGAGACGAATTAGTGCAAAAGAATGTTACACGTTGCATAAGTTCATATGTACTTTAATAATCCGTTTTTCCTAAACCTTAGTTTTTTTTTTTGCTTCGACGAAGTTTTCTTATTCGAACGCTTTTTTTTCTGGAGAACCGGATTTTCACTGAAATATTGAAGTGTTAAAAATTGCGTTTTTTTTATTCTGTAGTTTGCGATTGTTGTTTCCGTAATCTTCAGAAATCAAATCTTAGCTTAGCCGAGTGAGCACTTGTTTTTCTTACCATGATATTGATTCTATGAATCAACGACTCGAGAGTGTTTTTTTTGTTTCTCTTCTTTTTTTTTAAGAATTCGAATCCATTGAGTACATTCAATAGAGAAAAGAGTAAATTCCATACGTTGCGGAAATATATTTTTTGAAATGATTTTGATAGGAAAAAGTTTCAGGCGAACCATCTCTCATGTTGCGAAAGGTGACTCGCTCGTCAAAAACGTCATAATTTTTCAGGACGGGTGATCAGTAAGGGCTCCAATGTTTCACCCAGTTTTTCTCGACGATGCGGAGCACCCGTTGGACAAAAACGGCGCGGCAAAATTTTTGTTTCGAGTGAAGCCGCTGAATAAAAACGGGTGGAACATTGTGGCACTTGCCGGTTAGCGTTCGCAGTGTTATAATCTGTTCAGATTTTGAATTTTAAGCAGCTCTCCGCCCCCTCCCCCCCATGGTTACAATATCTTGTTTTTATTGTTTTTATCGCACGTGACGATGATCCTACAATAGCGCTGCATTTTTTTGACTTCTTTTTCTACCTGTTCGATCAAAAAAGAAAATAAAAGTACGTAGGATCATCGTCACAGGCGATAAAAAATTGACGCGAAAAGGTACTGTTCCGGCAGGTTAGCTGCTTGGCATTCAAAATCTCAACAGACTATAGAGACTATATGAAGTTTACTGTTTGATCTGCGAAATCGTTTTTTTTAACTGCTGGTCGCTTATTAATCAGTTGAAGGAGAGATTAGTCAAGATTATTAAACTTTTAATTGTGTTAATCTGTATTTAAAGTATTTCTAACGCATCTTTCGAAGCTCTACTTTCAGACGAACGCGGGAAAGCAATGGAAAGACGTCAAGAAGTCGATCGCTGAGGAATGAGCACTTTCTGGGATAGAATATAGAACTCGATTGTTTTTTTTAATACGAAATAAACGATTACACTGTACTTTGCCTTGATAAATAGGAAGAATTTGTTAATGAAGAGTCGATATCAATACTCGATAATTATGTCGATAAAAATACCTTCACTGCAAATGTCAAGTGGAAAAGCGGTCTATCTATTCTTCTTACTGCCTACCGACTTTGGCCAACTGGCCGTGCAAATACTTTCTGGGTTGACGGCCAAATACCCAAGGAGGCAGTATATTTGAGGAGTGGCGCACCGTGCCATTCACCTTTTATTCAAACAGACTGCGCCAGTCGGGGGCTAGCGCCCGACCGTCGGCTCTCGCGTCCACCCAGTATTTCGGTCGTTTTGTTGGTGAAAGTCCGACGGCCTTGTACTTAGTGATCATTTCCTGCTCGACTCGGTGAGCTGATGGAGAGAGCGCAGTCGAAGTGTTCCCACAAGTACACGTCAGTCTACTTATTAACCTCTCGTCGCTTGGATTTCGTGATTCTTATTTCTAATTCTGCTATTTTTTTTTCTTCTGTGCCGCGTTCGAAATGATTTTGGCGAAAAAAAATTACCGCCGGAGAGTGAAAAAAGATAACAGACATTTTGGAGAGTTAGAGATTATTTCGGATTTCGCAAAATCTTTTTGAACGCGACGTTATGTTCGGTCTCTCATCTCTCTCATCTTCCGAAACTTTATTATAAAACAAATTTTGGTCAAAAAACTTACAGTTTGTCAACTTATGAACTTCTTAGTTTTGGAAACGAAATCGCCTGGCGCTTTCTGCGATCTCCGACTTTCTTTCTTTTTTTTTTAATCATAAATATATCCATTTTTGTTGGCTTTAACCAGCTGTGAATCAGCTATATGAATCAGTATACTTTCTTCATTTTCACAAATGGAGATCATCTTTTGAAAACTGTTTTCTTGGTTGTTCATAGGCGAATCGAGAAAAGGTATAGCGATACCCTCTGAGGTATATCGCAGGGTCTGAACTTTATCGATGGTACCATGGTACCTCGAGTATACCTCTGAGGACTTTGAGCAAAAGAGATGACGGGCAAAATGAGAAATGAGAGAGGTATATTGGAGGTCTCACGATCCATTTTGAGAGATATGTTTGTGGACACATTATGGTACCATCCCGATTCGCCTGGGATTGTGTCGAAGAAGGTTTTTCTCGGCATGATATTCTTTACATGTTAATATGTAATATTGAATTCCTATTTTCCTTCGCACAAGGCAGCCCCATGATGATAGTTCTAACATCGTAGTTAAAACTGTTTGCTATTAGAATAGTTTGTATATAAAAACACATTATGTGAAAAAAAAAAATGAATTCAACACGTCACTTTACGAAAAAAAAAAGTGAGCGTTGCGTTTTGAAAAAAAACGCTGTTCCTGTTCATGAATTCTCGTTTTAAAGAACCCGGGCGCATAAAGAGACGGAATACCCGAAGAATCCACTTTTTGGATCTGAATTCATATACCGGCTATTTTCCGACAACTTAGATAAAGATTTGAAAGGATTTCGTTTGAAAAAAAAGGAAGCTTTCGAATTTTCGTGAACTTTTCGAATAGGAGAGTTATTTGGAAAAAAAAACAAAAATGTTTTCGTTCAGGTATGTTACTACGGCGATGGAGACAAGTGGCTCTGCTACTTGCAGTCGTACAGTTCGCCGTGTCCAGCTGTGCCGAGGGTGAAGAGGAGGAACTAAACTACGAACTTGACGAAGGCGTCGTTGTTCTTACTGACAAGAACTTTGACGCCTTCCTCAAGAAAAACCCCAGTGTGCTCGTCAAGTTCTATGCTCCTTGGTAGTACTCTCCTAAAAGTTTTCCGATAACTAAAAAGTCTTCAGGTGTGGCCATTGTAAGCATCTCGCGCCAGAGTACGAGAAGGCGTCGTCGAAGGTCAGTATTCCATTGGCGAAGGTCGACGCGACTGTTGAAACGGAAATCGCCAAGCGGTTCGAGATCCAAGGATATCCTACTCTGAAGTTTTGGAAGGACTCTCAAGGTCCCACCGACTACGACGGCGGTCGTGATGAACAAGGTTTTTTTCATTAAACGAAGAAGAAGATCCTTAAACTTTTAAAACCTCGCAAAAAACTTTTCAGCGTTATAATTTGCACATTGCAAAATTTGAAAAAAAAATTTCACAAATAAAAGCAGAAAGTTTTTTTCTATTATACTTCTTTCTGACTGCGACTGTTTCAGGTATCGTGGAATGGGTTCAAATGCGCGTGGATCCGAACTACAAACCGCCGGCCGAGGAAGTCGTCACCCTCACCACTGAGAACTTCGACGAGTTCATCACCAACAACGAACTGGTTCTTGTCGAGTTTTATGCTCCTTGGTGAGTTTTATCGTGCTCAGAAATCGGAAGAATATTTTTATTTTAGGTGCGGACACTGCAAGAAATTGGCCCCGGAGTATGAGAAGGCCGCTCAGCGTCTGAAAGCTCAGGGGTCAAAGATTCGGCTGGGGAAGGTGGATGCGACCGTCGAAAAGAAACTCGGCGAGCAGTACGGCGTTTCTGGTTACCCCACGATGAAGCTTATTCGTCATGGAAGGAGGTCGGTATATCCGCGATTCGTATTAAGTTTTCTCTAAACTTGTTCCTGATGCGAAGTTTATTTGAGAGGCCAAGAAGAAAAAGCAAGTTTTAATATAAAAAGAGGCATCAAATTCAGTACTCAAGAGCATCGATATTGTTGCTCGCCTCTTTCTGTGACCTCGTGAACTCCTTGAGCTATAATATCTCTCTCTCTCTCTCAAAAGTTTTCTTCAAAATAATTTTTCTTTCATTTGAAGCATTTCATCATAACAGTCAGAAACGAACCATAAATGTTTTTTGAATGTTAAATCTATAAGACAGCGATATATTTAACAAAAGTTGCGGTGCGACACGCTACGAACTCTCGGTGTACCCCGCAGTGTAACCAGGGGGCATCCCGTTTAGCTTTAAATGTCTATTAAGGTACTTCTTTCGTACACCGTTTCGAAGTGGTTTGTTTCCTAATATCACGATAGCTCAAAAAAACTTTTTATTTCCGACCGGTCGCCCCAGGGGTGCATGCCATCCAGATCCAACGCGGGGTGCACCGAAAAAACAAAGAAAAGTATTTTTTTCGGGATTCTGCGGGGTACACCTTCATTTTTTTTTCAGAGATAAGAGCGACACTTTTACGAGATTAATGAACTTTCGATTTAAAAAAATTTTTGCGGAAAAAATTTGATAAATAAATTATTTTTTTCGAACGTAAGCTGAAATCAGTGTTCTTCTTCTTCTTCTCTTATACCGCTTGAGCGGCGTCGTCGCCACAAGTCGATTAGCCGAGGTCCTATCTTGATATCAAGCTGAAGTTAGTACGCACTGGAAATAACTGTAGAGTATAAAAGTCAGAAAGCGCACGCCGAGAGGGAATGAAATAAAAGTTGAATTTGCTAAACATTTTTTCTCTCTAAAGGCGTGTTCGCCAAAATTTATTTGAAAAAGAGTTTAGCCTCGACAATAATCCTTACTTTGGACTTGAAAACCGCTGCAATACTGCCTTCGCTGAAAGTAAAACTCGAGCCTCCTTCAGATTCGAGTACAAAGGACCGCGAGAAGCTGCCGGAATCGTCAAGTACATGCTGGAACAGTCGAAACCGGCTGCCCGCAAGCTCGAAAGCGCCAAAGATGTCGAGCGCTTCATGGATAAGACCGACGTCACTATTATTGGATTTTTCGCTTCGGATGACTCAACAGCTTTCGAAGCCTACAGTGATTCTGCTGAAATGCTCCGAGAGGTTTTTCTTTTTCCATTGTGAAACGTGTCTGTTTGCATACTGAAACTAACCAGGAACATAATGAGTTGACGAAAAGTTAAATGTAAATGGGAAGTACTGAGGTAAGTAATATAGAGAGGTTAGGCAAAACTTGAGAAGTTTACATTGAGATTGAACAATACATTCAGAGTTTGGAAACCGAACTCAAGAGAAAACTGTTCAAAGAAACATACAAAGCTCTTTCAGGAGTTCAAAACTATGGGCTACACGACGAACTCGGCTGTCTTCAAGAAGTACGATGCGAAGCCGAACGACGTCATCATTTTCTATCCATCGCTGTTCCAAAGCAAATTTGAGCCGAAGAGCCGCACTTTCAACAAGGTCCGCTTTTTTGTGGGAATGATTGACGTGGCTTGGTTGCAGGCCGGTGCCACCGCCGAAGACCTTCTCACTTTCTTCCGCGAACATTCCGCGCCTCTCGTCGGCAAGATGACCAAGGTTTTCTCTGCCTCATCACGCGATCTCATCTTCTCTGAAACAGGCTAACTCGGCCACGAGATACACTAAGTTCCCACTTGTTGTCGTTTACTACAACGCTGACTTCTCCCTGCAGTACCGCGAAGGCAGCGAATTCTGGCGCCAAAAAGTTTTGGCCGTCGCCCAAAAGGTTTTTCCTTTTTCTTCTTTTGTGTGTCTTTTTACTTGAATGAGAAAAAAAACTTCTAACTTAAGTAAAAATGGCTAACTTTCATAGTCGAAAAAGAAGATTTATTCATTTCCTTTTGTTGCAGTACCAAAAAGACAAGTATCGATTCGCTGTGGCTGATGAGGAAGAATTCTCCAAGGAACTTGAAGAAATCGGTCTGGGCGACTCCGGACTGGAGCACAACATCGTGGTGTTTGGATATGATGGCAAGAAGTACCCGATGAATCCTGAAGAATTTGACGGCGACCTCGATGAGAATCTCGAGGAGTTCATGAAGAAGATCAGCAGTGGAAAAGCCAAGGCGTACGTGAAAAGCGCGCCTTTGCCGCGAGACGACAAAGGTCCTGTGAAGACGCTCGTCGGATCCAACTTCGACAAGATCGTCAACGACGAATCCAAGGATGTACTCGTCGAGTTCTATGCTCCGTGGTGCGGACACTGCAAAGTTAGCGAGATTGGAATATTGTTCACTCCTTTCTATTGCAGTCTTTTGAACCCAAGTACAAGGACTTGGCTGCGGCGCTGAAAAAGACGGAGCCGAATCTGGTACTGGCAAAGATGGACGCCACGGCCAACGACGCTCCAGCGCAGTTCGCTGTTGAAGGGTTCCCCACAATCTACTTTGCTCCGAGCGGGAACAAGGTCTTCGTTTTTTCTGACTTTGGTAGCGTCGAAGTCGTTGAGTCTGGAAGCCAATCTTCGAAAAGAAATTTTTCCTACTAATCATATTTTGAAGAAGTTATAATCATGAAAAAGACAGAGAATTTTTTCTTTAAGAAATTATAGAAAAGGACACCATAAGAATTTTTAATAATTATTTTTTACCACGTGCGCCGTTTCGAGTCTTATAAGTGGCTGAAGGGCGACTCTTTATCAGCATTTTTCCCTCATTGCATTGAATCAAAATGGTGATTATTTTTTTGGTTTATATTTTCAGCGCATGATTTTTGAAATTTAAAAAAACAAAAGGAAATTGACAAATAAAACTGTCAAATTAGATTAGAATTCTAGGATTGAATTAAGCAAAGCTGCGAGTGAATTCTCCAAAGTATCATTGTAGGGCGAGCCTATGAAATACAACGGAAACCGGGATCTGGATCACTTGAAGGACTTCTTGAAGAAACATGCCGTGAAATCCTTCCAATCATCCGAAAAGAAGGAGGAGCTCTAAGTTGTTCTTTGTGTAGTTGATCAAATCAATTATTAATTTAAAATATTGTTTAAATCGTTTGGTCTTCCCTACGTCTCACTTATAATTACGTGTATTTAATCGAATTCACTTTTTGTTAATTGTTTGTCGCTTGATAAACTTTCCCTTTTTTTTCATGCTGGTCTTTGAGATTCGGATGAAGATTTTATGGACGTGTGGACGATTTTATTTTTTAGTTGCCAGACCACATGTCAATTATTGCGGGGTTCACAGAGGATATCTCTGAGGTTAATCTATCGGCCATTAGTTTTTTGAGCTTTTTGGATTTGGTCTTCCTTAATAGATATTATTATTCTGCTTCACCATTATCCCCATGACAAAATTTTCAATTTGTTGGATAGACACACTTTTTTGAATGCGCGCAAAATGAAAAGAAACATGAACGTCTACGAACAGAATTGCATCGGCCCAGAAAACTTTGACATGCTCGACGCCGCGAAACCAAACACCGCCCTCTCGAGCACTTTCCCGACGGTTTACGTGCAGAAATAGCAGGATTCCACGAAGCTTCTGACCCGATATCTCCGCCTCCACAAACAAAACCTCGAGAGACTTTGAAGAGCTCGGCGGCGCAGAGACGTTCTGCACTTTGCGCGGTCGGCCGACTGCTCCATTTGCCACATATTTTTGCTTCTTACTTTCTCCAACGTACTTTTTTCTTGCTCATCTAACCGGAAACTGCATCATCTTCATTGATTTTTCTACCCAATTGATGACGAATAAAAAAATTAAACAGTTTTTTTCTTTATCTCATTCCGGCTGCTCGAATCTTTGTCTAGGTGGAAATGTTTCCATTTTTTTGGCTCTGATTTTTTTTAAAAGCGACTCGAAAAAATCGGTTTTTTTTTTTCAATTTTTTCCTCCGAAGAAATATGTCACCAACATTTAAAAGAAGAAAAAAAAAATCACATTTCATACGTTTTTTTGGATTGATTTTCAAATAGAAAGCAAAGCTGTATATAACACTGTAAAACTGAATAAGTACTTTCTTAGCGTGGGTAAACGTAACTGAAAATGACTTTCTGATGATGTACAAGTATAAAAAAAAACATAGATGCCGACTTTGAAATAAGCAAAAATTAAATGTCCCTAGAGTGATAGTCTCTCTTATTGGGACTTCACACTCATTTCGGGAGCTCGATGAGCAGCTTTCCTGATACATAAAGCCTCCAGCAGGGATATTACAGTTCTCGATAGTTTGTTATCTGGAAGCTTCCACGACGTCTTCCAACGAACAACAAAAGGCCGCACGTGGTGCGCAGCTGTTTCGCTGCACATTTCGCGTTCCCCGACTGACCTGTTACACTGAGGAAGTCCACCACTCGCTCGGCTTTTGATTCTAGCAGCTTTTGACCCACTCAATCTATTCTTATCATCAGATTCAACGTTGCAATCGCAATAACAGTTATAATCCAGGACCCTTCGTATAGAATTTTCATTGCGAAAACGTAGTTTATTTCGAAAAGTTGAACATTTTCCCACTCTAAATAACAAAAAAGTTCTCAGATTTGAGACAGTGAACTCATCAACGGTATAGCATTAGCCGAATAATTTTATCTTCCCTCAATTTTTTTTTCTTGCTGAACGATTTCGCTGTCACACATCGCAGTCCTCATAGAAAATGAGGCATTTAAAGTTTACAGAATGTCTTCTATCGAAGTGACCCATGACTCGGCGTCCACCTGGGACTGGCCTCTCCAGCACAACGACGGCGTCGTCAAGGTCCACAACACCAAGGACAAGTTCGAAGTCGGACTCGACGTGCAGTTCTTCACGCCCAAAGACATCGAAGTGAAGGTTTCCGGCCAGGACCTTCTCATCCACTGCAGACACGAGGTTTGGCTTCTTTTTCCAGAAAAAAAGTCCAAAAACTAGTCAGTAATTGGCTTGGGATTGCAGTCGCGATCGGACTCTCACGGCACAATCGCTCGGGAGATCAACCGCGCCTACAAGCTGCCGGAGGACGTCGACGTGACGTCGGTGAAGTCGCACCTCGGCACTCGAGGTGTTCTCACCATCACCGCTAACAAGAAGGCCTAACTCCTTGTCACCTTCTTTGACCTAGAGGCCTTTTATCGCTCTGTATATTCTCTTGTGCGTGCTTTTTTTTAAATCTTTTTTTTTGTCCCAATAAATGTCACTTATTTTTGCAAATTCGGTCCTTGACGTAGACGCCTGCGTTCAAAAGAGAAATGACGGAGATTCCAAGGTAGAGGTTGAGTTGTCCGCCAAGCTGTGAAAAAAAAATTTTGTTGAGAATTTTTTGTTTGAACCTGAGATATGAAACCGGGCAAGGTCGTCATCACGCGTTCTTCGTAGATCTCGTACTGAAAACTATCGGAATTTTTTTTTGCTCGACGGTAAAAAAAGAATGTGATCAACTTTGCTTCATTTTAAGGCGATAAAAAGAATGAATCGAATATGAATATCTCAAACTCGACGCCTTCTTTCTTTCAAATATAAAACTGAATTACTAACGTTCAAAAAGAAAAAAATAGTCCTCAATAAATATTAAAATGAGTTATATATGTTCTTCCTCCTTCTAAGTTTTCCATTTCTCAAAATTGAAGTTGGTCAGAAAAAGAGTGCCACAGAGATTCTGAGTTTCAGAGCTGAAAAATAATGAATGACGTCAAACAATGCTTAATAATAATAATGATTGTTTTCGATCACAAAATTATTTTTACACAAACGTTTTTAACAAAAACGCATACATAATTGTCTGGAAAGGTGATGTCGATTGAAAAGGTCTTCCCGTCGCGAATGACGTGGGTCCACGCCTTCCAAGTATAATCTTCCCGATGGCAGTTCAATAAACACTGAAAAAATCAAACCATCATCGAAGAGTTTGATAAAACTGAGGAAATCGAACCGTGTTATTAAATCCTCCATTCACGACCCCATCGTAGTTGGTAACTATGATTGATGGATCGCATGTTTCGAAGCCGGCGGAAGACGAAAAATTAGATAGATACACAAAAGTACAGTTGAAGCGACTGATGACGACGTCTTGCAGCCATTTGTTGATGTAGCAAGTCGCTCGTCCTGAGTATCAGTCCTTTCACGTAGAAAACGAAATAAAACGACCTTGCTCCTTGGGGGCGAAGGAGCAGACTCGCTTGTCTGGTCTCATCAACACTTTCCGGAGATAAACATTCATAAAAATTTTGTCGTTGAACGTCAGGTAAAAGCGAGGAAAAGTCGCCACTGCGGCGAAGCTGTCCGAAACGTGGACGGCATACTGTCTCTAAGTGAAAGATGGCTTATCAGTCTTCGAGAGAAGAACACCAACCTGAGGTTCGTGACTGATCAACTCGCCTTTCGGTTTTCGAAAGTTAATGACGAGATGAGTAAACGGCCGCAAGTTGAACTTTTCCAAACGCAGACATCTAAAATCTAGAAAGGGCTGTCTTCAAAAGACCTCACTTCCCTCTGAGCAGAACATAATGAGGCTGGAAGTACGAGCAGCAGTCGAACTGATTTCTGTCGATGAAACAACTTTCGAAAATCTCAACTTCCACATGGCTAAGAAAGAGAGTTCCGAGCACTTCTTTGCATTGGACGCCATTTTGATCAAAGACAAATTGGAACATTTGTTGAGCAGAGCGAGATTTGAGCCATTTCGTGGCCAGAGCTCGAGCCGACGTCATACGGTCGACGCTCCACGCAGTGTATTCCACGTTTTGAAACCCAGATCCTCCGATGTAAAACAAAAGAATGTCTGAAAGCGTCCCATTTGGCTGTTCTCCGACCTTTTCCACCATATCTGCAAAAAAGAGTTTTTACACAATCCCAGGAAGTTATTTTAAAAAAATCCTTCTTACAGTATTGATCTGAATGTGTCAAAAATTTCTCGTTTTGATGAAATTACTTGTAAATAGAAAAAAATATTTAAAAAAATTAGGTGGAAGTTTTTTTTGAAAAATACAATATAAAAATGAAAAAAAGTTACATCATTTATGCCGAATTCTGTTTAATTCTTTCAACGTTGAATAGAATAAACCGACTTGTTAGTCGATTTTTTTTTTTTGAAATCTCAGCTCAGGTGGGTCGCCAGATATCTCGACGGCAAGTTTTTTTTTTACTTAAAAGAAAGAACTTACATAGGAACGCCAGAGCCTTTTTATTTTTTCAGCTTCGAAAATTGAAAAAAACAAACTTATTTATTAATCCTTTCTTGAGATTTTTTATTCAAACCACGCTAGCTTGTTGAGTTTTCCGCATGGCTTCTTCTCATAGTGTTCATAAAAACAATCGAATAAACCTTTAGAGCCGTGAAAGCCTTTCTTCAAGGCTTCTAAGGTTGCCCCCTAGTAACCACTCTGAAGCTCATGAGTAGTGAAAAAAAGTGGTAAGAAAAACTAATTTTCAATGACCTTTAAAAAAAGGACGTCGTAGTTGAAATGATCTGGGTTTTTGGGGCAAAAAAATGAAGACTGGGCAATGTTAGACTCTCGTTCTGCAAATTTTCATTTTAAAAGGAGATTTTTGCTTAAAAAAACTTCAAATAAAGCTATATGCGTGGAAGTTCTGTAGAAGAAGTATTCGACGAGGGTCGAAACAGTGTTAACCACGCTGACCAAGAAACAAAAAACGATCGTGACTGACCAGATTATTCTTCTTTTCTTTCCAACCATCTGAAATATTTTGATTACTTCGAAAAAGTGAAGAAGAAGCCTTTTGAAAAAACTCGATGCCGTGAACCGGGACCGTAGGCCTTCGAAGTCTCTCAGGATTCGCATCGATTGGCGAACTTGTGGATACGAAAACGGAGCCGTTGGAGTCGTAAATCGCCTTCTCAGCCATCTCAGAAAAATATCGGAAATTCGAGTGGAACGTGAAGTATCGCAGTCAAGAGCCCCATTTGGTAGAGCCTCCTTCAGACTTGTATTGTGTTTGTCAGGAAAAATTGGAGAGTTCGAATTGACATGCGAAAAAATACTTTGTGATCACTCAAAATAAAACTGTTACTAAAACTTTTATTCATTTCAAAGCAGTTGAAAATATATAAAATTATACAAATTATAATTAAAAGAAAAAAAAAGGTTACTACGATGAGGTAGTAAAGTCTTTGGGGAAAAGCAGATCTCGGACGCGGTCGAGGTACTCTCTGATTACTGAGTACTCAGTATCGAGCAAAGTTTTCGGAAGAGACGCGATATTCACGTAGTAGACGGCGGCAAAGTGTCCAAAGACCGTCGCGTCCACCTGGAAAACAAGGGAGAATATTGGACGAGAGTCGGACTGACCGCTGTCGGCTTGTCGCCGCCGAGGAACTTGTTGCTGCCGAGGACGTCGCGGACCGCGTTGAAGTCCCTTCGGAGAAGCATTTCGCAGTCGGCGTTCGAGAAATCTCCGAGGCAAACGTTCAGCTTCTTCGAGATCTTGTGTTTCATCACCGGCTTAGCGAGGCATCGGGCTAACGGCCAGAGCCAATCAGGAGTCAACGGCTTGACGAAAACCTCAAAATTTTGCGCTCCTATACAGAGGACTACGATAACAACGGCCTATGGATGTGGTTTAAAAAAAGACTTTATCACCATCCTTATCTTCGAAAAAATCTCACCTCTACGGATTGATCAAGATTGTTGAGAACTTTGAACTTGTACATGAGGCTGAAAACACTCTTGACCTTCCAAAAAGTGAACAGACTCACTAGGCCAGGTGATGCTCCACCAGACGCTCGACTGCAGCTGCGGCTCCTTCGTCTTTAGGGGCTAGCTTCTGAAATTGGCAAAGGTCAAAATTCAAAAACGTCTTATCATGTATAAATGTTCTTTTTGCTTCGATTAGGGAAAATGAAAGAGCTCAGAGAAAAGAAAATTAATTACAAACAGGAGTTTTGAAGTGTTGCTTGAGCCTCTCTTGAATTATTTGGGAGTCCGCAATGTGCTCGCCGTTGAGCTCCACAAATGGTAAAAGTCCGTGGCGCGATCTCTTCATTATCACGTCGCGAACCTGAAAAGAAGACTTCAGGATCCTGACAGAAGCCAACAGAAACATACCTCGTACTTAATGTCATAAATGCGCAGGAAGGCCTCAAGTTTCATACAGTAGGGAGAAAGGTTGCGAACGGTTTTGGCCGGAGGAAACTGGTACAGGTACACTACGTCCTTCTTCCATTCTTTTTCGAGAATCTGAAACTTTTTTCTCGAGAAAAGATGAAAATCTGAGCGAAATTCTCGATTCAAAACGTCATTCTGTGTTGAGGTTAAGAAGGCGAAAAATTAGGAAATAAAATAAAGCTGAAAATAGCTCTTCGTGTCGAAATCTTTATACATATAGTTCGTTTTTTTGTGATCTTAGTAACCAGATTCAAACGAGCCCACAAAGTATTGAATTCTGTAGTTCTGAGCAGAGCTGCGGGCAGACTGAACTTGATGACTGAAGGCCGCTCGCCACTTGCAAAGCGGTCAAAACTTTCACTTTTCGCACTTTTCTGTATCAAGAGCTTTTCAAAGGATGCGAACCGTGGATCAAATTATCATAGCTGTACCACTGTGAAATACGATGACTTGACCTTAAAATTAAAAGCAAAAACCCAAGAATTGCAAATGGAAAAGACCCTGAAGGATTTTCAGTTCATGTAAGTGACATGAACTAAAGAGAATGAATTTTTTTTAGAAGTTTTTCAGGTTTTCTGGATACTACAGGATTTTGAGCAAACCTCGGGTTCTTTATTTTTCTTAGACAAGAATCGGTAGATGACATAACCGGCGACGGCAACGATCGTCCACGTCACTGGACAACAACACGTCATCCTGAAAATTAGTATTAGATAATCTTACTGGACATTGAAAAAAGTTTAAAAGGTCGGAAACAATGCACGAATCTTTTACGGAATTGAAAATACTTCTTGACAAAAATAAACATTTTTACAAGTTAGTTCAAAGCCATCACGGCGTTCTTTTGACGACGCCCCTCCCACAATTTCCGTAATATTTGACGTCTTTGGTGCATACACAGAATGACGCTAACTCGCATACTCATTAACTTCGAAAACAATTTTTTTCCTCGAAAAATAGCGTTTTTTCAAAACTATAGACGTGAAAAAAAATCGAAATTTTTACATTTTCTTCCACTACGCAGAACGCCGTGCCATATAAAAAAGTAAAAGTCTTTGATGTCATACTGTGTTCAAATTTTCTTGCTGATACATCGAACAATAAATGAATGATAAAAAAAAGTTAACATGTAGCTAAAAGCATAGTTTGTTCAACAAGGCACTTTTCTTCTTGCCAACGTGGGTTTATATATTGGAGAATTGAGCTGTTTCGCAAGTGTGATGATAAAGAGCAGCGTCAGAAGTTTTCGCGAAGATAGCGGGTGGAGTTTATTCGGCGCCGCTTCTCGAACTTGGGTACAAAAAACGGTCAGAGTTGTGACTACGAACCAAACAACGGGCAGGCAAATAAAGACGCGTTGTGTACGCTTATCGATCTTGCCTGCCAACTTTGCAGAGCTTCAGAAAAAAATTTAAAGTTTTCTATATTTTTTGCACTGAAAAAAACACAAACTATTTGGAATATTTAACAACTGCAAACATTTTTTTCTATAATTATGGTTAAAAAGGAGATAGAATTATTAGTCTATCAAATGAGGTTACGATTTTTTTGATTCCCATTAGGTGTTTTATATAAAAAAATGTTTCGAATGTGATCACAAATTTTTTGTACTAGTATTATACTCGAGTATATTTAAAAAAATCTGAAAAAAATGAACGAAAAAAAGTGGGAGAACTGGAAAAAAATTTGATCGAAAAATATGATGGTTATAGTTCGTATTTTTGATTATATAAAGAAACGTTATCATATATATCTAGAGTTTGTTCGGATTTTGAATGTTAAGCGGCAAATTCCGATTCACAAAATAAACTTCAGCGAAATAAGATTAAAAACTATTTTCACTGAAGAACGACGCAAAACCGCACTAATGACGTCTCTATACGCGCAAAATTTATCTCAGATATTAACTACTCTATGCTGGGAGGCGACTAAGCGCCCACTATCGGCTGTGTCGCCACTAAGCGCCCTCTAAAATTTCAGGCGCCTTGAAAGCGGTTTGTGAGAATTGCGCGAAATAGCGAACTTGCCCTCCCACCGTAAATTCTTCATTTTCGAAAATTTTTGGGACTTTTTATTTATTTTCATTTTTTGTTTTCATTTCGATTTTGCTTTTGTTTTTGAATTCTTATTATTTTTTTTTTATAATAATATTTAAACTATCGTGAATGTGCAGTATACATCTTGCCAACCTCAAATTTATGACTCCTTGTCAGTAAGTGTCTCCTTCTGTTCTAAAATTACCATTTTCCTTATTGGTGGGGTGATCCCGCTGTGCTAAATCGGGTGAAACTCGGATAAACCTGTAATTCACCTGATTCAGCTTGGTGCGTTAAACCGCTTTTGCCGCGCCGTTCACCCGAAAATCAAAACAAATAAAAAATAGAAGCACCCGTTGAACGGCGCGGCTTCATCGGGTGAACGGCGGTGCAAAAAAGGCCAGCGGGTGAAGGGTTCTGAAGAAGCGGTTTAACGCGCCGTCCTGAATTCACTACAGGTTTATCCGAGTTTCACCCGATTTAGCACAGCGGGTTCACCCCACTCATATGAGAGATAAGAGTTTTTTGAGATCGCTTCAAGAAGATATCTACAATATTCAAAATGGAGATCGCGGTTGATGTTATTTGGGTAAGGTGGTCGGCACTGCCAAATCTTGCTCATGAGCAGAATGAAAGGTTAGCATGTTTAATTTTTTTAAGTGTCCTAAAGTAGAACATTTTTTCAGTTTTTCGGGCTCGATAAACCGCTAAACAAGTCAGCATGATCAGAATCAATTGATGGGGTAAGATTTGTATTTATTTTCCTACTTTATCGTGATGTCTTTTTCCAGATAAATGCCAAAAGGTTTCCAAACGTGCCGAAAAAACTAGAAGAGAAAATAGTTTTTCGAAGGTTATTTCTTGAGGTTCGCTTTTGATCCAACCTTCGAACTTCAAATTTTCTGTTGCAGATTATGAAAGACGCGCATCGAAAGGGAAAGCTTCAAGTCTTCATACAACGCCTCATGTCTTCATTTACCAAAAGAATCTCGCAGCGACTCTTTTTAAATAATCTCGCAGTGACTGATTTGACTCTTCTAACCTCCTTCATTTTAAAAAGTAATTTGAGAACGAAATTTTTTTAATTTGCTAAAAATGCTTCCAAAGCAATCTGATCGTAACAAAAATCGAACTTTGTTTTTTTTAGCCTAGTTATGGCCTACCTTTGACATGAGTTCTATCACTCAAACAAAAACTTATTATATATTCAAAGCGCCGTATTCGGTTCAAAGACGCAAGTCGATTAATTTTTAATTTTGTTGCGATGAGCGTACTCTAACAAGCATTTCAGCTAAGTTTTTGAAATTATTGAGATAAAACTTCGTTTTACTTTCGTTGTTATAACAGATTTTTTTCTCATTTATTAAATTAGTTTTGTATTTTTATCCGTTTGAAATTCGAAATTATATTTATTTATATGTCAGTTCACTTTTTCTTCCATTTCTAGTTTGGTTAAAGTATATTTTTTGTTTTCTTAATATAATATTATTTATTTACAGGCAGAACAAAAATAACATGTACAGAAAAAAAGAGAAAAAAATTTGGCATTAAGCCTGAAATAAATAAATAAAAGGCACTTGAGGCCCTCACGAGCCTCTGAGCCAGTAATGAAAGAATAAGAGGTGAGGATTGCGCAAAGGTAAAAATAAGTGAATGGTAAAGAAAGCATTATAAGTTATGACACAGTGTAGCACAGGTGAATGGGGAATTTAATTGTTTGTAATGATATAGACGCGCATAAGATGGATTAGAGTAGGGCTAAAGCACGGGTACCTGGTTCAACGGAGTCTGCTGGGAATAGATCCAAAAAGGAAATTGTTATCGAGGGATAGTAACAAAGACCTGAAACGATCTGGAGAAACATTGAGGTTTCCCAATGTAGCCAGTTTATTCCAAAGAGGGATGAACGTCTCAAAGAAATTTTCGAAACGAATCCCTACTCTGATAAGACGTGATGGAGCACGTACCGAATTTGATCTCCTGAAAAACACTGTGAGAAACTGGCAAATGACTCTCCTTAATATAGATTTTATGTAGTGTTCTTAGACAAAATTCGACTCGTCTTCTAAAAAGAGAGTTTGTGTTAATCTGAGCTAACCTGTCTTCATAACTAGAAAACCTAATGTTTGATCTCATGAATGTTTGGCGAGTAAATTGACGGAAGATGTTTTCGAGGGTGTAAGATAGTTCTGAAGCTAGGGGGGGACTGAACAACTCACAACAGTAGTCCATATAGGGAGCAACGTAAGTAAGAAAAATCCGGCTCATTAGAGCGGGAGACAGGGCGCGGAACGCTCTGATGATTTGTTTACTTTTTAGTTTGCATAAGGCTATAACTTTACGAAGGTGAGGCTCAAATGTTAGTTTGTTATCAATAAGAATGCCTAGATCGCGAACAGCTTCCGCGGAAGAGATAGTTATATTATTTATAGTATACTGAACATGAGGGTTGCTACGGCCTAGATGGAGAAGGGTGGTTTTGTGTTCGGCCAGGGGAAGACCCCATTGACTAGACCATTGGAAAAACGTCGTTGAGACCTTGCTGAAGCGCTATAGGATCGTCAGAAAAAAATTTTTAAGATCATCAGCAAAAAGATAAGCCTTTACATTATCAGATAAGTTGCTGATAATGTCATTAATGAATATTATTTCTTATGTTTGACTTCATTATTATGTGTACCTTATCTCGATAGTTTATTTAAGTCCTACATGCATTTTAAAGAAAAATAAATTAATATAATTACTTGATGTATGATGATATTCCTGCGAGCTGAAAGCGCAAAGGTTGTCTTTATTTTTTTGTCTAACTATTGCTATTTTTTTGCACTCTGATCGTATGGAATCAGAAAAAGAAAAAGCATTGGTTAGACAAAAATACCGACGACCTTTAGGCTTTCCAGCTCAAAATACAAGCAAAAAAGCAAATGGGAAAAGAGAAGGAAGTGTGCCCTATAGGACTGTCGCGCCACTAAGCGCCTACCAAACCGGCACCAAAGCGCGCGTTCGCGCGGTTTTGGGCGCTTTTAGTGGGCGCTTAGTCGCCTCCACGGCGTTCTGCGTAGTCGAAGAAAATGTAAAATTTTTGAAAATGTGGAGCGGCTTGGAAGGGTTGCTCCACCTAGATTTACGGTAGACAGCTTGCGCGCGAACATTTGAATTTCTTGTTGCTCAAGTGCTTCAGGTGATTTTTCATTTTTATTTCAGTTTTATCTTTATCTGTTTGGTTCTGATTTACGGTAATTATTTTTCATTGCGACAGCAAAATGCGAAGGAATTTTTGTTTTTTAATTGTCAATATTAACTGCTCGGTTTTGACAAAATTTCCCCTTTAAGCAAAAACCCTTTCAGCAACATTTTTCTGTGTCAAATTAAATTTTTTTATTTGAATCAATCAATCTCTTCATTTTCGCAACATCAGAATGGTATGGCGATGATGCAGGGGAGAAAAAAATACCACTAGGTGGATGAAATAAAGCAAACCTGTAAAAGAAAAACTTTTTATTTTTTTTAGTGAGTGGGGAAAGACGCATAGAACCACAATAAGTCATTTTCGGCATAAAATTCCACGTTTTTTTACTGAAAAAAAGGACTTTAACTAATTTTGAGGGTGAAAAAGGAAAAAAAGTGTTAAAAAAATAAGAAAAAAACTTTCACCCAAATGTTTTTCGTCAACTAGAAAAGGAATTGTGAAAGGATCAATTTTTTTCACGTCTATAGTTTTGAAAAAAACGCTATTTTTTTGAAGAAAAAAATTATTTTTTTGAATTTAATGAGTATGCGAGTTAGCGTCGTTCTGTGTATGCACAAAAGACGTCAAATATTACGGAAATTGTGGGAGGGGCGTCGTCAAAAGAACGCCGTGCCTCCCAGCATAGAGATATAGTAACCTCGAAACTCAAGAACTGACGGCGCGTGTTTTTTGGCAAAAGTGCGTGCGCCCGCGGAGTGTCTCTTCTATTTATTAGCTTTTTAAAATATTTCAAAACTGTATTTCAATGGAAAAGACGAAAAAAGAACCAATACCCCCGAACGTGCGCGCACCTGTGCCTATATTTATAGCTGCTATAGTCAATGTTTCCCGACTTGAAAGGCGAGGGAGGCGGGACAGGTAGCGGGACGCGTAGCGTGTGCGTTCGCGGTTCTTGTCACGTGTTCAATTCAACCGCCATCTACTCTTTTGCCGTGTTCAATTTGATAACGCGAAATGCAAAATACCCGTTAGAAAAAGGAAAAGATCACTTAATTTTGGAGATTCAGAGATCATTTTGCGTTTCGCGGAATCAAATTGAACACGGCATTTGAAAAGCCGGGTTTTCGCTTTTTTCATTCCTTTTTCAATTATTTATTGATTATGTTCATGTTTGCATCAAAAATAGTAGAAAAAAAACTGGAAAGTTCCCGACATCCAAACAGTTCTACAGTTTGTTCAGATTTTGAAGGTCGCTCAAACTTATCGCTCAAACTCCGCCTTTTATGCGTAAATGAAACCAATCAGAGAGCGAGCCGTCCACAGAGCGTTGTTGGAGGGCGGAGTTTGCTGCTTGGACATTCAAAATCCGAACAGACTCGTAATATAGCTTTTCTCCTACAGTCTGTGTGCCACGACTTGAAATTTCACATTTCACTTGTTTTTTTTTATTGAAACTAAATTGGTATCTTTGAAGGTTATATATGTGTTTTTCTTCATATTTGTTTATTTTTTCGTACAAAAAGCGCGCCACAGTGTTCCCAAACAAGCGGCAGCTGTGGTCAGTAGGCGTGGCTGACTGCAACAGCGTCACGGTTTATTGCAATAGGGGCGCGGGAATGAGAGTCAAGTTTTGTGGATTTAGTGGTTGAAAAAAGACCATTAAATGATGTTTTTCCTAGGTTCTAGCAAGTTTTCAAAGATTTTTAATGTGTAATAAATTATAACGAACAAATTTAAAGGAAGGAAGAGACGAAAAAAAGTTTTTTTGCAAAAACAAAAATATCTCCCAAAAATGTCGTTTTTTTAGGAAAAACTCGTCAAATCGAACTTCCAAAGGGAAAAATTGAGAAAAAAAGCTCAAAGCACTTCTCTTAAGAATTACCATTTGAACGTTTTAAAACAAAAAAACAGATACATAATAGCTTGTGCGAATAAAGTTGTCACCCAAAAATGACATTTTTCAAGAATAAATTCGTCGAATACTGCCTCGAAAAAAATTTTTGAGAAAAAAATCTCACAGCGTTTCTTTTTAAGAAAGTCTATTTGAAAACTCTAAAACAAAAAAACAAACGAAATATCTTATGCGAAATAAGTTGTCATCAAAAATGTCATTTTAATGCGAATTTCTATGACGAGAACAATCGATAATCACTTCAAATCTCTGGAAAACGCGATAAACACGTTTTAAGAACACATACAACGTAAAAAAAATACGAAAGAATGGTAAAATACGCAAGAAAAAGAGAAAAAACCGTATTAAAAGTGAATGAAATATTGTGGGGGTGACACGCGCCGCACCGCGTTGCGTTAGAAAAAACTCGCGTTTTCGCCCCATTGCGACGACCTTTTTTTTTCGCTTGCCGCCGTCTCTTTTGGAACACTGTGAGCGCGTTGATAACGAAGATATCGTCCAAAAACCGCCATGGGTGTATGCACAATTTCAACCTACAGTGTTCCAAACCGGACGGGCTGTACTAAGAATAACTGCCAAGATAAACGCGAGACACTGGCGGTACATTGACGAGCTCGCAAACATCTCGCTTTTTTTCTCGCGCCAGTCTCGCATTTTTCTGGTCGCGAGCTCGCATTTTTCTCGGCGCGACCTCGCATTTATCTTGCATTTCGGAAATTTTCAAAATGCGAGAGAAATGCGAGCTCGCGCCTAGAAAAGTGCAAGGTCGCGCCCAGAAAAATGAGAGACCGGCGCGAGAAAAAAGCGAGATTTTTGCGAGTTCGTCAATGTACCGCCACCGACCTCGCGTTTATCTCGTCAGTTATTCTTTGTGTGAACAGATGTACAAGGGAACTGTTTTGTATAGAAGGGAACTGTTTTTACCAGGTTGAACTTTTGATGAAACCTCGAAGGGATGTACTTTAAGGCATGCTGATTCCAAATCGAGAATAAACTTTCTCGACTTTTGCCTTGTCTTCGAGCTATGACGGCTCACAGCTTGCAGGTGAAAAGAGTGGAATGCAGCAAGAAGGAATATGACCATTTTTTTTTTCCAAATTTCCATCATCTTTATTTCTTCTCCTTATTATAATATTCCAACAACGTCTTGCTTATTTTGTTCATGTCGTTGCGTTTTGATGCGTCTCTTTCCCAGCAGTTCGCGACGACTTCAGAAACGAACTTGGGAGTTCCCTGCATAAAAAAAGAGATTTCAAGAGGTAATTCCGTGATCCACGTACTTCAGGCATTTTCATTCGGTAGTCCTGGACGACAATCTTGGCGCGTGTCTGAACGTTAGTTAGGCCGGGGTAGGGGTCGGCGCCATCTGCGTAAATCTCCCAGACGAGGACGCCTGAGACATTAGTCTTTAATGCCGTGTTCAGATTATTTTCCGCGAAATTGGGATTCAGCTCTGACTCTCCAAAGTTTAGTTATACTTCTCAATCTCCGGCTTTTTGAGACTTCGCTAATTCACCTTGAACACGGCATCAAAGTTATGGAACGCTAACCGAAAGCCCAGACGTCTGTTTTGAGAGAGTAGATTTTCTCCTGGAGAGTTTCTGGAGCGAGCCATTTGACAGGCACCTTGTCGAGCGTGTCGTCGTGGACAATAACTCTGTCGTCGGACATTCCGAAATCCGATATTTTAACTTCCTGAAATAATCAGTCACTGCACGAAAACACGAGGTACGACTGTAGCATGTAGGGTTTAAAAATACTCATAAATTTGGAGGAGATTTATGTACTCCAATCACCTTTAGCTTGCGGAGTATAGTAATGAGGCATGGAATCGTGCGAAATCATACAATTTTGGTTGCAAAGTAAAAATGAAAATACTTATTTGTAAAATAAAAAAGAGTGGAAGAACTTAGTAAATTTGGCAAAAAAACCCGCTCTCAGAATAGTGGAAAACGCGTACATGAATATCTGGAAGGAGCTCACGTTTTTGGCAGAAAGAAGACAGTTTCTCGCAGCAATGTCTCGATGAATGCAAGCTTTCCGGTCCAGGTAAGCGAGGCCATCGGCCGCTTCAACGGAGAATCGTAACTTTTCCAGCGAAGAGACTTTGCCCTTGTTCTTTCGCAAGTGATGTAGCAGAGAGCCGTCTGCAGATGTTTTGACGAGAACACAGACGGCGACTCACTCGGACACACTTCCATCACAATCATGAGCGGGTGCTCGTGGACGGCGACGCCGAGGATCTTCACCACGTGTTTGTGCGTGTATTTGCGCATCAGTCGAGCCTCTTTCATGAATTTGAGCCGCGCGTCGCGTGTTGCTTCCTGTCGCATGGTCTTCACTGCGACCTCCTGCTTGGCCTTCCCGGACTCGTACTCAGCCAGGAACACCTGCAAATTGAAACTTTTTAGGGACTTCTCCGCGTCTTCCACTTCTCCGAAGGCTCCTTCGCCAAGTTTCCTGACAATGAGAATGCTGTCATGGTTGAGCAGCCACTGCGTTCGTTCAATCGGTCTTCGAATCTTGGCGCCTGACGCCGACGACAACGGAGTTTTTGTATTTCTGAACGACAAAGTAAAGCTGAACTTTACAAGTGAACAATTACAAATGCCAGTTGATAAGATCAGGAATGCTTTTCTCATGGTGAGCTTCGAAGTAGAACGTGCCCGAAGGGTCGAGGTTCACCATGAAGTGCTTCACCGTATCTGCGCTGATTCGCACCGACAGCGCCAGCACCACCACTCCTGTGTTTGTCTCTCATGGTGAGAAAGAGCTACTTTCGAGTTCGATCCTTTGCAAAAAAGTTGGGCGACCGAAACTCATTAGAACTTTTGCAAAGGGTTATACGATGAGACGAAACGTAAAATTTATTTCTGCGATGACTCAAGTTTTGAAGTGTCACGAATTCTTCGAAGAAAGAAAAGATGGGACATTTTTTGAAAAGAAAGATGGTCCTGGAGGGTTTCATAGGAGCAGTAAATAATTTTCGAATTTATCGCGTGAACTTAAAATGAAATGGAGATTTGATTTTCCCTTCGCGCACAAAAATTGTTACACTTTAGGGCTTTTTTCATACTTTTAAAAAAATTTTCAAATTTTTAACTCGACACAGTTCAAAGAAGGGAGAAAACCTTGCGTGGCTTCCGTTTTACGGAGCAAGAAGTCGCCTTCACGACGGAGCACCTGCTCTGCGTCGAGTCGCGGGATCAGGCCGTGGTAGTACTCGGCGCCGCGGACGTCGTCGGTGATCGAGGCATCGTCCACCTTTTTCGACGAGGACAGCTGGAACTGCGGTATTTTTTCCAGCATTTGCTTGACCAACCATCGACGAAGACGTCTTCGATTCTCGTTTCATTTCGAGCTCTCTCCGGCTTCCTTTTGCAAAAATATCTGTAGAAATACCTGGCTCTACGCTCATTCCCACGCCGTTTCACACGTTCACTTTTATTTATTTTCCTTTTTTTTCACAAAGTTTAGTTTCATTTTTAAATGAAAAATTGTAGAAATTGTTTCAAATGAAGTACTCTTACCCATCAGATGCGTTCAAAAGAAATATTTGACAAAGTTGATATAAGAGCAGAGGACCTAGTCGAGCTGAGCTCAAAGCAGCTTTCGTGCCTTGACATCTTTTTTTCGATTTCGATAAGCATGCTAGTTAGCGCAGTTCTATGTTTTCTCCAGCTTATGCGTCAATCCGGCAAGCCCGGGCCAGCCCAGGCCAGCCTGGTGGGGATGGCGATAGGCTGGTGGGCCGAGTCTACAAGCCTGGTTTGCTCCAACGATGTCGTATAGCCGATTCACGGCTAGCTTGGGACGATAAGGAGGCGTGGCCTCTCTGCGCTTTCTACCAGCCAGGCCTGTCTCTTTCATTATCGTGTCAGGACCTTTTTCCACCATTCCTTGAAGGCTCAAGGAATGGTGGAAAAAGCGAGAGCAAAAAAAAGGAACCTTTGTCACCTTAAAAGGAACATTTCTATGGAGCCTTTTTGCACCCTTTCCGACTTTGCCAATGCATGGAAAGTTTATCATTTTTTGTAATTTCAGACAAAACCGATCGTTATTTACGCTCTATGATGAGACCGTTTCCCAAAGAGCAAACGAACCCTAGAGCAGCTGCACCGTATAAGCGATCATTCGAAAGAAGAAAAGGCTATCGAAAAATATTTGCAAAGGATACATCGAATGAAAAGTGAGTTTTCTGGTAAATCTGGTTGGTTACTAACAACAATTTTGTAACAAAACAACAAAACAACAAATACTACAACAACTTGGAAAAAAAAGACTATTTGAAGTCATTTTCGAAATAGAGGAAAATGGCGGAAAATCATTCCGTGTAAAATCTTCACTCGAAGTGGTCGCTCTCCTTCTGAGGCTTCCACCTAGAGCACGGTCTCCGGGCTCCAGCTCAACATCCACTACATTCCGAGCTCGTCAAGGCGCAACTGGATGGACTACGCGCAGAAGGACAAGACGAAGGACCGTAAGAACATGCTTTCAACTCTTTCGACTACACGTTTGGACTTCTAGCTCGCCAAAGGCGGTTGTTCGTTATAGCTTTTAAAGTTCTTGTTCACCGCCTAGTCGATTACATCGGACTAAAACAACAAAATAAATGATTTTATTGATTTGATTTTATTGCCTACGGTCTCTGAAATTCAAAAAATGAGTTTCTTCGGGTTTTGATTTCAAACACTTCTGTAGTTACTATATCATTAAAAGAACGAGAAATAAGTTTTCTTTGAAAAAACTCGAATTGAACCAGTTTTTGAGCCTTTTTTGTAGATTTTCGGTGGGCTATTTCTCAGTACGTCATGGCGCTTAGCAAATCTTTCTTTTTTTTCGACTATTCATACCTAGGACTTATTATCTCATTTCATCACGTCGACTGGTCGGTCTCTTTGCCGCTCTCTCATGGGATAATATTCCGACGCCCGTCAGCCCTGGACAAGCTGGGCGCTGTACTGTTCCCACATGGTGAAGCAGTTTTTTCGCTGGTACTACCAACGGGCCAACATTATTTCCCAACGCTAGCTGTCACTCCGGGACGTATTGGACAACGATTGTGGACCGTAACCCGCGCCGACGACTAACTCTTCGATTATACCATGATTCAGCAGAGATTTTCTTCAACTTACTCTAAAGACTGAACAAATTGAAATTGAAATTGATACCTAGGACTAGCTTCTCCAGAAGTTTGGAGAAGACCTGCGATGATCACTTCACACATCCCTTGTGAGGGAGGTCGAAACCAAGTTCCTGCTTTTTTTAATCATATCATCGCTTGTTCACTGGTGAATCGAGAGGTAGATACAAGTAGGTACCGGGTAGCAACTCCAGTCAATCGGCGTGTCGTAATCGGTGGTCATTTGTATGCGACCGGGTACTATCTCTATGGTACCTGGATAGTACCTGGTCGGTATCTGGATGCTACCGGGTATGTACCTGAAATTCGCGATTGCCACTGGCTGGCACATCGGTCGTTTATATAGCATCAGTGTTTTTTTACACCTTCCCAAGCCTTCCAGGGTCCTATTGGATAAAGCTGAAACAAAAAATAACTTTCCGGGAAGCGATTCCAGACTTTCCGGTAGCAATCGCAAGTGTCAGGTAGCTACCCGGTAGCTACTTGCATCGACCTCCGACCCAGGTACCATAGAGGTAGTACCCGGTCGCATACAAATGACCACCGATTACCATACGCCGATTGACTTTTTCAAAAGTTGCTACCCGGTAGCTATTTGTATCGACTTCTCGATTCATCTTTGTTTCAGAAGAAAGAGCTCCAAAATTCACAATCGTGTTAACATAGAGCTGATGATGGAAGGAAATATCTTTTTTCCAGCTTTTACTATCCAAATTTGAAAACTATGCACCAAGAATGTTTCAGTCGAAAAAAGAAATCAACTTGCTAGGAAAGTCATTTTCCACTTTATAGCATACGACATCAGGTGAGAAAAAGAAGATGTTGACTGCTGAGAGTTTTTCAAGGCCAGTTAGGTTTATTGTATTTAGACAAATCTCCAAGCTCTAGGGACATTACTAGAAACTCTTTCAAGCTCTTTTTGGTGTCACAACTCGAGCGCTTATCCAACGTTTCTTGCTTCATGAATGATGAGCCGCGAGATCACTACCGTGGTTATTTTGCCGTCGACGGTTTTCGTATCAACCAGCCGCGTGAATCTTATATTTTCCTTCGATACGACCCGTGACAAAAGAAAAGAAAGGGAAGTCCAGTCGATTGAAAATGTGTTCTGAAAAACATCGGGGTGTTTTGAGCCTAACTGTACTTACAAAACGGTCTAAATACACAGCTCGAATGATAGCGGCCTCTCATTCGCTATATTTTTTGTTCTTCTTTCGCCACCCATTCACGCTCAACAACTCGTTCATAACAGCTTTTTTTTAAGTTGGTCGGAAGAACCTTGTAAATTTGCATTTTTTTTTTGTGGATCAGAAGCTTAATAAGAGAACTTGAGTAAGTAGGATACTGTATCTTGGTTTGCTTCTTTTTTTTCAGAATTTCGAAAGCATGTAAATGGACGATAACGTTGTGGTGGAAGCATCACGAGTTTAAATGTGGAAATAGTATTGGCAAAAAAGTTGAAAATGATTATTTTTGAAATGATTCTTGAAATCAGGTTAAAAGTCGTTTTCCTTCAAATGAAAAATTTCTTATTTTTAGCCATTGATTTTCTGTTCTTTCCTTCATCAACTTGTTCCGGAAAAAGAGGTCCTCATAAGAACCCTCTGAATTTCTAAAAGACCGCCTAGGTCTGAAGCTATGAGTGCAAGAAGGGCTTCTGCAGGTGGGCTCATTTAGTGACTGGGAGGTCGCTATGTCGACTGGACAGTCTAGACGATCTTGATGTGAATTACATCGAGGAATATGACATCGATGGAAGTTCATGTGATAAGACGCGGTGTTTGCCTATTTAGCACTATCATACCTCAAATGACCACATTCGGCGCAGGCAGGTCGACTCACGGCTCAGCACTTTGGCCAATTTGAAGACGGCGCCATCATTATCTTATCTCCTTCAGTTCTCCTAACGCTGCCATCTTCCATGCACTAGCACGGCTTTTGCTTTTCTTTTCTATTTATCAGAGAACCTTACACAATCCCTTCTGTGAATATATACTTGGTTCACTGCTACCTCAAGTCGTCTTTCAAAGTTTCAGCTAAAATTGACGCAGAGGAGCTTGAAACGAATAGCAAATTAGCGGGAGAAAGGTGATTTTTCAACGTGTAAAGTTGTTCGTGATTGGAGTAACATTTGCTTTTTTTGATTCTTTTCTAAATCTCGGAGTTCAATCTTAAAACAGCCTATGGAGTCCCAAAGAAAAAAACAGTCATTTCTACAGAGTCCGGCACAGATGGGAGTGATGCAGACGCCTCCGCCGCCGACGACGACCGCCGTCCAAAAGCGCAAGGCTCTCGGCATCGACTCACTCCTCGAGGTTTCCGCCTGACTCAGCTCTCCTCTTTTATCGCGACGCCTACCGTATCCTTCATGGGCGACCGACTGAACCTTGAGCACTAAAACACAAATTTTCGATTGACTCGCTCTAGTAGTGAAAGATAAGAACTTATTTCGAGATTTTGCAAAAATTAACTGAGCCGTTTTTGAAGCTCAGAGCAAATACTTAATTTTATTGAATTACGAAACCTTTATAGAGGGAAACTTTGTCGAACGTCCAAAAATGAAAGTTCTTTCACTTTATGTGAAAGTATTTCGGCTTATCTCGAATCAATCGATGAAAAAAGTTTTTTTCGAAAAAAAAAACATTATTCCCCTTGCAGAAACATAATTTTTTTCAAGTCTTTGCTAATAAGTTATATTTTTTTTAGTTATCAAAGCTGAATGCTCTTTTTTACTCTGGTGAGATGCAGAGAATAAATGGCAGAAAAATAAGTTAAAGCGCATTAAAAGTTAAGGCTTCAGGCATCATATGTGTGAAAAAAATAAAAACATTTTTGATTTGAAATTTAAAAAATTGTATACACACTTATTTCACGGCCAGCGAAATTTGCGTAGTGTGTACGTGAAAGATTGTCCGAATAATGTTTAGCTCTAAATTTTCAAACATGTCGGCTTTTTTTTTAAATTTCAGTATTGTTTTTTATTAGAGCAAGGCAAAACACATTCTTCTATAACTAATATTTCATCATCTACTTTTCAAGTTTTCCGGATGGCCTGATCAATCTTTTGAGCTGGAAAAAAAATAAGTTCGTTTCTTTTGACAGGAATTCTCTTCAGGCAAAGCGTTCCTGTGGGATGATTGCCTTGAAAAAAGAACTCGCGGGACTGATCGAACGCAAAAAAGAGTTTCTGATGGCGCAGCGACGGGCTTCGCTTCTGGTGGACGAGCGGATGACCGACGAGAGGACCGTCATGAACGAGTTTGTTCCTTGCGACTTCCGAAAAGCCGGGAAGAGTCCTGCATAACTGTGCATTGGGTTCAAAACTACGTAGTTCCTAATCACCGCACAGTTATCACTTTGTGTTATCTCGTCTAGGTCTGATTATGTGATGGAAGGCAAAAAAAGAATAATTCTAGAAAACTCGAGTGCAAAACACATGAAAACTAAAGATAGAGTGTCTTTGTAATTTTTCAAGCCAAGAAAAAAAAAACGAGTCTCTATACCGGAGGCCACAGTGAACGATTTTTTCCAAAATTGTAATGTATTTTAAAATAAAATTTTGACTCTTGTAACCCTGAGAGACGGAAAGTTTCACGAAACGTATTTTCTGTTTGGAAATTTTTTTTAATATTCAGAGATCCTGAAGTTTTTCAAAAAATTAAAACAATTAGTTCTGTGAATACTGATATCACAAAAGTTTACAGATTCGCAGAGTTTTATCGCAAAGTTTCGTCGGCTCCGATGGCTGTGGAGGATCACAAAGAACAAATGAATCTCATCAACCACACGATCAAGGAGTAACTTGCTAGATTCGACTGAGTCAGTTCAATATATGAGGTTGAAGGTCCGTGGTGATCGAATGGCCGCGACAAGTGACGGGGCTCTCCGGCAAGGCTTCAGATGACGTCGTCGAGGTCGACTTGGCTCCTCTAATTCATCGCGCTCGAAACGTCGTCAAATGTCGCACCAGTCATCCGACGATGCGCGTCAAGTGAGTCTCAGCTGTTTCTCTGTTTCTATCGAGACCAAATTTCGTCATTTGTCCTCAGTTTGTCAAAGTTGGGCGTTTCCCGGATGCTGACATTGACACATCTTGCGCTGAGCTTCGAAATTAAAGATAACGAGGCCAAAACCGCATTAGACCCAGGAAAACGCAAAAAAACTCCTCTCTTGATATTTGAAATAATTTTCGAAATGAGAATTGGTGCTGTTTATTAGGAAGATGATTGAAAACAAAGAGTTTGGCGGCATGTGGAAATTAGAAAAAGTGCAGACTTTCTTGGGTATGTCCTAGAGAATTTTAGAACTTTCGAAAATAAAGAAATATTACTTCAGGGTGTATGCAATATCAAAAGAGGACGGCGCGATTGGAACTCAGCCACGAACCATGGAAGCCTTCTTCCGTGCAAGTCTTGTGAAGTTGGCCAGCGACGGAGCAGACTCCAGGTTAGTTCATATACTTCATTCACCTCTTCGGACCAAAGACGTCTGAACCTCGTTTTTTCGCGCATTGCTTCGCTACTTTTGTAAAATGAACACCACCGCTTTAATTTCGTCTCAAATTAACAAATTTTGAACTGTCAGCAGTTTTTTCATGTTTTGCTTGTAGGTGCTGCCAAGTAGCCGGAAAGATGATTTTGACGCAAAGAGAAGGGACCGCAGCCACCAAACTTCTCGACCAAAGCGGGGCCACCGTCAACTGTGATGGCAAGTTGGTGGCTAGCCAGGTGCACGCAAATAGTTTCTGGTAAAACTGCGCTGTTTGAGAGCTCTCCGGACGCCTCCGCGCTGGTTCTCCTGGAACAACTGCACGAAAAAGCAGCCAAGACTACCACGTTGAAATACGAGAATGGATTCTTATGTGCCACGTTTCCAGAAATGGTAATTATGGTTTGCATCTGAAAGTGGTGGTCTTCGCGAATTTCAAGAAGCATATTCCACTCGCGACGACTTGAAAAGTTGATTTCTGTGTCCTCTTTTCTCATGAAATTATGAAAAACTATGTACGCAGAAGGACGAGACGAAGGACCGTAAGACCATGCTTTCAACTCTTTCGACTACACGTTTGGACTTCTAGCTCGCCAAAGGCGGTTGTTCGTTATAGCTTTCAAAGTTCTTGTTCACCGCCTAGTCGATACATCTATGACTAAACCAACAAAATAAATGATTTGATTGGTTGATTGATAGAACCAAGAAAAGTCAGATTTTTTTGTCTCTCCCCACTTTTTGCTTTTTTTTGGAATAAAACGCAAATCTACTTGATATGAAAGTTTCTTGACCAAACTCCTTGACAACTAAATATAAATAGTAAAAACTCACAAAAAATTATAGAAAAGGAAAGAATATCTCAAAAAGAATATCTCAATGGTCATGCTTATCGAAGGGACGCAGGTGATTCACCTGAAAGGATTAAAAGGAGCTGTTGAGGGGGTGACGCTGAACTCGATGGTGGATCGACGGCAGCTCGCGACTCGCTACGCCATCCAGGTCGAAGTCGGCATCAACGTCGACAACAAACTCATCGTCAACCACGTCTGTTTCTTTGTGATTGGTCGCTCCAGAGAACGCGGCCTTTAGATCACTGCCAGACAGACCCTTTTCGAAGTTTTGGCGCAGTATGTTTATAGACAAAGCGCCTCAGAAGCGTTATCGCTTGTTTTCGACAACACGCTCCTTTTCAAACGAAAACGAGATAAGCGCCAAAAGTTGAAGCGTTGAGTTCGACTAATCAATTATTAGAACGCGTAGGCCCAAAACTTGATTTGTTTTATTAGATCATAACGGAAATCGTAAGTTTTTAACAAGACGGGATTTTGAACTGAATGTTTCACAAGTTTCAAACGACTAGATTCGACACGTTTCTTGTGAAATGAATGAACCATTTGTGACAAAGCCGAAAAAATTATGAACCAGACTGAAAAGATGATTGAAGTTGGTGGTATCGCATCCGTTTCTGATTGCCATCACAAACGACCAGACGGAGCCACTTCTGCACTCCATCTTCTGGCATCGTCTCGTCCACGCCGATCACAACGTCAGTCAGCCAGTTCGATTTCTAGGCATCATAAATCATCATAAAGAGAAAAATCCAATCAACTCTCATCGACATGATGCTAAACCACGCCCCTTTTTCTCGGGACTGTTCTATCAAGGTTTTATTTCATTGGTTTTTTTAAAAAATAATGATTTACTACTTTGAGAACCGAAATACTAATGGAAGTTCGATAAAATGCTGCTAGCAAGATTTAAAACAATATTGTAGGTACACAAAAAAACTACATGATGATCCTCGATATATGTACAAAGTTCGCCTTTTAGGTTAACTTATTTCAAAAAATGTAGGAGCCAACTGATTCGAGCGTCGATCACACGCCGATTCCTTGGGGCCTACTTCGGAAGGCTTTACGCAGCTTCGTCAAGTCTCAACTCGTCCAGGCTCGATTTCTTTCTTTCCACGAGCTATGCCACATACAAGGCATGATTTTGCTTCCCAGGCAAGTTACAATAAGTTGAATAGAAATACCCTTGGATTTTTTGAGGATCGTACAATGTAGGACCACTGAGCAAGTGAGCGCGTTGGAAACCTCTCTTTTTGGGAACCTCTCCCAGCCTGCAGAATGCGACGAAAACCCTTCGAGACATCTTCGAAACCGATTGCTGAGTGAAGAAGTTCTCCCAACAACTTTAATAGAGCGCAAAGAGTTCATGACGGTGAGCTAAACGCAATCGGGGAGACTGTGGCCTTGCTCAGGACAAGTGCTACTCGATCCTCGACATGGCGACCGAACTCGGCCACTCAGTCTGGTTCTGGCTCTTCCGTGCCACCGAAATGATCCAAGTTCGTGTTGTCTTTTTTTTTCCTTTTCTCTTCATTTGACCCCAAACTCATGATTAAGGAAAATATGAGAGATCAAATTCTAATTAGTCTGAAATAATTACAATAATCTTTTGATATTGAAGAAATAATTTGTTTTATTTATAATATTCAATGAAGATAGCAGACAAAAATGGCTTCTGCCGTTGAAACTGATAATGAGATTTTTCAACCAATTTCATAGCTTTATTCTCATATCAAATCATAACTATCTTTTTCAAACCTTCAATTTTCATGTTTCTTTTTGCTTTTACTTCAGCAACAGCGTTTGTAAAGCGATCAAGTTAATTTCTAAGTTATTATTTTTATTAGAAGAAGGCTCATTTTTTTTTACTAAACGAATCAATCAATATCAATATTTATTGGTTGTTTTAGTCAGATGGTATCGACTAGGCGGTGAAAAAATTGCTCTTTTTAGCGGCACTAACACCGCCTTTGGCGAAAAAGAAGTCAAAACGTGTAGTCGATTGAATTGAAAGCATGGTCTTACGGTCCTTCGCCTCGTTCTTCCACAAGTAGATCCCTCCGTTTCGCGGGTACGGGCACGGCGGGGATGGTAGGGCCCGGGCACGGACACCGTGTACACTCTAGGGTAGCCTCGGAATGCCCAAAAAGAAATGTTTTTTTGAAAAAGATATGATTCGCTTTATGTATGTACTTTCAAATAAACAGGTGAGAATGCGAGAAAGGATTCCGACCATAAGGTTGAATCTCACGCTTCGTATTTCACTTCCTTCGAAGAGGAATCAATTTAAGGACGTCGGTCACCGGCTCAGTCCTTCTCCCAACGCAGGAGACAAAAAATCTACGAAGACGAAAAAACAATTGGCTGCTTCGGACGATTACCAAACCATGCTAAGCCTTTTCAACAAACAGTAGGTGTAGGAATAACTCCAAACGCAGAAAAAGCTTCAGAATCCTAACCTTCTGCTCAATTAGAGACGTCCAAAAGGCTTTTGAGAAGTGCGACAGCAAGGGCGATTCCATTGCAGTTCGATTCTGCGACGAGAACGCCGGATACTTTTCGTTTGTCTATGGAGTCGAGAGGGGGTTTGCCTTTTTTGGATTTTCAAAAGATGTTTTGTTCAGTTATAAACCTTAGCTCATTTGAAATTTCGTCGGCGCCATAGTTTAATAAAACGATTATTTTCTAGCACCAGAAAAGTAGGAATAGTTTTACTCTTTTTAGAAGGAGGTCAGGGAAAAACAAATTATAAACTTAATATGCTTAAATTTTTAAAATTTTCTTACTCGGGCAATTCGGGGGAAAAAAAGTGTCTGCAGTGTGAGCGCTGTTTTGTGTAAATGAATTATAGGAAAATAAACTGAACAATTAACTCACTTTAGAGAAGAAATATTTCAGAAACTGACCTATGAACCCCCTTTTTCAGGAAGCCTGTTATGGGTTCGATATCTTCAGATCAAGTCAAGGACTTTAAGCAAGGCCTACCTGAAGTTTTGTTCGATGAAAGCTTCCCATCGAGGTCTCTCCCAAAAATTTATCTTTCTGAAGTTTGGGTCAAGGTACTCCCAAATGATACGTTTTGAAGCTTCGTCGCCCGATGAAAAATGTTTCGCACCTTCGTTACTCTTGTGAGTCTATCCAGCTTGGTGGATCTCCGAAACCCAAACGTTCAGGAAAAGAAATGTGTTCCACAACTACGTGACGCAACGGTCGAAGCCCAACAGCGTGCCGATTCTGGACGAGGAAAGCGTCCGCGTCGATGCGCTGAGTGGCGTCCAACTGGCGCGAGCCTCGCCGCCGCCTCCACAGGCGACCGGTCTGCCCAGCAGTGTCTTCACTTCTGTCGCTCAGAACATCGATTGGTCCTTGTTCAGCGAAAGTGAGTAAAACTAACTTATTCTCATGGCCAAGTTCTTCTCAGGCATGGGAAATCTCGGTTTTAATCAAGGGGTTCTGCCGCTGATGGGCTCGAACAACATGGACTTTGCTTCTCTTCTTAAACTAATAACTCACGAGCCGTAAGATTGGGTTATTCCGAAAAAGTATCAGAGTTTGATGCAGAAGCGAAGAGCAGAACGATGTTGATTTGCCGTCCACGTCGGAAGAGACCGTGTCTCCCGCTTTGGACTCGGGGCTCCAAAAGGCGTTGACGTCATCGGCTCCAAGAAGAGCGGCCGTCGAGGAAGAAGAAGACGAAGACGGCGACACTCCTACTACGATGAGCATTGCCGAGATGTTGCTCAGGCAGTACCACGAGGAACACGGGGGCAGTCCGTCTTCATGAAACTGGACGAAATTACAAAAAAAAAAGCGAGAACAGTCATAATGAAAGGCTGTACTTTTTTTTTCTTCATCCAAAACTGGTTTCGTAATCAATCATAGCCTATTTTGCCGATGCCGAGCAGTTGAAATGTTTTAATAAGAAGAGAGATATGCGTGAGTTTACCCCTACATACCTCTGAATTACATTACAATACTGGCGGATAATTGTATTTTGGTATTGCGACTGCACATGTGGGCTTGTCATATCCCCCCTTCCCTCTCCCCGATTCATCAATTTTCTCGTCTTTCCCTTCGGTTTCTCACTTTGTTTATTTGGAATTCCTGATGAAATAAAGAACAAATTATTAACCGAAACCTTTGAAGATCTCCTTCTTTTCAAAATTTTTTACAAAATGTTGGGCGGCAAAAATAGAATGAGATATGTGGAAAGCGATTATTACGCAAAATACCAGTTGGACGGGAAAATCGCGCAAAATCTGCCGTCACGCACATTGCGCCATAACTGTGCCGATCTCTTGCCCCGCCGGCAGTCTGACTCGCGTATTCCGATGCTCCAACTGCTTCTTCTGTCGTTGACGTCATCTGCGACGTCGACCCCCTCGGTCTGGTCCTGTCCGTTCGTCAACCCTATGGGGCCTCTTCCGCCCATGGACTTTCGCATGGGCGAGGAGTAAGTCTTTTGAAGCGGTTGTCGCAATCTCAAAAACTATTGTAGAAAAATTCAAAAAAGTTGAACTGAAACCTCAAAAAGGGGTTTTAAAGATGGCTTCTCTTAGCATACCGATATAAAGTCTTTTATCATTTTTGTTTTTTCTTTTAGTTTGAGTCTAAAATTTAATCTGAAACTGCGAAGCGAAAATTTTTTTAACTTCGCTTTTTCCGCGGCGTTATCATTGGAATAATATGGGCAATAAAAAGGGGGATTTGTGATAAAAAAGAATGCCACTTTGAGGACCTTTTATTACTCTTCGAATGTTTCCGTCGAAAGTAGACCATCAACATCCAAGAAAAAGACAAAATGTTTAATGCCGATATTCTCGCTTCAACGCTTTTTACCTAATGATATATAACATAACGAAAAAAAAAAACTTAAGAAAAATCAACATTCGAAATGTTTTGTTATTAAAAATATCTGAATTCTCGTAGGATAGATTCACAATTGTTAAACCGTTGTACGGTTTCGATTTCTTTGAAGATGTTTAAAATTTCACTTGAAATGCTCCGTTTCAAGAGGAGAATATGCAAAAAAGTTGTGCTGCGTAATTCATTTTTCTTTTTAGAGGTTTTCGCTCCTCAGAACTCTTTTTCCTTTCATTCTGTAGACGTTTTTGTTTCAGCTGCCCGTCGGATTCGTTTCTGCACTATTATTCCTGCTGCGATGACAATCCGTTCCAGTGTTGCTTCCATTTTGAGACGTGGGCTATGTAAGTCTTCTTGATAGAAAACCGAAACAGGAAAATGAATTCTTCGAAAAAAAACGCTTCTCAATTGGGCGAGAAGCTGTCAAGTTACAGTCAGAGGGGAATACCGTGAAGCGGAGCTCACTAGAGTCTATTTCTTTCTTGTATCGCAATAGACGAGCAATAAGGCGAGCCATAAGCTCCGCCCACGAGAATGTGTTGAGAAAAAGAAGTTTGGACTCAGAAATGGGTCCCGTTTAAGCTCAATTTTCTTTTAGAGCATTTGACTCGTATTGTCTTTTAAAATAAACGGTAGGGACCACAGACCTATTTTTCAAACTCAAGCTAGCTCCTCGTTTTTGTTATAAAAATAATGATTTTAACATGTAGTATGCGAAAACAGAGAACACGGCATTATTATAATGCCGTGTTCAAAGTAATTTCCGCGAAATGCGAAATTGTCTCTGACCCTCCAAAATTTAGTTATCTTTCTCTTTCTCTGACGGCTATTTTGAATTTCGCGGAATCACTTTGAACACGGCATAAACGTGTGATCTAAAAACATATTTTTGAGATAGAACAAAATATTGGTATCTTTGAAAGGATCTTGGTCCTTTCTTATCGACGTCTTTTATACTGCCAACTTACTTTACTTGATGATTTGTTCCGAAAAAAACCTTACAACGTTAATTAGTTAAAATTTTTTTTATATTTCTTCATAAAAATCCTTGTCGAAAAAAATTTTTGATAATCGAGTATATTTCTTCCATTTGAGTTTAACTCCATTTGAATATGTTTTCACTTATTCTTACTCTTAATCAAACTTTTTAACCTATAGCTTTGAACAGGTCATATAAAAATTTTATTTGAAAAAAAGTTGAATCTTTGGTTTTTCAGAGCTCCAATTTGAGATGAATATTGAAGAACAATAAGTATAGAAGCAATTGGGAGAATCAGTGAGCGAAAATGAAAAAAGAGTTTCAATTCTTTAGTTTGAATTCTACGAGAAAAAAAATTTAAAAAAAAATTAATATTTAGTTTGAAGTTGAAGAGACGTTTATATGTAGGTTGATCGAAGGGAGTGGTTTGTAGAGTAATGTTCGGTGTGACCTGCATCGTGCTCCTCGCGGTCGGTCTGTTCTTCTCAGGTCGACTTCTCCTTTCTGTACACTAGAAATTTCCCCGACCATTGTACTTTATCGTTCCTCTTTGTTCATGTTTAGGTGTCAGGTAATAAAAATGGCATCAAGACGTGTTTTTTGTCTTTTTTTTTCTCACCACAGCATTACATCCACAAGCCTTCAAAAACCCGTCGACCCAGATGTGGAAGCCATCGTTTCGGTTTCCCGCCATGATCGTCGCGCTTGTCTTCTTGGCCTTATTCGTTTCTCAGACTTCCGCAGCAGGTTTTTTTTTCACTTCTAAACCTTAATAAATCATTGTTTTGGGAATTTCGAATTTAAAAACTGTCAATGGTACTTTTTTTTTTTAAAGAAAGTTGAAAATTTTTTTTCGGATTTGTGGCCTATTATTGGTTGGTCAACCGCTTGAAAAGTTTAAAAAGATAAACAAATGAGTGAATTCAAATTTGAAAATTTGTTTTCAAAAGGTGAAAAAATAATAAAACCTCGGTTAGAGTTTTTAACAAAATGGATGGGTTTGAAGGCGATTTTTTTCAGAGTTTTTTCAAGTATGCTTCTCAAAATTTTTTTTTTCTCAAAATCTAGCTCATAAAATAGGTTGATATACTACCTACGGTATAAAGACAAGTATTTAGAATAAAGCCAAGACAAAAAATCAGTTAGATAACCGGTCATGGGAATTATTCCATCTTAACAAGTGGACTCTTACCGGAACTCAGACATATAAATTAAAACAATCGGGAAGGAAATGATTCATAAAAAAGCGTTTAAAACGAGATTTTCCTTATTTTGTCGCTAAACAGCACTTCATAAGATGATACAAGAACCCTATAAAATCCCTTTTTTATAATTCAAGGGATAGCTATTATCTCTATTAGTCGGTTTAAAACTTCTTGCTCAAGAGTTTAAAGAAGCATGAAATAGATTTCAAAACACTGAGCCGATTTTCGTATCATTCTCGGTTCTGAGAGGTCCGTTTTTCGCAACTTGATAGGACCGGACTTCTCTGCGCTCTCCTTGTCTCTCGGCGACTCTCTCATATTGACATGCCGTTTTCACGTTTCTCTGACGTGGAGGGAACAGAGAGACGCAGACACGCGAAAAGTGTCATTCGAACGGACTATAATAAGCGTGTGTGAGAAACTAATGTGCAAGGACCAACAGGCAAAAAATATAATATTCTACGAAGTTTTTGTGATTTTTCAGTTAAGAAAAATCCTTTAGTTTCGGACGGAATATATTCCGTTTTAAGAAAGACGAAACCGATTTTTCGACTTTCCATTTTTTTTTTCAGACACATGCCCTAAAGACCCATCGGCGCGATCTCAATTAGGAGTGGGACAAGCTGTCTGCTGCAACGGATTGATTCAGAACTTGGTGGAGACGGTCCTCGCCACGGTGGGCGACGCCGCCGAAGAATTGGGCCTCACTCACTCTCTCACCCGCATTGTGCAGGTTCGCGAGAAGAAAAAAACTTCTCGGCGACGCTGGACCTTCGGAAACCCACTTTTTTCAGTCGATCCAATCATTCATTCAACAGCATTTCGGCAAAGCTTTCGAAGTTGTCATTTCGCGCGTCGATTTCGTCCTCAACACTCATTACAACGGCACCCAACTCTGCAAGTTCGCGAGCAAGAACCTCCATCTGGCGGTCTACCAGACCCCTGGCAAAGTTTCCAGCTCAAGTCTTGCACGATTAACTAATTTCCTTGGTTCAGTACGACATCAACTCGGCTCGCGAGGCTTTCTTCTCCAACTTTGGCTCAAAAGACGCGTTCAGCGGAGCGAAGACCCTTGTCGGCAGCTCTTTGAGCTCCGGCGCCGCCGGCAGCTCATTTGGAGGCAGCAGCAGCGGATTTTTCGGATGATTTTTCTCTATTTTGTACATAAAGCCTTTAAAATTTTCTGAAAATTGCTCTGCAATGTGATGGCGAGAAGGATTAAATGAAGAAAAAAAAAGGAAAATGAAAATTTTTCTAAGTCTACGAGAAATAAGTTGAATAACCTAATCAGAATCCCCGTTTCAACCTTCTCCAAACTCCAGAAAACTCAGATCTCACGAAGTATAGTATGTGTGCCACGACTTGGAATTTCACCGAACGACATTCCGCTGTTCCGCTGCGTGTCTTTGCGCGCCTTTAATTTTTCATTCTATTCAAGAACTCGACCAACACGTGTTACTAGGGGAACAGTCCGTCTATCAGAAATGAGCAGCAATGAGATAAAAATAAATTCAAGTTTTGAGCACCAAACGTAAAAATCGACAAAAAAAGTATATAAAAAGCAGAAACTTGTGATTTTGATTTTTATTGGTAATGTTTTTATGCTTCATCTGAAATAAACAATTGAGAAAAAATGAATAAAATTTATTGGATGTCAAAGGCCGAAAGTTAACAAAACAGGTTGCAACAGGCGGCTAGGTTGTCACGAACGACGCGTGACTATTTTAGAACTCGTCTTTCTTCTTTGGAGCGTTTCAAAATAGCGTTTTAGTTTGCCCGAGAACCTATGGAAAGGTCTTGAGAGACGTTCGCAATGACAACGGAAGCAATGAGGAAAATACATGTTGACGATACCGGATCAAGTTTTACCCATAATTTATTTCATACGTTGAAACACGAAAAGCGGTAAACCCGTTTGAACGAGTTCTGGAGCAGGTTTCAAGCTGGACATTTTCTGGAAAAAGATAATTCAAATACTGAAAATAACATCACAGGTCACATGCCGTTAGATTGAATTTCTCCAAATTAACTGATACGCTCAATTTCAAAGATACCATATCTGAATTTTCAAAATACATAAGTTAATTAGTTTTGATGATTCGGATCAACAGACGAGAATAGATCAATTCAAAAAGAGATTATGCGCCTTTCTACAATGATTCATCTAAAAGCGGAGAGTGTCCTTTTTTAAATTTTTCTGTTTGGTTCCGATTTTGATTTCCTTTTTGTGGTTCTGATCAAGTTTTCCGCCTATATATATTTTTGGAAAATATACCTCAAATTTTCCTTCCGTGATCATAACAATTGATTTCTCGCCTTTTTCAATTAGAAATCAGCTTCTAATTATTGGAAATTACTTTGATTTTGATAAATTCGAATTGACCTTGAGGATAACGAAAATAATTTCAGAAATGAAGACTCTCATACTATCGATTATCGCCCGAGCGAAACTCTTGGTCATTCAGGAATTAATCTGAATTGGAGCGACATAATCGGCAATCCGACCAATGATTAACTTGCATTCCTGCTTGAAACGTTTTTCACATAACTCAGAAAGCAAAAAAAAGTTATCACCATCTAGAAATGACGCTTCATGTGGAGACTGAGATGGTCGCTCCGGGAAAAGGCGCGACTGCACTGAGGACACTTGAAGGGTCGGTCTCCGGTGTGCTTCCGATAGTGCCGCGTGAGTTCGTCGGAACGGGCGAACCTCCAGTCGCAGCCTGGCCAGCCGCATTGGTAGGGTTTCTCTCCTGTGTGAGTTCGAAAATGAGCCTTCAGATGGCTGCTTTTCGTGTAGACTTTCCCGCACGACGGATGTGAGCAGTGGTGCAGCCTCTGCAACCGAAAAACTCGTTGAAAGATAGAATTGCTCCATATACGAAGCAATGGGCAAAAAGTATATACAAGTTCCCAAAAACCAGCAACTATGAACGGAATGTCAAGACTTACTTCATTATCCAAATATCAGGCAAGGACAAAACTTGGTCAGTCAAACTTCGAGCCCATATAAACCTTAAGTAGTGACTTCTCTATCTTTTTTGGGAACGTATAAACATTCGTTCAGTGATTTCATGATTATTGCACAATTTCTTTTGCAATTCAAAATAAAAATACACTACAACAGCCGAAGAGAAAGTAATCTGTATAACAGTAAAAAAATTATGTGTGTTAGTAAGCTTTTCGAAAATCTCTCTTCGACAAGGAAACATTTTTTTAAACGAAAAAAATGAGCTAACACCTTTTCAAAAAAAAATTGCAAAAGTTCAGAGCTTTTTCTACAATAACGTCAAAAAAAAGCTTTTTTTATTGAGGCATTTGTTGGTTGAAGAGCTTCTAGTTAGATCTTCTAGTTAGTTAGTTGTGAAAGTTATTTGATGAAACTAACAAAGAAATAAATCATTCGTCTTTGAAGATTGTTGTTTTTGTGAGCTGACCTTGTCTCTGGAAGAGTCTGAGTCGGCCTGAGACGACGACGGTGAAGGTTCACACGCCTCGTCGATCGCCGAATCCTGAAAGAAGCTCCATTTGAAGATTGCCATCGGAATACGCTCACATTGCTCGAAAGCTGTTGTTCCTGCGCTACGCGAAGTTCTCCTTGTGCGTCGCGGATCATCTGTTGGACGGACTCCATCTGCCGACGGACGGCTTCAAGTTGTGTCCTCACTTTCTCGGGGTCCACCAGTCCACTGGCGTCAGGCAGAACGGCACGACAAGAAGCTGCAGTCAGCTCCTCCAGCTGCTGTTGCATGGTTTCGACGTCAAAACGTGGGTGGTAGACAAAGGAGTTGACCGATGAGGAGATCGACGAGGGCAGGTCTGAGGTCGCACTCTGCGTCTCCACGTTGATCGTCAACGGATGGGAAGATGCTGGAAAACCATCCAACATGAAAATCGACTTGGAATTATGGAAGACTTGTTTCTTTTGAACTTTTTAACGAGCTCAACATCTCATCCAGTATGTGATCGCTTTGATCAGAACACATTTTTTCAACTTTGAGTCGCTAGGAAATATTTTTACAGACCATCAATATAGTTTAGAATTTCAAATAGAAAATATTTTCATCCAAACCCTGACTATTCTCACAAAGTTCTACTGGGCTTTCTGAGAATGTTGTTGTAGGAAAGGCTGCCTGAAACTCACTTCTTGCCTGTTTTGAAATGGGGCTTGTAGGGCTCTCCATGTTTTGATCAACTGCTTCTTTTTCTTCAGCAACGGGTGACGTCTTAGTTATGAGATTTCTAGATGTCGATGGAAGATCTGCAAAGAGGAAATCATTCCTGAAACTTCATATACAGTACCATGGGTGGAGCTTGAGTGCACAAGTCTGATGGGAACCCTATGAACTTTCGTTTCCATATTTCTGCTGATTGAACCATCCTGGAAAGAGTGAGATTGGATTGTGTCGAAAAACAAACAAAACATTGAGAAGATCCGATATTTTGTATCCTGACCGGCGAGATTCAAACGTCGTCCGATTTCGAGGGGAAACTGGAGCGAAAGCGCCTTAAAATCCAACTTCTTATCGAAAACGAACAAACGTTACTTTTCATGTTCAAGTCCTGCAGAGCCGCTCCTAGCGCAGTTGTGGGCGTGTTGAAGCCGGAAATGGAAGAGAAGGGTTCCGGTAGCTTTCCTGAAAAGATGGCACATCACATGCTCTGGATTCCTGAGTAACTTACTGTCTTCGGCAAAAAAGTCGCTTTTGATCTGCTCAAGTCGAGCAGACATTGTAGAAAACTCGTTGGGTTCGAAGAGACTCTGCGTCGAGGGAAAGCCTCGTAGCCGTTGTCGGTAAGGCGAGAAAGCTGCAACGTTCTGATTAGCAGCAAAATTTTCATTTCGAACAGGCCTTTTTTATGCACTTTTTGAAATTTCTGTCTACAGTAGTCATGGCGTTCTTTAAGTTGCCGTAGTGATACAATGTTTTAGAAACGTTTTATTTTTTCTAATTCTGGGTAAAATCTTAATTCCGTGTGAAATTTTCACTCGAAGTGGTCGCTCTCCTTTCGAGGCTTCCACCTAGAGCACGGTCTCCGGGTTCCAGCACAACATCCGCTACATTATAAGCTCGTCAAGCCGCAACTGAATGGACTACGCGCAGAAGGACCGTAAGAGCATGCTTTCAATCCTTTCGACTACACGCTAGGACTTCAAGTTCACCAAAGGCGGTTGTTCGTTATAGCTTTGAAAGTTCTTGTTCACCGCCTAGTCGATTATATCTGACTAAAACAACAAAATAAATTATTTTATTTTATTTGATCGAGCCAACTGGGCAAGTAGAGCACTCAATCAGTCCAGGAGTAGATGACTCACGAAAATTTGAAAAAAATATAAAAAAATAAGATTCAAAGTTATGTTGAAGAAAAATAAAAATTAAGCTCTGACCTTAAAGATTATTGTTTTTTTGATTCAGAAAAAAAGTCTGGAGGGGGTTTTTGGCTGTTTTTCAGAAAAAGGTCTGCCCTTATATAGTTAAAAAGTGGAAAAATCTCTGTTTTCATCCAGACGTGACTTATTGCCCCCTCCCCCAAAAAAAAATTGCAAAAAAATGTAAAAAAATCTTTGTGGAGTTTTCATAATACCACTTTATATAATGTGGGATAGCGGTGAAGCCTCTAAATCGAATAATTTCCGCAAGGTTTTATAAAAAAAAAAATCTATTTCCTATTTTTCTAACTGCTATTTTCAAGATGACTAAACAGGGAGGTATCCTTCATTCTTTAAAATTTAGCTTCGACACCTTTTTCATTTTTTTAACTCTCAGTTGTGTTCCTTGATAACTTTCCGAGAAAAAAAAAACGAATTTGTGAAGGAAAATATAGATAAATTTTTCTCTATTCAAGTTTCATAACTTGAGACTTATTGCATACGTGTATTATAAAACTTCATGAATCTGGATAGAGAAGACGATTTCCCGAGATAAAACTATCTCACAGATGATAGCGAACATTTCCCAAAAAAAAAAAAACAGTCTTGCGGTGCTGTTCACAGTGAATAATATCTGGTGCAGTTAAAAAAAACTTTTATTTTCAAAATTATCATTCACCTGTTGAAGAAGTTCAAAGAAAACTTATACTCCTGTTAAAAATTTTAAACGAAAGCCAACTCATGGCATATATGCGCTTTCTAAAACCGAAAAGCTTTAAAAGGTTTCATTATGAACTCATCAGAAGTTGACTAATGTTTTTGAGTCTACAAGAGGTTGTAAACTGACCAGTGCGTTCGTCATCGGGATGGAAGTCGCAGCTGGACGAGGCTTCAGAAGAGGTCGTGGCTCTGCCGGAGTCGTCGTGGCTGTCCGTCTGAATCTCTGCGTCGTCTTGTTTTCCTTTCTCTCGATTTATTATTTTGTTTTTGTTTTTGTTGCACGCGGTGTCCCATTACACCAATGAGCCACCCCAATAATCTACCGTAACATTTGGGTGTGGCGCGCGACTATTTCGGAACTTTGACTTGAGTGTTCTCAGGCATCGAAGCGCGCCCATTCGATTATGAAGAACACAGACGTCGCTCCTCTTTTTTTGCTGATCGCAGTGATCGGCTGTTTCCAAAAAAAGAGAAACACCCAAAGAATTCTAACATTTCGAAGTTCTCTTCCCATCACAAAAATGTCCTAAAAAAGATTGTTCAATTAAAAAAAAATGATAATGTTATTCCAAGAAGTATTACAAAACTACTGAGATGCTCAAATTAACTTTTGATTTATTTTTATTATTTGCTAAATTGAGATACTGGAGCACGAAAAAACCTGGGTGAGCTTCCTTTGGAGGGAGTTTGACAAGAGACGCTCGTAGGTGTTGGAAGTCTTGGAGATTTCGTGCACGCTGAACTCTAGTTTTCAAGAAGTTTCGGAGGCAAACCTTATACTTTTCGAAAAGTATTTCTGATGTATACAGGCTTCTTGACTACAGTCTCAAAGTTAAGGTCAGGAATAAAAACAAATTTAAACTCCGTAGAAATTACAAGCCGAAAGCATGGTTAGCCGAATTGTTACATAGTGATTTCTTCAAAAAAAAAAAAGTCTTTGCTGCGCTTTGAAACTTTGACGAATGCTCATGAAAATGAGCTAAAGCTCGCAGTCTTGTCAATCAGGCGCGAACCTTTCGTAGAACTCGGAGCCGAACTGGTTGTAGCGCTGCGTGGCCTCCCGGATGCGTCGGGCCACGTCGTCGTCGCCACTCAGAGACGCCGCTGAACAAATCCAATTAGAGAGGAGAGAGCGGAGTCAGGACGAACCGGAAGCGAGGAAGTTGGGCGACAGGTAGACCGTCTTGAGAGCCCTCGCCGAGGCGTCGATCGACAGCCGCGGCTTGTTCGGGATGTGCACGACGTTCTCGATGAAAGACGACGAAGTTGAGGACGACGTCGATGACGTCATGTGCCCAAACGGCGAGCTACTGCCGCCGTACATCCCTGAATATCGTTTCGTCTCAAACAGTTGTTCTAACCACCAGCTTCAAAACATTTTTCTTGGATATTTTGTTACTTTTAAGTTTTCCACCAAATTTGATGCAGCTTTGCAGTTTGAACGAGAAAAAGCCGCAAAGCTGCACCTCCAAAGACTAAAATATTATCTGTATCTTTTATCGCTTCTAATTTCCACTATCGATTCAAAAAAATGGAAAGTAGAAATGATATAGCTTTTTTATTTCAATAACGTTTAAACGCCTAGAAAAATGGCCGAATTACGCTACTGAAATTTATGCGAAATGACGATGAGAATGATTCCTTTTCTCAACAGTTTTCAAACAGTAAGCTTCGAACTGAAAAAGTCCATTTGCATATAGTGCAAAAAACCTGTTCAAAAAAAAAAATTGAGTTTTGAGGAATAAAACATTGAATTGAAGCTGTGAATACTTCTGGAAGAGCTTTTTTTCATACATTTAATTTACACTTAAGAGAGAGAGAGAGGGAAAAAAGAGATTTGTAGCAAAAATTAAGATTTTTATTTAATAAAAGTGATGTGAACTGAGGACAGTGGTTAGGAGACCTTCACAGAAAGAATTGACGGGTAGAGTCAAAGAAAAAAAACTTGGGTTTTCTAACTCGAGTCCTCTTTTTTTCTTTCACTGGATTTATGTCAGAAAAAATTCGACCGAAAAATTTTTTTGATAACGTCTCTTTTCAAAGGCTTACAGAAATTGAAAAAAGTTGAAAAAGTGGACTTCCAACACAAACTTTTTTTCAAGCGTGAGAAAGGAAAAAATATTTGTAAAAACTGATTCGAACTAAAATGCAAAAAAACTTAAAAATGTTTAAAAGGTAAGAAATTATTAGTTGAAAATAGTCGGATTGAAATATCAGAAGAAAGACTTAGAGGAAATCGTAAGTGAGTGGAGCGTTGGAGTGATAAGAGGTGATAACGTTGTCAGCTGATGAGGCGAATGCCCTGAGGGCGTCGCTCTTCGCTCCGCCTTCGATTCTTGTGACAAGAACACAGCGAACGCTTCTTTTTGGATTTCCCATCAATTTGAGGAGCTCCAGTATCAGGACTGATATTCGAAAGGATGTCGTTGTTTCAGAAATTTTCCAGTTGAAACTTCGCTTTATCATGTTTATTCTTGAAAATGTGCTTGCTTGAAATCATAAACCAATAACTAAAAACAGGGGCTTTAATTTATCTACACATTACTCTTCTGAAAATCTTCAAAGTTCTGTGAGAAGTGTGAGAGGTGAAAAAGAAACACTTTTCTATATATCTAAATTGCTTTTTTCCGTTTTTGGTGCATCTTTAATCATAAACAAGAAAATGTCAAAAATTAGTAAACTCGATTTTAGGCAAGAAAAAAAAAACGAGAAGTGAGGCTTTGTCATTTAAGCTTTGATCACGACTGTACAAGTCTAATGAAAAATTAAAGAGGGAAAAAACCGTTTCCTAGCGTAGATCCGTTCTGGGAGAACAGAATAAATAGGTTTAGTCCGGAAAATGTGATTTGAAAATAAAAAAAAAACAAATCCGCTCAGAAAAATGAAAGAAAAAACACCAGCGGTGTGGTTAAGAGAGAAGAAGCAAAATATGAATTGTGGATGATGGTAGTCAAATTGGCAACATTGGGTTTTTGGAGAGGGACTTCTTCTAGGCGGCGGTCGGTCGGAAGTGACGAACTGGTTCGGGGCGGGCAGAAGACGTCGCGACGACGACGAACGGACATCGTCTCCAGAATCGACTCAGCCGTCCTAATCGATGATATGGGCGACACGCATGTCACGTCTTCTTTTCAGGGGCCATTCTTTCGGAGACTCTACCCACGCTGACAGCGCCACTAACGACGGCCACTTGTTTTATTGAGATTTGTCTGATTATTGAAGTCTTTTTTTTTTTTGCAAATTTGCTCTTTTTTCATTTTACTTTTTTTCATTTGAGATCACTTCAGTAATCCGAGAATTTTCCATCGGGTTGGAAATTAGTTTGAGGATGTATATCTGTTCAAAATATTTTTCGCAAGAATGAGAGAAAAAAGATTGACGCCGGATAGTAGCAAGAAGACGGATTTTAGCAAAAAAAAAACTTTATATGTTTGTCTCGATTGGACTGATAAATCACATATCTTTTTTTAAAGTTCATAAATTTCTATGAGATAATTCAAAAAATTCAACTTGTAGTAGAGATAAATTGAAATTTCTCTGAGAAAGCTACAGGGAGCGCTAAAACATAGTTTATATCTTAGCAAGGCTTCGTCGAAGTCTATTTTAACATTCTTCAATTTTCGTCAACGTTTCTGAACCTCGAAGTCTCTTCAATTCTTTAATTGAATATAGGTGTATGACTACTTCAATGACAGAAAACCATGTCTCCCACGTAGGATCAAAAATCGACAATGCCAAAAAACGCAGCACCCTTTTTCTAAGAGAGGTCAAATTATTAGGAAAACGAAAAATGAATCGATTTCAGGTCTTTGAGCAAACGATTAAACGACAGAAACCTTTTCGCGGAGCAAACGACGCCGAAAAAATGTCGCAACAGGGCGTGGTGATAAGAAAAGTGATAAAAACTAAAAATGCGAAATCAACGGTTTTCAAACAGAAAAAAAAAGAAATTGTGTCCGAGGATGACAGAAAAAGACCTTTTAAACAGTTATAAGAAATTTTGACTGGGCAATTAAGATTATGAAAACTGCAAACATAAAATAATTTTACTGGAAACGAGAACAGATATCCTAAAAAATTCTCACGATGCGGCTACATTTTTCAGATATCAGGGCGCGGTCGCTGATAAGACATCGACCGAACCAAAAAAACGCTGGCAGACATTCATCCGAACCCGTACTCATTCGAACCCAAAGCGGATACTTACTCATCCGAACCTTCCATTCCCATGTGTACCCTTTTGTTTGCCACTAACAAATTTTCTCATTTTTTTGGGTTCGAAATGAAATTTTTTGGGTTCAAATAATATCAGTGGTAACCAAGAGGGTACGCGTGTGCATTGATGGGTTCGGATGAGCAGGGTTCAGAAGAATGTCTTCCGAAACGCTATGTTCGTGAAATTTCCGGAACCAACCGCGTTTGCAAAAAAAGATTTAAATAAAAATAAAAATTGAACAAACTAAGACAGATGAAAAACGTTTCGCAAAGAAAAGACAAAACGCGAGACGAGGTGAGTAATTGTAGTAGAAAAGTAGTTGGGCAAACAGTCTCGGCCGTGTGTTTCCCAACGAAAAGCACGCTGTGCTCGTACGCGTCAGGACCGAATAAAGAAGCCACTGAGGTCAAAGGAAGCGCGGAGAAGAACAACCGAAAACTGTATCCAGAAATTCCCTTACTGAACTTTAATTGTCATTGTAGAGGTAAAATAGCATAAGTTCAAAAATATTTCAAATGAATTTCGGAAACTTATTCCCACAAGGAAAAGTACAGAAATGTCTTTAAGTGACAATAGATGGACAAATAAATAATTTGCATTTTTCAAATATTAATATTTTGCAAAAGATAGTTTCAAAACACAAAAAAATTGCAATTAGATTTCAAATTACAAAAAACGGTAACTATTAGATGATCTTCAGTAAAAGGTAAATCTGACAAAATAATCGATAAGACTTACCAGTGACCTAAGAAAAGAAAAATTCAAAGTTTGCGCAAAACTCGTCGCTGTACAGATCAGCTTCATTCGGAACGGATAAAGCGACATTTCCTATCAAGAAACTGAAGTTAAATCGGAAAGGTGATGAAACGAAAAAAAGCTTCACTTTTTTTTTGGATTATTTGAAAAAAGCACAGTTATTATACTTCAAGAAAATTGAGAGCAAAATGATTAAATTGGTGTTTGTGTTGAATCTTGATAAGTAGAAGACAATCAGACAGTCGGCTGGGCGAAACTGGTCGAAAAGGATGGAAAAGGAGAAAAGACGCAAAGAAGGCGTTTCTAAACAATCGAAACACTGTTCTTATTGCTCAAGTTTTTGAAACAGATGTGAAAGAAGACTTTCATCCTTCACCTAGATTCAGGGTTCAAATCGAGCGAGCTTAATCGGAGAGCATTTAGTTATCAGAAGAGTTCAGTTAGGGAAAAGACTTGTATTAAGAGAAGGTGAAGCTCTCTGAGGAATCAGAAAAGAAAGTGGAAGCCTACATCAGTCCGCCGATTTTACTTACCGCGCCAACCGTGGCGGTAAAAAAAAGATGAAAGAATTGACGGAGAGGAGACCAAGACGGACAAGAGAGGGAGAGAAAACAAGGGCGTGGTCGTGTACGAGACCAGGCGACACATGCGAAACACGTACCTGTGGTGGTCCGCCGCGACGAGGCGCCAGAGCAACCTTGGCGAACGCCGGTGGCACTTTCTGCCTCACAGACACCGATCTTTGGTCCCACTCAGTTTCAGACCTGATAGCCTTACGCAGTAGCGGTCGAAGAAAACATCTGCAAATTTGTACTTTTTTTTTCAAATCGATGGGATGCTCAAACGTTCTGAGTGGCTTTGATCAAATTGAAGATCTACTCAAATCGATATATAGCGTAAAACCTAACAGGAAGAAAAATCAGTGATCGCCATAAAATGATTTATGAAGTTGCTTCCCATTCATTAAAATGATAATCTGCATGATTACTCTTTTGATTTTCTTTATATGCATGTTCTATAAAATTTCGAACTAGATTTTTATTGAGGACTTTACTGTCTATTCAAATAACTTCAATGGAAGCTCCTCCCATGCGACCCCTTACACTGGTCAATCGGGAGGTCAACACAAGTAGGTTTCGGATAGCTACCGCTCGTGAGGTGGCTACCGTGTAGCAACTTGTTAGCTACTTTCATGGTACCGGAAAGCATGTCAAAAATCATACCCGGTATAGCTGATTCACGGCTGGCTCGAGCCATCGAAAAAATGGTCCTGACACGATATTGCACGAGATAGCGCCTGGCTCGTGGAGAGCACAAACAGGACAGGAAACGCCCCCTTAGCGTCCAAAGCTTGTCGGGAATCAGCTCTAACATCGCGATACTTCTCCGGTAGTACCCAGATACCATTGAGATAGTAGCCGGTCGCATACAAATGACCGCCGATTAGAATGCGCCGATTGACTTTGAAGTTGCTCCCCACTACCTACTTGTATCGTCCTCCCGATTGACCTTTGTAGAGAAACACAAACTATGTAAAGATGAAATCAAAAAAGGTTTCTGACACTGAAAAAAAGGGAAATGAACAAGAAAAGAATGAAATATTGATTTGCGAATGAGCGGATCAAACAGTTCGGCGCGTTCGGTCAGACAGACGCCGCTATTTAGTAACCAGGGACATTGCCTCAACTACAGTATACCTGTTCGGTTGAGCACTTTTTGCCTCATATTCCATATTTTTTTACAGACCATTGTTTTTTTAATCGTTTTTCCTTTCCCATATATTTGAACGGTTCACTGATGGCGTTTGCAATAATCGCCATTTTCAGTAAAAAGTCAGAAAAAAAGTAGCTGTTCTCGGATATCTTCCGGCAAACTTATATTCACCCTTCAACCACGTTCAAAAACAGTTTTATTATTAGTTAGTAATGGTTGAATTTGAGTGGGTTCATATAGTCTGTTCAGATTTGGAGTGTCAAGTCATCGCTTAAACAACGACTTTACTCCAGAAGAATGCGTGTAAAAATTGCGGTGTCCTGTCGAGCAATGCCAAAAAAAGAGCAAAGAGAAGATAACTTTGTGCGGCATCTTGTATCAGCACATAATGTACAAAAAGCTGGAGGCTATAAAAAAATGAAAAGACAAGTCAAAAAAATTGAATCTTGTAAGACAGGTTAGGAAAGTTCAATGAGGCATCCTTACGCTAATTCAGAAACATCATAATGAGAGTTGCGAAGAGAGAAGAGCCGAACATCACAAAAAAACTCTCGCAACACTACATTCGGAGTTGGTTGACACGAAACAACGTTTTTCTTTCTTCTGTTTCTCTCCCGCCTTCAACTGATTTCCAAGAAATACTTGTTCGTCGAGAAAAAAACTACTTATTCGTGGTGGTAGCGCTCCACGAGACCTTCCGATTGATCTGCTCAAGGTAAAAAAATTTAAAAAAATCCAATATAAAAAAATTTTTTTCACAAAGGTCGGAAGTAATCCGTCGAAGAGCTCCGAAACACGCGAAGAAACCTTTTTGTGAAAAAAATTCGGCGATCTCGCACTGCGCTATTTGTTTCAATGTTTTATTTCGAAAAAAATTCCTGAACCTAAAAAGTTTATCTCACCATGGTCAGAAGGATTGCGGAGAAAGTAACACTGAAATGATCGAATGGCTTAAGTGTACGTTCTGCGCACTTTGGGCCCATTTGCTGTGTACAGAACAACTGCCTAGAAGGAAGTGTCTTTGCTCAAATGGCATCTTCGAATTCAATCAATCAATTTCGAGCGACAGCGATTAATTTTATATCCGAATCATAGTATTTATGTTTTTTTATGCAATATTGTAAGATTTATCGAGAAATTTAGAGCTAAACTTCAAATCCAAATTTGATTAGTAAAAAGCCCATTATTTGCATCCTATAGTCTGTTTAGATTTCCAAAGTAAAAGTAACAAACTCCGTCCCTAAAAAGCTCTCTATGGATGACTCTCTCTTTCTCTCTCTGATTGGTTTTGATATACGCATAAGGTGTGGAGTTTAAGCGATGACTTTACACTCCAAATCTGAAAAGACTATATGAACCCACTCAAATTCAACCATAACCATTACCAACTAATAATAAAAACTTTTTTTGAACGTGATTGAAGTGTGAATATAAGTTTGCCGGAAGATATCCGAGAACAGCTTCTTTTTTTCTGACTTTTTACTGAAAAATGGCGATTATTGCAAACGCCATCAGTGAACCGTTCAAATATATGGAAAAAGGAAAAACGATTAAAAAAACAATGGTCTGTAAAAAAATATGGAATATGAGGCAAAAGTGCTCAACCGAACAGGTATACTGTAGTTGAGGCAATGTCCCTGGTTACTAAATAGCGGCGTCTCGGTCAGACAATTTACCGCTGCTTAGAAGATGAATCATCTTTAAAAAGACATGTTAACTCTAAACAAGCTTTCTAGGTTATTGACTATAAGAAAATCGTTTTCGAAACGGTAACTTTTTATCGCGACCAAAAGAAAATGCAGGACTTCTGCGGACAAGCACGCCGAAGCCGTGAATTATGGAAATTTTTTATTGTTGTACATTGTATTAATGCAAAAAACAAAAGCCAAAAACTACTGAAGTGGTCACTAAATAGAGAGCCTCTACAGTGGTCACTAAAACGGAAAATAGTGGCCACTGTAGAGGTGGGTTTAGTGGGCACTTTAGTATCCTCTCCAAGTAGTCCTTGGCGAGCCTCTAAAGTGGCCACTGAAAATTTTCCCAGTAAGGGAGAGATGCAGACCGAACACGTCTTTTTTTAACCGCTTTTTCAATTTTTGCCAAGTTTGAGTTAAAAATTATTCACTGATATCGTTTTGTTGCTGAACCTAATCCGTCGATGAGAAACTTCCATCAAAGATCTTTTTATAATCCTGCATCTCATTTTTACTGTACTTAAGTACAGCGTCTTTTTAGCTAAAGGTAGTTTTTTTTCCCAAAAAAGGAATTAATAACGTATATGGTCCATTTTCGCGATTTGAAAGGGCGGGATTCTCTGCGCCCTCCTTATCTCTCGACATCTCTCCCATGTTTACGTGCTGTTTCCATGTTTCTCTGACCTCGCCGGTAAGAGAACAGAGAGACGCAGACACGCGAAAAATTTCAAGTCGCGGCGGACGGAATATATCCACCACAGAATGTTTTTTTTGAACGCTTCTTTCAGCTCTTGAACGAATAGATGCGTTAGAAGGCTTGAGTGCTGAGGAATCTGGCCTGAAAAAGTGAAACATGCTGGCTGGGAGTGACCCTCTGCAATGACTACCGTAGTTTTGGGCGTTTTCGACCGTCGACCACACCCAGTAAGCGTGATGGGAACGCATAAGAAGGCTTTTTTTGAAATTGACGTTTTGCCGCAACGCGGTTGAAGTTTTTTCAAGCGATCTTCGATTCGTCAACAGGGATAGAGATAGGCTAAGGAGAGCTCAGAAGAATGTTTGGATAACTTGCTGTTTTAATATCATATCTGAATTTTTTTTTTTTGAGACAGTTATTTTTGTCAAAATCTCCAAGGTTCATTTGATAATCATTATATTTGGGGTTCTTTGCAGTTTCTAGACATCTCCATCAGAAGACTATATCTGGATATTCGTCCGTGCGTGAAATCAGAACATAAACTGTGTACAGGCCTGTGAAGCGGCCTTCTTAAACAGCAATAAACGTGCGCCGAAACCGCAAGTGTCGACAGAATCGGCTGGAACAATGAGGAAAACTGTTTCGTGTGGGATGTTTGTCGCAGAACACTTTGTTTGTTTTTATTCCCAACCTTTTCGTGGTTGCGTTCCGAAACACAAGAAATGTGAGCTTTTCCTTTTTTATGAACTCAAATTTGGTACATAATGATTGGAACGAATCTTCCCAAGCTTGAAGTGAGTTGGAGAATTGTCAAAGTTTCAATCCTAGACCGATGAAAGCCTCTTGAATTCAAATATTCATGAATAAATAATTTTTCGGTTTCAAGCTGTGAATAATCTTCTGTTATTCCGTTGATGTAATTGACTATAAAGGATGATTTTTCCTGCGTTTCCTTTTCAAGGTTTTGAAGGAAAAAACTGCGAAAAGTCGCTAATTTTTTACTTTCAATAAGCTCTCATAATTTTTCTGAGGTTTTTCTTGTTCTCCGTCTTGAGGTGAACATTTACGATTTTTTTTCAGAACGAAACAGTTTTACAGAAATTAAGTCAAAAACGTTTACACGTGAGCGTAAATCTACGCGGAGAAAGGTCTCCTTAAACTGCGCGACAGTTGCGCTAAGCCTCGCATACTATAGCCACCCTTTCCAGCCTTTTTGAAACGTCGTCAGAAATCCTTTATTCCTTAAGCGAACTGGATTCTAGGTCAAAGTGACTTAAAAGCGGAAAGTACGGATGGAGGTTGCTTGTTAGTAGATTTATAAATATAAAAAAACTCGAAAAACTATAAGGTAAAAAAAGTAGCTATATTCCACGAATAACGACAATTTTTTTATAATATAAGACTCATTTGAGATCCATATTATAATATGGATTTTTTTATAAGTATATACTTATTTTTTTGAATACTGTATGGCGAAGCTCTGTGTAGGAAAAAACACACACGCTAAATTGCATGATATGAAAACCGGCCATTTCAATTTTTTTTTGTTTTTAAAAAGTATTGTAAAAAAACATTGTGGAGGTTTTTTTTCAATTTCCAAAGATTCATATATTTATTTTGTAAATTCTCCACGGCAAGTTCTACTGTTGAAAGATGGTCTGAAAGAAAAAACGAATTTTTTGCTGTATTTGTAGTAGTATAGCTTTTTCAACACTTTCCATTTCGTTTCAACAATTGTTTTCGTTTTCTCGGTTTCACAAAGTTTTTTTTTCAGCCGATATGCTGTCTCTGCTGGGTAAGTCAGCGGGAAGTTTATCGAGCGGGAGCGGCCGTAACTCTCTTCTCCTTGTTTGTAGCCAACCCTACAGCAGTCAAGTCACTCCAGCAACTGAGGACAAATCTAACGTTCCTCAGCCACGTGTTAGTTCTCAAAACGCACAGTTTCGCAAAGGAACCGGCGGAAGGTTTGAGTTATTTAATTTCGCAGGCGTAGCGGGATCCCGCGCGAGTACGTGATTGACTCTTTATAAATATTTTATTGATTCAGAGCTTCATTCTCCGGAAATGTCGTGACTGTTTTTGGAGCAACTGGATTCTTGGGACTACCTGTTATAAATAGACTGGCGAAGAATGGGTCTCAGATCATCATTCCTTACAGGTTTTTGATAATTTTTAGAGGAAATAGCTAAGAACCTTGATGATAATTGTTTCCTACTTGAAATTTTTATGTCACAACACTATAATGTTTGCAGACAAGATCCGTATTACTTACGAGAGCACAAGGTTGTCGGCGAACTCGGGCAAATCCTCTTTTTCCCTTTTGAACTCAAAGACGAAGAGAGCATCCGCAAGGTTCATATAAATGGATGTAGATAAAAAAAAGTCTATTTCAGGTGGTGAAATACTCAAACGTTGTCGTCAATCTTGTTGGAACTCGCTCTCCTACCAAGTAGATTTTTCCTTTTGTCAAAAACTCTGTTAGCTTTAGTCGGGACACCTGCCTGAAAGTGAAGAAAGTCCATGATATATTAATTTAGAAGAAATAAATCGGAAGGTTTTAAACATTTTTCATATGCTTTCAGAGAAGGGTGCTTGATAATTTCAATTTTTTTAGTTAAGTTTGTGAGACTAACTTTGTTTTTTTCATCGATGCCTTTCAGAGATATACCCTTCGTACCTACCCTAGCGCATTTTTATACCCCTTCCCAAGTTTTTGATGAGCACAGAATCTAGTCATGTAACTACTGCTGCGCCAATTTCGAAAATCGTATCTATTTCAGGTTTTAATGTTGATTTTTCCGATTAGTTGAATTTATAATTTGTGAATCCACAAAAAATTATCATAAACAGTCCTTCATTTTATAATTTTCAGTTTTTCGTTAATTCAACGTTTTCTCAGCAATTACGGTTTTGATGCGGTGAACAATGAAGGGGCACGAAGACTGGCGCGAATTTCACGGGAGATGGGCGTTGAGAAGTTCATTCACTTGTCGGCACTCGGAGCTACTCCTGAGCCGCCCAAAGGCGTTTTCGTCGGCAGGAGCGAGTTTCTGAGGACAAAAGTTGCCCTTTCCCTTGAAGAAAAGGTTGATTTATCTGCGTTTATAGGGTCTGGGAGAGCTTGCCGTCAGGGAGGAGTTTCCGTCGGCAACAATCGTCCGGCCATCGATCATGTACGGCGAACTTGACGCCTTCATTCAGTACTACGTTTCGCGTTGGAGGAAAACGCCTCTCGACCTCGTCTACCTCTACAAGAAAGGAGAACAAACCTACAAGATGCCCATTTGGGTTAGTTTCATGTGTAGGATTGGTGGGAAGTCGGATTTTTAAAGTATTTATGCCGAAAATTAAAATAATGAAGCAATAGTAAGGAGGAATTGAATTGATAATGGAATTTTTTTAAAGAAGAAGCGAAAAAATTGTTGTTTTTGAGATATGATGCTTTGAACTTCCGTTTTTTCACCAAGAAGTTTAATTTTCCTTTAAGGTGTTTAATCGCCATTTTGCAATTTGCACGACAAAGAAAGAAATGAAACATCGAAATAATCAAATTATTCTAACAGCTGATCAGTGGAAACGGCTGGAGGAGAAGATTGTCTGAATAGACGGTGCTAACCCCCATTTATTATTCAAGTTCTTTGTTTTTTAAGTACTTTCTTTTGAGTAAGAATGATATAATCTAGATTTTAGTAGGATCTAGGGATTTTAAAAAAATACTATATTTTTTCTTGCTTGATACTGCAATACTATTACTTTTGTGCCGATAGCTACTAGGTATGCTTGATTTTTGGCGGATTCATAGCAAATTCCAAAGTTATAACTTGATTGATCTCTATTGGCGTAATTATTATAATAGTTTTTCTTATTTAATTTTCTAGATACAAAAAAATAGTTTTCTCCGGAAAAATCGTTTGTGATAGAGATACTGTCGGCATAAAAATTATATTTTTTCGGTTAGTTTGTCTTGATGGTTAAACTAATGGCTGTACAGGTCGGCGACGTTGCCCAGGGCATCGACAGGATCGTGCGCGACCCTACGGCCGTTGGCCAAACCTACGAGTTTGTCGGCCCCCACTGCTACCAACTCAGCGAACTCATGGACTTCATGTACCGCAAGGCGCATTGTATCCCCGACCAACAATTCCAGTGATCTCTTATATTTTTTCTTCTTTTTTTCTATTTTCTTAGCGCACTGTGGTAAACTATGATAATTTATGGGCTAAGATTGAGCTAAAGAGTGAATTTAACGGCTGGCGAAAAACAGTGGACAAAATCTTGAAATTCAATTTCTGTTCGCTAGTCAAGTGAAAAAATGAAATGAAAAAATGAAATTTCGGATCAAAAAGTCTTGGATAAACTTTTAAAAATTATTATAGAGTTAAAAAAGTTGTTTTATTAACTGATAAGAATGATAATCGTATTACATATATAGGCATCTAGAAATTCTATGAGTTCAATAGCTATCTCTAGCAAAACGTGAACCTTTCTTTTCAATCGTTCGGCTCTCTAAAATTTTTATGATTTCAAATCAAGACAAACTACGGATATTTATGTAGATAAACAAAGTGCATTACATACTATTTATTTTTGATAAAATATTGAGATTCTGAAATTCCTCGATTTTTAAGTTACTTACGAATTTTCCAAAGTTTTAAGAAGAATTTGGAGCTGTATTAACTCTTGAGAAAAACGGAGCTTTTGATTGGTTCCTTGTAGCTTCGATAAACGTCATGTTATTAGAAGAAAATTTGAAAAAAATTGAATTCTTTTTTGGTATAAAGGTTTTTTAAAATTGAAATGATATGAAACACCTTTTTTTGGTTTAATTTTTCGAAGTTTTCAAACGGTTTGCCTTTCAGTTATCGGCGCCACGGACTTCCGGATCCCTACTTCATCGCTTTGACTCTCGCGACTGAACTTTTTGGAAAATTGTTCAAAACTAAAGTTCCTCTGACCCGAGAGTGGATGGAATTTGTTGTATGTTCTATTGAATACCCTATAGAGGACACTTATTGGCCATTTGAACGGTTGCATTTTATTTTTTTTTTTCATTGCTGTTGTAGGAAGTGAAAAGCGACGTTCTGACCGGAGCCAGAACCTTGGCCGATTTGGGTGTGCGACGTCTCGTCGAGTTCGAATTCGAAGGCGGCCAACTTGCCTTCCGCCGCTCTTTCCGTCGATATTTCGAGGAACAGTACGGGGAACTCCCCGCGCCACCGCTCCCTCTTCGGTTCGTTTCCCTCTCTTTGGACTCAACCATAACGTTATACAGTTCCTTCAAGATGGATTTTCCGCAGTGAAAAAAAATATATCTCTCAAAAAAGTGAATAATAGTCCTTCAGCCTGTCAAGGCACGTAAAAATCGAAAAATCAAAGGTTTTGATAACTGCAATTAATTTCCAATCGTTCTTTCTCTTTTTCGTAGTTATCTTGTTTATTTAAACACCCATTGCAATAAATTTTTGTGGCGAACTTCAACATCTCGAAAAAAATGAAATAATTTAATTTCATATAGTGCCCAGTTGGTGGAGAGAGCAGGAATGCCATGTCCCTTTGCGTCTCAAGTGTATCGGTTATATGTAAAAAGATAGCACTAGAAAATATGTAGTAATTGAAAAAAAAAATAGTTTTGAAGGTTAAAAAACAAAAACGGGAAAGTGCGCTGGCTGGAACATTAAATCTGAGCTGATAATTTTACAGATCGCCTCCAATCACCGCAAAGAGTCCACAGAAGCCGCTCAAATCGACGTCCAGCAAGACGGTCGCATTCAATTAGGATCCCGAAAACCAAAGTTTATAGTCTGTGCTCATGCAGTGTTTTTTTGATAGCTGAGGATTTATTTTATTTGTTCAACGTTTCTTAAACGTTTTTTTGTGTTTTTTTAAATGTGTACATTTACGAGGAAAGAATATGAAACTTACAACTTTTAGTTCCAAGCATGAACAGTGACTGTTTCAAATGCTCTTGTCGATTTCGGAAGTTTCTTTTTCAATTATTTTGCTTTCATTTTAAATTGGATCTACGTAAAACTTTAATTTGTTTTGAAAAAAAAAAACCAAAAAGGAAATGAAGGAAATGTTTGAGATTGACGTGCTCGAACGAAGGCGAAAGGCGTTTCCCAGGACACGAAAAGAGGAAGCGTTTCATGGCGCCCTCGTTAGTATTTTTGGCATTCCCTCCAGTAAACTCTCGTTTGGCATTCAAAATTTAGTATCATTTCATTTTCACTTGAAATCCTCAATAGTTTTTTAATTCGAAAACCGAGGGATGGAAGGAGTTGTGATAAATTCAAAAAGGTGTAAAAGTGCTTTCTTGGGCGTCTGCAAGGCAACTCTCTCGTTTCCGCGGCGACCATCAAGTACGAAGGACATTGAGTCGCTGATTATTACGTCTGCCTGACAAGTTCAACCAATTTTCAGCTATTTTCTCTTCTCATTCGTAAATTTTCAGTAGTTTATGATCGAATTTCTTGTCGCCCATTGTTCGTATTCATTGCGTTTTTTTCAGAGAACCTTTTTAGTATGAAAAAGAAGCGACTGAAACAAAGTCAGAGCAAAAGGAGAGATATTTAATTTGCTCAAAACCTGTCATTATTTTCGTGAAAACAATGATTTTCTGAACTGTACGGCTTTTCGGGGTGAGAACAAGAAATAAAAAATCGAACTGAAAGTTTTTTTAAAGTGCTAACTACCTTTTTTTTTAATTTTTTTTTTAATTTTTTGCAGTATAGTTTTTTTTTGATTAGATTCCTTTCTATTTTTTTACATTAATTTTTGAAAAATTTTTTCCCTTTCAACACGGTTTTTTTTTACTTCCTGGTAAATCGAAGTGCTAATCAATAAAAAGGTTAACGTTTATTAGATTTTTAAAAATATTCATGCTCAAAATTCATCAGTTCAAATAGTTTTGCTTGGATATTTTTAGTTGCAGAATTATTGGATCCGCAAAAAAAAATTATAGAAAACTTCTCTTTGCCTCGCCCAGAATTTTATGATATTTATCAATATTCAAACACAAAAGTAATAGTTCAGTACATATTTTGCCGTGAACCTTTTTTCTCTGCAATTCAAATCTTTTTCTTGAAAATCGCAGTACCCAGGAGTAGGGAGAAATGAAGTGAGACGGATGTTGCGACGCTACAGCTCGCAGGGACTCGAGACTCTGGTGCTCGGAGGACGCAGGACCGTCGTCGGCAGCGCTCCAAACTGCGACATCGCCATCCAGGCGAGCGACGACTCACTTCCGGCGACCGAGCAGATTCAGGGAAAGGACGTCGCCAGCGTGCACGCTTCCATCGAGTTCTACCCAGTTACTCGCAGTTTCTGGCTCAAAGACCATTCTCTCGCCGGCTTTACTTCGGTCAACGGCGAACCTGTCGTCGGCCAGGCGAGAGTGGCACCAGAAAGTCGAGAGTCTTCCTCAAATTTCAGATTGAATTGCGTAATGGCGATCTCGTGCAAATCGCTTCCGCTCAGCCGCTGGTCTTCGAAAACAATTCTTTGGTCCCTCTCGAGGTTTCCATTCCTCGATCTGTTCAGCTTCTCAATTTTTAAGAAAAACTCTGGTTCAAATGGAATTAATAGAGATGAAGAGCGTGTCATTCTACCATTACTAGGGGTATGGAATTTTTTCCTTTTTATCTCTCAAAGAATATCTCTAGCAGCGAATTTCTCCAATTCCATCATCAGTTCGCAGCATCGCTGGAAGTCGGGCTCAATCGAAAAGCGCTCACGCTACAAAGCGCAGCAAACGCAGTCCTTCTAAAGGGAAATCTGGTAGGAAGAAGGGGAATTCCGGAAAAAAAAAGAGTTTGAAGTCGATCGCAGTGGGAGCTCTCAGTCGCAGCTCTCTTCCAGTGGCACGAGTCCGACTTCGGCAGGTCCGACTCTCTTTGTGATCAAGCTAACGTTCGTTTCAGTCCCGACAATCTTCTCCAACCTCTCGCGTCGGTCCATTTCCGTCGGCAACAATCTCTTGCAACGCGTCGTCAAGCTCCAAGCCGAAGTCATCAGCAAGGACGAGAAAGTTTTCTTCTCAACCACTTCTGCAAGAAACTTCTTTTTTCGATACGCGAACTTCTGAGTCGCCAACAGGAAACAAACGAGAAAGGAAAGCCACTCTGGCAAAAGTCGAACAGTCGGTCTAATCTACCTGAGGTGAGCACGTCTTAATTCAGTCCAACTTACATTTTTTCCATCTAGAGCTTTTTTCGCCGTTTTCAGAGAAAAAAGGAATTATTGAGAATTAAAGGAACATGAAATTTTAGAATTCGGTATATATTGTTCCAACGTTTCTACTTGAATAAATTCACGTTTTTTTCAATCGCACGTTTCAATGAATTTTCCTCATTATAAAATCACTTTCGAACAATTTTTATTGTAGAAATATGATATGATTGGGATTAAAGTTTCGAAGATGATGCAAATTGCCAGAGGTGGAGGATGGCTGCCCACTGGCCGCCCTGCCTGCCAAGCCATAAACGCCCAAAAGCAGAAATGACTTTTTCAATAGTAACCCAATGAATCATTTCTATCGCTTGGCCCAATGGCTTGGCTTGGCCGCCAAGCCAAGGGCTGCCATCCCAATCCTCCACCTCTGCAAATTGCGATATTTCCTTTTTTTTATTTATTAAAACACACAAACGGAGAAAATACATAGTTTTTTGAAGGTGTCAGGTTTGAGCCTCCACTGCGTTTAGTAATTCTGGATAATAATTCATTTTGTTGATAAGAATTGTTTGTTTTCAACACAGATCCCGTTGCACTCTGGCAGCGGCCGGCCTGAAAGCTCGAGATGCTTCGAACTTCACGCCTACAGAGCTTTTTTAGGGGCCATTGTAGCCGAGTTGCGATCTTTCAATGAAAGGTTTCCTCCTCAACCAACGCGCAACCAACCGATTCCAGAACCTTGAGAACTTCTCAAAGAGATTACTCCGAAATATTTCTCTCGATCGTCCGGTCGATAGAAGATCCATTTTCAGTCAAAATGATGGTATGATTTTTAAAAATAATGAAAGAGATAAGACTTTTTTCTGAAACAGGACATCGAAAAACGGGTGGAAGAAGTTTTGGCTGAGAACGACTTTGACGAAGTACATGTTTCGAAATTGCGGTCTTTTCTGCGGGACGAAAGAAAGGAAAAAATAACAGTAAGAATCATGTGGAAAATGAGGTGGAAATGAAGCAGGCGCTCTCTGCGGAGCTCGAGGTCCTTCTCCCGGTGATTCGAGACGCCGCCGCCATCGCCCGGGAGTCCATCAGAGTCTGCAACGTTTTCACACAGTGGAGTCGTCAGCTGGGGGTTCTTTTTTGTTTCTTTTTTTATTCAATGCTTTTCCAAATTCGGCAAAAACATTTAGTATTTGACTTTGTTAGAATAACAAAAAAAGTTTCTAACACGTGTTATTTTTACAAAGTCAAATGCGAAATTTTTTTGCCAAATTTGGAGAAGCGTTGTAAGTTTGAAGGTTAGATGCTTTTTAAAAAAATCGTTTTCGCAGCGGTTTCTTCTTTCCATTTTTGAAGATTAAAATTTTTAGAATAGTTCCAAAAGTTCACATTGGAAAACATGAATTTTTGAATAAATTGTTTGTTTTTCGTTTGTAGCACTGTGAATTCGAAAAAATCGATTTTTCATTGGTGTCATTTGAACTTATAGCATGTAAAGCAGAGTTAAGGACTCAATCAGAACGACTGGAATCACTTCGGGAGTTCTGCTTTCCGCTATAGACGATTTGAAACAAATATTCATAGATTCTCAGGTAAGACTTTCTAGCGAGAAACAAGATGACAGGTTTTTGAAGATGAGCCGTCATTGGCTGCCTCCGAGCGTCACTCCGTTGCTTCGGCTCGCCGCTCTTGAAATCGAGAAGAAAGAGCGAGGCAAGGTGAGAGGACACAGAGAAGTTCAGACAGGTTCTATTCACTCAGTGGACGGTTCAATGAATCTCTTTTCAGACTGGACAACGGCTGAAATCAATGATCATTTGACAGGTTCGCAAAAATTAGCCAAGATCATCGAGGACTTGGAAAATGACAAAGTTTGTGAGTATTGTGAGGACCAAGCGATAACGGCATCAGGTTCTGCTCCGACAAGAGTTGGACCAGGCTCTCAAGTTTGGGAAACGTCAAAGTTTGGCGGAAGACGTCGAGGTGGAGAAAGCAATAGAAGACACAAACGAAGTGGAGCAGATACTTCTGGAAGCAGAAGATCTCGTTTCCATCCTAGGCTTGCACACTTCCCGACTTCTACAAGAGATTCAGGCTGCTGAGGTATATCAGAAAAAAAGCTCTCACACAGTCAAGAGTCAGATGGCTGGAGGACTAGAAGTCTCAACGGGGGTGAGGTTGGCAAGTTTGTACGAAAAGGTCGAAAACGCCTTTGGATCTTTCCGGAAATATTCAAAAAGAAGTTTTCATACCCTCTCTTCTTGTGAATATGAAGACTTTCAGCAGAGCTGAGAAAAAACGATTCAGTGGTTTCGATCGACATAACCGCCAACGACATCGAGGAAGTGAAAAGGAAAAATAGTGGCGAGGAGTCGCCGTCGCAGCAGATCCAGCGACACGTCCCGGCCGAAAAAGTAGAGACGTTGACGGCGCTCCCGAGGCTGACCTCGTCGTTGTCGCTAATCGGCAAAGACCGCGTGCCGCCCATAATTCACGAAGAGATGGAGGAGAGCGAGGCTTTCGGAGAGTCTTCAACAGATTCACTGTTACGACGGGTTTTATTGTGTTTTTTTCAATTTTGATAGAAGTTCTTCCAGGCCGCCATAGCATCTCAAAGATATAATGATCTGATGCTTGAAAGAAAGTCAACTTCTCCTGATTTAGACCATCAACAAATTTTGGTTGATGCTAGGGCATTTCACGTAAGCTATTCGACATTCGGATTTCTTACATTTCTCTTTTTGTTATCGTAATCAAACCGCGGTTGATTTGAGCCAATATTTCATGGCTCTCAACTTCGAAACGCCCTCAAGGATTGAAGAAATAAGCTTCGACAAAATGATGGGAATAACGTTTGAAGATTAAAAAATGGACGCAGCTTTTTTGTCTCGACGTGGTTTGATCGACTTTCTAGCTGATTCTCCGCGCCTTGAAACAGTATCACGCGGCATTGCACTCTTTTTTCTATACAGAAGCTTTGTGAAAAATGAGAAATAGCACATTGACAAGGGTGAACCAGAGGCCGTATGCAATAAAGTGGAAAATGATTTTCCGCCATTTTCCTGAAAATTGAAAAGACCTTAAACTCGCTAGGATATAATGGATTTCGACTCTATCTGAGGTAATAAGGCTTCATAAGAAGATTCTGACAGAGAAGAAACAATTTCAGTCTAAAAAAGACTAATTGTAGCCATTTACGAGTTTCAGGAAAATGGCGGAAAACCATTTTCCACTTTATTGCATACGGCCTCAGAGAGAGAAGGAGAAAAAAAGGACAGACCATATTTTTTCAATCCGTGATGCGTACGTTATTCTTTTTTAAATTATCAAAGTTTTCATTACAGGATGTTATTCACATTGCGGAACAACTATTGAACGATTTTGGAGACGAGCTGGAAAAGCGAAGGCTGGACGAAAAAAAGGACTCATCTCGGTCAGCGTCGGTCGCGCAGGAAGTGCTGCTGGAGACTGTGTTCGAAGTGCAGGAGTCGTCGGACGGAATGATCGAAGCGAAGCCTTTTGTCCAGGTTACCGTAGAAGGACCTAGCGAAGAGGCGACGATTGTCGAAGAAGTCGGTGAAGGAGAAATCCCTGCGAATATCGAAGAACAAGAAAAACCTACTGAAGAGGAACTTCATAAAGTTGACGAACAGATGAACTTCCCAGAGTCAGAAGAACATAGCAATCAAGAAAATGTTTTTCAAGAGAACGATATTGAGAACAAAATAGGATATAATGATCAAAGAAAAAAAGAAGAGGAGGACGAACTGTTGGCTCTGAACCGAACCAAAAATGAAGATGAATCGATGGACCATATAAACAATGAGATAATGAACTCCAATTCTGAAGAAATGGTCGAACGCTTTCATGACACGCCGATTGAGACAAACTCAGAAGAAACCCCGTTGCTGCTCCAAACTACGCGATCAACGCCAAGAAATACAAGCCCAGGAGAAGAGACTCAAAATGAAATGGAACCTCCTGCCGAACTCCTTAAAATGTTTGTTTCTTTATGAAAAAGGGTATAGTTTAGTGTTTTTATTTAGACACAAGATGCGTGACAACTGTCACGAAATGCAAAACACGGCCGTTTTTTTGGATGAAAACAGCAAACCAAAGAGCATTGCAGAAGTACGTCTTAGAAATTAGAAAAATCATTTCATTAAAAAATTTTTTTATTCGAGCAAGTTTTTTTTTCAGTGTTTAGACTTAAAACAATCAGTTACTCATCAATAACAAGTTTTTAGAGAACTTACCCAAATTTAAAACGACAAAAGTTTAGATCAAGCACAGTAGCCATATCCAGTCCCACATCAACACAGCCACTAGAACTCCTTATGTTTTCCACCAGGTACAGAAGATTTTTCAATATTTGAAAGAAAGTACCTTAAAAATACAGTACCCCAGTCGAGACTTCGACGTCACTCCCTCAAGACGTCGAGCCATGTCCGAAGAGAAGGCGTCGACGACCAAGATTTCGAAAAAGATCAAGAGTAAAACGCCGCCACCACGACCGCGTTTCAATTTATACTGAATAGGAAGTCTAATCTCCACAGCTCTAGCTTTCCTTTTAAATTTTGAACAGTTTTATGGAATACTCAATCTTTCACTTGATTATTTCATATTCAGATACAAGCGTAATAATACCAGAATAACAGTTTTCGTTAAATCGCAAACCGCTACTCCCTGACCTCATTTCATGACATCATTCGTAACACAAGAAATAAGCGTAATCGAAATATTTGGCTATATATTCATTTTATTCACGTGAACATGATTCAGCAGATTATTATTATCTCATTTCATCACGTCAACTGGTCGGTCTCATCGCCGTTCTCTCATGGGATAATATTCCGTCGCCCGTCAGCCCTGGACAAGCTAAGCGCTGTACTGTTCCAACATGGTGAAGCAGTTTATTCGCTGGTACTACCCACGGGCCAACATTATTTCCCAACGCTAGCTGTCACTCCGAGACGTATTGGACAACGATTGTGAACCGCAACCCGCGCCGACGACTAACTCTTCGATTATATCATGATTCAGCAGAGATTTTCTTCATCTTACTCTGAAGACTGAATAAATTGAATTGAATTGAAATTGAAATTGAAAAAATTGAAGAATGGGAAGAGCCTGAATTGCGCCTTTGCATTAAAACTGCGCCTACAGGTTCATGTATTACTTAAGAAAATAGGCTTAGTTTTAAGGCTTCATACGGAGGCGGAGCGCGCATAGCGCGAAGCCGACTGTGGCTCGCTTCGAAAAAACTGAGCCACAGTGAAAAAATTCGTCAAACAAATGAATACTTGACATAAAAGGCATTTAGTTTCAAAACGTGGACACTAATAACACTATCAGGTAGCTCTAAACGATGTGCAAACTTGATACGCGTAGCGAAAAAATCTGTGAAATGTATTTCCCAAAAAAAAATTAAAAGGAGCATACTGTGCGTAAGCGTGAGCCTCGACGCCTCGGATTATTCCAAACATTTAAAAGGTTTCTAAAAAAAGTAAGAAAATAGAAGAATATAAAAAAGTTTCCAATCAAAAGGGGATTTTCAAGTGTGATAACTTTCTGTTTCTCATGTGACCGGAAAAGTTTTCACGTCGAATTTAATTTTATAAATTGGAACGTAAAAAATGAATAAAATGATATATGGCTGCGTGTGCGAATTTTGCAAATGAAGGTGATGTCATAGGGATGAACAGGGAGTAGCGGTTTGCGATTTAACGCGAAGTCAGAATAACTATGGCAAAATACAGTATCAATCAACTTTTTTTAAATTACAGTTTTGATCGAAACAGAGACCGCTATAGTATGTTCAGATTATGAATGTGAAGTCATCGCTCAAACTCCGCCCCTTATGCGTGGATCAACTCAATCAGAGAACCAATCATCCACAGAGCGTTGTTGTGTGCGGATTTTGCTGTTTGAAATTCAATATCTGAACAGAATATAACTGAAATAGATAGGAATATTTGAATTTTATAAAATCTCGTTCTGATTGTTAAAAAAATTTAAAAAAATATTGAAATTAAAATGACTGATTCAGATGTTTCTCTCATAAAAGCGATATAAATGAAAAACTGAAAAATTAATAAATTATTAATATAATTATTTTTTTCGAACATCGAGATGCAAATGGGTTGCGTGAAAAATCTTGTGATTTCATTAGAAGAAAAATATAAGAACGCGGACTAAATATCTTTCTTTCTCTTGCACAGTTCGATGATCAAGTTGATGGCGAGCTCGAAGTTCTCATACACGTCGAAAGCGTGGGAACGAGAATTCCTGAGAGCGAAATTCTTGCTTGCTGTCAGGTTCTCCAACCTGATACAACGCACGGTGTCTCCCAGTCTGACCCGCTGTTTTGTCTTTATTCGCTGGCTTTCCGTGTCAAGAAGTGTGAAGAGGCCGCATCTGAAACAAAATGTACCTGTAGAACACTTTATCGGTATTTGAATTGAATTTAATGAGCGCTATCTAGCTACAAGGCTTGTTCTGGTAGCAAGAGGCCGCCGTACTTGGCCAAAGTTTTGGAATGCAACCTTCTTGGACAAGACTATCACCATCTTCAACTAACCGCGTCACGCCGTCTTTGCAGACGAACAACATAGGCCCGCCGATGTCCCATCCGACGTCTCCGCGGAACTGAAAAACAGTCATCGAATCCCCGGAAAACTCTTACAATGTCGTGTGCAGCGAGCAGGTTCCCGGGAAGATCCATGTCCGAAGTCCACTTCAAGGTATACACTTTCACTTTACTGTTTCCAACAGCTAGCGTGCTCGTCTTTAGATTTTCTCCTGTTTAATTGACTATAATGCATAGGGGCAGTAAAAAAAAAGGGTTCCGAGTTAAATGGCGTGTTCATCGGAGAAACGGAACATGCTTCAAAACAAAAAATCGTGTTCATCGGCGCGCCGAAGTTGCAGTTGATCTTCCGCGACAGTGTTCTACGGGTCAAAGAAAAGCGCCAAATTTCCCCTTTTTATCCCCTCTCTATTGTCATCATTTTCTTTCTCGCCATAATTTTTCTATTCCTTTCAAGTTCATTGTTCTTTCTAATTAGCTACTTTTTATTTGTTTTCGTTTATCTATTTTATTCATTTGTATCTCGGCTTTGTTAAATTAATTCCTTATTCAAACGAGTAGCACTCCTTTATCCTATTAAGTACGCGTTAATAACTTCTCGTTGTTTTTACTAAACGTGTTGGTTTAACTACCCAAGTTTGAGGTTTCTCAACGTGGGATCTACCTCAACCCTTGCACAGTTGTGAGCCGCCTCGTTTTCGTACTCAATTGGTGGAAGTTAGTAAAGAGTTGTATTTGAAAAGAAATCGTGTTCGTGTTATATAAAAACCGCGTAATTACGCTTTAGAATTGCAAGTCCTCGAACACTTAAGTGTTCACTAAGCGAGAGTCGTCGAGGGGCAAGGTCTCAGACCCAGCCAGCGTTGCTTCGTCGTTTCTCTCTGTCGAAGCTGCTCAGACGACTGCGGAAAACCGTGTTGTGGCTCTTGCCCGCCGGTTCACCTTCTTTCTCCTGCAGCAGCCCAGTAAGAAAGAGTGTTGTGGCTCAGCCCGCCTCTCTCCACTGGATACAAACCGGACGTGAACTTTCCAAAAACTTACTGAGAAAGCCCTGAAGGGGAAAAACCTCTCGGAGGCGTAGAAATCTCTTTAAAGTTAGTTAAGGGAATACTAGTTTAGCGTTCTTTCATTACTGAGATTAGTAAAGTAGTGTTTATAATTACGTAAACCATCTTCTCTAAATCTACTTTGCTCCAAAACAGTACTAATTTTTGTTTTGAAGCAATTTTCTTGCGTTGCGAAGCAATTTTTGTTTTGTCCGATGAACACACCACAAATTTGAAAAAAAACAAAGAAAAAAGCTTTTTTTTTCTGTTGTCGCTAAAGTAGTTTTTGTTACCACAAACTGCGAGTCTAATGACACGTCCGCAACATCGCTTGAACGTCTACAATAAACAGTTTTCTGTACACCGATCCAAAGCTTTTTTCAAAATCAAAAGACGGGAAAATAAAATCGCGTTTTTCTCCAAAAGCACTCATGTCTGCGCTTTTTTGAGTAGACCGTTCAATTTGCAATAAAAAGCTCTATAGCTATACAAGATACTCTATACAAGATACTTCTTTCACCTCAAACCCCGTTTTTTTTTTACCGCCTTCATGTCTTTAAAGAATATTTTACTCTATTCAGGAAAGCATAGTCAATCGCATCCATTAATTGAAAAAACAAGGAGCAGACAGAGTTTTTTGGATTTCTAGCAAAAGATATATACTATTCGAATATTTACCCGATTTCTCGTCCAAAACTTTCACATTAAAACTTCCAAATTTCCCCTCTGGCTTCGGCTGTATCAATCTGAAAATCTTTGTTAGAAGTTGGATATAACTTCAATCCGACTGAACGAGTTGGTTTATTTTTTTATTCAAGAAAAAAATGAATATGAGTGGAGATTCTGATATTTTGGCCAACTTCAAATCACACCATGCCCAGTCAGATTTTTTTACTGTCAAAAATGGCCTGCCAAACTAGTTTCTTATTATTATTATTATGTGATTTTCACAATCTTCTCTTACCTTATTGTTTAATAACTCAAAGAAAGTTCTAAACAGCTCACTTGGCAATTTCCTCGGAACCATCGAGAATCACTATAACTTCGACCTTATTCTGGAAGACCATTCGGAAAAAGTCTTTCTGTGTTGTCAAGTTAAATGGCGCTTGTGCCAAGATGTACTGTGCTGAGAATGATCTGTTACTCGCAGCAAGAAAAAATGATGAACTGACAAGAACGCGCGTAGCCATCGACGAAAGACGCGTGATAATAATCGGGAGCCTCGGCGAGTATTACACGACTCGAATCAAAGAGCCACACATCTGTAAACACTCTCTGCGGCTCGCCAAGTTTTCGTTCTTACTCGACTTGGCGTTCTTATCTTTATTTGCAGGTTTGAAGTAGTTAAAGAATGATGCCGATTCTTTTCGCATGTCCTTGTAAATCTCGAGAATTCCCTCTTCGAGCTTCTTCGAGGGAGTCTTGCTTTGCAACTGCAATCGAATCATGATCGAAAATCATGACAGCGATCTCACATTTTCGATAAGTTTTTTGGGCGTTATGATGGAGCTCTTCTTCTTACGAGTGGAGCGCGTCGAGACCCTATTTCCAGAGGTGGGAAGGACGACAGCACCTCCAAGAGTCCAGTGCAAGTCCGCCATATCTGCACGACACTTTTACACGAAAACAATGATGAAAATGTTCAAATCGACGCTGTGTCTTTATTTTTTTACTCACGCACGTTGGATTCTACATTTACGTTTGAGCCAATAAAAACTGTTGTGAACTTTTATCAGAACATATTAATTATTACAGTGAGCGGGAAAACATTTATAGAAAATAAATGATAATGTTATCCACGAAGAAAAAAGTTAAGACTATACGTGAAAGATGAAATCTTCCAAAATTAAAATTTCCCCAATCTTCAGCTTTTGTGGTTTTCTTCAGGTAGATAAAAACAAATATTTTCAGTTTTTTATTCTCCAGTTCAGCTATTAAAATGCCGTTCTAATTGTGGTTTGCAGCTGTAGTAGAGAGCGAGCCTGTCTCTGCCAGTCGCTAAAAAGTCCATTTGAAAATGAGAATTGATCTGAAGGAGACAGAGATTATGGGGGGTAGAGAGTTAAGAAACCTCGGCGCTGAGAAAACTCCAAATGCCCCAGAGCAAGTGCGACGCCGGGACGAATAGCTCGACCTCCTCCAGCAAGGCTTCCGTATCCTTTTCCTTGTCCCCAGAAAGTAGAAGTCTGGCCGTCATCGCCGTTTCGGACATCTGAAGATGCATCAGTTCCTATGAGAAGGAAGAAAATTTACCTCATACAACTTATTTATATAGGAAGAACAGAGCGTCCTTCTGACATCCTTCCATTCGAATCTATCTTGATAAATCTAAACGTTTTGCTAAGGAAAAGAGATTCGTCTTGACAAACTTTATAGTACGGTGGTTCTGGATTAGTATAATCAAACGCATATTCGACGACTTGATGTGCAAGATCGAACCCTCTTCAAAATAGAAACTCAGATGCTTTTAAAAAGCTTTGAAAAACGATTTTTAAGTCTAGATCAATAAAAAAAAATTTGGGAAAACATCTTCACTTAGACTCACTCATCTTCCTGTTAAGTTTTTTTTCCCTTTTTTTCATCGTGTGATTCTACATAACAATGGGCCCGTGAGCACATGACCCGTAAATATAGTGGCAATCGACCTGTAGTTGTAACAACACCACTCGAAGTCAACGAAAACCAGCGGATCTTCATCGACTTTGCGGCCTTGCACGTCGTAGACGCCGTCGCTGCGTATGTCAAACTCACTTTTTTGCAGAATATTGCCTTCCTGAAACCCGCATATGAATTCGAAAATTTGTCTCTTCCTTACGTGTAGGTCGTTGTGTGTGAAGACAACTGGCCATGTTCCTTTTTTGTAAAATTCTTCAAGTAAATCTATTTCTTTTTCGAGATCTGCGAGGGTCACTTGGGACGGATACTGTTAAAGAACTACTTTGATGATGGTTCGAAATGCAAAAAAACCTGATCCGTATGTAATTCCACTTGACTCAAAATGAGGCTGATTGGTTTCTGTCCAGTTTCGGTCTTCCTGAAATTTTTATTTGAGTCCTCGAATTCAGAACGCCCTCGAGGTCACAAAACTAACTTTAAACTCTGTAGAAAACTTCTCATGAAGAAAATTAAGCGCGGCTCCTTACTGATAGGAATCTCTAAAGTGTGAAATCTTGAGAAATGGATCCCAATGAGTTTTGCATATCTGAAAATAAGTTACATCATTTTCCCTGATCATAAAAATTAATTTTTATGAACTTTAGTAAATATCAGACTTACTAACGACATTACAGTTTGAGTAGGTTTGAAGGAATATTCAACCTGTTTGAGAATCGTTTACTCTGGGAGCCAATTTTTTTTAATATTCCGACCCCAAAAACTTTAGAAAATATTTAAAAAAACAGTAGAAAATTGAATGAGTTTATATAACACGGACCGGATTTTTTTTTCCATCAAATTGAAAAAAAGTCTTTATTATATACCGACTCTGGTTTGCTAATGTCGTCGCACAACAGAGTTTTACTTTTAATAAACTCTTCTATACGGCCTCCGTCGAAAAAACCATACAGCTTCGGTCCAAGGCTTCTTTCTGAGGCGTTCAAAACATGTTGAAAGTAACTTCGTGTGATACCTGAGAGAATAGAAAATGACATAGTTTCTACGAAGGTTTGAACTGGATCGCTCTCTAGGCAGTGTATACGGAGCAGTACAGATTTTGGCTCGATTCCAACTGATAGTGAAGCTTTGGGAAGTTCAACTAGATAGAGCAAGTTGGAAAGCCCTCCTCTAAAATTTTAGACATCCATCCGTCTGACTACTTTCAACAAACGTTATTGCTCGAATCGAGATTTTTTCAGCGGAAACTTTGCTCCATACGCCTCCGAGAAACGTTGAGCATATTATTCGAGCTTGTTCTTTTAGAATATGTGAAGAAACATCATTATTTTTGAAAATTTCCTGAAGAAATTACGTTTTCAGAAAATGCATTTACAGATACCTTCAAACTTTTTTGAAGGTTGCTCTCTTCATCCATCATGAGGCTTAGTGCTCAGTCGAAAGAGACGCAAACTCTTACTATAATTATATCACAGAAGCATTTTGTAAACATAGTTGGCTTTATGATCATAAATCAGAACTTCCAAAAACTTGTTTTCTGTACTCGTGAACAATCGAACGAGAGTTTTATTTATTAAAAAATTATCAATCATACTGAAAAATCTATTGAATTATTAAATTCAATTCATAAAAGAAAAGTTATCGATCTACATCATGGTGCAAAAAAAAGTGTGGAGAAGTGTGCTCCACTGTGCAAAGGGCACCATTATAGGGGTTTTCTTTTTTTTTCGTACTATTTCTTTTTTTTTCAGAAAAAAGTTTTCAAAAATATTTTCTAAAAGGTTCAGTGAACACGACCGGTCCTGGGTATCTGTTTACTGCCAAAATTTTTTTTTTTTGGGTGATTTCTCTTTGTTGCAAATTAAAACTTCATCGCCGAGGTCAATAATTTTTTTTTAGCTTAATGAGCCCAAAGCCAGACGCAGCAAAATCATTTTGTGATCTTCTTGAAAGCGAATCGAACAAATCCACAGGACTAGCGGCTATAGAGACCTTACACGATGTTCTTAACCACTGCAACGGTTGATAGTTCCGCAATTTGTAGGGTCTTATTTTAATTTTCAGCAACTACCGCCGCCGAGTTAGAGAATAATTTAGTTTCGGTTGTTAGAGCGATGGAAAAAACGGATTATAGTTCTACTTCCATAAGAAGCGCAACTGATCTGTTTAGAAGGTTCTTATAATTTTACCTAGCGTTGTCGATTTCACGATATCTAGGTTCATATCTCTCGCTCCAGCAGAATTGTTAGATCAAGCGGATTTTTCTCAAGTATTGGAATTTTATCGCAAGCGAGGAATCAATTTCATCGACCGCGTGAGCCGTTCGCGCGCTCTTATTTCGAAGTACGCGAGGCCTTTCTTCAGAAACAATATGGTAAGTTTTAATCTAACTGTTTCTGTCTTCGAAACCCTTTCATGAATAAGAAACTTTAGAACATTCTGACGCATTCATACAGCAAAGTTGTTCTGGAAGCGATATGTGATGCACACAGTGCCGGTATTTCAATACATGTGTGGGTAGGGGTTTTATTTATTACTTAATATATTTCACTTTTTTTCAGGTGACAGAGTCTCAACCTGACGCATCTGGAAGAAGAATGCACGAAAGACTGACCTCTTGTGGAATCAATTCAACTCTTGTACTTGACAGCTGTGTGGGGTTAGTTTCAATTTTGTTTTTTCTCATCATTTAAACTTTATTTGGGAATTTTAAGTTATTTGATGGAACGAATACAAATGGTTCTGGTAGGCGCAGAGGGCGTCATGGAGACCGGAGGCATAATAAATAAGGTTTTTTTCGAGTTTTATTCATAATATTGAATATTTAATGCGGTTTTAGATTGGCACATTGAACGTCGCGATTGTTGCAAAGACAATGAACACTCCCTGTTTTCGTTATGTCAGAAAGCATCAAGTTCGTCAAGGAATATCCGTTGAATCAAGCTGATATTCCACAAGAGTTTAAGGTTTGCTAGTTTTTTTTATAATTTTAATTATCAAAATTTTTTTCATTAACAATATCTAAACAGTTTACTTTAAAAATTCCGTGTATTTTCTTCATTCCGTGTATTTTCTTCACTCGAAGTGGTAGCTCTCCCAGTCGGCCGAGGCTACCCTAGAGTGTACACGGTATCCGTGCCCGAGCCCCACCATCACCGCCGTGCCCGTACAAGCGAAACTGAGGGATCTCTTTGTGGAAGAACGAGACGAAGGACCGTAAGACCATGCTTTCAATTCAATCGAATACACGTTTTGACTTCTTTTTCGCCAAAGGCGGTGTTAGTGCCGCTCAAAAGAGCAATTTTTTCACCGCCTAGTCGATACCATCTGACTAAAACAACCAATAAATATTGATGATTGATGATGATGAAAGTCATTTTATATTGACGCCTGTTTGAGAAAAATATGAAAATAAGCATGCGAAACTTCCTAGTAAATTTTGTTCAAGAATAAGTCTCATTTGACGTTTTGAGATTTTGAGCATTTTCTTCACAGACCGTACAAATAAGCAATTTTCAATGTAATTTGAATCTCCGATACAAAAAAATAAGCATAAAATTAGAATTTTGAATCGTTTTCTCCGGAACAGCCATCAACCACCTTCACTGTTTGAAAATTCAGAAATAAAAAATGCTAGGTTTGAAATTTTCGTCTCTTTCCTCCAAACTTCTGGATTTAATTTTAAGTGAAGGGGTTTTTTTTTTGGTTAGGATGTAGCTCAAAACAAGCACTTTCAAGTTGTAGTTATTTTTTTGTTAGTTGTAAAAAAATCAGAAGCTGAGTATATTTTTTTCAGTACCGGACTTCAGTGATTGAAAACAAAGACTTGGCGCTGGAGCATCCCGAAGTAGACTACACCCCGCCACAGGTCAAAAATTGATTTTCAGGAATTTGGAATCGAAGATTTTGAAATTTCAGTACATCAACCTGCTGATCACAGATCTCGGGATCCTGCCTCCGGCCGCCGTTGGCGAAGAACTAATCAAGCTTTATATTTAGAGAGGAACCGTGTTTTTGTCAATCGTTTTGGTTTTTTTGCACGGTATAACCAAAGAGAAAAATGTCGGGAATCAAAATGTACTTATTTTCTTATTTATCAGCTCTTTATAATGAAATATGTTCATAGGTGTAGCCCATTCGCCAGAGCTTTGAAAGAAGGTCAATCGGGAGAGAATAAAAGTAGCTTCTGTGTAGGTGTCTGGATACTATCGCTATCCTTCGTGACGCTTGCGATTGCTACTGCATGGCTAATCTGTGGTCGTTCATTTTACAGAAGTTATTTTTCAGCCGTACCAGAAGACCTTATTAGCAATCGCCGAAAGAAAGATAGCTGCTCGAGAGCATACGCCGGGCTTCTTGAAATAAATGACAAATGTGAGGTAGGATGGTGATTGTATCCAGATACCTAGCCAATGGTATTCATCCTCATGGTACCTGTTAACAAATGAACGACCATCGATTGAGTGACGCCGATTGATTTCGAAGTAGATACTTGTCCTCCTCCCGATTGACCACTGAAAATTTTAATTTCTCTGAACTTTTCTTGGCAAAGCTCTCGTGTTTACGGGCTGATTTTTTAATGTTTCTCTAACATTTTTGGTGAAAGAAAAAAAAGACTTAACAGGTCTGGCCTTATCAAGTAATGGAAAAGGAGATATACAAGGTTTTTCGAAATTTTGTTTTCGGTTCATCATTCAGTCATGTTCTGTTGTTTCATTAGTATATCTCATACTTTCAGTTTTGATTCTGCCTTTATAGGAGTACAGGTGGATCAATAAGAAAATTTCATTATTTTTTTTCCCCCGGTTGATGTCATTTAACCTCGAGTTTGAATGTTCTTAAAAAAATTTTTTTAAAAGCATGACACGTTTTTATTCGAAATAAAACTTGTTTTTTTTTCATTTTTCAAAATCTATCGTTATGAGCTGGTACAAAAATGAATACAACTGGATTCTGTTTCTTTTTGGAATCGTGGTGGGGATGATTTTAGCTCTATTGAAGGTTTTTTTTTTCTTAGTAGTTCTATAGTCCTATGGAGTCAGGAAGAAGCTCTTCACGCCTTTAATGAGCAGAACGAAGATTTTTCGAATATTCTGTTAGGATCCAATTTAGCAGTATCTACAGGTGAAATCGGAAAAAGAGGACTTATTTTTTTTAACTTTTAAGGATTCTCCACTCCCGATGTCCCCATTCACTGTACAGTTTTAGTAGCCAACTTCTATAAGCACGTGATCCTTGAGGTCCCGTAGTTGTGCCTGTCCGAGAAAAAAGTTTTTTTAGTCGTGGGCACAAAGTTGTTCGTCGGTAAACTTCGAGCAGGTGAATTTGATCAGGGATGAGAAAGAGGTGCTCAAGGTCCGAGTATCGGCTTCGGTTTTCCGGAGGGCCGCACGTCAGGTAAGTTTTCAGGGTTTGAACAAATTGGGATTTCTGGAGATTAAGAAAGGCTGGCACGTTTTTGCGGTGGAAAGCACTTTCGTCGTCTTGGAAAACCTTCAACTTCATCTCTTGCCGTTTCAAAAACATAACCAAGAAGCAAGTTTCTTTAAACTTCTTGTTGATCATTTTTCTTCTAGGAGTGGATCTTCGGTCTCACCTCTGCAGGGACGCTTCCTTTCGATTTTGTTGCTTCTCAAAAAGCGGTAGAAAGGTCAAAATTTTCGAACTTCGCATGAAATTTTCAAGTTCGATGACTTTCTAAAAGCAAGCTGAACGTTTACAGGATGGCTGAAGGCTGCGTAAAATACCTGGCAGAAGCACACGACGACTTGCCTCATCTCCAGCAGAGCCTGCTCAAGTGCGTGAACCACCTGGGTATAGAAATTTCGGACACGCGCGACAGCTCCAAAAGACACAAGTTGGTTCCTTGTTAACAAGAGACTAACCGTGTCAACTTTTAGAATAACTTCCGCTCCTCGACGCCTTTTTGACTCCAACTCCTTTAGACAGGTTTTCCTCTCCTCCGCATATCGGACAAACAAATCTGAGAGTTTCTCATAATTCCTCTCCAGAAATCGAGTCTGGACTCAGGTGTGCTGTCGCCGTACGCTTTCATGTTCCTCGGAGCCGAACGGGATTCAGATCTACGAGTCTTCAACTACTACGTCAGACACGTCGCCTCGTCCCTGTCAGCCCCAAACTTCAGCCTAATAGTTTACCTTTTTCAGGTGTGTCAATATGAAAAACAAGCTTCAAATGACGCCTTGTCGGAGGGAAGGAGTCGAATCTCCTGCTATCCAAGAATCCACAGATTACTCTCAATGATCACTGAATTTTATATTACGGAAATATTCTCTTGAAGCGTGTTTCGAATAAATTTCTGTTGAGAACGAGTCAAAGTTATCATTTATGAAAAGCGACATGACAATGTTTGGCGGCGGCGATAGAAACGTCGTAACGCCAGACTCGATGATCTACCTGGAGGAGCTGATGCAGGAGCTGCGGATCCTCACAAACTCTCTCTCCACCAGCGAAAACGGCTACCGTCACGCTCATGTTCGAACTTTCGACGTTTAAAAGCTAGGAATAACTCAAAGTCAGAAAATATATTTTTTCTCTCTAAAAACACTTCGCATATATCCCGGACTAAATGATTGATGAGAATGACCAAGAAAAACTCCCCCACAGTACTTTGGACTGATCCTTCTGCATTTACAGATGCTTCTAACACTCGAAATACAACGCGTCTGGCAGTGTCTGAAGGTGATATTTATTCCTTCTGTTGTTTTCCTTCTTTCTCCGCAGTAAACAAGGTCACTTTTTCTGACAGTCTGGTACTTTTTTTCAGAATTACTTCTTTAATTGCTCTCTGAAAAAAGCGAAGCGGTCTAGCCGTGACACCAATATTGAACAATTTTAAACTTCATACCTTGAAAAATAGAATTTTGCGCGACTAGAGATTTTGGATAAGCGAAACGAGCAACCTCTTTCCCGACATTCCTTCTGAGGTCTACGAAAAAGATTTCAGGCTTTGGATGAGAGAAACTGCGCTGAGTTACGTACCAAATCGCCAGCAAAACAAGATCGTTTTACGATGGTTGAGAAAATAAGCCTATGCCAAGAGGATGGCGGTTCGCGGTTTGTCACATCAAAGATATTCCCTCTACAGTTCCTTCCAGAAAGAACAACATAATAGGCCGGATAATCGGTCCACGAGGGATCTCGGTGAAGCAGCTGGAGACAGAGACGGGCTGTACGATATCCATACACGGCAAGGGCTCGATCAAAGACGCAAAAAAAGCGGAGAAGCTGGCCAGAAAGCCCGGTTGGGAACATCTGCGCGAAGAACTCCACGTGCGCATCACCGCCGTCGACATCGACAAGGACAGGTTGGTCGGATCAGTTATAGCTTGCTTTCCGGGCAGGGCTCAGGTTTTGACGAATAGATATCGTTCTACTGTTTCATGTACACTGTATACCAAAGTTTGCCCAAAAAGTTGACGGTGCAATTTAAATCACTTCAAAAACGTTGAAGATGCGATCGGAAGTTGCGACGAGCCAAGGAACGCGTCGAGGAAATCATCAACGGCGGCGACATGGGCCTCAAGCAACGCCAGTTCGAACAACTCGCCATCATCTCTGGCACTTATCGCTGTTCTTTTTAACGGCAAAAACAGTTCAATCCTTCCTACTTGTGTCAATGAAAGTGTTGATAAGTCGCCTTTTAGACTCTCTGGAAACAAATCTTTGCAGTTGATATACAGGTCTTCCAAGCTGATGCTTGAAAGGTCAGTGAATTTCTAGGACATTCTGAAATCCTAAGATAGGGGTGGACTTCTGAAAAATATTTCGAAATTCACACGAAAATGGTTTTCATTGTAAAACAAACTCAGACACTGTGAAAACATTCAATAATTGTCCGGGAATGAGAATAGCTTCAAATTGGGGAGAAACCGCCAAATCGGCAGTTTTCGGAATCTCAAAAAAATCTCAGAACGAGTTTATTAAATGTCTGTGGAAGTCGTTCGAAGTTCTATTTACTTTTCATTATTAAAAAGGTAAGAAGCAAGAAGTCAAAGTCTACATTAAGATATTTTAAGCCTTTAAAGCGGCTTTATTCGAAGAAATCACCGTCTTTTTCTTTCAAAACAGCTTTTTCTCTGTACGAATAGGAACATGCAGATGCTCACGAATTACAGGCAAGGGACAAATATTTGCCCTGGAGCGGGCTTGCCGTGGCTCGCGTGTTTCAGACTCATTTTTTTTGTTAATGGCGTGTTCATCGGACAAACCGAGAATTGTTTGCAAGAAAATTGCTCTACAATAAAAATTAGTTTTGGAGCAACTTTGGTGCGCCGATGAACACGCGGTTGCATTTTGAAAAACGTTTCGCTTCTCCTATGAACACGACGTAACAAACATTCTTTGATTGATATTAAAGGTGTTTCATGATTGACTGTCTATGCTCTTCCTAAACTGGGCACTATAATTTTAATTGTCGTGTCAGGACCCTTTTTTCGGCCCTGAATAAGCTATAGTTGCTACCGAATTCAATGGAAAATATTTTTCTAATTTCTATCTTCTTCGCTTGGGCTTGTCTTTTCTCTTTCGCTTTGTGTACTTTTTCTCTAGGGACACTCAAGGCGCAGTTCAATTATGGGATCATTTGAGGCGAATGGATGAGACCCCGTGGCGAGCCAGTGTAAGAAGAATTTGAAAAAAAAAGACTCCTTTTTTTTCGATGATTTTTTGGTTTGGTAGTATTAAGTTCAGTTTATTCCTGAATTTTTCGGTGTGAGTTTAAGATATTCTGAGACATGGCGAAAATGAATAAACAAGGATCCAACAAGGGAAGAAGTCACGGCGAGGGCTGCAGGCTTCACCCCATCGATTTTGCTAGTATCCATTCTTGCTTTCCTCTTTTCGCCTTTTCCTTTTGCTCATACTCGATTCGTCCCATCAGAGGAAATTTTCCGTTTGTTTTTGTATGTAAATTCGTAAATTTTGAAGAGTTTTTTTCGAGTTCACAGTTTTCTAATTAAAAATTCGTGAATCAAATATAATGGAATACACTTGAAGAAATAGAAAAAATCTGGGCGGCCGGAAAACCTGCCGGTCCGTTTGTTTGTTTGATCATCTGCCGGCAGCTTCTTTTTCCTAATGACCAGCTTCCTATTCCGTCTTTTTTTCTGGATGATTGTAAACATCTTTTTCTCCTTCAGAGATGCTTGTGTTTAGGCTAGAAAAGCATATCAAGTTTCAACGTTCGGTCTACTTTCGTTTCACAATCATTTTTAGCCTGACTTTCGTCCTTTTTCGGTTAATTTTTCAGAATTCTTGTTGGATTCTTCTGAGGCCGTATGCAATAAAGTGGAAAATGATTTTCCGCCATTTTCCTGAAAATTGAAAAGACCTTAAACTCGCTAGGATATAATGGATTTCGACTCTATCTGATGTAATAAGGCTTTATAAGAAGATTCTGACAGAGAAGAAACAATTTCCGTCTAAAAAAGACTAATTGTAGCCATTTACGAGTTTCACAAAAATGGCGGAAAACCATTTTCCACTTTATTGCATACGGCCTCTGGGTGAGATAGTTGATTATCTCGTTTAAGAAGAATTTGATTACTTTTTTTCAAAACTTTATATAAAAATTAAAAAACACTCAGTTCCATTCATGTTTTGAAAGTTTCTCGAGCTGCTCCAGTTAGAAAAAAATACCTAATCATTTTTTTTTAGAAGATTTATTTGTCTTCAAAACTGATTTTCAGGTTTTTAGATTCTTTCAAAACTGACTTCTCAGAGAAGTCAACAATCTCGTTTTTTTTTCGTGCTTCTCCAGCTCCAATTCCAGCAAACGCGAGTTGCGAAATGCAGAGAATCTTTCTTTTTTGGGTTTCTTCTGCCCTTAGGGACGTTTTGGATCGATTAGCTCGTCCTGCTCTTGTTGCGCTCCAAAAAAAAGAAAACGGTGGCAATTTAACGTGTTTCGTTCTCTCAATTCTATTTTATTTTTTGGCAAAATGCTCTCGGATTGTAAATTATTCAAGCTTTTCGGTTGGAAAATTTGAAGTTCGCCGATCAACGACCAAGTTAGAATTACATGCTAAAAGTTGAAGAGTTTTCGGGAAATTTTTCGTTCTTCTGAGAAGTTTAATCAGAAATGTCAGATATGGAAGGTTGTACCAGAAACGACACGATATTCGATCGACTTCATTTCATCAATTTTATTTACTCCTTCTATTCCTCATTCATATTATGTTAAATCAAAACTCATTAAAAAAAGCTCTTCACTTTGATTTTCATTCAATAATGACAATTATATAGTGAGTTTTATTATCTGTAGAATCCAGTTTTGGAAATTCGATCGTCACATCCAAACGTTTTTTTACTATTCAAATTCAGCCGATCTAAATATTTTTTAACAGTCCCTTTTAAATGCACCCGGCACCTGAACTCACCTTCCCCTATGGTAATGTCCATCTGATGTACAAGTTCACGCCGCAAACTTTTCCTCAATCGTTCCGAAATTGGCCTTTGTATTGAGCGACTCGATTTCCTGTTTGGGACGGCAGGGATGGCCGAAAAGGAAGAAGCTCAAGGCCGATAAGATCTCTTCATCAACATTCTTTTCATTTCGCATTAGAACATCTCCATGTAGTACTTCTTTGACTTTTTTCAAACTCAACTCTTTCATCAAAAAAAAAAAACGGCTCTTTCTCGGTTTATCGATAATAAAACCATGGTTGGTTTATTCTCCTGTTTAGAGTTCATTTCGACTTCAAATTAAGGCCAACCTACTCCGCTTTGGTTTATTAATTTATATTTCTTCTCGGGGGTTCCATTCGCTTTCGAAGCCATCTCGTCGGACCAATTACGGCTCACACAATGGCCATTTTCGATGCGGTTCTCCGTGCGCAAAGGCTATCTCTCAACTCAATAGTTGGGTTCTTTCTTCTGAACGTTTTTTTGTGTTTTTTTGATTTATGCAATTTAACTTGATGGTTTTCATAAGTTCTTGAAATTAAATAATTATTATCAGTCTGTTCGGTTCAAATGTGTTGAATGAGCTCTCGAAATTAATTTTTTTTAAAACTATATAATAAATACACTCTTTTTCTGCACTTGATAAGATTTAAAAATTCCAAAAACAAAAAAAGGTAGAAACGACGAAAATGAAAGCAAGTTTTATTATCAATAGGTATTACCGGCTGTAATTCAGGAGTACTGGAAAAAGGGGCCGGTCTTCAAAAATCGTCTGCACATGTGGACCACTCTTTCTCTCTCATTTTTTCTCTATTGTGTCTGAAACTCGTACAAGTTGTTAGTGCGAATTGGTACAATTCGAACGATGACGTTCAGAGTCAGACGAATTGTAATCAACTTTCTCATTGATTGTTCTCTTTCGGCAACATTTTTCTTTTTTTTCCTTTTCCATTACGCCGAAAGTTTCATTTTCATTGAACTCAAAAATGTTAAAAATTTTTTTGTTCATTTTTAATTTTCAGGGATAAAATGTCTTCCGACGTTCTTCTCGGGGTCAATCATGAATAAATCTTTATTAGCACAGGTTTGAACTTGAGTTTTTGCAAGTTTCTGATCGCTTCATAGGAATGTTTTTGTGGACACGAATCGGACTTGAGAAAATAAAATATAGAGCAATTAACTTGAAAGAAGTGAAAAAGTATCTTTGTATTGGAGGAACATTCAAAATCCCGCCACTAGCTTTTTTGAGGCGGAGAACACCACGGGGTTGGTGACACCGCGGCACATCGGAAGACGCGTCGTCGTAGGCGGTCTCGGAGCTGGAATCTTGCGCTACGTGGGCTCCGTTCACGGCAAAGATGGCGTCTTCTGCGGGGTTGAACTTTTCGACGCCACCGGCAAACACGACGGAACTTTCCAAGGTCCCCTTTCTTTCATTTGTTCTATGTTTATTAAAATGAAGATTATCATTCAAAAGCGTTTTTAGGAGTTTCTTACTTTGTCTGCGAGCCCCTCCACGGCATTTTCGCTCCATTATTTCGCGTCGAGCTCAGCGACTCTACGACGTCGTCTGCCGATCTGCAGGCCATCAATCAGAATCAAAACGTCCGCTTTATTTTTATTCACCAAACTAGCTCACTATCCAGTGAAACGAAAATCAAAACGAAGAATGGGGTAGCCATCGCATTTTAATCGTAGCTTCATCGATCACATTTTTCAATTATCAAAGTAAGAAAAGCATCGAAACTTTCGAAATGCATTTTTTCGCTTCCAATTTTTTGGTTCCAAAGCCGGCTGTGTTTGTCACAAGGAACTTTCAAAAATATTTCAGAAAAGTGATTTTCCAAATGAAAATCTCAATCAAACTTTGACAGGCTCAAATGTCATAGAGCTCAAAAGCATTCATGTTTCCCATATTTGGTCTGTTTTCTCACCTGTTTCCGGTCGATTCTCCGATTGAAACATCATCAGATGACATGAAATAAACCCCGCGTGTCAGTTTCCCTTCAAATATTTCACGCCTTTCACTTTCTTTTAATCGATCTACTCTCTTTTCAGACAAGATCCAGAACTTTTTTTCAAATTTTTTTATGAAGCTGGTTTTTTTAAAGCTTTGAAACTAACATACAAGAAAAAACAGTTTGAAAATTTTCCGAGTTTCAAAAAACCATTATTTCACTACTCTCTTTAAAATTCTTACTCAGAGGAATTAACTGAGCTCACAAAAATGTTGAAACTTGAAAACAAATAGCTGAAATGGAGACTCACTCCGTGCAAACTCTAATCAAGCCACTGCACCTAACCTAGCCTAACCAAAGTTTGCAGCGACTGTCGCGGTCTGCATTGCCAGCCCTACAGCTTCGGAATCCGCTGACGGCGACGGTGCCGCTGCGGCCGTCGTCGGAAGCTCCTTCGAAAGCGCCTTCGGAGGAGCGCGTCTGCCGACCTCCAGAGACCGACCCCATGCAGATGTCCATCTTCTCCGATTTGATGGACGGCTCCACGGTTTGCCTCATCTCTGATAAGCTCTTTTTCCTCCAGCTCGTTGTAAAGTACCTGCACAAGCGTTTTTCCTTCCTCTTCCTTGCACCCTCAGGAAACGTTGGAGTTTCTTCTTTCACCCTTGTACCGAAGAAATGCTTTTTTTTAGTTTTCAACGCTTCCATACTAACTTTTTAATTTTTTCAATTTTATATCCTTTCTGCATCGTTAGTTAAATGATATCTCGCTATAGTTAAAATTTTCTGAATACGTAAAGTTTATTTCCGAATATTTCGAACAAAATTTTGATGGAAAGCCTCAGAATGATAAGAAAATTGTTCAAGAATGACATCTTATTGTTTTCAGTTCTCCAACGGCTCTTGGAGCGACGTTCAAGATTCGATGATCACTTCCAACTGCACTTTCACCGTAAGAAAAAGGGGTCAGTTTTTTTCAAAATGATAAAAAAACTTCAAACTGTTTTCATGAAAATTTCGAAAATTTTTTTATTGAATATAGAAACTTTTAGTTTTATAGATAGTCAAGGTCCGCCTATTTTGGGGTCGCTTTTTTTTGCTCAGTTTTTTTCGTTTTTTGCTATTTCAAGTGCGCACGCGTAGTAATCCTAACTGCGTGAAAGTTGGTAATGAAGGATCGATGCTGTCGAATATTTCTGAACGGTTGGCAGTTCTCCAGTTGCTCGTATAAAAAAAGATATATTATGTTCAAAAATTAATCGAAGTCCGTCAAAATAAAATAAGAAAAAAAGCTCCATCAAAACTCTTGAACGTTGGAGTTAAAAAAAAATGAAATTGACACCCAAAACGCACTTTTTTTTTGAAATTCCAGTTCTGTTTCAAACATTGACTGACAACGATTGGTCAAAGTAAATCATATATATAAGCAATTTCTCTATCTTCTGGAAGTCAAAACTCGAAAAATGACGCTTGGCTGCGTTTGGATAAAATAGAAAAACTGTCGAAAAATTGAAAAGTGAAAAAGCGCGTGCAGTTCTACGAGGGGGTGCATGCGGGAAGAACAATTTTGCGCGTCGCAACGCTTCTCGAAATTTTTTCAATGAAAAATTTTAATGTTATTTTTTTGTTATTTATACACTTTGCCACTTTTTCCATTCGTTTGAATTAGTTTTATAGTCTGTGTGCCACGACTTGAAATTTCACCGAACAACATTCCGCTGTTCCACTTCATCGCGAAGCGTCTTTGCGAGCCTCGGTCTCGCTTCGAATTGGTTCTCATTTCTGATGATGAAAGGCGCGTTAAGGCACGCAGCGGAACAGCGGAATGTCGTTCGGTGAAATCCCCAGCCGTGGTACACAGACTATAGAAAGTATTACGACGGCTTACATCAATAAACGCTTTTTTTTCTATCGAAAAAGAAAAAGGGTGTTTTACGGTGGAATTTTCCGCAATTTCTGTTTTTAAATTGAATCTCGTTGCCTCACTCTTTAGGTTTCTTCCATTTGTTTCAATGCAATGGGCTTTCATTTTTGAAAAATCGTTGGCGTTTCCTATTTAGAGAAGACATAACTGAGCTGCAAACAGTAAAAGCCTGCAAAAAAGGAAGGATTATTCAAAAAATAAAACAGGAAAAAATCAGTAAAAAAGTATAAAAATTTTGGAGTTAATGTTAATTTTTTATTTTGGAGTTAATGTTTATTGACCGATTGTTTTTTAATGAGAAAAAAAAAGTTCTAGAAGTTTCATCCTTGAAGAAAACAAAATAATTACCATTTTTCGAACATTTCATGTTTTTCAAAAAATCGAAGATTACAAAACAAACGATAGAAATTACTTGCATGGATTTAAATTTTATTTTCTTGAACGGTAGCATTTAATATAGTTCATATTACCATCCTTGTCCATTAACCGAGTATTACAATCCGAAGAATGAAATTGAAAAGGAAGAGATAATCTTAAAATTTAAAACTTTCTCATATTCATACATGTATGCAAGAAAATGGTAAAGACATAGCGCGTTCAGCCGAAAATTGTTAATGGTCAAATATCACAAATAGGTTTAGAAAATTCTGATAACCCAGTAGGAAAAAGAAACTCTCATAGAACGTTATTTCTACGGGAAAAACTTATTTTGAGTTCTGAATAGCAAATTCGAGCCATTTTCCACTTTTGGGTGAACTTTGCGAAATGATCCGCAAACACCTTTTGAGGCTTTGTTCAGGCTGCGTTGTCGGTGTCTAGTCTGTGGTATACCCATACGTTCCACACGGTCTTTCGACTTTCAGAATTCTTTTTTGAATGACGATGACAGCGACCTGATGTCGGTTCCGATGATGCAGAGCGTCCTCAACATTGACCGAGAAGCCCTCCGGCGAGAAGAACAACGTGAGCTTTTCAATCGTATTCACAAAGTTTTCTAGAAGTTTTTCGGTGCAAGCAAGTTTTCAGTTCAATCGTCGATGGTGTTGGGCGAGTCTAGAATAGGCGTTGAACATCTGCCAATCATCGAGGACGACGAACTCGAGACGCCGTTGGTCGAGGTTCGACCCATGCCGAGCGTCGTCTTCGATCAGAAGTCGGCAGCAACTGAACTTCCGTCAGAACCTGTCATCGACAAGCCACGGAGTTCTTTCCACGAGGAAGACGTCAGACATGAAGTTTCAGGTGATGAAACAACTTGAACATCAAATATAGATGCCAAGATATATGGAAGCTCCGAAGTAGTTTGTCTGTGAATATAACCAGAACTACGAGAAGTCGCATAATAGATAGCATTCCTCATTTGGCTATTCATTGAATCTCATCTTAATTTTTTTTGTCTCAAAATGTTTTTCGATTAGCTGAATATTTTCTGGTATTCGTTCTTTCTTGCTGCTTTTTTCATAGAAAACCTCAAAACCAAATATCAAATTTTTCGCTTTTATATGAGCTTACATAATCCAGATACTTTTCTTTTGTGAAATATAATCTATTTTCGTGCTGAAATGTCTTTTTCTGAACAGAAAAGTTGCCTTTTTTCTCAGCGTTTCTTTTTTTCAAACACAGCTCTCACTGTACTTACATGTTGCTTTTACCGTAGAAAATTTGTAGCCTCTTCTTTTTGCACACTTTTTTATCATCGAAAACCTCAGTAGATTTGTTTTTCGAGATGCTATGAACAAACTATTTATTTTAACAGTGCTCTTGAAAAATTTATTGAACAAACTTATGTGAAACCCAAGAAGTATACAAAATGACGTGTCGTTTCAAAAAAAAAACAATCCCATTTCGTTTAATGACTGGTATTTTGCTATCATGATAATCAATGCTCAAAGTTTGCTTGTTAAAAAGTATTCCTACTCGAGGTAATTGCAGACTCAATTTCTGGTCGATCTTCTGATACTGGCTATCACGACGAGAGCGATCCGAATATCATTGCAGTCGAGGAGGCGAAATCTCTTGATGAGTCTAAAGTTAGTCTTTCTTTTATATCCGCTACAGAGACAAGTTTGACATTAATTAGCTCCTACGGTAATTAGTTTTCGTATTTGAAAAATAGGTCTAATGATCCAGTTTTTTCCTTAACAATTATTCTTGCTATCACTATTAGTGATACAAAATACGTAATAAAAAAACGGTTTCAAAGTCTTCGAGGGTTTGTTGGCTCTATAGATGGTTCAGTTCTTGCCTCCGGTTTTGTTTAGAGATGATATGGTTATCAGTATTTGCTGCGGTTTGTCGTTTGCGAATTACCTCCCGCTCTTACAGAAACCGTCGACCGTCAATAAAACTAAAAAAGAAGCGCCCATGGCGACAGATCCAGAAACGCCGAAGACAGCTCGAAAGCCTCTTGTGAGAATCACATCGTATTCTGGCCTTATATGCCGGTTTCAGGTGAAAGAGCCAGTTGCGGTCGTTCCGAAGTTTCCCGTGAAGCAAAAGGTTCCGTCCAAACATCAGCTGATGATGGAACAGCTCAAGGTTTGTTACTTTTCTTAAAAAGTTTTGAAAATATTCATTTTTTGAAACCGAAAAAAGTTATTTAGTCTAGTGGGAACCACAACGAGAAAACGAGGACCAAAATATTTGATTCCAACCAGTCTCGTAAAGGGAGGTCAATTAGGCGCAAACTGATTTTACGTCATTTTTAGAAAAAAATTGGCGGCAACTGGTTTCTTCTTTCTTGAATTTGAAAGTTAAAAAAACAACGAAAAATCCTTTACATACATATCTTTCGTAAAAAGTCTTTTTAGGCATCCATCGAGGCTGAAAAGAACAAACCTAAAAAAGAAGTTAAAAGTCGCGTTTCACTTCTCCCGCCGCCGCAACCGGCAGCGAAATCTCAAAAAGAAAACGAAGGTTTGAATTTTTTGCCGTTCACACAAGTGAAATAGCGTCTTTCTTCAATTCCCTCTTCCATTTGTTTAAATCAAGATTTCTTTCATTTGCTGGATTGATTGCCCGTTGACAAAAGCTCTAAAGTGAAATTCGGGCCTGCGGAAACTGAGAAATTGATTCGTCCGGTTCTAGAAAGTTTTGACCATACCTGCTTTTTTTTCGATCCCCTATACATTCTGATTCGCCTCTCTGCGCGGATGATTAGAATATGTATGGCAATGTAGATGACAGAAATCCGTTTCTTCGATTATATTACGTTTTCTCGGACAGAGAAATCCTCGATTTTATCTTTTCTCTCATATTTTCATTTGAGTTAACACTTTGAAACACTCACTAGGGAACTACTCGGACTCGGGTACACGTTTCGAGTTGAAACTTTGGTGGCTTATAGACCCGGGTGAGAGTACTTGGAAACAAGAGAGATTATCTGCTAAACCCCATAGGCTTCTGAGAAAAAGCTTTTTGAAAATGAAAAGTTTAGGCTTGAAAATTATCAAATTTTTGCTTTCCTTCTTCTTTTGGCTATGAAAAAGTTGTTTAGAGTTCATCATAGCCGGATCATTCAAGACGATTGTATTAAAATATAAAATAAGGTAAAAAGCAGTATTCTGAAAATTTTCAGGCCTAATTTTCACATTTTCTACTAATTTTTTCTCGGTTCTCTATTGGGTTTAGCAGATATTCTCACTTGTCTTCAAGTATTCTTACTTAAGTCTATAAACCACTAAAGTTTGAACTCGATCCGCGTACCCGAGTCCGAGTAGTTCCCTAGTCAGTCGAGTGTTTTCAGATATAAGCATGGGAAGCGATGTGACCAACAAAAGAACGGCCTCTGCACCAGCAAAACAGCCGTTGAAGGCGGTTAACGCAGCTCAGAAGCCATCAGTTGAGAGGCCGAAGAAAGAGAGGAAGCCGCTGTACGTGGCTCCTCCTCCCAAAGGTTTGTCACACATTTTCTGAAGATTTCACACTGATAAACTGATTTCTGAAGGATAAAATATAGTTTTGCAAATCTTTCCTAAAATCCACAGTTTTTCATTCAACGTGCAGGATATTTTTTTCAAAGCACTCTTTTCTGATCAGTTTTTGCATAGATAACAATTTTCATAGGAGCAGTTGGAAAGTTCATTCAGAGCGAACCGAGAAGAAAGAAGTTGCCCCTCAAACGACGAAGCCCACCTTCGTCGGTACATCAAAGATGGCTCCCTCAAAGTCGGATACTGGAACAGAAAATGCGACAAAAGGAACATCAAAGAAAGATTTCCCCACGTCTTCTTTCGCAGGGATCGGCTCAAAGTTGGCTCAGAGGAAGCCCTCCACGTCGTCCACTGCCACAACTTCTGGTTCAGCAACGGCTGTAAAATCTCGCAGCAAGTCCGCCACCATAGGTTGCATGACAGAAAATCCAAAAAAAAAAAACAAATGTTTTGTTTCAGACGAGGCGAAAAAGCTGACGCGGCTCCGTTGGGCGTGTTCCACCGTCGACGTTCTTGCTCTTGTCGTCGCGCAGCGCGAAAAACAACGCGACGAGGCGTTTCAGAATCTGGAGATGACCAGTCAAAAACTTGGTGAAAAACGTTTTATTTCACTTGGACAGTTTCATTCAAGATGACACCCTCAACACTCTGGTCGAGCTACGAAAAAAGCTGTCTGAAACCGAAAAAATGCACAACGAACTCGTGTTGGAAGCACAACTCAAGCAGGAACATTGTTAGTTGTTTTTCTCCAATTAAACTGAAAACTTTGTTCTATAAACCCTTCCTGAATCTCATTGAGCGAGGGCAAAAGTCGCGATCTTAGCTGCTTTGCCCAGTCAAGGAAAACTCCTCATATCTATTGTGGTCATCTGTAAAACGCATTTTCAACACGTTGCGACGCCGTTCTCGATCCTCAAAGTCCTAATTTCACTTTTTATTTCTCGATTCTCAACGTCCCACCTTCATTACTAATGAATGTGCGGCAAAGCTTTGTTTTGACATTGACAATGGCGTCGTCGGCAGTGTCGGGCGCCCTTTACTCTCTGCTCGACTGCTCCGCACGCCTCCGATTCCCTTATAACTTGGCGATCTTCGCCGCAGGCTTTTTGCCTGTCTTCACATTCGTCTTTACAGTGACCAAGAACCATGATGGGGCTATCGAGCGGCTCAAGCAGCTCAACGAACAACAGGTCCGTTATAAATCTGTCGAGAATGATATTTTTCTTCCAATTTTCAAATAAAAAAAACTACTTTTTAGAGAAGAAGCTAGAACTTGTGAAACCAAAGTATTTAATAATTTAACGCTTGTAATCGAGTTGAAAAACTGAAGTTTCGAAATTTCCACTCTATCAGCGTCATGTAAATATCAATGTTCCTGTTAAAAATGACAAAAATTTTTAACCTATTTACGAAAACTCATGCATACGGATTAGAATACAAACTTCTTACCCTTGAGAAAGAAGTTTTTAAATTGTAAAATGTTCATGAAGCAAGTCCAAATAATAGAAAAGTTTTTTTCTTATTGTAGTGCCAAATTAAAATCCGAGAGTTTTTTTTTTCGAGCTCAACTTTCTAGTTTTGAAAACTCAGAAGAATTCTGGCTCATTTGGAAAATTTTCCGACCCCGAAGTGAAATGACACTTGTAAAATGTTGGTAAGCTCATATTGAAGTTTCAGTTGGACGAGAAAGCGAAAGAGTTTGAGCGAACGCTTGACGACGAAAGGCGAAGAAGGGAGGCTGAGATGGCGGCGATGAGCAGTCGTCACCAGAAGGTGGTGGCGTCGCTGGATGAGAAAATCGGCGAGACCGAGAAGCTCGCCGAGCAGCTCAAGGCCGACAAGAAAGCCTTGCAGACGGCGTTGGCCAACGACAGCGACCAGCGCAACCAGGTTGCCCAGTTGTCCTTTCTGATTGTTCAGTTTCGTGCTTTGCAGATGCTCAGCAAGGAGATTTCTTCCTTGCAAACCGCGCTGGAGATGAAGTCTGCCGAAATGAAAGAACTCCGGCAGAAGAACCAACAAGTATGTCCATCGCACTGTATTGAATTTCCAACATTGTGTATGGGGATCGAATTAAATTATGCACTGAAGATTAATTCAAAGAACTTTTATGCACAAAAATCTAGTGTAAATTGATGTTTAAAGTAAGTCCCTACCGTTTAGGATACATTGAACAAGGAATTTTTATTCTTTTTATATAACTTGTAAGAATAGTTGGAAGATGATTACTTTCTTAGAAGGTCCACGATTTTTTTTTTCTGATATGAATTGTTTTTATTTTTTTTTAGAGAAAAGTTAATTTGAAAGCTTATAGTTATATAAAAAAACGAAAAAAGGGAACGACTATAAACATTTTTTCGCCTGAATCCTCATATTCAATTGAGTATTATTTCTCTTTGTTTCTCACAATTATTACGAAACATGGTGAAGAGCGTGGTGAGCTGTATGTTGCAGAGAGAGTAGAGTCCCTCCCTGATTTTCAAAAACTGTTGTGTTACGTGATAATGTTTGAAATAAAGCGATTAAGAAATCAGTCGCTTTTGGTTTCTTTTTTTGTGCTGCTCTTCTTGAATTTGATTATTTTCCTTTCAGTTATCGTTGCAAGTAGATGAAATACCCTTGAAAGAGCTGGAGATCAGTAAGTGGCGGCACAAGTCCAACGAGTACAAGCATAGGCTCGATCAGAAGACCAACTGCGAGAAGTGAAAACAATAAAAAGCGAAAGTCTTGATGTTCGTTTTTTCCAGGGCCCTCGTGCAGCAAATCGAAGACTTGCGACGACGTCAGGCCCACGACGAGGCTGTACGCGTCGCACTCAACAATAAGTTGGACCTTATGAATTACCATTTCGAGAATGGCGACGTCTCCGCCAGCGACGCCAACAGATTCAGTCTTCCGTGCGTTGAAACTAGTGGTTATACCGGGGATTTGAAAGAAGAGTCAAGAATTAAAAAGCTTTTAGAAATACCAATTTTAGGCAACCGTGAAAAAATATGTGTTGAATGTCTAAATCCGAAAACACTTTTTTGTTTCAACATTTCGAACCTTTTTCTATGAAAAAAAAGAGACAGCGTTAAAAAAATTAATAAGAAAAATCAGAAGATATTCACATTCAAAGTTGGAAATATTTCGAATATGTTTCAGAGTTAGAGTAGTCTGACCTAGTAAGTGGATTAAAGAAAAACAGTTCTATATTTATTTTTAAATTTAGTTTTACGAGATGTTCATTATTTTCGTCGTACTCCTTATTCACCACAAAGATTTGAAGCATGTCAAACTTTTTTTTTTTGATTTTTTTGTGGTATAAAAGAAATTTTGGAAAATAATTGGAATAATTACAGGGATGATTTTTAGCAGGGAGAACCGAAAAATTTAATTTTTAATTTTTTTAATTTTTCTAGTTTTCACATCTCCGTCACTTCACTTTGGGTTTTTTTCTACCACCTCTATCGGCATCGTTTCAGCTCACGGGTGCAGTTTCGATCGCGTTCTTCGGCGTCCGGCCCTCGACCAACCTCCTCTACACCTCTAGACGGTCGAATGTTCTCCTCCAGCAACAGTTTGCCTCTTTAAACTGACCACGAAGTCACCATCAAAGTTCCAGGTGACGTGGATCGGGTAGACCGCGACGTGATGAACCGCTCGACGCTGTCCATGTACGCGAATCAGGTGCGTCTTCCTGAGAACCATGGCGATGACATCATCTACGCGCCCGACGAGATCATCTCCAGCCGGAGCGGATCCATTTCCCAGAGGCTCTCTGTTGCCATCGAAGACGACGGCGAGCCCAAGATTTTGAAGTTCGTCATAGTTTTACTTTATCGTTTTCCGATTGAATCAAGTTCCTGCAGCTAAACAGGTTATGGGCATGAATATTCGAGCCATCCACAACCAAAAGTAAATAAAATATGGGATTTTTTGCTTTCTCTTCCGAAAACTGTTCGCTAGACGCGTCATTTTATGTGTTTCTCACATTTTTTCACGCCAAAAAAGTATCCTTTTTTGGTCTCACTAATAACTCACACGTAGTCGGCGACTTTACAGATCGCGTAGGAACTTCTAAGGCTATTTTTTTTTCTCTTAAATTAGAGGCTAACTAGTAAATGCAACTAGTAAACACCCTGTCTTGGAACTGCACTCTAAATGTTTCCGTAGCTGAAATTTTTATTACGAATTTTTCAAAGGAATCTTCACAAGAACATTTTTTTAATATCCATAATTCTGACCTCTATTATTGCAAAAGTATTTTTTGAAAATCTCCATTTTTGCAGTGAAACCAATTCGCAGTCCGACTCGGGAATTGGAATCATCATGTGAGGTCGCCTCTTCCATTCATCTTTGTTTTTTTCCTTAAAACTGTGTCTGTGAAAAATGATCTCTCACATTCTTCTGCCTCTTATTCATCGCTTTTTTCCTGTGAAATGAGTAAATATTACACAATTCTCGCCGCCATGAAATCTCGGTTGTCTTTTCTAACTTTCCATTAACATCCTTCTCTGTGCCCAATAAATCTTTTCATTTCAAAATTCCCATGAACGTCTTGAACTTTCATTTTGTCTTTAGAAAATAATATTTTTGTGGAGCTTAGTTTAGGAGACTCTCAGCTATGCCAACTATCTTGAGTCCCGTGAGAAGGATCACCAGCCATAAGACAAAGAGAATGACAGTGATCCCGTGCATCGCGTAGGTCACACATCTGACCTAAACTCTTATCGTGAATAGTCTGAAGAAAGGAGGAAACTATTGTGACGGTTCTCGCCTTTTCCTCCGCGTCTCTTTCGGCACTTCCTGACTTTTTTGCTCCTCAAACGTGTCATGTTTCTTATGAATGAAAATATGATCTTTATAGTCAATTTTGTCCCATTCTTCACAACTCGAAGCAGTCTACTTTTTCTGCTCTCTCGTCGTTATGTGCTTTTTATGTCCCCACTGAAAGAGAAAAGAGAACATAGAGGTCAGACTGTTTCGAGTCGTGGCGAATGGGGTACGAATAGAACTAATTGAAGTGTTATCAAGATAATCCTTGACCAAAGATCGAATTTTGTCTCACCCGGAGGTTTTGCATCCAGAATAGAGAGTTTCTTGGTCTTAACTTCAGAATTCAAATCGGTATCATCATTTTCCCTGAAAAGTCGTTTTTTGAAATATCCCATTTTGTGTATTCGAAGCTACTACTTTTATCATATTTCCTTGATTTGAAGATTCAAGTTCGTGAAGTCGTAAAAGCATACAGACACGCTCCAGTTATTTTACGCGTGAAGATGGAATTTTCATCGATAACCTTTGAATTTTGGCTGAGTAAAAATAATGAATAACATTCAGAGATTCAGAAACTATGAAAAAATCTTCTCTGAATTCCTTAAGGAAATAAAAAATATTTTTTCAAAGTTTTGTTTTTGAGAGTTCAAAGCCTTAGAGAGAGCGATACTGATTTTCGAATATTCTTTGACAATAAAGTTTTCTATTATTTCAACTTATCAAGTTCATATTTACAAAGCTCCATAAGATCAAAAGTTGTTTATCTTATCGGTTAGACATTTTTTGCGCCTCTAATTGGCTCTAGCTCCCAAAGATGTTTGAACCTATTTTTTCTTGGAGTAAAATGTAGAAAATTTTGATCTTGATAATATTCATTCTAAACCTTTTTTTTAATGATACATGATATTTGGGGAAGTACCTGAGTGCGCCTCTAATAACACCGGGCGGAAAGGCCGGCGGCGGAGGTGGAGGTGGAGTTCCGAGTGAAGCAGGTAAGGCTGCTGCTGGAGGCGGCGGGAGCGGATTGGCAGCAGCTGGCGGCGGAGGAGGCGGAGCGCCCAAATTGTCCAATCCACAGTACTGATCACCCACTGAAACATTGGCTCTTCGTTTAACCGGGATATATCGGTAAGGCTAAAACTTTATCAATTCCTTCTTCAAGAAGTACAATATATTGTTAGGTGGCAAGATAAATGGGGAAAAAATGGAAGAACTTCACGAATTCGAAATTCGAATATGCCGCCTTTATTGGAATGGAAAGGACTTACTTTTACAGATTAACAAACGAAAATGATCACCTTCTTTGGACATTTCGTAACGTTCTTTTTCATTGTTTAACTAAATGCTTTCCAATTATTATTCAGAGCAGATCGTCGATCTGGCGGGAGCTCTGAACGGATAAAAGGTCAAAACATCAATGACGTCAGCCAGATTTTTTGTTGAAGAGGCCACGGTCTGACGAAAACGACAAACCAGTCAATCAACCAACCGGAAAAACATCACAACAGGGACAATAATGGGCGTGGTTTCTCTCGAAGGCCGTCGTTTTTGTTGTGGCACACGGTTTCGCCAACCTTTTTCCTATTCCCCTTTGTTACCCTTTTTTTTATTTTTCTCATAGATTTGCATATGAAAAGACTTTTTTCTCAATTTGAATTGTCGCTCTCCAATGAAACTTATAAAAACGTTTCAGTTGGCAGAAAAACAGATCTTCTAACCTTGTGCTCTTTGGTCTTCTCTTAAAGTTTTTTTTTCATTTTTGTTAATTTTCTAAAATTCATTGTTTCCTCCAAAAACTTTTCAACTCACTATAGAACTGTCGGAACTTTTTCTTTCGCTCTTCAGGTTCTCTCTCAAAATTCAGCAAAAGGTTCTCATTTCAGATGATCAAGCTCTTCGTTTTCCTGGCTCTCGTCGGTCTCTCTTCTGGCCTCAACTTGATCGGACGGACGCAGTCTGCCGCTGTGAGTTTCGGCCAAAACCTGTTTCGAAATGAGAACGTTTTTTTAAAGGTAAAAGGCAGGTTGATGTGCAACGGAAAGCCGGCGGCTGGCATCAAAGTGAAGTTGATGGAGTCAGACAGTGAGTCTCTTCTCTTCTGTGACACTACAAACGATTGTGATTTTGCAGACAGCTTCGGACCGGGATTCCTTGACAGGGACGACAAGATGGCCGAGTCGAAGACGTCAGGCGACGGCTCCTACCAACTCGGCGGCAACTCCAAGGAAATCACCACAATTGAGCCCTACCTTGCCATCTTCCACGACTGCAACGACGGACTCACGGTCAGACATTAACAAAGCTTTCTCTTCGGAAACGGGGACTTGCAGCCGTGCCAACGGGTGGTGCGCATCAACATTCCCAAGTCGTACGTTGAATCGGGCAACGCAGCCAAGAAGTCGTACGACGCCGGCTCCTTGGAGCTTTCCGGAAAGTTCCCCGGCGAGACGAGAAGCTGTCTCAATTGAATTTACCTTTCAAAGCCATGAACTACACTCTTATTTTATTTTTTTCATATGCATAATAATAAATTTTTTTTCTTACATAACTACCAAAAAAATTTGTGCCAGAACACCCCTAATGAGTAGAAGGCAGAAAAACGTTTTCCAATTTGTTTAAAAAATGAAAAAAAGGATTCAGACAAGTCCGCGCAAAAATGTTGTAGACAAGCAAAAAAATATTTTTAAGCGGCTTTGGGAATCTTTGGGAAAACGGAAGTTTTCAAAATTTTTCCTGCTTTATGAAATCTAATTTAAAGTAATTTAAAAATGGAACAAGTCAAAATCACTATCAGGAAAAAAAGAAACGCATATGAATCATATGATATGATGGAGCGGAACAGAGAATTTAGAATTTTTTTCAAAAAAATGGAAATATGTACCAATTTTAAAAAGTCGTGTTCGACAATTCGTGCCTTAAAAAAATTGAAATTTGAATAAAAAAACCATGCCGTTTTGACGTGTAAACGGTTAAAAATTTAATTTTTTTAACCCACGCGACTTTTTAGTAATGATGAATCACTAAAAGTTTTCTTATCAATTCTTCGATCGAGTCCTTCAAAGTGGCAAAATGGGGAAAAGTATTTTCGTTCCAAAAATCCACGGGATGTTCAGTTTTCCTCATTTCATCTTCACACTTCTGTCGATAGAAGCTATAAAGTGGTGGTCTCTATTTTCAGTTGATCTAATGTAAAAACAGAGTCCAAGAGTCTTGATACCAAGGCAAGGGAAATATCAAGGATAAACCGAGATCGAAGAGATAAAATACTCTCAAGACTAGATAAAATTAGAAATGAAGATTTATGAGTCAATTTTCTGGCTTGTTTTGAAAGGGACAGTAGCTTTTATGTTGGCCTACCGCTCGATAATGAGCTCCTATCAGAGGACGCCAAATTTGTTCTTATCTTAAAGGTCTCAGTTAGTGCCACCTGCCTTGGTTTGTACTCGACATCACCTTCTCTCTGCCAGACCAAACAGGCCGTTTCGGAGTGCTCCGAACTACCCACGTCTTCAGAAGAGCCCAGCTTCCAGATGACGTGGTGGCGGGCGCTGTGCGCTTCGTTCGCCGTCCTCGCCTTCACATACAGTGCTGTTCTCCAGAACACGCAAAGTTTCAGGCCCTCGGCGCCGCTCGAAACTTTTTTCGATGCTTTCCAGAAGCCAAAAGCCGCACAGGTTATTTTCTTCCATTCATAATCGAGATTAGCAAGAAGATGAACTGAGCAAATTTCATCATACATTTCGAAAAAGTAGAAAGCGAAAGAAAAATCACGCTTGTAATTACAGTGAGTCCATTTATATGAGTCACGTCGCTTTTTGTTTCAACCGCCTTCTAACAAATCTTGAATCGAGTCTCATGTAAAAAAATATTTTTTTATTAAAAAAAAACATATCCGCTGCATAAATTTCCCGAAAATTTCCCCTCATGTTTTGTTTCATAAATTTTTTTATAACAACTTTTCAAACTTTGAAAGCTGGAAATTTTTTTCTTTACATCTAAAAGTTTAAAAGTTTCCAACTCTATTCGTACCTTTTAGAGAATAGAGTTAGAAGCTTTGAATGCTTCTTATAATTCTTTCCCGTTTTCAACCACGTTTATTTAGGCTATATTTAAAGTTTTCATCAAAATTCAAAATGCAGAAAAAATTTTCTCGCTTGTTTTCATGACAACTGAAATGATCAGACAGCTGAGCTACTTTTTTATTCAAAAATTGAAGTATATAACATACTTCCTCCTGTCTTTGACTTGTTGAAAATCGTTATGATTTTCGAAACGCCTTGGAATATTTAATCAATAAAGGCCGAGCCAGAAGGATTGCTCGATAATAGTGCGTTGCCGCAGTTGTTTGTTCTTGCCATTTTTTGTCGAACGTGATAATTTCAGAGCGAACATGCTCGCGAAGGCTTCGAATGCGCCGAGGCCGCTCCAAAAAGCAGAATTCCTAGCAAGCAAGAGCTGAAACAGATGTTGGAGAAAGAGGCAAGACAGGACTATAAGTTCCCCGAACACATTAGGTGTGATCCTTGCTTTCGGACAGCAGAAAACGTTTTCTTTTCAGAAAGAAAAGACAGTTATCGAGGCAGACTTATCAAGAGTACCTGGACAATCTTGGTCGAGCAGACTACGACGTTCGGATCGAAGAAGGTTCTCAAATTACTACTGAGGAGTTTTATTATTTAAAAACTAAGGATGGCTTGACGTGTTGTATCCGTTTGGAGCGTGGGCCATGGACGATCAATTGATGGGACAGGCTGGAAGAGAAACCCAAGCGAACCTCGGATTCGACTGTCCATTCTACGGCTTCCGGTTAGTGTCGGCTTCAGTTTCAACAAGGTCATCAATTCAAAAACCCAAAAACTGCAGATTCAACTACACCTTTGTGTATCCGATGGGAATGGTTTCCTTCGCACAGCCTCCCTACACCGCGCCCCCATGGACCTTCCCAAATCCGCAATGGCCGAAGCAAAGGGTCGGTCAGCTCTTCGATTTCAACACTAACAGTACGACTGTTGAAGAAAAGTGTAGCGTAAAAGTGTTTAGGTATATCTATATCAGATGGAACTTCAGCTTTTTTAACAAAGAAACTAGTTGTTTTGATTCTGAGTTTAAAATAAAGTTAATACCTAATTGTTATTATAAAAAGATTCATAAAAGCAGTAAAATGGGAAACTTGAAGGATCATTCGTTCATAGCCCCATTCTATGCCGACGCCATGTTCCAGTGGATCGGCAGTACCAAAATCAGCAATGTCTTCTTCCGAAGTGTTCACAGGCCTCGCGTGCGTTTTTTTTTTTTTGTTGAAATGCTAAGAACTTAAGGTGTGAAAAAGGCCAAATGACCTCTTTTCTTGACCTTTTTATGATCAGTTGCAAAAGCAAACAGAAGGATTTTGATAGGACAGGGGCGAAAATGGTAGAATCGATATAACTAATGAGCGATTCGATTAATCGATTAGACGAGTAAAATTGTACATTCAATTGCATGCGTTTACATTAGTGATTTGGAAAAATAAGCTTGTGTTCAAAAAATGACCTGTTTCAGCTGGACGACGACGAAGTGTACAGTCAAAACACTCAAACAAACTACGGAGCTCCAAATTACGCACAAGCGCAGTACCAGGTTTCAGATTTCTGTTCCAGTTAGCTGAAAATTGTCTCTGCAGTCAAACATCAATCAGCAATACTCGAACCCCAACATCTACAGCCAACAGTCTCCCAATGTGAACCCTTTGCTGCAGAACCAGTACCAAACCTTGGGACAGGTTAGAAAATCAAGAAATTCCCGTTCATTGCAATGTAGAGTCCGTACGGAACAGTGCCACAGTATCGGAAGAAAAGACAGATGCCTGGCAGGATTTCGCAGCCGGGAATGGTGGTCGATCCACTGCTTCTCGACAACATTACCCACCACATAAAGGTCAATTCGAACTTTTGATGTTGCCTGGGTCCGTTTCTGGAACAATGATAAAAAGTCATTTAAACGAAGTTAAAAGGATCACTAAAGTCATGAGAAAATGAAATCAGAATCGGTATATATTTAGTCTGGAAGAACCAAAAAAAAACTTTCTTGCATTGGGCCCAAATTTTTTGCCAGAATATGCGTTTTTAGTTGCTTTATGATATTCAAGAATAAAAAAAGTTGCCCAGAAACTTTCAAGAAAAACGGGATTTTTATCCGTTTTCGGCCACAAATGCGTTAAAAAAACTGTCGTCATAAATTCATATTTCTCATTTTTTTCAGTATTTTCTTTTATTTAGGATTGTTAAGCATAGCCGATTGTATGTTTCCCCAATTTTTTTCCCAAATCGGTACAAGAAAAACTGTTTTAAAATATAAAAAAAGAACCAAAATGCAACGAAAATGACGAAGTTTTTTTGAACAGCGAAGTGGGCGTGGCTCTGCGGTCCCTACATTTGGGTCTACAAAATTTTGAGTAATTTGGGCGCGTGGTTGAACTAAAAATTTCATACATTTTTTCGAACTGAAGAGGATTTTTGGTTTTGAAAAAAGACATCATGATTTACATGAAGAAAACATCGGAGGAAATTTAGGCTTGAATGTTTTTTTGTGAAACGTGTCAGAACAATGTAAGCTTTTAATGAATTATTTTTCTCTTCTTCCATTTAATCTCAAATTTTAGGAAGGCTACACAGGAGCTAATGGATTTAGAGCTGAACACGCGTTTATTGTGACTTGGTACAGGGTAAGTTTTGCTCTGGCCACTTTTGCTATTTTCTTCTTCTAGATGGCCTACGGCGGCGCTCCACGTGCTCTCGACGTTTCTCAGTTCGAACATGTGAAAGACTGGCAGAACACCTTCCAATTGGTTATTGCATCCGACGAAATACGGTTTTCTAGTTGATGTTAGTGAAAACACTGTTGTTTAAAGGACCTTCGCTATTTTCAATTATGCTCGTCTGAACTGGACATCCTCCAATGAGGCCGGAGGACTGAACGGTTTCGGAGGAAAACAAGCGGCGATGGCTGGTTTCAACGGAGGAAACGGCACCGGCTGGTATCCGCTGCCTTATTCTGGACATGGTTGGTCGAGAAAAGAACGTCTGAGCGACTGCAGAGTTCAGGAAGACTCTGGAAGCTGGGCTATTTTTCGAACGTCCTCACCCCGGGACGTTGGATTCACAGAGTCGACGAACTCATAATTCCTGCTGGCTGTACCAACGCGTCCAACGGTACGACACTCTTTCTCGCGTCATTCAAAAGAAAAAAAACTTACAGGGGGCGTGGTTACTGCTCCTCCATGGGGACCGATGCAGGGCGGAATGGCTATTAACATCTCAGGACCATGTCTGCGACCAACGGACAGCATCAAGGTAAAAAATGAATACAATTTTTCAATAAGGCAGTTTGAAAAGAATGATGAAAGCCACGAAAAAACTGTTGTTTTAATAACGTATGACCGTCTAGGATCATTTAACAGGATGGATTCGTCACGGCGATCCATTTTCAGAGTCTTTTTCTAAATAGTTCGAGAGTGCTTTTTATTTTGGAAACTACACTTAAACGCATAAACTGAAGGAGAAAAATAGGAAAAAATTGTGAAAATGTGTAAAAAGGGAAACAGTGTTCTGTGGTTTGCAAAATGCAATAGAGCAAAGTTGGGCTCTGGCGAAGTTAGTCCAATTTTAGATGTTTGTCGAGGTGAGAGAAGAGTTTTGGGTTCGACAAATTTCATTTTCATATTACAACTTTTTTCGATAAGCTAATTCAAAGTTCTTTCAAAGATTACTTTCAGCGTTTTTTCAGTCTTTCCCCTCAAATTACCGGTAAAGAAGAATAATAATTTGAAATTCTCAGATCTCAAGATTAGAGGACCTGGCTTGCCATTTGGTAATATTTCTTTTGGAACATTGATCTGCAGGTGAACTTCGAGAACTGGCAAACGGACTGCAAAAGGATCAGCAGAGTTCGCGCGCGTTGCATCATGCCCATGTTCCATAAAACAGGAATGGTCCCCATCCGAATGAGTCGAGACGGAGGCCAAAGCTTCCCTTTTTTCGGAAAGTTCTATGTCGGTCAGTGAAAAGCTAAGGGAACCTTGAGATGTCTTTCTTCTTGCTCCCAAATTTTCTGTTTCCAGTTATGCCTGACCGAGCGCCTGCTGCTGTCACGCTCAAAGATGATGTAAATGACGTGAACAATAGATGGTACTTTTTATATTCTACTGAAATAGTAAAATTATTAGGTATCAACCTTACGCAAACGAGCTGACTATGGGTTGGCAGGCCCTGAACTTGACCAACAACTTAGGTGCAAGGATCGATATAAGTTTATTTGGATATTGGGAAGATGCTGACAGGTACAGAGAGTGTTGATTGTCGTTTCTGATGGGTCTCCAGATCCCATTTTGTCAAACTGGACTATCTTGCTCGTGGTCTTGCCAACTCCGGAAGTTACACTTTCAAACCAGCGACCCTGCAAAAGCAATATTTGCTCAAAGTACGTTGTGAGCCACGATCTTTTTGACGTCCATACTTTCAGAACGCATGGCAAAAGTTTCATTTTGGGTTCGTCCAAGTCGCTCTGGCCGATGTGGAGGATGGCGTCCTTTGGAGCAAGCCGACGCCTTTCCCTTGGTACTTGGAGCAAAGCGAAAAGTTCTGATAGGGTCTTTCAAGGTACCACTTGCCGGAATGGAGACGACACTACGGCAACAACTGGGCGATCGACATGTGCATCGAATGGTTCGAGTACGACGGCAAACGCCGCAACTTCCAGATAGATCTGACGTCGGACCGGCCTTGTCCTTGCAAGCTTTCGCAGGCGATGCTCGACCTGGGACGCTACATGCCCATTATGGACTGCGACAAGGACGGCGACACCTCCTGTCCTTTCAATAAAGGCGCTCAGCACTGCATCCAGTCCGTCCAGCCCAGGTTCACAACAATTGTATTTTTTTTAAGTTGCAGTTCAATTTTTCTCAGTTATAAACTTTCCGTTTTTGAAACTATTTCCAAGAGAAGCAGACACAGATTTATGACAAATGAAATTGAAAAAATAAAATAAAATACTAATTTCGGCTTTTTCATTGTTTTCAAAGCAAATATGAAATTTTTTTTTTTAATTAAAGTTTTTTTAAAAAGCTTAATTTCTTTTTTGAAATATACGGACTTTCTCTTTCGGCTCAATAGAAAGTTGTATTCTAGGGCTCCAGTCTCACGGGCTAATTTCGGGCTTGTGTAGGGGTTTTTCAATGAAGTTGACAAGCAGTAAAGAAAAATCAGTGTGATCTGAAATTTCAAAACCTCTTCTTTTACATACTCCTCTGCTAATTATTAGAAGATACATTGAGAGCATCTTCTCAAGTAAGCAACTCAATAATTTTAGACGAAACATCTTCGAATCAAGTTTATAACATCGAGGCGATTATTTCCGCCGGAATATCAGTTTCTTGTCTCGATAGCAAACTCTGGGCTCGAAAAAGGGCGAGATTACAGTTCTGCGGGATCCTCACAACAATGCTGCTACGACTACGATGGCTACCTGATGTTCACCGACGACTGGGAGCCCGACGGCGACTATACAAGGTATTTCGTCGACTGAACTATTTGCATTTTTCAAAGACAGCTTTCAAATACCCCTTTTCCTCATTGTCATGTTCCTTGCAGATTCTTCCAGCCCGGCACGCCAGCTCGAGCTCACAAGTTCGGAGCTCCGCCATATAGACTTCCGCCGTTCATTCCTACATTGTCTAATTACCAGCTAGATCAACTACCGTATCGCACATGCTGCAGGTGACACACAATTCCTCTTTCTCTCTCAAGGAATATATTTGGAGTTATGCCCAACACTGCGAGTTCTACTATTGGCGTCGCATGACCAACGGCTGCCAAGACTACAAAGCTCCAGGAGCAGGGTTCAACCATCCTGAACCGAAATGAAGCAACCATTTGGTTGAGGTACATCTACGGAGAGCCTCACGTTGTGACTTTTGACGGAATCCGTTACACGTTCCCTGGCAAGGGCTACTACGTGCTTCTCATGTCCAACAACCCAGAACACAAGTTGATGGTGCAAGTTCGCCTCGAACAGCCTGACGACACTCTCTGTTGGTTCAGATTGACTTTGAGTATTTCCTCTCTTTAGGGCACTCCCACGTCAACGCCACCGTCATCACAGGCATCGCTGTCCAAGAAAACGACAGCTCCATCGTCCAGGTGCTGAAATGAGCGCGAAAGAGTTCAGCACAAAGAATGCAGGTGTTCGCCCGAAAGCCAATGCGCAGATGGCGTTATCGAACAGACGTTTACGTCGACGGTTCGCCGAGATTCTTCGACCGACCACATTGGAAACATCAAACCTTCAAACGTATCGCAGCCTCTCTTTTTTTTATCATCTGGAACCTTTCAGACCTCGACATACGCAATCCGCTACAGAACATGAACCAGTCCGAAGTTATCATCATGCTCAAGTCCGGCCTCGGAATCCGCGTCTTCGAGAGCTATGGGATGCTCGACATCATGGTCACTCTTCCTCCCAGCTACAACACGACCTGCCAGGTATCTCAGCCTCTTTACTTCTCCACAGATGTCAATTCAGATGGGAATGTCTCAGTCTTCCGCGTTGAATGCGCCGATTGGCACCAATCGATGCTATACAACACTTGGGTTGCTAGGTTACTAACCTCGTTTTTCAAACATTCTTAAAAAGAATTCAGGAGTATATAACAACGATCCAAACGACGATTTAACCACACCAGGTGGACAAGTTGTACGAGTTTCCAATCCAACTTCAACAGCGAGTACCACGCAAATGATATATGAACAATTTGGGCAATACTGTCAGTTTAAAAAAAAAAGGAAAAAAAGACTTAGAATCGGTTTAGGGAAACTTGACGGTTCGAATGAAGCCCTTGGAAGTATACTTTTCCAGGAAAAGTTCAAGGTAAATCTTACCTGACTTTAGTGACGAAGGGGTAAAACTTTTTCAGCCGATCTACAACCCCTTATTGTTCGCTCAGTCTGGTTATGTTCCTGTTTTCTGGCCTCAATATCTTGATATGAACGCTTCTAGAGTCTTCACAATGGACCAAGTGAGATAGTTCCTCGTTTCCGATGTATTTTCTGGATTTAAGGTCGTGAGCACATGCCAGAACAATCCAGAATGTGAGTACGACTACATTATGACTGGAAGGTCTGGATCTCATTCGAGAAACTGTTCACTTGCTTTTTATTTTAGGAGAGAGGTGGGCCTGACGACTCTACGTCGACAGAAAGAGTTCCTGGCGCTAAAGAAGATTGGCTCGCAACAATGTCAGGACCACATTTTTCTTTTTCCCGTCCATTCGAGAATTTCAGTGATATCATGTGGTCCTCTGTTGAAGAAGGAAGGGGTGGTGAAAACGCCTCCGGCGGCAAATTACCTGGACGGCGACCGCGTCGTCTTTTCCTGCAAACCCAAGTACTACATACACGGCGACATCGAGCGAACTTGTCGCAACGGAACTTGGTCGCCAGGCTGGTGGGCCTGGTGTCGAGGTTCGGCTTTTCTCTTTTCAAACTGATTGCACTGTTTCTTGCAGACAGAAACCTCGAATATGCCCTCAAATGGATGACTGCTCTCCTATCAATATTTGGTGAGAGATAGTGAAGCGAATACATCTTCTAGTGTTTCAAAACTTGTGCCGTGTTCCAAGTGATTCTGCGAAATTCAAAAGAACCGGCAGAGAGGGAAGAGATGACTAATTTTTCTAGAGTTAGAGACAATTTTGCACTTCGCAGCAATTACTTTGAACACGGCATTAGTCGTCCTGTTCCTAAAACAAACGCCTCTTAACTCGAAAAACCAACATTATTCCGTAATGAGGGTTCTCTTAACAGGAAATAACTTTGAAACAGATACATTTTCTGGATTCGGAAAATGTGCATAATCGAGGATTTTATGAACTTTTAAGTCGAAGAACCTTTGGATTTTCCTACTAGTCTCGAGTTTGAAGGAGACTTTTCAGAACTGTCAGGAAAAAAGGATCCAGAGGGTCGAAACGATTAAAAAAATTATGTGATTTTTCCTGAAAAGATCAAAAAATACATTCCATTTTTTGTAAAACATTTCTTATTCTAGAAGGTCGAAGCGTTTTTTTTTTCTGAACGACGATTATCAAAAAATACAAAAACGAACTACTAAAAAAAGTACTGGAAAAACGAGAGCATTCAGTAACTCATGTTTTTTCGACAAATTAGGCTCGAGTCGAGTAGGAAAAATGATGTTATTGACATTTAGCATCATTTTCATTTTTATAGTTGCGAAATAAAGAGCCTTAGTCATTAAAAATTTTTTAGAAAAAATAAAAAAAAAGCGAAATTTCAGGTATCGTCTTGATATTTGTGATAATGTTCTGCATACTATGGGAAGCCAGGAAGAAGCGCCAAAAGGAATACGCAGAAAATCATTTGATCAAGGTTTTTTTGAAAACTGTTTAACTGTTTTTTTTTTTAAACTGTTCTCCAAAATTTTTCAGAAAAACTTGATAAAGCCTCAATACTCTTTTTTTTCAGGAGGGCGAACTATTCAGGAAGCGGAAAAGCAGTAGCGGAATCGGATCTTTGTGAGATTCAAAAATAGGGAGTTATCAGAAGCAGTTTCAGACCCGAGAAAGAACCACTGGCCGACGTCGATTTTGACGCTGACAATCGACGTTCTTCGCGAAAGACCTCGGGCGATAGGAAGGTTATGCCCGCTCCTACGGTTTGGCGTCTCTCAGGACTTTCGAAGATGGAATCTTAGAGTGTTACGGCCTGGAATCCCTCTGGAAACCTCAGTTCTTTCCGCGATGACTATGAACCTCCGAAGACATACCAAGGAACGAATCCACAAAGAAATAGCTACTTCGAGTCGTCTGCATTTTGAAAAAAAAAAACACCCATTAACTTGTTTTTATCCAAAACATGGACAATCTTGTGAATTCTGCCATCAATTTTCGATCAATCAGTACTGTGCTTTCTCTGTTCGCTTTTATGTACATAATTTTGTTGTTTTTGAGGATATATGGCCAATTAAATTTCTACGATAATTCAAAAAGCTCAAATGCAGAAAAACTAGCTCGAAAGCTTTTGATAGCTAGAGCCTTTCTCTATTCAAAACGTCAAAAATCAGTCAGCTGCTACAGTAATAATCGATCCACTGCACTTTTACTCAAAGTTTTCGCGAATCGACTTTTTCGCCGTATACTGATCTTCATTGTTGCTTTACATATTGATTATATGATGAATCCCATTGTACTTTCGTGTCTATAGAGTAAAGTCACTCCGTTTGGTGCGCAACAAATAAATTATGTATTCCCAGCACTGTGTCAGTGCATTTCAAACTGTTCTACACATGCGCCGCCTGACGGTGGGAATTTTTTTCTCATGTCTTTGCACAGGTAGGAGTTCATTATCGATAATAATAATAGTCTCTCTTGAACTTCCAAAAAGTTTATTTTAGTTTTTAATTCGAAAAATTGACGCTCATTTCTGGAATACCAAGTTTCAGCTGCCGTGCCATCTTTTCAAAATCTTTCAAACTCAGACCAACAGTTTTCTAAAACACCGTTAGGAGGTAATGGAAATTTCGAGACTACCATGGAGGCAATTCAGGAAACTGCGATGAGCTTATGAATCAGATATCTGAAAATTTGCTCGTTCTTTTTCTGTTGCGGATCAACTTCGCAGAGATAAGCTCTTCACGAAAAGCAATCCGAGAATGGAACTTCGGCCTCATATCTCGCATGCTTTACGTTCACGCAGTATCGATCAATGCCACGGTTATCAAGCTAAAAATTATCTTTTCATCGATGATATTATTTAGGACTTTCAAACAATCTATACCGTAGATAAGTACCTGCCACCGGAATCCTTTCTAACTTCTATAGATGGCTTGTCGGCTTTCCAATTGTCTCATTTGATGAAACTACATGTAGACAGTCGTCATTGGGATATTCAAAAATTCCTCGATGGATTCACATACAGTTTACCAGATGAAGACAAAAAAGGGGTTCGTTCCAGTATTAACTAAAACCTTTTTATAAATTCAGGCTACGAACTTCATAATATTGATCAACACACTGTACTGTATGTCGAACAGGATCATTCCTCGCAAGATATAACGACCCTGTCTCATACGAAGCGTGCCATTACTGCATAATTAGCGCGCCCTCATTGCAGAGCCTTCCAAATCGCAGAAAAAAAAAAATTAAATTCTTTTTTTTCATTTTTCCTTTTACAAAAAAGCATTGCTTTAATTTTTTAGTTCAAACGCTTTTCAGCAGTTTTGAATCTCATTTTAATCGAAGTTTTGAATTAGTTTTTGAAACTGACTTTGACTTTACGATATTTTCGTGGTTCATGTTTAACCAATATTTTCGTCTATCGATATATCTTGCTCGTTGGTTTTGTATGTACCTCTCTTAACTAAAAAAAAAAAGAATTATAGTGTGTTATTTTTACGAAATATCATTTCATTTGAATTTTTCAAGATGTCATATACTCCTACTCAAGAGTCCTATCAGTCTGTACTTCCGTCACATGTTTCTTCGGGTTGGAACGATCCTCCGGCTTTCATTCCGACGTCGAATTCCCCGAACCGCTTAGCTTCAATGCGACAACGCCCCATCGATCCGTCGATAATGGTAACTAATATAATTTCTCGTTTACCATAATTATTTATTAATGTTCCAGTTGTTTTTTTTCAAGTTTTACTGAGTTCAGCGATGTTGAAAAGTGCTTCTGAAATGAAAGCTTTTTGGTAAAAAAAAAAACAGCTTTTTAGGGTGGGAGACCAGCAATGACGACAGGATACGGTCAACAGATGTATGGAGGAAATCAACAATACGGAATGCCTGCACAGAATCAACAAGGTTTATCTTGTGGACTCTATTTCTTCATTTTTGTAATACATAAATGATATTTGAAAAAAGTTGTCTCTTTAAGTTCCTCAAGGAATGATGGGAGGTTCGGCACAAGGGTTCTCACAACACGCGAGTCCCGCGGTCTACGGAGCACAAACGATGAGTCATCAACAGCCGTCGACTCAGCAGAGCCACGGCACCGGGTATCTCCAGAATCCGCAGGGCCAGAACCTCGCCTTCCAGAACGCTCCCTCAGCTTTCCCGCAACAGCAAGCCGCTTTTTTGCAACAACAACATCACTCTTTCCAGAATCCCCAGTCAAATTATCCTTCAGTAAACATGTAATTAGTTTTATTTATTTTTTTCATTTGAAATCTTTCCTTTTTCTAGAAGGTTTCATGGTTTGGTGCATGCAATTTTTATTTAATTATATGGTGACTTAATTTTGCGTGTCTCTTCTGTGATTCCCATCTCGATGAGATTTTTCAATATTTTGTTCTTTATCGGTTTCTGTGAATAAATTTTTATCAATAGTCGAAAGCTTTTTTTTATTTAACAGATAACTTCAAGGTTCATGTTCCAATACTTGAGTGAAATCTAGCTGGTTATAGATGGTAGCTAGTTCATCATTTAAATCATCAGGAAAAAAATTTGAAAGAACAATCTCTTCGTCTTGATACGTCATACCATTTTTTCTCTATCAAAAAGGATGATTCTTGGCAGGCAATATGAGCTGAAGTAGCTTCAAAAGACGTAGATGCCCATATAAACTTGAAGTAAATAGAAGAAGAAAAAATCTGAGTGGAGGCCAACAGCGCCGATTTAATTACGGGTTCGTATATGTTTAACAACCTGCCGCATGATTCCAGGCCGACGAAATGTGCACTCTCCAGCGAATTTTCCGCTTTCCCTTCCTGCAACAATCGAGCCGCTTCTCCTTTCCTTGTCAGTTTACTTTTTCTGATTTGGATCTAGTGTCTTTTTCTTTGACCCCAGAAAACCGAGTCCCGTTAACTTAACAATAGTGATAAGTTTTGAGTTAGCTGCTACAAAACATGAATCAGTGGCTTAACTCATATTTTTTATTTTTCACCCCTCTCTTTAAGTTTGGAATTCTGCGCGATGAAGGTTCTATTAGTGAATTCATAGTCTTAAAAATTTCATTGCGTATTAAGTTTGGCCTAAGTTTTTTTTTCGAGAGGTACTCAGTCGACATCGTTTTTACGATCTATGATAGTTTTAAGCTGTTTTTTCCCACATTTTATCTTAAAAATGAAAATTAACCGCGAAAAAAAAAAGTTCACGAAACTGTTGCTTTCCAAAAACTACATTCGCAGCGCTCTTAGAAATCCAGTATGTCAATCTTTTATACATTATTGATTTTGCAACTCAAATTGAAAAAAAAATCTATCGAAGGGGAAATAAAAAAAAACGATTTACGGAAAAGTACCCCGAAAAAGAAAACCAACTTTTTCGAAAATTTGAAAAAAATAACGGATGCTCAAGTTCAAATGTTTCAGTAGCCGTTTTTTTTAAAATAAGTCACACTTTTTATGTTCTATTTCATGATATAAGTTTACTTATTTTAAATTTTGTATTAAAAAAATAGGATAATTTCTGATTGCCTTTCAGAACAAAAACCGATTTTTAAACGGTTCAGAAATGCGCAAAAATGATTACATGCAGCATTGGATAAACCGTGAGATTGAAACTCCATTTGAACGCCGCACATCTTACTTTTTTTGACCATAACATTTTCTCGAAAAACCGAATGGACTATGATTATTGACATCTATGGCTATTGAATGAAGTAAAAAATTTTTTGGACCATTCTGAGAAAATGACTTCTGGTCCCTAATTAAGCGAATTATTTATTGAAAGAAAACTGCATTTCTTCTTCTTTTTTTGATATATTCTTTTTTCTTTTTCGCATTAAAAACGTTAATCCTGGTATGAAAAATGAGTAAGATTGTTTTTGATGAAGAACTCGGCATTCTAGGATGATGTGATAGGTAAAACAGAGACGCAAACTCGAAAAGACGGGGAATTAGGGCCGGCGGCGTGCGAGCGAGTAAGAACCAGCGAACTGAGAGCTGTTGTCGTGCCGCCTCGCTTTTTCTGCCTTACCTGCGTCCTGCCACAGCTTTTGTGCCTTATTTCTCGTCTTTTTCCGATCATTGGAGACGGCGCCCCGAGATTTGCGATTGAAAAGCTCCAAGTTTGATGCCGTTTCAGATCTTCTAGGCGTCCCAAACATGTAGTTTAATTTCAATCGTCCGGTCTTGCCTTTGTAATGATTTTATTATGTCTAGAATAATTAAACTTTGAAATTTTTTTCCAATTATTTTTTTCCAAATCGTAGTTTTTCTCGCCATCGTCCATATTTGGGGATTCGCTTGGTTCCTAGCCACTAATCTAAGCGGAGGATTCCAATCACTTTCAAGCACTTTATTTATAGTTTAGAACTTCATTGGAAGCTACTTTACGACGTTTCTTCGTAAATCCGTTTAACCTAGTAGTCATCCGGCTTCATATTAACCTTTTCTACGGAACAAAATCTGGTTGCTAGGGTGATATGGATAATGAGTTAATTTTCTCAGTCTTCTCTGTAGATTCCTTGATTTGATTTTCGAGAAAAACTGCCTTCTTTCCACGGTTTCAAACTTCTCAATTTTTCATCATTTCCTGAATGAACGAGTCCCAGAAAATTCGGTTTTTGAATTTGAAAATTTTCTAAAGCTTTTAGTTGCTTTCGATTTAAAAAAAAATTTTTTTCATTTCTATTTTGAACGTTTAATTAGCCACAGTGGACACATATTTCGTAATCGCTGAATTTTAAGTCTGTGCAGAACCAATTAGATATATGTCGTAGCTAAGTGTAGGAGTCTCTCATTTCAAAATTAATGCCATTAGACGGCAAGACGTATTTCTGTTGTCAGACTGGGGACATCTGTATGAGAAAGGTTTTTTTTCTTTTATGTTATTTGCGGAAGTTTCACGTTGTGTAATTATTCTAGTTCAATCCTCCATTTAAAATCACTAGGGAACTACTCGGACTCGTAATCGCGGATCGAGTTCAAACTTTAGTGGTTTGTCAGAGACCTAAGTCAAAATACTTGAAAACAAGAGAGAATATCTGCTAAACCCAAGAAAGAACTGAGAAAAAATTAGAAGAAAATGTGAAAATTAGGCCATAAAATTTTCAGAATACTGCTTTTTACCTTATTTTATATTTTAATACAATCGTCTTGAATGATCCGGCTATGATGAACTCTAAAAAAACTTTTTTTATAGCCAAAAGAAGAAGGAAAGCAAAAATTTGATAATTTTCAAGCCTAAACTTTTCATTTTCAAAAAGCTTTTTCTCAGAAGCCTATGGGGTTTAGCAGATAATCTCTCTTGTTTCCAAGTACTCTCACCCGGGTCTATAAGCCACCAAAGTTTCAACTCGAAAGCCGTACCCGAGTCCGAGTAGTTCCCTAATCAGTTCAATCCTCCAAAAAAAAAAAAACCCGCTATTTTTTCTCAAACAATGTTAAGAGAAAACTACCCATCTTATTAAATGGTCAATTTTCACCCTTTCAATATCGTTCTTGAAATTATTCTTCTTTCATGAAGTTGCATGTCATCTATCAACCTTCCTCTCTGTCGTTTCTCAACCTTCTCCTTCCCGAAAAGAGATCAAAAAATTATATTAAATTGGCTGTCTCACCCTTATTATCCTTGTCCGCGTTATCCCTCCTATTCACGCTTTCTAATCCTGGATTGTGTGAAAGTGGTTGTTTTTGCCAAGCACTCAGCTGCTGGAAATGGCCGGTCCTATGAGGATAAAGCGCTTGAATCATCTCGGTTGTTCATGTCTGATTACGTAATGTCCGAAACCTAATTCATTTTTCGAGTATATGACAGAATAGCTCGGACAAAATTAGCTGCCTTGTTATTAATGATAAACTGCGAATGAAATCGCTAAGAAAAATGCACACAGAAAAAAAGGCCTGGACAGGATAGCCGCTACAGGCTCGCGTGCCGAAGCGAGGGCTCTACATGGATAGCCCAAACATCTATTTTTTTTTAGCTTTAGTGCGATTTTTTTCGCTTTTGATTAAATTTCGGTTCGATCATACCCCAGAAAGATATTGAGTTCGAAAAGACTACCAAGAAACGGAAGATCACAAGAAATCTCGCTAAATTTTTATTCGATATTTTTTATTTCCGTTTTTTGGTTTCTCACCCTAGCAACAATCCTATTTTTTGACTATTTAATCTAATATCGTTCGTTTTATAAATCTCACGCTCTTCTTGTTAGAGAAGAAATAAAAATATTTGAAATAACACATTCAAAAAAATTTTCGAACTTTGAAAAACGAATGTAAGAAATCCAGAAAGTTCATCTGGAGCAGAAACCAACTGTTCGCGATGACAATTTTTGTCTGTTTTTGTTTCCATTGCTTGATCTGTTTTAAAGTATTTGCTAATAAGAGAACACACGTTTCTCACTGGGAAAAAAATAACATTTCACGCAAAAAAGCCTTGATACACGACACTTATTGCCTTCCCGTACTGCAATGTCGGAAATCAAATCTAGCGTGACCAGTATCTTCTAACGGATTATTGCGAAATTTCGAGTATCTCTCAGTAAGATTGTAGCTACCGTAGACGAAGGTATATTTTTCTTCCTTCGGAATGATTTGGAGAAACGGAGTTGTAGCTGTACAGCTGGTTCTTTTGGCTCTTGCCGGCTTTTGTTTCATGTACTTGAATACATTTTTGTGGGGGAGGAGGAGGAGTCGCGTGAGGTGCTCATTTCGTGGCTTTCACCTTTCCTCGGATGGGTTGAGTGCTTTTCTCTTTCCCTGCGCTCATCTCCACACTATATACCAGGTTGCAGTCTTTTGTCGTCGTTGCTCTGAATCTTACGGGTGGATATTGCGTCTCTCGGCTTGGCAATGGCGTCTTCGTTCAAGCCGAGCCGGCTTCAGCAACAGCACCGCGCTGTTTTCGATTCTTTCACCATCGGTCGGTTATTTTTTGATAAGATTGGCACGAAGAATTTTTGATTAATTTGGCTTTACGGGTTTTCTCTTAAAAAAGGCATGAATCAGCGATTCTGAAAACGGCAAAGAAAATAGAAATTTCGATATAAGCACAAGCAGCCATTTAAGCGCTCTTACTGGAATTTTTTATGAATTTTTCAAACGATCGGCAGTCCATCAATGAATGCTGAGCAAATTTATGGAATCCTTCAGTAGACCTGCTAGAATGACCTCTCAGGTATATTCGAAAATTTAGAATGTCTTTTCCATGAAGTAAAAAGGACATGGTGGGTCTGCGGTAACTAGTTTTTTCAAAAGATCGAGAAATACATTTTTCAATAGTAACACCTCAGGATCTCCGAAAGAAACACCGAGCACAACGGTCGATCCTTTCCTCATCCGACCCCAAAGCACATCCAGCGCGGTAAGATTCATCCATTGTAGATGAAAAACAAACAAAAGACTTAGTTCCCATCGGCGGCGCCTGTTACACATACCGCGTGGACGGAGACGACTAAACTGAAAGAAGATGAACTCAGGTGACGTCATCTTGGCGATGAAGGAAAATATTAGGAAATTCAGTGTTGTCTACGAAAAGTCGAAAGCGCGCTCAACGGAGTTGAATCAGTCGGAACCTGTGTCTCTGAGAAGCTCGACGACGTTCTCGCCGCCCAATTGCATAGATGAGGCTGATGAACGTCGAGGACGACCAGCGACTTCTTGGGCTCGTGGAAGGTTTTTTAGTGAAATGAAGAATCGCGTCAGTATGCATTTCAAACAGCCATCTCCAATGAGTACCACCAGATAAACGTTTTATTTTTGCAATTTCGATAAGCATTCAATGAGGTCTAGGTTCAATGAGGAAAAGGTAAGGCTGGCTGACGAGACAAGCTGATAGAGTTCCAGAAAATGAGGATCTCGAAATAATCAAGATCTTTGATTGTTCATTCATTCGTCTTCTGTCTCATATGAGGCATAGATGGTCAAGTACAGAACTCATTCAGACCGGGAAGAGGGGTTGGATTAGAAAGTTTTTGAATAATCAGGAAAAAAACATTCAAGTTTCAACCTCAGGAGGTAGTTTTGGCCACAATCGTACAAGTTTTAGTCACAGTTTCAGCCACAATAAAACAAGGTGAATACTCGAGGGAGGGGTCGGCGGCCTTAAAAATGGGTTGCTCATGTATGATACAGAGGGACCTGCATTTGGCACTTTCACTCTTTTTTCATTCTCGTGAGGAAGATCCCCCGTTATCAAAGTTTTGAAGGACTTTAAAGAAGTATAAACTCCGAAATTTGTATGATTCCAATGTTCAGAGAACCTGTGAAAGTGGCGGGCGACGTTTCTTTGACGGGAGCCCAGCTGCTGCCATTTCTGATCAAGGCGACTATGAGGCTGCCGAGCGTGAGTCTCAGCTCTGAGACCGGTGTCAGTTTTGTTTGTGTTTCAGGTTAAAGGCGAAGGCGTTCAAATTCGATTACAGCAGTTGGAGGAACTGATTGATCAAGACGTCTTTTCAGAAACTTGTATCAAAAATCTGAACTTTGTAGTTGATGGTAGGAAGATCCTCAAAGGAAGCCGAAGATCTGAGTTTCAGCGATCGATCGTGGAGCTTACGATGAGGCGTGGCGATACTACGAGCTGATGAAAAAGAAATTCCCCGAAGAAGTAAACATTTAACTTTTCCATAATCTGTAAACTAGTTCATACTAGTTGCTTTTAAGATTAGGAGTATGTGAGTTAATCTTTTGTGGGAAGGGCCTCTCTATTAAAAACAATTTATCTCTTATTTTTGCATCATTGCGTTCAAAAATACAAGATCAATGTTTATCAGTAGGGAGATTTTAAAAAAATAAGCTCCATATGTTCTTTGACTTTCAGTTTCTTTCTGGGTGTCTGGAAATCAGGTGCGAATATTGAGTCGCAAAAATTTGCATTATTAATCAATTTTTATCTATATTTATTGTCCTCTGAGCTCGATTTAAACTTGAAAATTGTAATCAGCGCGGATATGAGGTGATTTATCTTTGAAAAAAGTTCTTCCCAGAATAAGAAGAAGTTTCAAAGAGTTTTTCGCGGTTTGAGTCCGGGACTTGATTTTCGGATAGCTCAAACTCAAATTTATATTGAGGTTTTTTGAAAGTTGTTCCGTTAGGTATCACGCATGCAGAAAAATTAAATGTCACCCAATTAAGGTTATTAGCCCAACATTTCTATCTAAAAAAAATTTTTTATTATTTACAAAACCATTTATCAGAATTTTCATACGGCGTAGAACTTTTCAAAAACAAGAAAAAATTACAAAAATTCTGTAAAGAGTTAAACCCTTCTTGCACACGCAAACGGTTTTTGAGAGGAAGAAATGGGTAATTCATGTTTACTGCACCTTTTCCTTCAAGCGCTGTCAACTGTGGCGTTCAGATGTCTTCGAACTGGGCCCACGGTCTGCGGCTTCTGATTCGCGAGTTGATGCCCCAGCAGAGAGGAGGACGCGTTCTTTCTGCAGGACACGTCAGAAACCACTAATTCTTGTCCCATTCGAAGACTCATTCTCCCAAACCAACCCATGTTTTTCTCAATTGCATTTGTCGTGTTACATCTGAATAAGGCTGATGATTGCTTTTGAAAACGTTTGGAGACACTTTTTCAGTGAGATATCACGCGAAATTGTCGTCTTCGATCGTTTCTTATTCCAGGGAATGTATTTTTTTTTCCGCCATTATTTTTCTTTTTGTGTTTGTATATACATATTGCGTGTTTCTTTTTTTGCGTTCAAAACATGAGGTTTAGAATTGAAAATTTAATTAATACATTATTAAAAACTTATGCGTGACTTTGCTTGGATTGTCTTGCGAATTGTCGCTGTTCTGATTCTGATATGATTTTCATTTTCGAAGGGAAGGACCTAATTAGGTGTTCATTAATTGTTCCAGGATGCGTTTGACGGCGATCGTGGCGGGTAATTTGAACGCACGTCACTGGAATCGCCGAGTGTGGCAGATTGGATACCGTGGTCCACTATTGGCACAACAAAAAGCGTGTTTTTTTTTCACAAAAAAAGGGGGGAGGGGGGGTTCACAAACGTGCTTTATTTGTCTTTTAATCTTTATTTACAAGATAGAATTTGAGAAATAACATAACAGAGCAGAGGTGGAGGATGGCTGCCCACTGGCCGCCCTGCCTGCCAAGCCATAAACGCCCAAAAGCAGAAATGACTTTTTCAATAGTAAGTCAATGACTCATTTCTATCGCTTGGCCCAATGGCTTGGCTTGGCCGCCAAGCCAAGGGCTGCCTTCCTAATCCTCCACCTCTGTAACAGAGTGAAAATAACTATTATTTTTGCCATTTTCTCTGCAGATGGTTTTTTCAAATCATATAACTTCTTGATAACATTATCAAATAATTTCGAACTTTTTAAGCAAGTCAATCATCGGTCTCGCTCGAAAAAAATGATAAATTTATGAAATAAATTGTTAAAAAAATGTGATTTAGTTATAAAATAATAAGAGAGCAGCACCTAACTGTTCTGAAATTTATTCTCATTGGTTGGACTATCATTTTCGGATTTTGCATGCGAAAAAGTGGCCTCGATCTGATAAAAATGGAGTATATTTTTCCGGTCTTGAAGATCAAAAATTAGTTTGAACAGTTTCAAGCGATCGAAAGAATTCTCAAAAAAAAGTAGACTGAAAGCCAATACAAAATTGTGTACACATGGGGAATGTTTTGGTCGACGAGCGTGTTCGGCGAGAAGATTGAATGACTTCCAGGACGGGCCGACCGGACTTTCCAGTGTCTGCCGGCGACGTGAACACTCTGCGCGAGAGATTCGCGCGGGAGATGTCTGTGATGAAGCTGCTCACGCGTCCCTACGTCACCAAGGTTTTTCCGGCGCAAAAAAGCTACCGGTGTTGAAGCGAAAAATGTTCTTCCACTGAGACACTTCCTAATGTTGCTCTAAAAAAGTTGAAAAAAAAAATAAATGTGATAGCAACAGTTGACAAAATTTCAGGACCATTTTTTAAAGTAGCTTGATCTGATTTGTAAGTCGGCGCGTCGAAAAAATTCTTAAAAATATCCCAATTTCAGAAGGTGGAGGAGGACTTTCTTCTATCGAAGGGAGTCGACAGTCTGCAAGGAATTCGCGACAACACTTTTGCCGACCTCGAGGCGCGTAGAATGCCAGGAAAGGTGAGCAGTGACGATTAGAGCTCACCAAACCGATCATTCAACCATTTCAATTGATCAAACTATTGACATGTCACTGTTCAACCAAATTTTAACATGTCATTTTTTGAGAGATCGTTTATTAGGTCAGTTTTTGATCTCTCACAGTAATGATCAATCATTGAATTTTAACGTTTTGATATATCGATATTTCGACCAATATTTTCAATACAACATTTCGATCGATCATTTTTCGACCAATATTTTGAGCATAACATTTTGATCGATCATTATTTCGACCAAATTTCCAATAAAACATTTCGATCAATCATTTTTTTTTGACCAATATTTTGAGCATAAAATTTTGATCGATCGAAATTCCGAGCGATCGATTTTCAAAACAGATCGCTCACACGTGGCAGGTTTTCGGTACTAGTTAAAAGGTGAAAATATTTAACTTTTTTCCGACAAATTAAAGTTTTGCATTTTTCTTGAACTTATTTGTTATAGTCTATATAGAATTGTAGAAATTTTTGCTTTTAGTACCAGTGAACACAGAGAAACAGAAAAACGATGATGATATTTCATTACGAAAAATCAAAAAAGAAATTATGATGAACATTTGAAAGCGAAGCGGTTTTTAAACAGTAGTTTTAAACATACTTTTTAACAAAAATTCATTTCGATCAATCATTTTTTTGACAAAATTTTCAATACAAAATTTTGATCGATCATTTTTTTTCGACCAAAATTTTTAACACAACATTTTGACCAATCATTATTTCGACCAATATTTTTCAATACAACATTTCGATCAATCGAAAAACTGAACGATCGATTCAAAATGATCTCTCATTTAAATGAAATGTTGACATGTCGAAAAAACGAGAGATCATAATCATGAGACATGTTAATCGTTCGGTAGCAAGAAATGTTAATCAATCATGTTTTTGGTAACATGTCATGAAAATATTGGTTGAACGTTTGGTCGAACGATCGGTTTGGTGAACTCTAGTGACGATTATCTGAGTGATGTCATATTTGCACAAGAAAGAGGAAAAACTAAAGGAAACTAGTAATTTATAGAATTAAGAAACTGGCCAACGAGCTTTGCTAGAATTCATTCTAAGAGGCCGATTCATTTAATTTGATTATAATAGGAATTTTTTTTTGTTTGTTTTGAATTAAGTAGTAAAATAGCCGAATTCAACCGTGAAATAAGTAATTTTGAAAGAGCAAAATAGAGCAAAAAATTCAGCCGAAAAGAACGGACGGAAGCAAGGCGGCGGTCCGACGAAGAGGAAACGTCGGCAATCTGCTTCATGAACACGTCACTGTCGAAGACTCACTTGCTGCTCTCGCGAATAGGAAAAGATGGGACTAAAATTGAAATTTGACGAGTCGCTTTCTTCCTTTTATGTATGTTTATTTTTATCTTTTTCTTTGGATTACTGTAATAAAGAAAATTGATAAAAGATATCCTTTGAAATTTTAGGAATTGCTGCGCTTTCTAATAAAACTGGAAATCGAGAAAAAATCTTCTTAACAGAGGATTTTTTTATAAACTTTCCTAGAACTTATTAAAGGGTTAGGTTGAGATTCTTCGTAATGTCCGCTATGTTAATTCTGTTTCTGGTATTCGTTTTTTTTTTTTCGGTTTTGAAGTAATTAGCAAGCCTATTCCCGCGTGAAACGCGGGCTTTGTAAATGTTTATCTCAAAATTTAAAAGGTTGTGCAGGTATAGCGATTTGAGAAATTTCAACCTACCCTCGAAAAGTGCTTTGACAAATATCGTAGTAAAACGCTGGTATATGAAAGTTGAAACTTTTATCAAAAAAAGAAAGGATTCACAAAGATAGTTTTAGAAAAAAATCGACTTATTTCACCCAATTTATGACAAATGATAACTTTTTTCTTAGTTTTTCGTATTTCCAGTTTTCCTATTCTTTGAGAAAATTCCTATTATAGGAAAAATTCTCGTTGAATGTTCTTTTTTGTTGATGTTATTGTTTTGTTGAACAGAAAAAAATGTAAAAAAATTTTTTACACAGAGAGAATTTTAGAAAAATTCATAGATCATCATGTTTTATCATTTGCCGTACGCTCTGCTGTAGGTGTTGGAATTTGAATTCATGGATGGATTGTAGAAAAGTTGAGAAGAAGACCCGTATCCTTGAGCAGTTTGGTAGCAACACGTGGAAGAGTATTGAGAACAACAGGATGTGGAGGAGCTGGAAGAGGGGTTGAACGAGTTTCCATAAATCCCATTGTTCGAATATGGAGAAACAGAGACGCTGTCGTCGTACTGATATGGCGAAGACGTTGTTGAAGGCATGTAGTTGGCATTTGGGCCGGAAGTCGAAGTGTAGGGACTCATCGTAGAGCTCGACCCCGAGTTAGGATACATGGAAGAAGAGCTACTGTAGACGAACTGAGTGTAGGTCATGCTCGAAGGAGAGTTGGACGGAAAAGGCGCGGCAGTTGTGCTCAGCTGCTGTTCGCGCTGGAAAGCAGAGTTTTGCGGAAAGCCAGCGTTGGTGGCGAGAATCGGATCGAAGAACTGCGTTGATGGCTTTTGCTGGTAGTAATAAGGCGAGTTTGGGTTTCCTGCGTCGAACATGGCTCGTGTGCCGACATTGCCGTTGTTGTAGCCGTTGCAAGTGCTACAGGGCGTGGAAGAGAAACCGTCATAGTTAGAAGCCGAAGAGCTACTCGACGGGCTGTAGTAAGGAGTATTGTAACCGTAGCTCGACGAAGGACTGTACGTCGTTCCTAAATTAACCAAAAGTAGATTTTTGTTTTATGCTACATTAATAACGAGAAAGGCACCATAGCCTGTTTAAAAAGTTCAATTTTTGGAGTACTTGAAGACGCATTCATGAAAAAAAAAATAGACTTCGAACTGCTTTTTTCACTCCTAATTGAAGCTAAGTCGACTTCTAAGTCTTCTGACACTCTAGGAATCATTTTTGAATATATTTGGTAATGTAAGATTTTTCTCTATACGTTTTCTTTGTTGAAATTCAAATTTTTTATTTTCAAGAACTTGTTGAAATTCTCATTCAGAAATATCCAACGATTGTTGCAGTTTATCAACTCAACTTTTTATTTCCGTATTCGAATTGTTTTCAATTGCAATTGCTCGTTTACTTCATATCATGCGTGAGTGTGTGTGTTAAACTGACGTCAAACATTTTATTAATTGGATCTCAAGGGAAATTTCTCGGGGAAGGCACGAATTAACTCGTAGGGATTCTCAAAATATGAAATTACAAGATTAATCGAACAGCCGGACGTATTTATATGTACAGAGGGTGACGGTGATAGGCAGTTGGAATAGTTTTTTGAACGTTTTTTTTTTCCAGTTCACATCATTTTAAAGCTTTTTAGGAAGATGTTTCTGTTTGGGAAACCATAAAATAACTTCTGGAAATTTTAATTTTCTCAACGTTGACTGAATTTTGATGCTAGCAAAGATAGACTCGAAAGTATAACCATTATATGGATTGATTTCTAAAAGTCTAACTCTCTTTTCGCCTAAAATCTCAAAAGGCGATTCTTTGGAGCTCGAACCGGCGCTGACCGTCGCTTGCGTCCGCCGCAGTTGCAGTTAGGACTCTGTTGCGAAGATGGATTGTACTGGGGACCATTAGAGTACTGCGAGGAACCGCCGTACTGTTGGTTGGCCATGGGACTGTACTGAGGAGTGTTTCCGTACTGCATCGAAGTGCTAGGAGACTGATACTGCTGGTTTGCTGAGCTGCTGGTCTGCTGATACTGCTGAGCTGATGGATTGTACTGAGCCGAACTGGTGCTAGAGTATTGCTGAGAGCTGCTCGAGCCGTACTGCGAGCCGGAGTACTGCTGACCGTTGCTCTGAGCACCATTTCCACTGCCGCCCATCCCTTGCTGAGCTGGAGTCTTAGGCGGCGGTGAAGGCGGTCCGCCGATCGTGTCGAAGAAAGCCTTGTTGAGAGCCTGTGTTTCGGCGATACGCTGAGGATTTGTGTACTGGTCGCCCTGGTAGTCGGGAAGATAGCCTGGCTGACTGCTCGAGTCGCCGGTCGATGACGACGACGAGGCTAAAACCGGCGAGTGACAGATAAAGGACAAAATCATTCAGATTTATGTATTATTGTACATGCGAATTATTGCTTTTTTAAAGTTATTGTACCAGTGTGTGAGAGTGCAGATGAGTTGAACTGTTTCGGCTGTTCATCGGAAAAAGCTGACTATGAACTCTTGGCCAATATAGTTTGGGTCGGATTTCGTTAGTGCTTCGATGATGGCGCGAGTCGCCTCGCTAATATAAGCCGCGTCGCCGGCTTCACTTCCTTCAACGACTTTGTAGACGACACTCGTGGCGTCATCGTTTGATGGTGTCAGCTGAAAGGACAGAAGTTCCTCGTCATCAGGACGAGCGTTGCCGGTCGAGGCCTTCGGGTGACTGGCATAGTCAGCGATTAGAACATCAGGTGTCTGGGACGGCGTTGGCGGCGGCGCATCTGGTGCCCCGCCGATGCTGTCAAGAAAAGGTTCGTTAAGGGTGTGCGTGTCTTGGCGTCTCGACGAAGTTGTGTACTTGTCTCCTTCGTAGTCTGGCAGAAAACCAGGAATGCCGAAGACGTCGTAACCGGCTTGCTGTGCAGCCTGCAGAGCGTCCGGTTGTGCCGAATCTGTGACTGTTTTTGGGTTAGAAAGAGCTTGATTAGTAGCGGTTATATGCGTGCTTGTGGAAATTTGTAAGAATATACTTACCGTAGTTTTGCTGTTGTTGTAAGGAGATCGACGCCAGCAGGGCCACGAGCAGTCTGAAAAAACTTTCAGTGGCAATTTGCAACAAGAATGTCAAGTTATACTCGATTCTTTACCGTATCGCTTAGCAAGAGTTAGAATATTTAACAATAGAATACAACTCTCAAGGCTTGCGCAAAAAAGTTTTAGTCGCTCAACGTTGAAAAAAATAAATGAATGATGGATTATTTCTAGAGAGCAGGTAAAGCTCATCTTTATCATCACAAAAACTTCGAGGTAAAATGTATTACTTTTTAAGCGGCTTCCATGATAGACTTTTGAAAAGTGAGAAGTCGTTGGTTTAAAAAAAAATCCTGAGTTAATTCTTTTATCAACGATAAATTCCATTAATATTTACCATCAAGTAAACAAATAGATCGAAAAATTAGTGTGTGAAACTGAAACAGAAAAAAGACTCACAGTGCGCGGAACATGTCTGGAAACGGCGGTCGCAGATGAAGTGCGAAATTAAATGCCTTGTCGAGTCGTGCCAGGGGCCGCTTTTATAAGTCGACGCGGCGTCGCCCATCTCTTCTCACAAAGTTCCGCCTCCTCGGTGCCGTTGAAGTAGTTGAACAAGCAAACAAGGCTGGGGTTGTATCGCGTTGCAGCCGAGCGTTCGAACAAGGCGCCAGTCGCCGATTCATCCGATTTCCAGACACGCAGTCCTTTTTCGACACACCTTCGACATCCACTTGGGCGTACTTATTTCACAGCTAAGCCCATGTTTATTCCGAGTCGATGAAATGAAAATTTCTCACAAGGAAGGTCAGACCGTAACGATTCGGTGTATTTTATAAGTTCGCCGAAACTCTTTCTGAACGCCTAGATGAATGTTTCAAATTGTCGCTCCCTGCGCTAACTTTTAGTTTTACAGGTATCAGTTTTTTTTTGGCTCAGCTAGCGAATATTAGGGATCTCAGACTAGAACTTCATAGGGTGTTTGGGTAAACTTTAGAAGAAAAATGTTTTTCATTTCTAGGCGAAGGACTCAAGGATTTCAGTCGTAACGTTTTTCGGCAGAATTTTGGTACTCATGTTGCTTTCTGATTTAATGAATTTGTAATCAAGTTATTTAGTGTTTTAGCTGTATTTTAATTTTGATTTCAAAAAATGTCTCCCTTATTTGAAACAGCTTGAATTATTTTTTTTGATTTGTAATTTACCCTTTTCAAAACTTTCGCGTAAATTTTAGCGAGTTCTCGAAAACTGACATTTCTCAAAAGTTTCTCGCTATCGCATCTTTGGAAACAACAAACAGACGTTGGTCCCAGAGTTTGTCAAGTATATCCTCGCCCTGAGAGTTGAATGACTTTCAATGTCAACAGATAACTCTTCTCTTCTAATTTGAGAAGAGAAAAAATTCTGTTGGAGCCTGCAAGCTAGACAACAAACAGTGTATTGAAAAATGTTCTGATAAGTTGAGCATTAAATTGATTTAAACATTTCAAATTTAATGAAAATACTCCAGCTGAATGCGATTTCGAAGCGAAAAACAATAGTGAGAAGTCTCAGTAAAAAAAAAATTCGATCTGCAGAATAGACGACCGAAGAGAATTTGGGAGCCTTTCAAAAAACGAGTATTCTCAAAAAGAAGACGCACTGCCATATCTGCAATGAAACGAAAACAGCTCGCGTATCAGTGCCATCAGCGAGACTATTATCTTTTTTTTTTCTTCGAGAGAAACGGAGAAAAACCTGCGAATTATTTCTGTGCCAGGCAACGGAAAACTTCAACAAACAGAACGGCCATCGTTCGGCTGAAAGTAAGGTTGGAATGTGCACACAGGCAAAAAGAACGAACAGTGATCGGCGAGCCCGAAACGAAAGATTGAGCACACAGCGTGGGTGGCGACCTGAGATCATCGCCAAACTAACTGCATGTCATTCTCGTTCTAAAAAGAACTGCAGCACTTGTCTACACATGTTTAATGCACTTTTGTGAACCAAAGTATGCAGAACTCATAATGAAGGACTGCGATTTCTGTGCAGAGCTTCATCTCACTGCTGCTTGAGCCAAATCTCTTTTCTGATAAAAAGTTCACGTGGCATTAGTTCAGAATCGGAGGATTGAACTTTTGAGGAATGCCAGTCTTTTTTTTAATGTTTCGTATCCGGTAGAGTGAAAAGCTCTGCTAGACAAACTAACATGAATATTAAGCACCCCAAAAAAAAAACTCTGCTAGCTTATATTTAGAACATGGCGTGAAAATCGACAATATTCCACCACAAGCTTATGATTTTTACACAGAAAAACAATTTGACTGTATTGGCATTTTCAGGACTTCACTTCGCGAATCAGTGTGATAACGATGTCGAAGACCATGTGAATTGAGAATGATTTCATTGAAATCGCGTTGTGAAAACAGTTAAACGGTATTCGCATGACTTCAATTCTAGAATTATATTATGACAATAAATTAGATATGTTAGACTCAAAAACTAATAAGTTAGTTCACCAGTGTGTGCGGGCCAATCTGCGTTCTATCAGTACTGCTGTAGCTTTCCATTGACCGAAACTGCCGGCTGTCCCGGTAGAAAAGCCAACGTGTGTTTCCCCTAAAAAGCCAAAAATGCTCCATTCAATTGAATTCTTACCTTTGCGGCGAGCTTTCCATCCGACTTTCTACGAAACTCGCACTCGGTAAACGCTATGTTCCTTCCAATTTTGAGTACGGTAGCCGTGATTTGCAGAGTATCGCCGGCTTTGACAGGAAGCATATAACTGCAAGAGAAAAGTATCGGTTGAGAAGGTTGGAGCGCACCTGACTGCCAGTTCGACGGAAGCCATTCCCTGGTCCTTGACCGACACACCGACAGCTCGCGCCGTAATGATGTCGGTCAACGTAGCCGTTTGTCCTCCGTGCAAAGTCCCCTTGAAAAAAACTGACTTTGATGCTCCATACCGACCATTGAGAAGATGCTTAGAAAGAATCACCTTCGAGTTCAAGTGATGCGGCTGTAAAACCATTTCGCATACAATTTTCTCTTTAGACGCGAACTTGGGGACAACCTAAACATTCCAGATCAGCTGCAAAAAAAAAACTCGCTAGTGAAATCAACTTCTTTTTGTGAAATCTCAATATATAAAAACTAAATATCTCCCCTAACGATTTTGCAATTCAAAAGATGCGGCAAAAAAGGTTTGAACGATCTGAAAAAAATTTTTATTTAAATTCCTAATATGTTTTTTTGAAAGCTATTCTCCGCAAAGACAGAGTGACAAGTCACCTATGCAATTGAAAATACAATTTGGATCATTCCATTGTCATAATAATTCATAGTAAAACAAAATAACAACGCTAATTCTCAATTTTAACCGGTCAACCTTATAGGTATATTTGAAAAAATTTTCTACGCCAAAAGTTTCCATAAACTTCGATAAAAAAAACTTTTCCAACTTGGTAAAACAGAAAATAAAAGCTCACGTCGGCGCCGACTCGATTGAAATTATCAACTTCAGCCAGATGTTGAAATTCGTAAATGACATCATCCAACTCTGTACTTGGAGCTTCTACCTGAAGTTTATTCTTTAACCTAGAATCGGAGTAGTTTCCGGAATCTTCCGAGGAAACTACAAATTGTTTGACATGACGATATCATAGTTGGCAAAACTCACCTTTTGACGAGTATCGTCCAGTCTTTCCAAGTCATCAACAGCTTTTTTCAACTTTGTACTGCCTTCCCAGAACTGCATCCGCTCATGATCCATTCTGCAACTTCTCATAAAAAAACATGAAAAACGGCGAAAGGCGCGGAAAAATGACTAATAACGATAAGCTTCGACAGCTGCGATAAAAAAAATCAAGATAAGAAAAGATACTTTGTTCTTTTAAACTTGAAAAAATAACTGTCACAACTCCAGATTGTATAAATACCTTTTTACTATAACTTCACAGCCAAATTATTTAGATTTGCCGATTGATCCTTCATCTTTATTCCATTTGCTATCACCTCTCAGGAAGAGAATATGAAGTTCCGCAGGCACCAAAAAAACCTTGATGGATGAACAATTAATATCAAATTTTTTATTAAAATATTGAAAACACTACGTATCCCGAAACGTTGTCTGCGAATTTGATTTGAACAAAGGCAAAAAAATTCTCTCAATTGCCTGGAATTTACCAATCATTTTTGTTGGTTCTAGGGATTGCTGAAAGGTTTCAAGAGAAAAATGGAGCAATCACAAAGGATCGCAAGATTGCGCGCTGAGGACTCGGTCAAGGGCGAAGATCTTGCGCATGACCGGGGAGAGGTACTGGTTGAAATAACTGACAAGTAAAAATATTCACTTTTACTAAATTATAGCTTTTTATGAAAAATCATAATTTTATGATAAAAAAATATTCACTTTCACAAACTTATTGTTTTTTTATGAAAAAAATTCATAAATTTTTTTACAAAGAAAAATTTAGAAAGTCTTGAAGGTTCAAATTTCTGGAAAAACATGACATTCACTCAGAATAAAAAAAAAATTATAATGAACAAATTTCAGGTTTACTGAGGAAAAAATAACCTGCTTTGACAGCAATTACCCCGAAAATACAATACAAATACAACGAAAACATCTGATATCAGTGAAAACTGAGCGAACCGATCGCTTAAAAACAAGTTTGAAGAGATGAGGTAAATTGGAGCCGTCGCAGATCGCTTGAGTAATTCGACACACGGTTTCTCATTGGGGCGCGCTTTCATCTTTTCAGTAAAGAAAAATAATTAACTATCGTGATACCTCTCCGGTATAGTATCCAGATACCGTAGAGATTATACCCGGTCGCATACAAACGAGTACCGATTAGCATACGCCGATTGACTTTGAAGTTGCTACCCGGTACCTACTTGTATCGACCTTCCGATTTACCGGTGTTATGACAATAGTTTTGAAATGTTTATTCATGCAGATGTAACAAATAATTAACAATGCGCTCAATAAATTCGACTTTTGTACAGAAAATAGACATTTTTGAAAGAAAATATTCTCAGACGGCTATTTCTCCTGGGCGTTCCCGACGTGGTTGATATCTCTGATTCGCAGAAGTGGTGCCAGAGGAGTATGAAGGGAGTTTTCTGAATGGAACCAAAGTTCAAAAACATTTTAAATGTACGCACAAATCTCTTCGTGAAGAGCTTGACGTAGAAGAAGCGTTGCCTCGCGGTTCTTTATCAAAGAAGATTTCAGAAGACGTGGTAGTGATCATCGGCTTTTGAAGATAAGAGCTTCTTGGCGGCATGTTCAACGGCATCTGAAAAAAATTTTAGAAAGGAAACTAGTATACGAAATAAACTAACGAGTTCATGGCTGTTTTTGGCGACTTCTTGCTTCTTCTTCATATTATTCTTATGGGACTGCTTGATGTACCAGAAGACGGCAAAGATCGATATGACGACAGTGAGAAGGGCGATGACCACGCTCGTCCAGAACAGCCAGGTCAGAACGTTGTCTTTGGCTCTGTGACGGCACCACGGCTGGCCGCCCATCGTCCATTGCATTCGGTAGGTTCTGTCGTGCTCGTTGTATCTTTTGCTACCTGGAGACTCTATATGATGAGAAATATTATATCCCAAATGTTTACAGGTAAACTCGGCGTCGCCTTTAATTATATGCGTTTGGAAGCAGCTGAAGGACAGTTTGTCCCCTTCCAAGTATGCTGGTTCACCACTCGAAGGTCCCTCAAACGAAAATTTAAATATACGCTTTTCATATAGCCATCGAAACGGCGGTATTTGATGTAAATGAAAACCGGGGCAGAAAACAAAATTCACAAAACTAAAGGGAACTTTTTTGCACGTTTTTTCTTCGTGGCTTTTTTACTAAAGTTTTATATAGGAAGTAGTTGAACTACTTCTTGAACTTTTCAGCTTGCTTTTTTACTTTCCGCCTCAATACGAAGAAAAAAAAACCAACCTTGATCAAATATTCTGGGAACTCGATGTTCATCGCCCCACAACTATTATCTTAAATTTGTTCAATGAATAATTTTAGGAGAAAGGAAACTGATCCCACACTTAGCAATGCCTTCGAATCTGTGTCGCTGATAGTAGTTATAAGAGTTGCGGGCTTCGTCGCCTAGGAGTCGTGCCTAGAAGTGTGAGATGAGGAAAGACTCGCGCGAAGGACACCTGGAGCATGACCGCGTCGAAGAGACAAGGCACGTCGCTGCCGCACTCCGTCTCCAGACCCGCCAGGTCCGTCGGACACCGTCTGTAGGTCTTCCGTTCTTCGCGACTCAGGTACTCGGGCTCAGCTGCAACTCTCCATGAGACTTCTCTGCGGATTTTCACCCACCTCGACGTGTTTTGCAAAAAGATAAAAAAGCTCGAAAGTTTACTTCATCAACAGGCTTGAAAATTTGTTCATTTCTGCAAAATGATTTTACTAAATTCACAAAGAAAAAGGAAATCTCACCTCATGTGTGCTGAAGGTGTTTTGTAAACAGGCCCCTTCAAAAAGTGATCAGCAAAAGCCTGAAAAATTAGAAAAATTTCTGGAAAAATCGAGCACTAGACTTGAAAAAAATTTTCGAAAAAAATTTGTTTCAATTTTTTTTTTAAACCTTCTAATTTCATTTCACCCTTCCCTTTCAAAAACGAAGGAAGCTTTCAAAAATAGGCTCACGGCTTCAGTCTTTTCCTTATTTTCATCCTATGTTCTGATAACTTTTCAAAAATACTCAAAAAAGAAAGCTGATTCATGAAAATTACGAAAAAAAAGAACCTGGAAAAGATTCTCTTGGTCACTCCGGGAAGTGAAAAGGTCCGTGACGTCATCGTTTTGCTGGGCGAGATTCACTGACATTGTCTCTGCTTCGCCTTTGACCATGTCTGAGACACACAATTCAACGATTTCTGGTCAGAAAACGCACATCGCAAGAGTTGTTGACGGGTTCCTTGATCGTTAACTGCGCCCCAGGCCAACTGCGAATGTCCGAAATCCTGAATCAACAGGAAAAGAGAAAGTGGTGACTTGAGAAGGAAACTGAACCTGAAAAGACTCGTCAGGGAAAGGATTGATCAATCCTTCGACGCGAGGTCGATCCAAATCGAGTTGTTCACTTCGAATCTGAAGACTTCCGATTCGTGTTCTTGTAGAAATCATACTTTTCTCGAGAAGTTTGCAAGAATTGGGAATATCGGAAAAGAACCAACCAGTTTGTACTGCGGAGGAACGGAAACCTGAACATCGAGCAAACCAAGACTCTCCATATACTGGAACTTCCTGAACACAACATTTCCAGTACTCTCAGCTCGGAAGTCACAAAGAACCGATCAATGTCTATGGCGTAGGACTCTCGGATTCGCAGTCCGATCTGAGCCTTGTCGATGACGACGAAGATTTCTGCTTGGCCTTTTTCCACATTGTTCACGTACACAGTTAATCCTATTGCAAATTACTTTATGAAAAAGAGAAAGAGGAACCTCGGAACCGCTGCAGATGCATATTGTCAAAGTAGCGGATGACGTTTCCGATGATTATGGACGTCTTGTACCTGCCTCGTCGTGTATCTTTGCGCAGAAGTACGTGTACCCTTCAAATGGAGGACTGAGAGCATCATGGAAAACATCAATAACGACAACAAAGACAAAGACTTTCTCAAAAACTCATTGGACTTCTGATTGAAGCTGTATTTGAACTCACAATGGGACTTTTGAGTAAAACTAAAATCATCGTATATATTAGTTCTTAACGCTGACCTCATATCAGACACTGGTAAAATTCGAAAAAAAAAACACGATCTTTGAAGGAGTTTCGGCCGCTTATAGTTGAAGAATTATTTCAGATATTGAAACTTTAATCGAAGTAATTTCGAAAAGGATGAAAAAAGCGAGAGAAAAATATCTAGATATTGTAAATGAATGATTCTCGAAGTGGAAACCTGTCGGCTCCTTCGCTCTGGACAACGACGCCAGTGACGACGGTTGTATTTGTTGGTTGGACCAAATCGCGCTGCTCGATATTCAGAGCCCCTACAAGAAGCCTTTCTACAAGCGATCTGCTGAACTCACCAAAGTCGATGCTTCGGTCTGGAAATCTCTCCATTCGGACTTGTACCTGCACCTCAGGCGTCGAGTGAGTCTTGTGAGCGTGAAGGAATGAGAAAATGCCAGGTTCGTTGAAAATGAGGTTGCGGTTATTGAGTGTCGAGATTATTCCGGCACCTTGAATCGATCCTGAAGCCAAAAACTCATACGAAACCCTGTCGTGGCGGATAGAACCTGTGACAGGCGGCTCGTAGGCTTGACATGCGCTCGACGGACGACGCCAGTAGAACATCTGGCAGCGGAAGTCAGCAAACTTGCAGCAAAGGTAGTAGGGCATCAGGTCGTGGTGGAAGCTGGACAGACCGGGAACCTGAATGTTCCCTAGTCTTTCTTGATAGAAACACGTATATGGATTGTATTGGTTTCGTTTTTTCATTATTTTCCCAGGCCAAGTTAACCTCTTTTGAACAAATCGTTTTGCATTGAACAACGTCTTCAGGACTTTAAAACATTTTTTATCGAATTATGATACCGTTTTGATACGTTTACACTGTAAACTGGGTTTTGGGGCTTCATATGGTTGACCCAATAGTCGATTGATTCAACTTCAAAACTCACTTTTCTTTGCGGTTTATTTTTGTAATGGAAAGCTCTTTAAGAATATCTATTTCTAATTTTTATTTTTAGCCTTCGTATGGCTGATTCTATACCCTGTTTTTTCAAGACTCAAACCATTTCTTGTATCATTTGAGAATCACGTTTTTTTTCTTCTTGGAGCCGTTGAAGTATTACTTTCGAAACAAAAAGAGTCACCTCGAACATTCCTTGAAAAGGTTCACTGCCCATTTCGTAGGCGCGCGTGGGAAAGCCCGGCGAGTAGGGCGTCGAGTCGTCGACCTTTATGATAGGCTGGTAAGAGGACTGCATGAGGAAGCCTTTGGCGTCGTAGCAGCACGTTTGTCCGTAGTGAGTGCTGTAGGAACTGCTCTCAGTCCCATGCTTCGTCCTGCGATGAGCAGATCCCCGCACGTTCTGAGCCGACATGAAGCAGTTCATCGAACCCAGGGTTTCAGTGCAAGAAACGTCTCGGAACAGCTGTAAACCTTCTGACGCTAAGCCGTAAGAAACGGAGGACTGACGGTGCTGCAGCGAGGATGTGGCATGAACCGGCCAAGGTCCATTCTGGCCTGCTCGACTTTGCATGGACACGAAGAGTTGGTCTCCGTATCGCGCAGAAAATTGTTGAGAGCGCCGTCTTCGTCGTACCAGTCATGACACATTTCTCTAGCCTGTGATAAGGATGTGAGCAGTAGCGGAAATAGGTTCGGTTGCCTTGTTCTTGACGAAGTTGGCCTTTTGTTCGCGGTCCTGCTTGCTCCCGCGGTATTCTCCCTCCGAAGGCAACGTCCAGAGCCAGTGAAGCGAAATTGGAGAAGAAACCATTCTGAAAGCAGGAAGATGGGTGGCAAAAAGCGACTGCGGACCCTTCGTCGAGCTCAATGTTCCTTCCGTGATGGGGATCTACAAACACCGATTCCGCAGACTGGTGAAGAGGCGCCAGCTTTAGGTATCCAAACCTCAAATTTCTTTTTCAGTACTGATATCATAACAAATTAAACCTATAGGTGAAAAGCTCGGATTTGAACTCATCTCGACCCAAAAACCACTCCTCGACTTGATCGATTTGTGGGTGCTCTACCAATGGATGCCAGCGGTAATGCTCTTCTGCGCGATTTTGGAAAGTTGCCATTCTGCAGGGAGATGTTCGAAAGAAAGTCGTCTACGAGATTTGATCCCACCTAGCCAGAACTCGATGTTTCGGCACAAATTTTTTCAATTGCACATCCTGGGCTTCTTTGTATCCGACGACGTACAGCCCAATAGGAAAGTTATAAATGGAGTCGTCAAAGTAATTGACCTCGTTGTTTTGACTCAGAACTCGCGACTGAGTGAAGTTTCGCGGATACCTGCATGACGTGGAGGAAAAGGCGAAAAATGTCTGGTTTACCATTTGATGGTCATGTGTGTTGGCGGAGGGTTCAGGTACCAAGAGTGCAAATCCCCGATGTCCAATCTCATTGGATCTATCGTCGGCGGAACTAGAACATTCTTTTGTACTGGAAAAATACGGACCAACTCTTTGCAAACCAAAGTAAATAAAGCCGACGTAGGCTTTTTCTTCGTTCGAAAGGCCAGACTGCGGCTGAAAATAAACTGTCTTCGTGCCCCAGTCAAGAATCTTGGGCAAAGTGCATCGCGCAATCGACGGATTCAAGATTTCGCAAGGGGCAATCTGGAGACTCATTCTGAAATCAATGCGGGTCGATAAGATCACCTGGCGCTGTTCAATCATTAGTACGTAGGTTTCAGACGGGTTCAGGCACAATCCATTAACATCGACCTTGGTTTGGCCCAGCATTGACGCGATGTTTGGATAAATGAGCAGAGGAACTGGAACCCTAACTTCTTATTGCTTCCCTACTGAACCCACAGGTTCCTCCGGTTTTGTTGCTGCATCCGGCCGGTCTGACGACGTCGTCAACACGATGCACATATCGACCTCTGGAACTCGAACTTTTAGTTTTAAGTGTTTATTCGCCATTTCGCAACCTGCACGAAAATTACATTGAATCAAAAAACAAAACAATCAAATAAATCTCACAGCTGATCAGTGGAAACGACTGCAGGAACAGATTGCCTGAATAGACGGTGCTAACCCCCATTTTTAATTCCATTTGATTATTTTTTAATTAGTTAATTTGTATACTCTTTAATTATGAAAGTCCTTTATTGACTTGAAAAGTTTCCCTGTGGAGTCACCTGGCGACGTGAGGAATAGAGGATCGATGGGCAAGAGAAGAAGGCTGCTGCTTAGTCTGTTCCGAGAGGTCGACCTGCACAGATCCGGTGTGGTTGCCGCCGTTGAAGATCGCCTGAATACCTCAAAGCTCAACTCCTGATCAACTCTTCGAACCTGACATCTTCCCGTTCGAGAGTTTCCGTTCATGTCAGCTGCTTCATAGCCGAGTTTGTAGTAGTTGATCATTGTGTACGAGAGCAAACCCTAAATAGTTGACCTGATGATTATCCTACGGATTACTCGTAATCAACCGAAAAATTTTATTTTCTAAAATGCTTCAATAAGCTTTTTCAGTGTAGCAGATATTCACAAAAACACTTGGACCAACGAGGCTGGGAATCACGGCCAGAAAGTATCAGACTCATCTTTTTAGCTTTTTATGTTTACCTTCTCGAACTTTCAATTTTTTCAATTTGACTTGAACTTCAATGAAGAGCAGGGGAGATTCGTGACCATACCTGGGCATCGGTAAGCCAAACGAGCTGGAAAGTGCTGAGTTCTTCCTCGCTGCCGATGTTGGGCCGCAAGTTTTTCCAAGTGACAACTAAAGCCGCTTCGGCTCGGAAAGTCGACGCACCGGCGACACCTTCTGAAATCATCTGTTCCTCAGAAATCGCACATCATTCTAACGCTGCAAGGCCCGTTGCATGGCGTCGAGAAACTGGTCACTCTGGGCGTCGCATCGGACGTGTTCCTGCTTGCCTAAACATCTGGAGCGGCTCTCCGATGCCAACGGGATCGGATTAGAGCGAGCCGCAGAACTCCGCACTTCTAGCCGGTAATACACAGCTGAGTCGGCCCCAAGTCCATTCTGGATTCGTTGTCTACAAAGAAACTGTAGCACGTTATAATTTCTCTTCAAAAGCTCAGATCAAAACTGAGAAAAAACTTTTCGAACTATTCTTGCACTTTATTTTACAAACAGTAGTTATTGAGAAGAGGAATATCAGAACACACTTGCAGAGGTAAGGAGCGATGACGGCAGGATCACTTTGCGTCGGCCAATCAACGTCGAGTCCGAGCTTTAAAGTCGAAGAGTCGTCCGAAAAATGAGCGAAGCTGATGAACCCGTTCGTCGAGATCTCAAACATCCAAAACTGCCAGAATTCTCCACTTGCTCACCATAGTGTAGTTGTAACGAGCACCGTAAAAAGGAAAGAAATTGTGGAGCCGTATCAGTTTGCCGTTCTGTCGTTGGTTGTCGCGGATGACCTCGTCGCCGAACTCGACGCCATATCGCACAAGATTGCCTGAACAAGAATCGAAAAATTGCGAAATCGTGGCTATTCAAAACGAAAAGATCCGTTGTAACACTTCTATAGAAAGTGAGATAGAAAAACTTTCCCGTATTAGTTCGAAATCGAGAAATATCCTTTCAAAAATAAATGTGAATTTAAATGAACTATTCGAAGTTTCCGCAGAAGTTTTCACTGTCATTCGAACGGATCATAGAACTGAAATCCCTATATCAAATAATAATTGTCAACCATAATTTTTTATAGAACTTTTTTCAAAATATAAGACACAAAAATATCCAAAAAGAACTTTTCAAAACCTTCATATTCCGTGAAACCTTGGCCGAACTGGTCGCTTACGTGCGTGATGTCTACTCTTCCAGTCTGTAATTTCGTACTTGGAACATTTTAATTTCTAGATGTTTTTGATCATATCAATTTGACGAAATTTAAACGCTAAATTCTAAGTTTTTAGAGAATATATTTACAAACCTGGTCTAAGCTGATTGGTTTATTGTCGAAATTCGAATAAAAAGGTACAGCTTGCTGGTATTGAGCTGCCAGTAGCGGTATTAACGAAATTAACAGAAGTTGCATAGGAATAATACAGCAAAATACACCGGAAAAGGGTTTTGAAAACTGACTCAACATAAAAAGTGATAAAAAAATAGACGTCTCGAGAGTGGAGACGCAGGCCCTACGGGTACTTTGATAAGCACAGTTATGAGTCATCACGGCTCTCATCCTTTTTGGCAGCCTACGCGAAAACAAATACAGTCACCGCGTTCGAGAAAAATCATAAACTCATGAGAAATCTATGTTAATGCCGTGTTCAATTTGCAAGTAATTTCCACGACATTTAAAATTATCTCTGCCTCTCCAAAATTTAACCGGTCGTACTACGGTAGTTTAGATAGGTTTTTCGGGAATAAGGTGAATGCTTGTGTTATTTTCGGAAGTCACTTATCATGTAACCTCGAGAAAGAGGTCTTAACAAATTCCATAAAAACAAAAAACGTTGGAAAAACTTCCTGACTCCGAAACTGAAAGTAGGTTCGGATAAATCATCGGTTCGAATTTCGGTTCGGAAAAAGCACGGTTCGGAAAAGGATCGGCCCAATATTGGCCGGCTGCCGTAGCACTGCCTTTGACATACGTGTAGGTTTTCAAGTACGGCACGTCTGATCTGTGCAAAACGTTTAAATGAAAAGATAAGTGTATTGAAAATAGTCGTATGAGGAAATTTCATTCGTTTTGGAGAAATGACGGTGAGCTACATGCAGGAAGCGGCCACCGCCAACTCTTTCACCTTTCTCCGGCTACTTTTCCGTTGGCGTGGCAGCGTATGGAAAAGTGTGGCTTTTGAACTTTTCGTCTGGCTCTTCATATACTTCAACTTCAGGTTTTTTTCTGCATATGAACGCTTATAGGAACTAGTGAAATAAAAAAGAAGAATTTTTATTATCAAGAACAAGTTCAGTTTCACTTTTCTGCAAATTTTTTAGATATTGATGACTGTAAAAATTAACGCACAGGGGGAGCTTCAGATATTAGATAGTCTAAAATTCCAGCACGATTTACGTCTTCTTCCTGCGGGATTCGAAAAGTGGGAACATCTATGAGCAAGTTGTAAAGCGATGTCAACAGGTTCTTTGCCAACTTTTTTTCTTACTTCGAGAGTTCATCCCATCTAGTTTCCCACATTTTTTTTTGGCTTAAGGCCTAGCATCAACAAAAAAAACATGAGAACGCCGCTGAAGAATTATTGGAAGTCAGACTTTTCCGAACGCCGACAAATGTGGTAAATCTAGATGAGGCTAATTGGTTTTCTGATCAAAGATATGCTTTTTTATTTTCTTTCACCTCGAGCCTTCTTTATTTGAGTTCTCTTGAAGATAGTGCCAGAAGGACGAACTGTGGTGACGTTTGCACTTGGCTTCTATGTATCGCACATCACGAACAGGTAGAAGGAGTGAAATACCTCTGACGGAGCTTCAGGTGGTGGACCATCTTCATGACGATCCCTTGGCCTGATACGACGGCCCTCGCCCTTTGCGCCTTTCTTCGCACGAGGAGCAAAAAGCATGAGGTTCTTTTTTCTTCATGTCGTCAGGTCTTTTTTGTTTTTCAAGGAAGTCTTTTTGAGTCAAAAGTCGACTTAGGTAGAAGACAAGGCTATTCGCAAGTCAATATTGCGTTACATGCTCCTATCTTTTGTCCTCGTTTTTCGGGACGTCAGCGAACGCATTATCAAGCGTTTTCCGACCTACAAACACTTGGTCAGTTTCTAATTATTCCAAATCGCAGCTGAAGATTCAACAGGTCCCAGCTTTGATGACTGAGGAAGAACGTCTGAAATTGGAACGAATTGAAAAGGTTATTCTTTGCGTTTTTCATCCTTGCTGATCGAGTTTTGAGCCGAACTGTTGTTGGCGTCAAAAGCGCACCAACAGTTTTTTCACTTTCTAAGTAGTTGATCAACATCAAATGCTGATGTTTTTAAACTTTTTTTTTTCACATACCAGCTGAAGTGACAGTTGAAAAAGTTATTAGTTTCAGTCGCATATTATGAAATCACTTCAGTTTGGCGCGTTCGTTAAGTGAATTTTCGCATGATTATAACTAGAACGAGGAAGGATTTTATGAAGAAATATTAGCCAAAAACGCGCAAATGTAGTTAGAGGAAGAGCGTCTTCAGTGAAATGTCTGAATTTTCTGGCGATTGTAAACGTAGGGAATGAACAGGTGCGAGTTCACTGGATGCCGATCGAATGGAGTCTGTCGTTGCTGCGCCGCTGCCGCGAGCAGGGCTCTATCGACGAGCATCACTTCTGCACGGTCACTCGGAAGGTTCTCGACTACCGGCAGATGCTCCACAATATCCTCTCCTTCGACTGGGTCAACGTGCCTCTCGTCTACGTCCAGGTCCGGATTGACTTTATCACTTTCCGACGTCTTCAGGTCGTCAACCTCTGTACCATGTCCTACTTCTTCTTGCAGTTGCTGGCCACACAGCCCATATTAGACGAAGTTCATTTTTTGTTTTCGTTGAAGAAGCAGTTTAAGTTCAGAAACAAAACCAACAAGTTGACATCGTCCCCGTCTATTTCATTATGGAGTTTATTGTCTTCAATGGCTGGCTGAAAACCGCTCAGGTAGGAATTTGAGCTTTTATTGGGCTTTTTTTTATGGACGGATAGAAAAATAGGAACAAATCTGCGAGCCGCGGGTTAAGAGGTAACTTCTTCAGAGAAGATTCTCTTCTGAATCATGAAATAAATGAAGAGTTGATCGTCGGTTTGCGGAATCGCTTTGGCTAAGAATGTCTCGTAGATCATCTCGTCCCTTTTCGGATAGTAACGTTAGGAAGTTGAGCGTTCCGACGATCACTGCTTCTCCATGTAGGAACAGTACGGCGCCCAGCTCGTCCAAGGCGGATTAGACGAAAGCGGAATTGAAGACCGACCACTCGGGATGTAGAAGAGATAATGAGATAATAATCTTTTACGACTACAGTACTTCCTATTTTACGACTACAGTACATTATATTACTTCAATTGACTATTTACATTTTTCTTTTTTTTTCTTTTGGTTTGGAATGGTAATAGTGGTAACCAAAATAGTAGGCGTGGGAATTGATGGATTCGCTTTGGGTTCGAATGAGAACGGGTTCGGATGAATGTTCGCCTTCATTTTTGTACAAAGTTTTGAAACATTTATTTTCATAAAGTTTTTATGCACGATAGGTAATGAGCAGGTTATGCTCAATCCGTTTGGAATGGACGACGACGACTTCGAGGTGGACGCCTTGATCGAACGAAACATGATGGCGAGTTGTATTGTTTTCAATATTCGAAGAAATGTTTTTGAGATCTCTTACAGCTACGTGGAGGACTTGTTCGACAAAGCCCCGCGTCTGGTGGACATCGAAGTGACGAAACTGCCGCACACGATGGTTTCTAGTTTTCGCCTCTCTTCACTCTCTCTATTCCAGGCCTCGGCGGCTCTTATGGGCAAGGCGAACCCCATGATCGGTTCTGCAGCCAACATAAAAATCAAGAAGGCTGATCAAAGGCAGCTCAACAAGGATAACTTCCAGAAGGTTGTCCCTTCTTGTTCTCTTTTTCTCAGGTTTTAGATTACCAACTTCATGAAACATCCTATTGCGTCTTCGACGCGTTCTGTCGAAGGAATATCCACTCTACCGTGTAAGATTTATTCTTCTTTCACTGTAGAAAAACTGTTTGCAGTCGATAATCACGAAACTAGTCAGAAGGTTTTTCCTCCATGGGCAGTCAAAAAAAAATTGAAAACTGAAGAAGTTTGCCACGCCGACAAGTTCGGCTAGAGATGAGAAAGACGACCCGCGAAAGATTGCTTTCGACTTGGACGAGGCTATCGAAAAACTCACTAAACTCAGGGAAAGCCAATTCGCCGATCAGGTTGCGTGTTTTTTCGAAGTTTTCAGAGTCTCCGTGGTAGAGTTATTGTTAAGAATTTCGGAATTCTTCGGACGAGTAAAAAAAACATCGAAATCTGTTCTTTTTCAAGATTTGCACGAAAAGTTCTGATCAGACTCACTTAATATCTGGTGTTCCGCATTGTTACTCGGAAATTTCTAAAGTTTACAAATTTCTGTTTTTGAGAAAAAAAAACATTCGAATTTATAAAAAAATAGTTCCATGGGTAGATTGGCAAGAGTGACTTATTGCGTACGCGACAAATATTTGAGGAGAAAAACAATAAGTCGAACGGAAAGAATCATGCGAAAAATATAAACAAAAAAGGCCTAAAAAATTTTTTTCAGGCCTTATTTCACTCAACTTAGTATATTTACTGAACCATGGAAAAACAGAAATTATCGTGGAAGTATCAAAAAAAAAAAACCATCAAAATAGTGGCTCGTGTTTAACCTCGATTTTCCCGCCAAAAGCAGCGTCACCATCGCCAATTTGCCGTCGAATTGACTATAGATGCCGTCGATGAACAGTAAGCCGCCGAGCCGTCACAGGGACCTGGATCTGATGTCCGCGAAGACGCAGACGCCATCGCTCGTCGCGGAGAAACCTGAGGAGAAAACAAAAAGGTCTAAGAAAATGAATTTGGATAAGATTGCGCCCCCCGTCAACGAGGTACATCTGAATGAATTTTTTCTCATTCGGTATCACAGAAACATTTTTCCAGACTGCGCATTCTGCAGCTAATAGTGCGGCTGTATCTCGACAAGCTGCTCAACCGGACCGACGAACTGACAAGGACGTCAAAAAAGAGATCCGCGTTTTAGTTGAGAAATTCCTACGCAATGAAAACGTGAAGATCGAGGTCGTTTTTCAATAATTGACAACTTCAAATAGGTTTTTCTCAGACCGCCCCGAGTCGGTCGATGAACAAAATTTCGGTGAGTTTCTTTATTCCTAGAAGTTATTCCAGACCGAAATATTGACCTCGAATCTCTCCGGAAAATAAATGGTTGAGACGGAGAGCACAAGACGTCCATTGACGACGCCGATCGCGACGACCGTTGCAAGTGCTGAGAACTCGGTCAGGGTTCAGAAGATAGTCAGGCCGGACTTTGACCCCAACCTCGACGAAACTCAGAAAGACGATATCCCATAAACTTCATGCTTTGTCTTCAATTGCGAAAATAATACATGCTTTCAAAGAAACGAAAAATAAATTGTGTGCTAATTAGCTTTGGGCGAAATCAAAAACTATCATAAATTTCTTTGGGAATGAGACTTGCATTTTTTTGGCTTATATTTTTTTATAAATTAAACTTTTTTTCGCTCTGAAGAGGCTTCAAAAAAAGTCTTTCGTTGCGATCACTCAATATAGCTCACTTCGCGACAGTTTTTTTCAATGAACGTATACCAAATTTGATCAAGTTCCCTTCAAGACCTTCTTTTTTTGCTGTCCTCTCTTCACCCAACACAATTTCCGAAAACGCAGCGAGCCGCAGGCGATATAACATGTCGCTGCGACTCCGTCAAAAGCCTCGCTGCCATATCGCTCCCTCTCAAAAAAATTTGAAATTTGAAAAAAATTTTTTTTTGCTTTATTTTTGACTTTTTATGAAATCAATCAAATTCAAGAAAAAAACTTTTTTTGAAGAAAAAAATTTTTTTCAGATAGCGATATAGCACAAGACGTTTGCGAGGTCGCAGCGAGAGGCGAGCGATATCGCTCGCCTCGCGCCCCCCATCCCCGCGGTATAGCATTACTCTCGCTGCGATATAGTCCACAATATTGGGTAATTTAACTCAGTCCTGTTTTTTTATGAAATAATTTTCTGAAAAGGGATACAAGCCGCATTTTCGAGAGTCCGTGAGAAAAGATGGCGCACAATTGCATCAACTCGGAGGGCAGTTGTTTCCAGACGGCCAGGGTGCAGGGCGGCGCTCCGTGGCGCGCAGTTGTTCCTCGCTCTTCGCCTCGAACGCTTCCGTTCTCATTTCAGCTCTGAGCATGACCGTCTCTTTTCCATTTTCTAAAGCGAAATGAAAGAGAAATATACATTTTGCTTGCTTTTTTTCCCTTTCATAGGAATTTTTTTAGAAGTGATAGTTACATTAGCAATTCTTCATAATTACATTAGAATTTATTTTTTTCTTTTTAAAAATACATTTACTGAAACAGAATTAAAGTTTTCAGCATTTACTAGAAAAAGCTCGCATGTGAAAATCTGTTATCGTGCAACTAGAAGCTTGAGAACCAGAAGAAATTCTTGAGCATGAACCTTGATCCAATACGGAAGTCTACTCGGGGGAATATCAGAGTCAGTGTTTTTTAGAGCAGAAATTCATCAAACACGAGCTTATTTTCTCTGAAGCCATGCGCAAAGCGCTAGACGAAGACATTTCGCAAGGCTTCTTTGCATCATCGTTTCTCGTTTCGAGGGAGACCGACCCCTTTGCAATGTCCAGCATATTTGAAGATACAGCCCTCTTTTTTTTTTGAATTTTTTTTAAAATTTTTGATGTCATGAGAACTATTCGTTAACAGTGGTTTTTTTTATGGAATTATTCTGAATATGAGTAAATAATAAAAAATGAAAAAATATGGGAAACTTAATTAGGTCTCTTCCTTCTCTTTTTTTTTGTGAAATCATAAAATTGTGAAGACGGGAAGAAAGTTGTCCGATTTTATGAGCATCAGACTCACAGCCTACGTGCAGTTTCGCAGTTGCAGTGCTTTAGATTGATCGCCGGCCGCCTTTTTCTCCTCGCTTCGTTTTTTTTTCCTTCGGATGCTTATCCTTGGAAATCGATTGCAGCATAATTCTCTCAGCTACTTCGCATTCCGAACTTTATATTTCACGTCACTTGAATAAGGGATAAATGATAGGTTAGAGATCCCCATAGCGGAAAATTATTCCAATTTTCTTTTTCCTTCAGGAGTTCCTCTCGACTTCGAACTCACCCATCTTTGATAAACAATTTAATGAACAACCGTTTTTTTTTAATAAAAAATAAAGACACGTGAAGCTAGGATAAGATATGAAAATCAATCTACTCATAGTCAATTTTTTACATGATCCAGAGCTTCCCCCGCTGAAATATATTGAAGACCTTCAAGACCGTAATACAAGATATAGGGCTAATAAACACCTCTCAACTAGAAAAATGAATAATTAGATTGGGACAGACGTGCGTTGGACAAAACGTTCGATCTTCTCATTTCGTCAACTTCTTTTGCGGCGGCATTTTTCTTCCTGGTCAAATTTTGCGTTCTGATCTAACTCTTCGTTAGAGTTTTTATCTTTTGTATATTTCCCCTGATAGATCTTTTCAATAATATTTCTCTCATTGATTTTCTCTCTCATTACTTTCCCGATTTATTCGAAATATTGCATACATTGTGGAGTTTGCAGGATGGCATCGTACGCTCAGTTCCTGACCAAGGAGAAGGAAGACGAACTCCGTCAAATCGCCAATGCGATCGTCAGCCCCGGCAAGGGTATTCTCGGTAAGGATTCACTTGACCACGTTTTTTCTTATTTTTCCTATGAAAGAACGGAAAAAACGTCGATTACAGCCGCCGATGAGTCGACGGGGAGCATGGAGAAGCGGCTGCAAAGCATCGGACTGGAAAACAACGAGGAGAACCGTCGCAAGTACCGCCAGCTGCTGTTCACCGCCGGTGGAGACTTCAACAAGTGCATCTCTGGTGTGATTATGTTCCACGAAACGTTCTACCAGAAGACCGACGACGGCAAGACGTTCGTCCAGTTACTCCAGGAACAGGGCGTCATTCCCGGTATCAAGGTGATTTTTAATAATAATAGTTTATTCACTGCCATAAAAAACATTAGGTAGTATAGAAAAATTATAAGTGATCAACATATGACGGGCAGAAGAATAACAATACGCGGGAAGGAGTCAACCCCAACCGTTGGGGCCCAACGAGTTGACAGGTACCCGGAAGTAAAAAAATTTTTTTGATACTTCTCAATCAAAATTATATACATTCTTTATCTCTTTTTTTCCATATTAGAACGGACTCAACTGAAAATAACTTTAATAGTCCAAACATATCAATTATTTTTGAAAAATGACATAGGTCCGTATTTTTTTAACAGAATTCAAACGAAAAGGATTTTCTCCCCTATTTTCCAGATGTAGACAAATTATGGTTCTAAACATGTAAGATTATATTATATTCCACTTTCTAAACCTGAAACCTACGGCCTTTTCTGTAATAAAATATATGATTCCCGATTCAATGAGAAGAATGAGTGCAATTAAAAATAGTATCACCTTTTTTTCAGGTTGACAAGGGTGTGATTCCTTTGGCCGGAACTATCGGCGAAGGAACCACCCAAGGTCTGGATGACCTGAACGCGCGCTGCGCTCAGTACAAGAAGGTTTGTCGATGAAAGGTTTTTCGGCTGCTGGAAGAAGACGATTTGAGGACGGCGCTCAATTCGCCAAATGGCGCTGCGTCCACAAGATTTCGACCACAACGCCTTCGGTCACAGCTCTGAACGAGATCGCTCAAGTTTTGGCGCGCTACGCCTCCATCTGCCAGCAGAACGGCCTGGTTCCGATTGTCGAGCCGGAGGTGTGTGTACTGACAAACATGCTTTCCCAACCAAGGTTCAGATTCTTCCTGACGGTGAGCACGACTTGGCTCGCGGGCAAAAGATCACTGAGACAGTTTTGTCCTACGTCTACAGAGCTCTCAACGAACATCACGTCTTCCTCGAAGGAACACTCCTCAAGCCGAACATGGTGACGGCAGGCCAGAGCTTCACGGGAACCAAGCCGACCAACGAGGAGATCGGCCTGGCCACTGTGACCGCCCTCCAGCGTGCCGTTCCTGCTGCCGTGCCTGGCGTCGTTTTTCTTTCCGGAGGTCAAAGCGAAGAGGATGCCACCAAAAACCTCAACGCCATCAACCAAGTCAAGGGAAAGAAGCCTTGGGCTCTTACTTTCTCTTACGGACGTGCCCTCCAAGCCTCTGCGTTGGCTAAGTGGGCCGGCAAGGACGATAACATTAAGGCTTCTCAGGTTTGATTAATTTTTTCTTTCTTTGGACTCAGCAATTCTAACTTCAGCGAAGATTAAGGAAAATAATTGTTTTTCTTTGAGTAGTTTTAATTTTTTTTTTTCTTTTTAATTTTTTCATAGATTTATGAGTTCCTAATCTTATTCTTTGGTGGAGGGAAAATAGGAATCGAACGGCCGGCCACTCATTGAAACCCGCAAACCGAAGCTGTGTATTGCAGGATGTTTTGCTGCACCGTGCCAAGAGCAACTCGCTGGCTTCCGTCGGACAGTACACGGGAGACGCGAATGCTGACGCCGCCGCCTCGCAGTCGCTCTTTGTCGCCAACCACGCCTACTAAATTACTTTTTTCGGATCTCCACGTCACACTACAGTACAGCTTGTTCATTAACACCCTTCCTTCGTGATTCGTTCTGAATAGCTTCTCGATTTACCTGTACTAATATATACTGATAAATAGATATTAAATAAATTTATGTCTCAGAAAAAGAAAATTCAAACGAGCAACAATAAAAAATCAACGATGACGTACTTTGGGGAAAAGAAGAAAATCAATGAAGATCCGACTCGGAAAAGCCAAGATCGCGTCGTCGGCGTCTCACTTCGTCTTGTATCGCTCCGAGGTTTTCGTGCGAAGAGTCAAGGTAAACAACTTTTTGCTCTCCGTTCATTCGGACTTGTCGCGTCGCCTGGTCGCAAACAACTTGTGAGAACGTTCCAGGAGATTTTTAACACAACTCTTTTCTCTTCTCTGGGAAGTTAAAAAAAAAGAGCTTCTATTTAGTTTTGAATAATCGCTTTTTTTCTTAAGAACTATGATTTCGATCGTTCGAAAACAAAAACTTTGAAAATAGTCTAGTGAGAAGTTATAGAAAAAGGAAATAACATACAGAAGAACGCTGTGCACACCAGACAGATATCCAAACGCTGAGGAAAGTTGTTACAGCCTGTAAAAAGGTTTCTTGGATTGTGTTTAAAAAAACAAAAATCTTTTTAAACTTGAGAAATAGCGTTGCCTGTGGGAGAAGGACAAATTCTCATAGAACAAGAAGTTGAAAGTCACCAATAAAAGGATCCAAACAATAATCGGAGTGATTGTCAGTGCAGGGAACATGGACGATCCGAATTTGACACAAATGGCCGCTTCAAGAATTGTCACCACTCCGTAAACCCAACACTGCATCCCCAGACGCTTGACCAAAGGATCCGTTGCGTACAAATAGTATTGTCTGAAAGATTTATGAACCTTACGAAAAAACTATCAACGTCTGAATCTCAATCACACTCTAGTTCTTTCCTTCTGGTGAGACTAACTTCTTTTCAACTTTTCAAGTTCAGTTCTTCTGTGATTTTTCTGCCCTCTTTTGGCGGTCAGTTGAAACAGCTGAAATGATGAAAGAAAAAAAGAGCCCACTTGATGGAGGGCGCAGAGATGAAAGCAATGAGGATGATTCGCCAAAAAACGACTGGATGTTGCGTGTCAATGGCAAAGATGTGTTTCAGGAAGAAGGTGTTCAGCTCTGTCATCTGAAGATGCAGAAATAAACATCCTGGAAGAAAACCCCGGAAAATTGAAAAAAAAAATGAAAACACACGAGCCAAACGATGACGAAAAGGTAAACGGCGAAAGTTCGTCGGACTACGTCATTTATGGCTGACCATTCCCACTGAAAATAAAAAACGCCTACACTAATGTAGATCTCAATGATATTTAAAGAGAATGCTCCATCAATTTTTTATTTCGAGGTTTACCTTGCTCCAGCTCTCCGGTGTAAACTGCAAAACTACGCGTTTGAATCTTCCGCGGCCTGAGTCAATATCTCTAAACAAACGGAGTATTCAGTAGGCCTGATTGTACCAATTTAAGTTTCTTTCTAACTTTTTATAGTTGAGAAGTTTGATGTTCTCGACTCACCCACTAACTCTATCAAAACTAAAAGGGACAGCTACCACAAAAAAAAAAATGAAAAAGAATCATGAAGGTTCAAAAATGACGTCACGACATGTAATACTTTGTGGTCGGTAAGTTCTTAAAAAACTGGAAAATTCCAGTGGAGAAGGAAACGATAGACGGAGAGAGAAGGAGCTGGACCAACTTGATACTCTCCCAGTGATAGTTGCGCATCTCGAAAAAGTGGCAGATCTTGAGCCCAAGCCAGATTCCGAGGCCGTTGCACAGGAGAATGTCGAGAACAAGTGCGTCCCACCAACACTCGGCGAAGTTGGGCAGCAGTTGGGTGAAAAACATCTGCAATATCCAGCCATTCAAAAATTTCCAAGCGGAGATTTCTTTAACAACATTAAGAGAGAAAGATGATCTTTTTTCGCTTGATCGACGAGCTTAAAAAAATCTAGGAGAAGCTGGGAATTTGAAAAAAATTCCATTATTTATTTATTATGGACTAAACATTCGACTTTAAATTGCAAAAAAAGAAAAAGAATGAGTTGAACTATTTTAAGAATCGAAAAATTATTAAAAAAATGGATGGGTTTTTGTGACAAAAAAACGCACTTCAGTGACCTCCCAGCAGATGCTGATATACCAACACATGACGCCGTGACGAATCAGCAACGCCTTCATCGCCCAGCCCGTGAAGTGGGCAAACGCGAAAAAGTCTACGTTGCTCAAGAACTTCTCCATACTGATGTCTGAGCAGTTCACCGCATAGTTCTAGAACTACATCACTATCGTTTTTTTTTAAAAAAAATTGTGCGTATAAATTCGATGAAAGCCAAAAAATTGTTTGAGCGATTCGAGTTTTCTGATCATTTTTCTTTCGTTTCTTGAAGTTTTCTTGTCAAACTTTTTTTCCGAGGCTCGCCAGCTCTGTTCTTTCCCAGGTATCGTTTAAAATCAAAAGAAATGCAATAATGTGTCCTCAAAACCACCTTTTCAGCCAATTTCTCGAGACTGAGGCCTTCGGGGTCCAGCCACGATAGAACCTAAATTTCCCTGTTCCCTTATCGCGATGTCATGGAATAACTAACCGATTTCACATCATTATATGTTTGGAAGAGACAGAACTGAAGTATCAACATATAAATGACTGAAAGACCAAAAATGATCCGCCAAACGATAGGATGCGGTCGGATAAAAGGCCCTGGAAAAAAAAATTTAAATAGAAAAATAAAAAAGATGGTAACCGTTTGGAAAAGCTAAGGCGCTAACAACTATGAAGAGCATCAGGACGGAGAGCAAGCCGTCGTAGACATTTCTCTTGGTATCTTCGCCTTTAGACCTGAAATTTTTAGAAGGTTACAACAGCTCTCTGATAGAGGAAGGAACCCGACGAAGGCGTTGTAGAGGAAGTAGACGGAGAGAAGCACGAGAACAGTCAGAGTGTGGGGTTTGTAGAAAAACTCGAGAGTTATGTCCTCCACGACGCGCTCGTTGACCATTTCGAAACGCGTCTTCTCCAGCATGTCCAGATACCTTTTCGACCGTCTTCTTCGTTTTCTCTCGCTTCAAAACGCAATTTTAAACTAAGTCGTTAATTATCTATAATATTTTTTTCTCTGAGTTGGAATTTCATTGAACAAAACTCTTTAGATAAAAAATTGAGCCATTTTGTTCATGAGAAACGAATTGAAAAATACTGTTTCATAGAAAATACTGCAAAAAAACAGTAAATAGAGTCACCATTTGCCAAACTCGTCGTGAAAATTATCAGGCTTTGAATTTCGAAGACTTTTCTCGAAAACAGGCACTCAGAAACTTTTTTTTTTTTGAAAACAGTTCTTAACAAGAATGTTAAACAATTATTTCCAGATTATACACATTTTGTTTCTGAAAAACATCCGAGTCACCTTTTCTATATTTTGAGTCAGCTTTTGTATGGCAAAAAAAATCATGCATCATCATTAACGGTCGATGAGCACCAGAATACATGAATTTTCCATCGAAAACGCTTCCCATTCTCTCCGTTTGTCCTTTTTCTTTTTTCCTCACTTTTATAGGCCATGAGAAAACGATTATTTCAAATGGGCGATGCTTCGAGTGAAATGGGCCATTATTCACGCTCAAGGATTGACGTCAAATTTCGAGAATCGCTGGATACCTTACTTTAAAAACGAGATTACGGTCGCCAAAACTTCGCTTTCGTAAAAAAAAACTGTATAAAACTTCAACAGCAGCCTTAAGAAAATATTTCAAGGATCGAAGAAAGTGGGAGAAAAAAACGCGGCAGGGCGGACAACTCGCTGCAACTTCGCAATCGTTTTACGCTCTATCGCTCTTTAAAAAACTGCTTTTCAATTCGATTAATTTCATCATAAATTTTAAAAATAAAACAAAAAATTGTTTTGAAATCTCAAGTTACTGAGATGGAGCGATATAGCAACGGCATGTTGACGAGGTCGCAGCAAGAAGTCTTGGCTATACCGCCTGCGCCCCGCTGCGATATAGTCAATTATCTCGGGTGCAGACCTTGTCCCTTTTTTTTCTCTCCCAAGTCAGCGGTGCTAAAAAGTAACACTGAAAAGGTATTACAGCTTCGAAACTTTTTCAGGTTACACCGAACTGCTCAGTGAAAATTTTATAGAAACAATGTTACATGGACTTTGTTTTTGATAAAACCCATCCACACCGATTAGATTGATTTTGGAAAATAAAAGACCTACCTTAAGTCTTCATTCTCATCCGTTACGTTCGTCTTGGCGGCCGCATCAAGATCGTGGTCCAAGTCGCTTCCGCTAGTCATCCTGATAAGATTTTGTCACCGAAACAGCGGAAATTAGAAAAAAAAAGAAGAGAAAATTTGAACATAAGAGAAAATATTCACGTTTCTACGATGCTTACATTGCGGCGTCGTAAACCTTGCATATACCTGTGGGTAAGACAGTTATCGAAAGCTTCATAGAAACATTTTTAAGCGTTATGAATTCCCGTGAAACTCGAAGCCATCATTAGTTTTTAAAAAGAAAATTGACAGTAATTAGAACGAAAAGTATCAACATCAACAAAGCTCTTTTTTAAGCCGTGTTCAAAGTGATTTCGCGAAACGCAAAATAGTCGTCAGAGAAAGAAAAAGATTACTAAACTTTAGAGAGTCAGAGATAATTTTACATTTCGGAAATTACTTTCAACACGGAACTAAATTGGTGTTCTTCCTACAACAAGTATCAAAAATATATCGGTTTTTAAATAATTATAAACTTTTTTTCGAATGAAGTTTAAAAAGTGGAAAAAGCCTGTACATCATTGAAGACTGCTATGATGCTAAAGGTCCTACAAATGAAAAAAATAAAAAAACAAAAAAACATCGTGGTTCACCAAGTTTCTCACATACAAAAAAACAGTTTTTAGTATTTTTGAATGATTCGTGGGTTCACAACCATGATCTATTAAGAATAGAATTTGAAAAAAACTTCATCTATTACAATTTATTAATCCAATTTGATAATTTTGAAACATGAATATTTTGAAAAAAAAAACAACAAGAAAAAACGAAAAAGAAAAGAAGGCGTATGTGAAACGATTGGCAGCAAAAAAATCTGTGCGATAAACAATACCGGCTTCAATCAAACGGAACCTATGAAAAAGAAAAACTATTGAACCAATATAATGCAAACAATTAATAGACTTAATACCTTAGGAAGTTATTCATACGCGTTTCAACTATTTACATTTCCCTTTAATTCTCACTATTACTAATAAAATTTAAAAAAATTGATTCACACACAGAAAACATGGACAAACGTACAAATAAGTAAGTGAAAAAAAAAAAATGAATATGAATATGCCAAAAAAAAAAACCAGTATTTTTTTTCCAAAATAACTGAATACCCCCTCATTTTTCGGGAAAAAAAAATCTGTTCCAAGTACGCCCCAACGACGCTGAATAGTGCTGAAAAATTCCTTCTAGCATTTCAATCGAACAAAAAACACAGTGAATTAACTCTTTTCTTCTTTTTTCTCTTTTTCCATTCGTTCCTGAAGGGTGTGCCATTGAACTACAGGGCGACGTGAATTCATCATATCGGCCCATTGTTCCGAGCAGGCGTGACTCACCTTCAAAATCAATAGTGTGCAGAACACTAAATATGCCGAAAACACCCCATTTTCATTCAAATTAAATTCACGAAAAATATAGATACACAAATGAAAAAAATATATATCATTTGACCTCAAAATTCTACCTGAGGAAGATTCAAAGACCTGCTGGCCAGTGTAACTTCTCCAATAAAGTCGTTCTTGCTCATTTTATCGTAATCCCAAACAGATATGATCACGTGAACTTTCTGAAAAAGATCATTGAAATGCTTATTCAAAAGTTGAAACTAACATCCATCATTTGTGGATCTATTTTGAATTGAAAACTTTCGTTGTAGTATGGGTTGAGTGTTTTGTATTTACGAAGAGTCTTCTTTTTGCTCAGAAGCTTCCTCCCGTGATACAAGTATATCTTCACATACGGGTCTGAAATATGGAAAAAATAGTTCGAACTTCAAGAGGCTTCGCGATTTTATGAAAAATAATAATTGAATTGATTCTTCAAAAATGTTTGAAAACTTTTTTTATTGTAAAAAGCTCTTATAGACCGAATAAAGATTTAGATTCTGGGCATAAATCTTTCAGGTTTTTGTTTGAAGTGAAATAAGAGACCTAGATGATATGTTTAAGACATTGCCTTTTCTTCTTTTGGAAGTTTCTCATAACTTTTCTCTTGACTTACCAAAAGTGATGCCTGAATAAGAATTTCAAACAAAAAAAATATTTATACGACCAGAAAAAAAGTATTCTAAACTACCATAAACAACCTCGAACAGGTTTATCTGAAGCTGCATTCATGAAATTGAAAAAAATTGATTGTTTTTTTTATTGACCCTAACGTCAAATAAGGCCCGCGTTTCCGGAAAAAAAGAGGCTTCAAACTGCAAATAATTAATCTTAAACACCCTGAAAAGGATAAGTTTCAAAAATTGAAATTTTTTTTAAACAATTTCTCTTATTGATGTGACGAAAAAAAATCGCAAAGTTGAAGTCGAGAAAACGAGGAAAAAACCTGAAGAGCCGCCAACGTCCATTTTTTTCAAGTTTCGGGCCTCCATTATCGTTAACGTAACGGTTCCCGTTGCAGATCTGTATCGTGTAGAAAAGCAAATGTCTCCAAGTCTTGACTCGCGCTAAAACTCACAGAAAGTTATGAGGAACCTTGGTTTGAAATAAAGATTCTTTTTCTTTTCCTCATTTTGAGTTTTGCCTGTTTTTATGCGATTCTAGCTTTTGCGAGAAAAATGCTCATATCAGTAACAAACAACTATTTGCACTCCGTTTTTTTTTTCAAATGCGAGAAGAGTGAAAACATTTTGCTAGAAAAAAGCTAAATTTTGTAACGGAATCCATCCATTTGATTAACTAAGAAGAAGAGGAATATGTCAGCACACCAATCCTTCGCCATAAATCCAGATTAGTATCCTGAAAATTGCTAAACCACCTCGTCATCATTTTCGGGCTTGTCCAAGGGCTTCTCGATGTCAGAAGTTGTCCCAAAATCTATGGATTCCAAGGGAACAGCAATCTGTCCCATTTTGTCATCTTTCGACAAGCGATCGTAGTCGTACACAACGAGCATGAGTGTTTTTGATTGTAGTTCGTTGAAAGGAATCTGTATTTCACTTTCATGAGTTATCCACGCCTAAACAAACCGCGAATAAAAACGTCTCGTTAAAAGTTGGGTTCAGTGTATTGCGTATAATCTTAGTTTCATATTTTTGCTTCCTTTCTGGATAAATAAAAAGCTTGACATAGGGATCGGACATCCCATTTCTATCCATAGCAGGTAGGTTGCTTGCTTTCATGATGGTGACAGAGAGCTGAAAAAAACCACTACAAACTTTTTTATCTTAAGGTTAAAGCTCCGAAAAATAACATCATGAATGCTCTCTATCCTTCAGTGAAAAATGAGAAATAAGGCACATCAACGAAAAAAGAAGTTTTGGAAAAAAAAAATCTAAAATTCCATGAAATGTCATAAACATACGTGGAGAATTTTGTTAAATTTATTCTAGAGAAAAAAATTTTTGTGCTAGAGCATTTTTCAATTAATAAAATGAAGAGAGGTGTTTTGATATGAAAAAAAAACCTTTGACTGCTCAAAGTCGTACTCTAAGCGGAAGTTGATGGCTCCGTAGTTCTTAAAATTCGATTCTTCGAACTTGATGGAGCTAGGCTGCACCGTGAGCGTTTTAGAGGAAAAAGAAGGAATGCCAGCGCCCATATCGACAGTTTTCGGATGACCATTATACTAAAAAGATAAATTAGATCAACACGAATACGAAAGTTCCTCCATAAAAGTTCATGGAAATGCTTTTTCAAGGAAACTTCCTACCATTTTGATTGGAAAACTAAGAAGAAATTATTCACTAAATATATGAAACTATCATGATGAAGACGATCTGCCTTTGAAGTAAATATTTCGTTGTTAAGATGTAGAAATGGGGTATTCATAGTGTTTGAAAAACGCTTCTCGGGCCAAATTTAATTTGCGAACAGCTCTCGTAAAACCAGGAAAAAATAAACGAGAAGAGTGGCGTTTGCGATTTTTTTTTTCTCGTATCTAAAGACGCCTCTTCTGTTCTTCATTCGATATGCTTATTGAAACGTTTTTGAAAACATAAACAATGAAAAAAAAAAATTTGAAACTTGGCTATCTCAACGCTATAGGACAGCTCGTAAACGTCGGTTTTCAAATTTACGACCCTTCAAAACAAAACAGCTCAAAAATTTTTATTATTTAGATTCGACGTGCGGCGAAGTTTCCTTCACATCCAAAGAAGAGAGTTCATACAAAGAGTGAAAATTAAAACATCCGACGCCATATCCTGTATGCATTGAATTTTACATCAACAAGATGAGCCTGCCTAGAATTTTAGTAATCGAGATTTGGAAAAAAAAGAAAAACTTTCGGAAAAAAAAACGCAAAAAAAATGTTTATGACGCATATTCTTGTGCCCTTTTCGCGTATCTTCATTGAAAATGTCTAAGAAAAAAACAGTTTTGTTAGCAGAAATAACAACGAAAAAATTTCTCAGTCACATAGAAATTTCACATCGTTTTGATAATAAACACAACTCTATTCTGACTTGCTCACACCATGAGAAAAAAAATGGATTCAGTCTTATTTCACGCAGAGCTACATAATATTATGGGAGATAACATTGAAACGAATGACACAAATGGAAAATTTTTTTAAAACTTTATAAGCTTGAAAGTTTAGAGCAACACACTCGGAAAAAAGATTAATCTATGGATATGATATAATCACTGTATACAGTACATGTACAGCACTGAAAAAAAAGTTGAGAACGTCTGAAAAAAACATTACCATGAAAATATAAAGTAATTTGGTTATTTCATTAGAAGATTTCCGTCTGTCTCTTTTAGAGAAATTTTCCACACACAAAAATATAGTTAACAATCTAAACTGGTCCACCTTTTTGAGAAAAATGAAGAAGGAATCAATTTCGCAAAAAAATAAATGAATTCGCATTAAATAAAAACCATTTCGATTTTTTTGAAGGGCCCTAAGACTCTCATGAGAGAAACCAGTAAAAAGCAAAATTTGAAAAACAAGAGAAAATAAGCATTCAAAAAGCTAGGAGGAATTTTTTTAAAAAACATATAAAAAAACGGATATGTTTGAAATTCTCATGTCAAAAAAACAAAGGTGTCAAACACAATTGTAAAAAAACATCAAATTTTTTTTTGAATTTAAATTAAAGGTGAGCGTGCTGAAACAGAGTGAAAGAGCTTACCCTATGAAGCGTTGATCTTCTTATAGGACAACAAGTCGAAAAAATGCGGAATAAGGGAGAACAAACGATAGCGCCAGCCGACCACATGTTTGTGAAGAAAGTGAGCCTTATCAGCGAATGCAAGTTTTTTTGGTTTGAAGCGTCAGTATCGACATAGCCAAAATACTTAATTATATTATAAAAACAGCGAATTTTTCAGAAAAAAATATAATAAAAAAACGAAAAATCCCTATGTGGACAGAAATGCTTGAGAGGTTCAGCTCCACCTCTTTCTTCGGGGCGTGGCCTGACGGGAGACTCTCGCGACGAAAAAGAACACAGCACCGCTCGTTTCACCGTAACCCAACCTCTGCTTTTTTTATTTCATTTTCATTTTCTAGCCTTTTTTTCTATGCTTATTTTTTTCGAATATTAAATCAATAAATTTATTCAAATCATGAAATTTTTAGTAAACGATGGGCTTCCAAAAATCTTTTGGTTCTCGCACCCTCGCAAGTTCGGCCCCGGATCGCGTTCTTGGCAAGTTTTTTTGTTTTGTTTAAAAAAATGTATTGGAAACATGTTTTTGCACAGTTTTTTTGAACATCCTCGAGAATTATAGCTGATTCCTCGAATTTTTTTCTGTTTTTTTCATGTTTTTTTAAATTTTTAAATTGAAGTCAATTCTTAACTTCATTTATTCCTTTTTTTCTGCGCACGCGTGTTTACTCATCCGTGCGCACGGATGAGTAATTTTCAAAAAGGAATTTAATTATGATTACTCGTTTTTCATTTTGAGACTTTTCATGAGAGAATTGGCTTCAAGAAAGGAAGAAAAAAACGCAAACAATTTTCTAATGACAAGCGTTAGCTATATTTGAATGGTATTTTTTTTCCAGATTAAGGTGTTTAAATATTATTTTTTTATTTGGGAAAAAAATAAAAAAACTTCAGCGAAAAAGTTACAAACATATATTTTTGTCCTGGATTGATTGAAGCAAGGATCGAGCATGAGACTGCTATCTATGGTTTTTAAAAGTTTCTACAAAAGATTCTGTAAGGAAATTTCGGCATAATGAGGAAGCAACTCTTTTTTCTCTCCACTTTTACACCGAATTCGTCATTTTCTCAATACGGGTAATTTTCAGAGAAGGAGAAAAAAAAATTTGCAGGAGTAGATATTAAATTGGCATTTTGAGAATTTTCCGCTCTTTTTTTTCACTATCCATTAAAATTTTTCTTTCTTTCAATGTCAAGAAGATGTATTTTTTTTCTCTAAATTTTATTTTCTCCGAGTTATATCATCGTTATTTAGTCGCGTGTGTTCGAACCATCACGGTCTCATCCGCAAATATGGTCTCGACCTCTGCAGACGTTGCTTCCGCGAACAAGCCAAGGATATTGGATTCAAGAAGGTTCTAACATTATCTTATAAATTCTCTATTTGTCTCAACTCACAAAAATTGCATTTTCCATCGAGGAATTTGACTTCGGCCGTAAGAGTCATTGTAAAACTAGCTCGGTATATCGCTGCAGGAACCTTTTTTTTTAACGGCTACCGGTGTCCTAATTTATGGAATTCATTTTAAATCGAAATTTGCCTATTTCAAAATCATTTTAAAATTGCTGAAATAACTTAAAACACAGCAAGGGTTTTTTTTTTGGTCAACTTCTCGCCACACTGCTCCTAAAGAAATGCAAAATTTTCTGTCATCCCATGTAATTTTTTCGTCCTGCTGCTTGAGACTGTTAGAAAAATTAGAAAAAAAAAGTTTTTTATTTTTGCTATTGCAATGGATTCGCGACTTACGCGCGAACTCGAAATTTTGGTTATGCCGTTTTCAAAGTAATTTCGGCTATTTCAAAATAGACGCGATATTCGTTTGGAATGATTTCGGGAAATAGGCAGAATTGGTATTCCGGGAAGGCGCGAAAAAAGTGAGTCCTACAACGATTATCCTCGCATGCTGAGCAGGTGTCTCAACGGGTGTACCCGTGTTTCTGAGGTTATATTAGTCTCAGTTGGGCTAAAACGAGGGACCAACGGGTGTAAGAAAAATATGTAACCCAGCTGTGCTAAAGCGGGGTCTCAGTTGGGCAAAATTTCTACCAACTGTGCTTATACGGGTTTTAAACGGGGGCACTCGCTGAGACCCTGTGTTAGAACGGCTGGGTTGCCCTGCTCAGCATTCGAGTCGTTTGATAAGCATTTTTACGGTGAGTTTTACGCGCGAATTCGAAGTTTCCGTAGACAGTGCCCAAATAATTTCAAAATTTTGAGTTCCCGCGAAGAAATTACAGTAAAAATGCATATTGAAAGATATATCGTTGTAGGACTCATTTATTCCGCGCGTTCCCGGAATAGCGATTCTGCTTATTTCCTGAAATCATTTTAAACGAATAACGCATCCATTTTGAAATCGCCGAAATTACTTTGAACACATCATTAGTAAATGCACAAATAACCGAAGTTAGAAATTTCGTGCGTCGTCATCTTGTTGTAGAGTTCAAATTTTTCACGGCTTCTCAGGCGGTAGTGGGGGACGCGGCGGAATTCTGTCTCCAGTTTTTGTCTTCAAGCGGAAACCCCTTTTTCAAATGCGTTATTTTTATTTTTATAATACTTATGCCGCGTTCAAAGCTAATTTACGCAAAAAATGGTCAAAAGCACGAGTCAAAACTCAGCGGATTCCCGTGATTGGATGGCTTCATCTTTTTGGCAAATGAAGTCCAATATCTTTTTTTTTTCGAAATGGGCGTAGTCGACCGATCACTATGGGAATGTACCGCGTTTCACTGCAATTCGGCTCGTGCTTTTGAACAAGAAAAACTGTTATACAACGCCTCAAAATAACTTTGAAGGTGGCGTTATTTATTATACCATGCACATTAAGTTCTTGTAGAAAATGCCCAAATTTTATGCCGTGTTCAAAGTATATCGGCCGAGAAATTCAAAATTATCTCTGACTCTCCGAACTCTATAGTCTGTTCAGATTTTGAATGTCAAGTAGCTAACTCCACCCCCAAGGTTACACCATCTTTCGCGTCAATGTTTTATCTTCATATGCCAATGGCCCTTTAATAAGGTTGCTTTTTTGACTTCTTTTTCTATCTTTTAGATCGAAAAAGATCAAAATTAGTCCCGCGCGATGAAACATCGACGCGAAAAGGTACCGTCTCAGCAGGGGCGGAGTTAGCTGGTTGACATTCAAAATCTGAACAGACTATATTTATATTTTTCTCTCTCTACCTGACGGCTATTTTGAGTTTCGCGAAATCACTTCGAAAACGGCACTCAAGTTCGCACGTAGAAGTTACAGTAAAAGTTCATATGTTGCTATATATCGTTGTAGGACTTTTTTTTTTCTACGTCCTCCAATTCCGATTTCCCCCGTTTCCCGAAATCATATAATACAATATGTAAAACGGAAAAGTTTCTTTAGGGATCCTCAAAGGATTTTGAGCGGAAGCTAAAAAGGTTTCTCTAAAAGTTCCTAAATTGATTTAAAAAGTTTTGAGCTTCTTTTTATAGCCTCAGCGGATCTTTTTTTAATCTGCTCGAATCTTTTTTGTTAAATGATGTGAAAAAGATGCAATAAAGAAATGAAATGATATAAAAAAGATCTGCTGGGGACCCTTTTAAGGTCTTTTTTTTTTTTAAGCTTTTGTGTTTTACCGGAGACGAATAACGCGTCAATTTTGAAATCTCTCAAAAGATCGCCGAAATCACTTAGAACATGGCATTCAAATCAATCTAATCATTTATTTTATTGTTTTAGTCAGATATAATCGACTAGGCGGTGAACACGAACTTTTAAAGGCACATGGGCAGTAAAAAAAAAAACGGGGTTTCAGGTGAAAGAAGTATCTTGTACAGTTTTCTTTGCGAATCGAACTATGCCTTTAAAGGTATAACGAACAATCTCCCTTGGTGAACTAGAAGTCCTAGCGTGTAGCCGAAAGAGTTGAAAGCATGGTCTTGTTGTAGCTGGAGCCCGGAGACCGTGCTCTAGGTGGAATTCTCAGAATGAGAGCGACCACTTCGAGTGAGGATTTTACACAGAATGCAAAAAGCATTAATTTGATCCGTTATAATTTTTTTAAACTCACGACTTATAAAATCTGCCTTTTTTCACTTTCTTATTATAAGGTTATACGAACAAAAAAAAAGCCCGAAATCGCACGAAATAATTTCAAACGAGTAAAAAATGAGAAAAATAATATTCCAAACAATTTCCATGATATTTATTTTTATTCATTTTCTTAAAAACAAAAAACAAGAAAATATAAAACAACAGTGAGTAAAATTGGAAAATGGCTATTTTGAATTTCGCGGAACCCCTCTGAACACGGCATTGTAGCCCGTTCACGGCTGGCTTGGGACAGCGAACGGGCGGTTTAATTTTGGCGGCGAAGGTAGATCATGGCGACAATCTATGCGCCTTCCATAAGAGCCACATTTTATGACTTATTTATTTTTTTCTCTTATTATTCGTCGATTTAAGAAAAATCTAAAAAAATCAATTAAATGAATTTAAAAATAATATAAATTCAACAGAAACAGAAATAATTCACCAAATGAGGCTCTTATTAAATGCTCATGTATGACCGCCATGATCTACCATCGCCGCGCAAGTTAAACCGCCCGTTCGCTGTCCCAAGCCAGCCGTGAACGGGCTATATTTTGGACTATCCTAATTTTAGTTATCTTTCTCACTGTCTGGCGGTTATTTCGAGTTTCTCAAAATGATTCTCAACACGGCATAATACTTTTTGATTTTCAGCTCGACTGATTGGTTCCTCGTCTTCTGGTGTGACAACGCTTGTTCATTGTTTTTAACGCAATCAATAAATTGTTATTTTTGATCAGCTTTCTGAACAAAAAAGTGTTATTTCTCATAATTATTTTTCAATAAAGGGATGAATTTTAAAGCTGACGTTCTCAAACTTAGAATGGATCCAGCGGAGGCTGGAGATTGGTTGTCGACACGTCCTCATCAGCTGATATTTTTAACTGGGTTGGATCCTTCGAATAAACACCAACATGGTCTCGTGGTTAACGCATTCCGGTTGGATAAGTAGCAAAAAGAATTTTTCAAGAATTTTATTAGAGCGAGAACGCCGGAAAAGCCTCCTTTGAACTTGCGAATTATCAGTGGCGAACTGGATATAGCTGAGAAAACAGAAAAGTCTTTGTCCGGTGCAGGTTTCGTTGAAAGGATGGAGCATATAAGTTATTTTTCTCAGGCATATTACGACGAGAGTGGCCTTTAAAATATCTCGAAAATATTCCTGCTCTCATCGTTCTGTTCGTCGATCTTGAGTGGGATCATCCGTCCTGGCAGGAGAAAAAAACTGAGGCAGAAAGTAAAGTTGCGAGTATTCGTGCTTCTTCTCGACAAGGAACCCGTATCGCTCTCGTTATGCTCCAAGACAGGTTCTCTTCACTTGATTCGCAAGCTTGGGGGATGAAAACGTTCTAGAGCGACTCCAACAACTTCAGACGACAACCTTGCGGCTGATAGAGCCCACGAAATATGTCAAATATGTTCTCTTAACCCAAAACAACTCTTCGTTTTACCTCTGCTTGGCGAAATATCGGTTCACTTTGTTAGTTTTCCTGGTAAAACTTCTTCAGGTATATGTATCAAAATTGGAATCGGCTTTCCATGAGCTGGCCCAAGGCTTTTACCAGCAGAAGTTGAAAGTAAGATGAAGAATCTTCTGAGGGAAAACCAGGATATCAGAGTATTCGGGCTCGTTCAATACCAAACAATTCGCCTTCTCTGATAGTGCGGCAGTTGTTCAAACTGGCGTTCATTTCCGAATTGCGACAAGACACGCATTCTGCCCTACGGTATTGTCTCCGAAAATTGTCCACTCAAACTTGTGTAGGAACTACCGATTGGCCTACGACCAGTGCAAAGACCATATGGAAACGTGGGACGCCGGAGACGTTTATGAATGGCGAAGTGTCGTCGGTCTTCTGAATTACAAAGTTCGCTCAGTTTTTTGATTGAAATTAATGGGCGATTTTTTGAGATGTGTGAATTGTGTTTTCTCCATAGTACGGCCTTGGAAGCGATCAATCAGATGCGGAGGCATCAGTCGATTTTTTTCTCTTCAGCTCCTGGAACTTACCCAACTCCTCAGCTGTCCCTCATCGAACTTCTTCTTTGGAAAGCTAAGCAGGTTCAAGCGTCTTCCTCTCTTTTCTGGAGATATATCCTATTTTCAGTGTTGGTACTTTGCCCACTTGTTCGAGCAGGCCGTTTTGGGCGGATTATCTGCTCTGGCGACTTTGAATCCAGGAACTCATCTCGACCAGGCGGCCAACATTTATTCTGCAGCAAACAAGGAGATCTCTTTGGTCAAGCAAGGTTTTCTTTTTCCTATGTTTCTATAACTGATGATATAATCAAACTTTATTTTGAAAGAATTGTAACTAAGTTGCTCTTTTCTATTTCGATCGGTAGGAAATGATATTAAAAAAAAGAAATAGTATGACCATAAAGAAACAACCGATAATGTGAGGCAGCGAGAAAATTTCTTCAACAAGTTTCTTATACTTCGAGAAAAAAAATATTGCGATTCCTAGCAAGAAATCCTTTCATGTTCTGGTCACAAAAGATTAAAAATGAAATTTTTCCCCATAAATTTTCAGCGACTTTTGTTTGATATATACTGGTCAAAAAATGACATCCAGATCCGAAAGTTATCAGTGAATGTTATCAGTAAATCGTATGAGGTATATGTAGAATAGGTAGGCCTAGCGTCTGTCAAATTCCCTTCTATTCAGATTATTTTTTTGTTTTTTTAGCAAGGTGAAAGCATGCTCAAGAAAATTTTGGAAATTTGCCGAAAAAAGCTGCGAATTCGAAAATAGGGCGCCATGAGCGATTCAAATCAAAAAAAGAATTTTTTTAAGAAAAATCAATTTATGAAAAAAATTTTGTTTGGAAAAACTTTATTAAATCCTATCATTTTTTTCGATTTCGTCGTGTTTCAGCGTTTTTTTAATATTGTACATATAGCACAAGATAACACTAAGATAATAATTTCGTTGAAGATTTTCTCTCAAAAGTTTTTTTCAAGGCTCATGATATCAATCTTTTTCTGCCCCTTCTGTATAAAATTCAGATCAAAATCTTGAAGATCTGTGGATAAACGACTTATGAATTTGATTAATTTTTTCATCTTTAGGCTCTCTGTTGCTCGGACCTTACCCGAACCCAGATCCACTAGGTCAACAAACGGTAGGGAGCTTGCATACTTGCAGTTTGGATCTTCGTTTCAGGAGTTTTTCGGACAACGTCCTTGGCGCGTCGGCATTTCCGGCTTGGCGTCTCCGGAAATTGAAGCGGGAGCCGTCAACGCCATTAAGGTATTTTTCTGTCGGAGAACCTCCTTCATCATTTTGGTCAGCAACGTCTTGTCGTCAACCACGCTGGCGTTATTTCTCTTCTTTCTGCTGCCATGACCCATTTCAAGAAGTACAACTGCATCCGCATGCAAAAGAAAGTCATGTGCGAGGTTTTCATTTTTTAAATATTCACAAAAGATACATTATCCGAAGTCTGAGGCCTTATAAACATTGATTTTCCACTTTGAGCACATTAGGTTTGTGCGTTCGACGATTACTTTTACATTTAAGAAAGTTTTTGTGGAAAAAAATAAATTTTGCTCATAACTTGCGAGTTCCTCAAATCGAAAATTGAAAACTTGGAAGCAAAGACTGAATTGCATTCTCTGGCGGTTATGGGAAGAAGCTTGAGTGGTACCGAGTAGGAAAAACATCAATTCTCATACAGCTCTCGAAATCGCTCCGACGTTTATTAATACGAAGAGATTTAAGTTGCTTTTCAACTAAAGTGCACGTTAGATGATTTAAGTTCTCAATAAATATAATTTATATTTCCGTTACAGTCACCGGCGTTGTTTTGTTTCTCGTCTAAAAAAGTAATCGGTGATTTTGACATTCAACTTATTTGCATTCTTGCAGTATTACTTAACATCTCAAAAAAAAAAACACTAATCATTAAACCACAATTATCCAGATGGCAGACGTTTACTACGCAAACGGAGATGTGAGCAAAGCGTTGCAGCTGTGGAGTTTGGTTGTAAGGGACTCTTCTTTGCCTTTTTCCTTACGCTCCCATCTTCTTCACAAAGCCGCTTGTGCTGCGTTCGTTTCAGCGGCGGTCAAGGTTTCTTTTTCAAACTTGAAGGCGAAAAAGAAAAGAAATTAGGAGTATGCGTGGTGCTGCGTGCAGTTCATGGCTTCCGGACAGCCGCGGTTCGAAAAAGCCTTTCAGGAGTTGATCGCCGGCAGGATTCCTGTTGCTCCTTTTGACGACAATGAACTCAGTAATCAACAGGTTTTATATTTATCTCTTTTTCTATGAAATAAAATAGAGACGTCGCATGCTAATACTCACATTTTGTCACTCTAAATTATCTATAGCAGTAGGTTGCGTAAATGGGTTCCGAGCGTAAAATATAACTATCGCGAGCGGACAAAATAATTAAAAAAAACTCCATTTTAAAAGTTTCAGATGTCGTCTTACAAGCAAAACTGGAGCAAAGTACTAACCGAGAGGCAGTTTTTCGTACTGCAGGCATCTCGTATCGATTCCTTTCTTTTTGTCGAGGTTTTTGAGAAAAAAAAAAGTTTTTTGGATCATATTTCTCCTCTAGGTAACTTTTCTAAGTTTTCAAGTCACTGAAGCCAATTCGAGAGTTCCCGTTTGTATCCGGTTGACCTCTTCCGCCATGTCCCCGATCCGGTATGAGATTTTTTCTAGAATGATTAATTTTGAAATTGGAGCTTCTGTTGGAATATTATTTCATTTACAGATTGGCAGGGATAAACGTGGCTTTTTCCAAAACTGAACAAGTGCAAAATGGAGTTGAAAAAGTTGGATTGGCGCCTCTGCGGCTGAGTGGATTCCTTCTGCAGCCTAAAATACCGACGGTTCGGATGACGCTGCTCGATTTGGGCCAAATGCAGCAGGGCGAAGAAATCACGGTCAGTATTGTAACTCTGCATTTTTTTTTAACATGAATCGTTCCAATTATTTCTTTTCACTTCATTTGAAAGCTATTTTTTTTCGCTAATTTCGAGAGAATTCTTTGGAGAAATTATTTCGACTGTGTGAAATCCCAAACAAGGATGTCAAGTTTTATCTTTCGTTTTCAGGGCTTTTTCTTCTTCTAAGATCTCTCTTTTGAAGGTGTCCTGCGTGAGTGTTGAACTGGGCGACCGTCACTCTCCCATGTTCGGCCAAATCGACTTCGACAACTCTTCGCTGAACCGACCAGGGCCTATCGTCGCCTTGTCTTCACATCGATCCGTCTTGGGAGTTCCATCTTTGAAGTGGGAGTTTGCGTGTTCATTGAATGGATTTCCGTTCAGGGTCGGAGGTTTCAAGAGCGTTATGGGACTGAAAGAAGCGGTCTCTATCAAATGCCTTATAGGGGAAGTGGCAACTGCTAAATTGCAGCTTTGCAATTTGTCGAAGAGGATTTTGAAAAGTGTCAAGTATTTGTTTATTTATTGTAGTCGTTAGTACAAGACTTGAGGCTGGAATTCAAGCGAAATGAGCAAAGTCAGACGGAGGCGGCGGCCGTTCTCTTCGTAGACAAGGGCAATGAACTCAAGTCGGAACTCGTGCTCGCTGTTGCGACCAACGTTTCTGCGCTTGACCAAGTTGGTCGTTTTTCGATTTCCTTCAAAAAGTCTTCCAGGCGCTGGTCGACGTTCAGTTTTCTGCTCAACTTGTCGGTAGTTTCGATTTGTCTCTGGAGGTAATTAATGAGGATTGCAAGTATTTAGAAAGATGAAGAAAAATAAAACTTAAGAAATTAATTATTAAAAATTCTTGAACTACGCTCCGTTTGAATATTTTTTTAAAGATTCACGGCGTTGAAAAATTTTTTTCTTGTCAGAACATTTTTCTATAAATAGTTTTTTTCTGCACACAAAAGAAAAAAAGGAAATTTATAAACTCCCTTTTTTTAGCCCTTGGAAATTTTGAAAAATTTTTCAATAATAAAAAAATAAATGGAGAGATCTTCATTCTAAAAACTAAGTAATTGAAAAACATGTGCAATCCATACGTGTACTTTGAAGATCTCATTTTGAGAGGAAAATTTTATAAGCTCGGAAACGGGAACTTCGATTATTCAGCACTGAATTTCAACATTCTGAAAAGTTGGGGATTCTGGTCCCGCCTTCCCTTTTTGCTCATAAGAAATGTTTGAGGTGAGCTACCTCGTGGAAGGATCTTCTCAGAGAGAGACGGGAAAAGTGTTGGTGGCCGTCGAGGCCAAGGAGCCTTTCAGTGTCCGCAGCGCGATTCTCAACATGAACGTCTGTTCTCAGCTTCATTGTTGAAAGTCTCGAAACTCTAAAGTTTCAGGGCATCCCCATGATATCGTTGTTGAACCATTGCGAGCACGTCCTCAAAGTCGACATCACTTCCGCTGCTGATATCGTTATCACTAGCGTCGAGTTTCTACTGGTCAGAAAACTTCATTTTTCATTAGAAGACACAAATTTTAAAAAAGCTTGGAATACACAGAGAGGAAGCTCAACAAAAAGTCTTCTCAAACTCCATCGTTTCATACATGGGATGAGCATGACTGGCGACAGCCAAGTCCCCTTTTTTTTTGTTAATTTATAGGATGTGAAAGTTCTTTTTTTCCGATCACTTTTAATTTAAAAATGCTTCTGCCAATCAATTGAACTTCACAAAACAAGTTTTTTTTTTTCATAAGATCAGACTAGTGCCGCCCAGCGCTCACCCTGAACATTTTTTTTTCACGGTTTTTGCCAAGTCTCCTCCCCTTTTTCAGGCCCCACCGAGACTATCCCATGTATGCATCGTTCACAAGAATAGTGGTAACAGGAACAAAAAAAGTTCTTTCATAGAAAAACTTCCAGAATTTTTTTCCTCTTTTCTAAATACTTAAAGCTTTTTACTTAAAGTGTAGAAAAATCATATTTCAAAAAAAAATTAATTCAAAAAAAAGATAAACGTTGCTTTCTAACTTTTCGTGAAAACTAAAGGCTACAAATGAAGTTTATATTTGCGAAGTCTACGTTCAATTGTTGAATAATGGTTTTCTTTTAGTTCTGGGAACCTAGAAAATTTGGGTGGTTGCGACTTTTCAAAAAATTCCTGAGTTTAATGTAGCGTAACTTTCCTTGTCAGCAACTCCAAATTTGTGTACCCACAAATTCCATTTTAGGCTGACGTCGTAACTTTTCTCGACGCTTCCAATGGCGGCAGTGGGACGAATTTAGACGGTTTTCCAAATCACTCTTGTAATAAAAAAAAGATTCTGAACCCAGACGAAGTCTTTGAGCAGGAAGTCATCAGCTATAATGCTGTGATCGCGGTTTCGACGGCGGACGAAGACGTCGAGACGCCGTTGGGTAGACTCGCCGTCGAGTGGAAACGGTGTGTCAAAGAGGAATCTTATCTTTAATTATCTTTCTGAAAATTATATCGTTATTATATATAAATTTGATGAAAAAAATATAGAAAAAAATTATAAAAAAATCTATTGTTCAAAGTAGCGAAACTAGACTTTTCGCTTACCAATCTTTGGCTTCTTTCAAATAATTTCTCAGAATGTTTTTTTGAGCAATTTATTAAATAGAAAAAGTGCTTATTAAAATTCAAACGGCTGTTTTCATGATCTATTTGCCTTTTCTTTGAGTTTGCTCAAACACCTCGTAAATAAGTCAACCGTCCTTATCAGCAAAAAAAACGTGGAATAGAAAACTTTGAATGAAACCTTGAAGAGGACCTGATCGATGTTTTTTCCTTGTTAAATGTTTCAGTATTGAAATGAGCTACTGTGAAGGAATTTTAGTTCTAGTCCTAGAGGGTTTCAATTTTCTAAAATTTCCTGCGTTTCCAGTGCGGGCTCTGCGAACTCAGTGCGTTCGCTGCTGCCCTTGTGTCGCGTGGCGGTTCTCCCCTGCCCAATCGGCCTATCGGCTCGCGTTTTCTCTTCTCCGGCAGCAGTCCGTCAGCCGATCGACGTCTGCTTCGATCTACAGAACCATTCCAACGAAGTTTCCTCTTCAAAATCAACATTTTTATATCAACTTCTCTTTTCAAGAGCATCGAACTGACTGCGACTTTTGAACTATCGGAAGTTTTCATGTTCAACGGCGAAAAAAAGGTTACGTGTTGAAAAAATTTCAAGATAAAGATATTGTGTCTGCAACACTACTTGCATTAAATAGGATATTCTGGTTTTCTATGATCAAAAATTGATGAAACTGTCCTAAAATATACTTCAATCACTCGAAATTACTCAATGCTCAACTTTTCGGATATTCCCAGGAACAAAAAGCATTCGGGAAAATTTTTTTTATTTCCAATGAATTCTGAGATTTTTCAGTCCTCTTTGGTGATTCTGCCTGGAAGTGTGCGAAAAATTCACATCGTTGTGATGGCCCTCAGTGCAGGTCGCCTGGCGTTTCCACGCATCAACCTCAGGTTTTTCCTTTTTTTTTATTTTAATGATTCGAAGCTCTCCGGATAGCCTTATTTCGTCCTTTTTTTTCCTATTTGAAAAAACAGCCTATTGAGAAGGTTCCAAAAAAATATTCTAAAAATAAAAATATTTTTACTGACTCCTCATCGCAACCTTGTGTTTCGTCATTGAACTTTTTCATGCCTTCTATTTCACACCTTTTTTCTGATTTTTCATTGGATTATCACGATTTCCTTCTCAATGAACACCTGAATTCCTCTTTTTTTATTTTCATCAGAAGTTATGTTTTTTAAAGCTAGTCTGTTGAACGGATCGGCTACTGTACTTGATCGTTAATGCTCATTTTGCTTCTTACTTTTCTTGAGAGACTTTTGAAAAGAGCAAAGAATCACAATTGATTTTGTATGCTTCAGATCGCCGCAAATAGCCGAATCCACACTTCAACACGTTCTTCGTACTCTTCCTGCCGCTATTTTTGTTCTGGTGGGTCTGTATGTCGTTTTCGCTATCATGTTTTCATTCTTTCGAACACGATAAAAATTGTAAATTAAAGTAGTTGATTGATGGTTCAGTTTTTTTTTGTAATTTCGTAACAGAAGCCTCATATTGGACAAAAGAGTTAGTTTTGAGTCTTGACTTGCCGAGTGAGGTTCTTTTATATAAATAAAAGTCAAAAATTTTCAAATTTCGAAAGCTGTCGATTTTAAAATAACGTGAAGCAAATCATAAGGTTAATTTATAAGCAACATAAACACATTCAGCTGGATATTTTTAATATTAAAAGTTTCTCAGTCTCAGCTGTTTGAGCCGTGACCTTTTTGGACCAGTTTCTTAGAAAAGGCATCTTTAAAGAGCGATCTATCGTCGCCCACTCTCTATTTCTACGCTGCCGCACGTGCGTGGAAATATATCATTGAGTATCTCGTTTTCGACCAAGAAATATTTGCGGATGTTGCGCGGGTTGTTGCCTGGACAGCTAAGATCACGAACTCCAACTGCGCTCAATCTGAATTTCAAAACAACAGAGCGCGGTTTATTCTCTGACTGACTCATGGCAGCAGCGTTTTTAGCGGAAAAAAATCATCTGCACTGGAAAATGAATTTTTTTGTACCGCGTTGAAGAGATTTTTCAGACAGTAACGGTTTCGAGTGAATTATCGTACAATTCAATCACGAAACTTTTTAGTCGAAATTTCATAGAATTTTTTCATTGTTGTGCTTCTTCAGAAAACGGAATATTGAAAAGAATCCTCGAACGTTTTCTTTTTTTTTCTGCCCGCACTAAGCTCGGAAATAATTAATGAAGTTAATTTTCCAGCCGCGGTCGAAGGAACACTAACGGGTCAACCATCGATGTCAATCTGAACTGTGATACACAAAAGAAAACGAATACGGAGTTCTTTTATGTAAATTGTTTTCAAAGATCTTTTATAGCCTCTTTCATTCAGGGCTGTTCCATGTTCTATCAAATAGTAACCGTATATTTTGCCTTCTCTCTAACAAAATCAATGAGTTGTTGCTTTTCCTAAAATAATTTCAACGGATTGTGAATGAATCGTTTTTTTGGAAAATGAAAATATATTTATAACTATTTTCCGTGAGGATTTTTTCATTTTTTTTTTTCATCATTAAACTCAGAAGTTCACTTTTTTTCCCATTAAGCAATTTTTTCAGGTGAAGAAACCGAATTACTCTTTTTTTCACTGAATGCATTTTTTTCATTTTGAGTAATGGACACTTTTACCTATTTTTAGGATCAGCAGCTTAGCTATAAAGAAAACTGGATTTTAATTTTTCTGGTTTTCAACTTTTTTAGAAACAGACATTCTAAATTCAGATTGCGCTCAGATAGTGCAAGAACTGAAGATTGATGATGGGAAGGGTCAGTTGATCCTCAATCTCGGCAGAATATCGAAGTTCTCTTTCTGACAAGCTCGGTAACATCTTGTCTGGAAGACATCATATGCGCTTCTCTCCTTTTGAACTCCGTATCAAATCTTTTAACGGTAAGAAAGTTTCCGAAGCCTTCAAAACAGAAATAGAGTCTCAAAAGTGGTGAACTACGATAAATAGTTAGATTGGAAGACTGTTATCTTTATAACTGTAATTGGGCTGTTTCGAATAGTAGCACAAATTGATTCTGTACTCGGAAACTCTTTAGGAACCTTTTTTTCGTTCTTAAAGCCTTTTAGGCAATGAACATTTTCTGAATAGGTTTAATTTTGCTTTTTTCATGTCACTTAACTACAAAAACTTCGGAAAATTAGGAATAAAATCGAGTTTCAATCTCAGGGAGGTAGTTTTGGCCACTTAGTTTAGGGAAACTTGGGAGGAGAAGTCGGCGGCCTTTAAAAGCGGTCTGCCCATGTAAGGTTGTAACTTTCTTTTCGCTGTCGAGTAAAATGAAACGTCTAACACCTTCTTTTAAAAATTTACTGTTATTGCAAGTCTGCCTTTGCCAAGAGAAAATCGTTACACATTTTCCTAATTAATTAACTCTTTGAAGAAATTCTCAATTCAGAGTAGTGAACTAATAAGAATCATAATAGTTCTCTAGTCAACTACTCATTCTAACTCTTTATTACTTACACGTGTTACTAGCTCTTGTAATGCCAAATGTTTTCTTTCTTTTTATTCGTATTTCTGTATATTTTTAATCATATTTTCAATTCTAGTAATTTTGGTGGATGAAAACCTTAATTATTATTATCAAACGAAGTCAGCAACTAAAAGTCTTACGGTCTCATCTGGTAGAAAAAAACGCAGACGCGAGAGCTTTCCGGATAACAAACTACTGATTATAAGGTGTCATGATATTTGCAAAAAGAAATAAAAAAATAATTATATAACTTATTAATTTCAAAGAAGTTTTTTTGAGGCTAAAAAGTCGCGCGCAGTTCATTCAAAGATGTACGGTAGAATGGCACGCCGGACACGCCTTCTCAGCGGATGATCCACGCCTCCCGTCCGGTATCTAGAATCACTGAAAGTAAGGTCGGGCCGTCGAAAAAAATGCTCTGTCGAATTCTGCTGTTGCTGCTGACTTCCGTCGTCGCTGACCTCCATTCGCCGGGTCACTCCGGAGGCTGCTCCAGCAACTGCATCCGAGGCCTCGAGCTCAGACGCATCGAACAAGTCAAAGTGAGATTTTGGATTTTGAGGAACTTTCTACATTTTTTGCTCTTTATGTAAAAAACAGTTATTCCAGCTTTTTGCGTTCAATTTCCATCCCTGATTTCGAGTCTTTCGACCTTATTTTCTTCTGATTTATACATTTCAATCTTTCTCAAAAATCAAGCATTTTAAATCCAATATTTTCTATTTCTCTCCTTTTAGGTGGGTGGAAAATTGCTCTGCACTACAGATCCAGGATTTTGTTTTGTGAACTTGGAAGCTTGTTTTTTTTGCGTTCTTTTATGCAATTATGTTCTTTCAAAATCAGGTAATCAATAATCGGACTTGCTACCTTCTAAACGGAAACTCTCAAACAATTTTCAGACTGTTGTAAATTTTTCAAATAATCTGAATAGGAGATATTAAAGAGTTCAAATTTGAACGAAATACAGTTCTGAAAGTACAGAAACTCTTAATATCATTGTATTTCGTTTATCGATTTTAGGCTCGAAAAAAAAAACAAAGAAATGAGAGCGGAAGAATGAGAAAATAAATACGCCAAAGAGTGAAGTTGAAGGCATAGGGGCAGGAAAAAACGGTGTTTGAGTTGAAAGCAGTATCTTGTAGAGTTTTTCATTGCGAAGAACGGTTTTCTCAAAAAAGCACAGATATGAGCACCTCCGAAGAAAAACGTGATTTTATTTTCCCGCTTTTTAATTTCGAAAAATGCTTTGAATCGGTGTACAGAAAACTGTTTACAATAGGCGTGCATGCGATGATGCGGACAGAAAGAAGATTTTTCATAAGAAAAAAAAACTGTAGGATCCTTTAAACTATCAAAATTTTCGATTATTCACACGGAGTATAGAAAAAAAGTTCTTTTCATTTGTTTACGACCTCTTTCAAAGGGTTGTATTTTTTTGACCTGTTGGGGCGCCACTTCTACTGTGACTAGTGGTCTTGTCGATGATGGAATCCTCCAGGATTTTTCCCTCTCGAGGACTTACCTGTTTTAGTTGAACTGTGCTCGTGTTGAGACTTTGGGAGACGGGGTCTAGCATCACAGGACGATTTTTCACGTTTCGATTACTTTTTTTTGATGTTAATATTATCTTTCGGGTCGCACATGGTCATGTTTAGGGAAAACACATGAAAAGTGTTAGCACCAGCACGATTAATTTTTGATTTTTAGCGTAAGTAAACTATGAACTCTGATTATGTCTCGAGAAGATCTCGCACGCTTTTTTAGCGTATTAATGGAGAAATTTTACACTTCACAAAACTTTAAATTTTATTAAAAACAGCATTAATGGGCATTTGTAAGCGCAAAATTAGTGAGAATATTCATCTGAAGTTTTGATCAGGTCACTCTGCGGTACGCCTCAGCAAGTTTTTTCATTTTTTTTTTGATTGGGTTTTTTTTATTCATAATGTTAGCACGATCTTTATGAGACCATTCTTGACGTCGGCGAAAAAAAAGTTACTCCCATCTTTGTTCATTTTTGGTTTTTTTCATTTTCTCACGGGCGAGAGAAAGATTTCGTTTCTTTCCTTGCGTTAGTCGACTTAGTAAGACGAAAGTAGAGCGTTCAGTGAATATACCGTACAGAAAAAAAGACAAAAATATCATCATTGGGTTGGGCGAATTGTTCGCGTGGTTGTCTGGTCAAAATAACCTGAGGCAGTTTTTCGCTCTCCGAAATACAGTCACTCATTAAAACGTAAACTTTCCTAGCCTGACGATGTATAACTAGTTCAGCTTTTCCTTTTTGTTTTGAGCTTAAAAGGAAGGTAGAAGTTGAACGAACTTCTCAGCAGAGTGAAATTTTGAAACTGTGTTGATAATCAGTGATTTAGACTTTTTCCTATCAAAATATCGACTATTTGATTTCTGTTTCAATGTTTATTTCTGAGTTTTTTTTCTTAGCGCTTTACAGCAGTTGAAAATGCTTTTAGATAGCGAAAATCTAAGTTTTATAAACCTTTCATAAAAAAGGTTTCATAGGATAAGAATATACTGAAACAACATAGAAAAAATTTAAAAAAAAATGCAAAATGAAGGAGAGTGTTGTAGAAGGAATTGAACTTCGCATTAGAAAAGAGCCGTCCGTTTTCTTTTCATATAATTGTTCAACCATGTAACTTTTCTTTAGAAGTAGACTTTGGGGTTAATATTCAAATTCAGTAAGATAATAGGAACTTTTTTAGGTTGGTTAAAATTTTTTGATATATTTTGAGTTAAATCGGACTTAGAAATAGTGGATCGTAATTTTTCCGGTATAAATTCAAAAAATCTGAAGTTGGAGAATTAAAAAGATTAAAAAAATGTTTTAGATCCAAACGTGCCAAAAAAAAAGGACAAAAAAACATGTAAAAGAAGTTTGTAAATGAGAGGAGAGCTTACCAGTAGAACACACAGGAGTTGCCGGCTTGAAATGAATACGACGAGCTTCTAGAGATGGGTCAGGATTAAAAAAGGAGGAAATCTGTTGGGTCGGCCTGTGGATGCTGCCTCAATGTCGACCAAAACACAAAGATAAGCGACCAAAACACACGTTTCTTAATATGTGATAGTGACGACCCAATTGCACTGATCCGACCTCCGCGGATATCTGTCCTTCGCATTGCATAATTTCGCCGTCGTAATATTTTTCGCGTGGCGGGAGAGCCGGCGACGGAAATATCCTAGGGACATGTCTTGGTTCTTTAATCGACGTGTTTAGGTTGATCGGGGCTTTGATTTTCCAGCAAAGAAAACATAAATAGAATCGGTTTTTTTGGTAGCGTAATTTTAGTAGCCGAAAGAAAGCGGAGGAATAGTGAAACACGACCACCCCCTAGGTTGGGCTCAGGTTGCATTTTTTAGAACGAAGAATAAACTTTCAGACAAGCAAAGGTGCATTTCTTCCATCGCGAAAGGTGCACAAACTTTGGGAGTTCAAAACTCGCTCATGGCATAAGATTTTCTGAGAAGTTCAGTTCGTCGTCAAATTTGATTTGGAGGAGTACGCTTTTTTTTGTAAATGAGTTTAAAACTTCATTGTTTCAGTGCGTAGAAAATTTTTCTTGCTGATTTTCAGAATAGTCATTCAAATTGTTGGTAGCTCGTTTGAAGTTAACTATGAACTGTGGATTTTTTTTTTTCTAAGCCCTTATCTGTGGTTTCTTGCAATTATCTCGCTTTGGTTGAGCTCGACAGCAATGCTTGATGATGGTCCTTTTCATAACGGGCATTGGGCGACCGCGAATGACCGTTTGCAGACTCTACTTTTGCTGGAGCTAGGACTGCGAAGCGAACCCAACATGACGCAGCTGAGGAGGCCGTCGCTTGGGGAAATCCAAGTGATCCGCGCCCTCATCGACGCCGAGAAGCAATCCGAGCTGCAGAGCCTCGAGACTCGCTACGTCATCGGTTAGTCCTGTAGAGAACAAATCTTTCCCTGGGAAATCGATAAAACCCGTCTTTCAGGAACGAGTTCTGGTGGACCAGCTACAGCCAACTTCGCCAGCCCCATCAAAGGAAAAATCGATTCAGTTAGTAACTTCCTTGGTTTATCGGAACCCTTTTATCTTTTTTCAGGTGAAGCTGACGTTCTACGTCAACATAAGCGACGCACGTCTTCTAAGCTGTCGGGAAACTGAAGTCAAAGTTTTTGAAAGGAACGTCGATGGAACGGTTCGACAATAGTTCTCAGACACCGCTTTTTTTTTTGCTTTGTCAAGAAATCTAGCTTTCTCACTTTGGTACCGCCTTCATGTGATCATCGATAATTTTCCAGCTCGGGCCATTGTTAGTGTCTTCGACCTACCGGATTAACAACTCTAAACGGATCGCCGTCGACATAGCCGTCAGTCATTATAAAAGGTTTTTTTTTCGCTAGCTATCGAGAAGGAAAACAGGTGAGATTTTTTTTCCACTTCAAAAAAGTCAAACGGGGTTGTTTCGATCTACTTGTTCATACAGTTCATACAAGAAAGCGAAATTTCGAAAAATAATAGGAAATAATTGGAACAGCTTTTTCACATTGTTTTTTTCTGAAATGCTCATCAATTTAGTTTGAGATGGCAACTGGGAAACAAAATACCGGGAATCTACGTCGAGGTGCTCGTTGACAACGTCAACGTCGCAGTTCATCCTCGCGACTCAGATCAAGATGAAGAAGTCTGTTTCTTTGAAAATCGTTTTTGAAGAAGCTGAACACGTCTTCAGAAGATGGTCCTGGCGACGAAGTTCTCGACGCAGGTCCGTCGTCGACGCGACGCCGCCCCCGTCTGTCCTCGCGAGAATCCCTCCGCAGGCTGCTGCATGTACGACTTCGAGGTGACGTTTTTCCCTTTGAGTCCTGATATCTTCGATTTTTTATAAAGCATAAAACTGACTTCATAAAAAAGGTGAGTAAATGAAAAACCGAGGAAAAAACACGATGTCAAAAAATCTCTCGCTCCTCTATATTTTTTTTAAAGTCACTCAATTCAGCCGCAAAGAACTCTTTTTCTCGTTAAATTCTTCTGACTAATTGGTCTTTCGAGCTCCTCGAATTCCGAATAAGTGTTAAATTGCGTATGGTTTGTTTGAATGATTTGGAGCATGTCGAATTCTGAAGAAATTGCTCAGCTATAACTCAGATCGACTTCGAGAAGATCGGCTGGAGTTGGATCATCGCGCCGAGAACCTACAACGCGTACTTGTGCCGCGGCGACTGTACCCTCAACGGCCATCATGTCAGTTTCTTTCTTTCTTCTAAGAGAGATTGTTGCACATTTTCGAAAGATTCTATGATACAAGCTAGTATCGTTCGTATTCCGCCCTTAAAATAAAAATAGGAAAGTTTGGTTAATTTATTTGAATATATTGGCTCAGTAAACTTGACGGTCTTTTTTTTGAGAACGGGGCTGAAAAATATTCTTTTTTGACTGTTTTGAACGACCAAATTGTATCGTTTCACATCAGTTTTCCAACTCTTATCTCATATTTTCTGTTTCCTTGAAAAAAACTTCTCCATTGGCAGCAAAACGTTTGAATCGCCTGAAAACGCTGATGAATTTCGCTCCGATTGCAGATGCACAGACACGGACACACGAAACTTGTGAGGGCGACGGTCAGACAAGAGGGGACTCCTGACTGGCTGGCGGACCAGATCGGCACGTGCTGCCACGCCACAGAGTCAGTCTGCCCTTCTCGCAACTGTAGTTGACCTCCTCCTTCAGCTACGAGCCGCTAACAGTCGTCTACGTCAACCAAGACGGATTTGTCTCTCAGAAAGATATTCCCGGGATGATCGCGCGACGCTGTTCCTGCTCTTGAATCTTTCTCCACTTCTTTCGATTTGTCCCCAAATCTATTTTAAAAAAAAAATCGAACGATTTCGAGAAACTTTCATGAATCTGCTCAACAAAAATTTTGAATGTCTAGGTTACAATCTATAGTCGCTACCTGCGTGAAAATTTAGTCCTAGAAATGTGGAACCTGGAATTTGTAAAACCCTGGAAAATGCAACTTTTTAAATTTATATTTCCATTAAATTTTTCGCAGATGCGCGCAATTTCAGCCCAGATCTTCAAAACTTTGAGCAAATTGATAGAAAAAAAGGACAAAATCTGAAAAAAATTTTCGAAAACTTTCAGCGAAAATTCAAATATTGTTTCATGTCTTTCAAATTTACTGGTATCCCTTTTAACCTCACGAAACCAAACTTGTCAAATCTAGTCGTTATCGTCCACAAAACCTCAAATTTATATTAAATGATGCTGGTCCTGTCTTTTTCTCATTCTGGGGCATTAATATGAAGATAAAAAAATCATAGATTTTATATTTTTTTACGATGTCTTGATTTCATGTCGCGATTCGGAATAAACAACTGAAAATTTAATATTTTTTTCAGAGCCATACAAGAAACCCAAACTATACAAGCGTAAACATATGTATAAATTTGCACATCTATATTATCGGAAACTTTAAATAAGAAAATACCAGTGAGTAAACCAAATTTCAAAAAGCGAGGCATAAATTATATCCGGACTGACAAGAAAAATAAAAGAAGCGAAAGCTGAGGATCCGAATAGCACTTCATCACAACGGGAAGCATGTCAGCAATTCATAGAAGGAATCCTGAAACGTATGAAAAAAGATGAAAAGTACGCGTAATGCATAATATCGGCTAAGACCATCGTTCGACGATCTCCGAATACACAGTTTAGAAAACCCATGTTCGATGATAGATACATTTACAATCAGATAAGCTGGTGGTCGAAAATCTGAGTTCGAAAGCATATTATCCGTACAATAGAATGATACAAGAAAGTTATTGACATAGATTGGAAGGGTGCAGTTCGAGATGAAAGCGGTTACACAAGAAAAAAACTGGTCGGAGGAATATTCAACGGGATCGCGGTATAATTTTCGTGCAAGTGGGGACTGAAGAATGGAACTTTCGGTAACGCGGAACATTGGAAAACAACCTTAAAACAAAGTAGAATGTGCGAAACAAACGACGTCTTGATAAAAGACAGCTTTTTGAAACCAAAAGAAATCACTGCTCCCAGCGAGAAAGGTCCTCTCTTGGGTACATGTCGTAGGACGAGTACAACATGGAGTTCTCTCCGCCCGGCGAAATAGAGCCGTCGTGTCTATCTTCTGAAGAGGGCTCGTGCATCATTTCCGAAGAGAACCCTTGAGATTCCAGAATGATTGATAGAATCAAAAAAAGAAGTCTCACCGTCGTGCATCTGGTGATGTTGGTTTGGAGCCGCAGGCAACCGCTGCCGCGCGCGATTTTCCTGTTCTCTTTTGCGTTGTCGTCGCTGCGCGTCTCGCATCGCGTTGTACTGCCGTCGCTCTTCGCTGTAATACTTCACTTGTTCCCCGAGCCGCTTTTTTCTTCAGTTTGTCCAAAAGAATAAACAAGTCCGTTCCAAAAAATACCTGCTCTTAAGAAAAATTCTCATGAGTCGAAAATTGAAGAAACTAAGAAATGAGAGACGTGGTATGATTTTGAAGCTTAAAGCAACTTGCAACAAAGAAGTTTATAATGAAAAAAAAATAATTTTTCATTATTTTTTCTTTTTTGAAGAGAACTTATCATAATAAACTGTGTTGAGTTTTTCATTCTTTCTCACGTCGGTAAATTTTTGGAAATAAAGATTTAATCAATTTTTTTTGATTATCTCGTTTTTCTATTTTTTTTTTACCCTTTATGACATAAACGTTCTATTTATGCAAGAAAAAAGTGCTAAGTGCGACATCAAAGTAACATCAGTAACATCACACTGTCAATTTGAGCTTTTTTTTCGAAGACTAGAAAGTTGTAGAGGTTGAGGCCTTTAGAGTCTTCAAATGATACCTCAGATTTGCGTCAGGCCGAATTCAGAGATCTCCCAATTAATTAGTGAAATCATCTTATTTCTCAGGTAGACAGAGCTCATCGTCTCTCCTCACGAACCTGTTCATGCGGTGATATTTGGCCCGAGCCTGTTCTGCTCTCTTTGCTCGTCGCGCCTGCGCGTCGATCACGTTCTTTCTTGTCGAATCGTCCATCTGTTCTAGGGCCACTGATTCGGCCAACTGACAGAGTTCGTCGTCTCGCGCTCGCGCCTTCCGCAGCATCTCGGCCCGCTTCGCGTTCTGAGCTTGTCGCAGTGAAGGTTCCATACTGTGGTATCTGAAAAAGGATATATTTTGCGTGTACAGAGAAAAAAAAGGCGTTCTCTTCTTGGACTTTAACCTCATAACTCTTTGAGTGAGATAAATGAATAAATAAATGAATGAATAACTCATAACGCTACATCTCGCCTGTATCTATGTACAATACCTAATCATTTAGATCTATTTGAATTTCATTAAACTTAAAGCAGACAATTTTTTTTTGTTGCTTTTAATTGACTCAAACTTCCTGTCAATATCTCCCGTTTTTTCATTTCTCAACTAACGAGTCTTCCTTGAAAGGATCTCAAGGCTTACCACAACAAAAGAACAAAGAGAAATGTTTCTTTTCGATTTTCAGAAAGTCTATGTCTGTGAGGTCCCCGATAATTAACTTGTGAGACTGGTGCCAGCAAAGACAGCTCGCTAGTTGAAGTTCAAATCGAACCGTAGCCTTGCTCTTTCGGCGCGTCGCGCTTTGCTCATCGCGTGTTTCGACGTCATGGCGCCGCCTTGAGAGTGGTTCTGCGAAGGAGAAAGATCTTGTTGGATTCCTTCGGAAGAGTACCGCAAATCCGGCTGCAAAAGTCCTTTTTCGCTCAGAAAGACAGAAAACAACAAACGATATCGCCGACTTCCACCGTTTCGTAGATGCCGTGTTCGCTGGACGTTGTCGGAATGAGATGAATGGGTTGATTCGCCATCGCGGACTCTATTTTCCCTCCTCCGTTCATATCCATTGGAACGTTTTGAGTGATGTAAATCTTCTGGCCGCTACTTATCGCTCTGAAAAATTATTCTCGTTTTCAACCCAACAAAAACCTCTCGAAACTTTCCCCCTTGGGAATTTTTTTATTGCGATACAATCTTCTTATTCTTACCCGAATGAGAAATTTGATAACTGAATTAACCTCATCTGATCAGGTCCGTTGATCAAAGTGCCGTCCGCCATCCGAATTTCCACAGGCTGCCCATTCAAGTCATATCCTGTCATCAGCATTTGCTGGAGGGCTTTCTCATCGATCAATTGCGCCTAAAATCGTTGCTTGAACGAATTTCTACCGAAGGGCTCTCCACCTGACAGAACATTTTCTCATGGACCGCATCGACGTCATTGAGCAAGAGGACCTGCTCAGAAGAACCCAGCATTTCGCCGTGGGTCTCGAGGACGATTTCAGGCTGCTCCATATCCTGCACCGACTGGAAGCGATTGACTTGAAGCTCAGGCAAAGGCATCGGGAGGGGACGACTCTGTGGCTGAGACAGAGCCATATTGGGCTGGTGATGTTGCTGTTGTTGTTGTTGCCGAGCCAAGACCATATGCGCCTGCTTCGTCCGTTTCTCGACCTCTCTCTCCATTTGGAAGAAGATGTCGTCCTGACTGGCGACGGCCGGCGAAGCGGAGGTCCTTTGGTTCGGCTGCACGTCTTCGGACTGCATCGACATGTCGTTGTTCATGATCAGCGAAGAAGAAGTCGAGGAGGGGCCGTTTTCGAAAGACATGTCGTGGGACACCTCCGCAGCTGAAAACCAAATTCAAATTGAAAAGTTACGAGGAAAATATCAGCTTGGACATTTTTCAAGACCTTTTCAAATTTTCACAAAGTTTTTATAGAAATTTCAGTGGAAAAAAATCTAACAAGGTCTTCAACTTTTTCTGAGCTTCTGACGGTCTACTTCTGCGGTTATTTGTATAAATTGAAGTAAATGATTAACTTTCCATTCAATGGTTTTCGTACATGACTCGTTCGAAAAGGTTCTGATTATTGGGATAAGATCCGAAGGAATATAACGAAACCTCTTCGTTTGGACAAAGAGCCGTTGACGGCGGCCTGGGATTGGGTCTGCCGCCTTTGCTGAGCCGCTCGCGTCTGTTGCCGCGCTCTTTTGGCCTGGGCTCTACGGTTGTTGTACTCCTGTAATGTTCCCATACTCATCTTGTGATTTTTGTGAAGGCGTGAAAAGGAAAATTTTGTATTTTCGAAACGAACTTTCCGCTCATCTGGCGTCATTTTCTGGTAGCGAAGCCGTGCGGCTTCGGCCTTGCGAGCGTTTCGAATCATGATTTGCTGAGCCTTGGCCAGAGCCTCGGCAGAGATTCGGCCGGCCGGCGTCGATAGTAGCATTTCTTCTTCCATTCGACGTCTTCGGAACGCTTCTGTTCGTCTTTGGTTGTACTCTCGCTTCTCTTCCAACGACATCCGGTGATATCTGGCCAATTTTTGATTGGCAAAAAGATTGTGAAATGAAGTTTAATATATAATTATCTATAAAACTTTTTAGAAAAAATACTATTTTGTCTGAGTCTTCTTGGAAGAACTCTTCGAGATTCGCAAACTCATTGGCCTTTAATATCGAAAGCTACCGATCTTTTTTGAAAATTTGCCTATTAGGAAACTTTTTGGTCTCCGGTTGGACTTTTCATGAAACTTTGCTGAAGTGTAATTTAAAACCTCATGATTTCAAACAGAAGGAAAATTCCATAATAAAACTGGAAATGGAGTTTGAACGAACTCGCGCAAAATTTATGGAAGGAATTCTTCATAGATTAGCTTTGTTCAATTTTCAACCAGAGGAAAGAATGAGGAAGAAACGAAAAAGAGACCTTTGCCTAGCCGCCTCAGCCTTTTTGGCGTTGGCCATACGGACGTGTTGTATGACCGTGTCAGAATCGGTTTTGTTGGCGTCGGGGTCGATTCCGAGTTGTTTCAGACGTCGTCGCTGGTTGTAGGCCCGACGTTCGCTTTCCGACATCCGTTGATAGCGCGACCGGGCGGCCTCGGCTCTTCGGAGTCGCGCCCGTTCTTCGCGATTCCTCCCCGATCCAATCAGCTCATCTTTGAGTCTCTGAAACGTTTCCGATCTCTTCACATCTTTTGAAAGCAGGGTAGTTGAATGTTTTCCTGAAGCTTTCCATTCCCGATCTATTTTTTGTTTTTCTAAAATGTTTGAACCGGAAGAAAAACGGACAGATTCCTCAGATTCCTGCAACAACTCGTCGAGTTCGCGCTCTTCTATTTCTCGACGACTTTTCTTCTGCATCAGGGTTTGTATCCGTTCCTGACGTTCCAAGATGAGCTGTTTCCTCTCTTCTTCAAAACTGCAAGAAAATATCCTTGATTTCAAAGCGAAAGAGGAAAATACTCTATGTCCTCATCGGACTTGAAGTCGTCAACGTCGATGTCGACATCACGTAGTTCTCTGAAACCAGCCAAATCATCTCAGAGCAAAGATGAGAGGAAAACTCGAAAGTTTCGTCGCCATCGGCCGAGGTGCTCGGCTCGTGGTCCACGAAGAACGTGTCGATGTAGGCGTTCATTTGGTCGGCCTGCACAGCGGCCGGATGGACCGTTTCCTGCAAAAAAGAACATTTGCTCTGCTTCAAGGAGATGATTTCAAGATATTTCAATACTCAAAACTTCACCAGCTTTGAAATTAAATAATAAAAAATCAGCACGCCATTTCCCCACATAAATTGTTTTTTATGCATATTCGATACCGATATCCCTATCAAATGGTTGAAAAGTATTTAATCCTGTAGGTTTCGATTTTTTTTAATATCAACTGATCGAAACTAGTTTTCGGAATTTCAACAAATAAATAAAAATGAAAACATCATTCAAAAAGAAAACCAGCAGAACAAACCAAAGAGTCGACAGGACCGGAAAGATGGTGCTGCTGTTCGTCCAAAGAAACGCTTTCCGAGGTCGAGCACAGCATCGGCGCCAAAATGAAGTCCTTGCGGTCTGGAGAAAACATCGAAGCGCTCGAAACGACGTGGTATGTAGAAATCGGCGGTGCGTAAAACGTCGTCGTCTTCAAAATCGAGAAATTCAGTGAGTGACGACTATCGAAAGGGGACACTTTATGGTCCTGACGAAAGAAGTTTTCTTACTCGAGCTCTGAATTTTTCTGTGCATTTGTAATTATCCTGAGAGTCTACACCTTCCCAAATTCCGAAGTTTCACCAACAAAGGCATTCTATGTCTAATGCGCTTAAAGTTATGAGACGCATTTTCTTGATAGCTATTCGCACAAAAACTCACGGATGGAGAGGGCTAAGAAATATTTTCTTTATTTCGTGACATATAAAACATCCAGGCGACTTTACATTGATTTCTATTCAATTTCCTGATTTGAAATTCTACTTTTGCTTCTTGAACATTTTCTGTAAGGAGAGCTTCCGATCGAGATATAGCTGTGAAAAATTTTCCATTATTTTTGCTTTGTTGAAAGCGGTAATCAACTTTTGTGTACACTGGTCTTCCCTTTTTGGGGCGAAGTTAAGTTTTTCCAAAACTATAGAATTTCAAGTAAATGCTCTTGACGCGACGAGAAGTTTCAGGGTGGCATTAATAACTCAGAACGCATGTTTTACTGACCAACTCCTTCTAATCCTCGGAACGACTAAAAAAACCCAGTCACAAAGGAACTTCTCGGCTCAATTCGGATCGGAAACAAGGACTGAGGCCTACCTGAAAGGAAGGAACTTCGGCAGCGACGAGGTTGGTCAGTCGCGACCCTCCTCCGCTGTCGGACCTCGGAGAACCCGACCCAATGTAAATCGAGTGCTGGTTCATTATTTCTGCCCTGAAATCGGCTCTCGCATGGAACTCACGAGAGCTTCTTTGAATCAGGTAAGGCGACTCGTAATCAAACGTTAATAGGACGCACAGAAACAAAAACAAAACTAGAGAATTTATTCGATTCGATTGAATTGAGAAAACAGAGCTCAGTATCGAGAGTAACAGAAACAGTATGAACAAAGATACAATCGGAAAACTTAAAACTTTTTGCGTTTCCTTTTTCTCGAATCCTGGCAATGATACATTGCAGTACGAGTAAAACGACAACGAAAATAGGGTGATCCGTGAGTAGGAGGAGTAAAATTTCTGAGAATATTTGCAGTATGATACGAACACAAAGCCATTACTGTTCGAACGAAACTCGATTTGGCTATTAAAAGAAACAAATAATAATAAGGCAGAAACGAGAGGATTATTCGTCGATAGAATACGAACATTTTGGCAATGACAAAAATATAGATGATCTTTTGGAATTTCAACACTACTATAGAAATTGCGACTAAATAGAAAAAAATATACGGTCAACCACAATTATCTGGGCAAAAAAAGAGAATTGAGATAACATTCTAAACGCCAGCCGGATGAAATACCATTTTGAAATGCATACAATGTTCAGGGGCAGGCATTAAACTCGCATAAAATTCATCAAAATGGAGAAAAAACTGGGATATTCTACTTTAAAGAATTAAAAAAGGATTGATGCTACTAGCCCCTGACAGAAAGGATATATGATACAGGAGGTAAGCTTAGGCACGGCCTTGCTGTCCATAGGGATTGAGGATCTGCTGCGGGGCCTGCTGAGAGTGCTGCTGGCCAGAAATCATCATGCCGCCGGCCGTGTAGATCTGCTGCCCGAGGTCGTATTTCTGGTCGAGGCTGCTGGCCGAAACTTGGTGAGAGACTGGAAGCTGGTGCACCGAATGAACGACCTGCTGGTGGCCGATTCCGTTCGAGCCGAGCTGCAGTTGGAACTGAAAAGAGACGGTAGGAGTCCGAGGTGAGCGCTGAGTTACCTGTTGGCCGCCCAAATGCGACTGCCCGTTCGTCGGCTGCAATATGTACGTTTGGCTGCTTGGTGAGACCGCTCGAGCCACTTCCTGTAAAAAATCATATCTGAGAAACAGCACGCTCAGAGAACTTTAAAGCCTTCAAATCGAACTGAATATTAGAAAACGCATAACTTTCAATGGCGACAGAAAAAGGTATGTGGCTTTGTTTCAAACATAATTTTTCACCTAGTATGTTTTTTAGGAAGAATCTTAGGAAACTCGGCTAAAAATATTCCATAATTGAAATGCTCGCTTTCAACTACTAACATATCATTCATTCCACCTAGTATAATTTCTCCTCTTTTTTTCCGGATACAACGTTCTTGATTAAAAATAACTCTGTATAAAAAGCTGATGAAAATTTGATTCTCCGACGTGAACGACCATTTTTTCCAAACAGTGGAATTTATACCTCTCAAGTGATACTCCTTTGTAACTTTCGCAGTTACTTCACTTTCGTTTACATTTGCTCCAAGAAAGCTCTATGAAATCGGATTGTGCGGACCTGGATAGCGTTAGTTCGTTGCTGTCGAAGAATGGCCTGCTGCGCCTGCTGTGTCCTCTTGAGGACGTCGCGTTCGAGCGTCGAAAGGGCGTCGAGGTCGTCTTTCTTGGCCGACGAAGGTCCTGTCGGAATCCCAGTGCTGGAGGCGTTGCTGCTGTCGAGGCCGTTCTGGCTGGCCGTGTCGCCGTCGCCGCGCCGCCTCTTCGGCGTGTAGCGCTTTTGATTGTAGGACTGTAACTAAACAACATTCAACCGAAGAACACAAATTGAGCTTCTTTCCATCAAGACGCCAAAACCGCTGCAAAACACTTTTGAGACAACTTGTTTGAAAGCCAGCTTGTTTGCATGCAGTCTTGATCGGGAAAAATCTGAGGAATTTCGATTTTCACCTTGCGCTGGTCAGGCGTCATTCGCTGATACCGGAGACGTGCGGCCTCTGCGCGCTTCGCGTTCCTCACGACGATCTGCTGGGCCCTGTCCAAAGCTTCGCCGTTGATGCGACCTATTGGCATCGCCAGCAACATCTCTTCCTCCATGCGCCGCCGTCTGCAAAAATCTTCTTCGATATACTAAGAAGCTGATGACCATAGGAGCTCTTATGGCAATTTTGACGTCTTTCCCTTCCAAATATGATATTTCAGCTCCCTAAAAAATAATTTCAAGTCAGAAAACTAGAAAATCTCTTATTGAACAACAAAGCGTCAACTTTTGTTTTCATCCCACTGAACAGGCGTTTCTCTTTTTCAGTAGGCTTAAACGTCCCTTCAAACTTTAAAATTTTCGGTTTTATGACGTGCCTCAAAAGCATTTCCTCAAACGCAGAAATTAAGTATTTTTCAATGAACTTTCAATGAGTAGTTTGGCTTGAAATCCTTTCTTTTAAAAACATTTTTTTTATGGACTGAAAGTTTAATTTTCTTTTAAACTATTCTCCTGAATGTTCTTTATGAAAATGGAACAAGATAAAAAATAAAAGTACTGAAACAATCAAATTATGTGGAATAACTGGAAATGAGTATCTTTCTGTAGAAAACTCTCCAAAAAACTAATAGCCTTTCAAGCAACCTTGGTGGGTTGTTCAAAATTGTCGAAATCTCTTTCGACTAACACGTGAGGTCATTTTACTTTGGGGATTGGAAATTCCTAAAATTTGACCGCGACACTTCCTAATGTACCAGATGATGACCCTGAAAGTCTCAATCTGCCCCAAAATCGACGACAATCTCGAAACCTTTCCAAATAAGCCATTTTTAGACTTTCCGCTATTATTTCTCGCAAACTAGGAAGTTTTTCAGGTTGAGACTATCAGGATCTTTCAAAATTACAGTAGGAAATAATCTAGCCAAATTCCAAGAAATGGAAATTCCCAACCGCAAAAAAAGATGATCTCCCTTGTAAGCTTTATATTTTAGTATACTTTTTTTTCGAAAACTTTCAAAATTTTACTGTGCTCTCTAAAAACGCAGAAAGCTGTTGTGCAAAATAGTTATACCTGAAAGCTTCCGTTCTCCGCTGGTTGTAGACTCGTTTCTCCTCGTCGGACATTCTGTGATATCTGAATGAAACCTGGGATTATTTCCGTTTTCGAAGATAACATGCCTCTGTCGTGCGGCTTCGGCTTTCTTGGCGTTCTGCTGCTTGATGTGCTGCCGGACGGCTTCTTCATCTTTGATAGGATCTCCCGTTGTGACGCCGGTCACCTGTCAATCCAATATTCCCGTTTACTTTTTTTTTCAAATTCAGAGGTACTCGACCCAGTGCAAAATTTTACTCAGAAACCCAAGAAGTAAGCTTTTCAATATTTCTAATGAACCACGGGCATCAAGTGACTCGCTTCCCGTTTTCTCGCAATAAACCTAAGATGAGCAATAGATTAATCTCGTCTAACTACAAGGTGCCGAAACGTACATTAAAGAGTGCAACTGGGATCCAATTTCTTACAGAAAATGTGAAAGTTATGAGACACACGCACAACACGACTAACTTAAAGAGACAAAAGAAAGTGATAGCTTTTTACATTATTTTTTGATCCAAGGAGGAGAAAAGAGAAAACCAAAGAATGATGTTCTCACAAACGATTCTCGCACCTTGGCCATTCTTCTGTTGGGATCGAGAGGGTCGCCCAGCAGCAGTGAGTCTTCACTGCCGATCCCTTGTACGTCGCCACCAACGTGGCCAGCAGAATCCAACTGCCGTTCCGACTGCAAAATCAACTCCCCTTTCACGATTTTCACGCATGCCCTCATTATTCTTCCAGTTTCACAAAATTCGAAGTAAATAATCCTTCTAAATAAAAGGAAAGATCATTGAAATATTATCATGTCTTAGGTTCTTGGCGAAACAGTCTGGGCAGATCTCAAGTGGCAAATGGAGAAACTATTCGAGAAAAAAAAGAGTTCTAATAATATCCGGTTTTTACATATTTTCTCGGACAAAATAATTCCTTATCCGAATAACTTTCCGATTTTTTTATAGGTTTTTTTGTGTTTTCAAAATACGATTGACGTGCTAATTACTTAAAAAAATACGAATTTAGAAAAGATGACAACGTCGATTGGTTTGCTCATGTACGTATTCGAGAACGTAAAAAAAAAAACTAAAAATTATTTCTCGAGTCGGTTGTGCGTGTGGTCACATTGACGTCAAAATTGGAGCCAAATGGGCTAAATCGTTTTTTTTCTTCAGACTATCAAATGATGAATCTTCAGCTGAAAGAGAAACTCATTCTACTTTACGATTTCGAACTTATTTGAATTTACTCAAACATTTTTTAGCATTCTAGATGAAGATATATCAATATTTCGACGATCATATTGCACCTCGTTTAAAAGTGGTGTAAGGGGTTTTTCAAATTCGACTAATAATGATATCTCAAGGAAGCAAAACTTTTTCAAAACGTTTCTCTGAGAAACTTCGGAGTTTCTGCGTGCTTTACTATCTGCCCCGTGCTTTCAGAGGACACACCTTGATGGCTGCCAGGGCGTTCTGCATCTGCCGCATACGACGTCGGTTGTTGTGAGCGCGGCGTTCTTCGGGAGTCATGCGGGCGTACCGCGTTCGCGCAGCTTCTGCCCATTTGGCTCTCATTCGCTTCTCGCGTAGCTGCTCTGTTATATCAGGATCTTCCTACAAGATATTGTTTTCTAGAAATAAAGTCAAAGTGGCTCTGGAAACTCTCGAATGAATCCACTGTTTTTTTTTTAGTTTCTTTCTTGATATTTTCTTCAGAATAAGTTACTCTGAAAATCCTAGTTATAAAGCTCCATCAGTTTGATCACAAAAATTTTTAAACTGAAATATTTTTTGAAACTCGTTTGAACTCAGACCTGAATGTCGTTAGTTTCACGTAAAATCGACTCCAGCTCCTCCATCTCCTTTTCGCGTTGTCGCTTTCGTTTCTGTGCTAGAGTCCGCTTGAGATTTAGTTCGCGTTTCTCTTCTGGTGTGAGTCGGTGATATCTAAAATCGAAAATTGTGAAAAAAGAGAGAATTTCCGACAAGTCCTCGTACCTTTCTGAACTGTTTTTTTTTCAGAAGAAAAGAAGGAAAAAGTTTAATTTTGAAAAAAGAAAATGAAATGTTCACCTCATACGTGCGGCTTCGGCTTGTCGCGCTTTCTTCTGTCTCTCCTTCTCTGCCTTGTCTGGAGAGCATGCGATCTTGACAGTCTTAAGAAAACTATGGAATTAAGGATTGAAAAAAAAAAAAAGAAAACAACAGAAGAAAGAGATAAAAAAGCACAAGGTAGTCAGTGCTCGACAATCACAACACACACCTTGAGCAGCGGCTCTACGACTTGCTGGTAGGTATTCAGAGGCTGCTGCAGCTGCGGAACTTGCACACTCTGAACATCACGATAATGATAATGAATGCACAATACGAGGAGAATAAATGCAGATTGAGCTGAAAATTTGAAAGAAGAGGTTGAACGATAGGCTCTCAAGGCGTTTCGGGCCGAACCAAACACAAGACAGTGTGCATTGAGATTCAGAACACGCTGAAAAAATACCTGGACAGTTTGTTGTGTGCTCCAAGAGGAAGAAGTGGAAGGCGCGGTATTGTCGACAAAGTAGGCGTCAAGCATGGTCGCCTGAAAAATATTACAAGTTCAACTCGAAAATGTGTGGTTACCAGGTTTTTGTCATCTGCGCCTAGTCTTCTTTGCTGTCCTTGTTGTATCTGAAAATCTTTTTTTTTCTAGCTAGTTGTCCCGGAACTAACGCTAACGTTTCCGGGGATGAAGGTGGCTGTCGTCGAAGAATGGAAAGGAGCCGTCGTCGAGTTCGTGTACGTGGTCGCCTGGTACGACGACGGATGAAACGACATCGAGTTGATCTGAAATTCGCGGATTTTCTCTTTCATTATAATCGGATACTCCATGATCCGAGTACGAAGCAATTGATTACCTGTTGATTTTGACCGTTTGCATTGCTGCGTGGATCTGACGAGTAGGCATACGTCAGACCCTGGTTCATGTTGGAACCCTGAAAGTTTTAATATGAAAAAGAAAATGGAAAACAAACTTTGTAGTAAGAAACTTTTCGAACGAAAATCTTATCTGATTTTTTAAACGTGAAAAAAAAAACGGAAAAAAAGGATAATAGTCAAAGAAAAAAATTTACAGAGATACAAAAAAATGATATAAAGAAAAGAATTCGTGAAACGGCATATTTTATATTTGAACTAAGCATAGCTAAAACTCTCAAAAATTTCCCAACTTTTTAATTAAAATATAAATCAAACACAATTTCGACAAATTCATCAAAAACGGCATTGTTCAAAAAAACAGAGAAATATCAGTTATAGTCATTTGTTTCATTCAAGTACCTTCCATTATCCAATGAAAGTTTTAGGTTTATAAAAGTAAACAAGTGCGCACTAGTGCTCGAATGTCTAAAGAAAAAAATATCTCGGAGAAGAAAGTTTAATTCGAATAGCCCTCAAAACCTCGCGAATATTATCTTCTTCTTTTAAAATATTCTTTCAACTGATTTTCGGACATTTTACGTTTCTTCATTGAAATAGCGTTATAAATAAGTCAGTTCACTTTAAAAAATCTTTGAGAGAATGTTATTTTGCGTCGAGATTATGCACCACAGGCACCAACAGTACCTTGAACGGAAAAAAAAGAACGAGGTGTCCGAAGCTTATTCCTCGCAAAGGATCGGTCACAAAAGATTCTACGAATTTCGCACCAAATCATATATGAGTTGATTGTTACAAAAAATGATTTAGTTTGCAGATGTGGTCAATTTTTTTTTCGCTTTCGTGCTCCTATATCCATGAACATTGTTTCCACCGAGCTACGTGTTATAGGAATGGAGAAAAACACTTCCAAGTCAGAATACTCCGTTCGCCATCATCTAATACAGTCTGACATGTCTGCTCCCTCTTTCTTCTCGCCTGCGAGTTAACAGCAACAGAACAGTGTAAGCAAGAGAAAGAGAGAAAGAGAGAGCGCGCGCGCCCGAGGAAAAATAATTTCTGATATATATCAATAGATCGCAAAAATTTCTCAGAAGTTTGTATACTTGACTCGGTCTTGGCTCGAAATTTTTCGGAAAAGCGAATTTTAAGGATAGTATTCTTTTGGCACATTTAGCGACATTAATATAAGACAATAAAAATAACGAATTCGTCACACTTATCTGATTTTTCAATACTCCCTATAAATAATTTTTTTTTTGATCTTCTGCAGCACCAGCTTATCAAAATAAAACGTCTCGAAAACTATTTCTGGTTTCATGTGAGCAGCCAAACACTTATCTAATTAAACAAATTAGCACAACTCGATCGTAAGTTTAAGCCTTCTATTCATCATATAGGGCTCAAACAATGAGCTCAATTGAGCTCATTGTTGATCAACTCAATAAAAAAAAAGCTCAGTCATCCGAAAGGCGGAATTGTAAGAAATACAACCAGAAATCCCTTGTTTGAAGTTCTAAGAGACTATCCTTTTTTAGGCTCATCTTCCTTCTGCCATTGGAAGAAGTTAGTCAGAGAAATCGGTTGCATGTTTTTTTTTTCATTGGAAAACACTAATACCTTTTTGAAATATTTCAAACTTTCTTTCAAATGATCTTGAATAATGTGTCTGTATGATTATCTTCATAACTTCCAAACACAATTTCTTTGAATTTACTACTGAATTGAATTGATCTCCATGTTTTCCTCTGCTTAGAGCTCTCAGGCATGTTCTCAGGCCGATAGAACGATTCCATTTTCAAGGTAGAGAAAGAGAAGTGGTGGGTGTTCTCGTTCGGGAAAGCAGATGAAAAGAGAGGAAGAGGTTACAAGTGAAGAAGAAAATGCGGTCCAAAAGATAATAGAGATTGAAGAGGGTGGTAGGAAACGGAGGCCGACGTCGGCTATGGTGGCGAAGAGACCTGACGAGGACTGCTTGTTGACGACGACGCGCACGCACACAAGGCCGCGTCGCTTTTGCCGAGACACTGTACACAGCGCGGAGAGGCGGGACGCCGAGGCACTGCATCCTTGCTTGAGGCACAGACGTTGGAATGAGGAGGGAGTGTGTAACTGGAGGAGGCGCAGCGCAACACATCGGCCGTCGTCACAGTATTGATCGTGGAGGGTGAAGGCTGGAGACGAGTTGCTAAGAAGTGCACTGTTTCGATGGAGAACGAGGTGTCCGAAGTAGACGAGGAGCCGCTCGCTATCTATATGGAAACATACAAGCAGATAGCCGAGACAGAATGCATAGAGAATTAGACAGGCCCCGCACAAAATAATAAGTCATAGAACATGGTTAGTTTCGATATATCAGCGCGTTTTTCGCCTTCGTAGCTGCTGTTTCCACGCTTTCTCAGCTGAACTCACAAAAAGTCACCGTATCTGACTGATTTTGCTGATTTTCGCGTTCAAATTCACCTTTGTATGAATTCCTACAATTCGATAATTCAACAATTGTTCCCTACTAGCCACAATTTGAAACAGTATATGGCTTTTCTATTTTCCTTTTTTTTTCATTACCTCCCTGAGATCGCAAAAAATTGACAGAAGCTTAAACATGAGAGCGTCGCAGAGGGGAAGAGAGTGTAGACAAGTTAGATTGTTTTGAAAAGCGGAGAATGAAGAATATATCACTTATATGGGTTTTTTTTAATCTGCGTTTTTAGTCGTGTCATCAACAGTAATAAACACCAAAAATCAATCGAAACCAGTGTTTCTAACCTCTTTCTAGAACCTTCACTATATACTTATTTCTTTTCTATTTTAAAAATGGAGAAAAATTTTTTTTTGCATAGTGATTTAAACTGTTTTTACTTATTGAAATAAGTATGCTAAAAAAACTGAATAAGTATTGAGCCGTGAAGAAAAAAACCTCATATTTTCAAGATAGTGTAACGTTTCATTATAAAATTCATTTGAACAACTTGAGATACGATTTTTCGCGATTTAGACTGTTTTAGTAATTAAAGGGTGACATGTTTTTCACTTAAATTTTTGATTCATAATGGAAAAATTTTCAGACAATAGTTCCGGTAAATAAGATTAATGAGGAAAAAGTTTCAAGTTGAGCAGGAAGAAAACAATTTTTGAACCGAAAACGGCTTCATTTCAATTTAAACTACTATTACACTCCTCAAACTTCGGAAAGCCCTTAAAAATCAGAGAAGACGAGATTATCCTGAGTAAGGTTACCAGATCAGTTACTTTACATTGTAGCTATGGACCTTCCTGTTTCATATTATCAAGCTGTATGAGTGACTGAAAAATTCAAATTTGCATATTTATCTTTATGAATGAATGAATCCGTTTCTTCGGAATCCATTTTTTTTTTCTACCAAAAAGATGTGCTTTGTAGGTTTCAATACACAGAAGCAGAGACTGAACAGGCACCTTTCAGGTGTTCCAAGACAACAAAAGATTCAAGGAAACGGTTACCGTTCTCTCATGGATCCCCTTTGCCAGTAAGAAAGAAAGGAGATTCCTTAAAAGCATACGGTACCTCCTCTCGATCTCTGCGCGGAGGGACTAGAGAGGCGGCGGCCGGCGAAGAGAGCAAACGAAATAGGCACTCACAGTCTAGGCGGAGCAAAGGCCTCTCTCTAGCACTCCATCACCACCACACTCTTTCCTCGGCTTGCCTTGCCTTCGCCTGACGCCTCTATTCCAACATACTCTTTTCGCATTCGGCTCATCAACGGAATCTCCACGTCAGCCGCGATCTCTCCCCATCGATCGCACCTCGCCTAGGGACTCTTCATCGTCGCTTCTTTGCGGTCTCATCGATTGACGCACTGTCTTTCTCCAGATGTCGCTTCTGGAAGCGACGCCGAGAGAATTGCGTCTTTGTGTGAGGTCTCTCGTATCCCAAACCTCCACTTGCATTTTCATAAACATATGGCGAAAATTGAAAATCAACTCAAAGTTAACCCTCCGCAATTTCGAAAGAGGACATATGCTGAAATACTTTCACATAGTATTAGCTTACAAATCAGCAGAATTTTTCTTCTACTGCCTTTAAGGATTATGATATTCAAACAGAAAAAAAGAAGAAGTTCAAAAGCCTAAAATAAGCAAATTCCTGAATTAAATTACTTCATTCGCCATGACTTAAAACTTGTCTGCCCCTTCTTATCCCTCGGAGAAAGAATATTCTTCCGATTCGTGGCGAGAGAAGTCTTGGGTCACACAAAGGGTGAAAAATAAAGATATAAAGTTGTGATCTCATCAGCCCTACGAAAGTCTTTAGCTTTTCTGCAAATGGCTTCTGAAAGCGAGCTAGAATTTCACACAATTTCTGCTCAAAAAAACTTTTTCAAGCTTGGTTAAGTTCAGTCTTCATACCATTTTTTCCAAATAAACCCTTTGCTTTTTTCTGCTCAAGGGTGTTCAAAGCCCTGAGAAACTCAAATTAAACGATTTCATAGTTCATTTACAGTAAATAATTTACTCTAAAAAAAGATTTTCAAAGGAGACTTCACGTGGGAATTTTTTTTCAGTTTTAAGCTAAAAAGCTATGGCGAATCGAGTGTGCTGAATGATAAACTTTCGTTATTTGATGTACTAAACTTGCACTAAAACTATAATTACACTATTATTACAAGATGTTGAACAAATCACATAAAGAAAAATTGTTGTTCCAAGATATTATGACAAAAATTTTCAATGAACACATGAAAAGTACCCAAATAGTGAAAAATAATAATTTAATTCCGAACGTCGGCGACAACGACTTCAGACGATAAATAACTGTCCACAAATGCGAAAAGTGGTTCCAAAATCTTCTCGACGGTGATGATTCCGAAAGTCGACGGTAAGTAGAGGTATAGCAGGGCGGACGCCTAAATCTGATTTTAATAAAAACGAAGTGCAATCCAAGGAGAAAGTTTTTGGTTTGAGAGATATTTTTCATACTGAAGTTAAAATAAACACCAACTACCTTAGCTGCATAGTAGAAGGGCAGACTGGTAGCAGGAGTAGTGTCGAGGACTGTGAAAAACCCAAAAATTATCCAGTAGAGCACCCAAAGCGAAACCATATGCTGGTCAAATCGCTGACTACGTATCGCCTGAAGTTTCTCCTGACTCGGACTTTCAAGGATTACCTACTTGGAGAGACTTGAAAGCAGGGTAAACGACGCCGATAACGTTAGAAGCAGTCAGAAGAATGCCGCCGAACAACAGGTAAACAATCGTGAAAATCATCACCCTTGCCGTCAACTAGAAATATCATTGAAATGCGCCTATTTGAGCTATAAACTAGTCTCTCAGAAATACCTGAAAAACTCACATGCTCCCTAGGGAGGCCTGAGAGCTCCTCTGCCTTGATCAAAGATTTTTCGAGCCAGTTCTCCTTGTGCGAGTGCAGCCGCGCGTGAAGAAAGTGATCCAGCTGCGAACTGAGCCCTGCCATCCTGCGGAAAATAATCGTGAAGTCAAACAGTTTTCAAGCATGTAAAACTATTCCTAGGGTGGTACAGTTCATTTTTCTCAGTTGACATTGAACTTATCTAAAAAAGAGATTGAAAAAAAAACTTCATGCAGTGTTAAAAAAAGTCACGAATTGAGTCGAGAAAAGTTTGAGACCTGTGAATATTTTAACTAATATTTTTCCCTAAATTGCTTTATAAAGACACACATTTCCTTAAAATCACAAATACAGTAACCCCGACTCGACACGGAGATTTTGAGGGAACATACACTCGGCTTTTTTTTTTGGAAATAGGAAATGAACATATAAAAACTTTTGACAGAAAGCAAGAACACAGCAAAATGTGAGAGTTTTATGGTTTCAGACTTCTCTCACGGTCAAAAAGCGCCATGGTGGATTTCGAAAAAAAAGATTTTAAAGAACAGTTACGAAATGAATTTAAAAACGTACACCTAATGTTTGACAGTGGTCGATTGAATATGAAAATGATAAAAAGTGTCTGGAGGACGGCGAAGACTATTTTGAATGGCGTGGGAAAGAGAGGAAAACTTCAATATTTGTCCAAGTGGCACGGTCAAAAAACAAATATCTGCGTTATCGAGATCACTCATGTTTGGACTCGCTTGACATCGAAAAGAGAGAAACGGACTTTCCCTACCTCACTTTCCAGTTTCTTCTTTTGAAAATTTTTCCAAAATTTCTGAAAATTCACAGTTTCCTTCGAGAGCGACGTCATTTATATAACAGACCCAATTAAGAGAAAGTTTCGTAGGCAGAAGAAATCTTTCTTGATAATTTGAACAAAAAATGACTTGAAAACAGAGAACAGTTCGAATTTGTTTCCGCTATTATCTAAGAAATGTATCACCACTCCGTGCCAGCTTGTCCCGTTTTTTTTTCCCGTGAAAATGACCGTTCCCCAAACTTGAGCAAACTTTGTTTCAAGACCTTTGATTTTTTTTTGCTGTCATTCTCGCAAATTTCTGAAGCAAAAGATTTTTTCAGTAGCTTTTGTTATGCTGCGCTCTTAGAATGCGATCGTCTCGCGCAGCACACTATTTCAGAAAACTCGAAGAAAAAGGATGAAAAATTCTCCATATATAAACTTAGCCCCTTCACAAAGTTTAATTTCTGTGACTCTGAAAGAAGGGTACATGAGGTGCACAATTTTTTTTCATGACTTGAAACTTTTTGATCGGCATTTGTAGTGCAAGTTTCACTATATAACGAATTAACCGTAGCTGCTCAAGTTGCTCATATATATATATATATATATATATATATGAATTAATATTCATTATTATCCGAGTTTCCTCTGTCTTTCTTTTTCATTAAAGTTTTTTTCACGACTTCAAGCTCTGTTATTTTTCACAATAACTCAATGTAAATTAATTTTTTTATAAACCTCAGCGTTTTTGTTCTGTTCGATTCACATGAGGCGCTCTGACCGATCCAAATCTTCGATTCTCTTTATCAGAAAACTGTGAAACAGCGTCCAAGAAAAAATCCTTTGTCCGACTCTCTCCAATTTAGTTATCTTTTTCTTCTTTGACGCCAAAATAGTCGTCATGACGACTATTTTGGATTTCACGGAATTACTTTGAACACGACAAGAGATTTCGAGCAGCGAGGGGAAAGTTTGCTCTACAGCACACTTTTCTGGCGCGATGCGTTTTTTTCATTTTTCAAATTCGTTTTTTTATTTGTGTTTATTTTCGATTTTCATATAGCCTATTCCGCGCCAGCTTGTCACGTTTTTCTTCCCGCAAAAAAGACCGTATACCAAATTAGATCAAATTTCTGCTTTTATAACGGCAAGAAACAAAGGTCTTGAAGCGAAAGTTGGTTAAATTTGACCTGGCCTTTTGGCGGAAAGAAAAACGTGACAAGCTAGCGAGGAATAGCCTATAAAAAAAAAGTAATTTGTCGATATTAGGATAATGAAGAGGAAAAGAAAATATGATATTACTATTGTTTTCGCAAGGACTTGTGACTTTTGTGTAGATTGATGCACTCAGTGTACATTTTTTGGTTCATTTCAGGTTTTACACTAGAAAACCAATTCCATGCTGCTATTTCTTGAATTTTTTTTTAAGTAAATTGGAGACAAGGACTCAGTTCGGTTAAAGATTCAGTAAAAATGTTGAAACCCCCTCCCCTCTTTTCTTCTTGAAAATTATTTAGACAGGAGTTTAATACTTAAAAAATATATTTCAGCGATCACAATGGCCCATATATGCTCGATTAGTGGTGAAGCGACAGAGGAACCAGTTGTTTCTCCAAGCTCTGGGCATATATTCGACCGGAGGCTTATCGTAAAGTACATAACTGAAAATGGAACTGATCCTATTTCCGGGAACGCGCTCTCAGAAGATCAGGTTAGTCTTTCACTCATTGAAAAAATTTCTTTTGTTGAAGTTGATTGGCTTGAAAAGTGGAGATGGAGGATCGGCTCCTCGCAACGTTTCTGCCACTTCTATTCCTTCTCTCCTTAAAATGTTGCAGGTTTCTATCAAACGTGAATATTTTTATAGAAAACATTTTCAGGATGAGTGGGATACTGTGATGTTGAATAGCTTCAGTCTGAGACAGCAATTGCAGGTCGCTCGCCAGGAACTTTCTCACGCTCTTTATCAAGCACGTTATTTTCTTCTGTTTTATTTTGTTACCAGTAACGCTATTAGAAGGATAGATTTTTTGTTTTTCGAGGAGAAAATTGCAATATCAATGTTCGAAGTTCAGCACGACGCGGCTTGTCGCGTTATCGCTCGTCTTTCAAAAGAGTTGACAGCGGCTCGCGAAGCTCTTTCCACTTTGAAACCACACACGGCAAGTAAAGAGAAAGACGTGTCGATGGAAGTAGACGAAAACGCTGAAGAAGCCCATGGTTAGCTTCGTTATCGTCTAAGTACCTTTTTATTTACAGGTATCAGCGAAGCGATAATCAAGAGTTTGGAAGAAAAGTCCAAGTCGTTGACCGCTGAGCGGAAGTCTCGCGGAAAGAACTTGCCATCCGGATTGGCTAGCCAGGAGGATTTCAGTAATTTCAAGCAAAAGGCCGCTCACACTGGAATTCACTCGACTGGAACGCCTGGAATAACTTCTCTGGACGTCAAGGCGAGTTTTTTTTAATTAATTTTTTTTAGAATTTCTCATATAGGGCTCTCTTGCTCTTACTGGCGGTGCCGACAAGACAGTTGTCCTGTACAATTTCGAAAAGGAAGAAATTGTGCAGACCTTCAAGGGTCACACTAAGAAGATCAACGCCGTTGTTCTCCACCCAGATGGAAAAACCGCTGTTTCCGCTTCTTCAGATTCACAGGTCCGCCAATCTTTTTTTTTCTCCGCTATCAGTGGTATCTGATCAGTGTCTAATTGCTACGATTTGAAGATTCGTGTTTGGTCGTCGAAGGAATCCGCTGCCACGGCCGTCATCGACGTCCATCAGGGCGCAGTGACCGGTTTGTTTTTAATTTTTTTTTTTCTTTATCAAACATTTGTTGGCTAGATATTTCTTTGAACGCTACTGGAAACTACATTTTATCTGCTTCTGATGATGCTCATTGGGCTTTCAGTGACATTAACACCGGCAAAAGTCTCTGCAAGGTTTGTGATTTTTTGAATGTTGATGTTTCATTGTGGCTATAGGTTCCGTCCGATTCCGAATCTCAAGTTGCCATGTTCTGCATCGAATTTCACCCGGACGGCCTTATTTTTGGTAACTATTTAGTTTTTTTTTTGATGATTAATTTTTTATTAGGAACGGGCACGGCTGATTCAGTTGTCAAGATTTGGGACTTGAAGAGTCAGACTAATGCGGCGAACTTCCCCGGCCACACCTCTGCCGTTCGTTCGATTTGTTTTTCAGAAAACGGATATTATTTGGCTACTGGCAGCGAAGACGGAGAGGTGCAAATTTTTGTATTTTCCTTTGAACCTTCGTTTTATCTTAGGTGAAGCTTTGGGATCTCCGTAAGCTGAAGAATCTCAAAACCCTGTCCACGCAGGGATCCCAGCCAGTAGGTTTTTCAAAAAAATTTTTTTAAATTCAAATATTTTCCTCGTAATTTTTTTGTTCAGTTCATAAAAAAATGTAGGTCGGAAAAGTTGTGTTTCATCTGTTGTGAATCTTAAAGAGATGAAGTATAGAAGTGGCACATTATCAGAGTTTTTGAAAACCTTTTTATTGAATTCGGCTTTTCTTCTCTTCGACTTTTATCTATGAATTTAGTTTGAACGCTTTACTTGACCAAAAACCTACACGAAAAGTTTGAAAAAAATTTTTTTTTCATTAAACTGTTAAAAAATTGTTAGGACATGGAAACATTTTTGCTCGGCGATAAAATATATACTTCCATGATTTCTTGAACTAGCATGTATTTTGGAAGTTCTGTTTATGTCTATGTCCTCAATTTTTATTTTTGAGAGGACGTTTAGGTTTTCTTGGGTTTTTATCTCACAGTAGTATAGTCAATTTTTCCCGTAAAGAAGCTTGAGCCATTTCCCCTTTCAACTTGGGAAAATCAGACTATACCAGACAAAATCCATTCGAAAAATGTTACGAGAGAGTTTACAAGGATAGTTAGAGGCAATGGTCTTGAAATTGGAAAGAAAATTCACGAGTTCAACATAAGTTATGTTCCGAGAAGGAACTTGTCATATTCCCACTTTTATTCACCTCTTCCGGTCTACAATAATTTAAAAGACGTGTAAATTTGTCAAGTTGATTTTCTTTAAAAGTCTTTAAAAATCATTTGAGTTGAATAAATTTTCATGAGAACGATCTCAGAACTCGAAAAAACTCTGAAATTGTGGCTTTTAAGTGTTCATTTAATTGATTAATTAATTTATCTCACTCAAACACAAAAATACAAATACCGAATAGAAAGTGAGTTAAGTGAAACCCGATATATAAACCCCCAACGAGCGATTTACCGGGATGAGAGACGCGTATTGAAAATTGAGAACAAACATTTCGGATTTCTTAGAGAAGCCTCTTGCGCACGTTTGCGAGTAGTTCATTGTGGTCGAGAGAGTTGAGAAAATTCCTTAAGCGGGTTTATATTTTTAACAAGTAAATTTCTTTCGAATTATAAGATGACAAATTCTCTAGGTTCTCTTAAATAAATTTTTCCGTTTTCTTTTTTTCAGGAAAAAGAAACTTGTAGAATAATAGAGTCAAAACTGGCAGAGTCCGAAGAGATAAAAATGAAATGCAATGTGGATTTATTTGTTTCGAAACGGTGTTCCTTTTCAGATCAATGACATAAGCTTCGATATGACTGGAACTTATTTGGCCATCGGTGGACAAAACGTTCAACTCTTGCACGTAAAATCTTGGCAGGTAGGCAAATGATTAGGAACTTTGATTATTCGTCTTTTAAGGAATGCGTTACTTTGACTGACAACACAGCCGCCGTGACCGGCGTCCGTTTCGGGGAAAACGCCCGTTCTTTGCTGAGCAGTTCCATGGACAAGAGTTTGCGCGTGTTCAGCATCTGAAGAAATTCCCATCTTTTGTTCGCCCTTATTCTACATTGTTGTTTTATTTATTTTCCAAACTCTACCATTTAACTCAAGCTTCAAAAGTTTCTGATCTTGTGCTCGTGAATCATTGGTTGTTGACTGTATGTGAATGAAAATTTTTCGTGTGGTTCATTTTGTTTTCAGTGCTCTATTCATCGTTCTGAGCGATTTATCATGCTTAACTCTGACCACGTTTTATCTGTTAGAAAGACGATGAACAAGAAGAATTAAGATTCCTCTTCGGTACTGCTTCACTGCCCGGATTGAGAAGAGTAACCACGCTTTTTTTTTTTTCGAAGATTTGGGTCCTATGATGCCTTCTGGGGCCAGAATAAGTGAGCGTGAAAGCGATTTTCGAACGGATGATATTAGCATCTCACGTAAAAATGAAGGATTGACGAAACATAAAATATTTTTCAGAGATTGAGCGAAAACGGCCAACGTCGGATTTGATTTCTAGGTCGTCCAAGAAACCACGTTACGCGCTTGGTTTCATTTCTTACGATATTTCAGCACGGTGATATGTTTGATTCAGAATTTCTTATGCATCCTATCTCTTCTTTAACACGATTTTTCGGAGGCTCCGGAAATGATGAAAACGAAGAACAAGAAATACATGAGGGTCAGAGATTTAACTGTTGCATCTTCATCAAATTAAAAACTGAATATTTGTTGGCGCGTTGAAAGAGATTTTGCGGAGTTTGTCGAAATAAATAGTGGACACTTCAAATTCATTCGGATGGTTTTTGTTTTCCAGAATTGCTTTGAACACGCCGATATGATTTTTGCAACCGCATAACAAACTCAAATGATATAGTCATTTTCCGACTTGAAAGACGAGGAGGCGGAGAATTTCGCGGGACGCGTAGCGTGTGCGTACGCGGTTTTTGGCACGAGTTAAATTTAACCGCCACCGACTATTTTAAAAGCTGGGTCACCGATCTTATCGTAACTATTCTACTATTTTTATTGCAAAGATGAAAAAAAAATAATGGTGAAAAGCGATAAACGAGCTCTCCAAATAGTCGCTGGCGGTTGAACTGAACTCGTGCCAAGAACCCCCTTCTGCGCCTCTCTCGCTTTTCAATTCGGGGAAATTTGACTATATATTCAGGGAAACTTTGAGACAGTAAACTTTTTTTTAGAGAGCCATGAAAGCTCTAGAGTTCGTAATCGATCAGAAGGCGAGGATGAAATCGAAGTGGTACGCTTTAAATCGAAATAAAAACTTCTATGACTCTAATTCAGATCGCGACGATCAGCGGAGGACGTCCCGTTTCGCCTGAGCTTTTTCGCGAATCGATACAAAACAAAACTCTAGAATTACAAGAAGATGAAGAAGATAATCTAGAAGTTGTCAATGTGAAGTCCGATGCGGCATCTTCTAGCACTTCCTGTGCAGAATCTGACCGCAAAGTCGAAAAGGAAAAGGAAAACTTAGAAGACGTCAAGGTCATCTTTCAATCGGCAGGATTTGCCCCAAGCGTTCGTCAGTCACCTAAGAATCTTCCAGAAGAAGACGTTATTAATTTGTTTCAATCTTTACTCAAACGTTTTCTCAGGATCTGCAAGTTATCAGTGAAGTGATAAACCATAGCGGCGAAGTTTCGGCCAAGGAAAGGCTGTCGATAGAAAGCGTTAGAGACGAGGTTAGTTTGATTTTTGTTTAAAGACTTTGTTATATTCAGATCGTACGTACATGCGAAGTTGAAGAGGATTCTGACGTCGAAACGATCGCCTCGAATAATCAAGGTTGGTGGCATTTATATGTTCGCAAGCCATTTTTGGATGCAGAGGATGGCTGTCTGGTCTTCTCCAATCTGACGTCTCCGACGCCTGACGACAGCGCCAGTCGCTCCGCCACTCCCCACACATTTCTCCCCAGTGAGTTTTTTCGCCAACCAAATGCCAGTATGCCGCAACTCCATGAAAAAATCTGCTCCTCTGCAACTTTTTTCATTAGTCAGAAGTTTTTCACACGTTTCCGTCACGCGTGTTTTCTACTGACCTTGGTAAAAGCTCGTAAATTGAAGGCTTTTCGATATCGATACGCTCTCAAAGTTGATACTTCATCTATTACGCAATAAAATGAAAAAAAACAAATAAGCGATAGATTTTTCCCATCAAACAGAAGGAAAAAGTTTAGAGAATACGGAAGCTCGTTCTCGAGACCACTGGATCCGCTCTCGGCAGACCCAATCGGACAACCGTAAGCAAGATTTCTGAGTTCTCATTTACATTCCCTAATTTTTCAGGATGGAATTCCGACTCAAAGTCTCTCATTCGCCGTCAACCTATCCCCATGAAAAAATACACGAAAAAAATCAACCATAACGTAAGTTGGTTTTTTTTAATCTCGAATAATATGCTTTATTATCTTTTTTCAGAATGTAGACATGCACGCTCAAAAGCGATATCTATCGCTTCTGGAAAAAATGGGCGTTTATAAGCAAGATTCGAAATCTTTGAGGTTTCTGCACCGTCTGCTTCTATAATTTGTGAACTTTTCCAGGTTTCCCATCGGAAAAACAGCGAGAGGGAAAAATTTACAGGCGAAAATTGAAAATCTACGACGAGTTGGTTTTTTTTCGATCATTCAACCAAATTGTCTCCATTTTTTCTGGGATCTGGGGGCTTCAATTTTTCAATTTTTTTTTGAGATCACTGCCGGGTTTTCAGGGAAAAAAACTTATTCTCCTAAATTTAAAAAAGTTTTTTTTAAATTTTAGTTATCATCTTGAGAAAAACTTTAAGCTCTGAGTGAATTTAGCTGAAAATATAATGACTTTTTGTGTTCCAAGAATTTCTTTTTATCGATAGATGTTATGCCATGTTCAAAGGGATACCGCGTAATTCAAAATAACCGTCAGAGAGTGTAAAAGGTAATTAAATTTTGGAGAGTCAGAGATAGTTTCAATTTTCGCGCAAATCTCTTTGAACACGGCATAGATTTCGAAACGGTTCTATGCAACTTGAAGCCTGACAGAAAAACTCATTAATTATTACACTTGAAAAAAGAAAGTTCTTATTGTACTTGTTGAACGGTTTTTCCTTTTGTTAGTTTAAAACGTACTAACTTGTAACTAAAAAAAATTGAAAGCAAATAAGAAGTACAGAAAGAATCTCACGAAAAAAAGTTTTTGACGAGGTTTTTTTCTTATATTAACAATTCGCCGATTCCCTTGTTTTCGAATTCATAAAAAGGTTAATTGAATGCATTTCGAATGCATTTATGTACTGAAAACTTGGCAAAAAAGTGATTCAGAATAGTGATTTATAATTTTCATCCGTCCGCAAAATTTTTCAGAGGCAAAGAATACCGAAGTCCTTCGGAATTACAATATCAAAGTTTAGTTTTTAGATTCGATCTGGAAAAGAGGAGAGCAATTCTACTCTCAGGTATGGCTAGTATAATTGAATTTTCGTGTCAATTCTTTGTAAATAGGAATGTGAAAGAGTCTACTCCGGAAACCTCGTCCATGGTGTCGATGGGAGCCAACAGCTTCGCAACGTTTTCGTAAGACTTGAACTGAAGTGGGGATTCCTTCGTGGTTCAGAAGAGCCACTCCTTCTCCTTTTTCGGAGGCGCGTTCTCTGAGTGAAGAGAGAGTCACAGACATAGTGGGCCGAATGGAATCTGTGCGAATCCAGAACTCCGGAGTAGAAAACTTCAACAAGTAAGCGAAATGGTCGCTTGAGATTTGAACACAAGGTTTTAGGCTTTCAAAAAGACTTGACACATCCCGTTTCCATGTAATTTCCCTGACCGAAGAGCTCCGGGTGAGGAGCAACGCTCGGCTCAACAATGTCGACGACATCGAGAAGAAAGTTAGGGAAAAGCTGAGCATCGAGGGCATCAAATACATCGTGAAGAAAGAGAAAAGCGAGTTCCCTCGTTAGTTATTCCCACCTATCCGGAGATAAAGAGGGATTTCCAGCCTTACCTGAAGAAGCTGAGAACCTTTGCCATACTGTGTGGCGAGGACGTGGCGACGGAGAAGTTTTCAGCGAAGGTTTTGGGGTGAAGCTCACTCGCAAGGACCTTTGCACCCTCGACGGAATGAATTGGCTCAACGACGAAGTCATCAACTTCTACATGGAGTTGGTGTGTGAGCGCAGCAGGAACTCGTCGGACTTGCCCAAGGTTAATTCAATGTGTTTGATTCATTCGAGTTTCTGATATAAATGCGTAGTTTTTTGGTTAACTTTTTTTTTCGAAGATTTTGCAGGACAATTTGAGTAAAGTATAAGAATGAAACAGGTATCCAATTCAAAAAGTTTTCAAGCTTCTAGCAGTGAATTTACTGAACGGTTCTAGCATCTCCCTAGTGTCAAAAAGAATAAATACCAACAAAAAAAACATTTGCAGACTTATGCCTTCAATACGTTTTTTTACTCAAACATCGCGACGAAAGGATATACTAGTGTGAAGCGTTGGACAAGAAAAGTTCGACCTCACTATTGAAATCAATAATCTTTGCGATTCCAGGTGGATATTTTTGCCTATGACGTTCTTCTGATTCCTGTTCATCTGGGAGTCCATTGGTGCATGTCGGTTATAGAAAGGATTCTCGTTTATTCTTCGAATAATTGAGACTTCAGGTTATCGATATGGGTAAAAAAGAAATCACTTACTACGACTCTCTTCTGAATGACAACTACCAATCTCTCGAGCTATTAAGGTAGACTTCAACTGAACCAAAAAAGTTCTTTTTTGCTTTCACTTGCAGGCAATATTTGAGCAGCGAATCGGCAGACAAAAAGAAGGTTTCTTTCGATTTCACGGGATGGAAATTCGAAATGAAAAAGGTTCACTTGGAAATTTCTTTGAGACTTCTCGCATCTTCAAGTTATCTCTATTCATTCGAATGAACTTCCAAATAATTATCTTTTCCGCCTTGCAGGATATCCCCCGGCAAATGAACGGCAGCGACTGCGGCGTCTTCTCTTGTCATTTCGGCGAATTCGCGTCACGTCGGCGGAAGCCAGTCTTCAATCAGTCGCACATGTCGTATTTCAGGAGACGGATGGTCTTCGAATTGGTTAATAAGACTTTGATGGTTTCCTAGTTGCTCGCTGTGTATCTCTTTGTCTTTCTGTTAAATATATTTTGATACGGTTACAAAATTCACTGAATAATACATTGCAAGACTCTTCTGTTGAATACACTTCTTTCCTTTCTCCCTATTTCGAGAAATTCTTGTTAACTGACCCATTCATCGCTTTGATATGAGCCTATTTTTGATCTCTCCGATGTCTCGGTGTTCATCTTCAGACGAATCGCATCTTTGTGGATTTAATCTGAATGTAGTCCATAAATGAAATTTTCGTTCTTTTTTCTTCAAACTTTTTTTTTCAACGCAGTCGATTCGCCGACGTTATTTCTATTAAGTTAAATAAACATAGTTTTCGCAAAATAACTAAAAAGCTTCAGTTTTTGGGGAATGAGTCACGGCTCAACCAGCTCCGGAAGCCTGTTCAAAGACGGCGCAATCGATCTGATAGCTGGCACCCTAGGTTGGTACCATAGAACAGGTTTCAGAGGCACAAAGTGTTCTTCTTCCGAACTTTGTCAGAAACATGTATATCCATAGTGTGAAATAATACATTTGAAATACGTGGAAAGTTATAGCTTTGGTTTTTTTACGCAAAAAAAAAAAGGAAAACCGACTTTCGGTTTTTGTTCCTATTTGCCTTAATTCCTTTATTGTCAGGTGGCGTGGCGAACGTGTACGCCGGCCAACCTCTGGACACAGTCAAAGTAAAAGTTCAAACGTTTCCGCACCTCTACAACAACTGGGTGACATGTCTCAAAGACACCTACCGACTCGACGGCGTCAGAGGACTTTATGCAGGTGTCCTTCTCAGTTGAAAGCGTTACGAATCGCCAGTTTAGTTCATTGAAACGTAAAACTTTCTCGATTTATCTAATCGAAAAGTTTCGCAGATCTATCTAATTTCTTTGATGCTCCTCCTAATTTCTTTGATCAAATTGGTAAGAGATCATCAATGTGAACCATAAGTATAGTTTTTTCGTATGTGTGGCTCATCATTTTTTAATGTACCTTTTGGAGGGACTCTTCCTGCGTTGGCCGCTAACGTCGCGGAAAACGCCGTTCTTTTCACTGCCTATGGTTACTGTCAAAAAGTTTTTTCGTTCTATAAAACGAAGCAAAATTCTTTCTCCAGTTGGTTGGAGTAGCTGCCGGCCGGTCGGACGTCTCGAATATGACGCCCTTAGAAAACGCCTTCTCAGGCTCTCTGGCGGCGGTTTTTGCAGCGGCTGTGCTCTGCCCTACAGAACTCGTCAAGTGTCGCTTGCAAGCAGCTAGGGAGATGAAACAGAAGTGGTGGGTTGGATGGTCGTTGCTTGACCATTTAATGAGAAATTGTGGTTAAGCACACCGGCATCTGTTTGTCGGGACATGTACCGGGAAAAAGGCCTCCGAGGTTTTTTCGTTGGAATGACGCCCACTTTGGCTCGTGAGGTTTTTACATTGGATGCTTCTGTTCATTTTTTTTGAGGTCACTTTTCATTTTAAAGGTTCCCGGGTATTTTTGTTTCTTTGGCGCCTACGAGACGTGTAGATACCTATTGGCAAGCGAAGATCAAAGCAAGGAAGAAATAGGTTAGTTTTTTGAGGTCTTTTTCGCTATTTAATTATTTTCAGGCCTTTTCAAGACGGCTTTGTCCGGCTCGGTAGGTGGAATGGCTTTATGGACATCAATCTTTCCCGCCGACGTTGTAAAGTCGCGGATGCAAGTGTCCGGTGGCGGCTCTTTTGGCCGTATTATTGTAGAAATAGTCAGAAACGAAGGTTAGCTTTTTTTTTGAGTTTAAGGGAATTCATCAACTCTAAAAAAAATTTTCTCACTTTTTTTTCAAAGAAATAAGTTGAGAAATAAGATTTAAGTAGGCGGAGAGGAAAAAGTTTAAAAAAATTTTTCTTATGATTGCTTTTGTTTCTGTAGTTCGACATTTTTCATTTGAGGTCTTCGCGGTTTGTACAAAGGCCTGCTGCCCACAAATATTCGAACCTGTTTTGCCTCTGGATGTCTGTTTGTGGCCTATGAAGAGTCGCGCAAGTTTATGCACATGATATTCTAAACATCCGTCTCCGTATTGCTGATTTCGTTAGGTTCTTCTCTCTTCCGAGCCATAGCTTTCATTGTGCCTTGTTGTTTTGTTCGCAAATTGTCAGGTTTCAGTTTCCAGAAAGTTATAAACGTTTTTTCTTTTTTCGAATATGATGTTCAACAAATTTCGCGTTCATCGCTGGAGTACTGTAAAACTTTTGAATATTTGTTCGAATGGAGTGTATTTCATTTGTTTAAATTGAAGGTAGTGATAGGGTTGTGTATGTTAGCCGCCTTCCAGAAGAACTTCTCGAACAGATACTCTTTTTTTCTGATCAGCCGCGTTTTCAGTTCAAGCGTCAAGCCGGAGTTTTTCAAGGTAAAACATGTTATAACCTTCTCAGACATGGCATCGCGAAACGGAATGCTCCGGACGTTTCTGGGCAATCCTAAGGATCACTTAAAAGGGCTGAAGCTACTAAAAATGGCCACTAATAATGCCCAGAAACGTCCGGAGCACGTCTGTTCTGCGTTAGCAATGTCTTTTTTTTCTTCGAAGTGTATAAATGATGAGACCTAGAATGTAGTTTATGAAGGAAGTGAACTTTGTCAAGAGAATAGTTTATTTTTAAAAATCCTCTACAATGAAATCCGCCACCGATCAATTGGAAAGAAAGTTACTCATATTTTAATTTTTTTTTAAATCTGTTTGGTCCTGGTCCTTTTTTGCAGGCAATAAATCCTCTTCTTTAAAAGTTACGCGCGAAAGTTTAATTTAAAACAAACGTATCACGCCACTACTGAAACTAGCGTCACTGCCCGTTTTTTACGGCTTGCTCTGAACTCATTCCGTGTTCAAAGTAATTTACCGAATTTCGAAATGATCTATAATCGCTGAATCTAAAAAGTTTTTGCTGTTTTCTTTACACTCTATAACGATCATTTCTATTTTTCCAAGATCATATCGAACGTGTATAGTGCAAAGATGCGTGAACCTCTACTTTTTACACTGTGAGTGAACAGAACTTTTTTTCAATTTCATGCAAGCAAAATTTCACCGAAATTGGTTTTCAGGTGAAAATAGGAATAGAAAACTTGCTATTATAAAACTTATAAGACTGCTTCTGCGAATAAAGTTTGTTAGTTTTTTGCTAAAAAAAGCCATATCAACGTCATTTTTAATTCATTTCAGCTCGTTTCTAAATCAAGTGCTTTATATATACCTTATTGTTCACGGTTTGATTGAAATGTGAAAAGTCCGTTTTTTTTTCCTTTTGTGAAGCTGTGCAAACATCAAGTAAACAAATGTTAGTTTTGCTTGTTTTCTTTTGTTGGATTTTAACAAAGTTCGATGTGCATGTTTTGCTTCTTTCATTCTTTCGGGAAAACTAGGTCATTTTTTCGCGCCAGTTAAGGTCAGAGAGAGAGAATTCCTTTACGGCGTACGCCGCAGTCTCGATTTTCCTTGTTACTTGAAACGAAAATAATGCAGCTTTTTTTTATCTGCTTTATTGAATGTATACAGTGCGCGTCATAAGTATAGCCCCCTCCCCTAATTTGCACATTTATAGAAGTTAGGAAGAAGTTGAGGATATCTTGTCAGCGTGCGATTGTTGAGTGCACGAAAAGAACTTACTCTGCAAAAGATCTCAAATGAACTCGAGTCTATACGGGAACGCGAGCGAAAAACCGCAAAAACACGTCGCGTCAAAAGTATAGGACCCCCCTCCAAAAAGCTCATTTTCTTGATTTTTCTTTTTTGGCTCTGTGATAATTCAGAAAAGTTTTAATTTCTCATATTCATAAAGGTACATCTTATCTGCTAAACTAGTTTGAACTATTCCAGAAATAGGCGCATTAGAAATATTTCACGAGAAGCGGTTAAAGTTGCTCATTCCGCGTTTTAGAGGCTACTGAAGCGCTGTCCCACGATGAATTTTCACGAAATTTTGCAGGTTAATTGCTACACGTCCTCTGCTCAAACTGTGAAAAAATCATCTTTGGTTCTGCTTGATATGAGGACCGAACGAGGGAAAAACTGAAAATTACCTTTTTTCGCAAAATTCTCTGTAGAAATTGGTCGGCTTTAGAAACTTGATGGAAAAACAGAGATACTAGGTTGAAAAAATTCGGAAGAGTTTTGAAAGTGATGAGAAGTAGGGGAAAATGTTTTTGAGCAAAAATTGATACGTTTTATTTTAAAAGCGACCATTAACGGTCAAAACCTGAAATTTTTGACTTCTACAGTCACTGCGGAACATTTGATGAAGTATTTGCAACTCAAACAAGTCGCTGCGTTATATTGTATCCATATTGATGTACAGAAGCAAAAATAGAAATCATTCCTCCCAATTCGGGCATGAAAAATCAAGAAAATGAGCATTTTGGAGGGGGGTCCTATACTTTTGACGCGACGTGGTTTTGGGGTTTTTTCGCTCGCGTTTCCGTATAGACTCAAGTTAATCCGATCTTTTGCAGAGTAAGTTCTTTTCGTGCACTCAACAATCTTACGCTGACAGAATATCATCATCTTCTTTCTAACTTCTAGAAATGTGCGATTTAGGGGGGTTCCTATACTTATACCTGCTTTTTACAAATAAGGAATCTTTGAAAAAAAGTCAGATTGCGTCAATATTATGAAATAGACTATTGCAACTTCTCGAAAAAAATTTACATGGTTAAGTCTTAATCTTTACGAAAAAAAAATTCAAGTTCTTAATAGTTTATTACTATATCTTATCGACGTCACATGTCGGTAAAATGATATTACATTGACGGATTAAAAAGCTTTTCGAATACTTTCAAAATTTAATAAATTCATCCTACAAAAATTTATGAAAAATTTTTAAAACGTATCAATTTTTAAAAACTCGTTCATAGGGGGAGTCGGAGAATCGAAAAGGGCTTCAAAAAAATGTTCGTTTTGGGTGACAAATGCTCCCTTTTTGTTACCTTTTTGCGCCATTACACCGGCTCTCATGCACCATTTCTGCTGCCTCTTCTTCTTCCACCATTCCTTGAGCTTCAAAAAACCAAAAAAAAAAAAATGAAAGGCTCTATATATAGAAAAAGATTCTTTTTGCTGTCTTTCTGCCGCTTTTTGAGCTTTTCCCTTTTATCGACCAATCCGCCATTCCGACATTGTCCGAGTTTTCTAATTGAAAAATTTTTTTTTAAAAGTCAAAATTTCTATGAATTTCATTGGAATTTTGACTTTTTAAAACCTTTTTATTTTTTGATAAGAAGTTTTTTCATACGAATCCCTTTAAAAAGACGCTGTGAATATGTTGAACTTTTCACTTTTGGTTATTGTACTTCGTGTGAATTTCAGATCCGTTTTTCACAAAATTTTATTTCCAGGTCGAGGTTGTGACGAATAACCACAGAGTTGGCCGAAAAAAAGTTGTGCAAGAACGATTTACAAAGCAGTTCCGGCACCGAGTTTCGGATTATTTGAAAGCAATGTCTTGTCCTGAAATCGAGGAAGTTCTCTTTTTCAAATTATTCTTTTAATTGATGTTTGTCAGAAATTGGCGCCACTTCGCGCAGCTGTCAAGGAGTGTGGAGATTTGGTTAGAGATCTAAAGGTATCTAGTTTTCAAATTTTCCTTTTAACTCAACTCAAATCCAGGGAAAAGGGGCTGCTAAAATTGATATCGACAAAGCCGTTGTGGAGTTGAAAGCTCGAAAAAAGAAGCTTGAAGAAACGGTGCTTCGTTCAATTTTTCTGTTAATAATTGGGGAATTCAGGAAATAGCTCTTGCTCCAAAAGAAGCGTCTTTTGACAGGTTAAAACTTGAAGATCTTCTGAAGCGTCGTTTCTTCTATGATCAATCATTCGCGATTTATGGTGGAGTAACTGGATTGTAAGCCCTGGTCCTCTCTTTTTGTCTGTACGCTCAGTTCAGGTATGACTTTGGGCCGATGGGATGTGCCCTCAAGTCGAACATGCTTCAAGTTTTTGACAGCGTTTCCGAACAGTCGAAAAAAGTTTTTTAAGGAATGGCGGAAGCATTTCATCCTCGAAGAGGGAATGCTTGAAGTCGACTGCACTTCCTTGACGCCGGAACCTGTGCTGAAGGCGTCAGGCCACGTCGACCGATTTGCCGACTGGATGGTGAAGGACACCAAAAACGGCGAATGCTTCCGCGCCGATCATCTTATCAAAAACAGCGTTGAAAAACTGCTTCAGGCATAATTTTAGAAAAGAAACTTTTCAATTTGTTGCGTTTAGGATAAAAAGACGAGCTCAGAAACTCGGGATCAACTGCAGGATGTACTCGCTAGGTTAGAAGGTTTCGATGACAAGGATATGCACGAGGTATGATTCTAAAACCATGGCCTTAAGAGGGTGAGTATGAGTTGGCGAAGATCATGTGCGGAATTCGTCTTTTTCTTAATAGCGCGAAAAAATGTTTACGAGTATATCATATTTTCAAATGTGCTGATCAATAATGTAATCTTACACAGGTGATATCTCGCTTCAACTTCAAGTCTCCCATTACCGGAAACGATTTGACTGCTCCTATCGCATTCAACTTGATGTTCCCCACACAAATTGGGCCTACGGGGGATTTCAAAGTGAAAAAAAATCAATCTCTTTCCTAAATCTCACTCTTTCAGGCTTTCCTGCGGCCAGAAACAGCACAGGGAATTTTCGTTAACTTCAAGAGGCTGCTTGAGTTTAACCAGGTTTTGTGAGCTTTACTGATTGTGATGAAACGAGAATTTCAGGGAAAGCTTCCATTTGCCGCTGCTCAAATCGGAACTGGCTTCAGGAACGAAATTTCGCCCCGCCAAGGGCTTATCAGAGTACGCGAGTTCACCATGTGTGAAATTGAGCACTTTGTCGATCCCGAAGACAAAAAATTGGCGAAATTCTCCAAGGTGTGTGGCCTGACATGAGTTTCGAATTTCTGATTTTTGAGGTGGCTAATGAGCGCCTTACTCTTTTCTCAGCTTGCAACCAAATGGACGGTCAACCTGCTCAGCAAATGGCCATCGGCGAAGCTGTTCAAAAGGTTTTTCAAAATTTCTAGTTGGAAAATAGAATTTTTTCAGAAAGTTGTGGCGAATGAAACACTCGGATATTACATGGCTAGATGCCAACAATACCTTCACAAAGTCGGAATTGATCCTCGCCGAATGCGTTTCAGACAGCATCTTTCCAATGAAATGGCCCACTATGCTCAGGTTTTTAGCTTTTCAAACTTGACAAGAAATGAGCTTTTTTTGCGCGAGTAGCGTAGTTCAAATTTTTCCTCAGCTTAATTTTACTGATTTTTTTCTCAGCGTGGAGTTTTAGGACTGTTGGGACGCTGAGATCTTGACATCGTATGGATGGATTGAATGCGTCGGAAACGCGGATCGCGCTTGTTACGACCTTCAACAACATTATAAGGCAACCAATGTCAAGGTTTTTTTTTCCACGGCTTTCAGCAACGACAAAGGTTTTCAGCTCACTGCCGAGAAAAAATTGCCGGCTCCGCGTAACGTGAGCGTTGTGGAGCCTCAGCCGAACATGGCGTTGTTAGGAAAATCTTTCAAGAAAGACGCCAAGAAGGTTTTGCTCACTTTTGGGAAAACTTTCTACTGCTCTTTTCGTAGATTCAAGCAGCGCTGTCTTCCCTTCCTGAAGAAGAAGTCGTGGCAATGAAGAAAGAGCTGCAAGAAAACAAGTTTTAAATTCTCTTTCAAATTTTTCAGATTTTAACTTTTTTAGGAAATACGAACTAAAAGTGGATAGCGAGTCGTTCACACTTACACCAGAGACTGTTGCAGTCAAACGTTTCGAGAAAACTGTAATTTTATTCTCTTTTCTTTTTTTGATTCAACTTCCTTCAGGTGCATGTCGAAGAAATCACGCCTTCGGTGATCGAACCATCCTACGGCATCGGTCGTATCATGTACTCTCTGTTGGAACATTCGTTCCGTCAACGCGAAGGCGATGAACAACGCACCGTCAGTTCTACAGTCTTATTTTTTCTTTTTCTGATATCTTTTAGGATTTTAAGACTACCAATTATTATTGATTCATGAATTCCCTTTTAAGATAAGCTTTCCGTTTCACGCTTTGTGCTAGTTATTGTGTTTCAGTTCCTCTCGCTGAAACCTTTGGTGGCACCGATCAAGTGTTCGGTGCTGCCGATCTCCGCCAACGAAAAGTTGTCGGTTATCATCGAGGCGGTGAAGGAAGAGCTGGCCAAGCACGACATGAGTTTCAAAGTCGACGACAGCTCTGGATCGATCGGCCGCCGCTACGCGAGAACTGACGAAATCGGAATTCCTTTTGGCGTGACCGTCGACTTCGAATCCGAGGCCAAGCCATGGACAGTGACTCTCCGCCATGCCGAATCCATGGCTCAAGTCAGGCTCGAGGTCGTTAACTTGTGATAATATTGCATAGCTGTCACTTCTGACCATGAACTGAACAAAGCATTTTAGCTTTCGGAACTCGGCCGCGTCGTGTCGGATTTGGTTAGCAATCGCCTCACTTGGAGCGATGTCCAGGATAAATACCCGAAATTCGAAACAAAGGCGGAATAGGTGTTCGACCTTATTTTCTCGTTTAAATGTTTTCTTTGGGAATGTTTTACTTGTTATAAATTTATTTATAAATCATTAATTTTTTTCGGCAGTTTTTGTTCGAAATCATGTTTTGATTTTTTCAAATAGAAGGATTTAAAAAAGAATTGTTTCGAAGAACGAGCAGAATCAAAGATGAATCGAGAAGTCGATACAAGTAGCTACCGGGTAGCAACTTTTGAAAAAGTGAATCGGCGTATGGTAATCGGTGGTCGTTTGTATGCGACCGGGTACCATTTCTATGGTACCTGGGTCGGAGGTCGATGCAAGTAGCTACCGGGTAGCTACCTGACATTCGCGATTTTTTTCCGAAAGTCTGGAATTGCTTCGTTATTTTTTTTTTTCGAACGACCGATGTGCCAGCCAGTGTCAATCGCGAATTTCAGGTACATACCCGATAGCATTCAGATACCGATCAGGTACTATCCAGGTACCATAGAGATAGTACCCGGTCGCATACAAATGACCACCGATTACGATTCGCCGATTCACTTGAGTTGCTACCCGGTACATACTTGTATCTACCTCTAGAGAGCTCTCGATTCACCAGTGATACTGATAAGTGCTATTGAATTTTTTTTTTTTTTGGATTTGGCTTTTTATTTTTGTTTTTCAAGATTGTTCTTGCGTATATGAATCTTCTTATAAACCATATTAAATCAGAAAAAGTCTGAATCAATGAATTAAAATAGAGTATGAGGTCTTTTATGTTTCCACTTTCGCTGGTGAATCGAAAGGTAGATACAAGTAGGTACCGGGTAGCAACTCCAGTCAATCGGCGAATCGTAATAGGTAGTCATTTGTATGCGACCGGGTACTATCTCTATGGTACCTGGATAGTACCTGGTCGGTATCTGGATGCTACCGGGTATGTACCTGAAATTCGCGATTGCCACTGGCTGGCACATCGGTCGTTTATATAGCATCAGTGTTTTTTTACACCTTCCCAAGCCTTCCAGGGTCCTATTGGATAAAGCTGAAACAACAAATAACGACCCGGGAATCAATTCCAGACTTTCCGAAAGAAATCGCGAATGTCAGGTAGCTACCCGGTAGCTACTTGCATCGACCTCCGACCCAGGGTACCATAGAGATAGTACCCGGTCGCATACAAATGACCACTGATTACCATCCGCCGATTGAGTTTTTCAAAAGTTGCTACCCGGTATCTATTTGTATCGACTTCTCGATTCACCTTTGTTTATTGCACACGGCCTCTGCTGAACTCGGGCGAAGTCGGAATGGTGTATAATGGCTGCTAAAAGGGAGAGGCTCAAAAAAGGCCGCAGACAGGCAGCAAAAAGGCAGCGAACGGCAGCAAAAAGGCAGCGAAAGGCAGTAAAGAGACTCCCTTTATCGAGCCTTCCATTTTTCTGGGATTTTAAAGGCTCGAGAAATGGTGGAGAAACAGAGAGGCAGCAAAAATGGTGCATAAGGGCTGAGAAAATGGTGCAAAAAGGCAGCAAAAAGAGAGCCTTCTTCACCCTAAAAGGAACATTTCTATGGTCCTTTATGGACCCTCGGAGGGTCCTTCCGACTTTGCCTATGAAGAAAAAGTGAAAACGGCTTTTCGCTACTTACTGTAAGTTATAATAATTCATCCTTTTGTAAAAAAAACCTCATCAGATAAGTTCGAAGAAACCATAATAAACCATTATATTTTTGCCGTTTGTTTAAACGAATTTAAAATTGGTTTCGTTAACTTTTAAAACTATAAAATTTTATAGAGTGCGATGGCGATCAAAGATAAATCCGTGCTCTGAAAGGCAAGTGTGGACTACTGCGATTTTTTTTTTCTATTTTTTCAAATTTGAATCCGTTTTCGAACTTTTTCTATTTCTTCTAGGATTCTTATTATTCCCCTGTTCAATAACTTATAGATCTAACAGTTTGTTTAATAGTTTATTATAATCACGGCTTTCTTCGAATGGAAGAAAAAAATATTTTTCAAAAAGGCAGTTTTTTTAGAATTTTAATTTTTTTATTTATAAGCTCCCACTTCGCGTTAAATCGCAAACCGCTACTCCCTGACGTCATCCCTATGACATCATCTTCATTTGCAAAAATTCGCACACGCAGCCATATCATTTTATTCATTTTTTACGTTCCAATTTATAAAATTAGATTCGACGTGAAAACTTTTCCGGTCACATGAGAAACAGAAAGTTATCACACTTGAAAATCCCCTTTTGATTGGAAAATTTTTTTTTCTCACTTTTTTTTAGAAACCTTTTAAAGGTTTGGAATAATCCTAGGCGTCGAGGCCCACGCTTACGCACAGTATGCTCCTTTTATCTTTTGGGAAATACATTTCAAAGATTTTTTTCGCCACGCGTATCAAGTTTGCAAATCGTTTAGAGCGACCTGATAGTGTTATTAGTGTCCACGTTTTGAAACTAAATGCCTTTTATGTCAAGTATTCATTTATTTGACGAATTTTTCACTGTGGCTGAGTTTTTTTCGAAGCGAGCCACAGTCGGCTTCGCGCTATGCGCGCTCCGCCTCCGTTTGAAGCCTTAAAAACTAAGCCTATTTTTCTTAAGTAATGCATGAACCTGTAGGCGCAGTTTTTAATGCAAAAGGCGCAATTCAGGCTCTTCCCATTCTTCAATTTTTTTCAATTTCAATTTCAATTCAATTTATTCAGTCTTCAGAGTAAGATGAAGAAAAATCTCTGCTGAATCATGGTATAATCGAAGAGTTAGTCGTCGGCGCGGGTTACGGTCCACAATCGTTGTCCAATACGTCCCGGAGTGACAGCTAGCGTTGGGAAACAATGTGGGACCGCGGGTAGTACCAGCGAATGAACTGCTTCACCATAATGGAACAGTACGGAGCCCAGCTTGTCCAGGGCTGACGGGCGTCGGAATATTATCCCATGCGAGAGCGGCAATGAGACCGACCAGTCGACGTGATGAAATGAGATAATAATAATCTGCTGAATCATGTTCACGTAAATAAAAATGAATATATAGCCAAATATTTCGATTACGCTTATTTCTTGTGTTACGAATGATGTCATGAAATGATGTCAGGGAGTAGCGGTTTGCGATTTAACGAAAACTTAAGCACCCTGTCCGATTAACTTAAAAAAAATATATACATCGGCTTTTTATAAATATTTCTCCTCATTTCTCTCTATTTTCCACTTTTTTCGAAACCTCTGTATAATAGTTCCACTATGTTTAAAAATAAGAACTTTTTTTCAGAGAAGTCCTATTATGTTTGGGTCAAACAAACCAGCGTTTGGTTCGAGCAATGTATTTGGATCCACAACAGGTTAATTTTTTTTGTAAAGCTATTGTTAATTCGTATAAAAAAATTTTTACATTCTCAATTTTCACTGGATAAACTATAATCTCGAGTGCAATTCGAAGAGACGTTCAAAAGGCGTACATCATTTTTTCTTGAATTTTTTCTTGAATTCAAGTCAAAGTTCCGTTATAAAAAAGAAGAAAAGTAGATTAAAAAACAACTGACGCTCATCTCTGTAGAAAATCGTATAAATAATAATAGTTTTTTTTTGTGAATTGTATTGAACTACAAAGATCGATGAAAAGTTTAATTGTCTCACGATCCAGAAGAGAGTATTCTCTGAGAACTGAATAAATTGCTTTGAGCAAGTTTTACAATAAAAAGTAGTTAATTTGAGTTGATTTTGAGTAGTAATAAATTAACATTGCAGGTGGATCGAGTTTATTCGGCCAAACTAACAAGCCGAGTATTTTCGGCCAACCGACAGGCACTTCCCCTGGGTCTAGCTTGTTTGGTAACCAACCAAAAACGAACTCTCTTTTTGGAAACACTCAGCCACAACAACAGTCGTCTATTTTCGGTAGAAACTTAACTCATACATCGGCTGGATCCCACCCCAGCCTTTTGCGCGCGAAAAAAATTTTTTGAAAATGTACTGATGTAGGCCGCACTTTTCGGGGGGTAGACCGCAGTTTGCGGGGCCGCATCCCGGGGTGGGATCCAGCCGACGGATGTTTTGGCTCTTATTTTCTGCATTCTGTTTTTAGGATCAAATCCAGCTCAAAATACGGGAGGAGGATCTCTGTTTGGAGGAGCAAATCCTGGAAAATCAATATTTGGCACTCCAACCAACACAGGAACCTCCAACCTTTTCGGTTCCAATACTAACAACACTTCAAGCGGAGGAAGCTTGTTTGGAGGAAACAACTCGAATCCAACGACAGGGGGTGGTCTCTTTGGAAGTAAGTTTTCAGATCTACGAATGAAACTCAATTTTATTGCTTGCAGCATCAATATCATCAGCTAATGGAACTACGGTGAAGTTTGATCCACCCATCGCCCAAGACACGATGATGAAAAACGGGACGCCTCAAAATATATCTACGAAACACATCTGTTTGACTGCAATGAAGCACTACGAAAACAAATCAGTCGAAGTAAATTCTAAAAATTTACACGCAAAAAACCGTATTTTAGAAATGGACCTCTTTTTTGAAAAGACAGATTTCTTGAACTCTCTTCATCTTTTTGTAGATTGAAAAAGTTCTCTTGAAACAGTTTCCCGTTCAATTTCGCTTTTTGTTCGAAGATCTTTGGTAGATTTAAAAAAATTATGCAGTCTACGATTTGCATCCTATCCAATAAAATGAGTACACAAAGAATATCATTATCGTTGAAAGTTCTCTTCATTTGCAATAACACTCTTTGATGGTTTTGCAATCAAGAAAGCTATCTACGCAAATTTTCAGTTCTAGGAATATGCAGAGAAATATGAAGCTACTGAAAACTACTTTATAAACGAACGTATTTTTATCGCTTTGTAGATGAAAAATAACGCGAAAGCAAAGACTAGCCACTTTTCAATGTGTTAGACTAAATATGCATTTTCGTAGCTCTTGATTCCGTTCAAAAATTCGCTCGTTCTAGGAGTTGCGGATAGACGACTACGTCGCCGGGAGAAAAGCTCCCTCCGGCGGGAGCCTCACCAGCGGCACCAGCATTTTCGGATCTTCGAACTCTTCTTCTCTCTTCGGAAACAACAACAATCAACAGCAGCAGCAACAGAAAACCTCACTTTTTGGAGGAGCCTGTACATCCAATTTCTAAAAACTTTGTATGAAGATTTTTCCAGCTAACACGTTCGGCAGCGGATCAACTAACACTGGAACATCATTATTCGGAAATACACAATCGCCTTCTGCGACAGGCTCTATTTTTGGCGCGAAACCAGCTGGTGGAGGACTTTTTGGTTCTAATACAGGTGTGATTTGATTTTTGTTTCACTACTTTTTTCCAACTCAGGTGCCTCAACTTTTGGAAGTACTGGCGGAGGTTCTTTATTTGGGAACAACCAACAACAACCGAGTACAACGGTACGTGCACAATCTAGGAGCCAACCCTTAAAATTCCAGCTTTTCCGCCAGTCCTCATGAAAATTGGCTCACAAGGGAGATTTTTCAGTTACCACTTAGTTTGCTGAAGCGTACTTCAGGACCTCCTGACTTCAAAACAAAAACGAATTTCTCGACCTCTGGCTCATAATTTCGCTACAACTTTTAAAATGCTTTCAATAGCGCCCTTTTCCATATTTGTTCAGTTTTCTGAAGTGAAAGCGTCTTATTCGGCGATAAAGCAAAAGGCGTGAAATATTTTTTCGTAAGGTCTCCAAGTACACTTAAGACAAGTTTCATCAAAAGTGCGAATCAGGGCGGAATCCTTTTACCTTGTCAGAAAAGTCACCTTATAAGTCTAAAATCAAAACGATAACACGATAAAAAAATAGTTCTAAGAAAAAAAAACTTGAAATCGTATCTTTAGAATTTTTTTCTCACCAGGGAATGGTCTCAGCTCACAGTGGGACTTCTGAAAGAGACCATATTTTCTAAATGTAGTTTTTCACGCTGATTCCAAATCCGTTTTCAAAAGCTGCCACCGAGGCCTGTGAAAAAAGTTATGGACCCTCAAAAGTCGAAAATTTCATAGTCTCCGATCGAGCTCATTTTTAGAAGGTATATAGTCCTTCTTTCCCTTGTCACGATAAACCATCAAATTTTTTCAAAAAACCTTTATGAGCCAAGATATGACCTTTCAAAGCCCCGCCGCACACGAGAATGCGCGCGCGGTGTAGTATTGCGATCTGACGGCTGTCGAAGCAACGGCAGCGAGGAGCAGTGGAAAGGCGGCGGACTGGGGATCACGAGGTCATAGGTTCGGTGCCCACGCTGCGCAAACTTTTTTTGCAGTTTTTTTCTTTTTGGTTATTTCCGTGTAAGTGCTCCTTTTTTGAGTTTCGAAGCGTAGAAACATGAAAACATTGCGTTTCGAGCCTATTCAAACAGCTGGACTTCTTTTTGTCGCAAATTTTTTCATGGATTTTTTCGAGATTTTCCATGTGTATGCACAGGTTGGAATGTCAAAATTTTCAGAAAAAAAACTTTTGGTTTTTTTTTTTTGAAAACTGGCTAGACGCAAGTTTTCATAACTGCGCTGGTAGAAAAACGCAGACATTTTTTTCGGAATTTTTTTGTCTCTGGTTTTTACTCACCACTCTACGAGAAGAAAAAAACTTTCAATTTTATTTCAGGTTGTGGCTGAAATTTCCAAGGAGGTTTCTTTTGATTCATAAAAAAATTTTAGAAAAAAATCTCCTCACAAAAAAATTTTTTTCGTTCAATTCTTGAAAAATTCATAGTCAGACGACGGTCATAGGTGAGCCCACTGCAAAGCACCAAAAAGTCTATTGAAGAAAAAAATAACCTTTTTTTCGGTGTTCGACAAGCGTAGCTATGATGGCTTGGGGTTAGACAATATTTGGAAAAAGAAAAGATTAAAAAAAACCAAAAAAATTTTTCTGAAAATTTTGACATTCCAACCTGTGCATACACATGGAAAATCTCGAAAAAATCCATGAAAAAATTTGCGACAAAAAGAAGTTCAGCTGTTTGAATAGGCTCGAAACGCAATGTTTTCATGTTTCTACGCTTCGAAATTCAAAAAAGGAGCACTTACACGGAAATAACCAAAAAGAAAAAAACTGCAAAAAAAGTTTGCGCAGCGTGGGCACCGAACCTATGACCTCGTGATCCCCAGTCCGCCGCCTTTCCACTGCTCCTCGCTGCCGTTGCTTCGACAGCCGTCAGATCGCAATAGGACACCGCGCGCGCATTCTCTTGTGTGCGGCGGGGCTTTGAAAGCTCATATCTTGGCTCATAAACATTTTTCGAAAGAATTTGATAGTTTATCGTGACAAGGGGAACAAGGACTATATACCCTCTAAAAATGAGCTCGATCGGAAACTATGAAATTTTCGACTTTTGAGGGTCCATAACTTTTTTCACAGGCCTCGGTGGCAGCTTTTGAAAACGGATTTGGAATCAGCGTGAAAAACTACATCTAGAAAATATGGTCTCTTTCAGAAGTCCCACTGTGAGCTGAGACCATTCCCTGGTCAGACTTTTGGAATTATATTTTTATAGGTCTTATCCACGCGGCGAAATTTCAACAGGCTTCTTGTCGAAAATTGATTTCTTATTAAACGTGTACAGGGAACGTCATTGTTTGGTGGGGCTTCTTCCACGGGTGGTAGCCTATTCGGAGGTCAAACACAACAAGCGCAACCACAACAATCCACTGGCTTCTCTTTTGGAGGCGCTTCTACGGTTTTCTGCCATTTTATAACTTAACTTTTTTTTTTGAAGGGTGGATCCCTGTTTGGACAACCGGCTGCAAATACGACTGGAAGCTTGTTTGGAGGGAACACAAACGCCTCGGGTGGGACAGGTCTTTTTGGAAAGCCTGCCGCCGCTACGACTGGATTCTCTTTTGGCGGCTCGTCCGGTGCCACGAATACCTTCGGTAAGAATCTCCTGCGTTTGGAAGCATCGCTAGGACTCAGGTACACCTTCAACTGGCGGCGGCTTGTTCGGAGGCGCCACTAACAAACCCACAGGAAGTCTTTTCGGTAACACAGGAACTGCCACCGGAGGCGGTCTTTTCGGCTCTCAGCCGGCGGCAGGAGGAAGTCTCTTCGGCTCCTCGCTCACTCAAGCGCAGCCTGGTGGTCAGTAAAATAGATTTTCGGTTTGAAGATCGAGTAGAGAGTTCGTGAGGTTTTTTTTTAGGAAAGTTGTCATTATTCAGAATGAAATTCAGAACGCGCATATTCTAGGATCACAAAAGTAAAAAAGGAAATAAACTTCCTAGTTAAAATACACTGCGACGCATAATTATAGACCCACCCTAATTTCTGCGATTTTAAGAAAGATTGAAAAACTTTCAGCCACCAAACTTTTTTTGTGATAAACCTTGTTGATAAAGAACATAATCATATCATAATTATCAATCATCCAGTTGAAAAAGTTTTTTTCAAGATACGAGAAAAATCTGATTTTTTTGACCGACGCAGAATTATAGACCCACTATAAGTAATCAACAAAATTCTTTTCACAAAGTCAACAAAGTATAACAAAAAAATTAATTAATAATGTGTGATGCCTCCTTGTTTCTGAGCGACTCCGAAAATGTTCGGCATGCTGCCAACAAGTGATTGCAGCAGTGACTTGTCCAAACCATCCCACTCGGAACGAATCGCTCTTTTCAGATCGTTGACCGTTGTATACTGCTTGGCATTCGCGTAGACCCTTCGTACAAGGACTGACCATAAACTCTCTACAGAGTTGAGGTCAGGACTGCACGCGGGCCAGTCCAGAAGAACCACGTTCTTGGCCGCAAACCAAGCCAATGTGGAGTTGCTCGCGTGAACAGATGCATTGTCTTGTTGGTAAATCATATTAGCACGTCGTCGGCGACGGAGATAGGGCAGGAGATGCTGGGCAAGCAGTTGCTGGTAGTCTTGCGAAGTCGTTCTGGACCCAATAAAAGAAAGAGCTACCGTTCCGTTGCCGCAGAAAGCCGCCCAGACCATGAGGCTGCCGCCGCCGAAGTTTTTCTTGGAGAAGTACATCGGATCTTTCCTCAAATCTCTCCATAGTGAGCGTACCCATCTGGCCCATCAAGGTTGTATTTCTTCTCGTCGCTGAAGATGATCTGAACAGAAAAATTGGGAATCATAAGGTGACAGAAAAAATTGATACCTCATTCCATTCCGTGGCCATGTTGGAGCGTGCAAACTGGAGCCGTTCATTTTTATGTCGTTGCTGTAGACGAAGTGCTGCCTTCATTGGAGTATTCACAAGTCGACCGGACCGATGAATTGTTCGTAAGATGGTGTCCTTCGAGACGTTTTCAGGAATTTCGGATCTGATTTGGTTGGCGGACTTTAGTAGAGTTTGATGCTTTTCGACAGACCCGTTCAGCTTGAACCGATAGCAGCCTGTGCCGTCCAGAATATATTGCTGTGCCGTATTCTTGCGGATTCCTTGCATAACGGTCAATAGTTCGTCTTGAGCGACCCGTTTGACAAGCGATTTCCCGATGTGACACGCCGTTGTTGAGTAGAGCATCGATCACCCTTTTTTCGGTATTATCAAGTTGAGTAGATTTAGACATTATAGCTTATAGTGATACACGAAGACTTTTTCTCTTATATACCACTGAAAAAAACAGGAAAAAACGTGTTACCGGAAACGGAAACTCGGAAAACTCTGGGGTGGGTCTATAATTCTGCGTCGGTCAAAAATCAGATTTTCTCGTATCTTGTTTATCACAAAAAAAAGTTTGGTGGCTGAAAGTTTTTCAATCTTTCTTAAAATCGCAGAAATTAGGGTGGGTCTATATTTATGCGTCGCAGTGTATAGTCATGGTCATTTTTCGATAAGTGCTGTTTTTTTTCTGAAAAGGAGTTGTGCGCACACGTTCTCAAAAAGCTTAAGACAAGGATAAAAAGAAAAAAATAGGTGAGATGGTTTTATTTTCCGAATTCATAAATTAGAGTTAGCTAAGAAGTTTGAGCGAAAAAAATTCGAGGGATCTACTTAGCGAATTTCAGCGCAATCTCTTTTTGGAGCTGCTCAGCCAGCGGCACAAGCTGCGCCGGTGGTCGTGACGATCGGAGCTCCAGCTGACATCACACAGCTCCAAGCCAACATCAAATCGATCCAGTCGCAGCTCACCGCAGTTCCATATGGAGATTCCCCGCTGCTCAAGTTCAATAAGAACTCTTCATCGCCCACAGAAAACCAGACTCCGCTAAGGTTAAAGATACTCGGAAGAAAAGTTCTAAGAAATGTTCTTCAGCGCCCAAAGGCAAATGCGATTCATGGCTGCGAAGAAAACCACTCCCAGCAACGGAATCGAGTCTGAGCAATCGTCTTTTCTCTCCAACAACATTCCCAAAGTCTCCCTATTCACAAAGAAATCACTCAGCAAGTTGATATTCAGGTGATGAGCGATATGTCGCCCCTATCTCAAAACGTCGCTTCTCCCGACCCAAAGGAACTCAAATATAAGTCGAAAGTGGCACCTCCTACCTTAGGGCGGGGTCTTGGAGCGAACAACACTTTAAACAATTTTACTAACTCTCCGTCACTAAACGGAACAATTGTCAATAGGTTTGTCCGAAACGAGCTGTCCTGACCGATTCAATCTGTAGAACTGTCGACTCGGCGATTGAGGCCTCCCTTCACAAGGAGTCCAATTCGCTGGGCTCGTTGAGACAGCGCAAGTCCAACTTGAAGCACCTCGACATGTCTGTGATGGCGGAAATGTCGCGTCTCGGCTCGAATGCCACCAATTCTCCTGCTCTCACCGATCCAGACGCTCTTCCAGCTCTTCCGGCCGCTCTCCCACCAACCGAAAAAAACACTGTTCTCAGGTATTTTGATGAGCGGATTGAAATCTATGAAACTCAAGTTATGATTGGAAAATTTCGAAATACGAGATGAGAAGAAAAGTTTTTCATTTTTATATTTTGTTTTGGTCAACTTTTTCTTCGTCAAAATAATTAAATTGCAAACAACTCTTGGCCGAAAATTTTTTGAATAAAATTTGTCGATTTATCGTAGAACGATCATCCGGTAAGTCGGGTGTATTAATAAGAAATCAAAAAGTTTAAATAATTTTTCCCTAATTAAAAAGTCTGATAACGCTTTGGCCAACTGTTTATTTCAAAATGAGAGAGATCGACTTTTGTTGTTTTTTTTTCCATGTTTTTTTGTTCGATAATCCTTTATGGGAGTTGCAGCCCAGAGGACGATCCTCATCTCGGACAGCCTGTCCGCAAAAATCGCATTCAAGATCCTCCGCCGCCTCTCAACCTCGACACTACTGCCGACGAATCAGCTTGCGAAGTTCGAACCGAGAATCGTAACTCCAATTTCCTCATTATCTTCTAAATTTGCTCTTCTAGAAAACGCTGTGGTTGTCCATGACGTCGCGGAAGAGAGACTTGATGTGAGGATCAAACAGTCCGATTATTATTCCATTCCATCGACTGCTGAACTCAGCAAAATGGTTTTTTTTTATCCCTTTTTCAGTTTTTCTTCCATTCATTTATCTATTTCAGGCGATCGACGGAAAAATTAAAGTTACCGATGGCCTGACTATTGGCCGTGCTTCTTATGGAAGTGTGTTTTGGCCAGGCAACGTCGAAATAAGAACGGGAATCGTCCTGGACGAGGTGAGGGATTTTGGTTGCACAAAACTCGCAGTGATTCGAGTTGCAGTTGGTTGTTTTCCGCCGCCGCGAAGTGACCGTTTACCCGAACGAGGAGGAAAAACCAGCGGAAGGCGAGGAGTTGAATCGTCCAGCAGAAGTCACGCTGGAGCGCATTTGGTACACTGACCGGGCCAGCAAGCAAGAAATTCGAGTACGTCCGTGTTGGGAAGGAGGGCGTGTTTAGTAACTTTTTCGAGAACCGCCGCAAAGCTTTTTCATCCCTTTCGAAGAAATCAACCTGTACCCAGGAAATTAACATTTTTCTAGCTAAAATTGCAATAATTTCGATGTAATTTTTCATCCAACACACTATCTCTCCAAGTTTTAAAACGTCAAAAGATGAGAAAAAGAGAAGATTTTTTAGATAACTTCTATACCTATTCGTTTTTTGAAAAAAAATTTCCAGTAAAAATTTGCGGGATTCGGTTGAACACCTGTCTCATCAAATAAATGGGTTCATTTTTTTCTAAATTTTTTTATTTTCTGATCGAAAGTTTTCTGTCCTTTTTTCAGAGAAAAAGTTTAGGAGAGGGATTTTAATCCAAAAAAAAACTTTGTTTAAAGGATTACCAAGTACCCAAAAAGTGGTTCATTCACTCAAAGCTAAGGAACGTTACTTTGTTCAACCAAAGTGCCTCTGTCAAAACTTGACCGGATCAGTTTTCGAAATTTGCAACCTTAGTGCCTTGAATAGTTTTAAGGGAATATACAAATTATTAAGTAAGGATTTATTTTTGACCGATTTAATATTTTGGTTTTTTTCAATCTACACAATCGATGGCGATAGTTCTATTCGATATTTCTAGAAGCATAGAGTCCTGTAGTTGTGGATGACTTTACAGGACGCAGTGCGACTGGCGGAGGTCGGCTGGAGGGAACGTCTCGAGCGACAGACCATCAGGATGGGGGCCAACTTCAAGGATTACCGTCCAGAATCCGGCAGCTGGGTGTTCCGCGTAGACCACTTCAGCAAGTACGGCCTTCCCGTGAGTCTTCCTGCAGTTTTTGTCGGACTTTCTTCCCTTTCAGGACGAAGACGACGTCGAGAACCTGGTTCCGAAGAAAGAAAATCGCGGCGCTCCAAATATTCTTGACGTTCAGAATCAAGTTCAAAGAACTCCTATTTCGTACAGCGATAAGGCGAAAGAGGTGTGGTTTTGATTGTCTATAAATTGTCATTTCTGAATAAAATTTTCTTTTGAAGTTTTGATGGAAGTATATCTGCAATATAATCGGGATCATTGAGGATAGCCAATAACTTTTATAGGAGTGTCCAAAAAACAAGAAATTTTCTTCGCCTTTGGTTAGATTTCAAATGAACGCAAAAGCCCCTTCAAAAGAAGAAAAAAATATTTCGGGAAGTTCATTTTTTACTAAAGGAAAGTTTTTTGAATTATTGAATTGATTTCGAAGTTTGTTATTATCAAAAAATGGAGATTTAGGTGTTTTCCGATGTTGCTCATCTTAAGCCAGTATCAAACGACGCTATTCTCAACCTTCGACCACCTATCCGTCAGGTATACGTGGCTCAGAGGCCGAAATCAGAGTATGGGTTGAAGATCGGCTTGGGTGGCGGGCTTCTGCAAGTAGCTGAACAGATGGAATACTCGTCCTTCGAGGAACAGAGCGACGACGACTTCGTATCCAAGGTGCATCTTGTCGGGGTTTTCCCTCAGAGTGATCGAAGATTGCAGATTCCTGAGAAGAAAATCAAGCTGGAACTTCTGGCTCAGCTTGAATTGGAAACCAGGTTTCTTTGTGGCTGTCCTTCTCCTTTATAAATACCACTTCAGCCGTATGGTGAAGAGCAATTTTCTGGACGAGCAGGTGGTTGCGAAATGCGTCAATCCCACTAGATGCTTCGAAGGCGGTTTCCTAGAGGTTTTCCTTTTCTCCTCACAACTCTCATTTCGAAGTTTACAGTCGAAAATGGCCGGATTTAAAGTGAGCCAACTGATAGATTCTGGCTGCGTCCGAGGCAGGTCAGCCCGTGTCGGATGGAGCGCAGGTGAGGATTTTTCTGTTTCAATGAAACGACTCAGCATCGCGTTTCGAAAAGGAACATTTTCGACCAGTTTCACATGTTCAAATTGAAGACCTTTCTTCTTTAAGAGGGAAAAACTTTAAAAGAGCAAAGTTTTTTCTATCTAACCAGGGAACGTTTTTCAACCCCCCGGTTGAACTTTTGCTGAAACTTTGCTGAAGTGTACTTTAGGACCCCCTAATTGCAGATCAAGAAAAAAATTTCTCGCAATAGGTCTTGTTTCCGAGTTATGGAGCTTCAAAGTGTGCAAAATACGCAAGTTAGGCCAAAAAAGCGTTATTTCGGGCTTTCGAAGTTTCCTAACTCGAAAAAGAGATCTATTGCGAGAAATTTTCTTATTGTTCTAAAATCAGGAGGTCCTAAAGTACACTTCAGCAAAATTTCAGCAAAAGTTCAGCCGGGGGATAAAAACGTTCCCTAGTAAGAGAAAGCTACAGCTATATTTCAATTCATCGAGAGTGTGTGTAGATTTTTTTTTATCAAACTTTGATTATAAGTTCTACCTCGTATCAAACGTTCTGTCTGTTGTGGAGTTTCTGATGTTTATTTTTTCTAGCAGGAACTCTGGTTTGCTCCGAGCAACCGACGAGCAACGCAGTCCTCTTCATGAGCGTCGATCGTTCTGCAGAAGTCAGCATCGTGAGTCTGGCCGGGCCATTCTCCAAGAAGCTTTTTCCTTCAGGAGACAATGACGGCAATGGTTGAGGCCAACATGGCTCTCTCGGTTTCGACGCGCAACGCTTCTGGAACCGCCCTTGTTTCCTACGACGGCAATTACGCGAACCTTCTCGATTCTTATGTAAAAATCTCACAGAAAAGTGCGTTGTTTCAAGAAAATTATGGCTCTAAAACGGCTTGTCCATCCTTAAATCTATATAATTAATAGCTAGAAATAGTTTTCTATGTCACGCCTATCAATTTAAATCTTTTTACGTCATAATACATGACCATTTCATTCCATTGATAATTTTCTGATCGAGGTTTTGCTGATTTCTAGTGCCAGGAAAAAGTGTGCCCGTTTTCTTCTCGAGAGAACTCAAATTTGAACACTCAATGGATTGGAGTCGAAACAAAAAAACAATCTTCAGATGGTTATGAAGATCTTGTAAGCATATGGACTCTGTGTCAAGCACTGTTTCCAGTCAAACGAAACGGTGATCAAATATTTGTTTTCCAAAATAACATCGGTTTTCCTAACAGATGGATGGGAATATCTACGAGGGGAAGAAGTTGGCGCGTGGTTGCGAGATCAAGCTCAGCGTCATTTCGAAATCGATATCCCCACGGAGGAAGGTGAACGCCTAGATCGATCATTCACAAATTTATTCGAAGCTCCAAATTTTTCCATTCTTCTTTCTTTAGAAATCGGCGACTTTTTTTTTTTGCAAAATATGTTCCGAAGGATTTAAGAAGAGTTGAAGTTTTTTTTTTTTTGAGAAGCTAAAGTTAGATCATAGCCAGAGTTTTTGTCGGTTTCTATTCTTGTCTTGACTCAATGGATTGGAGTGTTGTCAATGCTTTACCATTTCAAAAGTTCTTATAAAAAGAGAAAGAGTCTTCTGAAAATGCGCCGCCTTTTCAAAAATGACAAGTTGACAGGAAGTTATATACTACATGTCGTTTTGCGAAAGTGCGATATTGGGGTTGCAGGATCGGACGTGTGGAAGGCGCTTTGCTTGGGAGACCGAGACGAAGCCTGTCGACTGGCTGCCACGCAGGGAATGGTCGTGCTCCCCGCGAGTCTTTTCGCGCTTGACATCAGTCCCGAGGACACCAAGCAATGCTTCCGACGTCAGGTTCTCTCGTCCCCCGGTCAGCCCTCATCCAGAAAGCTAATTTAAGATCGATTTGTGGGAACGCAACGACGTTCTTCACACGTTCAGCGCGTCTGTTTTGAAATGTTACCTCGTGTTGGCTGGATTCTCGCACAAGAAGTGGAAGCATTCCGGCAGGGAGTACACTGTCAATTGTCTCGAAGGTCTTCACTGGATACAGGTGTCATCTCCCGTGTCGGTTCTTTTCTCACTGAACTCCCTACAGGCCCTCGGCATCCACATTTGGTATTTGCGAGGATGGAACGGGATCGAAGAGCCTTTCGAAGGCTACATGGGCGACGTGAAAGCTGGCTTGGCTGTTTCTCACAACGACGATTTGTATGGAGAAGTAGGACCCACTGTCTGCGCTGAAAAAGAGTTTGACTCAGTTGATAACACTGGCTTGCAATCCTCAGTACTCGGTGGAAGCCGCCATCGACGCCGCTACTTCTTCCTTCCCACATGACACTTTCTTGAAGTGGGTTTAAGCTGAACTCGATTTTTTCACGAATACATCGATATTCAATGACTTTCTATGGTCTTGGAATAACTGCCACATTCGCTCTCATCAAAGCCTTCATTCTTATTTTGTTTCTTCAAGTTTTATAATGTATATAAAAATTTTTTTAATATAAAAAAATAAAGCATTTAGCAAACTTTTTCTTTCATCTTTTTACCTAGATGGCATTTGTGGAGCGTTTTTGTGTTCCATCGGTTACAAGACGATGAAGAAGGATAACGAACACAGGCTTCACACGGCCTACAGCGGCCAACTCGAGGCGTCGTGTCTTTCGCAATTGGCCGTCTTCGTCCTGTCGCACATCTCCAAGGACAACTGGTAGGCACCCATCTTCTACCTCCAACAACAAGTCGAATCAGCCGGGAGACGATGATCCGCGACTTGCTCGACAGAATCGCTCTTCACACCTCCGAAGACGAATTCCGACGCATCTCCAGCGACTGTGACGTCACTGAGGCTTTGACATCCGCCGCGAAATTCGTGGCTGCTCAGGTGTGCCTCCAGAACCAAAAAAACCGGAAAGTCCAGAGAAAGAGATGACTCCAGAAAAACGTTAACTACGTCTCTTGTCCGATACATAATGTGTTCACAGAAGGTTATATTATTTTCAATCATTCCCCACTTGAAAGGAGAGATGGGTCGATTTGCAAGCACTGGTCAATCGGGATGTCTATACAAGTAGGTACCGGGTAGCAACTCAAAGTCAATCGGCGTATCGTAATCGGTGGTCATTTGTATGCGACCAGGTACTATCTTTATGGTACTGGGATACTACCGGGTAGGTACCCGAAATTCGCGATTGTTAGTAGCTTGCACACCGGTCGTTTATTTAGCACCAGTGTTTTTCTACACTTGCTCAAGTCTCCCAGGGTCTTATTGGATAAACTGAAACAAAAAATAACGACCCGGGAAGCAATTCCAGACTTTCCGGTAGAAATAACGAATGTCAGGTCGCTACCCGATAGCTACTTGCATCGACCTCCGACCCAGGTACCATAGAGGTAGTACCCGGTCGCATACAAACGACCACCGATTACGATACACCGATTGCCTTTTTAAAAGTTGTATTTGTATCGACCTCCCGATTCACCTTTGAGAGTGAATCATTGAGACGGGAAAAATGAATCATAACACGGGAAATACTGAAATCCGAAGTGGACTTTTATTCGAGTCAATTTTCAACTCGCTCTCACCGCCTTTGGCAAATTTCGGATGTAGTTGTTATCCGAAAAGATAACACACGAAAATTCATGCTGTCTTTTTGAGGACGAAAAGACTTGAAAATAAACGAAGGAAACCGGCTTCGCTTTTTTGCAAAAAAAAATTCTGTACAGAGTAATGGCAAAACAGCAAACGCTTCCGGTGGTTACGAAGGGAACAAGATAATAGACAAGAAGAAACTAGGAAGTCGAAAATTAGTTAACTTTGTGAGTCATTTTCACCATCAACCGTTTGTTTTTTTAATAAAAACCATTTAAATGGTTATATTTCAAATCGCATAATTTTTTTTCCTTAACGGTCAGTTTTTTCAATCAAATCTTCAAAAATGATAATAATGTAAAGAGGGGCTTTCAACATGTTCTAGAGATAAATCGAGCACGGATTGGAGGAAGAGATTTTTTTTCCACAAATGTGTCTGATTATTTTCGCATCTTCTCAAGTTGATAGGGGGTAATTTACAGAGTAGGTCACCTAATATAGTATGTTCAGATTTTGAATGTCAAGTCGTCGCCCAAGCTCCGCCCATAATGGTGCGATAGACCAATCACAGAGCGAGCCATCCACAGAGCATTTTCGAATGACGTCATTCTACTTGACATTCAAAATCTGAACGGACTATATGGTGTTTAAATAACTTAAATAAAATAAGCATTTCCGATGTTGTGATTCCCGCGAAGTCGCACTGTGCGCAATTTTCTATACGGAGAATCGATAATTTTTAAAGCTTCTCAGTGCTAAAACTTTATCCGATTAGCAAAAAAAAATAATCATTGAAACTGCACATTTTCAAAGGAGAAACAGTGTGCAGAAAGTTTTTGATTTTCTGTAGAAATTGAAAAAGAGTCAATTTTCGGTCTTGAGACACTATGAATGATGATCTCATACAACACACACAATTTGAAGAACAACGGCAACTCTGGACTTGCTTTTGAATGCGCCGTCGAGGCTAACAACTTCGAAGAAGCTCATCGACTGTTCGTTGAAGACGTCGCTCCAAACGCAGTCATCACCGGAGACCTCGAAACTCTGCGTGTGTCTTCCGACCTCATCGAACCTTTCTCCGCCTCAATCCCGGTAAGAAACGAAAAAAGGTCACCGGAAAGCCCGTCCTTCCAGGGATGGGGCGCCTACGGACAGATCTTCTGCGACTACAGCAACTTGCGAAACCTTGACGACCAAGCGACGGATGTGAGTGAACTTGTGAAAATGAAATAAATAAATCCGAGAAATAAAACTTTAGAGCTACAAAAATCGAAAGAAGAAAATTTGCTTTTGGGATTTAAAAAAAATCGTATCTTACTGTTTCCCACAAGCGTTTCTTGTTTGAATTTTCAAACAGAAGGCATTTGTCATCTGACTCGAAAACTTTTTTTTCAATCTTATTTTTCAATTTTTCAGTGGTTTCCTCAATTAAGCGCAATAAGTTAAATTTTTTTTTTCTTTTTTCTTTCTCTTTACTCTGTAAGTTATCTCTGAACCATGTAGTTTTGGATATAACGATGAAGTGTTCGCTCGATTCAAACCCAATTTGATTTTTTTGCAGGCTCTGTGCTCTTTGATCGAAGCACGGTTGCGAGCGCCAAACTTCACGAAAACCATTCAGAGGTTTTCCATATAATATGATGGTTGAAGGGGCCAGATTTCAGAATAAGCATCCAAACGATCGGCCGAGAGCTGTTCGAGTTCAAGAAGGCCCAGACGGGCACCAAAGACTGGACCATGATCCTCGGCCCTCAGAATGCCCGCAAGGCTCTCCGCAACATGACGCCGCTCTCCTATGCTCATTGTCCTCTTTCCTTTTCATAAATTTATTCTTTTTTCATACTCATTTTGCATTGAATTTATTTTTCGTGTTCTTTTTCCTTCACACCCGTCGACTTTCGATTTCTCATGTTGTTTTATCGTTTTGGCTGATATAAAAGTATTACCTGATGAAATTTATTATTTCGTAGCTGAGAATGTAAAGGCAACATGGTTAAAACACGGCGGATGAAAAGGCAAGTATTCAGACTAATTATGAATTCGTTTTGCAACAATCAAAAAGAACATTAAGAAACCGCTATTGACGATCATGCCTAAAGCCGTAATCGTGAAATTATTGATATCATCGAGTGATTTTGAACAATCTTAAAATCCTCCGTAGAGAGGAAAAAATGGTCGGGAGAGATTCGGTCTACATCAGTAAACAACTGCACTAAACTTGAATATGCTCAAAGGAACAAATGAAAATGAAAACGATTTGCACAGCTGAAGTTTACAAAGAACTCATTGTTTCGGGGCCGAGGGGGGCTTCATCCCATCAAGGCTTTCTTCTTGAACAGCAAAGAAGCGATCGCGTCCACAGACTTCCGTTTGCGCTGAAAGTCCACCATGACTGTTGATCTCTCGACAAACGCTCACGTTTTCGCTTTTGGGAGTGACGAGCAAGTCTTCGCCTGTCGGACTTCCTTCCTTCGAAGAGTGCGACGGAGAAGGCGAGCAGTCGGTCGCCTGCAAAGGAAAATCAAATACACATTCATTTCGTGGTCTTTTCGAAAAACTTCTAGGATTCTATGACTTCTCTGAATACCTACTTCTTCGCCAGAGCAAATTCCGGATTCTGGGCCGCTGCTCGCCGTCTCACTTTCTGTCCGAACGTTGAGCTCCAAGAAATTCAGCTTGGGATTTTCCTCTTCTTCGTTGTTGTTGTTGCTCCCATTTTTCATGCAGGACATCTGGCGCTGCGAAATATCGGGTTCCTAGAAACGATTATGAATCATTTTCTTGAAATCGTTTTTAAGCTCAAACCAATATACAAAAATTTCTTTCTTGACTTCCAAAATAGTTTTGGAGTTTTGTTAACGACGTTTGAAAAAAATCAAATATAACTTAATTTGAGTGTTAAGGAGCACAGATGCCGGAAAATTTCGAGTTTTATTTTGTAATCAGAGAAAATATTTCGTCAAAAAAAATTTTAATTGCTTAGTTTTAACTCCATTTGAGTAAGTACTTCTTTCCGGATATCAGCATTCATTAAGAAAAGCATAGTCGTGTTATGATGAAAAGCTAGAAAAAAAAAATTGGATTTTTTTTTGGAATTGGAAAATTTCAAGGGGAGAAAGATTTTTATCAATTAGTTTTTTAATTGTAAGCGTGCGAGTTTTTTAAAAACTGTTCTTATGTATTCTTGTACGTGTGATGGAGTGGAGCAGGATTTCCGCAAGCAAACACTCAAACTTGTCAGAAGCTCAGCCGTGAGAAAGTACCTCGGAGCAGGGCTCGTCGTCGTTTTCCTTGGAAGATGACGCCTGCTGCAGAATTGGCAGCAATGAAGGGTTGTTAGCGATGAGCGCAGACAGCCAATTTGCCGGTATTTGGGGGGAAGGCGTCGAAATCTGCTGGCTCTGCAAACAATCGCTCACCAACTTCACAACTCTAAGATCATTAGAAAGGACAATAAAATCCAAAAAAGAAAACTTTTTTCATTCTCATTTGTCTAGTCTTTACAGCATAAGTAAGCTAATCTGTCTTCTGGAGACTATGCCAAGCCTTCTCCTCGCGGTCCAGACTCCCGACTGAAAAAGTGTCAATGGCAGGTCGGAAAAGAGAAGTCCTAGATTCACAACTACAAAGTTACACTGAAAGGATATCGAAGAAATACTATATCCTCTATGCAAAATATCCTAACTTGATCTTTTTCGAGCCTTTCATTTTTAAAAGGTTTTTGGTTGTTGAGAAAAGTTTAGACTGACGGTGGCTGAGAAGAGATTGATCATGTCCATCAATTGGTTGGGAATTTCACTCTTGCGCTTGGCCGAACCGGAGGTTTTGGCGGTCCTGGCCGAGAAAGATGTGGAGGGAGAGCTGGTGCTGACGCGTTCTTCGCCCTTGAGTTCGGCTTGCGACAAAGAGCCTGCAATGGCGGCGAGGCTGAAGGCCGACGTTTGATGAGGCCTACCTGGCGCGCGGCTACTCACTGCGATCGCCCGTGCGTCACCCGGCTGACCCGTCCTCATCATGCTGTTGTTATGTGCGTGCAGCTCCTGCATCCTTCTCATTTGATTCATCGAACATTTTGAATATCAAGCTGTTCTAAATTTCTCGGCACAGAAAATTTCTCGGCATTTTTGAGCTAAATGGGAAATCTATCTGTGAATTGATACTAACTATTAGGTCTGCTATGCTCAGATAAAACTAGCTTAGAAAACTTTTTTTTCCATGTTTTTTAACCTTATAGATACATCGAAAAAAATTCTTGTTAATCGTCTGATCTTGCCAATTTAGAGTAACAAACTTCTTGCTGCATTTTGATTTTTAAGAACTGTTTTGAAAAATAGTTGCTTATGTTTTTAAGCTCAATAGCCGGTACTTCTATAACCTTTTTGTCGGGGAAGGTCCAATTGCAGCAACCGCAAGTGAAGACGCGGGTTATTCCGTGCAGAGAAGACATGTGCCGACGAACTGTCTCATTATCTGTAAAAGAATTATGATGTGAGAAGAGGAAAGGCCGAAAACTCACGAGAAATCTTCTGGTCACAGATTTGACACTGTTGGTCGTCACCGTGAAAGTTGAGCCTGTGTCGGTTCAAAGAGGCCGCATGACAAAAGGTTTTTCCGCAGTGTCCGCAAAGGAACTCCCCTGAAAAGATTTCGAGGTTGAGATGAGACTATAACTTTTCCATTCTACAGCTTCATATGAGCCTTATTTAATTCCGATATTCAATAAGTACCTTTCAGATCTGGACGTTTCAATTCTGCTTCGGGGCGATAGGGCATGCTTTTATCTGAAAAAAGGAATTGTTCAAAGAGAACAAAAACACTTCGATTTCAAAACGCAAAGGTGAAGAAGAATAATGTCACATTTATGGGAGTGATTGGCAAAAGCAGAATCAATGGTAAAGGACATGCAAATACGCCGACTAAACAACAAAAACACCGTGGAGCCCCGAAAAGCTTTTGTGCGCGTCGGGAAGAATAGTCAAAAACATACTCGTATACTTGAAGGCATACTTACAAACAGTCAGAAGTCGAATTTAAAAAAAAAATTGCACAGTGGATAAAAAATTTTGACTTTTAAAGAAACACAAAAAGTAGCCGGCTAATGCTTAAGATATTATAGTACTCTACAGCCCATCAAAAAAAACACCACGAAAAAAAAAATCGAAGCCTTATCGAGGAAAGAGCCAAATATATGAGAATCTCAAACTATAAAATATTAGGAGCTTAAGATATTCGAACTTTATAAAACAAAACAAAAAAAAAGAAAGAAAGAAAATTCAAAGTAGGCATGTAAATTTGAATTTCCGCGCTTTCGCGATCTGCAGCTTCGCGTTGTCTACAGTACAAAAAAAACAAAAAGTGAGAGCTCTTTCAAATGAGGGAACTCATCTAGCAGAATTCGTTATGTTTCTGAGATATTCGTCCGAACCTAGTGGTTGATAAAATAGCTTTAAAGCAGTGGCAGGAGAAGAAGACGGACAATGAGGAGAGTATGGTTGGCGAGGTTGGTGCTTTTGGGTTGGTGTGCTTGTGAGTGACCTTGGCACATGTAATGCGCTCCAGCACTGTTCGGAGGTGCCTCTCACAGCGCCGTACTCTCTTGTCGTCTCCCACTGTCCAAAAATGGGAGGGGAGCGCGAGATGCCTCTGTGGCGTCGCCATGCATGAAAAGCCACCATTTGCCCTCCTCAAACCTACTGTAGAAGAACCAAAGCAACAATTGCTCTGGAGGAAAGAAGCTAAATCGTAGGTGTCAGCGCGGAGGTGACATATTCTTGTTTATCCGGAAATTCCATGGATAGAAGCTTCTCGGAGAAGTTCAACTGATGTTCATTTCGCTCTTGTCACAAAAAATTTGTAAATTAATTTAAGACTTTTTGTATGCGAACTCGCTAGCGCACTCGACACTATCAAGAAGTTCGACGACCGGCATCAGAAGCTTTTCAGAATCCGTCTTTGAAGTTTGCAACCATATTATTCTGTTTTGGTTTCTACTTGAGATCTGGATAAGAAATGAACGAATTGAGATATCCGAATCACACTTTCAAAGTTCAATGCAATTTTTGAAGGTTCAAATTCAAATGTCTCCGCGCGATTTGAATGTTCATTATATAACCGCAGAAATCACAATTTCTGGAAAACGAAAAATTGAAAAACGCTCAAGAAAGCAAATTTACAGCCTAAATATGTTGAAAATCCATCTTATTCCAGATTCACACTCTTGCCAAGTTTTTTCCAAAAAACGTACTCCAAGACCAATACTAGCTCGCAGAGGGGATATCTTCTCAGTGTTGAAACCGTGGCGGATGGAAAAACTGGAAGGAAAAATCGAATTTTGAAAAGCAGCTGGCAGGTGCCGAGAAAATCTAACTTCAATTGAAATAAATGTGTTTTTGGTCGTAAGGGTCGTCGAAAAAGGGTCAAGCGTCCAAAACCGAGCGGCGGCGGTGTAAAGAAAAACGAAGGAGAAGCCGCTGAGAACAAAAAAGGAGAAGGGCAACTTAACTCTCGTTACTTTTGCCGTCCAAAACGAGAAAGTTTCAGTCAATCGATAATTCAAGATGGCGGACGACATTTATTCTTTTTTTGTCACATGAAGCATGCAAATATTGAAAGTTAAAGTATCATGTTTGCCTCGGTGCACGGCATAACACGGTAAAAAAGACTGATCTTCTGGATCACAGAGCTCCTAGCTACGTCCTAAGAAGAGCCCTTAATGAACACGACTTTCAAATTTTGAAAAAGGAGAGAAAAGCTCGAAATGATGAGGAGAGTCTCAAAAAGCTCGTGGCAGTATCAAAAAAGCTCGTGGCAGTAGAGGTAGAGTCGCAATCGAGGACGCAAAAGAAACAGGTAGAACCGTAAAAGGCGATGATGCTGCTGCCTGATGCACACGCAATCGTCAACAGGCAGCAGGAGCGCAGGTGGAGAGAAACAGAGAGTATACAAGTAAAAAGGTTGGCCGCGAGAGAGATACCGTGTATTTTTGGGCAGAGGCCCCCTGACGAAAGAATCCAGTTTTGAGAAGCCCCGAAATGGAACATTTTTTTGCGAACAAAATCGGCCATCGAAGCACGGGAGGCGCGGCAAAACACATCACATGTCGACGCTGCTTACAAAACAGAAGACGTCGAGAAGACCAGGTCAACACTGAGAGAAGGACGCCGCGAGAAGCACAGATGACGTGCGCAATGTTTGGGATGCGATTGACGGTCAATAGTTGACCGGAATACTCCTCAACCAGTTCTCCGTTCTCTCAGTTGAAGTAGACATGAGGGAGCTCCAGAGATTGTTTGAGCAAACTTGTAGAAAACTCCAAACGTCCAACTAAAATGACCACTCTTGAAATGAAAGCAACCTATGTCCAGGTTTGGCAGAAAGGAGAGATGTAGGGAAAATAGAAGTATACATTATACAGTAAATGAATAGGGAATGAGGATGTCTGCCAAACTCTGGTGGTAAGACAAAGAAGACCGTAAGAATAATTAGCTTTGAAAAAGAAGGCGTGTGCAGAGGAGGGATCAAACTCAATCTGACCTACTTGTGCTCGCCAAAGATAGGAGGTGCGAGGAAAAGCGACCAGCAATTATCACGTCACTCGCGCTTCATCAACCTACCTCTATCACTTGTGCAACAACTTTTTCTCGTCTTCTAGTAAAGAAGTCTTCCTTGAGGCTTGTATGTCTTGCGAGACTTTCGAAATGGGAAAACGGGCATAGTACCTTTTCCCACTCATTCCAAATTTGAGCACAAGTCTACCCGGCTTACAAAAAATATATACGCTTCATGTTCTCGACCTCTTCAATTCAGATGTCTTCCTTGCACCTTGCTTATTATTTAGGTTATTCGGATTCATGTAGTAGAGCGGAAAAAAATTTGTGAAACAGTAGATATTGATGAAGCGAAAAAGTGAGCATAGCCCTTTTTGGAAGTTACGTTCCTTGTTTTGAGATGGTGTTCAGATAGATTTTTCGAACTTCGCTTGTGTCTACAAGTTTGATTGAGAGGTCCTATTTTGAGCATCAACTTAAAAAGCTTCGTTAAAAATCGGATTCAAAAAATCGAAGCAATTCTTTTTACTATTTCTCGACGAACGGCAAAGAATCTCTACGGGGCAGCTGGTGGTAGGATCGCTGTCAAGTTTGCAAGAAGTGTCTCTCGGAAGGTCACTTCGAGCCGCTTCTTCTTCTTCTCTTCTCTTAGTTTTTCGAAAAAACGCTACTGACGGTCGACGGCGCAGAAGGAGAGAGGAACACGAGATAGTAATTGCCGAATGGGCGAGGACAAAAGCTGCAAGGTCAAGCCGCGCCGACGCATTCAGCGACCGTTCGACCTCGGCTACAATCAAGCGCCTCTCTGCCTTCTATCGGCTTCCCCTTTCGGAGTTGTCCGTCACAGCTCACCGGCTCTCCATTTCATCCAGTCTTAATCAGTGTCCGGAAAAATGATTCCTACAATAGAAAAGAAACCAAGTCTGTTCCGGGCAGTAGCAATACACCGTTTATTGCAATAACCGTCGATGAGCACCTAGATAGACAACGAATACAAGTTTTTTTTTCTTTTTTTTTCTGCTTCGTGTTTCTAATTAAAGCTATGATGAGTGTTGATAAGAAAGAAGAAATGAACTCTTAGAAAAAAAAAACCTTCTAGTTTACCGTAACACCAATGGCCGGGTGTCAACTTGGGGAATTTTTTTCTCGGAGCACATTATTAAAATTTTTTCATAAAGTTATATTCAGGAAATTCAGGAAGGGAAAAACCCGTTTTTTTTTCAAGTTCAGTTTTTGGAAATCCTATATAAATCTGACGGATTTGTTGGATTTATTTTCCAGACGAAGAGCACATTCGGCGTGGAAACAGTTGCAGCCTGAAGTACCGTTAATAAATCGATGGGGGAGGCGGCAAAGTATTCCGACGACTGGTAACCGCCCTTTTTTGGCCGACGGCTTGTTTCAGGCACGCGTAAGTCGCACATAATGCGCGCCGAGAGTTCTTTCTCTCGCGTTTCCGCTCCCAACTGCCAAAAAAGCTCGAGAGGGCCACCACTGTCTTTGTCTAGACTCATGGGAAAACGACCCGCAACGAGTCTTCAAATTTTCCATTTTCTATTTCAAAAAACTGTTGCGTCGCAAATACTTGGAGGAAGATAGAAAAAAACTTTGCTAAAATCAAAAATGAAATTCGGTTTTTTTTTAATTATTCGGTTTCAATGAAACGCAACTAGTATGAAAAGTCTACAAAAACGCTCGGAAAGTTCGAGAATGAAATGAAATGGCCTACTTATAATGTATTCCTAGCTGCATGGAATCACTGAATTCTCAACTAATCATAGAAAAAAAGAAAGCAGAAAAACTGTGAATTAGAGCCTTGAATATTTATCATACAAAGATAATGAATCGAGACGGTCTCAGAAAAAAATTAGAAGAGAAACAGATAGGTACAAAAAAAGGAAAACTGAAAATCGTTGGTTGCTGTGCGCCTCTTCTGTTTCCCAGACTTTCAGATTTTTTTTTTTTTGAAACAGTCCAACGCAACGTCTTTTGCGCAGAAAAGGGCACATTGGGACTTGAGAACTTGAACGCAAAAAGGATGTTTTACGACGCAATGGTAGCAATAAATGGGAGCGGATCGGCTCCAATTGCTCGAATTGAGATGGGAATCGGCTGTTAATCAGTTCACTGTTTTGAAATATCCGTTTAAAAAAACTGCGAGTTACCATAGAAATAGGAAAACCGTCCAAGCTTTTTTCAAAGAATTTTCAAAGAAACGAAACATTTGATTGAAAACTTCTTATCAAACTTGAATTTAAAAAAATGTAAAAAAAAGGAAAATTTGAAGCGTTGCTTTCATATAAAAATGGAGACAAAAAAAGATAAAGGAGATCTTCAAAAATAAAGGAACTTCGACCAAATTTTGATGATTTGCCTCACGTTTTGGTCATGAAAAAGAAAAAATTCTCTTAATAAAAATTTTTGAAGAACAATTGTGAGACTTTTCCGAATGGGGACGAACGGCGACAAAGCCCTCACAAGGAAGGTCAAATTTCTTTGCGGTGGGGAATTTCCTGAAACTCTGCCATTGAACTCATTGACGTACCATGAAAATATCCTGAAAGTCTCGACCTTCACAACTTTCTAGTTTTCGAGAAACAATGACTCAATACCCCAAAATAGCCTATTTCAAGCGCTTTTTAGGGTTCCCTTTGACTTTGAGGTTTTTTTTTCTTGGTAACTAGAAAGTTGTGCCGGTTGATACTCTCAAGATATTTTTCTGGTACATCAAGGAGTATATTACTATATATTTCATCAAAAAGTATATACTGGCCAATATTCGAAAAATTCCTTAACACAATGAAAAATTGTCTCCATTGCGGCAATGGCATTGCCAGCTCAATTTTTATAATTCCTGGCAGCCCTAAGAACTTGAATTATTTTCAGTTAAATTTCTCATCTTCTCCATTCCTTTCTTTACTCCTCTATATTCTGCAAGTTATTTTAATTTGTGTAAAACTTTTATGAATTTTTATGGGGGAGCAAAATACATTCAAAAATTTCCTGATTCTCAAATTTTCAAACTTCCATGAAGAAAATTTCTGAACTTTTCACACATAAAGTAGACAAGGCGAAGAGTTGCTATCAGAGCAAACACCACGGGTATTTGTCCGAGTTCAGCGGTGTTAACTGATAATCGAAGACTGATAGGAGTCTTTTGACCGTTTCGGGTGTTTTGGAGAGGAGATGAGTGTCGACAGCGTCTTTCAGCTCGACCGCTACCAGTTCATCGTTCTCGCTTTCAATGAGTTCGCCATTTTCACCATGCTTTCCAACGTCGTCAGTCTCTTTTTTCACTGTTTTTACTATCTTGAGAAAAGTAACAGAGAAATTCCATTTACTTCCATGAAAAAAAAAAGTTCATTAAAAATCTATGTAAAAAACGCTCAATTCATTTTTTCGCAAATAAACCAAGACATAGTTGTTTCTTTGTTATCGTCATCGTTTTCGGAAATTTTGAAAATATTCGAAACTCTATTTGTCGTATTCAGACTCTATAATACAGTTTCCTCAACTTTTCATGTCGAAATGCGAAATTTTCAGTGTATTTTTGAGTGTAAGACAAGGAACTTCTTTCAAGACTTGAATTTTTGATTTCAATAAAGAAAAGCAGATTTTCAACGTCTTCGGTGTGGCACATCCGAAAATTCTCGGTTGCGACGATGTCTTATACAACGGAACGACACCTTGGGAAATATGCGCCGAATACGACTCCGACGTGACCTGCGTCCACCCTGTCGTGCAGTACGAGTTCAAGTCTGCGGCTGTCGAGGTCCCTTTTGCTCATTTCCGGTCGAAAACTTAGTTTAAGTTCCAAGAGTTCTGCAACCGGCCGAGTGGAAACGCGCTCATGATATTTCTGTCTGGGTCGCCGAACCGAGCCAAGTTCTCGACGACGTTGCAGATGATGGGCATCATGCTGGGCTCGGCGATCGGTGGCTACACCTCCGACAGGTTCGGAAGACGCAAGGTGACAGCAGCCGAAACTTGGTCATGGCCGATGACAAATCATTAATCCAAAGAATCATCACGGTTCGATCGTATGCTAGAGTAATCCAGGGTTCAAAAAAAATTATTTCAAATGATCGCTAACATGGTTTTTCAATTCATCCTTTTTTCTCCCTGCTTCTTAGAGAAGAGAGTATTTCTGAGAAACGTTGAAAGAAAAAAAGCTTTTCTAGGCCGCTTCTTTTCTCGAAATGATGTGATATGAGGTTCATACATTTTTGAAAAATGAACATTTGTTCTCGAGCTTCTAATTAATCATCACGTCTGGTAAGACGCAGATATTCTGACATGGAAGGTCATTTTTGCGTAGGGTTTGGAATTTTCTAAAAATTTGCTCAAACAATCTTTGATGGACTGGGAATCGATCCCCGATAGAAGCAATCTGCGCAAACTTTTCGCTTTGGAGATATGATTTTTTTGAAGTTTTCGTCCTTTAACACGTGACGCTGTTTGGAAGGAATGTGTCCGCCGCAAAAGCCATTTCATGGCAGCTAGGAGCGTAGTGAAGTGGCTAGCGCAGTAGCCTGCGAAGCCTATGATGAAGGTTCGAATCTTTTTGTCGCTAGCGTTTTTTGCCATTATTTTTTTGACGGATTATGATGAAAATGTTGAAACCTCATGATTGAAACCGTTCCAAAACCGTTCGATGGCCACTTTCTTCCAAAAATAACTTTTTTCACAGAAATTTTTTTTTGAAAACTTCTCGAAGTAATGACCGACCATCACATCATCAGAGACTAATTTTTTGAAGAACAGCAGACACAATTTGAAAAAAGCGGTGAACCATCATCAAAGGTTGTTGCACGTCCTGATTGAAACAAAGAACAGTTTGGTAGAATTTCACTGTGTCAAACGGCAATTTTCGCCTTTTTGCTACAGAAAAATTCATAAAAAATACGAATAAATACCTGGAAAACAGGCTTTATTGAAGAAATTTTCTTCAAATTCTCCTTTTTATTACAAAAAATGTTGTTCTCCTAATGTTCACAGTTCAAAAACATTTTTTTGAAAAAAATTTGAAAAAAAAATATTTTTTGATGATGTGAAAAAAATGCCATAACTTCGAGAAATTTTCAAAAAGTTTCTGTGAAAAAAAAAGTGATTTTTGAAAGAAAATGGTATCTCCAAAACGAAAAGTTTGTGCAGATATAGTCCGTTCAGACTTTAAATGTCAAGTAGAATGACGTCATTCGAAAACGCTCTGTGGATGGCTCGCTCTCTGATTGGTTCATCGCTCTATTAGGGGCGGAGCTTGAGCGACGACTTGACATTCAAAATCTGAACAGACTATAGCGCCTATGGGGGATCGATTCCCAGTCCATCAAAGATCGTTTGAGCAAATTTTTGGAAAATTCCAAACCCTACGCAAAAATGACCTTCCATGTGAGTTCTACATTTTTTGAACAACATTTTTTTTTATTTGCAGATGGTCTTGTTGTATCTAACCTCCATTTTCCTATCAACTGTTGCTTCTTCTTTCGGCCCAACCATGGAGTTTTACATCAGTTTTCGGTTTCTCGTCGGTATTTTCTGTGGAGCACTCATCACGTACGTCGAATCTTGAGCAATAGGGCACATCATTTTCAGCGTTGCGAATGTTTTCGTGATGGAAAACCTTCCTTCTGCTCACCGTCTTTGGATGAGCACAGTAGTGACATGGGCACCAAACTACATACTTTTCTCGGTTTTCGCTTACTTTGCGCAGGAATGGAGGTATTCCACAGAGTATTTTCGATGGAAACTGATTTTGCAGAACCCTCGCCCGAATGAGCAGCGTCATGACTGTGTTCGCTATCCTCATTTGTGCATTGTGAGTTCCCAAAAAAGGATATTTTCAAATTCTTATTTGTTTGGTTCGATGTTGAACCTGAATTCCAGTAATCTCCAAAAGTTTGGCTGTTAGTGGAAATTTTTAAACTTTTTGATTCAAAAGAAAAGGCAAAAAACCGTGGATCACTTAAAATCGTTTCCTTTGATCTTGAAGATGAAGCCCCCTTTTTTTTCAATCTCATGTCGTATAAGGTGAAGGAGAGCGGATATTAAAAACAACCATTTTTGAGAAAGCCATTGACAAAAAACTTCGACTTTGTGTGGATAAGGAGAAGGAGAAGATCATACTTGAATGAATCTAAAAATTAGTTAAGATTTTCACAAAACTCACGAAAATGTGAAACAATAATGTATTTCTTTTTGAGCACACAGTTTTAAAAAAATGAGAGAGAAAAAAAAGTTCTATTTGATCTAATTGCAGTGGAATGCCTGAGAGCGCCAAGTATTTGGTACAGAAGCGAGACAAAAAAGGAGCCCTCGCTTCTTTGACCTTCGTGAACCAGTTCAAAAGCTCTACAAAAAAGGTTCCTATTCGAAATTATTTCCTTGCAATTGAGTTTCTAGCAATAATCGAATCAACCGTTTCAGTATAACCGACCAATTTAGAATGATTTATTTTTCAGTTTACTCCTGAGCAACTCGCAGAAATTATCGACGTTGAATGTGCCAGTATTGCGCAGAACGAAAACAAAAAACGGAAAAATGGCATCGCGACGCTTTATTCCACGAGATTCCGCAAACCAACAATTGTAGTATCCTTGTCTATGTGAGCCAAGTATCATACATTTTTTTTTTTCATTTTTTCCATTACAACTACAGGTTTGCTTTGAGTTTCATCACTTACGGCTTGCTGTTCAACTACGACGCTTTGAGCGGTTCTATTTTCGTGAACATGGCGATTTCTGGGGTCTTTCGCTACATTGTCGGCGCCTTGGTTTGGTTTCTCTTCTTTGGTTAGAAGCAGGTTTCCTAGGTGGCGCTGCTTGACCACTTCTGGGGCCTTGGGAGAAAACGGCTTCATTTCTCGACCATAACCTTCATCATGACCTGCATGCTCAGCACTTTTCTCATTCTCGTCACAGGTATTCCTTTGCCTCCTACGTTAAGAGAATGAGAGAGTTCAAGGCAACAGCATCCGCTTTAAGTTTTTCACTCGAGCTTTCACGCTACTGGCCTTTGGAACTACCGGCTGCATGTATTTATTGGTGAACGATTTACCTGTTAAACGTTACGAAATGTTTAGCTTCTTCTCGTCACAGCCGAAATCTTTCCCACAAGCGTCCGCAACGTCGCCTTAGGACACGTTAATGTATGGGGTCGCATGGGCAACATCCTTGGACCGATGATTTTCAACGTAAGAAAGACTCTAGCCCAAAAAATATCCGAAAATTGTTTAGCTTTTCAACGGGAACAGCTACGCTTACCTGATTCTGGTTATACTTTCTGTCGCCGATCTTCTCATTTTCCACATTTTCATCCCCGAAACGAAAGGCCGCCCATTGCCTAACGAGACAGCCAAAGACTTCCCCAAGAAGAACGAAGGCGTCGAACTTTTGGCATTATCTTCAAAAAATTGACAACTGGAAGTATTTAATGAATTTTCTTCCTCTTTTCTTGCGAGCTAAAACATGTCGAAGATTCCCTTTCGAACAGTGCTTCAGAAACCATGAAAAACATGTAATGGCACATGCATGCTCTGGAAAGAGTTGGAGTGGCTCCAAAAAGCGAGAAAAAAATGCCTAAAAAGGTATACAGGAGGACAGATTTGACAGTCGATTCAAACTTTACTTCACTCACCCTCCAAAGCTGAGGCCGTATGCAATAAAGTGGAAAATGATTTCCGCCGTTTTCCTGAAACTCGTAAATGACTATAATTAGTCTTTTTCAGACTGAAATTGTTTTTTTCACTATCCGAATCTTCTTATAGAACCATATAATAAAGTCGAAATCGATAATATTCTAGCGAGTTTTTATTATTTTCAGGATGATGGCGGACAATCATTTCCCACTTTATTGCACACGGCCTTTCAACTCGGACCTTGGTAACGTGAACGGGACGTGAATCGGACGTGCCGGGGCATTTCTAGTGTCCACTTTACACGGCGTTCCGAAAAAAAAAAGGCGTCAAACTTTCTGAATTTACAAAAAAATTTTAGTGCGCGCTACGGATAAAATGCACTGAGTATCAAACGTTAATAACTTGTTTTTTCGATCGCCTTGGGCTGTGTACTGTAGATTTCAAATTTCGCGCCAAATTTTTTTTTTTGACGTTCACCTACCTCCGTTTGGGAACACCGTGCTTTAGTAGCCTCAGCACTTTTAAATGATCCCCAGAATCGCCCAGAAACGTCCGGAGCACGTCCGTTTCGCGTTAAAGTCCGTTCAGATTTTGAATGTCAAGTATAGAATTACATCATTCGAAAATGCTCTGTGGATGGCTCGCTCTCTGGTTGGTTCATTGCGCCATTAGGGGGCGGAGCTTGAGCGAGGACTTGACATTCAAAACCGGAACAGACTATACCATTGTCCGAGCAAGAGAAAGCGGCTGAAGCACACTGGAGCACTATCCCTTAAAGAGAACTTATTTTCAGCTCCCGCCTCGCAATTCGTTTTCGATAATTTCAACTTTCATTTTATTTTTTTACCACCTTGTTTCTGAATTTAATGCTTTTATTTTGGTAAAAAAAAATCGAATAAAAAAGATATTCAATCTCCACTTTCAAGGCATACGGGCAGTAAAAAACGGGGTTTCAGGTGATAGCAGTCTCTTGTATAGTTTTTCTTTGCGAATCGAACTGTGTACTAAAAAAAATTTACAGATGTTACAGCTTTTGAAGAAAAACGCTATTTTACTTTCCCGCCTTTAATTTTGAAAAATTGCTTTGGATCGGTGTACGGACAACGGTTTACAGTAGCCGTGCACGCGATTTTGCGGATGTCTTATTAGACTCGCATTTGTTGAGAAATAACCGGATTTCTACTTCAAATTAAGGGTTTCTACTCTGAAAAAACATTAAGTCGAACAAAATACACACACCGATAATAAAGGAAACACAAAATATTGCAATCCCAATCGAAACCTGTGTAAAATCATTATTTTTCACCAGAGAAGCATTTTGCGAACAAAGTTTGCAAATTATACATCAGAAGAAGGTTTTTGTGGCGAAAAGAGCTTTGGCGACAACAGAAAAAATTAAAAATTGAGAGAAACGAAGAAAAAAGCGAAAGTCCGAAAAATGGCGAAGCCTGTTGTATATAGAGCAACTTTACTGCAAAGCGCCCTTTTGGCGGGAACTCAAGATTTCCTTTCTCCGACTTTGAATTATTTTTTCTCCCAAACTAGGAAGATCTGTACGTTTCCAAGTTCACCGTTCGATTCGCAATGAAAAACTCTACAAATTACTGCTTTGAACCGTAACACCGTTTTTTACTGCCTTACCAGCTCGGGCAAAGTCGGAATGGTGGATAATGGCTGCTAAAAGGGAGAGGCTCAAAAAAGGCCGCAGAAAGGCAGCAAAAAGGCAGCGAACGGCAGAAAAAAGGCAGCAAAGAGACTCCCTTTAACGAGCCTTCCATTTTTCTGGGATTTTAAAGGCTCGAGAAATGGTGAAGAAAGGGAGAGGCAGCAAAAATGGTGCATAAGGGCTGAGAAAATGGAGCAAAAAGGCAGCAAAAAGAGAGCCTTCATCACCCTAAAAGGAACATTTCTATGGTCCTTTATGGACCCTCGGAGGGTCCTTCCGACTTTGCCTATGCAGAAAGCAGCGAAATCTATTTTTTTGTTTTTCAGGTATTTGAAGCTTTTTTTATAGCTAGAACGCGACATTACAATATACGGCTGATTGCGCTGGGCGCACATCGAGAGAGCTCGAGAAGTATGAAGCAAAAGTTGAAAGGACTTTAGATACCCGCGTTTTTTATTGGCGGAACACGCTTCCTGAAATGAAGCGAGCAAATAAGGTTATTGTTTTTTTTAGCTCTGGCAGTCACAACATGATGATTTTATATAGAAATACAATGATGAAAGCATAGGCAAAGTCGGATATAGAGCCTTTATTTATAATAAAGGACCATAGAAATGTTTTAAAAGTTTTAGGGTGATGAAAGCTCTCTTTTTGCTGCCTTTTTGCTCCATTTTCTCAGCCCTTATGCACCATTTTTGCTGTCTCTCCCTTTCTCCACCATTTCTCGAGCCTTTAAAATCTCAGAAAAATGGAAGGCTCGATAAAGGGAGTCTCTTTGCTGGCTTTCGCTGCCTTTTTTGAGCCTCTCCCTTTTAGCGGTCATTATCCACCATTCCGACTTTGCCCGAGAGTATACAAATAAAAAATCAAACGACGAAAGTTGGAAATGAAATCTATCACATTTGCGCAATAACATAAACGTTGCCTAGCTCATAAACGATCAAGGTCAATATATATATATATATATATATATATATTGACTGATATATATATTGACTATTTTGAATTATATATATATAATTCAAAATAGCCGTCAGATAGTGAGAAAGATAACTAAATTTTGCAAAATTTGGAGTCAGAAACGATATTGATCTTCGCTAAATTACTTTGAACAAAGCATTGAAATGAAAACACCTAATCGCAAATGGGCTTCGAAGTTCCTCCTGTAATGAGTCCCCTTTCATTTTAGAAGTTCTTATTCCTTTTCTTTCTCTGACGGCTGTTTTGGATTTCGCGAAATCGCTTTGGACACGGCATACAAGTTTTGACGGTACAGTGAGAGAGCCGAATTTTGCGCTTACTGTGATTGAATTTCTGCAGTTCAAACCAAACGGAGGGGTGTGCTCACAAAACAAATATCGCGTGTACTTCGGTTACGCGCAATTTATAAAAGATTTGAGCTCCAGCCAAAAAGCCCTATGAGCTGCGAATGTTTTTTTTCTCACTTGAAAATGGTTAACATCTTAACTTCCAGCTTAAAGTAGCTTCATTAGATATGCTTTTTTTTAATCAATGTGAATTCATCGTCAATATATGTTGTTAAAAATCTCATATAATTATTTTCAGCCCTTTCTTTCCACTGAAAAAAAGTTATAAATATTCAGATGAGTTCTGCTGTTTTACTTAGAGATGGGGATGAAAAAGAAAAGATTGAAACGATAGAAGAAAGTCATTCCAATCGCTCTTTTTTCTCCGAGACCTTGCATTTTTTAATATGCGCTGGTGGAATTCTCTTGTGCTATTTCTATTTTGGAGTCCAACAGGAAAGAATGTGAGCTTTTGGTATTTTAATATATCTTGTATCTTCGGTTTTCAGAGTTCAAGGAAAGTATGAAGGAGGCGAGAAGTTCACTTACATCCAAGCATTAGTTTTTTTCTTATGCGTAGCAAACACTATCTTTGCTTGGATTTTCCGTCAAAGAAACGACATTGATAATGTTCCTACCAAGTGTGTGATTTTTTTTTTTGTTTAATCGTTCGAAAAATTTGGATAAAGCACAAATTCAAAAAGTCTTTATTCGAAAACTTCAATTGATTATGTGATCAATTATGTGATCTTCTAGACTAAGAAAATAAAAACAAAAAAAAAAGAAAAAGTTTTGTAACGCGTAAAACGCATTAACTATCCATTCTTATTCATTAAAAAAACAATAAACTTTAAAATCGGAAAAGCTATTTGAAAAAAACGAGGAATTGGAAAATGCAAGTTTTTTTCATTGAAAAAAAAAAATGATTGAGTGTGTTTGCAGGCTGTACGCTTCTTGTGCTGCTAGTTACCTTCTTGCCATGATTTTCAGTAACCAGGCTTTGCAATACCTGCCGTATCCGACACAGGTGAAAATTAATTAGAAAGATAATTTTTCAACTTCTTCATTAGGTGTTAGCAAAGTCTTGCAAACCCATACCAGTGATGGTTTTCGGAGTACTTTTTGCTCAAAAGAAGTACAAATGGAGGAAATATCTATACGTGCTGATGATCGTTGTTGGCGTGGCCATGTTTTTGTACAAAGATAAGAAGTCGAAGGCAGAATCTCAATTTGGCATAGGAGAGCTACTTTTGGTAAGTATACAATTAGTTTTTTGAATGAAGTAGTCACTTTTTGTTCTAATGGGGTTGAATTTCAGTTACTCTCTCTAGCTATGGATGGAACAACGACTTCCATTCAAGACGTAATTAATAAAAACTACCGCCGTAGTGCCTTGAGCATGATGCTTTTCATGAACCTTTACTCAACAGTTTATCTGGCAGCGGGGTTTTATATATTCGTTTGATTTTTCTCTAAACGCTATGTTTCAGCCTTGTCGTGACTGGGGAGCTTTTCTCGTTCTTCGGCTTCATGCAGAGACATCCTCATATTTTCTGGGACCTCAGCTTCTTAGCTGCCTCTTCTTGTGGCGGACAGGTTAGCCTTTCTACCTGAAAAACACAAAAAAGCGGAAGATGGAGATCCGTATTCTAGAAAAAAAAAATTTTTTCAGCAAGTTAGGGTAAAATTATATGATCTTGAAGCGATAATCTTTCGGACACATGTATTGAACTTTCGAAAAAAAAGAACAAATGATTTTTGGGGCCTTTTTAAGAGAAGCACATTTTTAATCGCTGTAGAACTCAGAGTACTCAACTTGTATTGACCTTATCTGAACTTTGAAGTTGCGAACGAAAGATTAACGAATCTTCCGACTTTAATGTTACGGACCAATCTTTTTTGGACTTTTCGAAAAATGATTACTCATATACTGGTAGGGTCTCTCTGCGGCAAAAAACAGAGACAGTCCGCGGGTGTAGATGGCGAACGCCCGTTTTCTCACCTATTCGTTCTATCGGCTATCCGTGTTCGTGAACAGTTATATCCGTGAGGTTCGCCCTTTCTCATCTTTCCGCGCCTGTCCCCTTCCCGTAGACTAACCGGTTTTGCTCACACCCCGTCGGCTCTCTTCGTGTGCCTACAGCCATTTATTTCTCCAGTTTTCTTTTCGAAAAGCAGTCGCGGAAATCAAATCATTGAGTTATCTTTCCACTTCGTTTCAACATAAATTCGTTTGTTTTCTGAGGACACCGAAGTGTTTATTTGGCGCTCTCCGCGGTTTGGAACTCTTGGGCGTCGCCCAAACAATGGAAAAATAATAATGGCACAGTTTTGCGAACGGTTTCGGTTTTCGGGTAAAATGTTACAGGAGTGAGGTTTTGCTTGTGTCAAACGTTCTCGTGCCGAGTGCTGGTTGTGGTTCGTGAATTTCTTCGATGTCGTTGCTCTGTTCCGGCCCGTGCGATCCTTCGGCGTTCTTGATCGTTGTCATTCTTAGGTACGCCGCAAATGCCGCGGGGCTCCTCCATCGCCCGGTCTTCATGACAGAGGCGGAGTCCTTGCCGGCTTCCACCGCGTTCGACGCCGCGCCTCCCCGGAATGCGTGGCTCGTGTAGTTCCTTTCTGCAAGGCCTGCGTTTGAGAAGAGAGATTTTAGTTCCTTGCTGGCCGTGGAGTATGAGATTGGTCGACCGGTCGAGGCGGACTGGAACAAGAACAACGCACCTTGGCACAGCCGCCGATGTCTCTCGTAGATGGTGTACTCGTTTTTCGTCAAGCAGATGCTTATGGACGTCCCTTTGCCTTTCTGGTCGGTCTTGGATCGTGCCAGGAAGATGGAGCCAGCTTTGCCTGTGGCCTCCACGACAACATCTTCCTGTCGCAGGTTGATGGCTTCCGAGATTCTCAACAGGCCATTATACTGTAGAAGGCTGAGGGTCGCCGGCCTGTCAAATATCGGGTTTTCGGAGGCAAAATCGATAAGGATACAATAATCTTTCAGGGAAATTTTGGTTCGATTTTGAGTGATTGGTTTTGACCTGCTAGCTGCGGATAAGATGGAGGATTCCAGTGACTTGAGCTGCGGATCGACGGGTCCTAGGAAGTGGGTGAGACTCGAGGCTGCTTGCGCCACCGACGCGTGCTTCTCCCGTCGCATCTTTTCCGTCAGGAAAAGAATTCGCAGGTCGTTCTCTTGCGGGTGAAGTCGTGCTAGATCTCTAGAAAAACTCGAGAATTGCTCTAGATGAATTCGGTAGTTGGATGGTGTTCGGGGATCTCCCCGATTCAAACACTGACAGCAGTTTCTTCGCCAGGACGGGTAAACCGGCTTTTGCTGCCCAACTCGAAAGCCTTTCTGCCTGGTCGAACCTCGATTCTGCAATTCGCGTTGGTTATTGTGTGCGTTGGCAAAAAAATTTTTTTTTTTTGTGAGAGGGGTGGGTGGGTGGGTGGGATCAACCTTTCCTAAAGGTTAAACACAACTGGAATGAGGGAATTTCTTAGAATTACGGATGCGCGCGTTTGACGCGAGTTTACTGTAGCTAAATTTGTGTGGTGTGTTTCCGCGTGAGACCCCGATGGTAAAACCTTCGGTCTCTCTCTCCAAACAAAATAGTATTTATCTTTCCAGTTCGTTTCAACATAAATTCATTTTGTTTTCTGAGGAGACCGAAGTGTTTATTGGCAGGGAAATGCAAAGAGTGTGCACTGACTCCTCATCGAAAAGGAATTTCTTTTTTGGGAATAGGCCTATCTGAAAAGTCTAGAAATACGAAAATAAAAGGAGATTTGGTAAATTGCGAGTTGAACGCTTCACCGGGTCCGCCCAAATCAAAAATTTTTGCTCCCGTCGGCTCTTTCAGGTTCTTCGAAAAACGGGATTTTCAATCCAAATTTCAAGGTGCTTTCTAGCCATGGTGAGGGTTGATCTTTTCTCCATTCTTTTAAGTAGTTATGTATGCTACCGGCTATGAACTTACCTTCAGAGGTATTTGTTTGGGCACTGTCTGGCCCAGTGAGACCGGGAGCCGCAGTTGAAGCATTCACTTGCGGTGATGTTTTCGACGCGAGCTCTCTTAGTTGGGATGGGGTCACCTCGAAGGCGGAAAGAATTTTGTGTAGGAAATCCGTTGCTTGATGGTGGTGCCGGAACGTTGGAATCCATGAGGCTGGGGATTGGGGCCGCCCGCTGCCATGAGACGGCACCGAATCGGAAGGGCTTGCGCAGTCTTTTGGCGTCGTCTTCTCGAGGAATTCATCTAGCCACGGGATTTCGGTTTTCATCCTCTCTCTTTCCTCCTTCTCTGCCATGAACTTAAATATCTCTGGCCTGGTGTCTCCAACTTTGAGCACTTGGTTCCGTTCCGAGAGGGACGCAAGGAGGTTGTGGGTCTCTTTGTCTCGTTCGTCCTTCGTCAGCTTTTCCAGGGAGCTTATTCGCTTATACAGAGATGAGTTGAAATCAAACTGGTTTTTTAGATCCGGATTCGAGAATCGAGGCGTGGCTTGGGGTTCGGGTGCACGGGAGCTTCCTTCTACTTTGTCCGTTAGGGAATGTAGGAGTTGTCTGAACTGTTTCCCTCCGAAAGCTGCGGCTTTGGCGCTGGGTCTGTCATCCTGTAAACAAACAGGTCAGAGTTTTAAAATTTGGAGTTATGTTGCCAATATGGAGCGGAAATGCGCGCGACAAGAAAAACTAAGGAAATTTTGAATGGGGGCAGTTTCTTCCGGTCAAGACGCGAGGGACGGAGTCAAAAAGGATAGCAAAAGGAAAAACGTAGAAAAGTGAAAAAAATTTTTTTTTCGATTTTGGGTTCAAATTGCGGGGGGTTCGAGAATAAATTAGGACAGGAAAGGGGGGATACGATGAGCAAAACTGTGCAATAAAAAGAGCACAACCTTTCCTAAAGGTTAAACACAACGGGAATGAGGGAATTTCTTAGAATTACGGATGCGCGCGTTTGGCGCGAGTTTACTGTAGCTAAATTTGTGTGGTGTGTTTCCGCGTGAGACCCCGATGGTAAAACCTTCGGCCTCTCTCTCTCCAAACAAAATAGTATTTATTAAATCGTTGACTTGGAAGGCGGGATGAGTATACTGTCCAGGGGGAAGCGTGGCGTACGCGACGCGGCTTTTTGGAAGGAAGTCGCGATCAAATGCAAGCCATCATTTTTCTGCTTTTTTGATGATTACTAATGAAGTGCAAGAAAAAAAATACCTATAATAATCAGATAATCAGGCCGTTTTCTTGTCTAGTTATCGTATATAATAATTAGATTATTTGCTTTTCCCTTTCAGCTATCTTGGAATCTCAACTCTTACGTGTAGCTGGAGAATCCCGTTTTCTCAAGTTTTTAAGTTAGATTTCGTCGTACGATGAAAAAGGATAAAAATGTTGATGGTGATTAAGGCGAATAATATAGAAAAGTTATTAATGATAAGAGTTTATTTTGCGAAGATACGAGTTTACCTTTCTTGGAATATTGCAGTATTTCATCTTCAAGACGGTGCACGAGTTCTCGCCGTTGACATGCTCGATTGTGACGACGACGCGAAAGCTTTTCACCATAATCATTTCGGTTGTCTTCATGAACCATCCACTCTCCACACGCCAGTCCTACGCCACTGCTGTCGTATTTTTGGCTCTCACTGTGGACGCCGTCGACGGCAAACTTTCGCAGTCCAAAAAGAAACAGTCTATCGCCTGATATATCAACCTTTATGTGATACTAGTCATTTTCTGTACACCTGTTTCTTTTTTTCTCGTTCTTTTTCATATTTGGGTATGGTTTTTGTAATTCAACCTCAAAATATTTATTGTTAATCTTATTTAATTTATTAGAAAAAAAAGAATTCTATTTGAAGCATCAAACGTTCGTACCACACTGAGAACTCTCAAAATGCATCCATCAAGAATTTGCTAGTCTGTTCAGGTTTTAAATGTCAAGCAGCAGACTCCACAACGCTCTGTGGATAGCTCGCTCTCTGATTAGATTGATCTACGCATAAGGGGCGGAGTTTGAGCGGTGACTTGACTTTCAATGTCTGAACAGACTATGTGAGAACATTAAAGTTGGATATTTATACAGTTGCAGGAGGTAAAAAAAATTTAGGTTTTATTTTCAAGTTGGGTCTTCTGCGGATAATTTCTTACACGTTAACATAAAATTGAAAAAGTAAAGTGCCCCTTTTAGGGAGAAGCGTACTTATTGACCACTAAAAGGAAAGCGAAAATGACCACTGGAAGGACTAAGAATGAAGTATGCCTCCAAGGGGTCATTTCGCAAAGCAGTTTGAGTGTAGTACCACTAAATGCGAGAAGGAGCACTTGGAGATCAAAAGAAAAGACGCAAAGCTAGCATTTATCAATCTTAAAATAATTTCTTGTCCTTTCTCTAGTGCTATAGCCGAGAATCGTAGGTTCGTCGCACTTTTTGAGCTCAAAAGCTAGTCTCAGTGTTCTTGGACGACTTGACTTGGCGAAAAAGATGAAGCCGTATCAAAAAAAAAGTCAAGCCTCGGGGAATCGAAGACCGCAGTAAGACGTTTTAGATGTAATCAGATTGTTTAGGAGGTTTATTTTTTTCCAGCGTATATAGAAATCATGAAAAGATAAATTATATGGATTAAGAGAACGCATATTTTGAATCTATTAAGCCTCACAAGGTTGGTTGTTAAGGTCTCACATTTCTCCTATTGAAACAAATATTCATTGACTTTTTTTACTGAACAAAAGAGAACTTTTTTTGAATTTTTTTAAAAAAATACTTTTTTTATATTAACTGACTTCAGTTTCCCACATTTCGCGTTCCGTTGAAATCAGGGAAACTAGTTTCAAAGCGCGTGATCACAGTGCCGAACATTTTGAACTTCGCGCCTTATTTTTGGGCGCGACCGCGCCGCTCTTTCACGCGGAGCGGTTTCGCGTAGGATGAAATCTTGGCAATTTTTTTCCTCATAATTTGATTAATTATGATTCTCTCGATCTCTTCATAAACTTGAGAAAAATACTCCGAACAAAGTATGAAATAAAAATTTTGAAGGCTTACTAAAAGATAACATTCATACAGCTTATTAAATTTATTTTATTATAAAAATAAAAATAAAAGAAAAACCGAATTGAGTAGCTTTTTGTATTCTGTTTTTTTCTAGAAATTTTTGCTATCAGATTCCAATGTTAATTTTCTTCTCTTTATCGGTCATTAAATTATCTCGATTTCTCAATTTTATTCAGTTGTTGTTTTGAAATTTTGAATTTTTTTCAAACTTAAATTTCAACTTCTTGAATACAAAAATTTTTTTCATGAAAGCTTTCAAAAATTTTTTTTTAGCAGAATTTGAAGGTGCAATAAAGAAAAAGGTTATCAAGGGATGCACATTTTTTTAATTATTTTTAAATGATAAAAAAATATAACTATCATAGGTAAAACTGAAAAAGTTCCTTTGAGGATCCTCAAAGGATCCTGAGAGGGAGATAAAAAGCTTCTTCCAAAAGCTCCTAAAATGATGTAAAAAAGCTTTTGAGCACCTTTTTCATTACCTCAGAGGATCCTTTTTGAATCCTCTCGGATCTTTTAAGTTGCTTACCAGCATCCTTTTTGTCAGAGGATGTGAAAAAGACGCAAAAAAGAATTGAATGATGTAAAAAAGATCTGCTGGGGACCCTTTCAAGGTCTTTTTTTGAGAAAAGCTTATGGGGAGCTTTTCAGTTTTGCCCGAGATCCTTCTTTTTTTATTTCAATTTTTCACTTCATCAATGAGATAGCAAATATGTGAACAATTATATTCAAGATTCTTACCTCCTTACGAGTTATCCAGACGTATTTTCATTCAAATTAAATTTTCAGGACATTTTTCAGCCGGAGCTTTTTGTGACACTATGCCACAAAGCTCATCGGCATCATCAAAATGGTCTCCTAGAACAAAGCGGGATAATTTGTCATTCAACGAGCCATCAACTTCATCCGTTGAAGTTAGTTTTTTTTTTCAAAGCTTATTTAAGTTGGTTACTAGCCTTCTAGAGAATTTGGTTTTCGTTCGCACGCGTTCAAACGGAAAACGAATGTATAGCTGATTCACGACTGGCTCAAAAATCGATACTTTTTTTGTTTCGATGTTCAGTTTGAAAATAATGTCATTCTGGCGTGAAGTTGAGTATAAAAATGGCCCGATAAATCCTTGAAAGCTAGATATTTTTTATAGTCGTTAACTGCGTAAAAATTTAGAGAATATCGTTCCAAATTGAAAAAAAAAACTGACGAAGCTGCAGTTTTTGAAAATTCCTACAGAGTCGACTCTTTCATAACGGGTTCAAAAAATGATGAAAAACGCAAAATCAACTGTGAAAGTGCGACCAGGCCTAAGTTTTACAGCTCATTAAAGTAGATTAAGTAGAAAAATTCAAAAATTTCTTCGTACGTTTTTGTTTTTTTGTTTCTATCGTGGACAGTTTCTGCTTTCAAATATTTTTTTCAAAAAAATATCGTGCAGTTTTCAAAGTAGATGCGCGTTTATCTTTTTTTCCCCGTCTAACGGCTATTTTTTTAATATCAAAGGAAAAACGAACTTGTTTAGTTTTGAAACATACGAAAAATTCAAATATAAAAGATTCATTTCTTGTTATCTTGTAAGCTCTCAATTCCAAACCTCCACTGCATATCCACAATGAATTTATGTCTATGACTAAATTATTTTTTTATAAGATATTCTGGAAAAAGAAGTAAAAAAAGAAGCGATAAATTTGATAGTAAATAAAAAAATAAAAAAAGCCGACCACCGGAGAGCTTTTTATAAAGCCAAATGCAAATCAGAAAAAAAGTGAGGCACGTGACAGTTGCCACATGTCATTGTTCTTCCAAGTTGGGGCTTAGATTAACTTTCACGCAGAATAAAATAAACATTTTATCTCGCGTAATTCGTGAGTAATTCAGTTATTAAGCTATCCTATTCATCTCAATGTTCAGAATTTCCAGGATCCCTCAACTTCTGCAGAAGAACCTTCCGAATTGAGATCGAATCTTATTGCACGTTTGCTGGCTAAAATAAGAGACGTGCGCGATGAAAGGTGAATATATTCGTAAAATAATAATTTCTTTTGTTAATGAAAGTAACTTCGTGCATTTATCAATGTGAATCAGTAATGAACATTTTCACGCTGCCAGTTAAAAATATTGAAAAATCATAGCTAATTTTCAGAGAGACTCTGTGTTTCGATGTGAAGAAAGAAGATGAATGTCCCAAAGAACTTAGTCATCCTACCGAACGGATAGCGCCGCTCAATGATCATATTCTTCAGCTCGAAACAAGGTTCATGGTTTTGCTGATAGGAGATTCTATTTTAATTATTACAGAACGTCTGGTGTTTTGTTAGAAGACCTCTTAAAAAACCCAAGCTATGCGTCTCTGGCAATTAAGATGGAAGCCGAAGGTGATTTTTTTTTCTGATAATTTCTGAGATCATTATTTTTTCCCCGCACAAACACTTTTAGTTTTCGTAGAGAATGTTTCCCAATTCACCAGACAGAAGTTTAAAAAAGTTGAACTTGTTTTTCCTTTTTTCAATGAAGCGTAGATAATGTTTCGTTAGTAGTCGGGAAAAGAACTGTATTCGTTTCACTTATGTCGCGTTTAAAGCAGATTCGACGCGCACTGAAAAAATGAAATCCCAGGGCTCTCTAGGGCTGGAAACATTTCTTAGTGATTTCTTCAATCTGATTCGCCACATTACCTAGAATCTTCTCAACCTACTTTTGAACGTTATACCATTCATGTTTTTTCCTTTGTCGAGCGAAACGCTATTCAAGAAATTTAATTCTTTATAAGTGAATTGCAAGGTGAAAGTATATGTGATAAAAATGAAGTTCAGCTTTGAGCAGCAAAGAACTTGCCCCTATCGAAGTGAAGATCGAGGACGTCGCTTCTTCGTCAGCTGTTAGTCTGCTTTCTAGTTTCCTGTACTTTTTTCATTTCTAGTCCACGAATGTTACAAGTGGCTCCCAATCCGTCTTCGATGGCAACCAGGAGACGAACGTTGAAAAAGCAGCAAAAAGAGTACGTTTTCTTCTATTTGGCTTATATAATTTATAATAAGAAACATCCTCAAGCTTTTCCATTGATCAATATTTTTCCTTGCGTAGAACCTCGTTAAAGAGTTTTGCATAACTTTTATTTTGCTCATAGCTGAGAAATTTGGCAGGAAGCGCATGTTATGGCGAAGATTGCGGAACTTCGAAGAACTGGGATGTGGACGAATAGCAGACTGCCGATGTGTGTGGAACCTGCTCGCAACAAGACTCACTGGGACTATTTGTTGGAAGAAGTCAGGTGGATGGCGACCGATTTCCGACAAGAAAGAAGTTTCAAACGGAACGCTGCTAAAAAGGTGTGTCCCTCGACCGTTGAGCAATTACGAGCTTCATTCTTCTTTCAGCTAGCTACCGCAATCAATCGCCAACAGAGGGATAAACAAATTGAACAAGAAAAAGCTGAACAGAGAGTTGTTAAGGTTTTTTCCACCTAGTTTCTTCTCTAATTCCATTTTTCAATCAGGAAGGAAAGAGAATTTGTGCTTCGATTGCAAAAATGATTCGCGATTTCTGGCAGAACGTCGACAAAGTCGTCGATTTCAGAGCACAGGTTGTTTTTATTGAATGTCTTTTTTTTTAACAAGCCGGTTTCAGGAGATCCTCGAGTCGAAAAAACGAAAAGCCCTGGACAAGCATCTTGCTTTCATTGTGGGCGAAGCGGACAAGCTGAGCAGCATGGTTCAAGAAGGACTGATTGCGGAGAAGAGCTCGAAGACGCCGTCGATCGCTTCGGATCCCGCTGACAGTACGTTACCCACAACGAAAACTCTCATTACTAAAACTATCGTATCCAATATAGAAAAAAAAATTAAAGAAAACGAGAAGCGAAGCGTGTGCGTTCGCGGATCTTGGCAGGAGTTCAATTCAACCGTCATTGATTGTTTGAAGAGCTTGTTTTTCGCTTTTTTCATTTCTTTTTTGGTTATTTATTGATTTTTTTATTTCTGCATCAAAAAATAGCAGAATAGATGAAAAAAATATCTCGGCAAACGAGCTTTTTTTAAATAGTCGCTATCGGTTGAATCGAACTCGTGCCAAGAAACGCGTACGCACACGCTACGCGTCCCGCCCATTTCTCTGTCTCTCTCGCCTTTCAAGTCAGGAAAAAAATTGACTATAAACTAAATCTCAAAAAAATATATCGTTTTAATTCAATAATCTCGAAAAATAAAAAAAGTTTCTTGCTTTACAAACTCGTTTTTTTGGGAGTTTTCTTTGGCAGAATTTTCAAATTTTTTTCATGACGGTTCAAAAAAATTGGAAATTTAACTTTATCTGTCGAGTTAATCTGTTTATATATTTTTATGGACTAAGGGAAGGTTTTACGCTGATTTTACAGAAGATGACGCTGAGTTTTCCGGCGATGAGTCTGAAACTGATGACGAAAGCACTATTGCGAAAGCTGAGCTCTCCGTCAGGGGAGAAGAGGTCAGGAACGAAGTGGCCGCTTTAGAGGACGAAGCGAACCAAGACATCGATGATTTTCTGGCTTCGGTTTAGTTTTCATATTTTCTATCTTCATTCAGCCCAGTTTCAGTTACCGGAAGGCTATTTGGCATCACTTGGAATTCAACCATCCTCCATCAAAAATCGAGAAGAAACTCCAAACCACAAAGAAATTGGTGAAAGTAGCGCAGGCTCCAGCGCAGAGGTGCATTTTTGGCTTTCATTATACTCCGAAAATCTTGCTTTTTCCATCATTTTCGCTTTTATCATTGACCCTACATTTTTAGAAAAATTTTGAACACCTGAATGATGACAAGAAGATGGATAAGAGCGAAGTTTGTGAAGTCTCAAGTACATCGGCTTCAATTGACGAGGCGTCCGAGCAAAATCAAGACCATGCCGCTCTGGTATTTTTGATTATATTATCGCCAGAAGTAAAAAGAAATCAGCGGAGTAACGAAAAAAAAGCTAATTCTTGAAAGATAGGTAGAAATACGGGAGGTGGGAAAGTACAGAAAATTAGTGTGAGATATAAATAAGAGACAAAAATTGAGAATAGGATGATTGAGTAATTGAGCGCAGAATATATTTAGAATTTTCATATGTTCTTAGAAGAGTCAACTTTTTTGTCTACAGGATGGAAACGGCGATAGCCGCGGGGTCCTCGAACAAGTGGATTACGCAAAACTGAACAGTGAAGACAGCGACGAACGACAGAAAGAGCTAGCCAACATAGCGGAAGAAGCTTTGAAGTTTCAACCCAAGGGATACACTCTCGAGACTACCCAGGTTTCTTTCACTTTCTTATGAGAATGGAAACTTGTGAGTTGAAAAAAATATTCTTTTCTCGTTATTTGTATTATTAATTTTTTTTAAACCTTTTTCCTTATTCTGATCATCATCGTTTCTTTTAAAGGTTAAAACAACAACTCCGTTTCTCATTCGAGGAATTTTACGCGAATATCAAATGGTTGGCTTGGACTGGCTGGTTACTCTCTATGAAAAAAATTTGAACGGGATTTTGGCGGATGAAATGGGTAGGTGAAGCCTTTTTTTTTGCGTGACTTTAGACTTTTCATTTCCACTGTGACTCAGAATCATAAGAGGAACCAAAATATTCGCAGTTTTGGCGTTTCAGTTTCGCCTGTGTCGCGCAAATGCTGAGTTCAATGTACAAGTTGAATTAAGGTCTGGGAAAAACGATCCAAACTATTTCTCTATTGGCCCATCTGGCGTGTTCCGAGTCGATTTGGGGTCCTCACTTGATTGTCGTTCCGACGTCGGTGATTCTGAACTGGGAAATGGAGTTCAAGAAGTGGTGTCCAGCTTTGAAAATCCTCACGTACTTCGGTTCTTTGAAGGACCGGCAGGAGAAAAGAAAAGTACTTGTTTGAAATACTTCATCTTTTTCATCTTATTTTTGTAGGGATGGTCAAAACAGAACAGTTTCCACGTCTGTATCACTTCCTACAAAACTGTGATTGCGGATATCAGGGCTTTCAAGAAAAAAGTTCGAGGAAAATATTTTCTAAATTCGTTTTTATTTTTTGAGGCATGGCAATATCTCATACTGGACGAGGCTCAAAACATCAAAAATTGGAAAAGCCAACGATGGCAGGCCTTGTTGAACATGCGAGCTCGTAGAAGGCTTCTGCTGACAGGTTTCATTGAAGCTTACTTTTTTCGAAGATGAGATTTCAGGGACACCGCTGCAGAATTCTCTGATGGAGCTTTGGTCTTTGATGCATTTCTTGATGCCGGCCATATTTGCGAGTCACGACGACTTCAAGGACTGGTTCAGCAATCCGTTGACCGGAATGATGGAGGGGAGCGTCGAGTTTAACGCCCCTCTTGTCCAGCGACTTCACAAGGTTCTCATTTTCTTTTTTCTTTTCTAATGAGGTACCGATCTTTAGCAACCAAGAATTGTTTAGGTTCTGCGGCCTTTCATACTTCGTCGTTTAAAATGCGAAGTGGAAAAGCAACTGCCCGAGAAAACTGAACACGTCATCAAGTGCTCCCTGTCCAAGCGTCAACGATACCTCTACGACGACTTCATGAGCAAACGGGAAACTCGAGAAAATCTCAAATCAGGCAACATGATGTCTGTGTTGAACATTGTCATGCAGCTGCGCAAGGTTAGAAAATTATTTTTTTTTTAAAAGTGATTTCGAGTATTTATGAAAAATAGAACGACAATCAATTATTAATGGAACTAAAATTTATTTTTCAGTGTTGTAACCATCCGAATCTTTTCGAGCCTCGCCCAGTTGTCTCTCCACTCGTTCTCAACAAACAGACTCTGCACCTGCCTGGCTTCTTGTTCGACATCGCCGATTCCGATCCAGCCAAAGACCAAATAATACCTCATATTTTCGATCTGCGGAGTCGTCTCGGAGGCTGGCAAACGCAGGTGCGACTATTGATAGTTTTTCTTCGTATCCAAGGCTTCCAGGTTTCTTCGAGACGACCGCTCGTCGAGGAAGTCGGCAACATTGTCGAAGTTCTGCGTCCACCTACTGTCGAAGGCTTCCGCTTCTGTAGGACTAATTTCGACGCGGTAAAACTACTTTTTTTTTGATTGTTTAGACAATATCAGCCCAAAATATTTTAAGAAAAAAATTTTATTAAAGTTTTTTTATTGAAGAACCATTTTCATTTTTTTTATTAAATTTAATTTTTTTACTCCTCATGTCAGTATATATAAGAAAAAAACTTTATTTTCCATGTACGTTAATACCTTTGCCTTTTTTTTGAATCAAAGTATGTAGGATTAATTTTTCGATATTTCCTTCTATGAGGCAGAAGTATGGAGTAAATTTACTTCGGAAAATACATTTTTTGAGGACGAATTCATTGAAAAACTTTGAAACGTGGTAATTTATCTTTCCGATTTGCTCAATTACGACTTGGTTTTTCTTAATATCAATTTTTTTTCGAAAATTCAAATACAGGAAGTACATTCAGAGGTTTTCAAACTCGCTGGCAGCTACAAAAACAAGGCGAAGCGCTGACAGTCCCAGTGAAGAGGAGTCGAAGTCGAACACAGAGCCGATCAACGGGCACACCATTTCTGAGTACCTGGCGGCGATAGACGACTCGGGAGAAAACCCAGCGACGCCCGTCAGTGCCCAGGGACAGCCATTCGCCAAGCCGCCTCAGAGGCCAGTTTGCGTAAGCTCGACAGTTTTTCTAAGTTTCCTCAGAAGTGTTTTCAGTCGAGTCTCCGTGCGAAAACCGTCCTGAATCCTGCGCCGCTCTCCATCTCGACTGACTCCAGAGGCTTCCACTACAACATGACCAATGGCGGCACTCATCCCACGAGAAGCTACGCCGACGCCCGTTTCAGTCCCCCGCTGAAAAGACCCAAGCGCACCGACAAATTCGAAGCCTACGTTCCGGTTAGTTTTGCTCTCAACGCCTTTCTCATTGGAAATTATTTTCAGGTCAAATTCAATGACCGAATGAACAGCATGAAGCGAAATCACCGTGTTGTTGTTTTGCGGCGGTTCGATTCCATCAAACGGCCCATTCTTTGCAACGAGCTGATTTCGCTCCTTCGTTTGGATAACTCTGTTAGTTATTTACTTGTTTTCTTTAATTTCAATTTTTGCACATCACTACAAAAAAAATTAACAAGGGTTTTTGTAAGGGTTTTTTGTTCGTTTTTTTTTGTTTTGCGTTACATCGATATTGAGATGGAAAATTTTATATGATATTAGATTACATGAAATTTATCGTGATTCTCGAATAAAAAAATGGGAAGAAATGGCAAAAGTAGTAACTGCTTGAGCCGATGTTTTAGCGTGAAATTCTACGTTCAAGTTCGTTCAATTTATTCGTTTCAGAAGGGCGGAATGTGTGAAAGAGATGAAATCAAGGTTTCACTCAATGGCAGTACGGATCTTCTTCTCGATAGGTATTTTCGAATTCTGTTTTGTGTTCACGAGCAGTTTCAAGGTTCTCAATGTATTCGGAAAACGTAGTTAGCGACGCGTTGGACTGTCGCGCGAGTTCTTTGGGTCGACCGGTGCCGGGACTGGTGCGTCAGAACAAAGTGGAAGAGGCGGCGAAAACCGTCCTCAGCCAAATGCCGAGTACTTTCGACAAAATCTCCCTGTCGCGGGTCGTGCAGTTTCCAGAGCTTCGTCTCATCGAGTACGACTGCGGTAAGAGAGGTCCCCCATTCAAACAATCACTTCCTGTGCTTAGGAAAACTTCAAATTCTTTCGAATTTGCTGAGACAGCTGTTTTTGTACAAACATCGGTGTCTGATCTTCACCCAGATGTCTCGAATGCTCGATGTTCTTCAAGCTTTTCTTTCTTACCATGGGTATCAGTATTTCCGACTGGACGGTACAACTGGCATCGAACAGAGACAAGTTCTCCACGGAAGTTTTGTTTAACGCAACTTCTGTTTTCAGGCAATGATGGAACGTTTCAATGCAGACCCTAAGATATTTTGTTTCATTCTATCTACGCGATCTGGGGGTGTGGGTGTGAACTTGACTGGTGCGGATACCGTCATTTTCTATGATTCTGATTGGAATCCGACAATGGATGCCCAGGCACAGGACCGTTGTCACAGGGTTTGTCTACTTAGATATCGAGAGAAGATATGGGACTTTTAAGATCGGACAAACGAGAAACGTGGCAATTTACCGGTTGATCAGTGAGAAGACCATCGAAGAAAACATATTGAAGAAGGCGGCGCAAAAGAAAAAGTTAGGAGAAATGGCGATCGACGAAGCGGGTTTCACTCCTTCCTTTTTCAAGCAGTCGGACAACATTAGGTTTTGCTCAGTTTTTCGTGCATATCACACATTAGATTAAGAGATCTCTTCGATGGAGAAGAAGTTGAAGTGGAGGCTCCGGCCGACGCTCCTCGCGACCAGAAAGACTTGGAGAAAGTTTTGGCCAAGTTGGAAGATGACGTCGACGTCGTCGCTACCAAGAATGCTACCGCCGAAGCACGCGTCGACAAGGCAGAGTTTGAGGAATCGGCGAAACTGCCAGTCAGCCATCTCTCTTCCGATGAACCGCTAGACGAAAAGTACATGGATCTTATTGGCCAGGTACTCTTTTTTTTAATACAGGTTGAATGCTCTTTTTTTAAGTTGAAACCTATTGAACGCTACGCAATCTCTTTCCTCGAAGAAGAATACAGACCAGAATTCGAAGAAGAAGTCAAGGAAGCAGAGGTATAATCGAAGCGGTTCCAATGTTTATAAGATTTTAAGGCTCTGATTGATCAGAAAAAAGAAGACTGGGTTCGAGCTCACGAACATGCGATGTCCGAAAACGCAGAAGATGTTGGAGACGACTTTTATCTCGGTGGAAGTCTTCTTGATGAGGTACGAAAACGCCGCTCCGGAGGCTCCAACGCGACATATCCTTCACGTAAAATCCAAACCGTTCCCACTCGTCATTCAACCCGCCAAGTAATCTTGCGCAACTCTTTACGATCTCCCAATAGACGGCGCGTTCCTCCTAGCAGTTCTTTCACCCCTCTAAGGTCTCCGGTACGGTCAGCCGCACAGTTAGCAGCAGCAGGACTAGTGCGAAGATCGAAAGGAATCACTCCAACTGCCGGTCGAAGTGTCAGTCAACCATCATCTGCACCCGATTCTTCGAAGCGTGGACGTGGCAGACCTCGGAAGATCATCAAAGAGAGCAAGCAGTTCACACCCGAAGTTTCAAGCGCCAGTTCTGCAGAAAGCAGTAAGCGAAAGGACGTCACTGAGCCACCAACAACAGATACGGTGCCGCCTAAAATAACTATTGTGAAGGCGCGAGCTTCATTAGCCACAGCAATCACATCTGTTCCTACTACCAGTACACTTACCAGTCCGAGTTCCCGTCTTTCCTCCACTACGCCGACTCAAAAGCCGACTGTGGCTCAAAATCCAGTTTTTCCGGTTAGAACAATACGTTCTGGTAGCTCTGTGGTTCCAACATTGAGACGAATTCCAGCTTCAGTTGTACCACCTCAAGCGCGTATTGTACGGATTTCCAACTTCGTCGCGCCTGCATCAATCCAAAGAACAAGTTCTGAAATCTCTCCGACGCGAATCGTCACCCAGAGACATATCGTGACATCGGCTCCTGTTCGCAGGATAGGGCCTTCAGGAGAGCAACGCACATTCTACGCCTATCCGGCACGTGGCCAATCCAATATGCGGCCCGTGTTCCCAGTGAGAGTGATCTCTTCTCAAAGAGTCGCTTTGCAACAGCCGAACCATCAGCAGAATATGCAAGCCTACGCTGATAACATAGGACAACGACCTGGATTGGGAGACTATGAACGTCCAAGGCTTTCATATCGCCGACCTGATGCAGAGCCGGAGACCTAGGGATACCCTCAAAAACTTCCTTTTTTCACTATCTCGAACTTTCATACTTTGTTCCATTTTTACCTTTTAAGATTTCTTGTTATTGCAAGACGGGTTAGATTTTTTTTTCTCCGCTTTAGAGAGAGCAGTAGAACTCGGTTATTCTCATCATTGGTACGCAGAGGAAGTACGTGTGACATTTTTCATTACTGGTTTTCTTGTTTTCCATTCGTCTCTACCCCTATTCTTATCTTTGATATCACTTTCTTATTCAATCGTTGTTTATTTTGTGCAAGTTGGCTTGCTTCGTTGTTTTCTTGTTACGATTCGATAAAGTTGTCGGCTTGTTTCATGCATCGTATCGTTCCTCACACAGTCGCCATCCCTACAAGGGAATTTGCATTTCCGAGTTCAGTGTTCGCGCCTGATCCGTTGTCCACTGCGTCTGCGTTCTGACCGCCGTAGAGACACGTCTTCGCGCCCGGAAAGCGTCTGATCGTAGAACCAAAGGAGAACAAAACGGGTCGGGAGCGAAGACATCAAGGCGCAGTGGGGAACGGAACGAGGCACAGGTCGAAAATTTTGAGTCGTTCAAGAAACAACAAAGAGTTTTTAGGCATTTAGGATATTTCGTAGCCAAACAACGTTTTTTTGGTACTTTTAAAAAAATACCTTCTTTTTTTATTTAGATAAGAAATTTCTCACGATTTTACGAAACCAAACGTGTTCTCTTTGAAAAATCAGCGGTCTGACAAGCTACCAATTCGCCCAAACGCTCTCTGAGTGTCAGATGCCGATCCCTGATATCATATGTCTACCTGCGCGAGTTTCTATTTTTTTGAAATATACATTTTTCAGCTTGCAAAAATATGAATTCTAAGAAAAATTTTTCGAACTTTTTAGCATTTTCATTTTTTTAAAAAAAGTCGGACAAGGCAGGAACTATGCGGGATCTTCATCTAAACCTTCAGAGAGTGTTTGAGCATATTTCTAGAAAATTTCATGTCGCAAAGTAGACATGACCTCCCGTGAGAAAGAAATTCGTACAAGTTTTTTTTTTTCCTGTCAGGTTTGGCGCCAGTAGCGCGACAACATCAAGGAGTTTCATTTTTGTAAGCTTTAAGCTTTCTCAAAGCAATCAACTTTGCGAGAAGCCGTCACCACCGGAAGTTTCTTCAATGAGTTGACAAAGATCGCAGGAAATCAAACGAAAAAAATTGATAGCTCGTAATAAAAAAATTTTTTTAACAAAAAAACAGAACTTGCCAACTTTCCAAAACCATTAATATTGAAGAGGTTTTTTTCTCTTATTGATCCCTCACTTTTTCTTCGTCAGAAATCACCAAAATTTCCATTTTAAAAATGTTGATAGCTCTCCATTATTTATTTAAATCCATTTCGCTTTTTCGGAATGTTAAAAAAACTTGTTATATAACAAAAATAAGTACGTTTCTTTCGACAAACCTCGTTCTTATACACAAAAATCTCAATTACATTTTAATTAATTGGTATCTTTCCATTGTTACTAATATTCGAAAATTAAAGTTCATATTCCAGATTTTGGCCGAAGGATTAGGCTCGTGTTTCGATGACCCACTCATGCCAGTGAGTTAAAATTGAAAAAGGGACAAAAATAGCAGAAAAACGGTTTCAGTCGTGGCTGCCACCGTCCCCGCCGATGTCAGAAAACGAGTTCGACAACTACATTGACGACACTTTTGACCTGATCTACGAGCTCGACCCAATGAATGAGACCCGGCTGCCCTCGACAGTTCACGAGTTGCACAGACCGCTCGCGAAACGTCAGACGCCGGCCAAGTGTTCAACCACGCGAAAGACGTCGTCGCTCTCCTCGTCGACGATCCCTCGAGACGTGCAGCGTTGGCTCGCCGAGAGCAAGTCGGAGAGTGAGGCAACGGTATACGACGTCGTCTCCAAGAGTCTGATGTCCCCGGCGGTGCCCTCCGTCAAGATTTCCGGGCTAAGTCCGGCCCGGACTGACGGCTCGTTGAGTGCTGCTGAAGAAGGTCAAGACATCAAGCATGGTCAGTTTCCATGAATTTCCATTAACGTTTGATTTTTTCTTGGAAACCCCAGAGTTTGTCTTATACAATTATTCGATATTCGTTCAGTGATTAAAAAGGATTCGAAATAAACTGAACGTGAATAATTTCCGATTTCAACAAAATTTAGGCGCTGACTCGTTCTGCGCAATTCGGGTTCAGGCTGAGTTTATTTTTGCCATTTTGTCTGAAATTTTTCTGAAGTTCTTAAAAATTTGAACTAACTTCCAATCAAAACGTCTCGGCTTTCTCATAAGAAGCTGAAGTTTTACTGTTGAAGACTTCACCTTTTTTCCCTGTATTCAGGTAAGAGCCAACTCTTTTTTTTTAACAATTTTCTAGAAAATCATTTTATTTTGGAGATCATTTATATTGAAAGTTGAGATTGAATAGAAGTCATATTTCATAATGAGAAAATTAGCTTGGAAAAAACGGAGTTATTATATTATAGATTTGACGAACGATGCGACCAAGGTGGTGAGGAAAGAGAAGCGGCGCGAGAACGCGAAGGGATCGCGCGACATGATGAAGCGAGCGACAACGCCTCCGGCGCCTGTTCGCGAGGAACTCGACTACGAAGGACCCAACTGGAGCATCATCGAAGATCAGGCCCTTCTGCTGGTACCTTTTGTCTTGATTCTCTTTCTATTTCCGTGTATCTGTTGGATATGGACGATAAAAGACGGAAAAACTTTTCAATAAAGTTATAGTTATAAAAAGTTATACAAATTAATCTTTTAAAGTTTAAAAAAACTCAAAAAAACTCGAATAAAAAAACAAAAAAATGTCCAAACGGACTCGGCTTTTCTCTTGCTTTTTTTTGGAATGACGTAAAATTTGAAGAAAATATTACACATATGATCAAAGGTTCAACAGTTCTAAATCTTTAAACTTCTTTTTTTGGGAATAAGGATATGTTTCGTATTATGTCAATGTTCTTCCTTTGACGAGGAAATTTGAGGCTGTCGAGAATGCGCAAAGAATGCAGCATGAGATGGATCGGACCACCTCCACGGGATCCATGATTTTCAACTGGGAGTTGATCGCCCTGTCTGTCAACCGCGTCACGTCTTTCTATCGGTAAACGTTCACTGTCCAGGACAAAAATTATAAATGAAGCAAACTTGCGATGTATTTCCAATCTTGTATAAAATTTGCAATCGATGCTAGCTGGGGGCTCAACGGCTTGGAAGAAGTAAAGCTTGATTTTGTGTGGAATTCAAAAATTTTCTTGAATGTAATTATTGAATTTAATTCCCTAATGAAAGAATATCTTCAGGCAGCAACACATAATAAGTGAAATAAAAAAACAATTCTCATATAATTATTATCTTCTAGAAGGGACATTCAACAATTCCTCATTGTCTGATCAAAATCCTATCTTACTAGGAAACTTTTTTTACCCCCGGATTGAACTTTTTGATGAAACTTCGCTGAAGTGTACTTTAGATTCCCCTGATTTCAGGACAAGAAGAAAAATTTGGAAATTTCTCGCAATAAATCTCTTTTTTTCGAGGGGGTATGTTAAACGCTCCCTGGTTAGCTCTGTGTGGATCAATTATGGGATTTGAACTAGTGCTGAGTACGACGACCAAGAATCCCAGTCGACTGTTTCTCTTTTAGATTACAACTGAATCCTTTTTTCAAGGTCGGCGAGACAGTGCTGCATACGGTACCAGTCGGCTGTGCGTCCGCGCGAGATGGGCCAGTTGCTGGCTAACGACCCCGTTTCCAAAAAGCCCTTCAAAATCGTTCTGTCCTCTCCGGAAATCGGTCAGTCAGATCTAAGTAGACAACAAGGTATACACTTCCCTTTCAGTTCACATGCGGAAAGGTCGGGCGACGACTCAGCTTCAGTATCACCACGACTATCCGTCTATTTTGGACAAGCGCAATTACAACCGCATGAATCTTATCAACAGGATGAGTTCTAGACTCTCCGTCCGTTTCTGGCGCGGCCCACCTGGTTTTTATAACTCTGAGAACCTAAGAAACCGATTTATTGAAGAAGAACGCAAGTTGGACTGTCTTGAAAGTCAGCTCCCAGCCAAGCACGAATCTCGTCTCAAAGAGTTCGGTATCGATATCTCCAAGCCGGTGGATTCAGAGATTATCACGAAAAATCACGAAGAGAAAATGGCTTTACGAGAGCTGCAGAAGCGAACAAATGAGAAGGCGGAGGAACGCGGGGTAGGTAAATCGACTAATGAACATATTTGAGTTGAGACTCAGGCCTCCCCACCGCCCCACACAAACGTCGTCATGGCCCGACAACACGCGGTTTCCGTCTCCAAGACCGGAACGATGCCTGTCAGAACCACCATGTACATCGACGTACCGCCGAGTCAGGTTCGTAATTTTTTAGCTACTTTTGAGAATATTTCGTTGTCTCTGCTATACAAATGCGAAGACTACCCAGGGGACTATAATTTTTTCTCCTGCTAAACATTTAGAAAGTCTTTTCAGCCTCTCCAACGTGTCGCGCACCCCAACGTCGGCCAAATGCCAATACAGCAACCGACCCTCGCCGTCCACGAACACCCGATGGTTTGCGATCCGGTGCTCAATGGAACATAATACTTTTCAGAATACCTTGGCGGCGCAACAGAACGCTGGCAGAAGAGCGGCTTCTATTCCCACCATTGGACATCAGTCGCAGTATCCTACACAAGGTCCCTTTTTTCATTTCCAATGGTCCCGAAGATAGCCATTTAGGCATCCCAAACGCCAACTTTGTGGTTGTTTCCTCATCTGCTGGCCAACAAGACCAACAAGTACCACAGCGTCTGCCGGTATTTTTCTTTGTATTCGTCGTCTTCAAAAAATGTTCCAAGGGTCCATCTATGAGTTATTTGGCATCTTCCACAATTCAACAGCAGCAGCAGCAGCAGCAGCAACAACAGCAGCAACAGCAGCAGCAGCAGCAGCAGCAGCTACAGAGTCAGCCGCAGACCAATCCTCAGCAACAAGGCGGCCAGATTTATCCCACTCAATTGGTCGTTTCAGCCCCACGCAATGGACAGCAAAGAGTCATGCGGGTTTGCTGGTTCTCACCTTTTGAGGTGTACACGGAGGTGTTTTCAGAGTGTTCCCAACCGCTCAGCCATGTACGTGTCGCAGCCAGGCGCCCCCACCGGCGAACGAACCTACGTCATGCAACAGGCGCAACAGCTGCGCGTTCTGCCCTCCAATCAACGTCTCCATTCCGCTCTGCCGCAGCAGAAACGTTCTCTCAACTCTCAACCACAGCCTGGAACAGTACCGGTCATTTCAATAACCCATCACTATTTTCCTTGCTTCAGGTTGCGGCAATGGTTATGCCTAATCGAACATCCGTCTCTCAAATTCGCTCTATTCCGTATGTTTTTTTCTTCAAAGTTCACGTCTCTTCAAAACGATTTCGTAACACTTGATATTCTGGTATCTAGATGAGGAAGCAAAGTTGGGCGAAATTTCAGTTACCAAAACGAGATTAGGATTATTATGTAAAATTGAACAGCTTATCAAAAAAAAAACCGTAGAATCAGAGAAATCAAAATTTGCGCCGGAGGATTTTCACTCGATGCATTTTTGCCCTTTAAAAGTCGAACTTTTATCTTTTCCGGAATGATTTATAAAGTATAGCTCGGCTTCCAGACGCACCTATTCACAAGGTCAAAGAATCAACGTCGTGATGGCCCAGAATCCGATTCGACAGACCAACACAGGCTCGCCTGTTGCATCTTCTCACGTCATTCCCGGTTTGAGAGAGTTTTTCTCGCATTTGCAAAGGTGCTTTGAAGGATCAACGGCGATGACGAGACAACTGTTAACAACGACGCGCCAGATGCCCGTTTCTCGCGGTGTGTCTCCGCAAACTGTTGCTCAGGTTTGTGCCCAGATGTACTTGTGCCATTCAAAATTTTTTATGCACTGCTAACTTTCCTCTTGGCGGTAAGTGAGACTTATGCCGTGTTCACGGTAATTTTAGCGGGATTCAAAATTTTCTCCGACTCCAAAGTTCATTAAGCTTTTTCACTCTCTGACGGCTATTTCGAGCTTCGCAGAATGACACTGAACACGGCATTAATCTGGTTATTGAAAGACGTTAGGCAAGCTTGAAACAAAATCTTCTGATATCTTACCAAGTAAAGCGAAGAAAGACTTTTCAACGATCAGAGTTCAGCAAGAAGAAACAATAAAAGATGACAATCATGGTTCAAATTTCTTTTTTTTTCTGGTTTAATTTCATAATTTCTTTTTGAAAAAAAAAACCGAATTTCATTTATCATTATGAAAATGAATTGAGAAACCGTATTGCAAAAAAAAGGTGGAAAATGTTGTTTTATTTCTTTAAAAAAAAAAAAATGGAGAAAACAGGTCGCGGTTCAGGTAGTTTTGGCGCCTCCGACGTCAAACGCAGTCCCGATTCCGGTGGCATCGGCTCAGCCTCCGCCTCTGCTTCACGTGCAGTCTACGCCGACGTCTTCGCACCCTTCGGCTGTACTGTCCACTCAAGCGGCCCTTTCAACAGGTCCTGCGGCACCCTCTCCTCATGTGACCGCAGGCTCTGTATCTAGTTCTCAGCCTCAACAGGTACTCCCGCCAACTTCTCAGTCCGGGTCATCCTAATTGCGAGTTATTCTCATTTTCGACTTAACTAACGCTGTTACGGGTCTTTTCGAGTTATTTTGTTGTTGACTGCCCATTTTTCATTCTTCAAATGTTCTAGGATCTTCTAACGTTGTACATGTTTCACTCCGCACTTGATAGATCTCGAATATTTTTGGCATTTACTTTTTCTTGTTTGATAAAACACCATTTTTTTCAATTTCTCTCGAATATAAACTTGTTGCGATTAGAAATCGATGTGTTGTTTTTTTTGGGAAATTATTTTGAAGATTAGGAAGGTAATGTTTTTCTCGGGTTCTTCTTTAACGTTCGCCACGCTATGGTTCCAATCTGAAAATCGAAGGTCTTGGATCCGCATCTCAGAAGCCGCCTTACTTGGATGGAATTTCATTTTTGTCGGGCCACCAGTCTTTGGATAGGGGCTGAAACAAGAGAAAGGTTAATTTGGACTGGAGGTAGGCGTACCCTTGACGATCGGAGGGAAGTCTCGACATCAGCACGCGGCACTGAAACTATTCGCGAAGGCGCCATCATGCTTCTGGCAATCGACGGTCACAGAGAGACAAAGAGTCGGACTCACTGGGTCGGAGCCAGATTCGCGTCGTCCATCTCCAGCTCTTTCCGCCTCTCCGACTTTTCCGACCTCTTCGACCTCTTCCGCGGACTTCCCCTGACGCTTTCTTTCACGTTTACTTCGCATTTCTTTTTTTGCTCAATCACTCTCCTGGAGCTCGGTGTTTTCGTCTGAGAAAACTTTATTATATGATACCCAAAAATATTCATATTTTATTCGTCTTTCGGTTCAATTCAAGCTCAATCACATTCATCAAGTTCAAGTTTCAGCGAACATAGTACTTTCGACGTAGTAATTTTAAATTTACTCGCATAGTCAATTTTTCGCGACTCGAAATACGAATGAAAACAGCTGTTAACAAGGGACGGGACGCGTAGCGTGTGCGTACGCGGTTCTTGGCAGGAGTTCAGTTCAACCGCCAGCGACTATTTGGAAAGCTCTTATCACTCTTTTTCATTCCCTTTTCAATCATTTATTGATTATATTCATGTGTGCATCAAAAAAATAGTAGAACATACAGAAAAAAAGAGCGTCCCACCCCCTGCCCCTGCCTCCCATATTTTTTTAAAAAATTCAAGTTTTTTTCAAAGGTTTTTTTGTACACGAGCACATACCAATACCTATGCCGTGTTCAAAGTGATTCCGCGAAATTCAAAATAGCCGTCAGAGAAAGAGAAAGATAACTAAATTTTGGAGGGTCAGAGACAATTTCGCATTTCGCGGAAATTACTTTGAACACGGCACTACATATTCATGAAAAATCTTTAGGCGATCGTTCTACTGTATAACTTATACGGCCCATAATAATATCTTAACTTTCGTGAAAGAAGATTTGATTGATATTTGGTTTTCCCAAAAAATTTTTAGTTTTGGTCCGACATGATTTGTTCGCGAACTTTCTTGGGCGTAGGAACGGCTTCAGGGACCACGGGAGTCTTTGGCTTCAGGATTTTTTCCGGCTTCTTCCCTCCTCCGTGTTTGCTACACAACACCACCGCGTACAAAGAAGCTGTGGCCACCAGAAGCTCGCCGAACATGGGTGAAGGCCACGAATAGAAATGAGGCGGAAGGCGCGTTTTCACGCTCTTCGGCTCTAGCCAAAATGTTTTTTTCAGCGTTGATGTTTTCCCATTAACCCCGCCTCGTTGAACTTTTGTCTTCTTTGTACTTTTACTATTGTTTTAAACAAACTATTACGGACCTCAAAGAAACTGCCGGTACTAATCAAGAAACGGTTTGACGCGAGCGATTTTAATTACCACATTGTAAAGTGATTCCGTGTTCAAAGTATATTCAGTGATTTGACGGCGGCGTCTGTTGAAAGACCCATTTTCTAACGGCTCCTGAAACACCAATTTCGCGTAAACATTTTACCGAAATTCTCTAACAAAAGTTGCGGCGCACCCCGCGTTGAACCCTCGTTTTACCCCGCAGTGTAACCAGGGGTGCACCCCGTTCAGCTTTAAATGCCTATTAAGGTACTTTTTCCGTACACGATTTCGAAGTGATTTCTTTCTCAATATCACCGTTTTCTACCGTTTCATCCTAGGTAGTTACGGTAGCTCAAAAAAAAACTTTTTATTTCTGACCGGTTGCCCCAGGGGCGCACCCCATTCAGGTCCAACGCGGGGTGCAGCGCAAACATCAACGAAAAGTTCACTTTTCTCGGGGTTCACTGCGGGGTAGACCCCATTTTTGTTAGAGTTACTTCGAACACGCGTGTTCACGGCATCAGATCGACAATAGTTTTTCAGGTTACTGTAGTCTAAATTTTTCACGCACATTGCCTCTGTCTCTTACATGTTATTTTCCGCCTTCACTGTCCTCTTTTTCTGGTTTTTTTTCATGTTCAGCGCATTTGAGAAACGTTTTTCTATATGTATATGTACTCAAAAGGCGAAAATGAGAGCCAAAGTCACGGCGCGTTCCCCAGCAGTGCCTGAGGGCTCATTCTCAAATTCCCGATTTCTGTAGCTACTTTTGTAATGATTTGTTTTCTTTTATTTGAGTATATACAGGTCACAAGGTTTTCGGCAAGTAATAATATCCATCCGAATTACTACTTCTGTTTGGAAGTGTAACTTTTTGGGTATTTTTTATATGTGAAAGTTACTGTGAGGTATAAACGTTTTAATGTCGAGGTTAAATCGAGGTTAAAAGCTACCATGTATATAAATCAAAGACAGTGAGTACACCAGATAAGTGTTTATTTTGAAAGATATAGATTATGTACTTTTGCTTTTTTTTTCATCTTTTTCGTTCCATGGCTTCGTTCAAGTCATAAACGACCAGCTCAGCGCTCTAATTGTCAATCGCTTTTTCGCGTTATTTCCTCACGTTTAAGTTATTTTTCAGACTTTGCAACTGACATTTCAGTGACATTTTGTTTTTGGTGAAAGACTGGAGACGACTGAAGATATGAGATATGGCACTCGAACGCCGGGCCGCCATCAATCTCCGTCCCACTTCTGACGACGGCTTCGCTCGATTGCTCCGCGCTTGGTAATCTTTTCGGAAACTTTCCACATTTTCATTTTCTTAACAGATAGCTGAGATATTGCTCCAAAAAGTACCTTAGTAGGAGATCCAGGTTTTGATTCCTTTTCGGCTTATTTTGTATTGTTTGTTAATTTTTTATTATGTAAAAAAGACAATTTGTCTTATTCATAAGTTTCTAACTGAATAATGATGCATAGATAAGAAAATGTAAATCAAATTTATTTTCTTTTTTTTTTTTTCAAGTCCAACATAGCATCGATGATACCATCACTAGGTAGATCATATTTTTTTAAAGTTACTACGCAGATTTGTCAAAAAAATTTTCAGGACAATAAAAATCAAAAAAATGAAATAGAAAGCTGTGCCGGAAAGGGGATAAGTACGTGAAAATGGGTAAGAAGAAGGAAATGGCAGCGACGACAAGACTTCTGGGTATGTTCTTACATTTTTTCTTATTATTTCTTTTTTACTTTTTTTTAAAATTGAAATATGAACTTGGAAAAAACAAATAAGTAAAAAAAATAATTCTATCGTGAAAAATCTATTTTGAAAAACGCTTTTATGAGTTTACAAAAAATAAAATTCGGGGTTGAGGCCAAATATGATCGCGCAGAAATTGTTTAATGGATACCGTTTCTGATTTTAGAGTCATGCAGTGCATTCTCAATTCTAGTGTGGGCAGCAGAGATGGCGCAGTGTGGGCCTGAGCTCGTGTGATGAGTAATCTATAAAAAGATTACCGAGTAAATCGATAAAGATTCTAGAAAAAAATCAAAGGAAAAATATTGAGGGATTTTCTGTCATCAAGATTATTTATTAAACTTTGAATGAGCAACTCTCAAACTTCGTTTTTTTTTTTTTTCTAAACCAATTCCATTATTTAATATATTTTCTTAAAGGATTAAAAATTCGATTTTTTTCCACTAATGAAGTTAAATAGGCGCCGCTATTTCTAGACCAGGGGCGTGGCTTGCCTCACCGTAATTTTGTGCAGTGGCGCGCACATGCTTACTTTTCCTCAGTCATTTTTCTTTATATTTCTTCATTTTTCATTTTCTTATTCATATTTCTTTTTAAGTATTCCCATTTGATTTCAATATAACTCCTTCTATTATCTAATTAAATTTTTTTAATTTTTTTGAATACATGGTTCTTCTGTCTTTAGTATCGTAGACGAATTTCTTGAGGCCGAAAAATCGTTTTTTTAGTTTAAATGAGTGTACGCCATTGCGAATAATTTCATTTTCGGGGTTCTTCTACTTTCCCATAAAGATTTTTTCGAGCCATAAAAAGTGAGCTCTTTATTTCGATGAAAAATCTCCTATTTTGATAAGTTCAGGCCCTTTTTTCTAGTTTCTTTTGAACACTTTGCGAATGTGTCCAAAGTCCACAGGAAGAGGACTCCAACTATTTGATGAAATCTACATCGTCGACGACTACTTCTTTGGTCGAATTAAAAAGTTTTATAGTTTATTTGCTTTTTTATTATCTCCGCGAAGCATACACCGCTGTGGGAAGTGTAGCTACCGCATGTAAAGATTTAAAAAGCCTAAATTCATTTTCAGAAGGAAAGCAGATATGATGATTTTGCAGTTAACACGATCTATTTTGAGATTTGTGTCACGACGGCTTCATTTTTCCTGGATTTGAACGAATAACTTCGGTCCTCTGGTCATGCGCGTCATTTACCTTCATCTCCATGCAAAAATCTTGACGCTGTTAAGCGATTCTATCTGAATTAAAGAAAATTCCCTATTAAATATTATGTTCAAGATACACAAAAGATAACTGGCTATTCGGGTGTGATATAAAACCTAGTTCGGGAGCGGTACATCGACAATCACGCAAATATTTAAATATCGTCTCCGCGCGGATCTCGCATTTATCTCGCTTTTTTAACGAACTAGTAAATATTTGAATATTTTCAAATCGCGATGTTGCGCCAAGATAAATGCGAGGCCGCTTCTAAAAAAATGCGAGACCCGCGCGAAGACATAGCGACATGTTTACGAATTCGTCAATGTACCGCCAGCGAGCTCGGCAGTTCTTCTCAGTGTACCTCCAAATGTTTAATAGAGCACAGTCAAATTGAATAAAAGTAATTGGTGCAGTTTTCAGTGTTTTTTAGGCCTTGCGAGATTTATGCCTCTTCAAAGTTTTCGAGTTCTACTTGACAATCCTTTACTGCGTTATAATTCGAGAAATTTCGCATATACCCTAAACTTTTGACGCGTCTTGTTTTTCGGTTTTATTGGGTCGCGTTGCCATATAGATTCGAGTTCGTCCGAGATTTTTTTCGCACGGTAAGTTCTTTCCGTACACTCAAAAAGTCTTACGCTGGTAGAATATTCTTAACTCATTTCTAAAGTATGGAATTGCGCAACTTATTTGGATTCCTATGCTTATTACGCGCAGTGTATAATAATTTGAAGAATCCAAAAAAAGTGATTAAAATAGCTGAATTTTTTTGAATTTGTTCGTCAATTTTTCTCCACCAACAATTAGAAAACTAATAATTGTGAAGCAATGAATAAATGCTGCTCCACATTTTTTTGCAGAATGATTTCAAAGAAAGTACTTGAGAAGAACCATATCTTCGAAAAATTAAGAAATAGAAGGAGTTATATTGAAATCAAAGGGGAATACTTAAAAAGAAATATGAAAAAAAGAAAAATGAAAAATGAGTATAAAGGAAATGACTGAGGAAAAAGTAGGTATGTGCGCGCCACCGCACAAGGTTACGGTGAGGCAAGCCACGCCCCTGGTCTAGAAATAGCGGCGCCTAAGTTAAATGAATCTTTTTGCGCTATTTTCAACAAGTAAGTAACGTAAGAAAAATCGTTAAGTCTGGTTCAAATCAAATTCTTATTTTAAAAAAATCGAATTAAGAAAAAAATTAAACAGAAACAAATCGAATATCCATTGAGAAACGTAATAATTTTGTTATCATTTTAGTTAAAAAAATGAAAAAAAAATGATGATAAATATAGAATCAATCTGGCTTATCGGAAAAGACAACAAAATGACACTGTGAAAAAACAGAAAAAATGCAGAAGATTTTTGGCAAATTGCGTTTACCTAATCGCTTTTCGTAGACCTCGGAGCAGCTTCGGCTAGGTTTTCCCTTTCTTATCTTTTTGCAAACCTTTTTCGCGAGTTTTCCCGCTTTTGTAACCTTTTCTGCAATATTTCTCGTCAAACTCGTCGTAGAGAAGACTGAAAGATTCCAAGGCGCGATAAAATATTGATCCTTGATTCATTTAATTATCTATTAAGACGTTTAATGAGTAGAAGAAGAAATGACTTGCGAGATGCCTAAGACTTTTTTTAACGCAGTTGCGAGCTCTTGAGAATCAGGAGCAGAGAAACTCACTTCTTCTTCATTTTGCGACTGCTTTGGGGATTCTCGTCAGGCAAATACACACACACACACACTTTTGGGCCGCGGCGCATCTCATTAGGCCTTGAGGGAAGGGCGCTAAACGAGTGGAGAAAAATAATTTTGCGCCGCCTCCACACGTCGCTTTTGCCTCTATCGCTAGCATAAAAATTCTTCATTACCCTGAAACTATGTTCGATTACGAAGACTTTTTTCAAGTTTTATGGTATTTTTCAAAAGAGTTGTGGAACTTTGCCGTTATGAGCGATTCTTTCTGAACTTTTCTTTCCAAAAATCGCTTTCTCTTTTTGAAAGAAGAGTTAAATCTTAGGAGATTTATTGGAGGGGTGTTGCGCCTCGCTTCTGCACATCCAGCACCCAAGTATCGCCTTTCACCTCTTGGAAACTTCCATTCGAATTTTCTCTTGATGCGAGTTTTCAATTCTGCAGAACGTCATAAAAGAACGACAGTCAGTTATCGCGACGCATTATTGCTCGGATGAACTCCGTCCCTCGGGGACTTGGTCTCACTCATCTCTGTACTTTCCTTCTCCACTTGCTCATTTAATGTGTCGCAACAATTTTCCAACAAAACTCTGCTCTCTAGCAGCTCAGTTCAGTTTTTTAGCAAAAGGTTGAGAAGTGTCCGAAGAGTGGTACTTTTCTTGTTTTTTTTTTCGACGAAATTCGATGTTCTTTAACTTTGTCTGTGAACTCTCCGATCCTCGATGACATGCCACTTTGCGTGGACTACAACTGCGCAGAATCATTTATTCTCGGAATAGACTTTGTCTTTTTTGTTTGCTTATTGAATACTCGGCAGAATCTTCTTCGTTGGCTTCCTTTTCGACTTGACCGCTTTTTCGGCGCCATCCATCAGTCGGCCGCCGTTCCGCTCCTACTCTTCCTGCAATACTTTGGTCCGTCGTTTTCTCGCCTCAACGCTAATTCTTCTCTATCTGCGGCTTAATCACCCTCGAGCTTTTTTTTTGTCCACTTCTCGGGCCTATGCGTGCGAAAGAACACTCTAAAAAGAGAAGTTTAGCTCCAGTTTTGATCGAACATCAAAAATTTTTTTTGAAGGTTTTCTCTTTTTTTTTCTCTACTGATTGTTTAAATCTTTCTTATCTTGGATAGAATATGTTCTTAGATACAGGTTAAAAGCGCAAATAATCCAGAATGAAATTTCATATCTAGCAAAAAATCAAAATATAATTTTTGATAAGTTGCAAGAACATAAAATTCAGAGATCTTGCTGAAATTTCTGAAGCCGGTTTAAGAAATAATAAACTTTTGATTATATAGAAGATTTTATTTCCGGTTTTATGTTCTAATATTTCTTTTCTACTTATTCACGTCTTCAATTTTGCAGAAGTTTTTGACTATTCCATGTTTGCAAAAACAAAAAATTTTTGAGGAAGTTCATCGAAAGGCGTTCCTCAGAACCTGAATCAGTTTGCAGGTCTCTCGGCGTGCAAAGCGGCTCTTCCGGCGACGATGCTGGCGCGACGGCGGTCGTCGGTGGCCGCAGTCGCGGGCGTCTCTGTCGCCGCGAGTGCCGTCGAGCCTCCGCGAAACGAACGTCGTCGTCGCGGCGAGTCCATCAGCGCCCTCACCGAGATGATCAACATCGAACCCACCAGCATCATCAACAAATCTTCCGGTTGCGTTCTTTTATTGCGAAAAAAAAAAAATCAAAACTTCTTTATAAGTTAATTAAAATGTTCTTGAACTTCACATGAGCTCATAGCACGTGAAAACTCCTTTTCGAAAGGTTTTATCATCAGATTTGCCGCATCAACTGTCAAAATTGGAAGAGAAAGATATTATGAAGTACGTGAATTTAAGCTAGAAATCTCTACACGACCGGAAATTCGGCTCACCAATTTTGAGACTCATGGCTAGCAGAATAAGTCAGATTTCTGTTTAGTATAGTTCCCACTGACGAATTTAAACTCTTGTTTGAAATTCAGTTGGAGGTTACTGAGCTTCAAGTTTTACTTTCAGCCCTCAATATTGTCTTTCGAACTCATTAATTCAAGCATAATATCATACTGGAAACTCTTTATGACGATAGAGGATCATTCTGAACCTCAAACTAGAATATTTTTAGAAGATTTTTCCTTCTTAAATTGTCATCTTTTTTCGAAGAGTACTTTATTGTTTTTGGATAGTTGTCGACACCGAGTTGAATTAATTTTGCCGAATGTCTTCATGCGTTTCGAAACAAAAATAGGAAGGAATAATTTTTCAATGAAGTTGCCAAATGTTATCATGTCCATTTTCCGTGTAATGTGATATTGAAGTAATGTTTTATCGGGTTAAGAATTGCTGAAGAGCGGCAGAATGAGAGACGTCGTGCGGATCGCGTGTCTCCTCTCGATGATTTCTGTGTGTGTTCACACGCCGGAGACGATAGCCATTTGGCCGCCGTCCAACTACGTGATCCTCGTGAACGACCTCCTGGTCACGCTCATCTTCTTCGTCGAGGCACTCGTCACTATCCACAGCAACGGCCTCTGGGATGTCCGTTCTTCTTTTCATATAGATAGTTTACTGAAAGAAACCTGAGAATGTTGTAAAATCAACATGGACTGCCTTAAATTTTCAACTTGGACTTCCCAGCTCACAAAGAAGCGCTCTTTGGATAAAGCAAAATGTTGAATTTTTTTTTATCTTTGGTTTTTTTAAAGTCCAAATTGGTATGAAAGTTTTTGAAAATGGAAGTGAACATAAAAAAAAAATAATAAGAAAAAAGATTTTTTTTTTCCTTGCCGTTTTGAGTTAGGGCTCTAGGTAAACTTCAGCCTTCCGTTCAAAAACTCGAGAAATTCTCTTTTTATTGTGAATCAACTTCAACGAGAATTGATCTTAATTTATTTTTACTTTAACGAATTTTTTTCTCGCGTTTCATTATTTAAAAAAATCTTTTTTTATCTTCTTTAAACGCTTTTTCTCACACGTGAAAAAATGGCGCCATAAAAAAATTACAAAAGCTAAACACTAAAAAGTTAAACAATCTTCATTTTTTTTAATTTCAAGGGAATCGCCGAACTTCTTAAGAGTTCAGAGTGCAATAACTACTCGGCTTCAACATATTGAGAACGCCAACTGAAAGCAATTCTTCAGGGCTCTTCGTCATACTTGCGCGACCGCTGGACGCAGTTCGAGTGCTTCATGTTGCTGATGCACGTCGTTTCCTGCAAAGTGCACATCTACGAAATGTGCACTATCTACTTCTCTTCTCTAAATCTGAAGGTCTGATCAAATGTAATATCTCCTCTTGAACCTCCCATTCAATCTACAGTACACTCCTTGGCTGAGTGCCCTACGTTCTCCTCGTCCTTTTGTCATGCTCAGGTTCATCCGCTCTTTGATACGATTCGAACTTCCGAAAAACCGAATCAAACAGATAATCAAGTGAGGGAGATTCCATTACTCCGGAACGCGGTTTTTTTTTCTGATTTCAGAAGATCATCTCGACAAATTCAAAATGTCGCAATTTTCTTCATGTTCTTCGTTTTTTCATACGCGATAATGGGTGTTCAGTTGTTCGGTAACTTTAACCTTTTTTTTGTCTACCTGGTAAAATTGAGGGCTCCAGTAGATCATTTTCAACTTTCATAAAAAAAAACCAAAAACAATGAAGATTTCACTTATGAAATTAAAAATGATAAAGGGCAAATGGAACTATATTTCGATTCTTAATAGATAAATCTATAGAATAAGCTTCCCATATGGAATTTCTTTCAGTTTCATGGCACTGGTGAATCGAGAGGTAGATACAAGTATGTACCGGATAGCAACTCAAGTGAATCGACGAATCGTAATCGGTGGTCATTTGTATGCGACCGGGTACTATCTCTATGGTACCTGGATAGTACCTGGTCGGTATCTGGATGCTACCGGGTATGTACCTGAAATTCGCGATTGCCACTGGCTGGCACATCGGTCGTTTATATAGCATCAGTGTTTTTTTACACCTTCCCAAGCCTTCCAGGGTCCTATTGGATAAAGCTGAAACAAAAAATAACGATCCGGGAAGCGATTCCAGACTTTCCGGTAGCAATCGCAAGTGTCAGGTAGCTACCCGGTAGCTACTTGCATCGACCTCCGACCCAGGTACCATAGAGGTAGTACCCGGTCGCATACAAATGACCACCGATTACCATACGCCGATTGACTTTTTCAAAAGTTGCTACCCGGTAGCTATTTGTATCGACTTCTCGATTCATCTTTGTAGAGAGTAATTTCGAACAGTTGCACATAATTTTTGAAATATTGAACTTTTTCAGTCTTGAAAAAAACTTATTATTGAGAAAAAATGCGGTTAAGTTAAGGTTTTTGTAACTTTTGTCGGGGGAGCGCAATAAATACCAGACTATTCCGCTAACGGGTAGCGATTTTTTGCAGCTCGTTTTTCTGAGCTGATTTTTCATCGGGAATTTTTTCGATGGCTTTTTCTTCTTTGTTTTTTACGTCTTGTAATCAAATAATTTGGCGCAGGAAGGCTGAACTATCACTGTGTTGTGAACGGTACTGATCCGAAAAACGTGACTATAGCCGATCTGGCGATTCCAGACACGATGTGCTCGGAGAAAGGCGGCGGTGAGTCAAGAGAAAGAAAGGAAAAAGAGAGAGAAATGCAGGAGGCTACGAATGTCCTGACAATATGGTGTGTATGCGACTGCAGCTCAGCGCCCAGGACGAAGGCCTCTACGGACAGTTCAGCGACTTCGGTCAGTCTCCCAGAAGACCTGCCTCACGTATTTTGCAGCCTCTTCTCTTTTCACTGTCTACATGGCGGCCTCGCAAGAAGGCTGGGTATACGTCCTTTACGACTGTCTCGATTCCCTGCCCAGCGTCGTCGCGTTTCTCTACTTTGTCACCCTCATTTTCTTCCTTGCCTGGCTCGTCAAGGTGCTTCTAAAAGGAGATTTGCGACGATTTCTGATTGCAGAATGTGTTCATCGCTGTTATCACAGAGACTTTCGCTGAGATTCGAGTTCAATTCAGCGAGATGTGGCAGAACCGCGAGTCGACCGCCGAACAGACCTATTCTCAGGTTTTCTTTCTCAAAGTTCAATTCAGATAGGGAGTAAAGTTTGATGAGATGAAACGCGATCATTCGATTTAATTAAAAGAAAAAAATGTATCATATTATTGTACTTTTAAGCCCGCTTTTTCAAACCAGTTTTTGCAGAGACTGGAGAAAGGAGAGAACGGCTGGCGTTTGGTGGAAGTGGACAAGTACGCGAGGAACAACGGCTCGTCTTCCTGGCTGAACACCGTCGTCACGTCGACCCTCTTCCAGACCGCCATGCAGCTGTTCATTCTGCTCAACGCCTTCTTCCACGCCACGTTTGTCTTCAAACACGACGCCTCGGACCAGCCACGCAAGGTCCTCTACTACTACGTCGAAGTCGCCTTCACCGTGCTCTTCAACGTCGAAGCTTTGGCCAAGATCTGGGCGTTTGGATGGCGCGGCTACATTCGACGTGGTCAGCACAAGTTTGATTTCATCCTCTGTCTAGGTCAGTTTTGCTCCTTCGCACCTCAAATCTTCAGTTTTTGAAGGCTCATCCTTGAATGCCGTGTGGGTCCTTTATGAAACCAACGTCTTCACCTACTTCCAAGTTTTCCGCATCGCGAGGCTCATCAAGGCTTCTCCAATGCTCGAAGACTTCGTGTACAAGGTCATCCCAGTTTCATCATCATCATCCCTGAAGGTTTCAGATTTTTGGGCCGGGTAAGAAACTCGGCGGACTTGTGATTTTCACCGGAATCTTACTGATAGTCACTTCTGCCATATCGCTACAGCTCTTCTGCTACGTGCCCAATCTAAAGAAGTTCACTACATTCCCGATGGTATTCTGCACTTTTGTAAAAGTATATATAGTGCTTCAAACGCTGAAGGCATTCATGACCATGTTCCAAATAATCACACAAGAAGGTTGGACAGACGTCGTAGTCGAAATCCTCCGTGCGACTCACGAGTCCGCAGTTCCTTTCGTCGCCATTTATTTCGTCGGATATCATCTTCTCGTCACTCTGGTTTTTTCACTGTCTTTCTAATCAATGATAGTTTTTCAGATTGTGTTGAGTTTGTTCGTTGCTGTCATTCTTGATAACTTAGAAATGGATGAAGAACTGAAGAAAGTCAAGCAGGTCAAAGCTCGTGAGCAGGTTTTGTTTTTTGCTTCTTTTCAAGGATTAACGTAACCACTTGACTGACAGAATGCGATCAAGCCAACACTGCCGCTTCGCTTGCGTATTTTCAATCGTTTTCCTACAGCGCCGCAGATGATATCCTTGAAAAAAGTGAGCACGACGGGGGTCTTCGAAATCGACGGAAAAAATTGAGGTCTCGTCGGACTTTCCTTTGCCCAAGATCCGAGACTCGTTCACACGGCAGTTCGCAGACGACTGCGACGTTTGTGTCGACCTCGATCAAGGTACTTCTATGACTCTGCAACGAGCTTTCTCGTCATTTCAGATCAATGGCGCAGCGTTTTCAACACGCCGTCGGGCATCGGAAAGGCCAAGACGAGCATTCGCCACGTCGGCCAGCTCTCCAGCAAGTCCATTGTGTCTTCCATGTTGCTGTACGTGCATTTCGCTGTCTTCTAACTCTTCTAAAATGAAAAAGGGGCAAAAAAACAAGGAGTCGCTTCTCTTTCTAGCGTTTTGCGTCGCCTTCATTTGGTTGTCAAAAATTTGATATTCTTCAAATAAAGTTCTCTTTCATCTGTTAATAGTTATATTTTTAAACAGCTATTTTTGTCAACTGACATTTCTTGAACTCAAATTTCCGTTCTGTATTTGTTTGATAGACCCTTTTTTCCGAGAAATGTTTCCTTCCAGAAAGATTTTTTATTCAACCTTGTTGTTCAGAGAATCCAACAAGAACAGGGCGCTCTTCTCCGAATCCAACCAGCACATCGCCAGCTTCGCCAGATCCAACACAATCAAACCCAAAAACGTAGTAAACATGTAGGCTTCTCTTCAAAAAGTTCCACTTCGCCTATTTGAAAGTTTAGGAGGACTCGCTCTCGTGGTCTTGCGTCTTTGAAAGGAAAAACTCAGCTCATTGAGGGTTTCAAGGTTATTTGATTCTGAAGTAAACTGACCGATGGTTGAAGCAGGAAAACGGCGACCTCCGAGCAGACGACTCGGCGCCCAAAAATGAGAAGAATGGGGAAATCGACATCAAAGCGTTGCAACAGAAGCGCGCTCACGCAGAAATCACTAGGTAGAAACAGAAAAAAACTGTTTGGGGGAGACTGACCAGGGAATGGTCTCAGCTCACAGTGGGACTTCTGAAAGAGACCATTTTTTCTAGATGTAGTTTTTCACGCTGATTCCAAATCCGTTTTCAAAAGCTGCCACCGAGGTCTGTGAAAAAAGTTATGGACCCTCAAAAGTCGAAAATTTCATAGTCTCCGATCGAGCTCATTTTTAGAGGGTATATAGTCCTTGTTTCCCTTGTCACGATAAACCATCAAATTTTTTCAAAAATTGTTTGTGAGCCAAGATATGAGCTTCCAAAGCCCCGCCGCACACAAGAGAATGCGCGCGCGGTGTCCTATTGCGATCCGACGGCTGTCGAAGCAACGGCAGCGAGGAGCAGTGGAAAGGCGGCGGACTGGGGAGCACGAGGTCATAGGTTCGGTCCCCACGCTGTGCAAACTTTTTTTGCAATTTTTTCTTTTTTGGATATTTCCGTGTAAGTGCTCCTTTTTTGAGTTTTGAAGCGTAGAAACATGAAAACACTGCGTTTTGAGCCTATTCGAACAGCTGGACTTCTTTTTGTCGCAAATTTTTTTCATAGATTTTTTCGTGATTTTCCATGTGTATGAGCATGGGCTGGAGTGAGAAAAATTTTTTTGGTTTTTCTTTTTGAAAGCTGGCTATACGCAAGTTTTCATAACTGCGCTGGTAGAAAACGCAGAGATTTTTTTCCGGAAGTTTTGGCTCCGGTTTTTTTACTTACCACTCTACGAGAAGAAAAACTTTCAATTTTATTTCAGGGTTGTGGCTGAAATTTCCGAGGAGGTTTCTTTTGACTCATAAATAAAAAATTCAAAACAAACTCCCCACAAAAATGTTTCGTTCAATGTGATTCCTGAAAATTCATAGTCAGACGGCAAAAGGCGACGGTCATAGGTGAGCCCACTGCAAAGCACGAAGAGTTTATTGAAGAAAAAAACTTTTTTTCTGTGTTCGACAAGCGTAACTATGATGACTTGGGGTTAGACAATATTTTGAAGAAGGAAAGATAAAAAAAACCAAAAAAATTTTTCTGAAAATTTTCTCACTCCAGCCCATGCTCATACACATGGAAAAATCACGAAAAAAATCTATGAAAAAATTTGCGACAAAAAGAAGTCCAGCTGTTTCGAATAGGCTCAAAACGCAGTGTTTTCATGTTTCTACGCTTCAAAAACTCAAAAAAAGGAGCACTTACACGGAAATATCCAAAAAAAGAAAAAAATTGCAAAAAAAGTTTGCACAGCGTGGGGACCGAACCTATGACCTCGTGCTCCCCCAGTCCGCCGCCTTTCCACTGCTCCTCGCTGCCGTTGCTTCGACAGCCGTCAGGTCGCAATAGGACACGCGCGCATTCTCTTGTATTGGCAGGGGCTTTGGAAGCTCGCGGCTCACAAACAATTTTTAGCTATCATAAAAGCAAAGCTCGTCGAAAACAATTTCGTAACACAACAGAATCAGCGTGGCTACCCTATGGTCTCTTTCAATCCTGTAACTGAACCAGTAACAAACTATGTTTTTACTTTGCGCCCATGTTGAGAACGTTAGGAAACCAGATTATTTCTTGTTGTAACAGATAAAAGTTTCAATCTGCACAGCTTCCTTCTTTTCAAGAAACGAGAGCTCAAAGCCTGAGAATCGGTTTCTTCAAGATATTCCGATGGTTTTCTTTGAGAATGCTTCAGAATTTTGATGAGTTTCTTCGACTACGAGTCGTCGTTTATCGAAAAATATGAAGTTTTCGGGGCTATTTTTAGGGAGTTCTCAACCGCAATTTAGAGATCATTCTTATGAGAAAAAAGGAAATAATTAATATGGGTTTTCATCTTGGAAATCAGTTTTTCGTGGTGGGTATTTCTTCCCAGTGGGGGAACCAAATTTTTAGATTCTTGATAAAAAAATAAAAACTTGAACGAATAAAGTGTTGAGGAACCGGATAGAAGAAGAGATGCGCGAGAACCATCCTATGTTCGATCGACCGCTGTTTCTGGTCGGCCGAGAATCTTCGATTCGACAGATCTGCCAGTACCTGGCTCATGCTCAACATTCAGCTGATGCGGCTCAAGCCAGGAAACACGGCCAGCTGAAATACAAGCAGCTACAGTAGGATACGACTCCATTCCCTCATCGGGAACTTCTTTGCAGCGATTTCCTCTCGATCATGACTTACCTCGACTGGTGGATGGTGACTGTGACGTCACTCTCCTGCGGCTCGATGCTTTTCGAGAGTCCCTGGCCAACTACTGGCGAAAACCTCATTTTCAACAATTTTTATCTTCAGGTGGGCGTAAATGTCATTCGAAGCCACAGTGTCTTCAGGTGACCGAGTACTTGTTTGTTCTGATGATGAGCTTCGAACTTCTCGTCAAGATCATTGCTAACGGCTTATTTTTCACACCGAAAGCCGTAGTCACAGACGTTGGTGACGTCATGACAATCTTCATCTACTTTGTAAGCTGCTTCCAATTATACTTGGAGCACTGTGAACTTCCGAGTTTTAGTTTTGAAAATCATAGCGCTAGATCTTCCGAATAAAATTTTTTTTTCAACGAACTTTCCCGCAGAAAAAAAAGGTGCTTTTCTCATAGTTTTGAAAAATTGATTTTGCTTTTTTCCTATATCAGCTTGTCAAAATGATGAAATGTTCTAATTATTACGGTATTTCGTATGGAGTATCTAATCAAAAGTTCAAATAACGTTCTAGACGAGTGTGATCTATCTCATTTTGATGCCGCGACACGTGGAGATCAACAGCTGGGCGCAGTTGTTGCTCATCTGCCGGTAGGCTCGGAACGAACGTCAATTTTCGAATCAGAACTCAGGGCGATGAGGCCGCTCCGTGTGTATACACTCGTCCCGCACATCCGACGCGTTGTTGTGGAACTTTGTCGTGGTTTCAGAGAAATCCTTCTTGTAATTTCGTTTCGCGACGAGGCTCCTGATCATTTTTTCAGGTGACGATCCTCCTGATAGTTCTGATGTTCATATTCGCGAGTTTCGGAGTACAACTGGTCGGCGGGAAACTTGCCGCTTGCAATGACCCTTCCATCTCCACCAGAGTTTCCTCAATTTTCGTTTTTTCTCTACTTTTGCTTTGTTTCAGAGCAACTGCACTGGAATTTTCGAGCAAAAGCTTTTTGTGACGCGAATGGACGTGTACGGAAAGCACTCAGACTACCTGCACCCGACAATTGTCGTTCCTCGTGTTTGGTGAGGTTGCTGGTCGTTTTGATCGACGACTGGTCGTTCAGGACCAACCCGAGGAACTTCAACTTTGACCACATCGGAAACGCCATGCTCGCCATGTTCGAGACGCTTTCCTACAAAGGCTGGAACGTCATCCGCGATATTCTCTATCTTCGCCATGGACCCGTACGTTTATATATGAAGTAACCAAAATCGGAAAATCTTTCATAGGCTAGCATCAGACTCAATAAAATAGGTGTGAATTTCACCAAATCTCGGAATCTCGCACTCCTCATTTTCATTCTTATAAACAGTTCCGTAACTTTCTGAATTTATCTTCAAGCAGGCAAATGGTATCCTTCAAGGTAAAATTTCTGCATCTCTAATAACTGATCTGACTTCCACACACATAGTATCTTCATATTAAAAAGTATAATTATTTGAAAAATTTAACGTTTATACCTCTAGATATAATGAAGAACTTTCGATTTCACAATGGAAGATCAAGTTAAAATACATCACATCACTCCCTCGAGCTTACGTAGATTTTGTACGCATTATCAAAAAAGTTGTCGCACATTTCGAAAAAAAAAACAATTTTCTTTTTACACAAAATTTTCTGCTCGCCGAATTTTTTTTGTTGAGTTAATACCAAAAAGTTGTAGTGGGCTGTCGTTTTCATCCACATCTACGTTTTCATGGGCTGCATGATAGGACTGACCTTGTTCGTGGGAGTCGTCGTTGCCAACTACACAGAGAATAGAGTACTGGGCCCTTCGGAAACGGAAGAATGATGAAAAAAACAGGGGACAGCCTTGCTGACAGTGGATCAGCGTCGCTGGCACGATCTGAAAGCAAGACTGAAAATGGCCCAGCCGCTTCACGTGCCGCCGAAGCCTCCGGAGAGTGCCAAACTCCGTTGCTACCTCTACGAACTCACGATGAGCCGTTCTTTCAAGCAGGTACCTGCCAGTCGGCGATTTTTGCTTCTGAATGTCCACAGGCTTTCGCGGGCTTGGTAGTCGTCAACTCGCTGACGTTGGTCATTCCATGGAACGAAGGCGAAGAAAAGGACCGCAAGTTCGTTCTTCTTTCGCTGACCGTTCTTTCGGCGCTTTGCAGCCTCCTTTTCACGATTGAGGTAAAATAAAATCCCTATACATTTTTTTTCATTCGAGAATTGTCTTAATCCTGTGCGAAAGCTGCAAATTTCAGAAAATAACGCTGAAAGAACAAGGATGTTAGGAAAAGTCGATAATTAAATTTTAAATTTTGCAGTTCTCTTGACAGGCTCTTGTTTCCTTGGTTTAGCTTTGGTATACTGAGCTTATTTGACAGCGCATATTACTGATGAGGTTATACTTTCAAACGGCAAGTTTTTCAGACCATTCTAAAAATGATTGCATTCACGCTGGCTGGATTCTGGCAGAGTCGACGTAACCGCTTAGATTTTTTCATAACGATTCTCGGCATCACATGGACCGTCTTTCACTTCTTGTTCCAACGTTAGATAGCAAGGGTAGACTGCTATGAGTTCTATTTTGGTTTCAAGTACCTGCTCACTTTGCCGGAGGGATACGAGAATGGAAAAGACTGACCTATACGTTTGGCTATCTTGTCGCTATTCTACGTTTCTTCACTATTGCTGGTTAGTTATGGGAAAAAACTGTGATTTTTATGGTTACATGAAGGATAAAAAAGGCTACTCCATTTATCTCAATCCAAAAGCAACATTGCAGGTAGGAAATCCACCTTGAAGATGCTGATGCTCACAGTAGTGATGTCGATGGTTCGCTCTTCCTTCATCATCGCCGCAATGTTCCTTCTCGTCCTTTTCTACGCCAACGCTGGCGTCGTCCTCTTTGGCATGGTCAAGTACGGTCAAGCCGTCAGCAAGTATCTGTTTCCTGAATGTTCTCCCAAGGCTGAGAATCTTCCAGACACGTCAACTTCCGGAATGGCCGGGAAGCTCTGGTCGTGCTGTTCCGAAGTGTGACTGGCGAGGATTGGAACGACATAATGCACGACTGCATGGTACGTTCTGCTCATTAAGACAGAAAATTTCAAGTGGAAAGAAATATAGGATTCAATTATTATGAAGCGAGTCCTCGTTACTGTTTTGAAAAGGTTCATAATCAATATTTGGAGTGAAATTTTGTTTGATACCTTCTTTTTAAAAGCTGGTCTTATGTTTAAATGGGGGAAAAACTTGCAATCCTGGTGAAGATTTGAATTAGCAGCCATGTGGACGTTAAGTATGAACTTTACCAGTTGAGCTTATGTTGCTTGTTATTTCATTCCACTTGAATCGATTCAGAGAGCACCTCCATTCTGCAATTGGTCGCCTGGATCAAGTTATTGGCAGACCGACTGTGGGAACTACTTCGGCGCCATTGTCTATTTTTGCTCTTTTTACCTCATTATCACATACATTGTCTTGAATCTTCTTGTCGGTCTGTCCGTCGGGCTCAATTCTTGTTCTGAAAAATTTCATTTTCAGCTATTATTATGGAGAACTTTTCCCTGTTTTACTCTAGTGAGGAGGATGCTCTGCTCTCCTACGCCGACATTCGCAATTTTCAACTTGTTTGGAATATGGTCGACGTCGAGCAAAAAGTTTGTATATGTGGAAACAGAATGGAATTATTTTCTTGAAGCGCTCGATCCCGGTAAGACGCGTCAAATTTCTTCTTCGGCTTCTGCGAGGACGTCTGGAGGTGGACGACGAAAAAGACGGTCTTTTGTTCAAGCACATGTGCTACGAGATGGAACGGCTTCACAACGGAGACGACGTCTCCTTTCACGACGTCCTCAAGTACGTCTCCTGTCACATATTTTTCCAAGAGTTCTGTTTCAAGTATGCTGTCTTACCGGAGCGTCGACATCCGCAAGAGCCTGCAACTGGAGGAATTGCTGCAGCGAGAAGACCTGGAGTACGTGATTGAAGAGGAAGTCGCGAAACACACGATCCGCACTTGGCTTGAAAATTGTCTGCGGTCGATCAAGGCGCGTCAGAACAATGCGGTTGCTTCTCCTATCCCTTGTCATAAACCTCTGCAAGTTCAGGGAGGCGAGCGTAGAATAGCCAACGCGGCTTCTCACATGTCGTTTTCGCACCCTGGAGAGGTGCCGACCAAGTCTATAACTGTAATGAAAGTTTTTTTTATGAAGAAAAATCAACGATCTCAGATAATCGATGACGTCGCTCCGCAAGAAGACGACATGGAGGCTACAGACGGTAGTGGGAAGCGTCGAGTTCGCGGGAACAGCGTCTCGGATGTGGTCGTCGGCAGCGGCAGCGAGAAGAAACTACCTCGAAGAGCCGAAAAAGGCAGCGAAAAACTGCGCGAAAGACGGGGCACGCTTCGTCAGATGCAGGCGAGCCTGGCTTCGTGTTTTAGATTGAACTTTTTCTTCAGATGGGTACTTACGACGAGTTGGAGGATGTCCAAGAGGACGTTGACGAGAGCAACGATCCAAGGAGGCCTTCATTGGAGTTTCCCGGTTAGTGCAGTTTTTTTTACTCAATAGGAATGTAAGAAGTTACTGAGATTGGAAAGTCAACTTAGTTTTATTGATTTTTATTACAATGTATAATAAAAATAATATAATGCCAAAAAAATCGATTTAAAAAAAGGATGTTTTTGAAAAATTAAACTTATTTGCTAACATAAAAACCTAATTGTTACTTTTTTTCCATTACTCTTTTTTTGGAGTAAAATTCGACTCTTGAAAAAGGGAGCCCGATTGAAATTCGATGAACTGTCAGATTTCTGCGACACACGTCGTCAACTTTATTGAACGACAGTTTTTGCAGCTGGAGGAGGGAAATTGACCGATCTCTCGAGCGAGAAACAATTCGAAGACATCAAAACGTGGTGGAATCGCTTTTCTTGATTTTTTTTTCTAGTTTTTTCACGGGTTCATCTACGGAGTTCCTTTCACAAAAAATTTACTTCTGCCAATTCTTTCCTTGTATGGAATTGTGGTCCGTTGAATTTTATTTGAGTGATTTCAAGAGCGGGAAGAAACACTGCATAAAAATGCCTTTATAACAGGGGTTCTCACCAATAATTTTGCACATTAAATTTATTTTTCGTTCTTCACCGTGTGAAAAAAACAAAACTTTTTTCGAAAATTGAAAAACTGCCAATAAAATAGATCATATCTGTTCTCACTTCATTTTCCTGTAAATTTTTTGAGTAGGAAAAGAAAGGGATTAGCAAGAAAAGGACTTGCATCATTTTTTGTTGTACGATCCATCTGAAACAAAAACTGAAAAAAATTTTCAACTTCTTGAGTGGCTTGAGAACAGCAAATAGGGCTGTTGCGGTAATAAAAACAAAAAAACCAGTCTTACAGGACGAGGTGTGAGATTCAAAATAAAAGTGACACGTTAACATGTGATACGAAATGAAAGTTTTAAAAATGAAAACGATAAATATACAGAGCCACAACAATTTTCGCGTAATGACTGAATAATCAAAAAAGTAATTATAGAAACATTTTTCGTTATTAAAATGCTTTTTTTCAGTTTGAAAGAAGTTGTTTTCAAGCCTCTTTCGGTCTCTTCTTTTCTATCTTTTTTCTGACTTATAGGAGTTGATCGAGCTGATAACGCTGCGGCCCGTCTCATCTGTGCCTCCGACAAAGGAAGAAAACATTCGTTCCAGCTTTTTAGTTATACTGTTTCAAGGAAGGTAGAAGGAGACTTGGTGGTATGGCTTCTGGCGTTTTGTCGCAACATTTCGACCGCGTCTGCGTAGGAAGGTGGAGGCGTAGAGGGACGGCTTGAAGCGTCGCCAGGACTCAGCCATTTGCTCTGATCAGTGGCGAAGAGCCGATACGTCGGAGGCGGTCCTGACTGTCTGAGTCCGGCTTTTTCGCGGAGAAGAGTTGCGATTGCATTGAACAGGAAGTAATTCTAAACTTTGTTTCTGAAAATTTGAAAGGCTTGGTATACTTGCGTAACTTTTAGCAATTCTTAGTGAATATGTTTCTCAAAATGACCAAAAGAAACTGAAAAAAAAACCTCGTAAACTTGAGAAAGAACGGCAAGAGCCACGAGGGCAAGGTTGATGAAAGATTCAGGTCGCATCGATTCAGATTCAACAAAGCCGAAGAAAAGACCCATCGTGACGAGCGACATCTGAGCTATTTTATATTAAAAAGTGGTATTTTTTTCTGGTAAGTTAAAAATTAAGAGACGACGTGGTTAGAGCGGGGAAAAAAAGTAGTACAGATTGATGTAATTTTAGGAATATTAATTTATTTTTTTCTGAAAAATATCCAATTTAAAGATTATTCCAGATCTTTTTAACGATCTGGAAATACAAAAATTCTCAATGTTGTGATTTTGCGGATAAAACTTTGCTGATCTCAAATTTGTGAGTCATTATTTTTCTCACGCCCAAAAAGTTTGTTATCTTAAATAGGAATGTGGAAAACAACAATTAAAACTACGAACTTTGTAGAAAATGTCGGGAAGCATGCAGAGAGGACGGCTGAGGTAGAGGGCAGTTATCGAAATGCCGATAAGAGCGGAAGAGATACAGAAAAGGATGTCCAGGACAAAGGGGTAGTTGTAGAAAAGCCAGCTGGCGATTATCAGTCCTGCCGTGTAGTTGACCAACGACAGCATGCAGTACGCGCGTCTAGTCTGCAATTCTAGTTGTTTTTCAACTTCACCCGATAAGTATGGATGCGCATCCGTTCATAAAATGTATCTTAAAGGCATAGAGGCAGTAAAAAACGGTGTTTTAGTTCAAAGCAGTACTTTGTAGAGCTTTTCATTGCGAATCGAACGGTGAACTTGGAAATGCCCAGGACTTCCTAGTTTTGGGGAAAAAATAATTCAAAGTCGGAGAGAGGAAAGTTTGAGTTCCCGCGAAAAGGGCGCTTTGCAGTAAATTTGCTCTATGGACAACAGGCTTCGCCATCTTCCGGATTTTCGCTTTTTTCTTCGTTTCTTTCAATTTTCAATTTTTTCTGTTGTCACCAAAGTTCTTTTCGTCACAACAGCTTTCTATTCATGTATAATTTGCAAACTTTGATTGCAAAAATGCTTTTCTGGTGAACATTGATGATTTTACACAGGTTTCGATTGGGATAGCGATTATTTGTGTTTTCTTTATTATCAATGTGTTTTCTGTTTTCTTAATCGATTTTTCAGAGATGAAACCCTTAATTTGAAGCAGATATCCGGTTATTTCTCCCAAAATGCGAGTCTAATGAGACGTCCGCAACATCGCGTGCACGACTACTGTAAACAGTTGTCTGCATACCGATCCAAAGCTTTTTTTAAAATTAATGGCGGGAAAGTAAAATCGCGTTTTTCTTCTAAAGTTGTCACATCTGTAATTTTTTTTTGAGTACACCATTCGATTCGCAAAGAAAAACTGTATAAGATACTTCTTTCACCCGGAACTTTGCGTATGGCCATCACAAGGACTTCAGGTTCTAATCGAATTCCTGATAGCTAAACGTTTCTAGTGCGTGCAAACCTTCAGATGCTGTCGGTAGCGCATGAAGCGGTGGCCGGCTCGGTAGAAAAGAAGCTGCGGATTCATGGCGAGCGGAGTTTCGCGTCCGACGCCGTCACACATTCGCAGTCCACCAGTCTCGCGAATTTTTTTTTTCGCAAACCTTGGACCTTTGTCGGTCGACGTCAGCGGTCCGAATTTCTCGGCCTGTCGCATGATTGCGGCCAACTTCTTCTCTTTCTCTTTGAACGACCGTGCTAATATTTCAACCTTACTGTAACCTTCCAATCAAATTCACGTGCATCGCATGTAAATATTTGGCGCAAAAGGGAAATCGACGTCTGCAACTACTCGCAAAAAAAATGACCAGAAGACAAAATATTGAGAAAAAAACAAAAGCAAAGGAAAGGGAACGGTTCGGGTGCACGTTGAATACTACACTGTTTGACAAGAATTCGACACAAACGAGTATCGCCCGTACAGCTTTTCATGTTCACTCGAAACAAAGGCTGGTGAGTCGCACGATCAGCCCATTTTGAGAACAAAGTTTTCGAAAATAAGCCGTTTGAAAAGAAATCGTACACATTTGACAACTAAAAGTTGAGTTCTTAGACATTTTTGCATTCATTGAGAACACAAAAGTATGAAGACTGTAAGCCAAAGTTCAACAAAATGGATTTAGAAAAGATAAACTTTGGTAGTGGGACCTATTTCAGAAAGTATGGAGATTTCATTCGAAGTTTTTTTATTTGGTGAAGAAAGAAAAAAACCAATTTTTAAAAAAACTCTTAAAAGAGATTTGGACTTTTGGAGTTCGAAAAATTTCTGCGAACAGATAGTATGTCTGAAAAACGAATGATAAAGATGACTCAAATTTTTTTATAAAGTAAAAAGGAATGAGAAAGAAGTCAAAACTTATTCGCGTAACTTTTCATTTAACTGAGGATCAAAAATTAAAAAAACTGGTTTATCTCTGTGTTTTATCATATTTTTTTATCAACAGGCTTACACCTAAGCCAACCAAAGGACGCCGAAAACAAAGCTGGACGAAATACAGAGAAATTTTTTCTCTCCTCGTCTTTTTTTGGCGCGCGAAACAATACCTCGACTTTGGCCAAAGTTGTAAAGAGAAGAGACAAACGATGGAAGTTGAGAGTTGAAAGTCGAAATGGAAAACGAGACGAAAAGAGAAGGGAGAGAGCGACTCTGTCGCGGAAGAGTCGCTTCCGGCGATTCGCGTCGTCATCAGAACAGTAAAGACCACAATTCGAGACTGTACTTGCGACTGAACAAAGGCCCTCGCGAAATCGTAGACGAGCTGATCGCGACTTGAGTCGCTGTAGAAGGTTCGCGAGGGTGGCGCTGCGACCACGGCACCTATATAAGCGAGCTGGTCAAGCCGTTCTTCTTCTTCATCTTCAGTCTTAATTTTTTTCCTCAGTTTTTTGGCAACAGTTTTTTCAGTGAATGTTGAAACGAAATGATTGGTTCCAGATAATTCGCAAATATTCTTCGGTTTTCGTAGACCCATAATCAAAAGAATGGCAAAATTTTTATTCAAAAATAATGAAAAAGGAACAGATCTACAAATTCTTGGCTTCTGTTATTCAAAAATTACGCTAAAAGTTTTCATTTTTGAATAATAAGAAATAGGCCGATTTTTTCGCCGGCAAGGGAAAAATAAGTCTTTGACCTATAAAATATGATAATCTTTCTCTGAATATTCGATTCGAGTCTGAAAACCAAATAACTAAAATATTTTTGGCCCGAGCTTACCAATTTAGTACAAAACTTGATGATTTGAGAACTTTCAAAAAACCATCTGGCTTCAGACAACCAGCAAAACAGTGTTCAAAAAGAACTTCATACAATAATTTACACATTTTTTTGTGACATTTATGTATATTAAGAAAGTTCTTTTTAGTTCATCAAACCGGATTTCAAATGTTAGGTCCTTTCTTCACCTGAAAACACAAAAACTCATTCTGAAACCACTTTCTTCGTCTTATATTATCTTCCTAACTTCGAAATCTCTCTTGTTCAACAATTTGAAAACGGAATTTTTTATATCGTATGTCACAAATGGAATTTGGATTCTAACCAAAAGTGTGTCGAATGCCTGATGATTCCTAACTGAACCCACACGTCCTCTGGTCCCGCCCACCACAACTCTCGGCCAGCGGTTTCCGTCGCTTATAAAACACGCGCCGTCGCAAATCGCAACCAACCTTTCCACTTTCCCAAACACAGATGTCGGCCGTCCGTCCGATGGAGCTCCACACGGAGAAGACCCCATACACGGCTCCGGAGAGGCTCACTCGTGGCCAGAAGGCCAAACGCTGGTTCCGCAAGTACTTCCTCGAAGGTATCCTCCTCTTTCTGAAAGAAAATTCATAAATCGAATCGTGATTCACTTTTCGACAATGTTTCGAGTGAATAGATTCAAAGCATTTGGTAGTGGGAGAATATGAAAAAGTGTGAAAAAGGTCCTTTATAGAAACTTTTCTAAAAAACTTTTTTTTAATTTTTCAACACCTTATCAATATTTCTTTTTCAGGCCAACATTTGGAAGATGACGCTGCTGAACAACTAGCCAACCTTCCACCAAACCCGTCTTTAGGCGATCTTCTCTTCATCAAGTACCGCAAGTTCGTGGCCATGCTCATTCCCTTCCTCTTGATTCACGTAAGTCGTTTTTCTTCCTTTTTCCAAGACACTTCGCATGTGTTTACAGACATTTTGGTGGGCCACCGCCATCAGACACAACTTCTTCCGCTGGTATCCGGACTACTGGCACATGCCCCTCACCATGGTCCTCGGCTCTTTCGTCGGAGGTTCGTTGGAAACTATTCAAACGTCACTCAACCCAACGACTCTCAGGTATGACTTCCGAGGGTTCTGGAGCCGTCGCCTTTCCCGTGATGACGTTGGCTTTGCACATTGCTCCTGGAATCGCTCGCGATTTTTCCCTCATGATTCAATCTATCGGTTTGTTTCAAAATGCTCCATTTTTTGAATGATTCTGACGTCTTCTGCAGGTATGACGTCCGCACTGGTGTGCGTCATTTTCATGAAGGTCAAGATAGAACATCGCGCGGTCATTCTTGGAACGGCTGGAGCCATTCCCGGATTCATCATTGGAGTTCACTACGTGAGTCTGTTTTTTCCACTCTGAAAAACGTTTTGGAAAAGATTTAACCTGCTCAGTCGCTTACATATATGACTAAAACAAACAAAAAAAAATTGATTTTTGTTGATTGATCAACTTCAGATTGATCCGTTGTTCACCGGACCACAGAAGAAAATGCTGTTCGTCTCTATTTGGACCGCTTTCGCCTTCGCTTTGGGTATCCTCAATTCGCATAAGAAGCGCTCCACCTTCCGTGACATTCCCGAGTTTTGCTTCTGGAAAGGATTCGTCCTCTTCATAACGGGAGTCGTCGGAGGTAGACTTGATTCGAAAAAACGTTAATAGATGAATTAATGTCTTTTCAGGTATCTTTGACGCGTTCGCCGGCTCTGGAATCGACATCTGCATCTTCTCGTTGATCACTCTGCTCTTCCGAGTCACGGAAAAGACGGCGACACCAACGACGGTCGTCCTGAAAGGCATCAACGCCGTCATCGGCTTCTACTACCGAGCCGTCATGATGGGCGACATTGATCAGATGGCGTGGCGCTACTTTGCTCTCTCGATCCCTGTCTCCTCTTTCACCGGCCCCGTCGGGTCGTTCCTTGGGTCCCATCTCCATCGGCAGGTTAGAACTTTTTGGTTCCGAAGCTATGATTCATCCAATTCTCTTTTTTTCTGAAAAAGAATTCGCCCCTACCGAGCCAAAGAGACGGACAATTCATAAAAATCTGTTTTAGTGGGTGAAACGATGGAATTTCGTTTCATAATTTTCTTAAAAGCTCTCAGTGCTTCAAAACTTTTGAGTGAGCACTTGAGTATAGTCAAAAGTTCACTTTTTATGAGAAAATGTCCAGGTGGTCGCTGCTTTCGTCTACATCTTGGAGGCGATCGCCCTGACCGGCTTCCTCTTCACGCGACCTTCGTGGCAGCTCATCGCCGTCGGCGGCTGCATCATTCTGGGCGGCTTCGTCTTCTTCTCGGTCCTGTCCAAATTCGGCGCGATCCTCATGGCGCGCATCGAAGAACGACGTCGCAAAGAGCAACACAACGGCGTCACTCATTAACCATTCCCTTGTGCCTGAGTTAGGAACATCTCCAACTTTTTGAAACGGGCGCTTTTTCTCTTTCTTTCAAAACCGGAAAAATGCTCACTCAACCTAACCTCGAGTTGTACAGCTTCCGTTTGTTGTTATATGTTTGATCTCATCTACTAGCGGTTTTTAGAGTCACATTTAAAGATAAATTTGAAATTATATAGAAGTTTTCGACAGCAAAAAAGGAAGAAAAAAGTTGATGGGAAAACACCTGAACAATTATACCTTCAAGGACAAGACACAATTTCATCTCTGAGTCATTTTCATCTAAGTCTGTGGTCCGTCGATATTTTTTTTAGAAGGCCTCCGAAAATAATTGAAACCGGTGAAAATTTCTGAATATATATATTTACTTATATACATATTCGTTAACACCCAATATTATGGACTATATCGCAGCGAGAGTAGTGCTTTACCGCGGAGGAGCCGCGAGAAATATTGTTCGCCTCTCGCTGCGACCTCGCAAATTTGGCATATTTCATCATGAAATCCAAAAGTAAAGCAAAAAAATGTTTTCTAATTTCAAATTTTCGAAGGATTTGAGAAGGAGCGGTATGGCAAGAGAGACTTTGACGAGGTCGCAGCAAGAAGCCTTGTCTATAGCTATATCGCCTGCGGCGCTCTGCGATATCGGCAATTCTGTTACGGGAAAGATTCTTCTCGTTTCGTAGGCCATTAAGAGCTTCACTGGATATACGACAATTTGCCCGCGAGAATTTCAATTTCTTGTTGCTCTAATACTTCAGGTGATCTTTTTGTTTATTTCATCTGAACTCAGTTATAGACTATTATAGAATATAACTTAGAGTCAATGTTCCCCGACTTGAAAGGCGAGGGAGGCGGGGCAGGGGGCGGGACGCGTAGCGTGTGCGTTCGCGGTTCTTGGCACGTGCTCAATTCAATTCAATTCAATTCAATTTATTCAGTCTTCAAAGTAAGATGTAAAAAATCTCTGCTGAATCATGGTATAATCGAAGAGTTAGTCGTCGGCGCGGGTTACGATCCAAAATATTTGTCCAATAAGTCCCGGCGTGACAGCTAGCGTTGGGAAATAATGTGGGCCCGTTGGTAGTGCCAGCGAATAAACTGCTTCACCATGTTGGAACAGTACGGCGCCCAGCTTGTCCAGGGCCGACGGGCGTCGGAATATTATCCCATGAGAAAGCGGCAATGAGACCGACTAGTCGACGTGATGAAATGAGATAATAATTCAACAATTAATTGTGTGTTCCCAAACGAGCGGCAGCTGTGGTCAGTAGGCGTGGCTGACTGCAACAGCGTCACGGTTTATTGCAATAGGGGCGCGGGAATGAGAGTCAAGTTTTGTGGATTTAGTGGTTGGAAAAAAAGACCATTAAATGATGTTTTTTTCCTAGGTTCTAGCAAGTTTTTCAAAGATTTTTTTATTGTGTATTAAATTATAACGAACAAATTTAAATGAAGAAAGAGACGAAAAAGTTTTTGCAAAACAAAATATCTCCCAAAATGTCGTTTTTTAGGAAAACTCGTCAAATCGAACTTCCAAAGGGAAAATTGAGAAAAAGCTCAAAGCACTTCTCTTAAGAATTACCATTTGAACGTTTTAAAACAAAAACAGATACATAATAGCTTGTGCGAATAAAGTTGTCACCCAAAATGACATTTTCAAGAATAAATTCGTCGAATACTGCCTCGAAAAAAAAATTTTGAGAAAAATCTCACAGCGTTTCTCTTAAGAAAGTCTATTTGAAAACTCTAAAACAAAAAAACAAACGAAATATCTTATGCGAAATAAGTTGTCATCAAAAATGTCATTTTAATGCGAATTTCTGTGACGAGAACAATCGAAAATCACTTCAAATCTCTGGAAAACGCGATAAACACGTTTTAAGAACACATACAACGTAAAAAAAAATACGAAAGAATGGTAAAATACGCAAGAAAAAGAGAAGAAACCGTATGAAAAGTGAATGAAATTTTGTGGGGGTGACACGCGCCGCACCGCGTTGCGTTAGAAAAAACTCGCGTTTTCGCCCCATTGCGACGACCTTTTTTTTCGCTTGCCGCCGTCTCTTTTGGAACACTGTGAATTCAATTGTCGCCGACTATTTAAAAAGCTCGACAACCGCTCTTTTTCAATTTTTTCTACTATTTTTTGATGCACACATGAACATTATCAATAATAATTGAAAAAAGAATGAAAAAAAAAGAAGCTAAAAACGGGGTTTTCAAAGAGTAGATGGCGGTTGAATTGAACACGTGCCAAGAACCGCGAACGCACACGCTACGCGTCCAGCCCCTGCCCAGCCTCCCTCGCCTTTCAAGTCGGGAAACATTGGCTATATATTCGTAGCGACAAAAAAATGTAAGAAATTCCTCGTTTTTAATTTTCAAATGTAATTGTTCGGTTTTGGTGGATTTTATCTTATGGAGCTGAAAAATGGTTTTTTTTTTTTTGGGTTTAAAAATCAATAGTCTCACGGAAATAAGTGCTTTAACACGTTTTGAGGGTGGAAAGGAATAAGATTATTGGAAAAGTGAAAAAAAACTTGCACCCTTATTTTTTTTTTCCGTCGTTAAATCAACTAGAAAGTGAATCTGTGCTAGAACAACAGTTTTTTCATGTGTATAGTGTTAAAAAATTCGATTTTTTTTTCTGTTTTAAAGGCATAGGGGCAGTAAAAACGGTGTTTCAGTTCAAATGCGAATATGCGAGTTAGCGCCGTTCAGTGTATGCACCAAAGACGTCACGTAAATTAAGTAATTTGTGGGCGGGGTCAAAAGATCGCTCGTGCGGAACGCACTATACTTTTAACTACGAAAACTTCCCATGAAGAGTTAAAAATTGATATTAAGTTGTAAAACTTTCCGTTCCTCCTGATTAAATATTCAAAATCATATTATTATTGTTCTTATAGTCTGTGTACCACGACTTGGAATTTCACCGAACGACATATTCGGGCAAAACTGAAAAGCTCCCCAAAAGCTTTTCTCGAAAAAAGACCTTGAAAAGGTCCCCAAGCAGATCTTTTTTACATCATTTCAATTATTTTTTGCGTCTTTTTCACATCCTCTGACAAAAAGGATGCTGGTAAGCAACTAAAAAGATCCGAGAGGATTCAAAAAGGATGCTCTGAGGCTATGAAAAAGGTGCTCAAAAGCTTTTTTACATCATTTTAGGAGCTTTTAGAGGAAGCTTTTTATCTCCCTCTCAGGATCCTTTGAGGATCCTCAAAGGAACTTTTCAGTTTTACCTATGATTCGATGTTCCGCTGCGTGCTCGGCCGCGCCTTTAATTTTTATTTTATTTAAGAACTCGACCAGCACGTGTTCCTAGTGGAACAGTCCATCTATCAGAAATGCGAAGCAGTTCAAAGCGAGACCGAGGCTGGCAAAGACGCTTCGCGACGCAGTGGAACAGCGGAATGTCGTTCGGTGAAATTCCAAGTCTTGGCACACAGACTATACTATTATTAGCATTGCAGTTTTTTGGATGTCATTTGAAAAATCAGTCATCAATGGAATTGCAGACTTATTCAAAAAATCTACCGGAGCTAAAAGAAAGATTTGAAAGCGGAAAGGGAATTTTGACTTGTGTAAATACTTAATGAAAAACAATCCAAATCTCCAGCTTACTCATGACTTAAAATGAGACTGTCTGCTCATTAGATCGGACCTAGGCTTTGGTCCTTTTGAATATTCGAAAACGTCTTTTCCAGGAACATTTGAACTTTGGTATCGCTAAACCGATTCGCCGTCAAAAATTCTGCGTGCACATCACTTGATAGTTTTTATTTGCTGAAAAATTTCCGGGTGTTTAGAGAACTCGGCTCTATTTTTCGAGAGAGAGACCTGAATTTGGGGCGCGACACGAAAATAGGCTTATTACATTATTACACAGGCTTAGCCACATCGATTTGACAAAAAAATCGGCCTCATCTGTTTTTCAAATGGGCAAACTTGCAAACTTCATTTCTCTGTTTCGGGTTGAACGATGAAAGTTGAAAGACCAGCGGAAAGAGAAGGCGGGGCCGTCTGTCACTATTTTTGGCCTTCCAACGCCGAACTGCCGTACAAAAACGTGTTTGAAATTGGATTCATAATGGGTTCCAAGAAGGGCGACGGAAATGGCAAAAAGTCGATAACCAAATGAGACTTTCGAGGTTAGAAAAGGAATCGAGATTTTTTTAATCTTAAAATTTTGAAATAAAAATACTTGGCTAGGAAAAATGGTCCAGCGAAACAATTAATTGAAGGAAAATTCATAAATTCTTCTTTCTACGCTTTTGTACCGCTTGAATGGGTTCGACGTCGACGTACGTCCCAAGTCGATAAGCCGAGATCCTATCCCGATGTCAGTGGACTGGCTCTAGTAACACATCCGTCCTTGTGTGTGGCTGGGGATTTTGAAGTCGTGGGTTCCCACTACCAATAATTCTCGAATCCCTTGGTTGGGTCAAGGCGGAGACCGAACTTGTGACCGTAGACAGTATAGTCTGCAAAAATGATCTTTCGACCAATCTTTTGGTCAACATTTTTATAACATGTCACCTAAAATAGGAAATGTTAACATTTGGGTTGAATGAAATGTTAAAATGTCTGAAATAATGTGATCTTTCGTTTTATTTGACAGATCAACATTTATAATAAAAATAATTTAAAATGACGTGTCAAATTTTGATCTCTCGAAATGTCATTATGAAATCAATAATCAAAATTTTAATCTTTCAAAATGCCATTTTGAATCCAGTGGTCAAAACTTTGATCTCTAAAAACGTCATTATGAAATGAATGGTCAAAAATTTGATCTTTCAAAATGGTTGAAAGATCATTCTTGCAGACTCTAGTAGACAGGCACACAACCTGTTGCACTACGGCCCAAAGGATTATTTATTAATGAGGGATTTATAATGATTTACGTATGAACTCTTAGGCTTACTTTGATAATTAGCGATATCTTCGATCTGATTTTACGTAATAAATTTTTGATTATCTAAGTTGGAATAGGTTTCTCACTGGAGCAATATGCTATGCTTTCGCTGTTCAAAATTTTACATTTTCTTCCATTACGCAGAACGCCGTTAGTTGAAAATAAAACTTCAAGTTCTCTTTTCTTCCGGTTTGAAATATTTTAATATTTTAATGAAATTGACTCAATTTTATAAAGTTTTCGAAGTAGTCCCGCAAACTCCAAAATAACCGTGGGAAAGTGAAAAAGATAACTAAAGTTTGAAGAGGCAGAGATATTTTTGCAATTCGTGAAAGTTACTTTGAACACAGAGCGTACTTGAAAATGTCTTTAAGGTAGCATACTTCGAAAAACTTGCGTTCGTGTCAGTGAATGAAAATGCAGAAAAAATAGCAGGGGCGGGCGCCGTAAATCGTACGACTACTGTATTTTTGATCTGTTCATGATCCGTTTTTGTATTACAAGATTCACCCTCCCAAGATCTCTCAAGATTTCCGGAAAGAAAAAAAAATGAGAAAAATGTCTAGGGTGGGAGTTGGCGTCGAGGTGGTATGCACAGCAAATGTCATATCTGACGAGCTTTCATGAAGGCACCAATATTATGGGCTCTATCGCAGCGAGAGTAATGCTATATTGCGAAGGAACCACGAGCAATATCGCTTGCCTCTCGCTGCGACCTCGCAAACGTATTGCGCTGCATCGCTCTCCAAAAAAAGTTTTTCTTTCAAAAATGTGTTTTTTTATTTTATTCATTTCATCATAAAAGTCAAAAATAAAGTAAAAAAAATTTTTTTTTAATCTCAATTTTTTTTTAAGGCAACAAGACTTTGACGAGGTCGTAGCGACATGCTGACTAATTCTCAGCAAGATTTCTTCGCTATATCGCCTGCGACCCTGCGATAATTATGTTGGGTGGGGGAAATTCCGAATTCGCCGCGTTGAAAAAATAATTCTTATGCCGTGTTCAAAGTAATTTCCGCGAAATGCGAAATTGTCTCTGACCCTCCAAAATTTAGTTATCTTTCTCTTTCTCTGACGGCTATTTTGAATTTCGCGGAATCACTTTGAACACGGCATTAATGGCGTTTTCATTGGAAAAACGGAAAAACGGAAAAATTTTGAAATTTTGTTTCAAAACGAATAAGCGTGTTCATCGGCGCACCAAAATTGCTTCAAAACAGCGCTAAAATATCATTGCTCGTTAATTTACCATAAGATATTAACATTATTTAATTAAGAGTCGTTTCGCTTTTGGATAAATTTTTCAGTTCGTACGATAATCAGAGCGACCATCGCGTTTCGATCTTCGAATGGTTTCCAAAGGCTTGAATACGGTTTTGGGACATTTTTCATGGCGTCCTGGAAAATTATCTCAGCTCAGTTTTTATATTTTTTTTTCCTTTTCTCTTCTTGAAGCTTAAAATTCTGAAATTATGAACTTTTTCCAAAGGCAAAAGTTTCGGAATGTAAAAAAGTTCAAGTACCTCGAAACCAAACAACGACCATCAGAAAAAGCGTTTGGTTTTTTTCCCCCCAAGGTTCTCAAGTTCTACATGTGAAATTCAGCGAATTTCAGTCTTTCAAAGTGTGATTACCTTTCTTCCCTTTTTAATACATCTTTTAATTTTTATAATTTTCAGACTTCCATAAGCTAATCGAGAAAAGGTATCGCGATACTCCCTGAGGTATATCGCAGGGTCTGAAGTCTAATGATGGTACCCCTGAGGACTTGGAGGAAAATGAGATGGACAAGGGATATACTCTCATTCACATTCCATTTTGAAAGGTCTATTTGTGGACAAATTATGGTACCCTCTCGATTCGCTTGTATTTTTCATCAGAAAGGTTGGAAGCAGGAGTAGATTGCCAAATCGTTTTGCCATCAAAAATAATTTTTTTTTTTAGAGATAAGGAACTCTTTTTGATGTACAAAAAGTATATTGTTGAATTCGCAAATTGATTGTTTTTGAGAGCACACGCATCGAAGGTGGTTTTGCCACAGAGCAAGTTAATATTTCGTTTTTTTTTTTGTTTAGTAAAAGTCATTATCCAGCCCCTTGGACGTATTTTTAAGACCGGTTTCGTGTAACTTACAGCCAACTTGAATTCGAAGATGCAGCTTGAAGTTTTTTTATTATAAAAAAATAATCTGATTTGCTTCATTTTTTTCTGGTTTTTTTCGATGGTTTTTTTCGAACTTAATTAAAAAAATCTCGCCAAACTAGATTTTTAATTTCTGCTTTTTTTATCTATCAATTGTTTTTTTCTGAAGCCAAGTTTTTCAAGGTATATAAATAATTTTTTTTAAAGTGTTTCTTGAACTTTTTTTCGGTTTCAATTTTTTTCATATTTATAAATGATTTTTTTCGAGGAGAGCTATTTTTTTCCTATTTAATATGTTTTTCATTTTGTTATCAGTAATTTTGAGTCTTTTTTCTTTCAAGATAGTTCCTAAATATTTTTAGCGCAATCAAATGTTTTTCCACATCATATTCTTCAAACTGACAAGATCCCAAACATTTCAGGAACTATTATCTTAAAATCCGAAAATTGAAAAAAAAAATTTAAGTGTTCGATAGTGCGTCTCGGTGTGTTTACACCCTAAGCACCATAACTTACGAAAAATTTTGACTTACGTATTGAAGAAAACTTCATGAGGAAAGGGAACTTTAAGGTCTCTTTATTTGCAAAAACGGGGAAGTTAAGCGGGTAAGGCTCTTCATATTTTCATCTAGTGAAACAGAGCCATCTGCCCGGGCAGAAGTTCCCACATGAAACTTTTGAACAGCTTAATATCTATGTGATAAAATAAATTGATAATGAGGAGTTTCCATTTAAAAAATTGAGATTATTGCGTATTTTTTGTTTTGGGTAACTTGGAAGTATCCAAACTTTCTGTACATACATTTCAAAAGGAAAATATTTTTTGGAAATTATCACTGGGGAATTCGAAAACTAGTCCCATTTCAGCATCAAAAGAAAAAGTACAACGGGTTACTGTATTATTGCGTTCTCGTTGCGTCAAAAGATCTCTCATCGATGAACTGTAAACGTCATTTAGCACCGCCTCTCACACATAAAACCGCGTCGACAGGTAGGCTTTTGTGGCAAACAAAATGGCGTCGGTACATCCCAACGGCAAATCGGCGTTCAGTCAACCGCTTTCTCGCGGACAAAAGCTCCGTCTCTGGTTCCGCAAGTACTTTCTTGAAGGTGAGGTCGACCCTTTTTCACAATGACCTTGTTCCCTGTGCTGAAAATGGAAAATTCAGAGACCCTCTTCCATAATTGATTTGCGCGTGATCAGAGGTCGTATGCAATAAAGTGGTATAGCCTATTCTGCGCCAGCTTGTCACGTTTTTCTTTCCGCCAAAAAGACCGTTTACCAAATTAGATCAAATTTCTGCTTTTATAACGGCAAGAAACAAAGGTCTTGAAGCGAAAGTTAGTTAAATTTGACCTGGCCTTTTGGCGGAAAGAAAAACGTGACAAGCTAGCGCGGAATGGCCTATAAAAAGGTTTTTTTCGCCATTTTTTTCTGAGAATGGAGCTGGCCTAAAAAATTTAGTTTTAGTTTTTTTCTTTTCTTTTATTTTCAAAAGTGTTTCCGGCTGTTTCTAAAAGGTTCAAAAAATAATAAAAAATAAAAAAGAAAAAGTTTCAATGTAGAAAAAAGATCTAGCATACGGTCTCAGTTTCGAAAAATTTTTTTGAACCAGACAAATTCGAGTTTATTTTTTTAATTTTTTTTCAATTTAATTCAGACGAGAACGCAAAAAAAGCTGCTCCAAGTAACGCTTTAATTTTTTTTTTCAATTATCTCGTAAAATTTTGCTGATGGCGTTCTGTGAAGTAGTCAGCTGCAGCGTAGCTCAGCTGGTAGGACTCTTTCCTACCGGCAACAGAGTCGTTTTCTCGATTCTTTCTGGGTTCCTTTCAGTTATCACAAGTGAACATTTTACTTTTTTTGAACAATACCTGTCATGAACTTCGAACCTATTAAAAAGGTGATTTATTGCTTTGTTCGAGCCGGAGACTCGAACAAAGCAATTAGTTTAAAGTTTCCCTTATTCTCTCGTTCAGTTTTCATGAACCTGAAGTAGGTTGAAACGAATTTGTTTCTTAATACGAGGCGTATGGGAACAAAATTTGTCTTTTTTCTTTCAAAATCGGAAATTTCTGCTGTTTTTTCGCGCAATCATTTAATTGTACGGCCAAACCGGTTTTTTTTTTTAGTTGACGGCAAGCGTTTCAGGACAGCACTTGGAAGATGAAGCGGAGAAAAACCTTGCGAATCTTCCCGAGAACCCAACTCTCCATGACCTGATCTTCATCAAATACCGCAAATTTGTCGCAGGCCTCATTCCCTTCCTCTTGATTCATGTCAGTCTCCTGGCCGCCTCAAAGTCCAAAAGGAGATTTTTTCAGACATTCTGGTGGTCGACGGCCATCCGGCACAACTTTTTCCGCTGGTATCCCGATTACTGGCACATGCCAGTCACCATGGTCCTCGGCTCATTTGTCGGCGGAATGACGTCAGAAGGAGCTGGAGCGGTTGCGTTCCCCGTCCTCACGTTGGTTCTCCACGTGGCGCCTCCAATAGCAAGAGATTTCGCGATCATGATTCAGTCTATAGGTGTGTTGCATTGAGAGACAGAGAGAGAGAAGAGAAGAGATGCGAAACTTTAGGGATGACTTCCGCGTTGACTTGTATCGTTTTCATGCAGGTCAAAATCGAGCACCGCGCCGTCCTTCTCGGAACATCCGGAGCCGTTCCCGGCTTCGTTCTTGGAGTTCACTTTGTAGGATTCTTTGCTTCTTTTCAAAGAGTATAATAAGACGATAAATCAGTTTTGAAAATGCACTTTTAAAAAAAGTCCCTAATACATGGACCGCTTTGAAAACAGACTTTCCTTTGCACTTAATTCACAAAAGAGTTTTTGAATTTTTAAAAACTCTTTGTGGAGCAGTATTCGTATAATAAGAGTAGCCCTTGAAAAAAATAACGTAGATCACTAATTGTTCCGTCTTCTTTTTACCTTCTTAAATTTCTTGGATCGATAAATTCATCAATGAAAAATTTTAACGATACGATAAGAAATGAAAAAAAAGTAAAAAAAAAGGTTTCCAGATAGATCCGCTTATGACTGGACCACAAAAGAAGATGCTATTTGTCGCTATTTGGACGGCTTTTGCATTTGCTCTGGCCATCCTGAATTCCCACAAGAAACGAACCACCTTCAAAGAAATCCCAGAGTTTTGCTTCTGGAAAGGACTCGTTCTGTTTGTCACAGGACTCATTGGAGGTCTTGCTGATTGTTTCATAAAATTAAATTTATTTCGGACACAGGTATCTTCGACTCTTTCGCTGGCTCTGGCATCGATGTGAGCATCTTCTCGGTGATCACACTTCTGTTCCGAGTCTCGGAAAAGACGGCGACACCGACGACCGTCGTCCTAAAAGGAATCAACGCAGTTTTTGGTTTTTACTATCGAGCCGTCATGATGGGCGACATCAGTGAGGTCGCCTGGAAATACTTTGCCGTCACGATTCCAGTCGCTTCTTTCTTTGCCCCCCTTGGGGCTTTCATCGGCTCGCATTTCCATCGCCAGGTCAGATTTTCATCATCACTCTAATTTCTAGACTAAGTTTTGTTTAAAGAAGCGTCCAAACCGACGGAGGAAACTCAAATGTTCAAATACGAGAATTTCGTTCGAACTAAATAAGCGAACAGTATTTTTTTTAATTAAAAAAAGAAAGTTCAGGTGGTGGCGGCGTTCATCTACATCTTGGAGCTGGCGACGCTCATCGGCTTCCTGTGCAACGGACCTTCGTGGCAACTCCTCGTCATCGGTTCTGCGATAATCGTTTTCGGCTACGTCTTCTTTCACGCTTTATCACGTGCCGGCGGCGTCCTTCTGCAGTCCATCCAACGGCGGGGCAAACAAGACGTCTTTTAGGTTTTTTGAACTTTCTTAGTTTTTTGAGGCTGTTTCTATAGGCGATCTCTTCCGACCATTGTGAATGTACATACCTAATGAAAACTTTAAAATTTATTTTTAAAGGTTGAGCTCATCGTAAAAAATATGATTCAAATTAAGAAGACCCAAAAACAATTTTTTCACTCACACGGGAAGTGCGAAAGGTCGAGGTATTGGAATTTAATGAAACTTGGTATATAGGTACTTCCGAACACCCTGAATCCAAAACAGTTGAAAAAAAGTGCGCCTTTTTGGTTTTAGTCGAGTTAGGGCGCCTCAAAGTTTGCACGCAAAAATTGTATTGGAAGGGAGGAAGGAATGTGTTGCGGCGGCTTACTCTAGCTGCCAGCAGGCGGCGTGGTGTCACTAAGAATAACTGACGAGATAAACGCGAGCTCGGTGGCGGTACATTGACTAACTCGCAAAAATGTCGCTTTTTTCTAGGCGCGATCCCGCATTTCTCTCGGCGCGGCCTCGCATTTTTCTCGGCGCCATCTCGCATTTATCTTGCATTTCGGAAATTTTCAAATTGCGAGAGAAATGCGAGCTCGCGCCCAGAAAAGTGCGAGCTGGCGCCCAGAAAAATGCGAGACCGGCGCGAGAAAAAAAGCGAGATGTTTGCGAGCTCGTCAATGTACCGCCAGTGTCTCGCGTTTATCTCGGCAGTTATTCTTAGTGGTAGTGGCTAGAGACCTTGCGCTGGGAAACCTATGATGCAGGTTCGGACCCTTTTTGGTGAAATTTTATTTTTGCCATTTTTTTTTTATTTGAAAAATGAGGAAGTTTTGAGGATGGAGTGAAAGAACAGCTCAAAATTTTGAAATTCGCCATTTTATGTCCATCTGAGAAAGAATTTCGACAAAAAAATTTTTTGCCCCATTTTTCCTTGCCTAACCATAAGGCTTAATGGTTGACCCATTCTTTCAAAAAAAATTCTGATGAACCAATATAATCAAAGTTTTTATGAGATTTATTCTTCTTTCCTTCCTTTATGACGTTATGTGTGTAAAAATGTGTATCAAAGTCCAGCTTCACTTTATTTTCACAATCGAGATGATATGGCGATGCTGCAGGGAATGAAAAAAAAGACAAGGAAAATGGTTAACTAACCGCCATCTTTGAAGAAAAAAATCGTTTGATGAATAAGAATGAAAGCATAGAACTACAATAAGTTGTTATTTATATCACAAACCTATGAACTCTCGCAAGAATAATCTCGACGCCCAAATTTCCTGCACAGAGCAGGAGAAAAAAAAATTTTTTTTGTTGAAATTCTTTCTCAAAACGACATAAAATAGTGAATTTTAACACTTTGCACAGTATTTTTCGTTCCATCTTCAAAAATTCATCAATTTTTTCGAAAAACTTCATGGCAAAAAAAAATTTCACCAAAAAGGGTCCGAACCTGCATCATAGGTTTCACAGCGCAAGGCCTCTAGCCACTACACCACGCCGCCTGCTGGCAGCTAGAGATAGCCGCCGCAACACATTCCCTCCTCCCTTCCAATGCATTTTTTGCGTGCAAACTTTGAGGCGCCCTACCTCGACTAAAACCAAAAAGGCGCACTTTTTTTCAACTGCTTTGGATTCAGGGTGTTCGGAAGTACCTATATACCAAGTTTCATTAAATTCCAATACCTCGACCTTTCGCACTTCCCGTGTGTCAGTTATAAAAAAATAGAAAAAAAAGATAAAATTAGTGAAGTTTCGATTTCGTTGCTCTGAAATCTAATAGAAATTAAGTTGACAAAAAAATTTGAAAGTGTTTTGTTTTAAAGTTGGCAGTTCGTGTATTTTTCTCGCTTCAAACTGGTTTTTCAAAAAGTTTGCATATAATTTATTGTTCATGATTTTATTAACTCATAATTTCATGATTCTCACCATGATTCATGTGAGCTTCTCTGGAGTTTTCAGAGTTTCTAATATTCGGATTGAATATTTCGCAGTAGAAGTCTCTGTACAAAAATACCTCTCTTCGTTTTCAATACTAAATTAGATTAAATCTCACAATTATTAAATATAAATGATCAAAATTTGAATAAAAAAAGGAATAAGACATCAAAAAGCAGCGAAATTTTAGAGTATCAATAAACATGGTTCCAATGAACGCAAATTCGTTGTTCACAACTTGAATGGATCGATTTGTTTCTATTATTGAAATTTAATTCCTACAACGTGTTTGAGATACGCGAAACATGCAAAGAGGAGTTGGTGTCCGAAGTTGTTTTCTTGGCGTGGCGGATGCGGAGAACTTTCTTCTCGACCCAAAGACGGTAGGGCGCCACGAAGTAGATGGTGGAGAGAGGGTCTGCCAGACAGGGAAAGCTGGCCAAGGCGAGGTGTAGGTACTCCATGATTGTGAATCCGCGTTTTGTTATCTGACTCATCATTCGCAAGGTTCCTTCGATTCCAGTTACCTGGATCGTGATAAAGTAAATACTTGTAGTGGAGTAAGCCAGCAGAATGAGCATCGATTGGAAAGTCAAGGCCTGGAAAAATATTGAAATATACTGCAGATCGTGTGAATGGAACCATACGTGAATCATTCTTTTTGTGCTTTCTACGGTTTTCGCGGAAAAGCTCTGCGATTGATCCAGGGTTTGCAAGATTTTGCTCCTCCAGTAAAATATGAGCAACGGATAGACCATGCTGCTGAGAAGGATTGCCGTGTTGAAAGTGTATATCAAGTCGCTGGTAGACGTGAAGCCGCCGATTGGGCCATAGAACTCTAGTCTGTACTCTGGATACGCCTTCAATTTCAAGAAGGATGAGGATCCAGCTTTCTCACAAACTTCAATAACTCGCTTGGTGACGTGTTCGAAATCGACAGCGGGGATATACGGCGACAGCTGAAATTTTAACTGTAGAGGCTCATTTTGAAAATAAAAAGGATTACTTACGAGAAAATTCTAAACTTTTTAGTAAGCCTGAATAAAAAAGGAAGATTATTCCTAAACATTGCAATGGTTGCTCAATTCTTACCAGAAGGTTGAGAGAAGCAATATAGCACACGACGAGGTTGCGGACAAGCTGTTTTCTGGTGACGCCTTTCATCTTGATGAGCGAACGACGGAAATGCATCGACAGCATTAAAGACCACAAAACGTTCACTTGGCAGCCGTTGTAAAAGTTGTAGAAAGCAAAGCTGGCCGAGGGTCCCAAGTAGCGGACAGGACCGATAGGCAGAAGTCCCATCGTATTGTTAGCTTCCAGGAATCTGAAGAAATTGCTTTTCTCTTGGAATGGAAGAATCAAGACGCTCAAAGGCAAAGAGAAAATAATTTTGGTCGAAAAATCCGAGCAAAAAGGGGTGAAGCGCAAAGCACACAGAAAAGGGATTACTTGGTTTTAAATATGGAACTTTCTGTGATAATTTTTGATGGAATTTTTTTTTCCGAATTTTCCTTTTGCTCGACTTTTCTACGGATTTCTCAACCTCTGCTGCATGCAACACGTTGTGATTATAACCATTAGCTGAGTAATATAGGTGTTGGCCAGCAAAATCCTGAATGTTTACGTAATTCGCAATTATTCACAAGACAAACCGATAGTCTTTGAAAGCTTGAGGGCTGTGGTGTTTGATGAGGTAAAGAAGCGTTATGTTGGAAGTCGAGGCCATCACTCCAAGCATACAATAGTATAAATGTATACAGAGCTCTATCGTAGACGTATCTACATACTGTAAAACAAATGTTAGGTTCCTCAAAAATGCGAGAGAGAAACTCACAGTCGCATTGAAAGTCATGCTGCAAACTGCTCAAATCATCAGCTTTTGGGGCAGATTATTGCACATTTCGTGCGAGAGAATAAGAGTTCATGGGAATAAAAAAAACTTTCGGAAAAGCTCTTGCGAAAATCTTTCTATCACACGTATAGTTTCTTCGTGTCTCGAAATATGCCGCTTTTCTGACAGTGAGTGACTAATTTCCATAAAGAAGTTGACATGAGTCCGCTGTAGCCTTTGAGCCACACGCTACCTTTATCAACCAGATCCACACGTTTTTCAAATTGTACCAAACGATAATTCTGATCACTCACGCAAAATACATGAAAAAATATTTTTGTGCTCGAAATTTTTTTTACAATATCTCACTCAAATTTTTTTTTTCTTGTCAAAGCTTGACTAATAATCTGAATTTCTGACGAAGATATAGTAAAGATAACTGCCGAGCCTGGCGCGAGAGAAATGCGAGGTCGGTGGCGGTACATTGATGAACTCGCGAAAATCTCGCTCAGTCCTGGCGCCGGTCTCGCATTTTTCTAAACGCGAACTTGCATTTCTGCCGAAAATTGAAAATGTCCAAAATGCGAGGTCGCGCCGAGAGAAATGCGACATTTTTGCCAGTTTTTCAGTGTACCGCCAGCGTCTCGCGTTTATCTCGAAAATTATTTCAGTGCTAATATAGTAAAAATTATAGCAAAAAAAAGTTGTGAAGAAACTTATTGAAAATGAACAACGTAATTGATGACCAAACTTGTGATATCAGGATGCGAGTTCAGAAATTTTCAATTAATGTTTTCTAGTTTCTTTTTTTGTTTTTGCAATCCAGGTTTAGACCTTATCCTTGATTTATATGGGTTATTGAAGAAGTCACGTTGAAAGTTTCACAGCGTAGATATTTTTTTATTTGGTCTCCTTGGTTTGTACTCCGTTCAGCAAGTAATCAGAGCGGAAATTTTCCCACTCTTTCATGGGCTATTTTTAAGTTTTCTTCTTTTATTTAGCAACAAATAAAAAACAATGAAGAGTTTATTTTTGACATCAGCAAAAAGTATTCAGTGAACAGAATACCAGGTTTGAAAGGATTTCAACCAATTGGAAAAAAAAACAAAAATTTAAAGACGGCGTGTGATCAGTTGGAATGGATGCGCGAGTGCTGTCGGAAGACGGTAACAGTGACTGAAGGCGGCGGCCGATCAAAGTTCGACGGCTTCTGGCGAAGCAAGTGACGAGTGACCCAGGCTCTGAACGGAGCCACGAAGTAGATGGTGAAGATAGGGTCGGCTAGACAGGGGAACGAGCAAAGGGCCACGATGACGTACTCCATGAAGGTGATGCTGCCTCCGGCCGTCTGAAACTGCAAAGCCGTCCCTCTCGACATGTTCCGACTTACGGTCGAAGTCAGGAAATAGAAGACGTTGGGCACGTAGCACGTCATCGGTAAAAGCGCTTGGAAGGTCAAAGCCTGTAAAAGTGTGTGAACAGATTATGGTTGGAAGATCAAACATGGATCATCAGTCGGGAACTCTGTTTGGTTCTTTCGGAGAAAGAGGAGTTTGCGTCATTGAGCACCTTGAGCACGTCAAATCTCCAGTAAAAGATGAGTATTGGCATCAGACAGCAACTGCCGAAAAGAAGGGTCGTGTTCATCGTGTAGATTATGTCGCTTATCGATACGAAGCCCCCGATCGGACCATATTTTTCCAAACTGTATTCTGGATGGGCCTGTAATAGGAACCGTTGTTTGGACGGTACTCGAAATCCAAAAATCTTCGAAAGTTTGTCCCACCAAAAAAAAAATGTTAGAACGTGTTTTCAACTCACCTCGATTGCATTTCTCATAACCGTTTCGAAATCAATTTTCAAATGGGGAGTTATCTGAATTTTCTAATAAGCCCTTCACTTAATTTTCTGAACTTCACCATCAAATTTACGAAAACGGCATATCCGATCAACAAATTTTGAAGCATTTTCCTCCTGTCGACAAGTTTCATCTTGATAAGAGAACGTCGAAAGTGCATTGAAAGAAGAATGGAGACGGAAGCGTTCCATTGGAAGCCGTTGTAGAGGTTGTAGGAGACGAAACAGGCCAGAGGACCGAAATAACGACACGGTCCGATTGGCAGTAGCGCCATGGAGTCGAACGACACGAGAACTCTAAGCGAAGGCTTTCGAAGGATCTTCAGAAGCGCTACCTTTGGTGCATGAAGTAGGAATTGAGGACCGCGAACATCTGGTTGATGCAGGTATTCGCCAGAAGTATTCTGAGAATTAATTGAACTTAAAACAATTACTTGAAACTAAAACCTCAGTGAATTTTTTTGTATGAAAAATGTTCTCATCATTGAATCCTCTCAAATTTTCCACATTTTTTACAATCCATCAATTGTCAGAAATACGCAAAGTCAAATGCAAATAGACAAAAAAAGGTTTACCCTCCGAGCTTTCGAATAAAGAAAAAGTAAAACGTTAGCTTATAAAAGAAAATTTTTTATTTATTCTTTCCATAACGAAGCCGCAGTCAGTACCTGTAGTCGCTGAATGATTTCGGACTTTTCTTGATGACGAGAAACAAGAGCAAAAAGTTCGAAGTCAGTGAGGAAAAGCCGAGTACAGCATAATAGACTCGGAAACCGATTTCAATGTTACGCGTGTCGATATATTCAACCTAAAAGAACACTCAATCAATGAGAGAAAAAGCTGGAAAACCCTACCGTTGCGTTAATTTGGAGCGACTTCATTGTGCGGTGGATCCTCAGACACTTTTTACCTTTCAGGTATTGGATCGAACTGCAAATCTTCTGTCTTCATTTCGAATTTATTATCGTCATGAAATGGGTTTTTTTTTTTGCAATTTCGACAAAGATAGGACCGAGAAATGAAATTCGAAAGATCGGAAGCTATTTTCTAAGATGAGACAGTATGTTTTCCAACAGATATGAGATTTGTGACATAGCTTTGAGATGAAGGAATGGGCATATGATATTTTTATTGCACAAAGTGAAAAATTCCCGGGAAAGGGCTACTGAAGTTAAAGAGTGTAATATGGTCAGAGGGTCGATTGGTGAAACTTTGAATTTGGCGTGGGAACGCCACCTTCTGCTTTTTTTTTAGGCTTTTTGATTAAAAGTACCAGAAACGAGAAACTACTTATGTTATGAGACAAGTTTTGAAAAAAAAAAGATGGTTTATGTGAAACTGTTCTTGTAAATTTGGAAACCTCCAAGTGATTCAATTACGTGATTCGCTGACAATTTCCCGGCATACTTTGGAAAGAGCCCACTGAGATCATAATCATTGGAAAAATACTAATATTTTCACGATGGTTATATTTTCTCACGTATAGTTGTTTGCGTCCGCTTCATGTTCTACGAAGTTGATTAAAGATGGAAACAAACGGATTTCGTGACTTCATTAGTCAACCAAATGTTTTTTTAGGCATTCAAAGTTTCAGAAAAAACAGCTATCATTTCCTGATAAAAATCAGAAATTAAAGCCGACTATAAACATATTTCATTTGGCAGCTCAACACAAGTTTTCTTGTTATCAAATTGGAATAAAAAGAATCGAAAACCGCCTCCAAAATAAAAATGAGCTTCTGGGAGGGCTACCGTATCCTTTAAAAAGATGTCTGCACTCATTTTTTTTTGTTTCTTGCGTGCCGCAGAAAATTCAAAAATCCACGGGATTTTCTCAGGGAATTTTGCTTTGAATTCTACTTTACGAAAACTCTACGTTTATTGATGGTCTAATTGAAATTTGAACAAACTACATACATCAGTACATACAAGAAAAAAGAGGAAAAGTAGTTATAAGGCCCTGATATAAATAAGACTGGTGACGCAAAACGCGTTAAAAAGTGATTCTTTCAAAGATCATGCTCTTTGACTTCCTAATTAAGCGATCCCTGGAAAACAAGCATTTTGACGCTCCGCATTGTATAATTGTTTATTTTGACGCATTTGACAAATCATGAACAAAGGAAGAAAAAGAACTGAATTTTGTTATAAATCTTTTGTGATATTTGCACGATACAATAAACAAAAAAAGATTAGGATATAATTCGGATCGACAATTTTTCAATTGCTCGACTTCGGCAACTTCATCTTTCTTCTCGGTTTTCTGAAAATAAATTTTTTTGGAAATAATAGAAAGAAAAAAACTCTTCCTGGCGCGTTTTATCCATCTGACCGACCTGAAATTGAAAAATTATTGGTTTTGTGGATTTTTTGAACAAGGTAAGGAGAAGAGAAAAAGGAAACCTCCGCGTTAAGACTGCTGTCCGAGTCACTGTCTGCAAACACCGAGTCAGAAAGCGTTAATTTGGGAATAATACGAAACTACCAACACCTATATTTCTCCCTAGGGAACTACTCGGACTCGGGTACGTTTCGAGTTGAAACTTTGGTGGCTTATAGACCCGGGTAAGAGTACTTGGAAACAAGAGTGAATATCTGCTAAACCCGATAGGCTTCTGAGAAAAAATTAGAAGAAAATGAACAGTTTAGGCTTGAAAATTATCAAATTTTTGCTTTCCTCCTTCTTTTGCCTGGAAAAACGTTTTTTAGAGTTTATCAAAGCCGGATCGTATTAAAGTATAAAAGAAGGTAAAAAGCAGTATTCTGAAAGTTTGCAGGCCTAATTTTCCCATTTCTACTAATTTTTTCTCAGTTCTTTATGGGGTTTAGTAGATATTCTCTCTTGTTTTCAAGTATTCTGACTTAGGTCTCTGACAAACCACTAAAGTTTGAACTCGATCCGCGATTACGAGTTCGAGTAGCTCCCTAGTCAGATTTTTTTTAAATCCATTTTCTGATTGTCTTGATTTATAAACAACTCACCATCACTATCCAGATGATTTTCGCGTAAGATTTCGTACTCGACTATTGTCAGGGGCGTCATGTTCTTGTTGAGCTGCGTCGACATCTCAACGGGAAGTTTAAGAGGAAAGATTTTGGTGGCAAGGACCTGCTCGATGGGCGGCGGTGGAAACTTTTGGAAGAGTGAGGAGCACAACATGACGAGATCGTTGAAGTCTGGCCGTTCGTTCGGTTCTCTCAGCCAGCACTTCTCCATCATCGTCGCTACTTCTGCGGGCGCCGTTTCTGGAGAAACTCCGGCTTTTCTCTTATTTTATGAGTGGGATCAGACTTTCTGGAACATGAGGAGAAACTTTGCAGCTCTTCAGTACATCCATAACTGCCTTTACGTTTTCAAACTCCGAAAGGGGTTTTTTCCCATTTGAAAATATCTTGAATTGATAGGAAATGAGAAAAACGTGGTGCTCTGACAAGGAACCTCGTTGGACAAAACTCCGAAGGACCAGACGTCCGACTTCTCGCTGAACACCGCCGTTTCTAACATTGTCTCAGGAGCCATCCACCTCACGGGCATCTGAAAAGTGACTCTTTGAGTGAACAACCCTGTCAAAGAAAGAAAGAATATGTATAAACATATTATTTTTGCTGAGGTGTATGATCAAACAATAGTTGCTGGATGAAGCCCATTTTCATGGTACCAAAGTCGATTCTCACCTGCTCGGTGGCTGTGCAGTAGGCAGCCAGTTTGACGGTCAAGTCGCTCAAGCCAAAGTCCGTCACTTTCAAGATTCCGTATTTGCTGAACAGACAGTTCCTGGCCGCCAAATCTCTGTGGACTATTTTTCTGAAGAGAAATCATGAACAGGTCTTGGACTCCAAATAAACTTCTCAGCCATGTGAGCTAGCCCTTTGGCAAGCTGCCAGCAATAGAGCAGCTTCTCGCCGTCGCAGATTTTCTGGCCCTGGAGAAAGAAGATTTCGAGAGCTCATGCTTGCTACAAACGTGCTGTACGAGGTGTTTCAACAGCTCTCCCCCCATCAGCTCCATCACCAACAACGGCGGCATCGTGTCAAGAGCGATTCCGTAGAACTTGAAATAGATCATGTGAAATATACCTGGAGTAAACAAAACTCCGAGATGAAGTAGTACATTTAATTTAGACAAATATAGATGGTTTATAGCCTCAGTTTTCTTTTTCTGACTTCGATATTTTGGTCTCAACTCACTTCTATGATGTAAGGACTTCTCAGAAGTGACATCATTCGAGCTTCTTTCAAAAGAGCTTCTTTTTCCTTCAAAGCTTCTTCGCCTTAAAAAATCAACTCTCTCGAAGTGAACTCGTTGGGGTTCACACTGATCTGTGAATAAATTATTATTATTAAAAACTCATTCGGTTACAGAAAAAAAGTTTTATATAAAAAAACGAATATATTTTTTTTAGATGAGCGCGCATAAATTCTCACTGGCTAGAAGTTTTTTCACTGCAACGTCGTGGTTTTTGAACCTTCCCCGGACGACTACACTGAAATTTCCCCCTCCCAGATGCTTCTTGTCGTCAGTCCTGCAATGGCCAAGGATAGATGGGTGTGAGCTTGGGCCTACATGATGACGTGATTGTTGAGGAACCAGCTGGGCTTCGTCATGTGCTCCGAAAGGACGGTGTTTCCGTTCAAAGGCTTCGCTCTATAGTGGGAGACCAGCTCGAGAACCGCTTCGAACCGTTCCTGTAAAGGACAGGTTCACGAAAAGAACCACAGCCTCCTCTCGCTCACCTCTCGGCCTTCAAGATGCCATTTCCTGTTCTCTCCTTCGAACTTTATTGAAAAATGTTCCACCTTAAATAGAAAAGACAATTTCTTATGGAAGTTTTTCCGCTTTTTTTATTTTAAAAACTTATTCTGATCTTATAAACACGAGATATGTTCCTCACATTATTTTGACACAGCCTGAAGATGAAAAAAAAAAGAAAAAGTCCGATGAAATTACAGAAACTTGAATGATGTCCTTTTTGAACTTTCTTAAGTTAAAGAATAGTATTGCTAATGTTCGATATATAAATACTGTCTGAACGCGGAGAAAACTTGAAAATCGTCGCTCTTGAAAGACACGCCGACGGACAGAATGAGACTCATAGCCGAGTTGACGACGGTCCCTCGCACCAGATAGTTTCCCTTCTTTTTGATGATTTTCTGATTCCGACGTCATTTGCGTCATTCCAAGCCAAAACCTCAGCTTCGGTCGCCGATATAAGACCCCAGAACCATGGCTGCTCTTCCAAGCGTCGTTTGTTTCGCCGCACCGGCATTTTAGAAATGACCAATATGTTATTTTAAATATTCTTTTTTACGTAATAAAATGGAAAATAATATCAATTTATGATAGGTTAATACTTCAATAAAGTTTCTGATCACAGGTTAAGGAAGAGATGAACACGTAATAAACAAAAATGATTATGCTTTTTGTAGACCTGACTAAATAAAACAAGTAAAATCAATGATTTGATTATGGAAGTAACTGCACGAGAGCCACGCATAAAAGACTCGTTGAGGCCATCACAAGGAACTGAGAATTGCTGTACCAATGATCCTGGGAAGTTCGGAGGTCAGAGAAAGAGTTCGACGAACAGACAAACCAAAGCGAAGACGTATGGAGCGGAGATGGCGCCGATATTGCACAGGGTGGCGCAAACCCCCAGGCAGCAAGTGCGGCAGAACGCCGGAAACAAGTCGGTGCCTCTGACGTAGCAGCTGATGTAGCAGCAGGATGCCGCGAACTTGGCCGTCAGCCACACCGGCAGGTAGACCGCGGACCCTTAATAGACAGGTAAGAGCGAGAGAGTAAGATGGACAAGACAAAGAATATCAGAAAATCGAACTTTGGAAAGAGAACTGATTTGAAAAAAAAAACTGTAAATATTTACTTTAATAAAAAAAATTATTTTCTAATTATTTTGAAAGCCAGATAAAGATGTTTTTTCAATGTAGTCGCGACTCAAACTTTGACTTAGTCAATGTTTCCCGACTTGAAAGGCGAGGGAGGTGGGGCAGGGGCCGGAGTGCGTTCGCGGTCCTTGGCACATGTTCAATTCAACCACCATCGACCCTTTGAAAAAGCCCGTTTTTTTCGCTCTTTTTCATTCCTTTGTCAATTATTTATTGATTTAGTTCATGTGTGCATCAAAAAAATAGTAGAAAACATTGAAAAAAGAGCGGTTGCCGAGCTTTTTTTAAATAGTCGGCGGCAATTGAATTGAACTCGTGCCAAGAACCGCGAATGCACACGCTACGCGTCCCGCCCCTTGCCTTTCAAGTCGGGAAACATTGACTATACAAAAACTAAAACTACAAAATAATGACATAATACGTTTTCAAAAAAAGTGAAAGCTTCTTTGACGGCTCATATTCTATCTTCCTAGCTTTTATCCATTTAGTTTCATTCGATGTTTTTCTCCCATATATTTTGGTTGTAATTTTGAAAAGTTGCAAGTTGCAACTCCAATTTTTTAACGTTTATCGTGAAATTCGATTTCACAACCGAACAAACATTTAAAGAAATAAAATAAAAAAGTCACAGAGCATGTTTTTCAACTCTCACGTCTATTATTTGCGGCTCTTTTGCGTGTTACTCTCTTACAAAAGCCTACCTGGTTGCAAGAAAAACATGGCGACAAGAGCCGCCGAACCGAGTACGTGAAAAGAGGACACCGCCGTTCTAAGCTTGATCCTCAAACGAGATGAATCGAATAAACAATACATTTTTTAAAAATTGAATTGAATACTTTCAAGGTCGTTTCTTTATGATGAGTCACAAAATCCAAATCGAGAATTTGAATGCAACATTGGAAATGCAAAAAACACGGTGACTGAATAATTCCCGCATAATCCGCTTTTCGTTTCTATTTTTAAATTTTTAGTCTTCTGATCTCTTGACCGCTTTATTCATCTTGCATTTGATCTTTTTTGGTCTTCTTTGCTCATCATTGGGTCATTGGTCTCGAGAAACAGAGATAAAACGAATTGATAACCTTATCACGTTTTCAAAAGAGCGATATAGTCTGTTCAGATTTTGAATGTCAACCAGCTAACTCCGCCCCTGCTGCGACGGTACCTTTTCGCGTCGATTTTTTATCGCACGGGACTAACTTTGATCTTTTTTGATCTAAAAGATAGAAAAAGAAGTCAAAAATGCAGCCTTATTAAAGGGCCATCGTCAAATGTAGATAAAACATTGACGCGAAAGATATTGTAGCCTTGAGGGTGGAGTCAGCTGCTTGACATTTAAAATCTGAACAGACTATATCAATTAACGACTAAATCTTTCGCATATATAACTAACCAGAAAAGAAGATAAAACTGAAGTGCGTTTGTCAGTGGCTTGTAAATATATTCAAAAACTATGAAAATTCAACTGAATCAAAGTTTTAAAGAATCAGAAATTATTATGTTTCCAAATTTTTTTCTTTTATCAAAATCAATGTAGAACTGTTATAGGATTTTCCTAATCGAGCGAAATATTGGACTTCACTTTTCCGAAGTACTTTTGCTACTGTATCAAGACTAACCATTTGAGAATAAGAGGAAGAAACAAGTATGCAGGCAGTTCGACGATTCCAGAGAAAAGGAAAGAGACGAGGGGATCGACGTCTTCTAGAGATGTTGAAGTGAGCGACAGCGCGCAGTAGAGCATGAAGTCGAGCATCCTGCCAAGACGTCTTCAACCTCTCATTCCTCGTCGCTGACGTCGTCTACTCACCAGATGAACGCTTCGATCAACGTGTGCAGCGCCATCCTCTGGTTGTGGACCATCTCCCTCACTATCTCTCGCACCGTCCTTTTGTTCTCGTTTTCTCCTCTCGAACTCTCCATGATCTTACTCAACTGGTAGTTCAGCCGCTGCCCGTTCAACTGTTCGTTCTGGAGACTTTTCATTTTTATCAAAGATAGAGTTTTGATCCGTCACCTTCCTTATCCATCTTTCTACTTTCTCACAACTTTCGGTTTGAGCAGTGAAAGTTATACTTTCAGGAAGAGTACTGAAAAATGTTCATGGTAGCGTAGAAGAATCGGGAAACCAACAAGTACAAGAAGATGGCAACGAAGACGTTGGGCATCGAAGAGGCAAGTTGCAGTTTTCTCCAAGTGGGGAAGAGCAAAGAGAGAGGAGCCAGGATGCAGTAGCCAAGCACCCAACAAGAGCCGAAAGCCATCGATGCGGCTCCATGAGCCTTCCGGGGCAGCGACTCTCCACACAGCACCCAGTTGACCATGGTCAGAGGCTGCAACTCAGACCGTCTGAGGCTGAGAGCGGACCAAACCGTGAAGAAAGAGCCTTGGAAGAATCGGGCCAAGAGGAGGTATTCAAAACTTGGAGCCAGAGACCCGAGCACACCTGCGACTCCCGTGCTCAGCAAAGAGCCTACTATCACCGGTCGACGCCCAAACCTGCAAGTAGATATTCAATCAAGCAGCGAAGAAGGTTCAGGAAAACTTGTCGGCAAGCGTAGCGTAGAAGTGGCCAACCAGGAAATTTCCGAAAAAATAAACCGAACTTGTAAGTTCTGCTGGGTCAATGAAAGATCCGTTTACTTCCAGCTGAAACTGTTTGTAATCCATACTATTAAAACTTTTTTTCACAGAAAAAAAACCCACCTCGTCTTGTATCGTGACAAAAGAGCAGTTTTCGACGCAACGACCAGCAGGAGCCATGAAAGCCGGCGAAATCGCACTCAATGCACATAAAGTCCACAAAAACGCCATAGAGGAAGTGATGAACAACGGATAAACCTTGCATCTCAATTGATCGAATGTTACATTTGAAAAAAGATGAACCACACCCTCCTATCTGGCCCAGAAGCTGCTGAAGTGTTCTGGAGACTTCTGTATCTGGGGAGTCGTCGACCAGTGGAGCCGACACTGGCAACGGCATCGCCGGCGGATTTCCAGTGATGGCTCTCCCTTTTCTCAATCCGTCCAGCCTCAAAAAAGCTGTTAACAAAAGAAGAAGAAAAGTTTCCTTAACGATATAGTTGATACGGAGAAGCCGACGTTAGAGACACCCTGAGAAGTCATTTTGAAGCTAGACAAACTGACTTGAAGTATTCAAAAAAAGCGGAGGTGAAAAAAAAAAAAAAAAACTTTTTATGATCTTTTGATCTTCAACAAAAATGTTCAGAAACCCCCAAATTTTAACATTCAACCTTAAAAACTTCTAAATTTTAATTAGTTTTTGAAAGTATAAAAAAATTATGTAAACTATAAATGTGAAACAGTTTTATTTGCGTTCATGTCAGTCTGACCTCTCTTTTTGCATCTTAAATAGATTATAAAATTCTCAAGTAAGGTTTTCTTACTGTTGAATAGCAGAATTTTCGTATACATTAAAAAGAGGGTGTAGATTCGATTGACATTTTTTTTTACAAAGAGCGGATAGTAAACAAAACGTTTTTAGGGTTAAGCTGATAAAACCTCAAAATTACCACGAAGGAAAAGAAAAAAAAATCAGAAAATGAAGAATTCCATGGAAAATAGACTCGCCGAAGCGAAAAACAGACACTGCTCTTGGGTCCTTGAGAAAAAAAATTCAATGAACAAAAAGTTTCAAAACTAAAAAGGCATCGGCATACAAAAAAAGGTTTGTTTTTCCCAATAAAAAAAAAATGGTTTTCGATGTTAAGCGCAGCTCTATAAATGATTATATCTGCTTTTAATTATATGAAAGGAAAATTGACGGGATTTATTGAAGTGAATATTGACTTCAAACTTTACTTCTCCAGCACGAAATGTAATTTTCAGAACCGTGTAAAGTTTGATGTTCTACATGGAGAGAAAGAGACTCGGAATGACGCCAGGAAGGAATGCGGCGGAAACGCCCCTTTTTGCACGCCGTCTGCTCGTTTCTCCTATTGATAACGGTTTTTGTAATAACCGAACCTTGCGCTCCACTCAAATAACTCACGTTCAAACCTCTGAAAGGCCATGTAATGCGAGAAAAAAAAAACGCAGCTGTGAGAGAAAAATCGATGAAAAGGGCCGGCTGGCGGCTTGCCAGGACCTCCGTTGCGTACACACTCCAGTTTTTTGTCCGTCATCGGTTTCTTCGCCAAAGACGTCCTATAAAAACGATAAGACAATAATAAAAAGAATTTTGAAGTCGATGAGTTCCATTCATTTGAAAACATCAGAAACACATGACAAAGTTTTGATACGCTCTTAACAAATATGCAAACTTTTTAAATTGAGTATTTAAATACAAAAAAATTTTTTTAAAAATAATAAAAAGATTGAAATGAAAATTACTTGCAACTGCGCTTCATTCGAATCCTACCGATAAAAATTTTACTTTTTCAGTCTCACCTTACTGTGGGGTTTAAGCGTGCAGACAAAGCGACGCAAGCTCTCCATTATTAGAAATAATTTTTTTCGAAATACTCAGGCACTGGTGCGCGCACGCGCGGGGGTTCTGATTCTTTTTTTCGCCTTTTCCACTGAAATTCGGTTTTGAAATATATCTTTCAAATCTTGCGATACTACCCAGTGCCCCTGCTACCGTTTTAAAAGTTGTTCCGAGTACTTTCGAACAAATTTATGAAAAAATATTCCCAATTGAAAATTTGGTATTTCAAATTTTTGTGTGTTGTAATTGTTATAAACTGGAGCAGAGCAATTATAGAAGATGAACAGACACGAAAAAAATTTCAAATATATACCTTTTTAATTTTTAAAAAAACTAAAAAAAAAATGAAAAAAAAACACCCCGCGCGTGCGCGCAGTAGGCGGCGCGCACGCGCACTTTTGGCAACAAACACGCGCCGTCAGTGCCTGAGTATTTCAGTGGGCATGCTGGAAAAGTCGGTCGGTTCGGTCGGTCCGTTTAGGAAACTCTTGCCTTTTTGTGTGTACATTACACATTATCTCATTTTTCGAAAACTTGCCATTTCAGTGGGGTTTTGATAGACTAGTCTAGCTAAATATTTCACTCTTCTATAGTCGTTTCCGTGAAAAAGTAAGAGTTTCGAAGATCAATTTGAACTCGCAGGTATTAATTTGAACGTGACATTATTTATAAACACTTGGTTTAATTTTTAATTAAACCGGGGAAGGAGTCTTCAGGTGCCTTTCACGCCTTCCGGACGACTATTAGTCGTTTATTTGACTGATCATTCAATTGATGGAAGCTCCTTTCAACCGGTCTAAGACAGGGCTACGGCGGCCGGTGGCCGGTCAATATTGTCAGTTTTGGAGTCAGGAAATTTGTTATTTTTTTTTTCTTTCTTGCAATTTGTTAGGACATCTTTTTCGAGGTTACAAGATAAGTTACGTCACAAAAAGTGAACAAGTTTTCATTTTGTTCCCGAAAAATCTAGCTTGACTACCGTAATACGACCGGCCACCTTGAGCATGCGTGTTCGAAAGAGTTAATTAGCCTCATATTTTTTTTAAATATTCATTCAAATTATCAGGAAAGGAGTTTGTTGTGTCGTTTCAAATTCAAACTTAAACTAGTAACTTTTATTGTGTTTTATATAAATTCCTCAAATCGTTTTTTTAAATTTCTTTTCTCAATATGAGGAAACTTTAATCCATCCAATGGCCATTTTTGAATATTTTTCTTCAAGCGCTCATCAATATTTCTCCAGTAAGAAAAGAACTCATTTTCTATAACAGAAAAATTCAGCAAACTCTTTTTACATGATTGCTCTTGTTCGAAACTTTTACCTAGAGAATGGTCTTCGGGCTCCAGAACAATGTTCGCTACATTCTCAGCTCGCCAAAGCGCAGAACAACGAGTACCGTAAGACCATGCTTTCAACTTGATCAACTACTCATTTGGTCTTCTTTTTCGTCAAAGGCGGTTGTTCGTTATAGCTTTAAAAGTTTTTTGTTCATCGCCTAGTCGATTACATCTATGACTAAAACAACAAAATAAATTATTTACTGATCTCGATAAGGTACAGAAATGTTTTAAATTTTCTATTTGAGAGAACGCCGAAAATTGTTTCATTCTCGCATGTTTCAGACTGTGGCGGCCGGTTTCCGATCAATATTGCGCCATCTGTTTTGTAGCCAGGAAAATTTCTAACTTTTTACTTATTTGTAAATTTCAGAACTTATCTCTCGAAGTAACAAGAGTAGTCAAGTCTCGACAGTGCAGAATCCAAAACGAGTTTTTTAACTAACAATCGGTCGCCTTGAAAAAGCCTTAACTTAAAATCTAAAAGTTCAAGATGACCAACGCATAGTCTATCCTAAGTATCGTAATCTTTCCAAAAATAATGTATAAACACAAAAAGGGTTATTCATTTTGGAACACTCCCTTTGTTGTACATTATTTGGACACTCATTTCGAGATGGTTTGCAAAAACCTTTAGAAAGACAAGTCTATGCTAGCCAGGAAAAACTTTATTGCATTGAAATCGGCGATTTTTGTTATAAACACATGTGCAAACATCTTAAACCATGTGCTATTGAACAAATTTCACAGGAATAGACCGAAAAGTTTATTAACGGGCACCTGATGACCAAAAAATCCACATTTAAATTTCTTTGTTGATATCGCGATCAGGCTTGTGCGAGGGCCGTCATCCTCCCGGCCCCCCGAGCATTTCGTAAGCCCGGCCTTAGCGAGGCCTCGAAGAAAAAATGCCCCGCCCGGCCCAAAACGCGCAATTTTTTCTAGTCGATATCAAGTTTTTCTCCGACAAAAATTACGTTTTTTTGCTCAATTTTTTTCACTCAAAGTTTAACAAAAACTATGATTTCAAAAGTAAAAAGTAACATTTCGGTAAAAAATTTTTAAGTGAAATTTTAATTTTTGAAGCCCGGCCCGAGCCCACGCGGGCTTTCTTCCTGAAAATGAGGCCCAAAGCCCGGGCCGCCCGGCCTGACGCACAAGCCTGATCGCGATGCATTTCTAAGTTTTCACACAACATTTCGTTCATCAGAGCGACCTTTCAGAAAGGCAGAGAAGATCGACTTTAGTGTTGCCACTCGACGAAAAAATTTTACTTTCATTATTCATAAACTCGCGAGCAAATTGTGGAAGAAGACAAAAAAATCAGAGAAAAGAAAATAAATTGTTTTCTTTCAATAAGCTGCTTGTTCTTTTACAAGCGAATGCAGAAGATGTCGTGGAAGGAGTTGCTGATATCAGATGAACGCGGCCGACTGAGAGGCGGCGACGGGGTCTGACCAAACAAGAACTCGGACTTTCGTTCTTCGCAGCTCGAAGCAAACGTGTCAACGTGCCACTCGAATTCGCGAGAAGACACCGGGTCATAATTTCGGCCAGCTATTTGATCAACCAAGCACGCCGGAACTAAAATCAGGGAAGTGCAGCGTGGGGTTTTTCGAGAGCCGCGTATCCACCTTTTTGACCCTTCCATCGGCTCCTTCACTCGCGTATCGTTTACCTGTCGTCTGATTTCCCTACAGTATCCCTCCGTTCCTCCTTGATTTTTCCTCTTCATTTTCCACTGTGCATTCACTAATTTTTCAACACTTTCTTATTTGGAGTTACTTTGATGCGGCTGCGAACCGCCTTATTTATTCTTTTCCGTGAGTTTCCTATTGCTAGATGGAAGTAAGGTGAAGCTCAGTGGTGCGAAGAAGCGCGGCGTACTGCGAAGAAGGCGTCAACTGCGAGGTCTGTGAGCTGATTTCTCCTGGTCAGCCATGCAACATTTTCGAACGGCTCCCGCAGCTGGAGTGCGACAACTCTACCAAGTTGGTCACCTCGTTTTACTACCACTCTAATAAATGAAAAAAATAGGCTCAATCAGTTCAACTTGCGGAACTGCATTCATTAACTTTTTTTTTTTCGTTGTTCAAGTTTTCATTTTAGAACTGTTCTGTACAAACCGAGTCGATACCTCATGTGCGTCGACGGGGAGGTCAGTGTTTTTTAAACATCGTTTTGATTAATTTGATCTCCAACTTATTTTTTGGGGAGCGTGTGTCAAGCAGGAAAAGCTCGTCACGCAAAGCAAACTATTTCTTTTTTTCTATCATCCGCGTTTTGGTCTTTTTCGGCGATGCGTCACTTCACAAAATTTTAATCCTTTGAAGAAAAAACTTCACGCTCTATTCTTTCATTCATAGTTTCATTGCCTTCTAACGGAGATTTTATGCATTACAAAGAAAATGAAACTCTTGACTGGGTTGGTCGACGTAAAATCTTTAATGGATTTTTACTATGAGTAAATTTGTCTTCTCAACTCAAAATTTTTTTGTGCAGTTCAGAAAGTGAAGCCAGATGAAAATAACCGAATCTGAAACTTTGAAAAGTTTTGAAGTTTCATTCAGATTCTCTCCTTTGACTGTAGCAGAGACGGAGCGACACCAGCCGTATTCAACCCAGTCATCCGAGAATGCGTTAGAGAGGATGCCTTCAAGAGAAGAAAGCGTGGAATCACTGGTTTGACACATTGCGAAAAGCCGCTGAACTTCTCGCTCTAGGGTCGGCTCGAGTCGGCGACATGTGCTCCTTCAACACAGACTGCCAACGTGGCATGTTCTGCGGCGGAGGCGTCTGCAGCTGTCTTTCGGACTTTGTCGCGATCGCTCAGCATTGCTGGCCGAGTGCGTCTGTAGAAATTACTTCGAATATAAACCTCGGCAGTCTTTTCACAAACTCTTCTATCCTTTTCCAGATTTTTTTGAGCATTGAAAAAATGATAGACTATTTACCTGAAAAAATGGGATACTTGCTCGAAATTCTCACAAGGTTCTGTAGTCTTACAACGGTTAATCAGTTTTTCTGACTTGATTTTTTGTAAATCAAGAAAGCGCGTGCATATGATTAATGATGGCTTGGTTAAATAACTCGTGTTCCAAATTAAATTTCATTTTTTTGGAATCGCGACGTTTTTAAAAAAGTAACTCTATAATGAGGCTTTCCAGAGCTTTAAAAAGCCTCTGAAAACGCGGCTTCAACATTATCAAAAGTTTCGAAATCTTACGCATGAATTCCGTCGACTTCAGCTTGTTTTGAGCGTGCTGCTCTACTTTTTTCTTATTTACCTCGAAGAATAGTGTTAAAGTGAGCAATGGGTTAACAGAATAAATAGAGAGAAAGTTTTTGAAAGTTTTTAAAGGTCTAGCTGGATTTCTTGTTGGCTTTATTCATGTAGTTATATTTTACACATCTCCCCAACAAAACAGTATCATCCAAAACACGTTCTTATGTACAGTTGATTATGTGGAGAGGGTCCAGTCATGTTCAGAAGTGAACCCCGGAGAGTCTGGATGTGTGGAAAATCGACAGTGCGAGGCGGTGTGGCCTGCCACAACCTGCTCTTCGGCGGGGCTCTGCGAATGTCCAAAAGAAACCGTTCCGAGCAGAACTAGGTTGACAACTCAGAAATTCATCAAAAAATTAGAATTGCAGAGATGGAACTGTGTGTATTTCTTCGTCTATTCCTCCGTCCTGTCCTCTGCCAGAGTCTCATAACGGCAATCCTAATCCGGCTACCGTACTCGCCAATCCAACATCTCATCCTTTGAATCCCGGAAATTACATGTGAGTAAATGATACCAATTCAAAATCAGTTTTACACTAGGGAATATACAGGCGGGCAATTTGACAAGATCTTAAAAATATGAACTCCTTTTTTTAAAGAAATTACGGCAATTTTTTTCTGCCCTTTTTCTTTTGTTTTATTTCGATAACTTTGATGTATGAATGAGAATATTCAAAGTTATAAAATGAAGTCATTTACAGTTTTTTTCGTATTATTAATTTAAATTTTAACAAAGAAAAATTATGTTTTATCGTTACAAAAATATTGTTTTAAAAAAAGAAAAAAAGTGTTTTTTTAGAGGGATTGCCTAGTTAGTATGTGAAAGGTTTTTTGTTTCTCGTTTTTGAAAAGGAAAAGTTTCTTTTTTCCTCTCTATGTTTAGGCCTGTCCTGTGCACCTCCGTGTCGAGCGAGACCCGGACGTCAAACGGCGGCGACGGCTCCACTTGGTGCGTCTATCCCGACGGCGAGAACGACATCAACATTGGCGACATCTACAACTGCATTTCTCACCCTCAGGTCGCCGATTGCAGTTGAGAAATAATATTGGTCGGGTCAACAGCCGAGTAAAAACAAACACTGCGAATTAGCTTGCCAATCATGAGTCAAGTGTCTTTTCGCACTTATCTCTCGTCTTGGGGAAATTTTTCCAACTTATGAAAATACGAATGAGATTTTTCATCTATTCGTTTCAGGTCAATAACAAGCTGTTCCCGGAGTATGCCGAGAGTGTCGATGGAGTTTGTTGTCACAATCGAGGTACAATTGTTTCGCAAATTACGGAAGCCTTTACATTAGATGACCTCGTGGGGAATGATTGAAATGTTTTATAATCGGAATTTTCAAATAAATGTCATCGGTTATCTCTAAAATTGATGCAAGTGAACGGCGATTCTCTCAAAACTTCATTTCATGTTCAATTTTTTGTTTAAAGTATGTTAATAACCTCTGAGGATCTTTTAACTTTCGAGGTACGTTAAAGGAAGCGAATAATTCCTTATTTGAAGCCTTCGTATGCATTCAACCGCTGGAATCTGGAGACGAGCCTTCGGTTCCACGTTGGTGGTACAACAGCGCGACCGGCACTTGCGTTCAGTTCATGTGGGACCCAGACACGATCAGCAATGCTTCGCCCAACAATTTCCGCACCGTCGAGCACTGCGAGAGCTACTGTCGCGATAGTAAGTTGTGTGTTTGGGAAATAGATTCGAAGAGAGTTCAGCGTGTCGTCGCGGAATGCCCGAGTTCGCCCAGTCCAAGTATTCGATTCTGGACGAAGTTCCGCGCACCAATTGCATGGCGTCGACGTCGCGCTGCGATGCCGAGCACCAGTGTTCCTTGATCGGCTCTCAACAGACCTGCTGTCCAACTGCTGGTAAGTCTCCTCTATTTTCCCGATTTACGTGGAGTTCAGCTCACATCTGTAGCGCACATGGAGGTCGTTTCTTGTTAACTAAACCTCCTGAAAACTTCGACCGAGGAGTTCTCATCGCGGGACAGTCTGTCGGCTCAATTGGAACAAGTTTAAGATATCAGATTTCCAGCAAGTCGTCAACTCGTTATTATTACGACGTCGACCAGGGACGTTGTGTTAACTTCATGTACCAGGGTCTCGGAAACTTCAATAATTTCATTACGAAGCAAGATTGTGAATCGTTCTGTTCCAAGTGTGAGTTGCGACATCGCGTTCAAACGCTAACTCGTAGGATGTAGTGGTTTGCGAAAACGGCAACCCACTACGGATCGGAGAAGAATGGCAGCGCTGCGAGACCAACAACGACTGTCCCTCCTCCCATTCTTGCCAAGGAAGTCACAAAGTCTGTTGTCCCACTGCGCGTTAGTTTCTCAGCTTCTGCCTCATTCCGAGCCTTTTCCATTCAGAATCCCTTTGTACGCAACCGAAACGGCTGGGAGATTGCACCTCAGCTGTTCGGAGATATTGGTTTGTTGACTTTTTCCTTCAGGCTGCCGGTTCCGAGAAAGAATGTTTTCGAGACAATTTTGGAACTAAAACTAGATTTTTCTCTCGCAATCCATGATAAATGCATCCTGTGCGAGGTTTGCAGTAAAAATACTTCATTTTTCTCAAATTCTTTAAAAAAAAACTGCGTTTCCCGGATTATAGGATGTTATGTCCTAGGACTCAGCAAGAGCTGAAAAAGCCATACTTCCGTATTTTTTTCAGGTGAGCAGGCTTTTCGAAACGAAAATTTTAAGTTTGTTTTTTTTTTTTTTTGATTAAATAAGGATCTCAATACTTCAATCAAACTTGCTGAAAGCTAAATACTTTTCAGAACTCACATCCTGTCACATAAAAAGACATTTTTGATTAGGCCGAACCAACTCACTCCGAAAAACCTTAATTAGACCCACATCTTCTACCTAAGGCTACAGAACAGATCACCTTAACTCATGCTGTCCAGGTTTCTCAACGGTGGGCTCATATTAAATCGGCTGCGTGTATGAAACGCACTTATATAAGTTTTAATTTAAAAAAAAATTCCTTGCTCCAGCGTGCACCGCAAAAAGTTTTAAAACAAAATCTCTACACTTAATCACAATCATTAGAATATTCGGAATGTTAATAGTACTCAAAGTTTATCTGTTGAACTTTTTTGTCTACTCGTCAACAAGACTTGACCGTTTTCCTTCAACGATTCTAGGCATGTTCAAATTAAAGGTACAATGCAGCGACGCGAACCTGCGAAATGTTCCAGTACACCGGCTGCCAGGGTAACGACAACAACTTCGGCTCGTTGGTCTCGTGCCAGCAAAAGTGTCGCGGAATCCATGGCAGGAAATCGGAGAGTTCCGTCAATGGGTCCAGATTTCAGTAGAGCCTAAATGTGTTCACGGACGAGCTTTCCGAGACCGGAATGGCAGTTTTCAGCAGTGCTCCGACAAGCAGAACGGTCCAAAATGTCCGGTCAACTACGTTTGTTCCTTCGACGGCATCACCCACGGTTGCTGTCCCACAAAATGTCTGCTTTCCGAAGGATTTTTGTCAGAGTCGTTGTTTTTCAGCCTTCACCTGTTCTCTCAATCCAGACAAAGGTGTTCAATGCGGCTCCGGCCGTTCTTACAGGTATCCACGGCTCGTACTATTTGTTGCAACGTCGGGAGAATGTATCTTTACAATTTTAAAAAGATTTTTTTCAACCTCCTTATTTATCTCTTACTGTAAAAAAATAATTATAGGTCCGATTTCTTTAAGAATTTTATTGTCAATTTTTCTCCGTCTTGTTTTCTTTTTATTTCTATTTTTTTATTCACTGATCAGTTCTGATTTTTTTAAACTAGATGATTCGGCTAACTTATAGTTTTCGTAAAGATTCAGTAAAAAAATTCTTCTCAAAAATCATTTCTAATTCACACATATTTTGGCTTTGTCAGCTTCCTCAGAAAAATTTATATTTTTTTGAAGTTTTTTTCAACTGTAAAAAAATGCATTATTTTAAACATTATATAATTTAAAAAAACTGAAAGAAAAAAATGTAGTAAATCAAAATTTTGAAAAAAAGAGAAGAACAAATCAAATTATCTTGTTATCTTTTCAGTTTCTTTCATTCAGATACTACTTCAACTCTAACAAGCAGACTTGCGAAACGTTCCAGTACGAAGGTTGCGACGGAAACTCGAACAACTTCCTCACCTCGGAGGACTGTCAGACCTACTGTGGCGTCGGCGGTAGATGATCTGAAGAAGTCCTAGCCGAGTGCCCTTTTTAGGCTGTCCAAATGGGGGCGTGCCTCTGAGAGATGAGGGAACGAACCGGCCGATGTCGTGCTCCGAGATGAAACTCTGTCCATCGACCCACGAATGTCTTTCCATCCCCATAAATGGAAACGTGGGAAACCGCTGCTGTCCCACCAAAGGTCTTTCGGATTTATTTAACTGACGACAAACATTTCTGTTTTTAAATTCCTTTTTTTAACACAAAATTTGCTATAGAGTGTCAAATAAGCTGATCTGATTACATTTAAGCATGTTTCGTCGAAGTCAGAGCGAAGTTTATTGGTGTCTTCAACTTGAAGACACTTCAAGATACTTTATCGAAATTTATTGATAATTTTTGATTCCATAATTGTTGGTTCGAAATTTTCTATTTCTTTTTTCAATTACAGCTCACATCTGTAGTCAGCCGCCGCAACAAGGAAACCATTGCTCCAAAATATCCGTGTCGAGATATTATTTCAATATCGTCACCAAAGAATGCGCCAGTTTCCAGTTCAACGGCTGCAATGGAAACTTGAACAACTTCGCTTCGCCCCAAGAATGCAACAACTTTTGTTCATCGGCAGGTTTGACCTCTTTCCATCCCTGACTCTGAAAATTGATAGTTTATGATTTATTTATTTCTTGGACCAAGAATCATTCGAACCGTGATTTTTGCGGTTCCAAACAAACAAAATTATCTTTGTGAACCCAAAAATTATCAAGCGAACCCAAAAAGTGATCTTAGGAGCCTAAACTTCTTTTTACCGCTTAAAATGATTGAATTGAGAAAAATAACTTATGAGACTGTTTAGAATTTAAGAAAAAGTGTGCACCTTAAGAAAAAAACAAAAAAATCCTTCGAGAAATCGTAATTAAAAAAATTTTTTCTTTGTCTTTTTTATCATTTAACAGCAATCTATCTGCGCAACTGTGCGGAACTGTGATTTCAAGGTCGACTTTAGGATGCGCCGTCGGTGAAGTTGCCTACAAAGACGTGAACACGAAGAGGGCCTACGACTGCAACAACGTCCTAGTGAACAGCTGCCCGGCCAACTTCCAATGTCGCTTCAACTCGCTCACCTCCGGCTACGTCTGCTGCGGTTCTTCCAGCATGGGTCCGCGTTCGTCCCCTCAAAGTCCTGGAAATCTCGTTTCAGACGTGTGTCCCTCGGAGGAACGCGCCTTCATCAACGCCCTCGACGAGTCGGTCCGCGAGTGTGCCATCAACATCCCCGGCAGCTGTCCAGCCGATTTCCTTTGTCGATTCAATGCTCAACGCAACCGCTACTACTGCTGCGCTCCTACCACTGAAAGTTTGTGCCCGTCTCTCACTTTCAACACGATCATCGTCTTCAGACGTTTGTCCTGACGGCCGCGCCCTTTTCCGAGCCAAGAAGACTTTTCTCCCAGTGAGGTGTACGCTCAATTCGCCCAATGCTTGTCCTGATGGATACAGCTGTCAGAGTCGAACTAAGAATGTTCTACAAGGCTTTTGCTGCTCTGCTAGAAGTTTGTTATCAACAGATGCACCTTTACCACCGATACGGTTTCTCGACAAGAATTTATGTTAACCTCCGCTTGAACGAAAAAGAATAATTGGGAAATATCTGTAGTATTGATCAAACCGATCTTCTATCCTTTATGCAGTAGCGGAGATTTCACATGCAAGGAAGTTTTAGCAAGTTTGAGAGAAGACTCACGTTATAAATTTTTTACCCTTACGGACTCTGTTTTCATGTTTTTTGTATACTTCATGATTACGAAGCATCGATAGGACCGATTTGAAAAATAAAGTTCCCAATTTGAAAGGAAATGTATCATTTTCAGACGTTTGTAAGGGAGACGCAGAGTTTCTGATGGACGAAAAGACTCGGATGCCGCGAATCTGCACTCCAGGAGCCTTCGTTTCCTGTCCGATCGGCTTCCGCTGCCACCGAAGTCATCCGTCTGCCACCAACGGGTTCTGCTGCAAGGGCGACATCAACGCTATTTCAGGTGGATTCACCTGCTCACGAATTCATGGAACGGTCCAAAACGTCGTGAAAATCGGAACTTCGGCAGTGATTGCGTTGAAGTCAATTTCAAACAAAGTCTAGACTTGAGAACATTTTAAAGCCAGTTTTCTTTTTGGAAACAAATAAAAATTCAACGTGATGTTGCTGAATTTGATTTTTTTTTTTTTAATAACTGCTTTCAAAACTTTTTCCTTTTCATGATAGTGCAATTAACTGACTTCGAGAACAGATAAAAAGAAAAAAAAAGAAAAACATCTGAGAAAAATGATATTGATCCGATTTTGAGTGAAGACGTTCAGAAGGATGTCCTCCTGGAGAGTTTGCGTACGCGAAGAAGAGCGAAATCGTGGCTTGTGATCCATTTAACCCAGAAAATAAAGGATGTCCCTCGACTTTTAGGTAATTCTTTTGGAGTTTTTTCCAGCGATCAGTGCAGAAAGCAAAAAGTTTTCTCTGAAAATTGAGCGCGAATCTCCAAAGCACGACTTTTTTTTCCAGCTGCCAGTTCGCTGTTGCTTTTCAACGTTACCAGTGCTGTGGGAAAGATCCTATCGAGGAGGACGAGATCGAACAGGAAGGCATGTCTTTGTTTGAGTGACTTTTGAGTGGTTCTTCTCTTTATAGTTTTACCTGTCGGTCTCTTATCCTATCATATCACACGAGTAAAGGTCGTGCTATCGTACTTATGAAAGAAAAGAAGTGCAACACCTCAAAAGCCAACACTTTTTTTTTCCGAGGCTCAGAAGGAAGAACTCGAGAGCGTTGCGTTTGACCCGCGCCGACACGTGCTATGCAAACAGCTCCTCTTTTTTTTTGACCGCAAATTACATAGTAGCTTTCATAAAATGTGACGTCATTTCCGCATGTTATGAAATTCCGAGGATTTGAGTTAAGTACACTATACAGCCCTAAATTATGTGGGCTTTGAAAATTTCGCTTCTCGCCTTTTTTTTGAATGGATATCAACTTTGATTTTCAAAGATTAACGTAAATTTTAGAAATTACGAGTGAAAATTTTTGGATTATGAGAGTTCAAATAAAAGTTATATCAGAGTTTCCTGAAAAAGTTTTCCTTGAACTTCCGGCTACTTCGCTTTCTAAATTTTTCAATCAATTGAGCTCAAAAGGAAAAAGGAAAAGTTTAACAAGAAAACTGAAAAATCTCCACAAGCCTTGTCAGTTTAAGAGCGGATTCAGAACTTGGCTGTCCACTGTCGCAAGTTGCCCTGGTGAGTGACGAGAGACCAGTGATCTGTACAGCCTCTGGACAATCTTGTCCGACTGGATACTTTTGTCAGTTCTCCGACCGGAACAAGCAGTTCCAGTGCTGCGGCCACAAAGCTGGTAGGTGAAGGAGCAGCCGTGTATCTTCAATGTCTCTCCACAGGTTGTCCTGGCGACTCAGTGGCCTACCTCGACTTGACTGGAGCCGCTCAGGAGTGCTCCATGAAGTTGGGAAACTGTCCTTCTGGCTTCGTCTGCCAGAAAACGCGACCAGGAAAAACTATCTGCTGCACAGGAAGTCCCATCAGGAAGAGGGTGCGTTTTTTTATGGCTAGGTTCTAATAGTAAGTTTTCTCAGCCTCAAGAGAACCGCAATCCGCCATTGCTTCCAACGATAGAAGCTCCAATGGTGACCAGTGCAGAAGCGACACCTCCTGCGGTTTTTTCGACCACTGCAGCACCAATCACTCAGCCCAACAACAGCGTACGACCCGGGCCACTGTGTCCTCCCGAAATGATTATGACCAACGGAGAGTGCAAGTACGACCTTCTGTGTAAGACCTAATCACACAATCGCGGGACAGAATTCGCGGCGCCGTCGGCTCGGCGTGTCTTCTTTCGTCACAGTGCACAACTGGCGCCGACTGCGTCATGCTGATCTGCGTCTGCGGACGAAACTACCAAGAAGCCGATGGACTTTGCGATCGTCTTCCTGAGAGCTCTTCTTCTCCTTCTCCGCCTACAGTTCCTCCCACAACAGCTCTTCCCAAATCGCCTGCTCCTGCCATCTGTGGTGAAGGACAAATTGAAGTAAGACTCTTTCAAGATTTCTGAAACTGCTTTTCGAAACACTTTCACGATAAAATGAGAACGATTTTCGAATTTTCAGGGACAAACCTTTCAAAAATTTGCGGAAAACAGTGATACGAAACAAAGTTTGTGACAGACCGTATTTCTGATCTTCTTCTTATTCTAATTTCGTATGATGCTCTATGTATGATGCTCACCACGTTAACCAGATGCAAAGAAGCATCTAGAGTGTCTGCACCCTATTTTATCTCAGTGTCAAAATTATAAAAAGTATTCACATAGTAGAAAAAAACGTAAAAAAAGGAGGGAAAAAAATTTGCGCAAAATGTCAGAATATTTGAAGTCGGGACTCCAGATCTCCTGTTTTTAGTTTTATAGATTTCTCAATTCCAACAAACAGTTCTTGAAAACTATGATAAAAATGATTTAAAAAAATGATAAAAATGGAAATTAATTTCAGAAAGAGGGAAGATGTCTTTTTTCTGCACGAGTAGGAGCTCAATGCGAATTTGAGGCTCAGTGCAGCAATGGAGCTTCGTGTCGAAAAAGCCGCTGCGAATGTTCCGAAGGCTTTTCTCCGTTTGAGAACCGATGCCTGAGTGAGCACTTTGACAATGTTTTTTCTGAACTTCTGTTCTGAAATCGATTTTAAAAAATTTCAAAAAAGCGTTTGAGAGAAAATGTAAAGTCTTACATGATTTACAAAACTTCTTCATTTTTTGAAAAATTATAAATTTTTCGGAGACGAAGTCTCAAGTGAAAAAAGAGCTTTTTGAGTTATTTCGAATCAAAAAAGCGCTGTTTCTTTAACCGACGCTAATTTTACGTTATTGCCATTAAAATCGTTCAAAGATGAAGAACTTTAGATAACGTCAACTTGTGCCCCAAGCCAAGGACTCCAGTGATATTGGCCGAATACTCCTTGACTCTGTGCAACCGAACGCCCTGTCCGAAACCGTCGACATGCACCTACTCGAAGATGATCAGCGGCTACATCTGCTGCTCGACTAAACGAATGATCGCTCAGCCTCCTCCTCCCAGGAGCATCACCATTCAACCCAAAGACCGGTCTGAAGGCCTCATTTTTTGCTAACGAACCTTGACTTTAGAACCACCTCGGCAGGTTTTGTGAGAACGACGAAGCCTCCGGTCAGGAACATCGCTGGCGTCACTTCTCAGAAGAGAGTCGCTCAGGGACGAGTCGGCAAACCTTCCACGTCCTTTCTCACCAAGTTCAAGTGTCCCGACGGTCGAGCTCCCATGAACTACGGCGACACGGATTTGCCGATCGGCTGTACTCCTGCCAGAGGATGTCCTCAGGTCTGACTCCTTCTAAATTTCCCATGGCTACCTGTGAATTATTTTTTTGATTAACAAGATACTTTTTCCTTCAATCAATTTCAATCAATTTGTTTATTTTTCGCAACATCGGGATGGTATGGTGATGTTGCAGGGAGGGAAAAAGACCACTAGGTGGATTAACTAACCCCACCTGTGAAGAAAAAAAGAAGTTTTTTGTGTAAGAAAAGAAACATAGAATCATAATAAGTAGATATTTAAAACCAAGTTGATCATGGCACAAATCTGTGAACACTTGAAAGAATATGCTCGACGCCAACATTTTCTGCATACACTAAAAACATGTCCTTAAACTTTTCTTGTCTTCCTCTGCCAATAATTCATGTTCAATGTCATTCCAAACATTAGTAATGCGATGTGATAAGGAATTGAAGAAAACCAGTGAAGGTTTCGTTTTTATTAATTTAAAACCATTTCCTCTGAGCTGACTGGGACGGTCAAAGATGTTATGTACCTGGATGGGAGAACCGATAACAAGCTAGAACTTTGCAACACCCATACAGTAACCTTCGAAAAAAAGCGGAAGTAAAACTGGTAGCGAGTCGAATTATGAGTGGAGAACCAAATTTAATGGGTTCTGATGATTGTCGAAAAAGTTGTTGAAAAATAGAAGAATTTACAGAAAATTGAAACGGATAGTTAGGATGAAAAATACTTACACCTTGATTTTGAGTAGAAAAGTTTTGCAGGGCTATTCTTGCACCAACGGCATCTGCTGTCCTTCCGGTCGTTCCAAAAGGAATCCATGTCCTCGTGGATTTCTCGCCATACCCGTGAACGAAAATAATACTTACTGCGGTTAGTTACTCCATACGTTTCAGGACAATCTTGTTATGATATGCCGTCCAAAGCCAAATCTTGCAGAGCCACAATGCAATAGAATAAGATCAGCACCTCCTCTGTGCTCAACCAGAAGAAAAAGGTCGATTTAGATTCTTTTTTTGTAGAAATCAAATCATATTGACTCCCTCATTTGGCGAATACAAATGTTTACTTTTTGAGAGCGACGATATTTTTCGACGCTTCCGCCCATGAAAGGGTGCGTTTCAGGCTTGTTATTGTTGTAATAAGCTGTTGACTGTCATTGTCTTTCAATTTGCCTAGTCCAATCGTTATTTTCTCCATGTTGATGCTTGTTTATAATGTATCATCCCGGTAAGCCTTTTTCAATTTTTTGTCTTTTTTGCTGATCCATATACTCCATATTCCGATTTTTTGTTATAATGAAAACTTGAACCTTTTTTTATAGTTTTTTTTTCCCAACTTCGTCCTTTCATGCAACTTGTACTTAATACAAAAAAGAAAAAATGTGGAAAAAAGTATCATGAAGTGTAATCCATTCCTAATCTAACAAGGAATGTTGAAAGAAAGAATTTCAAGATGACTGCGCAGGTCATTTCGATTATATTTGCACATTCGTATGATGAGCAGAAAATAGAAAACCGCGCACAACCTAAAAGTCAACACGGGAGAACCTGTGGGGGTTGATGAAATGTGGGCGGAGCGAGGCCAAGCTTCATTCGTTTTTGCACTACACAAAAAGTGTGGAACGAGGTCGTGAGCTCGCCATACACCGGAGCGCCGAGAGACACATCGAAAGCTCTTATCGAGAGCCGAGATCAACTGCTTGGGATGTGAACTTTTTGATCGCATGAATAAAAACCCCAAGCTTTTCAGTGATTCGAAGTTTCAATGAAACAATGGGTATTAAAGGAACTGTTATATAAAAATTTCTGCGTTGGAGCAAGTGAGCAAATAGCTCAAAGAATTGGAGTAAGCCTTTTTATTCAAAATATATTCAAACCCCTTTAATTGACATTATCCTCGAAAGTCATCGGAAAATTCAACTTTTTGAATCCCAATGTAAAATTTTCGTGTTTTCATTGTTAATTTTTGAAGGGAAACTTTTCTTTTTTTTTTCCGGAACCACAAAAGATATTATATAATTGCGTTATAAAAATGGATAGAAAACAATTGAACCTTAAACTATTTTCCACGATAATTTTTCTTCCTTTTATTACTTTTTCGATGAAGTTTTCATAATGCAGAAGAGTTGTGATGGCAACGCAGTCAGCTTAATTTGTATTTTGAGAAGCTTTTTTCAGAAACAAAAACTTTTCCAAGAGGCCTACTTTTCGATTTGTCTGCTAATGTATACCATTTGCTGATGGTTTTTTTTTCAGAGCACCTTCGGAATGGGTACAAACGGCTCAAAGACAACATGTAAATCGCATTACCAGAGAGCTCGATTGTTAAGTGACCGGCGGTGCGGCTTGCGCATCGGCTCTACTCCCGACGAGCGTTATTTCGCAGTCCGTTCGGCGAGACAAACAGCTTTTGTCTAAGTCGAGGGGTCTGAGAAGTGGCCGGCGTAACCGTAACGGGAGGAACGAAGGGGCGTGCGCCTGTGGAGCTAAAGAGCGAGCTGAACAGAACAGAACACAAGAGTGGAGAAGCAGCGGACGCGACCTGGCGTCGGAGCAAAAGCATTCTTCTGCCTGAGCTGTGCCTTCTTCATTCCCGTCCACATTGCTACAGTCTTCGCTTTTCTCCGCTTCGATGTATCTACTCTTCGCTGTCCTCCTGCTTGCAGGTTACCTCTTCAATTCCTTTCCATTTTATTTTTCCTTTCTTCCGTTCAGTTTAGTTTTTGCATTCCGTTTTAGAAAAATTTCTGAAACTCGTATCTTTGATCTTATGCACAATTTGCAATCGATTAAAATACCTTGATTTTCAACCGCTACCAGGGATTGGGTTTATAAGTTACTTTTGCGTATTGGACTTCAGTAAAGTTTCCGCATTACTTTTTTAATTTTTTGCGTTTTGGTCAGCCTCTATTTTTTCACTACCTTCAAAGTTTGAGTTCAAACGGGTCGATAGATGCTTTTTTCACGTCTCAATTTTCTTTCCTTGGTCATGAATTCCAATATACCTATCTCCCGAATCATATGTTTATCATGAATAAGTCTTTTTTCAATGCATCTTTTGTTATTTTTCAACCAATTTCACGAAAAAATTATTCTCTAGACGAAGAGATTCTGAATCAATTGATCGGATTAGCTTTCCAATAAATTTCTTCATTTTTTTCAAAATTTAGGTTCAAGCCTACTATCAGGGTTATTTTTTTATCATTCCAGGGAGCTACCTATATTATAACACTACCTATATTCAAATGTGAACTATAGAAATGCAGGAGATACGGTGGCGAGCGATCCGAAGTCTCCATGTCGAATAGGCGACGCATGCGGCGATGGAGCCACTTGCCAGATCACTCAGGCCGGAGCTCCTTGCTCTGAGGAAACCACCCTCGAGTCACTCTACTGTGACGGAGCCACCAAGTGAGTTTCTAGCCCTTTTTCTCCATCTTATTTCTTTGTTTCAGTAAAACAGACATGCACGAGAACGCCTTCCTCGTTTGCAACCTGGTGAAGAAAGAAATTGAGCGAAAGCTTTGCGGCAAGGTTTCTTTTCTTCAGAATTTTGAATTTTTTCTCTTTCTCAGGCTGAATTCTTCATCGATGGAAAGTGCCGGGCTGGCAATGTTCGCTACAAACGCCAAGGCGTCGCTGGCTCCGGAAGAGTCGGCGACTTTTGCTCATTCAACACCGATTGTCTCACGGTTCGGTCCCATTTCTTCCGGCGCATTCTCAATGCTGTTTGTATCAGGGCATGTTCTGCTCAACCGGCTCATGTACCTGTTTGTCGAACTTTGTCGCAATCCAAGGCTACTGCTACCTCAAGAAAAACCCCGGCGAGTCTGGCTGTCAGTACGCCGAGCAGTGTTCTGCGGTCTGGCCAGAGTCTCGATGCGAAAAATCGCGTTGTGAGTGTCCAGAAGACGTCAACGGAATCCCATACGTCCAGGTGAGCGTCCAGCCGCGAGATTCCGAGAAAAGTCATCTTCTAGGCGAAAAGCCGAGACGGAGTTGTCTGCGTCCTGCATTCCGGAGAGGACGGCGACCCGGTACCCAAGTGTCCTCTGCCAGAGTAAGGAAGAAAGCGACCGCGTCCGAAGACTTTCCCTCATTGCCAGATACGACGACGATCTTCTCACCATGCCCGTTTCGCAGCTGAGGAACCCCGCTATGACAGATCCAGACGATTCTGATGTCCAAATGGGAGAACACGTGAATCCTCTGCAGTTCTGCTCGTCGCAATCCACTGACTACACCACTTTTGTGGCCAATGGCGGAGGCGCCTGTGTCTACTCGAACGATCCACAAAGTGGCAACGGTAAAAATCACTTTTTTAGCGCTCAGAAACAGGAAGTATTAACACTGTATATGTAATTTAGATGAAAAAAATAAGCTTTAGATGTCAATTTCCTTTTTTTTGGTAATTGTTAAAAAAATATGATCAAACAGGTTTTTAATAGAATTTCACAATTGAATTTCTTAACTTCAAATTTCATATTTTCTGGAAATATTTTTTTCTGTTTTTTTAAACAAAAAAACCGTATTTTTCGAAATGATGAAATATTCGAAAAACATTTCAACCCTTTTTTTGGACTTTTTGGTCTAAAAAAATCTTTTCGTTGTCCACTCGAAGTTTTTTTCAAAAATTTTCTCAAATAGTATTGAATACACTCTGAGACCTCTCAACGCGCACAAAATGCTCCATTTTCTAATTTTTGAGGTCTGAAGCCTCGAAACTCTTCAGAATTTTTTTCTCGGATGAATTGCTTCAAGATTTTTAATAGTTATGAGCCCAAACAAAAAAGATTTTCAGACCTTCCTTAGAGCCAATCGGAAAATGTGTTCGTTGTAGGAATCTACATCGCCGACATCTACGACTGCGTCACTTCGACGACGTCGATGACAAATGTGAAAACGGCGATGGAAGGCGTCTACGACATCCATCCGGCATCAGACGGCATCTGCTGTCCCAACCGAGGTTCGAGTCCTTTCCAATAGAGACCAACCGGCTCTGCTGCAGCTTTCACGTGCATCCAGCCGAAACGAGAGGCCGATTCCGGGTCGGCAGCACCCGCCGGCGTCCGACCACGTTGGTGGTACAACGCAGTGACGGGCACTTGCGAGCAGTTCATGTGGGATCCGTGGGATGAGACCGAAATGCAGTCGCCCAACAACTTCAAGACTCGCGAGCACTGCGAAAGCTACTGCCGCGACAGTCAGTTTCTTTTCACTCCAAAAGAACTGTTTTATGTAGAAATCAGATATCATCTTTTCCAGAGCCGGACAGGCATTTTCGTGTTCATTTCTTCTCACATATTTTGATTTTTTTTTCTTTATCCTTCTAGTTTACGAAATTTTTAAAATTTTAAAATATCTTTACATTTTTTAGTCCACACACTTCCAAACTTGCCCAGTACTGATAGTTTTCATTTTTTGAACTCTGATAGTTATAGTAAGAACACGAGCTGGCACTTAAAAGTTCATCGACACGGCTTCCGCGTTTTTTTTTTTACGCGCCGAGTGTTTGTAAAGAGCCTTAGCTGATGGACACTGATCGCGACACGTTGATAAGAGGTCGAGTTGACGTCGAAGCCTCTCGGCGCCCCACGAACTTGTTCCCTTTCGCCAGGAACGTCTTAAAGTGACCGGCACCCCAAAACCTCGACCAATGTGCTCTTAAACGTAGTGCAAACACGAAACGCACGACGACAAACAGAATCCTTTCGCTTCGGTCTATCTCTTGCTCGTCGCTGTTCAACACTTTTTCATTATTTTGCAGAAACAAGATAGCCGATCAACGAAAAAAGAAAACTTTCCAATGCTAACAAAAAGTTGATAAAAAATAACCATTTTACAATAAGGTCATTTGTGATCGATATTTGCCGAATCATTTGCTGAGAATCTAGAAAAGTATTTTTTCCACTCTACCCGCGCATAGTTATGGACTTATGATCTTTCGAGTCTCTTTTTAAAAGAAACCAGACCGGCGGCCAACTTGAAACTCCGAAAGTTTATCGAAAACGCAGTTAAAGGCCATCAAAAACCTCATTTAGCTTATTGAATCGAAAAAAGAAGAAGAGGATTGTAAATGCCTCCGCGACATAATGTGTCAAGCCGAGAATTTTTTCTGAAAATGAGATTTTTCCATATTAACTTAACCTTCGTTTTCTCATTTTCTCATCACTTGTATTCAGCTTGCAAAAGAGGCTCGCCGCAGTATCTGACGGGAGCCAGTCAGAATGAGGACGAGCCGGTCAACAACTGTCAGACAGCCTCCAGCTGCACCTCCAACTTTGAGTGCACCTCGATCGGCAGCATGCAGCTGTGCTGTCCGACAGTGGCCAGCGTCTGCAGCTCGGCCGGCGGTCGTCCTGTCGACCTTCTCAGGTTTTTCTTTCTCTAATTCTCATCATAAAGCAAACGCTTATGGATTTAGATCAACCAACTTTGACGCTGGTATGACCATGAAACGCAGCTTCTCGATGACCTACTCGACCAGCAGCAGGTTTTTATTTTTGTTATTTCAAACCATCTTGGCAGTTTTGGTAAGTTTTTTTGCTTCGTTGCTTTTTTTTCGTGAGACTTTCTGACGCAAAAAATTTTAGATGAGTTTGAAAAAATGGACAATTTCAAAAAATCTTGGCTCTTTATTTTCAATATTAATTCTTTTCGCATGCCATTTCAAAAACATTCTTTTCAAAAAACGCTGGAATTATCCAGTTAGACTAACCTCTTAAAGTAATGAGATTCGTAAACATCAAAGGAGTCTAAAATTACATACGTTTCTAGTGTCAAAAAGAAAGCCGTAGAATAGTCTCTTTGCAGATATTATTACGACGCTGAGCAGGGCCGCTGTATCGCTTTCACGTACAATGGAGCCCTCGGAAACTACAACAACTTCAAATCTTCCGCCGACTGTGAGCTTTTCTGCGCCAAGCTCCAGTGCAAGTACGGGACTCCTCTGAAGATCGGAGCCGCCAACCAGGTTGACCAGCCTCATCTCCTGAAAAAGGAGCATGTTCGGTATTGCAGCGCTGTTCCACCAACGCCGACTGTCCCAGCACGCACGAGTGTCAGAGCGACCACAACGTCTGCTGTCCACGACCACGTAAGTCTCCAATAGTTGAACCTGTGCCAGAAAACTTAGAGCTCTTTTGGAAAGACATCATTTTTCAAAGATTTCGAAGCAAGTTCCCCCTAAGAACGTCAATGCCGTTCAGAAGCGATCTGCTCGCAGCCTCTTCGCCTCGGCGACTGCAAGCAGAGCGTCCGTCGGTATTGGTACAACGCGGTGACTCGCGCCTGCGAAATCTTCGACTACACCGGCTGCCAGGGCAACGACAACAACTTCGAGACTCTTCTCGAGTGCCAGAACACCTGCGAGAACATCATTCGTAAGAGAATCTGTACACACAAACTAAACCTTTGCGTTTTGAATACTCAAGAAACTTTTTCCAAACGCCTTTCTTCTTCTTTCCAAGTGCACTGTTGTTCCATTTATCATGAATTTCCTTCGATTTCCAGTCCCACATACCTGAAAATTCTTTGCAGCGGAACCCCAGTGCCCTCAAGGAGACGCCTACAAAGACTACCAAGGCAACTACTACGTCTGTTCGAACTCCGGCGCTGGCAATTCTTGTCCTGTCAACTACGAATGTTATTTCGACGGATATGTCTGGGGATGCTGCTCGACCAAAGGTAATCTCGCTCTTTTTCCTCGTTCCACGAAGCCTCGTTCAGCCTACACTTGCACACTGTCTCCTCACAAGGGAGTCACTTGCGGATCGGGCTCCTCCTACAGATATTTCTACAACTCGCAGACGCAAGAGTGCGAGAGCTTCCAGTACAACGGATGTGACGGAAACAGCAACAACTTTGCGACGCGCGAAGACTGTGAGGGTTACTGTGGAGTCGGAGGTACTGTGGTTGATCCAGCAGTTTTTCTGAAGGAAAACGGTTCAGGATGTCCAAACGGCGGCACGCCGGAACGCAACGAATTCGGCCAGCTGATGGTGTGTTCCTCGACCCAGATCTGTCCGACCACCCACGAGTGCACTTCGGTCAACTCTGGATCCAGCGTCGTCAACCGGTAAATCTCGATGGAAAGATTAAAATGTCGACAAAAGTATTGAAACTCCTAGCGCGCTTTCTTGAGTTTTGAAAAGTTTCACGGCTTTGAGCTCGACGCTCTTCAGCAATTCAAATCGGTTGAAAATAATTTTTTTTTAAAGTTCTATAGGATCATGAAAAACGAAAAATTCTAGGTGCTGCCCAACTCGTTCATACATTTGCTCTCTGCCGCCCCAACAGGGATCTTCGTGCTCGTCTTCTGCCGCTGCAAGGTAGAATAGAGTTCACCTAACAAGTATTCAAAGGCGATTTCCAGATTTTATTTCAACATCGTCACTAAAGAATGCACACAGTTTACGTACAACGGCTGCTCAGGCAATCTGAACAACTTCGCGACGTTGGAGCAGTGCAACAACTTCTGTCTCTCGGCGGCCTGCACTCCAGGGGACGTCGCCTACGTCAACCCCAACACCAACATGCCCTACGAGTGCAATGCCGCGCTGTCGAACAGCTGTCCAACCAACTTCGGCTGCACCTACGACCCTTTGAGCAGCAACAGCGTCTGCTGCGGAGCCACCAACATGGGTAGGAGGAAAATAAGGTGGAAGATAGACTGTGGGAGTCTTCCAGACGTCTGTCCCGAAGGCGAAAAAGCCTACGTCAACGCCGTCGATATGGGTGTCCGAGAATGTCTCATCAACGTCGAGGGAAGCTGTCCATCCAACTATCTTTGCCGCTTCAATGCTCAGAAGAACAGGTTTGTGAAAAGAACGACTTGAAACATTTTCCAAGATTGCAAATAGTTGAAGGAATATTGGAAACATCGGTTAAAATAATTAGTTTTTTGGAATCTCAAATAGTTTATTGAAAGTCAACGAAAAATGGTCCTTTGAAGGTACTACTGCTGCGCCTCGATCACTGGCGACCTTTGCCCCGCCGGAAAAGCTCTCTACCGCGAGCCTTCCTCCAAGAGTCCCATTCGCTGCACTATCAGCAGCAACAGCAACCAGTGTCCCAACAGTTACTCTTGCCAATCGGACGTGCCTGGCGCCTTCCAAGGCTACTGCTGCTCGGCCAACCACCTCTGTCCGAACAAGGCCGAGTTCTACCTGGAGGAGAGCAGCCAGATGCCGAGGTTCTTTTCGATTCTTCCCGCATCGATCCTCAAGTAATCGCTTGAGGTCCTGCACTGTCGGAGCCTTTATCACCTGTCCCAACGGCTACACCTGCCAGAGCACTCAGAACGAGTTCACCACCGGATTCTGCTGCAAGGGAGAGGTCGCTTCCGTCTCAGGTTTTCGCTTTCTCAACATTTCAACAAGCGATTCATTGCGTTACCCGAATTTGCAGACCTGCAAAGACAATTTTTAAAAATTTCGTTTTTTGCGCTGCATGTTTTAAATTATATATCATATTTCTATATAATTGAAAACTTCGTATGATCCTATGTTTTTCCAATTCATCGAACCTTGGAAAATTGCAGACGGATGTCCTCCCAACGAGTTCGTCTACATGAAAGACAACCAAATCGCTCCTTGCGACCCCTTTAATCCTCCAAACGCTCCTTGTCCCAACGGCTACTCTTGCCAGTGGTCTCTGGCCAACCAACGTTACCAATGCTGCGGAGCCACTCCGATTTCGACTCCAAAATCGATCGCCGCCCTCGGCTGTCCAAACAACCAGGTCCGTCATTCAGGACATTCCGCCATCCTATGATCATATCAGGTCGCCTACCGCGAATCCGCCACAAACGCTCCACGAATCTGCACGGCCGCCTCACAAAACTGTCCCACTGGATTCTTCTGCCAATTTTCCATCGCCAACAACCAGTTCCAATGCTGTGGAATGAGCGGCGGCTGTCCCAATGACTCGGTCGCCTTCATCGGAATCACCGGGGAACCTCAGAACTGCGCCATCGGACAGGTTTGATTTTCTCGCAAGTATCGGAAAAACTCTACGATGAGGACTTGTTCAGAGTACTTGTCCATCTGGATATTCCTGCCAAAGAAGCATCACCGGATCTCAACTGTGCTGCACGACCAACGAACAGACATGCTCAGAGAAGCAGGTCGAAGTGGAAGGAGCTTGTCTTGACCGCGCCTCTCTCGGAGAAATGTGCACCAACCAGGTGAACCATGGCTCGACTTTTGTGAAACAGATCGTTTGCAGGTGCAATGTCCATCGGGAGCCATCTGCAGAGATTCGATGTGCTCCTGTCCCGAAGGACATCGAGACGTCAACGGCGCATGTCAGGCAGAGTGCGGAGAAAACGAGGTAGTTCTTCTTGAAGCCGCAAGTTTCAATTTGAAATCCCAGGTCGACGTCAAGGGCTCGTGTTTGTCAAAGGCGTTGATCGGAGAAAACTGCGAAGCTGACCAGCAATGTCAAGGAGGGTTAGTGCAGAAGAAGATTATTCATCCACCGCTAAGTTGGAATGGAAAATGAAAATCCAGACTTTCTTTTTGTATAATTTCATGTTATCCATATAAAGCCCTAATTAAATTTCTTCTCAAGCTAGTGGCGAAAAGAACTCACATTAGAAACAATTTAATTAAACGATGTTATTAGGCGACGTTTGCCGAGAGTTCAACTTTCTTTTTTTGAAAAATAAAATAAAATGTTGATTGAAAAATTTTCAAAAATATTGAATCAAGGAATTTTTCTAGCCGCTCGGGAGCCCGTCAGTTCTTATGTCTGTTACAGCTCTTCTTGCGTCGAGACTGTGTGTTCCTGCCCTGAGGGCGAAGACGCGGTCGACGATGTTTGCGTTAAAAAGGCCAGCCGCCCGATGTCGACTTGCCCCATTCCTGGACAGGTGAATGGTGTTTGGACGCCATGTTCGAGCAAAATTGTTTCAGATCCCGTACCTTGACGCCAAGACGAAGAATGCGCGCTTCTGCAACCCTGCAAGAGCCAACTGTCCTCGTGGCTACAGCTGTCAGTTCTCGGAGACTGCTCAGCAGAACATTTGCTGTGGCGGTTCTGCTCCAGGCGCCGGAAAGCCCGCGACAATTCGAACCGGCAAAGGGACGTTTAGCTCGAAGCCGGGCACCGACAAGACGCCGACGGAAGGCAACGAGAACGAGGAACAAGAAAAGGAAAAGGAGAAGACTCCTGAAGAGGAGAAAGTCAACGTTTGCGAGCGTGGAAATCCGTACCTCGTCAACGGCACGCCAAAACAGTGCACTTCGTCGCCGTGTCCGTCAGGCTACAAGTGCACCTTCTCGAAAAAGAGCAAAAACTACTTCTGCTGCTCCTCTGCTCCATGGGGAAGCTCAACAGCGAGCCACGGATGTCCCTCCGGAATCGCTCTGCTTTTCCCATCTACAGGCACTCCTGTCCAGTGCTCCAGCACCGGCTCCAACAGTTGCCCATCTGGATACCGCTGTCTCAAGAGCGGCGGCAATCGGTACCAATGCTGCTCCATCGAGAACGGCGACAAGACCAGCCGTGGAAGAAACGTCGGCGCAGCGACCGCCGCACCGAAAACCAGAAAAGATTTTGCCAACGGTCTCAAATTAACTGAGTTTTCTGTGAATCTTATTCTATTTTAGGTCCGTGCCCCAACGGCCAAGTCCAGGTTTTGAGGATCGTTGGAGAACGAATTGTTAAGAAATGCGAAGCTAAATGTCCGGCTCACCAGGTTTGATTTCTTTTTAGTTTGAGGCCGTACACATGACATTTTACGAATAATATGGAAATTTATGATAGGGTAGTTATGATGATAGTTAGTTTAGAAAATTTTAATGAAATGATGATAGTTTTTCATTTTTTTTTTATCACAAACGTTTTGGCATAGATGTTTATCCGTTCATAAGAAGAGAAGGAACGTATATGCTCATGTGCTCTGGGGCTTCAGGTTCTCTGTAACGATTAATATTGCAGGTGGCTGTGCGCGGAATCTGCAGGGACAAGTACCACGCCGACGCGCCTCTGAACAACGAGTTGTTGTTGTGAGAGAAGCCGTCTTCGCCCGACCGACGGACGACTGAGATCAGAGCACGCAGATGATGCAAATTCAGTAACTCGTCCTCTTTTATATACTTACTTGTCTGCTGCGTACCCTTTCGTCAGTGTCCGTTGTTCCTTTATTTATTTGTTTATTTATTTATTCATTTCTTTTTTTTTCACTCCATCTCCTTTTGTTCTCTCTTTCCATGCTCGACTTTGCCGCCGAGTGTCGGCGATTGCATCCGTAGGTGCCATTGCACCACTCATTTCCCAAGTTGCTTTCTTGTATCGATTGCAAATTTTTGTAAACGATACATTCGTTTCTTTTTCTGTGATCCCTGTTGTCATTTCAAACGTTGGTGGAGACGTCAGTTGTGTTTTATTCTGCACAGTTAGTGCAATGAATTTACTTGAATTAATTCATGCGAAAATAGATTCACACAAATATTAATTCTAAATGTAAAAAAAAGTAACTACATTTACTCGCGTACAGGTGAAAAAAGTTCTGTAAAACGAAAATCGTGACAAACTGGCAAAGAATCGCGTATACTAAAAAGAAGCTCTTGAGGCGCGTAAAAAAATTTCAAAATCCCTCTCGCTTCAGGCACTGACGGCGCGTGTTTGTTGCCAAAAGTGCGCCGCCTGCTGCGCGCACGCGCGGGATGTCTCTTTTATTTTTTTCAGCTTTTTTTAACTAATTAAAAAAAGTAAAAAGTTAAACATTTAATATATTTCATGTCTGTTCATCTCTTGTCATTGCTCTGGTCCAGTTCATAATAATTAGAACGCACAAAAATTTGGAATACAAAAGTTTCACCTGCAGTTTTTTTTCATAAATTTGTTCGAGAGTGCTCGGAACAACTTCAAAACTTTGAAAGTATTTCAGTGAAAAAGGCGATGAAAGTATAGATGATTCACGGCTAGCTTGGGACGCTAAGGAGGCGTGTCCTGTCTGCCCTCTCCACGAGCTAGCCGCTATCTCGTGCATTATCGTGTCAAGAACCTTTTTTCGATGGCTCAAGCCAGCCGTGAATCAGCTATATCAGTATAGACTCAACACTGGTGCGCGCACGTGAAACCATCAAACAGTCGTCGATTGTTATGTCCAGTACGCAAACAGTAAATACAACGACAATTTTTCATAAAAGCGACTCTTTATTGAAATATTTCTGAAAAAAAAAGCTTTGAACTCTGAAAAAAGGGAGATGAAAGTTGGAATCAGCAGATTTCTGTTTTGTTCAAGGGCTTCATTTTCAACAGGTTCAGTTCTTCCTTTCGATTTTCTGAATAACAAGTTTTTTCAGGAACTTTTCATAAACAGGCTTTCCGAGAAAATTTTGTACTTCCTACTCAATACGATTATCGTACATGGTTTCCTCTTCACATGTCTGTTCAACTGAAGAAAATGGAGGCTAAAATCCGATCAGTTGACTTAGTCGTCGAGGTTTTATTTTGTTTTATCTTTCGAGTACAATGACCGTTTTGAAGGTCCATGATGCGCGAATTCCTATCTCCGGCAGAAATATGCAGTTTTTAAATCATCTTTACGCTATTCGACCTCATATACTAGTTTTTAATAAAATGGATCTGATCGACATGAAGAATTACAGGTTTTAATCCTTGAACTATTTTTAATTATTTGTTGCTTACAGGAGACGCATAGAGGATTACTATTACGAAAGAGGTGTTCAGCATGTGTTGTTCACAGATTGTAAGAAAAAACTTCCAAGGTTCGCCCTGACTTAGAAAAATTTCGACCGAGGATTTATTCCGAAATAATGCATTATTTAGAGGGCTCTGAACGATTTGAAAACGTGTATGGTACAAGCGTTAGAAAAAAATGACCGTTTCAATAGGACGGTCAAAACAGAATACCAAGTTGGAATTATCATTTTTTTTTTTTGTTGGAGTCTAATGCCATGCTCAGGCAATGGTGGTTGGTATTCCGAACGTTGGAAAGTCGTCTCTCATCAATGCCCTCCGCACACTTAGCCTTGGAATAAAGAAAAAGGCAGTTGAAGAAGGTTTTCTTTTAAATTAGAATTTCCTTTTTTCGAATGATATTGTTCCAGGCGCTCGTCCTGGTGTTACAGTGCGAGTGCAAAATCGCGTTCGGATCTTGGATAGACCGCCATTGTACATGATCGATACTCCAGGGGTTCTATCCCCATCGCACCGGGATGTCACAGAGGTTTCTGCTTCAGATTTGTCGCTTCGTTAAAAATACTTTTAAGGCTATGAAATTAGCGTTGTGTGGATTGGTTCTTGATAGCCATGTGAACATTTTCTATCTTGCCGATTTTCTACTCTTCTGGCTAAACAAGTTAGAAAACAGTTAATTAAAAAATTGAAAAATTGAACTAATTAGATCAGGAGATTTCTCATACCTTGATTTATTGAAGATTGGTGGTGAGCCTTCAGATGATATCCAGACTGTTCTGTTGAAGACTTGTGTTGCTCAGGTGAAAAATATAAACAAATAAATAACTTGAGTTATAAGTTTAGAACTTTCGCGTAAAAACGTCTCGTGGGTGCAGAGGGCTATGTGGAAAGATGGGATTTCGATGGCGCCGCGGAACATTTTGTTAAGCTCTTCAGAAATTCTGCTTTTGCGGATCGATGTTTGGACAATGATCGCTTGCTGTCATTTTAATGAATTAACGGTTATTTTCTTTTTTTGTTATTTTCTTCTCTTCCAATAAATCTCAGATAAACGTTTGCAACTCAAAATTTCTTATTTTTCAAAATATTGTAAAGTTTCTGCACTATCAATGTATTGGTCAAATTGAGGGAATTCGGAGGCCGGGAGTTCCAAAGTGAATTCTTTGAACACAGAACTGTGTGACACACGAATGAAATGTAGGTGTTTCTCGAAAAGTTTCATACTTGCCTCGTTGTCCTCAACAATCTTCGCCGTGAACTTCAATAAGTTGAATTTCTGAATAACTTGATGTCCGAGAATCATTCGTAACGACTTACTCTGATGCCGTAAGAAATGATAAGAGAAACTGCTTCCAAAGCTATTCCTTTGCGACGAGCTGACGGTTCAGCAATCATAACTTCAACTTCGGCGTTCCTTTCTTCCCAATTTATGAACAGATTGACGTCTCCAACCATGCACGCAATCTTCGAATATGAGCTTCATTGTCAATTATTTATGTGATTTTATCACAATTTTAAAAAAATTTGAACAATAAATAAACCTGTGGTATCCCATCATCGTATAACTCTCGTGATAAAACGATGAAGGTGAGTTTGTCTTCATCTTCAAGCCAGCTTCGTTGCATTTTATGTTCCTCTTCGAGTGTGAGTGGCTCAGACCCTGTTAATCTGAAATGACAAAGTTTTAAAATGAAAGGGTTATTCACCTTTGAAGTTCTTCATCTTTCATCCATGAATGGTACTTCGGCACATGGTGACTTTTATAAGGAATCAGAACACAGACGGATGACAAAATTTTCTCGTTCTCGTTGATTTTCATCACTGCGATTACTGCGACTTAGGCAATATCTCTCATCATAAATCACTGAAAACGCTTTTTTCGGAGTGTTTGTTCAATGAAATGAACTTTTTTGAGCCTTTCAGCAATAATCAGTGGCTTTTGCACCTAGAGAGGTTTTTGTGTTTCAAGTGCAGACTGGTCAACGTGAGTTTGCAAAACGTGCACATAGTAGTTTTATAATACGTGCGCAGCCCCCAAAAAAAACCTCTACCGCCAAGTATTTCAAACTTAAAATCTTTATACTCTATGGAAAACTCGGTGGTCCTTTTTTTTTCGTAGCCAATTGATATTTTTTTTCAAAATGAATTTTCTATCTTGAACTAGTTGTTTCCAATATTTTATGCCCAATAGAGACGTGAATTTTATATCTAAAGCCTTTTGCCTTATATTTTTAGTTGTTTTCCTACCCTGACGCTTCTGGGTATAATTCTTCGTAGTCTAATAATTACTAGATTCCACTGAATTAATATGATCGTCTGTTTTTCAGGGTCATTACCAAAGATGTTAGGACGAGCCATCCAAAAAATTAATCTTTCATCACCCATGGTATATTGATTTTCCTTTGAATTGTATCCTCATTTTTTAGACTAATTCTATTCGTGGCAAAGCAAAAGGTGTGATCATAAACAATCCGTCGGCCGATTTTTTAACTTACAAGGTATGTTAATATTAATATATTATTATTCCAATCTGACTCTCAATGTTTCTTTATTTTTGCAGGGTCAAGCGGCAGACCACAAACCGAAGCGTATCGAACTTGAAGCTGGCAAAACTTATTCTTGGTGCTCGTGCGGACTCAGCGTCAGTCAGGTTTTCTTTTTTTTTTCTTGCCGAAAATGCACGAATTTTATCATTTTCAAGAACTTTCTATTTTTTTTTCGCAATATGCGGATGGTTTTATAAATGGTGAGATAAATTCTTATTAATTTTTATTTCGATAATTGAACAATATGTTATATTGTCTTGAGTTTCTTCATTTTACACCAAAATGCAAACCAATACATTTTTAATGTCAAGAAAATTTTTTCTTTTTTTGTGGCTTAAAATTAATGATAAGCCCCTAGTTTCTTCACAGAAAAACAAATTTTCAATTCAAAAGAATCTCAAAATAAAAAAATAGTCATGCAATAAATATTTTATCATTCCTTTTTTTCACTCCATATTCAGTTTGAAACGTAAAACTAGTTTCATTGAAAGATTAGGTGATTTTCGCCACCGTGTACACGAATAACAATTGAGAAAAAAAATTGGAAGAAATTTCGACATTTTTTTCTCATTTCTCGAGAACTTGAATATTTTCAGCCTTTTTGTGATGGAACCCACAAAGTTCCTGGCCTGTCCACAGCGAGACCGATTCGATTTCAGGTGCGTATTTCAGTTTAAGTCTCGTGAGAAAGTATTACAAGTAATTGAATAAGCTTCGTTTAAGGTGGAGAAAACCGGCACGTACAATGTTTGCAACTGCAAGCAGACGTCTACGCGACCCCTTTGCGATGGAGCGCACAAAGATGTATATTTAATTTTTTTTTTTTAGTTCACCAGGTAGCCGTTGACTGAAAGCGCATAGGCAAAGTCTTATGTTTTAAAAAGAAAAAATTAAAGTTTTAAAAACTCGTTCAAAAAACCCTTCCAGTGCTTATATATGTCTTTCTATCGAATGGGTCTTTCTTAATGTGGAAAAAATGTGAAATTTGTAAGTTTCAAATTTATAGTGCTTTGTTCCGTAAAAAACTAGATTCAGTAAAGTTTCTAGATCCTGAGCACACAGGCCCCAAATCAGAAGGCGTCTTGAGTCAGGATGCAGGAGACAGGGATTTTTTTGATTTTGAGACGAGATCGAGACAAAAAATGTATCTCGAGACAAGACCATTTTTTTCGAAAAATCTCGAGACGAATCTAAAAAAATCTTTTTGTCAAAAAAACTTGAAATGACCAAAAAAAGCAAAAAAATTGTAGAGAAACTTACTTTTTATTAAGACTTAATAAGAATTGATGTTTTAAAAATGGGCTCCAAAATGGCAATATTGTCATGATGTTAAAAATTTTATTGAAAAAAATCAAGTTTTATGACTCATTCTTTCCTTTTTAGGAAGAGAATTTTTTTCAAAGAGGGTCGATTATTAAATTTTTATATTTGAAGATTTATTCAAAGATAAAAAAATTTTATTTATGCATCTGGAGACGAGAGGAGATTGTCGATTTTTTTGACCGAGACGCGATCTCGTCTTGAGATGTATCGAAAAATCTCGAGACGAGATCGCGTCTCGTGCATCCTTGGTCTGAGTAGAATGATTTTCTCTGATGAAAGCAACTTTTTAAAGATCTAGACTTTTTCAATAATTGCGAAAACAAAACTCGCTTTCTGGCTATGATAAACGGAAGAAAAATCATAAGAATCGGTTCGAGCGCTGCCTCATTGACAATATATTGCTAGTTATTGATTGAGTAAACAATCCACCTAGTTATAGGCGATCAAATTTTTTTAAATCAAAAACTATAACCCAATCTGTAGCTCCCAACAAATATTTCCCCTCATGCTTTGAGGGGCATATAATTTATGTTTAACAAAACAATGCCGATATTACTGCTTTTCTCTGGGGATGGTTTTTTTTTCTCGTCATTCATTAAAGTTCTGAAGATTCGAGTTTGAAGGTTTCGCGGGAACCGCATCACACGGCGGCGACGCGATTTGTCGCCTTCGATGAATCACCGGTCTACGATGGCGTCGCTCGCAAACTCGGATACAAAACGAAGAATGGCGGATTTCAATAAACTCAGAAATCTTCTTGTATCCCCTGTTTGTCTTTAGTCAGATGTAACATAGACTTATCAAAAAAATAAATTTTTTATTTCAAAGAAATTAGCTCGTTTTTTTTTATTATGTAATGTGTAAACTGCACACGGTTTCTATTTTAGCGGTGAGTTCACCGTCGTTCATTTTTTGAGCGCTTTTTTGTACTCTTCTTGCAAGATCGACTTCATTTTCTCCATCTTACTCGTGATCTGGAATCCGTCAATTTTCTCCTCTGCCGTTTTCGCGCCCCGGACGATTGCCTTAGCTGCAAGTCTTATTGGCAGTGATTCGGAGAGCTGAAATAGCTCTTGACGGTACTCTCCAGTTGCTTTTATCTCACCTGTTGGATAACTTTTTCATTGTTGAGTAACGACCTCACGATCCTATATACCATCGAATGCTGAAATTCTGTTTTTTGAGGATGAGCGAAGGGGAATCACATACGACAACAGAAACTCATCATTTCATACAAAAGGCGAAAGGCATCATTATAGACGTTTGTCACCGTCTTTTTTATTTTAAGATTTCATGTTTCAGGACTACGCAAATGAACTCTTCGAAAATCGAGCTTCGTCATCAAGTTTCTACGAAGAAGGTTTCTCCCAGTTGATTTCAAATTCCACGACAAAGTTGCTGTTTGACTTGCCTCCGCTGGTTACTGACAAAATATTCTCCTATTTAACATACGACGATATCGCTAAAACTAGAATGGTACTGGCTTAACAAAATAAATCATTCACCCTGATTGCCATGTTGAGGTGAGCACCAGGTTCAATGACTATGCGAAAAACGCACTCAACAGAGGTTTCAACAGACTTGGGGCTTCTCTAGAAAGCGCCAAGGCCGCCGTGAAGCGAGAACTCCCTCGCCGCGAGTCTCAAAGAAGGTATCTGAATGAAAAAAAAATCTCAAAATTTGCCAAGATGATCAACACACTTTTTTTCACATCGCAAAATAAACATTTTCTTCAATAATTTTATAATGGTTTTAGTCCTGGCTTTCAACGATATAATATATACTTTTTGTTTTATTGTTTCACCTTTATGATTCACAAAACGCATTCTGAAAACATGAAAAAAAAAACTTATAGAACACATCGATTAGCAAAGTTGAACGAGGTTTACGCTGCTCTTGACACTCGCTACGCTCTTCTCACTATGACATACAAGAAGTTTATGTCGCATTTGAACCCGATGCTCAACACCTGCTTTATTCCCGGCAAGGTGACGATAAAGAAATCGCCTCCTTTCTCAAAATTTTATTTTGAGGTACTGGACGAGTTTTTCCGGGTGATGAACATTCTGCAACGCTGCAAAAGCAGTGGCGGACAGTTCACAGGGGATATTACGGAGATTCTGAAGGACGTTCGAGACTTGTCGAGGTGAGAGTTCATCTTGGAATAGATACACGACGAAAATTCAGTATGGCTATGGAACACTACGAAGAACAGGTCCAGCCAGGGCTGGAAAACGCTGCCGAGGAGGAAGGCGTTTCTGCGGGTTACTTCGGAAACCGCTCGGTGTCCAGGACTCCGGTCATTTCCATACCAAGCATCCGCTCGGTCGACGGGACGCCTCGTCAGAACAAGTAGACTGCAACCCCGTCTGTTCAGAGTGAAAGAAGAAGTTCAGCGCAAGCGACCGACATGGCTCGCCAGTTCTCCGGGACTTTCGAAAAACCATCGAAGACAAGGTCGACGCGCTGCAGAAAAAAGTCCGCAGCCAGGACCGGGTCATACAGCGCTTGGAGCAGACCACCACCGCCCTCTTCTCGTTCCTCGAAAAAGTAGATTGCTCTTTTTCTTCGGCTAGCTGAGTTGATCAACTTTTTTTTTCTCGTATGTTTCACAGCTGCGTAATTCAGTAGGCAGATTCAGACGAGAACATTATTTTTCATTTTAAAGCTTTTAGGTGTGTCCGAATAACTCCCAGGAGCTCGAAGAATTGAAACAAGAGTTGCACATAGCAGAAGAAAGCGGAGACGAGGTTTTTTTTTCCAGTTATTTCTTGTAAATTTTGCGCGGACATTTGAAGGGATCTTTTTCTCCATGGAGCGAAGAAGCAGAAACAACGTCACAGAAACGACACAAACGGATTTTCGAAGACTGTGAAGGCTGCTCAACGCCCAAAAAGAAGCGGACGGAGTAAAAATGAATAACTAATTTTCATATTAACAAAATCTTTCGTAATGATTGACCTAATCTTCTAGTGCACTAAGAATAACTGCCGAGATAAACGCGAGACGCTGGCGGTACATTGACGAGCTCGCAAACATCTCGCATTTTTTCTCGCGCCGGTCTCGCATTTTTCTGGGCGCGAGCTCGCACTTTTCTAGGCGCGAGCTCGCATTTTGAAAATTTCCGATGTACCGCCACCGACTTCGCGTTTATCTCGTCAGTTATTCTTAGTGTGTCGGCTTCGCATGAACGATTGAGCCACCGTAAGTGAAACTTCAAAATATATGATCATTCATGACAGATTGACAACTAAGTTAAATTTTTTTTTCCAAAAAGCAGGCGCTCTCAAGCAAGACATTCGGAGTTACTGCATACACCCAGTTTCGTGGACTATATCGCAGCGAGAGTGGCGCGACATAGCAGCGACATAACTCGCTGCCATCTCGCTCAGCTCTAGCAAACTCCCGGCGCGATATCGGCGCGAGGTCGCGGATTATCGATTGGTCACTATTTACGTGCCATCAAAAATTTTACTTGAATTGTTTTATTTTTTTCGTGTGTTATATTCTCTCTGATTTTTTTTATGTCTATTTTTTTTCACTTAATATTTCTAAAATGTTAATTTTACAACTAATGTAACGCTCATACAGTACCGTCAGAAAAGGAAAAATTTTTTTCGCTCACAACTTCCTCGTATAGAGCTCAATCTTTCTGAAAATTTTTCAGCTGTGTTTCTAAGTTTTCACCACGGTGTTACAATCAACAGTCATCATATTTCCAGAAAGTTTCAAAAGGGTGAAATCCCATTAAAGAAAGTTGTGATAAAAAACTTTTTTGTATATATTTTGACGGAACTGCACACCTTTCTTGAATTTGAAAGTCCTTTTTTCGCATTTTTTTTTTCATGTTTTAACCAAGAATTTCAGGTTATTAGTACTTCAAAATGGCATCTAAAATTTTTTTTCGATCAATAAAAGTCAAGAAAGATCCGTGGGAGATGGCACCGAAACTTTGCTTTTGGATACAATCAATAACATTCTTGGTAAACTATTTTTGAAACAGTATATCCATTTTTACTTGAAGATATGATTTGCACTTTGGCGTCGATGGGTAAGGAAAAGAAGAAATGAGGCATGATTTCGAGAAAGCACGTACTGCTGTCTTGATACAGTCGCTCCTGTGAGTTATTCTCTTATTCAAGGTTGGACTTTTTTCAGTATTTCTCTTTTTTAACCGATTTTATCATTTAGAAAAGTTTTTGACGCAGCAAAAGAAGGATATGCCGAAAACTATCGAGTCAAAGCTTCCAGTAACATTTTTAAGGGAACTTGTGTGTCAATCTGATTGTTTAACTTAATTTTCTTTTTCAAAACTTCTTTCATTTTCATTTCGAGCCTCCCTCCTTTATTTCTTTTATTTGAACTTTTAAAGATCATCTACGAGCTTACAATCGGTTTTCTTTTCTGTTTTTATTGAACCTACTCTTTTCCTAGTCAAATTTTTTTCCTATGAAAAATAAACGATACACATGTTTTTCCTCATATTGTCCTTTTTTATTCTTACTTGAAGCTTCACTCTTTCGCCGCAATTCAATTTTTTTTTTTCTTCTTCAGATTTGTACATACTTTCCGTTTACTTCGAGTTGGAAAATGTATCATCAATTATTTGGAACATTTCTTTAATGCTCTCAAGTTTTTCATTTAAATATATTGTTTATATTAAATAAAAAAAGTAAAGAAGGTTGATAAAGACCGATATGTTATCATGTACAACCCAATAAAAGTATGAAGCATAGAAAGCAAATCAAGAAAAAAAAGCCCAATCGAGCTAAAAAATTTTTTTGAAAGAGCGACATAGCGGCGAGATGTGAGCGACCTTGCGCCGAGAGGCGAGCGATATAGCGTTTCTCTCGCTGCGACCTCGTCCGTAAAACTGGGTGTAATCAAGAAAAAAATATATTAGAAACTCGCAGTCAAATTTCAAGGAAATTTTGATGGTAATTCACGATTATTTCCTCACTGACGTAAAGTATGGTGTTGGTTTCAAAATCCTTTTTAAAAAAATACTTCTGTTCTTATTCTCTTCAATTTATTGATAATAAATCTGTACAAAGCTGAAAATTTTTGTGTATGGAAAGGGCTATAAACAATGTAAAGGCTGCACTCTCAAAACAAACAAGATATCTGATCACAAGTAGTGTAAGTGAAAACAATGAGCAAAATTCGCGAAGCTTTGAATGGAATCACGAACAAAAAAATATTGTTCGAAAAAGTATCTGGCGAAACAACAAAAACAATTTTCAAAGATATCTAATTATCAGATTATTATATAATACTGTTGAGATATGAGAACATGAATTTTAAAAAAATGGCAATCACCTTGGTCATGTTAAATTACACGTTTAACTGATAATGATGATTTGAAATATCTAAATGGTTAGTTTTTTTTTTCTGAATGACTAGAGAAGAAATTTGATCAATGATGAAAGAAAAAAAAAATTAATTAAATTAATTCATGGCTCTGGTGTGTCAAGTTTTTTTTCAACATAGTATTGAACAAGAACGTCGACATTCTTACGAAAGTTGTCAAGGTGCGACTCGATGTGACGAATACAAATTTCGTCGAGGTCGTCTTGACCTAGAGCGACGGCTTTCAATATTGTGTGGCGGTATGGGACAGCATGTGACAACATCTGAAAATTAAATTCGCTAGAGAAATTCCAAGAATCTTTCATTACCAAACAAACCTTCTATCTACTTTAATGACATTGTTCTAAAGTTTGAAGGTGAGGGATTGAAAAAAAAATGAAAACTAAAAATTATTAAATTAAGTCACATACCTTAAAAGCTTGTTTGGCGACAAACCCATGATGACGTTTGAGAGACTTTTGATAGGCTTGATCCACGACTGACGATAAGTTTTCTGTTTTCGAGTGGTTGGGATTTGTCCGATATTCCGTCACCATACGAGTTAACATCTCCAGCATGAACTGCAAGCCCCTAAAAAATTTAAAAATGAAAAAATTCAAGGAATAAAAAACGGCTCCAGCATGGAGAACATTTTAAAAACCGAATGGTAATTGAACATTTTCTGCTGGTAATAATACTGTCCAAACTACTGTTCAGATAGCAATTTTTGCTCTTTCGCGTTCAGAAGTTGCCTCGCAAAAGGACATGTTCGTTTTTTTTTTTGCCAATGGAGACGTCATGAAAACGGTGGCGAAATCGCAAAATTTTTCATATAAGTTTTCTAAATAACATAATTTCGATCACTCACTTCCCCTTTTACACACTCTTTGAAAATTGCGAGACAAAAAGGCTCGAAAAGTGGCAAAAATTTAAAAAAAAAAAGTTTTTCCTTTGTCAACTCTCTTATTTTGTCAAATAGTCTTTACAGATCCATAGAATTCAACGTTGTAAAATTATTTTTAATAACGAACATCAAAACTCGTTCGAAATTAATTCAAACCAAGAAAGACAAAGTCCTTCAACAAGACGCGGCAGCCCTACGAATACTTCAGATTAGTTTCAAAGTATTTAGTACACGCACCTTTTTAACCAAAGAAGCCCCTCTGTTGCTATTCCAAAACGGCCACCATGTTCGGCGAGATCCATATCGATAAGATCCTGGAGATACACTTGCCCTGAAATCTTCACTTTGAACCGTTTATTATACTTGCTACTTATAATTGGCATACAAACAAAAACTTGATAAATCCACTCATTTAGATATGATAAATTTTTATTTTAGTTTTATACGAGAAACATTCTTCAGCATAATGACCGCAAGAAAACCTTCTTTGTTGCTCTCGTAACGGTTGCGGACTTTGACGACATTTCCTTGAATGTCGTTTTTAACCAGGATGAACGCTTTTCCCAGAAACTCTGAATAACTTGGTAAGTCAATTCAAGATACCAAAAAAAAACTTGCCGACAAAACTGGCGATCCCTTGGCAGGCATTCAAAAACTGCTCGGTAGGAATTTTTCCCTCTTCTAGATGTGGGAATATATGTTCAGGTTTAGCAAAGTAAGTTTCGTGTCCCGGTGAATCTGGAACATCCGCTACAGCAGCCATTACTGTCTGAAAATAATTTATTTGATAAAGTAGCAGCTGAACGACATACGAAAAACGAAACGTCAAACCAGATAAGCAAAGTTAAAAATACACGTTTCAATCAATAAGAGCAAATTTCAATTGCTAGATAAAACAAAAGAGATCTAACAATCGAGGAAGTTAGCTGCCATCAGTAATTCAAGAGCAACTTCAGCCGGGATTTGGAACTCTGGAATCTCCGTCGCCGCATGAGTGTAACGCACTTTGTAGGTGAAATACTGACAGACTTTCTGGAGAACGTGCGAAGGAATCTCTCGGAAGACGACAACATTGGTCTCATTCTCAGCGTAGACTCCCGGGCCACTCAACATCGCCTTGATCGTACCAGAAGTGAGGGCCAACTCTCGCTTCACAATGAACTCGTGACCATCGCTGCTCACTAGTTGAACGTACTTGGAGTTCTGTCCATCTACTCCTTTGTTTGTAGTGGTATCAAAAGCGGCTTCACTACCAGATTTATCCATCTTCTGAAACTTATGCAAGATTATACAGAAAATCAGTTAAAGAAAACATCCGCCAAACAAAAGATGAATAATTCGAAAAAAAAAAACTAAATCAATACCCGATTAGATTTAAAGAAGCTTTACCTTTCTTTTTTCACGTACCAAAAAGTCATGTTCAAAACTCGAGGAAAATAGAGAAAAAGCGGCGAATTAAGAAGATGTAACTTTTGCAAAATTTTAGAAAGTGATGGTTCGTCTTCATCCCGAGGATACACATTGACGCCAAAGATATTGTAGACTTGGGGGCGGAGTTAGCTGCTTGACACTCAAAATCTGAACAGACCTTCTCCAAAATAATGGAGGGTCCGAAGAAAAATAATACAAAAAGTTAACGAAATACATCATTATATGATTAGTGATTGTAGACTACTCCAGTAGGACCATAATTTCTTTTTTCACAATAACGCAACGTGTTTTGAAATATCTAAGGTTAAATAGCCGATTTATTCAAAAAAAGGCCACAAATTTACATCTAAATTTTGATAACTATAAAAAAAAAGATATTTTTCAAATCAAAGTATGTGAAATTTTCTAATTGTTTTACTGACGAACATACTGAATCTCTTTGAACATAAAATAATGTCGTGTTCAAAGTAATTTCCGCGAAATGCAAAATGATCTCTGACTCTCCAAAATTTAGTGATCTTTTCCTTTCTCTAACGGGTACTTTGCATTTCGCGGAAATTACTTTGAACACGGCATAATAAAAATTTTGAAGAAAACTTGTTATTATGCTTTCTTCAGTGGAATGAATGAAAATGATAGGATGTGAACAGCTGTTTGCTTTTAAATTATTTGTGCCACACGTGTCGCCAATCCACAGTAGCCTTTTCGTTGCGGGTGATTAACCATTCTTCAAATTGTTGCCCGTCCAAGACGGGCGGGACATGGAATGCTGTGCTCACCCATTGGCAACTGATTTTCAACTGATTTTACTTTAGTTTATGCCGTGTTCAAAGTGATTCCGCGAAATGCAAAATAGCCGTCAGAAAAAAAGAAAAAAATTTAATTAAACTTTGAAGAGTTAGAGATGATTTTGCATTTCACGGAAATTACTTTTTAACACGGCATAAAGATTTTTTTCGCGCTCAAAGTTTTTTTCGGAACCCTTTAACTCGCTGGCTTGCCTTTTTTTGTTTCAATCAATGCATTTTTTTGAGTTTTACATCAAAAAATGATAGAAAGAGAAAAAAATTATTTCAAAAAAGAGTGAGCGAGTAAACTGACGTAAGCCAAACGAATTGCGCGTTCAAAGCTACGTTGAGAATTTGAGGAAATTTGAATAATTAGGAGCCGTTGACAAGACTGAAGTTTATTTCGCCGCGTTCGTGAAGTTAGCTTTGAACGCGACACGTGCTTTAATTTCAAAGCAAGGACAAAATGAACTTCCGTTTAATTTTCTCTTCTGTTTTTTCTATCTTATCGAGCTTTTTAAAACTATTGACGTCAAATTCAGGTAACGCCGCGACAGAATGTACTGCCACCGCCTCGCCGTCCCCCTTGCTCGCTCCATCCTCGTGAGTGCCTTTTCTTTAATTTGTTTAGAAACTGAAGAGTTCTATCTATACGCGAAAATAATTGTGCGTGGAGAATGAGTTACTATGCACAGCAGTTTAAGTCTCGGGAATGTGCCGGAAAAAAAGTTAGCATAGTTTTTTTTTTCTTCAAAAAATAGCAACACTAAAAATGTTTGCCTAGTCCAGTAGGGTTGTTTGTGGCGTTTTCACCTGAGAAACGGAACATGCTTCAAAACGAAAAATCGTGTTCATCGGCCCGCCAAAGTTGCTTCAAAACAGTACTAATTTTTGTTTTGGAGCAGTTTTCTTGCCTTTTGAAGCAATTTTCGTTTTGTCCGATAAAGACGCCATTGAAATGTGCTTTTTCTCGAATCTAGGTAAAATTGAAATCGTCTCGAAAAAAAAAGGATTTGTTCTCGCGAGATCGGGTCAGAAAAAAAAACATGGAAAAAATGTTCTTAAATAACGTCCGAATGTATTATTTATGACACAAATTGATTGAAGGAAAAAAAAATGGACAAAAAGACAAAAAAAAATGAGCCCCGCAATCCAGCGCGAAGATGCGTATTCAAGTTTTCACCGTCGCCCGTAGGATCCCTCGCATGCTGAACAGGGTAACCCAGCCGTGCTAAAATGGGTCTCAGCGGGTATAAGCCCAGCTGATAGAACTTTTGGCAATTTTTAGCCCAACTGAGACCCCGTTTTAGCACAGCTGGGTTACACACTAGTTGAGACACTCAGCCAGTATGCGGGCCCGCTGCTTGCGTACCCGGCGCATCCATCGACGGCTTTTTTTTTTTGTATTTGCTAGTAGGGTCCGCATTCATTTTTGCTTTCAATATCGCACTACCATCTGTTTTTACTCCTGTTTCACACTCAGAAAATCTGGCTTTGTCGGGAGCGCGAGTTAAGGGGCATTTGCCAATAGTGTTCTAAACCTGATGAGCTGAGCTAATACGAAGTCGCTTTTGTTAAAGTTTTTTTTTTCTTCTATATTTTACCTTGGCAAATCGTGAGTCTACAGAAAATTTGTATATCAGGTCTTTGTCGGAAATTAGTTTTTTCTGTTCGTAGAAAAGAAAATAAAATAGGTTGTTTATCTATCTTCTGAAATTCCATTTTTCAATATTTTTCTTGAATAGCTGAGCGTGTTCGCATATTCGAAAAATAGTCATCGATTATTTCACCAGGTACGCAAACAATGGATCTTACGCGCGACGGTAAAAGTGAAAGGTTATTTTATCGACGGATTGCGTTGATCTTTTTTAAGTCAGTTTTGCGATTATTAATAAAAACTATCTGGAGGAAAAAGAAAGGGTCACAGATTTGTTTATCAAAAGAGAGAAAAAGTCTATCTTGAACTGTTGTATATTACTAATGATCGAATCAAACCAAATTAGCGGCTTTCTAGATAACGTGAAGAGTGAGAGTAAAAAAAGTATGACTAAACAGGCTTGCGTTTTACCATTAAAAACATTTCGTTAATAGTTCAATTTTTAACGTCATAATTTTCATTTTAAAAAAACTGATAAAACAAAAAGGGGGTGGCGAAAAAAAGCAAAAACAAAAAAATCTCGATATTCGCATATATGCTCCGCTTTCCCCGACTTAAAAGGCGCGTAAACTGGAAAGGGTGACTTTTGGCGCGCGAAATGTATCTTTTGGCAGCAATGGTCATCGTAATCAAGAAAAAAAAGTTTATTATTCGTGTACTGTTTTGTTCAAATTAATTTTTTTCAAAGCCACATATGACCTCGACTTTCCCACCTATAGTATGCGTAACGCTTAACCCTCACTCTTGCCAATCTACTCAGAACGCCTCTCAAACTTGATAAAATTGACTTTATCTACAGAAGTATCATAGAGATACCTGTTATCTAATGAATGAACGCCGGTGGGCCTATGTTAAGTAGAACAAACGTGCTACCTTTTTAAGTTAATTTTAAAAAAATATTGTGGGTGTAACGCAAAAAGGAATTCTTAATTTCAGGCCCAGAGAGCTCCCCTCGCTCTCCGAGCTGAGAACGCTGTGGCTGCTCGACTTATGCACACCACCATTGCTCGCAAGGATATTGACAGTGCTGCTAAGTACATTGGTGCTGGAGCCGCCACCGTCGGAGTCGCTGGTTCTGGAGCTGGTATCGGAAACGTTTTCGGCGCTCTTGTCATCGGTTACGCTCGCAACCCATCCCTGAAGCAGCAATTGTTCTCGTATGCTATCCTTGGATTCGCTTTGTCCGAGGCCATGGGACTTTTCTGCCTCACTATGGGTTTCATGATTTTGTTCGCTCTTTAAATTCTGTTGTTTAGTTTTTTTTTTTTTTGAATTGTTTTATTTGGAGTAGACATTCGTTACTTTATTCTGTTGCATAAAGATGAGGGGAGCGAATGTCTGCACAGCAAGTAATCTTTAAATAGATTGAATAAAATTTTTTTTTGATTGTGAAAATTTAATTTCGACGACTAACGAATGAATTGTTTCTTAAGAATTGTTTCGAACATAATAGCGTTTTCATAATAAAATTGAGTCAGTCTAAAACCATGATGTCCTGGTGAAGCCGACCGTTGAGAACTGAGATTTTAAGCAGTTTGAGTGAGCAAGTAAGTCCGAGTTAATATTATGGACCATGTCGCGAGGGAGCCGCGAACAATATCGCTGCAACCTCGCAAACGTCTTGCACTAAAATCTAAAAGTTTTTTAAAATATTCTTCTTCAAGTTAATTAATTTGAATATAGAAGTCAGAAATGAATCAAGAAATTTTTTTGAAATTTCGAATTCATTCTCGCATCACGGCATTCCTAATGGGGGTGAGGGAAGGTGAGCGAGGCGTCAAAGTTTCTGAATTTACAGAAAAAATTTAGTGCGCGCTACGGATAAAATTACGTCACAATTACACTGAATATTCAACGTTAATAACTTGTTTGTTCGATCGCCTTCGGCTGAAGTACTGTAGATTTCAAATTTCGCGCAAAAATTTTTTTGACGTCTTGCCACCCCGTTTGGGAACGCCGTGCGCATAGTGGCCAGGTGCCTCAACGGGCCCGCATGCTGAACAGGGTGCCCAGCCGTGCTAAAAGGGGTCTCAGCGGGTGCCCCCGTATAATCACAGTTGGTAGAACTTTTGGCAATTTTTCGCCCAACTGACTAGGGCATGGTCTCCGCTTGATAACGAGTTAAGAATTGAGACTTTGTGAGTGGATAGGCCTAGGTAAGAGTACTCGGAATGAAGAATAAAATTCTGCTAAACCTTACAGGCGGCTGAGGAAAAGCTCGTCGAAATTTTTCTAGCGCGGATAAGGCCGCGCTCGGAGCCTTCGGCTAGCAACTGGCGGCGTGGTGTAGTGGGTTGTGGTCTTGTGCACTGTCATTATTGGGACCATGGTTCGAATCCTTTTGGCGGAAATCGTTTTTGCCGGCTCATAACTTTATTCCTTTCACAATTTTATTAGATTTATTTCAAAAGTTTACATCAAGAGAAAACTTTCACTTCTATATAATTTTCTCATGCCTCATTCCGCGCAATTTTCTGTTGAAATATTCAAAAAACGCCATATCTTCTGACACCTCGAACGCGAAACCGAACGGAAAAGTTTCATTTTTGTTGTTTTATTGTGTTATTGTGTTTCCGTTTAGTACACACGTGTCCAAAAGACAGGTAATCGCTTTTCGTGATTCGTGAATTTTCATAAAAAAATATCGTTTTATTTATCTTTTGCCCATAAAGTAGAAAAAAAAACAAAAAAAAAATTTCAAATCAGTATTTTGTTTTTTATTGGGATTTTTGTGAATTTCTATTGTAAACTTTTGAAATAAGTCTAATAAAAATGTGAAAGGAATAAAGTTATGAGCCGGCAAAAACGATTCCTGCCAAAAGGATTCGAACCATGGTCCCAATATTGACAGGGCACATGACCACAACCCACTACACCACGCCGCCAGTCGCTAGCCAAAGGCTCTGAGCACGGCCATATCCGCGCTGGAAAAATTTCGACGAGCTTTTCCTCAGCCGCCGGTAAGGTTTAGTACAATTTTATTCTTGATCCCGAGTACTCTTACCTAGGCCTATCCACTCACAAAGTCTCAATTCTTAACTCGTTGTCGAGCGGAGACCATGCCCTAGTGAGACCCCGCTTTAGCACAGCTGGGTTACATATTTTTCTTACACCCGTTGTTCCCCCGTTTTATCCCAACTGAGACTAAAATACTGTTAATGAGAGTAACCACTCCAAAAAAATAATTTATATATACATTGAATGAAGAATTCACGCGGAATCGCGGGAAATTAGATTTAAAAAACGTTCCCTATAGTTTGTCATATTTTAAATGTCAAAGACAATGACGTCATTCGAAAGCGCTCTGTGGATGGCTCGCTCTCTGATTGGCTTTTCGGGCCATTAGGGGTGGAGCTTTAGAAGCGACTTGACATTCAAAATCTGAACGGACTATAGTTAGGCTTTACCACGCTGTCTCTGTAATTCTCAAAAAAACAACGGGTACAATAAAAAAAAATATTTTTTGATTTTGATGAAACTTCATTCAGTATGATAGCCAATCATTAGAAATGCGGACCCAACTTTTTGAGCCATTTCCTCTTACTTTAGCCGGTTTCGGTAGGCAGGTGGGCACCTGCTTATCTAATTATTGAAGAGTTTTTATCAGGCAAGTGATATACCAATCGATAGGTAATCTAATTTTAGGGACTTTTACAGTACAAACCATCTTGGGTTACTGTGGGAAAATTTCGAGTTACGGTACTTTTTGCGTCTGCCGAGTCAGTGATGAGCTTGAGCCCGGAGATCCATTCTTCCTAGCTTCTCAAAAGATACCTTTTGAAATGCTCTACAAGCTGATACCAGTTTGAAAAAATCCTAGGTGAACCATCATTTTGCAAAATCGCTCCGAGGGGCGCAATCGTGGCCTTGCGGCGGCCAAATGGGTAAAGTCCCTGATGCCTGACGGCTCACTCTTCACAGATCCATTCTAAAATTTGTTTTCATTTCACTCATAGATAACTATTATTGATTTTTATTGCAACTTGAGATGGTTTCAGGTTGACCATCGCCTTGAAATTTCATTTTGAACCCAAAATTTGGCCTGAAAATGGCCTGCTCGCCGTTTTCCACGGGTTCCCTGTCCCCAGCTGAGAGCGTTCTCAGCTTTTTTCCTACTAAAACATGGGTGACAGTATCTGAACTGAAGATTGATGACAATCGGAATCCATTTTGAGAAGACTATCATCTCGAAATTTCATTTTGAACCAAAATTTGGCCTGAAAATGGCCTGCTCGCCGTTTTCCACGGGTTCCCTGTCCCCAGCTGAGAGCGTTCTCAGCTTTTTTCCTACTAAAACATGGGTGACAGTATCTGAACTGAAGATTGATGACAATCGGAATCCATTTTGAGAAGACTATCATCTCGAAATTTCATTTTGAACCCAAAATTTGGCCTGAAAATGGCCTGCTCGCCGTTTTCCACGGGTTCCCTGTCCCCAGCTGAGAGCGTTCTCAGCTTTTTTCCTACTAAAACATGGGTGACAGTATCTGAACTGAAGATTGATGACAATCGGAATCCATTTTGAGAAGACTATCATCTCGAAATTTCATTTTGAACCAAAATTTGGCCTGAAAATGGCCTGCTCGCCGTTTTCCACGGGTTCCCTGTCCCCAGCTGAGAGCGTTCTCAGCTTTTTTCCTACTAAAACATGGGTGACAGTATCTGAACTGAAGATTGATGACAATCGGAATCCATTTTGAGAAGACTATCATCTCGAAATTTCATTTTGAACCCAAATTTGGCCTGAAGTGGCCTGCTCGCCGTTTTCCACGGGTTCCCTGTCCCCAGCTGAGAGCGTTCTCAGCTTTTTTCCTACTAAAACATGGGTGACAGTATCTGAACTGAAGATTGATGACAATCGGAATCCATTTTGAGAAGACTATCATCTCGAAATTTCATTTTGAACCAAAATTTGGCCTGAAAATGGCCTGCTCGCCGTTTTTCCACGGGTTCCCTGTCCCCAGCTGAGAGCGTTCTCAGCTTTTTTTCCTACTAAAAACATGGGTGACAGTATCTGAACTGAAGATTGATGACAATCGGAATCCATTTTGAGAAGACTATCATCTCGAAATTTCATTTTGAACCCAAAATTTGGCCTGAAAAGTGGCCTGCTCGCCGTTTTCCACGGGTTCCCTGTCCCCAGCTGAGAGCGTTCTCAGCTTTTTTCCTACTAAAACATGGGTGACAGTATCTGAACTGAAGATTGATGACAATCGGAATCCATTTTGAGAAGACTATCATCTCGAAATTTCATTTTGAACCCAAATTTGGCCTGAAGTGGCCTGCTCGCCGTTTTCCACGGGTTCCCTGTCCCCAGCTGAGAGCGTTCTCAGCTTTTTTCCTACTAAAACATGGGTGACAGTATCTGAATTGAAGATTGATGACAATCGGAATCCATTTTGAGAAGACCATCATCTCGAAATTTCATTTTGAACCCAAATTTGGCATTGAAACGGCTGAGTTCACTTATTTAATTTTTTTTTAAAAGTTGAATCAATTTTCCCTTTTTTTTACCAGGAGCTTCGAGAGTTGGAGAAAAGATTTGAAAGAAAAAAGCCAACAAATTTTTGTATAGGTAGAACAGGTTATACTTTGTAGCATCTGAATATTTTTTTTAATTGTGACCAACTAGTTGTTCCAAATAGAAGAAATTGTTCAAAAACAGCGAAAAATAAACTGAGTGTCCGTCTTTTGTCCCGTTTTAAGAAAGTTTCGAAAAATTAAATAATAACGACTTTTCAGCAAATTCATGTTTCGAATTGAAATTTAAAATTTGATGTTCCTCTTTAAAATGCTTCAATGCGTGTTTCTTTCTAATTAACTTTCAGCTATTCAGGTCGAAAAGAGAATGGCACCCAGAATATCACCCAGAAAAACCAATGAATTTACTGAATGGGTGAAATAAGACGTTTTCAAGCCGAATTTGAGTTCAACTTAAGTTTCCAAAGTGATGGTCACCTTAAAATCGGTTCAATTCGACGTAAAGTTTTAGTTCACACCTCTCCATTTATGTTTCAGGAAGAAAAAAGCTGAGAACTCTCTCAGCTGGGGACAGGGAACCCGTGGAAAACGGCGAGCAGGCCACTTCAGGCCAAATTTGGGTTCAAAATGAAATTTCAAGGCGATGGTCAACCTGAAACCATCTCAAGTTGCAATAAAAATCAATAATAGTTATCTATGAGTGAAATGAAAACAAATTTTAGAATGGATCTGTGAAGAGTGAGCCGTCAGGCATCAGGGACTTTACCCATTTGGCCGCCGCAAGGCCACGATTGCGCCCCTCGGAGCGATTTTGCAAAATGATGGTCCACCTAGGATTTTTTCAAACTGGTATCAGCTTGTAGAGCATTTCAAAAGGTATCTTTTGAGAAGCTAGGAAGAATGGATCTCCGGGCTCAAGCTCGTGGTGGCCGAAAAACTGACTCGGCAGACGCAAAAAGTACAGTAACTCAAAATTTTCCCACAGTATCCCAAGATGGTATGTACTGTAAAACTTCTTAAATTGGATTACCTATCGATTGATATATCACTTGCCTAATAAAAACTCATCAATACTGTGATACGCAGGTGCCCACCTGCCTACCGTAACCCGGCTACAGTAAGAGGAAATGGCTCAAAAAGTTGGGTCCGCATTTCTGATGATTGGCTATCACACTGGATGAAGTTTCATCGAAATCAAAAAATATTGTTTTTATTGTACCCGTTGCTTTTAGAATTTTTGAGAATTACAGAGACAGCGTGTTACACCCTTCGATATACAACAGTTTGTGCCGCGATGCCTTTTCGCTTGCGCCTTCAAAATTTCATCACTTTCTGATTGAAATTTTCGTTCGGATTTATAATGAACGAACCATGCAACGCTGTTCACATAGGCGAATCGAGAAAGGGTATCGCGAGACCCTCTGAGGTATATCGCAGACTCTGAAGTTTTACGATGGCACCTCGAGTATACCTCTGAGGACTCTAAGCATAGGGACCGCAGGCATTTTTCTAGAAACCATTAGATTTAAATGATATTCATATGACCGTGTACTTCATAGTCCTGAAAACTTTTAAAAAAAGAGATCTTGGAAAAAGATCGACTCTGAAAGAAGTCACAGCCATTAAAGCGCGCGTTTCGCGATTTCAATTCTCTGTAGAAAATTTAATTGAGGTCGCGAAAAAAGCAGAGCTGTTCTCAAGTCGGGGCGACCCTGGCCGAGGCCGCCCCGACCGCAACGCGCCCCTGAGCGCCCCGGCCCGCGAAGCGGTTTTCATTCAGGCCCCCGAAGCGAGCGCGAGGATTTTTTTTTCCGTATTTTTTGTTTTTATTTTAGTTTTTTATATTGAAAATGAACTTTTAAGTTATTTATGATCCATGAAAAATTTTAATTTTCATTGTTTTTTTGACAGAAATCGTGCTTTTTTTGATTTCACCTTTTTCGCATCTTTTTTTCGTTTTTTTCTCTTTGTAAATAAATAAAAATAATATTTCAAATAGTGGTTTGAATGAATTTTTTTTGCAAAAAAATGAAATTCCTGATGATGTGAAAAATTTCAAATTATTTTTTTATTTATTAATTTGTTTTCTCTAGTTCTGTAAATTGTTCTGGCCACTTAGGAAACTATTGAATTTTTGGATTAATATCTCATTTCATCGGTTTTTCTCTTTATTTGCTCGATAATAAATGTTTTTTTGTTTCACTTTCATTTCAGTAAAACTTGCGCTTTCCATAATTCGCAAAAAACCGGGAGTCAAAACAAAATTTGTATCTACGGGTCGACCGAGTTGACCCCTACCAAAGGCCGACCGCGGCCGCCCTCGAATACGCCGCAAGTCGGGGGGCCCTCGGTCGACCGCGGTCGCCCCGAGAACAGCTCTGGAAAAAAGTACGCGTTGCAAGGGTGCGGCGCGCTCTCAGAGCAGTAAAAAAATTACAGAAAAAGTTTCTTGTTAATTTTTTTCGCACTAAAACACAGTAATGATGGTTTTTCATTATTGGAAATGATAGAACAATGTCCGAAGATGAGGACCAGCATAAATGAACACTGAAAACGAATAATTTGAACGATTTTCAGCGGCGAAAAAAGCAAAATTAATATTTACGGAGTTTTCAATGCTTTTGATGTTCAAAACTGTTAGAATATAATTAGGAAGCACGGATAAACGCAAATTCTCCCTGAAACAAGATTCGATACAGAATTCGGAACCGATAAAAGGTTGTGAATCCATAGAAACACAAATAAATTAATTATTAATGACTTTTATAATCATTCTTGTAGCACTACAGTACTTTTAAATACGCTGAACTCATTAAAATCCACATTTAAGTACTATTCAGGTGAATTTCCCGACTTTGAACGTGTTTTCCAGTGGAATCCGGATAGTGGTAGTTTGGCGAGACTAAAATAATTTTTTTGTTCCGGAAAAGCATGTGAAGTTCTATTTTGTTTTCCTAATTACATTACTGAACGTTTTGACTCATTTCAAAAAAGTTTTACACTCTTTTTGCTTTGAAAACATCGCAAATTCGGAATTTTCGTGGGTCGGTGAATGCACAATTTCGCCAACGCGCAAATGCAGGATGCTGTTTTTTTATTGTTCGAATGAATCAAATTTTTGAAAGCACAAGCAGGATTTTTTTCATTTTTTTGACTATGTTGAAGAAAAAAAGCAAATCAAATCAAAAATAAGAAAAAATAATTTGCCTTCGACTGATAAAACACTTTCCCAAGTGTTTCAAAAAAATCAAAAAAATCAAAACTTATTTTTTTAAAAATTAAGGTTGCAATAAAAGTTTTTGTTTTTTTATTTTCAAAATGTTCTAAAAACTTATAGAGAACAGTTCAAAAAAATTTTTTTTACGATGTTTCGCGGAAAAATGCCAAAGTTCCCGAATTTCGAAAGTTGCGGTTTTTCCGACGCTTCGATATTTGAAAGCACAAGCAGGAATCTTTTTATTTTCACTTATATGGTGTATTTTTTTACATGCTTAACAAAATAAGAAAAAAAAATAACTTGCCTACGAGCGGGATTGTAAGTATTCAACGTTTTTCCACTTTTTCACACAAAGGCGTCAGGAAAAAACGTCATTTTAACCGATTCTTTTTTTATTTACAGCTATTTCTCCTATGTAGAATTGTAGAGCATAGCCGATTGTATGTTTCCCTCAATTTTTTCCCGAAACGGTTCAGGGAAACTGCATAAACAACAATGAAATGTCAAAAATGCAACAAAATATACGACGTTTTTTGGTCAGCGAGGGGGTGGCCTTGCGGTCCCTATCTAAGCAAAATGAGATGGACCTCCGAGATGGCTCAGATATATAAGGTATGCTGGAGGTCTCGCGATGGACATATTATGGGATCTTCACGATTCATTTTGAGAGGTATCTTTGTGGACACATTATGGTACCCTCTCGATTCGCCTGTGCAGCTTTTTTTTGGACCGAGCAGAGTCGAAGGTTTCAGAAATCTTTTTTTAAAACTAGAAGTAAGTCTCACTATCATCTATTCACTTTCAAAAAAGCAGTCGCAAAAAAAAATTCCGTGAAGTCGCCCTATTATAAATTGATATCTCTCAAAATGGATCGTGAAGATTACCTTTTAGCTATATCTGAGCCATCTCGGAGGTACTTGAGAGAAATCTCACAAGTATATTTCATTTTGCTCAAAATCCTCAGAGATATTCTCTTTGTACCATCGTGAGACTTCAGACCCTGCGATATACCTTATAGGGTATCGATATACCCTTTCTCGATTCACCTATGATCTTTCTAGATACTTCAAACTTCAATCAAGGGCCACCTCTTCCCCCACCTGCAGAAATATTCCATATATGACTCTTTTTTCCATTTTCTGACAGAATATTAAAATTTTCATGAACAAAAATAACAAAAATACACATTAATTTCTACCCGGAAGATTTAAAGAATTCAGAAAATTCAAAAATTTCGAATTATACGGCAATCCAAAGTGTCGATGGCAGCAGCGTCTTGAACGTTGAGATCTGTTGAAAACCATTCCCTCAACTCCTCTTCTTCCATCCCTAACATCTTGCTTAGCTTGACGTAGGTAATCGATGGCCGATATCTATCATTTTTTTTTTACTTAATCTTTTTTTTTGATAACTCACGCTTTACAAATTATGTTCAATGCTTTCCTTCGTTCTCTTTCCACGAACAAATCCATCAAGAAAGGGCACATCTTGGGAGCTTCCTTAAAATAATTCTCTAAAAAGAAAGAAATGCATGATAATTACATCAAAAAGTTTGAAAAGACGGATGTAATTTGACGAAGCCACAGCAGACCGGACCTTCAAAGCAAATTGAACACAATCGTTTCTTTGCAGCTTTGGGGTCAGTTCTGAAGTTGACTTTGGCTGAGATTAAATGTGAGACCCGCCTGCTAGCAAAGAATTGATATCGATTGAGTTCTCCATAGCAATGTAGTACAGCAAGCGGTAGGAAACGAACTCTGCTTGATTGGGACAGTTTTCAATTTCACTGTAGAGCAACTTCAGCTGGGACTGGCACTAAATCAGAGGTTCATCTAAATTGTACATTTTATATGGAACCTGATTGAATTCTTCACGGTCCTTGTTCTCCAGCGACACCCTCGCATTGATCTCGTAAACAGTCACAGCAAACATACTGCGTATTCTCTGCACTGTTAGATCTTGCCTGAGCATAGCATTCAATTAGAAAAGCCGATTATAGTCTGCACTATCTCACCTGATGGATCTCAACTGACTCGATAAGTAGCGGTATTCCGACTTTGCCTTGTACTTCTCCTTGACGTTATCCAGAGACAACTCGAGAACTTCCAGGGGGCGTACTTGACTAGGGTCAGGAGCCTTGAAAATTCTTTCCCTTGTAACAGAATAACTTCTGACAAAAGCAACCGCTGTCAAACGGAAGTAGGCTTTCTCAATGTCTGTGCAGGTCCCGCGGATGATTTTCCCTTTCACAATCGGAGTAACCATCCTTGGACCGGAAACTTGCGAGATCGTATCGGCAAAACGACGTGCACGCTCCTCCTTGACAAATATTATTAAGAAAATTAAATACCATTGACAAGAAAAGTCACTTTAGTGAAAACTTCAAACTATTTTCATCAACCGCTTTGTACAGTTTGGGAAGCTGACCTGATTTTTATAGTCAATACCCGCCAAATCGGTTTTATTTTTCATTTTAGACTAGTGAAAGGCCCATTGTGACAAAAAAAAATTTACTGTTAGGTGATCAGAAGAAATCAAAATTTTTTCAAAAAGAGAAAAATCAGATAACTTTCAATATTTGAAGATTTCCAGCCTTTTTCCAGCCGGACTATTTATTTTTTTCCAGATCAAATGCAGAATGACTGAGCGTACCCTTTTTGCATCGCTTTCTTCTTCGACCTTCCAATGTTCACGGAACGGCGTCTTTTTTTTGCTCGCGTTGGCCGACTGTCGAGCCGCCTTCTCTGCTCGTTTTTCTTGCTTGCTCTTCTTTTTGCTTTTAACCTGAGAAAATAAATAAAATCGAAATGAACTTTCACTTCTGAGAGTTCTCCCAATCTGCTCTACCGCTAGACCTTGGATTCTAAGATTTCAACGTCGCTGTCAGTGCTACTACGACGCGCATTATCACGACGAGAACGCTTGCGCTCTGGCGACGGCGAGACTACGCCTCCGCTGGCCGAACCGTCACTTCTCCGCCGCTCCTTGGCGGAGCCCCGGTCCCACTTTCTGGAGCTCCCGTTATTGGCCGGAGCCCCTCGAGGCAACTGATTAGCCGGCGTCCACATGGTCGGCAGCTCATAATTCCGCTCGTGAGGCAAAGGTTCGCGCTCCCAATTGACCGTTGCAGCCGTGCCGGCGTCGAGCAACGGCTGCAAACGTTTCTTCAGGTATTCTTGCACTTTTTGCCTGTCTTCTGCGGAATTTGCCGCTTCGAAAGCCCGCTCCGTGTAGCGCCTGAAAGAAGCTGATGAGAAAATACGAAAAACCATCAGAATGCCAATTTAAAAAAGCCCTAAATTCAGAAAGATGAGGTGCATGCACGAATCTCAATAATGCGCAAAAAAAAATTGAGAAATTAAGGGCATGGTGTTCGAAGTTTTTTATAGTGCCTGTTCAAAAATTAATTACTCTTTTCAGCATATATATATATATATATTCATTGTATATATATATACAATATCCACTCGAGAAGGCCATTGTTTATATATATATATATATATATATATTTTGATTAACTTCACTTACTAGGGAACTACTCGGACTCGTACGCGTTTTCGAGTTGAAACTTTGGTGGCTTATAGACCCGGGTAAGAGTACTTGGAAAAAAGAGAGATTATCTGCTAAACTCCATAGGCTTCTGCGAAAAAGCTTTTTGAAAATGAACAGTTTAGGCTTGAAAATTATCAAATTTTTGCTTTCTTTCTTCTTTTGGGTGGAAAAAAGTTTTTTAGAGTTTATCATAGCCGGGTCATTCAAAACGATCGTATTAAAACATTAAATAAGAAAAAAAGCAGTATTCTAGAAATTTTCAGGCCTAGTTTTCACATTTTCTATTAATTTTTTCTCAGTTCTCTATTGGGTTTAGCAGATATTCTCTCTCGTGTTCAAGTATTCTGACTTGGGTCTATAAACCACTGAAGTTTGAACTCGATTCACGTACCCGAGTCCGAGTAGTTCCCTAGTAAGAATAACTGCCGAGACAAACGCGAAACGCTGGCGGTACATGGACAAACTAGCAAACATGTCGCATTTCTCTCGGCGCGACCTCGCATTTCGAACCTTTTCAAATTGCAGGAGAAATGCAAGCTCGCTTTTAAAAAATGCGAGACCGGCGCCAGGACTGAGCGAGATTTTTGCGAGTTCGTCAATGTACCGCCTATTTATTTATATGAGTCTCATTCAATTTTCGTCAGCTCCTTTTAACCCCAGTTCTGAAAAAATAGCGAAATTTGGACACAACTTTTTTTTTTCTCTATTTCTGCACAATACTTAGCTAGATGCATCGCGATAACGATGAACAAAACTATTCTCCTAATAAAACGAAATTCAAAAAGATAATTAATCAAAGGATACATAAAATTTTCGGTTAATCATTCAAGTTATTTTTCGTTGCAAGAAGCTGTTTTGAATAGGCAGAGACCAAAAAGAAATTTTCCAAACTGTTTCAGCTTTGCATAAAAAAATGGAATATAATGAATCATTAGAAAACCGTAATTTAAGAATTATATGATATCTCCGAAAATGTGTCATCCCGCCTCTAAATTGATATACCAGAAAACTTGAATCACTGAAAGAGTTTCTACCTAACCACAGCTGTGAAAAGCGAATACTCTCAGAAAAAAGTTTCCTTTCTAGAATTCGAAAAAAAGTTTTAAAAAAAACGAAAGCAGCGGTAATTAGAAAATGTATGGAGTTCATAAATTTTGAGCGAGGTCAGGAACAAAAAAGCGACTAACTTGACGCCTTCAGGAGTCGGCGGCCTTCCTCGCATAGGTCCTCTCGAAAAGTTGTTCTGGACACCCATATTGTTCATCTGCTGCTGCGGGACGAACGTGTTGTTGAGAGAAGGGATAGAGGCCTTGTTTCCGGCGAGGTGGAAAGGTACGAACGGCTTGTTCACCCAGGGTTTCTGTCCACGACCGGCGCTCTGCCAGCCATTGTTGGAGCCTTGCCAGCCATTGTTGGAGCCTTGCCAGCCATTGTTGGAGCCTTGCCAAGACTTTTTCTGATACTGCTGCGATTGATATCCTCCGGCCATCGTATTATAATTATGTCCAATTGCGGCTCCGGTGGAAGCGGTGTTATTCCACGCGGGCCGATGAGGAGTCGCGGTAGCACCGGCAGCGTTGAACGGTTGGCTTGAGTACGAACCGAAGCTGCTTCCAGAAGGCGTCGGAGGTGCTTTGAAAGAAGGGTTCAGCCACGGGAACATGTTGTACATGCTCGCGTGATCTTGTGTTGCTATTTCTGGCGTTGCTTTCGATTGAGCCATCTGCAATAAGTTGACATTAACATCCCAGAATAAATTCATCCAACATGATAAGATAGTAAAATAGAAAAAAATCTTCTCCGATTCGCGTTCCCTTGGAAGCAAAAGAGGTTTGAAAAAAGCGCACAACTCTAACGCGTAGAGAAAAAAAAAATAAATGGTAAAGGTTTAACTTCGCCCGCGCCACGTTGATTTTATAAGGCATCACGCTACTATTTCATTTGTCATGTTTGTTTTCGAAAACTCGTTGAGACGTTGGCCAACAATTATCGAATTTTTTTTCAGGTCAAAAAAATTCATTGTATATTGATATTCTAAAAACCTAGAACCAAAGTGAATATATCAAATGTTTTACAAGCCCTTGAAAATATTAAGCAAACGCGTAGCTTCTGAAGTTATAACTTCGAGCTTACTCTTGTCCAAAAGGCCAATTATCAAGAACCATTCCAATATCAAAATATAGCCCGTTCACGGCTGACTTGAGGTTTAATTTTCGCGGCGAAGGTAGATATGGGCGACTACCCATGCGCCTTCCATTAAAGCCCCATTTCATAAATTATTTATTTTTATTTTGTCGATTTTAAGAAAATCTGAAAACCAATGAGATGAATGTAAACTAAAACTAAATTAAATAGAAACATAAATAAATCACCAAATGAGGCTCTTATTAAAGGCGCATGTATGGTCGCCATGATCTACCTTCGCCGCGCAAGTTAAACCGCCCGTTCGCTGTCCCAAGCTAGCCGTGAACGGGCTATATAAACACTTGAAATACGAGATCCATTTTCGAATAGCTCATTAACATCTGGTATTAATATCAATTCAAGCGAGACTCCACAATGCAATTTTCAACTTTTCTCTCCTTAGTAATGGTAACCCTGATGTTTTTTCTAAAAAAAAAACCTTGTTCAATTCTTCTTTTGCTTTCTTCCATGCTTCTATTTGGGTGGCCGTCGGTTCCGGAGCTGCTCCAGGGATAGGAATGGAGAGCAAGTCGTCGCTGCAAATGTTCAATAGCTTCTAACTCATTTTTATCATTAGGCAGTTATGATGAGACAGTATACGACATTCGACAAGGAAAACTCACCCCATATCTGAAAAGAAGTTGACTTTCCTTGTCAAAAAACTTACGAAGCGTCTAAATCTGAAAAAAAATGGTCCCGCTGCAAAAAAAAAACGGAGATTAAAACGCGAAACAGAACAATTGAGAATGAATCGGGACTTGTCCCAGTCGTAAATGGAACAATAATAGAACTATTTTTAATTTAAAAATTGTTCTTTTAACCCTATCAATTTTTCCATGAAAAAAAGGTTTTGCTTGTTTTGGAAACCTTGCTGGAATGTTCTTATGTGCTATATTCTAACTGATACAAAACTGAAAGAATTATACGGACACCGCGAAAAGAGTTTAAGAACACGCAGTCAAAGATAAAGTGAAGAAGTAATAAACGTTTTTCTGGTTTAAAATATATTTCCGAGTATTCAGAGTTATCTAGAGCACTATAAGAAAAATAAAATCCGTCATCAACTCGATAATTTGAGTGTTTGAAAATTACTTCGAACTCGGCATTGATATTAAAAAGCGCCATACGAGCCTGCCCATTTCGCGTTCAAAGCCAGTTTTCCGCGAATACGAATTTTTTTTCTGTAGAGTTACTTCGTATTATGAAATGACTTTTTTCAGGCTACATCGATTCGTTTCTACAAATTTCCCAAGGTAGCTTTGAGCGGGGCAACAATATGCGCTGGACAGGCTTGTACACCGAAATGTGACTTTTACTTCTGAAATCATAGTTTTTGTTAAACTTTAAGTGAAGAAATGAGCAAAAAAATAATTTTTGTTGTAAAAAAAACTCAATATCCGACTAGAAAAAAATTGCGCGCTTCGGGCCGGGCGGGCCATTTTTTCTTGAGGCCCCTCTAAGGCCGGGCCGGGCCGGGCTTACAAAATGGTCGGGGGACCGGGAGGGTGACGGGTCGGCCCTCGCACAAGCCTGGCGCTGGATATATATATGCATATATATATATCGCATATGCTCAACGGAGAACTAAATCAATTTTGCGCGTGTGGTTTCTCGTTTTTCCCGCAAGAGCATATCGTCCATATACAGTAGCATTATACACATATTAGGTTGGCATGAAAGAAATGCGGATCGTTTTTGACGGCTTCTAATTCATTTGAGAAGCAATATTATTTGGAACAGTATTTTTCGTTGGAGAGGACTTGCCCGTGTGCGTCATTTGATATACAATTTGCTGACGTTTATTCCGCCTCTCTATAAGAAAAATAGCTCTGAAAAGGTCTTTCCAAAAACTGTATTGCGGACCTAGTTTTCGCGTTATTTCAAAAAATACAACGCAATTTCAGAAGCTTGACGCGATCCAATATTATGACTACCAATTATGCTTCTTCCTCATTGTTAACATTTTGAATTGCTCTAGCGCTATTCACTAGGCGAAAAGACCTTTGAAATCTAAAAACACGACATCTTTGAAACTGGCTCATCAGTTCTTACACATCCATATCTGCGACAAAAAACAGTTTTCACGCAAAGGAGTGCAAAAAATGAGAGCCGAAACAATGGCTTCACAATATCGCTTTTTGCGAAAATGTGTCAGCCTAAAATTAGAAAAATTGTGCTGCAAGGTTCTGCTTTTTCTGCTACAAAGCTCAGACATGGCTCTCCGCATTTATCATCTTTCCGACTCATTAGAACGCTTAACAGCCAAAAAAGATTGAAAAACTTCGATGAAGTCCAAATTGGGCGCTCAACTTGTTTGACTCGTAGGAGGCCCAGTTTGTATATATGTATGTAAAATTATATCCTCAGAAAATTTACAAGTCTTTGGATATATATTATCATATATTTCATTCAAACTAACGCAACCTCAAAAAATTACTGACCAATGTGAGAAAAAAGTGAGAAAAAAAAAATTAACGTCGATAAATTTGAAAAATAAACGTAAACAATAAAGGATATAAAGAATATTGTCTACGTCTGCTCATTTCGAGATTTATGTCGCTGCCAACTGGAAATGTTTCCAGAAAGGAATCCAATCAAGATGTAAGTGCGTAGATGTAGATATACGACTGAGTTAAGGATGAAAAATGCGATTCGGTGTTGAAAATGGAAACCTCGATGGACACGATACAAACGGCATCAAAAAACGAGTCAGACAATCGTCTGAAGTGGAGCAGAAAACTTTTCATTGAAAAAGTGAACTAATTTTCTTCGAAATTTAATCTCCGTCATTGCAGCCTACCGTCAAACAGCTCTATAAAGAATTCGTGAACAATAAGAAATGGAAGCCGGAAACAATGTCTTCGAAGGCGATGAACGAGAATCCGGGCAAGTGTCGCTACACCGACATCGTGTGCCTCGACTCAACGCGAGTCGTTCTCAAGGTTTTGCCAAATCCTTCAGCCGCAAGAACAGAATTCCAGGAGCGTCCTCCGGAAGCCGACTTCATCCACGCCAACTGGATGAAGATGCCCGATGGAGTACAATATATCTCTACACAGGTTTGTCTTGCCACGTGGTCTCGCGATTTGCGCTTAGGGACCAATGGAGGAGACAATTGAGGACTTCTGGCACATGATCTACACTGAGAAAGTTTCCGTCGTTATCATGCTTTGTGCTTTCTCTGAAGGTCTTTTAAATTAGGATTCTTAAGGAAAAAAAAAAATCATATTACAGGAAAATTCAGCAAGTCGGCCTATTACTACCCCATGAAGTCGGATTATGAAAAGTATGGTCAGTACAAAGTAATCAAGAAAGGGTTGAAGCAGTCGAACATCGATAACGTCAAATATCGTGTCCTTGACGTCGAAAAAAAGTTTGCTTTCATCGATTAAAAATTATTTTGTAGATGACTAGGAACGACCCTGTCCGCGCCGGCCTGGCCGTGGCTTTGGGCCCGTTTGAGAAAAGATCCTGCGTTTGAGCAGGCCAGGCTGCAAAAAAAAAAAAATTGAAATTTCATCGAAGAAGTTTCAGCGAAAAATTATTTTCTTATTTCTTAAATCATAGTTTCTGTTGAACCCTAACTAGGGAACTACTCGGACTCGGATACGCGTTTCGAGTTGAAACTTTGGTGGCTTATAGACCCGGGTAAGAGTACTTGGAAACAAGAGTGAATATCTGCTAAACCCGATAGGCTTCTGAGAAAAAATTAGAAGAAAATGTGAAAATTAGGCATGAAAATTTCCATAATACTGCTCTTTATCTTATCATTAATACAATAATCTCGAATGATCCGGCTATGATAAACTCTAAAAAACTTTTCTCCAGCCAAAAGGAGGAGGAAAGCAAAAATTTGATAATTTTCAAGCCTAAACTATTCATTTTCAAAAAGCTTTTTCGCAGAAGCCTATGGAGTTTAGCAGATAATCTCTCTTTTTTCCAAGTACTCTTACCCGGGTCTATAAGCCACCAAAGTTTCAACTCGAAACGCGTACGAGTCCGAGTAGTTCCCTAGTAAGTGAAAAATGAGCAAAAAAATGTATTTTGTGGTAAAAAAAAAAGCTTGATAATCGACTTAAAAAATTTGATCTTATTGAGCCGGGCCGGCCCTTTTTTCTTGCACAAAAGCTCTCAAAGGATATACAGTCTTGAGATATTGGAGATATCAATTAATTGTCGTTTTGAGCGGCAAGTCATTGACGGTTCACCATTTTTCTTATACTTCATGGCCGGACCACATTGCTCCGACATCGCCCACTTTTGCTGTACAGCTGCACCGTTTGGCTCGCCAAAAAGTGTGGTTTTAATTTGAAAAATATTGCTGTAATTGTTTTCCACGAAAGAAAAGACTAAAAATAAAAGCAAGCCCTCACTAAAGTCGGCAAAAAGTCTAACAATGAAAATGAAACCTGAAAAACAGGCAAATGGCGGCCCAATCGTGGTTCACTGCTCGGCTGGGATCGGTAGAACAGCCACTTTCATCGGTGAGTGCATGAAACTGGCTCGAACCAACCCACTTCAGGGATCGATTACGGTATGCAGCGGGTCCGCGAGAACTCGAACTTGGCTCCCTTCGACTTGATCAAGGAAATGCGGCGGATGAGGTTGATACCTTCGATGCGTACATACATCGCCCTTTTCAGAGATAAATCGGTCCAGTCGTATTTCCAATACGCCTTTATGATTGTTTGTATCCTCGAAATCTTTGCTCAGGTAACTCAATTTTAAAGATTCAAGAAAATTAACTGTCAGGAAATATTTCAAGTAGAACAAAGAGGCTGACAAAGAAGTTTGTTACACTCGAAAGTTCGAACTAACTATAAAATTTATTAATCAAACGAAGTATAGTCCGTTTTTCGCGACTTGAAAAGGCGGTACTTCTCTGCGCCCTCCTTATCTTTCGACGTCCCTCTCATGTTTACGTGCTGTTTCCATGTTTCTCTGACCTCGCCGGTGAGGGAAAAGAGGGACACACACGCGAAAATTGTCGATTCGCAGTGGGCGGACTATATATATATATTATGTAACAAGGGTCTTGAAGCCTACTTTCTTCATGATTTTTCACAGAGCTGACGCTTCAGATTTGAGTTTCCAGCAGATTTCTTCGGTCAAAAATGTTTTGCTCGGTCAATCAAGAAGTTCCTGTGATAGTTTCCGAGTATCCTGCAGTTTCGATATGAATTACTTTGCTTTATGTGATGCCATTACTGTCAATTTAGGGGAAGTATACAAAAAAAATTATTTTTCATGAATAAAAATATAGTTGATTCACGGCTGGCTTGAGCCATCGAAAAAGGGTCCTGACACGATAATAAAAGAGGTAGTTCCTGGCTCGTGGAGAGGGCAGACAGGCCACGACCTCTTAGCTTCTCAAGCCAGCCGCGAATCGGCTTTAAAAGGACTATTAAACATTTTTTTAAGTACTATCAGAAGTTCTGAAAATTCACTATTCTTCAACATTTTCACACCTGCTCATTTTTTTCCTCTTTGTTTTCTCTAGCGGCAGATGAGTCAACTTTAATGATTTTTGAAAATTTTTCGAAAATCATACGCAAATTTTGTTTGCGTTTAGTCTGAACTGTATTTTCAAGCACATGCTTTCCTCTAACGGGAAAAGTTTGCAGGACAACGCGATCCCTCGAAACGACAAGCTCAAAAGTTACATCGAGGAATACAACAACTCAATGACAAAGAAAAAGGAGAAATTGGATAAATAAAAGTATTGTACAGCTGTACTTTATGGTGTTTTCTCGGACCAAATTTTTTTCGAAGTAAAGTTTTGTTTGCCTTTTTGGGGGGTTAAAATTTTCGTTACCAAAAAAGTAATTATTCAGTTTCACACTTGCTTTTCCACACATCTAAAACTCGTGGACGGCCTTGAAAATATGGGAAAAAGTTGACATTACCAGAGTTTCTCATTCTTCGAGTTCTCTTCGAACATGGGCCCGAACAAGGTGGCCGTCAAACGTAAATCATCTAGCCCATGCCTAGCTTAAACCAACTTGGGCTATATAGTTCCTGAGAGGTGTCTTCTGGCTCGACTGTGTTTCAATCCCAGCGAATCGCAAGGGCTCCAGGCCCTAATCAATTTTTTTTATTCTATTGGTTTTACATAGGGCGATTATACAGCCGCTATCTAATCCAGTTTGACTAAATAACCGTCTGCTATTTCCCAGAGCCAACGAAGACTTAGAGAGCTTCGAAATTCGAGCAGTTTCGGAGTTCGAACAACGCATTGCGGACGGGACAAGGACTGGAAAAATAATAGAGGCTGACCTCATTTGAAGGTCGCGCCACGGGCCGATCCTTCCACTCGACGATCCAGCCTACTTTTTACGCCTTGTTTGTGCTTCCATCGTTTCAAAACTCAGTTTTGTTCTAAACTCTCCTGTTTTTATTGGTATAAGAAACTGACTCCAAAGTTTTCAAAAATTTCGACTAATCCCAAAAAAAAATCATTGAGACTCTTCCGTTTTGAAAAGCGTGAAATATTCTCTGTCGTGACGTGACGAAAGGCAACAAAGTGACCTTGAAGGCCGTAATTACTCGGTCCATTCTAAATATTTTCAATTTTCGATTCTCTTAAGAATTAGTTTGGTAATTAATCAAGCAAGTTTTGAACGCAAAGGTGCACTTTTCAAGACCGGTATCAAATCGATCGCTCGTGTTTTTACTGACTTATTTTCCTTCCGTCTTTTTGAAATTTTTTGATTTTTTGAGTGAGGAAAACCGACAAAGCTGTTGCTACATTTTCTGGAGCCGTTTGACTAAAATGATGGCAAGAAGAAGAAATTTTATCGGCGACTGAGGAGTTCGACGCGATGCATCGTGTGGTCAGACGACGTCGTTCGCTGGCCTACCTCATCGTATGCCTCGGATTCTTTGCCACCTGGTGCAGTCTTACGCTCCTTATTCTGTACCTGCAAGACAGTGTGAGGCTTTTTATTTTTATTGGTACTTTCAAATTCTCAAATTCGACATCCAACAGAAAGGTTCTTCATATCCTTATCGATAAGAAAAAAAAGCGACGGTGGAAAAGTTGTGAGAAATGAAAATAATAAGATTATCAAGAAAAAAAAGAATTTTTTGACAGCTTGTTTCCTAAATTTTTTTTTTCTCAGCTCTTCCCGCCTGGGAACTTTCAGCACAAGTTCGAGCGACAGTACGACCGTCCCAACTTTCAGGTTATAAGAAAAAAAAACAATTAGAAAAGTCAAAACATTTGAGGTGGTTGTGGGTCATTACAATGGTAACTTGCCGGAAGAAAAAAAGCGAAACCTGACAGTCGGTAAGTATTTGGTCGCCTCACTCTGACTTTTGTTCTCCTCTTTGAAAATCGACACAAAATCTCGAAAAGGCTAAATCATCAACATACTTATGTACTTTCTTCGACCAATCTTCTACTTCAGGAAGATAAAGTTTTTTCTTGACCTACCAGTTGCAACCAGTTGCACAGTTTGAGCCACAATCAAAAGTTCGTCTTCGAAATAAATTAAATTCGAGGAAACCTTTAATCAATTTATTGTTTTTCAAATTTTGGGAAAATGCATTTTCACCGAGTCCTGTATCCGCGAAATTCCTTTTTTTGGCAAAAAAAAAACTTGAATCATTGCAGCAGGTTTTGAAAAAAGAAGCATTTCTAAAAAAAAAGAGTCTTCATGCTAAAATCCAAGTCCAAACTATAGCGAGAAACTTACAAGGCTGATATTGAGAATAACCATATCAAAAAGCCTTTTTGGGGTTGCAGAAGAACTAAACGCAAATGGATATGAGCCACGAGAATCCTGGGGAGAAGGCGGCGACGGCGTTCAGCTGAGCGACGCTGAGCAGACCAAGGCCAACGAGCTTTTCCCCATAAACCAGGTAACTTTTCGGCTGAAAAAAAGGCTGAAACTTATTTTAGTTCAATATTTACGTCAGTGATGGGATCTCAGTTAACCGCAGACTTCCCGACGTCCGGAAACTCGCCTGTCACAACATTTCTTACCCAGGTTCGACTCAACAAATACAATTTATTATTGAACCTGGGGTATAGCCAACTTTTCCCGACTTGAAAGACGAGGGAGGCGGGTCAAGGGGTGGGACGCGTGGCGTGTGCGTACGCGGTTCTTGGCACGAGTTCAATTCAACCGCGAGCGAGCATTCAGAGGACTTATAGACGATTCACGGCTAGCTTGGGACGCAAAAAGGCGTGGCCTGTCTGCACACTTCACTAACCAGGGCACTGTCTCGTCTCTTTTCGTGGCAGGACCCTTTTCTCGGTGGCTCAAGCCAGCCGTAAATCAGCTATATTTATCGCTCTTTTCACTCCTTTTTTAATTATTTATTGATTATCTTCATATGCGCGTCAAAAATAGTAGAAATTACAGGAAAAGAGCGGTTGCCGAAACTTTTAAATAGTTTAAACAGCGATTAAATTGAACTGGCGCCAAGAACCGCGTACGTACACGCTACGCGTCCCGCCCCTTGCCCCGCCTCCCTCGCTTTTCAAGTCGGCAAAAATTGACTATAACAAAAACAACGAAAAAAAAAAAAACAAAATTTTGGCATGGAGATCATTGAAAAACCTGAGATTCAATAGTTTTCGTTGGAATTCGTAAGGCATCGATAGTCAGCCTTCTTGTCAGCCGAGCCGCCTAGCAGTCAAGTGATCCAAAGATAGAGGGATAACGAAACAGAAAAAAGAAATTAAAAGATTAAGCTCTTCTGCCGACGACCTCCGTAATTATCGTCTACCACAACGAGGCGTTCTCAACCCTGGTCCGGACTGTGATGAGCGTCGTGAATCGTTCGCCGAGGCATCTACTCTCCGAAGTCATCCTTGTTGACGATTTCTCTGACCGAGGTATTCCGCATCTCTACTTTCTAAGTGCTTTTCTTTTATAGAGTTTCTGAAACGACCAGTTTTGGACGCAGTTTTGAAGAAACTTCCGGTATATGTCAAAGTGATTCGAGCCAAAGAACGTGTCGGTCTCATCCGAGCGAGGTTGATGGGAGCTCAGGTTTTCGATTAATTTATTTGAGCTAATTATCACCTCAATTAAGAAAAGGAGAACGACGAAAAACATTTGAAAACTCAAAGAAAACTTTAAAAAAGAGTCAAAATTAATTAGGAAAGTATTCGATAAGTGTTGGACAAGGTTAGCTACAGTCGCCCTTTACGACTCGAGACAGTCTGTCATTGCCCACTGAAGCAGTCAAATAGACAGGAAAATATAAAAACGCACATCTTTGAAAAATGTCTTTTTGTCTATCAAGTACTCAGACTTAAGCATTCAGACGCGAAGATTTAGATTGAAAAAAAAAAATTAATAACGAAGAAAAGGGTAAAGAAAAAGAAAAGAGAAAAAGAGAATATTGACCAATGACGCGAGGATGGATATAGTAAAAGATCTTCGCTCTTGAGAGCTGAATCCTTTGTTGGTAGAAACTTCATTTAGATGCGGTACGCGGAACAAGGATTTGAGAGTCAGAATATTCATTAAAAATGACCGAAATAGCAAAGTTAAAATGATGAATGGAAGAGAGAGGACGGCAGCGCGTCCGCGGCCGGATAGATCTTGTCTTGGCTCCGTCGTAGCTTGGTTTTATAGGCGCTGGACGGCGACGTCTGAAAGCTTTACAGTTAGAACGTTCGAAATAACTGCGTAGGAGGTGGTAAGAGATTGTACAGAAGCGGAGGCTCAGAGGGAGCCTTCGCTCGAGTCTTTTACCGGTCGCGTCTGGTGATGCGGCGCGCGGTATTGAAAACCTTTTAGCGTGGGTGCTTTTAGATGACGCTTTGATAAGGAGCCGATTTCAACGAAATCGAGGTTGTTTCTTTGATCGGTCAAGTTCAAAAGATTATTCCTTACAATATGGAGAGCAAAAATCTGTGGTCAGATATCAGAGCGAGAGCAAAATATAGTTGTAATATATAGATGGTCCAATTATAGTCGTTTTCCGAGTTGGTTTTTTCCATTCGAAAAAGGTCTTTTTATGATATTGAATGTGAGATTTGTGAAGTATCTTGTTTTCAATAAGTTTAATTCATTTTTTGATAATCATTATTGAAAGAAAAAAAAAACTAATCTTTCTTGTCCCATAAGGTCTTCTAGCCTGATGGAAGAGTAAAATTTTTTGTCTTTTTCAGCATTTACTGTGTGATAGAACATAATGTAATATTCTTCGGCAAACGTACTTTTTTTGTTTGTTTTTGTAAACATTTGAAAAAAGTTTATTTAGTTTTAGTTTGATTTAGTTTGATTTTACACTTCGCTAAGAAGTGTATTCATTGTGAGAGTCGATTTCAAGGCCAAATATAGTTGATTGGTTATAAATAGTTTGGTTTTTAACATTTTCAGTGGGATTTTGATTTAATTTGAAAGAGTAATAAGCTTTTATAGATAATTGAAAAACTTTCCATATATAGTCCGTCCGCTGCGACTTGACAGTTTTCGCGTGTCTGAGTCTCTCTCTTTTCCCACACCGGCGAGGTCACAGAAACGCGAAAATAGCGCGTCAACAAGAGAGGGCCGTCGAGAGACAAGGAGGGCGCAGTATATCTAGCATCTTTTTTTACAGCTTAGGTTTATATTCCATCAAAGGGAGAGTTAGTTCAGCAACCTGATTCTATCGAAAAGGTAACATTGTTACCTCAAACGATACTATTCTCTTCTTTGAGAATGAATATATCAGAATACGAAATTGTTTCGAAGGATGGAAGTAGGGCAAAACCTCCGGAAATTCAGTATGACATTCAGGAAGCGAGCGGCGACGTTTTGACTTTCCTCGATTCGCATTGCGAATGTACGATTGGTTGGTTGGAACCGCTATTAGCTCGGATAAAGGAAAATAGGTGAAACTCTATGAAATTCGTTGACTCATCCATTTTTTCATAGGAAAGCAGTGGTTTGTCCTATTATCGACATCATCAACGACCACACTTTCCAGTACCAAAAGGGCATTGAGCTGTTCAGAGGCGGATTCAACTGGAATCTTCAGTTCCGGCAAGTTTCTCTCTACTCGAACTATTATGCTCCATTGTTCAGGTGGTACTCCATGCCCACAGCAATGGCGAAGAACCACCTCGTTCACTTGACAAAGCCCATTGAGTGAGTTTTTTTATCTTTCTGGTTCAAATTTTCCTAACTCGGGAAAGGTTTTCACTCGGAACATCAGAAATTTCTGAGAAGTAGCCGGATAAGTTCAACCTTCTTCCAGTGACTTGAGTTGCTTCAGCCGTTTTTCAGAAAATAGTCCTGGAAAGGGAAATGCTTACCATTGACTCCTGATTATTCTTGACAGGTCTCCGACTATGGCCGGAGGGCTGTTCAGCATCGACCGACGCTATTTCGAAGAGCTGGGCGAGTATGACTCCGGCATGAACATTTGGGGCGGTGAGAACCTCGAGATCTCGTTCAGAGTAGAGCCATATTCATAACACTTCATTTGTTCTCTATTTGCTAGATTTGGCAATGTGGTGGTCGGGTTGAGATCCTTCCATGCTCCCACGTCGGCCATATCTTCAGGAAGTCGTCTCCGCACGACTTCCCCGGCAAGTCTTCAGGAAAAATTCTGAACGGAAATCTGCTGCGCGCAGCTGAAGTGTGGATGGACGACTGGAAGTACTTCTTCTACAAAATCGCTCCACGTTCGTTCCTTTTTTTGGAAAACAAGGCGCGAAAAGTTGTAGAAGCGCTGCACATGAGGCGGTCGGAAGATGTCTCCGAACGAGTGGAGCTGCGAAAGAAGCTTGTCTGCAAAGATTTCGGCTGGTATCTGCAAAACGTGTTCGTTGACCACTTCCTGCCCACGCCTGTTGACAGATTCGGACGGGTTCGCGTCTTTCTTTTTCTCTCCAGTGATAACAATAGGATCCGATACGCCGCCACACTTTCTTTATCCGCTTTCTTGATCAATTTGAAGGCCCACTCGGATTGACCTACTTGTCACTTCTCGGATTGAAACACCTTTCCTCTCACTCATCTTTCCGTTTTCTAAATAAATTTCCATGGATTCTCATTTTATATTCTTCGTATAAGTATATTGCGCTCGAAAGGTTTTGAAAAATATATTTTTGAAGTTTTATCGCAAAAAACGTTGAAAAAACGTCTGTAAACCTCGAAAAAAAGAAAAAAATTGGTCGAAAATGTTTGTTTTGTACAAAAAAGCCTTTTTTTACCCGATCGAGGTTGTACCATTTCCCTTCATTGTTTATTTTCGATTTAATCCTGTTCCTGACATGAAAATCAGCTTCTAGTTTTAAAATCGTTTTGAGCCAGTGTGTTCAAATTTTCAATACGATTTTTTTTTTTCAAACGCCCGAATAATTTTTCGAGAAAAAACTTTGTGAAACTATTTTCACGTAAATATTTTTCCATCTCATTTTCGCGACTATTTTTGAGTGCTATGAAGTTGAAAAATTGGATATCTGAAGGTCACGGCCGCAGGCGTCTGCCTCTCGTGGCAGATCGCCACGGGGTCGTCGATCCGTCAGCCGACGACCGCCGTCAACTGCTCCGAGGCCGCATTCACCAAAACGCAGGTTTGCAGATGGCTGTCGGCCCGAGTTACTGTATGGCGTACCGGCCTGGAGAGACTGGCCCCAAAAATCATCGGCTTCTTGCGTCGCGCTGCACGCTCGGCTTCGACGTGTGGCAGGTCCGTTGATTAACTGGATTAGGCGTGAAAGCTCGCTATTCATAAAGCAATAAAAAAACGTCATTTTTCTCTTTTACTTTCTCATTTTGAAAACTAGAACCGAAAAACGTTGAACTTAACTTTGTTTCTTTTTTGAGAATCCATCTTTCTGATTTAGAATAATGATTCAATTTTTGATGAAGACATTGTAATAAAGAACTGATGAAATCATATGTTTACTGGCAAACAAGGCGCGACGACCTTGGGCACAGGAAAGACCATAGAAATCACGCCCTCGTTGTCACTTCCAGAATATTTGCACTAAATCACCGCAATGTTTCCACTAGTTCAATCGAAGTATTCTCTTTGTTTTGGCTTCATTATCATCGATTGAAATAATTCTTTTCTTTTAGTGAATTCTCTGTTTGACGCGAATCAAAAGTTTCTTTTTTTTCCTTTTCAATTATGTGCAAAACACGAGGGCCGATCTAGACGGCGAAAGATGCAGCGGCATGCGCGAGGCGAGATGGCCGAGTGGTCTAAGGCGCTGGTTTTAGGCACCAGTCTCTTCGGGGGCGTGGGTTCGAATCCCACTCTCGTCAGCTTCTTTTTTGTGTCATTCAGTGTGTTTTGCAGTTGTGGCTGTGGACGGCGGACGGAAGAATTCGCACCGACGAGCATCTGTGCTTGTCGGCGACACCAACCCTCCAGGCCGACGGCGCGTGGACTGTGCAGCTCAAAGAGTGCGCTGGATTCGACATAGAATACTGGCGTTTCTCTCCCAAGGTTCCTAAGAAGTCTCGTTGCGAAAGCTACAAATGTCGTTTACAGATCGGCAGATTTGAACATCAGAAAAGCGGCCTCTGCCTGGCGGCGCCAGAACTTTTGAACGCGTCCAAAGACGAACTCAAACCACCAGAGATGTCGTCGTGTCGAAGTCGGGAAACGACTCAGGTTTGCAAACTCTTTTCGAGAAATATATAATAATTTTACACTATCAGCATTTTATACTTTTTCCAATTTACAAGGAGCCCTGTCGAAAGACGTAAGAAGTACAAAGATTTTTCAGAAATGGACACTCAACGAAGTGGAGTGGCGATCAACTGAGTGATTCGCGGCTATTCACTATTGTTTATATGTATTCGACAGTTAATCACATTTCGAAAAGCCAAAGAAAACCTTAACATTGAAAGCATTAAAACGTATGCCATTTTCACAAGAAACTTTAATAATGGAGTGATATTAGAAATAATCCATGGCCTCACTGCTTTATAATGATTATTTTAAAAATTTTTTGGGGTAATTCAGCTTTTTCTCGGTGTTTCCGTGGACGCGAGGAGTCCATTTAGATCATTTCGTGTCCTAACGGCTAATTTTTTTTTCATTTCTACGTTCTCTCATCTCGAATTTCACCTTCTCGCCGGAAAACAAAATCTTGATCTATTTTGAATTCCTCCTGTCACAAGCCATAACATTTTTGCCTTTTTTTTGTGTTGCAAGATAAGTTTTGAGCAATAGAGCGAGAAAGAACTTTTCCGAGAGCTAATAAATGATTCATTTTGAATCTGACCCTTCGAATATGATTCACTTTTCCGTGCATATAGTTTTATTGACGAAAAGTGTTAATTAAGATTTTACCTGTCTCAGGAATTGTCTTTTCGCTGTATTGCTCAGACTTAAACCTCAATAAAAAGCATATTTAATTTAAAAATTAACTCGACGTTTCGAGTCTCTTCTCTAGATATTATATTATAAAATGTTTACTTTCCATTAGATGATACTTTCCTTGACGAACGTTGCCTACGAATATTGTGATGCAGCCTGCTCCGCATCTGTCATTCATTTTTTGTAATTTCATTTTTTTTTTTTTCATTAAAACGCGCCATTCCTTCATGTTTTTTCCTTCATTTTCGGTGATCATCATAACTTTTGGAAAAAGGTGGCGAGATGCCGCAGCAGAATGTATGCAGAAACGCTTTATCTTCGCTTGCCAACTTCGTTTTTTTTTTAATTAAAAAATAAATGTTTTTTTTTCGAAATAGTTTATCGTGATAACAACGGAAAAATAGGAAAGAATGCAAAATAACAATGATCTTATTTATCAAGTGAAATTGACGCACCGTAGTCTAGAGATCCGAATCAGTGGGGAAGTTAAAAATGAAATGAATGATTACATCATTAAAAAAATTGACCTTCCTTTTCGGGATATTTAGTGAAGAAATTCAGGCGGCGAATTCGGGTTCTGCCTTCCTGACAGCAGCATTTCGCAATGCGACCTGAGAATTTCGTGAAAATTATTCGAGAATCATCTAAAACCTGACGGACAGCTATTGAACGCCTTCCTCGCGGAAAATTTTGTACGCCTGGGGCTTTTTTTAATGTCGCTATTCGCGCCTTCGTAGCAGGAGAATCAGCAGAAGGCGTTGAGGATGTTTGAGGTTCTAGAACAGAGAGGGATTTTTGAAAGACCAGAGCTTTTGAATCGAACAAAGCTCATGAGAATTTCCGAGCTTAAGCAAAAACAATGAAAACCTTCAGGAAACTCATCAAGAGAATAGTATCTTTGATTTCGAAAAAATCAATCAACCACCGCGAATTCTAAAAAGTCATGGTTGATAAAATTTAAAAAAATTTATTCGTTAAGTATGTACTACTTTTCTTCAAGTTTTCTGAAGGAAAAATTTTTTTGCCGACTCATTGAATTATGGGAAAAAAGGATCATACAGTAACTCACTTTCAGATTTTTTTGTATTCCCTCCGGGAGAAATTTGCTCTTCAAAGACTTGCAGAGAAGACGATGGTTTGAGGACGACGCGACCCATAGATAGCCTTTTGTACTTCTTCTCGACTTTCTAGAAACTCGAATTACAAGGAAAACCTGTGAAAAGCATAGAGGAAAGAAAACTTGTTTCAAATTTTAAATCTTGAATAGCTGTCCATATCACAATTGTTAAAAGATATAAGAAAAGAAAGAAGAAGAAAAGAACCTTGGCTACGGCGACTTTCCTTTGTGGAGTCTTCCGAGCAGGGAAGTTAGACAGTCCAGGAACGACTTCCCGTCTCGATTTCGGAGGCGTGGTCTGCACGTTTTCCACGTCTTCTTCGCTCTTACGTTTCACGGCTGCTACAAGTTCCTTTTTATTCTGAGTTTCTCAGAAACAAAAATGAATCAGGCCAGCTTTAAAGCATACAGTTACTTTGATTCTTTTTACTTTTTCTGCAAAGTTTTTCATGATAGAAAAGATCATGGTCACTAAAATAGTGTTTTTTCACGTTTTTTTTTCAGTTATTACAAATCAAAGTTATATTTTCAGTGTAAAACGGATACAACTAAAAATATTGGAAAATTAAACAGGATAGTGGCTCGACACAAGCGATCGACCAGAAGATAGTGGCCGATTTCCCTGCTTGATTTTTGAAGAACGGTTTCGGAAACCGATTTGAAAGGAAACACCCATGGAATAGTCATGAGCACAAAAAGAAGAAAGAGGAACCATCTTTCGATTACGACGGCTACTACAACTTGATTTCAATTAATTTATTTTAGATCATTCTCACATTATAGTATAGAAAAAATTGAAATGGCGTGAAATCTGGGAAGTTTGTGATGTTCTATTTTATTTGTTTTTCTTTTCCTAAAATTATTGGCAACCCTCATCTTATTAATCAATTAACTTTAATATTTTTTGCCATCACGTCAACTAGCATCATCGAATCACCTTTTTTCTTGGCGACCGTCTTTTCGATTGGCAACTCGGCCTTTCTTCGGGACCTCAAAGATTGCGGCGGGGCTTGGAGTTCGTCCGTATTTTCCCCGTCGTCGAAAAACGTTTACTATAAGAAAAAACAAAAAACTCTTGCAACCAACCTTGAACTGCTGACTTTACAGCTCTCGAACTCCTCTTAGGAGTAGCCAGTTTTGAAGAAGTTCTAACAAACGTCTAAATTCATAAAATCAAAGAGTTACTAGAAAATAACGCGTCTATTTTCGCTGACTCCAACTTTGGGAGCCTGGCGCCGTACGCGAGAAAATGAGTTTGTTCACCGTGTTCACCAAAAGAATGAAAAATGGCTCAAACTTGCTTTTTAAATGTGAAATTGATTTTTTTTTTTTTGGAAAAAACCTTTCATAAAAGTTTGTCATACAGGGCTTCAAAAATTTTCAATACAATGTGCGAAAATAAGCCATTTACCATTTTGTTGCATAAGGTCTCGAACTTTTCAGAGCGGTTTACTGAACAAAAATAGGAAAGGAAGCTGTGTTCAGCTAGTTCTTAAGCCTCGTTTGCACATTTCCAAGGTTTTCTCAGAACCTCGGGGTTTGAGATGATCTCTCCTTTGCAGGTGTTTTTAGTTCAATAAACAATAAACGTTTTAACTTGATCTGCAAACAAAGTGAAAGAGGTCCCCTAGTTAGTTAGTTAGTTAGTTAGAGAGCTTCCAAAGGGTGGAAATTCTAGTAATTAATGAGATCATTTTTCAGCTACAAAACTGAAATAGTCTTCGGGGAAACGCACCTTCTTAATCAACTTGTAGTCAACCTTGGCTGTATAGGACGTTTTATTGCTTACTTCCAGCAAAACCTTGACGAGTTCTTCACAAGAAGCTCCCTTGAAATACAAAAACTCCCAAAATTATCCAGAAATTTCGAACCTTTGTAAGTGATGAGAGGGAGTCTGGAAGATCTGCGAAAAACTTTTGTTTTGCTTCGAAAACTTTCTGAGGTGTCGCTTCGAGAGCCTCAAAAAGGCAATTCATCAAGGTCCTGTTGAAGTTCCCCTCACCAGCCAAGGAAGTTTTCCTGATGCCCAGAAAATGAGGTTGTAGGCGAGAATTTCCAAATCTCCGCGATACGAAGGTTGGCAGCCGCGATGCGCGTCTCGAGAAGTAAATATCGCTGTTCCATTGTGAGCTCAAAAAGAAATATCAAAAAGAAAGGTTTTCAAATGAATCGACTCGTAGAGCCGGATATTAGCGCTAGAGTCACGCACGGCGCTGAAGTTCTCTTTTCCTCTCATCCAAGTATAAATCCCCAGTGCTGTACCGAAAAAAATTTTCACGGCCATAAATTTAAAAAAGCAACAGAAACATACGTCGGCTGGATCCCGTCCCGGGGCATTTTCAAATGTTTTGACATGCACTTCCAACTCACATAATTATATCCCCTTATGGTTTTCAAAATTTTCGAAACCTATATATATAATGTGGAATATTTTCATTTAAAAAAACCTCTTTTTTTATCCGGCTTGTCTTCGTTAGTGTTAGACTTTCGCGCCAATCCATAGTCAACCAATACTGAAAAATCTCTTTTGTACGTTAGACCAAGTCAAAGAGAAACCTGCCGAGGAAAAGTCGTTGGCTCGCTCGAGGAGAATGTTCGCAGCTTTGATGTCGGCGTGAGTGTAGTCCTGGTAAAAGTTGTAATGCGAAAACTAATTTGTAGTAGAAATATTTCATTCTTTATGAACTTCTATTTTCTGGCAAATGTTTTGAAAAACAAAGTAACGAACCAAATCGTGGATATACTCTAGAGCGTCGATGATGCACTGGGCGATTTGCAAGCAAACTTCAGAAGAAAATTTGCCGCCTTTTGCTGATTCGCGAATACTTTCCAGTGATACAGCGTACTTGGGAATTATGAGGTAACGCATGCGCTCAGTTCCGTAATCGAAAATACCATTGGCGATCACGTGAGGCACACCTAGCCAGCGAATTTCTGAATTATTATAGGTGAATAGAACAAAAACGTTGGCGAAAGGAAAATGTAACGAACTATTTTTCGCTTTGAAGTTCTCAATGAGCTCCGCGCGCAGAATTCTTTGAAAGACATTCACTTCTGTGAACAAGGGTCCGTTACCGGCCGGCTCAAGTTTTATAACCAACTCCTTGCTTGTTCCCGCCTGAAATTTGAAAAATTCTTCGTTATCAAATTTGAACATGATCCTGAACCTCTTTACATGTATGAATTCGACCAAAACCGCCAACTGCGAACTGATTACCAACAACAAACGTCCGTTTTTTCACATCCACTATGCTCGTTCCAGATTTCACTTGTGTACAAAGTTCATGCAAGCGGTTGTTCCCTTTTTTCGGAGGCATTATTGACTGAAAAAAAAACATTATTAGAAATTTGCACTCACAGGTCAACCAATCAAAGCTAGCAAAAAATGAAATCTTTCGTATACGTTAAACCTTTATGAAAAAAATCAAAAAAACTATGGCTTTCCGGAGCAAATCGGTTAGAGGATAAAAATTAAAAACAAGATTTCCGACAGAAAAAATCATAAAGAAAAAGAAAAAAATTAGAAAATACAAGAAGACAGGCCAAAAAAACTTTAAACTGAAACCACGGTTTTATTTTTTTAAATCAGAACAATTGACTGGCTAGCAGAGTGAAGTGAAAAACTTTCTGTTTTCTAGAATCGTATGTTCATTGAAATACTATATATATATATATTTAGTAAACGACCTAATATATATATATATATATATATTAGGTCGTTTATTTGGTGTATAACTTTTCAATTTTGGATTCAAACAGCAAAAAATTTCTCTCCCGTCATCCTCAGCTATCTGTTAACATGACTGTTAATTTTGGAGTTCCTGACTTTAAAACGAGCAATGATATACTCAAAAAAGGGCAACTAACTCGATTTCAACCTCTCTTAGAAAAAATTTTTTGTTTCTTTAAAAAAAAATGTATGATTTAATGTTTTGTAGTTGATGACAACGAGGGAGGATGGAAGAACAGATAGAGTAGGCAAGCTGACTTTTTAAACAAAAAACCAGCCTAAAAATCTTTTTTCTTTAAAAGTTTCGGTCAGTGATCAATGACAATGACATGGTCGCTGAACATTTAGACGCTTTTCTCATGAACGGCTTTGAGGATGTTTCTGATTTTTTGTGGTTAGTTATACAGACATGGTCTGTATCAGTCACTTTTTCTCCAGAAGCTCTGAACGTTTGACGCCGTCAGAGAGCCTTTAGAAGTTCATCGAACTGTCATTTCAATTGACTGAGGTTTCCAAAAAATTTTGGCCGGAGAAACTCAGTTGAACCTTTTCTGCTTTGACACATGGCTGCAGTGACCTTTGTTGTACTTGTTTTTCTATCAACTTTAGAGATAGCGAAAGAACAGAAAATTTGAGAGTGGATAGAAACCACTGCCCTGGCGCTATAAAAATTTTTTGATGAAAAAAGGCTGTAAAGTTAAATCCTCACGGTAGCTGCCGGTTGCTAATGTTATGCTTATAATTTTTTTTCAAAAAACCTCGAACCTGATAAATAATTACAAATGTACTTCGGGGAAAATCAAACGAAAACAGGACGCGCATTGTTTCAACAATGTTGACCAATCATAAATTTGAATGGCCTGGCTTTTGAATAATTAACTCATTTCTCAAATTTTTTGGAAGCAAACGAAAATTTTCACGAGCAAGCACACGACCTCAGTTTACGTTTTATGTGACTTGTTCGAATGATAAGATTGAAAAAGTAAGATAAAAAATAAATTCGCAAAACTTTCCAAAAATCGAGATTTTTCGAGTTCGGACAAAGTTTTGTATCTTTTTTCTGCATAGTGTTATAGGAATACAGTTAATTTTAATCTGAACTTCAGATTGTGTAGTAGTAAATACTATATGAAGCAAAATTGTGAGAAGTGCTTTTCTGGTTGAAAACTTTTTTTTAAAAAAGTCCTTCAAAAAAAGAAAGAAACTTAGTAAACAACCTAATATTAAAAGTTTATGCCGTGTTCAAAAGTGATTCCGCGAAATGCAAAAATACCCGTAGAGAAAGAAAAAAATATAACTAAATTTTGGAGAGTCAGAGACCATTTTGCACTTCGCGGAAATCACTTGAACACGGCATAATTAAAGAAACAGTTAATTGTTTTATAAACTTATTTGAAATTTTTGACTTGGCGGGTCTGCTTTATATCGTCGTCGTGTGCTAGCTAAATAGGGATACAGTACTCATAAATACGCTCGCGCTCTTTTGTGCAAGTCGTCCTGCGATTAAAAAAGACGCACTTTACTGGCTTGGTAATTATAGTTTGAAAACCTTTCCTACGGTTTCGAGGCCAAAAGCCGTTCTCACGAGGAAAGCTTGCGACGTGTTGGAAAAGTCGGTGCGTATTTCTTCATAATATGGCCAGTTTCGAAGTCTGTTTTCAAAAGATCTGGTCATTAAGTTTACAAAAATTCATTTTTCAAAAAGACATGAAGTTTATTGAAAAAAACACGAAACCTTTTTTTTTGGGCCGCATATATTTTTCTAATAATAAATAATAAGGTTTTTTTCAAAACTTAAAACGTTACCATAATCGAGAAATCTACACACTTTGGACATCAAAAAGCTTGTGAGGTGAACATCGCTGGTCTGATCTGATAGTAGGTATTCCTCGGTATGAGTACTCTGAAACAGAAGTTGTTGTCTGCTAAGCCTTAGGGTGCTGAGAAATAGTCCGTCGAAATATTACAGGAAAAGCTCGAAAACGGATTTTCTTTGGGTTCTTGGTAAAAAAAAAATCTTTCTCGGGTTTCAGAAATAGTGATTTTAACTAGCCGTTTGAAATCGGGTACCCGTAGAAAATCAGTTTTGAGAGTTTTTCATAAATTTTCGACAGAATATTTCACTGTTTCCTATAAAGGTCAACATATAAATCTTGTTGCTTTCGTGTACTCATACGTAGGATAATCTGCCATAGAAGTTTGGACTAGATCTGCGATGTTCCCCTCACAAACTTTCCTTGTCAGTGTTATTCGGCAATCAAGAATTCTGCGCCTTTCAACACCCCAGCAAGTATTTTATTTACATTTAAAAAAAAACGAAAATGAGACGATTTTTTCTTCATTACCGCAAGCTTCCGTGAAATTATCGTCAAATGATCTGATTCTGACTCACTCAGATCTGAAAAAAAGAAAAACGCGGCCCCTCAATTAACCCCTGCGCGCAGAAAAACGCGCAGGAGGTCCATTGTGTGTTTTATTATTATAATAGATGGTGTGGCACGGGCCACGGCAGAAACAAAGCAAATAGGAGGAATCGATCGACGGCTGACCCCAGCCGTCCATTTCGCATTCTGTTACTGGCCAATGGTCAGCCCTGCTGCGTTTTGAAAAAAGGATGATTTCAAGAGAGAAGAATCTCGAGCCGTTTATCCCGAAGTTCCATTGTATCATTGCAGGTGCAGAAAATGGTATATATTGATGATGGATAATTCGAAAATTGGAGTGGAAAAACTGTTTCGTCATCTCGAGCTTCGAAGTAAAAACATTCTCTCGTCGAAACTTTAAAAAGGCTTCCGCTACACCCAACATAATTGCCGATATCGCAGCGGGCCGCACGCGATATAGCCAAGGCTTCTCGCTGCGATCTCGTCAACATGTCGCTGCCATATCGCTCCCTCTCAAAAAAATTTTTAAATTTGAAAAAATTTTTTTTTATGTATGGTTTTTTTATGATGAAATCAATCAAATTCAAGAAAAAAATTTTTTTGAAGAAAAAAATTTTTTTCTGAGAGTGATATAGCGCAAGAAGTTTGCGAGGTCGCAGCGAGAGGCGAGCGAAATCGCTCGCGGCTCCCCCGCGGTATAGCGTTACTCATGCTGCGATATAGTCCACAAAATTGGGTGTAGCATTTCGAGAAAAAAAATGTACTTTTTCTCTGAAATTCTTTTTAATTGATTTCTTCAATGGGTAAAAAAGGGCAAAATTATTCAAGAAGCCATGCATGCAAGCCGAATTCGCTTTTATCTCTCAAATTTGCATTCGTAATAAAATTCTCCTTTTTTTCATTATTTCTCATTCATTGAAGTGCCGTTCTCCAGCGTACTTTACAACTAGGATAAATTAATAAACCTAGTAAAGATAAATTGAAAAATTTATAATAAATAATAAATAATTTATTCTTCAAATGATAGGCCTTATCTGTATAGGCTTTGTTAGAAAAGAAAATGTTTGAGCTTAAAAAGTGTACCAATCCGATCATTTTAAAGTATTTCTGAAACCGTGCGTGACTTTCGAAAAATACAAGGCCTCACAAATTGTTTGGCTTCAACTGCTTCAAATAACTATTTTATCGCCTTTAGCCTTTCTTTTAAGGCGGAATTATAATTTGCTTCCTTTTATTTCGATCATTCCCTGAATCGAAAGCTTCGACTGACCATTAGAGCAACGGCCAAATAATGCACAAAACACTTGAATTAATTCATCAGCAGCCGTTTCTCTTCGCGATTCGGGTGGCCAACTGGCGTCCTCTAGCTTTTCTGAGCTCTCCTAACTCGACGTGCTCTTTGTTCTCTGCCGCTTCAACCTCTCCTCGCACCACCTACTGCCTATCTCGTTTACTCTCCCATAATTCAGGAAAATCTATTTAATATCGCAAAGAGGTCAGCTCCTCCCTTTTGTGCTCTTCACGTCTTTTTTAGAAGCAAAGGTTCTAGCGAAAAAAAAGAAACTTTTATACAAGGGAGATAAAAATGCTTCGTTTTCTCGAAGCAGCCGTCCGGTCTAGTCCTGTTATGGCTTTGCCTTTAAACAAAAAAGATAGTAATATCAATTTCTTTTCTTCCAAATGCAAGTAATTCAGAAGAAAAAAAACTGATGAAAAATAAATTATGGTTGCTGAGCAAAGCGCAAAATTTGCACGTGTCTCCCGCATTTAAAATGTATCAAGTACTGGCGGGGCGATGTAAACGACGATTAAAACGGCTTTTTCTTTGTTTTGCTCGCAAAGCACTTTCAGAGAAGTGGCTCACTGCCAATTTTTCGCGTTTAAAACCCGGTTTCATCTTTTATTCTGTTATATCTTAAGATATGCTAAGAAATGACTGGGGCAGGCGAGGAACTGAGGATTATAGAAAGGTCAGTTGCCTAAAGCCAAACAGATGAAAATGAAGTTAATAAGTCTTGATTTGAAACGAAAGGAGTACATAATGGGAAAACAAGATTCAAAGAAGGATTCGTTCATCTTTCATTAGAGCGGCTATTTCCCTTTGTCATATTATAGCCGATTCACGTAGGACAACTTGTGACTCTGAGGAGGTGTGGCCTGTCTGCGCTCTCCCCAACCAAGAACCGCCTCCTTTTTTTTATCGTGTCAGGACCCATTTTTCGATGGCTCAAGCCAGCCGTGAATCAGCTATATTTCGGTTTGAGTTAATTCACAAAAATTTAAACGACGGCACTGCGTGGAAAAAAAAAGAAGAGATTTTGCGAGTTCCAATGGAGGCTCTCACATCCGGTCTTTCTTTCACATATTTAAGCCCTTACTTTCAGCCAACCAACGACCGAACCAACTCGTTGCACTCAATTTCGGATGGAGAAGAGAAAAGAAAATTTATTGGGTCCTCAAATTTCGCTTTTTATGCTCTCCAACGAGCGCCTAACATCTGCTGCAATGACCTTCTTCTAAATCTACAGTGTCGATTGAAAGAGAGTAATTAAAATCTTGAGAAAAATGGAAATGAAACACATCCCCCTAATGAGAAAAAAAGATAGCCGAAAACTTTCTCAGTTAATTTAAATAAAAACTCATTAAATAAATAATTTCACCCATAATCAAACTAATCGGTCAAATGCAGTTATCATTCAGAGAACTTATTTTTAAATTATTTTTTTCATTTATGCTTAGAAGTCACTTTTTCTGTTCGTATTTTTTTATTTATTTCTTCCAGCAGAGGATAATTGATGCCAATTTATCCATGATTTCTGAGAACGACGTTCTCGCCAAGGATAACGAGAAACTCAAAAAAGCTGATTTTATTTTCTGGGCTTTTTCAAAAATTTTTGCTCGCTCTTCATAATGCAAGAAATTTAGTATATATTATATAATTTCTGTGAAAAAAAAACTATTTAATAATTATAAATGCACTAAGAATAACTGACGAGATAAACGCGAGGTCGGTGGCGGTACATTGACGAACTCGCAAACATGTCGCTTTTTTCTAGGCGCGATCTCGCATTTTCCTGGGCGCGATCTCGCATTTTTCTGGGCGCGACCTCGCATTTATCTTGCATTTCGGAAATTTTCAAAATGCGAGAGAAATGCGAGCTCGCGCCCAGAAAAATGCGAGACCGGCGCGGGAAAAAAAGCGAGATGTTTGCGAGCTCGTCAATGTACCGCCAGTGTCTCGCGTTTATCTCGGCAGTTATTCTTAGTGTGTTTTCGAATTAATTGAATTCATGCGATTTTACGCTGGAGACTATGCACTAAAAACATCCCATATTACGGACGCGAAATTCTTATTCTCAATTTTTTTGTCAATTTTTTTCTTCGTATGACAACATATATACATGTAATTACTTTTGCTTCCTACTATTTGGTGTTTGAAGATTTCGGTATTTGAATAATTTAACGAAATAAACGTATAAAACTCATTATACACGCTTTTGCAAAAAGAAAAATTGAATTTAGAACTTTTTTTAAGTTAATTTTTTTAAAAGTAAGCCAAGCGTTATATAAATTCGCGTTTTCCTATGTAATAATCAAGAAGTAATTTGGATCACAGAATTATTCGGGGTGATATTTCGCCCAGTTTTTCATATAAATCTGATGCTAGATAGATCGTGAAGATCATACAGCTCGCTTTCAGTTGATAAAATTAACGTTAAATTTTTTTTAGTTAGCGATTGTTAGAATTTTTTAATTTTTTAAAATTTTATTGTTATTCTGTTTCATTTGTCTCCAAAAACTTCGTCTGCTTTGTTTTTTTTTTCCACAAGTTTACACAACGGTAAAAATTGAATAGAAAACGAATGAAGTTGGATCATACAGTTTCTACGTTTTTCTGTCTATAAAAAAAAGAAAAAAACTAAGTAAGCCTGAAATTTGAAAAAGGGCATATAATTTTGGAGTTTTGAATTTGCGCGGCGAATGCTCTCGTCGCCGTCGATTGCATAGTTGGACAAAAAAAAAAATGAAATTGCTGAGAATGCGATTTGGCTTTGCATCGAAACTTCCCTTGTTGAAAACACATTTTTCTAGTTTTTAAAGCTAATTTGTTTGCAAAGCGAAGAGAGAGAGGCAATTTCAGGAAATGAAACAGCCGGCTTTTTCGAAATTGCTCGATGAATTAAGCGCCAATAATTTTTTTCCCGCTCTTCTATTGTTTCAAATTGAAAATCTCATTGCTTTCAAATGTGGAGAGAAAGAGAAGCTACAGATTCTGAGTTTTTGTTAAAAAAAAATCACTTCGATATTTAACAAAATTTGCCGTAGGCCAACGTGTGAGTGCTTTTCATTTTTTTTTTTATGCGGGCAGTTTTGAATCAACAGTTCATTTCACGTTATTCTGTGTAGGTCCACCGTCCTATTTCGATGTTTTTCCTAGGCTGAAGTGCGATCAAGTTCTACTACTCGAACATTGGTAACGCGAAACGGACGTGCTTCGGACGCTTCTCGCCATTTCTAGTGACCACTTTAGCAGCGTCAGCACTCCTAAGTGATCCCTAGAGTCGCCCAGAAACGTCCGGAGCACGTCCGTTTCGCGTTACCTATGTCCGAGTAGAATTATGGGATTGAAAGTTTCGATGAAATCGAAGTCTCTTCAACTTGTTTGTGCCTAATCAAATGAAGTATATGTTGAAGAGTATTAACTAAGAATAGCTCCTTTTTCTATTTGTGCATGAGATCGATAAAATTGAACGAATCCGCTGTTCATTCACGATGCTGAATCTTTAGAGCATAATGTTGTATCATTTCTATATTTGTATGATTCTTCATGCAATCGACGGGCTATTTGTTCAGTTTCTTTCGCTGTCGTATAATTTTTTATTTTCGTTTATGGCGGACCTCGTTGAGCCCACCAAGTTTTCCTTTAGGTGTCCAATTGTCCTGGCTTCATTATATTTTTACATCGATTCTCACGTCGGCATATGGCTTTCCTGCTTGGTCCCATTTCATTCCGGATGCACTCGTTTTTCAACTTTTTTTTTTCATCGACTTTAGCTGCGTTATGCGACCAAAATTTGGCCAGTTTCTAACGCAAATATTTGCTCCATCTTTCTTCGATTTTCAATTTTTTTTTTTTGAAATTCGATTCTTACTTTTGCATTGTTTTGTAACTCTTTTTGAAATGTTTTATAACTCCTTTAGAAATGAAGTTCTTATCGAAGCCTTCAAATTCAAATATGACTGAATTTATTGCCATTTCCCACTTCACAGCTTTTCAGTAAAGCGAAAGAAGTTGGCTTTTTGATTTGATAAGAGTTTTCGGTGCTAAATGTTGTTAAACGAGAAGTATACTGAATGATTTAAAAATTTAGGAGATTTTCAGAAAAGGTTCTCATTCAGAGACCCTCAATTTCTTTCTCAGGAAAATGTGTTCACAAAAATGGCAAAAGATGGCCGGCAGCTGTGTCGTTTCAGACCATCAGATGGCCGCGAAGGATAACCGGACGGATGTCGAGGGGCGGAGTCAGATCCGCCCACCTTCTGTTCCTGCTCAGGTCAGCCACTAGCTTTCTTGATTGAAGATTCGAAATTTTTTAATAAGTTATGCAGTTGAAGGAAAATCATAAATGAAAAGTTTTCAGTTAGTTTCTTTGAAGATTGACTCGTATTTCTGCTCGTTTAGAATAAATAAATAATGAAAGAATTGACTTTTTTTGGATTTATCGTATGATATGCATTCTCCGAACGTTTCAGAAAGAAATTCGGAATTTGTTATTTCAGACTTCAAATATCTTTCAAAATTTAAATTTGGTTGGATGGTCTTGGCAGGATGTATAGAAAATTTTATTATTAAATCTTCGTCCGTCTTAATTATTTTTCTTGTTTTCGAGCATTTGGAGCCCGACGTAAATCTCAAATTCATTTCAGCATACACACAAAAGTGATTTCTCCCTCATTCGAAGGATTTTTCCTTTTTTTTTTCTTTCTGGAAGTTTCTCCTTAAAGTTTCTATTCTCCTAATACTCGATAAAAGTTCTGCTCTTATGAAAAACAGTGTTTTCGATCTTTACGGCAATAAACAATAGCGGAGTAGGTGAGAATTAGGACAAAACTTTCCTTAGTTCTGGTTGTTTTTTAAATTGATGTTCCTCTGCTTCAATTAAGGGTCTTAATGTTTTTCTTTTGACGTCATTGCTTTTTATATTGAACTATGAAGAAAGTTACTTCAAATTGTTGGCATATTTCGTTTATTGGACTTGAGCTTTTGAACTATTTTCCCATCATGTATTTAATTCAAGTTAAATACTAGTTTATCTGAATGAAATCTTTTTTTGAGCGGACCTCATATTTTAGAACTGTTTCGCCGTCGCTTTGCAACTCCAGACTTGTTTAAAAATCTATTCGTATTTGTCAGTTCTACACTTTTTTCATACCAAAATCGTTCTTAATTTTGTTTCGCAGGTCTTTGTGTGTGGCGTGGTGCCTGGCGCCGGCCATTCTCTGTTTGTACGTGGTGAGGTGACCTGTGGTCTGCTTTCGTCCTCCTCCTCCTTTATTCTACACATACATCTGTGCCGTACTTTACTATATTTTCTCTAATCTCTCGTTCTCCAATGCGTACCGTTTGCTGAAACGAGTGCGACGCCAGACCCACTGTCGGAAACATCGATTTATGCGCGTAGGCTCTGACCATCACCACCTTCCATCCAGTTACCATCGAATCTGCATAGTTAAGATATGAACTCCTTGGAAACTTGCTGTACATGCTGGATAAATTCTCTGGACTCTAGCAAAAACGAAACATGTAATTGGAGGCATTTTTTCAGAAGACCTCTAATCCTTTAGGACAGATGTTTTTACCCGATTTGCACCGCGTTTTATTTTGTCCAGTAGAATATTTTTCCTTTTTTCTATAGCTCTTTGATTGATGTTTTTCTTATTTTGCACGAATACGCGATTTCAAATGCTATTTGGAATTTCAAATCCAGAAGCGGAGGCTCCGCCTCTGCGTCTGGATAGCTGCCAGAAGGCCCCACGGGCATCTGTGCCATCCAGTGCGTCTGCACTTCGCACCCTTTCTTCTCGTTTTCATGTGCTTCTACAAGAATTCAGTTCTCAAAAGGATGTTTCTGAGGCTTTGAAACAAACAACGACATGTTTTTTCTTACTTTTCGGCGTTATCTAATTCTTTTTTATCCATTTGTCTTCTCGGAGTTTGACAATACATCCTTGTTACTTTCTTTTTTCGATGCTTCATCACGTTTATTCAATTTCCCGAATTCTCTTGGTTTCGAAGATTTTTTTTTTTTGCAACGAGGTTAAGTTCATAATCATTGGAAGCTGAAGAAATCTGTGAAGTTTCGGGTCTTTGTGGACTCAAAGTCTAGTTTTTTGCATCTTTCTAGATATTTATTTTAGTTCCTTATTTTGAATCAGCTTTTGCGTTTCAGTTCTCAAATATAATCCTATGGAGATTCTCCAGATGCTCTCGAAAATGGCCTTTCAAGCATATTCAAATGGCAAAATGAAACAACCGCGTTTTGAAATTAAAAGAAAACCCTTGCTTAAAAAATATTCGCTTTTTTCAAATAAAAAAATAGAGTTTTCTAGTTCACCTTGATGAAAAGATATTATTATCAGTGCTCAAGAAAATTTAGTGAACTTTTGAAACGGAACTTTTGGATTGACATAATTTATTTTTCATTTTATTCCCGTTATGACATTCTTTTTATCAGGTTTGCAGCTATTTTTATTGCATTTAAATTTTTTTGTTTGCTGCAACTAATTGAAAGGGTCGAAAAAGGCATGATTCTCTTAAAAACGCGACTCTTGGAAAATATTTAAAGAGAACTCTGTCGTTAAAAGTTGCTTAATTTCGCCAAAAGGTTGCCTTTCTGTGTAACTACGCGTCTTGTGTGTTCTTTATTCGATTTTCTTCTCTCTCGATACACTTACTTTTTTTTTGAGAAATTTCTACTGCTCGGCTCTAATTCACTCGGACGGACGTCCTTCTCCCTATAAACTTTTGAACGAATCGCTGGGAGAATTCTATTCGGGCGATATGAATGGGATTAAAAGTTTGAATTTAGAGGGCACAACGAGCGAATGTCGAGCGCATTCAATTTTCTTCCAAGGAACCTGGGGTATTTCATACTATTTTTAAAAATATTTTTTTTTAAATTTTGGGACCTGAAAAAATTAAACGAAAACTTCGAAAAGGGCTGTCATCAGCTCTGTGCGTTCATTTTCTATTATAAGCGACTACTTTCCCAGAGATATTGAATATCCTCCGATTGGGAGATCGAGGTCGTTTCCGCTTTTTGCATGCTATTTCTTCGCTCCTGCTGGTCACCATACGCTGCGTTTTATTTAGGCAGTGACCCAAACGGATCGACCAATGTGCTTAATGGTTCTTCGATATTTGAGTATATTTGTAGACATCTGCGGTAGAGCCGTAATGCCTGTTTTCTGTAGCTCTTTCAATTTTATTTCGGACGATTGAAGCGTCGGCCAGTGAACAGATTTTTTGAATTCTTATCGTTCTGTCCTTTTTATTTTGTACTTTTAGTCGAAAAAAATCAGATTGCTCCATGGATAGGGGATGAATTTCAGACTTTTTCCCATTTTTCTTATAGTTCTGAATCAACTTCTTTCTAGATGGTATACGTTTTTCGTTCCGCCAAAAAGAACGTATACCCAATTAGATTAAATTTGACCATCTTCGCTTCAAGACCTCTGTTTTTTGCTGCCTTTTTCGGGTTTTGTTGATCAAAATTTTGTATATACGGTAGCTTTTTCTCTGCTGGGGTTTTTTCAAACGTGATCGTCTCGCGCGGAACGCATTACATTTATCCATTACAATAACACTTTTCAATTATATTATACTCGAATGAACTTTGGACGACGAATTTGTGATGTTTTTGACGTCAGAGGAGTTTAAATTTTGTGCCAAGCGCTCGTTTTCCTACCAAAACCCATAAAGCCCAATTTAGCGTGTTCTAATGTTCTCCGCACACTTTTCTTTGAATGTTTTCGTGGTGACAGGCGGTGGGACGCGCTAGATCCTCACTTATTTCCACTTTATGGCTGAAATAAGCATAATTTTTGTTTGAACTTTAGATCCCACTTTTTTAATCTTTCAGAACGCTCCACCCCTAGTTGAAATGCGTTTTTCGGTTTACCGTTGAGCGATTTGCTCATGATTATATTTGAAGTGTTTGGAAGTAAAAAAAAATCCTCCGTAAATTTCAAACTGCGCAAGAGGCCAAATGAAAGGGATTCAAAAATTTCCAATATAAACATTCGCTGTTTTCTGGAAATTTTAGTTTATGCGAAAAAAAAGAAGGCCCGCGATAGTCCTGGATTTCTAATACAAAGTATTGAGTTACAACAGAAACAAAGGTTTGCAGAGAGATGGGCAAAAATTTCACAATTATTAGCAGCCGGCGTTTTTCATTCTGCATACGATAGTGATTATTCTTATTGCTTCAAATTCAATACTTTTTTTTAACTCGGTAAAGATTTAGAAAAAAGGGAAAATTCAGCGTCAGTTTCTTGTGTTATTTCATATTTGTGGCATCTTTTTCCTTTCAAGAATATTCCTTGTTTAAGTATTGGCCATCAAAAATATTAAAAAATAGAAGACTTGGTCTGCACAGCAGACTTTCTTATCCACTTTTTTGTCTTGTGTTTTCCCTCTCCTTCGTCCCTCCCAGTTTCGGCTTCTTTTTTTTTGTTGTTAAAATCGGTTTTTGGATTTAAAAGGGAAGAATGGGTGCCGCGAGGAGAAAGGACTACGCGAGGAGAAAAAAAAAGAATAAATTGAGGAGGTTTGCGAAACAACTGACGCCTAGGGAGTTGGCCGAAATGAGAGAGATGAAAGGACCTCTTTGGACACCAAAATTCCTTTTTTTTTTTTCTTTTTTTTTTCGACGAAGCCCTTTTTCTTCTTGATAATCAAATAAGAGTTCCGTAGCTGCTTCTTCATAGAGCGTTTTTACTCTTTCTCAGTGGGATATATCACAAGACGGACTTTGTCATGGCCGAACACCGAAACAAAGTTGTACATTTATTGGTTTTCGACCGTCTGAAGATTGAAAAGTAAGAGAAGAATTTTGGAAATCAATTTTTTGAGGCTTCTTGTCTTCAATAAACATTTTGCTTTTTTTTGTTCCACTCAGCACAGCTTACATATTCTTAAGTTAATGTTCATTAGAAAAATAATACGCTTTTTTTTTGCCGAAAGCTCTAGTCTTTTAAAAAATCGTCGCCGCCCTGTTTAAAAGAAGGGTAGACATAATTTTCCATCAAAGTTATGAAGTTCATGACCCGTTTCTGAAGATGTTATTGGTATTTAAAGAGGCCTGATCTTATAGTTTTGTTTTTCCTTTTCGCAATTCCGTTTGACTGTCATATATAGTGGGTATCGGGAAATAAAGAAACTCAACGACGGGTGGTGGAAAATAAATAATCGAGCAAAAAGGTGGGACGTGCAAAATTCGTGAGCCTCGAGCGCACTTTTGTATTTGCTCGAACACTTTTTTTCCCTTTTTTTCCACCACACCGTCAAAATTTCTTTATTTTCCGTCCGTCTAAACACCTAAAACTACTACAATTGAATTCTGAATTATTTAATGTCTGATATTTCCGCTTTCATAGTCCTTAAAAGTTTCCAAACCCATGTACATGAAGTGAAAAAAGGGAGATCGCAAAGTTTTCCGGAAGAGAAACCATGTAGCGGTCATTTTGCTTGGGAAAAGCACTCGTGGGTTTCATTTTTTCTTTCCAAAAGCGTTTTGATATCTTATTTCGGTCGAAGGCAGTTCTCAAACAAAAAACGCTTTTTAAACAGTGCGGTGCAGTTAATATGAAAATAAACATCGCGTTGGCTAGGTGAACTTTCTCTTTTGAATGATAACAAGAATAGAAAAATGGAGAGAAAGTTTTGGGCACTATAATTTCATTTATATTGATTGAGGTGAATAGACGCGGATTATTTATCAAAATTCTCCCTTCTCGACATCTTTTTGTCTCTCCGCTAAACATCTTGTTAAACAAAAAAATTATTTTCTTCTATGGAAAAAAATATTTAATTGTTGTTGGCTCGAGAGAAGCGGGTGCCCTGAAAATAAATTTGAAAAATAATATTTATTATTAAAAGAGACGGCGAGAGAGAAATGAAATTTTAGGCGGCTCAGATGTACACAATCTGCGCCGTTTTTTCCACATTTTTTTCTCTATTAATTCGTAATTTGCGTGACCATTTAAAGAATATTTCAGCTGAAATCGATTTGAACAGAAGAAAATTCGTGGCGCCAAATCTGTTCAAGACTCGATTTTTTCATTAGATAACAGGTCTCACTTTTGGTTTTCTCTCCGAAAGTTGCATAGAACCGTCGAAATTGCCTTACTTCTGTTTGATTCTTGATCATTTAAGACGTTTAATATTGTTTCAAAAACTGGTTATCATTTTTATATGGCTTTGTTTGCTAAAATTAAAAAAATTGAGTAAAGTTGGCCCTTTTCGAGTATAAAGTGTTGGTAACTGTATATCTCCTAATTTTTGATTGACAGGGAATTATTATTTCCAATTGAACTATCCAAACTTGTGTGGACCTTTTTGAGCCCGTCTAATTGTTTCTCCTATTGAATAAAGATCGCTGTACGTGAAGTTTTATTAATTTCCAAAAATTATTTCGTAAGCTTTATATTTCAGACTCAACTGACATAGTCATTGTACTAGTCTTAAATCTTTTATAGATCTGGAAATGAATTTTTTTCCACGGAGATTTCACAGCACCTCATGTGTTATGGTGAAAAGAATTGGGAAATCAGTTTTTCAAAATATTTTTTATAAATTAAAGTAATTGGATGAGTGGGAATGGGCCGAGCGAGCATCAAGGACAGATGGTCGCACCTGCCGCATGCTCCCTTCCCATTTGCCTATTCCGCCATCTCATTTCAATTTTGCCCTCTATTCGAAGTTTTCTTGGTTCTTCTACTCTGACGACCGCTTTATTGCTATCTATCCATCAACATTATTATGTTCACCTCGATTCCCTCATTTCTTCTCTGTATTCCCGTATCACTCGTTATCGCATTTTCATTTTATTATTCCGCATTCACTTATTTATACGCCAAGCATACTTTACCCGTGGCTTTGTTGTAGAGTTTTCTTGGAACTTTCGATGCCAGAGATTTCGGCTGACCAAAAGGCAGAGGGTCATTGTTAAGCTTCGAAAATTCTCTCATTTTTTCAAGGTTCACTAAATGAGGGAACCTTTTCTTATGCCGTTATCTCCGACTCTTGATTTAATTTTAAAAGATCGAGGATGACCTGCACCGTGGCTTTTGCGACCTCCGCTGAGGGCAACAACTGCGCCTCTACAAAATGTTGTTTTGGCCAAAGGACAGCTTTTCCCCATTCATTTTGCCTTCTCCACACTTATTTATATGTATAATATTTTAATAGGCCTTCCTTCCAAAAACACGATTTCAGCTTTTTTTTTTCTTTATTTTCCTCGCTTCTGCGTCATCTCTAACAGACAAAGCTCCGCCTCTTTCTGGGGGGCACTCGTCTTCTTGTTCGTCTCCGAAATTTTTATTATTTCTCTTCATTCATTTTCAATTTTTCTCATTTGAGGTCGCTCGCCTTTTTTTAGTACTTCTTCAGTTTTTTTTTCTATCTTCGTTCACTCAATAATTTTTGAAATTATCTAGTCTCAACGGCACGAAATCAAATATTTTAGACTTGTTTGAAAGTCTGTTTTTTCTAGTACAGCAAGAAGTTTGTTTGTTATTTATTTTTCGATTTGAACTTTTTTTTAAAGTATGGAGCAACCTCAAGACTCTCTCATTGAACTATCCCATTCTGAAAACTCTTGTGAGCCAATAAATTTTGACCTTACAGTCTAAAGAACGTTTGAAAGTTTACTGTTTTTCAGTATTTCTACATTTTTTTCTGAATTTCATTTCTGTTATTGAAGTCCTCTTTTCATTTTTTCACTTGCAAAATGTATCTTATCTATTTTACACAGCGATTTGCGTGCTGCTCCGCGTCTTCACCGCAGCCAAAATGTTTAATTTATACACATTAATATTCGCACCACCCGTGGCCCACGTATTTTCTTTCTTTTCCGTTTCGCTTATTGCTTGTGCAAAAAGAGGTTCACTCAACTTTTCCAGAGGATGCTCCATCGCGACGAGGAGCACATAGCACATTTGACAGCTTCCGTCGCCAATCACCTTAACACAAATGGTGCGTTCTTTTATCCCTTGTTTTTTTTAACTCGAAAAGAAGTTGCGAAATTTTTCCTGCAATTACTCAAAGCACAGAAGTTTCTCCATGTTCAAAAACCAAAGCATTAAGCTTCTTTCAGGAGACTGTTTTATTGAAATAGCTTTGAATTGTAACTTTTATGTGAGAACAGAGTTGTGCCAATTTTTTGTGGCAAAAAAAAGTTTTCAAATTGGCTTTGCATTTTTGAGCTTTTGCCAGCTGTTCTCGCTCCTTTTTTCTTCCCTCTCCGACTTTTCCATATTTCTTGGCGTAAAAAGAGTTGGCAGCAAGTTCAGGGCTGTTTTCGACGCTGAGCGATGAGCGGAATTCCACAGACCGCAGTTCAGCGACTCCCTCGCACAACGACGACAATGAAACCCAGGTTATTATTATGTTTTAAAACATATTTTGCGCCCTGTTTCGAACTTTGAGTGGTTTATTGTAACCGACCAACATAAGAAGGTCTTTTTGCACCTCGAAAGTTGCTGAAATTGAAGTGAATAATAAGTGAGAGAAGTGCTGAATGCGGCGGCAGTTGGAAATCTTTGTGGGCTGCCTCGCACGTTGAATTTCATCCAAAAGAAGCCAAAAGACGCATAAAATGCAAAGCAAGCAAGCCTCATGCTGCATCTCAACATTTTGATGGAAAGTTAGAGAACGAGAGAGAGTGAGAGAGAGACGCGGCTGAAATGGCGAAATTAAGCGAGTTTCATATGTAATGTAAAATGCAATTTTATGCGTTTGCGCGAGTGTCTCTCACGCGGTCTCTCTGCGCTGCGGGACGCGTTTTATTACACATTTAATACACTAGAATGTGAAGGACACACGACCCTCTCTCTCCAATGAAAAGAGAGATGAGGAATTAAACAAATGGGTCGACATTTTCCTGAATATTTTTATTTTCCGGCTGGAATACTTTTCTGGCTTCTGCAAGCCTCGAAGTTCTTTCACTCCATTTCTTATCAAAATAATCAGCTTCTGCGGTCATTTAAAAGAAAGTTTACTAGGGAAGCACTGATGGAAGTACTATGGTTGAACGAAAAACGCGAAGAAATCAACTTTTGAGTTTTTCGAGTTCACAACCACTTAAAATTCATGTTTTCAACTGTTTTCATTCCCCGCAGCTCTCATTCAAAATTATGACCAAGTGGGGGAAAATAATAGAAATTTGGTTAGGAGACATCGTTTTTAATTTTGAGTTGATTCAGGACATGTTGGACGAAGACGTGAAAGACGAAGTGATCAAAAACGGCGTGCAGATGCTAGAAGAGACGACGACAGAGAAGAAAAGCGTGGAGGAACGTCTGAAACAGCTCGACTCAAACTTTGTCTACATACAGCACCAGGTTCGGCCAGCCTCTTTTGGAGAAAGAGTCTTCCAAATGCAGTGGGGATATATGATACCAAGAAAAACAGCACACTTTTATTTGGGCACTATTCTGAAGATAACGAGGGAAGACGTTTAGTTTGATCAGTGGACCTTTTTCTCTGCGCCTCTCTCCTTACTCGCTCTCTAAAGGACACGAACTCGTGCATCTTTGGACGATTAGACATCGGCCCGCGCCTCGTGCTTCAGTTCCTTCGACTCGAATCAATTCCAAATGCAAGCGTTTTGAAATGATCACATCAAGCAGCTCTAACTTTTCTTCTCTAGTGAATTGGCGAAGCTTTTTTTTTATTGAAAAACCGCTCTGGTTCTTAAAAAAAACTTTAAAAAAGTGAGTACTTAGTTCCAAATTAAAAAAAAGAAAAGTTTTTTTTTTGACCAGCTCTTGAAATATCCTACGAGATTATTCGAAAAGAAACCCTTTCGACCGTCCAAGTAGTTGTTCTTCAGTTCTATTCGGCGTTGGCGAACAGCTAAATTTGAAAAATATTCGCCTCTTCGGCTGATTCATTTTATTAACGCCAAAATGTCGAGTTTCGCTTCAAACAAATGTAGACAAATAAAAAGAGGAAAGAAAAAAACCGGTCCTTTACATATTTTTCTTATTCTTTTTTTCGTCTTTTACACTCGCCCACATAGATGAGACGGGGAAACAGCAGCGTTGGAGGGGTTTCGCGTAAATTTTCCTTTTTTGTCTGTTTGGGAAAATGGATGAAAGATTCAAAAAAAATGGCAAAAGAGGCTGTTTTTAGCGAAATGCGTCAAGGTCGTTTTGTAATTATTGGGGCGCCGGACGACGTGAATCTTCTGAATGAAATTTGTACCGTATCCTGAGTGCGAAAATCGTAATAAAATGTTTTCAAACGCAAAAAGCTCGAAATGTTTCTGTTAGTTCCAGTGTGTAGTCTGATGATTTACCTCAGCAGCTATATTTTAAGAAATAATAATAATTGTATAGACTCGACCGAGCCCAGAAAGAAAACCTCCGAGATGTTGAATTGATTTTTGTTTTTGGTTCTCATGTCATTCCGAAAACTTTGAAACTACATTCAAATAGAAACAACAGAAGACAACACATTCTAGTGTTCTATTTTTGCACGTTGAGGTACAAAATCACGACGAAGAACTGTTGAAAAAGAATTATTTCAGGAAAACAACCAAAGTTCTACAGTTTGATGATCTTGCAAATGTAGTGTGTGTTTCAATTTTGGAATATTTTTATTCAACAACATTTTACGGCCGCTTCGTCATGTGATATAATCTTTTCACGAACTGCTATCTCTCTTTTTTCGCTGTAACTAAAATTCCAATTATTTGCTCACATTTTGGCGGTCCAGAGATCAAAGTTACATTTAATTCCATAGGTAATTTGATCTGAATAAGTAAACGCTAATGACTGGCGGCAAGCGACTTTTTCGACTCAAAAAAGGTTGAAACTGAAGGAAAGTAAAAGCGAGTCGAAAGGAAGCTCCAAGACTTTGCACCTAACACTGATAAATCGCGAGCAATTCTTGGTATATATCACCAAATTTGAGAGCTCTGTGCAGTTTTGATATATTTTTTGCTCTTTTTGCTTCAATCCTTTCAAATTTCCATGAACTTTCGGCTCGAAAAAGAGTTCAGAAAACTGAGAAGAATATGTTTTATTATCTCAAAAAAGTTTTTATCACAATTTTCACTCAGTTCTTCGTCGGCTTGTGACGCCCGTGTTAATACAAAATGTCTTTTATCAGACAAACAATTTGTGCAAAAATCGTTAAAGCGGCATGAGACGCATGCATAAATGATAGCAATACAAAGATTTTTGTGTGCTTTATTATCAGTGAAATTGCTCTGATTTTTGAATCTGAAAGTTTTTAATATCGATAACAAGAAACGCAAATGAGACAAAGCATAATCCTTGAAAAGAAATTAAAAGGATTTTTTCCAGCTTGCTCGAGTGATGAGACAAATGCACGTGTCGCCTTGTAACTGTGCGACCTGCGCCAGTGTCCATCAGAAAGTGGCTGGAGTCCGACAAATTGTGAGTTTTCTTTTCTCCGAGGTGTGAGTCTGTGGCTAGATAAGTCTTGTTTCGCGTTATTTCTGTCAATTGGACGAGTAAAACCGGAAGAATTTTGTAGAAAAAACTTTTTGGAACGTTTGAAAAATGTAAGCCGTTTTAGCCAAGATGATGTGACCGCAATGTTAAGTTATGTAATTTCAAATAATAAAATTGAAAAAAGTTTTACTAAAGCCAGAAGGGGAATTTTCTTTTTTTTTTTCGTTGAGCCTCTTCAGCATAAATTCACTACAACTTTCTCAGCCGCAAATTGAAAGAAGTTTGGGCTTGCTATCTTTTTTTTCGTTGTTGCATTGTTAAGACTATCGTTCTTATTGGAAGTCAAACGTGGCAAAACCAGTATATCATGCAGATCAATATTTCTCAAGAGCAGTAGACATAATTCCGAAATTTTACTTATCATACAGTGCAAATTACAAAACAATATTCGCGGTATGAATATTCGGTTCAAGAACGATCCTGGACACATGCTGGCCAGCCTGTTCCCCAACGCGTCCCATCAGCAGCTGCAGACGCTCGTCGAGCTCTCCAAAATGAACAAACTTCCATCCCAAGTCGTGACGTCAGCACCTTCTTCCACTCCGACGACACCTTCTATAGTCGCGCCGCCATATCCTTCTCAGCGAATCGGAAGCGGTTAGATATTTTTCCTTCCAAGGTTTTCAAGATTGAACAATTAAAAAAAAGTTTCTTCCTCTGTTATTATATTGTCTAGTCATGTCCATCTGAGTTTCAATCATTCCGGTCCTCCCGCAATTAAACTAGGGTTTTCAGGTTACGGATCGAATCCCGGAGGTGGAAAGATAGTGACTTCTGTGGACCGGAAAGCTGTAGCCGAGTACGCCAAGATGCACGGAGGAGCCGCCGCGGCCAAAAAGTTCGGTGTTCCGCCTCCCGTCGCTACGTACTATCAGAGGAAGGACAGCAGCAACTGTCAGTTTTCCTGAGAGTTCCTTGACAAGTAGCACATGAGTTCAATCCAAGTTCATTTCCAAAAATTAATTTTTTTGGAAATGATTCAATCCAAGTTCATTTCCAAAAATTAATTTTTTTGGAAATGAATTTGGATTTTTTCTCCGAATAGAATCAAAGAAGTTTTAATGAACAATTGTAGTTTCAAGCTATGTGCCTTTGAACGGAAACTCTGAATTTTTTTCATCATTATCCGAAGTATCTATAGTTTATATTGAAATTTGAACCCATATATGATCAAGTAGTATAAAAATGAAATAGAACTGAAACTAGATTTGTTTGATTTCTTGTCCATGGTGACCCAAAAAAAAAAAAGAATCTAAAGTGCAAAATGAGCAATTATCGATGTTAATAACACGAAAATCGCGATTCAGCTCTGATCCCAACGACTCCCGTGAGCGCAGTGATGCCGCAGCTACCGTTGTCGGCGCCGCACGGAGGCTCTGCGACGGCTTCTCCGGGCCCTTCTTCGGAAGGAGATCGCGAGGAGAACGGAAACGCGACGCCAGCCGTCTCTTCGGCCTTCCCGGCCTTCGGATCGCAGTCCAGCGTCACAGAGTGCAGTACTCCGTCCAGTGGAGGTCCGCCTAATCTCGGTCAGCCCATGTTCGCGCAGTGTCAGTTTCCACAACCATTATCCTTTTTCTTTTCAAAGATGTCAATCGCTTTTGGTTTTCTTTTTTTTTTTTTTAAATCTCGCCATATTAAAATCTTCTACGCGGAATTTTTTTTTTTCTGAGCGTCTTCAGGTCGTTAGAAAAAGTTGCGAAACAAAATTAAATAATAAGCACTTTTTTAAAACGTCTACGAGCTCGCATGATGAAAGATTTTAGCTATGGTGGACATGCTGAAAATGAACGCAGCGCACGCCACTGGCTCTCCAGGATTTTTGCGCGGCCGAGGACGGGGAAGACCGAAACTCATTGGTTTGTTCTTTTCTTGCTTTTTTTTTGAAAAAAAACCCCACAAATGTATCCGTCTTTAGCTTCTTTTTATCAAATAAACTGTCGCTTTGTATTACAATGAGTTTTCTTTCTAAAACTCCCTTGAAAATTGTGAAATAACTAAGTTTGAGATTTACGTTTGTGTTTGAACAGCCTGTCAACTTTCAAAGCGAAAAAGATTTCTGTCAAAAAAAAAAACGCAGAATCGTTATCGACATTGTTGATCTTCTAGTTTGAACTATTTTGCAGGCGACGAGCTGGACGCGGACTTGGTCGACTACATGGTCACAGTGAAGCAGAGCGACCCCCACGGACATCTCACCGCGTCTCAGGCTCTCCAAATCGCCAAACAGTACATCCTCGATCGCGTATGTCGTCTCTTCTCCCAAAATTTATCCAGATTCTTCATCAAGTACTTTTATGGTTTCAGGCTCCTGGTCTACTGGAAGAACATGGCGGCCACGTGAAGCTGAAGCTGACGTGGGCGATGAAACTCGTGTCCCGAATCACTGAACGACAAAAGGTTTTTACCTTCTTATTCTTTTTCAGTTTTTGTAACATTTTATAGAAAATTTATAGGAAAAATAATATATTAAACGTTATAAATCGGACTTCCATTCACAGAAAAATCAAAGCGCGAGCTTATCATGTTCGTCGCGTACAATTAAATTTTTAAAAAAATGATATCTTGAAAAATACATAGGAAGTGAGTCATCGAGGTTTTTTTTTTCAAAGTTGACCCGAAGAAAATTTCCATGAAGAGTCAAGCTTTTTTTACAGAAAAAAAAATGGTAAAAAAAGCTTTTTTTCAAAAAAAAAAACGCGAAAAACGTTCAGGAGATCGAGCTGGGTTTGCCGGCGGGAACTCTGTCGAACATCGGCCGTCAGCAGCTGAACAACCTGCCCGGAGGCAACTTCATGGCGGACATGATGGCTCAGAACATTCTGTCGCAGCACATGTTCATGAACCTCAACGGAATCGGCGGCGCTCAGAAAGGCTCCGGCAGCGACGATTCCACTAACGGTCATAACGAGGAAAACATGCATGGTAAGTAAAGTTCGAAAAAGTTCTAACTTCAATTTGAAAATTTTGATCAATGAACAAATGAGAGCAAACAAGAGCTAGTCGTTGTCTGTCGTATTTTGAATTTGAATTTAGAGTTGATAATCCAAATTCCAACACTCCTCAAAAACAACATCGCCGTTTTTTCGAACATTTTATTATTTTGTGAGAACTCCTTATGATTTTTCTCGTTCCAGAAAACCGTCATGCCAAGTGTCAAAGGAGTTTAATGGATCATTATAATCTTTCCATTCTATCTGTGAGATTTGTGTTCGTTAGATTTGAATTAGTTGATGAATAAAAACAAATTTGAAAATTGGTAATGATTCCAGTGGCGACTCCAGAAATCCTGAATGTGAAAGAGCTGCATTTCCCTCTTCTGGCCAACATGTTCGAGAACGGAGAGAAGAGCGGTCTGGTAGAGGGCGAGATTCCATCGACGAACGACGACGACGACGAGGAGGAAGATGGAATGGAAATCGGCGTTGGCACCATCTGAATTTCTTCGGAAATATAGTCTGTTCAGATTTTGAATGTCAAGTCCTCGCTCAAGCTCCGCCCCTAATAGCGCGATAAACCAATCAGAGAGCGAGCCATCCACAGAGCGTTTTCGAATGACGTCATTCTACTTGACATCCAAATTCTGAACAGACTATAGATCTTCCCACTGCTTGTTAATATTTTTTCAATTGGTCTCATCTGAAACCGTTAATATTTAAACCTTCTTTATTTCTTAATAAGAAATACATTTCAAAGAAATTTGCTTATACTCATCGCGGTACTTTATATCAATCTCATCATCAACCTGCTATTTATGATTTATTTCTGTGTATAAATAACCTCTCCGCTCTTGTTCAATTTTTTCTTATTTATTGAATTATTTCTTTCCATGGTTCCTTCTTTCTTGCTCGATATCGAAGAAACAACATTTTCACTCAAGTCAACATTTCAATTTTTGCGTTTCTCTATGAGATGCTTCCTAGCGCAGAAATAATAATTTTTAAAATTAGAGATAATAACGAAATCTCTCTCCAGCCAGTTCTGTTTTCGAATGCATTTCATTTCCGGGCGTCTAATTATGGCCCCAGCCATGGGTTTCCTCTTTGTTTTATCCATTTTTCGTGCCAGTCTTCTAATCATTAAAGTTTCATCTTGATTTTTAGCTCCCAATTTTTTTTTACTCAGTGGTTGATAGGAAAATTGCTCCGTTTACGATGGTACTATTGAATGTGGATTAGATTCGGATATGTGTTATATCCTCCTTAATGGTGCCCCTTTTCTTTTTATTTTTTTCATTGCTTCGATATGCTGTTATTTTTGTTTATTACTAATAAGCACGCTCTCATTGTCTTTTTTTCGATTGTTTCATTGCCCTTGTCCTGAATTTGTTTCATGTTTTAAAAATTAATAAGTGAATGAACAATTTCTCTTTTTTTAAAATCTCGTAATAAAATTGAACGCTCCTGCAGCCTTTCACTTCTCTTCTTCCAGAGTAGAGATTGTCTGAAACTCACAAGGCTATGAATCTGGAATCAACATGTAAAATTTTGTTATCGTTGTCCTAATTCGAAAATTGAATTGCAATAAATTATTCAACTTTATTTTGACGAGTATTGCATTGAGCACAGCTTACAATTCATGTTAGTGTTTATTGTTTTTACATTTAGTTGCTTTAGGCTGCCCGAGGGGCATTCCAACAAAAGATTTGCATTTTATTGCGTTTCGAAGTAACTTCTGTGAATCGCAAGAGACCAAACAATTTGTTTAGTTTGAATTTGAAGGCATTTTGTAACATTGCAAGGCGGCGTATAGACCGAAAATATGCTTGAATTCTGAAACAAAGTAGAGGCTACTGAGCGATACTGGAAGGTGAGAAGATTCGTTAGGACTAAAGAAAAAGTGAATTGGTGGAGTCAAGTGGAAATTAGAAGAAGAACGCCATATGGCGTGTGTTATCGTCCCTACGAATGTATAATTCGAGTAATTCGGCGCCGTTTTTATGTCCAATAGTCTTCGCACTCTGGGGACTTCTTACTTCTTTTACTTTCAAGGGAAATGAATAAAACTTTTTGTCTTTGAAAAGGTAAAAATACGTATCGTAAATTCAAAGCACACATCAATAACTACGAAGCGCTGATTCAAGCGACTCAAATTATGCCGTGTTCAAAGTATATATATGTTCGCAAAATGCAAAATTAGCTCTGTCTCTCCAATTTCAGTCATCTTTTTCTTTCTCTGATGGCGATTTTGGATTTCGCGGAATCACTTTGAACATGACTTCACATGAAAGAAAAAAAGAAACAAGAATAATTAACAAGAAAGGAGGGTGACCGGCTTTGAGCCCAAAGAGGTTGAGAATTCTTACATTTAGTTTATATAGCTGTCTTCGAGTTACTTCCATCCATACCTATTTGTTTGTTTTTTGATTTTATTCTCCTTCTTTTGAAATAAGTAGCGCGTATGAAATAAAAACCAGCGAATTTTCGAACGGCGGCTTTTCCAATTCTTCATATCGCATTTTCATATCGACTTTCCGACTGCGACGTTTTTTTAGAGCGTTTTTTTTGATGGCTCGCAATAGGAAATGACCGCAAAAATAAATCATAATAATCTTACTAGATACGATTTTTTCAATATTTATGTACATTCAGTTGTGTTTTCGATCAAGGCGATCTTTTGCTCATGTGAGACATTTATTTGTTGTTGTAACTGCGTATGAGCAGGGCAAGATAGGCAATAAGTCGCACCGAAAATATCATCAGCGCTAAAATTCCCACGTCCGGCCACTTGTTATTCGCCGAGAAGTCGATCTGAGATCAGAAAATCGAAGTGGAAAAATATAAATGAGGAGCTTACCGAGTGTAATACTTCGTGACCAGTTCGGGGACAAGAACTAAGACCGAACGCCGCTGTTTGGTTCAGACATTCTGGAAATATCCATAATCAGGATACTTAAAAACTTTTCTTCCCACCAGCAATTACTGAAATCGACTCCCATTCATTAACCGCCAGCGCCTCGTAACCATACCTTCATTTGAAGTTCTATTTTATTGAAAGTTAAAAAAACGTTTGTAGGACTAACTTGAAGTAGGAAAGCGAGGATAGCCAGGTGAAGTAAGGAGGGATGGAGTCGAAAGAGATGAAGAAGCCGCCGAACGCCATGATGGGGATGACGAAGATGGGAAGCACGGTCATGGCAACTGCAGTGTCGCCGAAAACGGTCGCCACGGCGTAGGCTGCAACTCAATGCTCGGTCGGCAGAAGAAGTCAGACCCACAGATCGAGATGGCGACGTTCGTGATGAGGACAGAAACGAGCGAAGCGAAGACGAAGTTGTAGACGTTGGGATAGAGTCCTGGAGAGGAGGAATCTTTATCTCTGCGCTTTTCACACTCACCTGCCATGAAGTAAACTATGGAATTGTAAACGATCGGCAAAACAATGTACTGAGGCAGCTTGAAATAACATTGTTGGTCTAAGTATGGTTTCAGTTGAAAACTTCGGCCAAATTCTTCGCGAGAAAGTAGGCGCTGGTCCGATAGACGCCGTTGGCATTTTCCCGCAAGACGATCGGTAGCTCGGCGGTGATGACCTGCAGAAGTTTCTTGCCTTGCAGCCGCTGGAAACTTGCAGCCAAACCGGAACGTTGGGGAATTGAAGCATGAAGTTGATATTTCGAATGTGATTGAACATTATGCCATTTATAGATATTATGGTTGCTGGCGTGATTGGTGTCTGAAAGTAGACGAGCCCCGTAATCAAAGACGTGATCTGCAGAAGTTTTGTAAGACTTGTATTCGGTCAAAAAGTCTGAAGTTCCTAAGAAAAACACTGGAAACATACGATGATTTGAAACAGCCGTACTCTGAGCAGGATAGGATCCCGCACGACCGCCAGCCACGATCTCCACGAAAGAGCCGCGAATTGATCCCAAAAAGAAGCGACGTAGCTGTAGAAACTGGTCTCAATAACATGAGGTAAGTACGAAAAAAAACTCTTGACTGAAGAATGTTTTTGACTTGATCGAGTCCCTGCGATCCGTTTTTGTGGATTCAATCTGAAGTTAGCCTATTAAATCTGGAAAAGAAGAAGAAAATCTTGCCTTGTTAGCTTTGACGGCCTCAAGAATTGCTTTACCGTTTTCAGATTTTAAAAAGCCGTCTCGAATTTTCTGAGAAAACGTGTGAAAAAGGAGAACGAGAATAAATTTCCTACTGCGATGGTCTTGAGCGAAGTCGTTCTGTCCTTGTCGATCACAGCCAGAGTGCGGATCAAATGGTCTGCCGGATTGAAGTATGGAGGACAGGGGAAACCACACCTCAAATCATTTTCAATAGTTTTTTCCATATAATACTGCTAACCTGGCGAAAAGCGGCGCTGCATCGCCTCCGGGACCTAGGTATATGATCCTTCCGCAAGCCATGAAGCACACGCTGGAATACAATAAGCTTCTTTGTCTCTTCGAGGCTCACTTGTTGAAAAGTTGGTAGACTTGGCTACTCGGCTGGTGGATCGTTATAACAACTGTCATTCCGCCGTCAGCAAGTCTTCGAAGGGCTTGAACTACGTGACCTGTCGCCAAATGAAATTGAGAACTTTTAGAGACAAACCAGCCATGAAAGCGTCCAGGCCGGAAGTCGGCTCGTCGCAAAACAAAATCCGTGGACACGTTAGGATCTGTGAAAAATGGTTCGAATGCAAAAAAGGGAGATGAAATAAGATAAAAACAGCAAAAAGGAGCAGTATGAACACCTTCAATTCGATTTACTGCTGGTATCATATTTTTTGCAAAAAGAAAAACCTCGGAGGCGAACGCAAGTCGCTTCTTCTCACCACAGGAAAGCCCTTTGACGGAGTTGGGCACGCCGATCAGCGTAGAGGCGCAGTTTCTGAGACCCATCTGAGTGATGGTATCTTCCACACGAAGCTCTCTTTCGTGTCGCGTGAACCGTCCGCCCATCCGCAGCCGAGCCTGGAAGTCTCCCGAGTTTCGAAAGAATCCGCCAATCCTCACCATGAACCGAAGATGTTCTCTAGGCGTCATAGTCCCAACAAACATGTCGTCTTGCTGAACGAACGCGGATATCTGCAGCGAGTTGATTTATTGAAGTTTTTTTTAAATAAAACTATTCGAACTTAAAGTATCATGGGAAGAAGTTTTGAGAATAAAAAAGAAGCATAAAGAAAATATGTTCGGCAAGTTTTTCGCAGTGAGACCAGGGATAACTAATCTTCGTCAAATGAGAACGTTGGCTCTGCTAGGAATTATCAAATACAAAGATTTTCACATATAGGAAGATGAAAAAACAATTTTTGCATTCCAAAAACGCCGAAATAAGTAATCTCTTTTTTACCATTGATTTATTTTGAAAAAAAAATGAAGAGAATTATTACCTCTCTAACTTGCCATTTACTGGCCCGGTGGCCATCGACCATGATACTACCTTGAATTTCCAGGTTTGCCAAGTTTCGAGAGGTCAGAACATTCAAAAGCGTCGTTTTTCCTGCTCCACTTCAAAAATTAAGATCAAAAAATGATCTTAAAATAATCTTACCTGCTCCCCATGATAGCAAGTAGTTTTCCGGCTTCTGCCATTCCACTCACTGAAAATGTGAGTCTAACTGTTATACTTTTAAAGTTCTTGAAATCCTTTTTTTCAAGTTTGTCTCGGCTTTGTTAAACTGTTTGAACGACTTTTAAACTTATATATATATATATAAAAAAATGTATATATATAATAATCTCAGAAAATTTTCAGGCTTCCCGATTCCTCAACCAATTTTCCTACTACTGTTTCTCCACTTTTTTTTTCTATATGGGCTCATACCATTGTGAAGTATCTCTTTGAGTTTCTTGGGCTTCCGAGAAAGGTATTTGTCAAAAAAGCTGCTCGAGCGACTCTCAGGACCATTGACATTGATGGAGGACCAGTAAAGATTGCACCTGACGTACACAAAAGTGTTAAGCATAGAAAAGGCGAAAAGCGCAAAAAAAGAACAAAGATAAACCAACCCATTCGGAACGATTTCTCGCGGCTCAACGCTCCCTTTGTGAGAGTTGCTTTGCAGCAAACCGACGTAGTCAGCCATTCCTGTAAGAAGAGCCGACGAAGTGACCCGAAAGGTTTATCAGAGGGCTACCTGCTAGTTCCTTATCTCTGACCTCCTGCGTTTCCCTGCTCTCCATAATGTTTCCCGTGTCTCGTACGAGTCGAGCGCATAGTATTTAATAACCTGTTTTGACTTTTTCAAGCTGAAGTGAAAGTTCGATAAACAGAGAAAAGTTACAAACAGCAGGTACTCTGACGCTAAAATTTAAATTACCAAACTGTCACTTGAAAATATTTTTTCATAGTTATCGCCAAAAGTGCTCGGGACCTCTTTAAAAAGTTGGAGCACTAGGATGTACTATAAAAATATAAAAAAACTATTTTAGAGCTTTATTTCGATAGAAAAGAAAAAAAGAAACAGGACCCCCCGTGCGTGCGCGCTCGTGCCTGAGTTTCCGATGATTTTATTTATTTATTTATTTATCTCACTCAAACACAAAAATACAGATACAGAATAGAAAGTATTTGAGTGAAGTGAAACCCGATATACAAACGCCCCAACGAGCGATTTACCGGGATGGGATACACTTATTGAAAATTGAGAACAGAAGTTTCGGATTTTATTTTTTTTTTAGAGCAGTCTGTTGGGCACACTTGCGAGTAGTTCATTGTTGTCTAGAGAGTCGAGAAAATTCCTGAAGCGGGAGGCTGAAGTGTTCATGTCGAATCTTGAGCACAGTCTGTTCCAAATAGGAATGACTGTGCTGAAGAAACTGTTAAAACGAGGACCTGTCTGTATGAGTCTCATTGGAAAACGAAGTGAATCAGTTCTTCTGAAGAAATTTTCTGCACTTGGAAAGTGGTAGGAGCCCGGGACTAATTTTTGGAGAGTTAGTAGAGAAATGATTATTCTCCTTCGGAAAGCATGGACAGAGCCGAGTACACTTAGACGGTCAGAATATGAATTAAAACGAACATTTCTTCTAATAAACACCTCTCTGGTGAAGAAACGGAGAGGTTTTTCAAGTAGGGAGGAGAGGGCACTGGTTAGGGGTGGGTTAAAGACTTCACAGGCGTATTCGAGGTAAGGACGAACATAAAGATTGAAGAGAAGCTTATATTGCGGTAAGCCGACATGTGAAAAAGCCTTAAGAAGTTGACGAGATTTCAACATAGCAATGTTGACAACATGATTAATATGAGAATCGAAGGTGAGTCCTTTATCAATCAAAAGACCAAGGTCTCTAACCACATTTTCCGATCTTATAGGATTTCCATTTACCAGATAAATGTTCTCAGGATTGTTTCTACCTAGGTGAAGGACGGTTGTTTTGTTGCCAGCCAAAGGCAGACCCCATGTTTTGGACCATTCCAATAACTTGTTGATATTTTCTTGAAGTTCGATAGAGTTATTCGAAGAGATTTTGAGATCATCCGCAAAAAGGTAGGAAGTCACAGAGCTGTCAAAAATACTAGGAAGATCATTGATGAAAATTAAGAAAAGAAGGGGCCCCGTGACAGTTCCTTGAAGTACTGCAGAAACGACGTTAAATTTTCTTTCGGAAATAACTCCATCTATGAGGACACTGGAAGTGCGGTCAGATATGAAATTTTTGAACCATTTTATCATTGTTTCACTCAGACCGAATGCTTTGAGTTTAGCCAATAAGAGGTTGTGCGGAACAAAATCGAAGGCTTTCATGAAATCAAAGTAAATAACGTCAATAAAGTTGCCTCTGCTGATAGAAGATTTCCAATTTGTAATGCTGTCTAGAAGGGCCAACATGCAAGATCTATTATTTAGAAAACCAAATTGTCGTGGGGAAAAGGATAATCTGAAATGTTTTTCAATGTGTGAAGCAATCATACGCTCCATAAGCCTCGCAAGTGGATGTGAGGCTTATGGGCCTGTAATTTTGAGGATTTGATTTTTTTCCTTTTTTGTGTATAGGAACGATGTATGATTGCTTCCACGCTTGTGGGATATAACCAGAGAAGAATGAATCAGAAAATATGATCGACAAGGGAACACATAAGGAATCGGCAAATTTTTTGAGAAGAAAGAAGTTGATATGATCTGAAGAAAACCCTATCTTCGGAGACAATTTGGAAATAAACTTATGAACATTCATAGGTGTAAAATCGGGATGAACGGCAGAGCTTCTAATGCATGGAAAAATGGAAGGAATGTCATAGTTCTCAAAGTTGCGGTTGGAAGAGAAGACATTGAGAAAAGCGGTGGATTTTTCGGCTGTGGAGCTATAGATTACGTCATTAACCAGTAGAGGAGGCAGAGAGGGAACTTGTTTCATTTCGGGAAACATATCTTACAATTTTGTTCGAATTATTAGATTTAATTACATTGAGTTCTTGGCGTTTGAGGAGGCGTGAGACTTTCTTTCTTAATAAAGAAAGTGAACTGTTAGCATTTGAGAGGTGACGCTCTCGCCTTCTCAAATTAGCTCTTTTTCGAATAAGTCGTCTAATACTCCAACGATTTGAATTAGAATGATAAGGGATTTTAAGAGGGTAAAATTGTACAATGAGTTCGTTGACAACTTTTGTTAAATGTTGGTACTTGTTTTCTACAGAAGAAAAATATGACAACTGTCGATCCCAGTTCCGAGTGAGGAGAAAATTGTTGATGGCTACGTAGTTACCTTTCCGATAATCAATTTTTGGGGAATGAGGAGGAGACGGATGCATGGAAGCCATTTTCAAGTTAAAAGAAACTCCTGTATGATCTGTAACAATTGGTGGATGAACTCGAGATATGGACGGTATAAAGTTTTTTGGCTTCGAAGCTTTTTGTTGAAAACTTGTAGTTTGCAGATAAATCTCTATTGATCTTGAGCTGGTATATAAAAGAGAATTTTCAGCCGAGGTTCATGAAATTTCTAACCACAAAGTGAACTTCTTTTTTTTTACTTGTGGAAGCTATTCAAATAAATGAGAAAAAAATAAATAAAATCTTAAGAAAAACTAGGCAAAAGTATAGTGAGATAAATTGAAACATCGGGAAAACGATCACATAGAATTTTTCGATTATTTTGCTCGAAAAAATCCAGAAAGTCTACTTTTTCAAACTTATGTTTAACCTTCTGAAGCGGAGTCTGGCAAATGCGCAAAGGTGTTCAAATTTCAGACAATAAGCCTATTTAAATCAAAGTGCAGCACAGTTTCATGTGTCCACAGCAATAAATCGTAAATATATGGTTTCTGTTTCTTCTGAAACCTTCGAAATTTTTTTTCTGAAAACGATATTTCTCTCATCACGTCTTTTTAGGTTGATAAAAATCTTTTCAGAAGCACGTAGCATAGAACTTAACGAAAACTCAACGTGTGATAAGTATCATTCGATGGCTTAATTTATATCTAAAAAGCATGGTGAGTTGTTCTACTTTTTGTTTAATTTTTCACCGGTACTTTAATTTTATTTCGAAGATCCGACGCGTCGTTGACACGGAAAAGGAAGAATCGAAAGGGCTTACAAAGGTGGAAAAAGCGCGGTCCAAAGAACTTGCATTCTACCTGCGATACGGCGTTGACCGAAGACATGGTTTGTGTTCGGAAGCACTCGCAAAACTGTTTCCGATCAGAGCGGCTAAACACGGACTCATCTGAAAGTTCGGAAGGCAGCTCGAAAAGAGCTGAGACGTTTGACAACGAGAACGAAGACGCCTACAGCCCCACATCGGCCAGCCCGGCTCCTCAACCTGAGAAGGTACGAAGAAAGGTTGAGGGCCAAGATTTGCGCAGATCGAGCACGCCGAGCTGGACCAGGAGCTGGGCTCCCGCAATCTGACGCGGCCAGGCTCTTGGAGACGTCTGGGACTGCTGTTCTCCTGCATCACCATGCTCAAAAACAGCATAGTTTTTGTCGAATGCTTCGCGGAAAGTGGAGGATGTGAGTTCGGCTCCAAAATGATCACAGTCTGTTTGTTTTGATCGAAAACCGAAGGGTTAATTCATTTTCGAATTCAATAAGTTTTCTTTTTCAATGATTCAGTAAGTCTGACAAAAGAAAACTGGATTCAAACGTCATTTTTTCATCGTAAAAAGAGGCTAACTATATATTTTTCTGAAACATCCGCACGTGTTGCTTGACTTAAGTCTATCATAGGCATTTTGATGAAAAAAAAATTGTCCGTATGGTAAAAATCGGGTGAAAGGACCAATTTCAATTAGTTGGTTGTTAGTTGCGTTCCTGATCCCGTACTCGGTGGTGGCGATGGTTGTGGGAGTTCCGATGGCTCTTCTGGAGCTCTCCGTCGCTCAGTACGCCTCCGCACCGTTGTACACCATTTTCGAGCGGATAGCTCCAGCCTTGAGCGGTTCGGAAGCTGTCCAGAAAACGTGATCCAGACGTTTTGAAGGCGTCGGCTACAGCCTGCTCGCCATGCGCGTCTTCTATACGCTGTTCATTTCGATGGAGCCGCGTTTCCTTGTGTTCATGGCTCAGTCGATGTTCTCGGTGCTTACCAACGACACGAGCTGGGTTCAATGTTCCGATTACCCTTCTTTTCGTTAGTCCAATTTCGAGTTGTGTTAAAACTTGAATTCAAAAATCTTCGGTGATTCACTTCGATTTTACTGATGACTGATTCAGAAAAGAGGGTGACCTCTCATATTTTTTAATGGATGCTGTTATATTTTTTCGAGTTTTTGATGTCTGGAACGACAAAAAAACCGTTACTTACAGGAAAGAACAGTAAGAGTTTAAACCCACCTTTTTGATCATTGTGCAAAGTTTTGATTTAAAATTCCCCTGATACCAATCCAATGCTAAAAAGAAATTAGAAGCGCGATTCAAGTTCGAAAAAATTATTTTCCGGCTGCTATGAAACGAGAAAACCTTGCTCCGAGTCTCAAATCCAAGTGAACGGATACTGCGTCGACCAAATGACGCCGGCGGAGCGCAATAGGTTTTTTCTAGCCGTTTTTCTAGAAGTCCGGTAAACCTTCAGGTATGGAAAGCTTTCAATGGGAGCCTACTATCTCAATGGAAACAGGGCTTTGTCAATGATTCCTTCCCAAATATACAGGTTTTTTTCGGCCAATTTTTTGTCAAGTACTGATTTGCTTCCAAGTTACACAGTTCAACTCTCTGGGAATGTGGAACAGCTTTTTTCTGCTCTGATAATGTTCTGCGTGGCGGGCTATATTTCGTACAGAGGGATGCGTTACTTTTCAAAGGTTTGACCCTATTTGCAAGGTTTCGAAAAAGTGGAAGAGTTCAACCGGATTTATTCTGCTGCTCTTCTCAGATTTTAAAACTTTTTGTTATTTTGAAAATCAAAGTTTTGGGCAGATTGAGTCTTTCAGGGTCCATTTTTTTTTGAATTGAAAAGTCATCGGTTGGAAAAGAATGAAATTTTTTTGAAAAGTGGTTTTTTTTCTGTGACACGATTTTTGCAGATTTCTATTCTCTTGTGTCTTGGTCCACTGCTGGGAGCGCTTCCGTTGACTTTTGTCCTTTACGTTCATACAAAGGCAAGAGACAAGGTTCTGGAGGAGATCTTCGACATGACGGACTTGGGCAAGGCGATGTCGTCTACCGGATGGATGAACGCATGTCGCGCCGTCGTCAAAACGATGCTCGTCGGCGACGGCACACTTCTCGTCGTCGGCTCCACCTCAGACTTCCATCAAAACGTTTTTCTGTCCGTTTTCCACGAAAAATGACTTCCTGATAGCGTGTTTGAGAAAAAAAGACTTCTGAAAGAATTTCGCGAATTGATTTACTCACCTCAGAAGGAAAATAAAATGTATCACGAAAGTCTCACGAAAACCTTTCTCGGAGGGTTATTCAGTTACTCAAACTATTTTCAGTTTTTCATGACTTGTCCATTTTCAGGGACGTACTTCTGCTAGCCTCTCTTGGCACCGGAGTGCGTATTTTCCTCGCTTTGGCATTTTATCCCGTTTTAACGATCGGCCATAAGCTTCTCTATCCATTTGCAAGTCGTGGATGTTTGTATTTTCTTATCTTCTCCGAGAATTTCGTTTCGATTTTGTGAAAAGAAGGTGATCCTTCTTCAGACAACTCCGGTGTCCTGCAGTACTACCTCAGTGAATTGTTCTTCGCCGCTCTCCCTTCGTTCGACGTTTCTATGGATCTCAAGAAGTTTTTTGCCGTCCTGACGTTCTTCTATCTCACAGTCAGCATTTCCTATATAGCCTATCAGGTAGGCGTTTCTTTTCTGTTTCTCTTGCACATCGTATTGAGGTTATAACATTCGAAATGCTCATCACATTGTGCTACCACACATTCCCACGACTACTGTACTTGAATGAGAAGCTCGTGCGATTCTGTGTGATAGCGGCTTCGATATCTTTCTTCATGTCTTGCAGAATAATCTCGAACTTGGTTTGTTCTTTTCGAACCGCGGCTTTGGCTTTGCCTCATGAGCTTCCAACATAGTTCTGCTTGATTTTCAAGACGGCGTACCCGATGTACGGACAGGAAGACGAGCTCTTCAATGAACACTTCTACATCGGCCTCCTCACTTGCGCCGCTCTCTATGAGGCCGCATCTATATCTCTATTTTACGGATCGAAAAGACTTCTAGTTAATATTTTGGTGCGACACGCCTTATTTTAGCTTTCCTCTCAGTTCATGTTCAGACTATGATTTCATCTCATAAGAAGTCTTACCACCTTTTCAACTTGATTCGCGGCGTTATTCATGTTCAATGGTCGATTTTCATTCCTATTCTCTCTGTGGTTTGTGATGGCTGATTAATCGGGAGACACTCCATATCTTAGGTTACGGTTGCTGGCATTTTGAGAAGGACACACGTCATCGTGGACACATTTTCGTTTATTTTTTGCGCGATTAGTGGCTTGCCGCTCTACATAGCACTGAGACAGGTGACTCAAAATCAGCTTTTGTTACATTTATCTCGGAGAAAAAGTGGATCGTCATTTTCAGTTGGTGATGCACCTACGGAACAAGGAAAGCGCCCACGTGATGACTCTTCCACATCGTCGATGGGGTCCGGCCAATATCAACAATCGACGGCTCGCTGAGCACGACGAGCGAGCCGCTCGAATCGTCGTTTGATCATAAAGGCCTTTTAATTTCTATCTTGCTGTTCAGTAACCAGAAGAAAAGTTTGAAAATTAATAAAAAGGGTAAATTATCGTCCTAATGTAAGTGGCGTTTACGTTTTTAGTAAAAAAAAAGTAATTTATAGTCTGTGTACCACGACTTGAAATTTCACGGAACGACATTCCGCTGTGCCGCTGCGCGCTTTTGCGAGTCTTAGTCGCGCTTTTAATTCTTTTTTCTTTTATTAAGGTGCTCTACTTTCATGCGCTCCCACAGCAATAACAATCAATTGAAAGCTTTGCCTAGATTCGGAAGACGCTTCGCGAACGCACGCAGCGGAACAGCGGATTGTCGTTCCGTGAAATTTCAAGCCGTGGCACACAGACTATAGCTGTGATTATATCCTGGTATGGTTGGTTTCCCTTCAAAAATTCATCAAGTTTTTTTCAACTCCAAAAATTTTTCCCATTCAAAAACTGTAAGAAATTAAAAATTTATTACAATCATCTCAAAATGACAATGCCTATAGATTCAAGTGTCTTAGAGGCCAATAGAGGAAAAGTGGAGAGACGGAACCCGTAGCTGGGACGATTCATAGCTAATAATTCGTATTGATATCAAAGACCAGTGTCATTCGTGCTATATGCAAATGAAGTGAGACTATTCAAGGAGCCCGGGAGACCCGTGTAGCAAGAAAGTATGAGTTTTGAACTAAAGCTGGTAGTTTGGCAGAAGGCGCAAGCGCATGACCTAGAACAAACGCGATGGATTGCTTCTTACAAGAACCTGACTCGAATAAATTAAGCAGAAAAAGCGAGATCGGGGCCGTTCAAAGGCTTAGGCTTGTGGCGGCAGTTGAAGGCGGCGACGGCATCTTGGACACGACGACCGCGTCGATTGGCGTTGGCTGAGGCGGCGGCGATTCTTTCCGGATAGTTGCTGCTCGCGTCGAAGAAGCGGCGCGCGTTTTCACCTTCAAAACAGTTCCCATTTTCCTTGTGATCAAGCGTTTTGTTGAAGTCACTCACATTATTAATAAATAAAAAAATCAATGGGAAAAAGACTTCATTTCTACACAAAAAAATAAGAATAAGTATGTTGAGGCCAATTTCTATCATTCTTTTGAAGTCAAAAAAAGAAAAAAATCTATTTTATTGTCATCAAGTTGAGAAATACATTCAAATGAGACAAATCTTGAAAAAAACCTTTGAAAAAAAGTCATGCGACCGCACGCCTCACAACTACAAAAAAACGCTACTTCACTTTTTTTAAGTTGTAATAAATTTTTTTAGAATAAAGCGATAATGAAAAATTTTGCGATTATCGATCCACTAACTTCTTTAATTAAATAAGTCTTCTAAAAAGGAAAAATAGTTGAATTTGAAAACCAATGACACAGTAATTTAAAAAAATTTTAATCCTCTAGTTGTGCAAGTAAACATTACTTGATGTCCTATTTCAGAAAAAAATAGAGAGAATAAATTTTTTTAATCCAAAAATTTTCTGTTCCCAATATCATAGCATCCTTGGCGGGTGAAAATAATAATTTTGATTCGATTGAGTTTAAATGATTCTAACCTGTACGAGATTGACAATCTGGCCATTTCCTGTAGAACTGCCAGTGGAGGAGCGCGGCCGCTGAGAACCGGCCGTCGAGATGCTGACGTCAGTTTGCGAAGATGTCGAGTTGGCCGTGGACAGTCGATGTCCTTAAGATGTTATCATGATAGCCTCCATGAAGTAAAAAGAAACGAGTACCTCTTGCACTAAAGGAAGTAGGAGCTGGAAGAATTTCTTCGCGAGACGAACCTACAGCAGTCGCGCGGCCAGACAACGGCAAGAACGTTTTCGCGTTGTTGGAGTTCAGCACCTGATTTGATACGTGTAAACGTTAATCAATCAATTGGTGAGGACACATTTTTCGATTTCCAACTTTTCACTCAACCTCTCTTGTTTTCGTCGGCTTCCGTATGAAACAGAAAGTTCAAATAAACTAACGAGTTGAGGAGCGACAGGAGTCGTGAATGAGAACGTCGCCTCGTGCTCCGAGGGATGGTCAAATGAGAAGCCGTTGGAATCCGAAGAGCCTGACGTCATGTCCGGCGAGACTGAAAAAAAAAATGGATAACACATTCAAAAATATACAAATTGATTGAAGTTTTACACCGCTCGATTTTCATTTTATTTGCATTCTCAGAACAAGAAGGTGGGATGAAGACATAAATTTGGCTCTCAAATTTTGCATCAGGGAAAAATATTGCCAAAATTAAATGACTTTTTTTTTCGTTCGATTTCATTTCTTTCTTTTTTTTTACTTTTAAGTTTTTTGAGCTGTCACTTTGTAACACAGCGCTGCTTCGGTTAAGCCTATCAAAATCTGCACCGATTTCGTCGGGAAGAATGGCGCGGTCGTGCTCGCGATGGTCGCCCAGCTCCACTCGACCGGCGGCTTCTTCAGCAGCCCGACAGCAGTGACCCTCGTAGTACTGCAAGGAAAAGTCCCCAGCTCCGCGTTTGGAGATTCACCTGGTAGCCAAAGTACTTGAGAATGTCGGCTTTGCACATGGGGCAGGTACGGTGCTCCAGAAGCCACGGATCGATACAGGACTTGTGGTAGGCGTGTCTGAAAGAGTTTCCTGTTACAATCAAACTTCTAGAGAGTCTAAAAAAATCGTGATGTTCGAACAGATTCTGATTATTTCGACGTTCAAAGACCGACTTGCAGGGCAGGATTCTGATGATGTCGTGCAGCTGGTAGGGATCCAGACAGACGGCGCAATCCGTCTCCAGTTCCTCGTCCCCCGTCTTCACTGGTCGCGTCGGAATCCGCGCCAAAGCTTTTCGAGCCGCGTTGAACAACCTAAAAATTCCCTCTGATTAAATACATTTTACTCTGATCTTGAGTAATGATAAATATTAAACATAGGATACACAAAAACTCAAAAAAAGGACTTTTTGTTTTCGGTGGGAACTATTTATGAAAAAAAAACCCCCAAAAATAGACCCAATACAAATATTTTTTTTGTTTTAAAAGACCACCCCAAAAGCAGAATCAAAATTTGAAAAAAAGAAACCTGGTAAGCTAAGATTTAGATATAGATATAGATTTAAGATATAGTCTTAAACTCCTAACTACAATCTTTCTACGTACACAGTACTCCGCATTGAAAGCTGAAACTCCGATGCCAAAACACTATTCGATTATCTTTTACAAGTAAACACAAAACATTGAAAAATAGTTCGAGATTCTTTAGAGAGGTCATTCTCAGGAGATTATATTATCGAAGCGGAACCTTCGCTGGAGTCGATCCTTGGCGTGAGCGTAGCGGAATCGCTGGACGTAGTAGAAGACGAGCCAGGCGAGAGATATCACCATGAGAATGATGAACGAGATGGAGACGAACAGGACCGACGTCTTCGAGAAACTTCTCAGCGCGTCCGTCGACCCTTCAGGAGGCTCCATCGCCTGAAACCCTCTTTCTTGGAATATTTGATTCACTTGAGTATTTAGAAAACGTGTTACAAATAAGTGGACAATTTTTTCACGCTTTTCTTTTACATTTCATGCCATTAAAGAAGAACAAACGGAAAAGCTTCCCTCAGTTGAAAAATTTAATTGTCAGCTTGTGAACTAGTAAACTGGCGACGATGATTCTAGAAGGACGAGAAAAATAGTGGACAAAAACAAGAGAGAAAGCCTTAAACACGCAGTTTTTGTGACAAATTAGCAGTGTAAATCTGATTCTCAATAGCAAAAATCCTGAAATAAAAAAGCAGATTTCTCATTAGTTCTACGAAGAATTCTCCAAATTCGATTAGAACAACTTTTCAATTAATTCGAGACACGATTTGATTTCAAGTATTCTAACCAGTTTAAAATGAGCACAAACTGAAACTTAATCCAAACATTTTATAGATTTCATCAAGTTATATTTTCATCTGACTTTTATCAGTTTATCTCCCAATCTTTTATTGCATCATCATCTATAGAAACAGTTTAGGAAAAAGGATGATGAAAAAAATAATAATTCCAGCGAAGTGATATGCAGGTAGTGAAATGAAACTTTCAAGAGATACGGTAATTTTTTTTTTTCCAAAAAAGACCATGTGGAGAAAAATAGTTGAAAACAAAGGAGCTTTTTAATTGTTTTGCTAACTAATGGACGCTAAATTCAAGAGAACTAGCTCGATAACAGCTGTATCCAGGTACGCGAGGCATCCAAAGAAACTAAGAAAAGGGACATTTCGACGGAAAACTGCGGTGCGGCAAAACAGCGACGGGGCGGTCGCTTACACCTTTGCAGCTGCTGTCGGAGCCGCGCCCATTAATTTCGAGGCACACGTGTGACTTTCGACTCCGTGAATCAAAACTAGAGAACCTAACCTTATTTGCGGTTCAAATGCGAACCATTCGTCCAGCGAAAACTCATAAAAATTGAATTTATTTTAAAGAATTAGAAGTATGTGTTTGTAGTTAAAAAGAAGAAAGAACTAACTAACCGTGAAATTCAAGGGAAAAAAAATTCATTTTGCAAAGACAAAGTGTTGAAGAAAGAGTTCTTACCGACTCGGAAAAGGTGCATTTTCCAGAGAAAGAGCCGCCGCTGGACATCTGGAACCACCCTGCGGCGATTCCGGATGGAGCCTTCTGCTTCGAAACTACGAGAGAGCGCTGGGACAGAACCGCCAGACGGTCTGGGCACGCTTGGGCGCATTCCGAGCACCACCACAGCACGTTGTCCTCTTCCTGCAGGCTGCCTGAAACTCAACTTTCTACTCTCTTTCGTTTGATCTAAATGAAAATGACTGATTTTCCGTAGGATGTACATCAATAGAGCTTGAAAAACAGTCCGAACCCAAATTTAAACTTATTATTTCTTTTTTCCTCGGTCAGTCCAAATAAACCACAATTTTCTGTTTTTTTTTTCGATTTTTTTTGTGAAAAAGAGAAGCGCGTGTGCTTTTTTTGTTAGGTATAGATGATAAAGAGAGATTTGAGTTTAAAAATCACACTCATATGGTTGAAAGTTTCATTTCCGATATTGCAAATCCTAATACTTAAAATGTATCATTTTCAAAACAGCCGATTCTCTTCTCACCAAAAATCACTTCTGTAGTGCTTCCCGGATGTAAACGTATTGAAGACGGCAAACAAGAGAAATCCCTGTTTCCTGCCATTTTGTCTCCATAGCGACTTGCGTTTTTACAATTTTTTTTTCAGGCTCTGTTTGGTGTTGAAGGGCTTCACGTTTTCGCGGCGGAAATGAGATTTCTCACGTTGTTAATCTATCCACAATGAAAACACTAGAGATAATGACTTTCGAGTAGTTTCATTACGATATTTGGAACTAATAATAATTTTCAATAAATTTTATGAACCATAAATTTTAATTGGTAAGTCTTAGAAAACGAAAAGTCTTTTTTTTATATGCAAAAATTTCCAAGCCTTGTTGAATAAATATTTTGAAATCCTAAAAAAAATTAATACGCTTTCATTCCCCATATTCAAATCCACGTTTTGAACTTCAAAATGACATCTGCTCCTTCGCAAGATACTTTTGGGAAAAAAAGCTTTCAAAAAATGGAAAGGCGGAAAGAAATCACTTGAAAGGTCCTTGTAAAACCCAATAGCGAGGATCTCAAAAAGGGAAATATTGTAAGTAGAAATCCAAACTTTTTCTTCCCTTACTGAGGTCAAATGGGTTAGGGGAAGGAAAGGGAAGACGGACCATGAGTGCAGATGTCGCCGAGGAACTCGAAGGAGGAGGTCGGGATGGCGGCTGTGTTGGAGGTGAAGATGCCGCTCACCGAGACTTCAGGACACGAGAGCTTCACCTGGAGTTGGCCCAGGTTATTCCAGACGTCTTATCATTCATTTCCCACAAGTTGTTCCCACGAATAATTCGTTATTTTTTATTAGCTACAACATCTTTTCTCTAACAAATTTTTTTCGTATGAATTAATGAAAAAAACAAACTAGTTCTGAAAAAAATAACCAAATAAAAAAATAACTCGAACTAAATTGGCATCAAAAAAATTATTAAGTATGCAAAAATCAAAAGTTGCAGAAAATTTCTGAAAAACAATATTAAACCAATAGTTCTCAAAGTTTTTTTCTAAGAGCAGTTGCATATGATTCATGAGAAATAACTAATATTTTTGTTGGTGCAGAAATATCGAGCGATAGCCGAAAAAAAAGGGAAAGAAACCTTTCACGCCCAAAAATAATTATGGCGCGCCAGTGTCCATAAATGGGTTAATAACGCAGCTGGCCCGCAAATGTTCGACTTTAATACTAAAATGCCGTCTGTGTGACGATCGGAGCCCGTTGAAATATACTCATGTCCTTAATGGTTCAATTGGATTAAAATACGTCTCTTGATCCAGATTAGCAGGTTCCTTCGCGGTTCGAGCGAAAAAGCCAAAAAGCCAAAAATACTACCCAACAATTTTCTCTGCTCATCTAAAAAGTTCGATTTGGGCATTGCCCACTTTTCGTGAGAGTCTTGCATTCCATCAAGTCACGATGGCTTAATCTCAGCTTTTCTAAAACTTATTTCAAAGTCTAATTTTTTCGTTTCGCGCTTTGAAGAATTTGTGAATTAATTTGCATTTCATTCAAACCTCGGATTTAGAAAACTTGAACCAAAATTCTCTCGCAAAATGCAAGAAAGGCGAGAAGGCTTCTAAATTATTAATTTCGACGAAAAAAAAGTCTATCCCGAAATCGAATTGCGGTTCTACTTTAACCAATTCAGGGCAAAATTCAAGCTTTGCGGAACTTCCTCATCACAAAAATGTCAGAGACACAACTAGTAGATGGCTCACATCTACGTATGAACGGACATTTTTATCTTGAGAAAAAAAATGAAGAGGCAGAGAAGCAGAATAACCTTATAGGTGTTTTTGAGAGCGCCTTAAGATTCAACTTAGTCTCTATAAGAATTGCCTACATTCGTTCTTCGTTTGTTTGTGCGGCATGGATACATCAATAAGCCCATTTTCACACGTAAAACTCTAACGACAAATTCCGAAATGAGCAAGAGCCAAGTTTGAAGAATGAATTGATACCGTAATCTCTGCTTGTTTCTGTTACAACTTGGTAATTTTTGAATTGAATGGAGTTGATAAGGGGAATGATATTTTGAATGCACACCTTCGAGAAGCCTAACAAAAGTTCTAATTTGAGAGAGCCGAGGCTGACCTTTTGAAGAGAAAAGAGGTCGAAGCATAGAGGGTAGACTTGTACTGAGAATATTAAAAACCTCACCTGAAATGTAGTCGGAAGTGACCAGGAGAACCCGAAGCAGCGGAAAAAAAGCAGGAAAAAAGAGAATCGGCAGGTCATGGCGGCGGAGACGAGGCCTGAAAACGGTCCGACTGCTTCCTTGCCAGACCAACCAGTGGAGCCCCGGAGGCGTGGTGTGCTCTGCGCGAGAGACAGCCAGACGTCGAGGCTGCATCGATCGGACGTCGTCAGCTGGCTCCCACCCCTTCCTACGGACCCACGGCTTTTCCGACCGTAAAACGGCGGCCATGTAAGACAACTACATCAACTGCTGTCTTTATTTTTCTTTTGGTAGAAACATGCGGCTTTTTAAATTTATTAAAACTGTCAAGTTAAAACTGAAAGTTCTCTTTGAAGAGGATTCAAACAGCGGGTCCAAATCGAAAAGACGTCATTGATTTTGCTAAAATAAAATCCATTTTCCTCGTGTCTCGTTTTCGAATATTTTGCCGTCCTTCCGCGGAAGTTAAGCTCAAAGATTTGAACAAAAAAAAATTCATCAGTGCCTCCATAAATCAGCTTTTCTTTGATTCGAACGCTTCAAAGACCTGATGAAAACTAATAAGAAATGAACTCACCACTTTACAAAGAATCTTCCTCGCTTGGCCGGCCGCCCTTCCTGAAAAAATACTTTTTCAAGTTCGAGTATAATAGTGAGAAAGAAAGGGTAAATGTTATTGAAGAGAAAAAAAGCTTCAACTATCAGTTCATCTCTGCAAGAAAGACCCTGAAAAAAGCGAATGGAACACTTGGAGTAGCGAAAAAAGAAAAGAAAATGAGTCAGTTGGGGCGCGAAAGTGATAAAAAACCGGCAGTTCCTTCGAAGATCCAATCTTTAACTTCCGAACAAACCACATATTTTTTGGATTTGTTTTTGATAGGGTGAATTGATGTGAGAAAAAGACCTATCAGAAGAGAAAATCGCGACTCAACAGAAAACGATTCCTGAGAAAAAAAAACTTCCATTGGGGATCGAATTTGCGCTGTAATGAGTTGTGGATGTCAAACTCATGAAGAAGTTATTAGTCACACGGTTCAGCCGAGTGAGAACCGAGCTGTGGGCTGCCTAATTGACTTCCTTATCCACGAATCTGCTCACACCTCGCAAGACTCCAAAAGACCTTCCACGAGTTCCTGAAAAGCTTCGCGGAAGCTTCCTTCTTCAGAAATCGCGTGAATCTCTCCGAACAATGAACAATTTTTCGTTTCATCGCAGTCCATCTGGTTTTTCCGTTCTCTTTGCGCAAGATCAGAGTTTTCAGGACAAACTTTTTTTACACGCTTCTTTTCTGAAACATAAAAAAGGAAAAATTCTGGATTTATTATCTAAATTATGTTTCACGATAGCACGTAAAAATTGTAAACAAAAATTTTTTTGAAATTTTTTGCTCTTTTGGAAGAATACACGAGACCCTTGGAAATATGCGGAAATCCCAGACTACTTCTCGCCGTTTGAGTTTATGAGCTGTCGTGCGAAATATTCTAGGAAGCATGACGCGAAAAAGAAAAAGAAGGAAATTCTTTGCGCGTCGAGGGGCTTATATAAAAAATAGTAATTGCGGAAGAGAGTTCAATTGAATAAGTAGACAAATTACATTCGCCCACATGTGGCTCAACCCACCTTAAAAAAGACTGAAATGACGACTCATTTTTTCAAGATTATCCTTTCTATAGTCAATGTTTCCCGACTTGAAAGGTGATATGGGCTGGTTGGCAAGGGCGAGGTGTTGCGTGTGCGACGCGGCTTGTTGGCGGCGAGCCAAAATTCAAATGTGGGAGACAATTTGGAGAGTTCGGCCACCGCTTTTTTTATTTCCTTTTTTTCTTTTTTTCTTATTATGTTTTTTTATAATGTTTTTCGATTTTTTTATTTCCTCAATGTAATATTGTAAGCGAACACCTTTTCAGTCTGTTTTGCATAGAATGTTTCTCAAACGTGCTGCGAAACGTGAATCATTTTCGGAAAACTTATCGGTGGTTTTTGTTTCTTTCGTATTTGCTGAACTTCTCAATTTCAAACCTCTAACATTTTTATAATTTTTCCATTATGTTTGATTGCAGGTGGTGAGCAGAGAAAGAATGAGTGAGAAGCTATGGTGTTTGAAAGAAAACACTTCGTTGATGGCAAACAGGTTTGTTTCAATTTTTGTTGAAATTTCTCATTGTCATTTTTCAGCATTTTATAGAGCGGCATCAATATAAAGAAGTTTTACAGAATAGATAACTCTATACCTTCTTTGGACACTGGATTTTTTTGTCGAGGCGAGGTTTCTTGGATTCAGACGGCATTAACGAATTCCACAAATAAGAAAAACGTTCTGTGTATGTATAATTTTTCTTGATTTCTACGGTTTAGAAAAATGCGTTGTGATGACCTGTTTCTATTTTCTAACAATATCCTTTAAAAAAGGTTGCCGTTTGAAGAAATTTTTCATTTGAAATATTTTGGTTATACTTTTTATTGACTTATCATATTATCCGTGTAGTTTCGTTGTTCATCTAACACTCGCTTTAATCATTGTCCACTTCAGCGGCGTCAAAAAGCTGTTTCCGTGATTTAATTCATCATCAATTACTCTCCGTTTCCGTCGATTTATTCTCGTTAGAACAATTTCAAGAACCTTTTAAACAAGTTTATTGGAAGGCGAAACAAAATAACAGGTTAGCAAAACGTTGTGAGGATGCTGATGTAGACAGTATAAAAGAGAGACTTCATGATATTCCCTGAAAAGTAGTATTGATTACATAAAGAAAAAAAAAATTAACCTTGAAAAATGTCATGTTCGTTAATGTAAAATTTTCGTGGGGAACAAAATATATTTACGAACTTTTTTTAGGAAAAAGTAAGTATTAACTGAAAGGATTCTTAGTTATACACTGGAAGAACAGTTAAACCAAAAAAACAGAAAAAAAGAACAAAGGCGAAAAACTCACAAACCTTGGTAATCGTCCGCGACTCGTTATCTTCTCTCTCCATTTCGAAAAAAATCACTGCAGAAATCCTGAAGTTCTTCAATTCAGAATGTGAACCGACTCCATGAAAAAAACCTTTTTTTCAAGATTGTTAATAATTCGATAAAATACTTCGCAGCACTCCGAAAAATCGTGCTTCTAAAGGTTTCCACTGCATTAAAAAGAAAAAAAGAATGAATGAATTTGAGAAAAAAACCATGAACTTTAGTGAAAAATCGCTTCTTGTTGATGTGAAACCCTCGACTTCTGAGTTTTTTTGAAATTCTTGAATCGTATTTTTGCTTTGTCTGAAAAAGTATCATCAATGAATAAATACAGTAAAATTTTCACGGCACCGAATCACAAGTAAAAAAATTCATATTTTGCGACAAATGAATGAGCAACGATCAACTTGAAGAAACTGTTGTTTGTGCGAAAAAAACACGATTATTGGTTCAAATAAAAATTCACAGAAGCAAATAATTTGCGAAAAACATTATAAAAAAACAGAATAAGAAAAAGAAAAAAGGAAATAAAAAAGCGGTGGCCGAATTTTCCAAATTGTCTCCCACATTTGAATTTTGGCTCGCCGCCAAATAGCCGCGTCGCACACGCAACACCTCGCCCTTGCCAACCAGCTCATATCACCTTTCAAGTCGGGAAACATTGACTATACAAGATGTGAGAATTGTAATCAGCGCTTTTGGTAGAGATACTCAGATCTCTGGAGATTATTTCTTATCGAAACGAAACTCCATTTTTTTGGTCTTTCCAGAATTTCCTCATTTAAGTCTGCACGCACGAGAAAATATTTCCGAAGCGCGGAAAATTTCTCAACCAGTTCGATAAAACATTTCCAGTTAATCTTTTCCTCCAGAATCACACTGAAATTGAGAAATTTCGGTGTTATTTTTTAACCTGAGAACAACGATTTTTTTTTCAGAGAAAAATTTTGTAATCAGCGCTTTTTGTAGAGATGAAGGAAACAAGGAAATGGAAAAAAGTCTTGTAAAACATTTTGGCAGGGTCGATTCAATAAACACTTATCACGATCAAAAAAACCTAGCCGGATAAACACCAAATAACATGTTTCTCTAGCTGAAAAAGAAAAAAATGACGAAAGAAGCCGGGCAAAAATTTTTACTTTTACTGGGAAAGAAGAAAAACTGTTTTTTATTAGTATTTTTTATTGAGAAACCCCGCTAAACTTTCGACTTTCCAGAAAAAAAGGGCATTTTAAACTATCTCTGTGACGCTATTTACTGGATGAAAACGAGAAATAACGAGAATAATCAGATGAGAGCTAGTCGGATGTGGGTCTTCCGGCTCAAAAAGATTATCGCTAAAAATCATCTCGCATCGAGATAAATGAAAAAGCACACCAGAACCTGAGATTTCATCATCGTCTGGCCTGACTAGGGCATGGTCTCCGCTCGACAACGAGTTGAGAATTGAGAATTTGTGGGTGGATAGGGCTAGGTGAGAGTACTCGGAATCAAGAATAAAATTCTGCTAAACCCCACAGTCGACCGAGCAAAAGCCCGTCGAAAGTTTTCCAGCGCGTATATGGCCGCGCTTCGGCCAGCAACTGGCGGCGTGGTGTAGTGGGTTGTGGTCTTGTGCACTATCAATATTGTGACCAGGGTTCGAATCCTTTTGGCGGATATCATTTTTGCCGGCGCATAACTTTATTCCTTCTTTATTTTTGGGATATTTTATTCAAAAATCTAAAGTAAAAATTCACAAAAATCACAATAAAAAATAAAATACTGATTTGAAATTTTTTTTCGCTTTTTTTCCCTACTTCATGGCCAACGATTAAGAAAAAGATCTGTTTATGAAAATTCACGTCGAGTAGATATGTTATAAAACTTTGCGCTTTTTTGAAAAGCGATTATCCGTCTTTTGGATACGTGTGTACTAAACGGAAACAGTAACACGATAAAACAACTAAAATGAAACTTTTCCGGTCGATTTCGCGTTCCAAGTGTCAGAAGATTTGGCGATTTTCGAAGATTCCAACAGAGATTTGGGCGAAAGGAGCTTAACTTTAATAACTATGCTGCCGATTGCCTGTCTTCCAACAGAAATATTCGAGAATAACCTCCTCAACAGTTCCTCAACACGAGAAGAAAAACTTGGCATGAGAAAAAGAGTAGAAATAATAATTTTCTACAAGTTTTGATGTAAATTTATGAAAAAAAATAACCCAAAAATGAGGAAGGAATAAAGTTATGAGCCGGCAAAAACGATTTCCGCCAAAAGGATTCGAACCCTGGTCACAATATTGATAGTGCACAAGACCACAACCCACTACACCACGCCGCCAGTTGCTAGCCGAAGGCTCCGAGTGCGGCCATATACGCGCTGGAAAACTTTCGACGAGCTTTTGCTCGGTCGACTGTGGGGCTTAGCAGAATTTTATTTTTGATTCCGAGTAGTCTCGCCTAGCCCTATCCACCCACAAAGTCTCAATTCTCAACTCGTTGTCGAGTAGAGACCAAGCCCTAGTGAGAAGCGCGATGCAAAAGAAGTTTTAACTCATTTCGTAGCGAGAAAGATCGTTTGTAGGTCAAAATCCAACAATTAGAGCGATTGGCGAGCGACAACCCAAAGGAAAAGAGCGAAAAATGCTGAGAGGGCAACCGAAAAAAGTTCTAGCTTCTTTGTTTACTTTGCTAGTTTCCCTTACTGATTGATATTTCACAATAACCTACAAACTTCTGAGAATCTCGATTGAACTTTTTTTATATGAAAAAAAAGAAGTACCAGGAGCAGATTTTTGGTCTGATTTCCCGCAGTTCGAGAGTTGAAATTCAAAATCTTCCCGAAAAATGGCGATAATTAAAACAAAATGAGAGAATAAAATGCCAACAATATAACTTCATCGAAATGAAAAAAAAAATAACTTCATAAGTCCAAACATGACACAGCTATCTCGATTCAGGCAACGCGAAACTCATCAAGGAAATCCAAAAAATATCCTTTTAAGCCCAAGTTATAAAAAGAAATATTTTTCACCAAATTTGATCTTTTATAATACAAAAAATCATTGAAATATCAAGCTTATGAGTTTTTTATAAACTGGTCCAGGCGGAGACTTAATAAATCTCAGAACAAAGCAGAGCGCCCTTCAAATGGAAAGAGATCCTTCCAAGGAGCGAAGCGTGGATTTCGAGGATTAGACGTTAAATAAGTGCGAAACCGGTACAAGAGCGAAGGTCACTTCGGCGCGAACTCACCCAAATTAGAGGTGTAGCGCAAACTTTTTTCTGAAAACATAAGTTTTGCACGAAAAAATGATAGTAATCTAAGTCAATGAATTTTTTTCGCAGTTTCTCATTTGAGGAGAAACTTTTCCTTTTTTTTTCAGTGCGCATTGATACCTCAAAAACTAGCAATTTTCTGATAGCTTCTTATTACTGCAACACTAATTGTAGAGGGATCCCCTGTTTCGATATTAAACACTGAAATTTTCGAAGCGTGGGATAGGTGCATATCGCAATTTTGATAAAATTGTTAGAGGAAACTGAAAAATACAGAAAGTGGGAATTTCGACTAGTCGCCGATTTACCGCCTTTCCACGAGTGATGAGCATGAAGGTCAAACTTCCTCGTTTCAAATTGTCGGACAACTTTTTGAATTCTTGAGGGTTTTCTTTAGAAAGTTCTCGACTGCGGTTAAAAACCCTGAGCGTGGGTTTCTCACGAAAATAATGTGCGAAGACGAAAGTTCACAATTGCACGTCGACTAATAATCACAGAAAGTCATTAGGGAAATTTCCAAATGAGAATCTAATTTCGTGTAGCCGTCTTGAAAGATATGAATCAAAAACAAAATAGTTAGTTTAAAATTATAAAACAAAAAAAGGATATTTTATCTAAAGACCGTTTTCTTACAGAAAAAATACGAAAGCTTGGTCAGCAGGAATTTTCAGACGCGCGTTTACTGTTCGGAACTCTCAAATATTCATGCGAGTGAATATAAAGAACAAACAGGAGGAAGAAAAGAAAAAATCGCACGAATTCAAGCAGAAATGGGTCGTGGAAGAGCAATAGAGGCAGCGTCGCCATGGGCCATCGGCAGCGAGAATCGGACGAACAACAAACGAGGGATAATTCATGGAAGAAATTTGTCAGCATATTTCAGAGACTCCTTTTTCCTTTTTCCTGTCAAGAGGCAGAAATTATTATGATCAGATCCTACGAAGAAAGAAAATAAAAACTTCAACAATCACCAAATTTTGAATTATTTTAAAAAGGGAAGAAAATTACAAATTTTGCGAGATAGTTAAACTTCAAAACTCAAAAAAAAAGTTTTTTTTGTAAAGCGATACTAGTTGTTTGCCAAATGCAGGTTTTACAACACAAAGGTCTTTGAGGGCTTATATAAAATGCTTGAAAGCCGGCGGGATTTGTACGCTGCTTGGATCATGAAAAGAAAAAAAAAACCAGAAAACTTCGTCTTCTTATTCTCGTAGTAAACTTAGAAACGTAATTTGTGGCACTTAATATAGTCAATGTTTCCCGACTTGATGCCGTGTTCAAAGTAATTTCCGCGAAATGCAAAATACCCGTTAGAGAAAGGAAAAGATCACTAAATTTTGGAGAGTCAGAGATCATTTTGCATTTCGCGGAAATTACTTTGAACACGGCATGAAAGGCGAGGGAGGCGGGGCAGGGGGCGGGACGCGTAGCGTGTGCGTTCGCGGTTCTTGGCACGTGTTCAATTCAACCGCCATCTATTCTTTGGAAAACCCGTTTTTCGCTTTTTTCATTCCTTTTTCAATTATTTATTGATCGTGTTCATGTCTGCATCAAAAAAATAATAGAAAAACATTGAAAAAGAGCGGTTGCCGAGCTTTTTAAATAGTCGGCGATAATTGAATTGAACACGTGCCAAGAACCGCGAACGCACACGCTACGCGTCCCGCCCCTTGCCCCGCCACCCTCGCCTTTCAAGTCGGGAAACATTGACTATATGAATATTTAACGACTTTATCGAAGCTATTTGAGGAGTTTTAAAAAAGCTGATCCTTTAAAACTGCAATGGAGAAACGATGGCTGTTATGCAAGTAATTTCAAGAGAGTGATGAAGCGGTCACTGACCGAAACATAACGAAATGAAAAAACTTACATTTATGTTTATAAACACGTTTTCTAACGATTTTATGCGCACAGAAGCTCGATCGAAGCAGCAGTTTCCTCTTCGACAAAAAAACTTTACTTTTTTTCATCTGAATTTATTCTAAAAAAATATATATATTCAAACTGTGAAGCCATATTCAAGAAAAGATAATGCGGTCGAAATAACAATCACGAGTGATTCCGCGAAATATAGCACTATGAACACTGTTTAAAAAAGAAAAAAGCGCAAATTTGAGAAAAGGTTACTCAGGCAAAAAACGGCATCCCAGCGCGCATCTGAAAAAAGAAACTGCAGACCTGCGCGCATGCACCGGTTTAGAGAGCACTTTTTAAAATTGGAGAGACCAGAGTCGTACTCTCCTCGCTCTGCCTGAGGACCGGCGCGCTGGCACGCCAAATTCAACAAAAAACGCCATGCCAGCGCACGAGTCTCTTCTCCTCAATTTTATACCGTGCTCTCTAAACTGGTGCATGCGCGCAGGTCTGCCGTTTCTTTTTTTTAGATGCGCGCTGGCATTCCGTTTTTCCCCTGAGTGAAGATGCGTTAAACACTAAGAATAACTGACGAGATAAACGCGAGGTCGGTGGCGGTACATCGACGAACTCGCAAACATCTCGCTTTTTTCTCGCGCCGGTCTCGCATTTTTCTGGGCACGAGCTCGCACTTTTCTCGGCGCGACCTCGCATTTATCTTGCATTTCGGAAATTCTCAAAGTGCGAGAGAAATGCGAGCTCGCGCCGCGAAAAGTGCGAGCTCGCGCCCAGAAAAATGCGAGACCGGCGCGAGAAAAAAAAGCGAGATGTTTGCAAGCTCGTCAATGTACCGCCAGTGTCTCGCGTTTATCTCGGCAGTTATTCTTAGTGAAATATAGTATGTTCAGATTTTGAATGTCAAGTCGTCGCCCAAGCTCCGCCCATAATGGTGCGATAGACCAATCACAGAGCGAGCCATCCACAGAGCATTTTCGAATGACGTCATTCTACTTGACATTCAAAATCTGAACGGACTATACGCAAGCTGCATTTAGCGCAGTACCAGACTCTAGAGCTCTATAATCGACGACATCCTCTATACTTTTTTTCAAGATAACTTCCGCTGGCTATACTAGACCATTTTCATTTCATTTTTTCTGTTTATCAAAATTAACAAGGCTATTTCGGACAATAAAGCTAGCTTATGTCTCGCACGTGCTGTGTTAAAAGTAATTTCCGCGAATTGCAAAATTATCTCTGACTCTCCAAAGTTTAGTTATATTTTTTTTTCTTTCTCTGACAGCTATTTTGGGTTGCGCGGAATCATTTTGAACACGGCATTTAAAAACTCGAATTTTTTTTTATAAACACGTCGTTTTCACGAGGGCGGTGGCAGGCTTGTGCGAGGGCCGGCCATTTCCCAAACCCGGCCCGGCCTTAGCGGGGGCTCAAACAAAAAAAGGACGGCCCGGCCCAAAAAGCTCAAATGTTCTTAAAGACGAATTTTCCGCTTTTTTTTAACGAGTAGTTTTTGATTATTTTTTTCTCTTGGAGTTATAAAAAACTATGACTTGACAAGTAAAAATTGGCCCGGGCTTTGGGCCTTCATTTAAAAAAAAAAGCCTGCGCGGGCTCGGGCCAAGCCGGGCTTCGATTAATTTTACTTGTTGGATCGTAGTTTCGAATACCTCTATGAGAAAAAATAAGCAAAAACCCCACTTTTCTCGTTAAAAAAGCGAAAAATTCGGCATGAAGAAATTTTGAGCTTTTTGGGCCGGGCCGGCCATTTTTGCTTGAGGCCTCCCTGAGGCCGGGCCGGGCTTGAGGAATGGCGAGGGGCCGATAGGCGGATGGGCCGGCCCTGGCACAAGCCTGAGCGGAGTGTAAAATTTTTTGAAGCTAGCTTTTAGAGCGCGCTTGCTGCATTTTCCTGCAAAATTCAAATTTCAATGCATTGAAATTTCTGATCTGTTTAGCCCGTCCGGTTTGGCACACTGTACGTTTAAATTGTGCATACACCAATAGCGGTTTTTGGGCGACATCTTAAAAAATAAACAAATTTGAAGAAAAACTAATATAAAACATTCAAAGATACAAATTTAGTTTTAATAATCAAGTTTTTGCGAACGCTGGCAAGCCTTGAAAAATGGCCTAATTTGGGAAATGCGTCTTTAGTAAGTGAAAAGTCTTTTTTTTCTGTAATTTTTTATCTATTAATGTCAGAAATTGCCTTCTTAATTGTATTCAATACGAAAAATGATCAAAAATGGTCTAGTATGGCCAGCGAAGACGGCGCAGGGCAAACCGGACGGGTCCCTGCAGGTCTGAACTGGTGTGAATGGTACGAAAAAATCACAAGTCCGTTAGTCTTGAGGACCGTAATCTTGTGTACACTCACAGCGTTCTAAAACGGGGTTTACGCAAAAAGAGATGGTACGATTTTATCTCAAGTCCGCAAATCTCCGGAGGCGTTATCTAGCTTTAATTTTTTCTTTTTGGTCTGTAATTGGTCTGTACCCAAGAGTACCGTAATCTCAAGGCCCATAATCTCCGAAACCACTTATCTCCGAAAACAAAAAACTTCAATTTTCTTTCTCTGATTTGCATTTTATTATTATTTTTTTTCTTGCGTTGTGCTCAGAATACCATCTCCGATCTTTTTTTTGTTTTTTCAAATCCTTTTTTTTGTTTCTATGCACTTAAATTTCTAATTGATGTTTTTAAACGTGTTAGAAAGTTTTTAAAGTGTCCATAGCTCGTTAATGTGCCGAAACGTTGTTTATTAAAGAAAAGACTGTTTTTAAGAGACAAAACCGAAAATCGAAATTCCAACTCCAAGAATCGATCAAAATATTAGTTCCCAACTAATAAACAAGAAAAAAAAGCTGTCAACGTCCGCGCAAAAAAGAAAAATTTCGACTTGACGAAAAAATTTAAAAAAAGGTGTAATTGGTCTGTACCCAAGAGAAAATACCGAAAATCGGAATTTCAACTCCAGGAATCGATCACATTATCAGTTTTCAATTACTTAAACAGGAAAAAAAAAAGAATACAAAATCAAACCTGAGTTAAAAATTTCGACTTTCGTGAACAGAACAATTATGTAGTCCTTTGAACCAATCAAACCACAAGAAAATAAACTGCGAAATTTTAAAAGAGTTATAGGAAATGACTAGCAACACTTGGAAACTATAAATGTTAGGAAAAAAATGTTAGCCTTCAAATAATCAAAAAATCCGGACTCTTAATTACGACGCGAAAAAACGATTGTTAGCCACGCCCACTCATGCAACGTCCGCATGCTTTTCAGAAAAGGGGCGGGAACCCCGCTTTAGACTCAGGCACTGACGGCGCGTGTTTGTTGCCAAAAGTGCGCATGCGCGCCGCCTGCAAACGCTCTTTTTGCGAGAACTCAAGCTCTCCAACTTTGAATTATTTTTTCTCCGAAACTAGGAAGTTCGGTGCGTTTCCAAGATCAATGTTCGATTCGCAATGAAAAGCTCTACAAAGTACTGCTTTGAACTGAACCACCGTTTTTTACTGCCTTATGCCTTTAAATTTCTTCAGGGGAGCATGCACAATGCCGTGTTCAAAGTAATTTCGCGAAATGCAAAATGATCTGACTCTCCAAAATTTAGTTATATTTTTCTTTCTCTGACGGCTATTTTGCATTTCGCGAAATTACTTTGAACACGGCACAAGAAACATCATATCTGACGGGCGGAGGTAGCGTTGAACGCCGTTTTTTTGAGCAATTTTTATAAAACGGTAAGTTAAGCATTCTATAGAAAAAATTTGCTTTTTTTTCTGAAAAACACTTCGAATTTTTCAAAAGTATTCATATGACGTGTCCAGGCTTGTGTCCGGCTGAGTGGCCCGGGCCGGCTTGTCCCGGGCTTTGAACCTCATTTTTTTGAGAAGAAGCATGTGCGGGTTTAGGCCAGGCCAGGCTCCGAAAAAGTTTCACTTTTTCATTTTAAAAAAATTGACACCGAAAAAAATTATTTCTACTTTTTTTCAATCACAGTTCCTATTGAATTTGGATACTAGCAAACATCGTAATATTTGTCGTATATTTTAGACTAGAAGAGACTTTGCGCTTTTTGGACCGGGTCGGTGTTTTTGCTATAGGCCTCGATAGGGCCGGCTTAGAAAATGGCCGATAGACTGACAAGCCGCGCGCACAAGTCTGCAGACTTAAAAATAGTACGACGCTTCAAATTGCGCCCTACCGCAAACCTCTGCTCCATTGCCAAAATTTTCAAAAAGATGACAAAATAAATTCTACCTTTCTTTTTTTCAGTTTCTATGTTGTATTTGTTATTGATCGTTTGAACTAAAATTTCAAGCTTTTAGACATTCTCAGGCGAACGGCACAAAAGTCATGGGAAATTTCATTAAAAAAAAAAAATAGAATAGCCCCAGAATGAAAGGTTGAAAACGGTTTGGCTCAAGATTTATAAATCATACACATACTATGGGAAATTTATATATACGATTCAAGAATTATTTTTCTTGGCTCTGGCGTGAGCTCAGTGTAAAATTTTTTTTTCGTTTTATTGATTCGGGATAGAAGTTTCAATTTATGTTAATATTTTGAGGAATTGTCGCTTCATTATGGGTGACCACTATGGATTTTCGCTTACGACTTTCAGGTTCGGGTTTTCTAGTTCCATTGGGGATATTATTTTTTTGTAGCCCGTCCGGAAAGTTGATGCAAATTGAATATGCGTTAAACGCTGTAAAAAACGGGCAGCCTTCAGTTGGATTGAGAGGTATTGTATTCCTTTTTTAATTTCACGGAACGACATTCCGTTTTTCCGCTGTGTGCTTTCGCGAAGCGTCTTTCGAATCTAGGTCACGCTCTCAATTGATTGTTATTGATGTGGGAGCACATGAAAGTAGACTACCTTAATTTAAAAAAAAAATTAAAAGCGCGACCAAGTTTCGCAACGGCGCGCAGCGGCACAACGGAATGTCGTTTGGTGAAATTCCAAGTCGTGGTACACAGACTATATCCCTCGAATTTTTTCCATTATTATAGTGCGCCCGCGCCAACCACAGTAAACATTTTTTTTTTGCAACTTTGATCCACAAAACGGCGAAAAGGCAGAAAAAATTAAAGTTCTTAGAGCGAAGTGTGATCAGTTTTGATTTAATTTGGCATACGATCTTTCTCGCAGAGATGAAAACGGGACAAGTTGGCGCGGAATGGGTCATATTCGACAAGTTTCTTTTAGAAATTGCTCAGAAATGCGGCATTCTGCTTCTATTTTATCCATTGAGGCGCAGTTTTCAAATAATATTTTTATATCTTCATAATAATGACGAATTATTCTTCTTTTTTTAAACAGCACTTTCGAACAAAATTATAAAGAATATTTCCAAGTTAAGTTTGGTATTAAAATTTTCGGTGTGTTCGAATTTTTATAAAAACAAAAAAAAACTTAAGCAGCGCAATTAGGAAAAGATGAAGAAACACGAAAATAAATTTCGAAATTTTCAATCAATTAAAAAGCCGAAAAAGGAGAGACATTCCACCGGCGCACGCTCTTTTTGCAAAATTTTCGCCGTCAGTCCCGGGGCGATAATGTTTTAAAAACACATTTTCAGCCAAAGATGGAGTTGTTCTCGCCACAGAAAATATGGCCTCCGTCCTTCATGACGACCAAGCAAAAATTGAACAAATCAGCAAACATATTGGTTGCGTCTACAGGTTATATTTCACTCATACCGAATTTTTTCGTTCACAATTGGAACTTTTGTAGTGGAATGGGTCCTGATTTTCGTATCCTGGTCAAGAAGGCGAGAAAAATCGCCATGGAGTACGAGCTAATGTACGGCGAGGAAATGCCGACCACACAACTGGTTACACAGCTCGCCGCAGTTATGCAAGAGTACACGCAATCCGGGTACTTTCATTTTTAGTATGGAAAAAAATTTAATTTTCTAATCGAAACTTTTTTTGAGAATTTCGAAAAAAAGTCGAACTTCTTCAGTTAGTCTTTCATTTGCTTAAATCCGTAAATGTTGTCTTCCGCAGTTGACAATTGCTTTTTAACTTGGGAATATGGAATATTTATTGTTTGAATATTATGTAGAGTTACGATAAATATAAATAAGTAAGTTTTGATTAAGCAGTTTTTTTTACAGCGGAGTTCGTCCGTTCGGAGTATCCTTGCTGATCGCTGGTTGGGACAAAGAGCCAGGACGACCACTTCTTTTCCAAAGCGACCCATCTGTACGTCCACCTCACGCTCTCTTTTGTATCAAGTTCGTCCTAGGGCGCCTATTTCGCGTGGAAAGCGACAGCGCTGGGCAAGAACGATGTCAACGCCAAAACTTTCTTGGAGAAGCGGTTCAGTGAGGCTCTCGAACTCGACGACGGCATCCACACGGCGCTTCTGACGCTCCGCGAATCCTTCGACGTTGGAATGAGCGAAGACAATGTCGAGGTAGAGGTCGTTGAGAGTGACTTGTGGAAAACTCGAAAACAGAGATGAATTAAGAACTCAGCAGTTTTATCTGGTCCGAAACAAATTTCTTTGTTTTATGATCTTAAAAAAATATTTCACAATTTTTGTTTGGTTTATTTAAAGATTACTGATGAATCATGAGGTAATTGAATAGTTTTCATCGAATCGCGAAAATGTCATTTACGAAAAATGGATCTCGCTTTCTTGGGATAGTATTAATTATATGCGTTTGATTTCCAGCTGCTTCTCCATGTAGAAACAGTAAGACCTTTAAAACATATATTTTTTCTCAATAATCACGATGAAACCTAGAAAAAAGCAACTTCTCACTTTTAACCATTTTAATCGTCTTATTTTGAGGTCGCGATTTGCAACCACACGGGCTTCCATCGCTTGACAAAACAACAAGTTAAAGATCATCTTGGCACCCTTTAATTTTCTTTTTCCGCTGAGTTGTGGCGAATTCAAACGTGTTTTAAATATTTATTAAATGTTTTCATCTCGGTTTTTTGAAATCAATTCGTTGTTTTATTAGGAGAGACCCGGTTCCCTCCTTTTCAGTGCGATTGTTCTCATCAACGCTATTTATAACTATGAAATAAATTTTTGCTAACTTGGTTTTTTTTTTTCTCAAAAGTATTATGCGGTCTCCGCCCGAAGAGAGTTTCGTTGTCAAACAATTTTTGGAGATTTCATTTTTGTTCAGGTTCTGCTTCATTTCATTATGACAACCCAGCCGAGGTGAGTATATCAAACACTTTCTTTCGAAAATGGTTAAATCTGAGGTTTCTCCCGGACGCTCAAGTTGAAAACATAGCTTATTTTTTCAAAATTTTTTGAAATGTAATCAAAAAGAGTTTCAAGAAAAATTGAAAAAAATCTTTCCAAAATTTCAGATTTATTATTCGTTTTTTTAAATTTGAGTTTTCACTGTTTATATCTGCTTTTTCGTCATCAAATAAATTGTGCAGGTTCGACTGGTTCCAAACGGAGAGCGAGGTGACGTTGACGATTCTGAAGCGCGGTGCCGTGCTCGCCGATTGCAGCGTCTCTTACAACGAAAGAAATTTGTTGGTCCGCCATCAAGATGACGTCATATTCTCTGGTTGCCTCTTGCATAGTGTCAACAGCGAAGAATTCACCCTCTCCTGCACTCCTTCCAAGGTCTGCCTCTCATTAGCGCGCTGTCCTACTGGCTAAGACGCCTCAACGCGGCCAAAGCTTCGCGGGTTCGGTGCCATGCTGTGACGGAATGATGAGTTCTTCGGACAGGTGGAAAAAATCCACTGATCCGAAGGACTTCAATAGGCCGAGTGTTAACGGCTTCAAGTCGTGATGACTAGAAATATTGAGAGCGAATATGTCTGACCGTTTTCCAGCAACCAATAAAGCACCTAAAGCGTACATATTAAAATAGTTTTTTCATTCTTTTTTTGTTTGCAAACTAGTCCCGGTTCACTTGAATTTCTGATCGAGTGACTGCGAATTATCAAATTACTTTTTCAGTGATATTTAGAATGGTTGGCTACTTTATTGAGTTTAATCCTAAACAACTTTTTTCAAGTTTAAGGTGGAGGTGAAAATGCCGAAGAAGACTGGTGTTAGATGGGCTTCGTTGACGGAAACAAAGAAAGTGGAAGATTTTTCGACCCCGGCGACCTCGAAAAAGAACTGGGACGCTCTTGTGAAAGTTGGTTTTTTCTGACATGTTTATAACATGATAAATGCAGCTTCATAAAAAACTATGATGCATATTATCTTTTAGCGCTCTCTCAATGTTTATTCCGTTCCTTGTGTATTTTATGACTAGTTTTCCAACTTTTAAAGATAGACAAATCGGATAATAAATACTATAATTTTCAAAAATTGACCGTTCGACCAATATTTTTTCAACATGTCATAATAAATGGTCATTGGTCGAACGGTTGGATTTTCAACGTTTCAACATTCACTTCAGAGTGACATGTTGGTTTTTGACCGTTCGAAATGTAACTTCGAAATTGGTCGGTCATTTTTTGACCGTTCGAAATTTCATTTCAAAAATTGTTTGATAAATGAAGATTTATCGTCAGAAGCGCTCCAATGAGAAGCATCTAGTTACCAATGTCTGCCCCAGAGGTGGAGGATTGGGAAGGCAGCCCTTGGCTTGGCGGCCAAGTCAAGCCATTTAGCCAAAAGATAGAAATGAGCCATTATTTACGTGGTCTTTGGCAACTAGGTCAAGTACGTGGCGATAACGCCCTGAACTAATCATTATTAATTTTGTGAATTTTGAATTGTTTTATTTTCCGCAACTTCGTGATAACGTTTTTAACTTACTGTAACAGATATTTCAGCAGGAATTTTCACTCCGACGGGTCAGTAGGCTACATTTTCAGGCTCACTAGAATTACTCGGACCAAAAAATTTTGAGATGCCATGAAATTGATGCAAAAGTATTTCTTTTGATTCGACTGTGTTAACCGACTTTTTTCCCTTATATTTTTCGGTTTATAAAGCAACTATTAACATTTTTTTCTATTTCTTTTTGTGTTTTAATCATGAATCAACTATCCACTTTATGTAAAAAGATTTAAAACGAAGAGTTTATCTAGAAAAAAAAGTCGGAAAAGGGTTAGTCGGAAAGTTCCTAAAAATAAAAAATCGTTATGTTCGAATTTTTTAACAATTAAAACTTCTGATTCCTTTGTGTACGCAAGTTCCATACATTGCTCAAAACAAGCGCTTCTAGATGTTAGGGCGATTTCGCCTTACAAATGACAGTCGCGCCACGTTGACTTTTGAAAAAGTCATTTCTGCCTTTTGGGCGTTTATGGCTTGGCAGGCAGGGCGGCCAGTGGGCAGCCATCCTCCACCTCTGATCTGCCCCATGGATAAAGCCCCTCCTCATTTTTTGACGTTCGAAATGTCACTTCGAAAATGTTCGGTCAGTTTCGTAAATTCGAGAAACTGGTCGGTCAGGCGAACGGTCAGAAGAATGACATGTTATAATCGTTCGAAAACTGAACGGTCAAATCAGTTGAACGGTTTAATTGGTCGAACGGTCAAATTTTAGAAAACTAATATATACCCTGCTTATTCATGCTAGCGCAAGCCCAATTGTATTGAGAAGAGCTGCCTTCAAAAAAGGAGGGTGTTTTTGAAGGAAGAAGAAGAGGAGGCAGCCGAGGGCGACGAGGCCATCACCAAAATGTTCCAGAAAATCTACAAAGACTCGCCTGATGACGTCAGAAGAGCCATGATGAAAAGCTACCAGTGAGTTTCATTTCCAATTCTAGAATTTCCATTCATTTAGAGAGTCTGCTGGTACAGTTTTATCTACGAACTGGGCGGAAATCGGCAAGAAGAAGGTGGAAGTTCAGCCGCCAGATTGCATGGAGTACAAAAAGTTTTGAAACAGTGCATGGTTTCAAGGGAAAATAAAAAAAATAAACAGTCATATGAGGCGTCTGAAGCGACGATCACGAGTTACTATATTCATAGTTTTTGATGATAATGAAAATATTCTTCGATCAGTGCGGAGGCTTGTTGATCTAGGGTGCAATTTTTGTCTGTGACATCCTTGTTGACGCTATTTCTTCCTAAATCAAAAAGTGAGAAATTAAAAAAAAAGATCTTACTATCACGGAGGCTAGTGCATCAGCGGTTTTTGGACGAGAAATTGTGACTTCGACTTTACCAAACTTCTGAAAAATATATAATTTAAGTGGTTAAATTGATCGTCAAAACGTTTAGGGCACTGATTAGCAGCCGGCGGCACTGAGAATTGTCGCTGACGTGACTGCCGTTGATTGCCTCGATCTGATCTCCAACTTTGAAGAAACCCATAACTAGCGAGTCTGTAACCAGCCACGTTTTAAAATGCATTTGGAAGGAAGCTAACTTTCCTCCACTTGGCAGACAATGACTCGGCCGTGAACCAACTGAATCCGTAATCCGAAGCGCTTCCCTTTGACCATCATCAGCGTGTCGGTGATCTTCTCGTACCTAAAGTCGCCTTGTCGAATGCATAAACTCGTCATCTCACTTTGGGTCCACGTTTGCCGAAGTCGCGTCATCATCGAATGCGAGAGTCTGCACAAAACACTCACAAACAGAAACAGTTTTCATATTCAGAAAAAAAAAATGATGTGAAGCCGATGAATGATAAATTTAGATCAAAGTATGAGCATTAATCACTAGGCGGGCAAGCGAAAAAGCAAAAAAAAAATCTCGGTAGCTAATTGACAAAATTTTGAAAAAATGATAACAGTGAGTCTTTTTCATCGTGATCATATTAATTTTTAATTCTGATAAGTTTTTATGGCCATGTTCGTTTACGGTTTCTTGCCTTCTCTTCATCAGTGTTGCATCCTTCTCCTGAAAGATTGGCTTTGGGGTCGAGAGTAGGCATGTTATCGCAAGAAATGAAGCATTGAAACAACGTCTTTCCGTTGTATTTCTTCCACTTTTGACGTTTGTGTGCGGACATCATGTTTAGGTCGTGCAAATGACTTAGGAAAGGTGCAAACAACTTGGCGTGATGGTCTAAGCCTCCCGAAAAAGGGCGGTACAGAGCTTCAGAAAAGAGCTGCAGAAGTTGAACACAGAATCGGACATGACTCGCAGTTTGGTCAGTCTCCTCGTTTTATTACTGGCAGAGATTCTGAGCAGTAGACATGGCACGGAGGCGGCGTGCTACCCGACAGGGTCTAACTGCGTTCCGACCTCGCCGTTCATGACCTCCGTCTCCTGGAAGGACTGTCAGCAGTACTGTAACAAGTGCCGTGGCTACGCCGTGGGAGACTGCGTACGCGTCTTCAACGAGTACTGCAAAGGCAACTTTCAGTGCAAGTTGGTTTTGTTTTCTTTCATCAAACTTTCAGCCCGCCTCAAGATTATCCTTTTTTTGATTTTTGAGCTAATTTCGACAAAGGTCAAAGGCATTCGAGTCTCGTAGTTACCTTGTTGTTTCAAAAAAAACAAAAAATATTTAAAGCTATTAGTTTCGAGAAAGTTTATTTTCACCTGTTTTTTTATCAACAATAGTGATAGTCAAGATAGTTTCCAACAATAGCTACGAAAAAAATATATTGTCTTTTTCGCAAGTTTTTTTGTTTTGAGGGTAATTTGCATGTTTCCTTTTTTTCTCAAATGTTCGAAAAAAATTGTTCTCAGAATTAAATATCACTTAAGTTTTGTCGTGCGACATTGTCCTTCCAAAAAAACTATGATTTCAGATGCAAAGGTAACAAGATTCCGCTGACGAAGAATCGACTGGAACTGGCAACGTGCCAGCTCGGCCTCTGAAATCTCTTGCCCTTTCACAGTATTTCCTATGGAAAGTTTCATTCGAATATAAAGAAATGAAGAAAGTTTTGGATCTCCTTTGTCAAGAAAGCACAAAAAAGTGTTTTGTCGGCTCAAACGGTTTTCTTCGTCATGGAAGCTTCGCTCTTTGTCTCCTTATCCTTGTCTACTGCCACGTCGTCTTTGAACTTCTTAGGCTTCTCATCGCGTTGCAAATCCGCCAGGAACTTTTCTCCATTTTTATCTGCAATTATTTTAATGAGAGGAACAGCTTCCTTCTCATTTTGCACAAGCTTCTAGGAAGGTCTTTTTGAAATTTATGCATGAACGCAGAAATATTGTTAGAACAGGTATCGGTCAACTCATCATATTGAGATAAAAACAGTTCATTGAGGCTCGCTCGTACAAAAAAGATCACTGCTATTTCAAATTGAGAACAATTATTCAAGTTCGTTTCAACAAGATACAATCGCTCACTAAACAAGTTTGCCGAAGCAACGAAATTACGCAAAAGGAGAAAAGAAGAGCAAAAAAGATGTAAAAATGAAAATATAAGTGGGAGATTTTTAATTTAGCTACTCTTACCTAGAACTGCGCAGACAGGTTTCACGTGAACGAAGAAGAAAACAAAAAAAGCGGCGATGATGTGAAGCAAGCCGACAAAGTCAACCAGAAGGATGGCCCACCAGGGCGGCATCGGCAACAGCAGTTGCTCCGCGAACTCCGACGGCACCTGCGAAAAAGTTTTTGGCAGATTCGTGATATTGCATATCAATGACCCTTAAGCAAACAATTCTGAAGGAAAGCTTCAGCTGGCTCCTCAGCGTGTATGAGTTGCCCTCAGGCCATTTCCGCCAAACTCACCACCATTTGTCGCCAATTTATCGCGATGAAAGCCGAAATGATTGAAAAAGGAGAAACAATCGACGCGCTCTTTTCCGTCTTCACGTACGTTTTCTAAGCTTCTTCTATGACTTCAAAAAAAATTTTTCCGAAGCTAACAAAATCCTGTAAATCTTTTTCTTATTTTCAGAGTCCCGAAAATTTGCGAGTAATGTCTTTTTCTATTTTCGCTACGAAAAACTTATATAGATTTGAATTCTTAGAAATAGTCTCAACATTTTTAAAACGCCGCCAGCGTCGCGAAATATTTCTTTTGATTCTGCTGCTGGGAAACCTGCCGAGAGTTAATTCAATCGTCACAAAAAACAGACTAACTGACTGTCAAAAACCGTCTCGAAGTCTAATACGTCTTTCAAATATTTAGAATATCAAGAAATTTCAGCTCTAATCTTATTCATTGGAATAATTTCCTGAAAGTGGAAGCGTCCGCACTTTTTGAGATTTCACGCTGATCCTCAACGTCTCTCAATCGCCGCAGACGCGAAAAGTGCCCATAGGAGCTTGCAATTCATCATGTCAGATAAAATATTTGAAAAAGCGGCGATCGAACACAAAACAATTCCTTTTTGAGTTTCCGTCGCTCGAGAATGCTCCGTTGGGACTTCGACTCCCGTCAGCATATTCATTTCGCTACTCAAACTCTTTACTGTGTTTTAGGGCTAGGACAACTTCACTTTCTCACTTAATTCCAAAATTTTTTAAGTTTGAAATTTCAAACTTCCAGAGCTCTTCTTCATTTGGTGCTTTGAGTCGGCTTTTAGCTCTGATTTATTCATAGAGCCGGACTTTGTCTTTCCTTTAAAGCTCGCCTAAATTCTCTTAAATCGTTGTTTTCCCTAAACTCCTTTCTTCATAATTGAAGAAATTAGTGCGATATTATTTCTTAAAATTTGAAAAAAAGCTTAATTTGTTTTATTAACTGCATCATTAAAAGCCCATGAACAATTTGAAAAAGTTCAGGTTATTATCTTTCAAAAAAAAATCGATTGAACATGTTAATCAGTCAGCAATTATTCATTTCTGTTTATCTGAAGACTTGATCTTTTCTTTGTATTGAAGAGCTGAGGCGAAAAAAGAAAGCTTGCAATTCTCTTTGGTAAATTAAATTGTTTTCAACTCTTCACCCAAGAAAATGAAATGAAAAACCCGCGCGGCTTCTTTTTTCACTCTATCTTTGTTCTGCGAGTCCCAAATCTCTTCCTGGTTCGACTTTGAGCCTTGTTGCTTTTACAAAGGGCTCGGGTAGAGCTAAAGTTCAGATGTACGCCGTAGTAACCAACTCGGAGCGTCGTCTTTGAAGAATGGACGTTGTTTTCGAAATGCAATATTTTGCACTTCATAGCAAAATTAAATATCCATGACTTCGTAGAACTCTTAGGAAATGAAAAATAATTGAAGGTTAAACAGAAAAAGGAAAATTCTTATCTAGAGTTTTAAAAGTGCATCAATTTTTTCTCTCAATAGAACTGATGCGATTCTTTCGATCATAAATTCATTTCGTGAGTCAGCTTAGAAAAAGTTGCAGAGCGTAAGGATTCCGCAAATGAATAGTTCGATCCTATCTAATTTTACAGGCGGAGAGTTTCGAGTTTGATCTTTACCTTTTCGCGTTTCACTATAGTCTCCTATCTCTTTCCTGGAGTTTCGGAAATGAGAAGTGTTAATATTTGCGAGTTTGGGACATGGAAATGAAAAAGCGCCTTTGTCTTTCCGAGAGCAATCGCAATTGCTTCCGGCCCGGACGTCGACACTTCCTCCGTTTACTCCCATCGAGGGCAATACTTGGCTTTTGGTTACAGTATATCTCTTTCTCGATGCGATTCAAATATTACTAATGCTCTTTATTATTATTTTTTTCATCTGTTAGAGAGTATTATTAAAAGTTGAAACCTGTAATGTATTTCAGCCAGTTCTTCTCTGGGAAAATTCGCAAAGTCAAGTGACTCTACTGATAGAGAATCTTTCCGTATGAGTCGTGATTATTAACCTCTGATCTTCCGCTACAAGTTACGCGAAGATGAGAACCTTTTTTGCAAAACATGAAGGTAGATCTGATTAAAAATTCAAATCTTTGACACGCATCTACTTCTTCACACTTCTGGTGAGAATTTTTCAAAAATCTCATCCAAAACTAATTTATATGGTGCTCTATACTGGCGCCTTCTCGAACATTCAACCGGTAACCGATAATATCAAAGATAATAAAGAAATGCGAGGGAAGCTCGAAAACTCGAAGGGTCCGACCTTGTCACTGCACTATCGTGCCGTCCACTCAAACACATGTCGTGTGTCTCAGTCGCTTCCTCATACTTTTGCAAGCCCTGCTCTGATCGTTTCTCAGTTATTTTTGGAGATCGTTCAGGGCGTTCTGCCAAGAAGTTTTCGACAATCTCACAAACCCAAATTGACGGATCACGACAAAGAGACAAATTTCATAAAATATCATTTCACTTTACTCTATAGGCTAAAATGGAAAAAAAATGTCAAAGATCCTCTTTGAGTAATAGCCCACATATCAGATTATAGAATCGTCTAGGTCTTTTCTTTCTGTTTTTTTTTTCCAAGAATCCTTGCGATACTCTCTTTTCTGGATTCGCTCATCTGATTTGCCAGTCGAAATTAGTTCAGTTTCCGGGTTGCCAAGTCTCAATTGGCGTTCGCACTAGTCGCTTTCCTTTTCAAGACGCGGTCAGTCGAATTAGGTGCCATTAAAAGTCGTTTTCAGGCCCCAAGCGTATCATTGGCACGTACCCAGAGCTCAACTCTTTCATCTTTCCGCCTCCGTCGCCCCGTTTTTAATGAGTCGAATTTCCAATGGTGTAAATGGGTAGATACTCGCGGGAATTCTCCTATAAGTCTTGGAAAGCACATTTTTCCAAAAGCGTTCAGTGTAGTGAGCCTGAAAAAATCTTTCCCACTTTTTTGACGTTTCGCTGAAAATTTTATCAACGAAGTTGTTAATCAAAGGACTACCGACTAAAAAAAGAAAAGTAATTTTTTGTCTCCATTCATCCACTACATCTGAGTTTCATTCGAAATTATTCCAGTAGATACTCGAAATGGATCTCTCATCTGGATAGGAATGATTATCAATGCTTTTTTCCTGAACCCGCGCCCTTTTTCCTTGAGCTTCGGGAAAAGATCAGCGGTCAGAAGATCGGAAGGACATATAGAGTCCAAACTGTTTTGAAAACGGCGGTCGAACCAGCGCCGTTACAATTTTTATCATACTTTTGTTTTTTTAACGTCTTTCAAATACTTCGAAACCGTACGGAAAAAGGAAAGCTCATATCCCTCTCCAAAACTTTTTTAGGTTGATTTTCCAAAAAAAAAAAGTCTTTGTTTTCCTTCTTGTTCCATCCCGAGTTCCTGTCAAATTTTGAGTATTCAGTCCAGAGGCTTAGTCGTGATCGACGAGACTTTCATTTGCCAACTACCACGCCTCCAACATTCGCACTCTTCTTTTTTTATATTGTTTTCAATCGGTAACTAACAACTGAATGAGAATAATTAATCAAGTTTCAGAGCCCAGTTTATACATAAACCTATTGATCTTTGATCTCACTGTTTAATAAAAAAATGAGTTTTCTAGTGAGATTTTATAGAAAAAAGACGAATTGAATTACAACCACCTGATTGATGTTTGTTCTTTGGGGATTTCGGCGCTTTTGAAATCTCGTAGGCATTGCACTGATTAGTGAAGGTCAATGAGTTTAAAATCAAAAATGATCCGTTCATTTTTCGAGTCTCCACATAGTTCTGCAGGAAAACGACCTCTTACTCGAGAAAATTGGTTCGATTTATAAACAATATGACTTGTTTATGTTTCAATTCGAACGTGTTTGCAACTTCGGGATAATTATGAGAAGAGCATTTTTTCTGCTGGAAATAACTTCTTACACTTTTTCCTTTGAAACTCACAATGAATCCGTTGACTCAAAGTAGTTATCTCGCGATTAGCTTCGTTCCTCTGCTAACCTATGCCCTGAGAAAGCCTTGAATCTAATGCCTCATTTGCCAATTCCTTCTTTAGTTTCTATTTTTTTTTCTTTCGCTAAAAATTTTCACATGCTTTATTTATCATTTTTTCATTTCAAGTGTTTATTAATGAGAGAGGATTTTTTCACTCGTATCGAGAAAAATGCAAAGCAGTTTTTGAACTCCTGTGTAACCCGATAAGTGAGCAGAGCAGCCTCGTTCTCACAGGTGCAGTGTGAATAACGCGAGTCATTCTCGAATATCTCACCCTTCTTCTCGTTTTATTCACTATCAAACTGGTTCGAAATATCTGATAGAAACCGCCGTGGCGCTTATTATGATTTTCTGCCCAGCAAAACAAGAAAACGCCGGCCAACAGTTGCTTTCTCCTCCTTGAAAAAACCCAAGAAAACGACATTTGCTCTACATTACACGTGCTTCATCACTTATTTATCCACGTCTCTACATACATTACATATTTCATCGATTGAGATTTCAATTACTGTTCTAAAACTGACCAGTAAAAGTGGTAAACTCTGAACTAAGGAATTTTTTTCAAATAAATGTGTTAGCTAAAAAAATTTATCGCTTCTTGGTCAGAACGCATTTTTCCAGGAAAAAAATTTGATAACATTGTTTTCAAAAAAGTTATAGGGCAGTATAGGTTATCCTTGAAAAGAAGTTTCAATTATTCAATTGTTGAATAAAGTTTTTGCAAATCGTTTTTGTCTGCGTTATAAGAAACGATGCGTAGAATTCGAATCTTTGGTTAGTTAGACACGCAAATGACAACATTTTTTGATATAATTATAAGTGCATAGCCACATCTAAGCATTTTTCAGCCCGTCTTCTGTTGAATTATTCTCTTCGCCACTTTTTTTGCTCGCGATGATAAGTAAGGGAAACAATCTATCAACTAAGTTTCAAACATTCCATGTGGATTTTCGGAAAAGCTGTCAGTCATTCGAAAAATGTGAAGGAAGAGAGACAACGGCTCTTTTTCAAAACAATAAGTCCAAAGTATAGGGATCTCAAACGATATTTTTGAAACATTTTGAAAATTTTGATTTGAAATTGATGAGACGGGTTATAGAGGTCTTTGAAAGTTTGAAAATTAACTTTCCCCAACTTTTTCCCACTGTTAAAGAGAACTGTGAGGAAACAGAAGCATTTGATCCCGGTTTTTAGGGCGTATCCTCTCGATTTCAAAAATGCGCAGCATTTTTTTCTGAGTTTCTCTAAATTAAATCAGATTTAGAGTATCTTTCGTTGGAGTTAGCCCATTTTATCCTGTTAGCAAAGCTGTATTTTCATCGAAAGTCCCTAGAACATTTCGAAATGAAACTGAGCTCCTGATCTGAAGATCGATGAGATCCCCTGCTTGCCAGACTCTGGAGAAACTCCTGATGGCGGCGGATTCCCAACTGACATCTGACGGCCCGTCGCGCCTTTGATTAAATTCCACGGGCTTGCCGAGCCGTTTACATCCAACAACTAACCGTTTAGGGCTCTCTAACCTTTTTTACTCATGCTCCAAATGCTCCTTGTTTTTGCCTCTTTCGCGAATTCCGATTGCTTGGTCGACATGCTCTTCGTCAAATCTTGCTTTTTTTTAACTCACAACAGTCAATTTTCGTCAAAAAAAAGGGGAAATTTCAAAGGCAAAGCTCCGAAAGATGAGAATACAAGTTCCTTTTTATTTTCTCACGACCAGCTTTGCACACAAATTGAAGTTTTGCGCGTGAAGTCTGAACGAAACTGAAGATAATTTCGTTGGAATTCAGAGCTCAACTGGTGAACCGAGACAGAAGACGTCACTGGAATGAACGAGAGCGATTGGCTCGTCTCCGCCTACCTGCGGACGGCAGACGCCGGCTTCAGTGACGCCAACAAGTACGTTCCATATCGACTTTCTTCTCTTCGAGTAGAGTCTGATTCGATTTTCATTTCACACGTGGTGCCAGCTTTTCAGTGAGCTTTTGATCCAACTACAACTGTTCAAATATCGAAATTAGCTGTAAATAGTTTGCTCTTTTTCCGTTTTCTACTGCTTTGATTTTGCTTTGAAGCTAATTTCCCAAATATTTTCCCGTTTCCGAAGTAATTGTTCTAGAAGCTAACATTGAATGAACGCGCCGGCCAGAACTCTCCAGTCAAACTTTTTTACGGGTTTTCAAAAAGGTTCGAATGAATTACCAGGAATTACCTTTGCAATCAGTTCCATTATTCGGTTATTATGGATAATAATATCTATGTAATAATAATTATTTAATAATAATTATTTATTGACAGATCAGCGTGAACCCTAACGAGTTCATTTGGATCTAGAATTTAAGAGAATACATTATACAGTTATACATCATTTGAGTCGTGGAGGAATATACAAGAAGATCTCGTGCAATGGTAGATTGACCAGTAAATTTTTTAAAGACTTGGATTGGTGGCTGAATTGAAATTTGGAAGTGAGTTTGTTCCAAGTAGGGATTGTTTTAAAGAAAAAATCATTAGAAAACTGACCTTGAGAACGCAGTCGAAGTGGATTTCGCCTTAAATTGGACCTGAGGGCAAAAAGTTCGAACTGGGGAAAATGATCGATACCGAAGACAATTTTATGAAGGGTCAGAATGTCGTATATAGCTCGTCTGAGGTAAAGTGGAGAGATATCAAATTGCTCAAGGCGGTCAGAGTAAGATTCAAAGGATAAGTTGGACCTAATAAATATTTTACGAGAAAAAATTCTGAGAGGAGATTCCAGTTTGTAGCAGAGATCAGAATTAAGGGGAGGGTTAAAAACTTCGGAGCAGTATTTCAGAATAGGCCTTACATAGGTGTTAAAAATTTTGAACAATAGATCAGGTGATTTGGAACGAAAACAGTTGAGTATCTGATTTGAGCGAAGGGTTGCTAATGCCGTGTTCAAAGTAATTTCCGCGAAATGCAAAATGGTCTCTGACCCTCCAAAATTTAGTTATCTTTCTCTTTCTCTGACGGCTATTTTGAATTTCGCGGAATCACTTTGAACACGGCATAAAGAAACGATATTGTTAATGTGAGGAGCGAGAGTTTGTTTATTTTAGTTTTTTTATTACTATGTAATTTGGCTGAAACGATTAACCTCTTCATTTTTTCATTATATGATTTCTAAACTTTGTGAAAAAATTTAATATAACAGCTTTATTTCTTGAGCTGGTCGCCGGATATTTTGACAAGTCGACGTGCTCCAGGTGATTTGAGACAGGTGACAGCCTGATGTCGTATTAAGTTTCATTCGAAGCTCAAAAAATATTAAGTTGTATGTTTTAAGATCAACTTGTTTATATTTTCTACAATTCATTGAGTTTTGAATTTTAAGAAAAAATAGAAAATCAAATTTGAGCGAAAAAAAATCTTAACATTCGAGAATCTGGGGTTTCAGTTTTTTCTGGCTCTTTTGGAAACATAACTTCACTAAAATGTCTTTTGCCCCCGAAGTTTTGCTTTCAGACAAACTGTTATATTCCAACTCACTCATCAGTTCAACTTTCTATAACCTCCAAAAAAAAAACTATAGTTTCGATTCAACTTTTTGGCAGCGGAAAACCTTTTTCCAACAATTCCCAATAGCAAAACCATGGATGGAAAAGCCGTGCTTTTGTTGCAGCACGAGAAATTTTGAACATCTTTCCTATTTTCTGCTGTCTCTCTTTTTGTGCAGTCCGTTCATTTTTCATTCTTCAAAGAAAGTCTGAGAACCCATTTTAAATGTCTTGAATTAGCTCTGCAACTACTTCCTTGAGTTTTTGCATGACGAAGAGAGGGATGGATTTTTCTTTTTCTCTTTCTAGCTTTTTTATATCTTGATATTCACGGACATTTCTTTTCTCACTTCGATGGCGTCCAAAAAGGTGGAAAGGCAAGCTTGATTGGCTATCTTCAATGCGGGATTATTGGCGTTAAATCGGATTAGAGAGCAGTCATTTTTTCGAGGAAACAAAAGCCTTTTCATCCCAGTTCTCCTTGCCGAAGCTTATCGTGTCCTTCTGTCAGTTTGTTCTGCCATTTACTTCGAAGTGTGTCGGGTTTTCAGAAAGATCCTGGAATGTGAAAGGAACTCCCCGAGGGAGCTTCCTGTCTTTTGAACTACGCGTTCGCTTCTTCTTTTCCGTTTCAATAACGTTCCATGTCCTGAGCACCTTCGGCTTTTCACTTTCCTTGATTTCAGTTGCTTGAACTTGCAGGTCACCTGTTTCAATTCTTTTTTTTCTCTCTCAAACACGATTCAGTTCTTCAGAAATGACTCGAGAAAATTGCCCTGGATTCACACGTCTGTCGTCTCAACCTTTTTTGTGTTCCTTGAATTGCAAGCTTTCATCCCTTCTTATTACTTTTTCTGGGTTTTTGCTTCAGGAAGTTTTTCAATCTTCTTCAAAAAAGTAATATCGAATCTTTGACTAAATCTGGTTTCACGCTTTTGGAAGTCCGTTATTGGTTATAGGGGAAAAAAAGGCGAATGAGGAAGTTTTAACAAAAAGCACGAGGATCGGGATGTATGAAAAATGAAATCAAAAGGAAAATGGAGCGAGGAGAATCTGAAAAAGGCGGGAACCAGTAAAAAGTGCCATAGCTCCAAAAGATATAGTAGTTTGAATAAATTAGAAATTCTCTTCGTCGTGGGACTTTTGCATGGCCAGACGTCTTCTAATTTCTTACTTCCTCACCTCGTCCAAATTTTCTTTTTGTCGGTTCTGAATTGCCACCTCCGCTAGTTTCACACCTTTCAACTTTCGCTCTGTGGGGGAAAAAAAAAATGGATTTTTGTAGCGAAACTGCCGTGTCGACGTCGGCGCCGATGGGGACGGTGGTGCAGGAAGAGATCTGCCGGTTTCGGGCCACCACCGAAAACTTTGTCGTCGTCGTCACCTTCATCGTCATATTCCTGCTCTCTGTCATCGGCAACTCCCTCGTGCTTCTTGTCATACTCAAGGTGACGTCGGTCGGGCTGTCTCCCGAATGACCTTCTGTTTGCAGCAACGAGCGATGAGGTCCATCACCAACATCTACCTGATGAACCTCGCTCTCACCGACATGATGCTCTCCGTCGTGTGTATGCCTCCCACTCTCGGTAACTCTTGTCATCTTCCATTAGTGTTTTCATTCAAATTCCGTGTAAAATCTTCACTCGAATTCCGTGTAAAATCTTCACTCGAAGTGGTCGCTCTCATTCTGAGGCTTCCACCTAGAGCACGGTCTCCGGGCTCCAGCACAACATCCGCTACATTCTGAGCTCGTCAAGGCGCAACTGGATGAACTACGCGCAGAAGGACGAGGCGAAGGACCGTAAGACCATGCTTTCTACTGTTTCGACTACACGTTTGGACTTCTAGTTCGTCAAAGGCGGTTGTTCGTTATAGCTTTGAAAGTTCTTGTTCACCGCCTAGTCGATACATCTATGAGTAAACCAACAAAATAAATGATTTGATTGATTTGATTGAACTCTATTTCAAATCCGATTTAAATATCAAACTGTTTTTGTAATAAAGGAACACATTTTTTTATTAGGCGAGGCGTTTTTTTCTTTGTATGAGTAATTATCATAAAGAAGCATTCTAAACAATCAAACTCCTCATAATTTTTTTATTTTTTTCATTCGGTTACAACTCTCCCTTCGAAAAATTATATCCATTAAATAAAAGCTCCGATTTTTTTATTGATATTTTTTTACTTCTTCCGAAAGTTTTTTTATCCCTTGAAATTTATTTTCTAATTTAAAAATTGAAAAAAACGAAAAAAACCCTGTTATTTTTTTTATTCGGACAGCAGCCGCCATTAGCAGAGTGATCAGAATTTCGAAATGGATTTTTAAGTGTTTCTCAAAGCTGATTTGACAGTTTCGATGGTGATGAACTGCTGGATGTTTGGCAGCTTCGGATGCAAACTTTTCGCCTACCTTCAACGTGAGAGTCTTTGCCGAGATACCTTTCATCCGGAGATTTTCAGCGGTCGTCGTGACGGCTTCAGCCTACACATTGGCTGTGATCGCTTTCGAACGATACTTTGCCATTTGCCGACCTCTTCATTCCAGGATTTGGCAGACTCGGTAGGAAAGCAGTTGTATTCTCAGGGAAGACAAGGACTCCAGGTCGCACGCGTACGTCATGATCAGTTTGGTGTGGACCATATCGATACTGGCCAACGTGTTGATGCTGTTCATGTATGAGCAGCAGGTGTACAACTCCAACGGCATCACTTGCACGCCGATCCACGCCCCCATCTACCATTTCGCCTACCAGGTTCTTCTAAACTTTAACTGAAGGCTCATTTTTTTCTGGTATGGATAAGTATGATAAATGTTGAGTTTGAAAATTTTTCCATTTTTCTGTTAGGCATAGGGGCAGTAAAAACCGGTGTTTCAGTTCAAAGCAGTACTTTGTAGAGTTTTTCAGTGCGAATCGAACGTGAACTTGAAAACGTCTTCACTGAAAAAGCAGTAGTCTAAAAAAAAAAGAGGAAAAAAGGAAGTTGGAGTTCCAGTTTTTTGCAAACAATTCTGTAAAGGGTGAGAAAAGTATATTAAAAACTTTGATGTAAGTGAAGCTTGTTGGAAAAAAAAAGATTCAGGTTTACATGACGGTTGTGCTGCTGGTGATTCCCCTGGTGGTGATGACGGTGCTGTACGGCTCGGTGATCAACTCTCTGAAAGGAGGCATTCGTCTGGAGATCGCCGCGGCCAACGCCGACAGCCTGGCCGCCGAGAACGAGAGTCAGTGTCCTCGCGTGCCGTTACAGTACTCCCGGTCGCACCAGAACCTCGGTGGCGGCGACTGGTTGAGTCCTTTTCCGCGCGCCGCCACCCACCTCGACCTCGTCGAGTCTTGTGCCGTGTTGCAACAGCATCCAGGTCTTGTGCATGTCCCATTTTTTGTTATAGTCACCATGTTTCGTTTTCAAACTCTCTGCAGGGGATTTCGATGAGCAGACAAGGAACTCGCGGCAATCCTGTTTGAGAAAAATCCATAGTGATAGGCTTCAAAAATACTCAAAAATTTTATCTTGGCAATCGTTATGAATATTTAACAAGCACTCTAATCGAAAAAAAAAACTCATCCGGTCACTGTTTGCCAAATTCCTGATTTTGAAAATCGAAGGGATAAGAAACGCTTTCTCGTTAACATTTCGAATATTTGTTTGCACATATAGCTATATTTTCACTTTTTCGTATTTAAGTTTTATTTTTTAAGTTCTTCTCGAGTTTCTCTACTGGTTTTGACTAGCCACACATATTATGAGTATCCACCTTTTTTGGTTTTATTATCAATTTTTTTTTTGATTTTGGTTTTTAGTCTCCTAAAGGAAGTCTCTGAATCGTCAAGTTTTCGTGACAATAATTTTCTGTTTCAACTTTATGTGTTTTTTGTTCGCTTCAAAGTGGTTTCATGGTATTTGAGTTTAGTTTACTTTCATTTTCGGAATGATATGCATTGGTTTATTTGCAGCGAGTACGGACGACGAGATCTTGGAGAACCGGAAAATGTCGTTCATCCAAAAACTGACGCAGAAGTTCAGTTTGCGCAAAGATTCTAACAATCCCAAGTAAATTTTGTCAATAAAATATGAAATTTGGGCTTTTTGTATTTTTCTTGAAGCTGTATTCTCATCGAGAGAACTTTCAGAGCGAACTTGGCCCACCGAAGGAGTGAAACTTCGATTTGTATGGACGGCAGCAGTCTCCGTTCCACACACAACCAAAAGTCTGCGATGGCCAAGCAAAGAGTTATCAAGTTTGCTTTTCGCTTCATTTTCTTGAAATGACCAATTCTTCAAATTGAAATCTTTTATCGAAGAACATTTTGGGTTTGCAGAATGCTGATAGTCGTCGTGATCATATTCTTCTGTTGCTGGACGCCCTCCTACATTTGGTGGCTTCTGCTTATTGCTGGAGACTCGTTCCAAGTGAGTTTCTTGCTCAGGAGCGGACGATAGGTCAAGTCTTCAGAGCCTCCAACTTTCCGTTTGGAACTCCGACGTCAACACCTTCATCACGTTGCTCACCTACATCTCGTCCTGTACGAATCCCATAACATACTGCTTTTTGAACAAGAAGTTCCGCAACGCCATCTATACAATGTTCGGAAAGAAGAAGGTCCTTCGAAATCATTTCCAGAAGGTACGTTCTTGTGTTTCTCTTTCTCTTGCTGTTTTTTGTGGTTGTTGAAAAGACGCTTGTGTACATGAGGAAACTCAACACTAGTTTAGTATTCAGGTTTATGAGCAGTCCGGAACGAGAAAACCCAAAGAGTAACTGTCAGTAATACTATAAATATCCATAGTTGACTAACCCGTTTTCCTGAGAGAAACCCAACCGCATCAACTTGAAACTTGCTGTCTGTGATGAGATGTTCAGCGTGATAGTTGTGCCGTTTTGCAGGTGTACATGCCAGTGAATCTGACCTCGAAAAAAGTCGAGGACAGGACCCCGATTAAAAGGTTTGCTTCTTGTCCTTCGGCAATCCTCTCCGAGATATTTGCCTAACATTTACATTAACCATGATTTTCTTCGAAGATAACAACTAGACGATCTCATTGATACGTTTCGGCTTCAAGAACTCAAAAGTTTTGGAATGTCCATTAGGGAAATTAACCTTGCTTGTAGCTGTTAACATGTTATTAGCTTCTATGCAAGTGATCTCATGTCGCAATTTCGATTGGCCTGAAATTTTCGAGGAAACTGTGTACAGGGTGGTCCAAAAGTATTGTCGCATATAAAAATAAAAGTAAATTTGTGCAGACGCTATGGATTTTGCTGAAACTTTTTGAGTCAGACTGACATGCACTATAGATAGATAAAACCAATGAAAAAAGTTTCTATTTTAATTCATATGCGTGAAAAACGATTTTAAACCATGTCGTCCGAGCCTGCCGCCGCACGCAGGGGTCATGTTAGAACTTTAATTTTTTTAAGGTCTCAAAAATTTTTTCTGGAGTGGTCAATTTGGGCATCAAAGGTCCACACTTAAATTTCATAATACTCAAAGATGAAGGGCTACGCGCTCACAGCTTTTGAGATTTTGCCTCTCTTCCAAAACGTCAGGCTCCGGCGAAAAATGACCTTCCTGACGCTTTTTTACGTTTATGCTTCTAGATTTCCTTTTGATAAGCCCACTGGATTGAAAGTTGGCATGAAAAATGATAAGAGGTTTCTAAAAACATTTATCTTTTTGATTTATCTGTGTTGCACTTCTGGCTCGATTACCATCAAGAAATCTTCGGCAGACCCACACGAAATGATCGAACTTAGAAAAGTCCTCATAAGTCAGCTTTCCAAACGTTTTGATTACTCATCTTTTGCAATCTACACCTTTTTATCAATGAGACACATAAAGAAAAAAGAGTTATAGAATTTAATTCTACGAGAAAAAAGGAAATTTTTTTTTCGCAACGGACTTTTGAGCTGCGTGCCAGCAATGTCAATTTTTGGTCTGTGTCAGCCAGACAAAACTTGCTGTTATTTGTGTGCACCTCAGCCAATTTAGATGAAATTTTCGAGAGACATAGAAGAAGGGACTAGAATGCTACAAAAAAAGTAACTTTTGTCCAAAAATATTTTTACTTATTAAAATGACCTGTTGTTTTATGCGACAATACTTTTGGACCACCCTGTAATCGAATTATCGATTTTTAGTTTCTTAATTCCACATTGCAGGTCGATTTCTACGAATTGCAATCCTCAACTTCAGGTCGTTTTTGAAAATGAACCTGTCGGTCAAACAGTGAGTTATTCAACTGTTAAATTATAAAATACAGAACTTCTTTCTACGCCTTTATTTTAATTTTTGAAGTTTTCAGGCGGATTCTGCATTTTTACAACAAAGCGACCAAAAAACGGCAGATCTTGATTCCTGACACTCTCGTCTTGGTTTCTGAACACCACACAGTGCCCTTGAGTTTTTTACGACGTTTAGTTTCTTATGTTTTCAGCCAACTTCACTTCGAACTCATTGCCAAAATTTGAATCAAAAATCTTTTTTTTTCCTATGATCAGTTGGAAATCGGCAAATTTGCTTGTCTATTCATTTTCTTCATGTTATCAAACGGGTCCGACCTCTGTTATGTACAGAGTTATGTTGTACTGGTAATTCTGCAAATTCAAATAAAAATCTTTAACTCTCTCTTATTTACATCATATATGATTCAAAAAAGAACTCGTGTTGGAAAATGCTTCTGTATGGGAATCTCGAAATTAATGTACGCGTTTTCAAAAAAAGGATGAGGATGGATAGAATTTTCACAGGTTCTGGACTCGTATGTATTTTGGAATGGGCGGCTTCGTCCTTTCAAACGTCGATGTTGAACACAAAGGTGTAGAGTTCATCGACAACTGCCAACGCTGCAATATTCTTTTTCTGGACGCATTTGGCAAACTAATAACTCTCGTATTTTGATCATTTTTTCTTTGAAAGAGAGGAGGAAATGAACCAGCACTGACATTAATAACACAATAGTTTTTTTTTTCAAGTAAAAGCTTATTTTACGGACCCTCTTTTACAAGGAAAGCCCTTTCTGCATGGCTTCAATCGTCCTGATGTCATGAATAAATACGTCTGACAGATTGGGTGACGTGTTTGGAAGGCTCCGGCAAGCGTGGCGCATAGAGAGGACCAAATAAGGAAACGCAATTTCTTTCAAATCGATAGAGCCTAAAACATCTAAAAGCCGAAAGTTTTTTTATGCATTGTAGTGTTTTTTTTTCATACAGTTCAAAATTCTCTGACCCGCAAGTTTTTCCCACCCTCCTCTTCGGATCAATAAAAGCTATTCGCACCTTCAGACTGAGAAGAAGCAACGAGGAATCGGATGAGCGAGTCCGTGAGCAGGGCCAGGAACTTCATGTTCTGCGCCGTCATCATGTAGAGACCGTCGCAGTAGGGACAGTACTGTCGAACTCCGCGGCGACTGACTGAAAGAGAACAAGGTTCTGGAGGCGGCGGGAGGACAACTAACGCGTGTCGGAGACGTAAATGGTGGGGATGTCGAGATCCTGCTGCGAATGGAAGAAAAAGGAAGAATGATCGGCGAAAAGGTAAGGATGCATCCTGATGATTATTTCTTGTTTTTTTTTCGTAGGAACCACACTTTTCGAATAAATTTTCTGACTTCACACTTATCTTCAGACGAAATTCAAGTAAAATTTTCAAACTGGAAATATCAGAAGCATAAAAAACAGGCATTTTTTTCTTTGAACCATAAAAATGCAAAACGGGCAAAACTAGAACATTTCTTGAAGTTTTCTACAAAATTTGCGAATTAAGATAAACTATGAGAGTTCATTTTAACAACGCCGTTTCTGCATCAGCAAACCGTCTTCGAAAAAGTTCCCAACTGACTTGTAGAGTCCGTTGATGGAGGAGGCGTTTCGAATGTGGAGCTTCACTGGCAGAAGCCAAGGCTGGAACTGCCAGTCGGAAACGAGCATCTCCGTCGCCATGCTGTAGGCCATCGAGTACCTGAATGAAGGCTGACTCAAGCAAAAAGAGCAGTGCCTACTGCTGGAAAACACCGTCGTCGATGTGCGTCCTTGACGTCACCTGAATGAAATCACCCATGTGGCTGTGCTCGTGGAGAAGTCGTGCCGCCTCAGGGAAGTCCTGCCAAAAAAGAATTGCTTAAGAGAAGCTTCACTATTAGTTAACTGAAAATTTTAGAAATAGTCTCGAAAAACAATAGAAAGAAGAACGAATATAAAGCAAAAAATCGATGTCTGAGCTCATTCTCCATTTTAGGCTCTCTAAAAAAGCTTGGATGTCCAATTCTAAATGTAAGAGATCTTTCAAAAAATGTAAGAGAACTTTCAAAAATGTAAGAGACCTTTCAAGAAAAAAAAGATTCCAATTTCTTGCATTCTGAGATTTTCAGGATCTTCCTTTATTTATTCAACACCGAACTATACAAACAATTCAAGGACGAAGAGATCACTAATAAAACTAATCTGGAGAGAAGGGACTAAAAAGCAAATCAAGGACATGAGATCTGAAAAAATTGTCTACAATGTCTTTTTTGACAGTAGATGGAACGATTCCCAAATTGCAAAGGCTTATTCGATAATTTTAGGTCTTCCAAGGATTTTTCCAGTAAAACTTTCGAGATAACTCTGAAAAAGAACCTCTTCAAAGCCTTCGGGGACGGCTTGACTGGCCGGAAACGGGTCGAAGTGCAGCATTCCGTCGACGACAACAGCTCCTGTGACGCTGCAATTGCATCTTCCCAGAAGCGGAATGAGCACGTCTTCGACGAACGCGTGGCTTCCAGCCAAAGCCTGAGCAAAGTCCGGTCCCACTATTGTAATTTCGGTCTTAATGATTCGCTGCAATGAAAGGCAGCATTTTTTAGTTGAAAATTTATGAGTAAAAATGTTCGAATTTTTGAATTCCTAATCTCGGCAATCGACGCTGTCCTGTGCTTTGGTTTTTTTATACTTTCCAATATTAATCACCTCGAAGTCTCAAATATTTAAAAAAAGTAACTTATATGAAGGTTTCTTTTTGAAAAAAAAAGATAATGATAAAAGCAGAAAAGAAAGTTGAGAAGCGCGAGAAGTTGAGGAATGAAAAATAGACAAACCTTGTGTTTCATATCGAAGAATGCATAGAGAATCGTGTACTTTCGTAGGTACAGAGAGTCCAAAGTCGACAAGATCCTTGCTGCCTCTATCACTGCGGCGACTCCCGAACCGTTGTCATCGACGCCTGAACTTGGTTTGTTCATTTTCTAACACTATCTAATGAAAGGAATAAATTACCAAAAATCTTTACTTTTTTCTTAGAAAGTCTCAATCTGCTCAGTTTTTATGAAAATATTGCGTAGAAACATAACAAAATATTTTGTAAAAGGACGGGGACTACACATAGGGGACATGCAAGCTAGCTTTTTTTTATTGCGCATTTTTTTTTAGCTTCTTTCGTCTCGAGCTCTCGCTGACTGGCGGCTGCTTGAATCTCGGACTTCGATCGCTTTGCAATTGGCCTTGCAGTTGTTCTCTCGGCGGCAACGACTTTTATTTTCAATATTTTAATTTAATTTTTAATTTTAGCGAGTGGCGGCTGCGGTTGTTTCAGCAGAGCTGTGGGGTCCGCTCCCCGCTGCGTCGACTCTTGCGAAGCGCTTATATAACCCTCTAGGACGCTGCGCCCGACTTGCGATGGCTTGCGCTTCACGGCTTTCCTCACGGTTCTTATTTGTACTCTAACCGCTTTTTTAAATCCTGTTTTTTTTTACTTTTCTTTTCGATTTGTTTTCGAATAACTGTTTCTTTTCTTTTTCTTATTTATTTCTGCTATTCTACATATTTCTCAAGTCTCACCCAAGATATTTCGCAAAGTATTAAAAAAAGAGTTGAAAACACAAATTTTTTTTTCAAAATGCTCTACTCTACGATTTTATAAACTATTCATGCAAATGAAATACTCAGAACCTTATTTATTGTTTTGGATTAATCCAAAACATCGATTTGATATGTAATGACAATTGAAAGTCCTATTCATAATTTGGATGATTTTTTTTTTTGAATTGTTGTTTTTTTCCCGATTCATATGTGGTATATGACTTTTTTATTTACCTTTTGCATCAAAGTTAAATTTTAAACTGCTTACCAGATCGAGTCCTTTCATAAAAAAAACCGATATTCGTGGTTTTTATTTCTCAGGGAATAGTAAATTTCAGCGCTTTTATATCAACTACGTTTTTCATTGTTAAAAGTTTCAACTTTTCCGCAAAACCCACCTGGACTGTTCTCTAAAGTATCATAATTGGCTGTTAAGACGATTATCCGGTCCTCCGATGTTCCGAAAAGGTCGCTTTTTTGCACGGCGATCACGTTAGCTCCAATCTCGTTCTGCAAAACGATGACCAAAAAATAAAAATAAAACCAGAGCGACACTTTTTTTCTTCTTTACAGCAAAAGTTTCATGTTCTCACTTATGATCTACATTCCTTTTTTTATTTTTTTCTGCCCGTAGGGCACTGATTTTTCGCTGAAAAAATTTATAAATATTTTCTGTTCAGTTTTTGAATGTCAAGTAGCTAACTTCGCCTCCAAGGCTACAAAATCTTTCGCGTCAATGTTTCATCTCCAGATGACGATGAACCTGTAATGTGGCCGCATTTTTCGACTTCTTTTCCTCTCAGAACAAAAAAAGATCAAAAATCATCCCGCGCGATAAAACATCGAGGTGAAAAGGCACTGTGCCAGCAGGGGCGGAGTTAGCTAGTTATTATTTAAAATCTGAACAGGCTATAACAGATTCATCTTTTCCTTCAATTTCGTGCTAAAAAACTTTTTCCAGCCTTTAATCTTGAGTCAAAATTTGCTATAGTCTGTTCAGATTTTGAATGTCAAGCAGCTAACTCCACCCCCAAGGCTACAATATCCTTCGCGTCAATGTTTTATATCCAGATGACGATGAACCTTTAATAATGCTGCATTTTTGCACTTCTTTTTCTATCTTTTAGATCAAAAAAGATCAAAATTAGTCCCGCGCGATAAAACATCGACGCGAAAAGGTACCGTCTCAGCAGGGGCGGAGTTAGCTGGTTGACATTCAAAATCTGAACAGACTATATTTGGTAAGAAATTGCCCGGTGCGCACAGGTCTCCGCGCGCGTAACGCGTAACGATGAAATGATAAAATAAAAATAGAATTTGAAGACAGTCAAGGAAACTTGGCTCCAGATCTGTCGACAGCCAAGCTTCCCTGAATTTAGAATGAACATACGGTTTCTTCATGAATGAATGTGTGAGTCATGGAAGGAAGTCCGACAGCTTCGAGTGCTATTTTTATCGCGTTTCTGGTCACTTGCTTTTCCGTCTCATTGTACCTGCACTCTTTTATTTCTGAGAAATCCTCTGTTACGAACCTGGGGACGGAGAGGAACTTGGAGAGGTCGTGTTGGAGGCGGTCGAGGTCCGCAATAGTGTTGGCCCCTCTCGAAGCCGTCACCCACGTTATCAACAGACTCAGGAGCAACATTTGAAGGTCTCCGTTGAACTTCTTACTCTGAGATAACATATATTTTTCCACAAGGACTATATGAAGGACGACCGAAAGAGAATGAATCTTCAAAAACTAACTTTAACTAGAGAGGCCGTTAAGTTTTTATAAGGAATTTTGTTGAGCGACAAAATGAAGTGATTATACGAGTTAACACATTAAGCGAAATAAAAATTCAATTGTTTGACACATTTATAGATTGAGTTCATAAATATGAGACATAGTTTAAAAAAAGAAAAGAAAAAAACCCGATTGATTCCAAAACTTAGCTAATTATATAAGTCAGAAGCTTTATACAAAAATTATATGAAAGATTCGTGAGAATGGTTGAGAAAGGAAGAAGGCAGAAGCACGTTTCCGAAGCACGACTGGCGGCGGAAACGGGTCCGATGGCTTGGCATCGGAACATCGGATCGGAACACGAGGCCTTGGAGCCCCCAAACACTTTGAACTCGCGACAGCTCAATGCCGGCCACATCCGCCCCCTGGACACTATTTGCGGTCAAATATCCGTTATTTTTGACGCAGCTCGGCCACCGGTTTTTAACGAACTATCACTTTGACCCTGCTTGCTTGTCCCCACTCAAACTCTTTCTGTTTTTGTCAACTCGTGTTTTTCTGGCCTATCTTTTCTGTTTGCTTTTTCTCTTTTTAGCTTCTTCGACTTCGCTTTTTTTATTATAGCCCATGAAAAAAAAAACTTTTATGCGTCTTTTTCAGGCCGTGAGATTTAGATTTCAACGAGAAACCAGTAACAATCACAGATGCTTTATCAGATTTCCACAAAAGAAATATACACGAGTTTCCAAAATTAAAAAATCTTATGTTGAAAAGATTAGGTTTAAAGCTTTTTTTTTGAAAGAAACACTTTTGAGTCCTTCGTAAAAATAGCTCGAAAACTGAGATCCTCATCACCCGATTTCTTTCATACTGACTAATCTTCACTCTTTCTCACAAGAATATTCAAATCTTGGTAACGCGAATCGGACGTGACGGGGCATTTTAGTGACCACTTTAGTAGCATGATCACTCTTAAATGAACGATAGAATCGCTTAGAAACGCCCGGTTTTTGTTACCTAGGTCCGATTATAAATATTTTGGTCATTCAATCTGTCATTAATAGTTTAGGTGAGTGAGAAAATTTGAAGGACAGTCAGAACACGTTTTGGCAAGTGAAAAAACATTGGAAAATTATCTTCAACGTCAGGATTCCATGACAGGAGGCTCTTTCAGATAATACGTCCAGTAGATCACGTTGAACAGCGCGAAAACGACTGAAAACTATTTTTGTCAAAATTTGTTTGGCAATTCGTTGAAAATGAATTTATTGAAACAACTGTCAATTTTGCCGAGCTCCAGCAGTTTCTAGATACATTAAGTCGTCTTTAATTTCAAAGAAACCTAAATTGAAAAAAAAAACTAGAATACGTAAACCTAAAGTTGAAAAAAAAATTAAAATACAGAGAATATCAGAATTAAAATTCCCATACTGTTTCTTTCCATTTCTGTACGAATACTCACAAGGAAAAGCGAAACGCGCAGCCTTGTCGACGGCAAGAGCCTTCCGAGAAAATCCCAACGCTCTGTACATGAGATGAGCCGCGTTTTTGTTCACGTGTCCGTAGTATTTTGTCGGTCCCTCGTCGTAGTCGCTGTCAACGTCCGCCGCTGAAAGAAAATCGACTTTCAGAGCCAGAGAAAATTTTCGTTTTAACAGAAAACTCGGATCGGCTCCAAGCTAATCTTCATTGTAAAGTTGCTATATACAGCGGACTTTCCGACTTTAGGAAAAGCTGAATTTTCATTTCCCTTAAATGAGGAAGCCTTTCTAGGAGCATTCCCTTCCTGAAATTTTGTGTGGTCTCTAAAATTGGTGGCTCAGCCTTGGCTCTTAAAAACTGCTGACGAAAAGGGTAATTGATATCTGTGAATATTTTCAGCGCTTTTCCTACGCGCGTAAATGCATTTCATGACTTCCAGAGCGAGAAACCCACCAATCAAGGGTTTTCCGCCGAAAGAGCTCTGCATTTTCTCGGCCATGTGATTGTACTTGTTGGCTCTCCGCATGTAGCTGTTTACCAGGGCGAACTCGAGCAACACGCCGAAGATGAACAACATGCATACTGAAACTGGCGTTTGGCTGGTTGGAACGACGCCTCCAACCTCCGTAGAAGTAGTCGATGGCCTTCGCGTAGGACACCGCCGGCAGGGCGTAGCGAATTCCGTTTCCCTGAAGTTCTCCCCAGTCACACATTTGTAATTTTCAAAGACATTCGGTCAGAAAACGTTTAAAACCTGAGTGCTCAGAGTGAGCAGAGTGGTGAAAGACAAGGAGACGCGAGCCGGAACTGCTCGGCGATCGATCCAGAAACTGACCCACGATATCGCCACGATCAGCGCTGTCGGAATGTAGCTCTAGATTTATAAAAAATAAAAAAAAACAATTCACTTCAGTGTACACCTGGACGAGGTGGAATCCTATCGCTCTCTTCAGATTGAGCAAGCCTTGAAGACAACTGAAGTCTCCTATAAAGTTCAGAAGCTGATCTCGATTAAGGTCATTCCCATGAGGTGTGTCGTGTTATTCAAACGATCGAAACTTGTGTCGCTGATCGAAAAATAAAACTAGCAGTTTTTTCATCGAGTTTTAGAGCCATTGAGCGTCAAAAACAGTGTTACTGCGGTCGGTGTAGGGACTCAATAACTTGAGATTCCAGCATCTACCTCTGCGCGAAGAATTGTGTGTGAGAGTGTAGAAAAAGGTCCCGTTGCAGTAGTCGTCGTCGAGGGAACGAATGTGGAACTCGGGAAGGTCGATAGCCGGATTGAAACGGATAGGGTCATCTGGAAACCAGGTCACGTTCATCTCCTGGCGCACGTGTGCATCTAAAATATAAGAGTGTGTTTTTATGAACTTCTTTGTGAAAATGATTTTTTTTCTGGAACACTCGTTTCTTGGAACCTGTTTTGAGGTTCTTCAACACAGCGGTTTCCTTGAAATGAAACGAAATGCACGCTGCTAGTTAATTTTTCATTTTTTTTTTCGTTTTGTGAAGCGATCTGAACCTCAATCTTTTTTTCACAGATTTAAAAAAAATTAAGATTTTTGTTTTCAATAGCATTTCTCTCAATAGAAAAAAAAAATGAATGGTCAGAATATTCGGTCAGCTATTTTGAAATCACAACATTGCTCGAAGGTATATTCCAAGCCAACGTTGTAGAAATGCTCGATTTCCGAACTTTTTTAAGAGGCTGAAAAAGGGTGCGACGCGACAAACAAGCGAAGAAATTAAATTATTCCACTGGAACGCCTTTGTTAGTACTGGAGTGTCCAAAAAAAGTCATTTTCCTTGAGAAGACCCCATGGGAAAGCCGACTCACAGCTGATTATTTTGATGAAACAAGTTTGGTAGTCCAGCGGATAGTCTTGCAAGTCCAAATTGCAGGCTGAAAAAACTTAAAAATAAACATGGACTGAAAGATGCTCACCAAGATTCAAGGTGACCCGCGTTCCATAGGATATCGTTCCGGCAGGGGATATAAACAGATTGAAGTTGTGCACTGTCACCTGAAGCTGATGCTTTCTTTACTGCATTAAAGAGTAATAAATCGAAGAAAATTGGAGCGGAGAATCCTGAGTTAGTAGTAGTGTGAAAGTGCGCTTCAAGGTTTAAAAAAAAACTCGACGTTCGTAATTTCGTTGGTGAAAAAATGAGCTTGCAAACTGAGTAGTTTATCCACTTTTGAAAAGCACTTTCGTTATTCTAGACACATCAGAACGTCATTGAATTTGTGATTTCATTCTAAGGGAAAATGCTTCGGAGATTACTTCGAACATTTCGTAACAAAATATGAAAAACGTAGCTAAAAATTTGAAGAACAGACTGTTTTGCCCTTAAGGTTATCATCGATCCCTCAAATAAATTGACAGCTTTTATAGCCTTTCAAATCATACTTTTTTCTCTTGTGTCGTTGTGAAATCTACTCTGAAGCGGTCTGACCTTGTGGAAGTAGGCGGTTCTGGCGTTGGCAAAGTAGAGATCCGGAAGCCACATTCGGTCGAGGATGTCCTTGTCTGGAAAGTCGTCTGATGTCTATCATCTGGAGACGTCTAACAACTGAGAAAACCATTGATTAAGATGTGATCGGTGTGATTGTGCCGTAGGTCGTTGTCTTGCCAGCTCATGTACAAGTACAAATCCATATCATATGTCTGAACAAGGAAAAACGTCTCCCAAAAAAGAGTGAACTAAACCATTTCAGTAGCACGAAAGTTGCCCAAACTTTCAACATAAAAACCGACGTAAACCCTTAAGGGACCACTTTCTCCGTTCGTTGGCATCGGCTTTCGTTTGAGCATTTCGAAAACTTCGTTTGCCTCGGTCCAACATGATCTGAACTTTTCATTCAAAATACAAAACTCCAAAAATGGAGAATGAATAGCTTTACGTCCTTGAATTTTACGACTTATACAAATAAAGAGAATTTTTTTGACCGTTTGCTGAAAACTTTAGTGAATTCTCCTTCTCCGAATAAGTCTCATCAAAGCATAAGCATAATTCGAAAAAACAGGATCAATAACGAAGATTATTTAATCATTTTCATCCTCGTAAAAAAACTTGAATTTAAAATTCTTGAAGCATTTTTCAAAACTCTCCAGCTACAGTGTTTGAAGGAAAATACCTTTGAAAACAACTAAAAACAAAAACAAACAGCTAGAGTTTCGGAGAGCTGCCAGCTGCTATTTCACTTCTAAAACATCCTCATACTTTTCCTCGTATTTAATGGATACTTTAAAATGAGAAAAACCTACAACAAGATGAGAAGAAGGATGGAGAAGGCCGACTTCATGTCGAGAACGTTGCGGGTGTCGACGAGGTTTGGCTGCAGCAGCGAGACTTATTCCGGGGGCGGGGCCTCTTTCGGACGCTCCCTGTCTGGCTCGAAGGCCGGCAGCCAGTTTTCTGCGCTTCACAACTCCGTCGTAATCAAAACCTAGCACAATATTCTCCGACAGAGAGAGAGGAGGAGATGTTAAAGTGAGATGGTGACCTTTTGGGAGCAAATTTTTTGTCTCAGAGAGACTTTTTGATTTTTGATCTTTTTTTCAAAAACTGTAACTATAAAACCTTAGGTACCTGAGGATGTAACACAAGAAAGGCGAAACCTCTACCTAACGACAGGAAGCCCTCCTAGTACCACTTTTCAGTGAAATGATGAGCACTTCATTCAGGAGCACTCAGGCCAGAAAGTTCGCAGAGAAATATATTCCCTGGAGAAGCTCACAAGAAAATATCAAGGAACACGGGGGCCTTTGGACTCTCTCGAGCCGTTTTCACATCATTTGCTGACGTTCACGCCCACACGATATACTCTGGACATATCAAACTTTCAAAGTTCATATTATTAATGTCGAGGCAAGTCGACTTTTGGCATCTCGCGAGAGAAAAAAATTTCAAAAATTATTGAGTTTATTTAACAATTTAAGAAAAAAAAATTCATTTAAATTTTCACAACAATGGAAGTGGCAAAAAATTACTGTATTAACTAAAGAGCAAGTACGGGCTTTTTTCGTTAACTAACGAGATAAGACCGTACTTCATTCGCCACGACTCGAAGCAATCTGGCTGTCTGTGCTCTCTTCATTCAGCGACGCTCTCTTATCAAGCGCCACTGATAGAAGAAAAAGCCCAGGCATTTCGGGATTTTTCAAGAAGGGTAAAATAAAATATAATAAGGGAGATAGTGGTGTCAAAGCTGAAAAAAAAGGTTTTTTCGTTCGATTATTTCCAAGCAATTTGTTATACATTTTATTTAAACCATAATTACCTTTTTTGTCATCGGAGCTGGGAACGACTTATTATTCTCATACAAAATTATGTGTCACAACTGAGCTTCCTGTTGATAGAAACGAAAATGACAGCCATTATCAGAACTAAGGCTACAATTTTCGTCTTCAAGAAAAAGTCAACGGCGCTTTCTTTTTCGAAATAAAAAATAGGTGATTCAGAAAAAATTAGGTCGAGAAACTTGCGAAGAGTATCCGGGGACGTTTTGATACCTAGAAAATCGTGCCAAAGAAAGTTTTTTGAAAAGCCACCTAAAATTCATTTCATTTTATATTGTTTCCTGTTTTGACGGAAGTCTGGCCGAGCCAATTGTCGATTTGTGCTAGTAAAGAAGAATTCCGTTTAATCTCTGATCTTTCAAAAGTTATTGAAGATTTTGCGATCCTAGGGCCAAAATTATGAATGTTGTGTAAAATTCCGTGTACAATCTTCACTCGAAGTGGTCGCTCTCATTTCGAGGCTTCCACCTAGAGCACGGTCTCCGGGCTCCAGCACAGGATCCGCTACATTCTGAGCTCGTCAAGGCGCAACTGGATGAACTACGCGCAGAAGGACGAGGCGAAGAACCGTAAGACCATGCTTTCTACTGTTTCGACTACACGTTTGGACTTCTAGTTTGCCAAAGGCGGTTGTTCGCTATAGCTTTTAAAGTTATTGCTCACCGCCTAGTCGATTCAATCTGACTAAAACAACAAAATGAATGATTTGATTCAAGTCGAATAAGCTCCAAACTTTTAAATCACCCTGTAAAGTCAAAAAAGTCAAAGTTCGGTTAAAATGCCTATTGAATGATGAAATCGAACAGTGAAAATGTTTAGAAACTTTTTTTTTCGAAAAGTGACCAACGAATATATTGTTTCTTTTTCATAAGCTCATCAAAAACCTTTACTGAAAGCGAAAATATCGATATATTTTTCGAGCTCTACAGTCTTTTTCGTTCAACTTTCTTTATTTTTTCGTCTGCTCATCAAATTTAAGAAGTTTCGGATGAGAAAATGAAGAACGAGGGAGCGAACCGAAAAGAAAAAAGCCCCGAGGCATCATGGCGGATGAATTTTCCTGCGCCAATGAGAAGGAAAAAGTGACCTTCGCCCTTGCTGTGAAAAACGAAAAAACAGCCCAGGTTGTACTGAAAAAAGAATTGGAAATGTCGATTGCATAAAGGCGAGGATAATGGTGACAGCTAGGAAAGTCTGAATTCTTGAAGCTATTCAAAAAGTTTTTTTTCAACTTTTTTTCAACCTAACCTCTGTATTTATTTCCATTTTTCTAAATTCAAAAGCAATTTGGTGAAAAAAAAGCTTTAGATAAAACTAGTGACTAGGCGGGAAAAGAAGAGCTTCGTCTGAGTAATTGCTCGATGACTTTTGCGAAAAATTAATTAGTCGGAAGTTGGGCTCCTAAAAAAGAACATGTGGTCGGCAGGCAACTTTTCAGCAGAAGATAAACTCCAGGAAGGAGTTATAATGAAACGTCACTGTAGTCCACTTGTCGAAAAAGCACAATGTTGCTGCGGTGTTAAAAGGACCATCAAAACTTTTACAAAGACCTAGTCAGAGCGAAAAGTGTTACTTTGCATCATATACGCTTTCAAAAACCTTATATAACAAGTTTTTTCTAAGTACAAACTCAAAGGTAAATAGAAGGCACTACAAAACGGGAGAAAAAAAAAAATCAATTTGCCAACTAGATACATTATTAGAAAAAATTTGACTAACTTATTTTTGAACTTATCATTTTGTTAAAATTTGAAGTTTTCATTTTTCAAACAGCTTAGACAGTAGCTTCATATATCATTTAATTAAGAAAAGTTCTCAAAATGAAAAATTTGAGAAAAAAAAAGCCAAAATAAAGATGAAATCGAGAATAACTGGCCTATTTGTGCAGTGGTCCCTTCATAGAATATTCGAACAAACGTCCACTGATTCTTCAAAACCGCGAAAAAAAAAACAACTCTGAGAAAACTTGTGATGATCATTTCCAAACTGCATATTTCAAAAAATGATTAAATGAAAATAATAATTTTAAAAAAGATCAAGAGGTTCCGGCCGGATGTGTGGAAACAAAAAATACTTAATCGTTTTTCGGAGGGATCTTTTCTTTGATAGCGGGTGCGTCTAATTACTTTCAAAAAAAAAAATCACGAAGCTTTTCGATTTGTCTGTTCTTCTTATATCCTCTTACTAATAAAAAAACAATGGGAAAGTCATCTCGACTGGGGAAATAAATCACTTACGATGAGATCCTTGGAGAAGTTATTCGTTACTTAGTTACTTTAGAATCAAGCACAGAAAGGTCGAAAAACGCCTACATATAATAATATTTTTTTAGAGTTGTCATTCAAAACCAGCAATTTACTCGGTGTAGGTCTCATTATTCCAACAAAAAAGCAAGGATTTTCAGGTAACCTTTTTGTTTTACCAATATTTGAAAGGAGTATAGGAAATATATAGAAACGTCAAAAGAAATAAAGTTGAAAAGTGAGTGAAAGCCGAGGAAAACCTAGGATTGGGAATCGACCTAACTTCTACAAAGACGCTTAAAAGTGAAGACGTTAAAATATTTGCTGCAATAAATCAGTGCAGAAAAGAGTCATTTCATTTTTGGGAAGTCAAGATACTTTTTCAAACGCCTGCTGAGCTCATTCGAAACGAAATGAAAATTTTTGTTTGGAACAAAGTGACAATTACTGAATTCCTGTTCTTGCTTTGTCACCAAGCTCCTAAAAATCGTAGGAGAGAAAGTTAATAGAATTGGGACGGAAAGAAAGACTTTGCGATTTCAAACAACAATTGAGAAAACTGTCTATTTGAATGGAAATGATGACTGGAAATAAACAAATGAAACGAAAATCCAACTGCGGTCGCGGAAACGAACACGAAATCATAAATGCATCGACAACGCCGTTTGCGCATTCAAGGAGTTCTCACTAGACACAATCTTTTTTTGGTACTTCCAACTTTTGAAGATCTACTGTACTCAGAATGCGGAAGTTCAAAGCTTCTGGGTCCATAAGCATCCTTCGACCCGTGGATGTAAGCATAAACTTTGAATGCATGTAAACATTCTTCGAGACATTGTCCCCGTTCAATAGGCGGAAATTGAAAAAAAAAAAACATTTGTGTTTTTTTGCCCTGCTCTTGGTAGTCGTCATTTCCTGTTGGAAATTTTTTTCTGAATTCTTTTAATCCATCATATGACGGAGATATAGTCCTCAGACCCTGCTCTCCAACCTAAACTTCGAAAAAGAGCGGACGACCTTTTTCTTTTCTTAAATCTCCATGATTTTGAACAGTCTGACCTGTCTACACGCCCTATTCCCTCACATGGGCAGTCATATGAAACTTCAAAGTATCACATGAGAACAAGAAAGTCGTTTCCAGAGAATGGGAAGCTGACAAACGAAGCTGCAACACTTTGCGAAGAAGGTATAAAATGAATCAGAATATTTAAACTTGTTTTAACAAGAAACGTCTACCAAAATCCGAATAAGTAGAAACGAGGAAAAATTTTCAATTGAAAGGGACGTAGCAAGAAAGTAAACCAAGCGAAACGCCGGAAATTCGCAGTTTCTTGAGTTTTTTTTTGTTTGAGGCTTTACGAAAGTGCCTTTTCACAATTCCAGTAGGACGCTTTGAAATTTCTTTGAAGGTCTCTCTAATTGTGCAAGAAAAACTTCGAGTTAAAGATGGAAAAAAACTCAAAAATATCTTGAAGGCGGTTTATTGTCGCTGGAAGAATGGATGGAAACAGGAAAAGTGTTCACGGCGGTCAGTAGCAGCCGTTCTCGATTTTCGCGACGCAGTCGGCGTCCGGACTGATCGAGCAGACGCACGTCGTCAGTCGCATGCAGAACGACGCTGCAAATGCGATTCCCTTCGATCAAAAACTTCTTGAGCGTGACTTTTTTATAAAATAGGAAATATCATCTTCTTTGATAAAACTGCAACAACTGAAAAATTCTTAACGAATTTTGCGGTTTTTCAAAATTTTCCCATTTTATGTCAAGAGTTTCAAAAAACTATCAGCAAATTTCAAAGTTTCGAGTGGAAAGACCGCTTATGTAGCTGTTATGAATCTTAACGGCGTCTGATTTTGCTCAAAAGAAAAAAAAAATTTGAGAGAGAAAAAATGGAAACTACCGGTTATTTATATGGTCTGCTGACTTTTCAGAAGTGAAAGCTTGGAATGAGGGAAAACAAAAGTTGGCTCACAAAAAGGATTGAAGGGGTCGCGGAGGATGCAGTGACTGCAGGCCGTCCTGAGACAGAGCTCGTCCTCTTTCGTGCAGAACGACTCGAGCGACGCCCGACTGCAGTCGCCGCCGTGTCCTGTCGATTCTTTTCGTTTCTCATCAACAAAACCCTTGATTCAATTTGAGAGTTAAGGTACAGGCTGTTAGACAGCAAAAAATTAACTGTGACGCGTTTCTTTTGAAACGGTGGTCAGGGAACAAACCGCCGCATATGCCTACGAAATTCTAAAAGAACGGAATTGAAAAAATATTTCAATTAAAACACAACTCCTCTTTGAAAATGTTTGGAAGAAGGGATCAAAATGAAACCTAGAAGCGATCGACGGATGCCACTTCTTGGAAGTCCATTCACCGCACACAGCAACGCTACGATGCACACCGACCAAAGCGCTTGATTCATCATTTCCCCTCAAAATATTCAATCATTTAATTCTGAAGAAAAAAGACTGGACCTATCGGAATAATTCAAAAAAGACAGGGAAAACCTCTCGAAGACACTCAACTGTGATGGGAGAAGGACAGAGAAACACGAAAATGCTCATCTGATAGGCTCAAGAAATTTTTTGCGGCTTAGGTGGCCGATGTAGGGAACGCTGATGAGTTTCGTTTTGGAGGAGCCGTCGCTTTCCGGAAATTGGTTGCTGACCGGAGGCCCTTATTGCAAAAAGTTCAAAGGCAATTTCGACTGGAGTCGGAAACTTTCTAGGCTAGGTAGAAAAATAAAACTTGTTCACACATTAATCGACATAATTGAAACAAACATTTTTCAACAACGAAAAACAGGGAGAAACCGTAAAAAGCGAGATGAAACTACAACCAAAGTTTTACTTCGATTCAAATTGAAAAATTTAACCGAATCAAAACTGAAGTAACTAAGCACTAAGCCGCTAATTTGTTAAAAGAGCAAGAGAGGCACCAAACGTTCACAACAGACTTTCCCTTGAAAACGGATGGGAATATCAAAAATTCTGTCTCGCCTTTTTTTTTAGCTTTCAACTTCTAACTTCCAATGTGACGTCATGTGAACAGCCTACTTTGAATATTTGCGTTTTTCCAACGCGAAATTCTACTTGATTTTATTGCATTTTTTCACGAACTAAAAATGGTGTAGCTGGTTTTTAATTTTGACAAAATAAAACTGCGAGCTCCAAGAGGAAACGGAAAACTTCGCGAAGGAATTTTGCAGCTCAATGAAAATCCGGTGACGATGAATAATGGACTATAGCTACATTTGCTTGACAGAATTTGAAAAAAAAAAGACGCCTAGGGAGAATCGGCCAGTGTGTCTCTTTTTCATTTCTATTGAAAAAATCTTGACATTCCGACGAGTTTTCTGAAATTCAGTTCATGTCATCCGAAAAAAAAAGTAGATATAAAACTTGAAATTCACAGTAAATTTCATTATTTTTTCCGGTTCTGATCTCAAGGAAACGTTGGAAACTTGAAAAGGTGTTGTGAAGCTGTTCACGATATCGATAGTTGTCACAAAGGCGTTTCTTTTCATGTGGAATATCCGGTTGAATGGACGAAATTGCCAGCCGAGAGCCTCTGACGCATAAACTTCAAATGAATAACACCTCTTCTCAAAATACGTGAATTCATTGAAAGAAATTTTGTGACTCAAACGTCCTGGGCGCCAAAACTCTTTCTCTGAACCACACTATTTCGTCGTTATCTAGCTGTGAGAAAACGACGAAATAGTGTATATCAGAGAAAGAGTTGTGGCGCACTTTTGGCGCTCCATTTCAGAGAACAGAAAAAATTTGAGATATAATATCGGTTTTATTGGATTTGAAGTCTGCAACGAATAGAAAGAAAATTCATCGGAATAGAAATGAAACTGTTCTGAAGTTAACAAATATTTTTGAGAAATAATCAAAATTACCGTCCTACATAAAGTAATCATCTGAAAAAGCTTTTCTTTCTTGTTTTGAGGGGCTGCTCTCAATAGCCCCATTACGAACCGAAATATATTCAATTTTAATTTTCTATGCACATGAAAATTTTCAGCTTGCGTCCAAGGATTCGGTTAGATTGAGAAAACCTTCGCACAAGTTTAACACAGTCATTTTTCGGCACCCAAAGCGGTAAAAGAAATATAAACGAAAATCGGACTGTTTCAAATCGTCGCGAATGGGATTTATTTTTTTAGAAAATTTCCGTGTATTTTCTTCACTGGAAGTGGCAGCTCTCTCAATCGGCCGAGGCTGTCCTATGTACACGCCCGGGCCGCACCATCACCGCCATGCCCGTACCCGCAAAACTGAGTGTTCTACTTGCGGAAGGACGAGGCGAAGGACCGTAAGGCCATGCTTTCAATTCAATCAACTACACGTTTTGACTTATTTTTAGCCAAAGACGGTGTTAGTACCGATCAGAGGAAAAAATTTTTCCCCACCTAGTGAGTTCCATCTTACTGAAACAACCAATAAACATTGATGATTGATGATGGAAATATATTTTCGAAACATCCAACCAAAATTGCCGGGCAAGTCATTTTATTGACGAAATTAAGCGAAAAAAGTCCGTGGTGAGCTTCTAAAAGTTGAAAACGTCCTTTTTCGCAAACGAGGCAAATAAGCAGGTAGCAACCATCTCTATGACGTAAATCTAACTACGTAATGTCTCGGCCAAACTTCATAAAGTTCCACTTGGATGACTTCCCCACAAAAGAGAATTCCGTTTCAAAGATTTGTTTCACGTCTTCTGACAGGTGGACGTTCGAAGTGAGTGGAGATAAACTTTGCATTGTGACAATGAATGAAGAATAATCCCGTTAGAACATTTCATTCAAAGTAGACTCAGATTTTACTTTTGAAAAAACGAACTTTGGAATACTCAATTAGTTCAGCTCGTACGAATTGAAACTCAAAAAAACGGCTTTTCGCTTCAAGCAACGCGATGAAGATTTTTTTTAAAGACTATAATAGTATTTCGAGTGACTTTTCCTTGTTTCGAAAAATGAAAACAAAATCTAATTTTATTCGATTCTATGGAAATTCTATGGAAAACTTGACTTTGAAAAAGAACTCACGTGACGCTTCATGACGTGTTGAGTATTAATGCCGAAGTTAGCTTCTCTCCGGGCCGTCATTTCGAGCTCGAGAAGAGCCATGAGACCGTTGAGTGTGCGGCGGAAGATCGCCAACGATCCAGCACGCGTTCCGGAAGACGCCGTCAGTTTTCTGTTACCTGAATTCGGAAAAATACCTTCTTTTCTCAGAAAGTTCTTTATTTATTGTTATACTGACATCAGCACGAATTAAAACTAAAAATATCTTCATGTATCGTATATTCATACATATATATACAAAATCGCAAACCTTATTAATTGCAAAAAAGTTGATTTTTTTGATTTACTGAATGAACATGGAAAAACAGATCTGTTCCTGATCAGAGAAAAAGGAGTAAAGTTTGTGCAATATGTGCAATCTGTCTTCTTCTGCTTCAGCGTTTGTCCCGCTCGGTTGCGGGGTCCGCTATTCTGGATCGTAGGCGCCATTTTATTCGATCGGCTGCATGGTCTGGGTGTAGTCGGGTGTTCTTCATGTCGTTGTGGAGAGCGTCCAACCATCGTATATTCATACATATATATATTAATAGAGTGTGTGCAATCTGTGCATGCTTAAAATTTGAGAAATATGTGCAATCTGTGCATGCTTAAAATTTGTGTTTTGCGAAGCTTTGTGCAATTTGTGCATGCTTTCAAGGTTTAAAGAAAATTTGTGCTTTGCACGCATGTTCAAGGCGGCCGGTCGTATTACGGTAATCAAGCTAGGTTTTTGGGAAATAAAATGAAAACTTGTGTTCTTTTTGTGACGTAACTCATCTTGTAACCTCGAGAAATAGGTCCTTAACAAAAGAGAAAAAATTTAAAAAAATATCCTGGCTCCGAAACTGACGGCGCAATATCGACCGGCCACCGGCCGCCGTAGTTCTGTCTCAAACATGCGTGTTTGGACCTATAAATCTTCATGAGGTATATATTTTATGTTTTCCAGGGCGCGGAGAAAGTTTCACCTGTGATCCCCACCACTGAGGAAGCGAGAAGTCACGACGTTCGTTTTGAAACGTCTTTTTTTTTTAAAAAAATTCGTGAAGCATGTTCACGGAGTTCTTACACCCAATATTGTGGACTATATCGTAGCGAGAGTAATTCTATACCGCGGGAGAGCCGCGAGCAACATATCGCTCGCCTCTCGCTGCGACCTCGCTAACGTCTTGCGTTGTATCGATCTCTTAAAAATTTTCCTTCAAAAATTTTTTTTTTTCTTTAATTTGATTCATTTCATCATAGAAGTCGAAAATAAAGCAAAAAAAATTATTTTGAATTTCAAGTTTTTTGAGGGAGCGATATGGCAGCGAGACTTTGACGAGATTGCAACAAGAAGCCTTGGCTATATCGCCTGCGGCCCACGATTCACGGCTAGCTTGGGACGCAAAAAGGCATGGCCTGTCTGCACTCTTCACTAACCAGGGCACTGTCTCGTCTCTTTTCGTGGCAGGACCCTTTTCTCGATGGCTCAAGCCAGCCGTAAATCAGCTATATATAGGCAATTATTTTGTGTGTAAAGGGAGTCAAGCTTTCATTCAGTGCGTTGGACGAGGACTAAACAGAATAATCAACTTCTGAAAACGCATTCGTATAGATAAACCGAAGCAAAAAAGAGTTTTCGTTAAATCGCAAACCGCTACTCCCTGACGTCATTTCATGACACCATTCGTAACACAAGAAATAAGCGTAATCGAAATATTTATTTTATTCACGTGAACATGATTCAGCAGATTATTATTATCTCATTTCATCACGTCGACTGGTCGGTCTCTTTGCCGCTCTCTCATGGGATAATATTCCGACGCCCGTCAGCCCTGGACAAGCTGGGCGCTGTACTGTTCCAACATGGTGAAGCAGTTTATTCGCTGGTACTACCAACGGGCCAACATTATTTCCCAACGCTAGCTGTCACTCCGGGACGTATTGGACAACAATTGTGGACCGTCACCCGCGCCGACGACTAATTCTTCGATTATACCATGATTCAGCAGAGATTTTCTTCAACTTACTCTGAAGACTGAATAAATTGATATGAATTGAAATTGAGATTAAAAAAATTGAAGAATGAGAGGAGCCTGAATTGCGCCTTTGCATTAAAACTGCGCCTACAGGTTCATGCATTACTTAAGAAAATAGGCTTAGTTTTAAGGCTTCACACGGAGGCGGAGCGCGCATAGCGCGAAGCCGACTGTGGCTCGCTTCGAAAAAAACTGAGCCACAGTAAAAAAATTCGTCAAATAAATGAAATACTTGACATAAAAAGGCATTTAGTTTCAAAAAAGTGGACACTAATAACACTATCAGGTCACTCTAAACGATTTGCAAACTTGATACGCGTAGCGAAAAAAATCTGCAAAAATGTATTTCCCAGAAAAAAATTAAAGGAGCACACTGTGCGTAGGCGTGGGCCTCGACGCCTCGGATTATTCCAAACCTTTAAAAAGGTTTCTAAAAAAAGTAAGAAAAATAGAAGAATAAAAAAAGTTTCCAATCAAAAGGGGATTTTCAAGTGTGTTATCTTTCTGTTTCTCATGTGACCGGAAAAAGTTTTCACGTCGAATCTAATTTTATAAATTGGAACGTAAAAAATGAATAAAATGATATGGCTGCGTGCGCAAGTTTTGCAAATGAAGATGATGTCATAGGGATGACGTCAGGGAGTAGCGGTTTGCGATTTAACGGGAAGTGCAAAAAAGAAACCAAAAGCAAAAACCAAGGCAAAAAAAGAAACTTTTGTTTTTCGAAGAAGAGAAAAACTGGCGTGCGAGATTCTATATAGCACGGTTCTCGCGGCTGTATCGCTTTTTTTCAAAAATAAAAAAAAATTTTCCCGGCTATATATACGATTAGCTTTTTCCCGAAATCATTTTAATCAAAAACGCGTCGTCTTCAAATTGTCGAAATTAATTTGGACACAGCATAATATTATCGAAATTTGAGTAGTTTCAAAAATAAAAAAGATTTCAGTCGACGCGACGGAGGAGGGCTGTCAAAAATAACGGAGGAAATCCTGATAATGAAGTCATATAAATCTTCTTGGTCTCCTTTATGTTTTATTTTTCAGGCATTTCCGAAAAAACCGCTTGATGAGGTACAATGGGAGGTATAACTGGTTCACGGCTGGCTTTAAGAACATGCGGAGTACCTCAGGTGCACTTTTAATTACCTTCAGTCGGAGGTTTAAAAGAGTTACTCTGAGAGGCTCATAAATAGGCGTCTCCCAATTTCATTCGTCCATTTCTTTGTCTCAAGTCAGCCGTGAACCGCCTGTGTCTTTATGTCATCAAGTATCAATTCAGAAGAGCGTATCTCGCAGAGTGAGAAAAATTGGACCAAACACTGTGACTCGGACACAGGAAGCGACTGCTGATGGCGAGGTTTTTGGCTTTTCTTTCAATATTCACAAAATTCCTGTTTAAGCCGACCACTGAAGCCAAGACGAAGCAGGATCAAGTCAGTAAATTAGGAACGGTTAGTTTTCTTCTCCTTTTTGGTTTTGCCAATCGCAAACTTTTTGCTGGAATAAATTCGAGACTTTTTGTATGAATTTATGGATTTATTGTTCTGGATACAAAACAAAGGGCTTCAGATGAGAAGGACGATAGCAAGCAGAACTCCACGTAACAGAGGAACCAACCGCGGTCCGGCCCAGTCCCTCGTCAACACCGTTACTGGCAACCGCACCGAAGAGAACATACCGGTTTGGAAATTTTGTTTGATCTTCAGATCGCAACTAGTACCAAATCTGAAAGAAAATATTAAAGGAAAGTCCTAAACGGAAGTTTTACGAAAATATTTTAGGCGTATCGGTGAATAAATTTTTGTCAGGGCACTATTAATTTTTCAAAGTTTTCATTACTTCTCGATATATTAATCTTATGTTTTTTTTTTCTGGGTTTGTTGTTTTCCAAAAGAGAAACTAGCGAAAATAGCTGTTTTTTCCGAAGTTTTTGGTCTATTTTTCTCACCTATTTACGTCAGGAAGAATTTAACTTATAACTTTTCCACGTTAAGAGTTGTTTGACTTTAGGTTCAATCAAAACCGAGCACCGTCAAAAAAAGCGGCAAGAAAGCTTTGCGAGAAGGAGAAATTGTAGAAGGAACTTCTGCGTGAGAGTCACGAGTTTCTGGGAAAATAGTTCAGCGTTTGAGGTATAAAATTGTGTGTCTGATCCGCAGCGGAAACTACAATGTTGACTACAAGGTTCTCGACGAAAACGATCAGGTTTTTTTCTACTAAGCTCTGTCGTTTGGATGAAAATTCCTAGGAAATGTTCTTGCGAACAGAGCCTGGCGGAAAGCCGAAGTTGAAGTTTGCTGTGAGTCAAAACTTGCTTATTGGAAAGAAGGATTCTTGCAGTCGAGCATTTTGATGAAACTTGGGAAGATCCCAATGAAAGAAAAGGAGAAACACGTGCTGGACTTTGTCGAGTTTGGCGTAAGCAAGAAGCACAAGTTGAACGTTTTTCAAATCGTCAATCTGAAAAAACGACATTTTTTTCAGTTCGTTGTGACTTCGTCTCATGGACCGACGGTTGAAGACGTCAGGAAGCTCTTTGTTCACACGAACTTCACTCTCGACTGCGCCTTCAACGTTTCCGTCCAGGCTCTCATGGTGAAATTGCTTTCTTAGAATTTATGCAATTTCAGTTTTAAATTTGAACATCTTAAATAGTAGAAAGGTTTTCGTTGCTGATGATTCAATTTCATAATGGTATTTCATCGTACATAAATCAAAAAAGCAAAATGAAGAGCAATAAAATTTAAATTATTGAAATTACGAGCCTAAGGGTTAGAATGGTCAGTTGGAACCGCTGTTAAGATTAGCTTGTTGGGTTCCCTGATTTTCTCAGCAAAGTTCAAAAAAAAAGAAAAATTTAAACGTGAATGCTTTGATATTTTGCCGGCTAGTCTCCTCTTTTTCGAAGCTTTGTTGGCACTTTTGAGGTGTTTATAGGATTTTTTCTTTCGAATTTTCCTTTTTGAAAGTTCACTCTAAGGCGCTACAAGCAGTACACAAATGTGGATTTATCAACCGCAACATGAAGCCGTCGGCGCTGAACATTGGCCTCGGGGACAAGGAGAACGTGGTCTACCTGGTGGACTTCCGCATCGCTCGAACTCACATCGACGCCAACACCAAGCTTCCGAAGCCGGCACGCGCCAATGTGCCCTTCATTGGAACGACTCGTTACGCATCGCGCGCATGTCTTCAGTGCCTCGACCAGGGGCGTCGCGATGACCTCGAGTCTTGGCTCTACACGGTAAATCTTTTTTTTGCCGAAGGATAGAAAAAATTAATAATTATTAGCGCTTTTCTTATTTCAGCCTACTCACATTTTTAACAATTTCATTCAAATAGCTCGCTGGCTCCGAAGTCGGGAGTTACCTAAAAGGAACCTCAAAAAAAGATCTTAGTTCCGAGAACTGTAAAAAGAAAGTTTTACTGTTTGAAACACTGCAGCAAAGAATTTCAGTATAGCGCCACTTGACGTGAAAGCGTTGACTCCAATAATGAGTTTATGAAGTGTGTGAGAGATAGATGCATGAGCGACGCTCAACAATCTCAAGTATAACACTATCAAATTTAAAGCCGATTATCCTCTCTTTTGCTCTGGATATCTTTCATACTAGTACTTTTTATGAAAAAAAAATGTTCACAGGTTTTTAATCTGATCGATGATAACAACGGCTTGCCATGGAAAAGAAAGACGCGTCCTGAAACGTTGAAGATGAAGGAGCAGTTCTTCAAACATGAATGTTAGACATATTTCCATGAATAACTCTCATCAGATTTTCAGTAGAAATAGCCTATTCCCTGGTGCCGAAGCCTATGAAAAGACTTGTTGAGTATGTACAGCAGCTTTCCTACGAGACCGAACCAGACTATGCGTAATTTTCAGCTGCTTAGGCGAAAGAAAACATGAAATTAAGATACATTTTCACCTTCCTGCAGTCTACGATGAAGGAGTTCAACTTACAAATGGAAAAATACGATTGGAGTGGAAAAGTTCCGAAGGAGCTGACCAAAGAAGTCTATCACGGGGTTATTCATCAAAGAGTCTCTGAAAAAGTTGCTCGTTTCAGGGAGTGCGATCGCCGGACAACAAGCTTTCCGGTGCCGACGACTTTGAGTTGGTTGAATTCACCTAAAATTTAAATTTGTCATTGCAGAGGGAATGCGGCTGCTCAAATGGCCAAAAAAGTAAAAAGAATACGTCATATTTTTTAATCAAATCAAATTTAGAGGGTTACCGATCGGAAAAAACTTTCACCTGGAGACTGCATTAAAAACGGAATTACAACGTTTCTAGCAAAGCCATCTCTGACATCAGAATTAATCTTTTCAGCTGGAAAGTTGTATCTTTGCTCGGCTCCGGAGGGTTCGGAGACGTCTACAAAGTGCGCAACCCTGCAAATAGGGCTGCTCGGGTGCTTTCCAACTTGTTATTTGTACAGTTCTCACCTTTTTCCAGCCTCTTGCGCTGAAAACGGAGAGCGCTTTTGGAAGCAAGACGATGTTACGTCTGAAGGTTGAAGTTGGAGTGATGATGACGATACATGAGGCGCGAAAGAAACAGCAGAAGCCTTACCGAAACTTTGTCGAGTTCATTGATCGCGGAAAAAACGACGAGCTCAAGTGCAAGGTGAGATGTACATCTAACTTCTGACCGCTTTTTCCAGTTCGTCGTCATGAGTCTGGTCGGTCCTTCAGTGGAAGATGCCCGCAGGAAGTTTGGCGTTAAAATATCGCATCGTCCGTCGGCCTACAACATTGCGCTGCAAACACTCGAGGTCAGCCTCGGGAAGTTTGGAATTCTCGAATTTCAATCGATTTTGCAGGGAATCCGAGACCTACACGAACTCGGTTTCTTGCACCGCGACATCAAGCCAGCCAACTTTGCCTTTGGAATCCACGAGAACGAATCGACGGTCTACGTCCTCGACTTTGGAATCTGTCGCAGTTTTCTCGATCCGGCCACCAAAAAGCACCGCGTCCGTTTTATTTTCTCCACCTCTCCCTTCCCAGTGTTCTGATTTGAGGCCCCACGCAAAAAAGTCAAGTTTCTCGGTACCACAAGGTTTGCCTCCCGTGCGTGCATGAAAAACATGGACCAAGGCAGGAAAGACGATATCGAATGCTGGCTTTTTATGGTTACATTTCGATGAGCTTTATCGATCTTATAACTCATTCAAGGTTTATGATGTGTTCGATGAACAGTACGGCATTATGTGGAAGAACATCCCCAGAGAAGAAGTTGTCACTGCGAAGGACTTGTTTTTTCAACATAAACGTGAGATTTAGTTTTGAAGAACTGTGGAAACAGGAAAATTGCAGTTTCCAAGGTATACAGGAACATTCCAAAGGGCTTGAAGGTCATTGTAGAGTATATTGACAAACTCGAGTTCCAGTCTGAACCAGATTACGCGTACGTTTTTGTTTCATTTTAATAGTCACGAAAGATGAAATTCTGAAGGTACATCGCAAACGTGCTGAAACAGACGGCAGCTGATGGAAAACATTCGACAAATGGCACGATTTGGGTTGGCAGACTGAACAAAGCCGCTTCACAGAACAACTCGGTTAACTTCTAAGCAAGACTCACTCCAGTATTGCTTTTTCAGGACGAAAGCGGAAGTTCCGACATCGAAGTATCTGGATCTCATGATACCGAGACTTGAAAGCCACATAGCGTCGCCTCGATTCCTCCATTCACGCTTTATTCAATGTTTTATTTCAGTCATTTGCTATGCTTTCGTGAATGAATAAATTTTCGAACGCGAAGGGGGGTTTTTTTTTTTGACTACGGATTTTACATATTCCTGAACTATCTGCTCTTAAGATGTCTTAGATAGAGCTAAAAGGTATGCTGGAGGTCACGATGGACATTTATTCGATATTCATGATCCATTTTGAGAGACATTTGTGGACACATTATGGTACCCTCCCGATTTGGCTGTGTAGTCCTTCAAATCAGGCTTGTGAGCCAGTTCGGCATTTTTTCTATTAGTCGGAAAAATTGACTATGTCAGAGGTTCGAGAATTAGAAAATATTTGATCGTGTTAAAGTTCATGCCGTGTTCAATTTGATTCCGCGAAATGCAAAATGATCTCTGACTCTCCAAAATCTAGTGATCTTTTCCTTTCTCTAACGGGTATTTTGCATTTCGCGGAATCAAATTAAACACGGCATCAGTTCAAATTGGTTGAAGTTTACACTTGAAATGATTTCGAATATTCTGGAAAATTTCATCATGAAAATAAGAAAAAGTTTACGTTGTTAAGATTCAGACTCAAGTTGAACAAAAGTAATAGTGGCGATTAAAATTTTGTGCAGTAATCAGGCTTGTCCCGGGTGACCTTTGAAGTCTTCTCTATCACGTGTTTTTATTTTATTTTGAACGTTACTGTTCAGAGAACCCTTTTCAGAGCAATTTCTCGTAATTAAAATCTCTTCAGATAACTATTTATTCAAAATTTCAAATTCGTTGATTGAATTACTTTACTTTTTTTGGACAAAAAAATATACATAAAAAAACGCATATCTTTTATCTCCCCGAACTGGCCACTTCTAGATTGTTAATAGAGCGCACTTTTCGCATGCCTATTCGCTGTGCTCAAAAATTTTTTTAATTTTTTTATGATGCTATGCATTTTATCTGTTTTTAAGAGAAAAACAAATTCGCTGTTTTTTTTCTTTATTTTTTTTCACTGTTACATAAGATTTACAAAAAGCACTTTTATGTGTCTAGAAATAAGTTGATTCGTTTTCAAGAAACAAACAGATATATCTTTTTTTTCAATTTTTTTGGAGCCGAAACTTATGTGCTCATCCAATCGCATTTTTTCTTCTTGATTTATTTATGATCGAAAATAACAATTATCATGCAACTTTTTAAGGTGATGCGGAAAAACGAAACAGAAGGACTCAAAACTGATAACTTAGAAAACTTGAAGGAAGGGGACACTTTTATTGATTCTACAACTGGAACCCGATACAGAGTAAAGAAAACTATTTTGCCGCATTATTCATCTTCTGGACCACACGGCCTAGGTATGCGTTTTATTATTTTTTGCTGAGAGTTAAAAGTTTGAATGAAATTTTTTAGGAGATCCAGAAGACCGAACATTGCGGAAAATCGAAGCGGATGTGATCATCCCAAACAGAATGAACACTCAAATTGAGCGAGTGGAATGTAACTCGAGTTATCTAGGTTGGTCCTAATGGTGTATTTAAACATAGTATGTGGTGGCCTACGAGTTTTCAAAAAAAGTTCGATTGGAAAAAAAAAAATGATTTTCAAACCAATAATCGAAAAAGTCACGTCACAGGCAAAGTCCAAACGACCTTAAAAAGGCCGTGAAAAGAAGAGGCTAAAGCTCCTTTTTGAGTTCCTAAAAGGTGTCAAAAATTTCTCGGAATCTCCTTTTTTTCCGCCTTATTTTTTTTAGAACTCCTTAAAAGGTCCTTTTCAGAAAAAGGTCTAGAAAAAAAGGCGCTTTTGAGGCCTTTTTTCCAAAAGTCCTTTTTGAGACCTTCTGGACTTTGCCCGTGATCGTCCGCGAAATTCACAATAGCCGTCAGAAAGTCAAAAAGACAACTAAATTTGGATAGTGAGAGATGATTTTTGATTTCGCGGGATATCATTTTACAACGGCTAGCCGTTGTAGCCGCGGCTGCAAAAAGTTATTTGATCTGTGAGTATCTTAGAGAAAGTTTCATTCGAAATTATTTGAAATGAAGATGTGTGAATTTTTGTATTCTCTAAAAGTTTGAGAAGATTTAATTTACGTAGGCCATTATTTTTTGAATTTCGATTGAATTTTCAAACCTTATCAAAATATACACTTGCATGTCTTTTTATACGCAGAAAAAAAGCGAAAAAAAATTCGAATGGAAGGTTTTTTCAGACCTCGTCAAGTGTTTTCGAAATGATGGAGCTGTCGCCGGTCTCAACACTTGTAAACCAGCTTTGGAAATTTACAACCGATGCAAATTCGAAAAGTTAGTTGAGTAAGTTTATTTACCAAAAGGAAAAGGTAACTTTAGGTTTCACGACCCCGAGTTTCGTTCAAGAATGACAGACGAATATTTGGCAGAACGGTCTGAAGCTCGAAGAACTGGAATGACGTCACAGCAGAGAAAGCTCGAGGAATACCGAGAATGGAAGAGAAAAAACAACACTGCTTCGGAAAAATGAGGCATTGCAGTATATAATTGATAGGACTTTTTCCAACACGAAACTAGCCGAATAGTAAATTAGGGAGCAATTTTTTTATTTTATAGGATTTGACAAATATCCGACCGGTTTCACAAAAAAATCTTTCCATAGACTAAATGCATTCATATTTGAAAGCTTGGAAGGCGTTTGAAATGTATCCTAAATTGCCGATGACCGATAATTTCTAAAATTATAGCCGTGTTCAAAGTGATTTTGCGAAATGCAAAAGAACAATCAAAAAAGATAAGAAAATTTTGCTGAGCCAGATAGTTTTGATTTCCGCGAAATCACTTTGACGCAGAATGCGTTTTTTGTTTTTGTTTTTTCTTTCGTAGTCTGTATCACATTTTCCCAGCTGTTGATTTCTTTGTTCCTGAGGTTATCTGGTATCAAAAGCTTATTTCCAAAACGAGGTTGTATTTTATCAGTTCTTTGCAAGATCCTCTGCAAGTTTTCATATGCTTCGAAAGTAAACTTTTATTTTCGTTTCACAAAAGTTAGCTTTTCTATAACATAGCCGGAGGTTGATAAGTTTAAGCCTCACTTCCTTGAGTTTTATCGAGCCCTTCTTCTGCCGGCGGTCCGCCTGAGAGTCTGGGATTAGAGGAGGTATGAAACAAAATGTACCTTTCTGTGATTTGCCTTTCTGGGATTTGCCTTTCTGGGATTTACCTTTCTGGGATTGACTTTTCCTTCCGCTACTCGCTTCCTTTGCACTTTCTTTACCTGAAAACCACGTTTGAGGCTAATGATGGAGGGCTTCTCTAGCAAACCTTGACAGCTTTTAATTATTTTCTTTTCTGTTTTTTTCATAACTTTGAGCTGAAGCAAATCTTTGAGTTATTTTTGATACAGAAACTATACCCTTTCTGGGGATGAAAGAGGAGTTGGTTCCGCGGTTAAATTTTTCGTCGGATTAGCTTTCAACTCCTGGAATATTTTGATGAATTTTCCTAGAACTTAAAACGAAAATCCACCTGATTTTTATCGTCGCTCTCTTCTTTTTTTTCCTCTTCTTCCTGTACTGCTGGGGCCACTGCATTTAATATTATATTATTCAAGTCAAATTCGGCGAGAACACACTCATCTGAAGGTAAAAGTCGTCGACGTAATCTTCGACAGTTATGATTTGAAGTGTGTTCGTTGGCTGCAGCTTCGTCTTAGACTTGTTAACTGAAAGCATTTCGACCTTTTGAGAAGAACTCTGGAAAATTACCGCCTGTGCTCTGACCTAGGAAGATGTCGTTGCACTGAAGGAGCGAAATTCGACCGCATTTTGTTGGTACCTAGGACATCTCAAGTTCACCAAACGCTATTCCGCTCAAAATCCTTTAATGTGATGTGAGGAGGTGTTTGAAGACTCGAAGCGTCAGTAAAACTACCCTCGCTGGATGACTCAGCGTTGTGGTATGAATATCTTACCTTTGCTGAACTCGCGAGATAATTTTGGGTGGAGTGTTGTTGACCAACCAAACCCATATCATGTAAACTGAATCCGTGAACATCATGAATTATCTGAAAAGCATGCTTTGACGTCTTTTTCCTCTTCGTTCGCAGGAAAGAACCAAGGACAACCTTGTACAAATGGTCTTCCACCGTCTGCGCCGTCGCAGAATGGAACAACCTGCCCGGCTTCTCTCTCGAGCCATCGGCTCCTTTCCTGTCTTTTTTCCGCGAACCTGAGTCAGTCGTATTTAATCAGTCTTTTTAAAACTTCCTATTACTCACAGCAGTTTCCCATAGAAGTGTTCTGGTAGAAATGACACTCCCCTGCTTCCTTTCACGGCCTGCCGGCTTATTTATATTTCTTAAGAAATTTTTCCAATTTTTGTGTTTGTATTTATCGTTCATCGGGAAAGGATTTAAAGTTATCAAGAATTTTCTCCTTTTCCGAAAATCGAAAGCGAATGCCAGATGGTGGCAGAGCCATTTTTCTCGAAGAACTTCCCATCTCACTCAACACAGGATGATCTCTTTCACTTTTCAGACGTTTTCAGCTGACCTATTTGTTCCTTCTTCTTTCCTTTTCGAGACTGTTTATATAGTGGGAAAAGAATGCTTCGTTCGTCCCAGCGAAGGTTCAGTCACGACTAGTACACTTTTCATCCGAATACGTTGAAAGGGAAAACAAATTCCAACTTCTGACTATTTATAAAAAAATATTGTTTTATTTAGCTTGTTTTTCAGTGAAAAGAAGAGCAGAGAAATTATTTTCGTCGCATTTATTGGCTCGGATTCTTCTCAAGAGGTCGTTATCAAGCAATGAGAGCGCCATTCGTCTCCTCGGCCATCTCTTTGGAAACCCTCTGCCGTCTGCACTTTTTGAATCTCCAAACATTTTCGCGCCTTCAGGACCTTCGACAAGTGCCTGTTCGGAAGTTTCCGTCAGCCTTTCGCATAAATGAAGAATCTTACTTTTTCTATTTTCATTTCCTGTTTTTTATCGACATTAAGTTTTTGATAGAGAAATCGTCAAGCTTAAATTTCTAAATCGTTCAGAGCTTACTTGTCCACGCTTAGATGTACTAGCTAAAGGTTCTCAAATTGACTATTGCACAATAATTTTTTATTTTTCTTGGAACCAAAGCTCAAGCTTGGCCCATAATAGGCGAAAGCGCCTTATTCACTGTATGAAATATACGTGAATAAAAAAATTGCAACTTGAGACCTACAGAATTCACCTCTATAAACAGTGGCTTAGTCAGTTTTTTGGGAATTCGAATTCATTCTTCCGTCTTTTTTATTTTTTAACAGAGCTAAGCATTTTGAAACGTTTCGACGTAAATTCAGGGAGACAGCATCCGGTCTTACACAGTAGATCGTTTCTCCGCTTCTTCACTTTCTGTTTTCGGTTTCTTTCTTCACAGAGAGCCTCCAGCGCAAGAATCGGACTTGAGAAACGAAGTTGCCACCTACTTAGGACCTTGAAAGCCCAGTAACGTGGGTCACGAAGTGGTGGGCAGCCTGCTTGCAGGAATAATTCAGCCGCGTCTTCCACTTGCGCACGAAACACCCGCTCGCTCTTATATTGTTCTCATTGCTCCTTTCGCCTCATCTTCCTAAACTTCCGAAAGTGCGTCTAATTCTGCATACGGATCTACTGGACAATAAAAATTGTCATTGATAACGTTTTCTTGAGAATTTCGAAGATGCTCTGATCAAAACATGTTCTCAGCTAACAGTGGAACGTCTCAACAAGGCTCATTGGATACCGTTTTAAAGCTGAGTTTGAATCGAATTGAAGCGGAAGTGCGTGGAAAAAGTTATAAACGCTTTATTTTGAAAAAAAAAACTTACTCCTATTGAACTCTCCTTTGACGGCAGATAGATTTATTACCAAAAAAGTTTTTTTTTCTGAAAAGTTATTGGACGGAAAGTGATTTTCGAAAGAAGAAACATATGAGGAAAATAAGATTTAATGTTAATTACTACATAACTTCTTATTGAGAAGTCTGAGTGTTAGCGGAGAACTGGTATACCAAAATAGACAAGAAAGGTTCATTTACATTATTCGCCATGTGTTCATCATGTGCATTTGTTTACATGAGCTCGTGGAGATCCTAAACACTGCAAAATATAGTTATGACCTCATTCCTGTGATCTCACTTCTCCTGTACTTCTCACTAGACTCCTATATTGAGACAAAAAAAAGAACTCCTAAAAATTTACATGCTTCTTGAACCTAAGCCGGATCTTGCGAACTTATAAATATATCCACTTACAAACTCTAACAGAAAAGAGAATCCAAAACCAATTTTTCAAAAACTTTGAAGGTGGAATGTTTTTAGAAAAAAAAAACCCTTGATCAAAGCTTGAAGTTTTATACTCTTTCATTGCGTCCTTCTCAAAACTTGGTATTCTATAGACTATAGTGTCAATGAAATGACATAAATAGTTTTATATGTGTTCTTAAAATGATAAAATAACACAGCAAGTGTTTTAACACCCCATTGATATACGACTCGAGGAGGTGACTCGATACGTGGGGGCTGTTTGGGCTCATTAAACGCAAACGACTAAAACCGAGAAGCCCATTTCGCGGCGACGTTCAATCCTTGTTTTTTTTTTCAATTTCAGCTTTATATTCGAAAGCGAAAGCTTGAATTCATCTCATTGCATTATGTTCATATTTTTAAAATTATCACTTTAGTTTCGATTTCAAAATAGTTTTCAAAGGCAAAAAAAACGGAAAAAAAAAATTACAGCCGGGTATTCTATTTGCATGGAAATTGACCTGTCACTAGCTCACAGTAGAACTTGTTGTCAAGGACTTCGCGGCAGGCTTGTTCGAGGGCCGACCCCCGGCCATTCTCTGAGCCCAGCCCGGCCTTAGCGGGGTCTGAAAAAAAAATCCGGAAAAAAGCGGAATTTTTTTCTAGATCAAGTTTTTTACGACAAAAGTCACGTTTTTGCTTATTTTTTCACTTGGAGTTCAAAAAAAAAAACTATTTTTTCGGTGAAAATGTTTGCAATGAAATTTGAGTTGTTTTCGAAGGTTGGCACGGCCCAAGCCCGCGCAGGCTTTTTCTCAAAAATGAGGCTCAAAGCCCGGGCCGCTCGGCCTGACGCACAAGCCCGGAAAACTTTTCGAACAGTTCACATTTTTGCTTAAAAAACCACATGCATTTTTAAGACATTGTTACGGCGGCCGGTCAATATTGCGCTGTCAGTTTCGGAGCCAGGAAAATTTTCGAATACTTTTTCACTTTTGCAATTAATCAAGGACCTATTTCTCGAGGTTACCAGTTAAGTCACGTCACAAAAAACACACACGCTTCCATTTTATTATCGAAACCCTACCCGGACTACCGTAACACGGCCGACCACTTTAAACATGCGTGTTGACGTTTTTTGGTCGTACCAAGCATTTTTGTTTGAAAGTCTCTTAAGAGCTCATTTGAGTCCACTACAGAGCACAATAGCTTAATTTTTTGTACAAAAAGTAATACAAACATTTCTTCCTCGCATGCCCAGAGTTTCAATGCCTTGTTCAATTCAATTTCGCGGAATAAAAAGTTGAAACGTTAAAAATAACGATCTCGCTTTTATATCGACAGCTGTCGATATAAAAGCGAGATCGCTGGCGGTACATGGACTAACTCGAAACAATGTCGCATGTCGCTCTGTCCCCGCGCGAACCTCGCATTTTGAAAATTTTCTAATTTTTTGAGTGCATGAGAAAAGCGACACATAGAAATGCGGTCACGGCGTTCTTTTGACGACGCCCCTCCCACAATTTCCGTAATGTTTGACGTCTTTGGTGCATACACAGAACGACGCTAACTCGCATACTCATTAAATTCGAAAATAATTTTTTTTTTCCTCGAAAAATAGCGTTTTTTCTAAACTATATATAGACTTAAGTCTATAAAATGCGAGACCCCGCGAGGATAAAGCGACATTTTTGCGAGTTCGCCAATGTACCGCCACCGACCTCGCTTTTCTATCGTGCAGGGCTTATCTTTAATAATTTTTTTTTCTTTTAAGTTTCCTGTCTCTCGCTCGTTTTGATTTGTCGATGGAATATTTTTCAAAGTTCTTTTACAATCGCGATGATTCAAATTGACTTCAATCTCGACATTTTGATATTTTCATGCATGCAGAACTCGCGTTTTTGATACTTTCTTTTTTCACAAAAAATCGCTCAAAAAGAAATATAGGGTTTTTTTCCGTGTCCCAGTTTTCAATACTGTACGTTCGTTCGAACGTTTGGTTTTGAGAACTCTACTATATTGGACATGGTTTCCTTGATCGCGTCTAAACATGTCTTTTTTCTTCCTGTTTTTCGATAGCATCATTGTTTTCATTTTTGGAAATATTGATTATTTTCAGTTTTACCTTCCGAAAAAGTCTCTTCGAAGAACTTTGAGCGATACTAAATAAAACATCGTTCATGTTAACTATTTCCGATGCTCTACACAAATCTCTGGTACGTGTTTTTTTTTCGAATTGTTGCCGCACCGAATCTTGGAATATACTATAGTTAAAATCATTCGCTTTAATCAAAAATTTTTTATTTCAGGAGATGAAAAAGTCGTTATTAATAACAAAATCAATAGTTAGAACTCAGAAAAAAATAGTTTATAAAGAAACATTCGCTTCAGGCCGAAAAATTTTTCAAATTTCCACATGCTAGTGCTAACATAATGGGGAGTATTTTTTAAAATCTTAACGTAATTTAAAAAATATTTTGAAGTCTTTTCATCGAGAAGTTTTTTTCATGAGTTAGGTTGGGAGAACTATACCTGAAGATGATGATATCCTTTCCTTCTACCTATACTCTTGTTGAACTTAGTCGTTTAATCCCCATTTAATCAGAGTTGGAGAGGATCTTCGTGCTTTTTGAGTGATTGTCGAGCTCGCCGTCAAAAGTTTGAATTTGTCCTCTCCGCAGAACCATAAGTCTGAGACGCGGGCGTGAAATCTTTGGAAATGCGTGAATCGAAAATTCAAATGGGCGGCGGCTGCTCTTCACGCCGTTTTCCGTGCTCCTCGTAGCACAAAATTCCCACGGTTGGAACTCTGAAGACGTGGACACTTTCAGTTTTTCATCGCCCTATCGCATTTTCCTTTTTGGAAACTTCTCCACTATCCTCACTGCCTTTTTTAATCGCGATCTTCTTAATTTTTCTTTGACAAAAATTTTAAAAATCGGCTTTTATAGTCAAAGTCAAAAAATATTGGAATTCATCAATTGATTTTTCTTTCAATGTCTGCAAACGTTTTGATATTTTAGTGCTGTCGTAAATTCAGTCTTTTCTCGTTGAATTTGGTTGATAGTTCCTCAAAGGGATTTGAATCAGGAAACTCGCTATTCTTCAACTTAATTCGCATTTCGTTGGCGAGCAACAGAGGTTATTTCTCAAAATATTTATAAAAATACAACGCTTCTTTTGATACTTTCCCAAACTACTGTGTCCGAACCAAATTAATTTTCTCTTTGAATCAAATGCTTCTGTCAGACGCTACCAGCGATCACTGTGCATTTTGGAGCTGGTGAATGTTTGCTACAGTGATTAAATTATTTGACCCGAGGAAGGCTTTTGATGGAACCGATGGTCTTCCCACGAGTACCGTAGTGTTTGCTCGCGAGATCGGAAACAGGGTGCGCAGTTCGAATTTCTCTCGCTTCAAAGTAATTTCTTATTTAACCTTTTTGATACGGGTTATGAAAAGTTGCAACAGACACAATAGTTTTTATATAAGGATTATTTTTCCCTCTTGAAAATGGCCCATCTTGAGCTGAATTAATCGCCTGAAGGCATTATTTGCATATTGAGTACGGAGGAAGTTTCTGTTCCTCAGATATATCACCCTGGGCCATTTTTCTCTTTCCGGACAGAACCCAATTCCACTCGATATCCGTCGTTGGACGTCCTCGAACAGCCTATCATATTTCACTCTTTTACTTATCGACACGCCTTTCAATTGGTTCTTCTGCAGCGCTTTTCACGACAGCCGGCTCAGTCGCCGTTTTTTGGTTATGTTTTTTTTTTTATGGGAGGTCCACCTTTTTCTTAAATTCAAGTTCACGTTTTCTATAAATTTCCAGTTTGGCTTCTAAGGTTCTATTTGCCATGTTCTCTTATCTTCCTAATTTTCAAAAATTCTGTCTGCGTATTGAATAAAGCATTAGTTTGAATTCATATGAGTAGGGAAAATGGTTGTATTCCAAATTTCTGTAGATCGTGTCGTTTTTATTAAACTTTTTTAGGGGAAACAAGTTCAGTTCTCGGATTTTTTCTTGCATGGCAATTATGTCGTCCCACAAAAACTCTGTAGGTCTATAAATGCAGAACGAGCGGAGTTTGTCGACGTGTTTGAGCAGAAGCTCTCGAAGCGTCGGCGGTTCGAGTGTCCCGTGTGATAAAAGGTCGGCCGACCGTCTGCCGGGAAACGCAGAAGCTGGCGAAGCGCCAGCAGGAACTCGTCGAAAAACTCGGAGTCTGTGCGTGACTATGTGCAAACACGGCGAACACTCGAAGCCACGCCGGCGCCCATTTCGCTTTTCTGCGGAACATGCCGCCTTTGGAACCTCTGATCCGTTCTTTCACCGGGAAAATTATCTGCTTTCAAATTAATTAGCTCAACTCTTTTTACAGCTGTTCTTCACAATAATCAAGTAAAGCCGATTTTCTCCGTTTGACTGCTCCATTTCATTCCATTCCATGCACAAATTTTTGTACTCAGCAATCTTTTCATGCAGACATTTGTAGTTTTCCTTCCATGTCTTGGCGTCTGTTCAATTATTTTATAACAAGAGAGGATCAACGAGAGAAAGTACTAGACTGGGGAAGAATTTTGCTGGCTTTACTCTTGACGCGCTAAGCGCTGCAAGTCATGAAGACGTACGCGTCGGGCCTCATTTAGACTTCACAATGCTCCTTTAATCAGGTTATCTTGGGGGACGCCGAAGAATCCGACCCTCTAATTCGGTTAGAGTTCTTCCACAATCCAGAACCACAACAACTGATTTTCTGAATACTTTCTCAATTTTTGTTCAGCTTCGAATAGTCGAGCTTTCGTCGTAGCTTCAGAACAACATAACGTTCCATTTTTTCCAATTTTTAGCTTTTCTTCTTTCAATACAGCGCCATCAAAGATAATTTTTAAGTTTTAACGCATTAATTTTTTGTAAAAAAAAGATCTTTTTCTTATAAGATCATAAATTTTTGAACAGTTGAATTTTTTGGAAAAAAAAAGTATTTTTCTTTTTCACGTGTCGGTCATAGTAACAAGCTACCGAGAGATATTATGAAGAAATGATTATATATCTATATTTTAAAAAAACGTTTAAAAAAAATTTATTTTATGATCATTTGGAAGTAAAAAAAGTCAATAAATTCTGCCTCACCATAAAAAAATGTTCTATTGAAAAAAATAGAATTTTAATGATGAGACTATTAGAAAAATTTTTTTTAATTGCAAATGATGATTCTAGGCTATATCATGAAGAAAAATGTTCTGCAATATCACCAATTTCGGCGCCACGAGTGCAGGACGCATGAAGAGTGTTCACTTCTTCTCAAAAGAATTTTCCAAAATACATCAATAAAATTAGTTTTTTTCAATTGAGTTTTCCCATCTTTTTTTAATACGCTTAACTTTCTTTTCTTTTTTTTTGGTCGAGCCTTTTCAACTTATTAACTCCAATTCTACACATTTGAACCAGTGTGATAGGGGTTGTCAGAAAAAAACTTTAAGATTGTTTACAGTTAACATGAATCAAATAGCATTTCTTATTTTGCTGTATAATGAGAAAAATAATCATTAAAGGAGGAATTTAAATTCGGGACTAAACGAAAATAATGAAGGAACGAAGTTAAATTTTTGCATAAATAATTCAGCCTTTAGTTTTTTTCAAGAGTATCATAATTATCACTGAAAGCTCAAACTTTTACATTGTTGAAATGTCTGTATGTTCAAGGTGAAGTTTAGGCCACGAAGAAGGCCTGGAGACTTCTTTCTTGATGGCTTTTCGAGCACTTCCCATTTCCTAATTATCGTGACGCAATCGGACGAATTAGCCCACCGAAAGAGCCTCATTTTGGCCGCCGACGTGGTCCTCGGAATGCTTGTTTCGTAGCAAATTTATCGTGCTTGATGATAGCCGAGGAAATGTTTGCGCTTCGTTGTTTGCCCATATTTGGCTCGCGCAGATGGCTTAGTCTCTATAACTTCTCCGAAAAATCGATTTTATCGTAATTTAGCTCCTAACAATCCCAATATAATGTTTTTATCACTGTGGTGAGTTCAAAAAACCGAAAACCAATAGGAGTTTACGAAGAAGTCGTTTGAACATCAGTGAATAAAAAGTTATTCCAAACGATATTAATTCTTCCACTTTCTTTGAATCCTTCAGGCTGTTTATTAATAGACTTTCTTCAGTAGTTTCATCGTAAGGCCTGAGTTTTTTCTAATGGACTTTGGTACACTCCGGAGAACTTTGCACTGACTTTGGCTGGACAATATTCGGCGCCTCCGAGAAAAGAAGCCGCTGCGGATCTCCGCAGATGTCGTCGGCTTCGAGCCTATGTTTTGGCTCTCCGAACCGCCGGAGGTCCGCCGCACCGTCGTAGGAGTATCCGATTTCAGCCCCGTACGTCTGATGCGTTTGCTCTTTTCGCCTCCCCCGCTGGACTTAGTCCTGTTTCACCCACTAGTTTTGCTGACAAACTTTTCTTTTCGTTTTTTTCTTTTATGAGAAAAAATCTTTATTAATTTTTGTATTCCTGAATTTTTTGGTGGGTCGAAAAAATGTGTGAGCATTTATGCCAAGTACGATATCTAGAATTTTTCGGTCAATTACTATACTCAATCTTGGGCTTATTTTCAAAGAAGGAAGACAGTGAAAAAGTAGAAGATGAATGGAGATTATTCACCTCATATGGAAGTATTAATAATTTAATGAAAAAATTCAAAATCCATCCAGAGCTGTCGGGTTACGCAAAACTCGGCAATATCTTCGCTTTTCAGTTGTTGGAGAACGTTCTTCGTTGCTCTGTTATCGCTTTATACACTGCCGAACCTAGACTTTTGGAACATTGGAAATTTGACGCTTTTCTCGTCGAACTTTTATCGTTTTGCCTATGTATAAGACTGTGATGGGACACGATTCCTTGGGCAAACAAGCCGCGCGGCCAGGCAAAGCCAGACCCGCACACAAACACACCAGCCGAAGTCTCACCTGCAAGTGCACCGTGGGTCTCGACGCAAAAGCGTCTTTCTTCCCTACCATCTGTTCGTCCTGAACCACCGAAACCTTCTTTTTTTCCGAATTAGAAACAACTTTCTTCTAGAAACCGAGTTTTTTATCGTGAGTGCTAGTTCTTTTTACGCCACTACTTACCGCCAAGACTGTTCAAAGCCTGCCTCCGAACTGATCATTTCTGATTTTCTGAGTACTTTCTGAGATCTACGTGTGATCACATATAAAATTTCGGGCTTCAAACCATCTTTATCGGAACTTGAGAAAGCTCGAGCTCGTGGGTCGCCTATTCACATCCCATTTTTGGATTATTTCGTCTGCGATCGTGCTCTGGAAACTACCGGAAATAGCGTTCTCGCATGATTAGCTGATCGATATTACAGTCTGCTATCTCTTTTGCTTATCACTCGCTCCCTTTGCTCTATCGGACAACGCCATTTTGGCACTTTTCTTCAGATTATACGTCCTTTTATTCGCTCGTTTTTGGTTTATTTATCATAGACTCTACTTTTTGACATTCTCTACTTTGAAAATGCGACCGTTTAATTCAAACTATTCAAGTTTGAACTTACTCTTTTTGGAGTTTTTGCAGAAGCTTTATTCATGTTCATTTTTATTGCCAAGCTAAGCTTAATGAAGGTAATATTTCTCCACTGAACACCAAGAAAGTAATTATTAAACTCTGGCAGATCATTCTTTCTCTCTCTCTTCAAAAATCCCTTTTCCTAATGATTTTTAATTTCTCACGCAAGTGCAAAAAACCACAAAAATTCATCAAGTCTTGGTTTTTGCGGAGAGCTGTTCGAACCGAGGCGGGCGACGAGGTTGTCAACTGAGTGACAAGTGGCGTCACTGATATTATTACAAATCACCTCTCTATATCTCGGTCTCTTCGCGTTTCTCAGTGCTCCCTTGTGCATTCTGAGCTTCCTCGGTCATTCCAAGTGCGTTTTTTGTCGCCGAAAATGGCTCCTGAATGAAGTTCTGCCAGCGTCGGCTTGGAATCGTCGGCTTGGAATCGTTATTCCGTAGGCTGAGATCTCTTTTCTGTCTTTCTTGCCGAGTATTCCTCTGATCGACAGTGTCCCACCTGAACTGTGCTGAGTTTGTCCGCGCAATGAGCATCGCGTCTCCTGTCGCCCATGTTAATAACCGTCCGAACTCACAGACGATGGATCCGTCGATGTTCAATGGATCGCCCTACTTGGCGTACGGACTTGCGCCGCAAACCGCCTACCTCAGTCAGCAGCAGCAGCAGGCTCTTCACAACAACATAGTCATATCCACGTGAGTTAATAATACTGTTTTTCTAATCTAAAAGTTTATAAATTGAAAGTCATTCGGTTGAAGAGCCGAAATCAGAAAGTGAGAAGGGTCTAGAATTAAAATAAAATTTTATGGAAGGACATATTTCTCCTCTTGCTCGAAATTCATCTGAAAAACTCACTCACGCGCTCTCTGATACCGAATAATGATTTATAAGTTAAAACCTTTGCAGATTCCTTTTTTTGTGGAAATTTCGGCTTTTTTATACGATAATAAATAACCATCACTTGCGTGATTTTCAATAAAATTTCGAAAAATGTTCAAGCAAGAGTAAAATGACCTCTCTGTTTAGGAAAAAGTATCATAAGAAAAAGTTACTCGACTGAGAAACCGGAGTAGTACATTTTAAGAAAAAGCGATTTTGAGGAATCCGGTAGACCACTCAACGGACCCCTCGTCGTCTACTTCTCCCAGAGAATCGCCCAACACGAGTCTCGTCCTCACCATCAGGCTTCTCATGCAAGGAAAGGTAATCATCATTTTTTTTTTCCTCTTTCCTTTCCAAACGGCTTGAAGTTTCATAAATTTTCTTACTTCGCTCATTTAAATTTAAAACCTTGAGAAGTTCATAATAAGAATGACAAATCTTAATGATAGGTTTTTTGTTTTGTTTTCTGTTCCAGAAAACTGTATCACTCAGTCGAAAAAATGTAATTCGTCCAAGAATATAAGATCTTTGAGCATATTTAGGGCTCTAAATGGTTTTTAATCAAATGCGAATGATTGCAGGAAGTCGGGAGTATAATCGGCAAGCGCGGCGACCAGATCAAGCGAATCCGCGAAGAGTCGGGCGCAAAGATCAATATTTCTGACGGCTCTTGTCCCGAAAGAATCGTTACCATCACGGGAACTCTGCCTGTCATCAACAAGGCCTTCACTATGGTCTGCAACAAGTTCGAAGAGGTACGCTTTTTTCTACAGAGCATACTTTCTTACTGAGAAAGCTGTTTTTTTCATTTAAGTCTTTGAAAAAAATCCATTGTGAAAAAGTTCATATGAAAAAAATGGAAATACAAAAATTATAATAAGAAAGATAAAAATGAATTTTGAAGATTAAAAAAATTGTTTATTTTAAAACTATGGCATCTTCTCAAATATGTGCGTTGGGCCGGGGGTGATGGCCGATCGACTCACAATCGTCGCAATCGCGAAGTTTTTAAAAAAGAAAAAGAAAAAAGGATTTTTTTTTTAAAAAAAGAAACATATTTTGGATTACTCACTCCCCCATATATACACTCTAAAAATTTCGAGACCAAAAGGTTCGAAAAGTAGCAAATTTTCGACCGCTTCGCGACCGCGTTTCAGCGATATGGCCAGCATGACCGTTCAGAGCACAGCTCTGTCTCAAACACTTAAATTTTTTTTCGAACCAAAAACAAGGACATTCTGAATCTTGTAGAGTTTGCGATGGTTACGGTAGGCTCAGAAAAAAATTTTTCACATATCAAGTTTTTTTTTCATTCAATAAGACTGCGTTCTTTAACTATGGAGGGATTTTTCATCAATCAATAATTTTTTATTCAAAATTCAAATATGATCTCTTTTGAAATGTTTTTCCCTTACCATGGGTAGTTCAAAAACGGTTCGAAAAAGCTTCTATCAAAAATTACTTACAATATTGTTTGAGAGATGAGTATTTTTTTTCTATTTATCGTTTCTGAGTCACTTGCTGGAAAATATTCAATCAATCAAACTATCATTTTGTTGTTTGAGTCGGGTATAATCTACAAGACGTGCTTCATGATCAAACGATCGAACAACTGCCTTTGGCGAGCTAGAAGTCCTAAAGTGTAGTCGAAAGAGAGGAAAGCACGGTCTTACGGTCCTTCGCCTCGTTTCCGTGCGTAGTTCATCCAGTTGCGCCTTGACGAGCTCAGAATGTAGTGGATCTTGTGCTAGAGTGAAGATTTTACACGGAATCATTAACAAAAAATTGATGTAGTTTTGTTTTTAATGTGCTTTATGATCAAAATGAACGTGAAAGTTATAAAATGGAGAAAAACTAAAAAAATTGGGAACTATATCCAATAAATTGCTAGTTTTTTCATAACCTTCTAAATTTCTCAAATTTTTGTCATCATTTTTAGAGGTGTTGCCTTTCGGTTTTGCAAAAATTTAAAGAATGTGCTGTTTAATGAGTTTTGAAACGGTGAGAAGGATGTATCACATTTCGTTTTTATGAAGCGGACTTTTTCTTGAAGGGAAGTTGCCCTGTTCAACGAGTGTTGCGAGTGCAAAGGAACGACAACAGCGCCTCGTTATCAAATTTCACCCGACAAGCTCCTCAGAACTTGAAAATCATTACTGATTGCGTAAGATCGGAATTTTCAGCGGCATCTCTTAAGCAGGCGTTTTTCGTCACTCCGAAATTTGAATCGAAAAATTGAAGACCGAAAAAAAAACGAAGTTTATAGTTGTATTCACTGTTTACTGTTTATTGCATCTTCAATGTAAGAATACATGTGCAATCGACTTTCATTGGTTTAACTGTGTTTAAACGGCGGCAGGAGCTGTGGCTTAGGCAGAGACGTTGTGAATTTCGCTCGTAGAACATCAGGTACAAGAGAGGTCGTAGGAAGAAGTACGGTGCCGGCTTTCCAAGGGCCAATGGCAGAGATTGAGCCTTTTCGCTGCATGCAGCTCCCAATTTTATCTACCCCGGAGGGACGAAAGGCAGATAAAATTGGAAGGCAGATAAAATAGTTGTATTAAATGTTTTGAATGCAGTTTTGGAAGGGGGAAAACAAAGTCATTTTCTATACTCGCGATTTCACAGACGTGCCATTAGATGTCTATTCGCGTAATTTCAATACCCTCGGGAAGTAGCTTCAAGTTAGTTGTCAATCGATTTGGAAAGGTAGGTGAACTATGACAAATAATGAATAGAAGATGTGTATCAGTCGAATAAGAAGAAAAAAGAGAGCTTTTATATAGGTCTTCTAAGCCACTCGACATTTGACTCAGTTATGCGCTCTATGGCTATGAGAAAGCAGTCATATTCAAGTTCTCTGTGAAAATCCTGAGTGTTTTCGGTTCAGGACATGCTGATGCTGCCCAACTCAGTGCCCAAGCCGCCGATAACCATGCGGCTGATTGTCCCGGCGACGCAGTGCGGCTCGCTCATCGGCAAGGGCGGCTCCAAAATCAAAGACATTCGCGAAGTAGGCTTTTCCCACGGATAACGAAATGAAAATGTTTAAGCCTATTTTCATCGGATTCAACGGTCAGCACAAAATATATTTTAAAAAGTGAATGTTGTAATAGGTTTCGAGTATGGCCTAAAACTTTTACTTGAAAATAGAATTTTTATTTCAAAGCTGATTGTTAATCATAATTCATACCTTTTTATGCTTTTCCAGTTAGATCTGCTCAAAAACTTTTTCACGAATTTCAGCCTTCTGAGTTCGTTTTGGAGATTTTCTAGATTTTATGGGATCTTTGTATCGTAGGAAATCGGCTGCGTATCCAAGTTTCGTATTGGTTCATTAATGATATTGTCAGTATGCAAAAAGTCAGTTATTCTTTTGAAAAAAATAACCAATTTTTTGAGTCTCTTCTTCCTTCTTGTTTTACGTTCTGAGTTGTTCAAAACTAGGCGACGGGCGCCTCGATCCAAGTGGCGTCGGAGATGCTTCCGCAATCGACCGAACGTGCCGTGACCATCTCCGGCAGCGCCGACGCCATCAACCTCTGCATGGGTCAAGTCTGCCAGATTCTCCTCGAGGTACGCATTTCAGAACTTTGACCTTTTTTCTTCAACAATATTACGTGAAAACCTTTTTGCAGATCCTGAATAGTAACAAAACTTCTTGAATTATTTAAAAGTTTTCCTTTGACTCCAACACTAAGATTCGGGCCATTTCCAACTACTATATGTACTCCGTTTCGCGACTAAATGTATGGTTTGAGGCGCCCCCGAAGGGGGCGACGATATCGTACCGACCGAAACCGACGTTCAACCCGTTGCTGATCGCCTCTTCTGCGGCAGCCGCCGCCGCCGCCCAACAACAGCAGCAGCAGCAGTTGAACGCCTTGATTCAGCCCCAGAACATGCAGATCGCGGCTCTTCTGCAGCAACAACAGCAACAGCAACTCGCCGCCGCCGCCGCTCAGCAGCTGCTTTCGCCTGAGGTGAACATCTTCGAATTCTGTGTCGACTCGTCGCAACTATTCAAAGTTTTTATCAAGTTTCATTATTTCATATATTACAGAACATTTTTTCACATTTTTTCGATTAGCATGCTATCCAGGAATATTTTCGTAGATGTTTCCTCCGTTCCTCAGCCGTTCGCTCCCTTGTAGACACGCTTCTCTGACCTGTTACCCAATCAGTTTTTTTTGCGCTACAAAACCTACCGTTTAATTTGACCTCACCTTAATTAGTGCAACAAGTCACCCTCCAACCGAGCATGGGATCGCTCAAAGTTTTGAAGACGAGTATGCATTTCTTCGGAAGCTTAGCATTCCAATTAAAAAAATAGGTATACTCATAGGTCTACTTCAAGAAAGGAAATTTGGCGCTCTATCAACCGAACCCATAATTTTCGAAACACTCAGCTTCCAAAAAAAAATTTTGTTTGTTAAATTTTAAAGTATTAGAAGTTGAGACCATGCTTGGCTTTCCAATCAATATCCACCAAATTCCGACATGGCTTTGATTTTTTTTTAGTACAGAAATACAGTCTAATAACTGAGGTTAAAATCGATGAGTATGAACTGAAACTCTTTTGTAATAGATCAGTGTAGACTGAAACTCTGTTTTCATTTCAAAATCAAATCTTCATTTAAAAATGGATTCTAAGGAATTTTGAAAATAACTTTGTTTTGAGAGAAGAAAAGGAAAAATGGGATCGGTTGCGAGATTGTCAGAAAGAAGTTTTGCGAACGGCATTATCTCGTGAGTTAACAGCGGGTCGAGCGTCGTGTCGTTGGTGGTTGCCTTTAGGACCTGGTTTCCTTGTTGCAGCTTGCCGCACGTGCACTCATGAGCGGACAGTTCTCCGCGGGCTTCCATCTGCAGCCGACTGCGGTGGCGACGTCGTCTGCCGGTGCTCTCGGCCACCAAGGTGAGCCGTCGAGCACACTTTCTTTCTCTATTTTCGCTCCTTTCTATCATTCCTCTCTTTGATTGCTTCTCTTAGACCTCGTTAAATCTCAAGATGGCACAAAAAAGTCTCTTCTATTTTTCAAACAATTAAGATAATTTTTCGGTGTTAAAAAAAGCTTTCAGGGTTACATATTGATTCGCCACTGACTTGAGCTAATCGATTATATCAAGAAATTTTAATTTTTTTTTTTGAATAATGAGACGCTTAGCAAATATGCTTAGAAAAGAAATATATAAGGTAACCTTTGAAGTTTTTTCCGGCAAGATCGCGGTGAATGGAGTATAACTTTTATCCTCACTATTCCATCTGTACTCAGTGATACACTATTCATCCCGCGTTATACTGATATCTGCATAGAACTTGGCAATTAAAACCGAACCCTGGCTTAGTTGGAAAAGTCCCTTTCCTTTTTGTCTCATTGTGCGTCTTTGGCATGAATCAGTTTGGTCCCAGCGTCACACACGTGCTTATGTCCTTATGCTGCTTTCATAGCTAATTTAGGCGTAGTTTTCCGTCGAACAGTCCGAAACGCCCAAATACTGAGTTATTTAGTGGATTTCTCTTTTGGTAGAGTCTCTTTTGATTCTACTTCTCTTTTTGACTATATCCAAAGACAGTAATAAAAAGTTCAGATTGATTCCCATCAGTTAGGTTTTTTCAAAATTATAGTTTCCAGCAAACTTTTCTTTCAAATGAAAATTCAATCAGTTTATAACTATTTTCCTCTCTTTCCAACTTCATTTTTTCTATGAACTGTAAAAAACTTCAAAAATTTTTAGAGTTAGTTTATCGTATTTTTTATCGGTTTTTCACATGTTATTTTCTCATCTAGTTGTTTTTTCACTCATCTCTTAGAAACGTAAAAAGGCATTATAAACCATATCCAACGAAAAGTTCGTAATCGGAGATATGTGACAAAACAAAGCGTATTTCGAGGATGTTTCAGAACTGGCTCTGTTCGGCGGCGGGCTGATGATGCCGCAAACGTCGACTGGACAACCGCAAGATCCTTCCAAAGGAATGACCCTCGACTGGACTTCCGTCGAAGGTCAGCAGCTCATGAACCAGTACGCGGCTCTCAACAGCAGGTTCACTGGCTTTTTCAACACATTTTTCTCTGTACTTAATTTCTTTGAAAGTATTCTTCATCAGCCCCTTCTTTTGGTTAGAACATAAAGTATGCGTGATCGGTGGGTGCCTATCTTAGGCAGTTGAAAAGGCGATAAATGGTTTCCGTACTTTTTTTTTTACAATCTTTAAGCTATTTTTAAACTCTTCAATCGCTTTTCTAGCGAATTTTTTCAGACGGTTTTTTCAAACTTTTTCCAAAATTTAAAATTTTTTTTCTTGAGTTTGTAGTTTTTAAAGTCAGAAAAAAGGAGTAATTATGTAATTTTCCGATAAAGTTGAATCAAAATGTTTTCTTTTTCCAGTATGTTGATGGGAGCGCCTTTCGTGAAAGGAGGTCCATCGCCGCCAAACGGCCAGCACGGCTCCGGATCGCTTCACCACAACAAGCCCGCCTCGACGCGCTTCAATCCGTACTGAAACCTCGGAAAGACTCTTTGCGAACCGCTCCTGACCTTGGTTGTGTACAGTTTGCCCCCACTCCAACTAGCAATATTGAATCTAGTCGTCAAAGATTTTTTAATTATTTTTCGCATTGTATGGAAGGAATTATTCAGCCTACGGGTTGGTACATTTTGCGATTCGTACTCTCGAATCGCAGCTCGAGCTTTTATCTCAATAACCAAAAACTAATTATTCCTTCTTTTGAAACTGTATACGGTGAATCTCATGCCTCTCGATCACAGTTTTTCTATTTTACTTCACCATCACTACCTTCTCTTTTTTTGTCTCGCTGCTTCAGTTCAATTTTGATTGTCCTCACGTGATTTCAACGCCTCGAAGCACACATTCCTATTTATCCGACTTACTCCACTTTTTTCTCTTTTCCTGTACAGAAATCTTGTAGATCTTTTTACAGACTCATAATCTAATATTAAAACTTTATATTTAATCAATTTGTGCTTTTTCTCTGAGAATATAACTGGAAAAACATAAGACCTTTTTTCGGTAAAAGTTGTGCACATTCGATTTCATTTCCCAAATAGTGTTGTGAAAACTATTATCACCCAAAAAGCAATTCTGTGAGCCCTCAAACGAGCTTTGTTTTTACTTTATATTTTCTTTTTTTTTTCATTTTTGATACCATTTTCTGATTTCTCACTTTTTGTGCAGCCAAAAACGGTGTTTATTGCCTGGCAAAAGCTTTTTCTACACATTCTATCATCGCTCCATCGTTCCAACGTGTCTTAAATTTTGATTTATTTTGAAGATAAAATTTCTATTCCAATTTTAGTTCTTCTCGTCACAATAAATAAAACTTTTAAGTATTAGAATACCGTTCAAAGTAATTTCTGCAAAATGCAAAATTATCTCTGACTCTCCAAAATTTAGTCTTCTTTTTCTTTCTCCGACGGCTGTTCCGGATTTCGCGATATTTGAACACGGCATGATGAATTGATTCAAATGACCGACAAAAATAATGAAAAATCACGTTTTGTTATATTTTTTGTTGTCAGACGTGTATTTTATGCAAAACTTCAAGATATTTCTACTTTAGGTCGGCATGGCGGAGTACGAAAAGTTGGGAGATATAAACGTGAGAAATCAGTTCGTCGGGCAAACATCTCAGCCCGATTTTCAGGCCCCGAAACCGCCACCGCCCAGGTTCTATCAATCTCAGACGCCGCCCCCACCGCCACCGCCTCCGTTGTCGAAGACGCCGTTTTCAAGAACGCCAGTGGCAAAAACCCCGATTCTCAGAACACTGACGCCATCAAGAACGCCTACAAGGACACCTACGAAAACGCCAACAAAAACACCGCCTGCGGGAAAAAGGCCACGGTTTGAAACGGATAAGTTATCCTCGCAATGACAGAATTAATTGGAGAGAGAAAATTGAAAACGAGGAGGAATCTCGAGTGAAAAGCGTTCAAGCGAAATTTGTGACCAAAAAAAGAAAATCGAGAGATAGAGAACGAGGAAAAGTGCCTTCAAAGGAACTTGTTAAAGTAAACTTTTTCCTCACTGATGAAACGTGTATTCAACCTTTCAGTTGGAGAAGTCCATGTTCTGCTACAAGTTTTTATACTACTTTTGCACTTTGGCGTGGTTTTTCTTCTTTTTCGGATTCGCCTACAGCTACCTGTGTCGTCTCGGATACTTGGATTCGCGGCCTTTCAGCGATTTTCTACGATACAAGAAGTCCCATAAAAGCTAGTACCTATATTTTTGTCTAGCATTTCAAAACATAACATTTTGTTTCACAACTAATTCTTTATCTAGATTCTGGAATAATAAAACGGAGAAACTTGACCAGTTGGCCTCCGCAAAGTTTGTCCTCTTTGTCTTACGCATACAAAAACAATTTCGAGGAAACCCTTTCATTTCTAACATAACAATGTATTTGAAAATGATTTTTTGAACAGGTTAGAGTTACTCGTAACGTATAGTTTAACTCGTATTGAGATGATCATTTTCATGAGAAAAAGGAACACAGATAGCACAGATAACAGAAAGTTATTTGGACTTTCGAGTTGTTCCGAGTTTACGAGACAAGGGCTTTATGGGGAGTCAAGCATTAACAGATGATAGTGCTTCGAAACATTTGTGAGGAATGAGTGGAATGTGCTTTCAGATGAAAAAAAAACATTAAAATTTAAAATTAGAATATCTGTGAAAAAGTTTTTTGAAAAAAAAACTGGACTTTAAAGTGATGGAAAGAACACCAGAGATAGCACACGGATAATAAAAAAGAAAAGAAAGAATTATTTGTCGCTAGTGGGAAGATATTTGTAACAGTTCGGAGAAGCACATCTGAAACAAAGTTGTCGGATAGGTATAGTCAATGTTTCTTGACTTGAAAAAAAGGCGATTGGTAAACGTGAAGAATTGCGACTCGCGGTCACACGCGAGCAAACTTTTTTTTCTTTTTCTGAAAGTTTTTTTAAAAATAAATTTATATAATTTTTAATGGTTATGAAAAAGATTCAGTTGAACGGATAGAAGTACAAAAATAATAGAAACTTAATTTCTCTACATTTTTTCATGATTGAGTTTGACCTCGAGTTCCCCGCATGCTTTGGCTGAATCCGACTCTGGGGTGAACAAATTCCGGCATATTTAAAGATATTTTCTTTCTTTTTCGCGCGCAGAAGCCTGGGGTGGGATCCAGCCCACGTATGGTCCCCCAACAAAAACCGCGTCGCGTACGCAACGCTTCACTCTCGCCGATCTCTACACACTTGCCTTTCAAAATAGAGGGATGGACTATAGAAAATTTTCGAAATCGACTACTTGGCTACTGTTTGGAAACCCGTCCGAGTTCCATGAAAATAGAATTGGAAAATAAGCAAGTTTTTGGAAAGACCTTGGAGGTTCGATATAACGCAACAAATCTTCCAAACAACTCCGCTTTTTGAATCCACATAAATTTTTCAGAGGCTTGAAAAAATCAAACTTACGTGCAACGTGTAGATGTTCTTTTTGATTTCCTAGTGTCTCCAATCATTTCTGGCCAGTAATTGAACCCGAGAGCCTCGCCTTCAATTCACGTGAAGAGTTTATGACAAGAAGAAAAGAAAAGAAACCGGCTTTGATATCTCGGAGAGCAAAAAGAGCCGCCCGAGGGAGGCAAATATGTTCTTCGCAGAGAACTTCCACCATTGCCAAATTTGGATCGCACATGTGGTTCACAAAGCGGGATATGTTACTGCAAGAAATGAAACGTTTCGGATTCTAAAAATTCAAATGATTTAGTCTTTGCGCCCCGATTGTTGCATTTCGAGGGCGCTTGTGCGGCGCGAGTTCAAGTTTCGCCGCATTTGCGAATCCCGGCCATTTTTCTTTTATATCAAATTTCTTGGGATTATTCCACATTGTAGTACCATTTGTATTTTTGATATTATTGATGGATGAATCGTGTTTTAAAAGTTTTTAGGCATGTATACCATATATTAGACAGGAGCTGGTTTTGGGGGCTGATTCGCTTGCAATGATTATTCCAAAGTGAGGGTGATTCTTGAAATTCTGAAATTTCCCCAATTTATTGGTTTTTTCATTGTTTATGTGCCTTGAAAATATTTTAAAATTTTCTTTTGATGAATTTTCCGTTTAATATTCTCCGTTCTGTTTCATTTGATCCTTTTCTGAAAGACCATCGAAAAAAATTATTTGAACAATGCTTCTGAAAGTGGGAGATGGATTGAAAAAGTGGCCGAGATTCGTAAAAAGCCAAAATCTGAATTCGCTATGCTGATCCCGGGTTATTGCTTTTCTAGTGAATAATACGATGAGAAAAAAGCTGAAACTGAAACGAAACAAGATCTCGAATGTGAAATAGAGATCGTGGCTCGAAATAAGTTAACTTTGAACGGACCCATGATGTGTTGCGTCAATGTTTAATCCTCTGAGAGTTGTCATACAGAAGATGGAAGAATTGCCGCTGTCGCAGAATTCCTTCTCTGTGACAATCTGAAAGCGGAGAGTAGTCCGCGTCTGACTGCACTCATCACCTTGCCCAAGTACTCCGTCACAAAATCTCCTTTTCTGATGTCAGCTGCCGCCCTGACACCCCAGCCAGTCTCCGGGTTTTCGTAGAACAGAACGAGAGTTTGCTTGCTTCCATTCTGAACTCCGGCAATGTCTCAACTTTTCAAAAAACGAATTCTCAGTTTGAGCTTATGTGGAAAGCCGATACATTTCTTACGGCTCCACTTGAAAAATAATAGTTCCAAAAATGTTATTGGATCTACATTAAACTCAAACCAAGGTTGATAAGATTCCTTCGAGCAATTTGCGAGTCAAAAGTTCAACTCTTAAAAATATTTTGATAACCGATTTCCTGCATTCAACAGAAGGGAAGACAAATATTAGGTTATTCAGCAAATTTCTTTTTTTCGACTAAAACTTTTTTTGAGCGTATAAATTTTTGAAATTTGGATTCAGTCAATGAAAAAAATTCCTATGCAGTTTAATTTCAACGTACACCGTTTGCAGTAGACGATCGACTCAATCTTTTTACCGTTAGATCATTTTTGCTCGCAACGGCGTTTGAGAGCATTCCGAAAGGAAACTTTTCCGCGAAACGAGCAAACCTGGACGACTTTGGTGTGACAAGAGGGACCGCAGCCACAGTGATCGGTACACTCGACGGCAATCAGAACCTTGCTGGAAAGCACGTCGGGCATTCCGAGCCGCCCGTCCGCGTCGTAGTGCAAAAACTGCACTTGATCAACCCGCTCATCTTCAACCATAGTTGTCTGAAAAGTGTTCTTGAGAACTTTGTTGACGGCAGGTTTTCACATCGTTCAAGCAGCCACAGAAGTTGCCACAAGGAGATCGGTCTCCGTCTGCGCGATCGACGCAAGTCGAAACATCCGCACAAGACTTCAGCGTGACTGAACAGTATCGTGAATCGAGAATTTTCCAAAAAATTCAAATTTTTTCGCATTTTTGTACTTCTTATTTCTAAAAGCGCCTACATTATTTCAGCTCACAAAAATAGAACCCCGACAATTTTTACTCAAACTTTTTTGTTCATCAAGCCGAAAACAACAAAAGGAGAGCGAAAAGAAGAAAACCTCACAAAAAACGTTTTTCTTCTCTTTTTTTGTTTTCCTCATTTTTCCTCACGCCTTCGCTCATTTTTTTTTCAGGGAAACTTGGAACAGAATATCAAGTCGCACTATTTTCGATTCGAGTCGCATCGTCCATATTTTCCAGTCGAGCAAGCTGTTCTTTTGAAATACAGCTGCAGTTCTTTTGATTCATGGACCGTCGCTCCGAAGATCTCAGATAGAGGACCGCCTCCGGACTCAACTCACTTTTCGAGATGTACTGAAAGTTGAAAATACTGCAAAATCTGTGGGGCTCATGAATTGAATTGATCCGATTTCTCTCGAAAGTGCATGCCAGAAGAAAATGTTAAACAGATTTATATTATCCAACAAACACAACCCAAATCTTGGAAAAAAGAACTCGCCTTGAAATCGAAGGTTCGTAAAAGTCTTCCTCTTCTCACCGGTTTCGCATACCAATTGGCGTAGTGAATGTTGCCGACATTCAAAGTTGAATGGCTTAAAAATTTCTTATTTCTATGGAATGATCGGTCAAAACCTTTTTCTGTGCTCATATTCAATGTCGGCGAGGTGCCAGAAGAAATTTTCATTCTTCTGAAAATATTGAGCAGATTGAAAAACGCGGAAGACGGCTCGGAATGTTCCCCCAAGTCTTTTTCTTCAACTCTTTTTCAGACATTTCTCATTCCAAAAACGTTCATCATAAACCGACAAAATCTTCCTTGCACCCTGCACTCAATCTTTCATGTCCAAAAACGTCTCAAAATATAACGAAGAATAGGAACAACTTCGGGGCGAGAGATTTTTTGCGGAATGCTATTGGAGGAAATACAATCTGCAAAAGATCGCCGGAGCATTTCTTTGAGACCAATCGTTTTATATAAGTAGGAGAAGAGAGAATAAAATAGAGGGTTGAAAAAGAGTAATAGGAAATTTTTACATAGATATGTCTCATTTCAAGAGAATAGCTCGTTTTCAGAATCAAGTTTGAGTCTGAATAATTTGTTTTCAACTTGCCGGCAAGGTTTTGGCGCTAATTGCCAGACGACGATACGTGCTTGAAACGTTCTTGGCTTTCAAGTTTTCCTCTATCGCATCAAACGCACTATTCCTTTCGCGAAGCTCCTCGATCTGTAAAAGACGAACTGGAAAAAGCCAATTTGACAGCGAAAACCTTGTCGCCACAATTGCCGAGTTTTTCCAAGTCAACTTCGCTTCCAGTGTTCGGTTGCCACTCCAACCAGTACACGTAGGCCCAGGAACAGTCGTTTCCCGTCTGAAAAGCATCCTTTCACGACGAGGAAACGACTTCAATCTCACATTGTAGAGGGCCTGAACCTCGTACTCGAAATTCCCGTAGTTAAGTTTGCTTTCGTCTTCCTTTGTGAACTTCTTTCGTTGTTTGAATGGGAATTCGACAGTTTCATCACTCGTCGCGACGACTGAAATTCCGAAGATCAAGACCATCTTATCGTTTTAATTATAATTTTACCTTCTATTGATTCGACGGAAGCGATTTTGCGCTTCCGTGAGTCTACCTTCTGGAATAATATGACTCTTAAGAGCGATACTTTTCAAAAAGCAGTATCAAGTTTCAATACTCACGGCAATGTCCGCAGGGGAGACCATTCCTTCTTGACTGTTCTCTTTATCGTCGTCTTAAAGTTTCAAAGTTAGAAAATCATGCACAGCATAAAATTAAATTCTGCGTAGCGAAATTATTTACTTTTTCGAAATCGCTGACAAGTATAGAAATAATCCTTACAAACCTTCGTCTTCTGCCATTTCCTCTTCTAATGATACCGATACGTTTCGTTTCTCGGAATCCTGCATTTAACTATTAATACCACAAACGAAAAAAAAAGGTTAGTATTCAATGAAAAACTGGAAAAGTGCTATTTATAATTTCAAAACCAACAACTTTCATCGCGTAGATGCCTTCTTGAACCCACGACTGACCAAAATCGTCTTCCTGTTTGACTCGAAAGTTCGTCATTTTTATTAGTGGAAGCCCCTCTCGAGGAAACGACACTGAACCGTTAAGAAATTATGAGCTTTTCCTCGAAATTCGAAATAATGTTCGACGCGATTCGAAAAGCGTGGTACAGCTTTTTTAGAACTTTTATTTTTTTACGTCGCTGCGTAGACAAAAAACTACCGCATAGCATTCTCTATATCAATTTATTATTCCAGTTTGTGGAGAAAAATGTTCACGAAATAAAATTTAAAAGACCTACTTGGCGACCTCTCGTTGAAAACATCGCCTTGTTTGATATCACAGGTCGAAGCTCTCTCAAATGCTAGAAATTCTTTTGTTATTGGCTTAACTTTTCTTCTAGTTTACCCGTGTCAAAATAAGGCTCCTTACATGGTTTGACATTTTCTAGATTTTTCTGCCTGTCATCGAAAAACCTTATCCGGTCTCCTCTATGTCCGGCGCTGACACGAGACTTTTTAGCGGGTGGGTTCATCTCCTGCAAGAACTTTTTGAAGCAAGCTTTTTTAATCCTAAAAAAACGTTTGAAAAAAACACATTAGAGACCAAAATCATCTTCGCTGCTAGCCATGTTTTTTTTCTGATTTCAATCAAAATATTTTATTCAAATGAGTCAATCTTTTTATCGACAAAATTGCAGTTTTCCCATTACTCTTGTTGATGATGGTATGAAGGAATTTTGGGCTCCCCAATATTCGTGAGCGTTAATTGTACATACACCAATCTTGGAGGCTCGAATCTTTGAAAATTTCTATCTTTGCAAACGATTTTTTTGGGAATATTCCCCTCTTTTTCTGATTTTTTTATAATTTTTGCAATATTTTTTTGTTAACAGAAGTTGATGGAGAATATATACAGAGTGAATGAAAACGTGGTAGCCGTTCTGCAGGGAATATTTGACTACATGTATGCGAGAAAGACGCATTATTCGATGAAGGTTAGTTGAAAAAAAATCATACAGTGTTCATTTGTGGTCGAAACACGGCATCTTCACAATAAAACGACAAAGAAAAAAAAGGGAATTTAAAAAAGAAGGGAATATTCCCAAGAATCGTTTGCAAAGATTCAAATTTTCAAAGATTCGAGCCTCCAAGATTGGTGTATGCACAATTAACGCTCACGAATATTCGGGGACCCAAAATTCCTTCCTACCATCTTGTTGATCAAAACCAACTTTGAAAAACTTTATTGTTTTTAGACTTAATTTAAAATATCTAAAATGTCCATACCCAAAGACTCCATAATATTAAAAAAAGTTTTATTGAAGTCAATAGATCCTGCTTTAAATTTAAAAAAATGCATGGAATGCAAGATCAAAGGTGAGTATAACAAACTGAAAGATTTTTTTATTTTAATTTATTCAATATAGTAATCGTTATTTAAATTCTTCTGATGTGCATCAGATATAGGATCTCACTCTGAGAGACTAGAATTCTGCATAAAAGTTACATTTGCGCCTTCAAACTACCAGCCTATATACTTGGAGGCCTGTCCTTTTGGCAGAGCTTAATGCAAGCCGGCTGAATCAGGCTGACAATGCAATCGCGCATCATTATTCGTAGAAAAAAAAAATAGAACGCGAAAATTCTTCTTGTTGAATTTTTGCAACGATCGCTTTACGGCAAGCATTAACGCTATCCAGCGCACCTTAAGAAAATATTAAATCTGATTCACGGCCAGCTTGGGACGCTAAGGGGGCGTGTCCTGTCTGCGCTCTCCTCGAGCCAGGCGTTATCTCGTGCATTATCGTTTCAGGACCCGTTTTCCGATGGCTCAAGCCAGCCGTGAATCAGCTATATCTTTGAAGTCTTCGAAAGCTTGAGTTTATGTGAAGCAAATTGAAAAACAAAAAAAAAACCTTGATAGAGTGTCAAAGAAAAAAAAAAAGAAAAAAAAGACGAAGAAAGAAAACATGAAATTTAAATTATTTCAAACGTTTGAAGTTCCATTTTTCGCGCGTTTGTCTGTGGAGCGCAATCAACGACGGCACAATCACCGACCTCATGCCAGGCTTGTGCGAGGGCCGGCTCGTCACCCTCCCGGCCCTCCGACCATTTCGTGAGCCCGGCCTTAGCGGGGCCTCAAGAAAAAATGGCCCGCCCGGGCCAAAACGCGCAATTTTTTTCTAGTCGGATATCAAGTTTTTTTTACGACAAAAATTACGTTTTTGCTTATTTTTTTCACTTCAAGTTTAACAGAAACTATGATTTCAAAAGTAAAAGTAACATTTCGGTGAAAATTTTTTTAATGAAATTTTAAATTTTTTTGAAGCGCGGCCCGGCCCGAGCGGGCTTTTTCCTGAGAATGAGGCCCAAAGCCGAGGCCGGGCCGCCCGGCCTGACGCACAAGCCTGCCTCATGCTTGAGTGTGGCCAGATGCGCGCTCGAGCGCTCATATATACCCGGAGAAGACCTGGTTGTCCGCTTTTTTCGTCTTTTTATATCAAAAATATACTCTAAATTCTCTATTACTGGTTATAATAAGCGATATAATCCTTGCAAGGAGACTCTCTTAATAGCTAATTAAATGAAAAGTTCAAATTTAAACTTCAAAAAAATCGCGTAAAACTCTTCTTTAACTCTATTTACGAGTTTTCCGACCGCCTTGAACTGGCGTGATCGGGATAAAATTTATACTGTGGAGATTTTGAAAATTGTCTTCTTTTCTCCTTTTTCGCTAATCGTTTATAAAAACCCTTTTCGTTCCAAACCAACTGCGGTTGTATACAGCACTTTATTGCTAGCTTTATCATCAATTTGAAAAAAGTTTAACATAGCTTCTGAAAAAGTCTAACAGTCGTCGATTAGTCTGTCGGGTACGCAAACAATGAAATAGACGAAGAAAAATATAAAGGTTATAAAATATCTGCGAAGGATTTCCTAATAAGAAAAGGTTTTGAATTTCGTGTATACAGGTGCTCATTGTAAGCTGCTTTGAATTGGCTTACAAAAACTCTCAGCTTTATAGTTTTTAAACTCGGAAACCACGTGCAAAGGCGCATGCCTCCTTTTCCCGATCTACTTTACGCTTTTTTTAGGATTACTTCTCCGGTTTATGCTGGAGGGAGAGCGTTGGGTAGACGAACTGACGGCTTCCCTAATAGGATCAGACCTGTGTTATTACTTGCTATTGATTCCTAGCCTCGTTCCTGTTCTCATCTTTTTTCATTTCCTCATTTTACTAGGTATAAAACAAGATTCGAGAAAATCAATTCTTAATTCTTCAAGGTAACGAGTTCTTTGTTAACAACTGAAATGGCGGATGTGGCAGCGATTCCAAGATATTTAGACGGAACTTTTCCAACGCTTCCTGAAGAAGTCAAGGATTACGTGTCCGGTAGAAACCTATTTCCAACCTTAGGAGAGAAAAAAAAACCATTACAGCTGTGTTGAAAGAAAACGCGGATGAGTTGACGTCATTGGAAGAAGTTATGGACGCAGTTGGAGATCACCTACAAGTTTTTAATTTGGACCTCCAGCTTTTCATTTCATTTCCAGGCTTCGGTTGATGATTTGAGTGATGAAGGAGTTCATAATGCATGCAATTATTTGCTCCGTCTTTTGCATGGAGAGTGAGTTTTTTTTTTCCAGTTCACCAACTATCAGATTAGCAAGTATCTTTTAAGAAAAGATAGGATCGGAGAGAAAAAATGGTAAAATAATTTTAATTGGCATTGGATGTGTTGAGCTTGCTTTTTTCAGACAGTGCTTTCAATATTGAAAATGTCGGTATTCTTCAGCATTGTTTTCTTTCCCTCGAAGACGATAATTAAAATTTTGAAACTCTTTTTTGTCGGCTTTCATTGCATTAACTTGAGCACTGCTTACCAACTTTTTATTTGAAAGATTCCCATTTTTCCTCACAAGAAGAAAATTAAAAAAAAAAACGGTTTTGCAGCAACCTGCCAAAAGCAGTCAGAAAACAAGAAGCGACGACGAAAAGACTTGAGCAAACAGTGGATATGGCAGCTGAGAACCAAGATTTTGCCGCCCTCGAAAGCATTTGGAAGGTTCAAACGCGAGACACTCCTATAGTAAGGCCGTCTTATATGAAAGTTGCAATGGCAATTCCAAGATCGTCGACAAGAAGAAGCTGGAGAAGGCGGACGCTAGAGCAGCCTTGAAAGCTGACGCCCGAGCTGCCGAGGCTCCCACTGAGCGGCGCAAACGCAAGAACGAACCATCGGCTACTGCTTCTCAGGTATCGGGCTCTCCCATTCGAGTAAAAAATTGCGACAAAAATAAATTACATTATAAAGTTAATTTTCGAATATTCCGAAATTCTCTCCGGAAAAGAACGCGGTTGGTTTCATTTTCGCTTCTTCAAAATACGCCAATAGGTTCATTCTGTTCTTTTCTTTTGATATTATCTTTTTAATTGGTTCGATCAGATTCTATCATTCTGATTGCCTAGCAATCATCGTTTACTCAACAAAAATAGGTATTCAATCCAGTAACTTATATATTTTTTCACAGATACGCGATTTTTTTTAGGCCGATGAGCATGCATGTGTTCTCGGAATGGAAAAAGCTCAAAAAGTTAATTTCGCAAAAATAATTTTTTTTTTCGATCACCTAAAATTGTCGTTTTTTTGTTTTTGTTTTGAATGGCAAAGTTCAGGCCCCGATGAAAGAAGCTGCACGTGGAACGAACTCGAAAGACGTGAAGCTGGAGAGCGTCGACATATCGATTGGCACCAAGTAGGAAAAATGAAAATAGTTTTATTTTTTTAATTTTTGTGTTTATAGACAACTTCTTTCGTGTGCGGATCTAACAATGGCTTTCGGTCGGCGTTACGGTCTTGTTGGCCGAAACGGTATCGGAAAAACAACACTATTGAAAATGATTTCTGGGTAATATTTTTCATTCATCAATTTCTGTCGATGAATGGTATTTTTACAGAGGACAGTTGAAAATCCCACAGAACATTTCCCTTCTATCTGTCGAGCAGGAAGTGGAGGGCGACGAAACGCGAGTCCTCGACGCAGTTTTGCTCAGCGACACGCGACGTCAAAAGCTTATCGATCGCGAGAAAACGCTCCAGTCGCGCCTGAACAAGTTCATTGAATCTTGCTAAGAACCCATCAATATTGTTTTCAAGGGAAAATATCACGGACGCCGAAAAGAACAAATGGAGCGATGAACTAAATAAACTCTACGCGGAGATGGAGGCGCTGCAGCTCGACAAGGCTCCCGCTCTAGCCTCTTCCATTCTTTACGGTCTCGGTTTCACACCTGATGAACAGAAGAGACCAACCAAGGTTTTTTTCGTTCAGCCCCTGGATGTTCAACTCTTCGGTGCAACTTTTCGTTCGTAAAAGGACAGTTTTTCAGGAATTCTCTGGTGGTTGGAGGATGCGTGTGGCCTTGGCTCGAGCTCTATTCGTCAAGCCAGATTTGTTGTTGCTCGACGAACCGACAAACATGTTGGACATGAGGGCCGTTTATTGGTTGGAGGGCCATCTTCAGGCATCGCCTTTCGCGTTTTTCCTGTTGACAGCTGCTTCGTTTCAGGGCTGGGAAGGAACCATCCTCACAGTTTCCCACGATCGAAAGTTTCTCAACGAGATCTGCACGGACATCGTCCATCTGCACACGCGACGACTCGACCATTACAAAGGAAATTATGACCAGTTTGAGAAGGTGACCACATTTGCGGATGGTAGAAAAGTTTGCTCTTCAGACGATGAAGGAGAAACTGACGCAACAGCAGCGGGAGTATGAGGCGCAGCAACAGCTCCGTTCTCACACTCAGGAGTTTATCGACAAGTTCAGGTGGGTTGAGAAGAGGTCGGCTTGAAATGAAAGCCTGGAACTCTAGGTACAATGCGAAAAGAGCCGCGATGGTGCAGTCTCGTATTAAGATGCTGGAAAGGCTGTGAGCTGATTTTTCTGTCTTTCTATGCTCATCGTTCGCTCAGACCGACGCTTCTGCCGGTGGAGCTGGAGTCAGACATCCATTTCAAGTTCCCCGAGTGCGAGCCGCTCAACAACCCTGTGCTGCAGCTCGACGAGGTCTCCTTCAAGTACAATGGCGAAAATTCGCCTTTCTTGTTCCGCAAACTCAACCTCGGAACCCACACGGCGTCTCGCATTTGCATTGTAAGCTTCGAATTCTCATTTGATTCGAGAGAAAAAAAGAACTATACAATTTTTTTTCATGCGAAACGGAAAGCTGTACATTAAGCATTCAAATGCTTTTCCGGCTCCAAAATTTCGAACTTTTTAGAAGAGTCGAAACTAAAAAATATAAATTCATGCAAGTTAAAAATTTAAAAAAATTATAAGCTACGAATTTCGAAATGTTTGTTTCACCGTGATTACCTCTCCGTTTGATCTATTTTGTCTTGATACTGTTTTTTTTTTGTCTGAAGAACCTATCTCGTAGGTTGGAGAAAACGGTGCTGGTAAGACGACGCTTCTGAAGTTGCTTCTCGGAGACCTGGAGCCTTCTGTCGGTACGAGAAACGTAAACAGGCTAGTTTGAACTCTTATTTTCTTCAGAAAGTTAGGATCCTTTGCAATTTTTTTTGACGAACTTATTCCTTTTTCTGCTGTCAATCTAACAATTTCGGTTGAAGGCGAATCCGCATTGCCTACTTCACACAGCACCACGTTGATCAACTCGACATGGACACTTCGGCCATCGAAGTTCTGATGAAGAACCACCCAGGTAGCAGCTGAACTCTTTCGTTGCCTGAGTGAGACTTTTAGGAAAGACCCAAGAAGATTATCGTGCGGCTCTTGGCCGCTTTGGTCTGGCCGGCGACATGGCTCTCCAGGCCGTGGAGACCCTTTCCGGAGGTCAAAAGTCTCGTCTCGCCTTTGCCAATCTTGCTCTGATGAAGTTTGTTGTTTCTTTCAGATTCCCATTTTCACCAAAAGTAGTAAAGAAGCAAAATATTTCAGCCTGGGGGCATTCGGCTTTAAATTTATTTTCATTTCCATATTTTTTTAAACTAAAAATTTCACTCACATTGAGTTCATTTTTTCGTTTCGTTCTGGTTACTCTTCATTTTTCTTTCCTGGAAAAAATAGTAAGAATTACTTATTGAAAAAAAGTAAAGGTAACGGAGTGGTACCGAAAAAAAATTCGTTATCTCAAAAGTTGGTTTGGTATCTTACAAACCATCAAATACATTGGAGATATTATTTTATCAGATAGCCAACCGCTGAGTTCACTTCCATTGGAAATATAATAAGCTGTCATATACGGCGTAAGAATTTTTTTTGAATTTAAGGTTCATACCTTTTTCCAGTAACATTTGAGATACCTAATCAAAGTTGACCGAACGTTTTTTTCAGTCCGAATTATTTGATCCTTGACGAGCCCACTAACCATTTGGACGTTGAAACAGTAGAAGCTCTTGGAAAAGCTCTCAACACCTTTAATGTAGGTTTCCTTTTTTTTTGCCGTCGATGTTTCTTTCAGGGAGGCGTCGTGCTTGTTTCTCACGATGAACAGCTGATCGAACTCGTTTGCAAGGAATTGTGGGTTGTGAAGGTGGGAGTCATTTCCACTTTGATTGGTTTATTTATTTTTTTTCTTAGGACCGAATGGTCACCAATTTGGAGGGCGGACTCGAGGAGTACCGGAAGCAAGTTTACAAGCAGCTCCAGCTCTCTAATTGATTTAATTTATATCGATTCTATTCTGCGATCCGTTTTTGTTGATTTCTTTTTTGTTGTCTCGGTGATAAAGTCAAGGTTGAGTTGAAATGATTTTATTGTAGCAGAGAGCGAGCTTGGAACATGAGACAGGCGTCGTCTCCGGTCACATCGTCGTGCAGTAAATACTCGAGCTGGTAGGGAGAGTCGTTCTGAAACATTCGGTCTTTCTGAAGAGAGATTAGTGAAAGGTTGACTTTGAGCAGGTTGATGATCTGCTGAGCGTCCGAGAAGTCGAGTTCGAAGTCGAGGGTTTGCGGACCCAGCTTGATGGGACAATTGACGCCGTTGGTGCAGGCATCGAGGTCGTTTCTGCAAAGGGTCAGCGACGGTTGGCCCGAGTCACACTCACAATAGTCCGAAGGTCGGAAGAGAGGTCCAGGCACATTTGATCGTGCTCCATGACCAAACTTTAATGGTCTGCTTGAGTCCTGGCGAGCTGTACACGTTCTTGGCGTTGTTGGCGGTCGTCCGGATGAGAAGAGGCTTGTTCAAGTGGATTGGGTACTCGAAAACTCCTGTAGACATTTTTAGAGTTCTACATTAAAAAAATGTACTATATACACAAGGAAAAGTTTTTCAATGGACTATTTTTCAAGATCAATCTTTGGTTTATTGACAATATTTCCATTTTTTTATTTGAAAAGAGTATGAAAATCAATAAAGTTTTTGCCGATATGTCTTGAAGAAGAATGACTTACATGGCAGAAAAAACGTGAATACTTTCCAATATTTCTTTTTTCAAAAATGTTTACGAGTTATAGGACCTTTCTTTTAGGCGTTTTTTTTCTCTCAAATATTATTGATAAGTTATACACTCATCTTTTCGTCATGATCAAATCCTAACTTCATGGATCTGACCTTTGCAATCGACGGTGGTGACGGCGGAAAAGGTCATGGGTCCCGAGGAGCACATCCACCAGTTGGTCGCCGTCTCCGTCGAGTTTGGCCACGTCTGGCAGGCCGTCGCCGACCCGACTACCGTCAGCAGAAAAAGCACCGCGCCGAGCATTTCAACACTGTTGCCAGCACTTATCAACTCTCTCCGTTTGTCTTTTTATGGTTCTTTCCAATTTTGACGATAAAAGATAAGTTAGAGATAACTTTCCACGTGTTTAGCACTCAAAGAAGTTGAGTTTTGTTGGGTTTTTCTTTTGAACAGTCTGCATGAAAATTCCTGGTTGGATTTTTGGAAATCTTGCAAAATTGTTCGGAGTTTTTTTCGTCAAAAAATAAAAGGAAAAAACCTTTTGCTTTTGTTATTTTTTTTTACGAACTGAAAATTAAAGAAATATTTCAGCGCTTGCTCTCAAAACTTGAAATTCCTGACAAGATTCTTCGTTCAGGTTTTTCTTCTTCTTCAGAATGACTAACTTGTTTATTGTGTTTATTGCTCGTTTGTATTACAGGACGCCGTCCGAGTGACAGGTCGGAAAAGGTCGATTTCTCTTGCAAATTCCACATTGGAAGACGTTATTTACACATTTCTTTTTCCCGTATAGACACAAATAGTGGGTTGCGAGGCTTTTTACTTGAGGTAAGCCCAGGCCTGGACCATGAGACAGGCATCGTCGCCGGTCTTTCTGTCGTGCAGAAGGTACTCGAGTTGGTAGGGCTGGTTGTCCTTGAGCAGGTTGATGATGGCCTGGAACTGCGTGAAATCGATCTGCACCGGCAGCGTCTGACGGCCTGTCTCCACTGGACACGGGACGCCTTGGTCGCAAGCGCTCAAGTCCTTCCTGCAAAATATCTATTTCTTATTTTTGAACTCTCCTGCGGATCAATCAGAAGCTGTCAAACAAAAAAAACTCGGCGGAAAAGCGAGGTAGACGAACTCACAGAAGTCCGAGAGTCGGGAGGGAGCTCCAGTGGCAGGAGCCGACGCTGCTGAGAGACCAGAGGTTGACAGTGTTCCGCAGGTCGGGCTTCGTGTAGACATGTGTGGGATTGAGGATGTCCGCCTTGACAATGATCGGCTGGCTCAGGTGAATCGGGTACTCGTATTTGGTTCCTGCAATTTCGTCTTTTGATGTTTTGAAAGATTTCTATCCATCCCTTTTTCATTTGAAGCCCTCAAGACAGTCTTGAGATAAGATAAGATTTCGATCATTATATTCTCGGCGCTTATCAAGCTTCTTAACAAATACCATTTTTTTTCGCGCTGGTGATAAAACCTGGTTTGCCATCAACCTGGAAGTTTCATGATATCCCAACTAATAACTCGAGAGTTTTTACACAATCATTTTGCCGCGAACGATGATTTTAATCTCTTGCTTAAATCTGACGGGATATTTCTTGAATTTTCTACGTGTCCTACAAACTAATTCAAAGGAAATAATCAAGCAATAAGTTGTCTTTGGATTTAACCTGAGGCTGTCGAAAAGTTACGAACCGGTCGAGTCGAAAGGCGTCGCGTTGTAGAAGGTGATGGGGCCGGCGTTGCATTGCCACCAGTGCATGGCCTTGTCGGTTCCGTTGGGCGCGGCGCAGGCCGAGACGGCGGCGACCACCGACAGAAGAACTGCGACCTTGGACAGCATTCTCGTCTCAGGACTGACTCTTCTCCTTCGAATCGAGCTCCTCTTATACGGAAACTTCGCTCGGAGCAGGGGCGTGTTGATATCGACCGCGTGGAGCTTATCAGCCAAACTGCTGAAAAAGGAATCTTGTCAAAAAAGAAGGACCTGATAACGAACAAAGAGCTTCTTCGAGGCGAACTTTGGAGAGTACTTTGTGACCCGAATCATTTGATCAGGAACCGATTCTGTAACAGATGGTCAGTGAGAACACAATAGAATATACTCCGCTCAGTTTAAACTGAGCCAAAAGCAAAGAGACTGTCGTTCAAGAATCTACTTTTCGTGTAATAATTCTTGAATAATTAAAAAAAAAATTTCTTGAATAATTTTAAAAAAAGATCGTCGGAAACGCTCGAAAACCGTCTACTACTTTCACAAGAAGAGCGAGATGCTCTACGCGCCGTCTACTCTTGATCAACGGCAGTTTCGCAACCGACGAACAACTCTTCAATTATTCCATGATTCAGCAGAGTACCTTCTCTGAAGACTGAATAAAAGTTTCAAAAAAAAAGTTTAAAAAAAAACTGCAGGATCTCAATCAAAGAAATTAGTTTCCGTTTCATTCTGTTTTCTTATAAATGTCGGACTGATAGAAAACGCCTTGCACAGCGAAAACAGTTCGTCGCGTTTTTTGAATAACTCATTTCAATAATTGGAGCGATTTAAAATCGAAAGTCGAATCTTGTTTTGCGAAATTCAATCGATGAATAAAACACTCAAGATCCCAACTATAGTCCAAAAAGTATGTGTGGCATCAAATTCGTGTTATTTTTAAGACCAACGTGATACGATTTAAAATAAATTCAAGTTCATCTGTATAATAATTTTTCTCTTTTTTTTTTGAGATCAAACGAAGACCCATTTCAAGTGGACCCAGTAGCTTTTCAAATTGTCGCCTATGTTTCAAACTACTTTTGAAAAGCAACCTTGTTGACAAAACCCTCGGCATCCCATGTTTAGGAGAACAGAATAAACTAGAAAAGAATGGGGACCTTCGTAATCAGGAACCAATGAGCACAAAACGCGGCGCTATCTCTGACGTTTCCTGCCACGCTAGCTCCGGGTTACAAGGACGCATCGAACCTCTCTTTTCCTCTTCCGTTTATGTTCTTTTCGAATAGAATAGTTTCAAAAGACAAGTGAAATATTTATAATTGATAGAATTAAGACAAATATGTCGATCACATCGGGAGAAGTTCACTGTTAGTTGTAGACCAGAAATAACAAATAATCACCGCACCTAGGTTATCAGATAAAGCATGAAGGTCAAAAATATTTTCATATTACAAGAAAATTTATACATAAACAGTCTCTTGAGTATCATGATATGGTTGTGAGATGAGCTCTAAATAGTTAGAGAAGAAATGAAAATCATTGTACAGGAAGATTAGTTCAATAGAACATAGTACAGTGAAATCAATTATAAATAGGAAAGGCTGGAAAAGAAGAGAATATCAGGTAATGACGACGGTGCTCTGCAGACTTTCAGAGCTCTCCGAAGCCTTGACGTTCTGGAGGCGCATCTGGAGTTCGCGGCTGCGAATCATCACTTCCCGAGCCGAGGGACGTTGTTCAGACTCTACGGCCAGCATCCACTTTATCAGGTCCATAACTTCTTCGTTATACCTACGAATTAAATGAAAAAAATATATGATTTGTCTGAAAGCGAATTTCTTGTAGAAAATTGTAGTATGGATATGAAGCTGAGTGAAAACGTTGAAGTAAAATTTACTATAAATATAACGATGATTTGATAAAATCTTCTTAATTAAAAAAATTTCAACTGATCTCATAATTTGAAGCTCAAATTTCGAATAAAATATTTCTCGCTGCCCCAGTAAATTTCAAGTCTTACTTCTCGATAGTTTCAACCCATATTTTTTTTATAGGAAAGTTGAGAAAATACTGACGGCGCTTCCTTGGGATAAGGGATCATCTGCGGACTTTGGACGGCGAGAGCGATGCTGTTGCCTTTCTCGTAGGTGAGGTCGAAGGGCGAGACGAAGAAGCAGAGGGCGTAGAGACAACATCCGAGCGACTGAACGTCGGTCATTTTCGATTTTCGTCGTGCAATTACCCAGATGTCGACACGGTCTGTGATCATGGAGCCAACCTCGCAGGTGAACAGTTCTGGAGCGCGATAGGGCATACTGCAGAGCTCGGCCGCCTCGTCCAGATATTCCTGGTGTTGTCGAGAGTTCTCGACAAGTCTAGGGACTCTGAAAAAGTTCACCAATTGACTGACTTGACTTTCGACAACCTTCCACAAGAACCGAAGTCTGTCAGAAGGCCGCGGCCGTCATCGCCAATTAGAATGTTGGCGGTCTTGAGATCGCGATGAGCTATGCTCTTGGCGTGAAGAAACTCCACCACGGAACACACTTCCACGAAGTACGTCAGGACCTGAAAGGCAGCTGACGATAGAACTTAGCTTCCTTTTCTGAATCAGACGACGTTCTAGGAGCCTTGCCTGAAGTTGGTCAAGCCACTCGGAGTTCTCACGACGACGGCCGAGCTCGTCCGCCAGATTGCCGCGGTCGTAGTAGGGAAACACGAGGTGAAAAGTCGAATCGCCGCTGATAATTCCCAGCAACTGCACTGCGTTTTCGACTCCGTTGAGTAAGCGGTGGACTTCGACCTGCGAAAAATGAGCGCTACGGGTTTTAGATGAAGTGAGATAACAAACAATAATCAGAAAAAAAGATACGGAAAGAAAAAAAAGTTGAAGATGATTCAGAACATTTCACTCCCATTTGATCTATGACAAGAAAAAATTGCACACTAACTAGCTTTCATTACAAAAAGCTGAAAGCTAACTCAAGAGTTGTCCATTAGTAAAAGCCGAGGGTGAATGGAAAGGTCAACCAGAAGCTTTAAAGTTACTTCCTCTCCCAAAATCTTCCAACGAGGAGGCTTTGCAAACGACGCTGGAATGATTTTCTTTGGATCGTGAGAATTTGCATAGCATCCTAGACTGCCAGAACTATTTTTCAGTAATCGATTAAGACTGAACCTCTTCGTGGACGCGAATTTCTTCTTCATCAGAGTTGACAATTATTTTCTTGACTGCGTAAGCGTCGCCGCTGTCCATGTCTTCGCACCTGAGCACCTAAAAACTTTGTTTTGAAGGTCAAAAATCGTCGGAGCGGACTTGGCTGAAGCCTCCTTTAGCGATTTCTTTGATCACTTTGATGCGAAGTCCATCTCCAGATAAGTCGGCGCTTGACAGCGCGCATCCCATTCTTCTTCCCAGGGGCAGAGTCCACCTAAATTATCTGAAATGAAACTAGAAGAAAGTTCGATAGAGGTTCAAATCAAGAGATTCGATCGAAGTCAACGAATCAATGAAGCGGTTAAAATGTTTGAATTAAAGCTTTATTATGCGTACGCAATGCGAGAACACGTAGAATTAAGGCAATTTTTCATGGATGTAGATCATTTGGTCAATAAGGCCAATAAAGCTGATATTTCTTTCAACAAAATGACAAGATATTCCGATAACAAAAGATATGTTATGATAACAATGGAAATGCTAAAGTTCTGTCTTTCCCTTCGAAGGAACTAAAGGCTGCAAGATTGAGGAATTTTCGGTGTCCGAGACATAACCATTCTCGTGAGTGTAACGTTGCGGAGACACGGACAACGGATAGAGTGTGAAGGCGTCAAGATCGCGCTTTTGAAACTGCTCTTTCCAATCCTGAAAAAAACTCGACTTTCGATTTTTTTTTTTCAATTTTGCTTTGCAAACTGCAAAAAAGACAAAAACGTCTTGTAGCGAAGCGGGTCAAGTTCTGTATACGTTTTTTTTGGCAAAAAAATGACAAGCCGGTGCGGAATGGGCTACCTTACCCATTAACTATGCATCAAAACATTCTAGCACATTGAACTAGAATACAGAACTTCCAATGTATAAAATTTTTCGCTAATTCAACGTATCAATTTTTAAGAATTTAGAGATTAGTCCACCGACAAAAGTTTTTTTCATTGAAGGCCTTCTGATTAGTTTATTTCTTGATTGTTGTTTACATTCCACAAAGTTAATATGCTGACTTTTCCTTTATTGAAAAACATAAAAGAAGTTTGTGAAAAATGACCTGATTAGGGTGTCGATCAAACATGATAGGAAGAAACTCGTCGACTGGAACGATTTTTTGGAGCGGCTTCGCAGCCAGCAGCTTTTCAGCTCCGGACTTGGAAAGCAGGTAGCCGAGAGTCCAGTAGGAATAGCCCACGGTACTCAGGTGCCGATGGCCGCTCACCCACAGTTCTTCCTGCGAGGCGAACAGAATTATTATCACTTCAGGTCGGGAGACACAGGTAGAAGCTCCAACATTTCAAAGAGTTAATGAGAAAACAGAGTTTATAAAAACAGCTTGAAACGTTCAGCCTATAAATATTAGTCTGACCAAATAAAAATAAGCGTCTTGCTTTTTGTGTTCCATTGGATAAAATCTATTTTTTTAATTTACAGTTAAGAGGCTGAATGTCTTTCTGAGTTCGGACCTGATCAGCCTGCTTTTTTCGTCCCAAGTAAATGAGGTCCCAAGGTTTTCCGGTGGCGTCGAGATCAGCGAGAACTTCGCGGACTCTTTGGAGTCCGTTGGGAGCAAATCTCAGGTCGTCCTCAAAGACAATGACTCGATCGAGTCCCTCTTTGACCACATCTTCCCAAATTCTGCGAACCAACCGGTTTCATGAGGCCATCCGGAAAGTTCAAACCTGTAATGGCTGAGAAAACAGCCGATTTCGCCGGCTTTGATTGGCCTGTTCATTATGGGATCTCTGTAGGACGGTAGCGTTGCATGAGACTTGTGGGGGGACGGCAAAGAATCGAGGTAATTTCCATCTGTCGCCTCCCAAACGGTCGCTTCCACTCCTATAACTTATTTAAGTATTAGGGAAAGTCACTTTTCTATTGCACCTAAAAGCTCAAAAATCTTCTCCATTTTTTGCAGACGTTCGGGTCGTCGCTTCAGGTTGATCACGTAAATTCTGGAAAACATTTTTAGAAAATTATTATCGACAAAAGAAAAAATAAGGAAAAAAAACTTCTGCGTATCCCATAAGGAAGGCTCTGGTAGCCACGGTCGAACGGATCTCGAAACGATTGGAAGCGGATTTCCATCGGCGATGACGTCAGCCAATTGGTATCGGAACTAAAAACTGACTGATTTCCTTTACTTAATTCTCATACCATAGTTCGACGATCTTCCAAATCAAGCTCTGGGTTCACGAAAAAGCCATAATCGTCTTGATTGTCCACATAAATCGGTATGTCCATTCGCTCTGCGGAGTTCGCAAAAACCTGAAAACTCAGAAAAAAGTTACCTTTTACAGCAAAAACTTTTATTTCCAAATGCTCCGTAAAGTTCTAAGTTACCACTCCTACAAAAAAAAACCAGTTTTTTTCGATAAATTTTTTAAAGAAGCCTCAAGAATCCTGTCCCCGATCAAAGTAAATATTATGTAAAGAAAAACTTTAAAAGGTCGATAAAAAAGACTTTCCTGAGAGCTTATTTTCACACTTAGTCCAAATTTTCTCCAAAAAGGAACCTCTAGAGGTTCGTCTGCAGCTTCGTAGTGAGGGAGATTCTGGGCGTCAAAAGTCAGATAAGACGAGTCAATGGCGGTCAGGTTGATGGCCAAAGGTAACCAGACTTTTTTCAACACCTCAAATGGGCATATGGACCAGGAGAAGAACAAAGGCAACCTGCTCCCGCACATTCTCGCGCTTCTGAACACGCTCGCTCGCCTCTTCCACGTTCAGACTGCCGTCGACACTTTGGAACAAGGGAGTTACTACCAGATGAGAGGGTTCTCTGAACAACATCTGCAAAAGTTCCGTTTGGACGTAAAAATAATCGGCGATAGATAATTGATCGGTGGACCAACCATGGAAAGAATCGTCTCGAAGAAAAGTTTCAATAAGAAAAAAATCAACGATTTCAAAGCAACTTTTTCACAAGCCTATATAACTAAAGTTGGACTTACTTCAAAAAGGTTGTTTTCTGATCTATTTCTGAGCATAGATCTTTATTCGCCGTTATCCTCTATGTCACATCTCCTACCCCGGTCGTTATTCTCTTTATTTTCTTTGCCATCTCCGTTTTTGTTGTTTTTTTTTTTACTTTGTTAATATAATTATCGCGCATGTATAGTTGTAAAAAAAATTTCATTATATTTTATATTCCTCTGAACTTATACTTGCTTTAGTAAGTATGAATTGAATACAAATAAATTTTACAATTTAAATTTATGCAACAGGGAAAATTCTGATGATGGATCTCCCGCTAGCCGTAAACTTTTGAGACTCGAAACCGCTGCTCCTTATAACTTCGATCCTCATTCAATTTAATTCAAAACTATTTTTAGCTATATGAAAAAAGAAAGACACCTGTAAAATGTTGGGAGCCTTGGGAACTGTGTCGCCAGGAAGCAAGAAGCAGCGCGAAATCTTCTGCACTCTGGCACTTCGGAGCGCGTCCTCCAGCCAGTTGGTAGAATCGGCGACGAGCTTCACGCGACGGAAATATTCGCGCGCCGAATCGAGCCACCTGAAAGTCATATCCAGGTCAAAGTCCACTATTTTTGCAAAAAAAAAAGAAGCATACCAGCCAACTTGCTGCTGGGTGGTGTCCTCTTTGCTGTGGACGTAGATCTCGAGGCTGATCTGCTTCTTGGGATAGTCGATATTCTCTAAGAAACCGAGAAGATAGGGCAAAGTGTGAGCATCGGTGTCGAGTCCAAGGGCGAGAAGCGTCGTCGGATATAGGTGTCGGACGTCTCCTTCCTCCGGCTGCGCTCCGGGAAACAGCGCCACCGCCGTCGCCAGGATCCCTAGGGCCACAAACAGCCGCCGGAGCATGCTGTAGTCCGTTCTTACTGTAATGCGGATCAAAGAAAGATTCTGAGATGAAGATCAGGAAGAAACGGGAAAGAAGAATTTATATTTTGCCTTGGACTCAAAAATAAAATTCATTTTTTGGAGCCATTCCTTTGCGAGGGGTCTATGTTTCTTCAAATTTTGAAAAAAATATTCGAAACTAATTTGAGAATAAGTTTTTTTAATTACCGTTATTTTCACTGAAACATATTTTTTTTCGAGCCCTAACTCACCGAGGAATTTTTTCACCTTAAATGCCCAATAATGCTATTTTTTTGAATCGAAGAGCCAATTAAACCCAAAAATTACTTATGGAAAAAAACGAGAAAAAGAGGCAAAAGAAATGGTTTGATGATGAAACGATGAGTTTAAAGTCTCTCTTACGACAGAAAAAAATTTTTGTAAATATAATTAATTTAAATAAACTCTTGTAAATATAATTAATTTAAATAAACTTCTTTCAAACAGGGACAAGTAACCGACGGTAGAATCCTTATTCAAAAAACAAAATTGACATAGAAATGAATGAACTAAATCAGTTTATGATCGTGGAAATGGACGCGATTAGATGGAAACGGATGAATGATCGACAAGAAACCCATCGCGCACTGTTAAGCTATTTGCAAGGCAGGGTCAAAAAGACTATAATACAAAAAGCTGAGAACAATCAAACTTATACACAAAAAAGATGATGAAATAGTGAAGAAAAGAAGGAAGCGCCAGACAATATCGCGACTAGGCTGGACATCTGGCGGACCGGCACACAGGTCAGACGCACTGCGTACACATTTGACCCAAAGTTTAAAAACACTCGCTCAATACCAGAATAACCTAATAAATTAAAATAAGTTGAGGCAATGCAAAATATTCCTTTCCAAATTAGGGTTTTCGTCAATACATGGATTCAGATATGTTCAAAATCGTGACCTTGACCATGTGTTGAAAAATTTTTTTTTTTGCTGCCACTGAATCCACACATCTTGAAATTTCATGAAGTTTCACAAGTATAAGAACAGAAAATTGAAAAAAAAAACGTACAGCGTGGCTTAAAGGCTTAGTTGAATTTGGAACAAGTATCTGCAGAAAGAAACTCGTAATGGTTAGGCGATATACTCGTAGGTGTCGTTCTGACCGTCGACGCGCGCCATGTACTCCTTGTCGATGAGGAAGCCGATGCAACGCTTGATCATCTCCACTTTCGGCTTGAATCGAATCGAGAGCTGCTGGATAACCTCAAACACGGCCGCATTCATACCGTAGAATCCTTTATTTTTTATAGCTTTTACAATTTCGATGCTTGTAAAGCATACATGGGCAGGTATAAAATCGATAAACCTTGAGGAAAAAAAAATTTGTAGCTTTTCACAATTAAGAATTCGATTTTCTATTTTTTTTTTAGCTTTCTGAAATAGTTATGAAGAGAGGACGTTCAATGCTAAAAAAAATACATCCTAAAAAAGAGCGAAAATGAAAGAATTAGTCGTATCCATAGCGCTCGTATGTATATAAACAATGTGAAAAGATTTTTAGAAAAATTTCAATACGTTGTGCCTTTCGAATGAGACTGTTTCAAAAAACAAACAAAAAAACCAACTTCGGACATGAGTTGCGAATGAGAAATCCGTTTCCTTGTCTTCATTATGCGCACAATGGTGGCCTACAAAAGACAATTTGAACTCACAGGACCAGAAAAAAAAGAAAGAAAAACAGACGTCGATGACTCCTTTCCGGTCCTCGTCGACATTCTTCTGCACGTCGGCAGTCTCTTTCTGGACGTCCGGTCGAATGGCCAACTTGGACAGGTCCACCTGTCCATTTCGTTGACTTTCATCTTGAATCACAGAAAACAACCTTGACTTTCTTGTTGGAGTACGAGGGATTGAAGGAAACGACTGCATCTGCGGGCAGTTCTTCGTTCGAAGGCTCTTTGTCAGACTTCAATATTTCGTTCTGCAATTCTCCTATATAAAAAAGAGCTCGAAAGTCGCTGGTGTATATGTTTAGCGGATCTAGTCTGGAAAAAGACCTTTATAAGGGAGATGACCACAGCGTTGGCGGTCTTGTTTTCCATTTTCGTGGCCTCCATCAAACTATCAAAACTGAACGAATCCTGGTCGTTGTACATCAAAAGCGTCGTCATTTGTGCCGTAGTCGACTGAAAAGAAAAACTCGACTTTCATCGACTTACATTATCAAGTAATTATCTTCACATTGAAAATTCTGCTCAAAAATATCTTCATTTAAACAAAATTCGCGTTTTCAGGTGATTTAAAGACTTCTCAGTACATATTTGAAGCCTACAATAAACAGATATTGTGTGTCCAAACGCGAAGTTCGAACTAACCGTCAAAAAGTGAAAAAAAAATTATTTAAGTTTTGGAAAGTCAGAATTGGATATTATAAGTTCTTCTATCCCTGAAATAACACAAAAAATCATTAAAAGTGGAAAAAAAAACTGAGGTTAGTATAAATTTTTTGATACACCTTTTAGATCTACGTTTCAGAAAATATAATTTTAAGGAGAAAAACTTTTGCGGTTATGCTAAATCTCTACAGCTTGATAGGCTTGAAAAGAAACTATTCAACAAAAAGTTTATATTTTTGAACCTTTTATCAATTGTTTGATTTCTTAGTGATTTCAGTTGGAACTAGTCACTGAACGCAGAAAAAGTATTCAAAAGAAAAACCAATTTTTTTTTGGTTTTACTTCCTTACTTGTGCAATTTTCCTGTCTGTTTTTTTAATCAATGATTTTGTCAATGAGCGTCTGACCCTTTTTTCGCCCGTTGTTAGACAAACTCACAGTGAATACGTATTTCTTGGAATAGCAAAGGGCGACGACCTCGCCCCTCGACTGCGAGTAGATCTGAAATCATTTGTTGGATTTGCTCCGCGGAAAGTGCAGACCCAGGTGAGACGGCGGCCGTTGTGTTTGGCGTGATAAAAGTCGGTAAAGTTCTCGACGCAGTTGCTAAGTTTGACGGGCAAGTGCAAAGAAGTCGGCGTGAATGTCGGCCAGGAGCCAGAGCTGCAACACGGAAATTGATCCTTGGAGGTCAGCTCAGAGATGAAAAACCTCAGAACCAAAATGTTGAAGTCCATTCCGAGCGCGTTTTTGTGGTCCGTCGTCATCTTCTCTTTGAAATCTGTGCACAGGTCCTAAAACATTTCATCTTGGAAAAAAAAAGCTTTCGCTCTGCTCAATAACGCAGGACATCAAACGAAAAAACAAAGGATTTTTCGCAGCGTCGAAGGGCTATAACTTCAGGAAAACTTGGATCAAAATTGTGTTGCTTCAAATAAAGTTTGCTTCAAAATTTCAGTAAACTCTAAAACGGTTTCCCGTTTTCACCTTTCATTTCATATTGCTAAATATGGAAAATTGTCAAAAAGATAATAATTTGTCACCTTGCTGACTTGAGTGTCGTTGACCATTTTCAATAGCCTTGTTGTGTATTCGTAGCCACACATGTTTTTCAATTTGGTTATAAGGGCGGTCTCAGCGTCATCGCTTGCCGAAATCTCAGTTATCAGTCTGAAAATAGAGATTCGCCTTTTTTTTTCTAGGCCTCCAAAAATTTGACCTTTTGCTGAACAACTTCGTGTAGAACTTCAGAAAAACGTCTTTATCGTCGATATATTTGAACACAATCATCTGAAAAACGAATTATTTCAGGTTGAAAAGGTGAAAATTACAATTCGTACGAGTTGTCCCTCTAGATCACTTTCTTCCGTGTTCTTCGAAGATTTTCTCAATAATTGATCGCAATATCTGTAATTCATTTCACAAAAATTCCACCATTAAAAAGTGCAGGAATTTAGGAAGAGTAATTCTGTGCAAAAGAATTTTGAAGGTTCGGCTTGGCAACTTGAGAAAGAAATACCTGGCCAAGAGTTCTGCGGACTTGTTGCCGATCTGACTGGAAGGTGAGCGAGTAGTGACCGCATTGGAATTTATGAAGTTCGTTGAAGCCTAGGGACAGAAGGAAGATTTGGAAGCAAAAAATTATCTCAAAAAAAAAAAAAATTAACTAAAGCGTTTTAAAATAATCATCGAAAATGTTAATATGCGCAAAAAACAAAACCCCGGGTTTTTTTATCATATAAAAAAAGTCAAAAAAGAAAATCATTAGAAGTTTTTAAAAACATGAGACAAAAAAGATATAAACATAAAAAGTCACCTTGTCTAAAGACTGGATAAAACCGGCATCGTTGCTGAAAGATCCACCGACGAGTTTCGAATATCGGTCGTGGACATCGAGAATGGTTGTGATGTAAAGACGCGCGTCCTGGCACGTTTAGATAAATGGCGTTTTGAGTTTGAATGCGAAGCGGTCGCGCTACGGGCCGCCAAATAAGAAAAAAATAGGACAGTTCAGAATATAAAAGGAAATTGAATATTAATCATTAGTAGCATAATAGTCATATTCCGAACTTTTTTGAAAAGTATTCAAAGTAAATTAATTAATTTTCCTAACAGAAATGGTGATTTAATCCGAAAAAGCGAAAAAATGAGATTGAGGCCAAAAACGCATCACGATCGCTTTGCCGACACTTAGAAAATGCCGCACTCCGGCGTTTAAAGTCGTGAAAAATGGGGATGAAGTGAGAAAAGAAAAAAGTAAGCTGACAAAAAAGCGATTCTTTTCCGCCATAGCTTTTCCAAATAGATCAAGCAAGTGATCTAGCAATATTAAATTCGGTTTGGATATATTTTTTATTTGAAAACTTCATTCGATACCTGTACTCAAGTTTATGATTCTCATGGTTTCGAAAATTCGTAAAACGAACGTTGAAGGCGTCCTTGGCAACTTTGTCGAGGGCCATGTGACCTTCTTTCGTGATATGCTTCTCGAGAGCAGCTCGGAGATTGTCCAGGCCACTCGACACTCGAGAACACAACTAGAAACTCGTAGAATGTGCAATTTGAGGCTTTTTTGAAGCACCTTGAACATGCGGGACAAATCTTCGTCTTTGCTGTTTTCAAGGAGACCGCCGAATGCGTTTTGGAACAGTTCTAACTGCGCAGTGATCAGGACTTCTTCGCACGTACTCGACAGAATCGCCATCGTGTGACCGTTGAGGTAGAGCTGACATCTTGTCAACTCTTCGTCTATCCGTTTCTCCACCTCAAACCATATCATTTTTCATAAAAGTTGATTTCTCGAGGAGAACGACTTGTTTTTAGTATTTTTTACTGAGAAATTGAATAGATTATCTGGAAAAAATGTCCTTTTCTGCGTGTCAAAATGTTTATTTTCGAAAAAAAATTACGAGCGAATTTCAAATTGAAAAAAGTACTTCATCTTTTATTAACACGACCTCTATATTTTTTGTGTATCGTTAGAGCATTGGAATTCTAAAAATCTGTTGGCTATCATCCATAAAAAGTCAAATTGCCCAAAAATTTACTTTTTTTAAGATTTACAAATTTTATTCAAATAAAGAAATTTTCTATCAGGAGAGAAAGTTTTTTTAACAATGAATATACTGACTATTTGGCGGAGAAAAGGTTCAGTTCAAAAAAAAAAAAATTTGCAATTCGATTTTCCGTTATACGCAAGAATGCTCATTTTTTTCGAATACTTTGGTCTTGACGTCCTCGATTGTTGCTTAAAACCAATTCGGCAACTTGGGAACTGTTTTTTTGAGCCCTTTCGATAACTCGCTGCGTTTTTCGAAAAATATTTTCTTTGATATTTTTATTATGTTTTTCTTTTTGAAAAAAACTGTTTCGATTTTGAAGAGTCAAACCTTTTTTTCATGTACTCTGTCACAGAGCCGCCCTGTCCCAAAAAGTCTGCCGACTCTTGCGCGTAGAACTCTTTCGTAGCACGCAAGAACTTCAATTCAAAGTTTTCTCTGAAAAAATTATTTATTCTGTTTCAAAGCTGAAGTTGTACCTGTAGACTTTGAGTTTGTCGGTAGGCGGTACGGCAGGCGCCGGCCCAGGAGAAAGAGTCGTCGGTGGCGCCGTCGGAGACGATCTTGACGAGGTGTCCTGGTCGTCGATCCCGAGTTCGACTGCAAAACTCCGTTTCTATCCGCTTTTCACAGAGACAAGGCTTCATCCCAAGAAATGATTACACGTTTCAAACCTCAAGCACTTTTTTTTCAATAAAAAAAAATTCAAAATTCTTGATAGCCTCTTCGGATCGTTTTTGTTTTTCCTTTAATCCTTCCCTCGCGTGATTTCGACACTATGCCGATTCATTTTATCATTAGATCTATTTTGTTAAATATTCATCCGATGATGTAAAACTATATGCGTTCGTTCATTGAATTATATACAAAATCAAATTGGAATCTTTGAATGTTTTGGCGACTGCGAAGGCTACAAGAGCCAATATTTTTTTTTCTTTCAAGAGTTCGCTTCTCTGATTTGTGACTAAAAATCCACTGCATAAGTGAGATAAATTGTAAACGTAATGAAATTAATAACAAATCACCCAATTGGGACCCGACGTCATCCATAAAACCAAAATCTAAAATAGAAAATGACCGTAAAAGTAACCTAAACACTCTACGACCCCAGAGATGAAGCCTTTGTTGATGGTGTCCCCCATTCTCTCGCGCTTTATCAATTCCAAAACGGCGTCCGTCACACGCTCCTTCATCTTCGCGTATAACTTGTCCTTCCAGATCATCAATGCAAGCTGAAAAAACAGAGTTTATCGACAGTTATGAGTATAATGATTTACCGTGTAAATCATGTAAATATTTTCGCGACCTTCATCAAGTTCTCGACGAATCCAATGGCGGTTTAGATACGCAAAAATACCATCCATCACCTAAAAAGTATGAATCGAATAATTCCTTACCCTTCAAAATAAAGAATGTTTTAAAAGCCCCTGCGTTCAATTAAAAACAAGAAAATTGGATATTTATTCAAGTTCGACTTTCCGTCAGCCAATGGAAGATCTGTGGTCTACGTGAGTTAATCTCAAAATGAACTTTTTTAATTTCAAAAATGTCTCAAATTTAAAGAGAGTAACCAATGGAGAACCTTGGATGATATACGAAAGTTACTCCATTCTTTGGTATAAAAGTCGAGCAAAGCTTCTCCGTACAAGTCGATCCCTTTCTAAAACCGAAAAATTCCAATATAAAAAGTTAAAAAGAAGAACTACCGTTTGAATGTCGACGACGTAAGCTGTGACGAAGGCTTTGAGCCGCTCGTACATCTCGTGACCAACGAAATCCGCGCCTTGTGGAGCCCTCCCGATTCTTTGCGTGGAACTCACCCCCATAGCAGATCCTGTCGATATTCTCGTTAAAAGTTGAGAAAACGCTCAAAAACCATTTTGTAGCCCAGAAAGCGTAGAAGGCCGTCGATTGCTGAGATTTCCTGATAATGTGATGGCCGTACAATAGTTGTAGACGCTTCTGAATTTTTCATTCAAGCTTTCAAGCTATTTCCGATTAACTCACGTGTAGAGTCCCATATATCTTTGAGATGACATGGGCTGCCTAGAATAAGCGGTGTTTAGACCATCGGTCAGGTCTTCCCAAACTTCCGTCAGGCTCGCAATGCGGACGTTCGATGTGCTGGGGGTGACCATTTTTCTAAAATTTATTAAAAAAAGTGTTTGTATATGGCGAAAGGAGAAAAAAAAAATTAAAAAAAGATAAGTTAAAGCGAAATGCACGACAAGAATCACGGTAAGTAGTTATTCAGAATAAGAATTAAAATTATTCCACCTTTAGGAATGATCGGTATTAAAGAATATAAGAAAATTAATTAAGAGCGTCGAATGGACGATCTTGCCGTTTTTCTGATTGTAATAATGAACTATTGTAGGTTCAGGCGCTTTTCAGGAGTTCTAGAACTAGTTCTAAAACAGTTAACTGGGGACGTCAGATTGGACTCTTTAGTGAGAGTCGAAGTTAAGATCGAACACAAGAAATTAAAAAAAGCAGTATCATTTACTTCAAATTCGAAGAAATTTTTTCAGTTAAGATATTAAAAGAAATAAAAAAAGAATGAAAAAAATATGAAGGTTGGATATAAATTTTCAATAGAGGAATTGTCCTTGAGCTTATAAGCTAGCCTGCTTCGAATAACGTACATAATTCGGTTGAAATCATCTTTTCAGACACTAAAAATACTCGGAATATCAAAACGTATCGAATTTACCAGCACTGAAATTTCAGCATATGGCCGGTCGGCTTTCTCATTTCCTCACGCGACGGCGTGAGATTTCCATCATGTGAATTTGCGCTGCTGTATTGCAGTCTTAATACTACAGTAAGACAAAAATAGGGGACTTTCCGCACTATGGTACTATCGACGTCTTTGCATGGAGAAACTATCCAAGCTTAAGATTAAATAATGAACTTTTTTGTCGATCAGTTTTTTTCGAAAAGGTGATTAAGGTGCATGAAGGGGCGCGCCGTAGCGCAACAGGTTGTGTGCCTGTCTACGGTCCAAGGGTCACAAGATCGATCCCCGCCTCGGCCCAACCAAAGGGTTTAAGAAATGTTGGTAGTGGGAACCCACGACTTCAAAATCGCCAGCCGTCACACACAAGGACGGATGTGTTACTAGAGCCAGTCCACTGACATCATGATAGGACCTCGGCTAATCGACTTGGGGCGCCGACGCCGCAAAGGCATAGAAATAAGAATTTGTTTTTTATTTTATTTTAAGGTGCATGATAAATTCAAGTTTATATAAAAAATTACGAATTAAAAGACATGAACACATTTTCAAAATTTATTCCATGGAAATTCAATAAGTATAAAAAGATCAGAAGAGCGACCCGTAAACAATATACAAAAAAAAGCAGATAAGTTTTAGATATTCGTTTGACGAACTATCTTCTTCGCTTGATGGAGAACTTCTTCGAAACTATCCCGGGTTATCTGCAAGTATGTTAAATTTACAGACCGATAATTGGAGAAACAAACTTCGTTCTCAAATATATGAAAAATGGCTTCAATCGCACAAGCGCTGGACTCCTCATGAATTTGAGTGCCTAAAATTCATTACAGAAAGAAATGTATTTTCGGACTAACCTGCATACAAATTTTGAACATTCTTGATGCCTTTCTGTCCTGTGACAGCATAGATTCGATCATCGTAAGACTAAAAGGAAAATATGAAAAAATCAGGAAACAAACTAATTATTTTTACAATTTGATCGCTTTCTTACAAGTTAAATTGAAAATTTTCCGATTGGTGTTTTCTGAAACTTGAATGGTTTTCATTTTCACACACCAAGAGTTGTGGTAACATCGGAAACTTTGATTTTTAAACACAACACAATTTGAGCAATCTTCAAAAAATACAAGATATTCATTCTCACTTTTTTCATGTTAAAACGTTAGCCTACTTACCCCGTGTGCTTGAAAATTAACGACAAGTAGCGGATTTTTTCGTGATTTTTTATTGGCGTCCTGTGTTGGAAACTTATCGATGCCGAAAGAATCGGTGAGGCATACAGCTCTCACTTTCTCGTCTTGCAATTCTAACTTCGCCATCTGTATATATTTCGAATGAAAAAATATAGGTGTAAGTGATATACAGTGTGGTAAATATCAGGGCCGCCGCGGCTATGAGCGACCACGAAAATTTTCTCGGCTGCACAAGGACTGATGAACCATTTCCACACATTGCAGGCATGTTCAATTGGATCAGAACTGTTCTGGAAATAACTCGAACAAAGTAGGAAATGACTCTAACGAAAGGAGATCAGACCATACACTGGCTGGACTGGCTGCACCCCGGGGTGGTATCCAGCCGACACATGGATCAGACTTTTGATTGTTGTTTTGTACCTTCAAACGGATTCCCTTCGACTCGGTCAAATTTGTGTTGAGCACAACTACTCCCCAGCCGTTCGCTAATGCCCTTTCGATATAAGGAAATTGAGTGCCACGATTGATATTCTCATTAATAATTAGCCTAAAAATGAGAGTAGTTTTTTTGAAATTGATTATACCCAAGAACCTTCTCGACCACTGACCTGCGCGGACAACTCCTGTTCCATGAACTAAAACTAGCAAAGTTTCCGCTTCTTGATAATTTTCAGACGTAAAAAAAAAACTGTATTTTTCTTTCTTCTCCTTGGAAACACACTCGGGTTCCTTCAGCTGAAAAAATCTGTTTTCGAAGCAATAATCAAATGAGGTATCTTTTTAAACAGAAAAAAACCATTAATATTTTTTTCATTCGTTCAAATCAAAGCGTTGACCGGATCTACCATTATATAACCGTTTGATACACATTCCGAAGTCTTAAGCAAAAAAAAAAACAGAAAACAACAGAAAACTTACTGTAATACGATTCAAAGAGTATCTGCTTTCCATCAAACTGTAAATCTCTTCTGTAACAGCTTCTCCGAGAGCTTCGTACTGTTCTTGGGTTGTGAAAACAAACGGTTCATTGTTCTGAAAGTAATAAATAGAAAAAAACCGATACTGAAAAATCCAGGCGACTTTTGAAACTTCTTTGCGAGTTTTTTTTCTATTGTCAACTACTTTTGTTTATTTTGCAAAACAGACTTGCCTTTATACTACGTAGTTCACCGCTATCGTTGAAGTCGTAACCAAATGATTTCAACTTGCGTCCCATGATTGGAGACAGGAATCCGCTGGAAAACAAAAGAACAAATAATAAGAATAACAAAATTAACTTTCCCGAACGCAATGCTATTTCAGAAAGCAGTTAATATGTTGAAAAAAAACTCCAGTATGAACTAGTGACAATTACATTGCCCACATTTTGTGGCAACAATCTTTCCTATACAAGAATGAGTCCTCCTTTTTTTCTGATTAAAGTTAACTCAAAACAGGTTTGCTGGCTCCACACATGTTTCAAACAGTGCTAGCACTAAGAATAACTGCCGAGATAAACGCGAGACACTGACGGTACATTGACGAGCCCGCAAACATCTCGCTTTTTTTCTCGCGCCGGTTTCGTATTAGTCTGGGCGCGAGCTCGCATTTCTCTCGCAATTTGAAAATTTCTGAAATGCAAGATAAATGCGAGATGGCGCCGAGAAAAATGCGAGGTCGCGCCTAGAAAAAAGCGACATTTTTGCGAGTTACCGCCACCGAGCTCGCGTTTAACTCGTCAGTTATTCTTAGTGAGGTCGGCCGGTCATTAATGTTAAGTCTGTGCCGGAGCCACCAATTTTTTCAATTTGGAAAGAAACTAAAACTTGAATGAAAGCTTCTCTTCTCAATAATTTTCCTTGATCATTAAACTGCAGAGCGAAGGATTCAAAAGCCCCTCATGAGCTTTCGGGCCAAAGTGAAAATTTTATGTAACGACATAACGTGTTATATCGATATACGACGTTCTGATATGAGCTCACAGCGCCGACGCTTTCTCTGAGATATGAGACGCCCAAAGGCGCATCGCAATGTCGAACCCATGATATTTCTTCGGTTAGCGGTTGAAGAAATAGCCTAGGTTAGACAAAGTGTTGCGATGGCCTTTCGCCTAAAGACTCAGGCGAAACAAAATTTGCGGCGCGCCTCTGGGCGTGAAAACAGCGGAGTGGGCCCTAAAAGAGTTTTGAAAAGTGCCTTGGAGCAGAACTGCGTGTAATTAAATTACTGATTTTGAAACGCTGCCGAGAATTTCCAGTTTTTTTTTTTCACGCTTTTTTTTAAAGTTTTGGCAAAAGGTAATTTTTATTATCTTTGCTAAACAGAGGAAAAAACATCTTTAGAGCCTTTTATATCAAAAGTTCTTACAGAATTCCCTGAATCAAAAAATTAATGTTGTCTATCTGCCGCTTTTTAATAGTTTGCTCACTATTCTTTCCAAATCAGGACAAGAATTGTGATTGTGATTATTGGTGATAAAAAATCTGTTTGCGATGAAAAAAAAAACTTACTTTTAACTCCAGGCTACTATCGAAACTTCCTTGCGAGTTTTTTATTTCTATAACCTTTAATGTGTTATATGTTTTCAGAATACTTTTCGAGCGTATATGCTTCAGAATTTATCCAGAAGTATGTCTCTTTTTTCAGGGTAGTACATGTGTATTGGTTGATTCAACGGGTTATAGTTGATAGATTTTGTTTGTGCAAAGAGCTGAGAAATGTCGAAAGCGGACCAGGCTGTTCTTGAAAGAAGAATTCGTCCAATTTATGGTTTGGGGATACTATCAGTTTTTCGTTCACAGTTTTGCAGACGCTCTCGATAATGGAAATCCTAAGAAGGCTTTCCAGGAGGCTGAAAAAATATTGAAAAAACATCCTAACACTGTGTGTGCGAAGGTAGCTTTCTTAACCAACATTTATCACAAAAAGTTGATATAACTTCAGGTATTGAAGGCTTTGGCTCTGATCAGGAACGAAAAGCTTAGTGAAGCTCTGATCATTCTCGATGCGCTTGATGTCGCAGGAGTACGTCATGACGAAAGCACGATGATGGCTTTTGTGCATTGCTACAAGGTTCAATTTATTTCAGAAATGGTTCAACTATATTTTTTTTTCAGGATGCCGACGTACCAGAACGTATCAATTTGCTGTACGAAAGAGCAGTTGAGATGGATCCAACCGAAAATCATCTTACTCAACTTTTTATGGCTTATGTTAGAACAAAGTGCAATTTTTTCTATGTTGGATATTTTTTGTATTATTCTGTTTAGGAAGTACAAGAAGCAGCAAGAAGTTGGACTACGGCTGTTCAAAGAATATCAAAACACTCCATATTACTTTTGGGCGATTATGAGCATCGTTATGCAGGTTTGAAAATTAGTGAAGCAAATATCCTTCGTATGTTTCAGGCTACCGAAAATCCATCTCTCGGTGAGAAAATGTTATATCCTCTTGCGGAGAAAATGCTTCAAGCTCACATCCAGAAGCATGGCTATTCTAACGGCGCCGGTTCGTTGTAATTCATACCGATAAGCAGTTTAAGAGGAAGTAAATCTACGTAGAACGTTTTTCCGAATTTTTTTGTTCAAGCTTTATTTCTTTCGGATTCTTCTAAAATTTTTTTCAATTCTACTTATCGCTCCATTGCATATTTTTTGAAATGCAGAATCGGAATATATATTGAAGTCGAACAGCTTCAAAAAAAGATTCAGAGGCTTTGAAGAGGAAAAAAATTATTTAAGAACCAATTTCAAGCAAAAAAATAGAAAGGATTTTTGGTATCTGCAAGATTTCTTATATTTCTCAGAAAAAAATTTAATGAATTTTGAGACTTGGAAACCGAGAAAAATTAATGGTAATATTTCAGAAATTGACTTGCACACGATGATTCTGGAGGGAATGAAGAAGAGCGAAGAAGCTTACTGTCTTCTGACTTCTCCCAACGCTCTGAACCTGCCCATTCCGCCCATGTTCATGAATGAGAAGAGAGTGCAACTTTTGATGCAAGCCGGCAGATACGCAGCCGTCAAAGTTCTGGCGGAGAAGGAAATCGGCGAGTAGTACGTTTCACCGAAGTTATCATTTTGAACTCAACTTTGAAGTGACGATAATTGGTCAATGTGGCAAGCGCTTTTCGATTCTTCTTTGAAACTCATCGAGGAAGCGCAAACGAAAGGAGATTTTACGGAAGCTACCAGGTTTTTTTTTCAAGTGCAAAGTTATTGTAGAGAATAATTTGATTTCGCATTGAATAATCTTCGTTTGAATCGGTCCTTGTTCAGACTTTTGGACGAAATGATTGCCCTGGTGAGCGAGCATTGCGGCGGAGATGGAAACGCGCCTTCCAAGAACCGAGGACCTTATCTCGCCCGGCTCGAACTCATCAAAAGAATGGCGAACGCTGGGCAACCGATTCGCGAGGCTTTAGGTACGCGCACAGTAGGTAGGTTGCGTCCCGTCGCTTCTTCTTTCCAGCTTCCCAAACAATCCAGAGATTCAATTTTTTCAGGAGAACCTGTTGAATTCATTGTCCACTTCGTTAAAAAGTTCTACAAAAAGCCATCTTGTTTCACAGATGTCAAACTGGTATGTTTGAAATTTTCAATGCGCTTACGGAAAGTTGTTCTCAGTATATGTGTTTGCTGAACGAGGAGCAGAGGGTGCATCTGAACGACTTGCTCACGTGCTTCATTTCGGATTTGGTGCACAACGAAGACGGTTCTTGCGAAGGAGTTTGTTCCAAAAGATAATCGTTTGAAGACCTGAGAATTTTAAGGAGGACAAAGTTTGGGCGATAATTGTTTACGAGCGTTTGCGACGAATCACTGGCTTTTGGGCCAAAGAGTCCCCTGAAAAGCTGCGACAACACGTTCAACAAATTATCGCTCAAATTGCTCAGGTAATTAAACTGCACAGGGAATGACTTTATAGATAATATGGAATATTCTTTATTAAACAAATACTCGCTGTTTCGGAAAAAGATCCACTGGGATTTTCAACTTTAAACATTTTGAGCTTTTTTGGTTTTAGGCCTTCCTCTTTAACCCCTTTTTCTCAAAATTTCACCTTTGTTTTCAGCCGAATAGAAGTGAACTGGCCATGGGAGCCCTCACTCATTTGATAGTTTCCGTACTTTGGGAGGTTTGGCGGAAAGAAGGTAGTTAATGTCTTCAGTCTCGATCACCACTCTAGATGCAGATGACGTCGAACGATTCTACGAAATGATACTTCTTTTGGAGTACGTCGCTGCCAAAAACGCATCGGACCCTCTCAGCAAGCTTGTTCTTCTTCGAGCATACGGCCAAATCGGTTTTCTTTCTTACTTAATTATTTTGAACTCCCATCGATTCAGTGTTAGGGACCAATGAGACTAGCTTAGTATCATTTTAAACCCTTAAACAATATAAGGAGTATTATAAGATTGACTCGTAAAAAATGGGCATTTTCAAATTATTATTTTTTTATACGTTTCATATATTTTTATTCCATATTTATTTCGAAGCTAGGAATTGAAGAGGCCATTATTTCTTCTCATTGACGTCGGTAATGAGTAATTTTTGCAGTTAAAACACTTTCTGTATCTTTCTATTTTTATCATGAGTTCAAGTCAAATAAACTCCTCTGACACCTCCTATTTTTAGCCGGCCAGCATTAAGTTAAACATGTAAACTTATTTTCTGCACTTGTTTTTCCCGAGGCCGATTTCAAAAATTGTAAAGTTAATCAATAAATAAGAGGTTTTCTATGTTGGTCGACAGCAGAATTGAGCCATCAATCGTTATTTTCTTGATGGTCAATTGATTTGATGTAAAATATTTTTTACGAACGCGTCCAGGCACTGTGAGTTTCGTAGACCATGCTGAATTCCATCTTCAACTTCATGTTTTGACGGATACCATCTGCAGGAAACACGACGCGAATCGCGGCCCTCACGAAATTGCTCGACATAAAATCTGTACAGTGCGAATCTCTTGGATATCTCACGTTCCCCGTATTCGAAGCCGTTGGACGGTATTTCTTTTCATGCGTCACTTCGATGAAAGATGACGTTCAGGTTCAATCTAGCGGTGATATCAAACACTCAACTTTCCATGGTTTATGAACAAGCCGACAAAGAGGTTGTTCATCGATACACTTTAGCTTCTTTTTAAGAAGGGTATTCAAGGTCATGGAATGTTTGCTGGGCGCCTACAAAAATGGTAAGTTCACTCAAATCCCTCGCCTGGTGCATCTGGAGCAGACGATGAAGATGTCGACGCAGGTACACTCATTGATTTGGGCAGGCTCTTCGAAACATGAATTCAAGGCTATCAGTTGCGATGTGATGAACAGGTACTTGTCTTCCTTGTTTTGTATTTCGGACCTCGATGAGGCAATCACGACCATGTATGGAGATGAAGAAAGCATCGGTAGCTCAGATTTTCTGTTTCCTTCTCAAGTATTACTGTTCAGATTGGAATAAATTATGCGACAATCGTGACTTGGACGTCATTCCGAGTTTGGAGCCGTACAACTACCAGAAGCTTCTTGACGACATGAAGAAGCGATCCTACTGTGAATTTGTCAGTTTGTATTCCTTTTTGTCTAACTAGGGAACTACGCGGACCCCGTCACGAGGGTGGAGTTGAAAATTTCGTGACATGTAGATTTAGGTAAGAGTGTTTGGAAAAATGAGAGATTATCTGCTGAACCCCATAGGCTTCGGAGAAAAAGCTCCTAACTAATATAGAAAAAGTCCTGTACGCGCCTGGGCCTTCTTCTTTCACGGAGGTAGCCTGGCGTAGTCTCATGATTGACTTTTTCAAGTAGGTTTAATTCCTGTGGAGTGCGGCTCTTTTTCCTTCAGTTTTTTTCTCAGAAGCCTATGGGATTTACTAGATAATCTTTCTTGTTCCCTTCCCTGGGATTCATCAAAGTTCAAACTCTCAACTCTTCAACGTACCTTGTAGATTTTTTAATTGCTAATCGAAAGGTCTACCAAAAATCGCAGATATAAGTACTTTTGAAGAAAGTCGCGATTTTATTTTCCCGCTATTAAATTTTTTAAATGTGCTTGAGCTTGGTGTACAGAAAACTGTCAACAGTAACCACGCGAAATTGCGGACGTTTCATTAGAATTGCAATTTTTAAATTGAAAAAAAAAAGTGATAAAAAATGTCGCTTATGTCGCTTTTATTCATACTTCTTTACGAAGTTAAGCTTTGAAAAGTTATCGAAAGAAACTAGAATTTCGTAATATTGACTAAATATAAAGTTTTGCTTTAACTTGAGAACTTTTCTTTAACACAGGCGGATATTTCGCGACTGCGTCACCTTCTTTGCCGAGCTTTTGCGGCGGTCGGACGTGTGACGAGGTCCGACGTAAGCCCTGCGAAGTCGCGCAACGAGCTCACTGAATACGTCTCGCTGTTCAACGCGCATCTCGAGTACTGCCTTCACGAGTATTTGTCGATGGAGCTTCCTGTTTGTATCAGTCGCGTTTCGCCCCTATCTGGTTGTTTCAGTCGCGACTTCTGCAGTCGCCAACACCCATGCGACTCGCTCAGTGGGTTCATTCCGGCGGTCTGCAGATCGTTCGTCGTTTCTTACAAGTCGCACTCGACATCGTTCCCCTGCTTGACAACGGGCAGATCCCTTCAGAATCTGTCTTGGGCTCCGCAGAACAGCTTTCGGCTGAACTGAAAGGTATTCACATTGTTCATTTAATCGATGAAGATCATACTAAGAAATTACGTAGAAAAAACCCGAAGTTTATGAAGTTTCGTTTCAAACAAGCTTCCCATCAACCGCTTGAGACCATTTTAAATACGGTTTGCACTGTTAGCGAAACTTTTTTCGATGAAGAAAGAAGTTAGATGTTTTTTCTAGTGAATTTTTCATAGCTGTAATTTAGTTGTGAGAGAAGTTTATCTGAATCAGTCTTAATAGTAAAAAAGGAAAAAGAAAGTTATTTTAGAAAAGAATGTCAATAAAGCGTGGGCCGCCCGCTTTTGTTTTAGTTTCCTCAGCTCTCACTTTCTACTCACGATTAGTCGTTTGTTTTCAGCGGTCGTAGAAGTTTTTCCAAGGGAAAAGATGATGATGCGACCCTTCTACGCGTTCGAACCAATCTGTGCTGCTTCTCGCGCACTTCAAACGCTAGCGTCGCTTCAGCTCATCTTTAGACTTCTTGATAGACTTGTTTGTCGGCGAGCTTGCAACAAAGAAAGCAGCAAAGACTCGAAGAAGGCAGGAAAGAAAGCGGAGCAGGTGAGACTAGTCTCCATCGAACTTGAGAAATAGCGCTTTCAGAAGGGATCTGGCACTCCGTTTTCCGAGAGATGCAAGGTGCTGTTGTGTGAAGTCTTGGTTGCAGCCAAAACGCTCAACGTTCATTTAACTGAACTTTTCGAAAGCCTCTCTGAGGAAGAGATTTTGCCGAATAAGCTGGCCGATGACCTTGGACAGGTTTGTGTTCTCAGACTGCTTATATTCACAATACTCAGACCTTTCCATTCTATATACCGAAACAAATAATTTCTGCTACGAAATACTTCAAGCCTTTTAAACGTTTTCTCATTCCGTTTGAGATTTTTCGCAATTCAGCGACATTTTTTTTCAAGAGATGCTCTGAATCTTGTTAACTAGAGAACCTTGCAGAAAATAGGGGGTTTAAGTATCCATCATAGAAATTCTCGAAAATCGTTTTTTTTTTTTTCGCTGAAACAAACTTTTGTTAATCTGTAGTTATAGCTCTGAATAATTGATGATTATTGATTGGTTTCAGGCGCAAATAGTGCTTTCTTGTCGACGGGAACAAGTTGACTCACGCATTCTGCGCTCCTACGTCATGGCGATAGAGGACATGCAAACTACCATTTCCTCGTGGATTTGAGCACTTATCCAGCTTTTTTTTTCATCATTCAGAGGTTGTTTTTAAAATTTTTCAAAAATTTTCGGCATATTTCTTAAATTATTGGCGAGGATCCTTGAACAAGTCTATCAAAACTGCTTTGGTTCTGATTGATGAATCAACTTATTTCACCCTCGGTTTCTCACGAAAGAAGTTTTTTTTTGCATTTTAATCAAGTTTTTCTATTTGTCTCTCCTATATTCAAAGATAGTTCGAAAAAGCTTGAAATCCGGATTTATTATATTTTTATCAGTTCTCGAGAGATACAAAGTCTAGGTTTAGTAGCTTTTCTTATTTATTTTCTACCCAAAAAATAGATTTTTTTTTAGTTCACGTGTATCGTTTTTTGTTTTTGATCCTTCACGCACAATATGTTCTAATTTGCGTCTCCAAAAGTTATGCTCATTCTTGTTGATTTTCATGACTTATTATTTGTGCTCCTCTGGCATCTCAAAGCGCGTTGTTCGGTGATCTTCCCCGTGTCTTAAATTATTCACGCGTAATAAAGTTTATTACTTCATGAGGGTGATATGTTGAGAACCTGGGTGTTTTATGAAAAAAACAATTATGTGTATATAATAGAAAAAGCCATGGTATTAACGTTCGTTGTATTTTAGATTCGGACGTAGTTTTCTGGCACTTTTTCGGCCACTACGCACCAATTTCCGTGCTCAAAAGTTGAGGAGAGAATTCGTAAAGACGGCGTCGACTCGACCAAGTCCTCAAGCTCGCCTTTCCGAAACACGTGGTAGAACCGATAGAATGTTACCTTAACCGCAATCTGGGGTAAAAATCGATTTTGCTTCGAAAATTTCAAAATTTCTGAAGAACGTTGTAACAACCCTAATGGATAAACTTCATGAAAACAGTAAACGGCAAAAAAATTTCAGTATTGGGAACCGATTTTTTTGAGCTTTTTTTTATAATAAATATGTGTTTCGGCAAACTTTTAAAATCTCGAAGCTACCAAAGTTATGTTTGGTCTAATTCGATAGATGATCATAACATCATTTACTCATACTATTTTAAGTAGATATAACCGGAAAAGAAAAAAAAATTTTATCAAAGTTATCATTGGTCTCTTTGGCTACTGGGCCAATTAAAGGATTTAAACCGGAGCTTTTTTTTGGGAAAGGCCGACCTCTCGGAGTGTGGCCATGGCCTCCGTGACGGACTCTCGGAGAATTGTCTGAGAGAGCTCCTCTGCGAACTGCTCCTCCACAGGCACGATCAGAGATGCCAGCCGACGGCCTTCAATTGTTTATTTCTGTTTTATCGAGTCTCACAATGCTGGTTGTTTTCGTCAAGACCTCTACAAGGAGCTTGCACGGTGCGAGCACTGATTTTGCACTTTTTTGTTGCACGGTGCATGTTGTCGTTTTGCACTTCGCAATTTTTGGTCTTTTTCAGTGCGCATGAGGTGCAACACCGCACGGTGCTGACACTCTGGACCAAAAAACTAAACATGCTTTCCTACTCAATTTAGGCCTTTTCTTTCTTCATCATCCGACTTTTCTAACGGAAAAATCATCACTAAAACGAAAAAAAAAGTATAAATAACATGTAGAACTGATAGAAATGGACTGAATTGACAAGATTTCGAATACCCAATTTTCTGATTCGGAGTGTCAGCACCGTGCGGTGTTGCACCTCATGCGCACTGAAAAAGACCAAAAATTGCGAGGTGCAAAACGACAACATGCACCGTGCAACAAAAAAGTGCAAAATCAGTGCTCGCACCGTGCACGCTTCTTGTAGAGACTCACCCAGCATCGGACTCCATCGTCGGATGCCCGAAATGAGAGATTTTGTGGTCGGAAGAAACTGCGGCGAGGCCGCAGGCAACGTCGCCGGGCCTTCTTTTCGCGGTGACAGACTTACAATCGACGGCAACGCTTCTTTTATCGTGTTCACCTATCGAAATTGACATTCATGAACTTATCTTGATTTGAATGGTGTTCAAAGTTACGAAAGCTATTGAAAACCTTGTTGAGAATCGTCGAAAACCATCTGGAGCTGGACGTCGTCGGCTGTTCACAATTCGACGTGATGTTCACGGGTATAGAAGCCTGAACTTGTGCGCGATTGAAGAAAATGTTCCGAAAATTTCGCTTTGAAATGCACCAAATAGTCACAGTTATTTTAGGTTCGTCTTTCAGATGGATAATATGGTCCCACCTCGATTATACGTTGTTCTTTTGTCGAATTCATGTGGAACTTCACTTTTGGCAGTCGCCCTATAACACTAATTATTTTTGCCAAATTTATTATATTTTGTTCGCGTCGACTAAAAACTCTGACCTGGTCGTCTCGTCTTCCTCCTTACTTACGAGGTCACCAAAAAAATGAAAAAAAAAATGAGAGCGTCTACAAGAAAAAGGCGCAAAAGTGAGTTTTTTCCATTTCTGGCTAACAAAATATGAGACAAATTTTTTCCTTTCGAAAATTTCCTGGAAAAAACCGTCTTATTTCTCGAAAGTCCAGAAAAAGGCAAAGCCAGAAGACTGAATCGTTCAAGTGAACCTTGAAGAGGGAATATCCACAAATGGAACACATTTTAAAGTACCGTTGATGACTGTCTCGTGCAGGTTCCAGGGAACCAGCACGTCCTGCGAAGGAAAAACGCCGTTTGGCTGTTCGAAGGCCCACGTGTACAGCAACATCTGGCCTCCGACGCGCAGGCATCTGGCGCATTCTGCAAAGTCCCGGACTCATAATCGTCTCTTGAATCCTCAGTACCTTTCAAAGCCTGTCTTCTTCTTGTGACCGTCGAGAGATGATGGATGACGGAAACGTTGAGAATCGCGTCGACGCAGCCGTCCCTCAAAAGTTCGTCTTTACTCCAGTTTGCGTGTTTAGGCGCAGACTTGTTCTGCGCCATTTGGGTTTAGGCTGGGTTGGAAAAAAAGGGCGTTTCGTTAACTTTTTCTATAAATCAAATACGTTTTAAATCAAAGTTTGACGTAAACCGCAGTCAAAGAAGAAACTTCACCTTAAAGGAAGAGTTACGGCGTCTCCGAGCATCAAGTCGAGCTTCGACTTCTGTTTCACGCTCAGCAACACTTCGGAACACGCGTCGATGCCCATCACGAATACTGACGGCGACGTGTACTTCGCCTCGCCACACCCTCAAATTTATTCATTGAGCTCAAACTCGGAATTTCATGATCGACGTGAATTTCTGATGAGTAAGCACTTATAGTAAGATTATTTTAATTTTGGATTTCGTGGTTTCTAAGAACTTTTTCGCATAACGATTGTAAAGTCTCCGTACGCACTATCTACGAAACAAACTCACTAGGGAACGTTCTTTACACCCCGGTTGAACTTTTGATGAAACTTTGCTGGAGTGTATTTCAGGCCCTCCGATTGCAGAACAAAAAAAGCATTTCTCGGAACAGATCTCGTTTTCGAGTTTTCGAGTTTTCGAGTTATGAACCTTCGAAGTACGCAAAATACGCAAATTAGGCCAAAAAAGCGTTATCTCTGACTTTTGAAGCATCCTAACTCGAAAACCAGATCTATTGCGAGCAATTTTTTTCTTGTTCTGCAATCAGGAGGTCTCAAAGTACACTTTAGGGATGTTTTATCAAAAGTTCAATCATGCGTAAAAAACGTTCCCTAATCAGGTTTTAATGTTCAAAAATATCTTTTTCATAGGAATGAACCGCTAACCGACATCGACGACGACGCATCCTGGAGGCAAAGATTCTACAAAATGACGAACACGAGGCCAAATACGATGCGAAGTTTGAGAGGAGCGTTTGTCCTCAAAATCGTCCTTTATCAAAACGGAATAATTTATTCGAACTCCAATTTTGACCACTTTTAACTTTTTACGAAAAACTAAACAATGTTGGAACGGACGTTTTTGTCAGCTCGGCCACAACAAAGAAAGAACTCTCACAAGTATATATGCGTAAAGCTGTACCTGTTTCTGGTAAGTGGCAAGGCGGCTGTAGATCGAGTGCACATATTCGCTCTCCGCCGTCGATTGATCTACTGACGTCATTCCGGCAGACCCATCTAGATCTCGTCGATTCGGACCCAATTTTTGTCACGACCTCCAACAAAAGCCAATTAAAGCAACTTTGTGAATTGTTTTAAATGGATACTCACAACTTCAAATTCACAAACTAAAGAGACACTGTATAATCATTTTAATGCATTCCCGCTCAACTCAATAATAAAATTTAAAATTCAGAGCGTATTCTGGAAATATTAATTGTAAATGTGTTTCTCACAGTGACTTTTAGCCGTAGACGTCCGGCTCGGCTCTTATCGGGCTCGGATGCTCTCTGCTCATAGACTCTTTTGAAAGATGATGAATAATCACTAGTCGCGCCAAATTATCTACAACTAGTTGTCACAGTTTTGATCGCACTGCCTTGCTTAATAACTTTCAAGATTCCGGCTCGTTACGACATCCATATCGTCAATGTGTATCATTCAGACTCGACTTTGAAACTTTTGACAAGCCTGCTCTCTCTTTTCACTCAGCGCTTCAACTATAGAAGAAAGAGACAAGAAGTGGAACATTGGAGTCTCGGAAAGAGAGAAAGAGAGTCCAGACAAGTCAGAGCCTGTGAAATGGAGACGGAACTCTTGTTTATCTCATTATTCAATATATTAAATGCGAAAGCCAAACACTTTTTTTATTCAAAACTTTTTTCAAAGGAATTTCGAAAAACGAAACATTTTTCAAAGTCGACGGGGATGAACTGAGAATTCAAAAGGCAGGGAACATGGCACAAGACCAGGATTAATCTCAAGCTCTTCGAGTTTCCGTGAGCGGCAGCGTGTGAGCGTGAGAAAATTGATTCCTCGGGCTTTGACACGAGGTTTCTTCTCCTGAGGCGCAAGGTGTGCAGAGACGCAGCCGGCGCCGATTAGGGCAATTGTCTTCGAGGACTCCTCCGGAAAGCTACTTCTCTGAGCACAGAAGAGCAAACGTCAAATTCGAAATGCAACAGAATGTTTGAAGCTGATGGCATGTCATTGTCGACCTGAAAATCTTATTTTTAACACCTAAAAATCTTTTTTTTTAACAAGGATAACTTCCCACAAAATTCTTGAAGTAATAGAGCTGTCTACAGATAAGTTTTGAAAAAAAAACTATATTTTATTGAAGTTGAGATTTTTTTCTGTTATAACATATTTCTGTTATTTTTCTATAGAAAAATCAATATCAACTTTTTGTCAAAAAACCTGTACTTTTTCATTAAAACCATTAAACTGGTTTCGAGAAACCTATGCATCATGAATATCAAACTTGAAATAATTATTTTATGTTGCTTCGCCGTCGTATATCCCTGAACAACAGTGAAAAACATTAGTTCTTCCAACTGGGCGGAGTCTTAAATTACTACTGTGCGACGCGATTGTGCAAGGAACACAATACAGCGCAAATCACGACAAAAGTAGCGACGCGCCAAATTTTGAGTGATCCCTTCAGTTTTTCAAATCATTATGACATACACCCAATATAATTGCCGATATCGCAACGGGCCGCACACGATATAGCCAAGGCTTCTTGCTGCCATCTTGTCAACATGTCGCTGCGACCTCGTTAAAGTCTCGCTGCCATATCGCTCCCTCTTAAAAAAATTTGAAATTTGAAAAAAATTTTTTTTTGCTTTATTTTTTTGACTTTTATGATGAAATCAATCAAATTCAAGAAAAACTTTTTGAAGAAAAAAATTGCGTCTTTGCTAGAGTTGAAATCGATCTAGCGCAAGACGTTTGCGAGGTCGCAACGAGAGGCGAGCGATATCGCTAGAATTACTCTCGCTGCGATATAGTCCACAATATTGTGTAATTAAAGTTATTTTGCTGCGATAAATACCAAGCCTTCAGGTAGAGCTGTTAGGTTTTTTTACGATACTTATTGGAGATGTGTCACAAAATAGCTTTTCACGCCGTTCAAAAAAACAAGTTCTTAGTTTTTGAACTAATAACTGTTAATAAACCTTGAAGGTTTTTAATAAAATTTTAAATTTTTTTTCACAAATATATAACGCTGAACCTTGAGAATATTTTCGGCAGGATCAAAACTGTTTTCAAAAGCTTTTTTTCGTCTCCAAATACTCTTCTGGACTTTTATATGACTTAAATTCAGAATTTCAACTCTAGCAAAGACGCAATTTTTTCAAATATATTTAATTTGAAAAAAATCGAGAATTTACTAAGTTTACTTGCTGGGACATCCCATTTTTTTCATGCATATTACGCTTATTAGCTCGTTTTTTTGTCGACAATTCTTTCTATTTTCTAAGCGGTTTCGAATAACTTTCATCAAAAATAATTATTGGAGACTTGATGTTTTTATCATTCGTTTTAGTTCGCTGTCGATTGTCAGCTGTTTATAAGTAATGCTAAATGTTTCAGAGTTCGTAGATGCCGCTCTGGAAGTTGTGATGCAGCCTTCGAGTTCCACCCGCCACGCGGACGATGTCCAACGACGGAAAGGGACTTCTGATCAAATGCAGAAGTATAAGGTGAAGTTTAAGATCAACATCATGAGAAAATATTGAAGAGCGAATTAAATAAACATTTTTCATTGGATTTAACTTGTGTCTTTTCATAGAAGTTCAATTTTCTTGTTTTAAGATTCATCCTTCTTCAAATGCTCATTCTGGTGGTCAAACCAATAGATTATCGAGAAGAAAAGAACCAGGTATTTTTTTTTAAATGTCTGTTCATTTTGTCAGTGGATACTATTCCTATTATGAAAATGAATATTTGTTGCAGAACAGGACTTTATCGTGTTGAGACTCCTAAGTCGCATCCAATGTACAAATCAACCGAGAAAGAAGAGATCAAACGAGTGGCAGGCGTTCTGAGAATGCCCGAATCTCATAAATACTATAATGTGAGTCGATCTTATAAACTTTTTGATTTTTGTTTTCTTAAAAAAATACAAAATTTCAAGAAAAATCAATGTACAACATTTATAATTTGGTAACTAAATTGAATGAATGTTTATTTCGCTCACAGACAGATCTGTAGCGTCGAGGAAGAGAACCATGAAAGTTATATTTGCCTCCACTTCGATATAGTTCCACTTTAATCTTAAAATATTTTAGGTAGAATCGAAGAGAATCAAAAACCAAAGTAATCTATAAACGAGTTGAATCATTTTGTGATATTTGCAGCCTCTTATCAAAAACCAATTTTTCAAACAACTTTTAAATCTTCTTTGGTCATCCCCTAATTCTGTTTAAGCCGTTCCAGTATTTATACACGCGTTGCGTAATAAAGTTATAGTGAACATGATGGATTGGTGGTGGTTCGAGTTTAAGGCCGTTGCCTCTCAGTTGGTTCCGTCTATTTGATATTGTTTGTAACTTGAATGGAGATGAACACCAATAATAACCATATATAAACTGATGTGTAATTATGACATCTTTTCGCAGTCTCCTTCTCCATAGAGTGTCTAGAGAAAGTGATTTTTATCTTACAGCATAGGTTTCTTTTGGGAGAAGCCGTCTGGTGAATTTTCTTTGAACCGATTCTAGCCTGTTTATGTCAGATTGGGTCAGTGGAGAGAATAGCTCCGATCCATACTCTAAAATTGGTAGAATTTTGGCTTTATAGCAGTTCATAAAGTTTTTAACTGAGAAAGTGAAGCAACGGAAAAGATTATTGATTATACGAATGCTTTTTTTGACTATTATGTCGATATGATGCGTTTTCAGAAATCAACTCCTAAATCTCTAATCACCTCTTGTTTGGGGATGGATTCTTCTCCTATTCTATAGTCGTTCCAGATTCCCCTTCTTTTACCATACCGCACATAGACGCTTTTAGAGCTAGAAATAGAGAGTTGCCTTTCTGAAAGCCAGTATCTTATTGAGTTAATATCTGATTGCAGCTTGAGGTTATAATTATCAATTTCTGAGCTTATGAATAATTTTACGTCATCTGCATAAATGAGCATTTTGCTATGTTTTACGACACTAGTTATATCATTTATGTAAATCAAGAAAAACAACGGTCCTCAGCAGCTTTCTTGCGGACCAGACAACACCTCGGTTTCGTTGGATACTTCATCATTGAGACGGACAAATTGAGTTCTATTGGTCAAGTACTGTGAAAACCATTTTTGTAAGCGACCTACACTTGAAGCTAATTTTCAGAGGTTTCGAGAAATTATTAACAATTTCTTTTTACTCCAGCTCATTATTTTTCTTCCTGATCTTGCTATCAAATACATTGCGATGAAAACATTGCAAACAACTTACTTACAGTTGTATAAAAGCCTCCACAGTGGTGAACCGACGGATCCGCGAAAGTCGGCCGAAGTCCGCAGCAACTCGCAGGTGTACACCTACGGGGCCAAGCGACCGCAGTTGCTCTCGTTAGCCATTCCCAACTTCTCCATTGACGCCTGTTCTGGCGCCACTCCGCCTCGACGTGAAGTAATTTTTTTTGAAATTGTGAAAAAAAATTGGAAAAAAAAATAACAAAATAGAAGAATTTCAGCCTTTTTTTTGCGATTTTCGTTTATGTGTCACGATGGGAAAGAATCCAGAAAAGAAACACATTTTTTTCATATTGAAAAACTAAAAAGAAAAGGTCATCTCTCCTAAAAAGCGCCCTTGTGGCGCGAACTCAAACTTTCCTCTCTCCGACTCTGAATTATTTTTTCTCCATAGTTAGGAAGTTCGGTGCCTTTCCAAGTTAACCGTTCGATTCACAATGAGAAACTCTACGAAGTACTGCTTTGAACTGAAACACCGTTTTCCAGTGCCCATATGCCTTTAAAAATTCTCTTAGAGCGAAATTTCAGAGTCCTTCCCGTTTGATGCTTTGAGAAAAACTCTAATATTCAAAATCTAGGTTATTTTCTCGAATTTTCAAACTAGTTCTTTTTCTATGTAAAGTCAAGAAAAATTGAGCTGCTGATGAGACTCGGCGACCCGAGGAACCCCACGAAGCGGTCGCATTGTCAGAAGAGCCGTTGTCCTAATCTTTTCATCAGCTTTCTTTTTATCTATTTCTTACATTTTTACTCATTTTGAACTTTGCGGGTCGGGTCGCCCCTGGGAGACTGCTTCAAATGGCGGGAGCCCCGTCGGCAGAAATACCTATGTGAGACCCAAAAGCTGATTTTTTTTTTTGCAGGTCTCAATATTCAATCTGAACGACAACATGACTCACGAACTCCTTCAGTCTTTTGCCTCGTACGTTTTTTCTTTCCTTACATTTTTCCACATTCACCTTCTTCCTTTTTAGGACTATCGGCGAAATTCAAGAAACAGGGATCTGTTACCATCCGAAGACGAAAAAGCATCTTAGAATGGCTTTTGTAGTTTTCAAAAAGACTTTTCACGCCGCGGCTTTCGTTGAAAAGTATAATGTGGAAAGGCTGCTCGGCTCCAAGTTGGAATGTCATCTCGATCCTTTTTGTGAGTAGTTTTATCTCAAAATAAGTTGTAAGATATGATTCAAAAGTAAATCCTTTTCAGAATCAAAAAATAACATTAAAAAAATCAATTTTCAGAAAGGTTCATAAAAAGAAAAATGCTCATTTAATTGAAAAATTTATTATTATTATCTGTATTTTATTGTGCCGTTTAGGGTAGCTAATTTTCGTTTTTCTAAAGAGCTTCGAAATTTTCGGAATATTTGAATTTAACATAATTTCTTCTCCGCTTTTTTCAGTTTTTTTTTTCAGTGGCAATTTTGAATCAAAGACATGAAGATGAGACCCACAGCCAGTCTCCTTTGCCGGATTATCTGAAAAAAGTCGAGGAAAACGTGCTGACGGATTTGCGCGAGAGAGTCCTACGTCAACACAGAGGTTAGTGTCGCAGACTTCTCCATTATACTCTCTCTTTTTTTTTTTTTGAAAGTTAGAGCGTTTTTTCCTGCATCTTCACAGGAATAATAATGATCAAAAATTTTCACTCGAAAACACATAATTTTCAATTTTTGGCGGGAGTTTCGCGCCAAAAAGAATGAATGCCGGAATATTTCTTCCAATCTTTGAGGATTTTAATGCTCATTATGTTTTTGTTCCCAAAAAAGTTGAGAAAAGGCAGTGAAATATGATGGTTTTCAGATTCTCAACGTATCTCCCAGATCTCAGACGCAGCTGAAGACGTCGAAGGCGAAGCGATTCTCGACGTGGAAGGCATCGACGAGTTGCCACACGAGAGCAACGCCTTCGAAGCTGAAAAAGTGAAGGTCTGATCATGTTTTCTACACGGAATAAATGCTGAAAACGCCTGTAGACGGAGCTGTTCGCGGATCCCGATGCGCCCACGACGTTTCTGAGGGAAGAAGCGACGACGTCAGCCGCGGAGCCGACAGTACTGCCGCCTGTCCGAGTCGTGCCCAAGTGGACCTCGCAATATCCAGAAGGACTTTCTCACGCTCCTGTCGGCCATTTTGCCGGCGTCCCCACAAATCATCTTCACTACCACAGCCACTACAACCCTCAAGCTGTCGGGTTCCCCAGCGGTCAGTTCCGTCTTGTTCTTCGTTCCGCACGCTTCCGCTTGCCGCGTCTGTTCAGCTTTGCATGTGCTTGTGGTAGTGTTATTTCTTGCTTTCAGGGTTTACAACAGCGCAGTGGACACCTACTCTCCGTTTCATCAAAGTAGAGGTTAATAATAACAAATCCACGATAGCGGCTACGGGAATATGGCCAGATGCGAAGCCCGATACCAAACAAGGCGTTGTATCAGATGTGAAAGTTGAGGCTGACGATTTCAAAAACATCCTCCAAGAGGAGCTGAAAGAAGTTGAAAAAGAAGGTATTTGCGCGCCTACCCAGAGCTCAAACGTTGAAAAAGCTTCTGAGACTTTTCGGAGCTCAGGAAAAGTTTCTTTCACGATAAGAAACAATCAAGAACCTATTGCATCCAGCCAAAAGCTTTTCATTCCGGCAATCTCAGCTGACGTCAAGATCGAGACGATGCCAGTGTCTTCGACGCAGGAAATGAGGAACGACCGTTCAGTTTTATTCGAAAAGATCTTTAACGAACATTCCACGCGACAAATCGAGAGAGCAAAGATCATAGAGAGGGCGATTGAAAAGAAAAAATTGAAAGAAATTGAAAGAGCAGAAAAAACGAAGAAGTATATGGAAATAGAATCACAAAAAAAGTCTAAAGAGAAGATTTTACAAAGAGATAAAAGTATCGCGAAAGGAAAAGACAAGGAGAATAACGCCAACCTGTTGCGTCACGAAGAGAGATCGACTTCAAGGATCAGCTGGAGCAGGAATTTCTCTGAGAAACCGCCGAGCCACTTTCCTGCTCCTTGGTCGAATCGCCGGTTTTTAGTTGACAAATTTGGCCGACATCTTTCAAAAAAAGAGTTGCGTCGTCGCGAGAATCGTCGGATCTACGGACACCGAAGGTTTTCTCGTCTTCAAGACCATAGAAGGCACTTCTACCAAGGTTTCGGGTTTGAGGCGCTTTTTGAAACTTAAGATTAGGAACGCTCGAAGATTTCTTTTTTTTCTTTGTAGAATTTTCAAATAAAAAAAGTTCTTCAAAAATTTTATGAAATTGATAATCAGTTTCGAAATTTTTTTTCTCATTCTTTAAAATAACTTGAAATAAATATTGTGTTTTGAGCGTTTCAATTTTTAAGTTTGAATTGCAATATAATGCTCGCTCAAAAGCTTTTTAATCGATTCAGTGGGTGTCATAGACGAATTGAACTTCTTTTTTTGTAATAGTTGAGAACGACAGGTACCCAAAAAGTTCAATTTTTCTACGCTTTTTTTTGCTATTTGAAATCAATATCGCGATCTAAACATTTAACAGAAAAGAAATTTGAATTTTTTTAAAAAATCATTTGCAAAATTTTTCTCTCTGCAAATTATCACAGCGTCTCCTATCCTGTATTACGGGCAAAAAATCTAAGCTTTTTGTTCCGTTGTTCCAACTATTTCACCTTTGCACTTCTTCTACTTTTCTCGGTTAGTCTTGCGCGGGAAAAGTAGTCTAAAACTCACGTGTGACGTTTTGTTTGTAGAAGTTATGTCTGACATGGAAGGTCATTTTTGCGTAGGGTTTGGAATTTTCTATAAATTTGCTCAAAAAATCTTTGATGGACTGGGAAACTTTTTATTCATGAAATTTCGACATTTTTATCATGATCCGTCAAAAAAATTAATGGCAAAATTCGATGGCCGCAAAAAGATTCGAACCTTCATCAGAGGCTTCGCAGGCTATCGCTCTAGCTACTGCACCACGCTCCTAGCTGCAATGCAATGACTTGTGCTGCGGACATATACCTTCCGAACAGTGTCACGTGTTTGAGGACAAAAACTTTAAAAAATCATATCTCCAAAACGAAAAGTTTGCGCAGATAGCGACTATGCGGGATCGATTCCCAGTTCATCAAAGATCCTTTGAGCAAATTTATAGAAAATTCCAAACCCTACGCAAACATGACCTTCCATGTGAAGTTTGCACATCCGAACCAATTCGAACACAAAAACGTGGGATCTAACCTTTTTCACAGTTAGCAGTCTTCCAAGTCGTTTCAAGCGCTGATTGGCTGACTCTCTCCGTTGATTTTTTTTTTGAAAATAAGGATTCTCGTTGCAGGACAGAGTTTCCGACACGAAGAAGCAAGAAACTACCGGGGCGACGGCCCTCTCTACCACGAACCTCCGCCTCCCTATGAGCAGTTCGCCTCGTCGAGCAGCCACGAAACGAGCAACGTGCGCTCTCGGAAAAGCGAGCAGTCGAAGAGTTCTCGACGGTCTTCGCCTGTTTCTTCGAGTGACGACGAACGCACCAAGTCTCGCAGGAAAAAGCGCTCAAAAAGGTCTCATTTTCACCAGAAATGCTTTTCAAAATGGTTTCTTTTCTTTCAGACGTCGTTCTTATTCGAAGACCGAGTCTTCTGCTCAGTCGACGGATGAGGATGTGATAATGGTCACGAAGAAGGAAGAAAGAAGGTCAGTTACAGAAAACAAATCATTTTTGGAGACTATTTTTCCAAAACGTGTTTCGTTTGATTTTTTTTTTGTGTTTTTTCTGAGGTATCTTTAATGAATGCTGGACGCAGCTCAATTGTATAAGCTTTTTCTGCTTTTATTCATGATTTATTCGGAAAAAAAAAAGTTAGAATAAGCTTTTTTTTCCCCTAGCGTGCTTGTTCAAAAACCATGCCCAACTTACTTCTGACATTTTGATTTTTTAGCAGAGTGGAATATATTCGAGACGGGAAAACAGTGAAAGAAATCAAGGAGCTGAAAACGAGGACGGAGACAGTTACTCGAATGAAAGTGAGCACCAATGTGAGTTTTCTTCAAGATAACTTTTTTTTTTCAAAATTCTAAACGGAAAGGTTAGTTTCTGAAATATCATGTTTTTACGTGCGAATCAGCTTCAGTTAGAAAGGAAGACTTTTTTCCTGCGTTTCTTCAAGGATGCCCCTTTTTTCGAGATATAGTATCTATCCTAAAAACAAAAATCGGGGGAAAAAAAAACTTTTAATGTTACCTATAAAATTTTTTCCCAGGGGAAAATCCACTTTTATTCTTTTTTTCAGCAAAATGGCTCAGAGAGCAACTCATGCGACTCTTCGCAAGGCGGAGAGAACTCGCGGCGTTCGGCGTCGCTTTCGCCGGATCGTCGACGGAGCGACGCTGAAAGAAGACGCGAGAAAATGCGCGCGACTTCTTCCTTCTCGACGAAACGTCGCAGCGAAAATACTTCGGAACAGGACAGTTCGAAAAACAAAGCAGCACACAACTGGAGCGACTCCGACGACGACGACTCCGACGAAAGCTCCAAGAAAAGCTTTGCCCGACGTCGCAAAAACAGCAAGGTTTTTCATGGCTTCCTTATCTCCACGATAAATAAATTGTTATGAGTCACTTAGGAACCTTTAACGAAATTTCAAAAGTTTGACCATAAAAATTTGTTCCATCCCAGATCGCGTTAGTCGTTTCAAAAAGTTTTTAGAACAGAATAATTTTTGAGGTGGTTTTAAAGTTGAGAAAAGTTTTCCACGCTGAAGATTGTTCAGAAGAACTTGGGAGACCGCTCTCTCGATCGAGAAGAAGCTTTTGTGGAGCGTGTAACTCCCAAAAAAGCGAAACCGAAGACGCCACCGCAAGAGCCGCCGAGTCCTCCGCAAAACGCTGCTCCAGTCGCGGCTGGCCATTTTCCTCCGAGAAACGTTTCTTCGGCCGCGCCGCCACCACCCATGCCTCCGATGTTTCTGGGAGCAATGCCAGGCTACCCTCCACCTATGCCGTTCTTCGGGCATCCGCACATGCTCCCTTTTCCTCCTCCGATGAACTACGTCGTTCCTTTCAATCCCTCACTGCCACCGCCAGCTCTGGTCCATCCCAACATCTCCGTCTCTGTGGTACGTGGCATCTGTTCTTCGTTCCGAAAACATCTGAATCTCAGGCGACTCCGACTTTGCGGAAGACGACGACGCCGCCGCCGACTGACCGAGAGAGCTCTCCTCCGCGAATTTCTCTTCAAGCTCGTGCTCTTGATATTTTCGGAGTCAAGTCCACGGGAGGCCTTCCTGCTCCTTCAGAGTGAGCTTTAAACTCTTTTTGGATTTTTACTTTGTAACGAAACGCACAATCGTTTTTCTCTTCAGTATGTATTCACTCAGCGCTATTTAGATATATCCGAAATTAATTTGATTTCAATCGGTAAAACATTTTTAAAGATCTTTCAATAAGCTGTTGCATCATCTAGTAATTCCGTAGAACTTAATTTGAGAATACACTTTATTAAAGGATTCTAAGCTTCTTTTGTAGTTTTTTTTGTACGATATCATTTCCCCGATGCAGCGCGAGTCGAACAGTACTTGCAAAGACGACATCTTTGGATAACGACGAGGAAGACATGGATGTGGAGGTTTCGACGAAATGCTCGTCGATGTGTGAAGAGACGGAGGAAGAACGCCTGGAGCGGGAAAGACGCGAGACGGAAGAAGAATTCACTCGCAGAGTCTCCTTTTTCCTGATTTGAGTTGCGATCGATGACGGTTTCAGGAGAACATCTGGCGCGAACTGCGAATGCGAGTTCTTGCCGATTTGAAGTCGGAGCTGAGTGAGAAGCTTTGTGACGACCTGATAGGTCTGGCTCGCCGGAGCTGCTTGAAACAGGTCGATGAGATCGTCCAGGAGAGAAAAGAGGCAGAAGAAGTCCGATTAAAGGTTATTCATCCATCGATTCGCTTTATGGCAATTTTCTCAGGAGGAACGAGATGCCGAGTTACGTCGAAAAGAGGAAGCCGAAAAACAATTCCCTAAGTTCTGGAGCCAGGTACAGTTAGTAAGTGAATTGCAATCAACACAGGGAGATTTCAGTTCGGTTTTCATAGCAACGACAGACTCATCCCGATGACGTTCAAGCGGGTATGTCCGATGTCCTGTTGCTTCCAACGCCATTGGAATTAGAAAATCATTTTTGTTTTCTGTTTTACAGAAGCTGGACCCCGTCAGACAGCCGGCGACGTCGAGTGGCGACTCTCGGAAAAAGCGCAAGTCAAATGAAAGGCGACGCATTTCCTCTTCTGCCGAAGTCTCACAATCTTCCTCTTCGAGCTCCGACTCTGACTCCGAGTTGGAAGAAGAGAAGGAAAAGGAGGCTGCTACCACCAAATCCTCTTCGGAGGCTGAAGAATCCGACTTGGATAGGTCTGTTCCGAAGTTCTTGCAGACCCATCTTTTTTTTTTCTCAGTGGCTCGAGATCGGAGGAAGAAGATGAAGATGCGGCTTCTTCACAAGATGAACTCCCCATCAAACCCAGGAAGAATCGGATTCTGAGCTCGACTCCAGAGTACGGCCAACTCCATTTTTGAACGTCATCCAGTAATTGTAGAGATTCGGTCAACTCCAGTGCAGGAAGCGATGACGAGAGTGACGTAGACGAGCTCAAGGATTCTCAGGAGGCTTCGACTAGCAAAGAATCGAGTTCTGACGAGGAAGTCGTCGAAAATAGTGAGTTTGAACAAGTTTATCCTTTCATTCAAGAAGAAAAACAAAATAGAAGTATTAGTTAAAGTCGAAGAAGTTGTCTGGGGGGATTTTAAAGGCTTTCTTTACATGTTTTCAGGCTTTTCCTTATTATTAAGAAAAAATGGCGAATTTTTCTTCGTTTTCGAGGACTATCGCGATTTCGGAGAATCACTATTTTTTCATAATTTAAACTTTAAAAATTTTACGCGTACTTCTCTCCTTTTTTTCGATTTACCATAACTTTTTAAAATGTTAACGTTTTTTTTTAGACTTGCGTGTAAAGAGGGGGAAATCGGCAAGTCCCTCGCTGACAGCGACGCCGAGAAGCGAAGATCTCGAATCGGAAACGCCGGCGAAGAAACGCAAACGGGATTTGTTGTCGGATGGTGCTGAGGAAATTAGAGCCAAGGTTCTATTCTTATTTCAGCGTGAACTTATTGAGATCCCTTATAAGAAAGCCTTTATTCTCCAAGCTTTCAAGAAGACAGAAATTTTACAAGAGATGATCAAGTCGTCCTCACTTGAATGTTTTGCGCGGTTTCTTCATGCTCGGGTTTTTTTCAGTCGAAGACGAAAGCGAGGCCGACGTTGGCGACGAGTTCTTCTGCACCGTCCGTGTCGCAACTGGCGACGGCGGCACCAATGCGTCCTTTGTTCGCGACGGTCAACATTCGCAAGATGCCCCGCGACTTGGTCGAGACCCTGGCGGCAAGTGCGACTGTCTCCGCCGTGGAGTACCATCCGCTCATCACCGAACACTGCTACTTCAAGCCGGAGAACGATGACGTCACCATCAAAGTTCGAGATCCCATTGTGCGATTTTTCTCTTCAGAATTTATCGTGGATATCTTCCTGAAATTATGTCTGGCAAGGAAAGCCATTCTTCTTCTTACTTTGATTTATTCTGAAAATTTAGTTAATACATAACTAGTTGTGCAGACTTACAGGATTTTAATTTACTTCATCGAGGGGGCACAGAACTTCGAAGTACTAATTTTCAGACTTCCTCCATATTCGATCATCCGCGTTCTGGGCCGATGGAGTTCCAAGCTCCGCCCGAGGAGAAGCTCAAGAAACAACAAAACAGGCCCCTGAAAGTCGCGAAACGGCTTCCAAATGAACTCATCCAGCTTTTCCCTCATTTGTAAGCTTCTTTAAGAATACATTGTTATATTCACGTTTTAGACGGGAAGAACCAAAAAAAGAGATCAGGTTCCCGAAGAAAACCGAAGACCAAAAACAGAGAATCATTCACGACTTCGGGGTTCGTTACTGGTCTGAGAATTTTTCCATCGAATGAATGTTTTGCAGGAGTTTTTGGACGAAGAAGATCAGAACTATGTGCGGATCGCTCTGGAGAAGTTACAGCCTGAAGGCGTGAGGCCGCCTTGGGGACAGTCGTTGACTTTCGTCGAGGTGCCGCCGCCGCCGCAACCGCTACTCGTGGTCTCTTCATTTCCTTTGCTTTGTTCCCTCTACTCTGTTTTTATGTCTCGTGTTCTATTAGGGCAAGGCAATTGATTTCAGAGTTTTTTTTTATGATTTCGTTCGAAAATTATTTGATGAAAGAAAAAACTCTGAAATCATGGTTTAGTAGGTATGAAGCCATCATAAAAATAGAAATAATCAATGGTTAGACACTTGAGAAAAGGCTGAATTTTCTCATTTCTGGCGTATGTCAAAAAGGATCTGCTAATAGAACGATTATTGTTATTTCTCTATTACTCTGACCTCATGATTTTCCAGCAAACCCCGTCGTTTACGCGACATGGCAAGCCGGACGTTTACTACGCGGACGAGGACTTGGAAGGGGTGATTCCAGTGGAAGAAGGGTGCGCCCGGGCACGGGCCTTCGTCAAGATGACCGTCAAACAGAAGAGAAGCCTCGTGCGACGTCCAGACAACGTCACCCACATCAATGAACGGGTACTTGCATTTAACGTCCATTCTCGTGGAAATATTGAACCGGAAATATCTTATCTAGGTAATTTTCAATTTAACAAAAGAAAAATCGAGATAATTTCTTTCACATTTTTTTTCTTGAAACGACGGAAACAGAAATCAAGTTTTTTTTTTCTTATTTAACACCTCATACCGACTATTCAATCTCAAACCTCCGTTCATGTACACCAAAAATTATAAAAAAAAAACATTCCCTATTTTAAAAATAATTTGTATAATCTGTGTGCCACGACTTGAAATTTCACGGAACGACGTTCCGCTGTGCCGCTGCGAGCTTTTAATTTTTTTTTTCTCATCAAGGTACTCTACTTTTATGTGCTTCCACAGCAATAACAATAAATTGCAAGCGTGACCTAGATTGGAAAGACGCTTCGCGAACGCACGCAGCGGAACAGCGTTGTGTGAAATTTCGGAATGTCGTTCGGTAAAATTTCAAGTCGTGGCACACAGACTATAGACTTGATGACTTTCCATTAGTTGAGCACAATTTTTTTTTTTCTTTCTCAAACAATGTTTATGGAAGCTGCAGGACGAAGCGGCGGCCAGGCATCAGGCGATCGCCAACAAAGAGTCGCGCTCCTTGCAACGACGTCTTCTGAACACTCTCGGCGACGCCAACACCGATTTCTTCAAAGTCAACCAACTCAAGGTTCCTACATTCATTCATACATAAACAAGTCCTTCTTTTTTCAGTCTACGGTTTAACTTCGAATTTTTTTTTACATGTTTCAATGAATAGGAGTTTTTCTAAACAAAACAAAATAGAGAGAAAATTTAATAATTTTACCTTGAGTATTTTGAGAAATCGACAGTGTTCATAAAAGAAAAAAATGAAACTTTTTTTCCAATTTACGATCTTAGCAAGATACTATTATGAAAAAAAGTTAACGTTGCAAAAAAATTATCCAAAATTTTCGAGATCCTTGAACTATCCGTATGTTTCTTATTTCTGTTTTAAAAACAACTGTTTATTGCATCTTTAAGAATACATGTGCAATCGACTTTCATTGATTTAACTGTGTTTAAACGGCGGCAGGAGCTGTGGCTTAGGCAGAGAAGTTGTGAATTTCGCTCGTAGAACATCAGGTACAAGAGAGGTCTGAAGAAGAAGTACGGTGCCGCCTTTCCAAGGGCCGAGGGCAGAGATTGAGCTTTTTCGCTGCATGCAGCTCCCAGTTTTATCTACCCCGCAGGGATGAAAAGCTTGGTCGACCTCGGGGGAACTCGAACCAACGACCTCGCGGACGTTAGAAATGAATTTTTATTTCAGTATCGCAAAAAGATGATAAAGTTTGCGCGATCGAGAATTCACGGCTGGGGTCTGTACGCGATGGAGCCGATAGCGCCAGACGACATGATAGTCGAGTACATCGGCCAGAAAGTGCGGTCAATCGTGGCCGACGTCCGCGAGAAGGCCTACGAACGCCGTGGCATCGGCAGCTCTTACCTCTTCAGAATCGACGAACACAGCGTCAGTAGAAATATGAAGACGTCATTTCTCCTTTCTCTTCAGGTTATCGACGCCACCAAAATGGGCAATTTCGCTCGTTTTATCAACCACTCGTGCTCGCCCAATTGCTACGCCAAGGTAATGCGTGCGAAAAAAAAGACTTCTCAGAAGCTTTGGTTTGGAAAAAAATCAGGGAACACGATGTTGAAAAAAAATTTTTTTTTCATGAAACAATACAGGGCTCAAATTCGGAAGTTCAAAATCCGAAAAGGGATAGATTTGTGAGAAGCTTGAAAAGGAGAGTTTCCGAGGTTTCGAAAACACTTTCTTCCTGTTATTTTCAGTTTGTTTGTCGAAAAAAAAAGTGAAATCGTAAAACCCACAGTTATGGCGGTTCTCTAATAGATTTATGAATCTCTGAGTTTCGAATAAAAGCAATCAATAGAAGATTAAAAAAATGCTGCTGGTTCAAAACGGTATGGTTCTATTACAGGTGGTGACAGTGGAAGGCGACAAGAGAATCGTTATCTACAGCAAGGGGCTGATAAACAAGGGCGAGGAGATCACCTACGACTACAAGTTCCCCTTCGAAGAAGACAAGATCGACTGTCTTTGCGGCGCGCCCAACTGCCGCGGCTCTCTCAACTGAATCATTTTCCTATTTTTATTGTATCTACTCTGTGTATATCTACTCACTTTAATTGCCGCAAAATTGATCAGCTTTCCTCTGCTTGTGAGACTAAGTTATGTCAAATATTGGTTTTTTGAAAAATTTTCTTTTAACAGAGTCAAATTTTTCTCTAAAAAGGTTTCTTCCAAAAGCTTAGAATGATGATTAGGAAACTTTCAAAGAGCAAAACACGATTCTCTACGAGTCATCAGAATTCATGAAGCTGAGAAAAAGCAACTATAAATTAACGAGAAGGGTTGTGAATTCCTGCTCTGCTCTTGTTTTCTTGATTTCTTTCTCTATTTCTGCACCATTTTTTAAAAGTTTTGAGCTTTTTTATAATATTAGGCCTCAAAATATTAAAGAATGCAAAAGTTTGTGTCATTTTAAAAAATTGTTATCTTTCTGTGATCCTATTAGAATATAATTTGAGCTCTTTTTATTCAATTTTTAAATCAATAGCTCTTTCAACATTTGCCTCTCTGAATGATCTCATCTACCTCGTTTGAAACGAAATAGTTATTCCATAGCGTGTGTCGGTACTCAGGTTTCGTTGTTAATTGTTGAACTTGGTTCCGCCCGCCCACGATCTACCTGATAGGAGTTCAATTGCAATAAGTCACTTATACTCATAATTCTCCCCTCTTCCGTTTGTTCTCTTTTTATTTTTCACTTGAAGATTTTTCTAAGAAAATTCCCAATTTTTACGGTGGTTTTTTAAAACTGTTCATGTCACTCTTTTAGTCATTGAAAGTACAATGAGAGTCATGAATCTTCATTCAATCCTTCTAGGAACTTTAATTCTGTTTTACGATTTTCTGTATGATCCATAAATATACCTACATTGTCTCTGTAAATTCCTGGATGATTTGGCTGTGCCAAAGACTTTTGCTAGAAAGCATAACATAAAATTAAATAAATTTATTATTTTTTTCTTTTGCGTTGGAGCTTTTAGATGTTCCTATCAGCCCGTCTTTCGGTCCTTATTTTTTTGAATACATGATAATCCGAACTTTTTTCGCGTTTTCCACAATCTTTGTTGAACTGCAGCTTTTTCTTTTTGTGCAATCGAACTTCTTTCTGTAAATAAGCTGCATTGTTCTATTTTTTTTTTGTAAGTAAATTGCTTTATTGTCAGAAGAAATATCTAATTTTTTTTTCATAGAATAGACTCAATGTTTGAAGAAATACCTTAGTCTCTTAGATATCGCTTGATTTACCTTGAGAGCTCTTGCTATTTTTTTTTCTAATTCACTGGCACTGGTTCATTTTTCTACAAAACAATGTGAAGTCGTTGAGGAAGCTAGAGTGTCACTTGAGATGCGATCTATGCAAAAAGACCTTGGACATAAAGGTTGTGTCGAAAATACATCGAAAATCAAGAGTTGATGGTATCAAATTGAACTGAGCTCAGAATCAAGTAGAGTTCACGAATAAAACGAATTTTTCTTCCTTTACATCTCGAATGAAGGTGGAATTGTAGAAATGCGGTCTCGACTGCTTCTCTTTGCTGTAAGAGCGTTGCGAAGTGGACCATTTCTGCCGCACCGATTTCTCCAGACGACGCGTGTTCTCGCCGACCGCGGATTCAAGCAAGGTCAACGCCGAACACGAGTCGACGTTCCTTTTTAGGAAGAACGATTCGATTTATCAGACTTCAGGCCGAGGCACCGGCGACACGGGAAAGTCGTCTTTGTTCAACAACGAGCGGCGCTGGAAGGACGATGACGCCTTTGCCGCTCTGGGCGCCACCGACGAACTTTCTTCTTTTTTGGGGTGATTCTAATAAAAAAAATGTTTTTCATTTCTCGGCACGTTTGTTTTGTGCAACTATGACTTCGAAAAGTTTCAGAACTATAGTCTGTTCAGATTTTGAATGTCAAGCAGCTAACTCCACCCCCATGGCTACAATATCTTTCGCGTCAATGTTTTATCTACAGATCACGATGGCCCTTTAATAAGGCTGCATTTTTGACTTCTTTTTCTATCTTTTACATCAAAAAAGATCAAAATTAGTATCGCGCGATAAAACATCGACGCGAAAGGGTACCGTCTCGGCAGGGGCGGAGTTAGCTGCTTGACATTTAAAAATCTGAACAGACTATAATTCCTCTAAAAAAATTTTTTTTTCTATTTTTTTTCTTTTCGGATATGTCGACGGAAAATGTTACCTTTGACCCTATTGATTTCCGAAATAGGCCAAATTCAACGAGAACTAATTTAAAAATAGTGTACAATTTTTTGTACGCCAAAAATCTCTACTTTTAGAGTTTGCGGACAACTTGCCGAAAAGGACAGTCAACTGCAGGATTTGGTGGAGACCTTGACTCGACTACAGTGTTGCCTGCAGGACGTCGGAGCGCATCTCGCCACTCCGTCAGGCTCTTCGGAGAAAAAGACAAGTCTGCTTTTCTTTGACAACACCGTCGTATTGAAAAATATATCCAATGAAACCATTCGGGAATCTTCATCTTGACTTTGCAAGAGGATTTGTTTGAAAAAGAACCTGCTTCCAATATATAACCTGTTTTGTGCGAAGATTTGTCTCCTGCCATTCTTTTTCTTCCAGAGTTGACTTCTTTCGACGGCGAGATGGTCGAATGGATCAACGCCGAAATCGACCGATACGGCGACGAACTGCCTCCTCTGAAGCAGTTCATCCTCTCGGTGAGACTCTTGTCTTGACTCTCCAGATCGAGCTCAGGGAGGAGGCGCCACTTCGGCTAACCTACAGTATGCCAGGGCGGTGTGTCGTCGTGCTGAGAGAGCCGTCGTCGCTTTGGTACGCTCAGAATCGGCCGATCCGCAAGCCCTCAAGTTCCTCAACAGGTTGAAAGTTCACTTCTCGCAACAGAAGCTCATATCCTGTTTGTGTAATTCTAAAGAATTTTGTAGTTTGTAGTCAATAATATCAGATTGATTCTAGATAAACTGAATTTTTTGACCCTCAAAACTTTTCTTTTTTTTTCTCAACTAACCAATCGACAGATTTCCGCAAGTTCTGCTAATTATAGAAGTTTTATCAACGAAAGGCGATTTTCTAGAATGAGCGACCTTCTGTTCGTCCTGGGACGCTACGCCTGCATGAAGAACCAGAAGGAGGAACTTACCTACTTGCGGCCTTCCTCATTCACAAAACTCCGTTGGCATCGCAAGAAGCTCTCCAAGCAAGAATAAACCTCTCCACTGATACTTCATAATGAGTCTTTTGTCTCTAAAAGGCGCAAGAACTTTCAACAGAAACATTTTTTCAAACGTGTATATGTATAGTGCTCGTTATAAATCTTTGATTTGGAAAAATGTTCGCGTTTTGACTTCAAAAGGTTCTTTGGCTCAATGACACTACTTTGCAACTTTGACCGGCGGTTTTGGCAGGAGTTTTTGGCAGATGTCGAGTGACGCGAACATGCGTTACGACCGACAAGTCCGACTGTGGGGCGAGGAAGGGCAGGCGTCGATTGAAGCGGCGACGGTATGCGTCCTTGGCGCCAGCGCCCTAGGTTCCTTTGAAGACCCACTACTTCTCAACTTGTCTTTGGATTCAGGCACTGAGACACTCAAGTCGTTGGTCCTCGCCGGAGTTCATTCCTTCTGCATCGTCGACGACGCCATCGTCGAGCCCGCTGACGTCGGAAACAACTTTTTCCTTGACGAGGACGACGTTGGCAAGTCAAGGTCCCAGGCAACCATCGACAAGCTCAAGGTGACCTTTTTTCCTTTTCCAATCAGAATCGAGCCTTTTTCTCTGTTGGAAAAAATAAGTTCGATATTTTTCAAGCAAAAAATATAGGTCGTGTTGAAACTGGAAACCCTCAATGATTTTCAATTTTTTTGCTTAAGGACGATAAGGTTATGAAAAGGCGGATGTGTTTACCAGAAACTGGGGAAATCCAAAAGAGCTGTGCTTTTAAAAATTTTCTCGGAGTCTCTAAAATATTGAGAAAAGACTAAGTTCGTAGGAAATGAATCCAGCAGTCTCCGGGCTTTTTCTCAACGTCGCGCCAGCAGCTCTAGACGACAATCAGTTGGCCCAACTGGCCAAGTGTTCAGTTATGGTCGGAACTAACCTTCCGCAGGAGTTCGAGGCTTTTGTCGCCAGCTACATGTACTCGTTGGGCGTTCCTTTCATTTCTGCCAAGTGAGATACTTTTCTTTTTTGTCGACATTCCTCAGTTTTTCTCAGAGCTTTTGGTCTTGTCGGAGAAGTCCACGTTTGCGTCAGGGAGCACACAATCGCCAACTCTCACGATGAAAACCCGCGTCCGGATCTCAGGTGATCAGGTGGAATTCTGAGCTGAAAAGAAAAGTTTGGTCGGCATGAATAAGCATTTCAAGGCGCGTGTATGGTGAATCGAAATCTCGCGCTTTTTTTCCAAGAATAAAGTTAACAACTATTTTCTTTAGCGCTTATTTTCCACTCCGCAGGATCACCTATGTTAAATAATTGATGTGTTTTTTTTTGCTGAATATTTTTTGGGGTTTCTATACCCCGTTTTTCGTGACTTGAAACTGCTGTTTTTTTCTGTGCCCTCCTCGTCTCGGGTTTTTTTTCTGACCTCGCCGCTGAGAGAACAGAGAGACGCAGACAATCGAAAAGTGTCAAGTCGTGGCGAACCTACTATGTCTCTCTTATTGTGAAAAAGGAATATTCCTGGAGGTTTATATGTTTCAAGACTCGATGTTCCGTTTCCGCAGCTCGTCGACATGGTCGAAGAAACGCGACTCGACGACCTGACTCCGGCTCAGCTCCATCACACGCCCTACATCCTCCTCTACTTCAAGGCGCTCGAACAGTTTCGCAAAGTAATTCTAAGACACTACAAAAGTGTTTCGGATGTAAATGTTCTACAGTTTAATGAAAAAAGTTTCAAGTTTTCGTATTCACTAGGGAACGTTTTACGAAAATTAGGCCAAAAAAGCGCTATTACGGGCATTTGAAGTGTCCTAACTCGGAAACGAAATATATTGCGAGAAATTTTCCTATTGTTCTAGAATCAGAGGGTCCTAAAGTACGCTTCAGCAAAGTTTTAGCAAAAGTTCAACCGGGGGGTAAAAAACGTTCCCTAGACAGCACACCAAAGAAAGTCCTTTTTTTAATTTTTACTCCTATTTTCAGGATCATCGAAACCCAGATGCGTTCCCCAACAATTACACTCAAAGAAAACAAATCCAGGAGATTATCTGGGCGATGAGGAGACCGAACGAGTCCGGAAGTTTAGACTCCGAAAACTTTGACGAAGCAAAAACTTCGATCACTCGCAGTTTTCTGAGAACGACGGTTGGTAGAGAAAAGGATCGAAAATGAGATTCTCTTGAGATTCCACAAGCAGTGAAGGACATACTGGCGGACGAGGCTTGTGGCACCTCCTCGCAACCTTTTTGGATAATCTGCGAGGCCCTGCGGCGTTTCAGCGAAGACAACGATGGTATTTCTTTCTCGATTTCATTTTTGTTCAATCTTTTTCGCATTCGGTAGAGCATACTTTCGGATCTTCAAACAAATTGAGGTTTGTTTTTATTTCAGGACTGCTTCCTCTCCGTGGAACACTGCCCGACATGACAAGCGACAGCCAGAGGTTGAGATAGAGTTTGAAGGAAAACGTTGTGATTCGCGTTCTCAGATACACGCGCTTGGCACAGATTTTCCACGACCGCGCTCAGACGGAAGCCGACGAAGTCTACCGTATAACCAAGCAGGTCGAAAAAGAACGAGGTGTTTTTTTTTCTTTTTTTTGCGAGTACTATGTTCAGATGGTCGTTTCTTGTCTATTGCCAAAAAATTTAAAAAAAAAAGATCTCGCTCACAAGTATAGTACTAAATCAGCTCCAAAGGATTTTTTTCCAGAAATTCCATGATTCAAAAATAAACGCCTTTTTTTGCTTATAACATGAATTTTGATATAAGGAGACGCTCAAAAAAGAAAAAATTATGGAAAAAGACCCAGATATAAAGAAAGCATCGTTAAAAAAGGGAAAGTGAGCCTAAGCTCGAATACGAGTTTTGATCGGACTTTGAAAAGTGAAAATAACTGCAGTTTTTATTTGAATTTTTTTCCATTTTTATCCAAAGATTAATGCATACTCGAAAGTATGATTTGCAGAATAAAAAAAACTTTTTCGAGACCAATTTTACACAAAAAGTGTTTTACTAATTTTTTTTGTCAACTTATTCGAAAAAAAGAGAAACAAGAAAGTCGTACCAAAAAAAAAACTGAGATGTTTGAGGGATCGGAGACGTGATCAGCCAGGAAATGTGCTACCGATTCTGCAAGAACGCCGACCGGATACGCGTGCAGCGCGGAGAGCCCTGGGACTTCGATCGTCACATTTCCGTCAGTTGTTCTCTTTGCTCCATTGAGTTCTCGACTGTATTCACCTAATATTATATGACTCCAGACTTTGATCCGGCGCATCAAGGAGATGAGAGACTGCGAAGACGCGGAGACTCAGAGAATCGATGGCGCCGTTTGGCTGTTGGTTTTGCACGCGGCGTTCAAGTTTCAGCGGGAAAAGGGAAGGTTCGTCAGAGATGAATTCGTTGTCTCGCAGGAATTAGAACATTCGAGAATCTCAATTGCAACCCTAACATTTGAATCAGACACAGTACGAGAGTTTGGTGGATCTTTGCTGAGACGTCCGATTTTGATCTGTAACTTACTCTAGGATCAGTTCTTTTCAGAGAATATTCGAATATTTCAGTGAGTTCATGGTTGGATTTGAGGTTCCCCGGAACGAATGGCGTTCCGTGCCCCATCGACACTTTCGACTTACAGCAGCGCGTGGAAAGTCTCATCAGAATGTCTGACGTTTGGTTACCGAAATCTCCTCGGAAGTCTTCTCTGTTCAGGAATCCGTTGAGAAGATTCTCCCACGGATCCCGATGGACGCCGTCAAGGAGATGTGTCGGTTCGGAGCCTCCGAGCTGCACGTCGTCGCCAGTTTTGTTGGAGGTTGGAGAGTTGACGTTCGGAGACACTGGGCTCGTTGCAGGCATAACCGCCCAGGAAGTGATCAAGCTGGCCACCAACCAGTATCTGCCCATCGACAACACGCTCCTGTTCGACGGCCTCACACAAAACGCGACAACTTTCCGTCTCTGACCTAACCAAATGCCTTTCTTCAGCTCGGAACTCCTTCGAGTCTCTCTCGATCTGAACGATTTGTTACTCATCTGCAATGCGGCCTTATCTCTTCTGAAACACTAAAAATAACCAAATAAAAGAACACTTTCCATTAACTTCTGGTTCATTTTGAATGCAATCATTTACACTCAATTATCTGTTTTATCATATTTTTTTCAAAGCTCAGCACTTCTACGGCAATTTCATTTCGATAAACTTTACCCTTTTCGATACGGTTTCTCCTGAAAACTTGATTTCAGAATCAATGATCTTCTTTCAAAATATAACGTGATAATATAATTTTTCATATCTTTGAATTTTTTAAGAAGTGAAAATCTTTTATAATTCCTGGAAGGACGTGAAAAATATAAAAAAATTTCTCTCCTAAAGTTTGGACCATTTGTTGTTTTTTATGAAATGAGAATTTTCAAAATTTATTTCAATTTTTTGGAAATTAATAGGAATATGTCGTCGTGTGTGATGAATTTGTAGCCGTCCGAAGCAGCAGATGCCATTCCATTTTTCTGAAAGGTTTGTATTCATGATAATTGAATCATGATCTAAGAATTAAAAAACGACTAATTCAGCGTTAAAATAGTTCAGAGCAAAATTAAGCTCGAAAGTTGGCAAAGAAGTTTTGTGAGGACATCGGAACTTTTTGGGAGTTTCAACCGGCCAGTCAGACTTTACGAATTCTTAGAACGTAATCACCTTAAGAGCCTCAATAATATGGTTTTGTTTGAGACAATGGCATCGAAAAGTCTTCCCGTCGAAGTTATAAGTTGTCGCGTCCAAAACGCCACCTTGGATCTAAGAAAGCGTTTGAACGTTTGTTCGATTGGAAACGAACCAGATATCCGCCGTCTTCGATCAGAGAGCAAGCGCCTTTGACTGCCTGGAAGTAGCCTTGAAGCGTCTCGCACGAGTATTCCAGACAGAACACAGTAGACACGACCTGAGCGATTCTGGAGGCCGTCGGACGCTTTTCTCACCTGGAACTTTCGAGGAATCTCGCCACAGCCGTCGACCTTCCAGTGGACTCCACGCACGACGGGAGCCGCGTGGACGTCGACCTCAAGAACGGCTTTCAACAGCCGTCGCGCCTTTTCCTGCATCTCCTGCGGACTTTCCATCGTCGCTTCTATGTTTCCTATCCACTTGCACACGTTCTCCCAGTTGAATGTCGACCTAATAAATATTCCTCTGTGTTTTTGGGCTCTTCCAAAAATGTCTTTAAGGTTTAAGATTTCTCAAGATCCCGATAAATGGCTGTTCTACCTTTCTACCTACTGCAGAGATCGTCTCATAAAAGAAAAGGTAAAGAAATCAAAATATGAATATCTTCTGTGTTTGAATGTGATCAAAACGTCTGGATCAGAAATTCTGTTGTTTGCTATATTCTGGAAAAAGTCCGTTTTCCCCTCCTCATATTGTCTTTTTTTTATATTAGAAAAAAACCTATTTTCAATCCAACTTTGAAGCTTTTCCCGGTTTGCGGGGGCGTAGTCGGACGTGTAAATGGACTTGGCGCGATCTCGAAGGGCAATTGGCAAATATACGGTAGGTCCTCAATTTCAAAATGTGTTTGCTGATCTCTTATTTCGATTGGAGCGAAAGCGAGCTCTCTTTCCCACACTACTTTAAACCTAATCATCGCAAAATGGTATATTTCGACTGAAATTTGTAGATTGGTTTTGTCGTCGAAATAGATGGAGAGTGGTTCAAAATTAGATATAGAAATCAAGTGTTTTTAATTATCAGTGATAAATTTGAGTGAAGAAGGAAGTACCTGCGCCCAAATCAAGAACGGAATCCAGCTCCGAAGGCAGTCGATACAGGATTCCGGGCAAGAAGAAAAGAACGACTTGCATGGCCGTGTCCTCGGACGCCGATTTGTAGAAGGACTCGAGGTAGGCGTCCGGATTGAACTGTACAAGTAAATATTCATCTTTAAAATATCACTTTACCGTCTTACAAATAACTTTACTCATTGAGAACTAGTTGATTTTCTAGTGGCTCTACCCCGAAAAATCAAAGGTCAATCGAGGTATCCACAGCGTCAGTCAATAACTAGATAGCTATCGGTGTGCTAGCCGGCAGCACGCTTATAAAGCTTCTTCAACCCTCGCGAATCCAAATAGTATTGGGACAGTCTCGGAATGCACACGTATAGTATTGAAAAAATTGAAATTTTGACTATATGACATAGTTAGACAACATTTCATATATTGATTGACCGTTGTCATAACCCGAGTTAACTTGAGAGTTCACTGTTTTAGTTAATCATGCGGATTGACCAGTGATGGATAACCTTGTCGCGGTGTTCTTCTGCAGCGCAGATTTCTTCTTTTTCCTCCTTTTTGGTGCTTGGCTCCTCAGATAGAGTCGACTCGTTTACCATTTTTCTTTCTGAAGATTCTTCCTATTACCAGCTCCGGCACTGCCATTACCTTCTGATAACTATCGGACGTTACTTTTCGAGTAGATCCTGACGGATTCTTGTGCGTTATGACGAGCGAGGGATAAGGGAAAGGCGAGAATAGTGGACGGAGCTGGACCGGCGAGACTGGCTCCTCGTGTACTCTGCGGACTCGGACTCCGCAGTGTAACACGCGAACTCTCTGCGCCGCCAGAAACACTCCACCTCGGCTAACAAGGGCCCGATTTGAAATCTGCGAAATCGCTCTGCAGTGGTTCGAAATGCTTAATCTAATCTCATCAAAACATCTTTCAAAATGTCTGCTCCTTCTGTATTCTTTTGTTTTTCTTTGTCAATTTTTCGGAGAAGTTCTTTCAACTTCTACTCGGTGGCGCGTTGTTGCGTTCGAATGTCCCCTACATCTCATCCCTCCTTTTTATCCGTGACAAATCTTAGATCTTCTCTTTACCTCTTTCTCACCATTTTATTCGCTTATTAAATGGTCTCTGGGTTATAATATTTTATATGAAAAACTAGTTTGATAAAATACTAAACCACATTTTTTGAACAGTACTAATTACGTTTTAAAATTTTTTTCAAGCCGTCTGCCTACGTCCAAGACGAAGTATCTTACGACAGGGTTTTTTTTAAAAATTTTTTTAGAAAAATAATATTTTTTTGCATATTTACTACACTCATTCATGATATTTGCGATTTGTTTCGTTTATTTTTTTTTTATGTATGTGTTGAGCAGTACTCGAATTGAAGTTCATAAATAAATGCGGTTGATGAATTTTTCGAAAGATATTGTGTAATTTTTTTACTAGTTTATTAGAAAAAAAACATTATTACTTTTTCAAAATCATCTTTTAACGTTAATTAATTTTTTTTTGTAGATTAAAGTTTATAAATATATGCGGGCGTAGATTCGATTACCAGCCAAATAATTCTTACTTTTATTATTTTTTTTTTGTGGCATTTCATGTTAATCTAACTTTCTTTTTCAGTTTTTTATGATGATATAGCTATAAATTGCAAGAAGTAATGTCTACGGGTGTTCTGCAGTTTGTAAAGGGAATCGACTTCTCCAGGAATGACTTCTCTGTAAGTTTAAATTATTTTTCTACACGATAATAAAAAAAACTTGATGAAAAATGTCAAATTACTCAAGTCTATAGTCTGTTCAGATTTTGAATGTCAAGTCGCCGCTGAAGCTCCGCCCATAATGGTGCAATAAACCAATCAGAGAGCGAGCCATCCACAGAGTGTTTTTGAATGACGTCATTGCAGTTGACATTTAAAATCTGAACAGACTATATCTTATCGTTGATATTTGATCGTTGATATTTAACAATCATTAACATGGAAGGATGAATGAATGACGGGACAAAAATTAAAATTTCAATTTTTTTTCCTTTACGCAAGGATTTAACTTTCAGTGGCCGAATAAAATCAAACATAACAAAGGCTTTTCTGTTTTTTTTCAGTGAAATTTAGATTTGATAGAAAAATTGATTTGTAGCGTCAATAATACATATTTTCTTTTTAATTTCAGGGCGAACGATTCCCACACGATGTGGAGCAGATGACGCAAATGACATGGCTCAAATTGAACCGAAGTAATCTGGAACAGGTTCTTTTTACATATTTATTTTGATTCTCAAATTTTGAAATTTCATTTAGCACTGTTATTCTGAAGGAAAAAAATAGAAAAAAACTTTTGGAAATATCTTTGAAAAAAATTTTTTTTTCGAAGATATTTCCAAAACCATTTTTCGTAGCTTCTGTTGGACTGCGTATGTATTTATGGCTTTTTTGTTAGATTGAGGGACGATTCATTATGCGTGAGACTATCAGTTAAAAATGAGAGTCTTTCCTGGACATCGGAGAAATTTCTTGTATTTTTGCAAAAATGCTTTATTTGTCGAATTGTTCCAAAATGTCTTGTATTTCTGCAAAAATGATTTATTTTTCGAATTATTCCAATAAATGGATTCTGATTGAAAACAATTTCACATTTTGTTCTTCACCTATTTTTTGACTTTGAGGTGCCTGACGAGTTGTCGCGATGCGAGAATCTCGAACACCTGCAGATGGCGCGAAACCAGTTGACGAGCGTCCACGGAGAGCTTTCCGACCTTCCGCGACTTCGCTCCGTCATCGTCCGTCACAACAACGTGAGCCTCCTTCCTCACTACCAGAAGTCCGGAGTTTCAGCTCAAAACGGCTGGAATCCCCACCGACATTTTCCGCATGAAAGATTTGACCATCATCGATCTCTCGCATAATCAATTGAGAGAAGTTTCCAGTTGTTTCTTTCCAAAGTTTTCTCATATTCCTCTCAAGGTTCCGCCGAATCTGGAATATGCCAAAGGGGCGATCGTCCTCAATCTCAGTCACAACAACATCGAGACGATTCCCAATGCAGTGGGTTCCATTCTTAGTCGCAGTGTGTTCCATCCCCTTCTGTCATTAAAAAGAGGCCGATCTTCTATCGAAGTCCTTCTTAACTTGTTTTTCTATTTCTCTATGATCTCATATTATTATTTATATTAGATTTTTCACTTAGTCTATTACACTTTAAAAAAGCAAAAATTAGTTCGAAAATCCATTAACTTTTCAGAAAGTCGCAATAAAAATTTTCGTGAGTTATTGGTTTTAAGAAAATCATTAATTCCATAAGAAATTACAATATTAAAAAAACATTCCTCCTGTAACGTACATTGCTTCAGAATTTTTTGTCGACTAGGGGAGTTTTTTTACTCCCGGTTGAGCTTTTGGGGAATCTTTGCTGAATTGTTTTTAGGATCTCGTGATTTCAAAACAAGAATAAATTTCTCGCAATACATCTTGTTTTCGAGTTACGAACCTTCAAAGTTTGCAAAACATTCAAGTTATGAAAAAAAAACGCTATGTAAAGCTTTCGAAGCGTCTTAACTCGATAACCAGATAAACTGCGAGAAGTTTTTTCCTTGAAAATGCTCCTTAGTGAGCTATCGATGGAGGATAAACTTGAGAATGTTCGAAGAAATTGAAGCCAGATATGTTTTAGGTGTGTGCGAACTTGATTGATTTGCTGTTTCTGGACGTTTCCAACAACAAACTGGACATTCTGCCGCCGCAGATGCGTCGCCTGACGATGCTGCAGTCGCTGAAACTGTCCCACAATCCGTTGCTGCACTTCCAGCTCAAACAGCTCCCCAGGTCGGGCGCTGTCGGAAGACCTCAACTCTTCCTTCTTGTAGTATGACTGCGCTGAACGTCCTGCACATGAGGAACACCAACAGGACCATCGACAACATTCCGCCGGCGCTCGACGACCTTCAGAATCTCCGAGACGTCGACTTTGCCGAGAACAACTTGTCCGAAGTGCCCGACGCTCTTTTCAAGCTCAAAAACTTACGGAAGCTCGACTTGAGCTCTAACAAGGTAACTTAAATTCTCATCTATATGTTTTTGTCTTGTCTCGGGTGCCTATATTCTCAATGTTCTCGCTTTCCTTGTATTATGTTGTTAGAAACGATAAATAGGGTTTTTCAAGACATTCTCAATCTAGAGGCGAGTTTTTGCGTACAGAATCAGAAGTGATAAGGGTGTTGAAAAGTTTGAGGTTATCTTGAAGAATATTTCTCATAAATGGACGAAAAAAATTATATTCAAACTTTTCTAAGGAAACTTTGAAGTCTTCTTCAGATCACAAAAATCAATCTGACGGAAGGCGAGTGGGAGCAACTGGAAACGCTGAATGTGAGCTCCAACGAACTTTCGGCCCTTCCCGACTGTCTCGTCAAGCTCTCACGTCTTCAGAAGCTCTACGCCAGCGACAACCGTCTTACCTTCGAAGGTACTCAGAACTCGTTTTCAAGGAGAAGGAGAAGTTTGAGTAAATCTAATGAGAGTCATCCAATGCAAATTGTAGTGAAAAAAAAATTATTTCCTGAGCTTTAAAATTTTTTGTCTCTTTCTTTTCAAAGTGACGTTATTTACGGAATTTTTTCGTAACTTTGCAATAAAAAAGCATTTTAAACCTTTACTTACCTTTTTCTTAGGTTATAGAAAAAAATTAATAAGAATGCGCTTGCTCTGTAAAATAAAGTTTTTCTGACGAGATTTCTATCTCCTTACTCTCAGTGAATAGTAAGTTTATATGCGATTAGACAAAGAATATAGTCTGTTCAGATTCTCAATGTCAACCAGCTAACTCCGCTCCTGTTAAGACGGTACCTTTTCGCGTCGATTTTTTATCGCGCGGGACTAATTTTGATCTTTTTTGATCTAAAAGATAGAAAAAGAAGTCAAAAATGCAGCCTTATTAAAGGTTCATCGTCATCTGGATATAAAACATTGTCGCGAAAGATATTGTAGCCTTGGGGGTGGATTTAGCTGCTTGACATTCAAAATCTGAACAGACTATAGCGATAATTTTGAAAATTTGAATTCGAAAAGATGAGAAAATTCGTCTCTCGAATGCCTTTGTCAACTAGCCGAAATCTCGGAATACAGTTTTTGGTAATTTTATTGACCTTAGGAATACCTTCTGGGATCGGCAAGTTGCTGCAGCTCACGGTGCTGCACTTGTCCTTCAACCAGCTCGAGCTGGTGCCTGAGGGCGTGTCTCGCTGTGTGAAGCTGCAGCGACTGCGACTCGACCACAACCGCCTGATCACCCTCCCCGACGGCGTCCATCTCCTGCCTGACCTCAAGGAGCTCGACCTCCACGAGTTGGTTCTTCTTTCTTTTCTCCTTGCCTTGTATCCCATTCAAAAGTCCGACGTACACTTCATTTCCTGAGCTGAAACTTCCATGGAAACGTCCAAAAAAATTTTCTTTCGTCACTTTTTCTCTAATATTGTTAGGGCTCCTGTTCGGTAACTTTTCAAGTCAACGATGAATGACTTGTAGGATTGAAATGAATGTGTTCGCAGAATCGACGATGAACTGCGCAGAATGAATTTCAATATTTTAACTGATACATCTTAATTTTTTCACGAGCTTTGACTGATTTTAGTTCTTATCTTATATCCAAAAACGCGCTAAATTGATTTTGGGTAGGGCAAAAAGGTGTCGTTTTTCGCGCATTTTCTCTCATATCCAAGCCGGGAGTCGAGCGGTTCCATTCGTTTCTACTTTTTCGAGGTTTATTCGAAATATTTTTCTTTGATTCTTTTGATTCCGCACAAACTGTGAGTAAACATAATTCGATATTTCTTGGTTTCATTTTTCTCAAAGAATACGAGTGTTGAGATTTAAAAAAATGAGATACACCCGAATTTCACTGCCTTTTCAATGTAAAATTTACAAGAAATTTTGGAAAAAATTTCCCAGAAGCTTTAGTTTTTTTTTTAAATAGTAGTTCAGATTCGAATTGAGTTTTATCTTTTTTCCTGGCTGTACTCTCATAATCCATTCATAGGAGGTCACGCTCCTATTTCAAAGGTTCGCAAACAAACATTTTGCATTTCTTCATTCTGTTTCACAAGCTTTTATGAGGCTTTAAAATCGGGGACCTTTTCCGAGGATAGTTTTCTTCTCCGTTGTTCAGTTTCCTTTTTAAATAGTCTCGTTTGATATTTTTCTCTCTATTTGGTTATGATTGTGGTCGGAGTGCGTGACTCACTACCTCATGGGGAATCATCATACGTCATCGCGTCCTTCACATTTTCTTTGTTTGGAAATGTTTCCGTTTCTTCCTTCCCTTCAAATCAGCTCTTCTCAACAGATCAATGAAAATCCTTTTTTCCAGAAATGAGAATTTGGTGATGCCGCCGAAGCCGAACGATGCACGCAAAAAACTCGCTTTCTATAACATCGACTTTTCTTTGGAACACCAGGTCTTTTTTTCGAAATATGAATTCTATCGGTAGGATAGGTATGAATTATGAGGTTGCGACCTCCGAACATTCCAACTGCAGAAAAATGGATGGGATTTTTTCATAAATGATTGATGGGTTTTTTTTTTGTTGGTCGATGCCATTTTCGTGGGTTATGAGTATTCGAAATGGGAGTGAGCACCTTTGGAGACTTTTTTAATAAAATTTGTTCTCTTCACGAAATTTCAATTTTCTAGTGAGGTGTGGCCGAAGTCACAGTTTTCACACAAGATTTATTCAAAAACAAAAATTTCCCGAATATCTTGATTTTATTTAGGTTTGAATGATGAAAAAGAACAAATTTATTATATTGAAAAATAGAATGAGAGAAGCACACGTTTTATACTCAAGGCTTAAAAAGATATTTCTTTTGAAAACAGTTTAAAAGAGCATAACCGGTCCGTTTTACAAAAAAGAAAACAGGGATTTTCAAAAAAAGAAGCGAAAACAGTTGCATCACGTACATGTAAACATAAGGTTCAGACTTTCCGACATGTTTTCATGACAGATGTTATTCTTTACGATGCTTTTACTTTCTTTAAGTGACCCTTTTCTCAAGATTAGGAATCCTAAATACTAATATTCCAAAAAAAAAAATATTTTTCAAATAAAAAAACATTGAAAAATATTAATTTCATCGTTAAGTTAATGAAATGGTCTTCACATTAAAATATAACCCACTCATTTCGAGTTTTTTTTTTAAATTTGTAAACGACAGGACGGTGAATGGTCTTTTTGTTCTCAAAATGCCTCTTGAACCAAGTTTCTGTTGAAGAAGAAGCTGGCGGGGCAAATGGCGAGTCCGTCCTCCTCGGTGTCGTCGATCCACTCCGGCGGAGCACAGAAGGACGCCCTCGCACGGCGGAAAGAGTTCATCCGCCGTCGGAAGGCGCAGGCCGATCAGCAAGGCGCCGACAAAGTCATCCAGGTACGATCCACTCTCGGAGGGAGACGTTTTGAAGAGAAATTCTCTAAAATTAGTTTTCGAGAATAATGCTTTTTTTGAACTGGGAAACCTTTTTGAAATGTCCTTCTTTTGTCCATTGGAACTTTGCTAAAGCTCAATGATACTTATTTGAATATTAAACCAGGCTTTCATGGGGAAGTTATGAGTCCGTTCCGCTAGTTTTCTGAGATTTTCTGACATGAAAAATGTACTCAAGCAACGAAGATTGGAAAAATCGACCATTGCACATTGACATGAGTTGCACACTTCGGGATACCTTCAAATATCTCAAAAGAAGTCTTTTTTGAATGAGCCGCTACCTCGTCTTTTGTGACTGTGGGAATCTCGAATTTCGGACGCCCGGCAAGCAGAAAAATGCCATGAGGTTTTATGTGCGAGCGCCGCGTTTCTTTCTCTTTCAGGTGATTTCGACTTCTTTTTCAGCGCTAACTGTCCCCATTCACTTTTTCTGTAGAAAGGTGTTCATTTCTTCCTTATCTACCTACATATTGACAATTGTTTCGCCGTCTCAACTTCAACTTTTGCATTTAAAAAATTTTCTTTTTATTCCTGTTCACACATGTGCATTTATTGTGATCCTCTTGAAATCTTTTTTTTTTTCCTTTTTTTTCGTGAAGAACCATTATCATGATGTTTTTCTCAGCGGAGGCTCTCGATATGAGGACAGATTATATAGCCTGCGTTTCCTCGAAAAAGCCGCTCAAGTTTCAATCTCTTTTTTTGGGTTGTTCAAGCAAAAAAATATCACATCTCTACGCTTATCAGAAAGTGTACTGTAGGTAAAACTCTATAGGGTCAAAGAAAGTCGTTTGAACGCTCGGGAGAATTTTTGACTCTCAGTCAAGTTTGACCTGATGACTTTCAGGGCATGTCGAAAATCGCTGGCGCTGGCGTCGCCCTCAAAGAACAACAAGAGGCGGAGGAAGAAATCGCCGCTCGGAGCGCCGTAAACTGGAAGGTCGTCACGTCTTTTACTTTTCATTTCGAACCCAAAGAGTTCAGAAAAACATCGAGAAGCAGCGAAAAAACCTCGACTACAGCGACATCTTCGACGACGACGTTGGCCACGATGAGGTTTTTTTGCCCCTTGAGCTAGTCTATTCATTGAAGCATGTAATTTATCTTTGGAATCTATGAATTTATGGCTTCGAACTTTTGGTATTGTAGAAAAGAGTTCATTTTTCAGGGTCTTTGGCTCTGGGAAATCGAAAACTTCTACCCTTCGATCATGGACGAAGCCTTCCACGGCCAATTTTATGACGCTGATTGTTATTTGGTGCTAAAAACTACAAAGGTTTCTCTTTCGATTATTTTGCTTTCAGTTATTTTACTATGGTCGACAGTTTTTTTTAATGGTGAGCAGATTTATATTATGTTTTTGTAACGGAACATCTTTACCTGAACAGGTGATTTTTCAAGTGATTTTCACTGCTACACACTGTGTAGTAAATTTACAGTCGTTTTTTAGTTTAATCCATTATTTACGTACCGGCTGAGTTTGATTACATGTCGAAGAAGTTCCCAATGCTCTTTGAAAAGCGAGAGAAGATCAAGGAGATCGAAATAGTGGTTTGTGCAGGAAATCTCGGGACAACTCCGCCACGCGATTTACTACTGGCTCGGCGAGCACGCCACCCTCGACAAGGGAATGTGCGCCGCCGTGCACGCCGTCGGCCTCCGCAACCATCTCAACGCCACCTGTCGGTCAGTCCCTCTTCATTTCCACACTTCTTCGCATCAAGAGATAAAGTTTCTTCTTATAACTTGAATACACATTTCTCTAGATATACTGAAATTTTTGCGTAGTCGAGGTCCATCAATCATGACCTATAGATTAAGACGTATAGATTTCATCTCAAAAGAGAATTTTACTGCCCATGTGTCGCTAAGAATGATAATCTTTCAAAAAGTTCGTCAGGGGAATTTTTTAAAGGTCACACTGTTGCAACATTGTTTTTTGTAAATTTTATTTTCAAAAAAAAAGGATTTATTGTTAAGGATGTAGGGGAAACACCTTTTTAGCACAAAATCGTAATAGGTAATGTGTAGACTCACTAAAACCGTGGTCCATCAACCTTTTCATACTTTTGTAGGACGATTCGAGAGGAAATGAACGACGAATCCGAGGAGTTTCTGATGTTATTCGGCGAAGAAGTGATGTACATCGAGGGGGCGCGCACCTCCACAGGATTCTACACGACGGAGAAGCCGCCACACGTGACGAGGTACGTTCCTCCGAGGACTTTGTCACTCAAGCGATCACTTCGCAGACTCTATCGTGCATCTGTCAATGGAACCGCCGTAGAAATGGAACCTGTGCCGCTGTCTGTCGAGTCTCTCGATCCGCGCTTCTGCTTCCTTCTCGATGCCGGCGACGTCATGTGGATTTGGAGCGGAGCGCGCTCTCGGGTACACTATTTCCTACAGAGACGAGTAAAGAGTCGATGAAAATTTAGTCTGGAAATTTCAGCTTCCCACTAAAAAAGTTTATTGCAAAACTGAAAAGTAAGGTGCGTATAGATTTTTAAGAAATTTTTAAAAATGTGTTTTTCTTTTCAATTTTTTTTTTATTCTTTGGTTCCTTTGTCCAATATAATGTATCTCGTCATTAGAATAGCTGATTTGGAGGATTATCAGCTTCTTTTTAAAAGTTTAAGGATGAAAAAAATAAAGTTTAAAACAAAAAAAAACGATTAATAAATAATAGCAAAAAGTTTTGACCACTGAGCGGATCGAACGCCCAACCTTTCGATCTGGAGTCGAACGCGCTACCATTGCGCCAAGCAGTCACGAGGACTCCTCATGGCTGCGGCCAAGATACACTCTCTTGCTCTCTGCACACACATAGCAGGGTCGCGTGTATTCGCTTCGTTGTTCTGTTTTTCCTCTCTTCTCTCCTTTTCTCACCCTTGCTCTTTTCTTTGGTTCAAAAAGAATTCCAGTGAAGAAAACGGAATTTGTTCTCTGAAAATAGGAAAAAGAGCAAACTTTGCAGATAACAGTGTCGAATAAAGCGAGGTTGTTCGCCGAGCGACTGAACAAGAGGGATCGCAAAGGAAAGTCCGAGATTGAAACCTGTCGCCAGCTGAAGACCCCGCCAGAGTTTTGGCAGGCTCTTATGGGTACGCCATTGGAGAAAACGCATCCGAAGACTTTTTGTAGGAGTAGCTCAGAATCCAGGGGTTCCACTTGTCGAGCATGTTCCCGAGGACTTTTTGCCCGAGCGAAAACGTCTTTATCAGGCAATTTTTTTTCAAATTTTTTCTTTGAATTTTGCTTCTGTTGTCGGAAATCTGACTTTATAACAATTCATGACGCTCTAATATACATGAGCGATTCAGGGCTAATCTTCTGAACATTTTTCAATAAAATTATCAAGTTTATTTTCAGAAGGAAGTTGAGTAAGACAAACGAAGATAATTCATCGATAATGCTCTTTTTAGATTTATCGATTTTGCAAAAAAAGTTCTAGTTTTTCCTTTTTTTTCTAAGTTTAAGATTTCTATATTGCTATATTTTTTTCTTAAATTTACAGTTTTTCATAAATCAAAGCATTTTTAAACGTTTGAAGCTTTGACACAATGTATTTGTGACCCTCAAGGGTTGTACTCGACGGGAAGGTTCTTAGTAGGAAACATCAAAAACTTCAAATTTTTTCACTGATTTTCACCCTGCTTTTTTGAAAGCAATTTTTTTTAAAGGTGAACATTGGGATGGGATTCTTGGAACTGCCCCAAGTAGAACTGCCGAAAGGAGTCGCGAAACAAGAAATGCTCAACACCAAATGCGTCTACATTCTTGATGCAACGTCGGACATTTTTCTTTGGACTGGAAAAAAGGCCAACAGGTCCGTCTAAGATCAAAATTCTTCCAGAACTGAACAGTTTAGGCTTTTGAAAATGGCAGGGCAAAAAATGGTTGTCGAGCTGCATCAGATGCTGGAAAGGCCCGACTACGCTCAAGTCTACCGAGAAACTGAGGTCTTAATCCATTTCTTGTCAGGCAAAGATGATTCTTTCGAGAGAAAAAAAGGAACTTTCAAACAATATCTTTTTTATCGTTCATTGGTTTTTGAAAGATCTAGGCTAGGCTTCAACTTCGGAAACTCATCAGAGCCGAAAAAAAAAACGAAGGAGTTAGTTGCTTGAATAGAGAAGCAATATGCATTATTTTATTTTTGAAAAATATTATTCCTAAGTTTGACACGACAGGACGAAGAGTCGATGATGTTCCGCTCCAAGTTCGCTGGATGGGACGAGATCGTTCCTGTCGACTTCACGAGGACGAGCGAGTCTGTACAGCGTGTGCCCGACCTGAAGGTAGTCCTTGAGTCCGTCGAACGCCTTCAACTTCCTCCAGGTGCTGATCAAACGGGACAACATGATGAAGACGGACCTGGCGGCGCTGTTCCTTGACCGACAGCCCGCGATGAGTTTCGAGGAGAGCGAGGACCTCCTTCAGGAGTGCAACGAGGACCTCGAGCTCATGGAGAGCTTCGTTCTGGTCAGAAATATATAATTCACCCAAATTAGAAGAAAAAAAGGATCGCGGCGAAAAAAGCTTTATGGTCTCTAATGGGGTTCCTGATTTTTTTTTTGTCGTGTTAGTCCACTTTTTTAGAAATTTCAAAGTGAACCACAGAGAAAAGATTAGATCTATATAAAATTTCAAGTGCGAATTCGTCAATTGCCTAAGAAAGAAATGTTTGAACTGCAGGAGGGACGGAAGTTCGTCAAGCTGCCGCAAAGGGAGTTCGGCACGTTCTACACGATGGACTGCTACGTTTTCTTGTGTCGTTACGCGGTTTTGCTCGACGACGAAGACGACGACGGAAGCCACGTCGGCGACGACGACGAAGTCAGTTCACCCGAGCGAGAAAATTACAAACTTTTTTTTTAATTACAAAACTTTTCCGACAAGCGTTTTTGAAATGCAATCCGGTTTGAAATAGAAAAAAAATCGTTGCTCTTTGGATATTAGGTTTCCTCAGATGTTTTCGAAATTGAAGATTCAGAATAAGACTCAAACTCTTATGTTCAGGTGCAAACAGACTTCAAATGCGTGTTATACTTTTGGCAAGGTCGCGACGCCTCCAACATGGGCTGGCTCAACTTCACTTTCCAGCTGCAGCCCAACTTTGAAGACATCTTCAAAGATAAACTTGAGGTCACATCAACCATCTTATTGCACCAATTGAAAAGCCTAAAACTTAAGATTCGAAAATCGACATAATTTTTGAATTTCATTTTTAAAAAAAGTAAAACATTATCCGCAACGCGTTAAGCTGTTTCACTTTTTTATAAGAAACTTTTTAATTTTGTGTAAGGAAAGCTTTTTCTCCAAAAATAAAATACTAGACCGATTTAAAGCCTAGCTCATTGCTGTAATTGACGCATTTCAGGTGGTCCGAATGTACCAACAGCAGGAGAACCACAAGTTCCTGTCCCACTTCAAGCGCAAGTTCCTGATCCGACGTGGCCGCAGAGGTCTGACGCGCAACATGGGCGGCAAGTGGCCTGAGCTATTCCAAATGCGGGCCAACGGCTCCAGCGTCTGCACCAGGACCATCCAGATCGACTGCGTGTGAGAACTTCCCTCCTGAAATTGAAGTTCCAACCAGGGTTTGCAGAGCTTCGCAACTGTGCTCGGCGTTCTGCCACATTCTCCGGATCCCCTTCAAAGAGCCCAACGAGTTTGGCGAGCGCGGCATCGTCTACGTGTGGCTGGGAAAAGACGCTGAACATCGAGACCACGAATACGCTCAGCAGGTCTCTAGGAGCCTTTCCAAGGAGAAATTGGAAAATGCCTGACTCTACCAATCTTTTTTTCAAACTTTGAAACTTTTATTCAGTCTTCAGAGAAGGTTCTCTGCTGAATCATGGAATGATTGAAGAGTTGTCTATTCGCGAAGTTCGGTTCGCGAGACTGTAGTTGATCAAGCGTAGACGGCGCGTGAAGCGTCTCGCCTCTCTTGTGATAGTAGTAGACGACTTTCGAGCGTTTCCGACGATCACTGCTTCTCCACGTAGGAACAGTACAGTACCCAGCTTGTCCAGGCCTGACGGCGTCGGATTAAATCTCAGACGAGAGCGGAAATGAAAACCGACCACTCGGTTGCTAGAAATGAGATTAAAAAAATGAGATCTACCAATCAGTCAATTATTATCTGTTTTGTATTTTTAGTCATAGATGTTATAGAGAAGGGCGACTTTGCTGTGTCTATGATTTCTTTTTTCGAAAATCTACTTTCGGCTTTTCGGCTGACTATTTACGAAAAAAAAAAATGAAGAGGTTGCTTCCTGATTTTGAAAAAAAGGAAGATTTTGTCGTCGCATGGAAAATGGGAAAATATCAACAGAAATGAAATTTTTGAGGTGGCCTCTGACCTGATAATCCGCGACGACGACGACAGTTTCCCAGTACGTATGGTGGCCGAGGGAGAGGAGAACGAACAGTTTTGGGCGGCACTCAACGGCCAGAAAAAGTAGAATGGTTCCGACTTTCTCTCCTCAGATTCGCCTGTTTCGCAGATACCAGACAGACTCGGAGTTCGTCCAGTTCACTCGGCTTTTCCGGTGCACCAACGAGAAGGGCTACTTTGCCGTGTCTGAGAAGACGGTCGACTTTTGTCAGGTTCCTTTTTTTGAGTTTATTGTTCTAGAGAAACTACAGGTCGGGATAAATTTTAATAAATGTCAAGTATTTTTTTTTGTAGTGAACTTGGTTTTTGAAAAATTTCAACAACAAAAAAAGTTGAAAATATAATTTGAAGTAAATTTGTCAAAAGTATTGAAAACTAACTTTTTAACATGTCGAATGTGAACCCGTTTCCAAATTCAACAAAATAGTGTCAATATCGTATATCGAAAGTAATATTATGTTTTTTTCCTCGAGAGATTTCGTTACGCTTGAGGGTAACATTTTCTTAAATTTTAAATAGGGTAGCATCATTTATATGGTTTTAGGAGTTCGCTTTTTGCTGTAATGAGTCAACTTGTGATGAAAAAAGATTGAACGATATTTAAAGAGATTTCTCTTGATATTTGGCCATAAGTCATCAGTTTGAAAAATGAACGGTACAGGATGACCTCGACGACGACGACATCATGATCCTGGACAACGGCGAGATCATCTTCTTGTGGATCGGAGCGCGCGCCTCGGAGATCGAAGCCAAACTCGCTTACAAAGCCGCCACTGTTGGTTGCTCCCAATCGAAGAGATCAAATTCCGATCTGCAGGTCTACCAAGCTCACATGAAGATGAAGCAGACGGACCGTCCGCGGAAGCTCATGCTCGCCCTCAAGAACCACGAAAGCTCTCGCTTCCGCAAGTGCTTCCATGCCTGGGGCAAACACAAGGTGACCAATTTCATTTTTTTTTTTTTACTGCTTCTCTAGAAAATGGCATGAGCTTATAAATTATTGTTTAAAAAAAGTTTTAAAAATTCAAGCTGCGAGTTTCAGTGTTTTTTTCAAACTGTTTTGAACCAACAGAAATGAAATGAAATTTTTTTATAAATTTTTTTCCAGTTATTTATCCAGCTTTTTTTGCGTGGGAATCTAGTCATAACTACGTTTTTCTTTACATTCGTCGATTATTGAAATAAAAATTCTTAAAAAAACTTTTAGGTCGCCGCGGGAACAGATTGATTTTTCCTCGATGAATCGGACATTTCACTCTCAGGATCTTCAAAACTCTCATTTTCTTGTTAGCTTGAGAATTTCGACTTTTTTCCGTTTCTCTTTACTGTCCATATCCTTATCGTGATACAGTAATGTATGGATCCTTTTTTCGAACTGGTTTATAGTTTCTACGCATACATGTTTCTGTCATAAGTCTCTCTGGTTAAATTTGCTCAACTTCTTCGAATTTTTCCTCGCTCGTTGAGCGCCGACGGTTTTCTCCGCATAAAACTCTACGATTCGATACAATCAAATTGTAATATCTAGTCCGGGAAAGCTTTGCTTTTTTTCTTTTTTTGTCCAATCCAATGTTCGTTTATTCAAAATATATGAACACAGCTTTCTTCCAAAATTTGCTCAATAGGTCTCAAAAATTAAAGTCATTTTAGGGTTCAATTGTTTGTGCTTTTACAAATCTTAACGCACGTGTAGGGCTCTGCTTTTATATTTTCATGTCGGGATTAATATATTTGCACTTATCCACTTTTCTCTTCATTGTTTCAACTAAACTCTCTTTTCACTTGTTTCCTTCTTGGATGCAAAACGGTTTTCTCGACTACTTGAACGATTTCCTTCTGCATTCAAGCCGTTTTTAAAGGTTTTTTTGTTGAGAATCAGCAGCCTGGCTGAATAGAACGATTAGGCTCAAATGTATCGATAATATCCCCACTGGTGCTCATATTGTGCTATTGCATAACTTCTCAAGTGCTTTGCTTTTTTTTTTTTACTTAAAACGTTATTAGATAATGTATGCCTTTCCATGGAAAAAAAAAGCTAAATGAGCAATTGTTATAGTTGCAGAGGTCGTTAACATGAAAATTTTTTGCGAATATAATTTTGGAACTAATTCAAGTTTTTTCAAAGTTTAAAGATTTAAGCATACGATCTCACAAAAAATGACATGAGGCTTAAAGACTGTGAAACAAAGTGATGAGAAGTTATGGAGAATAACAAAAAGGACTTCGCTCTGACGAGAACTACACGAGCACACGAACGACAGAGATGGCTCGACACGTGCTTGTCGTTGTGAAATGAGCAGGGTATAAGTACTATCAGTCTGACTGATAGAGCTGACCAGCCATGCCGACTTCCCTTGACCAACAGTTCGATGCCGCCGTCTGGATTGTCCAAGCGCTGCCCAAAGAAGGTCAGCTAACCTCTGAGCTCTTTCTCGGGAAAATCATCCTTCTCATATCCATTTGGGAGAACTACTCGTTCCGTAGTTGAGAAGTTGAACAGAAAAGAATATTTCAAAACCTGAAAGTTCAACAATACGGCCTCTTGTATCATTATAAACATGGATGTTTTCTTTTTGATGAAGTCAACTTTTAAGGACCCATCAAACCAGCAGTCGGTGATCAGCTGCGAATGTACGCAGTAGTATAGGAACGAGGGATTATAATACCGTTTTCGACATTTCAGTCATTTCAACACATTTTCATTCTCTGCAGTCAGAGAATTACCTCATTTACAACACTTTTTTCGTAAAAAGTGTGAAATGAGTCAATTTTTGAGCACTAAAAAGTGCTTATTTTCTATAATTTTCATGCATTTTCGATCAATTTTTTGCTTGGATGTTGATTTTATTTTCTATTTCTCATTTTCATGCTTAAATGCTCGAAAATGTATCACTTCCTCACTTTTTACAAAATTGATGGATGTCGATGGATGTCGATTTTATTCAAAAAGTGGTATCGTCATTTTTTCAATAAAATTAATGTTCAATAAATGGTGAAGCTAGAAAAAAATTTGAAACCTCTGACAAATCTAGATCTCATTGAATTAGTTGACTCATTAGGAATCAAGAATTTCCGCGGTGTTTTCATGCGAGACACTTTACCAGCGAAGCCGAAAGATAAAGAAGTAGGAATTGTAAATCTTGACTCTTCAAATAATAAGGGTACTCATTGGGTTTGTTATTCCAAAAAAATAAAAAAATAAAATATATTACTTTGACTCTTTTGGTTTGAATCCACCTCTAGAACTTCAAGAGTATTTAAAAGATGAAAAAGATAAAAGAGGAGCAGTAGAACTTTCAAGATTCCCTTCTTTACATCTTTATTTAGAACCAGAAAAAGCACAAACGAGGGAAAGAGGAATTCACAAGATATGAAATAATAAATACAAACTTTTAAAATAATGAGGACCATGACTCCTTAGTCGGAGTTAGTATGTGTATCTGAACCAGAAGAAGAAGACGGTGGTGTAATCGTGTCGTACAAGAGATCCATCACCTGCTGGGCCCTCGATAGGACTTCAGCCTCATTAGCATTTTCTGGTGGGCCTAAAAGCAATGTCATTAATCCAAATGTCAAATATAGAAAGATTCTAAAAATATATTTTTAAAATTATTGAAACGTACTAATATAAACAACGTCGGCGAGAGTACAAATTTCTCTAATTTGCCTTTTTCATTCGTTTCAGCAGGGCTCCTGTTGTCGATTACTAAATACAATATTGAGTAATTTTTTTAATGATTATATATATATACTTTTTGCATAGATTAGTCTAATAGTATAATTCATTGTTGATGGAAAGATTAGAAAAAAAGAAACATACCATATCAATCATAGGAGTACGCATGGTCGGATCATTGTTTCCTCGTACTAAAAACAAAAATCTTTATATAAACTACAGGAAAAAGTTTCAAATTTATCCAATAAGAATATTTTTTTAAAAATTGTATATAAAAAAACCGAAAAATATTAGAGGTTTCGTATACCTGACGGGTGCTGAAGAAGAACAGCGAGCTAATTGATATACTGGCGCACAGCTTCGTCCAAAACTACACGTGTTTCGTTATCGTTGTTAATGATTCTAGAACATAAAAAATAAATAAAAAACCAAAATTTAAAAAATAATTATAAGTCATATACTCACTTTTCTTTCAGTTTAGTGCAGACATCAACAAATGTTAAGGATAGCGAACGAGCTTGTGGCTAAAATGAAATGTTAAATTAATATAAACTAAACATACAAGAATTCTAAAATTAAAGTTTAACTTACTGAGATGAAGTGCCGGACCATGTTTGAACTCGAATCGCCCTGTAAAAACCGATCAGTTTGAGAAAAAAGTGGGGAAAGTTAATGGCAACTCAAAATAAAAGAGAAAATAACACTAAGAATAACTGCCGAGATAAACGCGAGACACTGGCGGTACATTGACGAGCTCGCAAACATCTCGCTTTTTTTCTCGCGCCGGTCTCGCATTTTTCTGGGCGCCAGCTCGCACTTTTCTAGGCGCGAGCTCGCATTTCTCTCGCAATTTGAAAATTTCCGAAATGCAAGATAAATGCGAGGTCGCGCCGAGAAGAATGCGAGCTCGCGCCCAGAAAAATGCGGGATCGCGCCTAGAAAAAAGCGACATTTTTGCGAGTTAGTCAATGTACCGCCACCGACCTCGCGTTTATGTCGTCAGTTATTCTTAGTGAACAATAAACATGAAAGTTAATAGAAGAATGCAATGTTGGCAGTTTCCTCTGCGTCTCTGCCTTCCACTCTAGCCCAACGCGTTTGCGTGACAAATTCCAATTAAGATCAAAGATTTTGGTGACAAAATTTGGTATTACAAGGAATCCACAGATATAATATCTAGTGAAATTCAATTGCATCCCAAGTTTCATCCAAGAAAAGATGAAATAACAAATATTAAAAGCTTCACTGACTTCAATTTAGATTTCTTAGATGATAAAGTAATCTTTCATGAGCACATTCTCCTTGATACAAAAACGAATATTGAGGAAGAATTAATTAATGAGATGCGTGAAAAAGCTGATGTATCCATCGATCTACACTCAAATAGTCAAGATGGAATGATTCCTCATGAAATATTAGATGAAGTTTCTAGCATCTTTGAGAAGTATTACATTAAATTTTGGAGAATATATGTGACTATAGGAGTGACACTCTTTTATATATTCATAGGCAGATCTATTTGGATGGTCCTTTCTCCAAAAATATTCTTTATATCCGAAGGATCCTTTGAAAAGAAGTTTTAAAAAAACAATGAAAGAAATAACAATAGAGCAAGCTATAGGAAAGGCTATAAAGACCATGAAGCTGTAGAATTACAAGATTTGAGAACTTCTAGAAGATCATTAGTGGTAGACTAAAAATATCTAAAAATATTATTAGATTTAATTTTTTTATCTTCAATGTTTATTACTCTTAATAAATAAGAGACTCTTAAAAAAATAAAAAAAGTAATGCGATTCTTCAATTATGATTTCAAAGAAACATCAAGTTCTGAAAGGAGTTTCGTTATCATAAGTCCAAAAGAGAAAGATAAAATACAACTAGTTGACAATCTAGATGAAGAAAAAATAAGTGAAGGAGGAAGTATTACTCAAAATTCATTGACTACTAATACTAATACTAATAAAAAGGAATACTAATAGAACCGGTTTGAATAAAAAAAGAATGCAGCATTTCTTAGAGATCTAAAGGGTTCTCCTTCGGATTCACCTTGGAATTCAAAACGTGGATCTGGTTTTTAAAAGGATTTGAGATCCTTCCGGAATCTTTGATTTAAGAGGATCTAGAAATTCTTTTTATTTAAATTATTTCATTCGTTTTTACAGAGCAAAACCTTGAAACTATCACTTCTAGGAAGCTTTGCTTACGATGTTTTCAAGTGCAATTCTATATGAAGATCACATCTATTAAAACCAATAGGATTATTCAATGAATCAACAAGCTTGAGAGTTAGAACATTTGGTCTATCCATAAGTTTGTGATAAATTGGATTAACTGGTTCATTTTTTTATTTTTTTTCATTTCCTTTTTCGATGGGAAATTTACAAATGATATTGCTTTTTCTTTCATTGATAAAAGTATCATTAAGTAAAAAAGAAATTAGGAGGTGTTTTGAAAAGCAAGACTTCATAATTGAAATTCCTTCTCAAGATGAAGAAAAAGACCCAGGGTTTCAAAGAATTATTGATGTCCATTATAGTGACAAAATAGAAGATATTCCAGATCCTTCATCTTTAGATGTAAATAAGAAGACTCTAATAATTTTTGATGATCTTTTATTAGAAAAACAAAATAAAATAGAACAATATTATACAAGAGGAAGACACTCCGGAGTGGATTGTTTTTACATTTCTCAGAATTATATAAAAGCTTCCAAAGAATACAATTAGAGAAAACGCTAACTTCTTTATAATATTCCCACAAGATAAGATGAATTTAGATTACATGTACAGGGATCACTGTAGTGAAATTAAAAAAGAAGAATTTCTTGAATTTACAAGAGAAGTTTGGTCTACGAAGTACAACTTTTTAACAATTGATAAATCTAGTACTCTGGAAGGTTTAGAAAATGTCTGAAATATTTTTTCATCTTCTAACACTTCTAACACTTCTAGGAAATCCTTGAAATTTTCAATTTTGACTTATTCTGAAGAATTCGAAAAAATCTATGATTTTTGAATACTTTTTTGAATGTAAGCTATTTGTTCTTCTGGTGTTCTTTTTTTAGTTACTTTAGAAATGTCTACCAATCCTCCAGATTTAGGAATCTTTGATTCTACCAATCCTCCAGATTTAGGAATCTTTGATTCTACCAATCCTCCACATTTAGGAATCTTTGATTCTACCAATCCTCCAGATTTAGGAATTTTTGATTCTACCAATCCTCCAGATTTAGGAATCTTTGATTCGAAATCATCATACTCCTTTTGGTTGCTCTGATTAGAATACGACTGGAATCTACCTTTAGTATCCCTGTTTTTATAACTTTCTGGAGTTTCAAAATTTCTAAGATTTCCTTCGGATTCACTTGTGAATTTTCTAATATTTTCATTTAAATAATCTACACTACAACCAATTTCTCTGCAGAATTTTGTTTTCTTGATATAAACATTTTTTTGTTTTTTTTGTAATCAATCCAGGCATCATATAATTTTTCTATTACTCATTTTTTTTAATTTATATCTTTGTGTAGCAAAAAAAGTAAATCTTTGATTTATATCATTAAAAAAATTATTAATAGATTATAATGAATACTAATAGATTATAATGGATACTAATAGATTATACTGGATACTAATGGATTATAACTGATTGAGATGAATAAGATTCAGAGAATCCTAAAAAAACTTTAGTTCGTATAAAAAAATAAAGAAAAAAATTTGAATATATAAATGAGTCAATTAAAAATTACAAACCTTTGTAAATGACATTCAACACAGTGTTCCCAAACGGACGGCAGCTGTGGTTAGTAGGCGTGGCTGACTGCAACAGCGGCACGGTTTATTGCAATAGGGGCGCGGGGATGAGAGTCAAGTTTTGTGGATTTAGCGGTTGGAAAAAGACCATTAAATGATGTTTTTCCTAGGTTCTCGCAAGTTTTCAAACATTTTTAATGTGTATTAAATTACAACGAACAAAATTAAATGAAAAAAGAGACGAAAAAGTTTTTGTTGTCACCCAAAAGGACATTTTTAAGAATAAATTCGTCGAACACTGCCTCGAAAAAAAAATTTTGAGAAAAATCTCACAGCGTTTCTCTTAAGAAAGTCTATTTGAAAACTCTAAAAACAAAAACGAAATATCTTATGCGAAATAAGTTGTCATCAAAAAAATGTCATTTTGATGCGGATTTCTGTGACGAGAACAATCGAAAAATCACTTCAAATCTCTGGAAAACGCGATAAACACGTTTTTAAGAGCACATACAATGTGAAAAAATACGAAAGAATGGTAAAATATGCAAGAAAAAGAGAAAAAACCGTATTAAAAGTGAATGAAATTTTGTGGGGGTGACACGCGCCGCACCGCGTTGCGTTAGAAAAAACTCGCGTTTTCGCCCCATTGCGACGACCTTTTTTTTCGCTTGCCGCCGTCTCTTTTGGAACACTGTGTCAAAAGATTGATGGATCAAAAGATCTAGATTTTTCCGAAATATTGGAATACACAAAAAATGATTACACAAAAGAAACAGCTCAAAATTATTTAGATGCATTAGAAAAAATGATTGCAACCATTGATGAATCGAAGTTATCTCAAAGTGACAAATGCAGTTATAAATATGCTTTTACCAAACATTTAACATCGGAATGCAAAAGTGAGTGTAAGAGTATAATAATCAATTGTCTAGGAAATTCAAATAAGAAAAAATCTATGATGATCAAGGAAGTAGAAAAAGCTTTTCAAAAAGAAAGAGATGAACACAATGAACTCAGAAAGAAGTATAATGAGAAACAAAAGGAACAAATAGTAGAAGTACCTTCAATTGATCTTTCTCTTACTCTAAAGAATAAGAAAACTTTAACGAATCGAGAATGCCTAGATTTTCTCAATGATCTAGATATAGATGATACACTTAGTGATAAGTTTAAAAGAGTTAGTGTTTCTGAAGACTTTCCAAATGTTTCTAGAGCATATGTAAAGAAAGGAACAACTAAAGAGAATAACATTATTCAGAAATCTAAATAATTAAAAACCAATGCCTAAATAAATACTTGGTAGATCTTTCTTTTTTATTTTTCTCCTACGAATTAATTCATCTAGTATGGAGTGAATTTTATTATATTCTCCATTATTTCCAGCTTGATACGAACTTATTGATAACCTTAGTGAATCCATAAGAGCATTAATATCTGATGGTGAGAAATTAATTACTTGAGAAATACTTGAACCACTTTGTGTTTGAGAACTTTGAGCTTTCGCGACACTACTTTCAGTAGCTTGACCTTTGGGAACAAAATAATTACCTTTTATGAATTTTCATTTATCACTTGGATCAGCATTATATCTTTTACTACTTTTGTCAAATTTTTGATACAGTGCATCTGGGCAAAGTAAGATTTCTCGATAATTTTGAGTATCATCATTCTTAATTTTATTGAGATCTGGAGATTTTTTAGTTAGTAATTCCATTAGACCTGGAGTTGCAATGTAAACTGAGTTATTGATTTCCATTGTATTGTCATCAAATATTATGTCTTTATTTCCAATTGAATAGCCTTTAGTATCATTATTATACCTTATTGAATATCCTGCATTACTTTTATCTCTAGGATCTTGAAGATAAGTAGCAATTAAGTTGGAAACTTTGATTACAGATTCAGAGAATCCTAGAACCTTCGGTTCGTTTGAATGATATTTTGGTTTTGGACTACTAGATTGAATTTGTTTAGTAGGAGTTGCTAATTGTGGTAAAATTTGTTGTTGTCCCTAAATGAATTAAGAGTTTGAACTATCTTATTCTTTTCATCAATGATTTCTTCTTGTAATTTCTTATTGGATTCTAGTATGGGTTTGAATACTTCTATACGATGATCTTCTACGTTTTTCTAAGTCTGAACGTTCTTGTAGATTCTTGAATTTGTGTTCTTTTCTATTTTTTTCGAAAAAAATTATTTACTATCTCATTCCTTTTTTTTCGGATCATAGATTTCAACGACAGAAGGCATTCTTGAAATTCTTTTTTTCTTCTTTTTCCTTTTCTTTAATTTATTTCTTTTAACAATTTATTTGAAAAAAATACTTTTTATTTATAAATGACAGAAATTACTAAAGAAGTAAGTTTTAAAAAAATCTTTCTTCAAATTCACTTGGTGAAACTGAAGAAGAAGATCTTAAGAAAATGAAGAGAGATGAAATTCGTAAAAAGAGTAGCATTGATTGGAAGTGAAATGAGGAAGTATATTCTAAAAATACAAAGAAATTGAATCAATGAGAAAACAAGAAATGATTGATTTCATTGTGAGTTTCAATAATATGAAGTTTTGAAGTCTCGGAAGTTTTCTAACGATTTCAATTTTTTTCTTTAAAAAAATTTTTTTCTATATAAAAGGCGTAGTTGACTCCTACTAAGATTTTGAAAAAAGTAATATTTTTTTGAGAAAAAAATAACAATGGTTAAAGAATCCGATCAACTTCGTAAAGAAGTTCGAATAATTAATAAAGCTAGAAAAATTGTTATTGACTAATGATCAAAGAACAAAAAAATGAAGGTAGAAGAAATGAGACAATTTATACTGAAGTATTCTACCAATGATACAGAAGATAAAGATAATAATGTTTCCAAGAAAACTGTATACAAAAATATGAGTGATAGAAATATACTACCAAACATTTTTCACACAATCGAAACTAGAGGTCTTCCTTATTACAATACTCTTGTAAGAAAGAATCTTACTTCTTTTCTCAAAAAGAAAGAAAATTTGGTATTGAATGATATCTTCAAGGATTGTGATGTTAAAATAATGTTTCATCTGGAATGTAAGAAATTGATTAGAACTGATAGTTTAGAGGTATCTAATAAATACGATTGTACTTCATTTGACTTTGACTTTACCAGTGAAATCCAAATTCTTAAGAATGGAGAAAATAGAAATACTTTCTTTCAAAATATTGCTCAACTTTTGATAAATAAAGTTATAAATTCGCAAGGAAACATAGAAAATGGAGTGATCTCAAAATTCATTAAATTAGTTATGCATCAATCAAAATACTCAAGTGCTTCGACTTCACAAAAAAATCGGAGGGTTATGGTCAAGTATACGACGAATATTCATCTTACTTAGTAATTAATGAAACTAATCACACCGAAGATGCTAGAAAATTAGTATATCAAGAAAGATCTAAGTTTCCTGAAGAACGAGAAAGTACGTATCTGAAAACTACATTCTTTAATTTAGTAAACTCGATTGATAACATTTACGGATACTTAGATAATACCTACCAAAGAGAAGACAAAGCTATCAAAATTAATATTATGTTCGGATACGTAACTGAAAGAAATGATGAAATTCAGCTTTTTAAGCCTGGTCGTAATGAGTATTACTTTGACAAACCTGTCTTGATGAAAAATGCTGAAGATCTTAAAAGCATAAAACAAAAACTAACAAAAGAATCTATTACAGTGCATTTGAGTAAAAGTCGACCAGATTCTAAAACTATGATTCTTGGAGTTTATGCGTTGGGTTTGAAAATTACTAGATTAGATTTTCCGATTGGTAGTAAGGTACAATTACCAGCTTATCTCAAAGATTCAAAGCATATTGTTAGCTTAGAAAATAGTGAAAATAATATGTGTTTCTTCAATTGTATCGCACTAGCTACAGGATGTAGAACTGATAGATATACTAAAAAAATCAAAAAGAAGTTTTTTTGATAAATTTTATGAGAAAAAGTATAAAAAAAGGGTAAAAAGAAAAATACGAAGAATATGTAGGATTTGATTTTGTGAATGAATTAGATCATTTTGAAGAAATATATCGAGGACCAGCAGTTAATATTGTTAGTTGTTATCCTGAGAAGAATAAAAAAATGATGAGGAAGAATTACGAATTTCTTATATCAGAAAAATCTAGATTCAATGAAGAAAGAAGACCTATTTATTTGAATTTATATCTTGATCACTTCTCATATATAACAGATTTAAATAAATTAAGTAAGCTTTTATTTATGTAATAGATGTGGTTTCAAATGTAGAGATAATCATAATCTACAAAGACATATTGATACATGTCAACTCGAACAAATCGATGTGTTCCCAAAGTATCCTAAGTTGTGGAATAAAAAGAGAAATATAATAGTTGAGCTTTCTGATTATTATGATGTTGAACTAGACTTTAGGTATGATTATGTCATCGTGTTTAATTTTGAAGTTCTTCAACCAAAAATTGATGAAGAAATTATACTTCGAAGAACCCAGGAAATTAATGAAGAAGTGAAAGCTCTGCAAGAGAAAAAGTTGAACTACACCAAAAATCACACAGTAGTCTCAGTTTCAATAACTACCAATATACCAGATTTTGAAAATGAGAAATTCATACTATCAGAAAATCCTAGAGAACTAATCAGAGAGATGTTTGAATATTTTGATGGTGTTTCCAAAAAAGCTGGAGATTTGATGATTGAAAAGATGTCACCATTGTTAGATAAATTATCAGATGAGGAAGATGAAGAAAATTTGAAAAAAGTGGAAGATTATTGTCGTGTTGTACCTGTTATTGGTTTCAATAGTGGAGGTTATGATATAAATGTAGCAGCTGACGAAGGTTTTATGAGTGAAATAATTAAAAGATGTAAAGATCCTTTTATTATCAAAGAAGGTGCTAATAGATATAAAGTGATAAAAACAAACAACTTCATCTTTCTTGATCAAATGGGATATTGTGCCGCGGGGACAAAATTAGAAGATTTATTCCAAGCTTATGATGTAGGGGAACAAAAAGGATGGTTTCCTTATGAATGGTTTGATAGTTATGATAAGTTAGGCTTTTCTACAAAAGATTTGAAGATCGAAGATTTCTATTCTTCTTTGAAAAATAAACACATTTCAAACGAAGATTTCACTACTTTGATGAAAATTTTTGAAGAAAAAAAATTAACTAAAGTAAGAGATTTATTAGAGTGGTATAACAACTTAGATGTACGTCCTTTATTAAAGGCTTGTTTGAAACAGAAAGAATTCTTCTATCAATTTAATTTAGATATGTATAAAGATGCTGTATCTCTACCTGGTTTGAGTGAGCATATTCTGTATCAATCCCAAATTCAAGGATCTCCTTCGGATTCACCAGGAAATTCACAAGGATTCGAAGAATACCTAAAGAAAACACCCCCTAAAACGTCTTACACTTTGAGAATAGAAGAAGATACTTTAGAAAGAAGAATTTATAACTATTATAGACAAGATGAAGAAGCAAATAGATCTATATCCAATATTTTAGAAGTTGAAGACGTCGTTGACATCTTGAAAAGAGAGAATTATAAATGTTACTATTGTTGGATCAATTTGAAGGAAGATACTTGGTCACTAGATAGACTTGATTGTTCCAAGAGTCATACAAAAGAGAATTGTGTTGCATGTTGTATTAAGTGTAATAAAGCTAGATCTAACAAATTATTTAAAGCGTTTTATAGACATAAAGCTCTATTAAGATGGGAAAAAGACCATCCTATGATTTGGTTATTTGGAGAAGAAAATAAAGAAGCATTCTACAAATTTAAGAGTAATATAACTGGTGGAGCTTCATTAGTATTTCATAGATATCATGAAAAAGATAAAACACAAATTACTAGAGTACACTACGATCAAGATAAAAAAGAATGGTATTACGATAAAGAAGGTAAAGTAGTCAAGAAAATAGTTGGATTTGATGCTAATGCATTATATTTATGGTGTCTTGGAGAAGAAATGCCTTGTGGAAAACTTCACTTTGAAGAAACCGATGATTTGTTATTTTATCAAAAAAGTTTGATGAATGATATACTTCCATTTTTCGGATTTTTAGAAGTAGACATCGAAGTACCAGAAGATAAATGGGAATATTTTGGTGAATTAAGTCCTATATTTGTAAATAAAGAGTATGATGAGAGTGTTTGTGGTGAATATACCAATGAAGTTTTGAAGAAGTTAAAAAGAAAACCCTCTAAAAGTAAAAAGCTTGTTACTACTATGAAAGCTGAGAAAATTCTTATTAAATCTACAAGATTAAGGTGGATGTTGGAACATGGTTGCATTATTACAAAATTACATGGAGTCATAGAAGCTAAAAGAGGAAGAGTTTTCAAAGATTTTATGAATTGGGTAAGTGACGAAAGACGTAAAGGAGATGTTGATCAAAAGTACGCTATAATTTCTGAAGGAGCTAAATTAGTTGTTCTGCATTTGGAGTGACTGGAATGGATAAAAATAAACATAAAAAGGTGGAAATGTGTGATGAAATACAGTTCAATAGAGCTAAAAATGATTATTTTTACTATGATGCTGAAGAATATGATGCATATGAAAATGACGAAGTTAAAAAAGTTTACGAAGTTGTTAAAAAGTCGAAAAAAGTTACACAAAACATGCCAATTCAAATTGCTTGTAGTGTGTATGACGATTCTAAGTTGAGAATGTTACAGTTCAATTATGATCTGATTGATTATTTTATAGATAGGGTACATCGAAAACTTTTAGAAATGGATACAAATTCAGCATATATGGCTCTTGCCGGAGATTTCAAAAGTCTGATTAAACCACATTTGAGAGAAGAATACGAGAAGATAAAACATAATTTTTTCCCTAGAGAAGAGTTCAAAGCATACGATAAAAGAACACCTGGATTATTTAAAGTTGAAAAAGAAGGTGATGGAATGGTTGCTTTGAATAGTAAGACTTACTTTGTTTGGGGCGGAAAAGAGGATAAATTTTCTGCTAAAGGTATTCAAAAAGGTAGAAATAGCGATATCTTGACAAAAGAGAAATACCTCGATTGCCTAATGAATAATGAATTAATTATTGGTGAAAATAAAGGATTCAGATTTATTGATAAAACGATGAAGACTTATGAATTGACTAAAACTGGCTTATCTCCGGTGTATCCAAAAGGTGTTGTAATGGATGATGGCATTCACATCAGACCAATTACTTACTTTTGATAAGCATGAGAGTCTAACAATTTTAGAAGGAGTAGACAATAATAACCACAATGATGTGTTCCAATTTTTTTTTTTTTTGAAGAATCTAAATTTACTATACCTACTTCAATTTCATTTATTTTAGATAGCAAATTATCTCGCATAAAAACACCACGGAAGTTCTTGATTTCCAAAAGTTCTACCAATTCTAGTAGATCTAGATTTGTCAGAGGTTTCAAATTTTTTTCTAGCTTCACCATTTATTGAACATTAATTTTATTGAAAAAAATGACGATACCACTTTTTTTGAATAAAATCGACATCCATCGACATCCATCAATTTTTGTAAAAAAAGTGAGGAAGTGATACATTTTCGAGCATTTAAGCATGAAAAATGAGAAATAGAAAAATAAAATCAACATCCAAGCAAAAAAATTGATCGAAAAATGCATGAAAATTATTGAAAATAAGCACTTTTTAGTGCTCCAAAAATTGACTCATTTCACACTTTTTACGAAAAAAGTGTTGTAAATGAGGTAATTCTCTGACTGCAGAGAATGAAAATGTGTTGAAATGACTGAAATGTCGAAAACGGTATTATAATCCCTCGTTCCTATACTACTGTACGCTCTGTTCAAGCAAGGCTCTATTGGGACCTGTAACGTCGAAAAACCTCCGTTCTTCCACATCATCAACCGCTTGAAATGGTTTATATAACTTGAATACGATTTTAAAAACCATGCTACTTCGGAGGGATCTCTCATTGAACTATTGAGAAGCTAATCTTTTGAGGAACGCCTGGAACGAGCTGGGGAATATGTCACAGGATGAGGCGAAAGCCTTGTACGTCGAAACGATCCTCGGGCTTGTGAGTTTTTGATCCTTTAACCTCACGGTTATTTTCTCAGCATGAATTGGAAAAAAAAACGGATTTCTGAGGTTATTTTCGTGGACTTTTTCAGTGTGACAGAGCGGAAGAAGAGCATGACATTATGGATTTTTTAAGCAACCCGAAATTTGTCAACGACCCTCATTATATTGAGTTACTCAAACAACAAGACGTTTTCCGGGATGTGAGGCAAACCTCAAAAAACTTCTGATGGTTTCATTCAGAAGTTCGCTTTGCTCGGCCGCACACACACCAAAGGACACAAAGGCGAGATGGTGGTCATTAACGGAGTCAGCGTCGCTTTGTAAAATATCCAAACATTTTTTTTAAAATAAGACAATACCTTACAACACTACAACTTTTTATAAGAAAAAAAGATAATTTTTTTCCTAGAATTCATAGTTTCTTGATAAACTATTCCTTATAGATAACTCATAAAAACACACACATTTTCACGATTGAATACGGTGAATAAGTCTCATTTTAGGTTGCAAAAGCTTTTCTATCGACACCGTTAAATTTGCAATTATTTATCAAGTGTGGCTCGGTTGCTTTTTGGATTATTTTATTGTTGACGGTCGAGGCGTTTGGTCCAATCAAATGGTTCCCAGAGCTGTTTGAAGGCTTCGGCCCGAGCCTTCTGAACACTCATCTCGACGGCTTCACGCTTGCGCCACTTCTTCGGCGGTAAGTCGAGCATTCCAGCGAGGATTTCCTGTGGAGAGCATTGAGAATTTCCAAACGAGTGAAGACGAACCGTCCCGAAGTTTGCAGGAAAAAGCTCGTGGTTTTCTATAACATGAGCAAAGCCGTTGCTCAGACCGAAGTCGACTGAGAAGAAGCTGAAGCCTTTGGGGATCTGCCGCCGCAAGTCTTTCGTTTCAAGCAGCTTCTTGTTGTCCACAAACTCGCCCTCACACTCGTTTATCGCTTTCTGCAAGACTAAAATTTGATGAATTCATTCCAAATTTATAATATCATTTGTGCTAGAAAAACAGGAAATGGCCCGAAGCTCAACAAAAACATCAAACTCAAAGTTCTGTTTCTGCACGGCCTTTTTGTTTTCTGGCCCATTGTTTTTAATTGGGAATTGCTCACCAACTGGAAGGGACAGATTGCTAAACAAACAAGCAATATATGGACCTATAAATCATAGGTTTTTTTCGTCAATGTGAAGCAACAAAAAAATGCCTCCGAGCTCAAAAGGTTCCCTGATTAATCATTTTCAATGCTTTTTTCGATGAATATTCGGGTAAAAATGTTTTTGACGTGCACCCGTTCACGTGAACCGAATAACGAAGACGGTGAAGGCGTGTCGGCGCGAATCACCGAAATGCAAATATTTTTGAAGGAAATGAAAGATCTGCAAATTGCAGTCCAATCAATCGTGTAAATCACGCGACAGTCAAGGCGCCTACTATCATCGTTGCTATCGGCCTGATGCGAGACATGATGGCGTGTGGAAAACAACGACATCTGCGGTGCCTGAAGACCGATGATAGATGGGAAGGTCGATTCCGCGAAGACGTTGGAGACGTGCTGGCGCCGTCGCTGCACGACCACCACGCGTCGTGAGGTCGTGCGGAGCGTGTCGCTGTTCGCTCAACCCGGCCTGCACCTATCCCTTTCACAACTTTTTCATCGAAACCGTCTCAACCAGACTGAGAGTTCGGAAGGACGTAATTGACTATCAGAGGTGTAAACATGAATAAGCGCATGCAAAAATGCATTACTCTCTTTTTCCATTCGGAGATGGGTACAGCGAAAAAATTTCTATGCGTCTATTAGAAAAATTTTGGAGTCCCAGGCTAAACCAGAAAACCGTTTGAATTTGCTTTCAAATACACAATTTGAAGCTAATAATCGTCGGGAATTTTCAATGACGACATCTTCCTTGTGAATTGAGTCTTAGAGAGTTAACATTGATGAGATCCTGTTTCTTAAAATTCATTTCCATTCATTACGGATATATAGCATTTCCATTATTTAATCATCTAAAAATTTTTCCTCCGTGTAGTCCATCTGTTATACCCACTTCTTAAGAAAAAAAAATCAATAGAAATTTGATCATTGTTTTAATACTGGACTGAGATCTTTCCGCACAAAAACATTCCAACAGTAGGCTTCAGAGCGATATTATTATGACAGCGATCCCTAAGAGACCGACCTATCACGTGGTGACCGTCGTGAAGTCGTCGCCGCGTCGCTTAAAACAAAAAAAAAAACAAGATGATCTTCGAACAACTGTCTCAGTCGGCATAACTAGCGAAAGCGTCATTATGGACATTCCGCTCGTGGTTTCTTCGTCGTAAGTTCCGATAGGCCAAACGCCGATTGTCGAGTGTGTGGACCGCTCTCAGGCAAACAATAAAAGATTTGATCGAAGGACCGTTCCAGCGAAACACACTTTAACAGAAAGGAAAAAGAGATCTGCAGAAAATTCCTATATTGATATTTTCGAAGTCGGCTGTTCTTCGACGTTCGAGCATTCAGGCGCATAATGAAAGAAAGCAAGTCCGAGGGAAGCACTCGCTCTAAATATCCGTTCAAATTCCTCCGAATCTGCGGGAAAAGGACGAATCAGCGTGTTAACATTCCTCGCCAATATTGCAGGCAGGCCTTTCGAAACGGTCGAAAATCATCGACCAACATTCCAACGAATTGCGCCGTTAAACCCCAACCCGTTCAAGCAAATCAAGGAAAATTCAGAGGTCCATTTTTTTTCCTTTTTTTTTGCAAAAAAGGCATGTCAAAAATTGAGGAAGAACCTTGAAGTAGATGGGAGCCAAGTCTCCGACTTCGAGCGGCAGCGGCAGACATTCGACGACGAGGTGCGGGTTCTGGTCGACGTGTCGCGACATCTCCAGAAACACACAGTCTCTCCCTTGCTCATTCCACATCGCCACCAAACCTGCAAAATCCCTCTCTACAGCTTTTCGATGAACCTATCGAGCTCTGCAAACTCGAAAACAGAAAGAGATTTTCTCCGGAAGAGCTTCAAAGCTCATAACCCACGGAAACTAGATTTACAAAATAGAATTTCATTACAAAATTTAAAATGATGTGGATTTTCATTTTTAAATAACGGAAGTCTTACGGAAGGCAAAAAAACTTGCTTATTCCGGTAGAAATTGTTCAAATTAGTTTCAAAAAAACTTCTGGCAATGTTGTTTGAATCGGATAGCTTCTGTCTATAATATTTAGATTTAAAAAAATTTTCGGTTTAAATCTGAAAAAAAAAAACAATGTTTGAAGGTAAAACCAATTTCGAATAGTGGGTTTGAATAGAAGCGGAAGAAGGTACCTTTGCGCCAAATTCGCATTTCGTCCCAGACGTTCTCGTCGAGTTGGATGCTCGAAGAGACGTGAGCCATCGGCGCAATGATGCAGTGCTGTTCATCCAGGCCATCCCACTCCACTACAGCCAGGTAGGTCTGAACATAAGGTATTCAAAAAGGCAATAGACAGGTCATAGTGAAGTTGGACCTTGCTTCAAACCACCACATGCTATTTTTAATTTTTATCTTTCTTTTATTTTAGTTCGAAAAAAATTCAACTTTTCCTGTTGAACTATAATATTTGTTTCGAGAGAAAAAACATTCGATACTACTAGGAACCTGTCGCCTCAATAAATTTCTTTTAAGGCGAAAATCATATTTCTACGCGCGTCAAAAGATTAACTAGCTAGTACTGTTCACATCCTTTTTGAAAAATCGGCATCTGAAAAGCACCGAAAAAAAAACTTTTGCGATTAAATTCTGTTACAAATCTTTGGTTTAGATAAAATACGTGAAAAAAAAACTCAGTATGAACAATTTTATAATGAAAAGTTAGTGAATGAATTCATTTGCGAGTCGGCAAATACACTACAACTAGAGAAAAAACTATGACTCATATCGCCGAAGAAAGCGTTTCAACTTTGTCTTCGGCACCTGTCAGAATCATTTTTTGATATCATTTCAGTCTATCCTGTGTTGTCGCGCGTCCAAGTCTCATGTTTAGGAACATCAGTGAAAGGCTAGAGTGCAAACGTGTCGCCTTCTCTTCGATTTTTGTGTTCGATATCAAAAAATCCTTGCAAACTTCTCTGGCGTTACATCGAACGTGACTTGCCTGTCGGCGCGCGTTTCAACATCGAAAACCACTTGAAATTTTTTCCATTCCTTCTTCCCGTTTGACCTCTTGTCTCTCCAAATTCTTCGCCGTCAATATATTTAGAATTCGTCGAAAATAGTCTTCTGCACACATTCCGTTTTTTGGTCATCCTCATTCCCGAGTAAATATTTTCCATCTAATCGAAAACATTCTTCCTCTGAACGACCCTGCAGAAGAAACTACACGAAATCGGCAGACGATTTTAAGTTTCTTGAAACGGACTTTTGGGCAATAAAGTGAGTTCGAAAGGGCGGCCATGTGACAGTTTTGACCAACTTTTCCCTCAAGAAAACAACGAAAATGGTTGTAAAAGAAGAAAAATCGAATGAAATAAAACTAACGACGACCTGTTAGGAAACGCTAATTTGTTTTTAAAATAACTCATTGTGAAACGAGTTTTTAGAATCGTCCGTCCTGATTGGAGAGAAATAACTGCGAAACAAGGAAGGACGAAGATCACTAACATTCATTGAGCGTATGATGCGCAATTGGAATTCAGAATATTGAATAGGGTTTTCGAAACGTCACATCGATCATATTTAATCAACTCAATCTGAAAACGCAGTTGATCAGAAAATCTCAACAAGCGTATTTGGAAAAAACAATAAAAAAGAGGTTATAAGCTGAACAAAATATTAAATAGTATTGAGTGACGAATCATCAGTTCTACACCCAAAAAACTAAAGAGAATTCCCGGTTTGTCGGAATACTCTTTCTTTCAAAGTTGATCGTCCGATGAAACTTGAATTTTAAGGTTTTTGTTCTTTCTGACTTTCTCACAAATGTGCATATGAATATTTTCTCCCATTTCGTTGAAAATCTCTCAGATTAACCCTTGGAAAGGGGCCGGTGTAAAAACTCAAAAGTTTCCATGTATACCGAAACTCTTATGTCAAAAGTTACCAGACTCAAAGAAGTATTACAGACTGCGAAAATGGGCCTAGGTTTCAGCTTCTTTCCGTTCAGGTTGATTACAAAGTGACTACACCTTGGAAAAATCCGATTAGGGATCCCGAGAGCTTTGGTACAAAAGAGAGATCTTACGTTGATTCCGAAGGCGACGACGCAGTGCTTGGCCAGCCGTGACCCATCTATGCATCGGCTACACTCGTCGAGGGACCGCTCCAGCCGTTTGTGCTCTGAAAAATCTTCGTTTTGAGAGAAGATTGAATAGCAAAAAGGTGAACCAGTGAACAAATGAAACAAATTCTAAGAAAAAATGAAATTCATTGTTTTTGCTTTCTTTTCCAACTATGCATTCAAAAAAAAGAATTAGAAAATAGCTACAATGAAAAAGAAGTCATTTCCTGACCAATTCTTGAATAAAACCTTCAAACCCTTCAAAGTAGTTAGTCCTCAGCATGAGCCTAAGAAAACCATTTTTCGAGCTTTTGCCGTACATTTTCGACGGTTTATTTTTCAGTATTTTTAGGCGCTATCCAGATAAATCTTCGTGTTTCGAATACATACATCTAGGACTAACCATCTCAGAAGTTAGGATCAGATCTGTATTTTCCACCTCAGACCCTTCTTTTGTTAAATTCAGGCATCAATTTTCACAAAAACTTGCTCAAAAGGGTTTTTTTTTCAAAGTTTATTTTTTCCTATTATCAGATATCAAATAAAATGATTTGACCTTAACAATTGATTTTACAAGATGTGTTCATTCTGCCACCCAGATGACTTTCAGACGTCGAAACAACAAACAAAGTGTTGATGACGCATCGGTGTCTTCAAACCTCGCAATCGAAGGTCGCGACCACATTTTCGTTCCGATCTGAACACGTCAGCCTCGAAATAGCCATCTGTGTCGTTCTTCGACACTTTCGAAAACTCTTCTTCCAAAACAAAAGAATGAACCTTTCTCTTGTTTTCTAAGTGCGGGAAAATAATGAAGATCAAAGTCCTTAATATAATGGTTTACAAGACTTTTTGTAACAGTAAATCACATTAATAAAGTACGTTTCAACGTGAGACTGTATCTTCTAAACTTTTAGCCTCAAAAAAGTTAACTTAAAACAAAACAAAGAAAAGATGAGATGAGATCGCAAAGATGCGGCAAAACTTTTCTCTCAATTCGATCTCAACCGCGCAGACATTCCGACGGCGATTATGCTGATACACAAAAAGAGACATATGCCCTTTTTTGGGTGCAGCGCGTGAGGAGAAACCAATCACATTCCATTCAAGGCTTCTTGGTCTTCACACCTTTCTGTCTTCGCTGAATGCAGTCCAGTGATAAGACAGGGACCGACCGACCATCAACGTCCCACTTTGAACATTCCCCAAATCTGTTTTTTTTTTTTGAAACAAGTCACACGAAAATGTAGATAACAATATGTATCTGATTTTGAGCGCATCGAAAAAGCAAAAGAAAGGGGGTCCATCAAAGGCGTGTTCTTCAATCTCTTACTTCATGACGGCATCTTAAACGATTCGAAGAACAAGGGCGTCACTGTTTGCGAACACTGCGTCGCGCCAGCAAAAGACGCTGGGCGGAGTCTGGGCGGAGACGTAACCTGAAGAATTCCTCTTCGTTTACTTCTTTCGACGTCGTCCTCTTCCAACCGCACCCTATAACAGTCAAAAGATAGTCGAGTAGACTTCTACTTGCCATTGAACTCAGCAACCGTTCCGCTTTCCGGACATCGCCTCACACAATGCTAACCTCCATTTTACTTCTAACAGCCTTGTTTGCCGTCGCTCAGTCAACGACAGAGTGGTGGGGAGACCTTCGAGCTCAACTCAATCCCACACGGGCACAGCCTTTCTACGACGTCATTTACGATGAAAAAGGTGCGAATTTTCTTCTTTTCTCAGTTTTATCCGCAAAGGACCAACAATGATTTTTTGTAACTTGATTGCCGATCCTTTTTGCACTAGAGCCAACAAAATGTTTCAGTGGGCACCTGTCCACAAGGACTCCGAGCGGACGCGATACCGGAGTATGTCTACTTCGGCACGATGCTGGCGACGATGACGGTGGACGAACACGAGCAGTGTCTGCAGCGCTGCTCGGAAAAGCCACGTTGCAAGGCCGTCAACTTCTTCCATCCGTTCGCCTATCAAGAGAAAGGCTTCTGCGAGCTTCTCACTGAAGGACAACGCGACAATCCGAGCCTCATGCGTCCTTTCCGCAAAGCCACCTACTATGAGCGCATCCGATGCCGTGAACCTGATGACGTCGAAGATGATGCCGACGATGAAAGTGAGTCGTCCTGTTTCTTTTGTCTGACGGACTATTTGTAAGAGTAATGACAAAACGATTGAAAAATACTTTAATAACCAGTTATGGAAGACCCTTCGGGTACGACAACTTCATTCTTTCGTCTTTCCCTCTTTACTTTTGCGCATTAGAAATTCCTGTTCTCGACACTTAGTTTTCTATTTCTTTGCTCTCGTACATCAACAACGCCGCCAACTTCCTTTTTATAACAGCCAACAAATTGTTTGAATTTGCAGAAGTGCCCGTGGAAATTTCAAACGTGAAGAAAATCAACATGAGCGACTTGATGAAGAAGCTCTCCGCAAAAGTCAAAGAGTTCAACGCTTCTGGAGGCTTCCGCGCCGCCCGAAAGTGATATTTCCTTTTTTTTTGTCAAATTACGCTAACGCTTCTGGCGTATGAAATGTATAATTAAGTAGCTTTTAGCTTCAACCAGAGATATCCATTGTATCCGTTTTTTTCTTTTTTGTTAGTTAACTGAATCCTCCGGTAGAGTCCATTGATTGAACGTTATTATTGTGCATACATGTCGAACTGTGATCTCCAAAACTTTCTTATCCACGCGGGTCTTCCTAACAGAAATTCGAGACTGATTTCCAACTAACTTAACTCGCAAACATGTAATTTCCTTTGAAAAAGTAAGTCCCATGAAAATTCCAATCAACATACGTGTAGCCTTGCCTTGATAAATGTACAAACGTTTGATAGTTGAACAAGACGGCGAAAAAATCAGGCCATATATCTCGAAAAGGGATAGCGTACGATATCTACGCAGAACTGAAGGGCATCACTCCCGATTCCTACATTCCGCCGTATTTCGTCGCTATCATCGCATCGCTCGAAACCAACCAAATTGATTCAGCCACTGCGCGCAGTCGAGTTTGTGGACCCGACAGAGAAATGGACATTCACTTCCGATCAATTTTTTCAGATGGCCTCTGACCTTCTGTTCAAAAACTGGTTTTGCGCTATAATAAGGAAATGCAACCTTTTAGGCGTTTCAATTTTCTTGTTGTTGAAAATAGAACCATATGATGAAAATTTCATACGAATTACAAAAAATTCAAGTCCTAAACTTTAAAAAAGTCAAAATCTGTTGTCGATATATATATATATTATATATATACAAAAAAACCGACCTGAAGGTTGACTTAAAATATTTTGCCGCTTTTTCCTGCGATTTTTTTTAAGAAAAACGAAACTTTTTTTACTCTTGCTAACCAGGGAATGGTCTCCGGTCGCAGTGGGACCTCTCAATGAGACCAATTTTTTTCCAGGTGTAGTTTTTTTCACGCTGATCTCAAATTTGGTCTCAAAAAATGGAAAAAAAAAATTTTTTCTGAAAATTTTTTCACTCCAGCCCATGCTCATACACATGAAAAATCTCGAAAAATTCCATGAAAAAAGATTTTGACGAAATTAATTCTAGATGTTCGAATAGGCTGAAAACGAAGAAATTTCATGTTTAGACGCCTCAAAACTCAAAAAAAGGAGCCCTTAAACGAAATCATAGAAAAAAGAAAAAACTGCAAAAAAAGATTGCACAAAGTGGGCACCGAACATATGACCTCGTGATCCCCAGTCCGCCGCCTTACCACTGCTCCTTGCTGCCGTTGCTTCGACGGTCGCCGGATCGCAATAGAACACCGCGCTCGCATGCTCTTGTGTTAGGCGGGGCTTTGAAAGGTCATATCTTGGCTCCGAAATTTTTTTGAATACATTTTGATAGTTTTTCGTGACCAGAGGGACATGATCTATAGACCCTTCAAAAATGATCTCAATCGGAAACACTGAAATTTTCGACTTTTAAGGGGCCATAACTTTTTTCACAGAGCTCCTCGGCAGTTTTTGAGACCAGATTTGAGATCAGCGTGAAAAACTACATCTGGAAAAATTGATCTCATTGAGAGGTCCCACTGCGACCGGAGACCATTCCCTGGTAAGAAGAACTGAGCAATCAAATCAAAAAAGGACAATATTCCCAAAAAATTGAAATAACTACATCCAAACTTTAACACTCGAGTTGCGCTTGAATTTCTTTGACTTGTGCTCAAAAATAGGGAAGCAAAATCTCTTGTTTCGATCTTTGATCGAATGATAGAGAGTAAGTAGAGGCAGTTTCGAAAAGAATTGGGCGATTTCTGATCGTCTCCTTCACCTATCAATTTGGCGTCTCCTCACGCATTCCAACCACTTTTCTCTTCTTCTTCTCCTTCTTCCTACTGCAGTCATGCACTCGACAACAATCTCGGCCAATTCGCCGGAAAGACGTCACAAGGATTTCCTCTTGATAGCAGGAGCCATCTTATTCATGTGAATGAAGTTCGATCTTCTTTAAAACGAAAAAAGACCGATTTTGATGGTAAACCAAAAAAATCATAGTGTGCCAAAATAAAATCAGATAAAAATTTAAAATAAATAAGATAATTATTTCTCTTTTTTTTATACATTCTTACAAAATTTTAATAATGGCGCTAGAAAATCCAGCACTCGTGCTAATACAAAAATGAAATGAAATCAGAGAAAAAAATATTGATAATTTTTTTCGACGCTACGTTATACTGTAAAGAACTTCCCCACCGTGCTTTCAGAAAACGTCGAAATAGTTGTGCGAAACAGTGCGAAGCACGAAGAAAATTGAAATAAAACTTTAAGTGATAGCCTTAACTGCTCTTTCACGATTTTTCATCGAAAAAAAGTCATCTCATCATGTGTTGAAAGCTAATACTTACTTATGAACTTCTTTTAATCAAATTTTACAAACTGAATAAAAAATTCGAGTTATCTAATGTCTCGGTTGAGAAGGCATTTCTACTTTACTACTGAGTAGACACGCATTTTCGAAAGAAAAGTTTGAACGAGTTCTCAGAAAAATCTTCTGGCTTTTTTCAGGATTTACCACACTGAATCTCTCGAAAAAAGAAGAGAACAAAGAAAAAAAAAGCTGAACAGACCTTCTCGAGCTCTTTTTTCGCGACGACGCTCGTCTTTCTCGTCGGCCTTTCGTTTGCCTTTTTGCATTTCAGCGATGTCGTCAACGCTCTCGTCATCATGTCTTCGGATTTTGGCGCTTTTCTATATTTATTATCACTCAGAACGGATAATCTTTTCGCCATTTCTAGTGATAGATTTCTTTTTTTCAGAAATACGAGTTCCTATCTCTGTTCGTTTGAGCCAACGGCTCTTTTCGCTTTTCTTAGTCTACGTTTCAGACCTCATTATCAATTAGTCGATTTCGTCTTGAACTCTACTGAAAAACTCGAAAATTCTTTCATCTTCATAGTCTACTGGAAACAATACGCTTATTGAGCCTCAAACTGTTCGCCTCAAAACTCGTTGATGATTTTCAAGACCATTGTCATACTTTATTGTACAATATTGTTGGACGTATTTACTTTCGCTTCTAGAATCGAAAATAAATCGAACCGAAAAAAAAAGCTTTCTAATGAAATCGTAGGAACTCCATCATAAGCGTTACTCCTGCCAAAAAGAAACTGCTCCATTTTTATTTTGCCATTCGAAGTTTCTAGAAACTTTTTTGTTCTACCTACATGTCATTACGGCTTCTTTTTTTTTCTTACTTTTTCAAAGACTGTTCAATTATTTGAATGGAAAAAAATGACGATCCACATGAAAAAAACTGTTGAAAAACTGACCACGAGAGCCCTTTCGAAGAGTCGAAGTTGATCCTCAGCCGTCGCTGTTTTCTCTTCTCGTACCATTTCATTCAGTTCCTGCGATTTTTCGTATTCTCTACGCATTCGAGAAGAACCCTAAAATTGCAAGTTGGCGAGGGCCTAAGTGGTCAAAAAGAACATTTAAACATTTTCTTTTTGAAAAACTCAAGAGCAAAAAAAAAGAGAAAAAAATGAACCTGTGCATGACTGTGACGGTCTTCTTTGCGTCCGCTGGCCGGCAGAACGTTTCCTTCGTGGTTTCGCCGCATCAAAACGACTTCCTTCTCTTTAGGCGCTTCTGTGACTCCCGACTCCAGCTTCATTTTAAGTTTTCTGACGAGATCCTCGAACACAGATATCAAATTGGCTAGAAACCTACTCAAAACCTTGTCTCCTTTCATTTCGGCTTTCAAAATCTTAGCTGAAAGCTTGTTCTTTTCGTCCTCTGTCAAAGGAGTTGGACCGGACGAAGAACTTGATTGATTTTCTTCTCTCGTGTAAACTTGTTGAATTCCATAAAAATCTTTTTGAGACCGTTCACTAGCAGTGACAAAGTCCTGAACGAGTAAAAAAATTGATATATATATATATATATATATATATATATATATATATATATTATTTGAATGGAACAAAATGACGTCAAAAAAATACTTTGAACGTCTTATATTATAATATATATAGAAAAAACCTTTCCCGCGTAAGAACTGCCGAGTTTTTTCATATACTTCTGAGCAACGGGTTTTGCTTTAACAATTCTTCCTCCGCCAAACTCTTCGTCATCATCAGGTCTTCGAAACATAAAAAAGCGAGCACTGAACATATTCAGTTTAAAAGGATAGAAAGCAGAAAATTGAGAAAAATAAAACTGAAAAAAAAACTTGTAGCGGACGTCAGAGCCTAAACAAACTTTAAATAAAACTAAAAAAAAAAATGCTTGCGAAAAAATGTATCAGTTTGATACATGGTTTTCACCATCTTTCAGAAAAACATGACTTGAATAAATGCGCATAGTCAAAAAAATACTTTGAACGTCTTATTTTTTTATATGCAAGATATAAAAAAATAAATAATATATTCTAAAAAAATCTATGGAATAAAGAAAATTTCAAACCTTCGAAAATCTGTTTTGGAAAAAAAGATGAAGCAAATGCGCCCCTTTGTAATTTCAAGAAAGCTCTGGAGCAAAATGCATGCTTTTTGCGCGCGTCCAACCCGATATCGGGTTATTGCACGCATTTAATTATTTTACTTCTTGTCTTTTTAATTTTTCTTCTTTTTTTCATGTTAGTTAGATGTCAGAAAAATTTTAATATTCTATCTAGACTGAAATTTTTTTCAAATTTTCAACTGCAGCTTGAAGGTGCTGAACGAGCCTTCAACGAAAACTTCTTTGGACAGTTGCTCAATGGGCGACGAAGGATCAACACTTTCTTCTGCTTTCCCTGCTGGTTACCAGATTCCGACCATCCAGGTTTTAAACCTATCAGAGAAAATGGAAAATGATACAAGTCTTTTTTCAAAATATCTTCAATAGTTATAACCGTCTTTAAATTTTATTCTTGTTAAATGTACAGTACATTTTCGAAAAGTAAAGCGCCAAAATTTTTTTTTCGAACGATGGGGAAGATTTTTAAAAGATTGCTAGGGAACTTTCCGTTGGCCACCTTTCCGAAGAATCCCTTTCCGACTTTTTTTCCCTTATTTTTTTTCGGTTTATAAACAATCGATTAACATTTTTTTTCCCCCATTTATTTGTGTTTTAAACATGAATATTTTGCCTACTTTATATAGGAAGATTTAAAACGAAGAAAGTATCGAGAAAAAAAAATCGGAAACTTCTCCGTCGGAAAGTTTCCGACTTTTTTTTGCGATATGAAAAAATTCGAAAAGTCGCCGTTCGAGTTTTTGCTGGTCTTTTTTTTAAACCACCCAAAGTTTAGAACCTGCCTCCTGGCTCGAGCAACTATCAGCAACTCTTGGCGCTGATCGAAGAAATCGGAAGAGATATCCGACCGTCTTATACCGGCAACAAAGTCTGTGCCGAAAGGCTCAAACGCTCGCTCATTCACGCCCGGCATCTTCTCAAGTATGGTGAAGAGTTTTAGCAGATAAATTTTATTCTCTGAGTCCCGACCAAAATTAAATCGAAAAAGCGGTCACGGTAACTAAAATCTCAGCGTCTTTGCTAGTGCTTGTATATTTCAAACGGAAAAAAAAATACAATGAGCGTGTGAATTAGTTTTATTCTCATTATAATGATGTATTACATATCTTTGGGCACTGTGAAACCACGTATACTAATTTCGAAAATATATTGGATATCAAAGTGATTGAAAAGGTGCTTAATGTTGCAGGTAAGGTCTCTTTTCACATAATAATAAATGGTAGCTATAGGTCATTTTTAAGATTAACTAGATCTTTTAATACGGGCACACCCGTTGAGGTATCTGGCCATCACGAGAGTATAAATGTAGATACGATTAAAATACAAACAAAATGATTAGAGCTGAGCAGTCATATTTTTCAGGGAGTGCGTGGTTGACGCCGACAACGATCGGAAAAAAGGAAACGAGGCGTCGGCCAAGGCTTTAGCTCAGTTCGCTCAGACCGTCAAGGCGGCCCAGGCAGCCACTGCCGCCGGTTCTTCCAAATCTTCTCAATAACATTCCTCCCTCTCACCCAACCTGTTTTTATTTCTTTTTTTCAACTATGCCACCAAATTCGGTAATCTCTCTGAAGCTGAACGAAAGACCCGCTTTTGCTCGTCTTCTAACCGACAGAAGTAACTCTGTACTCGTTTCTACCTACCAACTCGATTCGGACAGCTCCACTCGTGCAGGTTCTCTCTGCATCGTGGACGTCGATATTCCCTCAACCTCTCTCAATCTAAAACACGAAATTCGGACTGCTGCTGGAGTTTTTCGCTTCGAATTAATCAACCCCTCAACTTCCCTTTCCGCTTTGACAAATGGCTCACTTGGCCTTAATAAATTATCAGGTAGTTTTTTATTCCGAATCTAAAATAAGTGATCGAAGGTGAATACCCGCAATCTAGTATCCCTGTCTCTTCAAACATGCTGCTGGACGTGTCGATAAAATCGACATCTATCGCCGCAACTACTGACAACAAGGTCTCTTAAAGCAGGATAACTATTTCCTAAACTAAGATTCAGGGTTTCGCATTTCTGGTGGATACGAATACTGGGACCGTCGTGTCGAGTTGGTTGGCTCATTCCTTGCCTTACCTGCAAGGGGAAGGCTGCGAGGTCTACCGTTATCGACTCCAAAAATAATTTCCGGTTGCAGGTGTGGACGTGCTGCATGACGGATGACGCTTCTTTAGTGGCAACTGGCGGCGAAGACACCACCATGAAGTGAGTTTCACGGTCTTCGACGATGTTTTGAATGCTTCATCGTTTTATCAAATAATCTTTGGCTTGATCATTACTGCTAAGAATCTGTAGATTTTCAAGAAAATGGTTTCGAAAGAACGATGAAACAGCAAGTGAATGATAGATTTTCTAACATTGCTCGCGTGTCAAGGCAACAATTAATTAACTAAAATTCGAAAACACATTCATTGTAGAATCTGGGATACGCGGACAAAAACATCCATCAGTCACGCCAAGGTTTTCGACGCAGGCGTTACTTTCATTGACTGGCTTGATGATAACGTATGCATCATCCATTTAATTCCTAAATACTTGGCTTCAGGTATTATTAACGGGGTGCTACGACGAGTACATGAGGTTGATAGACCGACGTTCCACCAAAATTGAATTACGAAAGGTCAAGGTTAGTGCATTTTGGAAATGGAAATCGAAAAAAAAATGGAAAAGTCCTCTTTGAAACTGGGAGATATAGTTTTTTTAAATCGTAAAATCATCTTGAAACTTCTTCGGAGTTCAAACTGAATCAATGGAAACATCGCATTCTATTGGAAGACCTTGGGACCAAAAGAAAGCGATTCGACGTCCGAAAGAAATAGTTGTCCCTAATGGTGCGGCCATTCCGAGAGATTTCCGATGTCAGCGTTTACGGACAGAACATTTCAGCTGCCTGGAGGCGTCTGGAACATCGAGAAGACGGAAGACGGCCACTACCTCGCCTCGTGCATGTACGGTGGCTACGCTCTCCTCGACGGCGACTGGCAAATCTCACACGCCAACCAGAAACCCGGCGCCAACCTTCTTTACGGGGCGACGGCGATTGATTCCAACAGCGTTGTGTATTGTACATTCAATGATTATTCTGTCTCGTTGGACATTTTCGGGAATAGGGAGTAAAGGGTTTTCAAAACTATGAAATATCACTTTCCTTCAAATCACAGAAAGAAAGATTAGCCAACCCCTTCTCCCGGGCTGAATGAGCTCTGCTTTGTCCATCTAAGGCCTAAACTCAAGAATTTTTTTAAAAATCAATTTCAATGCTGCGTTAAATTTATGTTTTTCGACTGCCGACAAAAAAATCCATCCCCAGGCATTTTTGTCAAAAAATTTAAACTTCAAATTTAAATCAAAGGTTTTTTTGTGTTTTCGCTCAAAAAAATAAATTTCATTCTTCGCTTCGAAAAAAGAAGCACCGGTACCAAAAAGGAATTCAATGATTTTTAAAAAAGTAGCCTAAGGATTCGGAAATAACATTCAAGCGTTTAATTTAATTTTTTTACTAAAAAAACTCTTTTTGGTTCGGAGAAATTCAAATTTCATTAAAAACTTTTTTCGAATTATTATGCCTTTTCACTATACATGATTTGACAAGAAAAAATTATTTCCCAAATAACAGAATAGTGTGAGTTAGTGGCAGAAGAAGAAAAAATAGATTTCAAAAATGATGAAAATAATTTGCCGAAGAAAATAAGAAAAAAGTTTTCATACAAGAAGTGAAACTTTCGAGCAGAACGAACTGTCGAGTAAGGCGGCATTCTGTGGTGAACAAGGCAACACCGCCACGTCGGTTGTCCACGAGAACGATTCGATGGGAACATCTGAAGGAATAAGTCTTCGCTTCCGAGCACAGGAATTCCAGCACCAACCGACAGGTGCTGCGGACTGTGTGTTCCCGCTGGAACATCGGATTTCGTAGGCCTTTGCCGTGACTACGAAGACGAATCGCAGCTTCCATTTCAGTTGAACTACATGTATCATTGTTATTTTCAGAGACTTTCAAAATTGATGTTTTTTTTCGTGGCGTCTTTTTTACTTCCCCTTGTTTTCACGAAAAAAAAAACCCTCCTTGCAGTCCTTTCCAGGCGCGAAGACTAACCAGTATCCGTCGTAAAACTAGCTGGTGCGTTCAAGGGAACGTTCAGTCGGAATGTAGAGTTCGGAGAGAAGGCACAAACACAGACTGTCTGAGAAACGGTCGTCGAATGCGTCTGGAATGAACACCTCAGTTTTTCATATGAAAAACTTGTTGATTACCCGACAAGACTTTTGAGCAGCTTCGACGGTTGAATTCTCGACCAAGCTTTCCTCGGTTTCCAAGCCAACAGAGTATTGTACACATGGAGAATCGGAGTCTGCTTGTTTTTTTTTTTTCTCAAAATTCTTAGGAGTTTTTCAAATGTTCCATATTTAGTGTATTCAGTATGGGAGATGTTTCATGTTCTATGAATATTTATAATTCGAGACTATAAATTCTATCAGAGAGGCGCCGAACTTTTCAAATGAAACAACTTTAAAACAATTTTTTTTAGTTGAAGTGGGAGATTACCAAAAAGAAAATAATGAAATATTTTGAGCCGACTTTTCGTGTGGGCTCTATTCCCTCAAGCAACCGAGAACCACATTTTCTGACTGATATATTTACGTTTTCAAGAGAGTTAAGTACGACCCGGAGAAAATATATTGCAGTCTAAAGATACCAGCGAAATCCAAATGACCACAGACGTCCTCTCCCATGCGGAACGCCTTTTTGGACAGGGTCAGCAGGGCGACGCGACTGTTCCCGTTGGTGAGGGCGAAGGCCTGCGACCGCCGAGGCATCGTCATCTCGTCCACCGCCGCTGTCACCACCTCAGATATACTTATGAAAATGTCTCAATACAGGACTTGGTCGACGTCCGGGAAAGTCGAAACATTCAGAAAAAGAAACGAACTTTTCATCCATCATTTTTTCAAAGACCTCATACTTTTTTATGACTTTATTTACTAGCTTAATTCTCAGAAAGATAATCTATTTGAAGTTATCAGTGATATATCTCGCAAGGCCCTCGGAACGTGTTCAACTACAACTTTTATTCTTGTTGCTTTAAACACCTAATTTCGAAGAAAGTGTAAAAAACCTCGGCGACGGTAGCCCTTTTCATCGATTCGGCGAGGAACGGATTACAAGGCACAGAAAGTTTTGATTCCAGACCTACGGCAGGGATTATTCTGCAGAAAATACAAATTCCATCAGAAGGAAAGGAAAAATCACCGAACAGGGAGATAAGACAAACGAATCGGCGCTTGAAGCTGCTGCACAGCGACGGCAATACGGTTCACATATCTAACAAGTTGTCCGCGGAAAGTCGGAGGCAGTCCGTTGCGCGACATGGGAATCTGCATTGTTTGAAAAGATCTTCTTCGTTGTTGCAGGGAGGCTCACTTCGCAGTTGAACTCGCGCTTCTCTCCTGGAGACAGCTGAACGTCGCAAAAAATAATAACAGGAAGGGAAGAGAAGACGGTGGCTGCGCTCCGAGCGATCGCCGTCGTCGGCCGCTCGCGCGATGAAGTCGTCGCCGTTCCTGTCGTCCTTTCTGCAAACTTCTACAATTTTTCCTGTCAGTGTAAAAGGCGATTCGCAATATTCAGTTCTAACTGACTCTGATTATAAGCCTGAACCTTTTTGCACAAAGACGGCATCAAACTCGTTTTTATGACCCCTCCAAAATACTTTATTAGCTGTTTCGATCAAAATTCAACTGATCGCGATTCGCGAAGAACCAAAAAAAAAGTGAACCAATAATATATATGAATTTCTCTGAGATTGTTCAACCTAGATGCAGAAAAAAAAATTGGGGAAACAATTCAACCGCAATTATCTCTCACAGACCAGAAACTACCTTTTCAATATCTAAGGCTAATAATCGCCGCCAACTGTAGTTTCTATCAGTTTTGTCAAAGTATTGGTGCCCTGAAGAACGAACCACAAGTCAACTGGACGCTGCCCCAGGCCAACTGTTCTTTTGCTCTTCCTCGTGACGCAACATTCTCAACGGTTACCTGAAAACAGTAAAAAAGATTTTTTCCCTAAGCAAATCGTACCTTAATAACGATGGTTTCTCCAGCGAGATAAACTGCTACATCGCGATCCAACTCCGCGCATATTTCGAGCGGCATTCAGCTGCATACTAATCAGAAGATTTAAAAGATGGAGAATAAGATATAATTCTTAGGGAAAATACCTCTAATAAAATTAAGCCCATCCAAAAATAAGATTTATTGAGAAAAATATTCAATGAATGACGGAACTGTGTACAAAAAAGGAACGAATTCCATTTTACCGGACGCTTAAAAATGGAGGGTTTCAACACTGGATCATGGAGGCCAAAAAATTGATTTGCAAAGCGCCGATGTACTCGTCTTTGCCGTAAACATTGGGATTGGAGGCCTTGGCGCGTGTCACTGAAAAGAAGCAACTTTTCGATGGCTGTAATCTTCCTACCGAAGCTTTCGAAGCGTTGCTGACACTCTGCCTTGAGAAGCATGAAGTTTTCGGAGGACAGGAGAGAGCTTCCCGCGGATTTCTGTGTCTTTTCGATTTGTTTTCGAAACCTTTCCGTTGGTTTTTGTGGCAGTTCTGCTCTCGTATTCGACGAATTAGCAACCTCAAAACCTTTTTTATATTTATTCCCAGAAAATTTTTTTTTTCAAAAGATTTGCCTCGGGTTGGATTTTTTTGAGGGTGGGGGAGCTAAGTGTAAAAAACCATGTTGAGTTTTTTTATCAGTTTTTTTATATTAATCCAAATTCTTGTGTTTAGAATTTTTTTCAAAAATGTATAGGTTCGGAAATCAAGTAAAAAAACGTGTAAAAAAATTTCTTTTTTTAAGTCGTTATTTTGCAGTCTCAATCATAGATTATGATAGAATGACCGCGGGCCAATTAGTCTGGGTGCGTGCTTTTACCGAACTCAAGAACTCTGTCGCGGTTATTTTTCTGACTGTTATGCTAGTTTCCAAGATTTTGAAGAATTTCGAGATCTTGGGCAATGAAACAAAAATGGAAGATGAAATACCGGTCTCGCTGGTGCTTCGTGAACATTTCTTCCTGGTCCCATTTTGACAGCCGTGTACTCGGTTTTCCCTTTGTTCGAAAATTCCTTAAAAGAAATTAGTGTGTTGAACTCTTGCGATAACCTTGACCTCGATCAAAAACCCAGGCTGCGCGACAGCTACTGTTTTCCAGCAAACATTTCTTTTATTCGGAGCTTGTTCTATAGCTACGAAATTTATCGTATCGCGTGTTTTGAAGACCTCAAAAAAAATTTCCAAAAAGTGAATTCGAATAAAACCTTGTTCAAACTTTCGCAGCGAGGACGCAAGTTCTCCAGGACAAAGTAAACTTCCGATTTGGCGTCCTGTGAAAGAAGCGATGAAACTACATAGAAAAAAGCTTCTACAATTTTTTTTCAAAGAGTTGACGGAGCATAAAAGGTACCCATGAAACGTTCACAGGCGAATCGAGAAGGTACCGTAATGTGTCCACAAAGGTACCTCTCAAAATGGATCGTCAAGACCCCATAATATGTCCATCGTGAGACTTCCGGCATACCTTTTAGCTATATCTGAGCCATCTCGGATGTACTTCAGTCTTTCTCAAGCCCCTCTCACTTTTCTCAAAATTCTCAGAGGTATCTTCGAGGTACCATCGTGAGACTTCAGAGCCTGCGATATACCTCAGAGGGTCTCGCGATACCCTTTCTAGATTCGCCTATGTTACTCCTCTTTCGAGAAATGTGCCTTTTCACGAGACCTAAAACATATAAACTCCTATCCTCTTTTCGTTTCTGAGGATGATTACGAAACGAACATTCTTCGTGACGCTTTCGGTGAGAGACAAGTCGGTATAGCCGAATTGCCCGTTCTCGTCTACCATAATGACGCGGCCAGTTCCGTATAAGACGCGTGGTTTCCGCACGAACGTGATCTGAGCTATGGGTGTTTTGAGCTTCCGCGCTTTTTATACACCTTGGTAGCTTTGTACTTTACAGGAGCAGTGTTTCGGCCTATTTGCTGTGGCTCACACTCTCTCGCCGTAACTTCCACAATGTCGTCAATGTTGAAAGTGTTGAAGTTCAAGCCGAGCTCGTTGTAGTAGACAACAACTTTGCCGAATTTGCAGCTGAAATTGAAACTCCACTTCATAACTTTGTGCTCCGGTGGGTTTATGCTTCTATTTTGGTTGTGAAACAAAGTCATGCGTCCTATTTTGAACGATACGAGAAGCCAGTCGGTATTGAACATCAAGTCATTGAAAATGTAAACCGATGTTTGTAAAGTTAGTTGCCTAAAAAATTACAAAAGGGAGCTGAATCTTACCTTCCCGGGATCCCAAGCTTTAGCTAGCTATTCACAGGCGAATCAGGAGGGTACCATAATGTATTCACAAAGATACCTCTCAAATGGATCGCGAAGACCTCATGTGTCCATCGTGAGATCTCCAGCATACCCTTCAGCTATATCTGAGCCATCTCGAAGGCACTTTAGAATCTCCCTCAAGTCTATCTCATTTTGTTCAAAGTCCTCAGAGGTATACTCGAGGTACCATCGTGAGACTTCAGAGCCTTCGATATACCTCAGAGGTATCGCGATACCATTTCCCGATTCGCCTATGTTTGTAGTGGTCTTTTGAGAATCAAGTTACAAGAAAAATGAGCCTTACGTCACGATGCATGCTTCTTTCGCCGTCACAATGGCCAGAATCGAGCCCAGTTCTTTCATTGAAGACATTTCGCTTCTTCGAATTCCTCTACTTCGCCTCTTTAAAAGAATCCAGATAGTTATATAAATAATAAGAGCTTATATAAGAAGAAAAAGTTGAAGTCATGCCGTAATTAAAGTGATCCTGCGAATTTCAAAATAACCGCTAGGTCTTTTTCACCCTATTGCCGTGTTCAAAGTAATTCCCGCGAAATGCAAAATACCCGTTAGAGAAAGGAAAAGATCACTAAATTTTGGAGAGTCAGAGATCATTTTGCATTTCGCGGAAATTATTTTGAACACGGCATAAACTTTCAACAAAAATTTCAGAAAAAAAAAAAAATTTAGACACAGCTTTTCAGCTTTTCAATATTTTCTTTCTTCAAACTTCTATTTTATTGACTTGATCAAATCACTTTATGAAAGGTCTTTGTGAACACTCTGATGAAGGCATGAAATATGAAACAAAAAAATAAACTAATAGAAGGTATTTGATTGTTCTGGAATAAATAATTTCTTGAAAGTTGCTATTAGGAAGCGAGATACACAAACGAACCCCGGTATAGTTGAGCTTTTCAAGCTTGAAATCTGCATAATTCAAACAATTTATCAATAACAATTTATACCACACATAACAAGAAGGTGTGAAAAAATTAATTGAAGCCATAGCTCTCAATGATCTTCTGATACTGAGCAATTTTTGAGGCTGCGTTGATCTTTGCTTGCTCTTGAAGCTTGTTCAGCTTCTTCTTTTGCTCGTGGTAGGCAGCACCTTTCACCTTTCGCTTTGCTTCCAACGTAGCAACGACATCCTGATATTGCCATCCAACTTCATGGGAGAGACGTCCAACTGAAATTGTTTTTAGGTGGGACTGTTTATAACAAAACAAAAAATTACCTCTGCAGAACTTTCGGCGGGGCTCAAGGCACAAAACTCGGTTAGCTGAGGGAACGTTGAATTTCTTATTGTTGTTGTATTGGCTGGGAACGCCTTCGTACGTGCGCAGGTTCTTCAGAGCAGCTGTTCCGTGGATAGTCTTATGAGGCAGCATTCCTGTATGGAAAATCCAATGTAAATATTCAAAAATGAGTGAAAAAAAACCTCTGACTGTGCGCCAAAAGATCTTTGAGGGAGCACGGTAATGGAAAGGTCCTCGAGAAGGGTTGATGTTCAAGCGCTTGCGAAGGAAGCTCAAGTACTTCAGCTTGGAGCGGTGGAAGTTTCCAGAGATGGCGATCTCCTCGCATCGCAAGACCACGACCTTTTCGCCTTGGAGAAGGTTTTTGGCCACAGTGGAGGCCAAACGACCAAGCAAGTGGTCTTTTCCGTCAATGACGATTGTCTTATTTGTCAGACCCATCGTGTACCCTGAAAAATAACTATAAAAAACAATTATGAACAGTTTTACAAAATAGAACGCTCTTTCAATTTACAGAATAATAAAAACGGCGTGAAAAAAATATTCAAGTACGAAGATATAACATCGCCAAAAACGATGAAATGGAGAGACACACAGAAAAAAAAAAAAATTTATTTATTAAAGCGACATGAAAAAAATGCAGTTAATAAACGTGATATGATATACATATATACAAAAATCGTACAGCTATACAAAAACTTTCATTTTCTCCTATTGTTTAAAACATTCTTCAAATAAAATTCCCCAGCCTTGTAGGATGAACGAACTAATGGACCAGAAGCAACGTACAAAAATCCAAGCTTTTTCGCAAATTCTGCCCATTCGTCAAACCTGAAACAAACATTTTGAGAATAATTTCAAAGGTAAATCACTTTTGAGGGGTTATCCATTCTTTAACCAGTAGATGTCTTTTGCTAGGCTGCATATACTGGCCGAATGTAACAACATCTACGTCATGAGAGCGTAAATCGTTCAAACACTGACGAACTTCGTCATCGGACTCTCCCAAGCCAAGCATGAGAGACGTCTTTGTTACGAGTTTTGGATTCCTCTCTTTGGCGTACTTTAAACCTAAACTAAAATTATCCTTGATTGTCGTTATTTTCCAAACCTGAAAGAGATTGTCCATATTTTGCGCGAGGATCACGCACCCACGGAGTTAAACGTTCTACCGTCTCCATATTATGTGCATAAACGTCAAGTCCGCTTGACGCCATAACTTCAATACTATGTTTGTTTCCAGCAAAATCAGGTAGAAGGCACTCGATGAGAAGCTCAGGCTTAGCTTTTTTCATCATTTCTACAGTTTTTCTTAAATGTAAAGCCCCGCCATCAGGTAAATCGTCTCTGTAAGCTAATACACTTTGTAAAAAAGAAAAAAAAATTCAACCTGTCCACGGAAGTTAGAACAATGTAGTCAACACCCCATGAAGCTACAGCTTTCGCCGTGTTCTGAGGTTCGTTAGGATCTAGCGGAGGTGGCGCGCGAGAAGTTTTTACAGAGCAAAATCGACATCCTCGAGTACAAGTGTCGCCCATCAACATGATGGTAGCAGTAGCAAGACTATCTTCTGACCCTCCCCAACATTCGCCAAGATTCGGACATCTAGAAACGAAAAAACACAAAATATATAATGTTAATATTTCGTTATTAAACCAGAAAAGATGAAAAGTTTAGGAAAATTTCCAGGATCTACTCACATATTGACATCTACTAAAACCTTACTGTTTCCAGAACCCGCGAAAATTGAACAAAGATATTCTTCGAATTAGGCAACTAATTTAGACATTCGTAACGTACTGGAGATCTTTTGCATTCATTCGAGTGGCAACTGACTTTCAGATTTCTTTTTGTTTCAACTCGAATCTAACCAAACTGTACTACAGTTGGAAATAAACAGCTCATTATTCGTGATTAAAATTCCTTTTACAACAAAGTAATTCACCTGTAATAGACTAAAATTTACCTCGCTTCTTCACAAACTGTTGAAAGTTTCAAACTTTTCAGCTGCTTTTTGAGTCTGGCAACATTTTCGTTTTCGGAAGGCAAAACCTAGATTTTAAATAACAGCCGAGAAAAAAAAAATGATAGCTAACCTTTTCTTTTTTCAACCATGGAGGTAGTCGTAAACGCCGGTCTCCACTTTCAAGTTTCATTTTGCCTTCATATTTTGAAACCGCATCTTCAACACTGGCTAAATATCCTAATTTATGGGTATAAACGTGTGTAATACAACCTACATGTACTCAGGAAGTCTTGAAAAGAAGGCCCGTTCTTAATTGCAGGTGGAGTCTTTTTCGAAGCTGCATCTGCAAAACCACGAAGCATCCAGCGAGTGAGCAACATGCTAAAGGAATTGAAAAAAACTTTTTTTTAAAGCCAATCAGAAACTAAACTAGATAATAAAAATCCATCAAGTAGAAAGGAAACGTCATGATTTGACAAAAACCTTTTTAAAAAAAAAATTCGATGATGAACTCTCAACAATAGATCAAAATGATTATTTTTCAATAATCGAATTTTTTCGTAAGATTAACCTTATATAAGAAACTCGTTTTTTTCAGGTAACAAAACAGGAATGAAACAAGAAAACGCTCAATAATATTGTAAAAGAATTAATATACAAAAAATTTTTAGGCAACCAAAATTTTGGGCTGATTTGCAAACTACACGCCATGTCCGCATTGAACTACGCCAAACTACAGTAAGCTAAGCAGAAAAACTACATGGACTTGCCATACGCATGTAATTAATATTTGCGATATAGAATTGAAGTTTTTTTCAAGGCGATTACGCCACTAATGAAGTTATTTGGAAAAAAATATTTTTTTGAATCAGAAACCCCTTTTAAGAAGTCATTTCTTACTTAATTTCAAAGTACTTTCGTTGAAGGTCTTGTTTATTCAAAAAGTTTCTCATGTATAAATCGGGTTTTCTTAGATTTTTCTAGGTATTCCGATCGCGCAGAGCTGAAAATCAATCATAAGATTAGGCGTTGCTTGAAAGTTTGGGTAGAGGATCTAAGGAACGAAAAACTATACAACTTTAAAAAATTATGTCCCTCAAAAATCAGGGAACGATTTACAAAAAAAATTAGTCTTTGATTAATCGATTGAACTAAACAAAGTTAGGAGACTTTTTATTTTCCAAGGATTTTGAGGTTCCGAAGTCTTTTTGTGTTCAAAAGGCGTTTCGACGTCGCACCGCCGTAAGAGGCGTTCCTGCTGTATTGGAAGGCACTTGGAATCATTTTTTTGTTCTCAAATGTTATTCTTTTTCCCTGTCATTCTGCTTGGGTTTCTGTCTTCCTGGTCGACAGTTAACTGCCAAATCCAGCCCAACATTAAGCTTCTGGAATGCTTTGAATTCAAAAAAAATTATTGGATTGTCGGCCACGCTTTTCACACGTCTTCCGTACAAGCAAGTCTAACTTTTTTTGAGATGGCCTTCTTCAAAATTCTCCTTCAGAGTCTCGAAAGGAATGAAGATATTTTATATGTGAAAGTTGCTAAAGAAGATGTGGTTCTTTCAGGAAAAATTAATTAAGTTCGAAATAACCAACTTCAAAATAGTTGCAAACGAAATAGTGAGCGAAAAATTTCGTTTTAGGTCTTTTCGAACCATTTTCTTTACAAAAAGTCTTAAAAATTGAATTTACATTTTCCAAGGAGCCTAACGTTCACAGACAAGAACTGCGGCATAGAACTTAGGCTATCAATCAAGACGTCGACGTTCACGAGTTACCAGAACGATTTGGGTGTGTTCGTCAGAATTAGACACACATCGAAGGTCGCCTTCTCTGAGGAATGACGGACACGAATAGCATCGCTTTTTTTTAGGCAACCGACCAAAAAACATTTTTACGCAATTCGGCTTTTACCGAATAAGTTCTCGTTTTCCCTCTTCAAAAAGATTAGGATTTTTGATCGTATTGAGCCATTTTAACTACAGCTGATTCAGAAAATGGAAGATAGAGAGTGCAGACTAATCTATATAAGCTGACATTTTTCACTTCAAAAAACTATCAAAGCTATATTTGAGTTCAAAGACGAGTGCCTACGGTCATGCCTGACATCGGTTCTACGCGGTTCACCCTGCCTGTCAGCGATGCACGTGCCGAGTGACGATCAATGCGTCATCTCAGACCAAAATCAGCTCACACGACCCGAACTTTTCGTCGAGAACGATGCTAAGCTCACGTTTACAGTTAACTTCTTCCGAAACCTCTGTGCCGAGCCGCCAATTCAAAAAGGTAAACACCGAAACTTTTCCGAAATGGACTAGGGTATTCAATCCGCAGGTTGATGGAATTTCAGTCATTTTTTGAGTTAATTGCATTACTTCGCCCGTACGAGAGAGAAAAGAACGAAGACAAGAAGATTAATTCCAAACGCGTCGAAAGACGGCAACGAAGTAGAGAGGGAAGAAAAAAAACATTTTAATTGTTGGTTGATAATGTCGTTGAAGACTTTTTTTTACCTACATTTTGAAAATAACAATATTTTTCTTCACTTTTCAGGAGCTGGAAAGTTAGAAGCAAAGCTACTTGGATACCAAGGTGGTCAAGGAATACTTCAGTTGATCCAGTTGCGAGGCGAGAATCCAAAAATAATGATTATAATGACAGGCCTTCGCGAAAACACTGTAATGAACTGATCTAAAAACCGTTTAATCAAATTTTAAAGATGTACGACATTGTGTATGATCCTTCGTTGAACGAATCAATGAAGTGCAATAGAATAAGAACATCGGGAATTAATGGAGAGCGACTTTTAAATGTGGAAACCGACAACACAGGCTTGGCAGTACAGGTGGTTCTAAATAACAAGATGTTCCTTATTTTTTGTTTCAGACCTGGAAAGAGATTGATTGGCACATTCTCGACGATTCGTTACTGTCTAAGGTTTAAAACTGAAAAGTACCATTGTAATACATAATTTTACTTTCAGGTTATTCTAGTACTAGAAAAAAACTCTTCAAAAGTCATTAACTGTGGCCACCTAACCGTGGCAGGCGGAAATATGACTGAATGGTACGCTGCGCGTCAATCTTCCCATAATTTTTTCGTTCAGAACGTTCCTATTCGACTTTTTTTGTTTTTATTTGTGTATTTTATCTACGATTTATGAAATGAACTGACTAAAAATAAAGTTTTTCTTAAAGTTTTCAAAAATTCTCTCTCTGGAAAAATAATAAATTTCACACGATTGTGATGGAAAAATGCCGCGTTGAATGGAACCGTAATTACGCCTGTTCAAGGCGGCTGTTCGTATTACGCTAGTTTGAAAATATTTTTTTTGTGGTTTTAAAATGGAAATTTGTGAATTAGCTATGAGAACACTAAGAATAACTGACGAGATAAATGCGAGCTCGGTGGCGGTACATTGACTAACTCGCAAAAATGTCGCTTTTTTCTAGGCGCGATCCCGCATTTATCTCGACGCGACCTCGCATTTTTCTCGGCGCCATCTCGCATTTATCTTGCATTTCGGAAATTTTCAAATTGCGAGAGAAATGCGAGCTCGCGCCTAGAAAAATGCGAGCTCGCGCCCAAACAAATGCGAAACCGGCGCGAGAAAAAATGCGAGATGTTTGCGAGCTCGTCAATGTACCGCCAGTGTCTCGCGTTTATCTCGGCAGTTATTCTTAGTGAAATGACTTGTCAGATAAATTAAGTTTGCGTCTTTTGCCAAGTTCGATGCATTGAGTGCAATGCGTACAAAGCGTTTAATCACACGAAGCTACAAAACTTTTTATTCGTACGAATTCTATTTTTTTATATTTATAATATATCAAACAAGCGCTAGTGCTCAGCTTTGGAACGCCTTTGGCCAGGTTCTTCGAGTATTTTTTGGAAGCGTCACATAAAGTATTCGGAATGGTAACTTTAGTTTTCTATATGATCTTTTTTATTTCAATCTGTTTTGAGGACGAAAAGATGAAGAAACGGATCGAAGGGCTGAAGGTAGAAAAAGCCTATTACGATGCCTTGCAGTTATACAGAACCAAAATTTCCCGTTTTTTCTCTTCGACTAATATTGGCCAGGCGGTTCTTCTGATGATTGACTCCACAGAGTTTTTTGTGAAAGGTTTTTTTTTCGTTGTTAAAACAAGTTACCCTTATTGACGGATTCGTTTTTTCAGAAAAGCAAGGGATTATCGTAATTGACTTAGCACAGTTTTTCATTGATGGACTGGTAAAGAACAAAATTCAACCTTCTGAAGCGCTTTTGGCAACGATTTCCCAAGTAAAATTCCTATTTTTTCCGTCTGATTTTTTCTACACAGAATAATTATGTATGATCATGTTGCAACTAGAAAAAGTTTTATGTATGAATAATTATAAACACTAGGTTGCCGTTTTAATGACACGTCTTGAAAATGAAGAAGATGATCCACAGAAACTGGTTTCAAAGGGACGACGTCTGTTTGCTGATAATGGATTGCGATGGTTAGTATCAAATTTTTTTGAATATTTTTCCAAAAAGGATCTTTCGGAGTTTTTTTTTAAAAATAATTGTTATATAAGTTTTGTTGGAATAATGAAACATTCTCTTCGATAATAATATTTTTTTTAATGTTCATTGTTTGCTCACAGGCATATTTCTGTGGCGGTGAAGTAGATAACCAGGAAAGTTATATTTGCCTCCACTTCAATAAATTTCTACTTTGTTTACAAGAATCTTTGAGTCGAATCGAAAAAAAACTTTAAAAATTTATGTGATATTGCGAATCGAGAAAGAGTATCGCGAGACCCTCTGAGGTATATCGCAGGCTCTGAAGTCTATCGATGATGCCTCGAGTATACCTCTGAGGACTTTGCAAAATGAGATAGACTTGAGGGAGTTTCTGAAGTACCTCCGAGATGGCCCAGATATGGTACCTTCTCGATTCGTCTGTGTCAAAAAAAAATCTTAAATATTCTTTTGGTCTTTTTCAAAAACTATGAGTCTGTTTAAGTAATTCCAATATTCAAACACCCGTTTCGTTATAAAATTAAAAGTAACATGATGAATTGGTGGTAGTTCGAGTTTAAGGCTGTTGCCTCTCAGTTGTCTCCGTCTGTTTGGATATTGTTTGCAATTTGATTAGACACGGTCACCAATAATCTCCAAATAATCTCCATTGATGTGTAGTTATGATACATTTTCTCAACCTTTTAATCAATAGCGTGGTTAGAGAGAGGGATTCCATTCTTACAGATTAATTCACTTCTGGGAGAAGCGGTTTGGTAAATTTTCCTCGAACAGATTCTAACCTGTTCATATCAGGTTGCGTAAGTGCAGAGTATAGCGGAAGCTTTCTTTCAACTGTTATTTTAGTATTATAATGGATTATAATAATTTTTTTAACTGTTTGCTTGCTGGTTTAAATTAATTTATTGGTATCCGTTTTTCTAAGCACTTGTAGAAGGTATGCAATCTCCAAAACAAAAAAAAACGGAATTCAGTAAAATTTATTGATTCATCTTACGGCGTACGACTTACGGCTAGTTCTTTCTGCGCTGAACTGAACCACCGCGTCAGAAAAACAGCGGATATTACAAAAAAAAAAACAGCAGCGTCAGTGAAATAGGGTGGTATGAAAAAAAAGGCAGCAAATTTTCAATCGGCGACTTTTCCGATTTTTTTCATACCGCTAGGGAACTTTCCGACGGCCACCTTTCCGCCGAATCCCTTTCCGAATTTTTTTACCCTTATATTTTTTTCGGTTTATAAAACATCTATTAACATTTTTCCCCCATTTATTTGTGTTTTAAACATGAATATTTTTGCCTACTTTATATAGGAAGATTTAAAACGAAGAAAGTATCGAGAAAAAAAGTCGGAAAAAATTTCGTCGGAAAGGTGGCCGTCGGAAAGTTCCCTAGCTATATGAAAAAATCGGAAAAGTCGTCGTTCAAATTTTCGCTGGTCTTTTTTTCATACCACCGAAATAGGCCTGCGGGAGATCGTTGAAAGTTATTGAAAACATCTATTTTTTTCAGTGAGATGTGTTTAAGTTTGTAGAAAAAACCGTTTTCAAGTTTCTTTTAGACTTTAAAAAATTAAATTATGAGTAATTATAAGAAATTTGTCGTTCCAGGACCAAATTTTTCATGCAGTCGAAGTCGGAAAAACGGCACGGGAGCAATTTCCTACACTTCTATTTGGCCAACTACTATCTTAAAAGTAATCGATTGGCAGATGCACACAATCATTTTTTGCTCTCTGATCGCAGCACAGTGAGTGGAAATCGGTGGATTTACTATTTTTTCGAAAGGAACTTGCCAATTTCCTACTGGTCTTGTATCGCGAGAAAGGATTACGCTCTGAAATCGATCTCATCGTTCTGCGGCCTGTTCTACAGGTTAAATTTGGAGCGATAATTCAAACGGCGACTTTTCCGATTTTTTCATATCGTTAGTGAACTTTCCGACGGAGAAGTTCCCGACTAATCCTTTCCGACTTTTTCGATAAAATCTTCGTTTTGAATTTTCCTATATAAAAATAGATACTTGATTCATGATTAAAACGCAAAGAAATAGAAAAAAATGTTAATAGATTGTTCATAAACCGAAAAAAATAAGGAAAAAAAGTCGGAAAAGGATTCGTCGGAAACTTCTTCCTCGGAAAGTTCCCTAACGTTATGAAAAAAATCGGAAAAGTCGCCGATTGAAAATTTGCTGCCTTTTTTTCATTCCACCGAAAATACACAAAACAAGTTAAAATCTAAAGAGGGCAAGCTTCAGATAAAGATTTTATCGAAGTTCAAGATTTTCATGGGGCTATCGACCTTTTATAAATACATATATTAATATGAGTCGTAATGAAAGTTCTGAAACAGATTCTGTGTCTCGACCGTTATCCAAGTGCGAAGATGCTTTTTTCTGAATTCGTAAAGGTTTCACATGCTGGCACGTATCCCTACAAGCTTCCTCTCTTCAACTTTGCCGATCTTCTGTTGAGATCTATCGCAGCTGTCGATGTGAGTTTTGCAGTGATGAGAACAGTCAGCTACGAATCTTTTTTGAGATAAAAAAGTTCACCATTTTGCTTGAAGAATACAAAAAAGAATTGATGCGAGATCGGAGCCTGACACAATTGCTTGAAAAGGTAATTTAATATCAACACGTTGAAAGGTGGTTTTTTTTTACAGATTTGCCGCATGTACTTCGGCGTTGGGCGAGTATTAAACCGCGGAACAGGCCTCCAGAGAATCCTCCAAAGTAAACAAGCTTCAAAACCAAGATTTTTTTCCAAGCTTTCAGGCCTAACTTCTGAAGAGTCCGATGAAGCTGACGAAGCCACTTCCCATCTGGAAAACCAACCGCTATCGGGTGCCAATGTGAAGGTCATACGAAATCTCGCAAGCAACTCAAAATCCAGCCCAGTAGTTGCTCCTGACGAGGACGATCTTGATTGATATCCCATAAAAATCTTTCGACTTTTTGAAAATTACTGGTAACATTTTTTTAATATCTGTGTTTCTTTTTTTAAAAAAATACTGGTGCTTTTTCAGATATCTATAACTTCCCTGTTATGGTTTTTTATGCTCCTAAATCCTTTCAAAGACTAGAATAAAATGGTATTTTATTTAACACTCGGAAACAACAAGGAAGAATAAACAATTGCATTTAATAAAGAAGATTGATCACATTTTTGAAACTTCTCGAATGCCGAGGATTTTGAAACAGGTCGCCATTGTATTCGCTGTCACGTCGCATAAAGCCAGACGGTGGAAATGAATCTCCGTCTTATCTTCAAACCCGAACCTCTCGATGTAGAAAAATAAAATAGTCAAACCTCCTCTCTTGTCGATAACATAGCATTCATTGTAAAAATCGTGAAACTGCGTGGCCAGTTGATAGACGAAATCACACAACTACAACAATCGGCTTACTTTTTTACTGGCAAACTGAGAAGAACTAACTGGATGAAGCATTAACGAGTCGAGAACTTGCAAGACGCAGTCAGAGAGCTTTAGAATCTGCTTTGCCAAGTTCATCTCTGCTGGATGGTCGAGTGGTAGAACCGATGTTTTGTTCAGGTAGTCCGACAGTTCAGCCTCCGAAACTCCCGAAGTTCTAACGATCGACCTGAACTCCTAGCTGACCTGTCTAACTTTGCAGCTGTTTCTAATTAGGATCCGTATAATTTGAAATGAAACTTCAAAACATGGAGAAAAAATTGAGAATTGAATTTTTTTCATGAAAACTTTAACCTCGTTTGCTACGACTCGAAAACGTCTAGCTTATAAGCAATTTTTTCTTCCAAAACAGGCAGAGAGCTTACAAAACAGGAAATTTTCTGTGGTACCAGAACACTCATAGTAATAGCGTAACAGGTCTGCTGAATTCAAGCAGCTTTAAAAACTTAAGACCAAAAAACTAGGACTTTTAAGGAAATTTATTCTTCTCTTAAAAGTCGGACTATGTTGAACGACAAAAAAAAAATCAAATTTCCCCAAAAAAACTGCGAAAAATTGTGTAAAAAATAAAACTTATACTTTCCAGAGATCGTTTCAATCATTAAATTGAGCTCATGACACGGGATTCCCTCGTCTAGTAAATGAATCACCTGATACGGGCGTAGGCGTAGAGCAGGTAGACGGCCGTGTTGCCGCGATCGTCGAGCATTCGATCGAAGGAGAAAACGTAATCTTGCGTACGGGTGTGCGAAAGATCCGCGTACTTGATGCAGCCGTACGCGACAGCGTCGCGAGCCGCCTCCAGCTCTTCCTTGTTCATAACCTGAAGAATCAAACCTATAAGAAAATCAATTTTTTTCGACAAGTCTCTGTGGTTACAAAGTCACCATATTGTCATAAAATGAGACTGCAATTCGAAAAAAAAATTTAATTTCAAAATAGCCGCGTACATTTTTGTGAACAATAATTTTTCAATGAATTGGCCATCAGAGCTGAAAAATTCAGATTGACTTCATTCTTGAGAGTTATTAGTGTCGATATTTTCGGCGAGGAAAAACTGATTTTGAAGACTACATTTATCCCTCAACTTGTGATTAATGACGAACCTCGTGTCGACCCTTCTCTTGGAGACTCTTTTCGGCTCGCTTGACACCTTCGTCCAGAAGGTCCAATAATCTGACTGTTTCCCCGGATCGAGTCTTGAACTTTTTCCTGATAGCGCTGTTTTAAAAAAAGAAACAAAAAAGGTTCAAAAAAACCTATCTTCTCCAAGAACCAGGCCAAACGCTACATGTTCTACTCGCTTGACCGATTCGTCATACCACCCGAAATCACGACCAGCTGCATAGACTGTCTAGAAAAATTATTTTTTTGAAGATATAAAGTTCAAACTTATTCGCCGATAAAAAAATTAACTCAAAGTTTCTATTTAGTATTTTTTTCTTGCTACAACCTCTAGTTTTAGGAAAAGAAAAAATGGAACTTAACACTCTTCAAGTCGCCTTGCAAATTAAAAATAGAATCAGCTTTGCTATTCATAAAAAAAGAATAATAATAATAAAGTAGCCCATTTTCAAGTTTCTGCGAGCAGTTTTATTTTTTTGAAGTCGAATGTAAAGCTAATAAGAAAGACTTTAGAAAAAGATTGGACTTTACAATTAAAAATTCAGACATTTATATACTAAATCGACGGTGTTGCGTTAGAAGATGAGAAACAGGTTTCCAAATCAGAAAGGCGGCCTTTGACCGCAGCAATTCTGTCCTTTGTCTCTGTAGCTTCAATATAAAATGATACTTCTAGATGAAGGCTTTGGCCAGCATCCACGACGTATATTGCCCAGTCGACTTTTAGCTGATTGATGCGATAATTGAGGGCAGCCAAGTCCGAAGTATCGTATGTGAAACCTGAAAATCAAAAAATAGAGAAAAAAAAGTGGGACCGAAGAACCTCCGTCGCTTTTGACGACAGTGAGAGGCACCTCGCAGCCTGTCGGGAACATGATCTGCCGACCTTCGTCTTCTCGCAAAACGCCAGGATCTGAGGGTCCTAAATGTCTATTTCGCTTCCAGAATTGAACGTACGAGTTTTCTTGATGGAATCAACGAGGTTCAACATTTTGTCTTGGTAGAAAGATTCTCCGAAATCCTCGATTTTGATGTCTAACCGGTCGTAAACATATTGGTTGTCTGAATGAAAAAAAACAAACTAATGACAGGAATAATAAAAATAGAAGGATGTATGTAAAAAGGTGCGCATCACATTTCTTGGAGACGTCGCAAATCGTTTCCCATGCTTTCACGAAATTTGGCTCATAACTTTGCAGCTTAACCACGCACTCGTAAGCTCTCTTTTTGAAAACTTCATCTTCATCAAATCGCTTTTTGGATTCCTGAACCATTGATATACTAGAAAACGCAAAATGTCTAGGTTTTTTAAAACATATATCAGCCTCACGACTTGAATTCCTCCAGAAATTGAGAGCGCCAAAAGATTAACCTTATAAAATGCTTGAAGGTCAGAAATTTCTGGAAGCTTTGTCTCGAAGTCTGGGTAGCGATCGTACAAATGGGCGATCAGCATTCCAAACTGCGTGCCCCAGTCGCCGATGTGATTCACTCGGAGAACCTTCAAGAGAACACTGCAAAGGACAAAGCGACTGAAGAAACGCACATCGAAGCCGACAGCCTCCAAAAGTCGACAAATGCTGTCTCCGATAATCGTCGAGCGTAAATGTCCGACGTGCATTTCCTTGGCAATGTTCGGCGAGGAAAAGTCAACCAGAACGCGTCTTTTAGAAATCTTTGGGAGCTCGAGGCCCTGGAAATCAAAATATTTCTTGGTCATGAACTCCAAAAATTCGTGAAGTTACCAAGCACCTTTTTAGCGATACTCCAAATTTGCTTTTTGATGTAGTCCTTCTTCAAAAAGATGTTGATGAAGCCAGCAGGCATCACTTCAACCTGAGAGAGCAAGTTCAGAAACGGATGCGAATCTAGAATGAACCTTTTCCAAAAACTCGGTGTTGCTTGGAATCTTGGCAAAGATTTCTTTCGCGACGTCACCTGGTCGTTTACTGACCCCAGTCGCTTTGAGCTTCTAAAAATAGGAAATATTGGGAAAATGCAGGCGGTTTCTACTGCAGCGATAGGCATTGCGGAGTTGCACTGGTAGTCGCCGAACGTCGGGTTGCTCGTTTCAGCCATCAGAAGAGCGACGTCGAGCGAAGGGAACGCCTCCTTGATTGCTTTGCGGAAAAGGTCCGACAAACGGCCGAGAATGCTGCTCCCGTAGTCCTCCACCACCACGTAGTCGTACTTTCTGGCTTGTTTTGGCGCTGCTCCGCCGCTTCAAATTTTAATTTCTTTCTTTGCAAGGCTTTATAAGACTTTTTTGGATAAAATTTCATTGAACCGACATACAAAACAACCAGACCAAACTTTGTTTTTCTTTTTCTTCGCTGGAATCGAAAACTCTTATACAAATAAGGCGATTATTTATTTTCTTTCTTATCAATGAATTTTCATACAAAAAATATATTTGCGCAGCGCAATATGATGAATTCTCTTTTTCGAGAACGCTAAAAAAAGCATGAAGTTACACTTCCCGCTTTAAAGAGACGGAACTAACGTCTTTTCTTTCGACTTAGCATCTTTTTTCGGTTTCTTATCATCTGGAGCGCCAACAGCCTTTTCGTTGTCCCGTTTGATAGCCGATTTCGTCATTGGAACATTTATCCCTCGGGAACTGTTCGCGGCAGATTGCTTCTCCAGACTCTGAAAAAATTATTTGAGTAAACCGTGCTCAGGTTTTCTTCCAATTTTCACTATTGTGAACAGCAAATGGAAAAAAAATATACCCACTCCTTGCAAGATCTTCTTACGATATTTAAGCTTCTCGTTTTTCTTGCTCGCCTCTGCAAGATCCGGACAAGCTTCGAGCAACTCTTCAGTCACTTCGCCGCGTTTCATGGCGTTCAGGAGGCGAGAGAGTTTCTCCACTTCTTGCAACTAAACCGCAAAAATACTCTTTTCACTCTCCTTTCGGAACTACGTCAGCAGCAAAATGATTGTGGTAATCTTGCAGCTCTTTGTCTGCCGATACTTGTTCGCTGGCCATAACTTTTCGGATAACCGATTGGAGGCCGTGGACCCTAAGAGCTTCACTAAAACTCGACATAGAATGAGTACTAAGTAATCAGCTGACAAAAAACAAAGCCATTCAAAAAAAAAAACTCGAATTGAAAACTATTTTATCGTGAGAAAAACCGTCAACAAAATATCAACAAAAATCATAACAGCAGGGTATAACAATAAGAGATCGTTTTAAAAAATGAGTCAATCACTTATAATGAATGATTGAGTGAAAAAAAAAATAAAAACAATTATGAGAAAACGAAAAATGAAAACTTTGAAAATGAAAAAAAAATTGATTGTGCGCAAAAGTGTTTCACGTTCACGCGAAGAGAAAAAAAAGAAAGTAGTTTAAAAATCAGTCTTTTTCATTAGCAAGTAGATGTTCGCATCCACCTCAAATCCATGTAGATTGATCGCCTAAATATTTATTTAGATTTTTTTTTTGGGGTTCCAGCATAGTCATAGTAGTTCGAAATACATTCAAAAAATTAAATAACTCTATTAGGTACTCTTTCAGGTGTTTTTGCAAAAAAAGCTCGAAAAACGACATCAAACACAAATTTTTCCAGCTTTCATTCAATTGATTGATGTAAAACCTAATGCCGTGTTCAATTCGATTCCGCGAAACGCAAAATGATCTCTGACTCTCCAAAATTTAGTGATCTTTTGCTTTCTCTAACGGGTATTTTGCGTTTCGCGTAATCAAGTTGAATACGGCATAACTGACCTCTCCCTTCAGTCTCATGAGTAGTCCTCCAAACGAAGCGTAGGCGGCCAATTTGCTCGATTCTCCCGCGTTGTCATCTCCTTCCAAGCGATAAACTTTCCCGTACATAACATATTCAAACTGTCGAAGACGTGGATAATCGGCCTAAAAAAAGCTCAATTTTGTTTTTCAGATTAAGTCTTCTTTTTCTTCTTCTTCCTACGCCTTTGTACCGCTTTTCGGCGCCCCAAGCCGATTAGCCGAGATTCTATCCTGATAATCAGTGGACTGGCTATAGTGACCTATCCGTCCTTGTTTGTGACGGCTGGGGATTTTTGTAGTCGTGGTTTTCCCTTACCAACATTTCTTGAACCCCTTGGTTATGTCAAGGCGAAGATCGAACTTTTGATCTTAAGGACCGTAGATAGGCCCACAACCTGTTGCGCCACGGCGCGTCCTCTTTTTCAAACTCAGTGATTCCAATTTATTGATTTTCCAAAAAACTTGTACGTTATATCAAACTATTTGAACAAATCAAGTGATAACTTTCACCTGCCACTCAGAATAATATCTTAAATGATACATATTCGAGCAAAACTAAAACTTACTACAATAATAGCAAAGTTAAAAACTATATACTAATAAAGTTATAACTATAATCAGAAAAAAAGATATACTTGAATCTTCATTCCGTGTAAAGTCTTCACTCGAAGTGGTGGCCCTCATTTCGAGGCTTCCACCTAGATCACGGTCTCCGGACTCCAGCACAAGATCCGCTACATTCTGAGCTCGTCAAGGCTGAACTACGCGCAGAAGAACGAAGCGAAGGACCGTAAGACCATGCTTTTAACTATTTCGACTACACGTTTGAACTCCTAGTTCGCCAAAGGCGGTTGTTCGTTATAGCTTTAAAAGTTCTTTTTCACCGCCTAGTCGATTACATCTATGACTAAAACAACAGACTAAAAGGTTTTATTGGATTTCATTTGATTCGGAAGTGAATAAGTAGAACCGATTTAACAAACCTTCATGTCGAATTCGCCTTCATCCGGCAAACCGTCTTCTCTCAAAGTTTTAGCAATGACCAATCGAAATTTGTCGTTTAATTTGACGGGGTATGCTTGATCATTGATGTCCAGTATCAATTCCATCCTGAAAATTAAGTTCAAACACTATTCAGAAAGAAAACCTGAATGATTCAGAGTCACAAAAGTATCTGGAAACTCGATCAAATTTCTTCCCATCTGGATCGATGTTTTTCACTAAGAACATGTCGTCAAAAATTATTCCAGCCATTAATTTTCAACCTGAAAAAAATTTCGATCGAGAGAAAATTTTTCTTAGAAAACCATAAGATTTTCTAAAATGACGATAAAAAATAGTAATATAGGTATAAAACTGCTATGAGAACATTAGAAGAATAGGGGAATGGATAACGCAATTAGAAAGACTTGCAAAAAGCAGAAAAGTCAAACAAGATTGCTTTTGAAAGGAAAGTAATCTTTGAAAAAATTATTATCGTCCAATCCTCAAAAATACTTCAAAAAACCGTTTAATGAAGATAAAAAACAACCTCAAAAATATTTTTTTAAACAAAGATAATTTAAACACGGTTTCCGTCATCCTGTGAAGACTTTTAGTTAGTACTTTAGTAAACTATTGCCTAAAGCCAGCGATGTATGAAAAATACCCCTCGAACGTGTTATAACATTTCATGACATTCATCGAGGGAAAACGGCACAAAAAAAAGCGAAAAAAAAAAGGTAATTACCTTTTTTTATACATAATTGCCGATATCGCAGCGGGCCGCACGCTATATAGCCAAGGCTTCTCGCTGCGATCTCGTCAACATGTCGCTGCGGCCTCGTCAAAGTCTCGTTGCCATATCGCTCCCTCTCAAAAATTTGAAATTTGAAAAACAGTTTTTTTGCTTTATTTTTGACTTTTATGATGAAATCAATCAAATACAAGAAAAAAACTATTTTGAAGAAAAATTTTTCAGAGAGCGATATAGCGCAAGACGTTTGCGAGGTCGCAGCGAGAGGCGAGCGATATCGCTCGCGGCTCCCCCGCGGTATAGCGTTACTCTCGCTGCGATATAGTCCACAAAATTGGGTGAATGAGAGATTGGCACTTCGCGTGAAATGTGATGTATTCGATGCAATGCACCTCGACACGAATTATCATGACCCAACTTTAAGAAAAATTTATCGCAATTTAATAGCCGCGGCTAGGCTAGCCGTCCGTATATGGGAAATTAAAAGTTGATCAACAAATCGTGTTTTTTGAGTGCGCAAAATGCTCGAAACATGATTAAATTGGAAAAAAAAATAGTTAAGAGCTTGGCAACAGTATTTTTTGAAGATTTTTTAGTGTTGCAAATATGTCAAATGGGAAAATAAAAACCTAAATCCGTTCAAATTACTCAGTTCAAGCCGTGCCGTGATCGAAGGAATTTTGCGATTTTTCGAGTAACCGTCAGAGAGTGGAAAAAAATTACTAAAATTTGTAGAGTCAGAGGCAGTTTTTCGCAAAACTTGCATTTCGCGGAATTAATTTGAACACGGACTAAGAAAATGATTGATTTTTTTTTTTAGATGACTTTATCAGTATGCAGTGCAGCATGAGAGATGTTGTATCAACAGTTTGGACAGTGTCATCCTGAAAAGAAGCAAAAAATTGCCGCTATTATAGGTAAAACGGAAAAGTTCCTTTGAGGGAGCTGAAAAGATTGCTCTGAAATCTCTTAAAACTTTGTAAAAAAGCTTTTGAGCTCATTTTTCATAGCCTCAGAGGATCCTTTTTGAATCCGCTCGAGACTTTTTGGTTGCTTTCCAGCATCCTTTTTGTTAAAGGAGGTGAAAAAGATGCAAAAAAAGAAATAAATGGATATAAAAAGGATTTAATGTTTTCCAGGTAATTTTTTTCAGAAAAAGTTTTTTTGGAGAGCTTTTTCATTTTTGCCCGATACCCCTCAAAAGGAGCAGGAAAGGTTCCGCAAAAACGCTTTTTTTCATAGACTCAGAGGATCCTTTTTGAATCTCCTGAAATATTTTCAATTACTTTCAGCATCTTTTGGACGCAAAGGTGAAATAAAATATCAATATTGAGAAGAATTTTTTGAAAAATGTTATTTTTGAAAATAAGCTTTTGAGAAGCTTTCCCGTTGTGCTCGAAATTCTCTAAAGGCGTGTCTTGTAATTCCTCATCTTGTGTTGAGAGAGAATTTTGATTCTTGAAATATATGCACCGAAAAATGCAGATGGAAGGTGGATCGATAACCTTCTTATCAAGAAAGTTCGCTTACACAATTTGCTCTTCCAAACTCGGGTTTACGCCTTTTTTGCGCCTTTAATTTAGTAATAATTGGAACAAATTTTTCGTGTAAGTGTTTTATTCAAAATTGAAAAAAATTGGGAATTCAAAGGTAGCGTAGGATGAAAAGCGAAGGAAAGAAGAAGAAAAATACTTTGTTGAACAATTCCGACATCAGCTACCCTTACAACTTTAGGTAGGTCCAATATCTATGTCATTATCTTATTTATTTATTTTTTTGAAATTTCAAAAAAAGAGATTTATCAGCAACTATCTTTTGATACAATTTGAGACACTTGATGACGGGGATCGATTGTGGCGAGTCTGTGGCGCTCATCACCGGCGGGTAAGTTTTACTTTGAAAAAGTAAAGTATGCAGCAACAGAATTCTAAGAACATCTTTAGATTTGAGTTCGTTCTGACGTCCAAGCCGGCCTTAAACATTTCAGCTACTGAAAACGTAGAAGTATCTAGGAAAAAATGGGTTCACCAAGTAAATTTTTTGAATCATAAAACGACCCTTAATATTAATCCCGTGAATGTATGATTTTAAAGATAAACCCCACGAAAACTGACTTTCCAACTAGGTTTTTGTCGTCACAGGACCACTTTGTTACGCAACTTGACTGAAACTCAGATCATCGGAATCACCTCCTGAGACGCACTTCCTTTCTGAAATTCCCAAGAGCACTGCTGCCAAGGTGTTCCAACGTCCAAGCAAGTTTTTTTCTCTTATAGGTCTTATTATATTAAAAATAAAAAAATTCGAAAAAAATCGAAAAATACCAAAGCTGTAGTTTGGCTGGTGTTGCATTGTTTGCTTTTTTTTAAATAATAGAGGATCATAAAAAAATTTCTCTAGGAAACTAAATACAAAGTCTTTGATCACTTGAGAAAAAAATAATAAAACTGATAAGATTTCAGTTACCAAGTCGTCTACTTTGTCTCCATCTCGTCGTTAGTTGTTAAGCTGAACTATGAAAAACCTCAGTTTTCAGTCATGAGTTTCGATCATCATTACGTCAGGCGTCATCCAAACGACCAAGTTTCTACTCTTCCAAGATTAGTCTCAAGCTTGCAAAGAAATGAAGAAACTGAAAAAGAAGAGAAAAAGGGGAGAGTTGCCTCCAGACCACCATACACTCGTTCGATTTCTCACTGTTAGTCCGTTTGATCTTTTTTCAAGTGTTTGAAAGGGATTTTTATTTCAGCGGCTATTTTCTCGAGCGGCGTCCAAAACAACACAATGGTCCCATTATTCTCCGGTGAGTATAAATTATCCGCTCTGTTAACTGGTCCTAAATTTTTTTTTTCATTCTAACCACGCGAATTTCAACAAGTTGATGGAGCTGAGCTTTGTGTGGCTTATATACCTGCGTAAGAGTACTATTATTATTATCTCATTGCCCCTCTCTTATGGTATAGAAATGAATTGACGGGTACTTGGGTACAAAAGAGAGCATCTGCCAATTCACTTAGGCTTCCGAATCTTATTAACAAGGGAAGTGTTTTTGGTGGCCGGTTGAACTTTTGTTGAAACTTTGCTGAAAGGTACTATAAGACCTCCTCTTTCCAGAACACAAATAAAATTTTTCGCAATAGATCTCGTTTTCGAGTTATGAAGCTTCAAAGTTCGCCCGCTGAATGAGTGCTGCAAGGCAAGAGGAAATCTGACTCGCGTACGATCCCTCTACTCCAGTTGGCAGCGTGGTGTAGTGGCTAGCGTCCTCGCACTGGGGTGTCCATGACCGTGGTTCGAAACTTTTTGAAGAAATTCGTTTTTGCCAAAACTTTCGTAGGAAGAGTTTATCGTCATTGAGGAAATAGACCAAAACTTTCTTTCCAAAATAACATAGATTCTCATTTCATTCGATTTACCAAGACTTTCGACAAACATTTTCCTTCGGCCAATGGGCATTATCGATGGATCCCTTTCTGTATTTTTTTAAAGAATCTAGAAGAGACTTACTCATCTTGCTGTGGCGTAAGTTTTTATTTGATTCCTTTAAAATCATCAACTGGACTGAAACTCTGATTAAAAGGCATGTAGAACTTTTTGGACCAAAAAAAGACTATTAATCATGTTTATAAGCGGAAGAAAGCTTTTCAATCGGTATACCGAATCAAAATGAAAAAATATGTTAATTCGGAGAAAAAATTTTGATCGATTTTAACAATGTCGATAAATTCCTCCTAGGAAAGTTTTGGCAAAAACGAATTTCTTCAAAAATTTTCGAACCCCGGTCATAGACACCGCAGTGCAGGGGCGCTAGCCACTACACTACGCTGCCAACTGGAGTGGAGGGATCGTACGCGAGCCAGATTCCCTCTTGCCTTGCAGCACTTATTCAGAGTGCAAACTTTGAAGCTCCATAACTCAAAAATGAGATCTAATGCGAGAAATTTTATTTGTGTTCTGGAAAGAGGAGGTCTTATAGTACCTTTCAGCAAAGTTCCAACAAAAGTTCAACCGGCCACCAAAAAAACTTCCCTTGTAAGCATGAAATGTTTTTCTTTTGACTCATTAGTCCTCAAAGAAGTAAAATGTTTAAAAAAAAAGTCAATTTTAATATTACTTCGCTGTTCACTATATATAAGAACAAGAAAAAGAACCCTTTTACCCCATTTGAGGAACATCTTCAGGAGGAGAGGGGCTATAACTCGGGCAAAGTCGGAATGGTGGATAATGGCTGCTAAAAGGGAGAGGCTCAAAAAAGGCCGCAGAAAGGCAGCAAAAAGGCAGCGAACGGCAGCAAAAAGGCAGCGAAAGGCAGCAAAAAGACTACCTTTAACGAGCCTTCCCTTTTTCTGGGATTTTAAAGGCTCGAGAAATGGTGGAGAAAGGGAGAGGCAGCAAAAATGGTGCATAAAGGCTGAGAAAATGGAGCAAAAAGGCAGCAAAAAGAGAGCCTTCATCACCCTAAAAGGAACATTTCTATGGTCCTTTATGGACCCTCGGAGGGTCCTTCCGACTTTGCCTATGTAAGACGGTTTCCAACTCCCCACAATGAGTGGACACAAGATTTTAATAGTGAAAACTCGAGGTTTGAAAAGAATTAAGAAGAGTATATTGGATATTGAGTGCCAGCCAAAGTTTTCGAGTTTTTATGTTTTTTTTGTGAAACCTGGCTTTCAGAACAGGACCTAAACCTATTGACGGATTTTGAAGAGTGTGCAGCAACACAATTTTAAGAACATCTGTGGATGTGATATTTTTGTCCTATAGTGGTGATGAAAAGGGACATTTTAGTCCTGTAATGGTGATGCAAGTACAAGATCAGTATGCAAGTTCAAGTACAATAATTATATATTGTACTTGAACTTGTACTAGGCACAAGAAATTTGTTGTAGTACTACTTGTAGTTGTACCTGGTGTGTAAACTATATATATGTATATATTGTTTTTGTACGTGACCTAGATACAATAAATATGTTGTACTTGTACTAGTATACATTTATACATATGGCAGGGGTGTGGGGACGGCAGTCTTCACCATCACAATCCACCTTCTTTTTTTTGTAGTTGCTTGACGAGTGTCACCGAACCCGGCTCTGCAGCCGACAGACGCGCTAAGCCGACTCTTCTTCCAAATTTCGTCGCTCATCTTTTAGTTTTTTCTAGTTGAAACCTCTGAAAGACGGCGTCCGTCCACGGTTGAAAAATACAACTTGACTGAGACTCACCAGGGAACGTTTTTTACCCCCCGGTTGAACTTTTGCTGAAACTTTGCTCAAGTGTACTTTAGGACCCCCTGATTCCAGAACAAGAAAAAAATTTCTCGCAATAGATCTTCTTTTCGAGTTATGGAGCTTCAAAGTCCGCGAAATCGCGAATTAGGCCAAAAAAGCGCTATTTCGAGCTTTTGAAAGCTTGAAAAGCTTTTTCTCAGTATTCTAGTCCACGTGGATGAGCAAATATAATTTCTCTTGCTTCCGACTATGATTACCCAGGATTAGACTATCAGCCACCAAAGCTTCAACTCCATCCGCGCAAATTTCTTGGAAAATGATCTTTGATTTGAAAAAAACATTTTTTGTTCCAGCTAGAGGCTGCGGCGAAGAACCTTTCTTGTGGGGACTAAAGAGTCAAGACGATAAAGGTGAGCGAATCTACGCTACTGATTAATTTTTCGTCCCCTGTGTGACCGCCTTTTTTCTGTTTTTCAGTTGGTTCTCCACGATTAATTTCTAATCCTCGATACGTGAGCGGCGAAAAAAAAGGCCAAAGAGTTTGTGAGCATTTTCTTGTTAGTTTGAACTGTTTTTCAGTCGAGTAGCAGTCCACGGACTCTAAGACAGGACTCGAATGAGAAAATTGGGCGTAGAGCTGCGACGGGGTCGACGAGTTCCTCTCCTGATGAAGCTCCATATGAAACTATTCAAGTTCAGGTATGACTCGAGCTGCATCCATTCAATAGAGATGAAAACTTGAAAAACGTACAGTTTCACGTTTTTCAAGGAAAAAAACAATGCAATACCCTGTCTGTTCTGTTTTCTCAATCGATCCCAAAAAAAAATAATAATAAGAGGCTAGGAATCCTGCGAAATCGCATAGTTTTCCTACAATCCCTTCATGTCTTAAACTATTGTTTTATTATCATTCAGATCATTGAAAACCATTTGAAGATGTTTTTTTTGTCAAAAAATTTAATATTCAAATTTTGCTCTTGCCAGAAGATTGCTTGCTCTTCTTTAAAATATCGAATCGTCAAACTGCAAAAGTTTTTGTTGTAAGAGAAAAAGTTTCTGATTTTTTCATTCTTATTCAGATCGAATACAATCCAAAGACGAATGGAGTCAGGTCGTCAAAAGTCTTCCGAACTAATAAGATTTCGCCGACTCCGCCGACCAGACTTCCGCCTCAGGTGCCCCGAGCGCCGTCGCCTCCGCCCCGACGCGACCGATCCGTCGACGTCCCCAACTCCAGCTCGAGATCTGCGAGATCTGCTTCTTTGCTCACACCGCAAACAGGTTCTTCTTCCTCTGTAGCACAGAGTGAGCGACGGAATAACGATAGTGGAACCGTTGAGAAACTTTCAATTTTCTTTTCGAGTGCCAAACTTTCTTCTGTCAAGATGACTCAAATTTCAATGATTTCTGAAAAGAGAAACTGCAAGCCCGAAATCATTGCCAAAAAGTGGAAGGATATTATCGGGTAGAACTGTCAGCTCAACATTCCTCGTTTTCTAGCTAATTTGCCAACACTTTTTCTTATCAGTCGGATAAAATATTGAGAATGACGAAGAAAAAGCTATTCTTCGTTGTTTTCGCATTTTCAAACAATGTTAAAGTTCCGTTATGAGGATCCTAGTAAGTTTATGCATAAACATTTTATTTAGTTGATGAAAAAAAAGAAACCTTCTTTTTGAACAAAAGTGGTCATTTTAGTGTGTAATTTACTAGGGAACGCCTACTAGGGAAAACCACCGGGTTGAACTTTCAATAAAATCATGCTTAAGTGTACTTTAGAATCTCCTGATTGCCGAACAAGAAAAAAAATATTGATTGAAAAAGGATCTGCGTTAATAATGAATTCCAAAAACACGTATCCGTCGAATTTAAAGTTTTGCGCAGGCAGTTAATATGACTGGATTTCAACTACGCGCTCAGGGAGATTTTGATCAATGTAAAACAAATTCTGAGCCATCAAAACGACGTTCCTAGGACAGATTAAATTTTCAGAGACGAGTCTGAGTTTCACAGAGCCTCAAACAGTGTCTCGCGAAGGACGATCAAGTAGCCCTTCTTCAGTTCCTGGAACTCGGGAAACTGTCCGTCAGTCGATCATTGACGACTTTGAGAACAACATCCAGGTGTCCTCTTCGATAATTCTTGAATGAAAACTTTTGCAGGAGCTGGTCCGCCAGGAAATTCGCAACTACATTAATACGTTGAGGCTGAAAGATGACAAAGAAAGGCTAGAGCTCTCCGTTGACGATTTGTTCAGAGGTTTCTGTTGACCATGTCAAGTAAGAATTATCTATATTTTCAGAAGCGGCTGTTGTGGTTCCAACCTCCGAGGCCTCCAAGACGCAGGTGCCTGAGCCGGAAGATCCGCAGGGTTCTGTCTGTCAACTCGTGCGCCAATCTACTGAGGAATCTGTCATTCACTTTTGAATTTTTTATTTCTCAACTCATGGTTATTGTAATCGTACCGGTTTTCAATTCAATTCAATCACTATCTCTTACGTTTCCTGTCCCACAAGCTTCTGCACACTTGAATTCCCGAAAGAATTGATAGAGGAAAAGAGCAATAATATTCAGAACGAGTAGTTGGAGACAGTGAAAACTTTTGGTATAGATTATCATTTTTGCCAAGGTTTCGTGTATGACGGCGAGTGACGCGGTATAGATAAACAACGAGGCTCTTCTGCCGCCATGACTCACTCCTTTTTTTCTCGTTTTCATGCAAAACGCGTAATCCAGTAGTCGGCCACTTGTTCTGCCACTATATTTTTTTATTCGCTCTATTGATGTTTATTCTCAACTTTTCTTACTTTCTGCATTTTCAGAGGCCTTATGCGATAAAGTGGAAAACGATTTTCCGCCATGGGTCTGAAACTCGCTAGGAAATCATTGGTTTCGGCTTTATCTGATGCAACAAGTCTTGATGAGAGCGGAAAACCATTTTCCACTTCATTGCAAACGGCCTCGGGTTTTTTCTTTGAACTTTTCTGTATAAGTAAACTTTGAAAATAACATTTTATTACAATCAAACATTTTACAACAGTCATATCATCGATGGGATTGGCTTTTCACTGAACTCTGATAAAACTCCAAAGAAAAGGAAGCTGCAGTTGCAATAAAGAGCCGACAAGTTTCCCAAAAAAAGGGCGGACTAGTGCATTCGAACTATTATCAGAATCTTATCAGTGGATTCTCATCGATTTTTGATGCGTTTCTCATTTATTATGCTTACTTTTTCCAAAAGTATTTGGTGGAAGTTTTCATTTTAATCACGGAATATTCAGCGAAAAGGTTTTTGAGAACAGGTTTTTGGCCTTTATGAAAGTTAGCCTCAATGTACAGCAAAAGTTTGGAGATGGCGGTACTTTTGCCCACCTTTCAATCTTCCTTGTTCGCAGTATCGTTTTTTCAGGGGCTTCTCGAAATTTTCAGTATTCACAGTATCGTAGGAAAATTCTTTTTGTATATCATTTCGAAAAATTTGCATAAAATCATTGAAAACTCGACTACTTTTCTGAATCATTCAAGACTCAGATGTTCATCTTAATTGTCAAGTATAAAAGTTTCCGCAAAATAAACGAAGAAAAAATTGCTATGCTGATTTTCAGAACGAATGTCGCAAGGCGAGCTTCCAATCGCGCCTCCGCGACGCGGCCGAGGCGACCGCAAAATCAAAAAAGAGCAAATTTCTGCGCCCTACGACTTTAGGTGCCCTCAGAGCCGAATGAAATGCTAATCTACACTATTCAGACACATTGCACACATCTCATTGGACGATGGTCAGAATATTGTGGGCATATCTCCAGTTCCACTCCGTGCCGACCAATCTGACAAGTTGTGTCCTATGTAGTTGTATCTTTTTTTCCCTAATGTGGTAAATGTTTTCCTAACTCTCTATAATTCAAAGTATTTTTACTGATCCGTGGTCTCTTCTATAGCTGATTCACGGCCAGCTTGGGGCGCCAAGGGGGCGAGTACTGTCTGCGCTCTCCACGTGCTAGGCGCTATCTCGTGCATTATCTTGTCAGGGCCCTTTTTTTGATGGCTAAAGCCAGCCGTTAATCAGCTATATCATCAATGTCCTCAGACCATGTCCTGTTTTGAGACCAGTGCAAAAAGCAGAGACGAACATTTTTTTCGAGTTTTGATAAAGCCGAATGAAGAAAAATTTCATGCAGAAAAATCATTTGTGTACAAAACATATAAATGATCAAGAAATGTGTACAAGTAGAAGAGCGTCTTTATGAAAATAAAATCGCCTCCTATGAGAAATGTGTTATAGTCTATACGAAAGGCCGACATCCAGTCAGAACGGAACAATTACTTCATCTACGACAAAAGTTTGTTTGAGAATATGAAAGATACCTTTTATCCTTTTCAGAAAACAGAAATGAACCAACTCGACGTTTTAATCCCTGTTGTGAGTTGAAAGTTTTTTGTCTCAACTTGCTTTTTCGATAATTCGTATCAAAAAATGAGAGTTTTTCTTAGGTCACGCCTTCCGATGCGAATGTTGAGCGAAGCTATGAAAACCGTCCTTCCCAACATTCGTACGAGAACATTGGCGTCAAAGTAGCACAACTCGAGCCCAAGTACAAACTTTGATTTCTCGATCCCATTTCCTTTAGAGGAAAAACTGTCTTGCAGAGAACCGCTGCAGGAGCAGAAGGGCGGCCGCAACGTCAAGAGACCGAGTCCAAAAAAACACGCAGCACCGCCGCCTCCGCCACAGTAATCCCTCTTGAGCTCCCTTTGATCGCCGAAACCGCGTTTCTAAGATGAAAATAATTTGCAGAGAATCAAAGCCTCGAAATTCTGTCGGCCATGAAAACATTTCTTCCACACCAGTGTTTTTTCGGTGAGACTCGGGGATTTGAAGGCTCATTTCAGAAAATGAAGCTTGAATCATTGAGATCAAAAACTTGCGAGAAGTGTCCACATAATACATATTCAGCTGAGATTTTCAACATAACTTTTTATCTTGAAAACTGTTAATGATTAACTTTGAGGCCGCAAGACGAAAATCCCTCCCTCGCTGACCAACATGAAGCTTGTGTATTTTATTGAATTTTCGAAATTTTATTACTTTCGATTAAAAAAAACCTTTTTGCAAAGCGCTCTGGGACTTGTTGGACAACTAAGCCAAGCAAAAATAATCGTATTCCAATAGTTAAAAATATAGCTGAAAAAAAATATATACAATCAATCCGTCCCGACTTGAAAGGCGAGGGAGGCGGAGAAATTCTTGGCACGAGTTCAATTCAACCGCCAGCGACTATTTGGAGAGCTCGTTTATCGCTCTTTTTGTATCCATTCTACAATCTTCAATGCACACATGAAAAAATGACTAAATTAACATCTTCTGCATTTTTGCGTACGAATATGTTTCTCTCATTCTTCTCACATCGGGCATTGATTGAACATGAGAGTTTGGCGTTTTTCCTAGGTCAACGTCAAACCTCGACTCTGCAGAGGCCGTCGTGGCGCCAAAGATTTCTACACCAACTCGAATCGACGCTCCCAGAGCCAGCTCTTTCGTGAGTTTAATCCAACGATATCCAAGGAGGGGAGGAGAACAGCAGGTGGTAGAGCGGCCAGACGCGCTCGGGACCATGCGTTTGGGCCTCGACGACCCGTTTCCGGTCCAGAGCACCTTCTCTTCGCCTCTGTTTTTGTCCACAACGGAGACACCTATACTTGCCACCGCTTCTCCTGACCTCGTGAGTTCGAGCCAAGGCTGCTGAAATGAAGTCGTTCTGCAGAATTACATGTTGCCTTCTCCACGGAGTGTGAGTGCCCAAGGCGTCGAAGTTAGTCACAAAAAACAGAAATAGTGTTCAAAGTTTTGCAGATATTAGACGATCTCGACATTTGGCTTGACTCAATGAGCGATCACGACAGAGACAGGCAATTTTTATTCAAATATTGATAACTTGATGTTATTTTTGGACATGCTCCAAGTTTGTTGACCCCGCTTGATTATTTATAATTTTTTGTTATTAAATAGACTCCTTTGCAGAATCAGCCAAATTTGTCTAGAGGAAACGGGTTTCGCACGACCGAAAGACAAAAAATTTATCCGAGAGCTTATATCACGGTAATCTTTTCTTCACAGAAGAAAAGTTTGCAATCCTTCTGCAGATTTGACAGCGAAAAAGCGACGTCACCTGAGGAAACTAAGCCAATCGCCCCACGGAAAAAAAGTACGACTTTATCTCAAGAAAACGGTTTAAGATGAGAGCTCCCTTTCATAAAAATTAAATCTCTTAAACATTTTTTTCAAAATTGTTCAAAAAGTATCTGTCCAACGGTTCAGTTGGAAGTTTGAATAGAAATTGGAAAAAAAGGATTTTGAAAAACTTTGGTTGAACTTAGAAACTGAGAGAATTTAAACAGTTTAGTCATTAGGTTTTTTTTCAGGCTCCCGCTGTTCCGAAACCAATCGAGGCGAGACAGAGTCATTATGAGAGTTTGCGGTGCATCACGGCCGACAAGGAAGAGTTTGAAGCTCTGAACGTCGAGTCGAAACACGCTGAAACACCGCCGGCTGAGGAAGCTCCCGTCTATCAGAATCAGAAGCCGAAAGAGAAACTGAGCGGCAGCTGTAAAGTACTGCAGAAGCAGAAGGAACTCGAAAAGGTCTCGCTGACGCCAGTCCCGAGGCCGAGGACCTCTGTGGTCGGTTGCTGCATCTGATTGCTTCTGATGAGATTTACGGTCTAGGGTCCACTATCTCCAGTCTCGGTCGGCGGATCAAGTCCAGCCGGTTCGAAGAAAACCTACCACGCTGAAAAGGTTTTAGTGGCAGCTAAAGTTATCTTTAATTGAAGTATGATTCTCAGAAATATTCAGACAAGGTGTTGGGAAGCTGTGTGGAAGGCGTTTGATCACCTGCTGGAAAGCTTCCAAACGCTTTCCAAAGGACAGAAATATCCCCAACATGTTGCAGTATTTTTCTGAGAATTCAACTGCAAAAGAAAGCTTGGAACATTGCATGATGGGTTATAATAAGATGTTCTTTTTATTAGCCGCCGACCGAGATAAAGCGTCTATCTTCGTTGGCAGAGCTACCAACTCCCTGCGAAGAAGATTCTGACCTCGATGAGAAGAATATCCAAAAGGTAATCGATCCCTAAACTTCGTAGCAAACGAAAGCGTTCAGGAAACTAGCGAGGAATTCGTCTACAGGTTTTGAAACATTTGCCTAGAAAACAAAATCGGAATCGAACGAGTAACTCTCTTTTATTGAATTTACAAATGCTCTACTTTATTGTCAACGTTGAATCAGTTTAACACTTGCAATATTTTTGATAAAAAAAAAACTTTGAAAAGAGCTTCTTATAAAAGCAAAACGAGTGCGGACATTTTTAACCGTAATATGCATGGGGCAAATCTCACAGCATTGAAGGAAGAAAAAAGGCGTCAGGACTGGTTTGTGGGATTTCTGAGGACTTGCAATTCCTTTTCGGCTTGAGCAAGTTCGTCCTCCAGGAAAAGGATTTTGCGCGGCGTGCCTGGCTCTTCCTTCTTTACGTTTTTCTGTAAGTGCGAGTTGTTCACGTGATTTGACCATCCATAATATTAAAATAGTGAGTTTTTCAGAATTCTTTTTTTATTCGACTTTCTGCTTTTTCAGACCGAATTCAATCTGGCTCTCAGAACTATTTCAGACTTTGAAGTATACTGCATTCGCCTTGACGTGAAATAATTTGTCATATCTTTGCACTCCATTTTCTCACCGGTTGCTCGAAAAAACAAAGACGAAAACACAATGGGAAAAAATGTTTGTAAAAGACTACAACTGAAATATATATAAATCTTGTACCTAGTACAAGTAAAAGTGCAAGTACAAGTACAAGAACAAGACATTTGTCGTACTTGCAAAATAGCAGGGGTGTGGGGACGGCAGTCCCCACCATTCTATCTCAAATGAAATCCCTATAGGGATCTAAAGCTTGCAAAATTGATCCCTATAAGAGTTTCAGTTAGTTTTTTTTTTGCGAGGTTTAGGGGCTAAGAGGTCAGACCCTAAACCCCTAAAGCGACCATTTTTGTTGTACCCCTATAGGGACCACTTTTTCGGCCCCTAAAAGGAATTTCTTCTCCCCAAACCCCTATAGGGACCACTATGGAGCTCCCAAGTATAAATTGGCTCTGCATCAATTATGAATCACATCAAAAGAAGAATGCATGTCAAGAAAAACTTACAAGAGCGATTTGACAGCGGAGGACGTTGTGCTCGGCTAAGATGAGCTCAAACTTGAGACGAGTGACGTCGTCATCGACATCTGGCAAAAGTCGCAAAAGGTCGTATTCCTCCTTGCCAATCTTGGCCAACGTCTCCGTGTCCATATCAGCCATTCAGACTGAAATTGCAGTTTCAAATGGAAATGAATGAAAAAAAAAAACTGCAGCCTTTCATTGGAAAGTGTTTGAGGAAAGAACAATAAACAACGGAAAACAAGCAAGCGATACTTTGGAATGAAAGCAAACTCATGAGAATCGCGAGCGCCGTGTCACTTTACGAGGAAACCGGATTTTCACGCAAAACTGAAAAGAAAAGATGCTATCGAGAAGAAATTGGCTCACCGGCCGACAACGCAGCACAGTTTGGAGATTAGGAAAAAAAATGAGGTTATTTTCCGATTTAAAAGTTCAGTGGAAATGAAGACTTGAGCGTGATCAGTGGGTCGCGTGGGAGGCGGAGCCTCAGAGTTTTGATCAGCGCCGCCAAACAACACCCTAATACTGTTCAGATCCAATATGAACTACAAAGAACGACAAACTCGAACTTTTGCCAATAATTTCCTGTTAAAAGTATTACAACTAGGCTAAAAATTGGATTTTTTTTTCTTGTTCTCCAATACAAATAACGTTCAGTGATTGATAAAATGTTTCTAGTTTTTGGAAAAAAAAAACAATCCCGTAATGAAAAAATTTAAGAATAATATTTTTAGAAAAAATTAGCCTAAAAATTCACTAATGAAATGGGTATATAAGTACTAGTGAGTATAAAAAGTTCGAATTTTGATTTTTTTTTTTCAACCGAATGTAAGAATTCTACGCCTACAAAGCATTTCAAAAGAACTTGAAAAACTACTTTTTTTTCGAAACAAAAAAGACATTGTGGGTTTGTACCTTGGACCGAAATCGCAAACGGTTAACGATCTCGGCGTATCGCAAGAAAACATCGAGGCCAAACAAAAGGCACGTGCGTTCGACTGCGACTTGAAAAGAACATTCTGAGACCGAAAAACACGACCGTTAATGCCTAAAAGCAAAAGAGATCAGGGCGAAAACGAATATCTTGACTGTTTTAAAAAATTGCTTTGATCTTTAAAGATAAAAAAAGACAACTGCCATTGTTTACTGTTCTGACATCACCGCCTCAGTTAACATTGGAAATCACGAGGGAAATTTGGTCGTTCAACGTGGCTCCGGACTTTGCTTTCTGATCGCTTTGAACTTTCTTCTTTCACCTTTCTACTATTACTTTTGAACTTAATTCCGAGTCGACTTGAAATCAGACGCACATTCTGGGACTTTAGATTTAAAAATAAAAACGATAAACTTGATCAGAATATTGATTTTTTTTCCTTTCGAAATACGCCAATTTATTGAACTTTTCGGATGGGAATGCGTAGGGACTACTCTAGAGTCACCGAAAGTTGAGCCAAAAAATTTGGAATTTTTTTTTCGAAAAGTGAAAACGGCAAGAGTTCATGCTGATTAAGAATCGTAAGTTCACGTTAGTATGAGCTCTTGGCTTGGTAAGTATGAGCAACATTTAAAAAAAAACAGCAAAAAGGTATACAGAAAAAGAAGAAAGTGAGAAGTAAAAGAAAAAAAAAACATATATAGTCTGTTCAGATTTTGAATGTCAACCAGCTAACTCCGCCCCTGTTGAGACGGTACCTTCTCGCATGCTGAGCAGGTGTCTCAGCGGGTGTACCCGTTTTAAACCCGTGTTTCTGAGGTTATTTTAGTCTCAGTTGGGCTAAAACGGGGGAACAACGGGTGTAAGAAAAATATGTAACCCAGCTGTGCTAAAGCGGGGTCTCAGTTGGGCTAAAAATTGCCAAAAGTTCTATCAGCTGGGCTTATACGGGTTTAATACGGGGGCACCCGCTGAGACCCCGTGTTAGCACGGCTGGGTTACCCTGCTCAGCATTCGAGCGTTCTTATTCTCAAAAAACATGCTAGAAAGTGAAACGATCATTTTTCAAAAAAAAAATCACCTCTTTTGACTGTGTAATTTTTGTTTGAATTGAAATTTTTACAGGAAAATCTTGGAAAGAGTTGGGAAAGTTTCTATAACAAACGCTTTTCGCTTCCTGACAACTCTTACTTAACGCCAGAAGCCTATTGGTGGTTCTGGCAGGATGTCTCAAATTTTCAATTTTTTCAAAACCTTTTAACTACTCTCAGGACGACCTTTCCTGATTTTCCTGAGAGTTGAATTCAATTCTGCAAGTCGAAAAACTTTGAAAAAAAAAACTTGGATTGAACGTGGTGGATCAAAACTGATTTGATTCGAAACGCAGAAATATATTACGTTTCACGCGAGACGGAAAAAAAGTATGATCCAAGTATTCAAAAAACATAAAAACTCGAAATAAATAAAGTTTATTTGTGCGGAAAACAGCGAAGATTGATCTGAACATGTTATCTAGAGCAGACGCCATTTCGACAGATTTCGGAAGCCCTGCAGCAGGTGTTCGCACACTGATCTCGGGTCACGGGACAGTTCTACAAGGTTAACAATCACACGCGTTGAAAGTTCTATTCTCTGGAGAAAAAATGAAACTGACAGCAATACGCGGGAAGCATCTGTTTCGCAGACAGGTCTGACCGGAGTTGCAGCACTCGTAGGCACACTGGTTGTTGCTCGCGGAGCACCGAGAGTTGGAACCAAAAAGTCTGGGAGCTGCCGTCGAGCTCGGATTGTTCCTGCCAAAAAGCGAAGAGAAGAGGCCCGGCGTTGCGGCGACACAACAGATCAGCGCCGCCATCAACACCAGCCACAACAGCCGCATTTTCAAACTCGAACCTGCATTCTTCCATTTCATGCCTCTTAAAACCTTTTCATGGAGATAAATGAGTAATAGAAACGAGAAAGGAGGATAAGGTAATGAAGAAAGGAGAAAAAACCGCACAAGAAAAAGCGGTAAAACAACTCTTTCCCACTTTTCCTCGCGTTCTCTTTTACACGTGATTTAATGCGCTTGATGACGTCACTTTTGCCGGTTAAACTTGCTCAGCCAGGGCTGTTGGCAGCAGACATCTCAAATACAAGCCGAAAGTCAAACGAACCCAAGCGAATGAGAAAAAAAGATGGTGAAAAGTTGTATTCTAAAGCTCTTAAAAATCGATTCAAAACCTTTGAAGTCCAAAAACGTAATTCTTGAAAATGAATGATTTTGTTTTTACTGAAAAACTATCTTTTGTTTTCAAGACGCAGGTTAGAATGATTGATTCCATGATATTCAAGGAGTTAAGCGTTGAAAATGCCGGTAATCATTTTACAAAAATATATTCAGATTCATTCAACTCTAAATCTCTGGAAAAAAACATTTAAATACTCGAAAAATCAAGTAGTTCAAATTGAGACTCTAAACTGTGAATTCGTTTGATACTTCGTTCTAAAATTATCCCGTAAACAAGTAAAAAAAAATCTTTTGAGCTTAATGAAAATAAGAGCCATTTTCGCAATTATAAATTTACTTTTAATTCTTTTTTTCTTCCAATTTTTCGAACTGACAGGGAAAGTTAGAATTATTGAACGCTCTGTTTTACGTCAAAAAATTCCAGTGAAAATTTGAACTCCCGCCGTTTGATCAATAGACAAGTGCGCTCTGACGCACTTTTTCGTTTTTTTAGACATAAAAAAATAAATTTATAACGTATTTAAAAATTGAAAAAAAGTCTTTTTTTGATAGATTATAAAAAGCGAAATATATGATTTTTAAAGTAACTAAAAAAATTTTTAGAGACTGGTATGAAGTAATTTCGCGGGATTCTGAAACTTAACGATTTTCGATAAAAATTTGTCAACAATTTTGTCTGCGCTTTTCATAAGTACGACTACTAATAGTAGGTTTTTTTCTGTTTCTTTTTTTCCGACCAGAAAAAAATAGTGAAAGTTTTTTTATGTTTCATCAAGTTATGTAATGTAACTTGTTTATGAAAACATTATTTTTCGCTTCAAAAAAAATTATATTTCATGCCGTGTTCAAAGTAATTTCCGCGAAATGCAAAATGGTCTCTGACCCTCCAAAATTTAGTTATCTTTCTCTTTCTCAGACAGCTATTTTGAATTTCGCGGAATCACTTTGAACACGGCATCAACTTTCATAGATTCACACATTAGATTTTCAAATAAATTGTTGTTTTAGTTATTAAATAATTTTTTGGTGCTGATAATAGTGTTTGTCTTCGATTATTTGTCTTCCTCAATCGTTATAATTGCGCTCTTTACGTTCCAGTTTGATGGTCAAATTCGAAAATTACTGATTAAAAATTCTTCGAACTGTGTAAATTTCAGGAAAAGATGAACATTCCGCAGGTCCGGGTCCGAAAAAAAAGTGCTGAAATCTCTTTCGCAGACTACGGTAATTATAAATCGGACGACGAAGAGGTCTTTTGAAAATTGAGCTTTAGATCTAAACTACCACTTCTTAGGAACCTACTCAAGAAAACCAAAGGGTAATCGATTTGAACGATCCACTGGATGCTGTGGACTCTAATCGGGAACAGACTCACGTTGTGGCCGCAGGCAGCCGTGGAAGTGAAAAATTTCAATTGACTCGCCCTAAAAAAATGTTTCAAGTCCTACAAATTGTGAAGCTTCAACTTCCTGGAACTAGTCGTGATGGGAGTATATACCAACCGCCATCCATAATAAAGGACATCGATCTTCGAGCTTATAGACGTGGGAAAATGAACATACTGTACTCTTCCAGCAGCGTTTCATGGAATCAAATTCGAGGTTCACTTTTCTCGAGTTTGGTCTTGAAATGTTATGTTTTTCGTTGAGTTTGGTCGGAAAGTTTTGTTAAAACGGATTTTAATTTTCATTGAAAAAGCTTCGCCGGCATACATTTCTTCACACTTCAAAACAGATTCGATTTCGTAACAAAATTTTCTTGATAATTCTCTGTTTCAGATGAACTTATCGTCACTGCTTCGCCGAACGGATCCATCGTGCTCTGGAACGTGTACAGGAAAAATAGTTTTTCCTATCAAATGTTTCATTTGAAAATCGATTGTTTCAGTAAAAGAGAATATATACAAATCTCACGAGAGAACGGCTACTTGTGCGAAATTCCATCATCAAAATGGCAACTTGTTGATCTCAGGTTAACCGATTTCTCTGTTTGGGATAGACAATTTCTCGATTTTGAAAGTATGGTTGTACTAAGAGTTATTATTAGAGAGCGAATCAGGAAAAAGTATTCATCGGAGAACAAAAAAAAAGAAGTAAGTCGCTGAATAGGCTTGAAACATATCTGTTTATTGTTGTCTTGCTTTTCGAAATTCAAACGCGAAAATTTGTCAAATTAATTGGTTTTTGCGGACCTTATGAAAGTTCAGATTTTCATGACCTGTGAAATCACCTAATCTATTTTGCAATGCAATCAACTAGTATGTCGTTTAAGGGTCGCGAGACTGCCACGTCATGATGTACGACACCCGAGTCGCCCAGAAACACGTCGCCGATTTTTTGTACGTTCATCGCAATTCTTTGATCCTTATTTTCTATATGATTTAGTTTTAGAGATAACCTTTCTTGCTCGAGCAAAAGAAAAACCAGTAGAGTTGATAGCCAAAGATAATTTTGCAAATTTATGTTTTTTTTTTTTATCGTTTCACGTCTGGTTCGGTCGTACTGCGGTAGTTTTGATAGCTCTTTCGGTAATTAAATGAAAGCTTGTGCTCTTTTTGTGACGTTTTTTGATAACCTCGAGAAATAGGTCCTTAACAAGTTGCGAAAAAAAACATTAAGAAAGGTTGTATTGAAAGTTTTTTTTCTCCAGTGAGGGAACATGTGAAGCAGTGCGAGATGTAGCTTTCGGACTGCACGAAGGACAGTTCGACACTTTCTTTTCTGGAGATGACAGCGGCGCGATTCGATTGTGGGATCTTCGCAACACCAACAAGTATTATTTCCAGTCTTTGTTTTTGCTAGTTGCTGTAGCGTTATTTGAAGGCAAGAAAACTGATTACGGCCTTTCATGGCCCAAAGTTAAAGAAAGTTTTTTCATCGTGTTCAAATTAATTCCGGCAAAGATCAAATTTTTGTCTTGCTGATCCTGGTATTTATTTATTTATTTTTTCTCGATTTTAGGAATAATCTTTTTCATATGTACCTTCTCTCCCGTTTTTCAAAGAGAGGAGAGTCGCAGAGAAGTCATTAGCATACGAACGAATTTAGTCAAGCGCAAGAGAGAGAGGAAATCAAAAGAGTGCGCAGGCGAAAAACAGAAGCTTCGCCAGTGGATCGGCATTGAGAGAATTAATTATGTATTTTCTGGTTGATTGCAGAGTTTTCTTCATTTTCAGAGCATATGGCTTTTTTTTTCAAAGCTGACGTGCTATCATCGGAAAACGCATATTTTTTGATTAAGAATAATAAAATCGATCCACGGCAGTATGCATTTCATTGCAAACTACGCTCCTTTTGTTTTCTTCACACATTTTTTTCATTTTTATATAATATATACAGCATATATATATATTTCCTTTTTTTTAAAAAGTTTACACTTGTTGATTTGAGGCCTGTCCTACAAAGAACGGCCCACAATGCATTTGTGTCCACATTAGCCCTCAATCCAAAAGAAAGACATCTTCTGGCGACAGGCGGCGGACGCGACAAGTTCGTCAAGGTGATTATTTTTTTGATCAAATTATTCCATACGGTATCTTCTATAAATTCGCGCGTGAATTCGTTGAACTTGAAAGCAGCGGCGCCAATTTTTTCAAGGTTTCAGCGCCTTTTGTATTGAAAAAAAGTTATTTCATCAAGCTTGTTTCTGTTTCAGTCATTATATCAGCTCGACCAGTCAGATTCCACAACATGAAGTGGAGAAAATAAAATAAATTTTCTTACGATTTCCGGGCGTTTTGAGGTATGGAGCTTTGCGGAAGGCACGATCGAACGCAGGTTCGTAGTGGAGACGATGGCGCCGTTGGGAAGAGTTCTGTGGCGTCCCGACCGCCCTTACCACGTCGTCAGTTGTGCTAGTAAGCGATTTTTGTCAACAACTTCAAATGATCTAATCAAAATAAAACTCTTTTTTCATATTATTTAGGCTTGGTGTCTCAAAACAAGCAAATATCTCACAGACTTCAATGTTTTGTCGAGTAAATTCAAAAAATAGTTTCCACAGATCAGCTGTTAGATTTATTTGATTGATTTGATTGTTTTGATGTATTATTTTTTGTATTTGTCGTGCAGATTGCGGAATGGCGAATAAACACTTGAAATGAAAATGAATGAAATGTTCAAAATGGATTTATAAAACAAAAGAAGAGATTTTTTTCTCTTGCTCTCACAATCTTTTTTTTCATTGCTTTTCACTTCGTGAACCTTCAAGTAGACAAAATGCTTCGCGTTTCGATGTAGCGGATCCTTTGACAGATTCGAAGCTCAAAAAACTAAGCAGGGCTGTAAAAAGTCGCATTTTATGGACCGCGAAGTCTCGCTCAGGTCATTAGAGTTATATTTTGCCTCTGTTGTCAAAACCAAGCCGCCCTGACTCTGGAGATTGATTTCCAGGCGTCAACGACATGAACGTGCACGTTTGGGACATCCGGAGGCCTTACATTCCCTACGCGACCTACGACGAACATCGCGACAGTGTCACAGGTAGTTCATCTGCTTCCCATGGCTGTTGATTATTTTCGGCGGCAGATGTTTGGTGGCCCAAAAATCGTGCGGATCTTTTCGTTTCTTCTGGCAAAGACGGCCTTCTCATTTTGCACTCTGTCGATTCTGGACATGTTGAAAATTCTCTGATTCGAATGCCTCAATATCTTTTTCAGATGCCGATTTCCTACGCTTGTGACGTTCCTTTCGACGTAACTCCAGACGGCGTCTTGGGAATCGCGGGTTTGTTCAAGTTTATTATTTTTGAATTTTTGGCTGGAATGAAGTTCTCGGGTTTGTTTTTTATTGCGTTATCAAAAATATAAGAAAGGCGATTCTTTCTGACCTCGCAATTTTTTCGAAAGAAATTTTGAAGATAAGAATCATTATGACAAAATTTAGGCTAAAATTGAATCTTTATGGATAAGGGAAATGGCGTAAAGAATTTCAGTCAATGTTCTTCGAAACAATGTGAACGAACTAGTACATTTGAAAGTTCTGCAGTGAATTCGGAGATGCAGTCGAAAGTTCTCAACGAGATGGATCCGATCCCGTTAGCAGCGAAGAGTGCGACCACTTCCAGAGTAAAAACTTCCCTCGCTTATCCGAGAAATCGAGTTTTTGTGGCAGGCGTCGTACACCAGACGCCGCAATCAACGCAAGGACCGCAAGTACGAGTCTTTCCGCGCTCCGATCCGCAGCATCTTGACGTGTGGAGTGCCAGACAACGTCAGCGACTCTATCCATCCTGACGCCTTTTACGAAATCGCGCGCAGGTTTCAGCTTTCTTTATCGTCTTATGGGGAAAAAAAGAAAGAAATTTCTGGAAAGATAACGATTTTCTGGTCGAAAAAGCGATGTGATTTTCAAGAAAAACTAAATTTCTCTATTCAAAATACAGTTCGATAAGAAAACATGTTATATTCAATGTTTGAAATGGGGTCTGAGGCAGTCAGTTTTTCAAATATCAGCATTGAAATATAGAATAAAAAGGCCCAACTCTAGTTCATGATATTGAAGTTTGAAGTTTATGTTTAACTTGAAAAAAACACTTCTAAAGTGAATTTTTCTTTTCTAGAAGTCTTCCCACTTTTTTTGATCATTAAGACAATAGCTATCTGTAAAAACCAACCAAGTTTGCTTTGAATATTTTTTTTCGAGCTACAATAATATGGAAACTTTGAAAGTTTGGTCATCAGGTATTACCTCGGAGGCAAGCCGTTGAGGTTCATGTGTGCCCACAACGCTAGAGTGGCTCGGAAGTTCGGCAAAGAGCATGTCTCCCAGACGTGGAAGGTCATCGACGCGCTCCTTGAACAGTCCGGCATTCAACAAGTCCTCCTTTCCTTTATCCTTCCTCCAATCTCGTTCATTCAGATCTACGACGAAGATGCGCGAGTTTGGGCCGAGGAGGAAGAGCGAAAATGGGAAGTGTGAGTATGGATTCGCTAGAGAAAATTAAAATCTAGGACATAGAACTCACTAACGAACTCAAATCGCGCTCTCTATTGAGAAAAACGTGTATTTTTTCTTTCTTTGGTTTTTCTACGCAATAGAAGAATATTGCAACATCAATAAGAAAATGCTCAAGATGCTCTAGATTTTTCTTGATTATTCACGGGGAAAATGACATTTTACTGTCCTGCCTCGATCAGAGCGAACTCAATCTGTATTTTTTCTCTCTCATCAAACTGAAAAAGGAAAAAAAGGAAACAGGGAAAATGATTAAATTTCTGATCCCCTTCTCCAATTGAGATGCCCTGTTGAAGGATGAGGAAAGAAGTGATGAAAGAGGGGAAAATGCCGCTGCCCAGCGCCGTCGACCTGCAGGTGAGCTACGACAGCAGCGAGGCGTTGACAGAGGTCCTCACTCCCTTCGGCTACAGACTCCGTCGTGATCCCTACGAGGTCCAGAGAGACGAGGACTACGGCGGTCCGTTCATTTCTATCTGCTTTCTGCCAAACCCCCATTTTCGGATGGCTTAGCCTTCAGCTCATTTTTTAGTCTACCAATCCAATGAAAAATAATTTATCCTCAGAGTTTTGAATATTCATTTTATTTAGAAAGCGTCGAGCTCTCCGACGACTCACTGGGCATAGGGAAGGATATCGCCGCCAAAGATTTTTACTTTGGCGTCGGCGAGGCAAATTTTACAAAGGTCTTGAAAAAGTTGGTTTTTTCTCTACGTCAGTGAGATTGAAGTCTTTTCACAGAGAAGATCCACACTTGAACGAATTCATGGGCCTTCGGGACGAGGCGTTCGAACTGAGAAACGAGAAAATTGCTGAGAAGTTTTTCACGTCGAAAAATTCGCGTAGTTGTTTGCGATTTTTGAAGTTTTTCTTGGTTTTTTCAGCTCGCGGCCCTCAATGGCATCCTATGAAAGAAATAGTGAGTCTTCTGCGGTATCACTCTGAACAAGTTGGCCTCTCGAGTCTTTTTCCTAGAGAAAGAGAATTTTGAAGGGCGACGTGCAAACCTGTGCTTCTGTAGTGTTGGTGTGCGGCCGGAAGCTTCTGGAAGTGCTCGACTCCTTCACGGCCACTTCTTGGATCGAGAGCTACATGGGTCAGTTTCCAGTACTTTCTTCATTACTCCTTCCGAGTTTTCTTTTGTGTTTTTTCTGAATGATACATATCAAGCAAAGGGTTTTTGAATCGATTTCGAACGAGTTAAATTTAAAAAGCTGCTGCTTCCACGAATTTCGTCGACTTGTTTTTTTTTCTTTTGGAAACAGAAAACACGCATACCTTCTTTGTGATTAGGCCGGAGGCTACTGAAATAAGTTCTAAATCGGGTTCGGTTTTTATAAAAAGATTTGAAAAATGTTTGAAGTTCCCCTAGATTGCCAAAGGCGATTGTTCGATATTGATTCAAAAGTTCATGTTCGCCGCCTAGTAGACTACATCTTCAACTAAAGGAAAGAAAAAGGGATTGATCGAAATGTTGAACAGGACCTATAAAAATTTATGGATCTTTCCTAATTATCCTCGATCACATTTTGAGTTTGCAGAAATGCTCGACCGCTTGGAGCTGTTCGTTACCGTGGCGCGTATCAAGAAGTACTGCGCTATTTCGAGAATCAACCAAATGTCGCGCGAGGTTCCCTCAGCATCCCAACTCGAGCTCAGTTCTTGACAGGGAGCCTTCGCCCGTCTGGTCCACGTCGACTGCGACTCTCAGGTCACCAACGGCCGCTGCACCAAGTGCGAAGAACTCGTAGTTCCCGAGTGCTCCGTCTGGTACGTCTTCACAGTTTAGCAGTCCCCCGTCGGCTAATCTCTTTTTTTCCGAGTATTCAAACTGTTTCACTCTCGACGTTTGTCATGAATGACCTAAAACAATTTTTTTTTTCTCGCAAATTGTAAATTCAGTACATGCCTTGTTTTTTTAAAATTTCCATGCAAGAACTTTGGAACGGTATACTTTTTTTCTTGGTTGAGAAGCCAAACGAATGAACATTCACGCTGACCGTTCATGCATACGGCCCTTTTCTCAGTTCATAGCTTTTTTCAGTCGAAAAGTCATCATCGGTATGCATTTCACATGCCACGTCTGCTTCCATTCTTCGCATCCGCATCATGCGCTGCAGTGGTTTGAGAACGTATGTTTGCTTATTGATCTTTTTTGATTAGAAAATGCTTTATTAAGTTGGAATTACTCCCATGATCCTGTACATAGAGTAATCGATTGAATATGGCCATTGCAGAACTCCATGTGCGCCTCTCCGGACTGCCTGTGCCGCTGTCGGAACTCGAGATATCCACACATCAAGCCCTCAAAGTCGACCTCCGTCTACAATCCTCAGGATCATTACTGTTGCGAACAAGTTGCAGAAAACAAGTTGAGAAAATTTTCAACGAATCGATAGACGAAACGTCTTCAGCAAGCGCAGTTTTGAGACGCTTGCCATGAAACAGAGCCGAAAACAGAAAAATCTCGTCGAGTTCATGTCCTTCTATGATATTCCCTGGAAAGAACTCACGAAGCCGCAATACAGCCTGCAATTGCGGATGGTGCACTGCATGGTGAGCTTTAGAAAAGGGAAAACTTTCATAAAAACAGATTCAGTGGACGAAATATCAGAAAGACCGCCGCAACACTTGTGACCATCACTTCTACGATTTTTTGTACAAAGCATACGCTCGATGGTTTGCTTCGTATCGTTCTTATTTCTTGTGGAAGTTGTAAGTTAATTGCAGCGTTCACAACCGGCTGAGAGACATTTTTGGTAAAAGGCCGTTTCCCACTGATAGATTCAAGCCTTGTTGCTCTGAAGCGGATCAATCGTCACGCACGGATGAATTCACAAATTTGAACCAAATTGAAAGTTGTCGTCGCGTCGCCGTAGCTGAAAAGCCAGTCATTCCGAACGGTATATCTCAACATGTTTTCCTTGAACTTATATTTTTTTTCTAGATTTTAGCGAGAAGAGTTGTAAGAATCCGTGTAAATGTAAATTCTACAATCAAAAGAAGAAGCCAATGCAACGCTTGAAACTGTGCCTCAGAGGCAAAATGATCGACGCGATGCCGCAGAAACGCGTGCGACGGCGGCAACAGAGACGACGATTCGCAGGAAGAATTTTCGACTGCATCTACGTGGACAAACAACGCGACGACGCCTCTCACGTCGAGTGCCAGGAGAGAGTTCCTCGCGGAGATTTTCCGCCGGTCGTCTCCTACAGGCCTATCCTCAAGGAAGACGACGATTTGCGGCCTCTGAGACGGATTTCCTACATGCCCGGAGACAACTATGAAACACTTTTTCGTGAGTTTCTCGTCACGAATAAGGCTTCCTGAAACAGAAAAGTTCTGAGAAAACTAAGTCCTTTGCTTGAAAAAAGAGAAGAAAAAGCCCAAAATAAGCGTGGAAAATACATTTTTTGTAAAAAAAAAATAAGCGCCGAGAAAATTTTTATGAAAGGATTTGTAGCCTATTTCGAAGACGGGCCAACTTTCGACGAGAAGAGCAAATTTCACTTTGTCAGACGCATTTTGGGAACGATTTTAGAAGAAACGGAAGGACTCCTCAAGGCCGCTGCTTTCCAGGTTCTCGTTTTTGACCATAGAACGGGGGATTTTTCATTCTAAGATAGTTTTTATTTTAGGACAATTTGTTCGACGATAATCATTCGAGCGAAAGCGACGTTTCTGAATCAACAGACGAGGAAGAAGAAGAGTTTGAGGAGCCAAAGAAAGAAGATTATGTGGACGACTTTCCCGGTGTTCTGATTGCCAAGGAAGAGTCGGCCATCTGGAAAACCAAGGAAGAAGAGATGCTGGAGAGCTTCCCGCGGAGACTCCAGCTGCAGGCCTTTCCGCGCAACGAGTGGTTCCGCGCCTCTCTGCGCACCTTCTACGTCTCGCGCGTTCTCCACAAGGTATCACCGATCAACCAAGAGATTTTCAAGGATTCTTGGAAAAGCCAAAAGTTGATGTGTCCTTTTCAACCCATTGTTTCCGTGCAACAACTTTCTAACTCAATAAGAAACGTGTTTAGTTTTCGAAAATTAACTTTTTCTGTTGTCCTCGTCCTCGAAGATCACCAATTATGGATTTTTTTTTTTGTTTGTTATTCAGAGGCAATATGCTGGGCTGTGATTACTCATGAAACATGTATTTTCGAAGGATCTCTCTTGATTTTTGAATGGCTACTGCTCAAAAAGAAAAATTATAGGAGGACATTGGGATTTCTAACGAAAATCCTTGATATGTTTACTGTCAAAATATAATGTGAAGGTGAAAGTATGCTTGTTTTTGCAGATTATTCCTACAATTCGAATTCAAAAAGTAATGGAGAAGTTTAGCCAACCCGATTTCTTCATTCTCGAGAAACCATCATCATTTGAACTACTCTTGCAATTTGAAAGGGAAGTTTTCAGGCATACCAGCTATTGATGAGAGACGAAGAGCAATGGACAAACCTGCGGTTTCTGATTCATCGTCAGAGATATCGCGAGGCCGTGAGACGCAGAGCAGCTCGGAATCCACATGGAAAACAGCCGAGCGTCGCGGAGTTGCTCAGCGCGATGACGCTCTCGAAAAGCCTCGGAGCGGTGCGCGGAATCGAGGGAGAGCCTGGGAGACAACTCGCGATGGACATCGCTCAACAAATGCCCGGGGTGTTGACCGTCTACAAGAAGGACTGCGATATAATCACCTGCAACTACCACTCGAACAGAATCTCCCAAATGATCCAAGAGGAACTCAAAACTCCAGAAGTCGCCGAGATCGACACCGACAGCAGCAGTGGCACATGCCGTCAGTTCTTATTATTTATTCTCGCCGAAAGTTTTTAAAATAAGTGAGATAGAAGTTCTTGAATCGAAACAATAAAAAGGGTTGTGAAATGCAGGAATCAATTTTCAATAAATTTGTTTTTCTTGATGCGCTAAAAAAAAAAATTAAAATTAAGACTTTTACATGACATTGAAGCTTTTGAAAGAATTTTAAAGTTATAGTAAAGCTTTTCGAGTATGAAATGGATTAGACGAGATGTCTTATTGCTTTTCTGCAGCGTCGACTCCTTCGTATGACTCGACGGTGTCGTCATTCAGCGACGAAGCGGCCGACGTGATCGACAGCGAGGAGCTGGACGAGGTTCGCGTTGTCCGTCAGAGGGCCATGGGACCTCTGGCCGATTTCGACTCTCTCTGCCTCCGCTGGACACAGTGTCCCGATGAACACGGCCCCTTCTGGAAAAAGCTTCGACGAGATCGCGCCGAGGAGATTTTTCCTCCTGACATCGAAAAACCTCTAAATTGTGAGTTTCAGCAAGAGGTAATCATATTCAATCCCCAAAGTACCGGTTATTCTACGCTTCTTTGCTTTTTTCAATTACATGAAGAAAGATTTTTGAAATTCAGTCGGAATTTATTCAATGCCGTGTTTAAAGTAATTTTCGCGAAATGCAAAATGCAAAATTAACTCTAACTCTCTATAATTTAGTTATCTTTTTATATCTCTCACGGCTATTTTAGATTTCGCGGAATAACTTTGAACACGGCACAATAAATATTTATTGTAAATGATGAAAATTCTTTTAAGGCGAGAAAAGCGTGGAAGAAATGAGAAAGAATGACAACGGTTTCACAAACGTTAGTGACAGTCGACAAGTTCGTCGAAGGATCCGCAAGATTTGTTGGAAGGCCGTGCAAAGATGGAAGGAGAGCTGTCCCACTCGAAAAGGTTCAAAATTGTTTCAGACACTGTCTTTCAGTTTCTGACTCCGTCTTGATGAGTACGTTGTATTGCAGCGAAGCAAGTCGCTGAAATACCTTTTGTCATCAAAGAGATGCACTTGGCCGAGCTTCGCCGAATGAACAATGCCACGAAAAGAAAGATGAAGGGAGAGGCAGCGAACTTCGAGGTTGGATCTTAGGACGTAGAGTTTTCGCTCAAAATTCTTTGCCTCATGAATTGTCGCCTTATAACATCTACGGCATTCTCCTATATTCAAAATGAATTTGAAATAGTTAGCAAAAAAATATTTTAATTTTCGCAAAAAAGCATTATTTATTCTCTCTTTCCGTTAAAAGGTGAATAGATGTCAGCCATCGCTATAATACTGCTATTCTTCGAGAAAGTATACACCTCAAGAAACTTCTGGAGTGAACGCGAAAAAAATAATAAATATTTACTTCTTTAGAAGATTAATGTTTTGTAAAAATTGAACGCTCACAGAAAACCTGCATTTTTGCAGGTTGTCGAAGTCGGCAATCCGCAGGACCCTGAATTGAGAGTCAAACTATTTGGAGAGGCCTGTCCCGAGGACGATCAGCGTTTCCAACAGATTCAAAAGATAATATCCCTTGACAACGAGTTGATCGACGGGGCAATGGTGTCGGTGAAGGGGAGATGGTACCGCCGAACTCTCGTCTGGTATATCAACGTGGATCTGGAAGAAGACGAAGACCTGCCGGACGAGAAGTTCGAACTCATCCAGCAGGAGCTGTTCGAGAAGATGTGCGCCGAGCGCAGCAACTACTTCGAGGCGCCTTCCGACACGCCACTCGAGGCCCTTCTCGAAAGATTCGGAGACACACTTGAAGAAGACGCCAACTTCGACTACTCCTTCGAGCCGTTCAACAATTGGAGACTTCGCCAGACGCTCCAAGACGAGATCAAGGACTTCGTCGCCGGCGAAAGCCCTGATGATTTCGGCGATGCGTGTAGCTTCAAGTCACTTCAGCACTGCACCAAACCTCAATTAAACGAGGTTTTCTACATGTCAAAACCGTTTTCAAACATGTATTCTGTTGACTGCTTTTTGAAACCTTAAAATTAGGAAAGTATACCTTTAAATCTTAATCGAAGTAAATGTCCAGAAACACAACTTCATTCTTAGTTACCATCAACATTGAAATTCTGAGAATCAGAAATTTCGTTTTTATTTTTGACGGTCAACCTTAATAGGGAACTACTCGGACTCGGGTACTGGTTTCGAGTTGAAACTTTAGTGGTTTAGAGACCCAAGTCAGAATACTCTAAAACAAGAAAGCATATCTGCTAAAGCCGACTGAGAAAAAATTAGTAGAAAATAAGAAAATTAAGCTTGAAAATTTTCAGAATAGTGCTTTTTGCCTTATTTTATATTTTAATACAATCGCCTTGGATGATCCGGCTGTGATACATTCTAAAAAACTTTTTTCCAGCGAAAAGAAGGAGGAAAGCAAAAATTTGATAATTTTCAAGCCTAAACTGTTCATTTTCAAAAAGCTTTTTCTCAGAAGCCTATGGGGTTTAGCAGATAATCTCTCTTGTTTCCAAGTACTCTTGCCCGGGTCTATAAGACACCAAAGTTTCAACTCGAAACGCGTACCCAAGTCCGAGTAGTTTCCTAGTTAGGCTTTGGCGATTCTTTTTTGTATAATCGCTGATAAAATGCTTAAGCTCCGGTTCAATAGTCCAACGGCGTTTCCCTCATGCGTATTGGAGTTGGATGAAGAACTGCTCCTCCGTTCGACGGAATTCGATGACAACTGGTATCAAAACACAATCAAGATAGTCTCCTCACAAGTCGACTTGATGCGAAAAGTATCCCAGAAGTTCTCCTGAAGATCTTTCATTTCCTTTTCAGATTCTGCATCGCCGACTTGTGACCAGCGCCCTTGACACTTTTCTGCCTGGTCTCGTGCGCCGTTTCGGGACGATCATTTTCAAACCAGGGGTTCTAAATCGCTTTCTACAGTCATGATCTTTTTTTCGCTTCAGTTTTTCTCTGATTGCCAGTTCTTCGCATACTTTGACATGGACCTGAAGCCCTGCATTCTGCAAATCAAGGCCGCAGAGGCTTTGACTGGCCCGAGGAGAAGAATCGAGTGTATACGTCAGGCCGTCTCTGAGTGATTTTTGCTTTCTTTTTACGGGATTATTTCCTAATCTCAGATCCAAGTGTCAGCTCGATCTGTGGAAATTGACCAACGGGATATCTAGTGATGTTCTACAGGCCGTTCCCAAAATAAAAGGGCGTGATTATGTGAGTGGAGAGATTTGATCCAGTTTTTACTTAGGAAACTCAAAGAAAAAAGCGCCGAGTTGGCAAAGAACTTTTTCTTTCAAGTGGATTTCGAAAGCTTCATTTCTTGAAAACCCCAGCGAATCACATCACAGTTGCATTCTCAAGAACATACTAAGATTCAAACGAGTAAGCGGAATAATAGGAACAGAACCCTCTCAGTTTCATCTTTGGACCAAAAAAGTTCTTAAAATAGATTTGTTTTTCATAGGTAAGCATCTAACGGGACTTCTTGTTTTTTCGTTTATCTCTTGAAAAGTTTTTTTCAGAGTCCTTTCAAAATTATGTAAGCCTCACGAAGTCAGATGCCATCTGACTCAAAGTCTGGTTCTTTCTGAGAAAGTTCATGATGTTGCAGAAGACTATGGAGCTGCGACTGCGGCTTTCTGCTGAGGCGAGCAAAACGAGTCAAACTTTTTCCATCGAAGAGAGCCAAAGTATCGTTCAAGTCAGTTCTGTTTCACTCTCCGAAGTCCCTGTTCTTCGCCAAAAATGGTCTTCTTACAGGAGTTGATGAGGACAGGATTGGCGAAGAATTCGTCAAGACGAAGGAAGATTTTCGCGCCTTTTTTGGCGAGTAGGGTTTTCACTTTTTACGAAGTCAATGATTTTAGGGAGTCTTATATAGAAAAGAAGGAGAAAACATGCGAGCAGAAGCGATTCGACAGGCCAAAGCAAGATGTTCTGTTTTTCGGCTGTTTTTCAATAATAAATGGAATTCCAGACAAAATAATGCAGAAATATGCCTATGAAATCTACAGAATTCATCGGAATCCTGATAAATGTTTTGCTGCGCTTCTCTGTGGTTTGCCATTCCTTTCTTTTTTTATAAGCTATACAAAAATTTCATAAGATTCTTTTTCTCGCTTCACTTATTTTTTTAGAAGATAGGTTTTATTTCCCATTTCTGTCTAGTTTTTTTAGAGATTTCAATAAAAATAAGAAAAATAATCCTAGACAGTTTAGAGAATCAGAAGGTAGAATCCGCCGAAGAATACGTCGCTCGAGTGCTTCATGATTATCTGTGGCCGAAAATCGGTAGCTTCTTGGTTCTCGAAAAAAAAAGTTCAATAATGAGTTTCAGGACCTTTGAGCCGCCATAAAACTGCGAGAAATTGGTATATTTTCAATATTTGTTTTTATGGGAATCCGAATGGTCGCAATCGAAGCGTACAGGTTGTTCCAAAGACAGCTAGTCAAGGATTGATGAGACATGTTCAGCTTCTGAATCTCAAAGACGAAAAGGAGCACTTCGAGAAACTCCGCCAAAATTACGAACCTTTTGACGCTCGTCGGCGCGTTAAACTTGCCAACGTTGTTTTCGAAACGTCAGTTACTTTAATTCCTTTTCCTTCGTTTATAGTACAGCCGAGTTTGAAGGTCCAGCGAATTGATGGCGCGCGTTTGTCCCCTCGCTAACACGGAACGTGCCAGAAATCGCTGGAAAAAAGTGAGTACGCCGGCCATTTTTATTGTCTTACATCACTAGAAAACATTCACCTCCTAGGTTTTCGAAAAGTTTCGGATATTCGTAAAGAGTTTAGAGAAACGATCGGAAGTTGTTGATTTTCTTTTTGAAATTTTAGGTCAGTTCTAAGAAGATTTCCGTTTCAGAGACGTCATTCAAATTAAGTATTAATTTATTGTTCGGGATGAAACATCAGCTATTTTTCGTGTCTAATGGCATACCTTTTCAACTGTTTGTTTTTTTTTAAAGGATAATAAAAGTTGTTCTGAAATGCTTCAAGAATTTTTTTCTTCGTTCTGATAAATGCTCCCCACGTCATAAATATGATTATTACTTTTTGACTTGCTTGAAAACTTTTTTGCAGCTGGTCACGAAATCTCATATGCGTCAACGGCCGCTTCTAGACCAGATGGTGACACAGGAAAAAATTCGAAAAGAGGTTTCGGAACAGGAATTTCGTTCATTTTGACAAAATTTCAGGATCCGGCTGTCGGATACCTTGTCGCGAAAGAATTGATTCCGAAGTTACCATCTAAAGACCAAGTCTTCGGCCTTTTGAAGGCCAAACGTCCCCCGTGTTCGTTCCCTGCGGTTCGTTTCTTCCCAGAGTTAGTTCCGAACATTTCTAGTCGCTCACAAGGGTTCAAATAAGGTGTTTCAAAAGGGTTCATTATCACTCGAATGAATGGAGGACAAGTTCAATATAACTGAAGTCGATTCTGTTAGTTTGTTGATTACGTCTTGATGAACTTGGTGCACCTACAATCAAAATTTCTTCTTTCGTAGCTATTTGAGAATGTTTTCAATTGAGAAAAGTCCTTATGCACCGATTGAAATTATTTTATGTGTAGGCAACAAAACTTGCATTTGGAAACTTTCTCGCATTTCCCGAATAAAAAAGTGAATGAAATCAGAAAAAGTGTTATTCAACTCAAAGAATTTCAAGAGACCGATAGAAATTCAAGAATCGTTTTTCCAAAAAAATTGCGGCGTATGAGTGTAAATCAAATTCCAGATGCCTCACAAGTTCTTGCCGAAAAAAGAAGGCGTTTACGTCCCACCGAATAGAAGACCCTCCGTGCAGATAGAATTCCGCGAAGATGCCTGTCAGCTGCAACAAGAGACAGTCGAAGAAGAACAAGGTCTCGTCGAGTTCATCCAGGAGCCGGAGTTCGAGGATTGGGGAAGTGACGGAGAGGAAGAAGAGTCTGAGATCGAGCAAGAAGTGAAAAACTCGGCTTCGAGCAGATTCGGCGAAAAACGTTTCCTGCGTCCTGTCAGAAGACCGAAAGACGAAGATTTTTCCGACGAGGAAGGCTCTGTGATGTCCGACGAAGAGGAAGAGAATGACGACGACGTCCTCTCCGGCTCCAGTTCAGATTCGGACGACGATCTGACGTTAGTGGAAGAAGTCGTTCGCCACTCCAAAGAAGAGCCTTTGACTGAAGAGGTCGGCTATTTCGATGTGGGAGCGGCAGAGAAGAATATGTCGGTTTTTAGGAGAAACGGCTAGTGGAACGGCGCAGAAGAGTCGATTCTCAGCGAATGTCGAAGCCTCGGATGCTTTGGCATGTGTAGTCCTGACCAGCAAAAACTGTGAATCGATGGGCCTTCTTTTCTTGTACTTCGTATTGTATATTTCACTTTATCCTCAATCATAGTAAATATGTAAATAGCTCTCTAAGTCGACCTGGTGAGGTTAACATACTAATGGGTTATTTCTTGACTTTTCACTCGGTTGATTATTTATTTTACAGACATTGTTCCCTCACGGCTTTAATTTCTTGTCGAATTGCCTTTTTACGTTGGAATAGTTTGAACAAAACTCTTATGCTGCCTCAGGTTGTCAGAATACATTGTTTTGATTTTGTTCCGGAGAGTTTCTTCACTCGATCAGGGTTACGAGGCCTGGAGTGTCTTCAATCATCTTTAAACAAGAAAAGTTAGTTTTTTGAGCTCGATGCAATGTTTGCGAGGAGCCAGACATATCCGCAGCTTCTCCAGGATCCAGACATGGCGAGCGAATATAAACACCGCGATTAGGCAGTGTGAGATAAAGGTCACAAGGTTTGGGATTTGTTTCCAAAAAGATTCAAATACATATTTGAGGCGGACTTTACTGGCTGGAGGCGTGACGTTTCTGGCGTGGCAGAGAGGCTGGAGGACTGCCTCATGTGAGGACGACCCATGGCTTCTGGTTCCGACCCAGGTGGCTTCTCAGCGCCAGTCTTTGGATAATATAATTCCTTCTCACCACTCGAAACAGTATCTGAAAATATGCTTAACATTTTTTTTTTCAAAAAAAGTTTTCGCGTAAGTTGAAAGGCAAGTTTACATTCACAGCGACGTTTTTGATACTTAAGCGAACAGTTCATAATATATTATTCGTTCCTTTTTCAATTACTGTTTTAATTTCGATTTTTATGAGCAGATTTATTTCAGAAGGTTGTTGTGCAGAAATCGGTGGCGTTGAATGTCCTTGAGTTGCCGTTAACTTTGGTAATTTCCACGTGGAGACTGATTCGAAAGTTCATTAGGTATTTTTCTTCTCCAAAAATTCTCATGAGAATTTATCACGCTGTCTCTGTAATTTTCAAAAGTTTTCAAAAAGAGTGGGTACAATAGATAAAATATTTTTTGATTTTGATGAAACTTCACCCACTGTGATAGTCTGTCATCAGAAATGCCGACGCAAGTTTTCAGACCGATTCCTCCTACCGTCGCTAGGTTGCGGTAGGCAGGTGCGTCTTCTCGTAAGTAAGCATCTATGCGTTTTTTCTAGGCGTATTGTATATCAATCGATAGGGAATGCAATTTTAGGAACTTTTTCAGTCATGGTTTACTGTAGAAATTTTTTGAGTTACGGTAGTTTTTGTGTCTGCGATTTTGGTTTTTCCCTCACTCTGTGTGTTCGGGGAGAGACCACGGCTGGTAACTTTCCTGAAACATTATTCTCAGCAATACCTACGGAGAGATACCACTTTGAAATGGATCTGTCCTACCGGTCATTTCGGAAAATCGCTTCGAAGAGGCTCAACTTGGCATCTGTCGGGGAAAATCGCCCGCGGTTAGAGATTTCTACCTCTCTTTTCTCGTCAGATCCGGTGCTAAAGTTTGTTTCATTTGATAGTGCAGGGTTGTACTTCATAGATGATAATGTTTCCTCCGACTTTCAGCCTACCCGTCTAGCTCTGAATTCAGTTTGAAGTCGATTTTGGCCTCAAAACAGCGATTCTCAGATTCCGACGTTTTTTCCTGAGCTCAGTCCTACTGAGGCTGGGCTCCAAAGTGTCTTTTATTACTTTTACTTGTCACATGACTTGTTTGATCAAGAAAAATCTGTGTTTGAGCCTACCTGTTTATCTCAAAATTCAATTTGAAGCCGATTTTGGCCTAAAAACAGCTATTTTCAGATTTCAACATTTTTTTCTGATCTCATTCTGTTTTAGTCAGGTCTTTGAAGTGTTTTTCACCTTCCTTCTATGCTGTATGAAACATTTCATCAAGAAAAAACTGCATTTGAGCCTACCCGTCTAGCTCAAATTTCGGTTTGAAGCCGATTTTGGCTTAGAAACAGTGGTTTTCGATATTATGTCATCCTTCTGGAGTAATTATCAATAGATAAAATCTGTCTCTCATAATTTGAATTTGCTTTAGATTGAAATAAACCAAATTGAACCTGTTTTTCAAGCGCTTTTCGACTTTGGAGATTTTGACGAGAAAATAAATGTCTTCATCAACTTTTCTGCTCTCGAAAAATATCATTCACAAAATTTGGGATACGTTATAATATAATCAAGGCGCTGAAAAACTCTCTTGTGAATTTGTTCATCAGGGATTCAAGCAAGAATAAGCCAAACGTTGCCTTCAAACTGAATTTTGAGCTAGGCGGGTAGGATCAAAAACAGTTTTTTTCTTGGTAAAACTGTTTATGCGACATTTAAAAATTATTAAAAAAAAACTTTAAAGACCTGACTTAAACAGAATAAGATCAGAAAAAAAAAAGTTGAAATCTGAGAATCGCTGTTTTGAGGCCAAAATCGACTTCAAACTGAATTCAGAGCTAGACGGGTAGGCTGAAAGTCGGAGGAAACATTATCATCTATGAAGTACAACCCTGCACTATCAAATGAAACAAACTTTAGCACCGGATCTGACGAGAAAAGAGAGGTAGAAATCTCTAACCGCGGGCGATTTTCCCCGACAGATGCCAAGTTGAGCCTCTTCGAAGCGATTTTCCGAAATGACCGGTAGGACAGATCCATTTCAAAGTGGTATCTCTCCGTAGGTATTGCTGAGAAGAATGTTTGAGGAAAGTTACCAGCTGTGGTCTCTCTCCTAACACACAGGGTGAGGGAAAAACCAAAATCGCAGACACAAAAACTACCGTAACTCAAAAAATTTCTACAGTAAACCATGACTGAAAAAGTTCCTAAAATTGCATTCCCTATCGATTGATATACAATACGCCTAGAAAAAACGCATAGATGCTTACTTACGAGAAGACGCACCTGCCTACCGCAACCTAGCGACGGTAGGAGGAATCGGTCTGAAAACTTGCGTCGGCATTTCTGATGACAGACTATCACAGTGGGTGAAGTTTCATCAAAATCAAAAAATATTTTTTCTATTGTACCCACTCTTTTTGAAAACTTTTGAAAATTACAGAGACAGCGTGTTATTAAGCGAACTATTTAAAAAAAAGATACAAATAGCATACATCAAGGAATTGACCAATTGTGTCTTCCAAATTTTTAAAAAATGTAACAGGGTAACAAGTTTTCATTGTAAAAGCCAAAAATGGGGAGTTAGCAGGCTTACGTGTTTGCATTTAAAAACTTGAAAAATCCTAGAAGTGAAGGAAATACGAATGTTTTCACAGAACCGCAAGTTTTTTAGTAAGAGCATCAAGATATTTTATTTGTAAACTCGTGGGGGTCGTTCACGTTCATGCACACAATCTTTGGAAACGCATTTAACCGCAATATAATTCTCGCAATTTGTTCTTGAGGCCTATCCCCTCGGAATTATATTGGGCCCGTTTTCAGATGTGTTTCTTTGTTCCTGCGGTTTGCCCCTCTTCTAGCGGTCTATCCACTGGCCAGCCGTGTCCAAGCACTTGACGATTTTTGGTGGAGGATTCTGTTGTACGTCGTGCAGGTACTGAAAAATGGTTGATGCAGCGAATGTGTGCTCAGAGTAGTGGACCGACGTTCATAAAGCTGGGACAGTGGGCCAGTACTCGTCGCGACGTCTTCAGCAAGAACTTCTGTGATCGGGTTTTGCTTCTCTCTTTGCAGTGCGAATAATCTCGTTCAGCTCTCCGTTCTGCACACCAAGACGCGGAAGAAGCGGCGATTCCGTGACGCCGAGCCAATCATCGACTCTCTTTTTGGAAAGGTATCTTTTCCATTCAACTGCTACTGATTGAAAATTTTTTTTTTTTTTTGACTCGAAAAAGTGATTCAATATGTGCGATAACAGTCTTTAATACCTTCTGGAGAGAAGTTTCCGAAATCGTCGTGTTTATCTTTGTATCCTCGCTCCTACAAAGATGTTTTCAGAATTTTGTGAAGAATCATGGAAGAGATGTCTTCACTGCGGTCGAGCCATTCTCCATCGGATCCGGCTGCATTGCGCAGGTCTACTGCGTCACAGTCAATGTCCCTGCTTTCGAAAAGGCTGTTGGGCGAAAGTTCCCGCAAATCGAAGGAAAAAAAGAACAGAAAATCGCCATCAAAGTATTTTTGCCCTGCAGTACGATTTCACAAACAAGCGCGCAGTGATTTCAGGTTGCCGAGCCAAATGTCGATGAGAAGATTGAGTTGGATTTGTCGATTCTGAGGACGGGAGCGTACGTTTTAGAAAAGGTTTTGTGTTTGTGATAAGCACTCAAGAATGGAATGTAGTTGATCCCGTCGCTGTGGTACTTGGATCCAAAGGGAGCTCTCGAACAGTTCGAAATGGTCCTTCGACGGCAGGTCGACCTCAGCAACGAGGCCAAAGCGCTCTTGGTAAATAAGTGAAACGGGAATAGTTAGTTGGACAAGCTTTTCTTCAGAAGTTCTCCGAGAATTTCGACGCGAAAACCAGTGGAATACGCTTTCCTTTGGTTTTTGGCTACACGAAAGATGCGATCGCCGAGTCTTTCGAGGAGGGCGTGTACATAAATCGACTTGTGGCCGAAGACAACAATCCGGATGTTAGTGTCAATGTTTGATTATCCGAGAGAGAGAAGCTGTGTGAGCTCAACGAGAGAATTCGGGCCTCCAATCCTTGATCCATTGGTTGTTGGAGCTATTAAAACTACCTGAAAAAATTCTATATCTTCGTTTTCCCATTTTTGACTGAATTGAAGTTTTTGTGAGGTTGGGCAAGCTTCAGCTGAAGTCCCGACAATCCTCCGCTGTCCGGAGAAGGATAGCGTTGATGGGAGCGCGGACGCTTCTGAAGATGATCTTCGTCGACAACTTTGTCCATGGCGATCTGCATCCAGGCAACATCCTTATCAGGTTCTACTGAAGGCTTTTTTCGGTTCTCAACTAGTTCAGGTTCAACGACAACGAAGCTCATTTGGAAGGCGTGCACAAAGCGCCGACGTCGGATTCCTTTGCTAGGAGAGCGGTTGGTATTTTGGCCTTTTCAGAAATAAAAAAAAGGTTGAGACTCGAAATAATAGCTGGATATGTTGAGGTTGACTTCTTGCGATCGGCGCTGAATTGGCGATCCGCGCCACGACTGCGATTCACGGAGTCGCCAGACATGGGCGACGAGCCGACGCTGGTCCTGCTCGACACGGGAATCGCCATCTCGGAGACGCCCAACAACCTGAACAACCTCAAGTCGTTGTTCCGCTGCGTGGTCGAGAAGAGGGGCTACGAGGTCGGCAAGCTGCTTCTCTCGCAGTCTCCCAACCAACAGTGCACCGAGCCCGAACGTTTCTGTCGCCAGGTACTCCCAATCGGCTTCTTCTCAACTTTCATGTTTTCAGGTCGAAGCTCTCGTTTTGAAAGCGCGAAGTGAGAAAAGCTTAAGAACGGTTGGTTCCCTTTCATATAAAATCAAAATTGGCATCCCACTTTCAAGTTTTTTTTGGAAAAAATAGAAAGAAATCAATGCTTGATAAAAAGTTTCCTAAGTGTACGAAACAGGCTGAAGCCATTTGATTGATTGGATTTTTTGGTTAGATGGTTTTTCACTGTACCTAATCTTGGTTTGGAACGTAGTTAAAAAGTGATTTTTTAAAAAGCGGTGAAATGAAAAAACAAAATTTTTTTAAAATCTTATTTTGGGATCGACACGCGGAAATCGCCTTCACCTTTGATCAAGAAATCATAGACTAGAACCATGAAACCAACCACTGATCTGTCATATGTTGATTATTACTTTTAAAAATAGTCAGGAAAAATATTTAAGATTTTCCATCATAATTTGATATTGGAAGAGGAAGAGTATTAACAATAAAAAATCTGGAACATTGGGGACTAAGATATTCGCGAAAACAAAAAAATTTATTGAATATTGGTGGAAAAATAGATGAATAGGCAAAAAAAAAATCGGTTACGATGTTGCTCCAAGATAAGCAATTTTTTATCAAAACGAGAGGGATCCAGAATAGAATATGGGCTTTAGACGACATATTTTGACCTCAAAGAATATCAGTTAGACGATTTTTTTTGCAGTTGAACATCTCGGCTTTGCTTTCGGAGATGTTCACTATAGTGGCTGAACACAAGGTGGAGCTGGACTCCTCTTTCACGACGGTCGTGCTCTCTGTGATGGTCCTCGAGGGCTTCGGCCGTTCCCTCGACCCGGACCTCGACCTCTTCCAATGCGCCAGACCTTATCTCCTCAATGTCCTTGTTTAATGGTCTCAAGCTAATTTTCTTAGTGCCATACGCTGAGAAACGCTTACTGGTCTACGGTTGAATGTATTGATTCCTCCTTCTTTCTCACCATTCGATTTTAATATCTCGTTTCTTAGGTTTCTGTTGTTTTCTAGCTCACAATTCAATTATGAAGCTGAAGAAATATATAACTAGATTTTAGTTTGTTGGTTACACGGGTTTATCACCCAAGTCGTATCTATCATCTTTGCATGACTGTAGTTGTTAGATATCTTGTGATGTGACTTTCGTTTTGGTCTGAAATGAACCTTGTGTTGTGATTTGTACTCATTGATTTACATTTTTGTTAGTTTCCCTGGTGTGAGATGACGTGATGGAAGTCTAGTGAGCATGTTTGCCTTCCAAAAAAGCAACTTTTCGTAGTCCTTGACTCAGTTAATCGGGATGTCGGGGTTTCACCACGCGCCGCCGCTCCGGAACGAGCGGCAGCTGAAGGAAAAGGGCCAAGGCTCGTGGCTCGAGGAGCTGCTCGAAGGCAAGGACGAGGTACTGCTTTACGTGACGGCGGCTCTCGGAGTAGTTCTGCCCGGCCTGGTCTATCTCCTGTTCCACAAGTGTCATGCCTGCTATCTTCGTTATGCCAAGGTCGGGACTCCTTTCCTTTCGCTTCACAGCTGTTCCGTGTATTCAGAAGAAGGAAGAAGAACGGCTGGCGGAAGAGTCGCGGCAGACGGAGACGTGCGTCGTCGTCCTCGGACCGTCAGATGGACACGCCGCCAAATGGTCTGCCAACGTCATCGAGAAGCTGTCTGGAGAGATGTTCCGCAAGCCGATTCTGTGGAAGGCCGATCAGCTCGACGTCAAGGAGCTCGCCGAGTTCAAGGCTTTTTTTTCACTTTTCCATCGTTTGAGATCATGTAAACTTTAGTTTGTGGCTTTCACAGTTCTCAAAAGCTTGAAGAAAAGAAAACCTAAACAAATTTCTACCATATATTTTTACCTCCAGACTGTAACGAAATTTGTTTCAGAGATTATTAGAAATATTGTTCAACGTAATTTTGCTAACCGTTCTAAGAACCGGAAGATTTTGAAGTTGAAATCAGACATCTCACCGACGTGCGTGTTCTCAGGGTTTCTGCATATTCCTAGTGGACACTTTGGCCGGCGGTTTCGCTTCTCCGGCCACGGATGCGCTTCTGGAATGGCTTGAAGACGTCGCTGCGGACTCTCGTCGCCGGAAAAAGGCCAATTTCGAAGTAATTCGGTTCGCAGTCGTCGCCTTCGGGAGCAGCGACGACGGGGAAAACGCCTTCAACAAGGTTTTTTCGAAAGAGAACCTTCAGTTCACGTTTACTGACTGCTTTCTCAAACCTTGATTCTATCTCATGTTTTTTGCTCCGTGTTTGAATGCTATTGGTTGGATCTAGCAAAAAAAAAATTGATGAGAGAACATGGTTAAAATTTCAAAGAGCATTGGCTATTAGTCTGAAGTAAGCGCTATATTTCGTCTCGAAATTCGCTGGTGCTTTTTGGAGTTTATAGTTTGCATCTGATATATCCTTTTTGTAACTATTAAGAAACCCAGTTCTGAAACGAATGAAACAAGAAAAAAGTTCTGCAGGCTGCCCGAATCTTACTCAAGCGTCTGAGGATCCTCGGCTCCAAACAGATGATCAACGCAGAAGTATATGATACAAATATCGAAGGTGCGACGATTCACATTTCTATCTAGTTGAGTACTTTCAGATTCTCTGATGGACATGAGATTTGCGGCGTACCTGGAGGAGCTTCTCGACGCCATGGACCGACATTTGCCAGGCGCGGAGCTTTCCGAATCCGACTCCACTGATGATGAAGAGGACGACGTCATCACCATCGAGCAGAAGAAGACTCAATAGCTCTCACATGCTTTGAAGTCATTTCTGAGATTTTTCATCCAAAGCGAATTGCAAACGTCATTGTTCATTCACCGCTGGCTTGATGGAACATTTGAGAGATTTTACATGGTTATCCACGTAAGGTGCTAAATTAAGTTTTTTTTTGTTCCAAGCTGGCGGTTAATAAATCGTTTTCTTTCTAGTTCCCCTATTTTTCGAATGACTCCTTTGAAGTCTATTCTGACTCTTTTAATTTTTTTTTACTTTTTAAAAGTTGGAAGCTTCTTGTTTCAAAAGAAGTGCATCAATCATCAGTTTTGAAGCTAAGAAAGCTCTATTTTTTCCCAATGTCTTTCTTGATTCTCGTTGATTGATAACGTTTTGGCAGAAAAACTTCACTTTCTTGTAAATAATGTAACCTGTGCTTTTCAAATGTAATAAAATGTACAACTTTTGAAAATATGACAGAGCTTTACAATAAAGTGCGCCAAGTTTCAAAGAAAATAAGCATCAACACGATGAGAAGTAAGGAAAAAAAAAAAGATAGGTCAGGTACATTTTAGGGGGCGGCATAGCTCAGCTGGCATAACTCATTTCTAACGTCCGCAAGGTCGTAGGTTCGAGTCCCCCCGAGGTCGACCAAGCCCTTCATCCCTCCGGGGTAGATAAAATTGGGAGCTGCATGCAGCGAAAAGGCTCAATCTCTGCCATTGGCCCTTGGAAAGCCGGCACCGTACTTCTTCCTACGACCTCTCTTGTACCTGATGTTCTACGAGCGAAATTCACAACTTCTCTGCCTAAGCCACAGCTCCTGCCGCCGTTTAAACACATTTGAAATCAATGAAAGTCGATTGCACATGTATTCTTACATTGAAGATACAATAAACAGTTAAAAAAAAAACAAACAGGTCAGGTACCGTTTCCGGCCCCTGGATTGTTGGCTTTTCAACCCCTTTTTTCAACGACAGGCCACGCTTTTTTCATTAATTTGTCCTCTAGGAGCTACAAGCACAGTATCCTGAAATGGATGAGCTCGCTAGAGATTAGATCCGTTCAATTTTTTCGTCTCCGCTCACTCGGTAGCTTTTCGTTTAGAAAGCTAGTCTTAGCGGTTGGGCTTCCGATGAAAATCTCAGAGAAGAAGTTCAAGCTCTCTGATTTCAGATGAACAAGTTTCCGGAAGTTGCTTGCATGCGAAATTCCTGACTGTCGACATTATCGCGCCACGTTTCAGACAAAAGTTTTCTGGTTCGAGTATGGGAAGTTGTGGAATTTCTCGAAGAAAGAGCGGCTTCGACGTCGGCGAGTCTCATTTCCGGCGTCTTCCTGGCCTCTCCTCCCGCAAAACATATCAAGCGACGAGAGGGCAAACACGACAGTCTTCTCATCCTTCCACTGCTCATTTTCGTGTTCCCGCCTCTTCCAACATATGTCTTTCTTTGAATGCTTTGACGATCCATCTCTTTTACCTGACTTCTTAATAATTTTAATAAGGGCTTTCTGAATTATCTATACAGTGTGAACCTTGAGATGTTATCTTCCGCCCGAAGTCCTATCCAAAGAACACCGTGAAAAAAATATTATTGACCGACTTAATTGTGTTTTAAAATTAATAAAATCGGTCAATTTTAATCATCGAATACTTTCTGAGTTTTTAGATTGCCTGTAACAAATATTTCGTTTCGTCGGACGCGCTCACGAAACGTTGTTTGAAGAAAAAACGAGCTCAAAGACTCGTGCTCGACCAGTAAGGAGACCGAAGAATGTCTTTGAACTCATCCACAAAAACTATTGAGTTGAAACCCTTTCTGGGACTTCAAAGCTGTGACTGATTGTACAGACGATGGTGCTCTCATGTTTGTTTCTGCACTAAATCCGGCCATTCGAGCGTACTGTTTGGTCACCATCTGCATATTTTCTCGTTTTCCGAATTTCTGCTATCTTAATTCTCGCCTTTCTTTTGAAGAATGAAACGTTAGATATGAAATTGATAGTGGAAAAATAAAAGGCTCATAGGCCAAACCTTCGTTTCTTTTTCCGCGTCTCCAGTTCACTCTATTTCCCTCGCTTCAGTAATCAAGAATGTAAATATTCAAAAAGGCAAAGCGCATGAAATTTTTTTTTCGCTCTTTCATTTCGTCCTTTTTCCGGCTGGCTATAGACTTTTTTCACGCTGTACACATTGTTTCAAGCTAGATCATAGATTTTTCTAACTTCCCATGATAAAAATTGAGATTCAAGCTAAAGTTTTGAGATTAGATCACTAATTCAACTTCTTATGAAATATTAGGTCGTTTACTAAGTTTCTTTCTTTTTTCGGTTGAAAGTTATTTGGTGTATAACTTTTTAATTTTGGATTCAAACAGCAAACAATTTCTCCCCCGTCATTCTCAGCTATCTGTTAACATGACTGTTAATTTTGGAGTTCCTGACTTCAAAACGAGCAATGATATACTCAAAAAAAGGGGCAACTAACTCGATTTCAACCCCTCTTAGAAAAAAACTTTTTTTGTTTCTTCTAAAAAAATTTATGATTCAATGTTTTTGTAGTTGATGAAAAACGAGGGAGGATGGAAGTACAGATAGAGTAGGCAAACTGACTTTTTAAACAAAAAACCAGCCTAAAAATCTTTTTTCTTTAAAAGTTTCGGTCAGTGATCAATGACAATGACATGGTCGCTGAACATTTAGACGCTTTTCTCATGAACTGCTTTGAGGATGATTTTGATTTTTTGTGGTTATTTAGTACAGACATGGTCTGTATCAGTCACGTTTTCTTCAGAAGGTCTAAACGTTTGACGCCGTCAGAGAGCCTCCAGAAGTTAATCAAGCTGTCATTTCAGTTGATTACCGTTTCTCAAAATTTTAGACCGGAAAAACTCAGTTGAACCACTTCTGCTTTGACACATGGCTGCAGTGACCTTTGTTGTACTTGTTTTTTTATTAACTTGAGAGATAGCAAAAGAACAGAAAATTTGAGAGTGGATAGAAACCACTGCCCTGGTGCTATAAAAATTTTATGATGAAAAAAGGCTGTAAAATTAGATCCTCGAGTTTCACGGTAGCTGCCGGTTGCTAATGTTATGCCTATAATTTTTTTCAAAACCTCAAACCTGATATATAATTACAAATGTACTTCGGGGAAAATCAAACGAAAACAGGACGCGCATTGTTTCAACAATGTTGGCCAATCATAAATTTGTATGGTCTGGCTTTTGAATAATTAACTCATTTCTCCATTTTTTTGGAAGCAAACGAAAACTTTCACGAGCAAGCACACGACCTCAGTTTACGTTTTATGTAACTTGTTCGAATGATAAGATTGAAAAAAAGTAAGATAAAAAAATAAATTCGCAAAAACTTTCCAAAAAAATCGAGATTTTTTTCGAGTTCGGACAAAGTTCTGTATCTTTTTTTCTGCATAGTGTTATAGGAATACAGTTAATTTTAATCTGAACTTCAGAATGTGTAGTAGTGAATACTATATGAAGCAAAATTGTGAGAAGTGCTTTTCTGGTTGAAAACTTTTAAAAAAAAAAGTCCATCAAAAAAAGAAAGAAACTTAGTAAACAACCTAATATTTTTTTTGATGTGTTAAACACAAAAAAAGGGAAAAATTTTTTTCATTTAGTTTTTTTATTCAATTTTTTTCTTTCCAAAAAAAGTTTTCAAAAATTTGATTAAAACTTGCTCCGGACTCTCAAAGAGTATAATTGGGATACAGAGGAATTTATATTCCGTTTCGTGAATGAGGTGCACAAACTCAAGATATTTCGAATTTTCAAAGATTTCCGCTTTTTCTTGTTCAATGACTATGCAAATGATGTATTGTTTGTCTTGCAGGAAATGGGAACGATTTTTGAGTTGTCGCCGACAGATTTGCACTCTTTGGCGGCGACACTCAGGCCAAAAATGTCCCAGGGCGACGTTGGAGATGTTGCCGGATTGCAGTCCAAGGTTAAAGTCCCATACAGGCTCTTGACTTTAAATTTCCAATGTTGGAAGGTTGGCGACCAGGGCTGCACGGAAGAGAAATTTAAGTGAAAGGAACAAAAAGTTTTTTGGAGAAGACGGAATTCCGTGCAACTCTGCTGGGGACGTTGCGGAAAACTTTCAACATAAAACTATTCAAAATAAGGATCTTTCGACTTCAAACTGGAGCTTTCCGCACTTGAGAGTTTTCAAACTGGCTACTTTAAAGTTGATTGGACGATTTGGCAAAAAAAAATTTCTTCTTCAAGCTTGGATCGATGGAGTTTTAACCATCAAGCATCACCATTATATCATCATCAGTGTTAGAGAACTTCAAAAAACGCGTTTCACAGTTCGACCTTCAGTAATCAACTCAGGTCACCGAGTGGCTGCTTCTGAACGGCTTGTCCACCCTCCACAGATGGACGCGCAACGACGTCGGCTGGGAGATTCCGAAGGCCGCAGAGGACTGCTCGTCCTGCCAGCAGTTCAAAACGCGTCACAAATGTAACAGTCGAGGGAAAGCTCAAAAGAGAGGAAGGACTTGCAGACATGCCGAAAGCGATCGTCGAACAACCCAAGACGCCGACGGTGGAGAAGCCGCCATTGTTGGTCACCTTCGACATGAAGAGCAACGAGGTCGGACCTTCGAGGTGGACGAAGGCTCCTTCGACCGTTCGCAAGTTCTTCTTGCAGCACTGCGCGGAAGTACTACGAGACTCCCGGGGACTGCGCGACGTCGTGCGGAGAGTGCTGTCTCAAGCCGTTGGTCGACTGCTTCGCCATCTGGCGGGTCTGCTGCTTCTGCTGTCGAGGATGATTCCTCACAAACGAACTTTGAGTGTATTCACGGACATCTACCCAAAAGTCACTTCTCTCGAACTTTGGAAACACTCAAAATCGAAATTTTTGTCGGAAAGTAGAATATTAAACAAGAAGACTCGAACCTTCATCTAGTTGATAAAAAAAACCTTCTATTAACAAATTCTAAAACCTCGATTGAAATAGTCTTTCTTGTCATGAACTATTTGAGTATTTCGTTCTCAATTGAACATTTGCTCGATTGTTTTGTTTTTTTACGCAATAATCCGGCCAGAAATTTTGCGAATATTGTACTTAGTCCATGAAATTGATGCGGGTGCTATAAGTAAAATAAAGACATTGAAGTATGGTTTTTTTTTAAAAATATATCATCATTTCGGTAAAATGCATTGATTTATGGTTTTTTCCAAGGTTTCTGGCAAGATTTCACGGTATTCGAACTCGTGCTCCAAGGCCATCGAAAACACATTGCAAGTGGAAAACAAAATCATTTTTTAAACAGATTCACACTTTGGCGAAACAAATCGCAGAAGCGAAATAATCGTCCTAACTCATAGTTACTTCCCTTTTTTCAAAAAAGCTGAAGGTTATTACTAACTAATAACTTATGAGATCTGGATAAAATAAAACGTGTTCGAAAGTGAAAGAAAAGCGCTTTTTCTCCTTCAACTTCATATTTTTCGCTCGGCTTCAAAAATATCCAGACACAACGGTTTTTCATGTTTTTATTTCGCGTAACCAGAGTCGGTCGCCTAGTTGGTGCGGTGGACGGCCGCTCCAGAGATAACATGAATAACATGAGCAATTGATAGATAAAAAGAAAAGAAAGAAGTGCTTGCACACGAGACACATCAACCTACGACCGATTGCTCCAATTCGACTTCGCTTCCAAAATCTCTTCGTAATGAGCACTCTATCAATTATTTTTGTTTTTGCTTCTGCGTTATTTTACTAAGAACTTCTAAAAAGATTAAAAAACAAAAAGAGATACGACTCGATGTGGATTAAAAGCGAAAGGTGCGTTTTTCTTTGCTGGAATTTAAACTTTGGGGCTATGAATGCTGGAGGGATTAAAAAAAACAACCACTATCATAGAAATGTCGATTTATACAAGCTTAAAACCAGGATTCATTCCATAAAATTGAAAGGCGGGCGCGAAAAGTGTTTGGGGACAGATAAAAAAGATTTTTTTTTTTGAAGATTCCTCGAATCTGGAGCTGCTTAGTCAGAGTCCGGGAAGGGTCCAGCCAGCACCTTCTTGATGAAATCTGCAAATGAATCAGCTTATAGAAAGTTACTGAGAGATAATTGAGAATTTTAAGCACAGAAGAATTGAGAAACGAACCCTCGTATTTGACTTGTCCTTCGGCGTCTTCGGCTCCCTTGAGAAGCTCGTCAACCTGTAAACTCAGTTCTTTTGAAACGATTCCTTGTAGGAATAAGCATTTTGAAGATAAAAATAATCTATAATGGAAGAACTGTTTTGGAAGGCCTGAAAAAGACCTCATCAGCGGTGAGTCGCTCTCCGAGTGCCAAAAGAATGTGCCTGAGCTCAGCGGCCAGGATCTTGCCGCACTCGTCCTTGTCGAACACCTTCAGTCCTTCGACGAAGTCGGCGTACGTTCCTTGTTCCTGAAACAGCCGAATTTCCTCACTCTGGTCAACTTTAAAAGATCCCTCAAGACAGAAATAGTTCCAGTTTTGCAAATCATACACTGATATTTTCCACGTATTTCATTTTTAGAATGGTATCTTTCAAAGATTTCTTCACTCTTTTTTCTTCACTATCAATTGAAAAACTTGTGAATTTTTTTTTCATCTGTGGCCTCTTTCTTTCAGATAACGATTATACAGGATTTTGAAAGACTTTGAAAATGAAACCAACTGGTTTTTAAATTTTCATTAAAATCAAAAGCCTTTCCCTATCAACATTTTAATATGTGCTCTAAATAAAAAAATACATTTTTCAATCAATGGAAGACAATCTGATATAACTTTGTGTACAGCTTGAAAAGTGGACCAATATCAACTTCTTCCTATCCTTTGTTGAAAAACTCTATTCCAGACTTGAAGTTTGATCTTTGTTCATCACACAGAAGTTGCCAACTCCTTACGGAAAATCTAGGAACTCTCTATGCCTGACTACAGTTCCGTCCACCTTCAAGACTTCAGTGTAGTCAATCCGTTGCTCATTATTATCAAATGATACGACCAATTAATATATCCTTCTTCAAACATCTTCTATACTCTTCCACTGCTGTATACTTCTCTTGAGAGATGATAAAAGAGGCTGGCCGCGACTAAAAACAATTGAATCGGCGCTGTGGCTTGGAGTTTTTGTTGGGAGAAAAGAAAAAAGCCGGGGCTCATGGAGTGGCAGCCGCGGAGGCTCGGAAGACGCCTCTGCCGTTTACTTTACACAGTTCGGCGTGGGCCTTCGACGGCCGCGGGGGATCGCCGTACACCGCGGCTTCCATCCGACAGCCCACCGCTTTTTCCGATTTATCGATTGCTCACGCCATCGATTAACAAGTTTCCTGCCGCATTTTCCGAGATACGAAATCAAAATTTGGAGTCTGACTGCGGTATTTCAAAGACAGACTTTACAGAAAAAAAAACCTCTTGAGAACGAAAAATTTAATGGAAAAAAATCACATTAAAAGGAATAGTTGCGTTTTGCGGTTCTTGAGAAAGAAGAACTACAAGTTAAACGAGAAATTCGAACTTTTTCCGTCCAAATAAGCCTGTTAACAATTTTCTACTTTTTTATGGAGACTCGGCTTCAACTTCTTTTTTGAAGTTTTCTAGAGATGGAATTCAAAGATATTCTTTACACGATTGAAAAGAAGAGGTTTAGAGATTAAGGCGGTATTTTTTTGTTCCAAGCTTTGGAAAAATATAACTATGTCATAATAAATGCTCAAATCTGTTGAAACCTAGAGAGGAACTCAAAAAAGTCAGTCTCTCAATTTATAGTTATTATTTAGAAGTTATCTTTCAAGTCGATCTGTTAAGCTTTGACGTTAGAGATAAAAAGTCGCTGCCTGGAAAAACCGGTAGAGCAAATCTTCGCGGCGTCAAGTGGATTTCGGTGAGGAAAAAGCTGAGAGAAATCGCATGTTTGCGCTCGACTGATGAGTTTTCGGGGGCAACTCCAAAAAAGCGATACCTTTTCCTTGCTCAACTGCTCGTAGATCGGGAGCCATTCCTCGAAAGTGATGCGCTTCTCTCCCTTGCGCTTGAACTCCTGGCCGGAAGCCTGAAACAGTTCTCGACTTGAAACTAGTGAGAAGCATGTTTTTAACGGTTTTCGGTGAAGTTTCCAACTCTCTCCTTGGCCGAAGACTACACTGTTGCAAAAAGTTGAGAAAAGAAGGAAGAAGGACCTTGACGACGAGCGCGTTGGTCGGCTTGAGGCCGGCGGCGCGGACGACGTCTCCGATCTGAGTGCCGTCGATCTTGCCGTCGAGCTCCTCATCGTAGAGGTTGAAGATCTCCTTGAGCTGATCTGAAAACTCTCTTTCACAAAAAAGTCTCTTGTGATCTTTAAAGTAGAAATAAACCAGAAAAGGGTGGAAGTATATTATTTTCAAGGCTCGCTTAAAGCAAAAGTTTTTGCGGCGATTTCTCAGAACTTCTTTGAATATCTCAAACAGCCATAGACTTTTATTGGATACTTACTCAAGTCAGCGGTTAATGAACTACGGATCAGGTTTATTTTCGAAACTTATTTGCTTCCACGCATTTATTAAAGTCGAATTTCCAATAAGGAATAATTTTCAATATAATTTACGTTCTGAATGAGCATCCTAAGGAGATAGGTTTGAAAGGTTTATTTGATCGAATATTTCTCATTTTTGTCTCATCAAATTGAAAGCTTTGTGCGGAATCTCAGAGAAGCGCTAATCCAACGGACGCTTTTAATTTGAAAAAAATTATTCAAAAAAACTTTAAAAAATTGAATCAGAACAATTCGGCGCAAAGACAGAGCTGGAATGACGTAAAGGATTGGAAAAAGTTCGAAAAATCTTCCCAAATAGATCCGAAAAGTTTGATCCTTATTGCATTAAAGAAAAAAGATCAGGCTCCGTCTGGCGTGAATAATCTCACATACAAGATTTCAAATGAGTATCCTTTTCCATTTCGAAGTTTTCATGTCTAATTTTATTTCAATAAATCACTAGCGATTCAAAATAAGATCTCAAACTAATTAAAGAAAGCGAATTCTGAAGATGAGCCACCCAAGATCTCCCATTTTGAAAGCCAACAACAGATTCATCAAATGCTTCGAAGAATATTGAGCTCTAATAATGTTTCCGATAGCCTTCCTCTGAGAAGTTGGAAAAGAAGCTTGGAACTCACCCTGGGACGGCATGACGGAAAGAGCGACGAGCGGTTGCTGTAACTAGCGACGAGCACAACAGAGGAGGACGAGTGGCTGGGGCGGACTCTCGGGCTGGCGAGAGTGTACACTAACTCGAGTCCTGGCGCTAGAGCCGCGGATATATTTTTAGGGCGGGGACGTCCCACCGGCTGTAACACGATGCGAAGAGCGTGCCGCCGTCGGAGGCCCCAGACGATACGACGTCGCCGAGATACCGTACCTATGCCGCTCGGTTCTGTTTGTCCTGCCACTTTGGCATCTGCGCGGGTTCTTGCCACGGCTCCACGCATCTCGTAGCCCTTCCCTAAGGTAAGATGGAAAACCTTGGAGAGCTTGAATCGGTCGTTGAACTACGGAGGTTTCCTGCAAATTCACGTTGTAAAAAACTTGATTCTCATCCTGTTGACGAGATGAAGCATTGTGATCGAACAGTTGAAGTTCTTTTTGAAAATCGCTCACGAACTTCTTAGGAACAAAATAACCTGCAAAAGTTTCCCATAGTCGTTTCCCAAGTGCAGACTCGTCCAGGAAGGCGACGTGTGAAGGCTCCTTTCTCTTTCTCTCAAAAGTCAGCTGCGTATGACATGCACCGTCAAAAGTTTTTTTTTAAAGGATCTTCTGAATATTTCTGAGATCCGAGTAGAGCTATAACTTTTGTAACAGTGTTGAGCGGTCGGCCAGCGGGTGGTCTGAAACTGCTCTTGGCAGTTTCAGACCGATTTGATTTGAACTTCTCTTCGATAAAAAAGATTGGTTCCCTTACAAGTTTTCTGCATACAGCCTCTGGAGCCTTAAGACTAAACTGAAAACGAAATCCGTGCGTAGAAAAGTTGAACTTCAAACTGCAGCGTTCTTCGACAGCAAAAAAAATCTGAGAGAAATAAAATGTAAAACCAAAGAAATTCAAGAAAATGTCCCCTTTCAATGCTAGCAACGTGTGAGAAAACCTCGATATATCGTTATGATTGTCATAAAACTTCTTCAATATTTCAAAAGTTCACATTAAACTGTAAATCAAAGTTTGATCCGCGTTTAGCAGAAGTTTTTGATTATAATTATATTTTTTCTCTGCTAATTACTTCAGAAAGTCCTCCCCTGCGTATAAGTGCGTCTGGCGGAAACCTTGATTTCCTCGAATACCCGCTTAGCCGGAATCCACGCAAGCTGAGTTCAGTGTAAAATCCGTTGTCACCTCGACAACCTCTCCCCGATCTCAACGATCTCTAGCGTCCGCCAAACTCTCACGATGCGGAACACATTTTTTGTGTTGTATGGTGCTTGACGAAATCTAAAGAATATTTTTTATTCAATAGAAAAAGGTTAAAAACTTCAAACTAGAAATATCAATCAATAGGAAGATTTGTAAAGTTGATGTAAAGATACCCAAAACTGAAAACTGTCGAACAAATAAATAACAGAACAAAAATCAACAACTAAAACAATAACAGAAGGTAGAAAAATAGCAACAAAGGTACAAGAATGAGACTCAGTCGGTGTACCGGGCAAGGTCTAGCCGTGGCACGATGTTCATCGACTGCAACTCCTGCAAAAGGAACCGGAAATGAGTTGGCTCCTACAAGGAGAGGGGCACCTGGAAGAGAAGCTTGCAGGCGTAAGGAATCTTGATGTTGGCCATGCTCTTGCTCGACCGACAGTGCTGACACCAGCCTTTGGAACCCATCACGCCGCAAACCGTGCAAACGTCCACCTGAAACTTCCTTGCTCCAATTTCTTTTTGATTTTCTCTCAATCTCAAATTGCTGTTAAAATTGGAACGGATTCGAAAAAAAAAATGGAGAAACGATAATGAAAAAGTTGGGACAAAAAGTGCAATTTTTTTTTTGATTTTGAAATTTTTTTTTAGCGCCTGCATTAATACATATTTTATTTTTGATGATGGCAGAGAAGCAAGAACTAAACTTTATGATCATTATAACAATAATAGGTTTATTCACTGCAAACGGTAAAAGATCATTCAAAAAAAGATATCTCAACCCATTTTGAAAATTGTCTCAGTGATAAATTTTACGTTTAGGACTTTCCATGTATACTCTGTGCAGAAGAACAAAGCGAAGGATCTTAATATGAAAGTTGCGACTTTTTTTTCCAATCATTTCTAGTACGCCAAAGGTGGAAAACTTCAACTCATGACAATCTCATGGCACTAAAAGGGTATATTCTCCTTCAATACGATCCCCCAAGTGATTATTGACTCTTTCAAATCTTTCGATATCACAGAACCCCTTTCCATTTCAAAGTTTCGAAAATAGTAACGTATTATTGTCGGCCAGCTCTCCGGGGAAACTGTCGCGCTTTCCATACATGTGTGCCCTGGTGGCATTTCCAATTGCCAAACAACAAACGACTGGAGCAAGCGTTGGATGTTGCATACTCAGAGACACAGACATGTGCTCTCGGCAGTTTTCTGCCTGATCGCCGCAAAAGAGGCCGAGGTAGCGATCACCGTGCTTGAAAATCTCCACCTCTCGAGAAAGTCGGCAGCTTCGCTCGCACTCCGTTGCCAGCGGCACATGCCGGCCTTCCAGAGCCGCAGTTGAGGGAGTGGAACACGGAAACGAAAAGAATTTTGTGTTCAGGACTCACATTGACACTCTACTGATTGATAATCATACGTGGGCAAAACTACAGATGAAAGCTTCCAGGGAAAGTTGACTGACCAATATTGTAAAACAACGTTCATTCGTTCACTGAAAATGGTAATTACCGTCAATGAACTTTTTTAAATATTCATTTAAGGTTGGAAGATGTGCTAGAATTCTCAATTTTGATTAAAGATAGGTCATTTTTGGTCGCTGACCAACTGATAAACGTATATTTTGAAAAAGATATACTTTCTTTGAGATTCTAAATGCTCAGGAACCTGAAAATGTTTAGAATCTTTGTCCAATGATAAAAAACTTGCAGCAAAAAAAAAACTAAGTTACAGGTGATTGCTAGAAAAAAGATCTTGTAGTTGACTGATTGCAAAAAATTGATCTATGGAAAATTATCGAAAACTGTGAAACGCAAAAGGCCGCTTTTTTTTGATTCTAGAAAAAAGCAGAATTTCCTCTCTGACTAAGGTTTTCATTAATTCTGGCGTGTTCATCCTTTTCGTGCAAAATTACCAGCTGTGCGTGGCATTCAGCAATGACGCGCACAGAGAATTCTGAAGTAGAAGGAAAGTTTTTTTAGTTGGAGGTCACAGAGCAAATAGTAGCAAAAATCGGCGCAAACAAAAGTGCGCGTAAAACGAATTTTCGAGTGGTGGATAACCGCGGAGGCTTTCGATAAGGAGGAGGAGGGGCTTTTCTCAGAAAGCCGCTTTTCTTCAAAGCCCGAAGTCTTCCTCATTGGATGGTTCTAGTCAGATTTTTCCTTTCTAGTTCTTTCCTCTTCGTAAGGACGAAGTTATACCTACTTTTTTGTATTTAGTTTTCTTCTAACTGCCAAACTGAATATTTTTCGACGAGAAAAAAAAAATGATCGGTTGAAATTCTTAAAGACGGCAGGATCAAGAAATTCCGCAATCCATTTCTGATTCCAACTGCCACAAGCTGAGAACTCACCTTGAACTCGTCACTGGACACCATGAGACGTTCGATGAGCAGCATACTCGCTCCATAGGCAATCAGACAGTCGCGCTCCATTTCTCCGAGACGCAATCCGCCTTCGCGCGACCGGCCTTCCGTCGGTTGCCGTGTCATCGCCGCTCTCAAATACTCCATTTGTTTCGGTTCGAAGCGGGCTTTAATGGTGGAAAAAGAGTAAGGAAACATTTCTTTTTTGGCTTAAAAACGCTCTGAAACTTTTAAAGCTACAATAAAAGCATACGTTCAAAATATATAAACAATCGCAATTACTTCAGCCTCTGCGTAACGTAAACGCGGCTGTTATTTTTTTTTAACATCACTTTTTCCGACTGTTTTCAATCTCTCAGACCAACCTTGGTCCTCTAGCACGGGCGTGCATTTTGTCCAGAACCATGTGCTTCAGCTTCTGGTAGTAGATCGGACCGAAATAAATGTAGGCCGACAGAGGCTGTCCAGTGATGCCGCTCGTCAGCATATCCTTCAATTTCTTCCTTATTATCAACGAAAAAAAATGGTTTTTTTCTCAGAAAATAAGTTGATCGTCTCACTTATTCTCATAACAGCTGGAATATTTTTGGGAAACCTGGGATTTTTTTAGAAATGAGTCTTCTCTTCTTTTTATGTCACTAGTAAGTTAGTCTTCTCATTGGCGAATAAAGACAGGAAGTTTGTTCGAATCGGAAAAATAAACATGCCTTTCCCATGTAGTTGTAACCTCGAGCAGCGAGTTCATCGCAAACCTGAGCCACCTGGAAAAATAGAAGATGATTTAGGAAAAACAGCGAATTTCCGACTTGGTCGCCACCGAACGCCGTTCCATAGTGGTAGTTTCCATTGAGGACGCCGGCCTTGCTGCTCAGCAACTCCATCAATTTCCCGACGGTCATCCGAGAAGGGTAGCCGTGGGGATTCATGATCATGTCCGGCACCATGCCCAAGTCGTTAAACGGCATGTCCTCCTGTCATATCCAATTTTGAAGGGACAAGAGAATTAAGCCGAGAGACACTTTTCAGCAAAGATCATAACATTGTGGTTTTCAAAGTTCTTTTGTGAAAAAAACTGTTTTTTTCCTAGATTTTTGCGTTCTTCGAGACTTGGCATGCAAGCTCATCAATTCCTATTAGAAATGGCTAACCTGCTGGGCTATCAGTCCGCAAACGCCCTTTTGGCCATGCCGCGATGAGAACTTGTCGCCCAGCTCAGGCCTTCTGAAACAAGAACAAATGAAACACGTGAAAAATGAGAATTGATGATTACACAATAATTTATTACACGCCAAAAAATGTTTTCAAACTCGGTTTGTGAGGACTCACCGTGTTTGACGCAATAGAATCTTGAAGAGATGAGCTTCTTCTTCGTTATAGGTCAGAAGCACTCTTTCGGCGTAAGAAGGCGTCGGCGTTTTGTAGGTGATGGAGACGTCTTTGTAGTCCACCTGGCGGTTGCCGATTCCAACTCAAAATAGCTATTTCAAAACGTTGAAAAGTTCTTTTTTTTTTTGCTGTTACATATCAGAATCGCATTTACATTAAAAAGTGGGAGTGAAAAAACTTCTTTTTGAACTCTTCTAACCAGGGAATGGTCTCAGCTCACAGTGGGACTTCTGAAAGAGACCATATTTTCTAGATGGAATCAGCGTGAAAAACTACATCTAGAAAATATGGTCTCTTTCAGAAGTCCCACTGTGAGCTGAGACCATTCCCTGGTAAGAGTAGAAGCTTAAAAAGGAAAAATTAAAAATGAATGAAAGAAACTGACTCGTGTTGGCGGAAGCAGTGGCGGTGTTGTCGGAGACGACAGGCATGTGTTTGTTGATCATCGTCTGCTTGGGCTTGATCCGAGCTCCCGTGAAGACCAAACCGTCCGAGTCGAGAAGCTGCAAACCAAGTTCGAAACATCATAGAAGCTCGAATCGGACCTTGTGCTTGTAGATGGGCTTCCTGGAGGTGGGATCGAGCGCAGGACCCAGTAAACGGTCAAAAGTTTGGTTAGGATATTTGCGAGCCACTGCCTTCACGTGTTTGTAAACCAAACAGCGACCGTAACCTTAAACTTTTTTTTTTGAAAATCTGTATCAGAGTCTGTAGACATTTTTTAGGCTTATAATTATTCAACGTCGCAGAAAAAAACGGCACAAACAAGCGTACATTCTATTATAGAGCACGATATGGCGAAGACAGCAGACACGCCGCCTCCGCGTTCTCCGTGATCTCTAATTTTATTTATGCATGCTTACGTGTCGACTTTTTTCTGTGATGAAACGTGTTTTGTTTCACGAAAACCGTGTAAATCTTCCCAACATCCGCTACTTTCTGAGCTCGCAACTGGATGAACTACGCGCAGAAGAGCTAAGCGAAGGACCGTAAACCATGCTTTCCACTATTTCGACCACACGTTTGGACTTCTAGTTCACCAGAGGCGGTTGTTCGTTATAGCTTCAGAAGTTCTCTTTTTTCAAGCTATTCAAAACATTTATCTATCTAGACGTACCGGAGTTATGGCCTTCTAAACGTTCTCAATGAATCGTTCAGAATTCCAAAACGATATACTAAGGATAACGCAGGCCAAAATGAAAAGGAAGGATGATACCTCGATCAAGTGAGGCTTTGTTGAGAACGAGCGCATCTTCAATATCGTAGCCACTGTAGGACATGACAGCAATGATTCCGTTGGCCCCCGCGGGCAACTTCTCGAAATTGATCAACTCGATGGTCTGACAACAAAGGGCCATCTAGGGAATGAGAGGAGCTGCGGAAACCTTGGATTTGACGAGAGGCCTTTGAGGGTAACACAGAAGATACATAACAGAGTCAATCCGCTTCTGTTGGTTGTAGGCGATTGTTCCCATTGCTGAACCGCTTTTGCATTTTTTTTTTTTGCTCGATTCTCCAATCCCTCACCTTGTTTGCCCATGGCGCATTGGTAGGTGTTTCTCGGAGACTGGTTATGATGCGGATAAGGGATCAATCCGGCACAGACCCCCAAAAGAGTGAATGGTTCGATCTTAATTACCAAAAACTCCTTTCTATTTTTAAACATTATTCACCTTAAAAGGTGAATAATGCTGTCGGTTTTTCGCTTTGATTGATTTTTTTTAAACCAAAATAAAGTCTTGGAAGTTTTTGCAGGTAATCTTTTTCATAAAATGTTGATTTAATCAAATGTCTCACAACTTCAATCATTGAAAAAAAAACTGAAATCGAGATATTTCAGAACTAAATCAAGGATAAATTTTAAATACACAGAAAAGGGGGAGGAATAATGAGAATTTTTTAATTGTTAGAGAAAAAAAACCTTTATTGTTTTTTTTTGTTTTAGGGATTTTCTGCACTGTGCGAACCTCTAAATGAGTTGTCTCCGGAGAGATCTCTCTCTCGTACACAGCAATCAGAGCGTCGTTCATCTCATTCACGTCCAAATATTCAACAATTCCGTCGTCCACGAAATCCTCGAAAATTCGCTTTCCTTCTTTTAGCTCCTATAAACGGGAATTTGATGGAAACACCGAATCAGTTCATTGTAATATAGAATCGGCTACAAAAAAATTATTTGTTGTTTCCTCTAAACATTTTTTCATTTCAACGCTTCTCTCCGTGGGATCTTTGGATTAACAGCCGTTCCAAAGAAACGGGCTCTGGATTTTTCTGAAAGATATTTTGTGGGTTTACTTTATGACACGATCTACAGGAAGCTTGACCGACAACTATCCTTTCTATTCGACATATGATTTCCTGAGATGATGGATTACCTCGATATGAAGTTGCTGGAGCATAGGCACGCCTTTGTGGACCACGATGTAGGGTCTGCACAAACGGCCGCCATCGCTCGAAATGAAGACGGACCTTTGAACCAAAGACCGCGAAACCGAGACAAATTCAGATAAAAGACCACTTCTGGAATTGATTCCTTTTGATTCCAATCCCAGTGACGTTAATCGAACCTCCGTACGTCTCTGACCGCTTTCACCACCCGACCCGGGTCAACTGTCGTGCCGACAAGCAAACCGTTCAGGAATATCAAATGGTTTTGTCTGAAATCACAACTTTGGCGTTTGAAGAGAAAACAAAGCTGAAGTCATGATTTAAAAAAAAACAGAGACAAGGTTCCTTCATTTATTTTTTCAATCTTGGCATCCAAAAATGAAGGTTTGATAAATCATCAAGACTTATGTTTTTTTTTTGAACCTATGAAATCAGTTTCTTTGAAAAACGCTTTCCGAACTGCGATTGAAATGTGACATCACTTATCAGCGAGGTTAGTGAGAACGAAATAAAAACTGACATCTGATTGATATGTGAGTAGTGGGTATTCTGCAAATCTTCGACGCCGGAGTTGAAGAGAAGCCGAAGGACAGGCTGAAAGACGGGAATGCGGTCGTGTCAGGGGGGAGGAAAGACCTTCTCGTCGCTGTCCGTCGTGATGTGGCTGATCAACGCGAGGTTCTTCACGAGTCCACAAGCTTCGCCTTCGGGAGTGTCGCTCGGACACAGCATCCCCCACTGCGAGGGCTGCAGCGACCGCGGACCCGACACCTTCAATTTCAACCACCTTGTTAGAAAAATATATATTTCCGTTTTCCTTCCAAATTTTGAGAAAAAAACTACACAGATCTAATCTTACTAGGGAACTACTCGGACTCGGGTACGCGTTTCGAGTTGAAACTTTTTTGGCTTATAGACCCGGGTGAGAGCACTTGGAAACAAGAGTGAATATCTGCTAAACCCGATAGGCTTCTGAGAAAAAGCTTTCTGAAAATGAACAGTTTAGGCTTGAAAATTATAAAATTTTTGCTTTCCTCTTTCTTTTCGCTGGAAAAAAGTTTCTCAGAGCTTATCATAGCCGGATCATTCAAGGCGATTGTATTAAAATATAAAATGAGGTAAAACGCAGTATTTTGAAAAATTTCAGGTCTAATTTTCACATTTTCTACTATTTTTTTCTCAGTTCTCTATCGGGTTTAGCAGATATTCTCTCTGGTTTTCAAGTATTCTCACTTAGGTCTACAAACCACTAAAGTTTCAACTCGAAACCCGTACCCGAGTCCGAGTAATTCCCTAGTTAGTACTTTTGCCTTTTCTGCTTTCGGTTTTTGTCCTCTTTGATTATTTTGAACTTACTTGAGTTCAAAAAACTTGGCAAAGATGTAACTTCGTCAAAAAATTAATGAAAACTTCTTCCTACCCCTTTTGCCAGGTTGTCTGCTTGCTATCTAAATTCACCAAAACTAAAAACAATTTTTCCTCTCAGCAAAACAAAGAAAGAAGTAATTTCACTTCGCTCTGTAATTGTTTGGGGATCTGCTCAAACACTCAATGAAAACATTTGAAATTTCAACCTAAAAACTTTCCAAGAACGGACGACCTAAGCCCCTTGAATTCATTTGCAACAAGTACAAGAAAATCCTAGAGTAAACGCACAAATGGGCTTTATGTATTGATTGGAGTATTAAAAGAACAAAAACATGATTTTTTCGTCATACACTTCATAAACAAAAACCTTGCGAGTTTTCTCAAAAGTCGAGTTGATACGCGTCATCATTCCAAGAGCAGAAATGTAGGAGAGCCTTGTGAGGACCTCAAAACAGGAATATTTCAGTGAGTTTGCAGGGAACCTGTGTGACGCCGATTCTCTCCATTCTGAAACGCTTGATTATCCAGTTGCCGGTCGACAGAGCATTCACAATGGCGTTGGTTATCATTTCCTGTTCGGAAGTTGGTCGATTACCTGGGGATACCATCTACCTGTCTCATATGTTTCACGATGTCCAAGGGGGCTGCCATCGTCTTCATCAAGGCGTTGTCGGCGATCCGTTTCAACTCCGAATTGAACCTGCAACTCGTACCTCTCATCCTAACAATCGGACATGTATTTTATTCCGTGAATAAAAATAATGTTCAATCGGCGATAAAGTGAGAAGAACAACAAGAGACCGTTTGAAAACATCTTCAAAGAGCAGAGAAAGGAGGGATCCAGCCAATTCAAGTCTTTTGTTTCCGTAGAAGTCCCTATCGTCAAGTTCGCATTCTCCCAACTCTGTTTGGATCAGCCTGGAAAAGAAACAAAAGGAAGGAAGTTTTTGTTGATACGTCAGAGCGATACCTTTTGGTCATTAATCCCAAATAAATGGCCTTCATCTTGAAATTGCCGTCTGTGCAAGGGATATGTGTGATCATGGAACTGAAAGGAAATTAATTCGTGGGGGGAATAACCTCCTCGCCAACTTGGACAAAAAATCGACGGCTTCGTGTTCCTTCGGCAGGGACTGCGCAATCATTGCACTGGGAGGCATGCCGAACGGCGTGAACTTCCGCACTTTCACCTACAGAAACGTCCGGCATCTCTCGTTGAACACTCCTCACCTTGTTCGTGAGGTAAGAAAGAGCTTGTTGTCTCGTGTGGATTCCCGCTTGCAAACATTCCTCGAAGGTCTGTGCGAACGCTGAAACGTATCTAAAAACAAAAAAAAAAATCAAAATTCAAAAACTCGAGTCATACTTCTCCTCGTGACCAATCGTACTGATTATATCAAAGTCAGATTCGATTCCCATCGCCTGAAAGCTTCACGCATAAAAAACTACTAGCTCCAGATTTGAATCTAATCATTTCTTGAACTGAGTATCCTACAACTGAATAATATCAACTAATTTTTGATTTTTTTCATAAATTTCCAGCATTAAATAAGACCCGAAAATTTCCAGATAACTTTCCAAAAACATGATTAGAATTCTAAAAGGTTCGACTGAAATCGTTCAATCTCACCAAAAAGAAAGGAAACCTTGAAAATGATGGAAATAGGGACGTCGTCGGTGAGCTGGTTGTGCCGCAACATGTACTTGCCTTTCTTGGCCATCACGTAGGTTTTGCTCTTCCTTTCGGTCGTCGAGGAGAGAACTTCACACTGGAGTTCCTTCTGCGAGTTGCGGCCCACCATGATTCTGTTCTTCGACAGCTGCTCTTGGATCAGAATCACTTTCTCACTGCCCTAAATACACAACATCCTGTATTCCATCTATAGAAACCACCAAGTGGGAAACTACACCATTTAGAAGGTTTTTTCCTTCAAAACTCACCTTGACGACGAAATAACCTCCTGGGTCATAGGGACATTCCTGGACGCGAGCCAACTCTTCCTCGGCCTGAGATAAGAGGTGTTTTGAATGAAAGAGATCTGAATACCAGGTCTCGAAGGATACATTTACTGGAACGCAACATGATGGGCATTCTGCCGATGATCAAATCCTGGAATTGAACGTCTAGATAAGATGAAGAAACTCAAAAACCTTCTTGAAAACGCGTTGGTTCCCGCGAGTGTACTCGATGTCGACAGAAATCGGCGCCGAATAAGTCATATCGCGTAGCCGACATTCTTGCGGCGTGATCTTGTCATTCGTCTACAAATCTCGCCTTCTAGTTTGAAAATGAAGATAATGAACTAACCGCGACGATTCCTTCCTCGCTGCTTGGCTTGCCAACTCGGATATCGAGATATCTTAAAAACGCGAATTTCATTCCTGTCTTATGATCAAAATCAACTTCAAGTAAAAGTTGGGATTAGCGTCACTCGTGATCCGCTGGTTGGAGAGCAGGATGTTTTTGATTTCTTCGTTGACGAAATAGTCAAAGCTCACCAAATGCTGTTTCACCAGGCCTCTCACCTACAAAAAACCCCTTGAGTGCGAATGTGAGAAGAGGAAGAAACTCGAAGAAAGGCAGGGACGAGCAGCCATTTATCCTTCAGCGGAATCGCTTTTTGTTCTTCTTTTTTGGGAGAAGCTTCCGCCAAACGCTTCCCCCTCATCTTTGGAACAATCTCTGTTATGAAATCCGATCAAATCGAAAGTTCAAATATTTGTCGTTGAAGAACGCACGATAGGAGAAACGAATTGAAAGCTTTGTCAAAACTTCATTCATGAAACGAAATATGATACAGGAACAGTTGAACCCGAAAACAAATACAAGTTATTTAATATGAAAGTCTCTATTATCTACGCTATTAAAAAAATAAATTTGAAATTAGAGCTTCGGCGCGCTGTTGAGAATCCTGCAAATTCTGAGCTCACAGAACAAAATGAAAAGGTAAAATGACCTCAAATCTTCGTTATGAGGCAAAGGTTCGAAATAGTGATCTAACGTCTTTTCTGTGACGTCCTCTAGTCGAGCTGGATCCCATTTCGGATTTCGATCTTTGTCGATGAGAACTGAAAAGCTTGCAGTTCAATTGTTTCTTGGATAGTCTTCGAAAGCAACACGAACGGATCGAAACTCACTCGCACGACAGCCTTCGTGAAAGTCTTTGTCATTTACAAATCTTTGCGTCAATCGATACTCCATTGTGAAGATCTGAAACGAACTGGAATTGTTTATCAAAAAAAAGAATGATAAACCTTGGAGAAACTCATCTGAGAGCCATTCATAAGCTGTCTGTGCGTGACTTTCAGAGATGTCGGGCTCATTTTGCTCAATGTCGCCAACTGCGCCTTTGCCCAATCGGACCCGTCTCTTTTCAGATTGCTCTCAATCCCTTCGTAGTCCCTAGACAAAATACATTTTTATTTTTTAAAATCCAATTTTTCAAAGTGAGTCGAAAATGAAATTGATTTTATGAGAGTCTTTATGAAAAAAATTATCAATGTGTTTCAAACTTGTGCTTCGTGGCTAGTTTCCAAGATGAAGCAGCTCCTAGAAAAATGTTCCGCTCCTTTAATTTTCAAAATACATTCAGTGGTTTTTTATTTTATTTTTTATTAATTGTTCCTGAAACGCACTTTGCGTGAAAGGTGTCTCGAATTTGCTTCAGCTTGTCTCCTAGAGAAAACTCCGGGAGATCTTTTGGCTCGAACGACCGAATGGCCTGATCAACGGCTTGCTCGTCCACCTGCAAACCTTCGAATTTCGATACAGTTATTCGATTACTCTGGTAAATACCACTAACCTCACTCAGAGACACCAGCTTTTCTTCGAGCTTCGGAATATCTTGGGAGTTCACCTAAAAACTTATTTTATTTTCAATGAAACTATTTTCACAAACATAATGAGTGGCTAATCCAGCGTGGAAAGTGTCGGCCCCCAACAGTCGGTAGCCTGTTAGTGCCAAGTAGTATCCCAGATTATTCTGAAAAGTTCATACGTACCTAGAAAGTTCAAAAAGCCAATTATTTTCGAAATGACACGTGCTGATCACGTCGGAGATCAAGATAAGATAAAGAGATAGTTGCTGCTATAAAAGGCAGTTACTAGCCGAGAAGCACACAGTTCATCAGGAGCTCTCAACGACATCTGCAATGGCTCTTTCTGCTGATCCCGCCGCTATCTCGGTACCAGCCGCCGGAGGAAAGTCCGAACTGAAGCTCAACAACGGTGGCGGCGAAAAGCTCGTCTTCAAGGTATGCGACTGTCTAACTAGTCGTGCGCAAGAGCGGGTTTACAGGTGAAGAGCTCGAACAACAACGAGTACCGCATCAACCCGGTGTTCGGCTTTGTCGATGCCTCTGGCTCTACCGGAGTCGTCATCACGCGTCTCAATGGAGCGGCTAAGGAGGACAAGCTCGTGATCCAGTTCGGAGCGGCTCCCGCGGATGCCGCCGATGCCCAGGCTGCTTTCGGCGCTGTCTCTGCCTCCGCAGCCAGCGTCACAGTCGCTCTCAGCGCCACCTAAGTGGCTATCCGTAATAAATCTGTCTGAAGAGGAATTGTTTTCCCAATGAGTAATCGGTTTTTTGTGGTTAACATTTCTGTATGTTTTTAACCGATGAATTTCTTGTAGAAGATTTTGCTTCTCAGATCTCATTTAAATGTCAGACTGCGGCTAATTGCGTAACGTCTTTGAGTTATTTTTCGTTCAGCTCGAACGAGTTGTAGTGAATCTTACTCTGCAGTGCTCGTGACATCGGTTGACGTGATTTGATGAGATTACCTATACGCCAGATTTGAAGTTCGGTCCAGAATAGCGTAATGGGTCAAGCTGTCTGATAGTTTCTACGTATTGGTGTATAAGAAATACGTTGTCTACTCCTATACAGTTAATCTGCTGCAAACTGCGTAACGTATGCAAACGACGTGTTTTGAATTGCGGAGAAAAAATTCTTTCGAATGGCTCTCTTTCAATCATTTTTTTTGCGTCTTCCAGGTAGCAAGTGCAAAGTAGGAATGGAAGAGCTTCTCCAGAATCTCAAACACTGCATCACTTAATCCATTCGCCCACAATTTAAAGACTGGACAATCGAAAACGTCGAACATCTCGATTTCACCTTGAGTCTGGAGAGAAAATAGGACCCTCCGACGTCCGGAAACAGTCCCAAAGCAGTTTCAGGCATCGCCAACATAGTTTTTTCTGTTGCCACACGAAACTTTCCATTGATAGAGACTCCGCACCCCTGAACCATGTCATGTAAAGTCAATTCCTCTCAACCTACACCGCCCATGACGATTCCGTCGATTAATGCGACGTACTGTTTGGAAAATGTCCCAATCAAATTGTTCAAAATGTACTCTTCTCTGAAAATTGTATTATCTAAGAATTTGATGAGAAGAAACCTGAAAAAGTCTTTGTGATCGGTTGACTTCCCTCCAGCTTGTGCATCTTTTGCTGATTTTGAAACCGCTAGCTAAAAATGAAAAGAGCAAGTTTCCATAGGCACTTACCGAGGACATCTCCCCCTGCGCAAAAAGCTTTTCCACCGGCGCCTTTCACAATCACAAGATCCACATCTGCTGAGTTATTCCATTGCTACAACTTGTGAAATTTGAGTGTAATTGTAGAAAATAAACCTGTAGAACATGATAAAACTCTCGGACCATGTTGAGATTGAGGGCGTTGAGAGCCTTCGGCCTGTTCAACGTCACCACTCGTTTTCGGTCATGCTTGTCGACGAGGATCTCCGAGTTTGAACCAGAAGCGCCGACAGAAAACATTCTCTGTGATACAAAACATTCAACTTGATTCTGATTACTTCTAACCATCTTATGAGGTGAGTGTAGTCTGAGCAGCGGTTGGAAAGCGATTTTCAAAGCATTCGCCATTTGCTACGAAGAGGTGACGTGCAATGTCGAAAATTGAAGTAGCGAGAACAGTTCTATCGGCTTTTGTTCTCTAGAGAATTACAACTAAATGTTCCAATCCCGCTTTCAAACATTTAAACGATATAGAGCGTGACGTATACGTGGGCAAGTACAGAACTCAATTTGTCCAGGAGAAGAAGTTTAATTACAGAAATTTTATAATAATATGAAAGATAATAATATTTATTTACAGACAGTACAAAATAAAAAGTACAAGAATGATTTTAAAAGAAAGAAAAAAATGTGACCATGAAGCCTGTAATAAATAAACAAAAGACGATTGAGGCCCTCACGAGCCTCTGAGCCAATGAAAGAGATTGAGAGATAAATATGTGAATTGAAGGCACAAAGTTGAATAGAAAAAAAAAGCAGAAATGTGAGAAACAAGTTATAAAAAAAGTTTCAGTCTGAGGGAAGTAGCGTTGATAAGAACAAAAGTATTCATACCCTTAGAGCGTAGAACTTTAATTTGAGAATTTTTAAAAATTAACAATTTAAAAATGTGTTTAAACCTGCGAAAACACATTGAAAGTGTATTCTCGTAGGTGTCAAAAATAGATAAATGATTAAGGTATGGCTTATACGAAATTTGAGTTTTTTGTTGCTCTTTGGTCATTCTAAGAGAAGTTTGTTTGAAATATAATTGGTGAGATCGTGGACTTTTTCATTGTTTGATACAAGAGAACACAATTTTGAACACTAACCAGCGTGAAAACACGCAGAGAACGTCCAGAGAACGCACAAACGTCTGTTCACTAAAACTATAGGATCAAGATCTAAGGAGATATAAACTCATTTCAGAAAAAAAATTCCTTGCTTTAGTATACCAAATAAGGTACAACTATTTACGTTAATAACATACAATCTCTTAGAAAAAAATTTTTTTGGTTGTAAAAAAGACTACTCTCAAGCTAAAACTAGCTAATGGCGTGTTCAATTTGATTCCGCGAAATGCAAAATACCCGTTAGAGAAAGGAAAAGATAACTAAATTTTGGAGAGTCAGAGATCATTTTGCATATCGCGATATATATGTGTACACGGCATTAAGCTCTAGTTAAAAAACAATATAATGTGAAATTTCGGAAAATAATTTTTTGCTCTTGTAGTAATTTTTCAGTGACACTCAATTGTGCAAAAATATTGAAAAAATTAAAAAATTGAAAAGATTTGTATATAAACGAACACACTCGATCAAAAGAAAGATTAACAACGACATTTTTAAATTTTTTTTTTTGCTAAAAAATTGCGCACACAATGCACCTTTTTTGTTCACAGTTTGCAATTCAAGCCTTTCAGAAAGGTTGCTCCACTGCCTAGTAAAAAAATGGGTTTTTTCCAAAATTTTTCAAATTTCTTATTCAAACTAACTAAGTTATTTCGCGAAATACGCAAAGATTTGAGTTTCGGAAGCCGTTAATTTTTGGGTCCCAACGGCATATTATCCGTGGCGCATTATTGCGCCCTTCTCATGGTTTCTGGTGCAAAAATTGAATTTCTTCACTTTTTTCATTGGTTTTTTACTTTTTTCTATTTCTTGCATTTATGTGATCCGCCTCTCTATGGGTACATCTTGTGGAGCTTTAAATTGCGCATTTTTTTCTAAACCGGTTTCAGATCTTTAACTTTTTTTCTCAAAAAGAGCTGAAGATTTTTTTCTAAAAAGTCCTAATTTTTTTCAAAAATTTTGAAATCTGTTTCGCGACATGAAAAAGAGTCACTCTATTTCGGAAACTATAGTTTTTTTAATTTAATCAGTTAATAATAAAAAGTTATTATCTAGTTCCTTTGACGTAGTTTGAAACCGGTTTCGTGTAAATTAGAGCCAAATTGAATTTGCTGATGCAGTTTAATGATTTTTGATATATGAATCATTTAAATTATATATTTTTTTCTAGTTTTTTTGATGGTTTTTTTCGGATTTAAACAAAAAAATTTCGCCATACGAGGTTTTTTTTCTAAAAATTTCTGCTTTCTATCCATTATTTGTTTTTTTTCTGAAGCTAGGTTTTCGAGGTATATAAAAATGTTTTTCATTTGCTTCTCGAATTTTCCTCATTTCAATATTTTTTTCGTATTTATAAATGCTTATTCAATGGGAGCTGATTCACCTTCATATTATTTTTTGTTTTTACTTTGTAATCAATAATTTAGAGTTTTCCCCTTTCGAAATCGTTCCTAAATGTTTTTTAACGTAAGTGAATGTTTTTTTCACATCATATTCTTCAAACTGACAAATTTCGAACTTTTCAGGAGCTATTCTCCTGAAATCGCAAATTCTAAAATTGAAAAAAAACATTTTGAGTATGCGATATTGCGTCTCGGTGTGCTTACACCCTAAGCATCATAATTTACGAGAAGCCTTGACCTTGCGTAATGAAAAAAACACCGTGGCGCGAAACTCTAAATTTTGACATTGTAGTTGGTTAATTTTCGACAAAAGTTAAAATAACGAAAAATGAAAAGTTTCTAATTCGCGCATTAAAGTTATTATATCGCGATATATCCTCGTATGACCCCATTTTTTTTTTAACGGCTCCTTTAATTCCAATTTTGTGTATTTCGCTAAATCATTTGAAACGAATAACGCATCAATTTTGAGATTGACGAAACTAATTTTAAATTATCCAAAAATTGCTCACAGCTCACAAGGCCATCGAGAACTTAGAGTTGTGAAAATTTGAGTGAACTTTGCGGATGTTAAACTGCAACGAAATCAGCCGAAAAAGTCACGGTCCGCGTTCTTTTTCCTCGTTTTGACATAATTTCTTGTCAGAATATATTCGGCGTACAACAATGAACAAGAAAAAAAAGAACGTTTATGTACGATAAAACTGTCCAAATAAAAAGGTCTCTGGGAGATTCTCAAAGTTGTGGTTCATCGCTCTCTCGCACATCGAGTGCCAAGTTGATAACTGCTGGTCGTGCTGAGCACTTCTGAAGTCACAGAGTCCTTAAATAGGACAAAGGCGTGAGAAAACCTTGAAAGACTCTCGGGCGTCTTTGGATCCTTCGGCTTCGATGACGTTTACGCAAAGACGGTCTCTCTTGATAAGTTCGCTTTTCACCCTTGCTATCTGCAAAATAAAACAAATGAGAAGATCTGAGCAGTTTCAATCGAAACATGAAGCGGCAAGGATTGTCCAGGCTCGACGGTGGCGTAGACCGGCGTCACGCGATACATATTGTTGTCGGAGCAGGTGATTTTGACGGCGATTCTCGCTGAAAAGACGTCGGTCACGATCCTCAGGAGAATTCACCCTCAGTGCTGTTCATGAGTGTGTGAGTTGACAGGCCGCCGAGGGTCGTGAAACGGGCGCTTCTGGGGATGACGTTGACGCCTGAGACGATGTGGCAGCAGCACGTACATCCTGCCTGTCGCTCCGTCCTGAATTTGAGAATTAACTAGAAGTCGTGCTGTATATACAGCCCCGCTCAGAAAGTTCCCTATTCCAAGAAGTAAAATCTTTTTCAATACTTCGAGTACTCTCAAATTTCGCGCTCTCATTTTTTGGAAGATGTAACTCTCTGCTATAGACCAAGTTACAGACAACGAATCGAAATCATTCAAGCAATTGAATCCGACGTCAATTTTTTGGGAGAAACGCAGAATAAAAAACTGTTTACAAACTTTCAGAACTTTTCTAGTTAGAAGAAAATAGATGATCCGAAACATCTTTAGTTCCTCTATTTATGATCGGCACTGTACTGAGATGATGAGAATCTCACAAAAAAGCTCTGTTGTCGAACCCAGCGAATGTCATATTCCAGAAAATAGAAAAGATTTGGATGGAATACCCAAAATAGGACAGAGGAAAGCGAAGATTACGTGTTTTGCATTGTTTAAGCTTACGAGCTGCTTTTCATCCAGGTGTGAGAGAAAATTGCGGCGCCGACCACTTACTCACCTTCCACTGCCGCGTCCTGACCGAGCTGTCCGCATCAGGTACTCCATGTCCGAGAGGGCGATAGCTGAAACAAATGTCTTGCAACATGTCTTGAGGAATCAATTATTCAACACAAGAGAGCTGTTTCAAAACAACATACAAAAATACAAAAAACCCTCGAAGCCTTTTACGATTTTATTTTAGAGTCATACATTTTTTCTCATTGATCAATCCGCTAACATGTTGACTTTATTGAAGCTTGTTTCAGTTAATTTATAGGATCGTCGCCGTATAACAAATGAAAAATTAAGTTTGTGTGTTTGAAAAAGAAATTTTCGTTTTTGGCCTGTAACTTATACCATATATTCATCATTTAAATAATTTGTTTCAAAAAATGTTGAGAAGCTGCCTTCAATTGTCGACTCGAAAAATTTTTCTAGATGCCTCAATCATATCGAAAACTTGCGAACGCCTGGACATGCAAAACGGATTTATGATGGGGGATCAAAAAAGTTTCAACCAATCATAGGCTCGGGCTGGTCGAGCTGTCTGCCGGGAGTTCTGCCTGGGGTGAGTCTGGCGGTGCCGAACTGTCGGATTGCAGCCATACTCGATCCTGTCGACGTCATCGACGCGCGAAGATTTCTGAACTTCTGAAGAAAAAACATTTTGATGATCCAACAACTTTCTCTTCGAAGTAGTTTCAATCCACAAGGAGTTCAAATCGTTATCAGTATTCCCTTATTTTTTTTCCAAGAAACGTTGACAGTTAAAAAGGAAAAAAAAAAATTAAAAATGCGATTTTCACAAACAAATTTTTGAAAAAAAAAGCGGACCATCTTGCAACAAAAGCATCCTTCAAAGTTGATGATTCTAAGATTTTCGCGCTCTTTTGCACAGCTCAGAAAACTGGTATGAAAGAAAAAAAAGACATAAGATGAAAAAATTCGGAAATGAGCAAAATGATTACTCGAACTTCAACTTTGTAAGTTTTGAACGCGAGAGCCATTTTTGTGCCCACGTATGCGAAAATAACAAAGAAAATGATGGCTGAAATATGGCTGTAGCCGGATTTCGAACAATGCCAAAAAGAAGTGAAAAGAAAAGCCGCCGAGGCAATTTTCGCATGAGGTCTTGGAAGGCGACTGCTTCCATTTTCTCATCAACAAAATGCCGAGCTTAATCGTTTTTCAAGAGTATCCACTACTTGTGTATAGTCAAAACGGAATTTGTGAATCGCCTACACATTTTATTTTCTCGGAACAGTTAGCTTCTCATTCAATTTTTCTTCCGTGCCCTTTTTTTCACATAAGAAATATTTTAAAAAAAAAGCGATGATTTTAAGAAATCAGGAATCGAAGAACGCTTTGAAAACAAAACGGGAAGAATATCTGAGATACGAATTCATAGAAAAATCTCTATGACTACCACGACAAATCCTTCTTTTTCACCTTGGTTAGAAAAAATGCCGCATATCCTTTAGAATTTCGGAAAACATCCATCGAAAAAGCTTTCGAAAATGGACACAGAATAAGAAAGCCTTGAAATGTAAGTTTCTGGCATGTCGCAATTTACTGGTCGACAAAGAAAGAAAACGGAACTTTTAATTGTCTCGACAATTTTTTTTGCCGTTCTAGCGCTGGCTGATTCCCTTTTTCCCTTCTGAAAACAGGTTGGACTCAAATAGAAACATAGAGACGTGAAAAAGGCCATCAATTGGGCATTCGAGTCAAAATGCGCCGAATTTTCAGTCTGGGATTCATTCAACCGAAAAGGGTTTTGCGCTCAGAAAACTACAACCTGAAGAATCTAATTTGTGAGCGAAATTTGAAATCCATTTCCACGTGTGCTGAATCCGAGCTCCAAACGTTTTGAAACTAAACTTGGAGCCTGTGGATTCAACGCGAACCGAACAGACTTGAGAGCCAAAGATGGACGAAAAAGAAGAATCGCGCGGGTCTCCTTCACACTTTCACACTTCACTTCTTTTCGTAAATGGCTCCAACGCGCCAAAAAACTGAATGAGCAGCGACTTTTCAGCATCGTGGGAGCACAACGAACGCCAAAAACCAAAAATAATCGACGAGATTTTATTCTTCAGAAGTTGGAGGATAACTCAGAAAGACAAAATCAATTTCTTCTTTAAAAAGAAGATAATGTTTTATATCTATCCATGTTCCCCATATCTGCAAGGATTTTTCTCAGAGTGCTTACAACTTGAAAGAAAAGGCTGATTTCACTTTGACGAAAAATGAAATTAGGAGCTTCGAATGAGCTAGTCTAAACTTTTCTTAGGTAAAGAACAAAAAAGAATTTAGAAAAACCCTCAGTCATTAAAAACAATTTTAAAAAACTTCCTGCATTTTTAAAAAGATTCTTAACAAATCCCGTGAATCAATCAGAAAAATTATGGCCAAATAAAATTTGAGTCAATCCAATTGTTTTTCAAACTTCAAGTGCCGCAGGTCAAGGTCAGAAGAAAAAAAAACACTTCATTCAATTTTGAAGTTTTAAGTTGGCAAATAACAGAAAAATGTTAAAATCAACGGGAGCTGAGTTCAAATTTTTTAATATAACCAAGTATTCTAGAAGGAAACTCAAGTGACCGGAAGAATTAGGTTTGCTTTTTCATTTATGTAAACACAAATATATCAAGATTTAAAGAAAGAAAGAGTTTTTGTAGCATATAAAATTTGAGAACTTTCTATTTGAATCAATTTTCAATATTAAGTATCTTGGAAGCAAATGTAAAAAGTACTTCGGCATCGTTGTGATGGGGGCGAAACACGAGTCAAAAACGCCAGCTGTTGCAGTTTTTAAGAGCGGGAATATCTTCTATCGGATCATTGTTTTCGTTATTAACACTTTGATTCAGCTCACTGCGTGATGAGTCAGAAAGATTTTTTTAGAGACGTTTGAAAATCACTGCAAAAGTTTATTTACCGAGGCGGAAAAATTCTCCTTCTTTTCCAACTTACTTATTTCAGGTTTTTGTATCCATAAACGAAAATGAGTTCTTGGGAGATAATGTGAGACCCCGGTTACCTGAGCGAGAAGCTTGAGCCTGGCGTCGGTGTGATCAGAGGGACCGGCCTGCTCTTCCAGCTCGTTTATAGTGGCGAATTCTTCGATCATCTTCTCATATCCTCTGCTCCTTTTTGTGAAGACTGTGTGTTCATGAGAAGAACCAACCAAACTGACCTGAATGAGAATTTGAAACAGTATACTGATTGGTTAGAATTACTCAGGCACTGGTGCGCGCACGCGCGGGGGTACTGATTCTTTTTTCGCCTTTTCCACTGAAATAAGGTTTTGAAATATATTTTTCATATTTTTGTGATATTACCCAGTGCCCCTGCTCACGTTTTAAAGTTGTTCCGAGCACTTTCGAACAAATTTATGAAAAAAAGTTGCCAAGTGAAACTTTGATATTTCACATTTTTGTGCAATCTAATTGTTATAAACTGGTGCAGAGCAATGTTAAGAGATGAACAGACATGAAAAATATTAAATTTATAACTTTTCAATAAGTTAAAAAGCTAAAAAACAAAAGAGACACCCCGCGCGTGCGCGCAGCAGGCGGCGCGCATGCGCACTTTTGGCAACAAACACGCGCCGTCAGTGCCTGAGTACGCTGATAAAATTAGATGAAAAGATGGGAGAGCCGAGAACTCGATGAAACGTGAAAGATTCACCACTTCAGCGGACAAAAAGGCGCACAGGTTACTGTCGATACGAACTATTCCCCTAACTTTTTCAATTACTCAAACCAACGCATCTAAAGATTTATTCATTTTAGAAATATAGAGCAAAAACAGCGATAAACCGATTGAGAAATCCTTATTACGATTCCGAAACGGAGATCAAAAATTTCATTTTGTGGATTGCGCATTCTCACTTAGGAGTGACTGGCAAAGAGAAGGCTCTTCTGATCATGAAGGAAGTCTGAGCCAAGAAACGAAGAAAGAGGAACGTAAAGAACAGAACGCGTGCAAAACTAGTCGTGTAGTTTTGGGAGAGCCATCAATAAACGCGGCTTTCGACACCCGCCGCGCATCCAATCACGCAGGACGTCCCCCGAGGCTCGTTATCCTGACTATATCTGCGCTGCCTTTGTCCCCTCTATCAGCTTGTCGATCTAGCTGAACAGCTTAGAGAGATGAAAACCACACCCTTAAACCGGGAGTACGAAAAGGGAGGTTTTTTTCATCCATGCCCAAGCCAAATCTCGATTCGGGAGAAAAAAAAAGAAATTCAAATCACGTTTTTCGAGAAAAAACAAGGCGATAAACTTGAATGATCAAGAACTTACCTCTTGGAAGTCTTCGAGAGTAATTGAAACTCGCGGAAAAAATTTGGAGTCTTTCTTTCCAGAAAATCTATGAAATCGATAAAAAGTTTCGAATAAACGTATGATATTTTCAGATGCGTCCAATTTTCCAAAGGTCGGGGCTACCCGGACTCCTGCATTCCGAAAACTGGAATAACTGATGAAATATTTATAAACTTGAAATTCAATGTGAAACATAAACATCTAAATGAAATTTTCCCTTTTGATGGCAAGTGGCCATAAATTTCAAAATGCATCTTTGTTCTCTTTGATTTACCTTGAAACGGCCTCTGAACACAATGTTGCAAAACCTATGGCATTTTTTTTTGCTTCCGTGAAGTTTTTTCAAAAAAATTTTTAGACAGTGTAATTTTTGTATTCTTACCCAGAGAAAAAAACAAAAAAAAATTGCAAAAAACTAACAATCTAGGAAAATATACATAGTTACAGCTCGTCCAGCTTTTCCTGTCGGTTTGCTTTCAAGGGGTACCTGTAAACTTAATTATTCAATGTGAACAACAATATTTTGAACCTCTGCCACGTAAACCGGTGATCGTTCTCATAGGAGTGCTCCACAGGCTCCGGCTCTTGCAAAGTGAGGCCTTCGGAACGAAGCGCTTCGAAGAAATGTTTCTGCTGGAACAGAGCAAATCAGGAACCATCACATATGGGCGTTTTTCAAAATTTGTTTGTTTGCACTGCTCATAAAACTTTTTTATGGACTGAATCCCGTTTTGTAAAACTACTAACATGCTTGCTTTTCGCTATTTCTTCTTCCGAAGCAGAGGGACGGGCAAAGTGGATTCCGGACTGCAAACAGCGCATGGCGAGCACTCGGGCGATGTTCAGCGCCGCACAGGCGTCCGTGTTGCTGGAAAACATCGATTCAAGGCTTCAGTGGCCCAAATTTGAAATTGCGTAAGGGTAAGAAAAACAGGTGACGTAATATTTAGAAAGGAATTTTGGGATCATGATTTGCAACTAATTCTTTGTAAAAAGCAAACTGACCTATAGAGTTGCTGGGAAATTTCTGCCTCCCGCGTGGAGGCAGAGAGCACAACGCCGTCACGGTAATGCACAAGAAATCCTTCTTGATGCGCTTTTGATTCGACCAACGCAACTCTGAGTGCAAAATGAATTTAGCAAAAAATTTGAATTCCAAAAAATAAGACGAACTGTTCCTCAAAAAACAAAAAAAAACCAATTAAGAAGTTTTGAATGAACTCACTTGTAAATAAAACTTCGATGCGCTCGATCTTTTTCGAACTGATATCCTGTTGGAAACTTCTGCCGTCCTACCAATTCATTGTTTCGTGGATTACGGTTAATGAACCGCCAAACAAAGCGAGGCGGCATTCTGGGACTGAATATTTCAAAATTTTCAGGAACTCCTACTTCAATAGAGGAATTGAGCGTTAAAACAAATCTTTCCAAAAAATATAAAGACGTAGACAACACTTTATTCAATTGAAAAGTAAGATAAACTTTAATTTATTGAAAATTATAAAAAGGTTCATAACTCATATAGTAAAATTTTTGACCAGATCCACTTTTACACGTCTATCTATTTACTGACCAGATTTTCGATCCAAAAAAAAATTAGAGGGCAAGAGATTCAAATCATCATCAAACCGTTTCATGAAACTTATGCCGTGTTCAAAGTGATTCCGCGAAATTCAAAATAGCCGTCAGAGAAAGAGAAAGATAACTAAATTTTGGAGGGTCAGAGACAATTTCGCATTTCGCGGAAATTACTTTGAACACGGCATTACAAAAAAATTATCATTCAATTCGAACAGAAGTAATTTGAGAAAAGAAAAACGGAAAACATTCAGGAAATGAATAAAGGAAGATGAGGAATTTGAAAAATATTACCTCAGGGTAATTTATTAGTGAAAATTATAGTGGAAAATGCAGCTAGCTGACTAGTTTAATACCCTGTTAAAAGTAACTTTCGCGAAACTCAAAACTATTTCCGTCTTTTCGAAGACGTTTTAATTTCGCGGCATTACTTCGAACATGCACCCAACATAATTGCCGATATCGCAGCGGGCCGCACGCGATATAGCCAAGGCTTCTCGCTGCGATCTCGTCAACATGTCGCTGCGACCTCGTCAAAGTCTCGCTGCCATATCGCTCCCTTTCAAAAATTTGAAATTTGAAAAAAATTTTTTTTGCTTTATTTTTGACTTTTATGATGAAATCAATCAAATTCAAGAAAAAACATTTTTGAGGAAAAATGTTTCAGAGAGCGATATAGCGCAAGACGTTTGCGAGGTCGCAGCGAGAGGCGAGCGATATCGCTCGCGGCTCCCCCGCGGTATAGCGTTACTCTCGCTGCAATATAGTCCACAAAATTGGGTGTGTACTACGTTTGCAAAAAAAACTTTTTGTTGGATCCAATGGAGAAATTTTCAGAGTAGAGTGGGAAAAGGCGCTCCAACACATGCTTCAGGCATCACTTAAGAGTTGAATCATTTTGAAGCCATCAAATTTATTTCTGCAAAAAAGAAGCTCTGCTTGTTAAATTCGATCGGCGCCTTGGGTCATGGTTTAATAATATTTAGGAAAATCTACAAAAATAATATCAAGATTCTTTTTTTCGCTATAAACAGTAAAAAAAATTTTAGATCATATCTCAAATTGTCTCAAATTTAATGAATTTCTCTCAGTATCTTTCAAAGTTACCCGTTGATATATTCGAACAAAAAATAATCATATTGTTTAGAGGATAGAAAAAAAAGGTTTCGGAGAATACGAGAACTTCTGAAACAATTACCCTAGTAAGAAGGGACGAAAAAAGTGCGGTAAATGTTTCTAATGGATATCTAGGATACAAGGTCCACAGTTTTGATATGTAAAAGTCACAATTCACAAAAAATTTCAAACTATTATTGGGTCTTCCCGCTATTTCGAACTCACGGAAAGTGATTTTTTTAAACTCTGTTTTTAAATTTTTTTTTTAAAGATAGTTGCCGCAAAAAAAATATATTATAATAACTTCAATATTTTCATAAAGCAATAAGAATTTTGAACACATTTTGATGTTTATAAAAAAATATAACTGTCTGGAGAGGCCTCTTCAGTGTCATGTTTGAAATTATCTAAAAATCGACACTGTTTTTTGTATTCCAAGTCGATACCACAAAATGAACTCTCTGCTCTCATTTTTAGATGATAAAAAAGAAGTTTCTAATGAAGTAAAGTGAAGATCAGTACATGATTATCACAGCAGGAATCTAAGATACATTGAGAGGTTAGTAGGAAACGAAGGTGCTCCAGTTCACGGAAAAACGCCCTGGGGACTCGGCGCGGAGTCGACGCCACAGTCAGAGTCCTTTTCCTGCTGCATGCTTCCGTAGCCGTCGTCCGTGCTTTTCTGGATGAAATTCTGCGCGGCGACGGCCCGATGTGACTCTGGCGCCACCGACAACATTGGCGGCAAATCTTGCTGCGTCGATGGATCGTAGTCTAGTTCTTAAACACCTTTGTGCGATATCTCAAATTAGGTGTCGATATTACCTTCTGATCTTTGGGGTGGGATGAAATTTTCGTTTCTAGAAGGCAGATGAACGTACTGAAAAGGTAAGTTTAAAATTGGCTCAAATCACGGAGAATCAAAGGAAAAAAAAACTCACACAAGTTGGGGTTTCTTCGCCAGTGCTGTACTCTGCGATATGTTGATTATTAGGACGATAATAGGCGAAATCGGAGTGTTGGTGCTGAAAATGTTCTTGATGATCCAGTTTATTTGCCAAAGCGGCGGGTTCGAACTTGCTGATGGAGTTTCCTCTGACTAAAAGTTCATTTTTGAACTCTTCTACAAAAGTTTAACTATCAACTTATTATGGTTCTATGTTTCTTCTCTCACACAAAAATTTTTCCTTCACAGGTGTGGTAGGTAATCCACCTAGTGGTCTTTTTATCTCCCTGCAATATCACCATACCATCCGATGTTGCGAAAATAAAATGATTGATTGATTGAACTAAAGTGCGAAATGAAGCAATTTTTCGTATTATTTCAGAAAATCTTCATCATAAGAATTTTTTCTACATGGAACTTCATTGTTGTGGAGGTACGCATTAAAAAAGTACCTGAAAAGGTGGATGCGCGAAGTTTCTGAAAGGGACGTGGCTATATTGCCGTGTGGGAACACTGGCAGGTCCCGCAACGAAACAAGGCTGGCAAGATTCCACGTACAGCGTCTGATTGACCGACTGTGGACTGGGACCACTGCAATGGAGATCTCAAAATGCAGAAAACGAGACCCCGACTTGTAACTGTGGTAAGTGGTGTCCGGCGAGTATTTGTACGCGTAGGGATCGACGTGCAAGTCGTTGCCCATCGCTTCGACCAAGTTGTGCATCGGAGCGTGCAAGTTGGAATAGTGGCCCACTGAAATAATGAACTTCTTTCTATAAATTCTTTATTTGTTCCTAGTTTTTTCTCGGTTTTCTCACGGGCTTAAAACAAAATAATGCTCCAAAAAAGTCCTTCAAACAAAAAATATATTCAGAGCTGATGCGATGCAAGATCGAATTTTTGAATTAACTTTGATCAAAACTTACCTGTGGGAAGCAACATTTTTCACTATAAAAAGAAGTCCGCAAAAAATGACAATATTCTACTTGACCTAACATAAAAATAACTACATCAAGGTGCTCGATCGAAAAAAAAAACACTTCTTAGACCTTCTTTAGCAAAAAAAACTAAGAGGACGCGCAAAACATTGGAAAAGTAAAATTAAAGGAAAGATTACTGTATTCATAGCGAGAAATATGAGATGGATTCCGCTGAACAAAAATAGTCGACGGTTGAGGGAGTTGGTAGTATGAAGCGCTGTTCATCGGCGGCTGGTCGGAATGGCTACGGTAGACATAGTTCATCCCTCCGAAACTGTCGGCTTTCTATCCTCAGAGATGATTTTTAAAAGAAGAGACGTTCTGGAACCTTCATGCAAGGAGTTTGGGAAGAGTCGACGCAGTTCGGAGCGCAGTCGAAAGACCTCTGAGGAATCCAGAGCGGCTGCGGACGAGTCGGTTCGCAAGGAACTGTCGAGAAGTGGCTCTGCTCGTAGTAAGGCTGTTGCGGACAGTGCACCTCGTAGGACTTGACTCGTCGGAGTGAGCTTTGGTCCATATAAACCGCGTTGTTGCCGAAGGAACAAGCATGGGAATAAACGGGTCGGCCCTAAAAATCATGGATAAATGAGAAATATTGATTTCGGGCTGAATAGTCTCTTTCTTTTTTCATGAACTTCCGCTGGAATCAGTTTCTCCATAAACTATTTTTTCGAAAAGGATTTTCGAATGAGGTCTACATGCGTATAGAAATCGTTTAGAGAACCTGCTTCAATTAACATTCGACAAAAAAAAATTAAAATGGAAAATTTCCAAGCTGCTGATAGGTATATTTTTGACAACTTGCTTGATGGTCGGGTTTAGAATGATTTAAGCGTCTCGGATTCTGTATTTCAATTTAGTTTTTCTAATTAATTAAGTGAAACAAACATGCAAAACTTCAAACCTTTCAAGCCCTTCATTAAAGACAGGAAAACTTACATTTTCTTGGTGCAGCCTGTTTTTCACCAATGAATCATCAAAAAATCTGTCGTGCTCTATTAAATCTTGGAACTTGAATAGTGGCCTAAAATAATGGAATCTATTGGAAACGAGTTTTTCTCTTACAGTTGCGTTTTGCTGCTTTTGTTCACAATAACTTCTGTTTTCTTGTTCGTTATGTTGTGGTCCATTCCAAACAACGCTGCACATCTATGTAGCACCATCCGGTTGTAGGAAGAAAGCAAGTCGCGGAACAATCTCGATTGTTTTCTGAAAAATTCCCAGAAGGAATGTAGGAAGTGTGAACACATTTATAAATTTTTTTCAATCTGTTAGGTTTTTTTCCTTTGAGCGAACTCACTCTACGTCGTGAAAAAGTTCAGTGAGTTGCATTTCAAAAAAAAGAAGTTGCTTGCGGTCGGATTGGCTTTTGTGCAGAGTTTTGCGGATGAACTCGAGAAGGTTGGTCCCGTTACGATCCGTGTATTCGACAGATTCTGGGAAGCCTTTCAGATAGAGAAACGATTGGAGTCGAAGGAACCTCGGCTGAAACTTCGCGACAACGAAAGCGACTGTGAGGAGAGCCTTGCCGCGCTCGCCGGACGCAGCTTGGTGTCGTCGTCGCCGCAGAGGGCGAGTCCGCGTTGCAGAGAAGGCCGCAGAACCTCCAACTATTCTCTTGTTCACTGACCGTCACACAAAAAGCTAACCGGAGGCAGCGAGTCGGAGCTCGCGATTGGTGCTTCTTCGGAGATCGCAGGTATATTCAACGATTCACTTGTTTTTTCGGCATCGAGGAAGTCCGTTCCCAGAGAAGGTGGCTGCAAAAAGTTTCATCACTGAAAAGAAGACACTATGGTGGGAATTTCCCCTTGCTATTTCCAAAAAGTTTCTCCAACTCGTCCTCTAACAAACCTCGTCGACGGTGGCGCTCTGTTTTGAAAGTTTCCTTCGTGAAATATCCGTGTGGTAGAGTTCTTCTGAAAAAGGCCGGATGAAAGGAATTGTTGAAAAGACTGACGGATGACTTCTTCGGCTTTTGGCATCGAAACGTTGTTGGTGACAATGACTGTCGTCGACCGACGACGTTGCTCTTTTGGTTCTGCTATAAATTTTTCAGAAATAAAAGGATTTTTGAAATTATTCCGATCAAATTTCATACAGCAATCTTTTTTTCAAATCTAAAACACTTCGGATCCCAAAGTGATCTATTTGAAACGCTTCTCACAACCAGCCAAAATATTGGAAAAAAAAGTGAAATTATAACAGTTGCGTAGATGGAAAACAGGTAAATATCTTTTTTTCGTTCTTTCCTTGTTTTTCTATGACTGTGAGCTCTATTCACTGAAATTCTCGACTATGGCGAAATTGCAAAAAATGGAAAAATCGTCGAAAATACCTTCGTCTTCAGTTTTTTCTTTCACATTTTCTTGAGACCACGGAGCGGTTCTTTCGGTCGCCATCGAACCACCCGTTCCTCCTGCAAAAACTTTTCTTTTAAAAAGAAACCAAAAAATGGTGAGCAACAGCAAAGCTCGCAAAGAAAACTTGCTGAGCCGAAGACAGGAAAGGTCAAAGGAAAATTCACGCACTTTTGATGACACTCTTCTAAAAGTTATGAGGACATATAAGCGATATTTCGAGACTCGAAACGTTCAATACTGCGTACTGGAGACGGGTGAAGGATCAAAAAGGATTAGTTGGAAGAAATCGCGGCTTCACGCAAGTCTCCGCCTACCGAGAATGAGCCGCCCTTTTTGGGTGAATGGATGAGCGTGAAAAAAAATATTAGGTTGAAGACGACAAAAAGGGAAATAAGATGTTTTCGAAAAATATTAACTTAAAGTGTGAAATGCAAAAATCCAAAAACGATTGTAGCAACAGGGAAATGGAAAACTGGCACTATATCTTAAAACATTGAAAAACTCAACAAAAAAGAATTAGGCTTTGAAGTTTTCTAAACGATAACATATATTCAAAAAAAAAAAAAAAACAGTTAGAATGCTTCTTGTTAACCATAAGAAATTTTAAAAATTATAACTGCGCACAAAGATGATAATATGAGCAATTGTGAGATTTAGTGGGTTTTTTTCGGCGGCCTTTCGAAGTGTGCTCCAAAGAACCACGTTTCAAACTGGCCTCTTTAAAATTGTTGAGAGATAACGAGCCAATCACAACTCTCTAGCTGCGTTAAACTTTTTTCTTTTTTTTGTTATAACAATCATCTCAGGGACTCTTCATCCTGGCTTATTTTTCTCCATCGTTTGAGCAATCCTCTGCTCCATCGAGTCGTTTCTTGATTCTCAGAAGCTCCTGTTCCTCACCCACGTACAGCTTTCGCCTGTCGCCAGTATGTTCAAAAGCCACAGGTGAGCGAAATCCATTATTGCCTTTTTTGTGCAGGACTCTGTGCCTGTTCTCACTGCAGTCAAAAAGAATAGAATCTTCGCCGCTTTACGAAGGTCGTTTCATATCTTTTTCTCAAGCTCTGGACGCCTACAAAGGGAACCTCTTCTTGCCAATTTGACAAATATTGCGACGATGTATTTTCATTGCACATAATGTACATGGACACAGAGGCATATAGTCTGTTCAGATTTTGAATGTCAAGTCGTTTCTAAAGCTCCGCCCCTAATGCCCCAATAAGCCAATCAGAGCGAGCCATCCACAGAGTGTTTTCGAATGACGTCATTGTACTTGACATTCAAAATATGAACAAACTGTATTAAACCATTTTCCACAATTTCGCCATTTAAAAAAAATGACAATTCTATAGAATGAGTAGTAGATCTACTATAACTATTTTAAAAAAAAGGAAAAAAGAGAGTGGAAATTTGATATATTTGCGAAAATAGTGACTACCTTTTCTGTTTCTCATTTTTGATTCACCATGTATTTACACAGATCTGAACAATATTCAGCCATCGGTAAGAAATTTTTGAATAACTGTAGTCAGAAGAGATGTTATCTACAATTATATCTGATAGCTGCCTTCCTCTATTTTTTTAACGCCCACGTCTTTGCAACGCTCACTAATGAGCACCCAAAAGCGCCACGTTTTTGGAAATGACTAGTTTCTCCGCGAAAGGTAGGCTGAAACTCTTGGAAACGCGAAAATAATAGACCCGATTATTTTGCTGATAATGACACGGATAAGAATTCTGAGTATTGCCTTTGCAAAAGACATCACCTTGTTTAAAAGCAATTTTTTTTATTTATCAAAAAACAGACAACTATCTTGTTTTGAGCGATCCAATATATCACTTTCTTTTTCTGTCAAAAAGGTCATTTTATTTTGCGGTTAGGAGTTTCCTGAAAACCATCTAGATTATTTTCTACTTTTATTTTGAAAGATCCTGGAAGACTCAACCTGCAAAACTTCCTAGTTTTCGAGAAATAAGAGCTGAATTCTAAAAATGGCCTACTTTGAAATGTTTCGAGGGTTTTCTTCGACTTAGAGCCTTTCTTTCTAGAAAACTAAAAAGTCGTAGAGGTTGAGGCATTCAGTTACTTCATTTGGTACATCAAAAAGTGTTTTGGTCAGTTTCCAGTAAATTCCCAACCGCAAAATATAATGACCTTCCTTGTTAGGTCGAATCTTTAGTTAAAAGCAGACAAAACCACACAATTTTGGATTTTTGCTAGCAGTTCAAAGCAAAATCGACCGGAAATGAAATTTTACCGTACATGTAGACAGGATATTCACAGAATTAAACTAGAAAAAAATTCAGGAGTGTAATCGGAAATTAAACGAGTTTCCTGAAGCTATAGTCACGTATAGGGTGTTGAAGTTTTGATTGTCAAATTTCGAAAGAAAAAAAAACTCCAACAAACAAGGATCTGATTGGCTCGCTTCATGAAACTGTTACAATTCACCTCGAGCGAAATAAAGAAGCATGTCTTCAGTCCATTCATCTTTTTCTTAACTTCTCTAGTAGATTGATAAGGGTGATGCGTTGCGTGTGCAACGCGGCTTTTGGCGGGAATTCAAATTCAAACACGAGCCACCTTTTTTCTCTTTTCTCGAAATTTTTTTTTCAATAATTTTTTTTTCAACATGGGTTTGAAAAAATTTATTTGAATGGACGAAAGCAAAAAAAAATAAAATGATACTTGATTTTTTCTACATTTTCCCACGATTGTGTTTGACTTCAAAATACCCGCTAAAAGCCGCACACGCAACGCTTCGCCCTTGCCACTCTGCCCATCTCGCTTTTCAAGTCGAAAGGTTTGACTATATGAGGCGCGCCATCATGTCTGTCGGTCCACAGGGTCACAAGATCGACCCCCGCCCCGACCCAACCAAGGGGTTTAAGAAATGTTGGTAGTGGGAACCCACGACTTCAAAATCCCCAGCCGTCACACACAAGGACGGATATGTCACTGGAGCCAGTCCACTGATTATCACTGATCAGGATAGGACCTCGGCTAATCGACTTGGGGCGCCGACGCCGCTCAAGCGGTACAAAGGCGTAGGAAGAAGAAGAAATTTTGACTATATCATTCTTTTTTTCTTTTTTTTTTTGCTTTTTTTTTTGGTGAAGTTAATCTTTCAGATTTATATAAAGAAAGAAGTGGTAGAGCTAAGATATAGTGTTTGAACGAAGCTTTAACATGGGAAAAGTCTAAGCGTCTTTTCGGAGACCTCAAAAAAAGAACAGGAAGCTCCTTTTCAAGTTCCTAGAGAAGTTTCTAAACTCCTTTTCAAACCTTTTACCGAGAAAGGGAATCGCGAGAACGCATATAAGGTTGAATATGGAGAAATCAGAAGAAATCTAAAAAAAAGCTTCGAACAGCCGTTCAGTGGTTTCTGAACCGCAAGAGCAGAAATAAGAAGAAAAAAAAGGTTTTGGAAAGAGAGAGAGAGTTCGACAAGACGCTTTTCCTAGCAATTTTCCAGGTTGAACGTGAAAAAAGGGATAACTGGCAAGGTGGGGGCGGCTAGAAGCGATTTGGTGAGTCATAGGCCCTGAGGGCAGGTAGCGGTGCATAAAAGGAGCAAAGAGAGGCGAGATTACGGACGAGCGCCGGTCGGTTGCATGGTTACAAGCCAAGCACACATTTCCGAGAGTGGGACGGTTCCCTTCGAGAACTAATTCACAATTAAAACAAAATTTTTTGATTAAAATTTTCTACTCCATTTTATAAACTAAAAAAAATGATTAGACGTCGGATAACTGATGCGAAAGTACCATTTTTTCGTTTTTACTCGACTTCAAATCTCAAGGTAAACTTTTTTCAGTCCACTTCCAAAAAAATATATGTTGGATTATAAAAACTTTTTAAAAAAAAGGTTTCCTTCTACGCACTTTTTGGGAATCAGTTTTCTTGAAAAAATAAGTCTGCGACTGGCAGTGTAGTTTTTCTTTGAGTAGTTGGGGTGTATCAAAATAAGTATACAAATATTTTTGGGAGAGCTACGATCGCAAAAGTTAAAATTTTCATAAGATTTGAAGCGGAAAAGTTATCAGAAAAAGCGGGAAAGAACGCTTTGAATGGAGATAATTCCCATGATCCCTTTGCTTTTTCGGCTTAAAGAGACCTCGTGCGTGAGGAATTTAGTGATATCACAGGAGGAAAAGATTACTGCATCCAGAGGCTTCTGAAATAAAAGGCGGAAACCAAAAAATGATGAGAGCGTTTAAAACTTGTATCAGTAAAGTTTTATCAGTAAAATTTATTAGGCGCAGAGGCAAATCTGCGTGAAAAGTTCTTTTTTTAAATTTCGTCTAGCTTGAAATTCCATAAGTTAGCGTGAATCTTCTGATTAAAAACGCATCAAAGATAATCCTGTTTCTTTTTTGTTCAAACATTGAGATTCGACAACTTTCTGCAAGTTCCGAACAGAAATAGGAAAAAAAGCAAAACGAGCTGGTTCATCCTGCAAAATTAACTCCACTCTTCAGGTTGACTTTTTTCGCAGAAGGGGATGCAGTAGATTTCGAGAATTTCAGATAACAACAAGGTGATTTGAACTATCAATTGAGTTGCCTGATAAGATTTATCTTGAAGAGCCCCTGCCAGCAAAAGAGAAAAAAGGTTCTCTCAAACTAAAAATTGTTTGGAACTCGGAGTGACAATTAAAAAAAACAGTTAGAGGTAAGGCGCCAGCTGACGTTTCGGCGCTCGAAGACGCACGAGTGGCTCGGCTCTCGAGAGATCCAACTGTGACGTCACGCAAAGGCCGTGAACTTCTTGAGTTGACAGTTATTGATCGTCCAGCTGTTTACTCGGTATCAGTTAAATCGCGAATAAACTAAAAAGCGCAGACTGATGGCTTTTTTCGAAGCTTCTCTTCTTCCTGGCTGAGCTGAATTTTCAACTGATTCTTACATAATTTGGGCCAAAATTTCTAATGTCAAGTTAGGTCTTTGATAAATCTCAAAAAAAAAGTCATAATTGGATGAAATAGGTTGGAAGAGCCCAAAGTAAGAACTAAAACTACCTGCTTCAGGGTAAAAAACGAGCTCATAAACCAAATTACTTCGGCAGTCTATATTATATTGACTGATGATTCAGCTTATGAAAGACTTTTAAAAACTTCAAAAAACATTTTTTTTTTTTATAATTTGAGTATAGACGATTCACGGCTAGCTTGGGACGCAAAAAGGCGTGGCCTGTCTGCACTCTCCACCAACCAGGGCACTGTCTCGTCTCTTTTCGTGGCAGGACCCTTTTTTGATGGCTCAAGCCAGCCGTGAATCAGCTATATCATTGCGAAACTCAAAAAGGAGGCGTAGGTTCAACGAAACGCGAGAAAAGAGCAATAGAAAAACCCTAACAAGTGGAAATTTTGTGCAGGTGGAAATGCTCGACGACGGCGAACCGGCGGAGAGACGTGGGCTGGGGCAGCTGCAGTCGAGAAGAACAGACTCCTTCCGAACTTCAACCTCGGAAGGATACGAGTTAAAAACAGGCTGAGGAGTGAAGGATAGATAGAAGTCAATAATTTTTATCCTAAAATATCCGTACTTCATATGATACTTTCGTAAATCCTACTATTGAATACTTGAAAACTCCAGACGCCCCAACTTAAAACCGTCCAACTTCTCTGTTGCCAATTTTCTCTCGACTCGCATTTTTATGTGCTACATGGTTTTGTCCCCTTGGCCGATGAAAGAAATGAGATGCAGACAGGTCAGATTCGAATTCAGGACAAATGGTTTTTAGAGCTGGGGAGGTTTTATTCCAAATCAGGGTGGGATATTAGTTAAAAAATTAGCGAATGAACTCGATTTAGTTCAAATATAACTGAGCTCTCCCTAGTAATTCCACCTTCGAACAATACAGTTTGGGAAGAAGATCGCCAGGCTGAAAAATCCTTATTCCAGAGAGAACCGTTGAAAAATCTATTTCGAGAAAATCAGACTTTATTGTGTTTGAGGAATGACTGCAATAAAGAAAAGTTGAGGAGACAAAAAGTAGCAGAAGGAATGTTGAATCAGCGGGAATGACGAGATTGGCGGCTTCTGTGGTGGCGGGATTTTCGCGAGTTGTCCGAACTGAAATTCTAGGAATCGGCAGGAAAAATATTGAATTTGGAAAGAGTCTCTGGATCTTGACTAACGTCGGAGACTTGCGTCGATGGTCGTGCTCACTTCGAGATCTGTCTTCTCTTCTGAAAAAGATGGCTCATTCTCCTTTTGAGTATGAAAATAAGGATTTTTATCTTCAAAAAACACGTCTGACAGAAGGCGGTAAGACTTTGGTTGTCACTTTCTTGCAAGTGCAAGTTATTGTTTCCGATAATCAAAATGAAGTCAAAGCGCTTGAAAGTCTTTTCGTTATTCAAACTTTAAAAAAAAAATGAAAAATTCGTATTAGTAACTGGGAATAGCGGTCCCATTGTGTGTCAATGACATTTCTGAGTTAATCTTCTCAGAATACTCTTGACGCGACTCAAAGCTTAGACCGAAAAAAGGAAACCTGCGGCTACGGTCTCTTTCACGATCCGAAGTTTTACGCTTTTCGTCGCGATCAGAATTGACACGGTCGATTCGGGATCGACGACGTCGGTCATCAGAAGACTTTTGCTGACTGCTACGCCTTCCGCGGCTTCTGTCCTCGTTGCGCTCACGATCGCTGTTACGGTCTTCTTTGTCTTTGTTGTCTCTTCTCCGGTCCTCATTTCTGGGTCGAGAATCATCCTCCCTCGGTCTGGAGTCTCTCCTACGATCTTCATCCTTTCTTCGTCGAGAGTCCTCTTCTTTCGGTCTGGAATCCCTCCTGCGATCGTCGTCATTTCTGTGTCTAGAATCTTCCTCTTTCGGTCTAGACTCCCTCCTACGATCTTCATCCTTTCTGTGACGCGAGTCATCTTCTCTTGGTCTGGACTCTCTCCTACGATCATCATCCTTTCTGGGACGCGAGTCATCTTCTCTTGGTCTGGACTCTCTCCTACGATCATCATCCTTTCTGGGACGCGAGTCATCCTCTCTCGGTCTGGACTCTCTCTTACGGTCTTCATCCTCTCTAGGTCTTGAGTCTCTTCTCCGATCATCAACTTTCCTCGGCTCAGAGTCCCTGTCCCGATCGTCCTGCCTCGCACCGCCCCTACGACTTTTCTGCGGTTCTAAAGTTCCTTCAGTAAGATCGTATGAGTTGATCAGCAATGCATACCGTCACGTTTGGTGTAGCTTCTTGGAGCACTTTGCTTGCTACCCTCTTCCTCTTTACGTGAAACCTGTACGATTTTTTTAGTTTGGCTGATTTCCAAAAATGTAGAAGTAAAGTCAGTAAAACTCTTTCGAGAGCAGGAAATCGATTACCTAGAAAAGTTCAAGGTCGTTTATTTAAGTATATCTGCTGAACCCATTTCTCAAATTTTTAAAGCAGATTGCAGCAACTCAAAATTCGAAACTCAAAAACAAAACAATTATTCCAATCTCCAGCACCTATTATCTTAACGAGAGGATCAAGAGGAAAGTTCATTTTTTTTGATTCAATCAAAATTAAAGAGATTTTGGATAAATCAAACCTTTCTGTTCGGATGCATGTCCTCTGCTCTGGAAACTTCAATCCCGGCTGATTGCGACCTCAATTTTTTCTATAGTTTCCAAAAAACATTGTTTCAATTGAAAATGTGGTAGTGTTGTTAAATATCAAACTAATTGATAGTTTGAAAAATTATAACTATCCTTACTTTGCAAAACGAAAGGCGGTGAAAGCGATCATGAAAAAACCGACTGGAGCTGCAGAAATGAGAAAAGCCTAGACAGAAAGATATTTTGCAGTTGGCACTGGGGACCTCACTCCGACCGTCCGTCCATCCATAGATTCTGAGAAGAAAAAGGCGAAAATGGCCATAACGGTTAGCAGCATGTCCGAGACGCACAAAAAGAGAAACTGGAATGAAAGACAAAGGTTTCTTCTTTTTTTTTCAACCATTTGAGCAATCTCACCATTTCTGGCTTCACACTGCACTTAAAGAGAGTGAGTATGAAACTGACGAGAGAAATTACCGAACAGACCAAAGTCGAGCCAGCCACAAAACTTTCCTTCGTCAGCTGAACAAAATATTCCTTCTCGATCGGTTTCAAGATTATTAATATTCTAAAGTAAGATCACGCGAGATTCAGATCTTTCAACTACGTTTGACCTTCTAGTTAGTTAAAAGCGGTTGTTTATGAGAAATTTGTTCGATTTTTTTCTCTTTCTTCCTAATTCCTACGCGATCACATCTATGACTAGAAAAAGTGAATAAAAGATTGACTATTGACGTTCAGAGTAAAATTAACCGCTCTAACCAACTTATTCAGAAATTGATCTCAAAAACGAACTGCAGTTTCGCTTTCAGGGAGCCCCATCCGCCATGTAATTGCCTTGGGAATCGAGACGACATGGATCGCCTGCAAAAAGTAATCATTATATCAAAAATCCATCCAGGTTTATACATACCAACAAAGCGAAAATAGGTAAAGTGTAGAACAGAACCCTCCGCTCAGAGTCCTTTATCCCCATCGGTTATATCAAGAGAAATGCGTTTGAAGCCGTCGTTTTCATTATCAGCAACGCAATCGCTTGAAAAATCTACACATTTCAAAGTTCACTTTCTCATATTTGAAAAATATGAATTCCGCGTTTAAATTATCTCGGCTGAGTTAGAATTACCTCCAGAGAATGAAAATACAACGAGAATTTGGGAGTGTCAGTTTTCATTTACAATTTAATAGCGAAATTACTTTGCACCCGCCATACCTTCTGAAAAACTCTCAGGAGATCTCTCTTTTTCATTATGCATTCGGAAAAATAACTGCTTTGTAAACTTTGTAGTTCTTCTAAGTATCTAGCTCGTACCCACGTTTTTCATTTATTTGATTCTTCTCTATCAGAACCGCTCCTCAAATAATATTTTTAAAAAAAAAACAGCTTAATATGATTATAGTCGATTCACGGCAAACTTGGAACACTAACTAGGGAACTTTTTTTACCCCCCGGTTGAACTTTTGCTGAAACTTTGCCGAAGTGTACTTTAGGACCCCCTGATTTCAGAAAAGGAAGAAAATTTCTCGCAATAGATCTCGTTTTCGAGTTAGGACACTTCAAAAGCCCGAAATAGCGCTTTTTTGGCCTAATTTGCGTATTTTGCACACTTTGAAGCTCCATAACTCGGAAACAAGATCTATTGCGAGAAATTTTCTTCTTGATCTGCCATCAGGGGGTCCTAAAGTACACTTCAGCAAAGTTTCAGCAAAAGTTCAACCGGGGGGTAAAAAACGTTCCCTGGTAAGGAGGCTACCTCTTCTTTTATCGTATCAGGATCCATTTTTCGATGGCAGCCTTGGTGAGCTATATATGTGATCCGATCAGGACTGCACGGAATTTTGCCTATCGTCTTCCATTTTCCGTCCTCCACAGTGTTGTTCTTCCGTTTTCCGTTTTTTGCGTTTTGCGAAAATAAACTAATTTTCGTATTCCGTATTCCGCAATGCGAATTCCGGAAAATCAAGAAAATTTGTGAAAAAGTGCTCGGTCTACTTAATAGAATCGAAGTTTTGGTTTGGCGTGTTTTCGCAATTTTCAAATGAAACTTGATAGAAAAATTTTTCTAAACCTGGTTTTCCGTTTTTTTTTTCCGTTTTCCACATTCCGTTAAAAAACAGTTCACTTTCATGCTACCCTGGGGGCGATCTGCGGATGGCTTTTCTTTTCACTCTTACGATACGCGTCAATTGTGTAAGGAGACATCACGCGCATATACATGATTTCGGTGTCAGGTTCCGAAACATTTATTGAAAGTTTTACATTTTAATTTTAGCAGCTTTCAATGCATAAAAATGTTTTTTTTATTCACTTATGTTTTTTTCTGAGCATCATATTATTTTTCTGTTTCAATATTCCTAGTTAAGTTTAAAATTCGAAAAAAAAAGATAAGGGCTTTCATAAAACCGCTAAAACTCATCGAATGAAAACCTTCAAACTCTATAACGCCTTCTAGATGTTTTGAATTCAAGTTTCAATTTTCAGATGGACGAGGCAACAAAAACAACTCTCAAAGCCATCCCTCTTTGCCGAACTAAAGCCAGCCCACGTGACGGCGATTTGTGGATTCAGAGGTTAAAAGTAGGAAAATTTTTCTAAAGGTTCAAATCAATTTCAAAGTGATTTGATTTTAAAGTAGTTTCAGCCTTAACTGAGCTTTAAAGTGATTTCATCATTTTCTGGATTTGATAGTGTTTCAGGAGGAATACGAATCCATCATTCAGTTCGTCCAAAACAACAAAAATAATGATAGTGACTGGTTCAGGTTTTATTTTCTTTTTAAATGTTAAAATGTTTGATTATTCTAGATTAGAATCGAATGCCGACGGTACGAAATGGTTTGGTAAATGTTGGTACTTTCACAAAATGATCAAGTAATATTCCCTTTATTAAAAATGGTTCGGTTTTGCCAAACAACAGATACGAATTCGACGTCGAGTTCGACATCCCGATTACATATCCAGTATCTGCGCCAGAAATAGCACTTCCGGAGCTGGATGGGAAAACAGCAAAGGTTTTTAAAAAAAATTTTCACTTTTATTTTGGTAAGGAAGAAAAAAATAGTTTAACTCTCATCGGACGAAAATCGATTATTGCTTTGAACAGAGTGAATGTACTGTTTTTAAATTTTTACGTATATAACATTAAATTTTAATAAAGTAGACATCAAGTGTTAGCGTGTTTTTTTTCTTAATTTTTTTTTTCGTTGCAGATGTACCGTGGAGGGAAGATCTGCCTTTCCGAACACTTCAAGCCTTTATGGGCTAGAAACGCTCCGAAGTTCGGCATAGCTCATGCATTCTCGCTTGGTCTTGGCCCATGGCTTGCCGTCGAAATTCCCGATTTGATCGAAAAAGGTATCATAGAACCAAAAGCTTGATTTTATCGTTATGTTTATATTTGTCGTTTTCAGTTCTATTTCATATCACAAAATTCAATTTGTATGGTGTTAACAATATTTTCAACTTGAATCTTCACTTACATGCAAGTTTTTCTTATGGTTGAATATCTAGTGGTATTGAATCCTTTCAAAGAGTAGTTAATATATTAATATATAATTATTGTTTGCCAAAAATAATATGGTTACACTTTTTCAAAACAAAGATAATAAATTATTTGTGGAATTATTTTCTTATCGTTGAAATAGAAACGGTCGCAAATTCAAATGGTCGCTTTCAGTTGATTTCAACTTTGCTCCGGAACAAGGTGTGGTATCGGAAGTTGAGAATGCTCTGCATTTCTGACGCCACCCTCTCCCATTCGTATTTAGACAACGTGACTCCGCTCCTTGTAGCCACCTCAAAGCTGTGCATTTTGTGAAAACGGCGTCTGGATCGTACCGTAACTTGTTTAACGTAATCCATGTAAGGACCGACGCCCTGCTGAGCACTCGAAGTTTGAGAAAGAGGACATTGGGTGACTGTGACGCCGGCGCCACCTGTTCCTTGTACAAGCGCCACCTGTGTGATTGCGCCGCCTGCCAAGTATCCGATCCGAGTTCCCGCTGGAAAAAAAGTAGCAGAAACATTTTGGACTATCAAGCGGAAAATCGCGTTTTTCGTTTTTGCGTACGCACTTACGCGGTATCGCCTGCCCAACGTAACAGTTGGAGACCTCATCTGGAGAGTACGTCACCGTAGTTCTCATGTCGGTTGTAGGTACGAAAGAGCTTGACAAAGCTTCCAAGTACTGAAATCGAAAGTTTCGAGCGAATTTGCAAAAAATAGAGAAAAGAAAAAAAAAACAAACTGCTGCAAGGACTTCATTCTGCGCTGCTTGTTGGGCTTCCGACGAGCTGGCCGACTGTCCCGGAAAGTAGTTTGCTATAGAGGTTCCAACTGCAAACGAATACTTTTGCTCCAAGAATCAACCGTTGAGATACCAATGGGTTGAACGGGTGGGAAGTAAGTCCACCGAACGGGTGGACTCACCGAGAAACTGAACGTCGGATCTGTGATTGGCTCGCCTTCTCGTCTACCAACTAAATTCTTCATTTCTCTCATTTTGAAATCCAATCGGTCTCGATTTCATACATAGACACAGAATTAAGTTCCGCTCATAGATCTGCGATAAATGCAGAACTATGCGCGAATTTAGAACTAAATTCAAATAGACAAAAATAAATCAAAAAGCAAAAAAAAAACTCTTGACCGCCAAAAATTTTGAAATAAGCAATAAAAAACCGCTTTTTGATGGTATATTTTGGTAAAAAAATCCATCAATAAAAGTATAGCGAGGCAGAAGATACGAATACTGAACAACGAAAAACATCTCTACGAAGGTCAAGCATTTTATTTCATTTTTAATTAATTCACTTTAATTTTTTCCACTCCATGAAGCAGATGCTACAGAGCAACTGTTCTCACTATCAGAACGAATTCAATTGAAAGTCGATACTACATACACGAGCCGCATGAAGACGTCAGACTGGGAAGAAGGAGGAGGACCGCTACTGAAGACATTCCGACGCGACTTTTTGGAAGCTTTCTTCATTTATAACGGCACCTCATCCCAGCACGCATTGGCTCCGATTCAAAAAACTTGCAGAAGAGAGAAAAATACCCAAAACGAATGCTTTCGTCTGTTTACTTTTCTCCTTTTTCAAAAAAATTTATAAATACATTCTTACGGAATATACAACCCAATTCCAAAAACGGAAAATGACGAAAGAAAAAAGAAGCCGGTTTCGATTGTTCTAGTGAAGACAGTCGCGTTTTTCTCCAGGGAACTTTCCGGCCAGTTGAATTGTTCCGGCGTCGTAGATCTTATGAGCCACCTGAAAGTTCCACATGACTTCGAATCGGAAGCTATCCTAATATTTAACGGTCAATTGTAGCATAATCAATATCTTTGTTTTAATATAGAGCTAATATCATCAGCCGGAAACCTCTAGAACAATCATGTTCCGTTGGTTTTTGTTCTAGAAGAAAACACGACGAACCTTGCCTTGGGTGATGTAGCTGTCTGGGATCTTGATGGTGAACTTGCGCTGGCAAGGCTGAAAATCATTTCCATTTCAAATTTTCTACTTCAAGTCGATTCCATCTGACTAAAAAACCAATAAATATTGATTAATTGAAGTCACAGAAGATGGTGAGAAAATTGAAAACGGTGAAGTTAATAATTCAGATTTTTTTTTCTTCCGTAGAAATACAAAAGAAGCACGCAAACACGACCGTGACGATTAAGAGAGTCTAGAAAAATCAGAAAAGCTCAAGTTTTGGCTCAAATCTCTGTAAATACCTCACCTTGACGCCGTCGTTGCAGTCGTGATAAATATTAAGTTTTGGATCGATGGGAGTCATTTCGTCTTCGTGGCCGCTGATCTCGAACTCTCCGTTGGCGTTGGTCTTTCCCGAGGCCATCAGGTCGTCGGCATCGATTCCTAAGATAACAATTAAAGAGCACAGGGGTTTTTATAGAGAAAATTTGGAAGAAAGCTCAAGATTTCATGTTTAATGATTTAAAAATTAATATTTCTCAGGTCGTAGAAACGCTTCTAAAGCTATTTTTGATTTTTTTTTTAAAGTTTTTTTCGGCACGCTCGTGCAAGGAATTTTCAAAAAATTAAACTATTGTTCTCGACCGTCGACAAACGCACTGCGCTTCTTTTTCTAACCGTTCTTTTGGAACTCTATTTTAAAAATTAGAAAAGTACAGCTATCAAGCTTTAGTAGTTCCTAGACTATGACTTGAAACCGGTATACTAGGTTGGTAGGGATCTTGATAATATGCGTGTATATTTCTTTTAATTTTAGTTTCCTCACTTCTCAAAAAAAGATGATATCAACCATCTGCCTGTGCGGTGGCAGTAATTGCTCGACGACAATGTAAAATAACCTTTTTTTTTTTTGAAGGATCATCTCTCCAACCTAATCCGAAAAAAATGCCGAGAAAGACGGACCTCGATCGTCGTCATAAAGCTTGACGAGGACGCCGGCGGCGGGTCGACCATCACAGATGAGTTTTCCGCGAACTCCAGAAGACTGAGTTCTGCCGACGAGGGCCCAGCAGGCTCCGACCAGACTCAAGAGCAAAGCCGCCTTGACGAACATTTCACCCAGGGCAACTGGGAGCCGTCGCTAGACTTGCATTACACTCTGGCACTAGGGAAATCGGAAAAAAAAATTGTGTACACCTTGATGGCTGGAAAAACAACAGGCATCAAGCTCTGAACAAAGGTCAAAGTAAAGCGAGAAAAGAAGAAACTCTGAATCAAAAAAAATCGTTCATGTTATTTATAATCTTACAGGACTTGGTATTTTCTTCGTGGAACTTTTTTAAAAGATTTTAAACAATTAAAAAAACTTTTTAACTTCATCGGATAATTACAAACGCTGTTCAGAGAACAATCTCGAGTACACGACTTTTTTTTCGTAAAGTTTCGAGTTTTTCGAACATCTATCTGTATAAATTCTCCTTCCTGGTTCAATTTCTTTCCTAATGTTCCGGGTATTTTCTTCACTCGAAGTGGTAGCTCTCTCAGTCGGCCGAGGCTACCCTAAAGTGTACACGGTGTCCGTGCCCGAGCCCCACCATCATCGCCGTGCCCGTACCCGCGAAACTGATGGATCTACTTGTGGAAGAACGAGGCGAAGGACCGTAAGATCATGCTTTCAATTTAATCAGCTACACGTTTTGACTTCTTTTTCGCCAAAGGCGGTGTTAGTGCCGCTCAAAAGAGCAATTTTTTCACCGCCTATTCGATTCCATCTGACTAAAATAACCAATAAATATTGATGATAATGAAAAAAATTGAAAGAACAACTAATAATGGAATTGCTGTTTTTGTCTTTTCACTGTCTGTATCGTCGCAGTTAAGCAAAACAACGGAATCATCAAAAAATTAGTTTTGTTATGAAAAATTTCAACCGAGTAGCAGAAACTAACAAATTTATTCGAAAAACGCGGAGAAGGGAAAAAATTAGTAGCTTCTAGACGTCTTCAGGCGGACAGTCCTGTTCGTCCAGGTAAAAGGTCGCTGAAAATTGGATTTGGAAGTTCTGAAAGGTCTCCAACTTACAGTTGTCCTCCTTATTGTCCACGAAAATGATGGTTTGGAGTCTCTCAACGTCTGCCGCAGAGACCATGATCTCCGCGTCTTGGCGCACTGGCGCGTTCTTAGTTGTTGAAGTTGGAGGAGGAGTCTTGCTGGTGGAAGTGGTCGGGGAAGTCGTAGTCGTTTTCGAGGTGAAGGTCGTCGTCGAGGAAGTCTGAGCGGGAAGACGAGCGTTGTTAAGGACTTGAGAGGTTGCAGCGCATTTTCTGTGAAAAAATAAAGTTGTACAACCTGTAGATAGTTAGAACTTCCACATGGAAAAAAGGTAGATCAGTTGAAAGGAAATTTTTTTCCAATTTCGCAGCTTTTTTTCTCGTTTTTCTTCCCTTTTTAAGGACTTCGGAATAGAACGTTTCGATGAGGTTTTTTTTAAAAACATAAATACCTTATACATAAATCGTAAGCAGTATTTAAAGTAATTTTATTATAGAAATAGGTTCGATATACTTCAAACGTACAAAACTTTTCCAATTGAAAGGTTGGTTGGAAAAACGAAAAGAATTTTGTAAAATGGAATATTAATCTCCAAACTAATTTTATCTTTACTACTATTGAAAGAAATGAAACTCTTTTTAGCTCACAGTTCTATCTCTTTCACAAAGATGTCGCCCAATGTTCTGATCGCCCTGACCGTCGTGTAATTTGGATTCCGATGACGGTATTTGTAGAAGTATTTTCCAGAAAGAAATATTATATAGCTGTCGCTTTCGACACTGAAAAATAAAATGGAAACTTTCAAATAAAACCGTTCATATTACTCAATTTGGACCACAAAGGGTTCGTTTCGTGCTAAAAAGTGCTTCCTTCTAATCGGCGTGCCCCAGTGGTCCTATTGAAGATCAGAGTCAGTTGATTATAAACAAAAGCCTCACCAAGAACGAGTTGAGAACGACCGTCTTGTTCGAGAAAAAGAACTTCATATGAAGAGAGATTTTCCCTTCCGCTGAGTCCAAGTTGAAGAATGCTCTGCAAAAAGGCTAGTGGACGGCAAACTATGCACAAAAAGTTTTTTGAAAAGTGAGTCGAAGAAATAATTCACCGGTGGATACCATAATTTTCCCACAAATATACCTCTCACAATGAATCGTGAATTTTCCATAACATCATGAGACCTCCAGCGTGATACCATTTAGAGCTATCTGAGCCACATCGGAGGTCTTTGTGAGTCTACCTCAAGCCTATCTTGCTCAAAGTCCTCAGAGGTATGCCCATGGTATCATCGTTACACTTCGGACCTTACGATGAGGTAGTCTCACGTTAGCCTTTCTCGATTCGCCTATGAAAGAAGCTGCAGTCTTTCTGACCGGACTTGAAACAAAGAGGATACAGTTATCTTCTTGTGAGAAGGCTTTGAAAGTATTCCATGAGTATTCCAAGAGACTCGATGCCGAAAACATTCAACCTGAGGTTCTAAGGATATTCTCCGCATAATCGCTGCGATTCGAAACAGGCTGATAAGTCTGAGCTCGTTTTCATTTATTGATTTATACAGATGGTTTTTTGAAGTTCTTATGACTTTCCAAAGCCGAAACTTCATCAAACTTCTCAAAAACTATTTACGTTGAACTATATTATTTAACTTGACTATTTATTATTTTAATTTTCCTTGAAGCCATTCTATTTTGTTCAGTGGGTACGGAATAAATAACAATTAAAAAAATGTTTGTACGACTGACAACATCGGAAACCAAAAGTATAGCATTGATGGTTTCGGATGAACATTTGCGAAATAAAAAACTGACACTCCTGCATTAGGATTGACTGTGCCGGTGAAGATCAACTTGTCGCCAACTTGTAGGTGTCGATCTAGACCGATGCTCTTTCCATTTGCACCTCTCTGCAAACCGGAGAAAACAAATCCTCTGAAACAAAAAAAATGAAGCTTAAATCTTACAATTTTTGCGCATGAGAGATTCGCGCCGACGGAAGAAAAGTAGAGTCCCAGAAGAAAAAAGGAAAACGACATGCTCGACAGCTTCCGCAAGTGTCGATTCGATAAAAAAGATCGACATTTTCAATTCTGAGAATTTTACAGCGATCATAAAGTTTATGGGACTTCAAATTTCGAGCTTTTTTCTACTTGAAAAAATTTCTTTTCATTCACCCATTATTGGGTTGAAAACACAAAATCATCACATCAAAAAATCGCGATTTTTTGAAAATAGAGAAAGGAAGGACCAAGCGAAAAACGACTGTTCGAGTGCCACAGGCGTTTTTTAAGTTTTGAAATGATCAATAGAGAAATTTTATATTTTTGTTATCTTTTCCCAGTGTTCGTTGAAAAATATATCTGTCAATAAAAATAGCTATTTCCAACAATGATAATAAGCGAAGAAATTGCATTAGAACATGCGAATAAATAGCTGTGAAATTAAAACGAGCAACTGAGAAATTCAAAAGAGTAGAATGGACATCAGACAGACTTGTCTCTTACCAGTATGCACTAAGCGAAAAAAAAGTTTCTTCGAGAAATAGGATCAGGTATTACTATCTCATTTCTACCCCTCCAGCGATCAAATTTCCGCCTTGTCTTTAATTTAAAAAGAAATCCGCTCTAGTATGAAGTTCATCATCGGAACGCTCAACTTTCTGATTTCACAATCCAAAAAAAAGATGATCTAAGAGCTATTATTTGGTCACGGCGATTCCCCAAATCGTCGATCAACTCTTCATTCAATTCACGACTCAGAAGAGAAACTTCTCTGACGGCTGAATTATGTTGTAAGCCCGATACAGCTCAAAAACACTAACATGCAAGCTCATTTTTGCGTAGAGTTTGGATCTATAAACTTGCTCAAATAGTCTTTGATGGACTGGGAATCGATTCCCCATAGTCGCTATGTTGGTCCCCTTCAAGAGTCAAAAGAGACCGTCCGTTATTAACGAGTCTGGTTCGCTCCTTATAATAATAGTTTATTCACTGCCATATTAGGTAGTATAGAAAAAGTATAAATGATCAACATATGACGGGCAGAAGAACAACTTTCTTGAAGAGGAAAAGATAGTTTCCCTCGACGTCTCACAGCCTGTTTCAAATCTTTTTGAACTCCCTCTTCTGGCCAGCCCACACCCACGTACCTAAGGTGCTGACTCAGAGCTGTGTCCAGCCCCAGCGTCCAGCCGCCCTCAGTTTTCGGTCTCTTCCCATATTTCATTTCCCTCCGCAGTTTCATATTCATTGTCGCATTTTTAGTTTGTTTCGTTTCATTTTTATTTATATGGTTTAATTACCCAAGTTTGAGATAAATCCTTCGTTGGACTGTCTACTGGGTAATATCACAAGAAAAGAAGCAAAGAAATCGGCGGACTCTGCTGAATTAGCAAGGAGGACAACTTCAGTTCGCGTTGAAGAATTTCTTCAACGAAGTTTCTTTGGTGAACTGGATGAAGGTCTAGAATCTCTAAGTCGCCCAACTTCCTAAATTCCGAGAAATAAGGACTCAAAATCAAAAAATGTCCAGTTTCCAAAGATTTTGATGGTTTTCGTCACTTCCTAAAAAAAAAATAAGAATTTGTGCTGTTTTTGACTTTGCGATCACCTAACACCAAATACGTCACATATTATTCCGGCAGTTTTAATTCCCGATTGCAAACTCAATCGGCCTTCATGTTAGTCTTTTTCCCCGATTTTGCATAGACTAAGAGCTCATATCTGACTAGGAATCAAGCGGATTGAGTTAAAGCTTTGGAAACTTCTATACCTGTGGAATTTCATAGGTAGTATAATTATTTGATGGTATGGAAAGCGACCATCGCACGGGGAGCGTTGTAGGGTTTGCCCGAGACTTTGTAACGGCAGTTTTCAAGATTCCTCAACTCCAAAATAAATTCTTGTCCTGAATCCATTAGAGCGTTTTTTTTTTTTTCGCTTAGTGCTCCATAAAAGTACCACGTCGCTCAATTGCAACAAATCGAAGCGCTAAAATCCATATTTTTGAAAGGAACCAACCTTGACTAAGCCTTTTTAACGCGACTTTCCACGACGCTCTTCCCCTGGTGAATGAATTTTTGGCTTGGCGACCATCCGCCTGGAACTATGCCAAACCTCAGCGTGTATTTCAAAATTTTCGCTGACTTATTTGGAATTTCGAATTCGAGGATTCAATGAGTTTTCTCAAATAAAATACTCCAGCCACTACTGTTCAAAACTTTGAAATTTCAATGGTTTATTTTGAATCTACATACGAAACTTTTTGCAAAATTTTGCACATGTTTCATTCGATCTTTCTCTTCATCAAAGCATCAAAATTATCACTTCAGGGACCTTTTATTTTCCTCATAACTCTAGTCCAAATTGCAAGTCTTCCCAGTAAAAGCTCGCAATAAACATTTCTTGCAGCTTCTCGATCAGAAAAGTTCTTTAAATTTCTTTCTAAGTTTGAAAGATCACAGTGAAAACCTTCGAAGAATGTGTAACTTTAACCTGAATAGTATCATTCTTATAAATAGAACAAAAATGAGGTTTATCTGGTTTTCTACAAACAAACTCTTTTCGTCGCTTAATTAGGGCTTATAGAAGGCGAACTTTCGATATTAGAATGTTGACGAAGGCTAGACTAGAGCCGAACTCCATCCTTATCATTCTCTCCCGTTGCTCTCGCGCGTGCTCTTCGAGTACCTCGTGCTTTTTATCTTTCAGTTGCTTTTTAGTTCCCTTTTGGTACTGTTATCCCAGAGTTTCCGCCTTAATTCATGCGTTTTTTTTTTCATAATTCTTTAAATCTTAATATTTTCGAAAGCATTCTACGAAAAATTGTTCTCTAGAATGCGAAAAAAGCTGCTCATCGTGGGGGCCGGAGCCTCAGGCCTTCCTTCAATTCGGTCAGTTTCCTTCTTTTTCTACCAAAAGGCCACTTAATGTTCAGACACTCTTTGTTTTACGAAAACATCGATGTTACCTGTATGGAGGGTTCCGACGAGATAGGGGGTTTATGGAACTACAAACCATACGACACGGAATGTTTGTTTGTTTTCTCGTTGGGTACTTTTTCGTGAAGCGCGATTCGCAGAAAAATGGGTCGAAACATTTAGTTTTGAGCCGCCTGTTTACCGATAAATAAACGACTTCTCTTCTCTACTAAAATGAATAAGATATGGATACTTTAATATATTTTATGGATTTTTTGGGTGTGAAAGTCTCGACTTTTTATTTCGAGGAAGTCGAAAAAATGAGCATTCTGAGAAATTATTGGATCTATTAGACTTCGAGCGAGAAGAACGAACTGAAGACAGTATGACTCCGCCATAACTTGCTCTTTCTTTTGAGAAATTTTGACTTGTCTGCTCTGTCACTGTGAAAACGGAAACTGCTTGTAGAAATAAGCTCTGATGAGAGATCAAGAGGGAACAGAGAGACTTGACCATCGAAGCCCCCACAAAAATGGTTCTCACCAAGAACATTTCGTGTAAAACTTCACTCTTCTGTGGTCGCTTTCATTTCGAGGATCCCACCTAGAGCACGATCTCTAGGCTCCCGCACGATATCAGCTAGTACTTGTTCTCCGCATAGTTGATTAAATCTGACTAAAAACGAAATAAATGATTTGATTGATTTGAACAAAGTTTCACGTACAGTGTCGTCTGTGATGAAGTCTACAGTGATCAACACCTCGAAAGAAATGACCGCCTACTCGGATTTCCCTCCAGACCCGTCCATGGCGAATTTCATGCATAACACCGAAATGTTCAGGTTTGCAAATAGAACAGTTAGGAATGTGCGAAATCGGGGAAGCCTTTAAAGTGATACTCAATCATTAATTTCAATCTGAATTTTTGTGTTTCTCAAAATCTCCTTTTGTTTCTTTCCGCATTTGAAAAGAGGAAATGAATGGATTTTTTTTTCTCTGAAAACATTTTAACTGAAAAACCCAATTGACTCTCCCAGAAAATTCTAACGAGAAACTTTCTGTCTTGAGAAATTTAAAAATTGTTTACAGATACCTAAAAAATTACGCAGAAAAGTATGAGCTCCGCCAAAAAATCAAGTTCAATCACAAAGTTTTGACAATCTGTCGCCATGAAGACTACAGGGCAACGGGGAGGTGGAAAGTCGAGTACATGGATGAGTGGGTTTTTTTTTTCTTTTTGCGCTTACAGCGGAAATTTCTAACGATATCTCCTGATGACGGGAGCTCGCTATAAAGCCATTTTATGCATAAACCGCAAGCGGTTTTTTTTTTTCAAAATCGTTAGATTAGCTCGATTTTGGTTTTAATAGAAAACTTCCGATGTCCAATTCTGATTTCCATAGAAATCTAGAGCCCAAGTAATGCATAATGTCCTATATGGTACATACTTTCGAAGATTGTAAGAATTTCTCTTTAAAAACGGCGGTCTCCTAGACGAAAAGGGGATACTTGAGGAAGAAGACGCGGCACTCGGAAGTGTTCGACGGAGTGCTGCTGTGCTCGGGCCACCATTGTCTGCCTCATCTGCCGCCGGCTTACTTCGGCCAGGAGAAGTTCCGCGGACGGGTCATCCACTCCCACAGCTACAAAGACCACCGAGGCAAGTTTTCATTTTCTTTCTGGGAGCATTTTAGTTTCGATTTGAAGAAATAGAGTTGAGGAACGTAAACCCCTGCCCTTCTCGCGATGGTGAAATGTACTGGGTTCTTGGAATCTTGCGTTTTTTTTTCTCGTTCGGGCCAAAACTGTATTAAATTGAATATGAAAATCGGTTAGACAAGACTAAAAAAAAATAAAAGCAGTGAGTCTGCAACAATTTTCGAGTGCAAAACATCTTTTGGAATTTAGTTTACCTTTTTGATAGTAAGCATTGAATCTTTAGGATACGAAGACAAAGTGGTGGTCGTGGTTGGAATCGGCAATTCAGGCGGAGATGTAGCTGTCGAACTGAGCAGAATCGCCAAGCAGGTCTTGTGTTCTAATCGGAAAAAAAAACTTGCATTTTTCTGGACACAGGTCTACCTCGTTACTCGCCGTGGCGCATGGGTCTTCAACCGCATTTTCGACTACGGCGAGCCAGTTGATCTGGCTTTGAGCAGGTCGAAACGCTTCCTACATGGAGTTCAGAAAGAAAAAATCTCACAAGAAGATATTTCAACGCTAAATGAAACTATGTATTACCTGGATTATTACAAACTTTTGAACTTTTTCATCATGAAATGGGAAAAGTGAAAGAAAATTTCAGGAAATATCTGCTGGACTTACAGAAGTTTGCACCAGAATCTATTTCTAATTGGACTATTGAAAGAAAGTTGAACTATCGTTTCGACCATGAACGCTACGGCGTGAGACCCAAACATCGCGTTTTGAGGTTCGGCTAATTTTTTTCGATACACATTGCATTTTTTCAGCGCACATCCAACGGTTAACGACGAACTGCCCAATAGAATAGCTTGCGGAACCATAAGAATCAAGCCGAACATTGTAAAGTTCACAGAAAACGGCATCGTCTTTGAAGATGGAACCAAAGTTGAGCAAGTAGATGAGGTGCGAGTATTTCTTCACTTCTGTCTTACGAGGGAAATCCGAAAACCAGACAACTTTCTTGGATTTCGCTGGCGAGGGACGTGATTTTATCAACCGTCTCTGAATTTCTGGGAACTGATGCTTGAAAAAATATCTCAACCCAAACAACACATTTTCTTTTGTATCAGGAAGTACAAGCTCTAGGACGTATGTGAAAAAAGTTCTGCAAGTTTAGATTATTAAGATCTTCATCACGTACATCAAAATGGTTCTGGCCGATTTCCAAAAAAAGCCAACCCTAATTTTTTTTTTCACAATCAGCTCTACTTTAAAAATCAAAGTCGCTTACAGGTGGTCATGTCGACAGGCTTTTCTTTCGAATTCAGTGTTATTGAGAACGGCAAATTGATTCCTGTAGCGGAAAATGAGGTTTCCTTTTCGGTTGCAATTATTTAAAGCTGAAACGTTTATTTGTTCAAAAACCATACTTACAGGTTGAATTGTACAAATACATGTTTCCCCTAGAAACGTCCGACCACAACAGCCTGGGCGTTATTGGACTTGTACAGGTTTAGAAAAAAAACCGTTCCAAACGAATTTTTTTTAAATACTGCAGAAAAAAGTTGAGAAATTGATTATGAAACATGGAAGGATGAATAGAATTTTGATTTCAAACCCTTAGCCGTTTCGTACAGGACGCAATATTCCCAAATTGAAGAATTAGAAATTTCTATAAATACTTCCCTTTCTAAAACAGATTCCTAGTTTCCGACTTGGAAATTATCAACGAATTCTCAATTTTCAGCCGTATGGATCAATTATGCCGCTTTCCGAAATGCAAGCTCGAGTTTTTCTCGAAACTTTTGCTGGCGGCGCTAAACTACCTCCTGTAACTGAAGTAAGCTTAAAATGCTGCGTAAAAACCGACCAAGTACATTCAGATGAGAGAAGACGTGAATCAAAAGAAGAAAGAGATGAAACTCCGCTATGTTGCAAGTAGAAGACACACGATCCAGGCACTCTTTTTTTCATTTTTAGAGAAAAAAATTCTGATTGAAAAAAATGAAACTATCGCTAGAATGCGAAAATGAAGGCATCAAGCTGAACTGAATCCGACCATAGGATATGCTCACACTCTCTGTATGCTTCTAGCTTTAAATTTTAAAAAAGTTGAGAAGATAGCCCGGAAAATAAAAAATATTTCAATATTTATTTTCTTTTTTTTCTGTTGAAAACAGTAGTTTCCCACAACTAGAAACGCTTTGATGCGGCTTTCAAAATGATTACGGTGCGGGCGACTTCTAGACTGAAAATCTTTTATTTCCCTCTCGCAGCATAATTTTCAAACCTAACACTGGAAAATTTAAAGTTGAGAAGATAGCCCGGAACGTAGAGTTCAAACAAAACAAGTTTGAGGTCGATTACGTGCCGTACATCGAGGAACTAGCGGAAATCGTTGGGTGTCAGGTCGACACTTTCAAACTACTTTTCAAAGATCCAGTTCTTGCCGCTCAGGTTCGTTTTCAGTAAACATTCGACCATAAATATCCATAGTCGTTTGGTCTTCAAGAATTTGGCTTTTTCTACTCAAATTTCCGTTATTTATTTTTTTTTCCTATCAGGAGATTAGAAAAAAAGATGAATTAGGAGTTGCAATTCAGACATACTTTGGACCTCGGGTGCCTTATATTTATCGGATCAACGGACCAAATGCATGGAAAGGCGCTCGACGAGCTATCATGGACGTCGAATATCGCGCCAGAATGGTTTACCATATATATAAATTTGCCTAGTTTTTGTAGTTTCTGAGTGCCAATCGAAACATTTCTTGATCGAGAGACACTTTTTCTTTTCAGGCGACGGGTGCTAAATTGGTCGTCAGCAACCCTGCGACCAACATTTTATACACAGTTTCTTCTTTTCTTGTTATACTGGCCATTTTTTACTTTTTATTGTTCTAAACTCCCTCAAAATGAATCAGAAAACCCCTCCACCATGATCGAATTGCTCAAAAACTAACTGAATAAAGAGAGTTTTCGTCGAGTTTGAGCATTTGCACGGCGTTCCCCCACAGCAATCGCTCTTTGTCGTTGGAATCGAAAGACTTGTAATCTTCTACAACTTTCCCCACCTGGAAGAAGAACAACTGATTAGTTGTCCTGGTCATTGAAATCTCAATAAAAAAAGATTCTTAACGGGGAACTTAAAGCTTCGGAACACCTTGATTTTTCGAGAGTTAAATCAATAAAAAGAAATGATAAAAAATAGTCACGAGTAGTGTTCAGCTCAGTTTTTCAGAAAGAAGTTCAATTTGGTTCAAACCTCGAGTTCTCCGAGAGGGAATGGATAGTCGGTGCCAAGGACGACGTGTTCCTGCATTTTTTTCAATTATTTTGGTCCGAATTGATAACAAACTCATGGAAAAAAGCCTCAAGCAAGTTCAGAAGGAACTACTAAAAAACCAAGAAAATTATGAGAGGCTGCTTTTTTGGAATATGTGGGAACTTCAGCGAAAAAAAGATCATGATTCTGTACAGCGAAGAGTATTGGAGTATTCTCCAAAAAAATCTAGAATTCTAGTTGAAATTATGCTCCGCTCAAGCTCTATATGCAAGAAACTTTCATTTTAATTAACCTTGCCAATCGTAGCAATCAACAAGTCCAAAGCGGTGGGGTCGTGAACCAGGGAATCTGTCCAAATCAAGTTGTTCAGCTGGTCAGGGGCAGTTCCGCAGTTTGTAGCGCAAAGATCAGGCCTCACCTTGAATTGTTTCAGAATTCATTTTTTGATCTCAAAAACTTCATTTCGAAAACTTTCGCAACCATATTCGTAATTTTTTTTTCTGATTCTCATTGTCGAATTGAAACAAAACTTTGGTCTGGTCCTCTTATCATCTCTAGCTCACAGCGCGCCATAGAGTTAAGGGCAATCCGTCGCAAACAGTTTTGAGTCGGTACATAACGTGACTCACTCTGTAGCCGTGGGCGACTCGACCGCTGATGATCGGATAGGAGCCGCCGCCGTGGGCGAAGCAGAAGCGAAGCCTCGGAAACTCGACCAACACGTTGCCCATCAACACGCTGCAGATCGCCTGTGCTGTTTCCGACGGCATTCCTCCAATTTACCAAACTTGTCCATCTACTTTTGAGCTACAAGCAACTGAAAAAGTTTGAATTGCACAAAAAGTTACTTCGTGAATTTCATTTGACACGTTGTTTTATGTTGCACAATTGCTCTCACTACAGTTCTCTTCGAATTAGGAAAAATGCAAAAATTAAAGTTTTGGAATGCTAGAACTTTCTAGGGAACTACTCGGACTCGGGTACGCGTTTCGAGTTGAAACTTTGGTGGCTTATAGACCCGGGTGAGAGCACTTGGAAACAAGAGTGAATATCTGCTAAACCCCATAGGCTTCTGAGAAAAAGCTTTTTGAAAATGAACAGTTTTGGCTTGAAAATTATCCAATTTCTGCTTTTCTCCTTCTTTTGGCTGGAAAAAAGTTTTTTAGAGTGTATCATAGCCGGATTATTCAACGCGATTGTATTAAAATATAAAATAAGGTAAAAAACAGTATTCTAAAAATTTTCATGCCTAATTTTCACATTTTCTACTAAGTTTTTCTCAGAAGCCTATGGGGTTTAGCAGATATTCTCTGATTTTCAAGTATTTTGACTTGGGTCTATAAACCACTAAAGTTTGAACTCGAAACCCGTACCCGAGTCCAAGTAGTTCCCTAGTTAGCGTAGAACATATTTGAAGTGAAATGAAGCCGAAAAATAAAATCATCGTTCGCGAAAAAAAGTAGTGTCCTATCCAAACTTTCACAGTTCCTTAGAATTCGAATTACCAACGAGCCAAGGCATCCAGTACTTGGATAACCGTCCGTCCCACATGTGCATGTCCCAGGGATGGATAAACAGAACCGCGCCCAGTTCTTCACACACCTCAACATGTATTGAAATTGATTGAGAAGAAAAGTCGTGGTCGACACCCGACCGTCCGTTTGGTAAAGCTTTCTTTCTCCGATTTTACAAAATGAAGCTGTTTTAATCTGTAATCTATCTGTTATTTTCAAGCAGTCTAGTTTTGACTGGTTTCTAGAGGAAAAAAAAACTTTGACGCTCCGGAAGGTGTCATCGGCGCATGTTTTATTTAAAGAGTCCCGGAGCAGTGAAAAGAAAAGTGTTTGAGATTTTCTTTCTTTTCTAGCTTTCTTCTTTTGTCACTTTTACATTTTGTTGAATTTGGGGTTCTCTTTGAATGAAGAATGAAAAAATTTTCAACATTACCTTTCCGATCTCTCCTAACTTATGACTCATGTGAGAATTGAGAGCCTTTAGAAAGAACTATTTGTTCAAGAATTATTATCAATTATCGCTCCGAAAAATCGAGAAACTTACCGAATAAATGAGTTATGTGAAAATTATTTCTTTTCAAACAAAAATCTTCCAAACCTTGTACAAAGGCCAAAAGTCGCGGTGGTCCAGGCTCTTCTCGCCGACGTGAGATCCGATCTCGAAGCCTTTCATCCCCAATCCGACACATCGTTTTGCTTCCTAAAAAAAGCCATAAAATCAATTGAAAGTTCCATCCAAACGTATTTAAAACTCAAATTTTTTCAGACTCGGCACAAAAAGGTAGCAAGCTGAAAAGGGCCAAAAAGGAGCAAAAGCCCTTTTTTGAAGCTAGCGGCGGCCTTGATTTATTATCAAGCGCTGCCAGCTTCTCTCATCTGAACCGAATTCTCTTTAAACTTGTCCTTTCTCAACCTTTTTTTCAAATTTCGAACAAGCAAGATCTCCCTTCAATTCAAAATGTATCTGTCTTTCTTTTTTCATTCAACGTCACCATTTATTTTTCGAAACATCTTTATTTTCTGAATGAATTACGAACAATTCATGAAAAGATTGATTATTTTTGGAACAATTAAAACAATCTTTGGGGTCTGCACGAAGTTGCAATACTGATTCATTCAAGCTCTAGCTAACTAACTTGGAAGAACGGGAAAAAAAATTCATGAAGCCTCTACAATTTTTACGAATCCAGTACTAAAAATGAATATAAATATAAAATTTGAAGCGAATTGCGCCGTTGCTAAGATATTCAGAGATATGAATGTCATCGTAAGGTCGTCTTTTTCTAAACTGGAATTGTCGAATCTTTTTCCATAAGCAGTCAAGCAGTAAGCTGAATCACAATCCTTTTTCTTTTGTTGCTCATATTATAGATGTTCCGGTTTTGTTAACTGCCACTGTTTTGTTAAAAATTAAATGTGATCAAAATTAATTATTGAAAGAAATAATAAAAAGATTTACTATCTGAAATTTTTTTCCAGCAAAAACATGTCAGCCAAAAAGGAAACTGTCATATGCCGTTGTTTTTGGGCCTCAACCTCAAAAAGGCCCCATCAGCTCACAAGGCGCTTTGACTCCATCTTCGCCGTCGTTAGATAGATTCACTAGGCTAGTTAAGGTTGCACCCAAGAGAAGCTCCGAAGATGAGCTCCAGCCTGCTCGAGAGCACAAGCTCCAGCTCACAAGCTCTTGCAAAGTGTGCAAACGAGCAAAAGAGGAGGGAAGCAGAAGTGGGCGTGGCAGGAGTTCGATCAATCGGCTCCGACTCACGACCGGCGGTGTCTGGAGGCCTGACAGACGGATGGGACGCGACGGATGGACCGACCAAAAACGGCCGAATTTTCGCTCCGCCCCTTTCGGCTCTCTCACTTCGTCGTCGTTTTTTTTTTCTAACGGCCATCCTGATGCCCTCGTCTCATGTCCTTCATTTGTATTGGTCCTCTCCTTTTAGATCACATTTTTTTTCTTGGAAGGCTGATAGTTTTTCCATATACTCTTCTTTATCTGCGTCTAAAAATGTTTTGCTTCCAAAAAAAAAAACTGCACAACACAAATGAATGACAGTGTTTCGTATCTTCAAATCGTAATGATCTCAATTTAGAATAATATATTTCCAGAGAGACAATAATAATTGTTTACTATCTGATTTCTCAACCTAGCGACAGCATAAAAAAATTTTCCTAAATGTTCTCCAATTCATTATCTTTTTATATACCGTTTTCTGTATTTTGAGTATTTTCCAATTTCTGCTCATGTTAAATACAAGATGAGAGTCCCCACTATCAAAACTTTTCATATGCAAAAAAAAATCCAAATTTCCGAGATTTTCCACGCGATTTATTCTCACATTTTTTCTTCTCGTATTTCCCATACTCATATCCGAACCTGATTTTCTCACTTTCAATGGCTCGCTAATGAGCTCGTCGATTACTTTTGGCCGTCACAGCTTTTGGTTATCTTATTACACAAAACGAAAACCCCTGCTAATTTACATATGCGATTTCACTATGGAAAATTGTTTTCCAAAGTTTTAGAATAAATGCATTCTGAAGTTATGCTTCAAGTCTTTCAATCGGATTTCTTGTACAATTCAGCCGATTTCCTGCCCGTTTAGAAACTCACTACATCTGTAATTCAAAAAAGTAAGTATTAGATGCTTGAATTCTAAACAGTTCTCTTCGCCTTTCTTCTAACTTGAACCTTGTTATCTATTTAAAAAATCAAAAACATTCAGAGAGAAAGCAGTAAATGATTAAGATTTTCGCCTTTCTTTAGAAACTATCTTGCCTAATAAAAAAAAAATCAATCAAGATTCATCTAATTTTAAAATCTCAATAAACTCCGAAATCAGGGTATTCTGGATCTTTTTTCTCAAAAGTACAAGCAAAAGGCGCAATTAAAACAAACCTATGATTACCGTTTCACTCTATCGACTCGTGCTTGACAGATCCATGCCTCCGCATACTTCCACGCACTAAAATGATTCAAAGCGTTGTTTTTTGTTCCTCTAAATTATTACGATAATTTTATGTTCAAGCTTCCCGATTTCAGTTAGATCTAAAAAAAAAAGAAAATTTCTGCAGGATCACTTCCATTTGAATGTAATTTATGCGCGCAACTCATCAGGTGATTAGAACGGACATTGAACAATATGAGTATTCTAGTTGATATGAAAAATGATCAAAACAAAACATCAAGACAAACTTTGATTTTTCCATATTATCCTCATCCAAACACTCATGTAAATTCTTGAAAAGACTAGTTGTGCGTTTTTTTTTTACTTTTTCATATCTCATTCCTCTCTATTAGTTAAAACTATTTATAGCCTGTCAAAAGTTGTGAGATTGTTTCGGCAGAACACTGAGAAGCTTCACGACAGTTTACTCTATTTTTGAAAAACAATAAAAAACTCAGAAATCGTGGAGTTTCTTAAACCTGTCTGCTTTTTGCTTCTCACGAAGCAGTATTCTTATTTGAACGGCATCCATCATTGACGTTACTTTTTGAAGTTTCTCATACGGAGGTAGCCACCAGCCAAAATTCTCGGGGTTGCGTCGACGTCAGACGGAGATCCCCGTCGACGTCATCCGGCTGGATGCGTTACCTCCAGTTACTGCTCCTGCCGGTCCTTCTGCTCATGTGTAACGCCAGGTGAACCAATTTTTGAACTTCGCTCTTCCTTTTAATACAAAGAGTGAAATAGTAAAAACAATGTTACCCTTTTTTGCTTGTCATCATAAGAAAAATCGTTAGCTGAACGAAAATCTTAATGAAATAATACTCAGCTTCTTCTCACATCTTATGAAGACCTGAAAATTCAGAAAAGCCGTTTATCGAAGGAATTCGCGGCACCTTCGCCGCCTTAGTCGCAACTACGACTGGGAGGTCGACGAACACGGCGGACTTCGGCCTCTCATCAACCCCGCCAAGGTTTTTACTTCACTCTAATGAAAATAATCAATTTTCAACAAACCTTTTTCGTGTTTCAAGCGTTTCTCTTTATTTGAGCCTCTCTAAAGAGATGAAACATAAGTTGGAAAAAAAAACAAATTGATTCATCATATCTATTTTCAAAACAATAACAAGACGGAAACTTCCCTCTGATATTCAGAATTTTATGAAATTTATAATAAAATCTCTTTCTTTTCCTATTTGAAAGGCATAACATTTTCAATTTCCAAATTTCTGTTAATTAACTTCTCAGAAATTTAGCCAAAGGGAAATCACAGAATAAAATGAAGCTTTACGAAGAATTCAGAAGTTTCGAGTGATATAACCACTCTTGCGACCTACATTTCTCGTGCTCTTAAAAATTGATATTGAAATTACCACTAAAAAACTATTGTTTCCTCCAGGAAGTTAATTCCAGGTCGAAAGGGCTACAAAAAATTGCGCGAACGATTCGTACGTGCTGAAGCAGATAACAACTGGCTACAACCGCCACAAAATTCCTGGCGGCCAGGTTTCTTTTTTTAGTTATTCACCTCTTGCAAGGGAATTCTTGAGCACTATTTATTTCCAACTCTTGGAGATCGAAATAGAAAAAAACATCGAAGTTGTGTCTGAAATGGGAACGTGTTTAACGAATGTTCCGATACAACACGAATTTCTAAATCTTATGACAATCTTGATTGACTCATTTTGGAATTTCCTCATTCAAAAAGCTTTTTTTCAGGTTGATGTCGAGGTGGAGGTGTGGGTTCAAGAAATAACAACGATTTCCGACATCACCAGTGACTTTACGGTATTTTCTATTCTTATCACGTCACCGATCCTCTTGCTTTGTCAAAAATATCAAAAAAAAAAAGACGTCCCTCTATCAATAATAAAATTATGAAGAGCTCGCTTAACAGGCTTGTCAGGATAAGCTACTTGCTGAATCCGCATAGTCCGCATCTTTCAGAAAAACACATTTGTTTGGAAAGACCTTGAAAAAGTAGTGTTCTGAACCTGATAAACAGTAGAAAAAGATAGTTCGCCCTAGTGGGGCTGTTTCACGAAAAAAGTCAAAGAATGAAGTTGCGGAAAAATTTTTAAACTTCACAGCTGGACATCTACATCTACGAAACGTGGCACGATCCGGCACTCGACTACTCGTTCATGAACCCCTGCAAGTACAATCTCTCACTCAACTCGGTGGTTCTCGCCGAACTCTGGACGCCCAACTCCTGCTTCATCAACTCCAAGACCGCCGACATCCACAAAAGTCCATTCCCCAACATTTTCCTCATGATCTACGCCAATGGAACAGGTATGTATTTGATCAAATGAAAAAGAGATTTTTTGTGGTTTTTCTTTTCGATTTCTGTGGTCATTACGATTTGTGGGTTTTTCGACAATCAATGTTATGCTGCTCAAGATCACACGACGGTCTTTAAACAAAATATCAAATCAAGAAAGGTGTAGTATAATATTATGTTGCAAATCTCATTAATTATCTTATTTGAAATAAGATATATTACGAAAAATTGCGACATTATTTTACTATCGTATAACTTGCGCTTATGAGGAAATTCAAGTGGTCTACGAAAAAAGTCCAATATTAAAAAAAAAAAAAGGGAAAAGGTTACGATTCGCGATTGACGAATGGCGCTGACATACGCAATCCCTCAAGGATTCTTCGTTCTCCCAAAAATAATACGTTTTCTTTCTTGGTCAGAAAAGCCAGGGATTGGTTTCTTCTTAGCTTTTGTAGATGACATTGAGTCTTACTACAAAACAGAGGATCTTTTTCCAGAGGAATGTGTTGGATTACTGGATCCAGAAAGAAAACAAGAGCCCAATAAAGAGAAATATTCAAAAACAATAGCGTTTATTTTGATACATCTACGCAAGTATTTGTTACAATTGAAACTTCTAAAGATTTTGGGGGGGTTTTTTTTGAAAAAAAGAAATTCACGTTTTTTTATGGAAAGATGAAATAAAGAGAGAAGAACATTGGAAATTGTTTTCCTCATAGAATAAAGAACAGCAAAAAATAATGGCAATTTATGCAAGCTTACTCTTTCTCTATTTTGAAAACCATTTCGCATTCTATAATTTAATTCCATAAAAGCAGCGGAGCTGAACCGATCTTTTTGCATTTTCTTTGTTTAAATCACGCATCATGCGCATTGGAAGGTGTTTGTCCGTATAAAATGGGGAAAAAAGAGAAGAGGAAGAAAAGAGGGGAAAAAGCCCAAATTTGGAGCTTCCGGGCGGACCAAGAAAATGCGATTTAAACGCGACGAAATGTGCCGCCAGCCCAGAGGTGGTCGATTTTGAGAGAAAAAAAAAACCTGGCACTAAATTATCGGCCGGAGATGAGGGACTAAAATTAAGTTATTACTATCGCGCTCTATCTTCAGTTTTCAAGAACTGAATTTCAGAATAGCCGTTAGTTTGTTCTTCTTGCAGATCAGTTAACCACTTTTGAATTCATTTAGAAGAATATCATGTTACCGAAAGTAGAAAAATGAACAAGTTTTTTCTGTTCTGACTAGGGTATGGTCTCCCCTCAACATCGAGTTGATAATCGAGACTATGTGGGTTTGATAGAGCTGGGTAATAGTTCTCGGAATCAAAAATTAAAATTCTGCTAAACCCCTAAGGCGACCGAGAAAAAGCTCGTCGAAATTTCCACAGCGCGTATATAGGCTATATATAATATAGTCAATGTTTCCCGACTTGAAAGGCGAGGGAGGCGGGGCAGGGGGCGTGACGCGTAGCGTGTGCGTTCGCGGTCCTTGGCACGTGTTCAATTCAACCGCCATCGACTCTTTGAAAATCCGGTTTTTCGCTCTTTTCATTTTTTTTTTAAATTATTTATTGATTATGTTCATATGTTCATCAAAAAATAGTAGAAAACATTGAAAAAGAGCGGTTGCCGAGCTTGTTAAATATTCCGAGGCAATTAAATTGAACTCGTGCCAAGAGCCGCAAACGCACACGCTACGCGTCCCGCCCCTTACCCCGCCTCCCTCGCCTTTCAAGTCGGGAAACATTGACTATATAGCCGCGCTCGGAGCCTTCGGCTAGCAACTGGCGGCGTGGTGTTGGGGTAGTGGTCTTTCGAACCCTGTCAATATTGTGATCAGGATTCGAATGCTTTTGACGGATATCAATTTTGCTGACTCACAACTTCATCATTTTCATATTTTTGAAAAAATTTTCCAATATTTACACTAAAAATTCATGAAATGACAATAAAAAGAAATGGTTTTTGAAAAAACCCTTTTTTCCTACTTTGTTAGTTTAAAAATGCTAATAGAAACCATCTGATGGAGAAAAGTTTTCGTATTTCGTTACTAGAAATTTTCGAAATAGTATTTTTTTTTATTGTCATTTCATGTGAAAAATCTCTCTGTAAATCTTTGAAAATTTCCTGAAAATATGAAAAGGATGAAGTTATGAGTCAGCAAAAATGATATCCGGCAAAATGATTTGAACCCTGGTCACAATATTGACAGGGTTCGAGAGACCACTACCACTACACCTCGCCGCCAGTTGCTAGCCGAAGGTTCCGAGCGCGGCCATTTCCGCGCTGGGAAACTTTCGACGAGCTTTTCCTCGGTTGCCTGAGGGGTTTAGCAGGATTGTATTTTTGAATCCGAGTACTCTCACCTAGGCCTACTCACCCACAAAGTCTCAATTCTCAACTCGTTGTCGAGCGGAGACCATGTCCTAGATAGAGAAATTATCTGTCTGATTGAGAGAAAAAGTCGCGGTCGTCCCTAAAATAAGTGCTAAATGTTAGAGAAACTAAAAAAATCATATAAAGAGATAAATTCGTAAGTTTTAGGAAAGAAAAGCCTTAGTTTTTCGGGAGATCCGTGAGAAATTTCAAAAAGACTTCCTCGTTAGTTTTTTTTTTCTAGGAAAAACAAATCTCAAGTGGCCACTCGAGGTCTCGGAAAAACCAAAAGGCCATCGTACTGCGTGGAAGTCCGGTCAGCCGATTCGATTCGAAAGGGCGCGCAGAGGAAATCAAATCAAGCGAAGACTTTCTGAAACGGCCCAAAATGGGAAAAAAATGGAGGCGCTGAATCCGTCACTTCTTGTGGAGTTATGATTTTTCAAAAAATAGTGATTCTCAAACTAAAAGAAAAATTCAACACATTTTAAATGTGAACGATTGAATACATAGAACTATCGAAGGCAGCTAAGTAACTTTGAAAGCTAACATTTTTTCATGGATGATATTTCTATCATGAGCAACGCTTTCTAAGATAATGTCGGCACCAAAATCTCGAGCAATTTTGCACTTTCGGCAACCTCTCGCGGATGCAATGCAATTTGTTTTGGCCTTTCTGGACTTTCCGAAGAACCCTCAAGAGACCGCTATCCGATCAAGAGTCGCCTGCGCGCCAAAATGACATCATCTTCTTTTCCTTCCAATAATTTCTAGTGACGAGGAGTTTCGGGGCAAAAGAGAAAATTGGGTTTTCACAGAATAAGTTTGTTTGAGGATTCGAACCGAAGCTTTTTGCGACGCGATTGATCCAAAGTTTTCTACTGAAAGTTTCATTTCTTGGAACGCCTCTAGTTTCGCTACTTCCAAATATTTCAACAAGATCCAGTCATTCTGCAGCTTCTTTTTCTTTCGAATAACTGTATTTTTGAGTGAACATTTAGGAGGCAGAATATTGAATTTTTTTTTCTCGTTTCGCGAGAAAGACAAGTTTAATGGCGAATATATCTCAAGTTTAAAAAATGAACCAAGTTCTTCTATCAATGCATACAAAACTTATTTTCAGTTTGGACAAACTATCGCTTGAAGCTTCAAGGACCGTGTACTATGGATTTAACAAAGTAGGTTTTCAAAGAAAAACATTTTTTTGGCGTAAAAACAGAATCACTAAAAAGTGAATATATCATAAATATCGAATTTATAAGTTAATTCATTTTATAATTGTAGGTTTCCGTTTGACAACGTGACCTGCGCATTGACATTCGAATCTTTCAAGTGAGTTTCAAGATATTTCTTTCAAATTTCCACTTTTGTAACCAGTCGCTTTTATTGGGATTTTAAGTTCATTCGTATGTTTCCGCCTGAAAAGCAAGCGATCGACTATTAAATCTTCTATGATTTTTTTCTTTTTTTCAGCTACAACACAGATGAAGTGCAAATGTCTTGGTCACCAAACGGAGTGCAGAAAATGCGCGAGAAAATGGAATTGGCCGATTATGAACTTGTTGAAATCACGAATATTCGAAACACAGAGGTTGGTCAAGACTCTAAGAACTGTAATAATAGCAAAAAACATTTGGAAAAATCAAAAAAATATATGAAGTTTGTTAAATAGAGCGTAAGCCAATTAAAAAGAAAAATAATTACTTCAGCCCTACCCAGCTGGAAAATGGCACGAACTGACGATGATGTTTCATTTCAAACGTCGCGCCGGCTGGTACATCCTTCAAGCCTACCTCCCGACCTACCTCACAATATGCATTTGTGAGCTTTTCCTACACAAATTTCCATCCTACAGCGTCTGTGAATTGAAAAATTTTTGCGAAAAGGGAAACCGAACTTAAGGGCCACAAAACGAACTTCAACGAAAGTTTGAATCAAATGGCTTTGATTACACAAAAACAACCAAATTGGACGGCTCAAGTTATTTCAAGACTCGATTCTTTAAGAGAAAATGTAAATGAAACTATGATGAAGTGTTTAAAGCACTGTGAAAAAAATATTTTTTTGTACAAATGTTCGCTCTCAATTTTTAAACCATGTTTGAAGAATCTCGAAGTTTATATTTAGAAAAGTAGAATTGAGTTATTTTGCTTTTGCGAGTAGTGCTTTCGCTTTCCCAACAAGGCTAATTATAAGTTTTTACGGGTCGAGCTCTGTTTGCACCTTTCCAAAAGGGAAAAAAGTTCATCAAAACAAAGTGTCAGCATCAAAAATTCTACATTTCCGTAATAAAAATCTCCCAAACAGAAAATTTAAAAATCTTGCTTTAAAAAAAAAATCTGAAAACTGGCTTTTCGCCAACATGAGACATCTGTTCCAGCATGGATCTCCTTCGCTTTGGGATCAAAAGCGATTCCAGCAAGGACGATGCTTGGAGTGAACAGTTTGCTAGCGATGACCTTTCAGTTCGGAAACATCATCAGGAACCTTCCACGAGTCTCCTACGTCAAGGTTCGTTACCCTTTTTGATATCTGAATGATCTCATCCCTTTGATTCTTCTCACTTCACTCTCTGAATAAGATTGACTTAGGTTTTCTTTCCCCTAGAGCATACCTTTTTTGAAGGTATATATATATATATATATATATATATATATATATAACTATATATATAACTTGAATTTTTTTTTCTCCAAAACTCAGCTATCTTCCTGTTCAAGTTAATCAAAGTCATCATATAAAAACAGCAAGAAAGCTCAACTTTCTGAAATCAGCCTTTGAAGAGCAGTGTTTGTTTATTTTTGCGAGTTATTGGCAAGAAAAAAAAATGCACTGAACACAAAGCGCGATTCGATCTTTGCAGCACAGAATATTTGCAGGCGATCGACGTGTGGATGCTGTCGTGCATGACCTTTGTCTTCTGTTCGCTGCTTGAACTCGCGTGGGTCGGCTATCTGTCGCGCGACGAGACGACGCCGCGACCGCCACCCAGCGCGACTGTGGCTCCTAAGCCTCCGCCGCCAGTGACGCAGTCCGTCAGCGCCACGAGCACCCTTCACAGGTATTCTTGACGAAAAAAAGACTGCACTCTTTACATTAATTTCCAGAAGCGTAATATTGACGATTAGTGTCAAGACTGATTTATAAAAACGAGAAATTTCCATAAACTTTTAGAAAATTTTACTCTACAATTTCCAAAAGGATAGCGGAAAAAATCTTTAGCAAAAAAGTGGATTAAAAGAAAAAACTTTAAGAAGACCAAAAAGCAACAAAAGCGAGGAGGAAGCGGCGCTGTTGAGCCTTCGCGACAATGACTACGGCTACATTCCTCCGGGGTTCGGCCTCAACGGAAACATCGCCAGCGCCATGAAGAATTTCGCCGCCAGGTCCTTCTTCCCCTTTCTTGGAGCTTATCTGCGCAGCTTGAATCATTTTGGATATAAGCCTATTGAGAGAAAAAAAAAACAAAAACAAAAACAGAGAGAAATCAGTGAAAAAAGATATTTTGAGTCTCTTTGATCCACTTTTGAATGTCTTCCCCTTAAGCATACCGATAAGCTTCCCGAGCAGCTTTTTCAACAAAAAAAAAGTCTTCGTGAAACAGAAAGTGAATTCGAAGATAGTATGACTAAATTTATGAGAGAAGCGCAAAATACATTAGTTACACTATAGAAGAGAATGAAAAAATTATAGACTTCAGTCTTGAAAAAAGTATATAAATCTCTCGTATCGAGAAAAAAAAACTTTTTTCTGCCTAAAACAATCTTTGGGCTTTTCTATTTCACCAAACTTCAGATGCTCTTGCGAGCCAACGAGCGTCGTTACAATGAAACTGGAAGAAGCCGAAACGATACCCAATGGTCTTTCGAGGTTTCTTTTCATTGACTTTTTTTCTTCCAACTAGTTCCCTACCAAAATTGTTTTTCTGCTGTGCCCCACTGCGAGAAAATACTGGAAAATGATGATCAGCACAAATTTAGAGTTTGTACAGACAATCAGACTTCCGATTCTCTAGATATGAATAATAATAAACGAGTTCTCGACATTCGATATTTTGTTCTGAGTTTTTGAGGTCCAACTGGAGAAAAAAGTTATTTTCAGAAAACAGCGACACGAGCTTCTGGCCCACAAGATCGACTCAGTATCTGTTTTCATGTTTCCTTTTCTTTTTGTAATATTTAACATCCTCTACTGGCAACATTACCTCAGGACTTATTAGGTGCTAAAAACTACTCTTCGTTTTTATACTTCTCAAAATTCTTTCAACCTCCCTTTTTTCTTCCTTTCAGAAAAGATCGATATTGACCGGTATATCCTGGTGGATTCTACCGCAATCAGTTCTCATAGATCATAATTTGATACGCGCATTTTGCTCCGCTTTCCAAGGTTCAGACTTCAATCAGCCGGGTTTTCGATTTCATCGAACTTTTTTTCCGTTCACTTCGACTTTGCCCTTTTCATGCAATATTTCTCTTTTTCTCTCATTCTTGCTCATCCCACAATGTACTTCATGGTTTTCTCTCAATCATTGTTTCATCTCAATAAATTATTCATAATAATATAATGAAAACAACTGGCCTGAATTGCTCGAGTGACGTCATTCATTGGCAGCGTACCGAGAGGAACTAGGCGATCTGGATGCTTCTGGCATTCGGCCAAAAGGTCGTCGTTCACAAATCGGCTCACAATTTCCGTGTCCTCTGGCTTTGCCTAGAAATCACAAAGTAACTCGATTTGTGAAATGCGAATATTTTAGCATATTCTTGCATCACGAAAGTTTTTTCAGCTGCGGGAATCGCGTGATATTTGAAATTCCCGCGCAAGGATCTCTTTCATGGAATGGCTAAGATTCCGAAGCTGAATTATTGACATAGTCATGAGGAAGTTATATTTCTGGCGATCGGCCCAAGAACCTTCAAACTCTCAAAATATCTCCAGATTCTTCTAATCGGAATTTTTTAAGTAATGCTTGTCAAAAAAAAAAAAATTAGAAATGCAAGTGATATTTAACTAAAAAATTAAAAAAACATTTTTCAGTTCATTTAATCAATTGTTGAAATTGAAAGTTTTTTTACGGTGGTAAATCCTATTTTCCGTAAATCTCAGTGTTTTTCGGTATGCAAAATAGCAATAAAAATGTCATTAAAACGCCAGTCGTCTTTTTTATTTCAAACTTTGATAGATTTGATTACTATCACTTTGAAAACAAAGATCTAAAAAATTAGTTTAAAAGTTTATAGTATAAAAAATGACAGACAGAAAGGAAAACAAACTCCGTAGCAGAACATGACAGGAACTGTGCTCAGACATTGGACGTTGACGTGGGCGCGGTCCATGTCGGCGATTCGGGTCGCTGTGTCGAAGCAGTTCGGTTCTACGACTCTCCAACAAAATAAATATTCTCCAAAAACAAAGCTTATATCCACTACTAACTTTTTGTTTGATTGAGGAGCATTTTTTTTATATAGAAAAAACGTACTTTTTTCTCGTTCTTTTTTCTTATTAAATAATATCTCCTGTTATATTCTCCTATTGTAAAAACTCTGCCGATGAACCACCATTCGAAAGATTTTGTACTTTGTCAGAAAAATCTTAAGGAGAAAGACTTTATAATCGGGTTCCATATTTCTTGCTGCGTTTATTGAAAGAACGCCGTAGCGCAACACGTTGTGTGCCTGTCCTGAGGCTCACTGGGTCGACCACGACGCGACGTAACCAGAGGGTTTTATAAATGTTGGTAGTGGGAAACGCCGGCTTCACAATCCCCCGCAGTCACACACAAGGACGCATGTATCCCTAAAGCCTGCCCAGTGATTATCACTGATTATCAGGATAGGACCTCGGGTAATGAACTTGGGGCGTCGACGCCGCTCAAGTGTTACAAAGTCGTAAGAAGAAAAAGAAGATTTTTGAAAAAGCCTTAAAATTTTATTCTGCGTCATGAATACTTCAAAGTCAATTAAAATGAATGATAAGATTCGAAGATACTAATCAAAAAAATCCGAAGGAAGAACCTGAACAGTTTTCCGTCTTTCATCATGTGCGTTGTTCCATCTTGTTTGTGATCAAGGCGAACGAATCCTCCGTAGCCGAACCGCTAAAGTTATCAAATTTCCTGAATTTAATTGAAAAGTAAAAAAAAATTAAACTAAAAATTTTTAAATTTTTTTTCCAAACCTTCTCAAAATCCGGTATGTTTTTGGGCAAGACGTGAGCGTGGACATCGATTTTGCGGATTTTGCTAGCTGTAAACACACCTGGTCAGAGTTAAAAGAAATAAGAAAGAAAAAATCATGATCAAGGAAGTTGGAATTATCCAAAAAAAGAATCAGAGTTTTTCAGGTCCAAAATGATCAAAATTTTATAAAAACTGCTACAAACTTTGGATTAAAACTTGAAAACGTATACTGACTTGCGGTGAACTCGCAGATCGCAGGCATTTTAGTCGTTGAAAGATGAACTTAACTGTTTAAGAACAGTTTTTATTCTCAGTAAACAATAGGAAACGAAATTATAACCAATGTGATTGTCAGAATCGATCTTATCATTGGTCAAGGACACGACGTTGGAAAAACTTCCCAACATTTGCAAAAGTGGTATAGAGGCATTAGGGTCTTCTCCAGCTAGAAACTAAATATGATCATGCTCTAAAAATGTTCCTCTTCCGCGCAAAATCCATGATCGGTGTGAACATGAAAAAAAAAATTAAAACCGTTGAAAGCGTTGGTAATAAATTGGTGATAATCGTCTCATTCCCTCCATTCCCATTTTCTCATTGAAAATATTCAATAAAGTCGAAAATTTCCATTTCTATCCATTCTCAAGTAACTATGAAGCTTTTTTGTGCGTAAAACAATTGAAGTTAACTTTCTCACAATCATGAAAGCTGCATGAATTCTCGGGCAAAACTGAGATGATCCTCAAAGGATCCTTTTCAAAAATGATCTTTTGAGGATCCTCAATGAATCTTTTCTATAGCATTTCAGCTTCTTTTTAACTACCTTTACAAAAAAGGATGCTGAGAAGCCGTTAAAAAGAAGAGGAAGCCGCAAGGCTCATAAAAAGCAGAAGGGTGGAAAAAGGATGCGGAAAAGATGGGCAAGAAAAATTTAAAATTTTTCAGGCTTGATTTTTTTTTTATTTGACTAGTAATACTTTCAAAGATTTATTACTTTTGAATTTTGCGTGAATTTTTTAAAACCGGAAAAATTTCACAAACGAGCTTCTTTTGAGATTTTTTTCTTCTGATTTTCTTTCAGATAAAGGCGCGAAGCGATATGCCTAGAGCGAAAAGAAAATTAGCAGGGCAGGGTTTCCATGTCAAAAGAAAACATGATGGTAGGTGCTGACCCCGTATTGAGACGTATGAAATTTGAAGAAAATGTTACAGAAGACGTCATTGTAGAGGAAGAAAACGATCCAGTCTCAGAAAACGGAAAAGATGTGTACTCCGCGGACGATGAGAAAAACATTTTCAATAACATAGGTAACAATTAATTCACTTGAAACATAATCATTGCAATTTTTCAGAAAATGTGACAGCAGAAAACGAGGATCAGATTTATACGAGCGAGACGGAAAAACTGTTGAAAGACGAAATAAAGTTTAGCACGTGTAAGTTTATGAAAATTTTATGATTGAAACGAAAATAAAAGAGTTCTTTATGTTCAAAAGCTTTAGATTAGTTTTTTTCTGAATAAATGCTACAAAGTTTTTTTCTCAAAGGAGCATCCGAGATAGATATTTTTCTGAATGAGAAAAGGGATATTCAGCAAAAAAACCTTTTTCTGTATGGTTTCAAAAAAATTTTTTTGTTTGTAAATTTGAGAGTGCGCTCCAAATGTATTATTTAAGTGGAACACTGAAAAATAATAGAACTTTCTACTCACTTTTGCTGAAAATTGAGGCTCAACTATTTCAATAATTTCCTCAAAAAATTTTAATTTAACCGCGACATTTTTACCGCGAAATTTGCAAAACCGAACTTTGACAAGTTTCGAAGACAATTAAGTTGGAGGATTCAGTCACACAGAAGAAAATATGTTGAAAAAAAACGCATTAATGGCGCAACAGAAAACGAACGTTTTAAAGCCGCGGAGCAGGAGCTGTCCGATTCTGAAATACTTGTTATTGCCGCGGCTTTGCTCGCTCGAGACACAGATCGAGGTGAGAAATAGAAGAGGAATAAATTAATTATTTTTTCACAGATTTCAAGAGAAGGTCTGTCTCTCTTTCGAAATGGAAGTTCATTAAACATGTCCGTCAATATTGGTTCGATAAGAAGAAAAATTTCGCGTTCTTCAAAATATGCAATTCATGCGGGAGAATAGCTCCCGGAAGTTGGTAAGCAAAAAATGTTTGCTTGTACAGCCTTTTTCATTTAGTTGTGGTGTCATCGCGGAGGTCACAATGTGTGACGTTTTGACTCAGCTTCAAGAAATTCTTACATTGCCTATCTGTTTAAACATAATGAAGATAAATGGGCGAGCAGTCTTTTTGAGAACCACGACGAGGAAAAAACAAAATAAACTTTGGGTATTTTTGACAGTCTTTGAAAAGCTCGTCTGAAAATTTTATACGTTTATGGAAATGTTTACTGTACATTAGGTTTCGAGAAGCTTGTTCTTTCAAAAATCAGAATTTCAAGTTAAGAAAACAGCTGGAGACCTTCTATCTAATTTTGAAGATTTGTATATAACTCATTTTTTTTCTTCAAAACGTTCCCACAACTGATCAAAAATAATTCATTCGAATGTAAGCCCATGTCGTGAATGCTTTTGTGTATACGTCATTTTTAGACGGTCGGTTTTGTACATGAAGCATGCATGGAGCAGGGCGAGTTATACGCATTGCTGCCAAGTGGCCTCCATCTCGATCTACTGTCGTTATTACCTGCCACGTGTGTGGTTGATGGAAAGAACAGCGATCAAGCTGTGTCTTTAATCGTAACTTCAGTTATGACAGCGGTTTTCAATAATACTAAAAGAATATTTTTAATAGATTTTTTTGAGAATGACGAACTTTACCCAGCATACTCTTCTTCTCCGCTGCCTGCAAAGCTAGTTTATATCGGAGATTCGTTGTTCAATGGGCTTTTCGGTTTTTTTTTTTTAGGTCAAACAATAAAATATTTTAAGAGTTGTGCCGGCGAGGACTTCTTCTTGAACAGCAAAAATTTGCTAATGTATGGTCTCGAGCCGCGGAACATCAGAGAATTCGCACCTCGATACAAACAAAAGTCCGGCAGCATCTGTGAGTTTTTCGGTGGTATGAAAAAAGCTAGCAAAACGACTTTTCCGATTTTTTCATTTAGCTAGAAAATTTTCCGACGGCGAAAAAGAGACATTTCCGATTAATCCTTTTCCGACTTTTTCCCTTATGTTTTTCGGTTTATAAAAGATCTATTAACATTCATTTTTTTCCTTTCTCTTTGTGTTTTAAACATGGATCAATTACCTATTTCATATAAGAAAGTTCAAAACGAATATTTTATCAAGAAAAAAAAGTTGAAAAAGGATTAGTTGAAAATTTCGCAGCCGGAAAGTCACCTACCCATATGAAAACATTGGAAAAGTCGCCGTTCGAAGTTTTGCTGGCTTTTATTTCAAACCCCATTTTTCATGTAACTTTTACCACGTTTTGAAACTCTCGCTAACTTTTTTAGTGAACGGAGAAGAAGCGATTTCGCCAAGCTAAGAGATGATCCGACCATTTGCTATAAAATAGCGCAAAAGTTATTGGAGAATTCTCATCCAAGGTGAGAAATAATCTCATCCAAATCTATTTCGTTCATTTGAGGGATTCGAACGTCGTATCTATTGAGTCTTCTGGAATCATTGTCGGAAACGAAGTTCCTGTCGAAGAAGAGATTGTCGTAGACGACGTTGAAAATCAAGACCCTAAGAGTATTATCAAAAATTGAACTGCTTTCATTTTTTTTTCGTCATCTCTGTGCTATGGTTTCCTTATATCTAAAGCCTTATGATCATGGATACTATTTTCACTGATTTCTTATACTTATACTAAAAAAAAAGTTTTAAAAAGTTACATTAAAAAATTTCCGTAGAGTTTGCTAGAATTTCATTTAGATTTACATTCAAGATTATTTACAGTTTTTTCAACGCTCCTCTGAACTCAGGAAGAAATCCGAATATTTAACTGGCTCTTGCTCAAGATTTTTTTTTTGTTTGTTTTTTTTCTGTTATTGTCTGTTCAAATTTCAAATGTTAAATCCGCCCCTGCTGGCACAGTACCTTTTCGCGTCGATGTTTTATCGCTCGGGACGATTTTTGATCTTTTTTTGTTCTAACAGATAGAAAAGAAAGTCAAGAAATGCAGCCTTATTAAAGGAGCATCGTCTTCTGCGATGAAACATTGACGCGAAATATATTGTAGCCTTGTTGCTTGACATTCAAAATCTGAAAAAATATTACCGTGTTCAAAGTGATTCCGCGAAATGCAAAATAGCCGACAGCGACAGAAAAAGATAACTAAATTTTGGACAGTCTGAGATAAATTTGCATTTCGCGGAAGTTACTTTGAACACGGCATATATATATGTTTCTATAAAGTCCAATGATTTTTTGCAATTTGCTTTCATAAACGTTTAAGGAATATTTATTTGTTTTTTATTTGATTTGACGATTTGAGCTTTTTTTGCGATCCGAGGGAGGCGCAAAGGACTTTTTGGTTCTTAGAAGAACCGTAAAGGATCATTAGATAATTACAAAATGAAGCAGTAACGTGATTGAAAGGAAGCTGGGTAGGTCGAGGTAGTCTTTGAGAGGAAGCAAAAAAGATCTTTTGAGGCTGCAAAAAAGAAGCTCGAGAGTTCTTTTTTCTATCATTTTAGGAGCTTTTAGAGGAAACTTTTTAGCTCCCTCTCAGGATCCTTTGAGGATCCTCAAAAGATCTTTTCCGTTTTGCCTATGTTTTAAAAATTCGAAATTCAAAACAAAAAGGTTCGAAGGTTCACTTTTCATGAGAGTTTGATGATGAACGGTAAAGAAAAATGTCCTAGAATATTATATCAACTTAATACAAGAGTTAAACAAAAAAAATTAATCAAGTATTAATAATAAGAATGGAATCGGTGGCGTGTCCATTGGAGAAACGAAGCATGCTTCAAAACGAAAAATCGTGTTCATTGGCGCGTCAATGAACACGATTTTTCGTTTTATACATAGGTAAAACTGAAAAGTTCCTTTAAGGATCCTCAAAGGATCCTGAGAGGGAGTTAAAAAGCTTCCTCTAAAAGCTCCTAAAATGATGTAAAAAAGCTTTTGAGCACCTTTTTCATAGCCTCAGAGGATCCATTTTGAATCCTCTCGGATCTTTTTAGTTGCTTTCCAGCATCCTTTTTGTCAGGGGATGTGAAAAAGACGCAAAAAAGAATTGAAACGATGTAAAAAAGATCTGCTGGGGCTTAGGCTTAGGACAGTCTCGGGCAAAACTGAAAAGCTCCCCAAAAGCTTTTCTCATGCCGTGTTCAAAGTAATTTCCGCGAAATGCAAAATGGTCTCTGACCCTCCAAAATTTAGTTATCTTTCTCTTTCTCTGACAGCTATTTTGAATTTCGCGGAATCACTTTGAACATAGGTAAAACTGAAAAGTTCCTTTGAGGATCCTCAAAGGATCCTGAGAGGGAGATAAAAAGCTTCCTCTAAAAGCTCCTAAAATGATGTAAAAAAGCTTTTGAGCACCTTTTTCATAGCCTCAGAGGATCCTTTTTGAATCCTCTCGGATCTTTTTAGTTGCTTTCCAGCATCCTTTTTGTCAGAGGATGTGAAAAAGGCAAAAAAGAATTGAAATGATGTAAAAAAGATCTTCTGGGGACCCTCTCAAGGTCTTTTTTTGAGAAAAGCTTTTGGGGAGCTTTTCAGTTTTGCCCGAGAACACGGCATCAAAAAAAGACCTTGAAAGGGTCCCCAGCAGATCTTTTTCACATCATTTCAATACTTTTTTGCATCTATTTCACATCCTCTGACAAAAAGGATGCTGGAAAGCAACTAAAAAGATTCGAGAGGATTCAAAAAGGATCCTCTGAGGCTATGAAAAAGGTGCTCAAAAGCTTTTTTACATCATTTTAGGAGCTTTTAGAGGAAGCTTTTTATCTCCCTCTCAGGATCCTTTAAGGATCCTCAAAGGAACTTTTCCGTTTTACCTATGGTACTAAATTTTGTTTTGAAGCAATTTTTTTGCGTTTCGGAACAATTTTCGTTTTGTCCGATGAACACGCCATGGATGAAATAAATCAAACAGAAGCCATATAAAAAAGTAGTGTTTGAATTTTCTCGGGCGGTGGAGTGTCTAAGTTGGAATGGCTTTTCTGACTGGAGCAACATTCTTGCGTTTTTCAAAATTTATAATTTTCTTCCACTACAAAGAACGCCGTGAGAGAATATGAATATAGTTTTTTGAGGACTTTTATTTTGTTGAAACGTAATAAAGCGAAGTAAGAGCTTTTGATGGGCGAATTAGAGCCCCAGTGAGTAATCAGTACCCTCCGTCGAACGATAATTTACTCATATCACACGCCATGTGTCAACTTGAAAAAAAGGAGGCTATCAGACTGATATGAGTAAATTATCGTTCGACGGAGGGTACTTATTACTCACTACGGCTCCAATTCGCCCACGAAAAGCTCTTACTTCGCTTTATTGCGTTTCAACAAAATGGAAGTCCTCAACAAACTATATTCATATTCTCTGACAACGAACAGAAAAGTGTAATCTATTCACGAACAAGAGAAAAAAAATCGCATTTATAAACAGCGATGAATGCCAATAGATGTACTTGAAACATTCCTAGTTTTGATTTCTGCAAGCGGCAAATTTGAACAACTGTCGCCTCTATCCTTCTCAACTCCAAAAGTCATTTATCAAAAACAAATCGCAGAGAAATCTAAATGTCTATTGTCAGTCAGGTACTGCGGCCGCTGCTCCTTCATTGGAAGCTTATTTTCCGCCTAAATGGCTCGAAAGCAGGAAAGAAGAGGTAATTTCTCTATGTTTCTTCCCAATTTCATACTTTATATAGAAAAATCGAATTTTTATTATGTTTCAATCGCGAGACTTCGATTCAGCAGCTCTTTCATCTGCAAGATAACCTTCCTTTGTCTCGGAAATATGTATTTCAACGACAAAAATAAACACCAAATAGTTTTCTCCCGATTTTATTTCGGACGTTGTGAAACAAAAAGACCAAAAATTTTTTTAGTTTTATTTTTTTAGACTTTTATTCAATCAAACATTTTTGCAAAATGTTTGATTGAATAATTTTGTTCATTTTGTAACAAATAAAAATCTAATCTAAAAAAACCATAACATCTCCTTTAACTTAAAGCTTTAAGAAAACCAGAAATAAGCAAAAATAGACATATCAAAAAAATTTAACTTAAAGCTTTAAGAAAACCAGAAATAAGCAAAATAGACATATCAAAAAAAACATGTAAAGTTAGCTACATTTTAAGAAAAGAATGAAAAATAGATAGAGGCAAGAAATGAACAGTTTCTTTTGAAGGAAAGATCAAGAGAGAAATTTAAAAAACGTGTTGATTAAAAATACAAGAGACGATCAAAAGATTAGACGTATATATGAAAATGATGGCGATGGGGGTTAGGACAATCAGAAAAACAGAAAAAAGTTGTGGGGAAATTAGAAGTTATAATCGCCCACGACCAAAAATTACACGTTATCTTGCTTTTTGTTTCGTTTTTTTTTTAAAATTCAGTCCCTCATCATGATCATGAAAAGCATTTGCAAACATGTTAGTGAGAAAAGACCTCTTCAAATATCTATCTTTTTTATTGCCATTTTACTGCAAATATTTCAGCTCTAACTGGGCCTAGAAAGCAAACGATTTGATTCATACTATTTGTTTCTAATCAATCAGACTGAAGATTTGAATTTCCTCATTTGCAAAGCGCGGAGGCGGGGAACACCTGCACAATCATCTGTACCTGGTCGACCGGCCGCTTATCACCTGCTTTGCTCCGCCCATTTCCTTCCTGCGAGCATCTCCTTTTAAGTACACCTCTCATGCTTCTTTCAGTAATCAAATTTTCAACTGAAAACTATCGAACTTCTCGGTAACCAATCTTCCAAATTTGAACAATACTCTTTCTGAACAGCATTTTTCTGCAAGGTCTGTAAGCGCACGATTTTATCCTTTTCAATGATAATATCCAATGATCGTTTTCACCTTCTTCCTGTTCACATGCGTTCCTAACTGAGCCCTGGTGACCCGCCTGCCGTTAAAACTCTTTCGTGGGGGTATAGCTCAGTGGTAGAGCGCTCGCTTCGCATGTGAGAAGTCCGGGGTTCAATCCCCCGTACCTCCAATATTTTGCCTTTGTTTTTCTTTTATGTAGTCAAAAACACATGTTTCAGCAAGAAAATGGCATCAATGACGTTTTACCGGAGTCAGTTCGACGTTGAGAAGCTGGAGAGCGACAAAAGTATCCATCATCTGAAATTTCTGTCAAACTTCTACATGACCATCATTGAAGTTAGTGTTCTTATTTGACCAAATGAGCAGTAGTTTTTTTCTCAGTATTAAAAAAAAGCTGTTTGATTTCAAAATAAATATGCTTAGAGAAGTTTGCCTTTGGCAGAAGCGTTCGCCGCTTTCGCGCCTGTAGTTGGGCAAATAAAAACAGACGTATAGTAAAATATGATGTGAATACGGCCGTTCCAAGGCAGTTTTCTTTTTTTTCTTGAAGGGATATTTCACATTTGCAACTTCGGTTTTTTGTGATTCCTGATCTAATTATTTTTGATTGTGTATGAGAGAAATTCCAGCATCCTATGATTCCCAGAAATTCATGATTTTCAGGCGAAACAAGTCCAAATGAACTCAGCTGAGAAAAGGTTTTTGAGGGACCGCGGAGACATGGAAGCCTACGACGAATGGACCGGAAACAAGATGAAGGTGAAGAATTGGAGATGCTCGAGAAACTTTGAGCTTTTTGAAGATTTGCGAGCTGTACGAGTGTTGGCTCCGGGAGCTTTCCGCCTGCCAGGTGCCGACGTTCGACGACGTCGCACGAACCATGCACGCCATGATGCTCAGCGACTGCTTCTGGTTCCTCGCCAAGATCCACAGACCTCGTTAGTTATTCCCTCGTTTTGAGCAGGCATCTGCAGCAATACTACTCTGGCAATTAGCCTTATGAAACAAAATCCCGAGAAACTGCCAGAAAAATTCTATAGAGTCACAAGTTTCGAGTAGCTTTGAAAAGTTTCTGAAAAGTTTCTGAAAATTTTTTGAAAAATTTTTTGAAAATTCTCTACATTCACTTCGCGACCACGAGACGTTAGGATATTTTTGGGGTATTTAGTATTTTCTTGTAGTGAAAACTTGTACAGACATCGAAATCGAAGATTTCGAAATTCCTACGTACAAACGAATAAATTCAGAGTTCGACGGGAAGACGTCGAACTACGCGAGGGCTTGCGAGACCCTCGAGAGTATTTTTCCGACGCTCCGCGACACTCTGCATCCGAGCAATGCGTTCTATGCGCACGTCGTACGCAAGTACGCGAGACTCGTCGAAGACTACCGCAAGGCCCTCGGCGAATAGTCTGTTTTTTTCGTACAGTGAAAAGAAAGTCTGGGGTATCTCGTCTCAAGCTTAAAACAATCAACAAAGTTCTCAAAAATTGAAGCAATATTGCTCAAATGATGGAGAACTGCAAGTCAGATTAGATTGAGGTACAATTTTCAATTTCAGTTATTGATTCCTTTTTGAATTAAATGTTCTAAGGCGGAAAAAATCTTATTTCAAACTTGGGAATTGTCCGAAAATGCTTAAAATCTCTCCTGAATTTGCTAGATATACATTATCGGAGCCTTTTTTCTTGCTCGTTTATACTGTCTGGACAAGCTGGGCGCTCAACTGTTCCAACATGGTGAAGCAGTTTATTGGCTTGTACTAACAACGGGTCCACATTATTTCCCAAATGTCACGCCGGGACTTATTGGACAACGATTGTGGACCGTAACCCGCGCCGACGACAAACTCTTCGATTTTACCATGATTCAGCAGAGATTTTCTTCATCTTACTCTGACGACTGAATAAATTGAATTGAATTGAATTGAATTATACTGTCTGGAACTATGAGACTACTGTTCTCGAAAGCTCAGAAGTTTTCTCAGTATAAGACTTTCAGAAAAATCTTATTGCATCCAGGTTTAGCTGAAATTTTGATTTTCTGTGAGTCGAATTAGCTTTGTAGGTAAACTTTCTAACTCATTGAAGTGTTTCTGTATATTAAATATTGGCACTGAGAAGAAATTCTGCAGCACGCTGAACGGCTCGAGTCGCCACGTACCAGCTCATATGACGTCATGGGACATCTACAAGTGTCGGGAGGCAAGTCGCACCTGCTTCCAGCACCTGTCCATTCTTCGCGGCGAGTTTTTCTTTTCGAATAAAAAAAAATTCATGTATATTGAAAGTGGCAAAAGATTCCTGGGGCAGCTACTTTGCATCTTTTTTTCAATCTGGCCTGCTTCTTGTCCTGAGCTTTTCTAGCATTGGCTTCTACACTTCCAAATATCAACCTTTTTTGAACTTTAGCCAAATAAGGAGTTGAAAAGATGCAAAAAGGTCTTTCTTATAGCCGTTTGAAGATGCTTCTTTAAAGACTATTTCTGAATTGTCTGTGAATATTAAAATTCACTAGAAAATGATGGATATTACGACTAACAGTAAGAAATATTAAGAGAAAAAGTGCAAAAATGAACAAAGAATTTTTTTCTAGTAGAAAGACAGAACAAGACTTCATTCGATCGTACTATCAATTTTTTTTAGCTGTTTCACTGAAACTCATTTCTTAACAGCCTGTCACCCAAATAGTTTTAGGTTTGAGCCGAAATCAACAGCGAAGGCTTTGGAAGACCAGTTTTTTTGTGTGGATACTCGCTCAGAAATGATTTTTTAAAAAAAAAATGAAAAGTCAACTTCCCAGAAAACTTTAACAACTGAGTTCATTGGTGAAAATTATTGGCCTTAAATTTCCGATAATCAAGTATATTAGTTCTTTTTTTCAATACTAACTGATTTCAGGCGTCGAGACTTCAGAAACCCTGAGAGACTTAAAAAAGATGCCGTACCACGAAACGCACGTCTTTCGATTCTCCAGAATAAGTCTCAACTCTGCGAATTGAAAAAAAGAACGTTCGGAAAACCCGATTAAGCATTTGAATTTGCACCCCGTTATGTAATTTGCATGTTTAATCCGATTTTTAAAATGAAGCATAATGATCATATGTATTAAAAAAATTCTTCATAATGTGGGTACAAAAGAAAACAAGAAATAGACAGAAAAAGATTGAAATGTACAAAAAATCTCACATTTTTTTTTTGGATTGAATAGCGGTGATTGTTGAGAATGTTTTGTTATGAAAAAGATCAAAAGAGAGAATCCATTGCGCCGCGGACCGATTTGAAGGCAAATTGGTTGCTGCGCGAAGAAATGACAGTATCCCGTTTCACACCTAGAAAAAACGGTTTCAAAGGATTTGAAAAGACCTCAATAAAGTTTGAGAAAAGCCCTGAAACCAATCAGAATTGGATATCCGGAGAATGAATGGAAAAATAGTAAAAACTAATTTCTTCTGCAAGTGAAAGATAATTTTAAAACAAATAGAATTCATTTTTTTATAAATATTATCTTCGTATTTTCTCAGGTTTTTTGATATCATGAAACCTAGAGTATTCATTCAAAAATCTATTAACTAACCGTAAGCAGAGGATCCATCTTGAGAAGTTCCAGTAGCCGAAACGCGTTTCAAACCCTGAATAACCACAACAGTATTGAAACCCGTTTCTCGATACCTTGAGGCCCTTTGAACTGGCTTTGTCGTTGAACTTCTGCCAACTGCGTTTTTCGCTGTCCTTCTGGTTTTCGAGCTCTTTTCTCCGCGCGTCTTTCTTCTGAGCGCGAGCACGGCGTCGCTCTCGTTCAGCCTGTTATGTTATACTCTATTTTATATTTCCTGTTTTTTTTCAAACATTTCAAGATTTATAAGATTTGCGAAACAAGAAATAAAGGATAAGAGAAAAAGAAGTATCAAAAGACATAAGTCACCTAACTTATGAAAAAAAAAAAGAGAAAACCCTGATATTTAGGAATTCCGAAATACGCGAAAATGATATATACTTCAAATCCTCAAATAAAAAATCTTCACTGACCATCCATTCCTTCTTATTGACGTTGTTAGAGGCGCCGGCGGCCCTCTGATTATCTTCGGCGTAGTTTTTTCGCTGGTTTTCAGGCGGCAGTTGCAAATCTTTTTCATTGACAATCGTCTTCTGACCAGTCCCTAAAATATAAAAAATAATAACTTCTTCATTACATCCTAAAAAAACATTGTAAACTTCATTGAAAAAAATCTTTCGGGGAGATAATAAAGAATAAAATCATTGGAAAATTTAAACTACATTGAAATATGAATTAGTTTCTACTTTTTTTTTCGAAAAAAAGAAGTAACATACCGACAAATGTGATGGCAACACCAGCCGGAGTCAAACTGTCGATTCTGGCAAAAACGCGGTTCCCACTTACTGTTGGAGCCAAAACTCGCTCTCCTACCTTCAAAGTATTCATTTTCAATTTTATCGTTATGACTTTTATCGTGATGACAACTCACCGTCCACTGATGGATGACTTGTGGCTGAACGACCCCGTTTTGAGAAGTGGCTTCAGCTTCACGAGCTTGCAATTCTTCCTAAGTTTTCCGATTACATTCACTCAGTACGAAAAATAAACTTGTAACGCGATGATTTCCTGCAAATCGGCTTGCAACTTGTGAAGTTCTTCGTTGTTTGGATCTCCCAGAAGCGCTGCTTCCACCTGCAGAAGACAATCTTTTTTCTACCAAACACAGAAATCGATGCGGCTTTATAGCCGATACCTATTCGACTGTGTTTGATAGCGGCTATGTAACAGGTATATGTCTCAAACCAGCGATTTTGGAGAACGTTTGTCTAGGGTCCAAATCCTGGCGATTCGCTAGGGTTGAAAAAGATTCAAAAAACAGTAAGCACCCAGGTAGCCGCTCAAAAAACTATACAGCCCACGTTGATCAAAAGCTAGGAAATAACCGCTTGGCAGCTACTTTGCTCGGGTTTGCTTTTTTTTTTTTTGATGGATGAAAATGAACGAACCTGCTGCAATTGAAGCTTGTATGTGGCGAGTTCCTCTTCCATTCTTCTGAAAATTGATGCAAATTAACTGACATTAAAAAAAAAATGAACAGCGATCAAGATCGAGCTCGATCGAAGAACAAGAAAAACAGATGCGAGAAAGTCGAGATTTTCAAGCGTAAAGAAAAAATATATACCGACAGTCGAAAAAAAGAGTATTCTCTCATTTTCCAAATATACTCTGCTATCTCAGCTGATAACTTTCAGAAATGAAACAAGTATGAAAAACTCAAACGCAGAGAGAAGAGAGGAAATTTCAACCTCATTCAACAAATTTCACTTAAGGGGTCCGCAAGCAACTCTCGATAGAACGCAGACTCGATGAACACCGTAGCGGATTGAGAAATATAAACTATAAAAATTATCACGTTTAATATTTTGAGACTGAAGCATGGTAAAAAAAAGAATAGGCGAAAAAAAGCGTATACGAAAAGATAGATTTTTGTTATTTCTAGCTCGTATTTTATTAAGGAATGATGGTCCAACTCTTCAATGTTGGTTGATAGGATGAAGCCACTGTGTTAGAAATCGAGTGAAAGTCGGATGAGCCTGTAGGCAACCTGACTTAAGAAAGCGCATTGAACCAGTTCGCCCTTCCGTTCACACGATAAGCCAGCGCCGTTCAACGGCTCACATCCGATCTTTACCCGATTTAGAACACCGGTTTTACCCCACAAACATAAAAAAAGTCATTTTACTAGTCACCATGGAACTAGTGTCTTTCAGGAAAGAAGTAAATGGAAAATAATTTTTATCCAGACGCTTATCGTTTCAGTTGTAAATTTAAACGTCGTCACAGGTTTAAAAGTTTATAAATACTTAGTTGTCTTTTTTATAGGCATCGAGAATAACCTAACTTCAATTTCATCCATTATGTACGGAGTTCAAGTTTTCGAGAAGTGAAGCTAAATTTTTGTTTCCGAAAAAAAACTATTTAAAATTTTAGAAGTGATAATATGTATTCTACATTGTCCGTGAAGCAAGATTTCGCCTTAGAAGTTTTCGGCAGTGAAGTAACACGTATAAAAAAGGTAAAAAACTTTCTAACCAACTTTTTGATTTCATGACAACTTCAAGGCTTATTTTTCTATCTCTCCGGATTGTGAGGTCGAATCAATACCTGCTCAAATAAAAAAAGAGTCTCTGTTCCCTGAGAAAGATGCGTTCCACGCGCAGTTCGAACCTTTGGAAGTGAATTATTTGATATCACACTAATAGAGCAAGTTGTTTTTTTTCAGAAATTTGATAGCAAAGTTGAGTTTTACTTTTTCTGCACAATACCAATGTCTCTGGGTTACAATTCTATGGTGAAAGTCGATATCGTGAAAAGAGGTTCACCCCAAAGACTTCTGTCTATCCTATATTTTCATTCCAGAGGGCGCCGAAGTCATTCCCTTCTATTTAATCGTTTTGGTCGTTTTCTTGTTCATGTCGGCTGTTTTTTCGGGCCTGAATTTGGCAATTATGGGTTTCGGCATCAGCGAACTAAAGGTTATTTGAAAGTGGAACAAAAAATGAAACGATAATGGAAAATTACAAAAGTTCTGGAAGTTCTTGGCCGTTGGTTGGGCTTTTGAATAATGTAATGTATACTTCATATGCTGGAAGAGTATGACGAAGACCGCAAAAACCGTGTCAGAGCCACGAATGTTCTGACGATTCGAAGCAAAGGAAATTACGTTCTGATAACTATTATCGTCGGTCAGTTCTTGAAAGGACTTTTATTCGATTGAGTTTTCAGAATAACTTCATGGCTACAGAAAATGTGCTTCCTTTCCAGGAAATGTGATTTGCAACACTACGATCGCTTTGGTAATAGAGCGGTTGGCACGAATCTTCGGATTTGACGAGTCGAGATTCGTGGAAGTTATCATTTCTGCTCTTCAGCTCGTATTTACTGAAATCCTTCCTGCTGTCTTCTGCACAAAGTCTATAAAACTCGTCTTTTTTTTTAATCTGAGCTTCAGGAACGCTCTTTATGTAGCCAGTCAGATGCGCTTCTTGGTCATTTTCTTCATGGTCCTAACTTTTCCCCTTTCATATCCCCTTTCTAAGATTCTCAACTGTGCAATAAGTGAAGGTGAGAAATAGCATTTTAATTAACGAGTCGTAACTAGCCGGGCTGTTAAAACTTTGAACTTTAAATATAACGCATCCTAGTACGAGATTTAGGCAACGAAAAGATGCTTTTTGTTTTATTATTTTTTCAGAAGATCTGTCACGGAACCAAGTTGAGATGGAAGCTTTGGGAATGAACGAAGGTCCAGAAAACCCGATGAAAATGGAGAACGAAAAAGGGTCGCGACTGGCTGTTGCTCAGGTTTCTTGATAATGGGAGAAGTTCAAAAATGGCTCACTATACAGGTTGTGAGTTTGATCAAAAACACAATAAACCTTGCGGAGAAAAGTGCCGCCAACACGATGACGCCAATTGACAAGGTTCATTTCAGACTTTTTCTCTGGAATTTTGCTTTTTTTGAGTCTCGAAAATCAGCAGAAAAATCTTTAGGTGTTCATGGTTTCGGACCAACAGCTCCTGACAAGAAGCTTCAAAACGGAGCTCGCTCGGAAAAACCACACCAGAGTTCCTGTTTATGCAGGCTCTAACAAAAACGAGGTTATTGTCTTTCTGAAACTTCATTTGTGGGCTCTCAGGTTCGAGGAATTTTGAATCTGAAGGATTTGATTACGCTGGGATCTACGTCGAGATTGACTGCAGGAACGCTTTTGGATCTGTGGTCCGGCAGCAATAAGGTCATCTTTCAGCTTTTGGAAGCATTAGTAGCAACTTTTTTGAAGCTCTCGTTTTGAGAGTTCGTTTTATCAGGGAGAGCAACCTTCGAAAAAAAAAAAAGAAAAAATATAATTCTTAAAAATAAAGTGAGAGCCAAGGAGAGAATTTTTCGCATCCTTTCTGATTATCCTGTACAGACAAAAATGTCCTTTTTCAGTTCCGATATGTCCTGGACAAGACGCACCTGCCAGGATTGATGAAGGAACTGATGCGAGGGTTCCCCATGGCGATCGTCGTGCAATTCGTTCCGAAGAACATTCTCACCATGGCCAGCGTCAACTCCTTCAATCGCGTCACAGGCATCATCACTCTGGAGGACAACCTCGAGGAGGTTCGGAGTATATATCCCTTATCAGACCTCAGTTTTTCACAGATAGTAGGAGAAATCATGGACGAGAAGGACATAGAGAAAAAGGATCCTACGGTTACTGCTCCCAAGATCCAAGCGGCCCCCAAGGTGACATCTACTTCTAGTCATTGATACAGAAAGGCCTTTGAAATAGAACTTTTTCTTAATTAGGCGCAGACTTGTTCTGCGCCATTTGGGTTTAGGATGAGTTGGAAAATCTTTCATTGAAATTGTGAAGAACAACCCTTTGATGTAATAATTAAAATCATTGAAGTTAGAGTTTAAGAAAACTGGCATGCCTAATGAGAAAACGCCTTTACTGGAGGATTCGCCACCGCCAAATCATTCGCCAATGATCCCCCTGACGCGTGGGACTTCACCAAAGAAACCGGTCAAAAGTTAGCAAGATTTTATTAATGTGAATAAATAGTAGTTTCAGAAGAGAAGAAGGACAAAAAAGAAAGGAAAGAGAAGAAGGACAATGAAAAAAGATGACTCGAATTTTTTCCCTCTTCATTCGCTTAATTTAAAACGGCTCGAAATAATTAATATCAGTTGTCATGATCATGACGCTTCAGACGGGGACGCTCTGTCCCCGCTCATTTTCTGCCTTTTTTTTTTGTTTAAATAAACTTATAAATTTCGCCTTATTTCACTTTCATGCGTTTCCTCTCATCACAAAATTTTAATTGAACTAAACCAAACCCATTTTTTTACATGGGTCTTAAAAACGTGCCCAAAAAGGGCTTGAAACTGGTTCAAAAACTAAGCATGAATACTAATAAATTCCATAAATATAACAAAAAAACGCATTTGAAAGAAGTTTATCAACTCAACAAGCAAAATCAAGAGCCCGAATCCCGGCGCGTCCCCCATCACTGCCTGAGAAAATAAATTGTTTACTTGGTGTACTGTTGTCTGCGAATCCGCAATTTCAAAGTACACTTGCCGCTATAATGCACGATTTAGATATCGTTCGATTTTTTGCTCCCCCTTCTTTTCATTCATCGTATTTTCCTCCATGAAACCGATTTGAATGAACTTTTGTTCATTTTTTGTCCATCACATCAGAAAGTTCTGTAATCAGTTTGAAATTAAGAGATTTACGTTCAGTTGATTATCAAACTGGGGAATACCTCATTATTTTGTAAATAATGGCCTAAAATTTACAACTTTTTTGTTTAATCAGTTTTTTTTTCTTTAAACTAGCGAAATGATACGATCTATACATTTTTAATACTTTAACGCGGTGTTAAATTTTGTTCCGACATGATCTTTCAATCGAAATTATTTTGTTACATTTAACATAATATTTTTACGTTTTCGAAAAACGTTTCTTCATCAGGATTTCACGCACAGAGACGGGAATGAAATAAAATTGGAAATGAAGTCATTTGATTTATTTGATTTATTATTTCCTTCTAAGAAAGTTTCTCAGATTTTATAAAAATCTAGGTGTTAATGCTTCTACGCTTAGTTCGTTCTTTTTAAGCGTTTTTTTGTCAGTTAGTAAAAAAAAAAGTATAGTCTTTTTCGTAGCGGCAGCATCGAGAAAGCTTTCCTCTCGGGACGTATGTCGCCAAAACAAACTTTCGCAATCGATTTCCTCGTCATCTCTATCGCATTCTTGATATGATTGAATTTTTTTTCTTTTTCTCTGTTATACTTAATGCGATTAGAGAAGATAATTTTCATTGACGTTTTAAATATCCTTGTTTCATTTTCACCAATCAAATGGCACCCATACCGGTGGGATAGTGCACGAATTCGCACGCATAGTTACCCCTTTTTAAAAAAATGTAATGCACAATTTTTTTGTCTAAAGTAGTTTTGAAATCAGTTGGCGATCAATTCAGCTTTTCATTCGATCTTTTCGTTGCTATTTTTATTTCATGTTGAAAAATTAATTTATTTTTTTCAGGGTTATTGCTCTTTTTTTGATGGAAAAATAATTCGAAAGACAATGGAGGCAGTAGAAATGCTGCTGTAAGTAACTCGACGGGTGGTCGCTACGTGCCTCCGCACCTCCGCGGGCAGCGTGATTCGCAGCCTGCCGAACGCGACTCAAATGGCGGAGGTCGCGGAGGTTACGACGACCGCGACCGTGGCTACGACAATGGTCGCGATCATGGACCTCGGGGCGGCGGGTGAGTTCTGAGCAAGTAAAATTGGTCGGCTCAAGTTTTTTTTGTACATTCAAGATTCTATAGATAGCTATTCTTTTAGATAAAGTAGTAAGAAAAACCCCAGTTTCATTTTTTTGCTCTGAAAAAAAGAGCTCTCATAGCAGGGATTATGTAAAGTTTAAAGAAAATTATTTTTCAGTTTTCGGCGAGGCGGTGGGAGCTACGACAACCGTGACCGCGGTTTTGGCGGAGGCGGTGGCGGACGTCAGTACGACGATCGCCGCGACGACCGCCGTGACGACTATAATCGCGGCTACAATGGTCGCGACAGTGGCGGTCGCCGCGATCGCGACTCTGGTTTTTTCAACCGCGAGTATAGTCGAACGTAATGCTTTCTAATAACCAGCCTGACAATAATGACCTTGTTTTCAGTGACTCCTATGAAAGCCGCGGATCTACGAGATCTTACGATGATAGGGGCGGCAATCAAAAGTAAGTTTGAGAAGGAAAAGTGTACTGAAAAGATTGTTTGCGTAGTATGTACTTGCCAATATTCACAAATGAAAACGGGATGGAACATTGTCCTTGGTATATATTGGCGCCTTTCGAATTTCGGACAGATGTTAAGGATAAAATGAGCAGTGGCAGAAGATATATTTTTTCACTCTTTAATTGTAGATTTCTTTCAGCTTCAGATAGCTTCTGAGAAGAACATATATGGTTTTGCAATTCGGAGATTCCCGAATTTCTTAGAGAATAAGAAATCAATGAAATCGCTTGAGTATCTCTTATGTAATAAAAATTGAACTTGAAATGATATCTTAACATCATTTGTGAATTTTTCGTAAAGCAAGCAGAATAATGGAGCGGTTGCAGCTCTCGCTCAGCTGGACTGCGCGACGACCAACAGGCGCCGAAATGGGAGCGACAGCTGCCGCGAGACGAGGCGATCGAACGCGAATTGTTCTCCGGACAACTCTCTGGAATCAACTTTGACAAGTACGAAGAAATTCCGGTTGAGGCCACTGGACAGGACGTTCCGCCGTCCATCAACTTGGTGCGTTTTTAGAATGGAAGCAAAAAAAAAACTCATCATAAGTTTTTATAAGTCTGCCCAAAAAAATCTTAGTTATTGAAATTTCGTAGATCATTTGAAAGGTTAAACTGCGATATTTTTTTAAATAGAAATAGGCGGTTCTGGATCAAAGTTTCAATTTTTTTTTTTTGCAGGTTGCATCTTGAACAGTATATCTCGAGCTAGGAAAAATTCCAATCTTCATGAAACTTGAATTTTCAGTTCTCGGATCTGAAGTTACACGCGTGGATCGAAGAGAACATCAAGTCGGCCGGCTACGATCGTCCAACGCCGGTCCAAAAGTTTTCGATACCCGCGCTGCAAGCTGGAAGAGATCTCATGTCTTGCGCTCAGACAGGATCCGGAAAAACGGCAGCCTTCCTCGTTCCTGTGGTCAACGCTATTCTTTCGGTTTGGCATTCTGTGCAAGTTTGAGTGGCATTGATGATTTGCAGGACGGCCCTGAAATGGTCAAGAGACCGACGATGAGCAGCGGCGGACGACGACGTCAGTATCCTTGCGCTTTGATTCTGTCGCCAACTCGAGAATTGTCTCTTCAGGTTCGGCTTCTTCTCTTCTCAGTTCTGCAAACAATTTTCGCTTTAAGGGCGATTTTTTTGTTCAGCCAGTTTATGCGTTTGTATTTTAGTAAAGAAAAATTAACTTGCTCGTAATTTTCATCTTTACCTCCATTTCGTACTCCACATGTAAAGTCTATTCTCTGGCGCTTTTTGAACGAGATCTTCAGAGTTGCATATGTTTGAGCGATGAATATCAAGAGAAACGAAAATTCAGATCTACAACGAGTCCCGGAAGTTTGCCTACAGAACGCCGATCACGTCAGCCCTATTGTACGGAGGCCGAGAAAATTACAGAGACCAGATCCACAAACTTCGCGTTCGTCCATTTTGTGCTCAAAAAGGACTATGGATTTTTTTGTGCAGCTCGGATGTCACATTTTGATCGCAACGCCTGGCCGTCTTATCGACGTCATGGAACAAGGCCTGATAGGCTTGGACGGGTGCCGATATCTGGTTCTTGACGAAGCCGACCGCATGCTTGACATGGGTTTCGAGCCTCAGATTCGCCAGGTTGGGTTCTGGTGGACTTTGAGAATTTGAAAAGCGAAAAGCCTTTGTTTTCTAATAATTTGATATTTTTCTGGTTACGAATAAGATTGAAAGATGATATATATTTAAAGTAAAGAGAAGGAATTATTACATCTTTTTCTTTTCGGTAACAGAAATGGCCAAAAACTTCAAAAATGGCAAGAAAAGAATTATAATGCGATAGAACAACCATCTCTCAAAAATCAAGGTCTTTACTATCTTTGTCGGATCAGCTAACTCGGCAGTTTTTTATGATGAAAATGTTAATTTTCAACTTTGTTTTTCTTGCAGATTGTCGACATGTCGGCTATGCCACCCAAAGGCGAGCGTATCACTGCCATGTTCAGCGCCACGTTCCCCAAGGAGATCCAGATTCTGGCTCAGGACTTTTTGATGCCGAACTACGTATTCTTGGCTGTTGGTCGCGTGGGGTCTACGTCTGAGAACATTGTTCAGAAGGTCTTTTTGGATGTGCCCCAATGCAATGCGAACGACCTTGTTCTTGTTCAGATTGTTTGGTGTGAAGAACACGAGAAGCGGTCCTATTTGATGGATCTTCTCGACGCCAGCGGACAAGGCGCCTTGACTCTCGTCTTCGTCGAAACGAAGCGCGGAGCTTCGGACCTAGCCTATTACCTTTCCAACCAGAACTACGAGGTCGTCACCATCCACGGAGACTTGAAGCAGTTTGAGCGTGAGAAGCATCTCGAGTCCTTCAGGTATGTCAATCAGTTAAAATTCTCCTACAAGGAAAAAAACATTCTCATAAAATGGTTCTTATACAGTTTTCTGAAAGCTATTTGGCTCATAGAAAGGGTCTGCTACATTTTGATGCTGAACTGAATGTGGAATGAATAGCTTTTTTCAAATTTAGATGGTTAATCGTTAATTTCCACGAAAGCGACTTTTAAGTTCAACATAAATTTATTCTGTTAAGATCGGTAGTTTCTACTATTTTCGCGAAAAAATGGAATGGGGGGGGGGGAAGAAGAAACAGAAAAAGCGGAAAAGGAGTATTCGAAAGTTTAAGATGCTTTTCTAGGGCGTATCTTCACAATCCGTTACTCTGGAAATAGGCTTAGTAATGTGGAATTTCTTGAACTTAGCAGTTCATCCAAGAGTCATCCCGAGGGTATCCCGAGAAAAAACAATTATGGCGTTTGTTCTACTCTATTTGAAGTTCCAAGTCAAGCTGAAATTTTTTTCAAATGAGAAAGCTTAGGTTTCATTATCTTACCGACCAACTTTATTCCTACGAAACACATGTTTTCAATATTGATCGTTAAAAAAGAATCTCAAATTTCACTTCGCAACAGAAAAAAGATAGGTACACAAAAACAATATGGCTAATCTTCAGAAATTTTTACAACAGGAGTGAATTTTTAAGATTAAATCTCTTTTAGCAAGATTTTATAGTTAGCCGCTTTCGATTTTTTTTTATAAATGGATTTCGATTTTTTTCATAAATATTCGAAATTTTTTCAGAGAAATTTGAAAGTTTCCTCAACTCTATTCGGTTATTTTTCTTTTTGGTGTGACTGGAAAGCTTGATCTGTTGTGAAAAAAAAAATTGCACTTTTCGGTTTTCTTTCCGTAATATCGATAAAAAAAAACTGTACAATTTTGCAACGGTTCCATGTGAAACAACTTTTTTTTTCATTCTAGGAGCGGATCTGCACCGATTTTGGTGGCTACCGCCGTTGCTGCGCGTGGTCTCGACATCCCGAACGTCAAGCACGTCATCAACTACGACCTTCCTTCTGACGTCGACGAATATGTTCATCGTATCGGCCGTACCGGTCGTGTCGGTAATGTCGGTAAGCGTCAGACCCATAGAGAATCGTGGCCTAATTCGCTCCGTGGGCAGGTCTCGCCACCTCGTTCTTCAACGATAAGAACCGCAACGTCGCCCGAGAACTGATGGATCTGATTGTCGAGGCCAACCAGGACCTTCCCGACTGGCTTGAGCGCATCGCTGGCGATGCTCGCTCTGGCGGCGGATTCAGAAGCGGTGGACGTGGCCGTGGAAATCGCTTCGGAGGTATTGCTATACATCTTACTTTGTTTTATCAACAACAGAAGAACGGGATATTATCAAAAATACATTTCTCTTACCTATAGCTATCAAAATTGTCTGATTGCGACTGGACGCATACAATAAATTTATTTAAAGATTGGAAATTTTGGAATTCCAGCTCGTGATCACCGTTACCAGAACGGCTCAAACGGCGGCGGTGGCGGCTCCGGCTCCTACGGCGGTCAGAGTCAGTCGCGCAGCGGCGGCGGTGGCGGAGGCTTCAACAGCGCTCCGCAGCGTCAGCAGAGATCCGGCGGCGGCGGAGGCTCATCGCAGGATTGGTGGGGCAACTGAGCTCTGCATCTTTTTGCGACTTTTTTGGCCTGTCTCTTATATCCCAACCCAATTCTCCTATTACTCGTTCTAAATCTTCTCTTCTTTTTTTTTGCGCTATCTTTTACCTGACGATTATTCCAAGTTTTTTCTTCTTTAGTATCATTTCAGTTTTATTGCACCTTATTATTGCGCCTTGCGTTTCTATAATTATTCGAGAAGTTTTAATATTTATTCCTAACCTTTTTATTGTGTTTTATGTGGTTAGCCCTTTCGAAAAAAAAAGTCGACGAAAAACGTTTTTGTTGCCTGTTGTCGACGTGGGCGAGTCGCGTGTCGCGTTCTGTTGGCGAAATCCGCCGCCTGTGTGCTTTGATCAGTGGATGACGATGTTCCGATGCTTCGCCGCTGAAAACCATGCGTCGAAGCGAAGTTGTGCTCCGTTTTTGTCCACATTCTCCTTGGCTCTGCCCGTCGCTATCATTTTTCCTGGTTCTCGAGCTCCTCGCCACAAGTGCTCACTTGAGAGGACCGACAAACCGCTGACGGTGGCGCTAATTCTGGACAATAACCGTTGTTACCCCAATTGTCATCTGTTTTTGTTGTGACTCTACCATCCTCCAGCCTCTCTTTTGGTTGATCTTCACCACGACATTTCGGTCTCAAGCTAATGTGATGATGTGTATTGACAATTTCTAGGTTATTACTCTGTTTTTGGTTGTTTATTCCATATTTTTTTCTTCAACAAGATCGTTAATGTATGTACATTTTTGCAATATTTTAATGATTGGCTGCAATATTTGGTAAATTCATGTACGATTTGTTTTGGACTTACCAAAGATCTTTCCTATCAATTAATTCCTTTTTGATAGACTTTTTTCTTTCTATTACTCATATTGTAGCCACAAAAGTTCTAATAACCATATTGTCGATCTTGTCGTTGCGTGCTGGAGCACACTTGCTGTTTTATTTTATTAGTTTTTTTTTTCTGTACAATTCAATTGTGAAAGTTCTATGTGCACAGATTTGTCATGGAAGATGCCTTTTTCTGATTGCATTTTCCAAGGCTGTTCTAGTCACTCGTAAAAACACTTGTCTTTGAGATTTTCACTTTAATAATTGATTTTAAATTATTTTTTTCCTGGTTTTACTCGTTTCTTACTGCGACACGCGTCTCTCTGATTGTTCTCCCACATAATTGTTGACAACGGGTTTCATGACAACAAAAAAATTATCTTGTACGCTCTTTTCTCTTCATTTTTATTGCTTGCATGATTGTTTCAGTCGAACGAAACGCGTTTCCCTTCAATAGACTAGTTTGTATCAACACCACTTTTGTAATTTTTTTAAAAGTTTATCGAATAATTAATAAAGATTCGGGCCAAGTGTCTTCTTTTTCTTAGCAGCTTCTTCGGTGAGATAGTTGAAAATCATCTGGAATACTTGGAAGATTTCAATCGAAGAAATTTGGAACGGAATTATTTCTCTGAACTTGCGAAAGAGGAGAACTATTCTAAGATATTCTCAACTTCTAAACACGTCTTTTTGACTAGTTATAATTCCATTCCGAAGTCGAGAAAGATAAAATTCAAGTTGTTTCTGTATAGAAGAAAGTTGAGCAGAACATGTCGGAAGAATACGACTCAGTGGTGCCGCCGAACGCGAAGCGGCTGAAGACCGACGGCTACGTTGAGGAGAAAAAAGTTCTGTACGTGGTCCTCGAAGGGTGCAGCCTCGAGACGGCCAAGGTGCGAACACGGCCGAATTAGTTGGACTTTACTCGCGTAGAAGTAGTAACCTCTTTCTCCAGCTCTTCAGGGATTCGAAGATTGGCGAATTTTCCGAAAGCGACTTCTTCATATCGCTGGGAATGTTTCCAACGAATCCTTCTCCACTTCTTATTTTTCCTAACTTTTTCGCTTTGAATGTTATTTTACAAACTGGATGGTGAAGTTTTGATGAAAAATAAAAGGAAGAACCCGATTAAAACTTGAAGAAAAAAAGTAAGTGAGAGAAAAATCGGGGAAGGATTCGTCGGAAAAGTCGTTGTGTCGTGATTTCGCAAATCAAGTTCGCCGTATCATTTTTCGCCTTTTTTGTTTGGGCTCGTATGAAATCTAAGTAGAAATAAGTTCCGTCAAAAAGTAATGAGAAAAAAGTTGAGATTAAAGAAATTATCAGAGTTGAGATAGCTTTTGAATGCATACAACAAGAAAAATTATATTTCTTAAAAAATTTCAAAATGATGAAGAAAGTTTCATAAATCGTTAGCCAAAACTCGTATGAAAAAAGTCATGGATCTTTCAACAGCGAATGCGTAATGAAATTATGAAAAAAAAATTAAAGCTCGAGAAATTTTCAAGTTTCCGATCAGAACAAGAAAATAGTTAGAATATAATACAAAAGCACGCATTCGATAATCATTTTTCATTTCAATATTTTTCCTCGTTAAGACACAAAAAGGCTACGAGATCCTGTGCAGCGACAAACACGCGGGATTCCTGAGGAAAAACAAAAAAGATCCGGCCGACTACCGTCCCGACATTCTGCATCAAGTGAGCTTCCGTCTCCTCGAAATTCCCAGCCTCAGAAAAGACTACTCAAATCGGTTTTTGCACTGACGAAAAAAAAATAAAACATTTCGATAGGAATAAGATGAAGAAGATGAAATTTTTCTCTGAACAGCAGTACTCTCAAAGATAAACGGATTTGAGTGTCTGCTGAACCTTCTGGACAGTCCTCTGAACCGGGCCGGTCGACTGCGGGTCTTCTTCCGGACGACGAAAAACGTCCTCGTCGACGTCTCCCCCCAGTGCCGCATCCCCAGAACTTTCGACCGGTTTTGCGGCCTCATGGGTTGGTTTTGTGTCTCTCCGATAACTAGGCCTCTCGAAAGTTTTCTTGCGGGGAACGGAATCCGAATGAAGGGAGAAGCGGGGGTTAAAAACAGCCTCGAATTTTTCCATCGGAAAATCAAAGAAAATCGATTTTCTTTTTCAAATACCAGTCTCTTCGAACGGGCAAGTTTCCAAAATTACTTTTTGAATTAAATTAATTTTTGTTTTCAGTACAACTTCTACACAAAATGACCATTCGAGCCGCAGAAACTTCACAAAAACTGATGGCCGTGAGTTTCCTTTTTATTTATTTATTTTTTTTTTGAATTTCAATCGAGTAAATTCTCTTTTCTTTTGAGATGTGAAGGAATTCTATATCTTGGATGTTTGAGAATGGAAATTTTTCACGGATCCTTCGAAAGCATCTTTTTGATCAGGTCGTTCAGTAAATATTCAAGTTCAGGTTGTCAAAAATCCGGTTTCGAATCATTTGCCCGTCGGGAGCCGCAAGGTTCTCATGTCTTTCAATGTCAATGTGAGTTTTTTTTTTCGAAATCCACAAAAGTTGAGTAAATAGAATACTTCTTTTTTTCTTTGAAAAAGTCGAAAATAGACAAAAAAGTGACGTTTTCGTTTCACGTTTTTCAATTATCAATGTATTTGTATGTCTCGAAGAAGGAAAAAAAGAAAAAAATGCGCTAAATGAGAAAGGGTTAAAAAAATTATCCAAAATGAGAAAAAGGTACCTAAAAATATAAAAAAACATCTATGTTGTTGAATGAATTATAAATTTACATTCACCTTCAATTTTTTTGTAGCTCTATAAATTGATATAAACTTTGTATTTAGCTTTTGTGAATAAATTGCGACATTTCGGAATATTGAAGCTTTGCTGGTATGCATTTAGTTGAAAATTGAAAAAAAAAACGACAGATTTAAAACAGGGAATGGACGAGAGCATGATCGTTATATGAACGGACGATAAAAATTTATAAATATTTTTTTTTCAGGAACTGATTATGCCCAATAAATTGGCGAAGCCGGAGGACAACGAGCCTTTGGTGCTGGTTATTGGAGGAATTGCGCGTGGAAAGGTCAGTTCTTTCTATTCCAACTACACGGTGAAGAAAAACATTTAGGTGGGATCAGCTTTTCGAGTTTTTATTTCTGAAGACTGGTCGAAAAGTTTCCAAAAAGCGTTTTCGTTCTTTCGATAAGGTCGAGAGAGATTATGGATTTTTATTACCAGAACCTCAATAAATTCAATTTATAAACACATCAAAAAGTTATTTTTATTTTATTAAGAAAAATTTTGTTTGAAGTAAGTGGAATTTAATGAAAACCTTTCTCTGAATCTTTAGATTCCATTGCGAAAAGTTTAAATATCAGTTTTTGGATATTGTCTCAACCTGAAATGAAAAGAAAACTAAAGAAGAAGACAATCTTTCGCGCAGCCTTTATAGATGGCAACATTAATCGGGGTTTTCCTCGATCAAGTTTGGAATGAATCGATGAAGATGAGATAGTTTTTGCTCAGATCGACGTCGACTACACGGAGCAACAGGCCAAAATCAGTAACTATCCCTTGAGTGCGGCTCTGACATGCGCCAAAGTGACCAGCGGCCTCGAGGAGATCTGGGACATCATTTGACGATTCTCCCTCTTTTCCTGGAGTTCGGTCGGTTCCTTCTCTGCACTTTTGCTCTCGTCAAGTTCACTTGGTTTTTTTCGAGATTAGCACTTGGTCATGTTTTTAGAGCTACAAAAGAGAAATCAAGCTAAATGTTTTTTAATTTTCTCTTGTTTTGTATTGTTAACTTCATTGTTGTTCCCATTGTTGTGAGTTCGAAAGTATCGAAAAGTTGTTATTGTTTTTTTCTTTTTTTTTTGAAAAATGAAAAAATTTTTTTGAAGCAGCATGAGAGTCGATTTCTGAAAATAATTCTTTCTTCATGGTTTTTTTCTTTTGAATTTTTTTTTCGAAATTTCAAAAATTTCATTTTTTTTTTCTGGATTTTGATTCAGGAGGGAATGTTTATTTTGAAAGAATGAAAGTAAGCTCTTTCTTGAGCGCCCGATGGAAACCCGAAATGAAAAAGTCTGGAGGGAACTGTTGGCCCCAAGAATAATTTATGCCCGTCAATGTTCTTTTTGATAGTCTTCGTCTTGTACTTTGACCCCATTTGCGCACTTTTTAGTAGTTATCATGGACCTTAAAAGATAGGAGAGGCAGTTTTAGACATTTGCGTTTAGTTCGACAATTTTCGTTTCCTTCAAAAAACAATTTTTGAAGCGATACTTTACATTTCTTAGAGCTTAGTTTGAAAAGTTATCCTGACAACCTCGAAAATTGAAGACCTTAGTGTCAGGAACGTCCATGGGGCTAAGATATAGGTTTTCTTTCACTGCAAAGCTTCAGATATATCATACACCGAATTTTGATGCAACTCGTTCCTTGCCGAAACTGTCTGTCGCATCGATTTGTACGAGAAAAAGCGACGTTGAGATAATTTGATTAGTTTTTTGGCGAGTCTGATCAAACGGTTTTGATCGATTTTAGTCACCTTTCAAAGCAATTGGAAACAAATCACTATGAATGCTAATTTTCTGCAAAAAAAAAAGGAAAACTATTCACTTCAGTGCAGGAAATGCCCTTTTTTCAAAGATTTTTTTCTATTTCATTTCTGTACCGCATCCGGTTCGTTTCAAACAAAAGAGCCCGTTTTATGACGATCAACTGTGCCCTCATTATCACCAATTGTGCTGATTATCAAGGCCTGTCGAGTACTTTTATCGCTGCTTTTCTTTGTCTCGCCACACTTTCTGTCGTATGATGCCCACGACGATTCTTCGCCACGAATTGCGACATTTTTCCTATTCTTTCGGTTATTTTGTAAATTTGCAGTCAAGTTACTCAAAAAAAATTTTTTTTCAAATGAAAAAGAAGGAATTTTTTTCGTTTCACTGAAAGCTTTCCATCCGAACATGATTTTTCCGAACTCAAAATCTCTTTCAGAAATTATCCTTTTTTTGCCCGACTGTTTTTTTCTGTCTGAAAAATTTAAAAATTTTTCTCTCATGAGTATGTGCTTAGATTGACGAGATATCAACACTGAAAATTTTCTCTGGTTTTTTTTTTTCGAATATAAATCACTTTTTTCATTCGAGTCTTGACAAAATTTGTAATATTCGACGTTTTCATTTGAATTCATGCCTACTGAAAATAGAACTATTCTTATTTTCAAGGAAACTAAGAAAGGATGAAAAATTAAACTCAAATAAATAGGCCTTCCGAGATTTAGTTGAACATTTCTATCCGTTTCAAAATTTGCATTGAAAAATTGTTACGGACAATCTTCTGGACCCGTTAAAGGTTTTTTGTATCACTAGTCAAATACCATTCTGAGCTTGAGTGACTGTTAGGCCAAAAACTCGTTCCAGCTGTGTTTTTCGTTTTTGCAAAAGGAAGTGTCTCCATCATTCTGATTGGTCGATCTCCCCTGAACTGTGAGCTAAAGTTAAGGGATGGTGCACGAGTTGAGCGGAGCGGCGGCAGGACTCGCGGCCGCGCTCCTCGGCTCCGGATACCTTCTCTACCAACGGCTGAAAGGTCCAGACCGCGTCGCTCTGCCGCACGGCTTCTCTCTCGACCGTCAGGCGCTTCCCGTCAAAGTCTGTTGTTCTTTAGGACATAAAAACGACCAGGATTTTGGTTTGACGGCTTTTTGTTAACATGCATCGCGGAAAAATCGTAGGTCGATCGGTAGAAGGGTAGAAAAAGCTGCCGTCGATCTGAGATTCGTGATAGCTACCAGGTGATCCGGCGTATGCTACCGGGTAGCTATCCGGTAGCTACTTTTCAGCGTTAAATAATAAACCGTTTATTATAAACAATACCCGATTATATAACGCAAAAATCGAAAAAAATAAGTGTCTTCAATGGATGAGAGCCTTCGACGTTCCACGAGTTTCAGCCTTTTTCAAGTCGTCATCATTTTCAGGGCCAGCCGGGTGTCTGGAAAAGCGCTCTGATGAACGGCGACGATGACGTCATTTATAAATTTTACGCCGAAGTCAAAACAATTTACGATATGTTCATCAGAGGCAAACAGGTTTTTTTTTCTCAACATCTTGAAAAAGCAAAAAGTTTCAAGGATCTCGATCATTTTTAAAGGAAGTTTTTTTTGGAAGCACGTGGGCTTTCAATCAAAACGTTTCCATTATCAGTATAAGAAAACTTTTTGGTAGCTTTTCTTTTATCAGCCATGTGATTATGTTTATCAGCGCTCTTCGATTTGTTCCCTTGTTTAGTGAAAATTTCTGTCTTATCTTGTTGATTGGGTTATCGGACTGTTATGCACTAGTGAGAGATGCTGGAAAACTCGTCAATCTCTCTCCAGAGCATCCTTTTCGAGAAAAAAAAAACACGTGTCCTTTATGAAGATGAGGAACGTTTTTTCCCCACAAGTAGAACTGTGAAGGAGGGTCCCTTTTGAGGTGAGTCGTGGAAGAGAATGCTGCGGCTCGCGCACTGCCGACGGACTCGACTACGACTACTTCAGCTACGTCGAGGTGCACGAAAAGGCCAACCGCTTCGCCAACGCCTTGGTCCACGAATTCCGCTGTCAGCCAGGTCGGCATCTCGTTTGTTCGGAACGAGTCGTTTGTTTGTTTATTAAAAATTCTTAATAAAACGAAACAGAAATGTTTTGGAGTAAAAAAAAAGAAAACAAAAAAAAAATACGTTTATGAAGCTCAGCTTTCGAGTCAGACAGCTTACAAGGTGACTCTCTTCGCAATTTTTCTCCTTTCTTCGGATCAAAAAAATAAGATAGGACTTTTTCTTCGAACTTTCTTGAGCGCGTATATTGTTTTTTAAAACTTGAAAGTGAATAAGACAAATCAAAAGCAACCTAGATCTTTAGAAAAAAAAACTTGACGATGTTTAAAAAATCCTCTCAGCCAAAATGAAAACTCCCAGTTTTTTAAATGAGGGTTTTGGCTCAAATTTTTTTATTGAAAAACTTTTTAAAGTTATCTTCTCAAAAATCAATTTAAAAAATTAATTTTCGTGAAGATAAAGCAGTTTCAAAAAAGGTGGAATCGAGGACAAGCTTGTCGCTGCCTATTGAGCTTCTCGTTTTTCAAGATTGTACCTTCAGAAGCGCTTAAAATTCCAGAAAAAGAGTGGAAAACCTTAAAAAGGTTCCAGGAAACACGACAAACGTGGGGATCTACGCACGCAACTGTCCGCAGTGGCTGATGTCGGCTCTGGCGTGCGTCGGCCAGTCGATGGTCATCGTCCCTCTTTACGACACCCTCGGCTCCGACGCCGCCGCCTACATCGTCTCCCAGGCCGAGATCAGGTGAATCCGTTGAGTGCAGCCGGATTCTTGGCAACGAGATTTTCAGCGTCGTCGTGGTGGACAAGATCGAGAAGGCACGTCTTCTGATTGAGAACCGGGGACAGATGCCAACGTTGAAGACGATCGTCGTCATCGAAAGCGCCAAGTTCGCCGATGAGGATCTTCTGATGGTTCAGATTTAGCTTCTTCTTTCCTGAACCGCTGTTTGAAGGCGTCGCAGCGTGGAATTCGTCTGGAGACGTTCGAAAATGCTTTGGATCTTGGGGCTCGCTACGAATTTGCGCCCAACCTTCCCAAGCCTAAGGACACCTACATCATTTGGTCAGAGTTCATTCTATATTTATCAATCTTCAAATTATTAAAATGAGACCACCATAGATTCGTGAAGCGAAGAAATCCTGACTTTCTTTTTTTTCTGGATGAGTTATTTCTTTTTTACTTGAAGAACCGAGAGTTTCAAGCTTTCTCTCAGCTTTAGATCATCAGAATCATATTTCGAAACTCGAGTCGTTCTAAAAAGAGGTAGTAGATTTCAGCCTGAAACTTCAAGTTTTGCAATCATTTATGAGCTCAACTTTGATTCAATTTTTCCAGCTACACGTCAGGTACGACAGGAACTCCTAAAGGAGTCGTTCTCACCCACGGAAACGTCGTTTCCAACATCAGCGCCTTCCTGAAACTCGTCTCGCTCTTCAAACCTAATCTCCTCGACACGAGTCAGGTTACACAACTTCTGATGAACTCCCTTTAGTATTCATATTCACCAAGTCAACTAAACGAACGAGAATTGCTCAATAGATTGGCCCGACGTATATTAGAAGAATTTCAGATTCACATATCCTACCTTCCGTTGTCCCACATGATGGAGCAGATCACGCACTGGACAATGCTCGTCACAGGGTCCAGAATCGGCTACTTCCGCGGCAACATCCAGGTTTGTCGGGGGCGTCTCTCAATAGATGAAACTGATTGAAGTTCAGGGACTGACGGACGACATGCTCACTCTCAAGCCTACCGTTTTTCCAGTTGTTCCACGGCTTTTGAATCGCCTTTATGACGTCATTCAAGTAGGTCACTAGCTTTTCACAAACAGTGGGAAACATATGTGAGATTGAATCTCTTTTCCTTCACTTAGTACTGAAAATATTTTTGATTTCAATCGTTTAATTAACATGAAAGCTTGGCAAATTTGAAGACTTTAAGCTGAAAATTGACAGGCGAAGGTCAAGGCGCAGGGATTTTTCGCCCGTCTCATCTACAACTTTGCGTTTGCGCGGAAGCTATCGCAGCTTCGACGAGGGATCATTTCAAAAGACACAATTTGGGATCGCTTCGTGTTCAAGAAGATTCAGGCGAGTTCGCAAACGATTCTTTCACAGCTGAGAAGCTTCCAGAGTGTTTTCCAACGGTAACTTGCAGGCTCAAATCGGCGGTCGAGTCTCGATAATGGTCACGGGATCAGCTCCGATCTCCGCCACAGTTTTGGAGACTTGTCGAGTCGCGACAGGGGCTCTCATTGCTGAAGGTTCTTTCCGTTCCCAACTTCTTTTAAAAATGGATAATGGACCAGAAAATGGCCGTAAGAAATCAAACTAGGATCATTAGATGGATACTTTCGTGCTCTTCTGAATCTAAGCTTTGAATTTCGTTGCGAAGTTCGAAAAATGTATAGTTACTCAGAAATGTATAAGGGAACTACAAACCATTACGGAGTCATAGTAAAAGGTCGCTTGTGGAAATTTTTTCAGCTCATGAGAAATTCTGGAAATATAATTGTGGATCAAAAAAAAGAAAAGAGAAATTATTCTATGATTACTGGAGTCATCCGTATCTACATGAGAAAACTCTCAAGCAAAGAAAAAACTAATAATCAGCGTGAAAATGTATGGAGTAACGATAGCCTGGTTAAAAAGCTTGATGTGAGCGGAGACCGTGCTCTGATAAGCATTCATAATCTGTATCTTTAAACTTATAAAGAAAACTAGTTAGTTAAATTAAGGTTTTTGAAATGAGAATTCGTCCATAGGCGAAAAATCACAAGTTTTTGGCTTACCATGCTGCTGAAAATCAAAGGAGCCTATCATTTCTCATATAACTGACAGGAAATGAAAGAAAAATAATGGAATGTTTCCAGGCTACGGTCAGACGGAGTGCACGGCGTTGGCGACGTTCACCTGGCTCGGAGATCCTGCCGGAGGCCATTGCGGTGGTCCAGCTCCTTGCTCTCTGCTCAAGCTTGGCGACGTGCCTGAGCTCAACTACTTCGCCAAAGACAAGAAGGGCGAGGTGATTCTCTCTGAGTGACGTCATGCGACGCCTTCTCTGCAGATTCGGATCAAGGGTCCCAGTGTCACGAAAGGCTATTACAACGATCCAGAAAGGACCGCCGAGCTGTTCGACGAAGACGGATTCCTACAGACTGGGGACATCGGCGAGATGCTCCCCAATGGAACTATCCGCATCATCGACCGCAAGAAGCACATCTTCAAGCTGGCTCAGGTCTGTCATCAGCTATATTTCGCGGAACGAAATAACTTTCTTAGTTCTATTTTGCATTCAATAGTTTTCACGCTTATTGGGACAATTTGAAAGACTACACTCAAAAAAAAAACAAATTCGGAAGTTAAAACTGGACCCAAACTCAAAAGGCGAATCAATTTTCGAAAAAAGGTTCATTTCGATCTTTTCCCCATCCATTCCAGCGCGCTCGTTTTATATAACTTGAACTCCATTCAAAATTGAACTATTTAAAGTAACAAAAGTTTGCTCTCGAAATTGAAGGGTCAGACCAAATCAACGACAAATTGTCTTTCAGGGCGAGTACGTGGCGCCGGAAAAAATCGAGAACGTCTACGTGAGGGCGCCGGTCGTCCAGCAGGTCTACGTCGACGGCGACAGCTTACAAAGGTTTCCACTCTGTCCCGCCTTTACGCGAACCTCAAGAGACATTCCGAATTTCTGAGTCGACGAACCAAGAATGAATCCAACTTCCAGATGGCTGATCGCGGTCGTTGTTCCCGAGGCGCAGGTCCTTTTCGATTGGAACAAATCTAAGGGCCGCTCCTTGCGGTCGCTCGAGGAAATCTGCGCCGACAAGGAGGTAGTCAAATCTGTTCGTTATGACTCAAATCTGGAAACTGCAGGCTCAAAAATACGTCCTTTCGGAGCTTCACGCCATCGGGAAAGAAAACAAATTGAACTCTATCGAACAAGTCAGTTTTCGCTTTCAAATACCAATATTAAAGAGAGAATAACTACCTTTTCTTTGAAATCCCCAAAATAATGATAATTTTCACTTCTCTCAAGTTCTTAAACTTTTTACACGATTCTTGTTGACAATCGGAGTCATAACTTATCAAAATCATATCTTGTTTAACTAAAAACGAGACTCCACAGAAAGGGAAAAAACCTTGATATTGCCGTTTGAGGTGAAAAAGGTGATTCTGACGACGGACGTGTTCACAGTGGAGAACGGCCTTCTCACGCCGACTCTCAAGGCGAAACGACCCCAGCTTCGACAGAAATACAAGGCGCACATGGCCAAGGTCTACGCCGAAAATCCCAACTTATAAAAATTAATTTTTCCCATCTAAACCTGAAACCGAATGAATTGAAGTTCAAGGTACGTGAGAAAAAAATTGTTAGCTTATTCTGCGGTTATCATGAAATTTGTGTTCAATAAAAAATAGCTCTGACGTACTTGAATTTTTTTTTGTTTGCGACCTACATTTTTTGTTGTATTTTCTCATTGAAACGAGTAATATTGCTCAAAATTGTCCGTTTTTTATGACAATCCTAATAACTTTCCGCTTAGAAAGCCCTTCAACGTGTCAGCCCCGAAGCCAAATAAACTTTTGAATCAAAAACTTTAATAACGGAAGAAGGATCAAAAAGTGGAAAATACAAAAATTGCCATTTAGAACTCATACTAAATTTGATAAGAATTGTTAAAAGACAAATTTTCTAGAAAAACAACTGGTTTTGATGTATACAATTGAAATAAACGGCACCGAAAGAAAACCATAGAAATTTTTTTTTAACCTACTTTCATTAATTAAAAATATATTCTTAAGACTTTTTTGCCACAAGAGGCAGAGGCAAGAATACATTTTTTATAATCTTTTTATGATCTTGAAATTTTGGGAAGCCTTAGAAAAAAAAAGAGTTAAAAACAACAGAGAAAGAACATGAATCGCTAGTTGCATGTTACTTAAAAAAACAGGGATGAAAGAAAGTAAAAAAAGAAAAAAAACAACTCAGAGGAGATTCGGAAAGAAAAAGTTTCAGAACCTGAGATTCGAAGCAGATTTCATGATGTGACGATCGACAATCTCCCAGAACTTGAGCATCTGCGAGGCGTCCAGATGCCTTTTATGGCGGTTGATCGGAATCCGCGTGACGTTCCACGTCGTCACGTTGTCGTGCACCTGTCAACCGTCGCAAATCCTTCCACTATTTATTCGAATAAATAAAAAAAAACAGCGTATAAAGGTTGGAAACAGGAATTTTCAAAAAGTTCAGCAAATTTTTTTCAACACGAAAAAAATCTATAGGTATGAAATAAAAATAAAAAAACTGAAGACACAGAATATTTGATCCAACAGAAAAAGCGAACCTTCATATCGTCGAAATAGAGATGGAATGCAGGGACCTTCGTGAATATCTCGACTGGGGACTGCCATCGCCAGTTTTTGAACTGCCAGGCGGGTCCCTGACAACCAATTTTCTTAGAATCTAGCCATAGTTGTCGGCTTTGCACAAATGATTTCCTGGCCACTTAAATAAAGACTTCGTGCGTCCTCTTACAGTGAGTAAAATATTCATTTATTTCATGTTAATTTGTCTATTCTCGTTCGAATGATCATCAGTAATTGATGAAATTTTATCAGGAAAAAAAATCAGAAGTTTATTGCAATTTTGTTGTCTCTTGTTGTTTTTTGAATAAACTTTCTCTTTTTTTTTTGAACTGTTCAATTTTTTAATAAGAGACATGGAAAACCTATCGTTCAAAAAAAAAACTTGAAAAGAGAAATAATAAAACAGGAAAAATATTGAACAAAGTTTCAACATTTTTGAGCTGAGACTTTTTGTCGAAAACATATTTTTGATCTTGTCATCTACAAAATAAGTCGAAGAAGACTGGACAGACCATGACGAAGACGGCGACGATGCGGTCCCAGTCCTCCTTGCGGAGTTTCGTGGGGTCGTCGATGACGAGGTAAGGAACGCTTCCGGAGACGTTTTCATTGCCGCTCCGCTTGCGCTGGATGATCCGCTGCGCACGGCCGACAAGGCTGCCGGGCACCAAGTCGTGCATGTCCGTGTAGTTCATGTCCTACAATCCAAACTGTTTCCCCATTTCTTTCCCGACAATCAGGACTCACATTATAAGTTTCTTTTTCCTACCATCAAAGCGGTTTCATTTAGTTTTGAGAGGAGTAGAGTTGTTTTGAGTGGTAAGTAAAAAGAGCAAAAATTTAATTCCATTTCTTGAAAATTTTGATTTTTCTTCCACGTAATTTCACAAATAGTCCATACTTTTCCTTATAAGGCGACGCCGCACAAGTCTGCTCGAGACGCCTTATCTTCCTGCTGCTCGGCGCGCATTTCAAAGAGAACAGACCTCCAGAAGCGAGGCCACGTTTTTTAGCGACAAAATCGTGGCAGAGGTCGCCGGCGGAACGACGATGATCGGAGTCCGATGTTTGGCTCTCGGAACGCTTTTCGGCACATTTTTGGGTGGCGAAAACACCTCGAATTTGATGAGTTTCGAGGCGTTGCCAAACGGCTTCTCTTCCTTCATCGAGGACGCTCCATCCGACGCTGAGCACATTTGTTGGCTTTCATCCAGAAAACATTTTAATGAATAAATATCTGTTATGATGCAAGAGGGACGATTCGCTGACTTCTTCTTCCTGCACTTATCCTACTACAGAGTGGAGAAATATCAGATAGAATTTTGTTTCAATTTTTGATTTCATCCTTGAAACTTGCTTCTTAGACAGTAAGAAGTGCACGAAACGAATGAAGTACTGTACTGTTTGGCGAGAATATACTATTCAATTGAAAAAGTCAAAATTATTCGATAAAACTTGGAAAGGTACGGTTCAATTGGAAAAAAACGCCCACTCAATTTGAGAAACAATTATTATTCGAAACATCAACTTTTGTCCTTTTCATGCAAAAAAAATTTTATAAAACTCACGCTGAGACAATACTTCGGAAATGGCGGTGGCAAAAGGCAAATTGGCAAAACTGTGATGTTTTTCTTCGAAAGGAAAGGTCTGAATATTTTGAATGTCATGGATTGATTTCAAGATTGAAAACCCTGTTGAACTGTTCCTGTGCATAGCGACTATAAGGTTGGTCCTCCGAACGAACTTTCAGCGGTTTTTCTTTCTCCGCCGGGACTTTTTTAGTACCTTCTTCTCGATCCTGAAAAACGTCTATGATTGGATTACCACGCGTCTGTAACTTCAAAAACAATTGGAAAGTTTTTTTTTCATTGTTTTTTTTAATTCTGAAATCGACCTTAATAGCCTGCAGAGTGTCGAGAATGCTGAGGAAACTCTTGTTGGAGCCCATAATTGTGGTGCGATTTCGCCAAGTTCTTTCGGCCAGCCGAGGCCGTTCCACATTTCTCACCACCGTATTCGCATTGCTGAGCAAGTTCGTTTAAAAATCCTTTTTTTTAAATAATTTTCCTGCAAATCTTCAAAGGGTCTCCCAAAAAATGGAGCGGTTATTGGAAGAAAAAAAAGACAAAAAAAATGACCCGAAGCAAAAAATAGCTTAAAATGATGTACTCTTGCACGGTTTGTTAAAAAACGACTGTTGGGACCTTAGAGGTGCTAATTTGAAAAAAAAAAACTTCAAAGGCCAAAAGTATAGACTCGAGAGGATGATTCAGCGGATGCATTTCTCACGTTTTTGAAGAGAATATAGGAAAAAGTCCGATTTTTACTCGGAAAGTATTGGTTCAACACGAAACAACTCGACAACGGACATGTCTGTGGGGGATCGGGCGCGTTCGACGGCGGCGATCGTGGATTTGCGCGCGTGGAGCTGCCGGAGACGTTTCTGGCGCATCTGCGCGAATTCAGGCAGGTCCTCGATTTTGATTTTCTCCGCTACCGTCGCGCGGTACACGTTCGCCTTGGTTTCGGGCTCCTCCTCAGAATCTCTGGAATCTTTTCGATAATAACCGCTCGGTGTTCTAAACATTACATTTTCTTTTTTGAAGTCGTAAAAAAGTTTTCCTTCCAATTGGTTTTTTTTGATTCCGAAAAAACCTGACTTCAAATGATGAGTTCAAAAGTCTTTGCTGAAACTTTTGAAAGAACGAACTTAGAAAAATGTTAAAAACTTAAAGATAGAGGGAACCGTTCACGATTTCCCATCTAGATTATGCGAGATTTCCATCCCTAGAAGTGAATTCGACGACATGTAAGTAATGTAAGTCGATGAACTTTCCACAAAACAACCCACACTATTTCAGACTTGATGCTCGGAATAGTCCTGCGCGTCTTCAAGTTCACCTCGAATACTTCGTCTCTTTTCGTGTACGAGTCGGGAAACTGATTGCGTGCAGTCATTCCGTCCAAATAGTCCAGGATAGAGTTTCTAAAACTCACTGAACTTTGTTTCTGTTCTAATCCATATTAATATTAAAAAATTCTTTAAAAAAACTCTTAAAACATAGACTTGTAAAATGAAGAATGGAGAAGAAAAAGACTCACATGTTAGTATAGTAAATGCCTAATAATTAAATAAATTCCTATTTTTTTTCAAAACTTCCATCGTTTGACTCTGAAATTTCAGAAACCTGTCCCCACGGTTGATGGGCTGAAAGCCTCGTGTTGACGCCACTTTGACGTATTCTTTGTGGCTTTTGTCCTTTTCAAACCACAAAATGATCAAAGCGCCGAGGGTGTACATTTGTTCCGGGTCACCACGAACCTTTAAAAAGTTATTATTATTCCCTTCTCTTATTGAACCAACCGATAGACTAATCACATTGGTACCAGCATACCAGGTTTCATCAATTTTGTACCAATATTCGCCATCCTGATGAAGAGTTAATTGAAGCAACTATTGAAAAAAAAACCTACATAAGCTCTTTCCTCAATATTCGAACAGCCGGTGATAGTTGAATCACGAATTCGTTGTAGCAATTTCATAGAGATCTTTAACAAAAAAATGCTAAAAAAATTTTTGAAAAAAATGAGAAGATTTCAAATATTTCTATCAATTTTTTTCGGGCAAAAAAAGAATCGATATCATATCAATGAATCTTTTTTTTCATATACACAATCATAAAAACATTTCAATTAGATTTTGAAAAAAGTACGCTCAACAAAAAACTAACTCGAAATTATGTAGAGTGAATTCTCAAAAGTTTATTCGCGAAGTGCAACGACTCCAAAAAAAAAAAATAGCTGATCCCGGATATTGAGCAAACAGACAAATATACTTCAGTTGTAATTCAATACACGTTGCAGAATAACTTTGAACTGTTGATATCAAGATACAGTATATACTGTCAAAAAAAATTCTATATAAAAACAAAACCAGAAGGTCGTAATATGAAGTGTTTTTGTGCACCACGATCAAATAAAATTAATGACATACCGTATCCAAAAAAGTTTTCGCGATAAGTTGCGATCGGTTGCTTTTCATGACAAAGTCTTATTTGCAGTTTATCTAACAAACTATTTTTTGATGAGTTCAATTTTTCAAAATTTTTATTGCATATCAGAGTTGCGAAATAAGCATTCAACAATGGTGACGAAGTATGTCGAAAGCAATTATAGCTCTAGAACTATCTTTCTGCTTTGCTCTGGAAAACGGCGAAGAGCGTTCTGGACGTGAGAAATCCGATGAGGGCCCATTCGAATGCCGCGTCGAGCTGCCATCTGAAGTAATTAACTTTTGAAAAATTCTATGAAACTGTATCCATTTTATCACGAATTCTAAGAAAGACAATCCAGAGAAACAGATCGATGGCTCTGGTTTAGGGCGAATTTGTGGTTTTTTCTTTGAACTGATTAGGAAAAAAAATTGCTTTCATAATTTGTTTTGTCTGATTTTTCGAACCTTCTCGAAAACGGTGACGTCGTCGTCCTCTCGAATGAGCCAGAAGTTGAAGCAGACAGAAAGTGTGAAGAGAATGACGGCCATCATGAGGCCGACGATCAAAACGGCTCCATAATCAATGAAAGAGAGAGTTTGAGCTCCCATTCTGAAATATAGAAATTCCTAGGTCCAAACAAAAATAAACCGCGACGGCAACGCTTTGAGTCATTTAAAAAGCGAATTCCTATTGAAAATAGGATTCTTTTCTGTTGATTACGCGAAATCCTAACGTTTCTAATAATAAATTGGACTTTTTCTCCATTCAAAAACTTTCATTTAACATTCTAAAGAATCATGAAATTGAGTTCTACTTTCTGGGTGAAATATTGAATCGACTAATACAAATTTGCCTCGAAAAAAGCTCGAAGGAAGCCGACTGTAAGGAAAAAACATTGGATGAAGAAAAGGCGTCATTTTCTGCGAAGAGAAAGACGAGGACCGGGTCACGCTGGGAGGAAAACGACGAAAACTGTTGTTCGCAGAGTTTGCGGTGAGGAAATCGACAATTTTTAATGGAAAGAAGAGAAAAGAAAATCGTTTTGAAAGCTGTCGTGGAAAAGTGTTCAGAAATTCTTTGTGACTCATATGTTTATGATTTATGTTTATGACCGAAAGCTTTCAAAAGACATTTTTTGGATGTTTTCAAGTGGAATTATTCAACTTAGAAAAAGGAACCCAAATACTAGCAAGAAGGTGAAATGCAAAGGTTTTTAATAAAAATAAGTTCAACTAACAATTTTTAAAGAAGGTCGCCGTGAAGAATTTATCCTCATTTCTCTGGATGTCAGGCGATTTGCGAGTCTTCGTTCTGAATCCGATTCAATGTGAGAGACAACCGCTTTCTGCAAAATTGTATCAAGTTATAACAGATGTATGAGAGACGCACAAAGTTCTGAGTTTCAATTAATTAAATGAAATTACTTTCCAAAAAAAGATGTTCTCTGTGAAGTGCGATTTTAGATGGTATTTTGACGGTTCTTTCGGGTTTTGCAATGATAACTATGTGCGGAAAAAAGAAGGCTTCGACGAGATCGCTGACTATCGCGCCGGTCTCTTCAAGAGCCCCTCCGCCTCCAAAAGAGTCTGCTCAAGCTCGAGACCCCCTTCCTCCGGTCCCATCTCAGGTCTCCTTCTTTTTCCATCCGCCGTTTCTTGAATATTAATAGAAAAAAATGACTATTGAAAGTGAGATTTTGTGACAGATTTTCGTTTTGAGTCATAAGACTAGGTTTTTCAAATCTCATTTGCCACGACTCGAATATTTCTGACTTGTCTGTTCCCTCTACTCTATAGTCGATGTGCCACAAGATGAAATTTCATGGAACGACACTCCGCTGTTTCGATTTTGTGCGGTAGCGCGCATCTGGCGAATTTGGCAACTTCGGCCACGCTAATTTTTTTTTTGTTTTCATTCTAATTTCGATCGTTTTTTTTATTGTTTTATTTCTTTAAAATGTAATATTATCGTTGAAAAGGATTTCGTTGTACAAATGTAAAAGAAAGAACACAGTAAATTTCATGATGTTTCTCGAAAAAAGCGATTGAAAAAAAGTTTGAAAAACTTCATGTATTCTTCAATCGCTTTGATATTGTTTTTCTCGTTTCTCAAAAAAAGTTTTCAAAGACTTACCAAAAGGATTTGCGGGTGAAACGCCACAATATTCTACAATAGTTTCTGTGTTTTTTTTTAAAGCCATGTTTTAATGTTTTCATCGTTTTTTTTTTCTGTTGCAGTCGTTAATTGTTTTTTTCAGAAAGTGAGCGCCTTATAAAATGAAGATGTGTACTTCCATGAGCACATGCACCATAATTTGAAGAAAGGTTTTCGTTCCTTTTTTTAAATGGAGCTTTAGATAAATCGTATTGCTGAACTATGCGTCAGAAATGGGGCGTGAACAGTGGGCACATGGAATAGTGGAAACGATGTGCTGAACGAAATGTCCAGAAAACTAATAATTTTTTTCCTTTGAACTTATGTATCTGTTTTTTTAAATAAAAAAATTCGTCAATGTAGAAACATTCAATTTTTTTAAAAATCATTCACTGTGTATTTTATTTCTGATTGGGATATTTTTTTACATGATTTGAAATGAAAAAAAGAAATGTCGATAAAGGCTCAATGAAGGTAAAAATAACGGAATATATTGAACAAAACCAAAGACCATCTCATGAAAAACTTTCAAATATTATAAACGCATTTTTTCGCTTAAAATTCGAAACTAACTCTACTTTATTTTTATCAATGAAACAGTCTATCCTCTAGAAAAGATATAGGTCATTCCGCGCCAGCTTGTCACGATTTCCAGTTTATTTGGAGCTAGAGAAGCCTTTTTCGGCGCTTCGCTTCGATGCTCTCGGTGTGCCCCTTGCGTGCGCCTTTAATAAAAACTCATTATTTTTGGAACTTTGGAATTTTCCTATTCTACAAAAAAACAGTTGTAACATCAAATTTTATATCACATTAACCCAAAAAACTATATGCAAGAAAAAGCTCGAACAGCCGGTTTCATTAATAACAATTAAAAAAAGTAGTAATTCAATCTTTTTTTGATTTTCTTTTTTTCTTACAAATCCAGCACAGAATCTGAGTGTGTATAGTCCAAGCGAAAAATGAAATCAATCCATCGAAAACAACCTCGTAAATTAATAGAAGAGTGAGAGGAAATTGAAGCAATATCTTAATCAGAAATAATATTTTATTAAAGGCGCACGCAAGGGGGAACACCGAGAGCATTGAAGCGAAGCGCCGAAAGGGGTTCTGTAGCTCCGAGGAAAATTAAAATCGTGACAAGCTGGCGCGGAATGACCTATAATTATGATTTTGGCACGAAGACAACTATTAAAACATAATTAAAATAATGAAAATTTCGAATAAAACAAAAAAATAGAAAGCGCGACCGCAATTCGCAAAGGCAAGGCGCTTTCACGGCCACGGCCACCCAACGGAGTGTCGTTCCATGAAATTTCAAGTCGTGGCACATCGACTATATCAACTCCTTGCTTTCAAGGCTGCACACTTATTGTATGTTTCTGGTAATTACATACACGAGGGTGCAGAAAGATCGGATTGTTTAATAATGTGTCGATCGTATATTTAGTAAGATGATAGTCAAGAAAAAAATTGCTGGTCAAAGAAAGTCGAAAAAATTTTCTCTCAACATGATAAACACTTTCAGAAGGAGACTGATACAGTGACTGAAGACAAAAAGGTATTTCTTCTTGATTTTTTATTATTCTTTTATTTCGAATAGGTCCAACCTGAGTGATAATTTTTGAAACGTTTCTTTTCCTTTCTCAAAAGTGAATTTCTCCCTTTTTTTTTCTCAGACCTGCTGAAAGGTTTTTAATAGGACGCTGCGAAAGAGCTGTCGATCCAGAAAAAAGAAGAAAAGGAGGAGACGAAAAATGATAAGAAGTCGAAAAGAACAAAGTCAGAGAAGCAATTGGAAGAAAAAAGCGGTGGGGTAAGTGTGAAGGAAACTGAGAAGATTCTAGGAACATTAGGGTGGTCGGTCAGAAATGAGCGCTAGTTTTGGGTTTATTTCACTACGAAAACATTAAAAATAGAAACATTCAAAAGTTATTTTCGATCGAATGTATGATATCACCGAAATCTTTGCGGAGAACGAATGCTCTTTTTAATGCCGTGTTCAAAGTAATTTCGCGAAATGCAAAATGATCTCTGACTCTCCAAAATATAGTTATATTTTTCTTTCCCTGACGGGTATTTTGCATTTCGCGAAATTACTTTGAAAACGGCATAAATTCTGTCTTGGAAATGTCAATCGAAAAACCCAAAGCTCATTTATAACCTATCAACCTGATTAATGAAAAAGTTTCGAAGAACTTAAACCATTTTGAAATCAATTATTGTTCCAGAACGGGCCGAAGAAGATCGCAAAAGACGCCAAAGAGGTTTTATAAGCGTCTTTCGTGTTTTTGAGAACTTTTTGATCCAGAAGAAGATTGCGGCGGGACACAAAGTTGGACCGGACGACTATCCGACGATGGACAACGTCAAGTCGGACTGGGACGACGACGGCAAGGATAAGAAAGAGAAGGACCAGTGACGTCTCCTCTTTTATTTCAAACTCATCTAAACTCTCTGTTTTTCTTTTTTTGGAATTCTAAATCGTTCAGCAAACCTTGGAAAAGACAATAAACCTCGAGTTATTGATTGAGCAAATGACATGAAATGTGACGGTCAGGTACTGACAACAGTGGTTCAAAGATCAAAGCCGTCCCCTAACTCTCGGAAGCTTTATACTGCTTCGCCGCTTGTTTGAGAAAATTAGGTGATTGGCTGATTTCTTTTCGAGAGAGGAACTCACTGTTGTTTTCAACTTTCAAGAAATAAAATACTATTATAAATATTTAATTCAATCTCGACTGAAAACAATGTACAATTGACAGCACCCTTTGGACAGTTGATTAAGAAATAAATAAAAAAGAACCCGTATGAACTCAGTAAATGATAAGGAAAAAGTAATTAAGCAGTGGACAAACTCGTAGACGCAGAGAAAAAAGCCATGCGGGTTACGGCAGAAAAGGCACAAAAATCGAATTGAAGTGATTTTTAACGAGGTGTGAATGTGCAGAAAGTTTCACAGGTATCGGAAGGAAAATTGGGCCGTTTGAGAGATCGGAAAAGTTGCTCTATAGAACTATAGGCGTTGAGTTGCGCGAGACTTCAGCGTGCGATGAGGAGACGTCCGAGGAATAACTGAAACTTAAAAAATTCTCGAATGGCAAAACGTCGTGTAACTGGTCAGGTACAGGACAGAATATGCGTATAAATGAGCCGCCGACAAAATAGCCGTCATAGGTTTATATTTGATGTAAGTGCGCTCCATGGCTAGCTGTTTTTTTGAAAATGATTTCTTAAAAAAAAAGGCATCGTATATAGAAATTTGAAAAACCGAGTTCTGAATTAATTTCAAACTATCATTAGATTTCAGCTAACAGCTCAGGCTATTTTAGTTAAAATTTAGAAATTTTATATTAGGTAACTTGAAAAATCTTGGGGAATACTGAGAGAGATTCGTGCGCGATATTTTTCTTGGAGGAGATTTTTCAAGATTTTGTGAAAATGAAAACTGAACAAAAACTTTGGAGCTTTAAAAATTCGGAAAAACTGCAAGAATTAACCAAAATGTTCGAACGAACTTTCAAAGAGTTCCAACAGCTAAAATGACTTTCTTTGCGAAAATGAGTTTTCATACGGATTCTGAGGGAAAACGACCAACCCTCCGATGCGAATGGCAGTCTCCAGCTGATCCCGAGGCCGGAGCTGCCGTCGTCGTGGCACGGAACGTGTCCGCGGAGGCTGTCTCCGAGCGGCCCGAATCTGTTCCTGAAGCCGTCGATTGGCCGCCTCAAACTGCGGCGACACGGAGAGCTGCTGCACCGGCGGCGCTGTCAACAACGGAGACGAGACTCCTTCCGAAGGCGGCGTCGTCGGTCTCAATCCCCAGCTACTTTCAGAGATCGAAGGTCAGACTCACTCGCTGGTCGACTTCTCGGGAGACTCGACCTTGGGATACTGGCGATAGACGACGTCGAACTGACACAGCGGACATCGTCGATGCGCCAGAAGCCACGGATCCACGCACTTCGGATGGAACTCGTGGCCACAAAACAGCACGCGGAGCTCCGTTCCATCGTCGTACTCTTCCAGGCAAATCGCGCATCTTTCCTGCGAAAATTACTATTAATTACCAAGTGTGAACTTCTTTTTCTCATACATTACACTAGAACAAAAAAAAAGGAAGAATTCACTATATTACATGTTTTCGAATCTTTCTCAAACCTAAAAACGGATTGATATACCTTTTATATTTTGGGGGTTTCGAAATTGAGGAATCTGAAGCTTTCCTTTTTATTTCCATTGAATGTGAAAAAATATTTAGATAATCTTTGAATCAATTCTTTTCAGGACGAAATCTCAAACTGAATAACTGAATAAGAAGTTATATTCAGTTTTTGATCTTCAATAGCGCTCCCTAAGCCGAAAAAGTTTTTTTAAAGTTTCTCCGTTTCCTCATGAAGAACAAACGCCGAGGATGGCATACATCTCCTGATCTATAGAATGCTCAGAGAACCATCAATTGGCTCACGAGAAAGTTTGATTCGAGTGAAAACTCACTTGACTGTTCGTGGTGTTGGCTACGGACGTTAGTGATCCGAAAACAGCCAAATACGACGAATTTCTCGAGGTTTTGGCGTATTTCAAGCGAGAAAAAGTGCCTCGCTTCTGTCTCCGACCATTCTTGTCAAGCTGACTTGGCTACAAGAAATCCATTTTATCAATGGGGAGAAAATGAAAAAACCTTTTGAAAGTTTCTGATCTCCATCTTGGCCAAGGCGGTCCTAGCCAGAGTTCGGAGCCAAATCTCGCGGTGAACGGAGCCTCGGCAGCGGATCTTGAGGAAAACGAGCAACGAAACGAACATCACCAGGAGCGCCAGGAGACCGACCAGACAGATGTTCAGGACGGAAGGACGGAAAACCTGCAAAAGCCTCTAAATGTGAACAATTGTTTCTCTAACCCTTCCGGAAAACTATTTTTTATTTTTACTGTAAAATAAACCTGGAGCTTGATGACATGCGTGTTCTTGGGCTCGGCGAAGACAAGTCGAAGTCGAGCGACGGCTCCGGCGGCGTTGGCTCTTCGGAGCTCTTCTCGAAGTCGTTCCGTCTCCTCGTCATCCAGAACGACTACAGGAATCTTCGCGCCACCGATCTGAAACACCTAATATATCATGAAAAGAAGACACAATATTCTGACGATTTTCACAATCACTTTCGTTCTCAAAACATTTGACTACAAAAAAATGTTCCGTATTTTTGCTTCAAGAATTTTCAAGAACGACCCTTTTTTCAAACTTTTCCCTCATCTTCCACTCACCGTTATAGGTTTGACGTTGCGTTCAACTCTTGAGGCAGGGCCGACGATCAAGGCCAAAGCTCCGGATTTCTCGGCAAACCTCGCCTTAAAAAAACAATATCTTTTCTAAATATACGTATTGTTACACATTATCAATGCTTTCACAAAAAAAGATTGAATTTTAAAAAATATCAGAAAATTTTTTTTTTGCACGTTAACCAGAAAAAAGCGAAAAATCATGTCAGGATTCATTCTGCTCTCTATTTTTGTCTCTTACTGAGTGAACCTTCTATTTCTCAGAGAGCTTACCTGATTATCCAGAGCGACACATCCTGTCAGAAAAGGTTGGACGTCGTCGACGAAAACCACAGAAACGTGTCCGAAAACGGTTCGGTCGAAGCCTTTCCGACGGGCGTCGCATGCTCGGAAGGACGAAACCTGCAACCGAACTGGGTTTTGTTGATACCCAAAAACAAAATTGAGAGAAAGTGAATTATTTGCAAAAAGTTGAGTTCATGGGATAAATGACGAGAGATGTTTCTACTTGAAATTTTTGATATTTCTTGAAAATTGGCATAGCAAGTTTAAGAATACTAGAATAAGAAAAAAATAAGTAATTTCATCAAACTTCAAATTTAGAGAAACGTCTCTTGTTAGAAAAGTTTCGAAGCTATTTCAAACTAAATCATTCCGAACAAACTCGTATTTTTGAGACGAACCTCAAAATTTGAAAGAAAGAGAAAAGTAGGTAATCATTCAAAAATATGAATTACAAAAGCCGATCGCGTTTTATTTGCCGTGCCCTTTGTGTCCTGCAGTCAAATGCGAATTTTGTGTCGCCGAGGGGACGGAGAAAACGCATAAATAAGGGTCGTTGGGAGTTTAGGACGTCCTTTGATCTCCGCCGCTCAGCCAATAAAAACCGCCGCCACGCCTACCATTTTGTTCTTGTAAAAAGTAGCGGAGAGGCAATTTGAGTTCGTTTGAAGCTAAGTTAGCTTTTTCTCAAATCTTAATCGATATTAAACTTTTGTAATTACATAGAAGCTCAGAGACTACTGTAAAGGCAAAAAAGTAATGTTAAAAATTCTTTTTTCATACATCTTTAGACTTATTAACAAATTAAACTAAAAAAATAGCACTTTCAGGGAAACTTTCTCAAAATAACCACAAAGAAAACCTCCTTTCCGGTCGAAAATGAGATTTTTGAGCAACAGGAAGCCCCACAAATCAAGCCATCGCAGGGTCGGAAGGAGATAAATCAAACCGCTTAAGAGGCCACTCCGGAAATTGAAAAACGGCCCCGGCTATTTGCATAATTAGATCAAGGTCGATAAATTAGAAATGAAACGATTCGGATCAGTTGTAAGGCAAAAGCGAAATGAAAACCCCTCGAAGAGACAGTTCCACTTGAGAAAGATGAATGAGAAGAAACTCGGGACTAGGACTTGGGCCGTTCGTAATCGATCATCTTATGATGCCGCTGGATGGCCATCTGGCGCGCTTGGGCACGATTGATGGTTAAAAACCTTTTTAGGTCAGCAAGTAGACAAAAAAACCACCATAAAAAAGGAATTATGAGTCAACTATTTTTTTATAATAAATTTCAAATGAAAAAAATCATTGAGATCAAAAAAAGCTGCCATTAAAAAAACCATGCAAACACTTCAATTTGAACAAGCTCAAAATGTAGGGAGGGACGTTTAAGAAACTGGAAAAAATTATTACCTTTAGAAAACAGACAAAATACAGATAAAAACTCACAAATGATCGAGAAATGAGCTTCTTTTTTTTTTTGAATTACCGTAAATCACGTTTTCCTCTATATTTTTCATTTATATTGTGTGAGTTCCTCTGAAAACTTTGGTTAAATTGAGAAGAACAAAAAATTCCGTTCATGTTTTTCAAATTTTTCTTCAACTCATTCACAGCTTCGAGCGCTGAATCGAAGAAAGAAATAAAGGTATTCTTTAAAAAAAAAAATGGCAAGGAAAGTCGACGGTCATCTGATTGGTTGAAAACTTTCTTGGTCAAGTTTCAGAAGTTCTGAGCGAAAAACCCTCATCGTGCAGCTTCTTCTTGCAAGCCCCCAGAAAGAGAAGGATCAACGGCGCGTTGTAATCTTGCGTATGAGTCGTCCAGGAGATGCCAGACTGTGGGGCCAACAGAACCGTCCGTCGGCCGCAGCCCTCTTTTTGAGCTTTGCCGCCTCGTCGCTCGTAAAAATCGCGCGCGGATTAGGACGAGACCGAAGGCCAGGCGACGTCGTAAAAAATTCGGCTCCGTTCCGTTTTTTATGAGATATAAGACTGGTATTGATTGATTGGTTCGTCGGCTGTGAGTGGGCCTGAACAAAAAATAAATCCCTATTTTATACTGACCAGGGAACGTTTTTAACCCCCCGGTTGAACTTTTGCTGAAACTTCGCTGAAGTGTACTTTATGACCCCCTGATTGCAGATCAAGAAAAAAATTTCTCGCAATAGATCTTGTTTCCGAGTTATAGTGCTTCAAAGTGTGAAAAATACGCAAATTAGGCCAAAAAAGCGCTATTTCGGGCTTTTGAAGTGTCCTAACTCGAAAACGAGATCTATTGCGCGAAATTTTCTTTTTGTTCTGGAATCAGGGAGTCCTAAAGTACACTTCACCAAAGTTTCAGCAAAAGTTCAACCGGGGGGTTAAAACGTTTCCTAGTGAGTCCCTCTAGCAAAAAAAAGGCATCATTCCTCTCAAAAACGCTTCTTTTTTATTCGAAACGTTTCGAAAAAAAAAAAAACGAAACGACGAAGCGAAGGCAATTTTGGCGCGTGACCATAAATTTGTGCGCGGAGAAAGAGGCTAATAATAATATTTCAGAAATTGGATGGCGTTTTCGGCCAGGTGCACATTGACGTTCTCAATCGTGTCCTTTTTCTCATCGTAGCGTTTTCGGAAAGCTGAAGCAATTTTCGGATAGTTCTTAAAGCTTTTTGTTAATTTATAAGCGGAATTATGAGAATCATAAAACTGAGCAGAAATGTTTTTTTTTCCGATGGCTAGAAATTAGTAGCTCTTGACGCGGGTTCAAACAAAAAAGAGCAGTAAGAAAGCTTTAAACTTCATTCGAATTTGAGCGATATAAATAGGAAATTGTCGACGTTCTCAACGACACCTCGATAATTTCAAACTGAAAGCCTTGGAATGTATCTGCAGGACCCTAAGCAAGTCCCTTGGCTGAGCCGCTCTTTGCAAAATACAAACAGAAACGGACGGCTCATTTGCCGTGAGACTAAAACAGCTCAATTTGTGGAAAAAGGAGGCAACGGCAATGGGGTCCGACGAAGACAATCGAGTTAGCATTCCATTCCATTTTCTTCTTTCACCCCATCTCCCACTTCCCAGAAACTACAAACGTCGATGAATTTGCATGAAAATATCCTTATTTCATATGAGGTCCACTAAAAAGTCGCTAACTGGCCAAATATGGATGCAAGAGGCCTTCCATTTTTGAAGCTGGAATCGGTAAGGCCTATACTCTTTTCATGAAAAAAGTCATCTCGGCTCGGAATTTTTCTTTTCAAAGTGTTTCGAAGATGAAAATATAATTGTTGAAAATCCCTATCATTCTCTTCTTTTTTCTCCAAATGATGAACACAGAGCCGAACCCGGCCCTAATTGAGTCTAACTCCCTCGCCATGTTTCATCTCTTCCGGCGTGTCAAACATTCTCAAACAAACAAACTACTACGAGAGTTTGACCATGAATATTGCAGCTGGTTGGAAAATCGACGATAGAGTTATTCGAATCGTTAGGCTGGACCGGTAAGGAGAGCTATCAAAATAGATTTTTTGACGATTTCCGCCTATTTTCGACTTCGAATTTTTGTATTCGGTCTAACGATTAACTTTTTCTGAACCTTCAAAGCTTATGTAGATGATTTTTCGACCAAGTTTATTTTTTTTCTTGCCTTCAAATAATCGTAGCTTTGTCATGGTTTACATTTTCGGACTTAAACTCAACAAGGGAACACAAATGAGAAAATTTGAATCTGGGTGGTAATGGAAAAATTTAAGTAGATCACTTTTAAAGAAAAATTTTGATTTCAAATATCAGAATTAGATGAAATTTTTTTTCCTTATCAAAATCTTGGAAAAAAAAATCGATACACGCTTATCTATGAAAGGTTTCAACTCAAAATTCCTCAGCAGATCTGAATATTCGTTATCAACAACAATTTTTCATGGAATCACAAAAAAGGTTTGCTAATTTCGCGCAAGAAGCCGTCGACGCCGGGGGCAAATATATATTCATTCAAGGGCGCCGCGACAAATGGAGCAGTCCCTAGAGGGATTCCGACGAGTGTCGAAAAACATTCAACACAACACACAGACACACACATACGCATCCATTCGTTCTTATTATTTGTCCCAGCGGCCTTCTTTATTGGAAGCCGAGAGGAGCTTTCTTGAAACAAGAAAACGTTTTTCGCCGGATCCGATCCTTTGGGTAAATCGGCTAGCTGATGCGCAGGGAAAAAAAAGATACTTGATTCAATTCCATAAGAACATCGGGATTGTAGCAAAAGAGTGGAAAGTATCGTTAGAAAAGGAGTTGTAGGACAAAAAAGTGTAGCCGGAGTTTATTGGACCGACTTGCTTTTCTTAAAAAATTATTTTGAGTGGTTTCTATCAACAGAAAAATAAAAAGCGAAGTACCAAATAACCTAATTTGAGTAGCTTCAAGCACACCCAAAAATCTAGAAGTCTCAGAAAACGGAGGTTTTAAGGTGTGTCCTCACTTGTATACTTTGCCCTATTATCAAGAAAAAAAGACCACCCAAGGCGGTTACCTCATCTGGTTGCAAAATCTTGGGACCAACGCCATCCGATTTATCGCCCTTTCTCCGTTCGTTTTCGACGCACAAAGGACTGTCGGCACGATAGAAAAAAAAACCCCCCCTTTGTTCCGTTTTATAAGGAGGATTATAGGCTGAAAATAAGAGAAAAAACTTATTTTTTGAAAGAAAGTTTTTGCTGGTCAATTCAACCACTTTACCGCTCTTCATTTTCTTTCCATGTAACAAAAGGACGAGTCTACTCATAAGAGACGGAAGTAACAGTAATCACCGGGATGGTGCAAGTTTATGGGTGTCAAGTTGCAGGTAATCGAATATAATCCGCCCTCCTATGGGTCAAAGGTACTATAACAACAACGAGATGTGTCAATCAAGTTGCCAGAAACCCGTGTAACAGCTGGAGCGATCAGAAGACGGGAAACACAGCCGAGAAAAATAGCTACACGTTTTTAGAGCTTTTTTTGTGAGAAAATCAGATGAAAGATGATTTTTGAATAAAATGGCTTCTACGCAAAAAAGAAGTTAGCTTCTATGAGAGAACTTTCGAGTTTGGCAAACTCCGAAAAATGAATTAAGATTCCTTCCTGTTGATTCTGAAATTTCAAATTCTTGTAGTAGCCATAACTTTATACAGGTTCTTATTTGTAAGCGAAAAATAAAAAAATATAGATTACAAAAATTGAATTCAGTGCAGTTAAAAAAATTTAGAAAAAAAGATCATCAGCTTCCGTCAAAAATTTCGCAGAAAAATGAACAATTAAAAAAACATCTCAAATTAATTCTGAATAGTTGAACTTTTTGAACTGAATAAACTTTCAAGTTGAAAGTTTTACCTCGAAAAAAAATAATGGTAGGATACTCAACGCAAAAAATAATTGTAGTCCTCGATATAAAAAACTTCTCTTTGAAAACATGAAACAACTGTAAAAAAAAAAGTTGGAATGGAACTGATTTCGTTGATTCAACGGAGGTTTCAAATTTGGGACCGCGGATCTCGACTTTTGAGGTTGAATGGATAGGAAGAGGAAAATGAGCAAGTTGTCGAGAAAAGTCGCAACTTCGCGAACGAAGAAGGGCCAATTATTCAATCACTCGGCACACTTGAAAAGGTGTTCGCCGCCAGTTCTTATCTCCCATCTCGAGTGTTATATATGTGGCGCAATGTTTGCTATCGGGTCCACGCTGCAGGAAAATACAAAAAAAAGAATAAAGTGATAAAAAGGACCAGATGTTCGGAATGAAAGGAATACCGCTCAATCCAATCTGGAAATAAAAAAGATGAGAATTGGAAAAAGAAAGTTCGGGCTTTCCCTACAATTGATTTTTGGATCTTCACAAGATGGAACGAAGATCAATCCGAAGATCACAGTGATAAAAAAGCATAGAAAAACAGAAATAAATATTTAACAATTTTTCTAACCAATTCTGGCTACCTTTTAAAAATTTTTTTTCAAAAAAATGGTTTTCTGAATTTTTACAAGGCGCGAAATCCTCGCACAGTCAAAAAAACAGCCCTTGGTATTCAGGAATATTAGTTTATGCTCCAAATAACAGATTCCAGAATAGACTGTATCTTTTTTCCAAGAAATTTTTTCAAAAGTGCTTTTCGAGGATCAAAAGCTAATATTATGCGCGCTCTTTTTTCTTTCGTACAAATCTCGACAAACCTAAAAGAACTGAACCATCAAAAAGTTCAAACTGGAAGAAAAATTCAAACTTTTCTTTTGGGGAGATTTCCGCTTGATCAGTGTTTGGACAGTGGCTGTCCAGAAGAAAGGCGAGGGAAAGATCAAAGGAGCCGCCTCTCCTCTTTCTACCACCCTTTACCCATTCACCACTCAGCAAGTTCCTTTTCGATTCGCCCTTCCTTTTAAATGTTTGTCGTCCTCTTGGGATTAGGCTTGGGTCAAGCTTTTGAGGATAAGATGTGAAAAAGAATTGAAAAAATGGGAATTTTTTACTGAATAACTGTAGGTTCGAAAAAATATATTCTTTCATTCAAGTCATGAATGCGTTCTATTTGGATCTCAGAAAGATGAAAAAAAAATCCAAAGATACCAAACATTGCTCTGTGGCAAGAAAAAAATTAAGTGAAAAAAATCTTGATTTTCCGAAGGCTCAGTACTTCGAAGCCTTTTCGGAATGCAAAACGGACCTGAACGATGTCTCCGACAGTCTCGAAGTTGCTGCCGGCCGGCGAGAATGCGCCCAGGAGTCGCGCATGTGTCCCCGGCCGTTCCCGATGCGACACTATGACGTCAACGCGTTCTCCGACACCCGTGGGTCTTGCCACGACCGCAGCCACAGCTACCAGTAACCACGGCAGCATGGCTCGCCGATCAGCACTCAGGATAATTAAAGTGCTGATGGGCTGTTCTGAAATTTGAGCTTTTCAGAAATCCACCAACTTAATGGTTCTAGAGAAAAAATTCCAGGCAGGTAAATTTGAGAAAAACTATCAAAGTGAGCAAAATGGGAGGTTGAGAAAACTAGACAGCCCAAATCTTCACAAATGCAAATTTCCCGAATAAAATTTTTTTATCGTGGGATTTTCAAACAAGAATTATTTAAAAAAACATCATGAAAACTTGTACATTATTTTTTTATCCATTGCAATTATGATGAGCAATAAGATAAAGAAAGTAAAATAAACAAAAAGGGTAAGACGTCTTCCGCGAAGGAAGGCGTGAGTGAGAGAGACGTCGGAACACAGAAAGTGGGCGTGGCGTTAGAACGAAGGGGTGTGGCTTCGCGCGGAAAACTCCGGCGTTGACGGTTTTACTGTGGGAATCAGGAGCATTCTATGCAACTCTGCAAGAACCTTCGCTTTTTCTTTAAAAAGATCGCTAAAAATAGTTCTAGCAAAGTTGAATCCTCATTTTGCTATGTTCGAGACTATTTGAAAAAAACCTCCTTTTTTATCTTATTTTGCTATAGTGCCCTAAGGGATTTGTACTAAACAAGCCACTCCGGCCAGAGAAACATGTTTTTCGTGTGGACGAAGCTCATAAAATATTTATTACGGAGATTTATCAAAAGAATCGTTTCAAGGTAAAGGAACGTCGACCACAGGTCAAAGATGTAGACGGAGCTTCTTTCTACCTCAAGTTAAACAATGAATACTCTGAATGGATCCGTGAACTATCTAAAACCTATTGAAAGAAAAACGAGGAAAATATCACAAATTTTACCTTCATAGGAATTTTTAATTAGTCCATAAGAAACTAGAGAAGTGGATGTTGGACATCGGGAAGCACAGTGTTCCCAAACGAGCGGCAGCTGTGGTCAGTAGGCGTGGCTGACTGCAACAGCGGCACGGTTTATTGCAATAGGTGCGCGGGGATGAGAGTCAAGTTTTGTGGATTTAGTGGTTGGAAAAAAAGACCATTAAATGATGTTTTTTTCCTAGGTTCTCGCAAGTTTTTCAAAGATTTTTAATGTGTATATAATTATAACGAACAAATTTAAATGAAGAAAGAGACGAAAAAAAGTTTTTTTGCAAAAAAATATCTCCCAAAAATGTCGTTTTTTTAGGAAAAACTCGTCAAATCGAACTTCCAAAGGGAAAATTGAGAAAAAAAGCTCACAGCACTTCTCTTAAGAAATACCATTTGAACGTTTTAAAACAAGTTGCCGAAAGACCGAAAGACTTTCAAAAGAAGAAGTTTTGGCTGTGAGACCCGTCGGCTCACGTCAACGACCCAACATAACGACGCGTTTTTATTGGCCCTCGGATCCCTTGGCGCGACGCCTCGACTATCATTGTTTATTCAGATTTTCAGTGGATTTCATGTGAACCTCAAGGTGACGGTGAGAGTTCAAAAAAAAAAAACACAATAATTAAGAATTTTTTTCATTATGATCGAATTTTTAAACCTATAAGCTTTCTTATAAAGGACGTAAATTCAACTGTAATATTTGAATCTTCTCAAAAAAATAAAACCTTGAATGTTCAGCTTTTTGTTTTCGCATTGCTGAAAAAAATAAAAAAATTCTATTTATGATGGATACCGTACTGTAATGTCAGTGAAGATAGAACAAGATCTGTTCAAATTATTTGCATGAAGATTGATCTTTCTATAACTTTTTGAAGTTGATTGCTTCAAAGTAATTTTGCGAAATTCGAAAAAGCCGTAAGCGAGTGAAACAAATAAATAAATTTAAAATGTTTTATTTCTCAAAAACAAGTACTAAAATTCATGAAATAGATGTAGGGAGAATGTGGACGTCGAGAAAGATGACTAAAATTTGAAAATTCACAGAAAAATTTGGATTTTGCGGAAGGAGTACATTATTCTGAACTACCGAGAAAGATTATAAGTCCTTGGAAAGACTTGCTGCAGTTTCGGGACAAAAATGAATTGAAAATATTTATACTAACATCTTTTTGGCAAGTTCACCTCTAATTATGATTGTTCACTGCTGACATAGAATCTGAAAGAGATAAAACATACGAAAATGGGATGGCGGTTTTCGAAGGAGGCGGCGACTTCAAAACCACTGGCTTTTATCATCTTTTATCACTGCAGGACGATTGGCCCCTTATCAGGAGAGTCGTCGACCGCAGACATCCAGGCAACAAAAACAACACAAGAGTACCGTTGAGATTGCCATCGAACACTCGAAAATCCAGAAACTCCAGATTCGATTTCCTACTAAACAAATCGGTTCTTTGAAGCCAATGATGATCTCGGGTTGAAAATTCGAATCAAACTGCCTAGAGGGTTCTTTTTTCCCAGCTTTCCTAATCCTTCAAGCGAAAAACCAAAAGAAGGTCAAATGTTTACAAATATAGAAAACTGGAAAATTTTGGAAAAAAAAACTATTCTTGAAATTCTCCTCAAAAGTCGAACTTTCCTTTTTTCGATTCAAAAATTCTTCCTAAGTAACACAACAACTGCCAATAAATAAAAAAAAAGTGTTTCTTAACGGAAATATTCAGATACAGGACAATGCAAAAAGAGGCGCCTTTTGTTTGGGAGCCGTCAAACGGTCGTTGTTTAGAATTATTCGCGGCGCGAACGCATTTCGAGTGTTTTCGAAACGTGACGCACTTGGCTTCGAAATTTATTCCATACTGCTGGAAACGGCATTTTAATACGTTAAAATCATGGATTCCAACGCCGGTTCTACAGTTTTTGTTTTCTCTCTCCCTGAATCAGTTCAATACTTTCTCATTATTTTTACCTGAAAATCAAAATTTCAAGATGGAAAAAATTAAACTTTCTTGTTTTAATAAGATTTTCTCGTTCACTCACAAGATGACAAGTTCACTATTATATATCATCAAACTCTCGGTTTGTAAATCAAAAAACTGTCAGCAAAATACAGTTGATCAATCGAAGACTTGAACTTTCCGTTTTCAGCTGAAAAGAGACTTCTTTCGAATTCCAACCAGTGTTATAGTCGACTTGACAGTTCTCGAGTGTCTGCGTCTCTCTGTTTCGGTCACAGAAACGCGAAAAAAGCGCGTCAAAAAGAGAGAATCGTCGAGAGACGAGGAGGGCGCAGGGAAGCCCCGCCATTTCAAGTCGCGAAAAACGGACTATATGAGCGGATTTGCGCTATGATAAACAGTACAATGAGAAGAACAGAAACACGTGTGGCTTTGGAATCGGCGAAAGCCGGGGTCAGTCGGAAAACATGTGGATCCAAGAGGACGGAGCCACCTGCGGCGCCCCGATTCAGCCGCCGGCAGCTATGTAAACCGTTGCAACGGCTTCTGTCTTTGGTCTGTAGTCGTTGACGGACTCAGAAAAAAAAACCCCCAGAATCAAGAAGTTTGCAAGAAAAGGAACTTTACAAATAACTTCTAAAAAGCTTCAAAATCAGACTCAATTTTTTTTCACCTAGTTCTCATAACAACAAATCGCCTTCATTGAATCTCTTATATAATCAAAAAATAAAAAATAAATACACCTAGATCTGTAAATTTTATCTATGTGAAAAAAATCAGAATGAAATACTCCATTAAGTCTGTTTCTTCCTTTTTTATTAGGAAAAAATTAAACTGATAAATTGAAACAGAAACAACAAACTAGCAGAAATGATCGAGTGGCAGAGCGGTTTTCTTCAGAACGATTGATCTTGTTTCGTAGTGCAACTAGAGAGAGAGAGGAAAGATGAATAAAATGGGAATTAGCAAAGAAAAACCTCAATGAACCGCGAAACGATGAGAAAAACGCCGTTTTCCCTGCATTCTTCGACAGACTCGCTCCATCGATAACTTCTAATTGGCTGATTTGGGTTCATATCTGAAATAAAAATATTTACCTTCCAATCCGACACGTTTGGCGAACTATTAATATTTTGAGTATTTTGAAAACTAAAGAAAAATTTTTAAAAATGATGAAATGAATTAATGAATCCGTTTATTCAGTTTCCAAATGAATGTGACTTTTCAAGTATTTAGTCACTAAAACAGCTTGAAATTGAATAGTTTCTGAAACCAGTTTGATCATTTCTAAAAAAGGAAAATGTAGAAAATAGAGAACTTTCAAAAGATCCTATATTAAGACAGAAAATAATCAAAAAAACACCGGAATTGCTGTCTGCAAGCCGCTCGACTTCTTCCCATTGCTCCTTGCTGAGCAGGTTTTCCGGATAATGGCACATCAGGAAGGAAATCGTGTTCGAGGCTTGTGTCGGCAATTTCTGTAATCCATTTCGTGAATCAAAGTGAAAATTCCAGTTACTTTCGATTAGATTCGTTCCGCTCAAAAATACCTAGGGACCACAGACCTATTTTTCGAACTTAAGCTAGCTCCTCGTTTTTGTTATAAAAATAATGATTTTAACATGTAGTATGCGAAAACAGAAAAGAAAAACGAAAAATATTAAGATTAAGAGGAGAAAACAATATTTAAAAGTAATCGAAAAGCAAAACTTTTTGCACTGAAATTTTGGTTTTGCGAATTCGCATGCAATCTGCGCGCACCCTTATTTGCAAGGTCGGCACGGTTTCAGGAGCCAAAAGAGAAGGTTTTACGAGCTGTAATTCCACTTTACCATCACTTTCGTCTCAGTGACTGCACAAATACAGCCTACTGTGCTCTTTGAATCCCATAAAAATGTTATTTCGCCTACTTTTATTCACCTTTTTTGTTAAGAAAAATTTTTCGGCGATCTTGAATTTTTGATTTTATTGCTTTGTTTGTTTGAAAATTGAAAAACTCTTATAAATGAGTAGGAAGAAACGCGTGTCCTCGACCGGGAAATGTTTCAAAACAACTCGCAAAAAATTCTCCAGCTTTTTTACCACTCAAAACAGTACATTTGCTTGTAGTTGTCAACAAGTATTATTTGAGCAATGTTTTTCTCAATATGAAAAAAGCATAAAAACCTTCTAATACTGCATTGCAATTGAGAAAACAATTTTTGACTTTGCGCGCCTCTCAATTTTTTCGGCGATCATAGAATTTTTATTTTTTTGGCTTAAAAAATTGCATTTACTGTTTATAAGTAGTTTTCAAAAAATCAACCTTGTCCGCGACCTAGATGAATATCAAAACGCAAAACTAAGTTTATTTTTCGAACTCGCGTCACTATTCCGTACGACACTCCGTTGAAACACATGGAAAGCACCTAAAAACCTTTTCAACGGAAAGAGGAACCTTTTCTACATTTATGCTGAAATTTTCATCATTTTTCATTGTTTCTATCGGCTGTACGAAACAATCAAAGACGAAATACCAAAAAAATGGCCTTTTTTCCCTCGCGAAAAGGGGCGGGGCTTTGCGGTCGCTAAAAATACCGTAGCTATAACATAAGGCGGCTGCCAAAGACATTTTGGTGGGGAATGAAAGTTCTGGCAATGCTAGACCTCCTTAGTTTTTCGTTGTTTATAGAACACTTCTCTGATAATTTAGAAATGTAATTACTTAGAAAAAAATGCTTTTTGATGAAAGGCATCAAAAAAACTTTTTTTCTTATTCAAATTCAAGATTTAAAAAAAGAAAAACTTTGAGAGTTCGCAGCAAAGTGTACGTTTTCCCGTCGACTTCAACGATTTCCTCATGGCTTTCCTTAAGTTTTGAGAAAAGTTCGAAAAATTAAGATACAACTAAACGTACTCTGAAATCCATAGATAAAGAAACTGAGCGGAAAAATACGGCAAACATATTAAAATTTTTTTGGGGGAAAAAAAAATGATGCCACGTGTCATATACGTGTCACAGTGTTCCCAAACGAGCGGCAGCTGTGGTCAGTAGGCGTGGCTGACTGCAACAGCGGCACGGTTTATTGCAATAGGGGCGCGGGAATGAGATTCAAGTTTTGGGGATTTAGTGGTTGGAAAAAGACCATTAAATGATGTTTTTCCTAGGTTCTCGCAAGTTTTCGAAGATTTTTTTAATGTGTATTAAATTATAACGAAAAAAATTTAAATGAAGAAAGAGACGAAAAAAAGTTTTTTTGTTGTCACCCAAAAGGACATTTTTAAGAATAAATTCGTCGAACACTGCCTCGAAAAAAATTTTTGAGAAAAAAATCTCACAGCGTTTCTCTTAAGAAAGTCCATTTGAAAACTCTAAAACAAAAAAACAAACGAAATATCTTATGCGAAATAAGTTGTCATAAAAAATGTCATTTTAATGCGAATTTCTGTGACGGGAACAATCGAAAAATCACTTCAAATCTCTGGAAAAACGCGATAAACACGTTTTAAAGAACACATACAACGTAAAAAAAAATACGAAAGAATGGTAAAATACGCAAGAAAAAGAGAAAAAACCGTATTAAAAGTGAATGAAATTTTGTGGGGGTGACACGCGCCGCACCGCGTTGCGTTAGAAAAAACTCGCGTTTTCGCCCCATTGCGACCTTTTTTTTTGGCTTGCCGCCGTCTCTTTTGGAACACTGTGGTGTATTGATTTCTCGGATCACGATACTCACTTTTTGTTCAAAATCATACACAACTTCGTTTTTTTGCTCTGGGGATCAGAAAACCGGTCATAAATTTCTTCAACAATGTATTTTGTGGAACACCAAACAAGAAAAATTGATGGGAAAAAATAAATATCAGTTGAAACAAGTAATCAGTTTTGTTTGGAAAAAAATGAAAAAGCAGAAAAAAATGAAAAATTTCAACAGAAGATTATGGATAAAATTTTTAAAAAAACGGAGATCGGTTACAAAAAAAGAACCGGGATCATTCATGTTCGAAAAAAAGAAAAAGAGAATAAAAAAAGGATTTCACAAGAAAAAAACTCTGGAGAGCGCTAAAAAAAAGAAGCTGTAGATCTGTTGGAAAGAAAACAAGAAAAAAATAGAGTTAGTAGACTTGAAGAACTTTCTGAAAATATAAAAAAAGCATCTTTTTCGATTTCGCGGCTTTTTTTCTGAGTTATAACTTCGAAAGGAGAAAGTCGAGATCTCAAGTGTTACAACGCTCAAAGACTTTGTACAAATCGTGGGAGTTGGCGAGTTGTCGAATCGCCTGAAAAACTAACTTTTCATCAGAATTTCCAATTATTCATTCAATCAGATGCGAAAAAACGTCTTGGTAGTTTTTTTTTTGTAACTTTCGTTACAGTTTCGAAAAAAAAGAATTTTTTTTTCAAATTCCACTTATTATTTCAGAATTATAACCTTTTTGTCCTTGAAACTTTCTGGAGGAATGAGCTTTTTCTTGATTAACGGCACCAAAATCTGTTTAATGAGGCTTGTCCATCGAGTAGTCGAGAAACCTGGAAAAAAATTTTCAAAGCTCAGAAAGCATTTTCTCACTAGAAATACAGTCCTGGTCGAGGTATTCGTGGCGCAAAACGAAGAAATCCGAAATCGCGTGGCAAATCCCTTCAAAACAATCCTTTTCCTAAAACGCTTTTTTTCATTATTGATCTTGCTTTTTCTGACCGTGTCGAAATCCACCTCCAACACAAGATTCCCGATGAAATGGGCCAATCCTTCGAGTTGAGGCACAAAATAATGAACCAAAGAAGGCAAGGAGACCAAGTGAAGTCTGAAAAAGGCTGACGTCGATCAAAGCTTCAACCTCAGAAAAGAGAAGCGACCGGTGCGGTTAAAAATCGGAGAATGGTGAAATTGGATTGAATTAGTGAGAATAATCTACTCAGTGATGAATGGCACTAAGAAAATTTTAGAAACGCGCAGAAAAGTTTTAAAGTTTCTTGTTCTCCGGAGTAACTGCTGTTCTATAAACGTTTTCTGCTAAAAAAAAACGGATGAGAAACATTTCTTGCCAATTTTGAAGGTTCTCAGCAACATTCCGTTAAAGAAATTCGCGGAAAATATCATTTACCAGGTACTCCCATCAAGGTGTATTCTTCCCCGAAACGTTTTTTTTCTTCTAATTCTAGACGACAATAGCCAAATTGACGACGAAGATTGAAATGTTAGCTACCTTTTCTCCGCGTTTTCGTCGATTCTCCACTCTAAGCCGATTGAAAAGTAGTCGTGGAGCATTTCTGGATGATTTCCTAGCAAACTTTCAGCTTCTAGACGTTTAGCTGAATGTAAGTCCTCAAAAGAGTAAGATTGAAAAACCCACATTCCTGCGCAAAAATGGAAAAATCTTTGGCGTCTTCTGTCGGATCCAGTTGCGGGAAATCGGCAAGAACTTTCAACAAATCGATAATCCTTGGATATTCACCGGCCATTTTGTAAGATCCGTAGTTACCAAAAGAGAAAATCGCCGTCTGGAAAATAATGAATAGGCGGCTGATCTGTTGGAGAGAGAGCGGCTCAAAGAACCTGGTAGAAAAACTCCTTCAGAACGATTCCGAAATCCAAAAGATACAGAGAAGTGCCGTATTGGACGATGATGCATTGGGAGTTGACGATGCCAACAAAAGTGAACGTTTTGAAGAGTTCCCTGGAACACCCTTCCTTGTATAAATCAAACGGCCGAAATCTCTCGCCTCATTGTCGTCGAACCTCTTTGACAAATTTCCTCTCTTAATACCCGCAAAGAATCGAAGTCAAACGTTCTTTTCAACTGGAATTAAAACTCTCGAATATCAAAGCTACAGTAAGCGCGAAGGTACGGTGTTTTCGGTCTCAAGTTCAATCTCATCGTCTTCGCCGTCGGTGGGAAACGTCGAGGATACACTCGAGGCCACGGAGACCATGGAGACTTCGGCGTCGACGTCTTCTGTCCTGGGAGTCCGAAGATCGTCTATTACTTCTGAAGGAACAATGTCACGTACCCTTTTTCAACTAAGCTACTTTTATTGAAAAGGATAAAGAATCTTGCTCTAAAAATTTCATTTTGAGATTTCTTTTGAAGTTATTTGGGGGAAGGGCCAAAAATTGAAAGAGTTTAGAAACCATACTTTTGCATTCTTTTTTTTCTGTTTCTTAATCATCTTCTGAACCAGAAAACCAGAAAGGATTCTGTCCCCTGGCATAGTTCGTGAATGAAACACAAAGAGAGAATTCCAACTATTTTGATCTCCTCCGGTTTCCTCTGTGAAGGAATCCGCCAAGGCGATGCTTGAGACCCTTTTTTTGACGTTCAGATCTTGCGTCAAGAACTCGTCGATCCTCCTTTCTCTGCCGTCTGTCCTCACTTCCTTCAAAAAATTCCCTATTTCTTGTCAGAATCACGTCTTAACCATATAATCGACTCGCTTCTTCTCATTGAAAGTTCCCGTGAAATCTTTCCTGGTAGAGGTGGTCTTCGCATGGAAGCTCGATGAAGCGGCGACAGTCAGAGACCCCAGTGATTCGTTTCTCTAGAAATCGGAAAAAAAAAGAATGGATTTTGGACTTTGTTGATCTCGAGAAAAACCTTTTTTCTGTGTAAAATGAACTTTAGTGACACCTCGAAAGATGGACTAAAGTTTAGATTTGAGCGTCTCTTGGAAATATTTTTCTTCCAACAAGGAAGCTTTTTTGGCCCTCGGTTGAACTTTGATGAAGCTTGGCTCAAATGCACTTGGGGGAGGGGCTTGAAGCTTCATAACTCGGAAACAAGATCTATTGCGAGAAATACTTTCCTTTTCCTGGAATCCGGAAGTCCAGAAGCGTTTTTTCAGCGCAGTTCCCTCAAAAATTCAACCCCGGGTCAGAAAACGTTCCCTTGTGCGAGAAATAATGAACCTGCGACTGGGAAGCGCCCAAACTTTGATCTGCTGTTTGGTTCAAAGGATCCATGGCCGATTCATCGAACATTTCCGTCACGATCCCGCCAATATGCTGAATAATGACCATTCGACAGATTGATAAATGAGGGAAAACACGGAGGATTCCGGTTTTTCTTCTCATAAATTAAAGCAAAATCTTTTCTAAGAATTTTCTTTTTGGAATAAACTAACGTCATATTCAGATTTTTACGTTACCCTGGAAAATTTTCAGAACAAGTTTAATAATCTTACGATCCAAGCTTTTCATGAAAATATCCAATTTTTGTGTATAGTGGTTCCTCTGCCCATCCTTTACTTGATCTTTTATTTTTTGACGTTTTCTAATGTCAACTAATGACAATGAACAAACTATTATCATTAGAGAACGAGTCTCTCTTTCTTACTAACAGCTCGAAAAACAGACTTCGACGATGGCTCCTATCACCTCGTCCTGCTCCAAGAACATGACAGACTTCTTGGTCGGGTGCACATTCACGTCGACCCGAGACTCGTCCAGCTGCAAGTAACGGCTCTGCTCTGAGTATCTGTCTGGAATCGGAGAAACCTTCAAAGAAAGGGCCATGAAGCGGCAAATAAGGGACCGCGAAGAGAAAATCTCGTCGATGCCGTGTTTGAGTTCAGTACAAGTCACAGATCTCCCGTTGATGAATAAACTGAAGAACTTCTGGCGACTCTTAAACTCACTCTTGAAATGGAAATATTCTCTCTTGAATTTTTTCATTCTAATCATTTTGAACAGCTATTCTTTATTGCGTATAGAAATGTTCCAGTAGGGAAAATGTTTTAGAATAATATCTGTAGGTCGACTTTTCAAATTAAAACTGGAAAATGCGTAAAATCTATCAAATATATTTTTCAATACAACTGTTTCCCATACATTTGAAATCTGTAACATTTTAGCTGAGGAATTAAAGATGGGATCGAGACGTCAAAAAAACTCAAAAAAGAAAGAAAGTTTAACGAACAGAAACAGCTTATTTTCTGAACTTTTACTCTTTTTATTTTTTTTTTTGTTTTCGAAGACCATTATTTAAAAAAAAAACAGTCAGATTTTTTTTGCTATTCTGAGAACACATGTTTAAGAATTGATGCAGAGTGAAGTATGTGAGTTTGAAATTGGAAATATTTCTATTTATAACTTCATTCGAACTCTTACAAACTCGCGTATGTTTGGAAGGATTGGAGTTTTTCGGCTCTGAAGTCAACCCCGCTGTGTGTTTCTAGTTCATGCGTCCTTCTGGATTATTTCAACAGCGCGAAGTTTTTTCAAAACAACTATTCTCTTTAATAAACTCCAGAAACACAGCTTTTTTTTGTAAATGTTCCCTTCGCCTTAGCAAGCTTCACTGTGTCATTCCAGGTGATAAGGAACTTTCAAGTTCTGATGGTTCTGGATTCGCCAACCTTTTTGTCCTGATGGAGTTTGGCAGTGGCGGCAGCGATGGGCCGCGCCATGCAGCCGTGCAGAGAAATCTTCAGTTTTTGCGACTCCATTCCGATGTCTTGGATACTCTTCAAACAAAAGAATTTGACAGATTCATCGGAAACGGCCCACGTCGCTGATTTCCTTGCCCAGAAGGAGACCGACGACTTTCCTGAAGTCGCCGTCGCCGCTCGTCCGGAAGTCGCTCGACGACATTTGTCGCAGCGAAAATGATACGTCACTGGAAATGAAAGCCTTTCATCGAAAAAAAATTTGAAATTTTTTGTTTATCATCAAAATCATCACGTCTTTGAGCAGTTAAGGCTTGTTAACTTCAATAAAAAGAAAGGAATCGACTCTTTGAGAGAAAAATTATTTTTTTATTCAAAGCCTTAAAAAAATTTTATGTCCTAAAATGGAGAAGGATCAAATCTTTTTGAAATGATTCCTTCGACCAAAATACATGAACTCGTCCAAAAGTTTGCATTAAAAAAAAAGGAAAATTATGAAAATTTGCTCTCTTCATGATTATTTTCAAAAATTTTTTTGTTGAAAAACGGACGGTCTGTGAATGGCAAAGCGAATGATGACGTCAGAGACGCGAGAAGACTCCTCGGTGGAGTTCGTCATCGACTTTTTTCTGGAAAAAGTGATATCGCGAAAAAAAAAATGAAAAAGAGTGCCTGGAAGGGATGTTGTAGAACATATCCGTCGCGCTGACGCATGTCCCGTTCCGACCGGCCGAAGGCTTCGATGACGTCATCTTTCCGTCTCAAAAAAACCTTTACCCGTTTTTTTAAATTTATTATTATTTTTTTTAAAACGTGTTACTTCAAAAAAACGTGACCAAAAATGTTTTTGGGCTGTAGGAGCTCGTTTTTTTTTTTTTTTTGCAAAGAGACTGTTTCCGACTTCGTGAATTAAATGCGGAAACATATTTTAATAATTCTTGAAGAAAGTATGAAATAAAGCTTCTTTCACAGTGAGAATGTCTGTTTTGAAACTCTTAGCTTGGATTTTTTTTAGCTCCGAAAATCTTGCAACAGTTGTATAGTCAATTTTTTCCCCGACTCGAAAGGCGAGATGGGTAGATTGGCAAATTTTCATTTTCCCATTATTTGTATACTTTTGTTCGTTCAACAATTCATTGAAAACTGTCAAAAAGAGAAAAAAAAAGAGGCTCGTAATTGACTCTCCGCCGAAGTCAATAACCCATTCCGCCTTTCAAGTCGGGACGCATTGACTACAACGACTCTTTTTAAAAAACACCTTTATGACGTTTTTGTGATTTTCAGTTTTTCGTAAAATGTGAAGACTCTCACCAGAGTACTGCCCCGAATAGGCGCATTCTTGATCCTTCGGCTTCGAGACGATGGCGACCTGAAGAGTTTCTTCCCGAAGATTTCGAGCGATCCAACCTTGGAAACTTGGCTGAGAGAAGCCAGAGCCTCTCCTCGGAACCCGTAGGTTTTCATTTGGAGCAAGTCCTCGAAGGAACGCAGCTTCGACGTCGCGAATCGCTCGCAAACCAGCTCCAAATCATCTCGAGAGATGCCTTTTCCATTGTCCTGAGTGCTTGATCTATTAAAAAAACCCCACCTTCAATCAAATTTCACATCTTCCTCTTTTTCAAAACAAACAAGCAACGAGAAAAAAATTTCTAATCCGTAAGGCCGAATTAACTGATTTGCTACCAATAAAATTTTTTTCAAAAAAATATCATTAATATAAATAAATCATTATTATATTCCATTCACGGCTTCATCGGGCAGTATATGTCTTATGAAGAATCTCTTGTTTTGCTCACTGTTTCTCTAATTGGTACCAAAAACCAACAACAACTTGCAGAAAACTCATTCCCCCGTTGCGTAGAGTGACAGCGACTTCAGTAGCCTTGGCATCAAGAGAATTTTCAACCAGTTCCTCAAAACTCCCACTAATTTTTGAAAGAAAAGGTCTAGAAACTTTGATGGCATCGCTGGGCCTTACAAGAACTTCGCCGGCGGCCATCCGGTTGACGACTTCCGGCGGAAGTTTTTGGATCACTCCCATATCCACAACGTCGTGATTCAAACTTACTGAGTCAAACAGATTAACAACTTTTTTTCGTTCTAAGTATGGACTGTGCGCCACGACTTGAAATTTCACGGAACGACATTCCGCTGCGCGCCTTTGCGAACCTTGGTGCTTTTAATTCTTTTTTTTTTTTCATTAATGCCGTGTTCAAAGTAATTTCGGCGATTTCAAAATAAACGCGTTATTCGTTTGAAATGATTTCGGGAAATAGGCGAAATTAGTATTCTGGGAAGGTGAGTCCTACAACGATATATCGTTGGATACGCATTTGTACGGTGAGTTTTACGCGCGAAATTGAAATTTCAGTAGAAAATGCCCAAATAATTCCAAAATTTTGAGTTCCCGCGAAGAAATTACGGTAAAAATGCATATCTAACGATATATCGTTGTAGGACTCATTTTTTCTTGCCATTCTCGGAATAGCAATTCTGCCTATTTTGTGAATTCATTTTAAACGAATAACGCGTCTATTTTGAAATCGCCGAAATAACTTTGAACACGGCATAAGGTACTCTACTTTCATGTGCTCCCACAGCAATAACAATCAATTGATAGCGTGACCTAGATTCTGAAGACGTTTCGCGAACGCACTCAGCGGAACAGCGTTGTGTGAAATTTCGGAATGTCGTTCCGTGAAATTTCAAGTCGTGGCACACTGACTATAGACTTTTGAACATATTTTTCGACCAAAAAAGATTCAAGTTTCAAATGGGCTAACCATGAGAAGGTTTTGATTTCGATTTAGTTCCAGAGCGTATCGAAATTTGAAAAAAAAGCCAGCGAAAAAAATTCAGAAGGAACACATTCAAAAAGGAAGCTCTCAATAAGTACTTTTTTGATTTCTTCGAACTAAACCGTTAATACAAAACCACATAAGATACATCGCAATAGATTTATTCTCTCAATCCTCGATATACAAAGCAGCTTGAAAGAAAGAAACGGGATGCATGGATCGAAAAAAGGTCGTTTTGATTGTAACGTTTTTCAAAAATTAGGAGGACTTTGGCTTGGAGAAAAGAGGCACTGTAAAGCTATCGCATCACAAGTTTGATTTCGAGAATCAACAAACATAAGCAAAGGCGAGTGAGAGAAGTGGGTAAAAGTGAATTCGGGCCAAAAAAGGAATGGTTAAGTGTATTGAAAGCCTCAAAATGACTACAAGCTCTTAGAAAAAAATCTGAAGCAAACACGAACCGTAGTGCGACGGAATCATCGCTTGAGTCACCTTTTAAGAAAAAAAACTGAACACGAAAAAAGGTTAACTGAGCCACGGAAAGGGTTGTAATTGAGAAAAAAAGCTTGGAAAAGTTAGTGTGAACACACAAAAAAAGTCCAAAATCGATAGAGACAGATATCAGTCCATACTCCTACCAAAACTGTTTCAACCGTTTCATGAACGAAATGTACAAGTGAAACTTGAGCCAATTTTAACACAATACGACATATTGATTATTATTGAAATAACAGGCAATTTCGGAGGAGACAAAAATAACCACACTGGAAGAAGGAAACGATTCGGATTGTTCATTTTAACAGGAAGGCGGGGAAATATGCGTACAATCAGGTTAAAATGAATCGAGAAAAAGACTAGAATTTCTAGATTGAAAAGAAGAGAACAGGGAAAAGCGACTAGCTCATAAGTGAAGAAAATAAGAGCGAGGAAAAGTATGCGGAGACAAAAGTGGCCCGCTAGCCTTTCGCCGAGTTGGAAAATTCACAGAATTTGAGGCAAGGAAAGTGTGGAGCGAAGTTGATGGAGTCTACTCGATCCATTCCTCCTCGGCGACGCCTTCCATCCTGTCCTGCTCGAGTCTCTTGTCGACGTCGATCTTCGAAGACCACGACGCAGTTACCTGCAAACATTCAAAACTTTTGAAATTAGGAAAATCGAAAAAATCAAAAGGCCAGGATATCGATAAAAAATTAACCTTTCGAGCTTTTTTTTGCGTTGTATGCCGAACTTTGATGAAAAAAACAAGTTTTATGGTCAAAACTACATTTTTCGAAGAATTATGAATTGATAAGCTTAAAAAGTTAATTTTTTTTTTACGATCGTGAATGGAAAAAGCGAAAGAGCAAGAGGGCATGAATAAAACAAAACCCAGCTTCACAAAGCCAATGCAGAAGGTAAAGATGAAAGGTTATCTTGTAGAAGCTAAGTAGTTTCAGAAAGAAGAGGGTAAGTCAGAAGCTCGAAGAAGTTTCAGCCGAAAGGAGCAGAAGAGGATGATAGCCGCTTCTCACGTCTTGCTTGACGATTTGCTCTGCCTCAACGAAGGTCTCCGACTTCTTCGTGGCGAGGTTCTCAATCTCGATCTCCTGCTTGGCGTCGTGAAAGTCGTCCAAGTCACTCTCGTCCTCCTCACTCAAGTCAACCTCCGCAACTTCGAAAATCGTCGCTGACACCTCCATCCCCATCGAACAACACTACACGAAGGAAAGTTCACTCACACAAGCGAAATTTGAAATTCAAATGTTAAGATTTTTTCTGTGAAATGTCTACTTTTCTTACGTCTGTGTGATTCATCGGAAGAGCCGATTCAACGGTTTAAAAGAGGGCTATTTTTCGAAAGAGAGATTGAAAAAGACCTCTTTGCGGTCGGGAAGGCCTTCGTCCGTGTGCGACGGCTTGTTGAGCAGCGGATGGGCCGACAAAAGTTCTTCCGAAGATCCGTTGGTCCTCGGCCATTTCGGCACCGCCGTCGTCGGTTCGGCTGCTCTTGTCGGCCTTTTCGGAGATCCGATACCGTCGGGCACTATAACAAGATTCACGGTGAACCTCTTTTCCATAAGATACATTTTTCTACTCTCCATTTTTTTCCCCTTTTTTAATTTTTTTTTCTAGTACTATTTTCAAATACACAACCTTATAAAATATATATGCTATTCTATTTTTTGATTAAAAGTTTACGGACGACAAAAAAAAATGCCTAGATCCTTTCCGTTTTATTTTGAAAGCAAATAATACAGAAATAGTTAAAAAAATATAATTGATCAAATTTCCTTTTCCTACGCTCGGTAAAAACCAAACTTCTTACTTCAAAACTTTCTTTCTGCTTGAAAAACTGGAGCACTAAGAATAACTGAGGAGATAAACGCGAGGTCGGTGGCGGTACATTGACGAACTCGCAAAAATGTCGCTTTTTTCTAGGCGCGATCTCGCATTTTTCTCGGCGCGAACTCGCATTTTTCTCGGCGCCATCTCGCATTTATCTTGCATTTCGGAAACTTTCAGATTGCGAGAGAAATGCAAGCTCGCGCCTAGAAAAGTGCGAGCTTGCGACCAGAAAAATGCGAGACCGGCGCGAGAAAAAAAGCGAGATGTTTGCGAGCTCGTCAATGTACCGCCAGCGTCTCGCGTTTATCTCAGCAGTTATTCTTAGTGAGGAACGGTGCGTTATACTTTTTTCGATTTTCCTTCACGAACTCCAGGTTCATCCCCTTTCTCGAGAAATTTCATTGTTCTGATTCACACGTTTTTTTTTAAAACTGACATAAGCCATTGATGCCGTCCGGTTTCAAACTTCGGAAGTTGGGACCGGCTTCGGATCCGGAAAACCACTCCTCGGCCGTCATCACCGGCTCCCAAGTGACCAGTGCGTCAGGGAAAAGATCCGATTGGAAAACGTCCTTCTGGAAAAATATTTTTTTTTTGGAAAGAATACAGCTTTCTGCAAAAGGTCGCATTTACTTTAATGAAGAAGAAATTCACACTAGCTCACAAAAAAAGAATTGAAGCTTTAGAAAACCGAATTGCTTCAAAAATGAGCAGAAGGTGTAAATACCAAAAATAACTGGCTTCTGCTAAAGATTTTGAATTTTTTTTTGCAACCAACCTTCACACGCGGGACACGGAAAATGAGCTGTTCGAGGCTTTTTTCGGTCAGTCTCCACGCGACTTGGAACTCCACCGACATTACGTTACATCTTAAATGAAGACCGTTGGAGTGACCAGTTCAGTGCAGTGCGAGTTGCACATGAGGTCAAGTGACCGACCTCTTCTTGTTGTGGAAAGCGATGGTCTGGTGGCCCGTGGGAGCGCAGTAGGCAGTCATGGGCAGCAAGTACGGCGAGTCGTAGACCACCTCGAACATGTGCACGTACCGGTCGCCCTGCAAAATACAATTTGCGTAACTACAAAACCTTGAAAGAATCCGCTGTTTCCCTCCAAAATAAAAAGAGAGAGAAACGTTTTGCTACCGAGCTAACAGGCATGATGGTCTGTTCGAAAATTATCTCAAAGAGCTAAAAAAAAACTTCAAGCATTTCCAATACAAGTGTTTTCAATGCTATGTCAAACTTGTCACTCCTATAACGCAAAAAAGATTTCAAACAGACTAAGAGGTTCCAAAACTCATTTTTTTTTTGAAAATGAACTGTTTCCCTATAGTTTTAATATCACGTTTCAAAAAATATTTTCACTAGCTTTCCCCAAATGTCACAATGTACTTTGCAATGAAAAACAAATGTTTTTTTTATAATAATGTGAAGATCTCTACTGTTCTAAATTGAGGAATTTTACCTTTCCGCTGAGAAAAATGACGTTGGTGTCATAGTCGTAGTGCGGAATCAGGGGCTGTGTGGCCGAGTCGACGCTTTGCGTGTAGATGTGACGGAGGTCGGTCGTCGTCGCGTCGTACATTTGGATCTGAAGACGTCGAACGGTCCGAAGGCATTCTTTGAAGATCTTCACCTGTCTTCCCGACCCTTTGGTCATGCCTACGACGATGATGATGCGGTCGTCGCACGCGAAAAGGACGCGAGCCGCTCGAGTGCTTTCCAGGACCTTTATAAACCAAAATATTTTTCAAAATCCCGAAACGTTCTCAATGGGAAAATAGATTCTCAGAACTATTTATAAAGTATTGCCAAAGTTTTAGAGAAGAAAATTCTTTCAACATTAAGAAACAAAACAGCATAAGTTTACACTTCACAACAATTCTCACGCCCTTTAGCACATAGAAATTTCTTTTAATTGCCCTTTAACGGGTTTTTGAAAAATTTTCTTTTCTTTCATTTTTTTTTTCATCTTTGCAACCCTATTGAGTGGGAAAAAAAAAAGCTTATTCGAACCTTCTTCTTATAAACGGTCGACCCTTGAGTGTTGGGTTCATGGACGAAAAGCATCGAGTCCTTGCCGACAGAGGCGAGTCTCCGGCCGTCGGCGCTCCACGCCAAAGACAACACGCTGCCCTCGTGGGCCTCGATCGTCTTGTACAGCAAGTTGTGGTGCACGTCGTACAGGTTGATCACGTTGTTCGACAGCGCCACGGCCATCAATCCGGAAGCCAGCGGATGCCATCGAAGCGCGACGATCTCAACCAGAACCCGTTGAGCTTCAGATCAATAACACCTCGGAAGAGTATTTGGAGGATTGCGAATCTCTCGAAGAATGGATTCATCACAAACATGGAAGAGTTTTTCAAAGTACGCTTTCAGATCGCAGTTTTTCATTTCACAATAGAATTAGGTTATATAATATTTTATGACTTTTGTTAGCTGAACGATTGCGGAAAGCAATGATCGAAAAGAAAAAGAACGGACTCTAACTAAATACGAATTATCTTCGAACATTTTCAGTCATGCTGTGAAAATGACCGATTCGGTTCGGGAGTCACCTTTTCGCCGCCAACTTTCATGCTCAGCTCAGGCTCCATCTCGTTTCGATGAGAATCTTCGCGAGACAGTCGCCAGATGTTCAAGATGCCGGCGTCGGTTCCGACGGCCAGTTGACCGTCGTCGAAAGGGTTCCATTGGAGATCGGTAACCTGCAAACGCAAAAGGTTGCACAGAAAATCATTAAAGGGGGGCATTCATTAATTTGAAGCTCATTTTGCGAAAAAAAGCATTAAACTCAAAAAAATTAACTCGAGATTTTTTTAGTTATTTGGTGTAAGATTACCAATGATAAAAAAATTCTCATGCTGCGTAACTTTTAATAACCTTGAAGAAAAAAATCGGAATCTCAAAAAAACGCAATTTCAACGCTGTTAACGTATCACGGATCGTTACAAAAACTTTTTGAAAGATACAAAAAAATTTTCGCAGTTATAACTATAACAGATAGATCTGAGGGCAAAATTAAAGATTTCTAAAATTTTTTCTCCGAAAAAAAGAAGAAAAAAATTTCTTCTTTTTTTTTTGTCCGTGTTGTAAAAAGATTGCTGAGTTGAAACATTCAAAAATTCCTGCAAAACTATCTTAAACGGCATCTTTAGATTGTCACTTCCAAAGTATAAAAAAAGGGAATTTAACGGGAGATGGACCTGAGCCTTGTTGAAAACGCCGTCCATGACGCCATCAGGCAACTTTCCGGGAGCATCGACGTCGTAAATTCCGACGACACCAGCGGGTCCCGACAATGGAACGGCCACAAACTGAAAGAATCGTTTCGAAAGGATTTGAAGGGAAACACAATTCAGACCTTCCCAGAGCAGCAAGATCCGTTCGACTCCGGCGGGAGACGCGTGTTGACGTTCCTGAGGTTGGAGAACACGGCGTTGTTCGCCTTGATGCCTAGAAGAAGTCGGGTTATGGTTCAGAGTGATCAGATGGAAAAACCAGCAAGAGTTTCGACGTGGCGGAATTTCGAGGTGATCATTCCGACGACGCAGGACTTGGGCCGTACTCGATTGCTCAACGGACGTGTTCTTTCTGGGTAAAGGTTTTCAACAATTATCCTTTGTTGGGCGTTTTATATAAAGGGTGAAATCAAGTCCTCATTTTTTTTTTGAACAACAAAATATAAAACAATGAGATTTTTTTTCCAGCTAATAACAATTAATAGAAGCTTCTAATATGAAAAATGGATAAATAGAAATATTCAATTCTTTACCGTCAATCAAATCAGTTGAGAACGCGGAAAAAAGAATAATCGATAAAAACTGAAAATCTAAAGTATGTGTTTTCTGTCATTCCAACGCTATTCTGACGTTAACAATTACACTATCGTATTCAAAAGTTCAGAAATGTCCTGCATTTTCTGCAAAAGAAAGATCTGAAACATAAATGCAGACCGAAATCATTAAACCCCCCGCTCGAGGAAAAAAACGCATTGCGATCGCTTTATCAAATTGTGATTTCTCACACTCTTTAGATTTGACGTATCTTCTTCGAGAAATGCCAGCCCTTTTTCGGCAAATTGAGTTGAAAAATTCCTATTCCGTCTCGTTCACAGTTGCTCACCAGATCCGCCGAAACTGGGCGTTGGCCGCAGTTTCACCGTGTTGGTTGTCTCCAGAAGGGGCGGTCCGACGGTGGCAGGCGTCGTCGTCGTGTGCGTTGGAGAAACGGCAGAAGACGTCGTGTGCTCCGTGTGTTCGGCCTTGCTGTGGCCGAGCGTCGTGTCGACGGACGGAGAGATGGTCGGCGGCGTGGCGACTGAAGGCGGCGAATGCGCGACTGAAGACGTCGTTGACGGCGCGTGATGGCCGGTACTGCCGATGGAAGGATGAGCGAACATCGGGAGGGGCGCGGACGAAGGCACGTCAGCGACCTGTTATATCCGAGAAGTTAGTTTTCTCATCGATAAAGTCGATATTTTCGCTTTGCTTGAAAATTGTTAGCCGAAACTCAATAATAGTAACTTCATTAGAAACCACGTTTTATCGTAAAACGCATTTCAAGATAGATTGAGAACTTCTTCTGGATTCGAAGTACAAATAAGGTTTCAGAAAGGTTTGAAATTGAGCGGCTTCGAAACTCAAAATCTTCATCAAAATATTTAGCCATGCAATACATAATTATAAAATCGGTATGTCTTTGAATCAAACCTTCTCAAATTTTTTGCGACTTTTTTCCCTCAAAGTGATCCCAAAAAATCATAAAATGTTCAATAATCGTTTTTCTTTCATCTTCTCTCTGACCTTGCCAAGAAGCGACGGCGGGACGGCGGCCGTGTGATACTTGGGCACATGGCCGTTCTCCTTGCCGTCGCTACCGTAATCCAACTCGCGGATGTCCTCCTTCTCGACGTGACTTTTCCTCGGCGGAGCCTGAGGCTCCTGTGGAACCACAGCGCCAGAAGACGGCGCCGATTTCGGAACTTGGGCTGGAGCTGCTGTCGGAGCGGAAACCGGTTGAGGTCGGGCATGAGACACAGGTGGAGTTGGCTCCTGCGGCGGTGGCGACGTCTTGCCCATCGGCGCGAGGCTCAACTTGGCTGGCTGGAACAAGAAAACACTTAGAAGGGCAAAAGTAGCAACACAGTTTAAAAATCTAAATTGGTACAGTTTTTATAGAGATACCTAAACACGTGCATAAAACTTTCTCGAATAATTGAGAAAAAAAATACTCAACAATTGGAAGAGTAATTTTTATAGAAAAAACTAATAATTAGCTTTTATAAAAACTAAGAAAATGGCCGGAGAGACCTAAACGTTCCAAGACTTCAAGCTTGAGGCAAAAGGAGCTTTTTGAAATTTTGGATGAGGATTAGTATAGAATGAAGTTTATCCGAGAAACTTTCAAGAAAACGTTCGAAGTAGTATCAAGACCCCCCGACTACATCCAGCCCAAAAATGAAGAAATGGGACCTTTGTGTTGTTTCCAGAAAGCCACTCGGAAGCAGTGCAGCCAGAATGACTGCCACGAGTCTCCGGAAAAAGGTCGGCGTGGAAATCGCGGTAGCTCTGAAAGAAGCATTCGACGGCGATTCCTGGCGAGGACCAACTCTTCTGGGAACGATACAAGGGACGGGAACGACGCTCGATTTGCTCAGCTGGTAGTAGACGTCGACCTCGCCGTCCATCACGGAGACCCTTCTTTTGCTGCCGATCGCCGCGCCCAGCGTCTGCTCAGGTAACGTCATCTCGTACACTGCAATTCTGGTCCTCTTCCTTCCATTAGAAGAAGAACGGCCTTTCTTAGCCTATTTCCAACGTTGCCAAACTTTTCAATAGTATTTTCATATTTAACATGGACGTGTTCATAGTTTAAAAGTAAATTTCTCTTTTCCATATCCCCTTCTATTTAAAAAAAAGACTTTGAAAACCAATATCCGGAAAATGCTGACTATATCAACATCATTTTTCAATTTTAGCGCGCTTAGAGGCTATTAAATTTTTTTAATTTTAAATTCACTATATTCATTTTGTTTCCTAGACTTTGAAAACTTTTTATTTCTCATTCTACTTCTGCAATTAAATATCTTCAACTTTTTCTAGAACCGTAATTTTTTTGAACAAAAATAAAAAGTTTTAACCAATAATTCTCAGAAATATGTTGAATTTGGCTGGTTCCTAAGCAGAAAGTAAGCGTAGAAAAAATAGAAACTTAGTTCTAAAAAATTGAATGGAAGAGCCTTAATTGCACGATAAAAGTAGAGGATCGAAAACCGACCGGGCGACATGAAGGGCTGCCGTTGCTGGAGCTCCAGAAGGAAAAGTTTGTTGGTCCCTTTGCCGGACAGGAAAACGAGTTTCGTGTCGGGATCGTAGTGGGGAATGAGCACTCCCGTGGTCGAGACGAACTCCTGGAAAGTCAACCGTTCCAACGGAGTTCAGATGAAGAAAAGTTCATTTCATCATCTCCTCTAGCCGGCTCAAACCAAAAGCATCCAAAAATATATAGATTTTATAAAAGAAACAATAAGTTCCTGGCTCAAAATACGAAGGAAAACTCACTTGTTCGTGGATCGGTGCTCCCCATTTGTTCGTGTCGTAGACTTTTACTTCTTGCACGCGTTTCTGAATTTTCAAAATGACTACTTACAAGGAAAGTGTGTGAGGTGAACATTGCAGATTTGGTCCAAGCTTCTGTGGTAGATAGTCCTAGGTATGAGTACTGGAATATAAAAAGAAATATCTGCTAAGCACCATATGATACGGAGAAATAGCCTTTCGAAAATAAACGCAAAAAGCTCAAAAACTGATTTTCTTCGGTTTTTCGTTTTTTGAAACGTCTACTGTTCTTCACTATATCATGAGCAACAAGAAAAGGAACTTTTTCCACGAAAAACCCACCTAGAATTGGTTTTTGAGCTTTTCCTGCACATTTTCGACCGGCTATTTCTCATTACCCTATGGCGCTTAGCAGATAAATCTTTTTTTTCTCGAATACTCAAACCTGGGACTACCTACCACAGAAGGTTGATCCATATCTGCGATGCTCACCTCACACACTTCCCTCGTTAAAGAAATCTATTTTTTCTGCTTCCTACTGCTTTTGCGCCAATCTAACAAGTTCTCAAAAGTTTTTGAGATGTTTCCCTTTTTTAGTTTGAAAACTTTTTTATTGAATTTACATTGGTGAATCCAGTGGAGACGAGGCGATGGCCGCAGAAAAGAACCCGCGCCTCGCGCCCCATTCCGCCGTGGCCTTCCAGTTCGTGCACTGGACTGCTGCTCGCTCGAGGATCAAATACCGCAATCTGCAAAAAAAGTTTCAAAAAAAGTCTTTTTAAATTATAAATGGCCAGAAAAAAAGTTTCTTCGATGGCGAGAAGTCAATCAAACCGTAATGGCTCAAACAGCATACAATACTTTTTATTTGATTTTAAATATTTTGAACTTCATGAAACTCAGAATTTCGTGTAAAGCCAAGAAACAATTGAAACGTTTCTTATACATGAGTGAGCTTTGAAAAGAAAGAGGTCCCTTGAAGGCCTGCGTTGACCAAGAGGAAGGACGAACCTGCCGGCCTTTGTCTCCACTGACGGCGAGAAGACGGCCATCTTCGCTCCAGTCCAGGGACATGCACTTGTCGACGACGCCTTCTAATTCTGCAGAAGACCCGAAAAAGTTGCCCCTCGGAAAATCCCGGAATACCGAGGCAAAGTTGCTGCGTAGTGATGTCAGTCACATAGGCAGCCCCGGAAGACCCGACGCCCATGATGTTCGACGCCGTCGAGTGTGGCCTGCAGAAAAGGATTTTTATGTTTTTCAGCGAGAAGACGCGACTATTTTCGACGAAAAAAGGAGGAGTAAATAATTCCATTTGCTAAGATCGATCAGAAGACTTTGAGTAACATTTTTTGGTTCAAACAACGTTTGTTTATTGAACTAAATTGATTTTTGTGCTATTCGAATTTTAAAAAAGCTTTCTAAGCCGTGATACCTTGAGCTCTTTTATGAATCAAAAAAATTCTCAATTTTCTTGGAAAAATTGTGTGAATCTACAGTTCTACTGAAATTATTTTGTTGCAAAAAATCAATTGACAAAGAAAAGAAGGTGATTGGACAGCATTTGAACGAATTTTCATATTTTCCAAAGTCTAAATCAGCCTCTGAAACGCAATTTCTCGATGGAAATATAACAAGCTGGTTCATTCTTCTTATCGAAAAAAATTTCATTGAGCATGATCATGAGAAGAGATCCTACTTCAAGCACTCGAGAAGCCTCCCACTGCCCAGGTCGACCTCGCATTCGATCAACGGCGACCGATCTTTCGACAAACGCCACACTTTCATCTGAAACACGTCAGTTCATCCAATGAACCCCAAAAAAGAGATGATAAAAAGGACCCTTTCGTCGCGGCTGCACGTCACCAGGACGTCATCGTCGAACGGCATGAAACAGAAGTCGCTGACTTGTTCTGAAACACTCCGACTTCTCTTTACAGATAACTCTTCTGCCGATTAAATTCATGAACATTGAAACTGAAAACCTAATTTGACGAAGCATTTCTCACAAAATTAAATTTAAGATTCCATTACCGATGTTTATCAGATAAAAAAAACTTTATTAATTTTTTATCGAAAAAATTTTCTTGGGTGTCAAACAGTTTTTTTAAACTTCCGCAAAAATCTTTTCGCTGTCCCAAAAACCCACCGGAATGTGCACAAACTATCGAAATATCGTTTCGGAGGCGTCTGCCGTGTGTCCCAACCGGCACGGCGCCGAGTTTCCCACCTTTAATTGGGTATAACACATAAAAAGACGATTTCAGTCAGTCGAACCTTCGCCTTCGATGTGAAAAGCAATCCAAGAAGCACTCGCTTGGATGCCATTATTTGTGCACGAAAGGTTGCCAATCGGCAAGTCGAATATCGTGTCCTGAACAGGACAAGAAATGAAATCTTTACAATTCTTTGCTTTTAGAAAAACTACTAAAGTTCTCATCATCTGATGAAAAATAAGAAGGGTGGCTTACAATTATCCAATTAGCTAGATTTTCAATTTTTTTTTCTTTAAAAATTTCCTACACGGACATATCCATACCGCTTCTTAGAAAGAATGTTCTATCAAACTTTTCACGGCAAACCAGCCCATGACTCCTCCAAACGACCTTTAACACCCTTCCAACCACAAAGAGAACATGCAAACACGTAATAAAAACAAAAAAAAAAAGTTAAGGATAGGCGGAAACGTCGAAAAGACAAACAAAAAGCGAAGGCAAACCACAGGAATTCGCAGGGAGCAGTGTAGGTCGTAGAGGCCGTTCGTCTGGAACACAACGAGGAAAGAAGAAGTTAGAACATACATTTCACCAAAATAACAGTACCTTTGAAGACTCCAGTAAACGCCACAGCAATACATTTTGCGGGTTAGTGAAAATAATGAAATGATTGAAAATAGTTGCGAGAACAACCCATGCAACTTTCAAAGGAAGGAACGACTGAATCGCTAAGAAGAAAAAACCGACCCGATTAACTTATTTTTTGTTAAACTATATAATGAAAAATCATTTCCCGAAAATGTTTAACTCATAAAACTAGTATCCAAAAAACTTTTAGACGGAAAAGATCTTTCTCTTTCTATTCAAAAAAGAAAGAATTCCCATCTAAAATCCACAAACCTCCTTTTTTGGAAGCTTTGGCGTTGTGTTTTTAAATTTGGATGCCTGGAATCTCCAAGCCATCCTTGCTTCCCGAGTGTTTTCTGAAAAATGGAAACGTGATTGATAGAACGAGTAAAGTGCCTTAGGAATATTGGAAAAGCAGATGAGTGATTACTGATAAAGTTAAAAAAACTAAGACGATTTCGGAGAAAAAAACGATTTATTATCAAGTTTGAATTGATAGAAATAAGAGAAATCAATAGTAGATCAAAAAAATAAACTTTCCCGCCAAAAACTAAAAAGAGACAAGTTTTTTTGTGTAACATATTTTTGACCGCAGGGTTCGCTTTTTTTATTTAAAAAAAGTTCAAATAATAGATGTTAATTAAGTATTTTAATGAAGTATTTTTCGCTGAATTATATTAATGGGAGTCAATTTTCCATCATTCATATTTCCTCCTTATCTTAAAATTTACAGAAATAGGAATAAAAAAACTTCATTTTTTTCATTTATACTAACAAGAAACTTTGAAAGTCTTTTTTTCTATTCATTAGAAAGAAAGCTTTTTAAGAAACAAGCCTTTGAAGGTTTGAAAAGATTCTAATGTTTTCATGAAATTTTAAAAAATTTCTGCGCGTGTTTGCAGAATTTCATCAACTGCCTGAACTTATACAACGTACCGTCAGCAAACAATTTTTAGATTTTGCTTTAGATTAGATATGGCTGGGCTATCAGCTCGAAACAAAAATATTAGATCAAGAAAAGTACAACTCGACATTTTGTCGACTGCAAAAATCGACATTGAGTGGGTTTATAGCGTGGGAGTGTGAAGAGAGGCGCCGAAAAAGGAGGAAAAAACGGAGACCAGTCAGAATAGAAACGGCCAGCGGCCAGTAACATTTTCAAATGCGTATGCGTTCTCGAGATTGAGAGGAAGAGGCCTTGAAAAAAGCATCGGCAAGTTGCGAAACAATTTCCATCTATAGATATCTTTTTTCAAGCCTTCGTATCAGGTGTAATGGAAGAAAGTGGCAACGAATGCATTGAAAAGAAGGCGAAGTAAATTGGGCAGTTCTGACGGACAGGCGGAACGCCATGTATGAATTGCTGAAAAAAAACCCACACAGCTTTGCCTTCATTTGTTTTCTGCCGCGTTCAGAAATGAAAGAGAAAGGAAAGAAAGGAAAAAAGCCCAGAAAAAGTTAAATGATAACAATTTTCACTTCTCGGAAATAGACCTCGTTACAAATGAATTGGGTCATCCAAGTATAATCTTTAAAGTTCCAAAAAAACAGATTTTTAATTTTTTTCAGCAAAAAAATATTTCCAGGAAAGTATATAAGAAAATGAGAAGCAAAGGAAAAAACGGCGCGGCGGCCGCCGAAATGCCAAAAATGAGTCATCGACGGCCAAGTTTCCTCGCCCACCAGAAACAATGCAATTTTTCATTCCGAGCAAAGTTAGAAAATCGCTGATGTTTATCAGTGATTCATGCAATTCGCTTCGAAACCCGATTGTTTTGGTGGACGAAGTGAACGATTGAATTTTCGCGTGTGGATGTAAATAGAAATGATGAGAATCAAGTATTTCTGAGCGTCTGAAAGCTGTGGGGAAGAAAGGGGCGTTCATGGGAGAAATTTAGTCATTTTTAATGAAATTTTTTTGTTGGGAAAAGTTTTGAAAAAAAAAAATTATGATGAAGTCTGCTGAAAAAGGCGGACAAAAGCTGAATGCACTATATCCGCTCCAAAAGCAAAATTCTGGCAATTTTGCGGTTTTTTTTTATAAATTGCTTTAAGAAATCGATGGGAAATATATAAAATGTCTTGCTATTTTCTTCAGTCATCATATTCTTTAAATCTTACGAGTTCATTATTCGAAAATTGTGAGAAGCTAAGATAGAAGCTCGGTTCAGTGTTCCTCGTGAAAAAATATAAGAAAAATTAAAACTATTCAAAAAGCTAACGGTTGAATGATCCACAAAAAACATTCAGCAAGATGACAAAAAGAACGGGGAAAAAAAACAACGGATCTGAAGCTGCGCACACAAAACCGTGTTTGGACAAGAATAAGAGGCGGGAAACAGGGAGGCGATATCCATTGCAAACGACGTCCAGACGGCCGACGCCCAATTATTCCGCCGACGGCTCTCCGCGCGTTAAGCTGCGCTTCTTGAATACGCAATTGACCGCTTTTGGGGGTCGTCGAAAATTAGACAAGCTGGCAGACGGCTGCTGTGCCAAGTCATGTTGAAAATCAGAGGAGGTAGATTATATTGACCTCCAGCTTGCAGTATCTCACAAACAAGCTAACCAACGACCGGGTTTACGAGAAGTTATAACTTTCAAGCATTAAAAGCTCGAAATAACCTCAAAAGTGACGTCATTGTCTCGGAACTTCAGAGAAATTTCTAACAATTTCTCAAAGAATTCCTTCTTGGGCCGAAGAAAGAGCCTGAAAGACGCCATAGGCATATCGAGAAAGGGCATCGCGATACCCTCTGAGGTATAGGCTCTGAAGTCTATCGATGGTACCTCGAATGTACCTCTGAGGACCGGAGGGAGACTCTCAAGTACCTCTGAGATGGCTTAGATATTGCTAAAAAGTATGCTGGAGGTCTCACGACGGACATAAAATGGGGTCTTCACGATCTATTTTGAGAGGTATCTTTCTGGACACATTGTACCCTGCCGATGGCGCGAATTTCATGTTTTCAAAAAAGACTATTCAAAGGTCGTAAAGGTGGCTCCGAAGATTATGCTCTCGAGAAACGAACGTTAGGGATGACTCTCCACGTTCAAACAACAAAGAAGAGTAATTTGGAGCTCGGAAACGCGACACCGAACTTGACTCAATGCGACGTGGCCAGATGGTCGAATTCCCGCAAAAACCTTTGCCGCGGAATACTCCATTAGCTTTCAGCTTCTCTCGCTATTTTATTGGCAGTTTCTACTGCGACGAGAAACCAAATTATGAAACATAAAACTGACTTTTAAGGGAAAAACGATGAAATTAAGAAGAGTTTTTCGACGCCAAAATATGTATTTCATAACGAGAAGCACAACTCAATAAAAAAATTTGCTATACCGTCCCTTAAGAGAAAAAAATTAAATTATTTTTTTCGAAAAATTCTACGGAAATCGAGCAAAAAAATGACCTTGAGGCAGTGTTTAAAAAAATGTCATCTGACTGTTAATTTGAACTTTGAAAAAAACTGCTTTGAACACGGCAATAAACACAAAAAAATTTTTTTACTAAAGATAAAAAGTATGAAAAAAATCAAATAGTGTCGCAGCGCGCTATCAATTTAATTTCGATAAATTTAATAATAATAGAGTATTGCGCGTCGTTTTGTGCGTCTCGGTGCAGGAATGCGTCATTCTGCAATTAGAACTAATTTAATCTCAAATTTAAAAAAATTGGATTTTCAAAGTGTTTTCGATGCCGTGTTCGGAGTATATATACTCATGCAAAACTGGAGAAACACCATTAGAGAGATAATTTAATTTTGGAAAGCAAGAAATACTTTTGATTTTCGCGGAGTTAGTTCGAACTCGTCATCCAAATTCCAATTTCTGCTCTCTTTTTTTAATTTTTAAAGTAATCTGTGGTTTTTTTCTTATTAATTTTTCATATTGGAAATATTTCTAGGGACTCGACCATAGTTTGAAAAATTATCAGGATTGCGAGTGGTTTCTTTTTTTTATGTGGACCTTTTTTTACGAAAATCTTGATGAAAAACTATGAAAAAAACTCATTTTAATGAATAATATAATCAAATACTACCACTTGACCAAAAACTAAAGACGTCGTGAACCAGGAAGATGAGCCACATTGCCATTTGTCAAGGGTGCTCGATTCCACACACAAAAATTATGGGATGGAGCCTTCAGTTTTGAGAAGATCTGATTGAAGGGGAAAGTATCTACAATCAATGACGAAAAAAAGTAGGAACAATATGGTTTAGATCGAGTATCTCTTTTCAGGATGACAATTTTAATTTAGAAGTAAAAAAAAAACAGAAAATTTATTTGAGAATATAAACAAAAAAGAAAAATGTTACACTCAGAGTTCCGCGTTTAGTAGCGCTTTTTTCATTTCTCAAAGCTTTGGTCGCAAAATCCTCTTGGATAGTTTCAAAATTTTTGTCTTTCTCATTGATACTTCATATCTTTGAAGCTCCATCTTTTCCCGATGCTGATGCTCTAGGACTTAGCCAATTGCGGAGCAAAGGACAAGTGGCGACGACCTAAACGAGTTTCCTGGAGGCTTTCCCCGTGTGCCGATGATTAGGACCAACCAGAGAATGGCGTCAAATTTGGCCCCTGGACTCATCACCTCAGCCACTGGGATTATTCCGGTGGCTCCTCACTACGAGTTCTTTTTTTCAAAAGCCGCGTTTCGGCTCGCCGAGCACGCTTTTCGGTGGTTATTTTCCTGCTTCGTGGCAAACACTAATTCCGTAAAATCTCTTGGACATGAAGGTTCGTTGTAATTTTATTTCCATGATATAAAAAAGATCTGAGTTAACTATATATGTGTATTTGTCCGTGCTTAAAGGACCCTCTTTTCTGCTCTTTTTATCTCTTAACGACGCTACCGTTTTTTATGCCGTGTTCAAAGTAATTTCCACGAAATGCAAAATGGTCTCTGCCTCTTTAAAACGTAGTTATCTTTTTCTATTTTGTATTTCTTTTGAATCACTTTGAAAACGACATTAAAGTTCACTTTGTTTCTCTGAGCTCTTCGGATAGATAAAAGAAGGTATCTAGATACAGAGAGGTCCGAATTTTTCTATAAGTGGGACTCACAGCTACTTTCCAAATTTGTCCGTTAAAAAACAAGAAAGGGTATTTTTAGTGTTTTTATTGAAGATCTTTGAATCTTAAACTCTTCGTTCAAAAATATTAGAGATTTATTTCCAAAAAAAAGCGTTTAAAAGCGGTGTTTATACTAAATCGCAAGATTCTAACTCATCGGCACAGGAAAAGAAAATATGGCTTTTTAATTTTGATGCGCATGAATATTTTCAATACTTTTCATACTTTGTACTTTATACTTTGCAGTCTATGCTTTTTTTCTGATAGAAAGTTTAGATAATTCAAAAAAAAAGAATCCTAACTTATTTTGCAGGAGATTTGCTCAATTCTTTACAGATGCTACATGCTGTTCTGATTTTCCTTGCCCAAACTGTGGCCCAAGCGAAAGGCGTTGCGTCTTGTCCCGAGCAGTGCATTTGCTACGAACAATCTATTGCTTGCTCGTTAGTTATTTTCTATTTTTTTAAGTTCAAGCGGAAATGGAAGGGTTTAAAACTTTCAAATCAGATAGCTAAATTAATAAGTTTTTCAAGGAGATAGTTTAAAAAACAGAATGGATTGAAAAAATATTGAATTTTTGTTAGAGTATTTTTAAGAATTTGAGAGAAGTTTCAAAATGAAAAAAGGAAAGTTTAGAAAGATCTCAACACGAGAAATTGATAAATGTCAATGCCGTAGTTTGGAATGAGTCCAAACTCTCAAGGGTTCGTAACGGAATACACTGGAAACCATTTTTGACACATAAAATAACAATTTGAAGAAAGTTTTCGAAAAGTTGAAATGCTCAATAGTGGAGCAGGAAAACTAAACAAACACACAAAAATTTCCCCTATGGCTGTAATCACGAGAAAAACAAAAAGACTGATAATTATTATCGATTTTTTGCCTTATCAGCTGTCTTTCCTGGACGAGAATTTAGCTTTTTTTAGTTATTTTGAAAAATAATCAATTTTGATATTTTTTTGAAATTTTGCTAAAAACGCTTCTTTATACAGCGTGAGTCTTAATCTACACAATTTCATGGAATTTCAAAAAGATTGTAATAGAATAGAAAATCACAGTTTTCATTTTTTTTTTTTCCAAAATTTTAAGTTCAAAGCAAAAAAACCAGTCTGGTATAATCAGCAGAACATCTCATTTCTGTGCTAATTCACTATGAAAGCCTCAAACACTTTGAATGAAAAGTGATTTTAATTATTTCAGTAGTTAAGATAGTTCAATAGTTACGAAAACTGTTTATAGTTGATGAAAAATTTTCAAAAGGCTCACTATATAATGCAAAAAAAGAGAATCAAGGCGTCAGTGTGGCATCTTCCGCGAAAGAAGGAATTTTTGTAGGATGAAAAAAGAAGAGATTGTAGCCAGACAAGGGCAGCTGAGGCCAAATATGGAGTGGTCGGCGTGTCCGCGGGACAATAGCCGCCGGCTTACATCTGCGCGAGCAAACAATCACGCGCGGCTGATTAGTTAACGTAACACTTTGAAATGGGGTCAATCGCGCGAAACCAGAAAAGTTTTAGGTTGTTCTTGAGCAGTTTTACCAAAACCGCAAACCTGGATACTTGGTTCAATTCTAAAGTGTTTCTTCCGTTTTTTTTTGAAAAAAAAAGAAAAAAATTCCATGATAAATCTAATTGTTTTCTCTCATTTTTGGATTTTCGAATCACCAGTAATTCTCTACTCAACTGAAAATCATCAAGAAAAAAATTCTGTGGCGTACCAAATCAACAAATCAACAAATCCAAACATAAAACGAAGATAGTAAGAGAATAAACCAACCGGGACGTTTCTGTGGTTCTGGTTTCTCTCGAGCCGCTCGTTCTGAAACTGTAAATAGAATTACTCAGGGCCGGAACAATTCTCAAAACTGATTAGGTTAAATTTCATTTTGTCCGTTAGAAATTCTCTACATTTCTGTGTAAAAGTGCATCAATGTTTTACTTTTTTTCTCTGAATTCAGTGTAATTTATAGTTTTGAAGTATTTGTGCTAGAATTCAGCAGTTGATCAACAATCACTAAATTTTTTTTGAGCTCTTGAAAACCTGCGCTCAATATGGACTGCACTCGAAATCTTTCTTCGACAAATACCCTGTAAATGGGGCTCAGACAAAAGAGTCTACAGGGAAAAATTCCGTTTTGAAAATAAATAATAAAGAAGTGGGTTGCTGATAAAAAATCGAATGAATTGGAGCCAACAACTATATGATATGTGTTAAATGAAAGTCTGAGAAAACGTCATCCTTTGAAAAAATCTTCTTCAAAGAATAGGTGGAATCTGTTCTTTGATCGAATATTCCAATTTGTATAAATGATTAAGGCAAAACGCAATTACAGACATGCACAGACTGTTTTTGTTACTGCTCACCAATTCCCTATTTCTTACAAAGCGACTACTCTAAATGATAACTTTAACGAAAGCTATAATTTAATCAACGTATACCAACTGAGAAAAAAACTGAATAGAATAAAAATCGAAGAAGGGCCGAAAATAGAGGATTTGTACGAGAGCGCGGCAGGTGGCGTTACATAGCCGCCGGAACCACTTCAAAGGAAAAAACCGACAAAATTACCGCGGAAACCCAGTAATTAAATTGCCCTATGTACAAAATTATGCTAATTTGATAGATTTTGAAATTTAGAGTGTTGTGAACAGGAGGAAGAAATCTCAGTCCCGTAAGACTTCTAAAGTTAAAATGAAAATTTGAAAAAGTTCAATTTTAAGATGAATTGGAAATAAGGATGAAGAAAGAGTTTCAGTTGTGAAGAAAAGAATCTGGATGAGCTGATTATCTCATCGTTGGGCCACACTTTCATATCTTCCCTGACTATTCACTCGTGCGATAAGGTTTGGGTTCAACTTTTTTCTCCTCAATTTATAAAAAAAAAAGAGACGGTTTCAGGTAACCGTAACGAATGGAAGCTTCATCGGGGTAGTAATTTCAGAACGGCTTTCTTTCATAAAAAAATAAGTTCGTTTCCAAGTTTTCTGTTCGTTCTTGGCTCTGTGAGGGGATTTAATAAATATTAAATTATAATTACATTTTTCCGGGAGAAATTGAGCGCTCGGTATGTTTCAGAAAAACATTCACGCTAAAAAAAGCTGTCAAAAATAGTAATAATAAAATTTTTTCAAGTATCATAAAAGGGGAAATAATTCTTTTTCAGAAAAATCTTTTTTTATCGAGCCATTTGCTTTCCGACAAATACTACAGTCGCCGAAGCAGTTCGTCATTGAAGAGGTTGAAATTTTTTTGATGAACTGAAAAAAACGAAATGACACGAAGCTTCTAAAAAAATTAATAAGATGTTTGAAAAACAAAGAAATTCTAGCTTTTCACTCAGGCTTACAGAAAAAAATTCTTCAGAGAGGCGAGTTATTTTTTTCTTCTTATTATTTATATGTAAAAAAAGGAACGAAAGGGCAATTTTGGAAAAAAAGCGAGGTCGGAACTTCGTTCTCGATGCGAGTTTGGCGGAAGGTCGTGTTTGCCAAAAAAGCTTCAGGAACACCATAATTTTCCGGTTTCCCGCCCTTCAAACATTTTTTTCTAACGTCAATTACTGAAATATTATACCCCCAACTTATGAGTAAATAACCATATGTTTGCCCTTCAGAACAAATTTGAACAGTTTACTCGACTATTGATGAATTATATCTAGTTATCAACTTACACCATGGAAGGAGATTTTTATGCACTCTAAAAAAAATCGACATTATAAAAGTAGATTTCACCGTTCGATCGATAGAAGAAAAAAAAATGTATGTCCGAAACGAGAAAATAAGTCATTTTCCCTATTTTTGCCCTATGTTCTAATGAAGACATCGGTGAACGTTCAGCTGTCTTCCATGGGCTCACGAATATTAAACTCCGAAGCCTGATTCGTTCAAATAATTAGCAAACTAATAGTAAGTATTCTTACACGGAAAAGGTGATAGTCATTGCAAATTTGAGCAAATATATCCAAATTTCATGGACCGACAAAAGTTGGCAAACACTGGCGCGAAGCAAACTTTTCTAGGAGATGGAGGAAACAGCAAAAAAAAACAATTTCCGGAGCAAAATGGAAAGATTTCCAGTGTGCGAATTTTTCATGAAAGGACCAAAAATTGAGAAATTTGACCGGTTTTTACATATTCTAAAAAAAGTACTCTCGAAAATAGGGATTTTAAAAGGTATATTTTTTTCAGAATATTGACCAAAGAGCGTTTTAGCTTATTTTTATAGTCAATGTTTCCTGACTTGAAAGGCGAGGGAGGCGGGGCAAGGGGCGGGACGCGTAGCGTGTGCGTACGCGGTTCTTGGCGCCAGTTCAATTCAGTCGCCGCCGACTGTTTAAAAAGCTCGGCCACCGCTCTTTTTTTCTGTATTTTCTTCTATTTTTTTGATGCACACATGAACATAATCAATAAATAATTAAAAAAACAAGTGAAAAAGAGCAATAAATAAGCTCTCTGAATGCTCGCTAGCGGTTGAATTGAACACGTGCCAAGAACCGCGTACGCACACGCTACGCGTCCCGCCCCTTGCCACGCCTCCCACGCCTTTCAAGTCGGGAAACATAGACTATAGAAATCTTCAAAGTTTCTAGTTGAAGAACCTTTTTTGTGAGAAAACGTGGTCGATACTTCATTTGAAAGTTTCTCTGGGAAGATCCACCGAGGTGGTATTCGAAATCAAATCTTGCTGACGGCTGCAGACAACGATCCGGAAACTGGCTCCGATGGCCTTGTCGGGTCTGTCGCACGTCGAGCACATCTGGTTCAGAGAGGCCGACGTCGACGTCATCGCGACCGAGGCGTTCAACTACGTCGCCCACGTCGCCTACATCTACTTCTATCGCTCGCGAATTGGAAGAATCGAAAGACGAGCCTTCAGTGAGCAATTCCCCTAGTGCAAATAACGCTGCTATTTATCGCGGCTCGAATCGTGCCTTAGCGCTTTTTGGCCCAGTCATCAGATCGGCAAGATTAATCGAATAGAATCGTTTTATTTTGATAGAGAAAATCAAAAAGGGCAAATACTCGGGGATTCGGAACGCCTCATGGAATTTTTAATTTAAAAAAAGGGTTTTGGGAGCGGAAAAATTTTGAATATTATTTTTCTAATTCAAGAAAAACATTCAAATTAATTGCTTTCTCCATTTGATTTTGTGGAGATAGTGGCCTTTCAACAGAATTTCAAATTCTACGTATAATAATAAAAGTTTTTTTAGTAATAAATACGCCAGCCATTAGATAGAAGCGAAAACCGCGCCAGGTCGGCTGCAAGTGGTAGAAAGTCTGTATAAGTCCTTCGCATCTCCAACCTTTCGTTCTTCCGAGAACATATACTAAAAATAGGAACAATACAGAGAAGATTAGCATGGCCCCTGCGCAAGGATGACACGCAAATTCGTGAAGCGTTCCAAGTTTTTCGGCTTCTTTTCAATTTTTCGAGAGAGCGTAAAAAAGATTCTTTTCAAACTTTTCAAAGAAGAAAAATTTTTTTTCCAGTTTTTATTAATAGTTTTTTTTCAGGCGGAATGACGAGAGTCAGTCACGTTTTCTTCAAAGAAAAAGTTTCGATTGGTGCCATCGAAGGAGAAGCTTTCGCTACTTCTTCAGTGGATGACGTCGAGTTCGAGAAGGTGGAGGCGCGCAACGTCGATGACAACTTCATCGACAAGATCAACGCCGACGACTTCAGAATCCGCAAATCGACGTTTCTCTTCGTCGCTAGAAACGACATTGCTGTTTTAGGAGACGAAGAGATCAAGCCGTTCAACATCTCGAGGTTAGGTCTCTTTAATGACTGTCAATAAGAAACAGTTTACGAAAAAAGTGATTTACTACGATATTTGGATTGATCGAAGGCTTTGTGATGGAAACACATTACTAAAGGCTTCACATAACCATGCGGAAAGATATTTCTAACTTTTTCACTTTCTAAAGTCGAAGAGTTCAATTTTGTTTTTTCTTGGATTAAATTTTATTCACACTTTTTTTGATAGTTATTTTGATAATTATATTATTTTGATCTGTTTTGATAGTTATATTATAGAGGCCGAACCTCCATTTTCTAAAAATTTTCTGCTAATGGTGTAAAAATCCTGACAGTAACCTTCCATACGAGCAGCGAATGAACTAAATACCACGCGATGGAATATAGCAAAAAAATTAATTTAAACTTGTTTCTTTGCGTGGTGTTCCTTCAAGACGGAATTTCATGATAAGTTGTTGGAATTCAGATGCGAAATAAGCAACTCAAATATCAACGCTTTTTCTCCAAAAAGTTTCCCTTGTCTGGCTCTTGGCGTCATCAGCACCAACTTTTCTCGGCTAGAGCCTCTGGAAAACGGCTCGTCGGTCGGTTTTTTTCAAATTTACAGCGAAATAATGTATACAGAAATATTTCTCGAACTAGCAAAAATAGCGAAAACTGATAGGTTTAAACTTTTTGCAGAATCCAGCCAAGTTAAAGTCTCTTTGGTTTGTCAACTGCACGATTGACGTCATCAAGGACGACGTTTTCGGCCGAAAACTTGACCGCATCGAATTCAATCGGACCAAAATCGGCCAGATCCAATTCGGAGCTTTTGGCGATCTTGAAGCGGACAAAATCGCCCTGCATGAATCCAGAGTTCAGCAAATTTGCTCGAAATCTTTCTCGAAGAGTACTCTGAGATTCTTGCTGTTGGATGACATCATAGTGGATGAGGTAAAGAAAAAAACTAATTATTTTTGTTCTAATTTCTAAAACAATGTGTCGAAATTTCTGAGGATATAGTACATTGTTTCCCATAATTCTTAGTGAGGCTTTTGAAGATGTGAGAAGACTTGGATGACCTAAAAGAATACTGAAAACTTTACAAGAAACGTTATCAATTTTTTTTGTAAAATCAATCAAAATTGTTCAACTTTAGATCGAATCAACGTCGATATCAAACGCAAAAATTGGAACACTCTTCATCAAGTCCTCCACAATATTATCCCTCGGTGCGCAGATATTCGAAAACTCGACGATTGGAACTTTGAAGCTTGACAAGACAAGGATAAGAGAGCATCATCGAGAAGCAATGAATAGCTACAGCAAGGTTTCTTGGCTCAGTATTTTTAAAGAAAATATTTTTTATTGGATTCGATAAGTGAAAGGGCTGTAGGAGAATCTCAAAGTTAGATGATGTTCCTACCTGAACTTCAGATGGAAACACTCTGGATTTCTGAGAGCGAGCTCCGGTCGCAGAGCTCGACGCCGCTTCTGCCGAGTGCCAGCCGATCTCAGCCGCTGCCGCTCAACCTCGTCCTCACCAATAACACGTTTGACTGCGCTATCCCCGACTGCGGAACCAACGTCTACTTGACAAAGAACTCTTTGGGAGGCCGTGAGACTGCCTGGCAGGTCGCTGACAATCGCTGTCGCAACTTCCGAGAGGCCTGTCGGACAGCGCCTGTCAGCCCCTTCGTCGAGCACGGCCTCGAGTGTCGGCTCACCTGGGCTCTCGCCGACTGCAGGTCTTTCTTTAAGAATCCTCTGACGCTTGGCGAAACCATAAATGGGCAGATCATTTTCAGAGGCCGCCAACTCCTTTTTTATGAAAATTTGAGAAGTCCTAATCTTCAGAAAGTATTTCGGGAAATTTTTGGAAAGCTTCAAACTTCATGATGAAACTGTCTTCCTTGTTAGTTCCTTAAATAAGCCCCGAAATAAAATGAGTCTGACTGTTTCAATCCGCGTCGAATCGAGAAAAACAAATCTATGAAAATTTAATTTTTCAGATGCCTAGAACCGAAGGCGACTCTGCCGTTCAAGGAGTTTCACACCCTTAACATCAGTGTTTTGACTATCGGCGACTGTGATCAACTGGAAGTCGCTGACACCGCTTCAGAATCCTCTTTGATGGCCCTCTACGTCTTTCGAACTGGAAGAATCGACATTCAAGAGCTGCCGGAGAGCCTTCAAACTGCCAAGTTCTTCCACTCGCGCCTCCTCTTGCACGACCGGCCAGAGCCCCCAAGTCGAGTCGAATTGACCAATCTCACTCTTCTTCACTCCAGCGTCTCCAAGATAGGAAAGAACGCGTTTGCTCGGATGAAAATCGGAGAGTTCTTCATCCATAATTCTATTGTTCCAATCGTTCCAATTTCTGCGACGCGTGGAACTAAAATCGATCGATTGACGGTGCTCAGAGGGAAGCTGGGTTCTACGAAGGCTCTGTTCGACGTGAGTCGACATCTGGTCATGCACGAATCTCTCGTCTTCACCACGATCGATAGTCTGGCGAGCATCGAGTCGGCTCAGATGCAGAATAACACCGTCTTGTGCTGCTGCGGCGACGGCAGCGGTCTCTCCAGCAACCTCAAAATCGCCCGGCGACTTGGCTCCTGTCCCAGCAACCTTGAAGATGGCTGGCACGACGTCAGGTTCGTGTTGTTCGCTCTTGTGACGGATGATTCAGAACAGAGTAGAAAATTTTCTGACGGGCAAGAGATATTGTAAGATTGCTCCCGAGTTTACTATCTTGAATATTTGAAATTAGCAAACTTTAGATGCGAGACGGAGTTCCGGTTGGAAGACTGCGACAAGCTGCCTGGAGGCGTTGAACTGGAGGACGATTACGAGTACGACTATGAAGACTCCGAAGAACCTTCAGAGATTCGCCTTGTCAGACGAGGAGTCAAGCTCGCCATGACGTCATATAACAAAGATGCTGGTCCAATTACGGTTTCATTGTTATTCGTTGGTGCAATTATGAGTTTCAACCTTAGAGTTTAAAGAAAATCATCTATCGAACAAGAAAAGTCCGCAACATTTTCTCTCTTTTTTGAAGAAAAAAAATAATTGAATTTAGTGCATTCCGCGTCAGCTTGTCACAAGACAGAAAGAATGTATGAATTTCCCATAAAATGGTCCTAGCACAATGAAAGATTTTGTCTACAGAAACGATGACGCATTATTTAACGAAGTTTTCCGTGAGAAGCTCGTGCTGAATAATATATCACATGATAGAAGAACGGAACAGATTCAATGGAATTTGGAACAGTATACCGTATATTGTTTATGGCCTTTGCCCTTCGTACCAAGTTCTTTTCGCGTTGAAGCATTGTTTTTTTAGTTCACATAAGAGAATTACAGAATGGAAATCAAATTTTGATCTGTACATTTAATGAATTTATTTTTTTTCAAAAAACTATTTTGCGACTTTATTACAAGAAACTCAGTTTCCAGATTTTTATATATTTAATTTACTCACACTGTTTTTTTTAAAACAACTTCGGCCTTTAAAATCAAGAAAAATGAAGCTGAAAAAAGGTTTTCATCTGTGGGCAGTGTTTGATGTACAGAAAGATAAAAAAGAACTGACCAAATGATTCGATGATGGAGCGGACAGTCGGGCTGCTGCTCAACACGGGCGATGTCATTTCGAAATAAAGTTCACCTAGACGTTTATTTTATTGCTAGGATTTGAAGTGAAGCAAGAACGCATTTTGCGATTGTGAGACAAGTTTTTATTATGATACATGGAAACAAAAGATCTAAGATCTCGGGAATTTCTTCATAAAGTTTAGGAAGACAGGGAATGGAGCTCAATATGATTTCTTCATGAAAGACTTTCGATCTAGGTAAAGGAAAAATATCACATCAGGAAAGAGTTGGAATTGTATTCAGAGAAAGAGCGGAAAAAATTGATGATTTCACTAAAAAGAGAAACTTAGATTCTAACAAAACCGTTCACACTAGAAAAATAAATAATAACAATAAAAGAGAAGTCTCATCTTTTTGAATCTGCTTGAGCAGGTCAAAAAGTACATATTCAAAAGAAAGATTTTACGCGAGCTTTCGGGGCGAAGCAAAAAGGAAGGAATGAAAAGAAAAATGCTGTGAGATTGTTTATACGAATGAGTCAGATCACAAAAGGCGGAGATCACATCGCGATAACGATTTTTCTTAAAGTATAAGAACATGTAATTTTTTTTTCCCCAAAAACTAAAACTATGAAAAAACTTCGGCGCTGAAAACTATTTAAAACAAAGGCTCCTGGAGGTCGAAACCGTCATCATACTGGTCAAAGATGACGTCAGCGCCGTAGTCGTCATCATCAGGCTGTGCGAATTCGTGGGCACCTCTCTGAAACTCTTTAACAATAAAAAACTTTTTTTCTTTTTACTCACTTCGACCATTTCGAGCCACTGGGCGTTGTGCCAGCGAAATCGCTCGGCTGCGATTCTTCGCGCCCATTCTTGCGAATGTTCCTGCGGTTTAGATTATACCAACAAAGACTTTTGTAACTAACTCCCAAGATAACAAGAGAATTGTCGCAAATCTCCCGCACTGAGGCGTTCGCATCGTGCATGAGATCGATTATGTGGGCTCCGAGTGCCGAATCTTCTCCCATCAAAAGGTCAGCCAACTCCTTGGAAGAAAACAATTGTTTTCACGAACTTTGAAAACCCAAAAACTTCTTTTCAAAATAAACAAAAAATTTGGAACGCTTCACGAATTTGCGTGTCATCCTTGCGCAGGGGCCATGCTAATCTTCTCTGTATTGTTCCAATTTTAGTATATGTTCTCGGAAGAACGAAAGGTTGGAGATGCGAAGGACTTATACAGATTTTCTACCACTTGCAGCCGACCTGGCGCGGTTTTCGCTTCTATTCACCAGTTCCTTCTAAACACGTCTCGTGGGCACCGAAGAATTATCAGACTTCGCAAAACTTTCTTGAAATCTTATCTTAATCGGCAGAGGGTTCTGAAAAGGAAGATTCTGGTCAATGGATCAAATGAGGATTTTACGAGAAGATTCAAAAAGTCGAAAACTGAAAAAATTCGTTTTTTACTCCATTTTTTCCGCTGTTCAATAGAAATTCAAAACTGTCATCGGACAGTGAAATAAAAAAAAATAGATCATTCGAATGATAATACGAGATTCCTCATACCTGCTCAAACGTTTCGTTTTAAATTTAGAGATTATACTTTCGAGGATCACGGGGAATACATATTTTGGGTTGGAACTCAAACTTGAAAAATGTCTATCTGCAAAAAAAGACGTGTGAACTAGAGTTCTCAAAAGTAAATGTTTGAACGAACCAATTAGTTAAATTTCACATGAACCGTTTGTTAAAAACTTCATTTTGGTTAAATTTCATAACTGAGCATTTAAAAAAATGAACAATTGCTTGTTTTTTTCGAAAAAAATTTTTGGTTAAAAAAATGAACATTTAAATTTCATTTCGGAAATTTTGGTCAAAAAAATGAAAAATTTAAATTTCACTTTTGAAAAATTTCGGTCAGAAAAAGTAAACATTTAAAGTTCACTTTGAAAAAAATTTGGTCACAAAAAAATGAACATTTAAAAATTCATTTTAAAAAAATTTTTGGTCAAAATAGTGAGCATTCAAATTTCACTTTGAAAATTTTTTTCAAAAAAAGGTAAACATTTATTCATTAATTTATTCATTACTATTACGACACTTGGCAGTATTTGTGCCGGAGTCAATTCTATCTCAGTCTTCTCCAAATGAAATCATGAATCGATTACTTCGAAATTCAAACTAATTTCTGGTTAAAATTAAAAATCTGTTGGAAAACAGTGATCTGGATGGTCAAGGGCAAAGCTAAAAGCCGGTTAAGGACGAGGAAAATTATATGGAACCGGTCAAAAATGAGCAGACCGGAAGAAAGGTCCTATCTGGAGAATTAATTGAATGAGGAAAAAGGAAAAGTATTGATTTGGATTTTGGTTCGGAAAAATTATCGGCCAAAAAATGAACATTTAATTTTTCACAGTTGAAAAAAAAATTTTTTTGTACGAAAAAGTAAACATTTAAAACTCTTTTTGAAAATTTTGGTCAAAAAAATGAACATTTAAAGTTCCTTTCGGAAGTTTTGGTCAAAAAAGTAAACATTTAAAATTCATTTTAAAAATTTTGTTCAAAAAAATGAACATTTACTTTTCAGTTTGAAAAGTTTGGTCATTAGGACGAACATTTATTTACTAGTCAGAATATGATTGTTTAGAAAATGACCATTTATTTTTCCGTCATTATTTGAAAAGTCACAAAATGAAATGAATGAAAGTGATCAATTTTGGTTGATCTCTCAAAAACGACAATCGTTTGAAATGTCAAAAAGAAAATTTTTCGTTTTTGAAAAATGTCATTTTTTTCAATTGGTCATTTTGAGAACTCTAGTGTGAACATCTAACGACTATGCGGGATATTTTTTTGTAGACCTTATTGGAAAAGAAAAAGTCAAAGTTTTCGAAAAACTTTTAGTTTTTTTTAATAATAATAAATTTATTCAGCGTGAACCCTAACGAGTTCACTTGGATCTATAATTTAAGAAAAATAAATTATACAATTATACATCATTTGAGTCTTGGAGTAATAGACAAGAAGATCTCGTGTAATGGTAGATTGACCAGTAAATTTTCTGAAGGCTTGGAGTGGTGGCTGAATTGAAATTTGGAAGTGAGTTTGTTCCAAGTAGGGATTGTTTTTAAGAAAAAAAATCATTGAAAACTGACTTTGAGAACGAAATCGAAGTGGATTTCGAAATCAAATTGCTCAAGGCGATCAGAGTATGATTAAAAAGATAGGCTTGACCTAACAAATATTTTTCTAGAAAACATTCTGAGAGGAGATCTCCTGAGATCTCCGGAGATTCAAGTTTGTAGCAGAGATCAGAGTTAAAAGGAGGTTTGAAAACTTCGGAGCAGTATTCTAGAATAGGCCTTACATAGGTGTCTTCAAAGAGTGTTTGAGCGTAAATTTTTTGGGATTTTTAGATAACACCAAAGGTACCATCCTCGTAAAACATAACCCACCAACGATAGTTAAAAATTGAAAACCAATAAGAACAGCAAAATGCGGTTGTAAAATTTCAACTCCCAGTAATTTTCAACCAAAAATTTTATTTAATAAAAAAGTTTTAAAACTCCTACGATGCCTAGTGAGACTATTATAGTCCACCTTTATGCTTTTTTCATCAAACTTCAACCGGATCTTCGAAAAATCTCTGATTTCATTTCAATTCTTTTTTCATTCATTTTCTTTTATCTTTCGGGGTCGCGCGAACGCAACCCCACACGCAAAAATTAAGCTGTTGGCGAATCTCAACTCGAGACTGCCACACAGGTCAGCCCGACCAGAAGTGCAATGGTCAGGCCTCGCCATGGAGTTTCCGCTTTCGGGATCGCGAAATCCTCCCAGCCAGGTAAGTTTAAGAGCCATCCAGCGGCGGCGACCCGATGCCAACGCGCCTCCGACTCGGGACGACTTGCGCGCGATGACCTCTTTGATCGGCTGCAAGGGGTAGAAAGTCTATATACGTCCTTCGAATCTCCAACTTTTCGTTCTTCCGAGAACATATACTAAAATTGGAACAATACAGAAAACATCAAATTTTTGAAGAAAAAAAAACATTTTTTTTATGTTGTTGCGGGTTTTTACAGGCAAATGAGTTTTTTCATGAAAAATAATAGTTGAAAATTTTATCTGTCCCTCACAGGATTAGAGTTTGATTTGAACCCTTATCCTTAATTTCCTATCATTTTTATCAACCTTGTGCCGTAGCATCTGAAGAAACATGAAGAGTAGCTGAACGACAAACTCGTCATCGATTTGGCTTGCTAAAATGGCTTATTGAAAATTAAAACAAACAAAAAAAATACTGGAATAAAACTTTGATTCTTCTACTACGATTCTTTCATAGACCTTTCGAAGAATAAATTGATCATTTTGGTTGAAAATTTGATATTTAATTGAAGAAAAAACTTGAACTTTTTGACGCTGGAAATTCTTTGAGTTCTGTGTATTTTCCTAAGTTCAGGATGGACCAACACTGGAGGACGAAGATGAAGGTGTCGATGAGAGGAATCAAGGCTCTGGCGGCGTCCAACTGCCTTGCCATGGTCCCGCAAGCGATGATCACTTGCAGCTGAAGAGGCTTCTTCTCGTTCATCACCGCCAGTTCTTCGTGCTCCTGGGCGAAATCAGAACTTGTGAAGAAGCTTTTTGGATTTATTTTTTGTGTCTATTTCATACATGGGCAGACCTTTCCAAAAGGCCGCTCCTCCCAAGTTAAATAAAAGTCAGTACTATCTCCGCTAGTTTGAAATATACTTTGTCAACTTTACCTCTCGGAGATCAAAAGTTGACTTCATTCTTTATTTTTCTAATGTTTGTAAGCCATCTCCTTCTCCTCCTGGGCTTACGAAGTTTTTTACTTGCCCACTAATGGTCTATTGCCATCGAATCTGATTGAATAGACATGGCCTGTGAGACAGAAATAGCTTATCTGAACTTGAATTTCTGGAGCGCATTCTCAACACTTGACAGCCAAAGGGACACGTGAATCCCCAAAATGCGTACCTCAAACTCCATTCGCAGCACATCCTTCATCCACGGTATCATGTTGTGCTCTTCACAGAGTCTAAAAATGATACTTTAAAAAAAACTTCAGGAAAAAGAGAAGAAGTAAAGGGGAGGTTTGAGACGACCTCTTCCGAAATTTCCGCTACCAACTCTTAAAAATCGCGTTGCTGAAGTTTTTCAAAAATCGTACTTTAACGTGAAATTTGGACAATACAGAGAAATAACCAGGGATTGTCCAAAATGGCCTCGAGTTTTTGAAGCGTTTCAGACTTCTCGTCAGACGGTGAAATGACTGAAAAAGACCAACTTTGCCCAGGGCGCAACGCGAATCTCGGCGGCGGCACCCAGAGACTCGAGTCCCAAGGCGGCCTTGTCTTCCGCCGAGTCCGTTCCCTCGTTCATGCCTATCTCGAGGAGACGCGGCATCCATCCCTCAAAAAGCATTGTTTAGCTCCAGTTTCACAATCCACAGACCACAAAGAGCTCCTGCGTTGGTCCCTCATGGGCTGCGATCGCCCGAACCACTTTCGCAATCATCAAATCGCGGGAATTCAGAGCCAACTCCATCAGAAGGTTCAAGCTCAAACCAAATGTTTCTTTTTCTATAAGAAAGTGTTGGGTTTCTTCGGCACAGAATCGGAAACATCTGTTTGAAAAATGATTGGAAAATATTTTTCTACAATAAACTTTTACTAAAAAAAACTTAGAAAATAATTCTCAAAATTCTACCGCCTCTGTCTTTGTCACTTTAATGAATGAACTGTATAGAGAACATAGAACAAATCAACTCTTCTCAATCCCACTGAAACCCACCCTTGGCCATCAGTTCCGCACACGAGTTGAGCATTGCGTTTTTCGATACAAGTGTTCAGAAGGACCGCTTTTGTCACTTCGCTCCCCCCTCCAGTCAGGACGTCGCGCATAAGCTGAAAACCGTGAGATATAAACAAATCAAGATAGAGCAAAGCTTCAATTTATCATTTTTTCTCTTTTTTGGGATTTTTCCAACTTTCTTAATAGGTCATAACACTAATTTCAAACTTCGATTTCGAAATCATGACTATTACAAACTGCTAATCTCTTTCAACTGTGAACATTGAGATATCTCGAAAACTCTTAAATCTAAAATAAAAGTTTCTGGTGCGACCATGAAGACTTTCGATATAGACCTTCAAAGAAATTTCGGGCAACTCCCTAGAAAAATCCAAACTTCCCATTGAAAAGATCTTGTTCGGAAAAAAGGTAAATCCTTTATAGAATCTTTCCGCCATGTGTATTCAGCCTTTTCTTTTCATTTATCCTTTTTTTATTTACCTATCTTATTTTCTTCCATGAAAATTTTTCAACGAACAAAAAGAATATGTAAGACATCAAAAATATCTTTTTCATCAAGCTTTATCAATTCTTCCGCCTTGAAATAACTGACAAGCTGAATGGCGTCCGTGAAGGCCATCATCGCCTTGGCGTCGTCGTTGCAGCTGAGCAGATAGAGCACGTTCAGCGCTTTCGAGCCTTCTACAGTTTTTATTTTGATAACGTAGACACATGAAATATCACTTCAAAAATTATGAAAAAAAGTTTAAAAAATTGCTTTCAGAATTTTGAAAACGATCGAAGATAAAAACCTTCTATTAATGGCGCCATATGCGGAACAAGTCCGCTCTCGACCATTTTTGACGTGTTTTTCGCGTCGAAAGCCAGGTTGAATAACAATTTCACAGTGACTTTTCTCAGGTCGGTGTCCGTTATGGGAAAGAGTTTGAGGATCTTTTCAACGATGTTTTGTTGTTCCTGAAACAGAAATACTCATCAGAAAGCTCCTCGAACCTACCATAACCGCCTTATTTTCCTCGAAAATGCTCAACTTCAAGAGAAATTGCATGGTTGAGATGGTCAAGGCGTTCGGAGAATCAATGGACATGTGAAGACATCTAGAGACAGGAAGTTGAGATGAGAAACGCTCTCAGAAAGGCTGAAGAGCAGCACCAACTTCATGAGAAGCGAGACGAGGTCACGCCGTACCATCTTCAGCTCTACGTTGATGTCCACCGCAAGGTTGGTTAAAAGGGTCACGCAAACTGAAACTGAAGGCTGACAAAAAGGCATAAGAATCGAAAGTCTAAAATATATCTGAAAACCCTTTCTTTCTCATTTTACCCATGAGAAAAGAATATACTATGTGATTCTACGCAAAACGGACCGGCTAGCAAATTGGCCTGTTTTCTCAGGGCCGTACGCAGTTTGCGTGCTGTTTCAGGGTCGGACTTGCGGAGATCGACCTGCCAAGATTCGGCCCGCTTCACTTCGTGTTCCATGGCTGTCAGACAGAGCGAGCCCACCTCGAACAAAACGAATCAGTTGATACAAACTCGAATCTTTCTTTTTCTCAAATGGACTAGCCATCATGATTAGATAATCTTCCCTTATAAAATAAGATTTGTTTAACAAATGCAAATCTTGTTTAATAATATTTTCCTTGAAAAAGCATTTCCCAACTTCGATTAGTCTTCTTTTATCTCACTCTAGACTAATTTTTTCTCAGATTTGTGAGAGCAAGGAATCGTTTGCAAAAAAACCTTCTGTAAATGTATTTTCATTTTTGAAAATTTAAATAAATACAACAGAATTAAAATATTTTCCCACCTTGTGGAACATCAACGTAGAGTGAAACTTGGAGAATCTAGAAAAATTGACAAAAATCCTGACGATGTTTGTCGCCACGTCAAAGTTCTTCTTCCAGTCTTCTCGGAAAACTCGCGCCAACGCTCCCAACATCGTTTCTTCAATAATTCCCAATTTCAAACTATTCATTCAAATTAAAACCGTTCTCGATCATTTCAGTCAAGTTTGATTCAATTTTTGTCAGTTCGAGAATAGAAAGTGCTCCTCGATTTTTCTCTGCCGCTGTCTCAGAGTAGAAGCACTCGAGGTACTCCTGAAAATGAGGTCTCTCAATGCTTCGAGCGAGTAATCAAAATTACATCTAATTTAGACATTTCAGCAGACATCGGCGGCGTTTGGACCTGCCTTCGATCTAGTGAAACCGCCGAAGAACTCCCTGAACAGGAAGGCGATGAAAAAAAGGTATGAAATAAATTTGGTGATACTGAAGATACTGAAGAAAAAATCATCAACGGGTTAGTAATATTATTATTTAAAAAAACGAGTTCATAACTTCGCAAACTGATATAAAAATTATTTGAGCGTGTGTATGTAATATTCTCTTTTAAAAAAATAAAAAAATTAAACGGGGATAAGGAAAAAAATTTAAATATTTATTTAATTCTGAAAAAGCCGGCTAACGCTTTAGTAAGTACTTAGTAAAATAACTTGAAAAATGATAAAATTTTTCGAGTCTGTTTCAAAATGAAAATTGCACTAACTTGAACGAGTTGTGAGCTTTTGCCCGCTGCGCTTTTGAAGGTAGTGGAGGACTTGCTCCAATTCTTTCCGCGAAGAACTTGGAATCCAAGGACATTTGCTCAAAACCACTGAACTTAGGGCCCGGATATCGACTTGCGCAGTAAGTTCTTTTAGACTTATCCTGGAAAAACTTGCGTTAAACGCTTTTCAAACATTAAAATCATAACAGAGAATAAAACTACTTACACTTTTTGAATTGTCTTGCTTTCAATATCGACTGAAGTGGCGCTTCTGCCTCTCAAGTTTCCGATAGTTTGCTCATAACGGACGATTATAGCTTGTTCAGAAGGATGAGCATCTATTGAAACTTTCGCCAACGAACTTTAAAAAAATTGAATTGACTCGAAAGTTTAAGTCTACACCTGTTGAAACTTGCGGATGATGTGGGCCTCATCATGTCGTATTATAATAATTTAAAGTATATTCGAGCTTGAATCCAAAATAGTATCCATAAAATGGTGGTCAGAAACTGGCATTTTCGAGCAAAGAAAATAGCGTCAGCTGCGCTCCACAGGCAATCGATTGCAGCTGGCCAATAGCTGGACAACGCCCGCTGAAAATATAAAGGAGCGTAGGCAGGAACGAGTCGGTGACATAAAATAGCCTGGTGGTCTTGAGTAGACCACTTACGAAGGCGGAAACTCCATGGCGAGGCCTGACCATTGCACTTCTGGTCGGGCTGACCTGTGTGGCAGTCTCGAGTTGAGATTCGCCAACAGCTTATGCCGTGTTCAAAGTGATTCCGCGAAATTCAAAATAGCCGTCAGAGAAAGAGAAAGATAACTAAATTTTGGAGGGTCAGAGACAATTTCGCATTTCGCGGAAATTACTTTGAATATGGCATTAACTTTTGCGTGTAGGGTTGCGTTCGCGCGAGCCCAATGAAGAAATTTAAAAGAGGGAAAAAATTTGAATTAAATAATAAAAACTTCTTTTTATGAGCATTCAGAAAAATTTTTGAGAGATTTACTCGATGTTGTAAAATCGAAGTGATTGAATTGACACATTCCTTATTTCAAATATAACTCTTTCTCTAAGGTCAGGTTGAATTTTGAATGAAAACGGCGAAAAAATTGTGAAAATAGTTTCACTAGTTGTCTCGAGAAGAAAACAGAAGAAGTTCTCGGAGAAAAGAAAATTTTTTTTCAATCTGAAGCCGTATGCAATAATGAAAAAAAATCATTTTCCAGTATTTTCCGGGTAATAGAGAAGACCTAAAATTCGATTAATGAACTGATCTCCTTTTCAAAGGTCATTAATCGCTAGGAATTCATTTATTTCGGCTTTATCTGATGTATAATAAGGTTTTTTTAAAGTATATACACAGGTAAATCGAGAAGGTACCATAATGTGTCCACAAAACGGATCGTGAAGGCCCCATAATGTTTCCATCGTGAGACCTCCGGCATACTTTTCAGCAATATCTGAGCCATCTCGGAGGTAGAGAGTCTCTCTCAAGTCCGTCTCATTTTGCTCAAAATCCTCAGAGGTATACTCGTGGTACCATCGTGAGACTCCAAAGCCTGCGATATACCTCAGAGGGTCTCGCGATACCCTTTCTCGATTCGCCTATCTCCGACAACTGCGCGCATAAAGGCGCCTCCTTCCCCGCCTAAAGGCGCCCCCTTCCCCGCCTAAAGGCGCGCACATCCCGCGCTTTCGTGGCGCAGTAGTGCCGCCGCGTCGGGGGAACTGCGCTGTTGTGCCGCTTTCGAGGCGCTTTCAATGCGGTTTTACCATTCAAATAGCCTCCTTTCGCTCAATTGGGCTCAATTTTTCGTACTTCGTCAATCATGACTGATTGATAAAGTACGAAAAATGAAGCCAAAAGAGGTTTTGCCTTATTAGTTTACAAAACTTCAGATATCGGAAATAATTTTTAGGTAGATTACCTATAGCAGGATATAAAGATAACATTTTTTTGTAAAATATATATTTGAAGAAACTTCATACAAATAAAAAAACTCAAAAAAAGACTGTCCAAAAACTTTTTTTGTAGAGAAAAGAAATAGTAAATAGCTCAAAGAAGATTAGCGTAAAAAATGACTAATGAATCGATAGCCAAATGAGAAAATTCAATATAGTTTTCAATCGAGATGAAAAGAAAAAGAGACAACTCGAATAATCAAAATGCTAACGGAATCAACAGAAAAGTTTAATCTCCATGATCGTCAACGAGAAACAATCCAATATCGCGACGCCTTCATCTAGACGAGTCGTTTTACACGTTTCCTGTAAAAAGTCGCAATGAACTATTCGATAAAGCTCTCAGATTTAGTTTTATTTTTATTCTACCAAGAAAAATGTATATGCCGTGTTCAAAGTGATTCCGCGAAATTCAAAATACCCGTTAGAGAAAGAGAAAGATACCAAATTCTCGAGAGTCAGAGATAATTTTGCGTTTCGCCGAAATTTCTTTGAACATTCTATTTTTTCTTGCTTGGTTTTCTTATCTAATGTACACGAGCTACTCACTCGGATCACCCAGTTTTTTCTTCCAAAAAACGCTTGTTCACTCTAAAAATGTACTTTTCTCATGCAAACATTGACGTTAAACTTTTTCGTTCTAGCTTTTCATCTAAATATTAGGTATTTTTAACTTCCAATTCAGAATTTTCTTTTGATTTTCCCAAATATGGATGGATCCGTATAGCTGATTCACGGCTGGTTTGAGCCATCGAAAAAAGGGTTCTGACACGATAATGCCCGAGATGGTGAGCGCAAAATTTTTTGCATTTTTTTTTAAAGAAGAAGAAGAAAAGTTTGTGAACAGCATAAAAAAGTGAAAACGTCATTTCTTAAAAAATTGATTATCAAAAAAAAATTGAAGGAATTGAAAAAAGTCATATTTCGCACTTCGATGCCTGTTGGAATTTTTCCTAGATCTCTCTGAAATTTTTTCTATGAATGACGCGAATTGAAACATACATAGTTGTAGTGCAAAAACAGACTATTTTTTTCATTAAGTTCTTCTTTGAGAACCAAATTAATCAAGAAAAATCGTTTTCATCCATTTTATGTCTTTTACAAGGTTTTTTTGCCTTCAAGGGAAATGCAGAAAAACTTTAAACTCCGCAGATACCGTGGATACTCAAAAAAAAAAATCAGCGAGACTGCCCCAAGCTACCCTTGTGATAGAAGGAAGTTCAGGCGCGTACATGACTCTTCCTCTATTTCTTTGGAGAGATTATTCTCAGAAGCCTATGGGGTCTAGTAAATAATCTACTTTCTTTCCTTGGGCGTAGGTTCATAAGTCGCCAAAGTTTCAATGCTCAAGCGAGTCGATTTTTGAGTTTTGGGGTAATTACTATTTGAGTTCGTACGAGAATATTGGAAATTTTTTAGAGTAAATTTTTTCCGTTCGTGAAATGAAATTTATTCCATGATAGAAGCGCTCAGAAAACCAAAAAAGTTGGAGAGGCTTCGGAAAAAGATATTTAAAAAAGTTAAAGAACCATCTAGAAAAAGCAGAGCTGTGCTTTGGGCCGAGCTAATGGCCGACTCAGCCCACAATCAGTCGCAATCGCGAACTTTTTATCTCACTTTATACTTCACATCACATAAGTTTTCTAAATAACACATTCCCCGTCACTCACTTCCCGATTTACACAAGTAAGAAAAGGGCTCGAATTTTGAAAATTCGGATTCATCTATCATTTTGTACACTGAATCGGATCACTCACAGATTTTCGACATCTTTTTTAGATTCGCCAAAAAAGTCCAAAATCGAAGCGAGTCAGGGATAAATTCGAATTTCGCGAGATTACTTTTGAGCACAGTTGAGTTTTTTTAATTGCGTTTTTTTAATGATATAATTTATGTTATTTTACAAACTCGATCGGATACCGGAGAACGTTCTAATGTATAACATTAGCGAATTAGAGTTTTTTTTTTCAAATTCGGCAAAATCTTTTTTCACGTTTTTCACACGGCCTCTGGATTTTCTGCACAAGCCACGCCAAAATATAATTAAATGCTGTGAATTCGAAGTAATATCCGCAAAACTCAAAATTACCCTTGACTGTCAAATTTTATACATTTTCTCACTTACTGATGGCAGTTTAAAGTTTTGCGCATTCTGAAACGTTATAAATTTTGAAAAAATCGGGCATATTACAGTATAGCCCCCCGCATATGTTGGATATCACCCCCCGCGACACGTTCGAACAAGCCCCCCACACTTATCCAATATAGCCCCCCGGAACTATCCAGTATAACCCCCCACACCGAAAAAAAAGTCACGCAACGATCACGCAGGACACGTGTCAGAGCTTCCATTTTTAAATTTATTTTCTAATTTTTTCGTATCATTCGTCGTTCTTGGTTGTTTCAAATGGTTTTTTTTGTATTTTCGCATGTAAATTCGTGTTCTTTTTGTGAATTTAATAATTTTTGTGATTTGATTTGTAGATCATGGAAGAAATTAGGTCGCTGACCGAGTTTCATGAGAAGTTCAAGTCAGACAAAGAAGTTTACGGGTACGTCTCGCCGAGATACGTACGAATATCATAAAAATTATGGGGCGTTGACCACTTAGAAAAAAATTTAAGATGAACTTTATTAGTTTTCAATCAAGTAATTGTTCTGAGGAATAGAATTTTTTTGCTTTTTTTCTTTTTCATGCACATTAATTAATAAATTACTTAGGAAAAATAGGCTTAGTTTTAAGGCTTCACACGGAGGCGGAGCGCGCATAGCGCGAAGCCGACTGTGGCTCGCTTCGAAAAAAACTGAGCCACAGTGAAAAAAATTCGTCAAATAAATAAAAATACTTGACATGGAGGGGGTCATTCTGAAATAGAGGGGGCCATTCTGAAATGGGAGGGGGCCATTCTGAAATGGAGGGGGCCATTCTGAAATGGGAGGGGGCCATTCTGAAATGGAGGGGGCCATTCTGAAATGAGAGGGGGGTCATTCTGAAATGAGAGGGGGGTCATTCTGAAATGGGAGGGGGGCTTGTTCGAATGAGCTCTGGGGGGACTATTTCAAAGCCGTGCGGGGGGCAAATATGAAAGATTGCCTAGGCATTTCAGAATCGCCCCCCGTTTTGTACTGTGGGGGGCCATTCTAGAATACATATTCACCCCCCGCGTTCGATTCTTCCCCCCACATGAAGTCCTCCTATTTTACCCCCCACAGATCGGAACTTGGCTTGGTGGGGGGCTTGTTGGAACGCGGGGGGCAAAAACAGTGTGGGGGGCGATTCTGGAATTTTCCCAAAAAATCAATAGAAAACGGGCAAAGTAAGTTTAATTCAATTTGAATATATCGGAGTATTCTCGCAAATTCTCAAGTCATAGCGTGTAAACTCACAGTTTTAACATCGATTCCATTTTCAAGCCCAGAAACGCTGATCATCGTAGAAATAAAAACCTCAGATTTAGTCAATCATTGATTCGACAAGTGACCTGAACAGAAATGAGATTATTCAACGAAAAAGGTAAACTTACCTCATATTGAGGATAACTAAATAAATAATGCTTCCCAAGAGAGGAAGAGAGAGGTCTATCAATCTTCGAATCAAGTTTGGCGGAACAAAAACCTGGAAACAATCGGAAAAAGTTTTTGCATGGCGGTAGCAATAGGAAAAAAATTTATTTAAATGTTTTTCAGCAAAATAAAAAAATGAATATTTTCAACGATCCCGACAATGAAAAAAAGAAATAAATAAAAAGAAGAAACGAAGTCCCAAAAAAACTTTTTGAAATAAAAAAATTGTAAGAAACATGTTCGCGCTGCCGCATTTTTCAATCTCGTCGCCTCAATTTCGCAGGTCCTCCGACTCTGCCGAGTTCGGGGCGCCTTTAGGCGAAACGGCCAGTTGCGGGCGCCTTTAGGCGGTGCCGTGTCGGAGATGTATTTTTTCGGATAGGGCAGAAAAAACTTTCGTGCAAAATAATGATTGGAGTCCTTTTCGAGTTTCAGAAATATGGCGGAAAATCATTCTCCACTTTATTGCATACGGCGTCTGACCACTGGCCAGTAACTGCTAAGGCTGGTAGAAAAATTTAATTATTTTGTGAATTTATCTTCAAAAATGTTTTTTTTTTACTTTTACTGTAGCGTCGCATGGTTTATACACCGCATAAAAACGCATGCGTCGAATCTTACGACAATCCTCGAAAAATCCTTTTTTCGAGAATTCCCAAAATTTTTCTACTTCTTGCATCTTGTTCATTTTTCCCTGAAAAATTATTTGTTTTTTTTTAATGAAAATCATGTTTTCTTGTTTTAGATTTCTAAAAATGATAGAACCTGCAAAACGAGAAACTTTCATTCAAGTTTTTATATTTGGAAAGTCTCTGAAACAGCTGAACGATGATGGTGTCGAGTTGCAATCAACTCTTGTGAGTTTTCCTAGCGTTTTCATCAGCAGTTAAAAAAAATTCAGAGCAGTATCGGATGTGGAAACTCACATATAATAGAAGTTCCGATTCTTAACCAAAGTTTCGATTCTGGAATGGATATTTCCATGGATTCGTTGGAGGATTATGCATCTTTTGACTGTACTCCTCCGAAGGTTTTTCGCTTTGAGTATCTTGATAACTATAAATTGGACAATTTTAAGGTTATTAATTGCTCAACTCCTATAATTCCTGAAAACTTGCCGAAGATCAATACATTGCCGGAAATATCTAGAATTTTCACGGTGTTAGAGGCTTCTGAATATATCGGAGACGTTGAATCCATTGATGTTGAAGGAAACTCTACTTTATTGTTGTCGAATGAAGATGAGGTTCGTTCAATCAAACTTATAATTTCGGGGTTGCTATAGCTGATTTACGGCTGACTTGAGCCATCGAGAAATGAATCCTGACACGATAAAAAAAAAGGAGACAGTGCCTGGTTGGTGGAGAGCACAGACATGTCACGCCTTTTTGCGTTTTTAAGCTATCCGTAAATCGGCTATATCAACGTCTAATGTTGATCAAAAAGTTTGGTTGGACGTTTTGAAAACCGTTTAAACCTTTTTTGTGTTGGCGTTCATGACTATTCAATTTTAAGGTCGGGTTCATAGAATCATTATCAACTTATCACAATTCCTTTGCGCTTGAGTTGACTGCTCCTTCGAAATGCTCGGATCGTTGTCACAATGACGCAATCGATTCAGAACGTTTTCCGTAATATTTATTATCGTTGATGATGTAAATGAGTTTCCTTTTTTTCAGGTCTAATGAAGTCGCTCAGACAGTTTTTTGCTCGAATCAGGTTTCAAACCCAGAGAGATCAATGGTACAAATGATGCAATGAATGGTCTTTTCTATAAAATTTTTGCAGGAAGAGGCTGAACAAAAACCTGGAATCGAGAAAAAGAAAAAGCGGTTCTTTTTTTGATATTTTGTTTCCGTGAACTGTGTAAAATATTTAGATGGGTTTTTAAAGTTTACTCTTTTATTCGATGACTAGTTTGAGGTGCTTTCAATTGTTTCTTTTTATTTTTCCAATCAATTTCAAAAATGTGTGAAACGTTACCAAACTATTTTTTCAACTTTCAGTCATCACGTGACACGAAGAAGAACATGTACGAATGTTCCAGAAACTGTTGTTGAAGTTCAATCCAAGTCCAAATCTGCTATCGTAAATGATAATCCAGGTTTCCTGTTAATTTTCATATTACAGACCAAGTTCGCTGACTTGTGTGAAGAATCGGAAGAAAACTTGCGAAATGAGAGGTTTTGTACATTCGAAGTAATAATTCACTAAGTAGTTTTATAGTGCCTCTACTCAAACTCAACAAAAGAGTCTGGACTTGGAAAAAGTCAAAGAAGATGTCATGGGTCCTCGGAAACTGAGATCGAGGTAAAAGAATTGAAAAATAACGAGAAAGTTGAATACGGGGGAAATTAAGTTCGTATGACCTCATAATCAAGTAATGTTGCTTTTTCCACTGAAAATCATTTTTAAGATCTGAAATTTTTTTTTTCAATTTCTAATTAATCGAGAACGCTCACAATTACATCTAATAAATGAAAATGAAAATTTGATGATGAGAAGACGTTACAAGAATTTTAATTTCTTTTTTTTAGAAAAAAAATTGATTGATCGAGAAATTATAATTCTGACGAAAGGCTAGTTTTTTTAAATTGAGTTCAGTCGTTTCTCAATGGCAGCTGAAACGCCTGCCGGAGCACCCGAGAAGCCGGCAAGCGTTCTAACTATTGTCAATGAAGCACAGGAATCGCTCGAAAACAGTTTTCTAAATTTCTTTTTCGAAAAGTCTACAGAAATATTTTCAGACGACGAGTCGTCATATTCTCCAGAAGAACAAGAGCCGTAAGCGAAGTTTTAATTTCAATCGAAGAGAAAAGCATTTCTGATAGAGCGACAACCGAAGAAAATCGTTTGAAACCGGATAAAGTGCAGAAAATTCAAGCAGATATTTTGACGGCTAAGAAAATCAGATTGAGGTTATTTTTTTTCTGTCAAATTTTCTGAGTTTTTTTCTGCGTTTTTTTTTTAAAACAAATTTTTACATTTCAAGACGAGCTTCTGCCTTAAAAACCTTCGATCCCCGCTGAAAAATAACGCATGTGCTCATCCCAACTCGGCGAATATTTCGGTTGAGAACTACGGTTCAAATTGTCAAATTTAAAGCTTTTGTATACATTTTTTCAGATGAACGAAAAGTTTTTGGGAAAATTGAAAATACAGAACATTCGTGAGTTTTTTTTTTCCGAAAGTCAACATATTAATCAAAAGATCATCAAAAGTTTTCACTCGTGATTTTGTTGTATTTGTCTGTTTTTTTATTTATCTGAATATTTGTTCAGATACGATTATAAAAAATTGAATTTCATTTTTCTTCCCAGATCTGTTTCGAGCGATCTGTCCGATGCAAAGGCCGCCCACCAGTCTTCTAGAAGGCAAAAAAGTGCTCCAGCAGTTTTTGAAAATGCCACACTTATGGAATCACGTTCGAAAAGAACATTTTTTAAAACTTCAGGATTTTTTCAGCCGTTGAAACTTGTGCAGAATTCAGCGAAAACCAACATAGTTTTCCGACTTGTTTTGAGGAAGTTTTGAGGTTAGGAATCTTTTTGAAATGTTGAATTGAGCTCAAAATTTTCTAATAATAAGTATTTCTATAAAGATGAATTTTCCTTTCTCTAGCTTTTACGTTTGACATTTGAGCGATTTTTGAGAAAAAAAGAGAAATTTATATTTTGATAAAGGTTAGTGAAAAAAAAATTCAAAATTTTGAAGGCACTAATTCATTTAATTTCAGCCATCCGCATCAACCAAGTGATCAGAAGTTTGAAATCTTTCAAAACACGTCGAATTACTCATTTGAAGGGTTAGCTTGCTTTGGAAAATCTGTCTGGAAAATGAATAACTTCAGGTTTGAAGGAATTTCGATGGATGAAGATGTCGACTACCAATTGCAGGGAAATGACACCATAAACGATCTGTTAGGGGTGGCAAAGGTAAGAATACATTTTTTTTTTTCTGTTCGCCTCTTTAGAAGGTTAAAATTTCATTTATTTTTCTGTTCTTATTTCCGAGAAAAAAAAACAAAAAAGAAATCTTTGATATTTGAAAACTTTGTTTTTAAGAACTTCGCACGAGATTTGAACGTTCTGTCGGTTCCGGACGTTTATGCGTGTGTCGACAATTTTCCAGAAAAGTTAGAAAATCGGGATGCAGCGTCAGTTGAAGGAAATTTGTTGGATTTGGACTCTTCTCAGAATCGAAAAGTTGCGCCGGTTCCGTTCTAATTATGTGTTCTGTGTAGAATTTTTTCGTTCAGATGTTTTTGTTCGATCCGGAAAAATTATCGAGAGACAGATTTGCTTCGCCAAATTGCGACTGTCTCCATGATCCTTCCAATTTTGATGGTATTTCTTTTCTTTTTTTTTTTTTTGGAAACACGATGTGTTTAATGTGGGAACAAAAAGTTTTCCAAAAACTCAAAGATCGCTCTTTTTTTTGGGTTTCATGAAAGTACGCGAGAAAAATCATTTGAGGCTTAAAAATATTTCTTCAAACTTTTTAACAACAAAAAAACGTCTGATTTTTTTGGTTTACTCCTAGTTTATTTTCAATGAATAAAAATTTATTTTTAGCTCTATTATAACTTCATCTGAATTTCCAATTTGTTTTTTTGAATCTCAAAAATTTTAAAGGGGAAAGTTCGCAAGTTGGAGTTTTGTTGGAAAAATCAGAAGGCGGCGGTTGAAGAGACCAACGAAGACTCCTCGTTGGAGGAGTATTGGGACTTCGGAGCAGATTCGGATCCCGATGAAGATGGTTTTTCTTTTCTATTTCTTTGTTCATTGCTGATTAAACTTGGAACTTGAACTAATTAAAATACGCATATTTTCGAAAATGAATTCGATATTTTCATGTCGAAGCTTTATTCAACACGCTTCATATTTTTTCTCTAGCATTTTCTGTTGGTTTGGTGGTAGGCTTTTTAAGTGTTTTTTCTTCCTCATTTTCGCGTCTTTGGCCAAATAGTTAGTCATACAGTATGGTAACACTTTGGCTTCTTTCTTCTCTTATAGTAATTTTTTTTATTCTGTTGAAAATGATTCTTCAAAATCGGATTATTCATATAAGATAAATTTGCAAAAAAATACGAAGTACTTAAGGAATTTCGAAGACCTGTTCGTCGCCCTAGACGCCGTCTGAGTGGTTCGACAGCCGGCCAGACGAGCAACAGAAAAAGAAAACTGAAAGGAACTCCCGATGAAAAAAAGAAAAAGAAAAAAATAATAAGAAGGTTTGATTTTTGAAAAAAAAGTGCAAAAAAAGTAGAAAAATATTTTTTTATAAGCTTTATTTTTTTCTTTATTATTGTTGACTGAGGTCTGCTTCATTTATGAATAGTCGCTTGGGCCTTTTTTTTTACAATATTTGATGTCCTGACGAATAGTATAATAGTAAGGTCTCTGTATTTTTTCTTGATTATTCGTTTTGCAGGGAGGAGGAAAGTCGAGGGATGACAAAATTTTTGTGATTTCTTGCAAGTTCCCGGTTTGATCTAAATTTTCATTATACCAAAACACCAAGTTTAGAATTGCAAAGCTCAGTACAACTGGAAAGTGAGACACGGGAAATTGCGTCTTTTGGACCACGCCATGTCCCATTACAATGACAATAACCTCGTCTGTCAAATCTGCCAAATCAACATGAAAACTACGCGGCAGGTCCGTCTCATAAAGAGCTCATTAGCGTTATTTTGAAATTCATAAGCGTTATTTTGAAATTTCAGCTTATTCGATTTTTTCTTCAAAAGCTTTTTTTCAAGTTTGTATCTGATCGAATGAACTACCCTCACTTTTGAAGCGCATGGTTGCACGGAATGGCTCTACGATTGCTCTGGAGCAGAGATGCTGAGAGAACACTCCGTGGTTCTAAGTAGTCACCGCAGGGCGACACGCCCGGCTGAATAGAAAAATTGAGATGAAGTATAAGTAAAACTTCTCCTGTTACAAAGTAACTGCTTTGCTGGGCGAGCGTCCCGTTTCGTCAGCAGCTCTGCTCTGAGGCACACAATAAACCAACGCGTTAGGTATTTAGAAGAACTGGAAACCCGAATTTCAAAACGGGAACTCTATTGAGCCATCCCTCGTGTGTCCACTGAGTTTCGAGCCGAGAATAAAAAATAATAAAAGCTTATCAATCTGTTATTTTCAGATGCGCTATCACTACAAGAAAATTCATTCACAGCAGAAGGCTAGTGGCTACGGATTGAAAGAGTTTATTTGCACCTTAATGTTTTTCTTTATTCATTTAGTGTATTCAGCCTCCCGGTAACTGGGGAAGGACTTCAAAAAGTCTGGACGCAATGCTTTGGACGTCAGTATTTTTGAATTATTCATTTTACTTTCACAAATTTTCACGAGTACGCGAGATAATTTCATCGAAAAACTTTTTGAAACGGATTGATTTGTATGGCTTACATTGGATAGAGCGAATTGATTTTGGGTCTTTCGCACCTTTTTTTTTTCTTTTTTTTTAGACTCCCACTTCCACAAGTTTTTTTTTGGGTGAAGCCGTCTTTTTCAGTATCACTGTGTTTTAAAAGTATGAAAGAGGTTCAAGAAAAAATAAAGAAGATTGATTTTAAATAAGAAGCTATATTTCTAGTGCAGGCATTATAGACCATTCCGCGCCAGCTTGTCACGATTTTCGTTTCCCTCTGAGCTCGAGAATCATTCCGTTCGAAGCGCGTGAGATGTTTCTCTATCTGTGTCTTCTATTTGGCCCAAAACTTCCCTTATATTAAAGGCGCAAGCAGAGACAATATCGCATGCATCGAAGAAAAGGGTTCTGTAGCTAAGAGAAAAAAAAAAGAAATTCGTGACAAGCTGGCAGGGAAGGGGCTATATCTTGTGTCAACCGGCTCTTAAGCTTCCTTTTTTTTCTTGAAAATATAAGCTCTGATTGTACTGAAAAGATCGCGCCAAATCCAAAAAAAAAAAAATTAGAAAAGATTAACTTCAGTCCGTTACTATCTAACGTAGTTTTTTGGAATTTAGGGTAAGAGTGGTGAAATTAAGAAACTTGTGCGTAAGAGAAACGTTGCAGACCGCGAAAAGTTGCTTGGCCCGGTCGATCAAAGCGGATTGAGCAGGAAGCGGATGAAAAGAAGTTATTCGTTCTCAAAGTGAATTCTGTGGTTCTGCATCATTTCTCTCGCTTACAAGCTTTTTGTTCGACCACCGGCAGTTAGAACCACGGAGATGAGGAACCAAGAGACTACTCTTCAGAGCCATTTTTATCTTTTTTTCATCATTTATTTCAAAAAAAAGTTTTAAATCACAATTTGTATTTCTTTTCGAGATGGTTTCTCATCTCAGTGTTTTTTTTTTGTACTAAGGAGGTCATTCCACTCAAAATTTTTAGTGTTTTTTCGTTTTGCTGGAGGAAGCTCCTCAAAATCTCAAACTTACCATCTTAAAGCTGTATTTTAAGATGATCATTTATTTTGAGGCTACGGTCTTGTAAAATAGAAAGTGTGTATGTGCTTAAAAAAAGCTGCGAAAATAGAGCCAACGAAAAAATTGCACGTGAATAAGTTGCCGTGGAAGAATTAGCCTAGAATGACGAGCCGCGTGAATTTCGCCAGCGTGGGCAAAAAATGTTTTTGAAGGCGTGCTCCATGGACAACTTTTTTCGAATATAAGTGTTTTATTTTTGTGAATTTTTTTAGGTTTCTGCTAATTTTCAGTTACTACCCATTTTTTTGTGTCTAACTTCGATTATAACAGGTCTTATTTGTAAGAGGCTCGAATTTATTCACTTATTTTGTGAGGCATTGAATTTCGTGTGGGAAACTTATCTCAAAGGATTGGATAGCAGACAACTGAAGAAATTATAAATTATGGGCCTTTTTTGAGGAATAATTCGCAATATTAACATATATATCTAAAACGTATATATGGCATTGAAAAGGTTTGGTTATCATTGTTTTTTGGATGGTAGGAAGGAATTTTGGATCCTCGAAAAGTCGTGAGCGTAAATTGTGCATACAACAATTTTCGGGGCTCGAATGATTGAAAATTTGAATTTTGGAAAACGATTTTTAGAAATATTTAAATTTTTTGGTTTTTTTTATAAATTCATTAATTATTTTGTAAACAGAAGTTGATGGAGAATGGATACAGAAGGGATGAAAATAAGATAGACATTTTACAGCGAATCTTTGTCGACGGGCGATAAAGGCGCATTATTTGATAGAAAACGAGTTGAAATAATCAAAACAGGTCGAAAGAAAATCCTCACATTAAAACAACAAAGGAAAGAAATTGAACGAAAAAAAAGATAAAATATCAAAAAAGAGGTGAATTTTCCCAGGATTCGAATTTTCAAATGCCGTGTTCAAAGTAATTTCCGCGAAATTCAAAATAGCCGTCAGAGAAAGAGAAAGATAACTAAATTTTGGAGGGTCAGAGACCATTTTGCATTTCGCGGAAATTACTTTGAACACGGCAAAAGATTCGAGCCCTCAAGATTGTTTAATGCACAATTCACGCTCACGATTATTCGCGGACCCAAAATTCCTTCGAAGGATCCTTTGGCATTTAGCAGGATCCTGCCAAAAATTTTTGCTGATAAAAGCAACCCGAACGTCACCAGTATAATTTGAAAGTAAATTTCACATTTTTTTTAAAAGAAACTGAACTCTAACATTCAAGAGAATCCGATGATAAACAGTTTCAAAAAAAAATAAATAATAAAAAATGCAATTTACAATTTGCCGACGTTGTTCCGGGGAGCGCATTAAAAAATTTTTTCACACGCTGACGAAATTGACTACGCTCATTTTCCTTCGGCCTTTTCGCAGCTCATTTATATTCGGCTTTTCACGGCTTTTTTTTTCGTGGTGTGCAGGTTGCGATTTTCATATAAATTGTTCGATTAAGTTTTCAAAAATTTCAGTGCGCGAAGTGAAATGACCATCTTTTTTTTTTAGCAACTTGACAACGTTAATGTAAAAACCTGATGATGTGATTTGAGTGTTTCAACTCGTCCTCGGCGTATCGTCGGAGGAACTCAAATGGCCCGTGCTAAGGGAGGCGCGCGAGGAGTTCTTGAACCCCCTTTCATCACCCGATACAACTCTTGTCAATGATTCTCAATAACATATTGCTTGTTTTTTTTGTTTCTGTTATTTGCCATGACTTAGAGATTTTTAGTGATTTGCTCGAAAGTTTGGACTTTTGAGCCTCGTCTTTACTAATGATGAGTTGAAATTGACAGAAGCTCCTCTTTTGTGCAGAAATGGTTTACAAACTGAACCAAATCGTGTGAACTGTCGGTTACGGATAAGTTTCTTTTTTCGTGTCGGGCATGAAATACTTTTAGACGGTACGTGCGTTCAGTAGGTTTAAAGCCATTTTGATGAGCTTTGTTGTTGGTAAGTTTCCTCCTTTTTTAACCCTGTGCTTCTGAAGCTTAGTAAACTGTGCTATTGAAAGATTATGAAGCTGTAAATTCAATTTTGTATGTTTGCCTGTGAATAAATTGTTGAATTCTGTTTTTTATTTGTGTCTCATTGTCAAAAAAACAAGAAATATTTTCATATGATTGCAAAAAAATAATCTTCTCATTTTGTCTTCTGTAAGAAATAGAAAAAAACTAAATTCATCAGATATATATAAAAATTGAAAAAAATGTTTCTGCTCTTCACGCATGTTTGAGACTCCGGTGGCCGGTCAATATTGCGTAGTCAGTTTCGGAGCCAGGAACTTTTTTCAATTTTCTTTTTTTTTGCAATTTGTCAAGGACCTATTTCTCGAGGTTACAATGTAAGTTACGTCACAAAAAGTACACAAGATTTCATTTAATTATTGAAAAACGTATCCAAACTACCGGCCACCTTAAACAGGCGTGTCTTATCTTGTCGAAAGTTATTAAGAGTTAGTTCATTGCGGAAATTTCCCAAAATATTTGGTTTGAATATGAGAAGTAAAGTTTGTATTAATCTATTTCGCAAACTAAAATTTGGATTTCATACGGAAATTGGGTAATAAATTCATTTTCAGTCGTACTCGTATTTATATATTTTTGTTTTTGATAGAAGTGAATGCAAAACGTTATGGAGGTATGGGGAATTGAACCCCAGCCCTCTCCCATGCTAAGGGAGCGCTCTACCACTGAGCTATACCCCCAGCTGTCTGTCGTGGCGCGAAGTCAGCACTTGACACCTTGCAAGAAACTCGTTCCTCGCGTACGTAGAACGAAATAATCAATAGGAAAAGTTGCGTTGTTCTCTGGTTGAAGCGCCTGTTCGAAAAAGTTCAATAATTTCAAATTATTTTTTAAACCTAACTTTTTAGAATATAAACTTGCTTTTTTTCCCTTTTTATTTATCTGCTATTTTTTTGACCCGACTTAATCAATACAGTCTTTTGATGTCAAAAGTCTTGAAATCCTTAACCCTTTTTGTAAAGCTTGGAATTGATAGGAAGAATCATTAAGACTTAAAATAGTTATCTTGAAGCTCTTTTCACATGTGCGATGCTCGCAGAAACGTTTTTGAAAAATTTACGAGAAATTTCGGATGGATTATAACTCTTTCTCGGCTTTAGATCACGAACCTTGATAGCTTTTCAAGTTAACTTTCTACACTATGACTTAAATTTCATAATTTTTACCTCCTTTGTTCGAGAGAATTCATTCGGAAACAAATTGCTTCGAGAACCGCATAAAAAATACATTTTCATAAGTTTCTGGATGTAGGAAATTTTATTTGAAAAAAGTTTTTCTGATACTTTTGAAGGAAAAATACATATAACTTTGAGAAATGGCCGCCGCATCGCTTTATGCGTCACACGTGCCACTGTCTTCGGTTTCGCGACTCTTTTTGGCCTTGGGATCTGCGGCGACGGCGATTTTGGACCCTCGACGCGGCGACATGGTAGCTGCCATGGGCGAAACAACAGCTGTAGGAAGTGTTCTGGAGAATATCAGGTAAGGTAAAGAAACTGAGAAGATTCGAAGAACAAGAGCTCGGACGAAGGATGGAGTCGGACCGGGTTGGACGTCGTCTTCTTCGTGAAAAGCCCAGAGTGTGTGAGGCGACTATCGACCGGAGACTTCTGGAGCGACTTCCTGACGGCACCTTCGGCAAGGAATATTCCAAGTGGGTGAAGTGAAGGCTTTTTTGAAAAAAATAATTGGAAATTCGAGATAGAACACGTATCTAACAAGGGAAGTTCAAAAGGTTGAAAAGTTGTTCTTTAGCATTGTCTCGTTTTATATATATGGTGATCAAAAGTATCTTACAGAGATGCAAAAATGTCTTATTCCTGGAAAAAAAATTTCTGAGACGCCATATCTCTAAAATAAGACGAATTGTATCTCTGAAACCAGGAAGTCCTGAAATACATATCTAAAAATTTTTAAATAATTCTCAACTCTCTTTCGGAATTCCCAAAACGGAATAATAATTTCAAAGGAAAATTGGAGTCTTTTCGAGGTTTCTGGACGCGTTGAAGACGTCGCCGGACGCGCGGCCGCCAGTCCGCTACATCAACCAGCCGGAGCACCTCTACGTGATGCAGCGCTACCGGGAGACCCACGACTTCACCCATGTGGCCCTTCAGATGAACACCAACATGCTCGGCGAGGTGGCGCAAAATGGAAAAAAATCATAATGATCAGTTTTTCAGGTTACTGTCAAATATTTCGAGGCGATTCAGTTGGGTCTTCCGATGTGCGTGACTGGTGCCGTGTTTGGGTCGGCACGGCTTCAGACCAAGTTAGTTTCTCAAGGGGTTCTCGAAGTGTTTTGAAGAAACATTCTTTTCAATATTCAGTTTGTTGAGCTGACTTCAAGTCTTACAGAGAACTCTCACAGAGTTGAAACACTTTTTTCATCGTCTCAATTTTTTCAAATTAATTTATCTTTGCTTTTTTAATAGAGAGCATTACAAAGGGCTGACCTCACTAAATAATAAAACTAAAAAAAAACGTATCGTAATACGAGGGAGTGCTGGATTATACATTGTTCACTTTAAGATATCTAAAATATAAAAACAACAAGATTTTGTGGAAGAAATGATTGGATCTCTATTTCAAAGTTATGGTTTCAACACTAATCGAAATGAAGTACAACGGCAGAAAAAGAAAAAGAGAATGAACAGGAATCGGCGAGAACTCCTGAATCGTTACCTTCCATGGGTTACCGAACAAGCCCAGAACAGCCGACTTTTCCTGGCTTTCGATTGGGAAAATCACTTCGCCGAATCTTTGAGAGACGTCCAACGAGAGCTCAACATTGTTCCTTTCAGTGATTTATAGTTTTTCGTCAATTTCTCTCTTTTTTGTCAAAAAATTAATACAATATATCACGTGTACAGTGCAATATACGGCCTCATGCTCCCACCTTTATGAAAAAGATGAAAAAATTTATGACTTTCAATTTGAAATGCCGGAAAAGAGGAATAAAAGTGACGGCGAAATTGAAATTCGCGGTCGAAAAACCATCGGCTGATGAAAATTCGAAGAAATACGACGTTCCGGTTGTGAGCAGTATAAATAGGGCGGCAGTCAGAGCTTCGAGCCAAAAAAGCGACTCCCACGAAATGAGGCTCGTCTTCCTCCTTCTTGTCGGTTCGTTCTGCATTTTGAAGCTGTGATCGTGGTAGAATACCTACGCGTTTCTCTGGAAATGCGGTCCTCGGTGCGCACAAGACGGGGACTGTTGCGTTTTCATTCAGAGACACACAGTAACCGCCTTGAGCACATCGCGCGCTGCCCTTTTTCCCTTTCCGGCTTCCGAATTCCTTCCCGAAAGTCTATTCATACTCTCGGTGGTTTCAGTGTGCTCTGTTGTACCGCTGCTCGCGCTTCGCGGAGCTCTCTTCCGTCCTGGCCGTTCTGTCCCAATGAACGTCGGTTTTGGAAATTTCTTTGTGTAGAACTGATCCAGTTTTTGAAAGCTATCATTTTGGAAGATTATTAGGCCTTGTCTGATATCATAAATACCTCAAAAATAGGTACACGTCTTGACTATTTTCGGCCATCTTCTCTCTTCAAATAATGCTTCGGATGATTGAGAGATCGTTAGGCTGATCAATCGGCGAAAAGTTGATAAGACAAGGCTGTTTGGCCGCTTGACATGATGAAATTCATCAATGACACACCGGAAGTGGAAGAGGAAATAATTTCTCTAATTTTTCCCAAAATAGATCTTTATTTGTGGCCTCGTTTAGGATTTTCTGAGGTTCGGAAGGAGCGGCTCTGGGTCCGGCACGAGCTCAGCCTCGATGGAGGTTCTGCCAATGATGCCTATAAGATGGGATCGGCCGCTCGATGCCGACTACGTTTCCAGATGATCTCGGAGTCTTGTCCTTTCGCGATGACGAACCGGCGTTTCGTGGATACATGAGAAATAAAGTTTCTCTTTGCATATTGAAATACTTTTTTTGCTTGATAAGCTTCACAAAAAATATATCTCTACAAATATTTTCTTTCATTTGAAGGACTTTTTAGGAAGTTTTTGGCATCTTCAACTCTTCGATCTCTTGTCAAGATCATTACAATAAGAAATATTTATTCCAATATCAATAAGCGAAAAAGAGCGAAGGAAAATTATGTGTATAAAAAATCACGCCTCAGAGAGACAACTCATTTTGACACTTGGATTTCTAAATTTTATGCAGCTCGGAAAAGTCCAAAGCGACTTCGAAAACTCGAAAAGGCTAATTTTGCACACATTTTTCGAATCGCTGTGGACCCGCCTTGAAAGAATATAAGCAAATGTCAACCTCGTTCAAAGAAAAGGTCGTTCTAAAATTCACAACAATATAAAAAAAACTAACTGAACGCCGCACAGAAAGGGGGGCGGGGTCTATCGTCTAGGAGGTATTAACCGTAGTCTCTAGAGTACCGGAAATCAAGGTGACGCTGTGATGAGGTTTTCGAGATCTTTCAGTAGAGTCCGATGACGTCATCGTTCGTCAAATAAAAAAAAAAGAGAAAGAAATAAATGAAAAGGGGGAAAAATTGAAGAAGATGATGGTTTTTTTTAGAAGAGCGAACGTGTCACCTGGTAGACCTGGAAATAAAAAATAGAAAAAGTTTATTAAAGTAGTTTTTTTCTAGCTTTTTTTCCCTGATTATATGGAGAGTTGCAAAATGAGTTCATTTTTTTGTGTTTCTTAAATTTTACAGTTGAAAAAAACATTGAAGTTAGAGCCATCTCGTTTTTTTCTTTATCCTCGTTTTTTCATTTCTCAATTTTGTTTTTAGAAGATTTCCGAAAATCCTTACTTCATTCCTACTAATTCAGTCATTTTTCTAGTAGGAATTCTACTCACTTTTCGCTGAATAATGTCTGTTTTGGGAGAGGTCCACCGCTCGAGAGCATCGAACTCTCGGCGCGACTTCAGAAGCGCGAGAAACGCGGCAAGGGTGCCGTCGACCTTTGGATAGTAGGTGAAGCACGAGAATAAACTAAAGAAAGGGATAAAGAGTGCGTTGGAGCACAATGAACCAACCAGATTCCGCCGTCGGCCATCGCTTCGATGAGGATGTCGTGGAGGGCTTCAAACTCTGATTCGGAGCGGTTCAAGAGGTCCGGAGCAAGGATCACGTCGAATCTGAGAAACTAGAATAATCAATTCTGCTCTTTTGTACTTATAAATTTCTACTTGAAAAGGTAACAAGAGCCCTTACCTCTTGCCTCCGAGCGCCTTCCTCAGATCATCAAGGTTGCCGAACGAATATTTGCACTTATTAGCGGGGATATTGTTGCGCTGCAGGGTTGGCTTGCAGTACAATTGCAGACTCGTCTTTGACTGAAAGAAATTCGTTTTAATTTGAAGAAATTCAAAGGTCAAACTGACCAAAGTATGAATGGAGATCTCGCTGGCGCCGTTCTCGAAAGCGTAGACCGATGGAAGGCCAGTTGAGAAGCCAATCTACAAGTTCATACATGAGACTTGTTAACAGGTGGCCGAACTGACCTCGAGGACGGTTTTGCCTTCAAAAAAGTCAGTTTCCATCTCGACTTCAACTATGTTGTCCAGGGAGTGGCACAGCGAGTTCACGCCTTCCCAGTCTTCTCGTTGTTCTGAAAAATGCAAGTTTTTATTTTCTAAAAAACACATGCTTGTTAGTTATATGTATTTATCTATTAACCAGATAGAAGTTATCAGTTTGGTTCTTTTCATGTTTGGAGACTGAAGAAAGTTGTTTTGGCAAGACCTTCGAAAGTTGTTTGCCCCTCTAACAAACGACCAAACATCAACAATCCGCTTGTTCTCTGTGCCCTCTCTCCTCTAACTGCTCACTGAGCACTGGACCCTTGAGTGGTCACTCACCGTTGCCATTGCTGTTCTTCCGCGAAATTGGCAGCTCCTCGTCGCTGACGCGTTTCCGAGGATTCGCATCGCAAGCCGCTACGTATCTGAAATTGCTATTTTTCTAACATGAGGTATATTTCAGTCTAGGAAACGGTAATCCACGTTTGTTCGATAGATTAGAAGGAGAAAAACAACCGTTTTTCAATTCGACCAGTTAACTTTTAAAAGTATATGAGTTGAATCCATAGATTGAATCAAGTTCAATCAGGTGTATTTTTATGAACGATAGAAGGAAACTGACTGGATGCATCTGCCAGAGTCGAGCTTGAGCTCGCAGTTGGAAGGGGCGACGTCGGCCAGCGTGGGAGTGATCACGACCATCTTGAAGGTTTTGGGAAGAGGGAGTTCTGCAATCCACGAAAACTTGCTTTTTATTAGGAAGGACACAAAGAAAGTTCGAAATTATACTAGAGTTGAATTTTGAAGTGATAATAAAATGGGAAATGACGTGTTTGGTCTCAGTTGGGGTCAGTTTTCATAAACTTTTTCTTTTCTTTTCGTTTTTTTTTGTTATTGCAAGTATGACGAAGCGGAACGAAGTAGAGTGAGTGGTGGGTGATGGATAGTTTAACTAATTTCTTCTGAAGGCGTAGAGAAAAAGGTTCGATGGAAAGGCGAAAAGTTTTGGTAGTGATTTTCAGTCTGCGGAAAATCAAGCAACTAGACAATAAAAATTGAGACGTTAGCTGTAAAACGAGAAACACTTTCAATCGAAAAGTCGACCTTCAGGTTTCTTGGAATAAAAAAGTATCAAACTTTGGAAATTATTTCTTATTATTTTGAGAAACAACGGTAACAGTGTTAATTTCAACAGAAAGCTAGCTTTTGAAAACACTTTTATGATTTTGAAGTTGTTTTTGAACTTTTTTGAAAAGTGAACAGGAAAAAAATCAACTAATTTTATAAAAACTAGAAACAGTGATCAACTTTCAACTTTTCACTCAGTCTGGGAAGCAGGAAAAGATTTCCAACAAAATTGGAAGATCATGAAAACAGAATCTTTTAAAGGCACGGAACCCTCGTACCGAAATTGCCCTAAAAATAAATGTTCGAAAACAAAAGGACAATTTTTGCAGGAAAAAAAGGCTGATACGATAATAAGATACATAGGTGATTTTTCTGTCCCATTAGGTAAGTTTGAATATGATAACTGATAACTAGAGATGAAAGGGCAAAAGCCGAGATATGGAAGAGTCGGTAAGGTCGCTTTTATACGAGCGGACGTCTCAGTGGAGCGAAGTCGCTCTGTCCAAGACACGCCCAAATTCTCGTCCTGTGGTCGATCACAAAGAGGCGGAGTTTCTCTTGGAGCACTCGGCAAACCGCCAAAATATGTTGTCGATTTGATCTGCCGCGGTGACGTTGCAATAAGTTGATGAACCCCTTTGGACTCATTAGATTCTTTTTTCGAGAGTCAATCAACTGATAAATAATGTAATACATATTTAAAGACGGCAGAATGAAGTTAAAAAAATTCGTAAAATCACAAATCTATTGAAAACAAGTTTTCGACTTTTCTTTCAGAAGTCCTTGAAAAGTCGGAGATTGCTTTTAGTCCATTTAAAAAAAGCTTAATTTTAGTTCCGCTTTGAGATTTTCAACACGCACGCATTCAATCACACCATAAAAAATAATACGGAAAAACTGAAAAATGGGTCGAACTGAATCTTTTTTTTGTTCACTTTCGATGTTATGAGCATACTCCAGCTTCTATCATTTCTTCCCGCCGTAGCGATTGAAGGATTATCCCTCCAGAATTTTTCACGGTTTTTTTTTACTGAGACAACCAAAAGTTCCTTTATTTTTCTTTATTACAAAACGAAGGGCCGAAAAACCGATCTTCTCCGCCAAACTTGTCACTTTTTCTTCGTTTTCTGAACTGCGCCCACGCCGAATTCAGTCTTTTCGGCAGTTCATTTGACCAACCGTAAGGATGACGAAAGAAACAGTCTTCAATTCTTGATGAGACTGATTAGGCATATATCGGAAGTCGAAGGTTTTTATTATTTTGGAAGGTTTTGTTCCTGCATTCTGATCCCTTTCGATAGGAATTGTCCTAGCTTTGAAAGAAACGAGATTTTTTCGCAAATATGGATCACTTTCTGGTGAAGGTTTCATGAATCTCTTTTTCAGGTGAAAAAAAAGCTGAGTAACGCTCAAATGAGCGTGTAAAGACAAGGCGACTTTTCAAGCGAGATGTGAATTACTTAAGGATTGTTTTTTTTTTTCCCTCAAAGAACTTCACATCCCAATGTTCTATTATTTTTTGAAAAAGGAATTCAACTGAAGTAAACTTTATTCAGGCTTTCGAGCTAATCAGATAAACATATTAGAGCCAATAATCTGGGAATAGTGAGAAGATCAGAGGACGTCGTACGGTCTGGGTCTGACCGGATTTTATCAGGGGCCGAAATCTGTGGTTTCCACGGTACACTGGGCAAATTGCCGTAGATGGTCATCTTTCCTAGTCTTTTTCTCACGCTCCACAACTCGTTCTGTAAATCTTCCAGGTGAACTGAATCTAGGAGCAGGCTTTTTGAATAGTCTCGTTGTGGCATTTTTTGAAGGTGTAGATTGTAGTTGGTGATGTCTGGTGTTCTCTGGAGAACGTATTGAAATTTGAGCTGTTCTTTTCTAGAAGCCTGCGTAGATAACCAGCCGAAGGTTTCTGTTTCAATATAATTGTTTGAAGTTTTTTTGAAGAATTCATAATTAATTTCTTAAGCGATTGGAATACTCAGAACTACTGTATACAGTCGTTGATTGAAGGGAAATATTCAAATATTCAAGGGTCGTCTTTCTTCGGTTCAAAATGTGTTAAAAGCTTACAAAGAAAAATATAGTTCTATGAATTATGTGAATTTTTGATGAACTCGATTCGATTGGACCATCTGCGAAACGAGAATAATCAAAGTATCACACTGCATGTCAATGCAACTAACAAAAATGAATTAAAAATATTAGGTATCATATCATCGAAACAGCAAAACGTCATTTCCACTACACAACAAGAGACTCGGTGAAAAAAGCGCTGTCGTTTGGGTACACACGATCAAGAGTGATAAATGTGGGTAATGTTATTATTATTTTTGAATGAGCGTAGGCCACATCCACGTGAAATTTCACGTGAAGGGGAGAGTTGAAAGTGAAGCTGGAGGAGGTGAGGAGAAGCGCCCAGGTGATGTCATCATAATAGAGAGATTTGAACCGAGGTCAAGTCGGAGAGGGTGATTTCTGATTCCAATTCGGAGATTTTGGAAATCCATGTACTCTAATTTATTCAGTTTGTGTAGATTCATGTTTTCGAAATTTCTAGATAAGTATTCTTCTTAAGTTAATTCTCATATTTGATAAAATGAGCCAGTTGGAACGTGATAATAACTAGAATATCTGTTTTCTCAACAAGAACCTTCAAAAAAGAAGGATTGGCAATCAACCTGAAGCTTCCTCAAGTTAAAATGAATTTTTCATCAAATAACGAGTCTCTCGTACATAGAAATTTGATAAAAATGAAATTTTGATTACCAAATCACAAACGCGTTAGAAAAAAGTGCGAAAGAATTTTAATTTTTTGGTCTTGGAAAATATTCAAATAAGATTTACATTTTTTAAATGGGCAAACCTTTTCAGACTACTTCTCAACTATCATTTTTCAGCATTCCTCGCAGGTATTTTTGAAAAACGGAGGCTCATGAGGACTGAACGTGCGTTGCACGTGTCTTTCGAGCCCAGGGCCCAGGGTTCCCCGAGAGAAAATCAACAAAGCCGAAAATCGCCTGAACAAATGAAGGTAATTCAACGTTCCCATTCTTTTTTTATGACTGTCGAGTTCAAATAGGATTTTTCTGTTTTAATTTGATGCTTTATACAGCTACATCTTCAAAAGTTAACAGATTTTCCCAAGAAAATCAACGAAAATCTTCAACAAAAATGAGATTTGAATAAAAGACGGCGAAAGAATACATACTTGAAATGAATTTTCCCATATTTATTCCCCAAAAGCACTAGATCCAGATGTCTCACCTAAATTTTCATTTGAGTGTTTTCAGAATTACTTCTCGTTGTCTTTTCGATTTATCAACCCGATTTGATACAGAGAAATGATAAAGTTTTTTAATTGTCTAAGATAAGTTCATACATTTATCTTTTGTTTGAAGAAAGACAAAGATCTCAAAATTTTGTACTTTCGTTCTTCCCAGCACGCTCTTCAAAGGCAAAGGAGAACCAAAACTGCTATCAGTACATTCAAACATCTTCAAAATCAATTTTCTAATCAGTGGAAATCAGTCGTTTTCCAAAGATTGTTGACTTGCCAGTCCCGTGGTTATTTTCAATCACAAACACGTCTTTTTTGAGGAGCAAGTGTGAGAAGATCGTTGGGCGACAGCGAAGGAACGTTTCTAGTGATAAGATCTTTTTTGAGAGACTTCCAAGGTACAAGCTGTTGTCGAAACACTCCACGATGAAAAAAAAAAGTTGCAGAAAATCTCGTTTACTTGTAAAATCCTTTTAGATTACTGGCGTCCTCACCAAAACAAGAGAGATCTGGGAACTAATTATGCCAATAAAGCTCACAGTTTGGACACAAAAGGTCCTGTAGCAAATAAATGAGTGGAAGCGCTTTATCTTTGAGATAAAGCTATTTTAATCATAGTTTTCTTTTTTCTTAATTACCCATAATGCCGTGTTCAAAACGATTTTGCGAAATCCAAAATAACGGCCAGAGAAAGAAGAAGATTCTTAAATTTTTGAGAGTCAGAGATAAATTTGCATTTCGTCGAAATTACTCACTGAAAACGGCAAAATAATCCTGTTTTCCTCACTTCATGTCGTTCGAAACGAAACCTTGCGTTACCTTAGTGAAAATTCTCTATAAAAACGCTTAAAAAATAAAAATTATATTTTGATCCTTTCCCTTAACTCTTCTGAATCATTTTCCACGAAGTGAATGGAATTAGTTTAACTAATATTTTTTATTGAACGCTCTGCGAAGCTCCAAGGACCAGGGATGAGGAGAAGCGGTTGCGGGTCCGTCAGTCAGGAAACCTCGGACGTTCGTTGTTTACCAGAGGGTCACGTTTTGCCCGCAGGTTGTGGAAAATAAATAGTTTCAATAGGTGCAGATGAACTCAGGTTTTTTTTTGCAGAAAATTTCTACATATTTACTTTCAAAATTTGTGGTTATCAAATATAAACATTCGGCGTGTAAACAGCTTCACAAACAACTGAATTTTATCAATTATCAAAAAAAAAAAGAAAAAAATGAGCAAAAGTAATGGAATAAATATGTGGGCTACGTTTAGCGGAATATTTTCATCGAACCATAGTCCCTCCTTTCGTACTTAAAAAGGCGAGATGGGTCGATTGGCAGAATTGAAGCGGTGCGTGTGCGTCGCGGCTTTTTGGCGGGAATCTCAAACACGAATAACCTTTTTTTCCTCCTTTTTTTCGAAAGTTTTTTTCAATAAAGAATAAAAGTGTAAAAAAATAAAAAAAAAACTTATTTCTTTTCTACATTTTTCCATGATTTAATTTGAACTCGAGTTCGCCTCCAAAAGCCGCGTCGCACACGCAACGCTCCGCCCTTGCACGTCCACCCATCTTTCGTTCCAAGTCGAAAAAAATTGACTATCTTATGCGTCCTTGGAGAAAATATTGAATTTTTGTGTCTTTTTGCGTATCAATTGAAGGTAAGTTGATCTGTCTGCTGGAATCTTTCAAGAAGTTTTTCGCGGAAAGAAACCATTTCTGATTGAAGAAAAAAATTCACAATTTTCAAATGGACAGATTTTAATGGTAGGAAAAACAAAAATTTTTGGGAAAAACAAAGATTCAGAACTGTGATCTTGGCCGCCCTTCCAATCGAAAATAGAAAAATCGACAGTGATTTTCTTTCTATTAATAGCGGAGACCATCAATCTTCGTTTCTTCTCATTTTCTAGAACAGATCAATGGGCCAAGCGACCGGGCGATCTTTAAAGAAGAGAAAGATAAGAAAAAGAATATGAAGAACTCTTGAAAACAGCGATGTTTGGTGACAAAAACCTTTCGAGAGTTTGCAAGCTTGCAGGCGTTTCCCGACAGTTGTTGGTGGAGCGATAACTTTTGAAATTCAGTTGATTTTTCGATGTTATTTTCCAATATATATTAGAGGAGTTTTCAATGAAATTAGAGAGAAGTCAATGTCATCGTCGCGATATAAAACATTTTCAAAAATTCACAGGTGAAAAAGATGGTAAAAAAAAAGCTGGAAGGCAACCTCTTCGAGGTGCCAAAAAGTATCTGAAGACGGCTTCCAAACACTTTTATATCCTTCTGGGTCTTCGAGAAGTTTCCATACGCTTCGGTAGAGAAAAGACGGCGTGGCGAAAACGCTACTGAACTTCAAGAGACGCAGACACTTTTGATTACCGAGAGAGTGCTCTGGACGCGGAGAGTCTCTGTTCTTTGAAGATCGGTCCAGCTTTTGGGGCTTTCCCGCAATCTTTTGTTTGCATTGCCAGGGACTTTGCAAATATTTTGCATTTCTCTTTTTCTAAGAGATAATTTTATTTTTGGCTTAATTTCGAGTTTACTCGACCAGAGCGGTTCTGGACTAGTTAATGAGTTATTTTCAAAGCGAAGTGCTGTTTTTGTTGAGGATGAAGAACTCGCAGTTTTCATGAGGGGCTGATATAAATCAAGTTGAAGATTGGGATCACACCTGGATTCGTGGACGATTTCCAAAAAGTTTTTCGGACAACTGTCTTTGCCGGGACAAAGTTCACAAGCTGGAAAACTTGTGCGAGCGTCGGTTCTGTCACCAAACATCGCTGTTTTCGTGATTTCCCGTGATCTTTTCTCGTCGTTCTCTTCTTTGAAGATCGCTCGGCTTGGCCCATTAAACAAGAAGGAAGAAAGATTGATCGCTCCGAAGAAAAGGCTATTATTAGAGGAGAAATTACAGTAGGTAGTTCAGTTCTCTACGGAAACGAAAGATGACATTCTGAACATCTTTTTGTCATCATACAGTAGTAGCAGAACTAAGTTTTGGAAAGGAATACAATTTGAATTAGAATTTTAAAAAAAAAAAAAATAACTATTTTATACTTTAGGTACTGCTACCTGAAACTTCTTGGGGTTTACAACTTTTTTTGTGTAACATTTTTTTAAATATTATTCAGAACCTATAAAAGTTAAAATTTTTTTAGAAAAAGCCATAAACCTGCCTCGAGAATCAGAAACGTCATTTTTTAATGGTAGTTAATATTGATAAGAATATTTAATCGTAACTTATCAATTTGTCGAAATAATCCATTCAAGACCCAGACTTTCAATTTATATTTTAAGATTTTTGTTCTATTAAAAAATATTGGAAAAGTTCTCAAAATCAGGTCATAATCATATATTTTTTTTTCTGAAATAAGGAAATTTGATAAACCAGCTAACCATATTATTTTTTAATTTTATTATTTTTCTTCAATGCGTTCAGTTTTCGTTTTTTGAACTTTTATTCTTAGAAAAAATGACGTTGGATCGTGCGACAATGAATATAATTCAAATGGGGATCGGTTTCTTCCTCAATTTCGTCGCTTTCAATGCAGCTGGTAATCATTTCTCGCTTTTTTTGTAGATCGAATTGAAGTATTTTTGAGATTTCATCCAAGAATCGGTTATAAACAGTGCGTCAAAAAGTGGGAAGATCGATGAATACGCGGGATATTACAGGTTCTTTTTATTTCCGAGTTCTTACTGAAAGAAAAAGTAGCAATATAAAAATATTGGTTCGTTATGCCGAAGAAGTCATTCAGCCGAAGGATCGAATTTTCCTCACGTTTCGCTCATTTTCAATCTCGAGTCTTCTTTTTTTCAGTCTTGCAATAGTTTATGCTACGTTTGCACTGGGAAATCTCATATCGGCGCCGATAATCAACGCGTTATCACCCAAGTATGCCATGTCTCTGAGTGTTTTGACCTATGCCGCGTTTCAGGTTTGGAAAAAAAAGCGATACATGAAAATTACCTTTTCCAGGGCGGATTTCTTTACCTGAACGTGTACTATCTCTACTTTTCTAGCGCGTTTGTGGGCTTCGGCGCATCCAGTGAGTGAGAAGGTCCTGGAACGAATTTCGATTGTTTCGAAACAGTACTCTGGGCGGGACAAGGAGCGTATCTGTCGCAAAACTGCACAGAAACGACCACCAGCCGCAACTCCGCCATCACTTGGGCTCTCACCGAAGGATCGTCCGTTTTTTTCCATTTCACCTATCTTATTTCATGAGGGGACCCCTTTTTGATTGTCCAATTTTTAAATTCTTTCAGACTTCTCGGCGGCGGCCTCTTGCTCTACGTCATTTTCAGTCAAAGTACGTCTTCCGACTCGATTTCTCCGGTTACGGTCAGTATTATCTTGTCAAGCACTTCTCGGCAACTTTTTAGATTCCAGGCAGATGTGCTTTATTCTGTTTTTACCGGTCTTTCCTTAGTTTCTGCTGCCGTTTTGTTCCTTCTTCAAGCGCCGGCTTACCAGGAAAAAGTCGAGAAAATCCAAGCAGTTTCGTTTTTTCAACGCGTTTGTAAGCAAATCAGAGACTTTTGAAATTCTTGTGGTTAGAAATGTGTTAAGATGCGCCCTTCGAGTTGCTCAGGTCCCGGAAAATGCAGCTTCTGACATTGGTTTTCGCGTACACTGGCGTTGAACAAGCCTTCTGGACAGGTGAACGAATTCTTTGTAAACTTCAAGTCAGAGAACTTGTTTGAGCTTTAATCTCCCTAATACTTTTCGATTTCCGATAGAAACCTTTTTCTCATCTTCCAGGAGTCTATCCGACCTGTATCTCTTTCACCAAGAAGCTTGGCAACGACACGAATGTGCTCCTCGCATTGAACTCGATCTACTCGGGAGCCGCACAGATCCTGGCAGGACTCATTTTCGGATTGCTCGGCGACAAAACGCGCAGAATCGGAAGGGATGCTGTTGTTCTGTTTGGCGCCTTCGTTCATTTGATCGTTTTTGTCATGATCTACCTCAATTTTCCGGCCGATGCATCTCTCAATGACACAATTTCGGACGGCGCTATTTTAAAGCCGAAGTGAACTTCACATCATTTTTACAACCATCAATGAAAACTTCTAAGCGTTATTATCGCAATGGTTTCCGGAGGACTTTTGGCTTTCGGCGACGCTTGTTGGAACACGCAGATTTACTCTCTTTTGTGCGAATCGTACCCGACGCAAAGCAGCGAAGCTTTTGCTATGTTCCGGTTTTTTCAGGTTTATTTTTCCCTTATTCTCTGGTTTTTGTTTCTCCCCTGTATTTCCAGAAGTTCTTCATATCTTCATGAACCTTCTATCTTTTGTCAGTCCTTGCAATTCACGGAAATCTTCAGGCTGGCATGGAATGCTTCGCTTTCGTCTACTCGTCTGTTCTTCAGCTTCAGTACATTCTCGTCATCATGGCAGGTCTCTCGGTTTTCGCCGCCGCCTCTTTTTTCCTCGTGGAACAACTTGAATCAACAGAAATATCCGGACTCTCTTTGAACGATTTGAAATTTGAACCTAAAACGAACGATTCGGTTTATAAATAGGGTTTATTGCAGAAAAAGGGTTCCTTAAGGGTTGTACTCGATGGGGAGGTTCTTCCTGCGGACCATGCCGTCGCCTTGGAACCACTCGCGGCGGAACTGCTTGGCGGCGCCGTCAGGGGTGTTGGTCCATTCGACGGTGATGCGGTCGTTGTTGGTGTCCTGCAAAGAATGAATTGAACGAGGCCGTTCAGCTACAGCATACCTCCTGTCCGTAGGCAAAGGCGTCGCAGGAGACGGCGAGGAGAACGGCTTCCTTGGGGTCAAGAACTCCGCACGGAGGGTCCACTCCAAGACGCTTCATGTTCGTCGTCTTGATGCCGTAGCCGATGCGGCGAGCCGACGAGTTGATCACCTGAAAAGGGTCCCTTGAGCAGTTCTTCGGATGGGAAGAACGGTACCTTGATGTGGTAGGTGTGCTTGTCGTCGTACGGCGCATTGAAGACGATCTTGGTGTTCGGCTGCGTCTGGATGTCTCCTGGGGGAACTGATTGGGCCATGGCGATCCGCTATGTGATCCTGGCGGATTTCTATCTCCTTTTATACCAACCTCTTATCTCTTATCTCATCTTTTATCGCCAAAGCGTTACGTTGATTGTGTTTTTTCACATTCTGATTTTTATAGAGTAACGTGGAATGAGAAAACTTCCAAAATTAGTACTCATTTTTTAGAGTCCATTACCGTTCAGCTTTAGTTTTGGAAGTTTTCTCGGTCAAGTATCGTCCGAACCGTGATTTTCCGAACCGATCCGCTCCCGATCGAACTTTCCGTTCCTGATCATCCGAACAACCGAAAAGCTAAAACCATCAACAATTAAAAAAGTATTTACTCGTCAATTTAAGTTTCCTTTTTTTGAATTGCAATCAGAGAATCAAGCTCAAAATCGGTTTCCATGACGAATTACTTGAGACCTTTTATCCTTGAACACATTTTTCAAAATCCTTTAAATGGGAATTTTCGCATTTTCAAATTTTCACCGACCTATCTAAGTTTCTGTGATTGGAGTTTTGGGTAAATCTAAATAAGTTCTATTTCTGTAATGCCAATTTTTAAGAGTCGCTTCCGGCCTTTGAATTGCCAATTCTGAGGCCGTATGCAATAATGTGGAAAATGATTTTCTGCCATTCTTATTAAAGGCTTGAAACTCGAAATTAAACCATTACCATCGCCTTTTTTTAATTGTTGGTTTAAATAAGATTCAGATTAGGAAAAAAAATTTCAGTGTAAAAGAAATGAAGCCTTTTTCGAGTTTCAGAAAAATGGCGGAAATTCAATTTCCATTTTTTTGAACACGGAAATAAAAATGACAAGAAAATCTTCCTACTGATCATGATCATAATTTTGTCGCTCTACTCAGCCTCATATTTGTTTTTTTCTGATTGTGAAGATTAAACTGACTTTTTTTTTTTAGCCTTCTCAACTTTTGCCGTTTTTCAAAATCGGGGGTTTGTCTTTTCGAATTGATTTTCGTTTTTGGTTCTTTATTTGTTTGAAGATATCCACACCCACAGACTATATTAAATGTAAAAATAAAAAGAATATTGTTGAGACTTTTTATTTGTCACATAGAAAAGTCGACGAAGGATCAGTTATTTTTTTGATCTGAAATTTGTAAAATAAACTTGATCTGTTTGCGGACACCCACCTGCGGATTATTGAACTTCTTGTTGTTGGGAACGACAGTCTTCATGTCCTGTGTTTGTGGGGGCGGCTGTAGAGCCTAGAAAACAAAAATATGAGATTTCATCGCTACTTCTACCGTCGGCGTGTTGGGCGTCTGTAGGTTGTTGAACTTTATAGGAGCCGGGGCCGTCGTTCTGAGGTCGCTGCGATCTCCAGGAGGCGGTCCAGCTCCAGCCGCCATCTAAGATAATCAGAGATTCTCCCGAGGAGAAAGAAATCTCAGTCGTTTCAGAACGAATTTATAAAAGTTTCTACTGAAATAATTATCAACTCCTCGTACCTTTTTCCCCGCAGTTTGGTTCGTAAGTTAAAATTGAATATTCAAAGATCGGATGTTGAGAGCTGGCCAATTTGGCAGGCTTTGAAAAAACTACCGTTGCCTACAGTATATTCGCTTTTTGGTCTTCGGACATATCATCAGTTCTGGGCTGGGAAAACTTGACTGAACTTTGGTTAGTTCATTTTTGATTTTATAGATCTTATCTCAAAGTTTTTTTCCGAGAGAAAACTTGCCGGCGCGGTCGGCGGCTGCGAGTTGGCGGTTTTGACCTGGCCAACCGCTGACAGTGTCGCTCCAGACTGCAAGATGAGGAATTACTTTGGAATCGAAGCGATGAGATACGGGATTAGCTCCAGGATTCCTCTGCTGGAGGTTGTTGAATTTGGCTTCCGCAGGGTTCACAGTTTTCATGTCGCTGACCGCACCCTGAAATATGACGATGAATTCAGATTGTCGGTATTTCCAACCATCGGGGCTGTTTTCGGATTGACCGTTTGCATTTTCCGGATGCCTGAAGCCAACAACGTCGTTTGCATCTCACCGTCAGGTCCCTGGTCAGAGATTTTGCAACAATACTTTCAGATATAAAAACTCCTATAGTATACAATATTTGATGACTGAGAGTGAAAACTATCGATCATTGAAGTTTTTGACGGAGAGCTCTAGGTCAAACGCGATCATAAAATAGGTAGAAAAAAAGATTATTTCCTTATTATTTTTTTGTACTTTTTATTCGTTCAACTGAAAAATTTTCGAAAGCATAAAAAATTGAAATTGATTGGAAAACTGTGAAAAAAAGGAAAAAAATGGTGACTCGCGTCCGAGCTCGAGCTCCCCGCCAAAAAGCCGTGTCGCGTTCCGTATGCAAACCACAAATTTTTTTTAAAAAAATATTGTTAGTGTTTATTTTCTTCTAAAAATACTCACCACAACAGCTTTCCCCACGGGCGAAGGTTCTTAAAAGGATGCAATATTTTGAGAATTGTGACTGATTCTAACCTTCTTCTTCGGCACTGATAGATTCGCCTTCGTCGCGCATAAACATCATAACCACAGGTTTCTGGAAAAGGTCTCAGAAATGAAAAGAAAAGCTTCTTGGAAGACCTTTCCCTTTGAGGCTGGAGGAGGAGCCGCCGCCTCATCTTCTCCTTCTTCCTTCTTCTTCTTCTTCATCTTGCCGACCTTGTCCTTCTCGTCTTGAGTCTCATCTGGAGGCTCCTGGTCGTTGATGCCGGCAAACAATACGTACAGCTTCTTTTTTCGCAACTGGCCTCCTTGGGCTAGTTTCTGTAAAATCATCGAAATTCCCAGTAAGGTGAATGTTTTTCCAAAGAAATGAAATGAAAGATTCAAAGCGTCGCGTTTGAAATTGTGTCGGTTCATTTTCCATTAAGAAGCGTCTTTCTATTTTTAACCAAAGAAATTTTTGAAACCTTTTTCATTTTTTTATTTTTTTCTTCGATCAAAAAAATGTGAAATTGGATAATAGCTTTTCATTTTGAGACCTGCTGGTATTTGTGGTTTTTCCAGACGTTTTCTGGATTAACGTTAGCCGAACTCGTCGCTGCCATCACACATGTGAATCTGAAGATTTTGGCTGAAAACCCTCGAAAAAAAAAAAAATCAAAAAACGGTTTCCTATGTATCAGGTGAAGATCCTGAAAGTTTCAACCTGCACCATTTCCTATTTTCGGAAACCGAGGTTTCGAACTCACAGATAATAATCAGCGATTTGCAATAAAGTGTCGTTGGGGAATCTAGCTCGAAATTTCTGCAAGTACCTACACATGCCTAGAAAATCCGTTTTTTTTTGTTCAAGTTAGATTTCCTGAATCTATTCAACAGAAGGAACATAATACTTCTAGAACGAACCTATCAGAAAGGGGCGGTTGTCCTTCCTTGAGTCCTTTATAGAAAAGTTTGATTTGCGCCTTGAAATTCCAGGCTGAGAAGGAGCGACGTTTCGAATCACCTTTTCACCAATGTTGAGGACTCCGTAGACGGGCCGCATCTTGTAGACGCCAGGCCGCGTCGACTTCCACTTGTAGATGATGGGCGAGGCTTCGTCGTTCGACATGGTCACTTCAGCCATCTGCTTCGACGGAATCGGGCGATACGTCACCTGAACGTCGGTTGTGGTTCAGAAGGAACGACGTCACCTACACTTTTGTTCGGGTTGAAGGAGACGCCGGCGAGTAGTCCTCCAGCACCGTCAATTTCGTTGGCAAGCACCATTACTTCGTCGGTTCCTCGCAAGAAATGCGAGTCTCGGCAGTCTCACGTCTCTTGTGAATTTCACCTGAATTAGGTTTTTTTATAAATTATAATAATTCTTTTTAATACTACGGAAAGGAAGACAAAAACCGCCTCTGGCTCAATGAAAATCGAAAAAAAAAAAAGTGAAATTGATATTAGTGAGAAGCGTAAGTTTGAAAATCAATTTACCTGTTAACTTTTTGGAATTTACCTTTTATTTCCTTTGTTTGCATTCGTTTTTCACTTGAAAGGTTGCTTACGCCTTTTTTTAGAACAGGTGAAAACTTCTTTTCCAATATTTTAGTCGATGTTTTCTCTAACTTCAGAATTCTTCTAGAAGCATGCCGTCGAACTCGAGCTCGCAAAAACTTGCTTCGAAAGATAGCGACTTGATATCGTCTTTTTTCGTGTCGGGAGTCATTCTCTCTTCGCCCTTGGTGGTCCTTTATATCATATACGCCTATCTGATGCTCAACTTCCGCGCTGAGATTTCCGTATTGGTATGCTATTTTTGTAGTCTTCATACTTCTTTATCAAGAAAAAACTCTTTCCTCAAATTTTTGCCAGTCTCAGAAACCGATTATTTCAAGGAACTATTCAGCTTTTTCTATTTTTCGTTCTTTTCTTTGAACACCCTGAACTCGGTTCATTTCCTTCGAAATCAAGAAAATTAGTTTTGTTTTCAAATTTTAGAGCCTTCTTTTGAAAAAAAGTGATATACTTCACTTTCGAATTTTCACGATTCGAAAAAAGTTTCAGAAGCACAAGATAGTTCTGTGGAACCAGTTTTTCATGGTTTCAATCTTCTTCGTGTTCGAAATGATTCCATTTTTCTTCATTTTCCTGTGCCTGTTTTTTTCGAGGTACAGTTTTCCTAACAAAGAAAGTCCTGGAGTGTCTGTAGCGATGTTGGTTTCGCGATTTTGGTGGTGATGGCCGTTTCGGGGCCGCTCTTCCTGTTCGCCTCGACCGTGTTCTGCTACTTCGACTTGATCCTGGCTGTCCAACGGGTCGTTCTTGTGTTCTGCAACAGAGACTACCACTACCTCGTCACAGGGTCTCTTTGGAAGTTTCTATTTTGCAGATGGGAGTTTTGAAAAAACATCTGAAAATACTAACAGTTTTTCTCTTCAACTTTGAGCCAGTCTTTTTCAAAAACGAAGAAGTTTTACAGGTTGAAACTTTCAGCTTCATCCGGTACATGTATAAATTCTGAGAAATTATCACTAAAAAGAGTGAAATAATCGTGATTTTGAGTTTTTAGGCGCTTTCTGAAATATTACGTCTACTCCATTTGGATGACGTTTCCTGTTTTCTACCTCTACAAATATGGTTGCTAACAAGTAGATTAAAAAAATGTTCGTTTTCCAAACTTTTTCCAGGATACTGTTTTGAAAACTTCTGTGATCCGAAGTTCTCGTGTGATGGGAATCCGATGGGTTACAAATTAACACACGTACGTGAGAATCTTTTTTTTCGATTAAAATCTTCGAATAAGAGATTTCAAGGATCTCTGCAATAAAAGTATCTGCAACGGCTCTGAATCGAAATAGAGTTTCTTTTCAAGGAAAAAGAGTTCAGATCTACGAAATCAGCCTTTATTTGATGACACTGGTGACGGTGATCTGCTACTCGATCATCTACCGAAGAATCACGCGTTTCACTCAAATATCGACGGACAGCCACTCCTTCGAAAAGTTCATTGTTCTGCAAGCCTTGCCCATGACTACCATCAGAACGGTACGCGAATCGGAGACGTCTCATGGCACAAAAGTAGAGAAGAACAGCTGTTTTCGGGATAATCAGCAAAAAACCTTAATTGTGCTCCATGGAAAATCTGTGACGCTTTTATATATTTCAAACTTAATAAGTTTGATCTATTATTTTCATCAACGGTTGCATAAAAGTTTATTCTATTCTTTTTTTTCTATTCAACCTGAGCACGTTTATAGACAAAAAGTAGCTGAAGTTTTGATATCTTTCTAACAAATCAGTAGAAACTTGATATAAAACAAAAATGGAATTTTTGGGATTTTCTTCTTTTTTTCTGAAGGCTTATTCATTGAACAAATCTCGAAATGGATTTGAATTCAATGAGTACAAAAACCCCAATAATCTAACTTTTACTCGGGATTTTTTTCAAGAAGACGTATCTGAGTTTGCAGATTCGAGAAATAGCCGTGCTTGGAATCGCGATAATTCACTATTGGAAGATCGATCTTTCCTACCCGATCAGCTTCTTGGGAAACGAGTTCGAAGCTCTTTGCATAGGATATTACGTCGACGTCGCTACTCTGGCCATCGTCGTCCCTTTATCTTTCATTCTGAACAAAAGAAACTACTCTCGAGCTAAAAATTTCATTAAGAACCAAGCCTGAAAATTCTGTTTTGATTGGCTGCAGCCAAAAAAATTGTATTGTTTTCATTCGTTAAATACACTTATCCAAAACTTCAGTGGTACTCGTTATTTTATCGTGCTGAACTTTCAATTGGATGAACAATATTTTTTATGAGATTTAATTTTGAGTAGTGATTATTGAATGAAGTGTCAAGTTATAGGCAGTTCAGTGAACTATTTATCATAATTTGAATTTCAGGGGTCGCGCGAACGCAACCCCACACGCAAAAATTAAGCTGTTGGCGAATCTCAACTCGAGACTGCCACACAGGTCAGCCCGACCAGAAGTGCAATGGTCAGGCCTCGCCATGGAGTTTCCGCCTTCGGGATCGCGAAATCCTCCCAGCCAGGTAAGTTTATGAGCCGTCCAGCGGCGGCGACCCCATGCCAGCGCGCATCCGACTCGGGACGACTTGCGCGCGATGACCTCTTTGACCATTGCTGCCAAATACGTCTCATTATTTTTATTTTCCCTCGCGTGATTCTCAACTTCTAGGAATTATGTCATCTCTATATTTCACATTGAATTAGGATGACCAAACGTTTTTGGAACTAGGAAAATTTTCAACTTTCGCTATAAAAATACTATTTGAACTTCAAGAAGAGCTCTGACGGATTTCTGAAGTTTTTTGACTTTTTGTTTCGCGAGATTCTGCTTGACGATGTGAGTAGAGTCAAGCCAGCACTAGAGCCACCGACGCCAAGGACGACAGGAAGGTAAAGTCTTCTGAAATGTCATGGAGACCCTGCAGAAGACGTGTCTTTGTTTCAAAAATCGGAGAGAAGAGCTTTTCTTGTGAAAACTCAGTTCGATCGCTATCGTTCTTTGTGGTCTAGTCGACCATTCACCTCATTCGTGATATTTGGTTCATCAACCACCCAAAATAACAAACCAAGTCGTCGTTAAACACTGCGCTCTTCTGTCTCTCTGTGTCCCTCTTTTGTGTTCTGTTTTTCGCTGATTTTGCTGTTTTTCCCCCAGATAGTTTGATTTTAGACTTTTTAAACCTTAAAGTTAGAATCTTGATAATATAATCATTTTTGAAGTGAAGATTTAAAGCTTTGAAAAACTCACATAATCCATAGAAATTTGCTAAACGGGCGTCACGAATTGAAGGTGATTTTATAATGCGCTTTCTACTTTTAGAACTAAATCATCCAGCCAAAAATACCTGAATATATTGAGAATGACGTCAACAATAAAAGAGCTGTTCGAAGAAGTTGCCCCTCCCGTGGATACTCAGCACGCCAAAGTGACGGTTGTCGGCGTCGGACAAGTTGGAATGGCTTGTGCCTACAGTATCCTGCAGCAGGTTGGAACTTCCCTTTTTGTCGAGCAAATGTTCTTCGAAGGAACGAGATATCCGAAAACTGTTCATTCCATTCAGAACCTCGCGAACGAAATTTGTTTGGTGGACATGGTGGAAGAAAAGCTGAAAGGAGAAATGATGGACCTGCAACACGGGCTCTCCTTCACTCGACATTGCGTCGTCAAGGCAGACACCGGTTTTCTTTCTTCACATTACCTCTTTATCAATGTTTAGCCAAAATATGAATAAATAAGTGACTCAAACTTTGAAAACTTCAGACTACAATATAACCGCAAATTCGAAACTATGCGTGATTACTGCTGGAGCCAGACAAAGGGAGGGAGAAACGCGGTATCCTCTTTTTTTTTTATTTTTTTTATTCCTTAAGTTATGTATCTGACCACAAAAAATGTTCAAGAGTATCGAGAAAAAAATTATTTGAGATGAAAAAATGCTTCCAATTTTGTCGGACAACAATAAAGTCGGTTGATTTTTGAAGCTGATTTCGAATTTTGTTTTCATATTTCAGCCAGTTTTATATCAGTGTGTTTATTCATAATCTCACAGGTTGATATTGTTTCAATGAATTTTCAGCCTCTCTCTGGTACAACGAAACGTAGAAATCTTCAAAAAAATAGTGCCCAATCTCGTGAAACACTCGCCGGACACCTTGATCTTGGTAGTGTCGAATCCAGGTTTAACATTTTCTCAATTCAAAAACTTGAAAGGAAATTTCTGCTACAGTGGATGTGTTGACCTATGTCACCTGGAAACTTTCCGGGCTTCCAAAAGAGCGAATTTTCGGATCCGGCACAAATTTGGACTCTGCAAGGTTGGCAAGGAAGTTTTCGCCTAACAAAAAATCCTAGATTCCGTTTCCTCCTATCAGAAAAACTGAAAATCGCACCATCTTCATGTCACGGTTGGATCATCGGAGAACATGGCGATTCCAGCGGTTTGAGATTCTTTTTTAGTATTTACCTAGAACTACCTAGCTCTGTTTTTTTAATCATTCATGCTTATTTTTCTTCAACACCTTATTGGATTCACGAATTTTAGTAGCCGTTTGGTCTGGAGTCAACGTCGCCGGAGTGAATTTGCATGAGGTTTTCCCCGATATCGGCCAGACATCCGACGAAGAGCATTGGGAAACGAAAATTCATCAGAAAGTTATTGAAAGGTGTGATGATTGAATACTCCGTGACCTCCCTGTTCAGCGCCTATGACGTCATCAAGTTGAAAGGCTACACATCTTGGGCGATAGGATTGTCTGTCGCGAAAATCGCTCAGGGAATTCTGAGCAACTCTCGCAATGTCTTCGCCCTGTCGACCAACGTCAAAGTCAGTAGACGACTTAATTTCAGAAAACGGGCTCATTTTCAGGGTCTCCACGGGATTTCAGAAGATGTCTATCTTTCCCTTCCTGTCGTCCTTGGCGCTGGTGGCATTACTCACGTCGTCAAGCAGAATCTCGAGAAACAAGAAGTAGAAAAGCTTCACAAATCCGCCAAAGCTCTACTTTCCATACAAAATAATATCACTTTTGAATAAAAAAAAGTCCCTATTTTCCTTGTATCTCTAGTTATCTAACCGTTTTTTTTTAAATTTATAAATGGACAAAAACTTGGATCGCTTCACGAATGTTGCATGTCATCATTACACAGGGGAACCTCTCAAGTAAAGTTTAAAGGAAAACTTTCAAAATTTTCAAAATGAAAGTCGAAGAAAAGAAAACAAGAACAGAGGAATTATTCAGAAGTTTCGAAGTTAATATTCGCTTCCAATTTTTTCATTACCAAGAAATTATTTGATGAATATATTAGGGCCCTGTCACCCGCATTGTTTACAAGTTTGTGAGGAAAGATCCTGAAATTCAAATTTCTTTTTCATGCGTTTGGCAAATGTTTGTCCGATAAGTTAGATCTTCTTGTAACAATAAAATAATTACAGAGGCATGTACGGTGCTGTGCATACGTGCTTGCACGCAGTGCTTTTGAAATTTGGCGCGAAATTCAATTTTTTATACATTTTCTATTTTTTTTAAATTATAATTTATGAAGTTTTTCTTTCTAAGTAGAATGCTTATATCAGTCAAATTTTAGAACAATGGGCTTTAGAATGGTGATCGACATCGGGGATCTAAATGATAAGCTAAATGATTTCGGGGTACGTATCCAGGACAACGACGAGGTCATCGATAAAAGTAGGTTTCTTGTTTGGATATTTTTTCAAGATATTCTTTGCAGTCAATAAACTTGCTCACTACTATCATTTGGATGAAGATGCGCTGTCTGATGAGTTGATCTCAGTTTTGCTGAACAATAAATGTACCGAGGTCGACATGATGAATTTACAAGAGTTCGAAAAAGTGGGATGTTCAAATGTTAAATTTAAAGTTTGTATTTAGGTGCTTGAGTCGAAAAAAAGGACATTTCTAGAACAGATTCCTGCGAAAAAATCCAGCGGACGGTTGATTAAATTGTAAAAATTTAAGAAAAGGGTTTTTAGGCCAGCTTTGCGAGATTGTACAATGAGCACGCTTGCGAAATCGCTGGAAAAAAATTCAAAGTTGGACGATGACGAGAAAAATGACGGCGCCAGTGGCTCAAAAAATCTTTCGGAGTTCAATAGTTTTTCTCCGTGTGTGTGAGTTTTGTTGAACATTTTTTTCCTAAAATTCCTTAGGTTTTCAAAATTTCGGAAGCCGGAAACGTGAGGCAAGAAGCATATTTTCACAAAGTAATTTTCTGATTTTTCAATAGGACTTTCACTAAATGTATAAACCAGTGACGTTAGAGACTAAAACCAAAGAAAATATGTTCGGCACTGTTAGTTTTCAAAAGCTTTTTAGAGTGAGGAATATGAAACGAATTCTTTTTTTCGGAAAAAAATCCTAAAAAAATTTCGGTTGATATATTTTAAAATGAATTGCTAGTAAATTTAACGAGTTAATTTCGTACCGTAATCGCAATGATTATCCATTTAATTCTCATGCGAAAAGCTCTACTGAGTTTCATCAGATAATTATAGAGGAAGCATGATTTTTTTTTGGTGTGAGTAGTTATTGGAGCCTTGACATGATTTCTTAACGAGAACTTTTCAAAGGAGAAAATAAATCCAACATGTTTTGAGAGAGTCTCCAATCAACAAAGAATTCCTGAAGAGGAGCTCAGCGGGAGAAGTCATTTTCTGTCTCCGAGGCGAGAAGTTCCAAGAGGTCGACGGTGCGTTTCCATCGACGGCGCCCAATTTTCTGACGCTCGTCTCAAAGCCGCCCAACCGTTGTTACGGAGCCGAGAAAGCGTCCGTCGTCGTCGACGGTTTTTCTCTTTCCAGGCAACTTTGAATCGTCGAGATTGCAGCCAAGCTGAACCGTTTCGCGAAAATGGCTCAAGTCTACAGAGACCATTATCCGGAGATCCAGGAATGGGGCAACGTCAAGCAGATTACTGAGGTGAGTTTGCGAACTGTTTCTGAAGGCCCAGTGTGAACTGTTCAAAAACAACTCTTTTGTGGCTCTACCTACTTTGTCAAAACCAGGACCATTTAAACTCTCTACATAAACTCGGTATAGTCAATGTTTCCCGACTTGAAAGGCGAGGGAGGCGGGGCAGGGGGCGGGACGCGTAGCGTGTGCGTTCGCGGTTCTTGGCACGTGTTCAATTCAACCACCATCTACTCTTTGAAAAACCCGTTTTTCGCTTTTTTCATTTCTTTTTCAATTATTTATTGATTATGTTCATGTGTCGAAAAACGGTTGCCGAGCTTTTTTTAAATAGTCGGCGACAATTGAATTGAACTCGCGCCAAGAACCGCAAACGCAGACGCTACGCGTCCCGCCCCTTGCCCCGCCTCCCTCCCCTTTTCAAGTCGAAAAAACATTGACTATAGTAATCGAAAGCTCCGAAAAAAGTTTTTATGATTTCTCGCAAAGATTACGTAGTGGAAGTCTTTTTCTAATACCATCAGAAATCAGCGCAAAAAAAAAAAAATTAAAAAGTTCAAATTGACATGAAGATTCCTTTGAAAACTTTCGTTATTTCTTCCCAGTACATGAAAAGATTCTCGGCGGTTTTCAATTTCGCTTCGAAATCTCTGACCACAGCCCCATCGAATTCCCTCAAATTGTCGTTCTCATAGGAGCCGGTGTTCATCTACGGCGAAATAATGAGAGACGCGGCCGAAGGACTCCCGCTGGGCGAACGGACCGCCCTTCTGATGCTCGACGACGACGAAGGCAGCGATGTCCGTCTGGACCTCTCCAACGCCGGCGACGTCGCCATCTTCCTCGGGCAGTTCGTCGCTCTGAAAGGCACGGTTCATTCGCCAAACACGCTCCTCGTCGAAAAGTTCTTCGTGCCGCCTCCGTTGCCCCTCGCTCAGGTCCAGCCGAACTGCTCGACGTCGGCTTTGGGTTGGTGGTCGACAACTATGTCGCATTAATTATTTTTTTTTCTTACTTCAGTTCAAAGTTAAATGCTTTTGAGAAAATTTCCTACTTTTGCTGCATCGCACTATCATATAAAGCTGCGAAAATGGCGTTTACTATTTAAGGAAAATTCATTAGCTGTCATATAGTTTCAAAAGGATTCTGAATAGATATTTGAAAAAAACATCTAAATAGCCTTTCCTGTGCAGTTTTAATTTTTGAGGGTTTTTGAGTTCGGGCTTTTTTTCGCTTTATAGCAACTTCTCGAGTTCAAAAATCTTTTTCTAAACTACTATACCATTTTTTTCTCTTTCAAGTGCCTTCTTTCTAGCAAAAGTGGACATTTGGTGTGCGGCCGGTCCTTTCACTTCCGCGGAAAACTGCGCCTACGAACAGCTGAACGAGCTTCTGGACAACGTGTGCAAGGAAAAACCGACAGTTTTGATTCTGGTATCGAAAAAAGGCTTCGAATTGAAGTTTTCTGAATGGAGTTCAGACGGGACCTTTCATCGACAACAGAAACAAGTACATCAAGTCTCCCGGATTTTCCTTGGACTACACTCAACTTTTCACTAACTTGTTAGCTCGAATTCGCATCAAGTTGAATGGGTTGGTGACAAATTCCAAATTCATTTATAAAATTATGACGTTTGATTCCCGGGAAGGAAAGGTGCACTTTCTTTTTTGATTTTTTCACGTTCCCAGATATACTTTCTTTCGAGAAATTTACTTCACGGACAGCTATATTGAGACGAAATCGATACATTCTAAACCGTTTCTTTTCTCACAAATTGAGACCCATGGAGTCAGGGCAAAAAAATTACTGAATATTTTAAAGCCAGATAAAACTGAATTGACTAGGAACAAGAAAAATATTTTGTTAATGATTTGCAATCCAGCGGTTTGAAAGCTGATCATCGATTGTTGAGAATTTCTTTAATATATAGTTTACAATCGATTTTTAATAAAGAAGGATCTGTTTGAAATATCAGTTCGGTACGAAGAGAAAGTTGTGATCTCAAACGTTAAGATGTCCAACGGAGGTGATCTTCCAGCCATCCTCGCACCGTGAAATGATCATCAGGAATATCTTCCCGGCCCCAGAGTTCTCCTACAATGAAAAACCGAAAGATAAAGTTGTCAGCGTGACTATTTTCCTGCTATAGAAACTATTTCCAGAAGTTTCATTTCGTTCCCGACGGTTGTGTGATTCGGATTTGCGGTGGAGCGCTGGAAGTTGCATTAGTCGGCTGCGAGGTTCGAAAAACGCATTAAATTTGAATCATATAATAGCTGAAAAGTAAAAGAGCCTTCACTTTAACCACCATTTTAAATTTTTGTTCAAAGACCTGACAAAGAAATGGGAGAATCGTTTAGCTTTTGCCGCAGTTGGGGAAATACGAATGGCTCCGATCAGCGGATCAGGAGAATCAGGACAGGATAGCGCGGCTATCGGGTCACATTCTGAGGTGAGTCAAGACGCAACTGAAGGGAAATCCTTGCTGAGCAGCCAACGGTCGTTGTACCCATTGAATCCGCCGGCAGTCGCCTCGTCGCTTCAGGACATCGAGGAAGTCTGCCAGATCTCAGCGGCTCCCAACCTCGCCATCCTTCCATCTATCCTGCCGCCGTCCGCCAAGGTATTTCGTTAAATTACTCAGTCAATTATTGAATTTTGGAAACTAGAAATTTAAAACTGACTCAGCTCAAAAGTGTTGTTTTCAAGCAAAAGTAGGTTCAGCTATCAATGGAGAAGGCCGAAATTTTTCATAAAACTATTTTTCCTTGAACCCATGACAAGATACCTTAGAAACTCGACCGAACTGTCTTCGTGAATCCCGGAGCGCTGGCCAAAGGATCCACTGGAACGTACGCCAAAATCTCGACGCGAATCCCGATTATTCAAACCGACGACAGAATTGATTTGGCCGCCCATTCCGCTATCAGTTTAGTCAGAATTTGAAGTCCTCATATCAGTTCTACCTCCTGATTATCTGTTTCCATTCCGCTCAGCATTTACTGATTTTTTTCATCACTCATTATTCAAATCATTCACTAAATTCACACTTTCCTAAGATTTCGCAATTTTTCAACTTGTAAAAAAAATATTAACTCATTCATAATAGTTCTTATCGTTCGCATTTGGAATATCAAATCGTAAGAAACACCGTACAAAATGGCTCTACAAGGAAAAAAAACCCAATGAATAACTAGTCTAGAATCAGCTAATTCCATGGAAATTGATTCTGCTGTGGGATTTATACAAAAAGGAAAAAATGTTAATTTTTCGACTATTTTTCGGTGGCTTGAATTCAGTTTTTCGGTGGGCTTAAGTTCACTTTCGGCGTCGTTGGCGTCGCGGGGGCTGAAAATAACTCATTTTTATGATCATTCTTCTTGACGTATACAACTAAAAAGAAAAATATTTTTTTCCGATCGCTAAGCTTGCACTAGGATTAGAGTTTGAAAAAAAACATCAGTTAAATAAAGTTGAAAAGAACTGCCTTACTCCAGAGAAATGGAGAACGATATAGGGGCAAAAATGGAATTTTTGGATGAAAACGAAGGGAAGCTCACACTGTTGGAAGCTATCCCAGGTGGATTGAGTGTGTGCGACGCCAGTTCGGACGACGTCGACCGCTTCGACGGGGTAGCAGAAGGCGGCCATCGTCGCGAATCCCGTCGCCGTCGTCAGCGCTCTTCCGATCGGACCCCTGCAAAGGTCGTAAATCATTTTAAGACTCGATTCAGTTTCCAATGTACGCACCTTTTGATTCCGAGTACGAAACCGGCCATTCCACCAACGGTGATTGCGGCGGCCTTGGGCAGCGCCGTCCATTCTTCTGTCAGGTAAGAATTCATTCCTAAATCCTTTTCATTTTAGAAATCGATTTAGCGTCAAAAAAAGAGTTGAGATTTTTCTCGTAATAAAAAATTTATCCTTCACCCAAATTTGCACAAGAAATTACGGTTACTCTTTCATGAAAAAAAAAATCTGAACTCAATAAAAGTTTCATCTATAAAGCGATGAAAACAAGTAAATAAAAATGAAGCTGGGCTATCTTCTTTTATGTATAATGTTTCGATTTAACTTTCTCTCATGGCGTGTTCATCGGAGAAACGGAACATGCTTCAAACAAAAAATTGTGTTTATCGGCGCGCAGAAGTTGCTCCAAAACAGTACTAATTTTTGTTTTGGAGCAATTTTTTGCGTTTCGAAGCAATTTTCGTTTTTCCGATGAACATCAATCAAGTATATATTCAATGATTCGTATTATCTTTTTTTTTTTTGGAGAAGAAACGAAAGTAGAAACTCACGACAAGCAGTCCTTTTTGATTTGTCAACAACGGCGTCCACAATTTTAAACCGCTGCTGAAAATTTTCCACTTTAAGTTGATTTATAAAAACTTTTGAAAAAAAGTCAGCATTGTGATTGAACTATCCATGAAAAATATTGCCAGAAAAGATGATTCAAACAAAAAAAATTGAAAAATTTCACGAAAACTTTTGAAAAATCTGAAAAATTCTATAAGCCTAATCTCATTCCTTTTTCGAGCTTTTCTTTTCAATAAAAAGTGACAAACGGCGACGCGGTCGTACTCCTCGTTGACGGCGTGGCGAATCGTCGAAAATTCGCGTTGGAGGGGAAGCGGCTCTTCAGGAATGAACTTGAACTGCCGCGGCTGGTTGTCCTCAGCATACAAAGGCAACTGCCAAAATTCTATTAGATCTTGAGGCTCAGACTCAAATATATTTTCAGGTAAAACCCAAGCAGACCAATATCCTCGAAATTTCAAATATGGTACTACTCTGCTCGCCTCTTTAAATTCTGCAATGTTAGCATGCAACTATACACTGCTAGCTGATTTGAATCACTTTACCAAGTTAAAAGGAAAACTCCAAAGGCCGGAAAGATTCATTACTTATTGTCTGAAAACCGAACAAGCTCAGAATAAGGCGAAAAACAAAAATTATATTTTACTCCCATTCACCTCAAAAAGACGCGTTCATTGATACATTCAACTTTAATTTCGTGTATTTTCTTTTCTTTGGGAATCGTCTTTCATAATCATTTGGTATTCTACACAAATTCGATTCCTGCTCGCTTCAAAAAGATAAATAAGTAAGAGAAGCGGGAAAAATGTATAAAAATCAAAATTTGCTTAATTGAAGGAAATAATCATTAGTTGACAACCAAAAATAAATATTTTTTTCTAATTTTTGAACCTGATGGACAGCGACAGCGCGTTCATTGTCGATGCTGGTGGCTGGCTTGGTTCTGACCAAATCCCAAAATTGAACAAAGACGTTCGTCACCTTTAAAATATTCCTTTCCAACTGATTTCGAGAAGTTTTTAAAAAAACCTTCTCGGAGGCGTCAGAAAGCTTATCCACGATGGCTTTGTCTTGTGTCATTATGACCTTAATTCTTATTTCAAATTATTTCGAGCCTCTTTCTTTGTTGAAGCAAAAGCCTTTATAAGGCCGCGTGGCTGATAATTTCAAAACAAACTTCGCGAAACTGTTATAACCATGGAATTTCCCAAAATTGTAGATTATTTTCTGTCTTTGAACCTCAGTGTCCGAATTTTACGCAGTCATCTATTTCAAACTGTTTCTGAGTGTATGTGAAAATCTCTACAACTTATTTAAAAGGATTAAATAAGGGATTTTTACCCTTGAATCACCAAAAATAAGAGAGTAAACAACTTTTTATCATATTAAAATAGGAGATCGAACGAAACAACAAAAAGTACCGAAAAAGTGAGACACTTCATTCGTGAGAATGAAAAGATAAGAGGGAAAGATAATTTTTGTTAAAAATTGTCAAGAAAACAAAGGAAGGAAGCTATGCGTGAATGTTTATGGAAGCTGAAGAGGGAAGAAGAAAGATAAAACGAAGTCAAATCAGATTTTCGAAACTCCCGAAACAAGTCACACAGAGCCAATAAATAATACAAAATCAACAAATAAAAATGGAATTTTCGCGAATTCAGGAACGACTGCGACTGCGGCGATTGCGACGTGGCGAACGCGAGCGACTGCGATTAAAGCGACCACCGCCGCCGCCGCCCAACGGCTGCAAGTTGCCTCCACTGCCGCGAAGTCCCGGCGAACGACGACGAATCGGACTGAAACTTTTGGATTTAATGAAAAACACTTTTTTGGAAGAGTTTTTCCTCATTTGTGGCTCTAAAATCTTCATAGGAAACTATTAGGTTGTTTCCTAAGTCCTTGGACATTTTGAATAGGTTGAAAACAATCGACTATTATAAAATAACTGCTCATTCTGCCAGTTATACGGTGGCACCCCGGGGTGGGATCCAGTCGACGTATGAGCTTACAGAAAAGGCCTATCAGTTCAAATGGGGTTTGGGAAGATTTCAAGAAACAGAAAATCTGCCGAAAAAGTCCTCGTTTAAAAATGAAAATCATCTGCGAAAAATAGGCTTTATTCTGAAATATTTGAAGCGTTCGAACTAAAATCTCTTGAGAACAAATTTTGTAAATGTTTTAACAATTTGTCTTTTTTTTGTCTCCAAAGTGTTTCTTCACTTGAAACCAACTTTAAACTGGAAGAGCGGAATCTATTAATATTGAAATATGAAGAACCTTCTTCTGGGAGGACTCTTGCGACGAATCGGCGACCGATGCGGACTGCGACGAGCGATTCCAGGAGCACGATTCAACGTGACCTCGACGACGACCTCCTGTCCGTCGATCTGACCGCCATCCATGTACTTGACGGCCTGAAAAAAAAAACATTAAAAAATGAGATCTTACTTCAAAATATTGATGGTCTTATCTTTCGAATATTAAATTAATGAGTGAAAACATAACAGGCTTTTTATTACCTAATTTCTTTGTAACATAAATCCATTCGCCATAACTCAATCTGTTATCTCTGCGCTCTCTTCTTTTCAAGTTCTGTTTCGTTTCTCTGAGATCGCCAGTGATGAAAAGAGGGCTCAGACACAGTCAAAAAAAAACCAAAAAAAAAAATCTTTAATTTCATGATTATTTCCTTTTCACAGATTCAACTATCTATAGGCTTTACTCCTACCGTTTCTAAACGACAGGATAAAAAATTTGAACGTTGGTTAGCTTTCAAAACTTCGCTCGGAATCAAAGTTCGACTAAAGACGCAACTTTTCAATTAAAAAAAAAGTTTGTATAGTTGGTAGTTATTTTGAAACATAGACGCTTTCCGTTTGAATTATAACTTTGAACATATTTTTCATTGATCCGTTAACGTCTATCTTTTTTCTAATATTGTGTAATGTTATATATAATATCCGTAATGTTTCGTTTACATAATCCACATAATTCCCATCATATTTTATCACGAAAACCTTCTCAGCGTCCTCGATTGTCTCATACTCGACGTAGCCATATCCGCGATGAAGATGCGAATGGAATCTGTCCGGGGGACAATCGACAGTTTTTATTGTTCCATAAATTCCAAAAATTTCTTGCAAATGTGCCTGAAAACCATTCTGATTCCGGAAAAAGCAAAACACACAACCTTGGTAACGTTTTTGGTCAAGTTACGAACACAAATCCTCTTCGACGGCGTCAGCGATCGCTTTCTGATTGGAGAACGACGAGGCGAGCGCGATCTGAAGCAGAAATGAGGCGTTGGGTGCAATCCGTGTGCTCGCAAACCGTCTAGCAGCTACGGGCGAGCGTCTGCGGCCGCGACTGCCGCTGCGGTCGCGGCGACGTGGACTCGGCGAACGTCTGCGTCGCGGAGACGGCGTTCGGCGAGGACGGTCTGTACGATAAATAGTTCTACCTTACAGTTTTCTTTTAAAGCAGATTAAAATTTTTCCAACAAGAAAGAAGTTCTTTCGTCAAGCTTACAGTGCATATTGCCGGTCTCTTTACACTCGGTGGTCTTCCTTGTAATTAAATCAGACAAAAATATTACAACAATCAATTTCTCGTAAAATTTCGGGTAAAATTACATAAGAATGAAAATTTTTTGAACTCCTCACAGCACCGAAACAACATTAGAAAAAATTTAAATAATTTTCACCTGCTCCTGCTCCTCGGTCGGGACGAGCACGAGCTGGAGACGATCTTCTTGGAGAACGAGAGCGAGCACGGCCGGCTGGTGGCTACAGAGAAGGAAATAGAGAATTTAATAAATTTTTGAATAATCAAATAAAAACCTTCCCAGCTTCTCTGCGATTTGGAGAACGAGAGCGAGAAGAGCTTGAAGAGCTAGAAGAACGTGAACTACCAGATGACCCACTGCTTCTGGAAAAATTTTTACCAAATATAAAAATATATGTCAAAATTTTAAAAAACTAGAAGAAAAATTGAATTATTACCCGGATGAAGAGCCCGAAGACGAACTGCTGCTGGAAGAAGAGCGTCCACGCTTCTTTTCGTCAGACTTTTTCTCTACCATACCTTTAACAATTTTTCTTTAATTCAAAAATTTTCTAACTATAGTTATCGAATGAATATAAAGGAAAGCGTAATGCTGTGTTCCAGGAAGTTTCCGCGAAATGCAAAACTATCTCTGACTTTCTGAAATTTAGTTATCTTTTTCTTCCTCTGACGGTTTTTTTGGATTTTGGAAAATCACTAAACCCGACATAATAAAGGCACAATGGCAGGTTAAAAGTAGGTTCCGCGATGTGCAAAACTACAAAACTATCTCTGACTCTTCAACATTTAGTTGTCTTTTCCCTCTCTGACCGCTAATGCGAACTTCGTAGAATGACTTTGAAGATCTTTATAATGATAAATTAGGGATGAGCGAAAGTAAATTAAGTGAAAATAAAAATAAATTCGGTGAATCGAACTTTGCTCGTTAGCTTATAAATTAACATAGTTTTCTATAAACCTTGTTCCGCATCATTATAAAAAAATAAAAAAATGTATTTTTATAAGACACAAATTGATGCCGTGTTCAAAATAATTTCCGCAAAATGCAAAATTATCTCTGACTCTCGAAAATTTTGTTCTATTTTTCTTTCCATAAGGCTATTTTGAGTTTTACGGAATCACTTCGAACAAAGCATGGAAAATAACAAGAAATAAGACAAGATAATTCGAAAAAGTGGTGCGCGGCGCAGCAAAAAAAAATGCCCGCGATGTTCATTGGAGCGTCGTTTCATTTCTCCGCGTTTTTTTGTTTTCTCTCTTTCTTTTTTTTTGGATTTTTTTTGCCATGAGATCTGCATGTAATAAAGCGAATTTCGATTTTTAGTTTTTCAGTGGATTTCCAAATTTAGCCAAAAGTTTTCGGTATGAGTGAAAAGTATCTGTAAATATCCTTCATAGTGCCATGAACATATGGCAATATATTTTTTTCATTCCACCTTTTTCTTCTCTTTTTAAGTTTTTTTAGGAATTAAATTCCTGATAAGAAAAAAATAAGACGTAGACAGAGATTACGGAAATTTTCTGTAAAAAATACAATTATTTTCCAATTATTCGATTTTCGATCTCTGGAAACGCAATTGAAAGCTGTCGTTCCGCAGGGACAGCCCCCTTGTCCAAATTCGCCGCCAACCCAATCCAAACAAAATACAGGGTCGTCGCTTTTTTTGTCGGCCGTTTGGGCCAACCGATTGCCCGGCCTCCGAAATGTGTTCATTTAGCGCTCCTCCCGCGGTTTCGTTTCGTTATTGGATGCTGTTTGTGGGTGTGTGGAAGGCTTTAGTTAGATGGATCCATTTCCTCTCGCTTATATATAACCCTTTGAGACGATGCGGCTTCTCCTATTGCTCCGTTTTGAACCTAACTTCGTTTGTTGCTTTGAAATAAGTTTCCGTTTTTTTCGTTTCATTTCTGGAGCTTTTTTTGAACTGATATTTTAATATAAGTTCATAGAGCTACTTTCTTTCCTTTTTTTTTTCAAATTTTTCAGTTTTTCTTGTTATTCCATCCCAATTGAATACTGTTTTCGAACACTTTACACTGTAGCCAATGGCCTCAAGGGCTCTCCGTCGAAAATGTGAGATTTATTCTGAAGACCTTGGTTATCTGTGGCCACGGCGTTCTTTTGACGACGCCCCTCCCACAATTTCCGTAATATTTGACGTCTTTTGTGCATACACAGAACGACGCTAACTCGCATACTCATTAAATTCAAAAATAATTTTTTTCCTCGAAAAATAGCGTTTTTTCAAAACCATAGACGTGGAAAAAATCGATCCTTTCACAATTCCTTTTCTAGTTGACAAAAAACATTTGGGTGGAAGTTTTTCTTATTTTCTGAACACTTTCATACCTTTCATCCTCAAAAATTGGTTAAAAATCCTTTTTTTTGAGTGAAAAAAACGTGGAATTTTGTGCCGAAAAATGACTTATTGTGGTTCTATGTGTCTTTCCCGACTTATTGAAAAATTTAAAAAAAGTTTTCTTTACAGATTTAGTTTAGTTTATCCACCTAGTGGTATTTTTTTCTCCTCTGCAACATCGCCATACCATTCTGATGTTGCGAAAATGAAGAGATTGATTGATTCGAATAAAAAAATTTAGTTTGACACTGAAAAATGTTGCTGAAAGGCTTTTTTTGCTTTAAAGGGAAAAATTTGGTCAAAAACACAGCAGTTAATATTGAAAAATTGAAAAAGTTCCTTCGCATTTTGCTGTCGCAATAAAAAAATAATTACCGTGAATCAGTACGAAACAGATAAAGATACAGCTGAAATAAACATGAAAAATCACGTGAAGCACTTGAGCAACAAGAAATTCAAATGTTCGCGCGCAACCTGTCTACCGTAAATCTAGGTGGAGCAACCCTTCCAAGCCGCTCCACATTTTCAAAAATTTTACATTTTCTTCCACTACGCAGAACGCCGTGGTGGCGCTGAAGAACGAGTCTGTGGGACACTCGATGTTTTTCGCAGGGAAAAATCGCTGCGAAATGAAAATGAAGCCCTCCTCTGAGAGTCCCGAAAAGTCGAAAAAACAGTCGTTGAGGTCAAGTACGAAGATTTGGAGAGGATTATTTGGAGCTTTTTTTTTGGTACAGTGATAGTTTTTTTTAGGTCTGCTTCCCCAAATCATCAGTTTGTATAAATTATTCAGGCACTCTGTAGCATTTCTTGATTAAAAAATATATAAGCCCACAATTCTTGACTTTTCCACATGTTTAACCTTAGTTCGGATTTTTTAAAAGATCTATCAATATTGGTTTACGTTGACAGATTATTTTTCAAATTTATTTTTCAAAACTTCCTAATGACATTCTCCGATATTATTCTAAGAAAGTACGCTGAAATAATTAAAACGTACTTTCCAAAATTGAAGCTCTAAATTCGAACATCTTTTAATTCAGTGTATATCGATAGTAGCGTGGGAAAGTTTCTCTCTGCCTCGCCTCTTATCTTCCATTTCGTTGTTCGGTTTCAAATCGGCCCCAGGCTTGCGTCCGAGGCGCTGTGTTTACAGCCGATTGGTCACTCTGAGACTTCAACACTATTCTTCCATTCGAACCTTTCTTCTTAAAAGCCTCTTTGGAGCCAGTGTAACAAAACCGTTGGTTCTTTATTCAATTTTTTTTAGAACGGAAAACTTAGAAGTAAAAAGTTTCAAAACAACTTGATAAGAATATTCATTTGAAGAATTTTTGAGGTTTGATAATTCAAAGAAAAAGGAAATATTCGAAAATTTTTTTGATCCAGATCTCAAATTATTACAAACTTCGAAGCATTGGTTTTTTAAAATTCCATCTGGAAATTCTAAACATCGTTGAATCTTATGGAATATTGAAAATAATAGGGTTCCTAACTTGAAACATCTGTTTCTGTGCTTGGATATTGAAATTTAAAAAATCTTTCGTTTCTTACTTTTCAATAAGTTTGAAGAGCTTTTTTTGTTTGCCACTATCGGTTTGAAAAATCTGTATTGACGTTTCATTTTTCTTTTTCTTTTTTTTCAGATTCGAATTTTTGACTCAATTTTTTCGTGTGTAGTTGCAGGGATTAATCCTATTAATTTCCTTTTTTTTCAAGAAACATTTGTATGTTCCTGCAGTTTCAAGAAGTTATAATATAGGTGAAGATTTGATGAGACAGAAAAGTCTGCTTTGTTGTTTTTTTTTTGTCACAACCAGCTGGATCTCCCAGAAATGGTCCTCTTCTCTGTTTTGTTTGTCTTCTCGCTCGCCTCTATTCTCTGTTTCCGCTTCGAAATCTCCTCTCTGTGTGTATTGTCGATTTTTTCCTTCAAGCTTCGTCACTCCGACCATTTTGGCAGCCTTCTTCAATTTTAACGCTGTGAAGATTTCTTTATTCAAGGGTTAAAGCCTGTACCTTGAAGATATTTTAGATCTAAGAATCTATAATTTACGAGCTCTGTTTGAGACTCGATAGTTTTCTGGAAGAGATCGATTATCTTTTTCCCTACCTTCTCACTTTTCCCCTTGTTTTCTCACTCCTCTTTTACTTGTTTTCTCACCATTCAGAGCTTTGTAAGTCATAGTTTCCTCTTTCCTTGGTTAGAATCGGTCAACACCAAAGAGTGACTCATCCACCTTTTTCTCTTTTCCGACTCGTTTCGGATTGTTGAATCAACGGCCCTTAGAGTGTGACAGTTCTCCTACTTTCCATTAATCACTTTCCTTTGCTTGTGAAACTTTGAAGTGCTTTCGATGGTGACGAATCAGCAATTATGGGAAAATCCTTTGTTTCGACGATTCAATTCATGTCATCCATTCATTTTAAAATGATGATGTATGCTTTCAATATACAAAAAGAGAGTTTATTTATGTCTTTAATGATTTTCATATAGATTATCGATAGTTTGATAAATCTGAACTTGGTTTTCTTCGTTCATTCATGATAAGGTATTCATGTGCAAAGTTAATGCAGTTGACCGGATCAGGAAAAAAACTTTCAATAAAGTTTTTGGAAATTCGATACTTTCAATATGATGTTTTTTTATGTTTGCGATAGTATCAAATAGCTGCAAACGGCTCGAATTACATACTCTTCCAGTTTTAAATTTGTCTATACAATAATTAGTATTTTTTCGAAAATATATACGTTCATCATGTTGCACGGAACATCCATTAAAATTTTGTAATTTGCAAACTTTTTGTGGTGTTCAAAAAATACGAATGAGAAAAAGAAAACTTAGATACCAAATAATCTTGGAACATGTAAATTAAGTTGACTTTTTTCCTTCGTTGTCGTTAATTGATCAAATCCATGTTTTCAGGCCGAAAGAGAAAGTTTTTCAGGCCACGCCTCACTTCCTTGAACTCTTCCTCATCCTGGAAAACAGTTTCGAAGAAAGAAGAGACGTCCTAATAAAGGATGACGCTAAACTTCCAGGCGCACGGGAACGCCCTTCAGACGGCCTATAACCGAGTCGCTCTTTCTCAGACTGGCAATGAGTGGTTTGTTCTCTGAAAGCTTCAAATGAACTCTGGAAAGAAAAATTGATTACCAACAAGAAAAATCGGGAGACTGAATCAAAAATAATTTTTGCTTTTTCACTATTTCCATAGTTTTTCGAAATATTGCAACATCCGATGTTTTAAATCATGTATTGGCAAATGTTCGTGTTCAATTAATACTGAATACAGCGTTAGCTGGTAGTTTTTATAGAGGAACAAGCGTTGAATACAACCAATTATGGCATGTTCAAATGATTCCAAAAAATCCAAAATAGGCGTCGGAAAGAAAAGATAGTTTTGAATTTCGCAGAAATTACCTTGAAGACGGCATTATTTTTTGTTTTCAAGGGTTATCTACGACTACGAGGGCAACACAAATGTGCTGAAGACCGGAGAAGAAGGAGGTTTGACGTCTAAGTTTCGCCTGACCATCTCGGCGTTGTAGAAGACGGCCTAGACGAATTCTCGACGAGTTTCAATTCGGGCAGACTTCAATTCGGCGTCATCGCCGTCCGTCTCAGCCCGACGGTTCTGCCGAAAATCGTGCTTGTTCACTGGGTCAGATCACTTCGACTGATGATTTTTGATGAAAAGATCTTCAGCAAGGCGAGGGAGTTCCGACGACGCGCCTCGCCACCACGGCGACTCACTTTGAAGACGTGCGCCGTTTTCTGAAGACGGTCCACGTCATCGTGCATGCCAGAAGCGATATCGACGTAGAACCGGAAGCGATCCAGCGCGAAGTCGCCAAGCTTCCTGCCGCTAACGCTTCGGTCAACGTGAGTTGTTTCTTTTTTTTCCAAAAAGGTTTAGCCTCAAGAAATTCATAGTATTTGCCACGCAAGATACTAGAAACTTCTGAAAGTATGCTCAAATACTCAGAAATGGACTAGAGAAAGATCCTGAGAAGACCAGACTGCGCGAATTCCTAGTTTTCGAAAAAAATAAAAAAACCTAAAAAGATTGAAACCGTTTTTTTAATTCGCCTCTTAATCTTTAAAAAGAGAACCTTCAAAATTAAAATTCCGGCTATTGGGCAAAATTTCCATCCAAGTTGTAATTTTTTAGCTGAGCTTTTTGAAATCTAATGTTTTGCGAGTTATTCGGTCAGTCAGTTTCCTTGCTTATTATTCGATGTAAAACGAAAAATTGACTTATTTTTCGTAAATAGCATACTGCTCGAAAACTTGAATGTTTAGGTAGAATCGTCCTACTCAACCCCTGAAAGAGTCTCTTCAAACTACCAACCTGTGCGACCGCACGTCGATCTGAACTCTCGTGCCCGTCAGGAGTTCTGGGACAAGATGAACGGCGAAGAGAAGCAGTTGGTTGGCCTCAGAAGGCCTTCAGAGAAAGGTTTTGCAGAAGAGTCGAAGAGGATCGGGCGGCGCGAGAGTCGCAGCAGAAGCAGTACGACGAGGAGCGGCAGCAGCTCGCCCAGGAGATCAGGTCGCGAAGGGAGAACGAGGAGGAGACGGCGAGGGTCAGCTACAGCGAGAAGCCGCAGCCTCAGGTCGCAACTAGGCCGGACAACGCTTCTGGTCCTGGAAAAGGACGGCTGATTGGAAGCCGGTTGGGCATGTTCGATAAAAAAGGTAAGTTCCGAATTCTTTTTCTGAATCTCAATTCTTAATCTTCAAAGTTGTTCCATTGTTTCAGTGAAATAAAGGATAGATGGCATGAATTTTGTCCTTAGAAACAATTCTTTCAGAAAAAAAGAGTCAACCGTTTTTATCTCAACTTTTCAATAATAGGTTTTTGGAAAAAACCCGCTGCAGCGGGTTAGAAAAAAATACCTTTCAAGTCTGATTTTCTCTGACTGGATGAATTGCAATCAAGCATGCAAAGCTCTAGAACAAAAATGTTACCTAATTCGAAACTGTTTCCTAAAAAGTAATGTTGTAGTTAAGGACTTAAAAAAACAAAAAATAGTTTTTAAATCGAAGAGCAAGTCTTTGGGAAAGTTATTGATTTTCTTCTAGCATTACATATGTTTACATGTGTTCACGAAAACCTATTTGAAACACTACGGTGCATAACGTATCAAAACATCAGCAGATTCTAATCGCTTTGAGCCAAGAGATAGCCAAAAAATCGAATAGACATATCTAGAGACCGCAAAGCCACGCCCCTTTTTGCGATGGTGAAATGCGATGGTTTTTTAGATTTCGTGTTTGACGTTTTCGTAAAAGCGCAATACTGAATCAAACACAGAGAAATTTGGTGGAAACATAGAGAAAACCTTCCTCTTCAATCTGATATACTTTTCACCCGATTTTCGTAGCGTTTTAGCGGAGTGTCGTACAAAAAACCGAAACTACTTTTTTTCTTCGGGTTTTCAACCTAGTTCCATGTCGTTGGCGCCTTTTTTTTATTTCCGAATTCGATTCTTAAGTGAAAAAAACAAATCTTTTAAGACAAAAAAATTAAAAATTTTTTTACGGTGCCTAATCTTCGTGAGGCCGCGCAAAGTTGAAAATGTTGTACTCGGTTTCGAGAGCGTGTAAGTAAAAACTTTTTATTTTAACTTGTGGTTTAAATTATAACTAAAACTTTATTAAGAAAAAAACGCCGAAAACGGAAGCATTTTGAACTGAATCTCTATGAAGAAATTATTTTTAGGTGGTCCGAACACACGTGACTAATAATTGTTCAACTATCATAACTTTTTTTTAAACAATATAGTCGGTAAATGCTGTACTTTGAGGTGAAGTGGTGTATAGCGCGAACGCCTCCCATCTCCGAGAGATGTACGTGGAGCAGCGCAAGTGCGCTTGCATACAGTTTTGATATCGCGAGTTCAATCCTCGCAGCGGCCATTTTCTTCATTTTCCATGAAAAATAGCTTTTCTCTTCAAACTTGTGGTTTTATACTGTTTTAATAACTAATTATGACTTTGAAAACCGAACTAAACTACTAAAAAATTTAAATCCGATATGAAAGCAAAATGAACGACCAAAAGTGTAAAATCTAAACTTTCAGTACTAAATTTCGCGACTTTTTTCACTGCTGTTTTGACCATAACTTTTTTTGTTCTCAACCTTTTTCGAAAAACTAAACTGTTTTGAATAGTAAATTAGAGCAGCTATCCAACCATAGTAATATTGAAGTTCGAAATTTTTTTTGAAAATTTGGTTGCGGTCCCTAGACATATCTTTATGGTCAGGGAAGTACCTCAAACTCTAGATTTCCTAAGTTTTAAAAGATCTCTTTTCTATTTACAACTTTCCAGACGAGAAGCCAATAGTTCCGTCGGCTCCAAAGTCTGTGGGAAGCCGCACGACCAACGTGGCGAAGAAGTGGCCGCCGGTGTCGACGAACCACGAATCCGTGGCCCCGATAATCGGAGAAGCCGCGAAGCCGAAACTCGTGAAAGACGCCAACGGTTGGTCCCGCTCGGCTTACGTTGACCTCTTCCGTGTGCAGAGAACACCTACATTCCGCCGTCGCCTTCTGAAGTCTCTCCGCAGCCGCCGTCCAACGCCATGACTCCTCCGAAGTCTCCAGTCGCTCCTCCTCCTTCTTCAACTCCTTCTTATCCTTCTCATCCGACCACCAGTTGGGATCGACAAAAAGAAAACATCTAAAAGTCTTCGTTTCAGCCAGTTACGACGATTACGAGGAGCCGCCTTGTGAGCCGGAGCCTGTAGCCGTGGCGCCGAGCAATTTCGCTTCGCAGTACGATTTCCCGCCACCAAGTACGGATGGTCAGGGGTTCAGAAAGAGAATAAACTTGGAAAAAAGGTTCAGAAGTAACGAAGGAAGCGGTTCCTCCGATCTCTCAGTACGACTTTCCGCCGACCGTCGACACGACGACTACAGGAGTCAGAGCCCTTGCTCTTTGGGACTACCAGGCTGGTCAGTGCTTCGACTGAATTTGACTTGTTTGGCATTAAAACTACGCGTCTGGTTCGAACCTTTTGAAGTTCCCAAATTTTCAGTCCGTATTTTTGGATGAAAATTGAAACATGATATCTCTGAAATTCCAAAATATAAGGTTACTCTGACCCCAGTCGCCAGCTTTCCGCCAATCTTTCGCCAGCGCGCGCCCCGTCTTTCGCGAGCTGGCGCGCCATATCGCGGCGAGCTGGCGAAAAACGCGCCAGAAATTCGCCAGGATTATCTATAGCGCGCAGATTCCCCCTTTTTTTCAATCATTTCCCTTCCTCCAATATTGTTATTTTTTTTATACTAAAAAAATATTTTTATCAACTTTTTATTATTTTCACAAATACAAAAATTTAATGGAAATAAAATCAACATATAAAATCAAACATGAAGAGAACTTGAAAAAAATGAGATATAAGAAGGAAACGCTTGCAAAGTTTACAACTTAATTTAAAAACAATATCTTTCGATTCGAAAAAAAGATCATAATAACAGAACATCAAAAAAACTTTACTAAACAATACATCTTAGAAAAAAATGTGAGCCAAAAATCCGAAGAAATAAAGGAAACTTGAAGCTGACTGCTCGTAAACGTTAAAAATTTAAAATTTTTTTTAATTTTCGATAATATGCAAAGAGTTATTTGTTGCTTCAAAATACCAAAAAGAAGAGAGAAATTTTGAAGCTTCAACGCATTTAAGAAGTGATATCGACGAGCAGTCAATTTATATCGGAGACAAAGTTTAAAATCCTTTCAAAAATTTTTTTAATGGATACATTAAGCTGTTTAACAAATTCTCTCAAGTTATTTTCGCACATACTTCGAATCAAAGGTTGAAATTCAGAAGATAAAAGAGCAATAATAGAGTCTCTGATGTAAAAAGTTTGAAGGAGTTTTATAATCAAAAGGCCGTAAAGTGGTAAAGGCTCTATTATTAATAAATGGCTCAAGTTTTAAAAATTAGTTTATAGAGAATTAAATAGAAGACTCTTATGCAAAAGTTTTTTTGAAAAAGATAAAATTGTTTACTCGTGAAGAAAACTTTGAGCCATTTATCACTTTACTTCAAATGGCCACAAAATAAAGACAATTATGATCAAGGCATTACATTTTTGTTGTGCAGTGATACACACGGTTCTTCAAATTTATCAGCCCCTTTTCAAAGCAAACTACGAAACGTATTTTCAAGTTCGAAAAAAACTGCTTCGAAAAACTCTACTCGTCAGCCGAATTTCGCGAGCATGACAAATCCGAGTAATATTTTTTTGAGGCTAAAAATAAATAAGCTTTATTTTTTTAAAGCTGAATTTTTTTACGGACACAAAAAAATACAATAATTTGGGTGCATCAAGATATTTTTTTGAGGCTCATAAAGTTGATGAACGTGTAAAGTTTACAAATATAAAAAAACTTGAAAAATTTCGCGGACATTTTGCGTCGTACCCGTTCTCCGTATTTTTGGTCAAAGCATCGTTATCCATTTGCAATGAACATCATGACGCCGTCGGGTGAGATCGAAAATATATCGATGAAGTACTTTACATGAAATCCAAAACTTACCAAAGTCAGAGGAAAAAAAACATCCTTTAGCCGTAACGGGGACTTCCTGACGATGCTTTTTTTCTGAAGGAAGCAGTTGAGGAAAAAAATAGAAAGCACTTACTAATTCAACTGGAGTCGTTCTTTCAGCCTCACGGAAAGAGAAGTTCAGCATGAAAACATTAAGCTTTTAGAGCGGTTGATCATCCACGAAACCAAATCGAGAAAATAATTCGAATTTTCTTATTTACCAACCTTTCAAGCTGTTGTTTTTTAAACCTGAAACCCTCCGTCGCATCACATTTACTGAGCTCTACACAAATAAAACAAAAGTTTATATTCTAATAATTTTCTGACTTTTTAAACTTCTTTTCAACTAATCACGTTTCTTTCTTTGAACGACCTTCGCAGCCTACAGTTTTCTACTTCTATAGACAGCTTTTTTTGAATTTAGAAAAAAATGAAATCAAGAAAAAAATTGCTTGTTACATCAAAACTGCATTGCGGCATCGCTTCTGCGCTAGTTTGGACAAAAACAGGAAACGAACACTGAAAAAAATCGTGAAATCAGCAAAAAAATCAAATAGAAAAAAACAAAAAAGACAAAAAAACGCGAGTCCCAAAAATTTTAGATCGCAATATAAAAATACAGTAATAAAAAGCAAATTCGCGCTATTGGTTACGTCGCCAGAGAATCGCCAGGAAACCGCCACAAATTTGATGGCCGCGAGCTCGCGAAATGACTTTTTCTGGCGGATAGCTGGCGCCTGGGGTCAGAGTAATGATCAAAAATATATCTTTTCAGCATTCCACATGTAAATTTTGAGCATTTTTTTCAAATTTTCGAACGTTTTGAAATATGACAATATATATTTTCATGTATTTTTGCAGCTGATGAGACGGAAATCTCATTTGACCCAGATGACGTCATCTCCGAGATTGATCAGGTACATTAACTTAATTAATAAGTTTAAAATAAATTTATGCTTCGAGAGAAACATTTTCGCAAAGGCTTGTAGAATCCCCAATAAAGTTTCGAACAATTAGGAATATTAAAAAAATATTATTCTGAAAGTGTAATTTGACTTTTTCGAGTTCGATTTTTAGTTGGACGAAGGCTGGTGGCGCGGCAGGGCGCCAAACGGCGAAGTTGGCCTTTTCCCGGCCAATTATGTCAAGATCGTGGAATGATCAAGCGCTGAACTTGACCTAATCTGAAAATAAAGTAACTTTGAAATATCTTGATTCTTGTCCTCTGACGCTACTCGAACTAATCGTTTTGTAAATTGAAACTTATCAAATCCAGTGTTTCTGAACATTTTCGTGTAACCGGTGTGCCATGCTTTTCTAATTTAAAAAATAGGCTTTTGTTCAAAACAAATAAGGTAAATGAAAATTAGACTTGAAATTTTTGGTTTTCCTGAGGAGTTTAAAATCAAAGTTTTGGATGATGAATTGTTTCAGCTCTTTTTTCGTATACCTTCTACTCGGATATTAACTCAAATTAGCTTAAGAAATGTGTTTGTCACTATAAACTTTACTTTTTCGTGTTAAATTACGTCACTTAATCAATTTTTAACTTATTTTTGACTACCTGTACCAAAAAATTATCACTTTAATGCTGATCCTGAGATTTCTGCTCAATTATTTCATTCGAAACTTCTATATTTATACATTGAATGTTGATTGATGAACATTGTGTGAAATAAATAATTGCTCATTGAAATATTCTAGAATCTCAGCATCTATAAAACATTTTTTATTTCGCAAATTTTCAAGAGGAAAATTATTTGGATTGCGAACAATAAATAACGAGGGGGGGGGGGGGCGAAGCTTTTTTTATTTGCCGCAATCGGCTTTTCATAGAAACTTTATAAAGCGAATTATGCTAGAAGACCTGAAAAATGGGCGAAAAAGTATTGTAGGGATTCCGAGGCACCTGTAAGACACTGGGAAATATGAAGGCAAGATGAGGTTGCTATTTCAAAGGAAATGGAGTGAGAACGGGAATTTTTCCATTTTCAGATGGGAATTTCTAGTGAAATGACATGAATCTACAATTGGACTGTTCAAAAACAAAGTAAAGAAAGCTTAAAGCGGTTTTTGTGATTCACGATGGTTTCAAGAGCCACTCTTTTCAATTCGAGAAAAATGAAATAATAAAAAGTTCCATAAAGGACGATGTCGCCTAAAAGTACCGAAACAACTGTACTTAAGCTTATTCAAAACCATCATGAGCCCACTGGCTATGAAAAAAAAAGAATGAGAAAAAGGGATAAGTTAGCACCGAAAAGTCAATCAGCAAAGGTTCATATTTCAATAAATTCACTGTAAGAAGCACAGTAAAAGCTTATAATAAAAAAATATATATATAATTCGATTTTTAATATCTAAGATAACTGACTTCATCTTGAATATATTCGGGCTCAAAAAACAAACCAAAAAAGATTGGACCAAATTTTCGGGCAATTTACAGTTTTTATAGAGAACATTTGCAGAGGCATACCCGTGGCGGCTGATCTGTTTAGACGTTTTTGAGAACTGTCCATGAAAATTCTGACCAGAAGTATCAGCACGAAATCGTAAGCTTACAAGAGAAGGGCGAACACATTGGAATCCAGGGTACCTTGAATAAAATCTCAACTAAATTCAGGAAATACTCAAAAGTTGTGTTTGCGCTTCCCTTGTTAGGTATTTCATACTACAGGTTGGATTTTCTGTCTTGAGTTTTCATAGACCCAGGTTTTTCAGCTGTGCTCCCAAGCAATGGAGCACGAGTTTCGTCGAACGCGTCGCGGTTTCATTTGGCGACGGCGACGATGGGCTGGTCGGCGAGGCGGTCGTCGTTGACCACGAGATGCAAGGCTCCGTAGCTCTCGACCGTGTGAACCGAAGCCGCGTTGTCGAGGTCCGAAGGTCGGTACGTCATGTAGCCGATCACCGTCGCCAGGATCGACAGCAATTTGCACACTATCGCTGCAATTAAGTTCTTAGTCATCAAAGAATTATTGAGAGAGTTTCTAAAAAGATCCAGAGTGCAAAGTAAAATGATCTTTCTTGTCAGGATTATCACGAATTCTTGAGGGCAAAGTTTCATAATATAGTTCGTGATAAGACAAACTATGGTGAAAAGGAACGAACCGACGGCGGTGATAGTCCAACTGAGCTTGACGGGGTCGTAAACCAGGCAACTGGCCGCTTTTCCGCAGTTTTCGCCCCACTCGAGACACGTCGTGTCGATGATCATTCCGAAAAGAACGCCTCCAGGAATGAAACCTCAAATATTCCGAGTTTCTCGTTTCAGATTGTTTTTTCTCCTATTTTAAAGTGAAATTTCAGATAAGTGTGAGAAAAAAAACTGCGTAAAAGAGTCCTGGCCAAGAAAGGAGAAGAGTTAAGATTCGGTGCTGGAGGTTCGTTTTTTTTTAAACTTGAAAACAAGAAAACCCTAAGATCTTTTATGATTCTTATGTTCATTTGCGAAGCGAAGAGAATCAGAAGATGGAAAATCACCTAAAAGACGAACGAAAGTCCAGTTGACACCCATGGCCAGAGTTCTCTGATCGAATGGAACAACTCTCAGCATAATCTGAACTAAAGGACTGGAGTCCATCTACTGGAGAATCGGACCTGTTGAGTTGGGATTCCGGAGGCGAAACTCGCCACGACGGTGATGAACAACGTCACCATCAGGATGTACTCTCTGTAGCCACAGTCGATGTTGCAGTAGCTGAAAACATGACGTCATTCTGAGCAGAAAGTCACAGAACATGTATCTATTTCTCTGTGATATTGCAGATGACGTCACTCACCCATTGGTCAAGCGCTCGTCGACGTGATCTTCTGGATGAATGAAGCCGTGGAAGGTCTCGTTGGACGAGATGCAGTTGCAAGAAGTCCAAATCGCGGTACCCTGAAAGATCCTCAGCTGACATGAGCAATGGAGGGGTCTTGCGAACGTTCTCGAAATGGCGCTTCTTGCAGCCGGCGTGGCAGGCCGAGTAGTACATGTGGTGCGTGTTCGTGTCGCAGACCGGGTTCCACTCTTTCGGACAGTGGCAGTTCTCGTTGCACTGCGCCGCCGTCGAGAAGTCGTGCACACGGTCAATCATTCTGCAAAATGGGCTCTTCTTCGAATCCCCTAGACGGATAGAGTTGCGTGGTTTGAGACGGAAGTGTCCTGTTTCCTATGGAATGTAGAGAGACCACACAACCCGCTTTTCAAAAAACTGGACTCTTTGGCGTGAAACTTTAATTTGGCTATAAATTTTGGCTGTTTTGAGTTCATTTTTCGAAGGACTATGACTTCAAAGTTTCACGGGGGAGCTCAATAACCCGCTTTTCGCAAAAAAAAAAGATTTATAAAAGGCCGAACTGACAAATCATTGTAGCCCATGTTGATGCCCACAAACTCTCGCTGAGGACAGTGACTGAGGAGTCCGGAAATGAAGATCAAGGCGATGACGTGGCACACGACGATCATCTTCAGCATTCCCGCCACCTTCAAAGAAGTTCTAATCCGCGCAACCCTGGGACTTACCTGAAGTTTGAGCTGTCGGATGATGGTTCCTCCGACCATGACTCCGGCCGCAGCCGCGAAAATCACGACAGCTGAAACCAGTAGATGATCGAAGGAAGAGCTTTGAATTGCTTTTCAAAAAGATTGAATAAACCAAAGAAATGTTCTCAAACAATAGTAGAGCAATATAACACTTTACAGAATATCTTGGAAGTTTCGAAAAAGTTCCCTTTTTTGAAATTTTTTCGCGGAGGACGGTATGAAAGACTCACACGACAAGTAGGACGCCAATGTAGGATTCGTACTGAGCAAAGTCTCGAGGATCTTTGGCATGAAAGCGGCAAATCCTTCAAAATCCTCTTTCAAAGTCAAACAATGAAATGACCGACCATTTATGATGATAGACTCGAAGATTCCGACGAAAATACAGACCACAAAAGTCGGGTTTTTGCAGATTTTCTGAAACTTGTGAGATTATGTACTTGTGACCTTAGTCTATCAGAATTTTATCCGGAGAGTATCCAAATAAAATGAACCTAGTGTTTTTTTAGCTCACAAGAAACTCACAGTGACACAGGCCGGCAAATTTTTGACGGCCCTTGGGGCTTTTTCATTAACATCGGCGTTGGTGGCGTGGCACTGGAATGATTCTTTTTTACAAAAAGAGATAAAAGTCAACAAAAAAAATAAGAAGATTAAAAAAAGGGTTTTTTTGTAGACATACTTGCCTCAGCGTCCTCCTAATCGGGGCCAATAACATAATCCCCGTCGGAGCCTATAAAAGGTCTCCGGCAGCTCTGTAGGAGAGGAGACATGAGAGCGCAACGTATCACGTAGCTGACTTTCTATGTACATTTAGTCTTGGGGAAAAGGTTTTCCACAAGCTAACATACTTTAAAAAAATGTTTTGTCAACAGAGCACGGTAGAATGAAAAGGCGCTCCACTTCTCCAGTTCAAATTCTTCGTAGGAGCTTTGTGAACGTTGCTCTTCGTAAAAGGAAAACAACTTTTTAGCAATTTCAAATGGAATGTTGATATCGCAATCAAAATCTTCACGAACAGAATTTCCTTTGAAACATTTCACATTCTTTTGTCATCTTCTACATACTTTTCTATCGCTACAGCTCTCTGGAAAGTCACCTGGTTAACGTCCTTGGCGCGGTGTCTCTTTGCTTCTGGGAGTTCGCGAGCAAACGCCAAAATGGGAAAAGCAATTAGAAGAGCCGAAATAGACGAGATCAGGAATCCAACCCACCAGGCGCCAACCCAACGAGGATCGGAGCGCTCCATCGGAACCCTTAGATTTCCTTTTGAGGTGAGAAACGAATGAATTCGAACCGGTCAACTCTGTCGAAATCGTCATAGAGGTTGAGAAGAAATCCACCGGCAAAGACGCCGATAACCGGCCCGAATGACGTCAGAACCGCGTGAATTGCTGAAAAAAAGGCGAATCAAAAAAATAAAATAAAATAAAAACAAGAGTCAAAGAAGAAGAATAATCACCGAGATAAACCGGAGACGCTTTTTGGGAAACATTTTCGTCGAGGTAGGTTGTTCCTATCGAAAAAAGCGGCGTCGAGCCAACTCCGTGGAGCGTTTGACCTGCTCGTTCAATTTTTTTTCGCTCATGTCAGTCCAGAATACCAAGGATGAACATCCAGAAGTATGGGTTGAAGTAAGAGGATGGCGCCGAACCAGTGCACTCCATTTTTTCGTTTCTAAAAAAGCTCAGTTCGACGATGTTATGTGAATGTGATACAACACTTCTATAGACGAGGAAGCCACATTATTCCTTAAATTTACGCCGTCTCTCAGAGCTCACCTCATTGCACACTGACCAAAGTCAGTCTCGTTCTTCTCGTAGGCGTCGGGATGGTAGACATCAACCATCCAGTGCGGCAGAGCGCAGATCAACGAGCCCAACGCCATCACTACGCCGCCCCATCCGATCCATCGCCCTTTGTGCCCTGGAAGTTAAGTCAAGGTTTTGCAGTATTGGTTTCAAGGAAGAGTTCTCGATCTAATGTTAACCTGAATTTCCCCAATGGCAAACAGGAAAAACGACCAAAAGAACGGCAAAATCGTACCAACTCGAGATGATTCCCGTGTGAGTGCTGTAACGGTTTTCGAATGAGTTATTTTCTGAAGTTTTTCAGCTTTGTTGACTAAATAAGTACATATGAAGAAGATGTAGTGGGAAAAAGGATACAGCCAGATAAGAAATAGTTTAAGGCTGATGAGTGGAAATATCAAGTTTGGATCAAATCAAACCTTGTCATTTTGAATCGGCGCTCGAGTGTGGACAGTCCAACGGGAAAAATTGCATTCACCACGAAGCTCTGGAAAAATATTCCAGAAACATTTTTATATTTATAATCTTGTTAATAAGAATTTCAAGTACAGTTGGAGTTTCATTTGGAAATTTATACTTTTTCAAGTAAAAACTTGAAATTTGGCAAAGTGAGTAGGATTTAGTTTCGTCTCATGCGATCTCCGAATAAAACATCTGCCAGAATCGAAGAGAAAGAGAATCGAACCTGAATGAAAGCACAAATTCCTAGCATGACGAGCAGACATTTCGCGTTGTGCATCGACTGGATCCACGAAGGCGTACAACTGAAAATGTCGAATAATTTCCCCCAAAACGACCAAAACGGCTTTTTCTTATTCTTCCAATTTCGAAACAGGAAAACTGTCTATTCAAGGCAGAAAACGAACCCGCCGTATCCACAAAGCAACTTTTGCTCGTCTTCATCCATTGAAGCTTTGAAGTCTTCATCCGCCTCGAAACTTTCCGTGTTGTGTTTTTCCATTCTGATATTCAAATTTTGAGAAAATGGGTTTCAAAGAAATAAATGAGAAAAACAATAGCGTAGCGAATAAAAATTATTCAGACTCGATATTAATTAAATATTCGAACAATACTAGGAAATGTTCAGAATTCACACTGCAATTTTACAGCTGTTTCAGTCAAGAATCTTGAAAACCGCCAAAGTTTTCATTATAAAAGTTGTAGCCGTGCAAAGTTAATAAATCCGATATCCAAGACGGGAAGCCAAGGTCGAATGACTTCAAAGCCCTGCGCAGTCCAAACTTCTCATTCCCTCTTTTTTCCGGATTTTTTTCCGAGACTGCTATCAGAATAAGAAAACTTATCACGTTCATTTTTTCACTGTCCTATTTATTTCATACTGGAAAAGCGAAAACCCAATATCAAATAAAAATCCATTTCTGAAAAAATAAATTTTGAAAACTCGCTCTCCATCGCAAAAAAGAACAAATGAAGATAGAAATCTGTATACCATTGGAAAAAAGGAGAAAATGTCAAAGAACACAAAATCTCGGTCGGGAGCGATTGAAATCAAGAGGAGAGCCCAGAATAACGGAAGATTTTCGGACCAGATAACTTTAATGGACTGTGTTCTCAGGGATCTCGCTACCAAGGTTGAAAAAATTTTTTTCCATAGGTACTGCTTTTTAGCCGAAGAAAGTTCTAAAAAAGATAATTATTTTATCAGATTCATATTCTTAAATTTGAAAAGAAAAAAGTAAAAAAATCATGACGAAAAACATTGTCTGAGACAAATTGACCACTTTCGTCCTTTTTGAAAGAGGCGTGACCTGCATGGGCGGAGCTTGTCAAGTGCCCTCGATTATCCTCCGCGTTTTTCGCCAATTTTTAACATAAAAGAGACAGTTATTATAAAGAAAAATATGACCGTCGCAAAAAATGACAAATAACATGACGGGAATTTCCTATCAGGGTCTAAAAGAACGTTGAAAAAAAAGAAGAAGATCGTACTGTGATAAAAAAAAGATCAATCCTGAACTAAATACAGAAGTTACCATTTTTTGAATAACACCTTAGAAACGGCAAGTCCGGCACATGTTAGGCGTAATGTAGGAGGTGAGATGGCCGAGCGGTCTAAGGCGCTTGTTTAAGGCACCAGTCTCTTCGGAGGCGTGGGTTCGAATCCCACTCTCATCAGTTTCTTTTTTGCGATTTTCCGTTTCTTTGCCATTTGGCAAGACAACAAAATGTTGCTTCTAGAAATAACATACTATCATTTGGCTGTCTGACAAGTGATTGCAATCAAAATGATCCGGTGTAAACTGGTTTACAGACAGCGAAATGCCATCGCGAATGCAGTAAACCTGTGGTTTTGTCTTTTTTCGGCCTCATTTGACCGTTTCGCTGGCTATTTCAAGGAAGGAAGAAGTCTCAGAAAAGAAAATCGAAACGGGAAAAAACGACTGGAGTTCAATTCTATGAAGAAAAGAGTTATGATGCCATAGTAAATGCATGCTTTTCAATTGCCTTTTTGAGATCAGAAAAAAATAACGAATAATGATAAGATTTATGGAAAAAAAGGACAAAAAAAGAAAGATTTGAACAAACAAATAAATATCTTTGGGCGTATAAGGTCATGTATCTGTTCTCTTGGTCTCTTGGTACTTTCCGTAGCCCTTTTTGAATTGAATAGAATAACTGGAAACGTTTGGTAGAAAAAGTTCACGTTGAAATTAGAGTTTGAATGCTGAAATTGACAAGAAAAAAAAAAAAAAACCAAATCGGGAACTTGGCTCAAAAAAAGTAGTTTTTTTGAATATTTACTCTTGTATTATTCATATGAATTACTGCATTTAGATTAATTAAACTTTTTACATCCAAAAAATTTTTTATTTTCTTTAAAAGAGTTGAAACGAAATTCAAAAAAAAAATGAAAGCGAAAAAAAAAATCAAAAAGTTTGAGGCGAGAGGGACTAATTAGGCAGACGCCGCCTTATAAAAAACCGCCTTCTTACAATTTTTCCGTTTTTCCAATCGTCTTTTTGGAAAGACGTGCACGTGAACGAACCAGTCGAGGAAAAGGTGGACCGTTCCGGCAGCCAAACTTTTTCTCCTGGCAGTTGCTCGCCTTTTGTGGGCGGTTTTTGATTGATCGACCGGCGGGAGAAGAAGAAAGGTCGTTTCGAAATAACAGACTTCGGCACGAATTCCAGCATTAGCCAACTACTATCCTACAAAAAACAATCAAAGACTCAATCAAGAGTGTCAAGTTTTCTCTATTAAAAATTGAAATGCTCATTTCGCCGCGAATTGAGCCGCTGCGGTCGCGTGTGGAATGTCTCAAAGCGTCGAGGTCGCGTAGCGGTTCGAACCGTGAGTCACAGTCGGTCACGAGGTTTTCAGTCATCAGTTTCTGTTAACGTTCTCTATGCATTCGCGCGCGATCCGTTTCAGGTCGGACGCGAACTGAAGAAATTCTCTCCCGGGCGTTACACGTTCCGCCTCAAAAAATCCCAAGTGCGGCCATGGAATCAAAAGAAAAGAGGTTCGAGGCAATCGGGAGCGAAAGTTTTCATGGAGAATCGAGATCTTCATTCCACAAAACACAATTCATTATACCTCAAAAAGCAATATCTTTGTAAAATTTTTAAAATTGGAACTTTTTCCTACTTTAGGTTTATGATAAGTAAGAAGAAGTTTATCTTTTTTTTCTGTTTGAAACTGCTTTCGCTGATCTAAACACTTTTCAATTCTCTCGGATCTTCCAGAAATCTCTTTTTTCCACTCTCTTTCAGAATATCTGCCCTGGAAATGTAGATGCATGAAAAAGATATATCGGTGTTATTTTAGATTATTATGTCTTTTTCTATAACAGAACTGTGGGAAAACTGGTAATTTTTTTTTAACTCAGCGCAAAAAAACACTTCTGATATTTGGACTCACGCTCTTTTTTGAGTGTTTTCTTCTTATGAATCAGAGAAAAATGAGTCTTTTTTTTTCATTTTTGTTTTAAATCATGATTGAGGAATTAATGGATCAAAGAAAATAATAAAAAGAGAAAAAACTTTGAGAAATACTCATTCATATTCTTTTTTTTCGAAAGGCGGTCGAGTAACTGAGTTACAGGAACACTCATCCTAGTTTACATTCGGTTAGAATTCAGAATCTATATATTCTATTCCATTATACGAGTTCGATCCAAAGTTTTCGTTTCGAAATAAGTTCCACCAACTTGATCTTCCCTGATTTTGAGGAGGCGAATAAACAGCCACTCGAGACAGACAAACGATCAAGTCGGCAAGTGTTTTTGCCGAGGCTCTTCTAATCGCATCAAATTTACCCCAACGCGAATTTCTTTAATTTTTAACCTCAATTCGACGGCTTTTGTCTGCGAAAATTCGTCAAAGTACTTTCCTTGCTGTTTGGCACCAGTTTGAAACAATGACAAAACTGACCTTTACTGACAATATTTTCCTAGCAAAGAATGGAAATGGGAATCGCCAGACTTTTCATCGAGATTTTTTTAATCGAACTTTCTCGTTGACTGTTAGGTCTTTTCCTAATAATTTTAGAAAAAAATTCTACGAAGTAGGTAATAAAATCCGTGTACTTGTCTTTGGAAGAAACAAAATATCTTATCTTCCCTCCATTTTAAAAGTTTAAAGCTTAAACAGAGGGGACTTTAAAGCGCAGTGAGCAATATTCTTGATAAAAGTCAAAGAATTGTATCTCGGCAGACGGAAAACTATCAGAAGCCGTTTTTGTCCCAGCTTCTGCGCTCTGACGAATAAAAATCGCGTGAACACTGAACACTTGAGCGATGGAAAGTTGGAAATAAAGTCAGAGAGAAAAACAAAAAAGAACAAAAAGGGAGTGATAGGGGACGATCTGCAGGCCGATCGATTCCAACTGTTTTCAGAATGTTTGGCGACTCGTTTCCGGTCATTTTTGAATCGCTCAATGACGCAAACTTAGAAATTGTCTTTTAAGTGGGAATAATGCCTACAAAACTTATGAAACGACAATATCGATAAATCAAAGATAATGATGACCTCTGAAGCTAGTCCGAAACTATTTCCTTCTATTTGCTCAAAAGAGTTTGGGCGTTTTCCACTGATACCGTACCGCTTATTAACCTAACGACGCCGTGAACACGTTCGAATTGCGTTGAAAAACAGGAAACCTCGGCGAGGAACTCGTGGTTTTGAGTATTCGTTAATGGTTGACGCGTCCGTGAAAGGTTTGAACAAACAAAAAAGAAATGCAAAATGAAAGAAAAGTCAAAAAAAGTGATGCCCATGCGACAATAACGACTTTAAACGAAAGATTTTATATTGAAAGGCTCAATCATATTTCTAAAATAAAAAACTTCAAAATAATAAAGTTATCAAAACGAACAAAATGGAAAAAAGGTTAAAAAAGTGATAATATGGATGAATTGTGTGAGGTTTGATCAATGGGATAAGGGCGAATCAAAGGTCAAACAAAGTTGTGAAAAATAAAGTCTTTCATGGGTTTTTTTTCGAGGTAAAGAAATTGATTTTTTTTCTTTCCGACAGTGTGTTTTTCAGTGTAAATAATTCTTTCTGAAGCTTCATTGACCAAAAATTTGCACAAATGTCGATCAGTACAGTAAATTAATGATCCCAAATCCATGACCAAACTTGGTAAAACTGGGAAAATTTCTATGAATTATTGGTTTTTGAAGTTCTCAAGCTCTTTTCATATAGTAGAAACCACAACTTTTTTTAACGGAACGAGAAAATATTTTTCATTTTGAAAAGGAGTTTGATGATTTTTAAGCTTGACCAAATTGAAAATTTCCAGAGAACACTGAAAAGTGCGTAAGAGAAACATGTAGGCATTGACATACCGCAATCAACAAGCAAATCGACAATAAAAGGTTTTGGGTTGAAAGGGCGCAGAAAGGTGTTCGAAGGCCGTTTTGGCGGTGTGTAACACGCCTGAAAAAGCGTACAAAACGTCATCTGAATCGCTGAATCTTCCATCGATTATGCCGTG